TGTCCATTATCGTCCTGTTGAGTCGCTCAGCTCTGCCATTCTCCTGAGGAGTGTGCGGCGAACTTTGCAGGATCTGGATGCCCTGGTCTTTCAGCATTTTGTCGAACGCTTCAGACTTGTATTCTCCCCCAGCATCTGACATCCACTTCTTAACCTTCTTGCCGTACTGGTTTTTGGCCATGGCTAAGAATTGGCGCGTGGCCGTGATCGCAGCACTCTTGTTGCGCAGATTCACTGTCCACGCATTGGAAGTGTAGTCGTCATAGTACAGGATGTAGTACCTATACTTATGGTAGGAGTCGATGGGAAACGACTTCACATCAGAGTGAATGAGCTCGAAGGGCTCTGTCGCTCTCAACGTAGATGGCGGGAATGCTTTGTTATGCATTTTCCCTTCCGCGCATCCTGGGCATATAGGATCCTCCCTAGGGAACTCTATCGAAGGTGGGAAACCCTCGGTGTGTTTCTGTGCTTGCCGTAGTACGTCCTTAGAAGGATGTCCTAGGCGGCGATGCATAGTGTGGTAATCGACAGAATAAACTGTCTGATGGATACTCATTGCGTCCTGTGAAGGCAAGGACTGTATTTCGAATATCGTTGAACTAGGGTGCCGCGGCTTGAACACATATAGTGGTTCACGTGCTCCTTGTTCATAGAGGTCGACGTGCTGCGCACCACCGCGCACTGTCATTCCTTCACGGAGGAACGTTCCCATGGATAGGAGACGTTGATGAAGACCTTGGAAGTAATAAACGGGGAATAATCTGGTCGTCGTATGACTACCATCGTCATTCTCGAAGTTCAAGAAGACTGTCCCACGCTTTGTGCATACGGCAGAGCCGTTTGCGGTCGACAAGACGATTGGCTCACTGAGGTCCTCAATCTCAGCAAAATCATCTAAATTGTTGGAAAAATGTAATGATGCTCCAGAGTCCAACATCCAGGAGTCTGATGACTCAACCGGCTCTGGTTCATGCCAAGCCTTAGCTTTTCCCTTACATTTGGTGCACGCAGCGAAATCGCGCGAATGCCGACAACCAACTGATTTGTGCAATGAACTACTGATATATTCATTCGTTACACTGCGACTACGACTGCGAATACTACGTCTCTTTAAAGTAGACCTAGTGCGTCTACTACTACATGCGGCTGTATGAAGCGCAGGGTTAGTAGGTCGCTTGGGAATAGAAGCTGAAGAGACTGACCCAGCATCAAAGTCCTCTCCTAAGCCGGCGGCGTTAGCCAGCTCGTCGTCGATGTCGTACTGACCGTCTGATCCCCAATCAAGTGGATCCTGAGTCGTAGGACCTTCGTCCTCGTCGTACGAGTTGTACGTCCCGTCCATGATCGCGTCGATCGCATGGCCTACCTCAGAACCATGACGAGAGCGTTTGGACGCCCGAGACTCTGACTCCGAGTCGGAGAGGTACTCCTCAATCCGAGCGGAATTGTCAACGACCTCAGACAATGTCGTGAGACGCTGTGAGGTGCCAGAGATGTCGATGTCTTTGGCGAGCTCGAGGGCACTCTTGAGCCACCGGTGAGCATTCTTGCTGTGGCCGGTTTTGGCGGGACGGGTGGTGACGGTGTGAGACTTGCTGCCCGAAGGCGCTATCTCGACGACTTTGGAGGTGGTAGGACCTGCTATCGACGCCTGCGAGGCGAGATGCGCATGGTCCGTATGATCTCCTTGGTTGGCGCGGGACTTAACTTGCTTGCCGCTGCGTTTACCACGCTGCTTGCCTTTGCCCTTGCCTTGACCTTCCTTCGCACCGCCGCTGCTGCTGCCATCCTGGCGCTGCTGCTGCTGGTTGAAGTTTGGTTCGCCGTGCTTACGCTTAACGGCTGAGATCTTCTTCGCGCTCTGCGAAGATGACGCCTGCTTGCCGCCTTGCTCGTAGGCAATGACGACAGACTCCCGGACGTAGTCGATCTTCATCTCTGTAAGCTCTTTGGCTTGGAGGATCGTGGTGATGACAGTGTCGTACCGGGAGGGCAGCGCATTGAGCGCTATCATCGCCCGCAGTGGAGCGGGGATGTCGATCCCTTCGCCCGCAAGCTTGTCAAACGCAGCTGCGATGTTAGCGAACGTCGGGTTCGGGTGCTCGTTCGGAGGGATCCGAGCATTGATCGCTGTCCTAAACTCCTTGTAAACACCGGCGGGGGTCTGCTTGTCATAGAGCGCCTTCAGCTCGTCCCAGAGGGCCTTGCTGGTCGTCTTGTTCTTGACAGCCGCCTTGACGGACGACGTCAGCCGAAGATGGATCGACCCCTGTGCCTTTTGATCGCGCTGCAGCCACTCGTAGTAGACTGAGGGATTCTCTGTGTCCAGAGTAGGCTGGGGCCAGGTCGAATTGACAATGATCCAGACCTCCTGCGCCATGAGGAAGGCTGACATGGATTCAGCCCAGGCGCGGTAGTTGGAGCCATCGAGGATGGGGACAGCGGTGAAGAGGGTGTTGGAGGCCATTGGTAGAGGGTTTGAAGTGATAAACTCGGTAAATGGGGAATACTGACAACAATGTCGTCAGCCCTCTACTCAATGACAAGTGCAGCCTTAGAGGCGCAACCACCGCTATGGTGCATGTGCTGGGGATAGCAGCAACAGAGTTGCGCTAAGACCTGCAGCGATGTACGCGCATAGTCCCCCCCTGGCTTCAAGCCACTAAGGCAAAGCCACAGGTAAGCTGGTGCGCACACTGAGACGCAGCCAGTGAGGCGCAGTACTCAGGCAGTGACCAGGGCTCATAACCTGTTGAGCAGGCAGCTCCGCGCAGTGGTGCGCCCTCACAACTTACCTGCAAGGTTGCTGATGCTTGATGCACACGCAAGTACTTCAACTGAAGGTACTGGGGATTGAGCTACGCTACTGGGGTCCTTATATACATGAGGAGACCGCTTATCTAAGCTACTGTATAGTACGTTCCCACGACATACAAGGTAAGTGGCGTAGCCATGTGATAACACACAGATGACATCATAGATGACATCACGGACCCGGAGCTTCCCATAGAACCGGTCCGGCCTGTGATTGAACCCGGCAGCCCGGTAGGCGCCTTCCTAGTTCAACACATCTCACGTGACGTCGCGTTGGAGATCCTTGCCAGGCGTTTCTCGTATGAGTCTGTTTCATTTTCCTTGACATCGAATTCGTAGGGGTTCTCTCTGGGGTTGTTGAAGAGGGGGATATGGGAGAAGGAGGCGTGCGGTGGCGGGGCGTCGTTGAGTTCGAAGTAGTGGCGTTGGTGTGAGAAGCTCTCTAGACCGTCCAGAGCGGTCCAGGGTATCGGGACGCGCAGGTTGCATGGAAGGGTGGCACCTGAGATTGTGAACGTGACCCAATGGCGTCTAAGGTCGGAGATCGCCGTGAGCTTGCCCACTCCGGTGTTCTCGGAGCCTGTGGACAGTGCAATGTTGGCACCCTTTCTGAGCTGTCCTGTCGGTCTCTCGTCCGCTACCCAGGTAAGTCCTCTGCCTCCTCCGAAAATTGGGTTTACTAAGACTTTAACTTGGATTATGTTTGTTGTTTTGTCAGCGGTAATGGGTAGTTCTGGTAGGGATATGTAGGGATGTGGGCGTCGCGTTTTCTTGGTGGTACGTCGTTTCCTGCTCTGCGGGGGGGTTTCTTGATTGGCGATTACAGGGGTCGGTTGCTGTTTGTCTTTCTTGGCCTCCATAGTGGGTTGGGGGTTGAGGTTGGAGGTTTGAGGTGGTTGACGTACGTCGTTTCTCTTATCGTCGGTCGTATTTATGACTTTTGGTGCGCTGTCCTGAGCCAAAAGTGTTTGGCTCAAGGAACATGCACAGAGAATAGCCTAGACTCAAGCCCCAAGGTTCCTGGATCAGCGAGAGCCCCAGTTTCTAGGAGACGCGGCCACATGGACCCCGATTACCAAGCACTTTAGGTTCGCACCCCAAACTCAAGAACTGACTCATGCTGTACAAATGGCTGACTCACACGGTGCAACGACTGACTCATGCTGTACAAATGGCTGACTCACACGGTGCAACGACTGACTCATGCTGAACAAATGGCTGACTCACACTGTGTTATGGCTGACTCATGCTGTGAAACAGATGACTCATGCTGTGAAATGGATGACTCAAGCTGTGCAGATGGATGACTCAGGCTATGTATCCTTGGATGACTCAGGCTGTGTATTGGATGACTAAGGGTTTGTCAGCTCATGTAATTAGTATTAGATCAGCCTGTTCCCCATGTATATAAGGACTCACGGCGCAGGGAGCAGGCAAGCAAGTACGTAGGAGAGCAATCCCCCCGGCAACTCGTGCCCCCTTATTGCCCACCTCACTGAGTAGTTCGCAAGCTGCTCCCTAGCCAAGCAATTTAGTATCGGTAGCCCAAAGTCAACGTGTGACTGTAAGCTTCTGCTAAGTGCTACACTAGTGCTCTTGTTTGGGTAAGCTGTGATCCATAACCAGCAACTTCATTCTCGTCTAGCCACGCTCGTCTCTCAAGTCCAAGATCAGCCTCACGTCAAGAATACTCGCCACGCTCGCCTATTGTCCCAAGATCATTTGAGCAGTCAACCTGCTTGTAGTAAGTACTAACTGTGCCTACTGATCTATCTTTGCAGAACACTATAGTATCTCTTGTGTGTTTCCCCTCCACAACGAACAACTGTGATAGCCCGGTATTACTGCCATACCCGGTGAACCGCAGCAGAAACCATTTCTGACCTGACAGCGCGCTTTAGAGGGATTCGCATGCTTTGGCATACGTCTGCACACACTCCTTGGAACATTCACACTATTCGCTTTCGTTTGTTTTGGCTGCCAGCAGCCTCTCCACCTGTGGCAGCAGGGGAGACATAGTTTGTTCTTTTGGGGGTATACACATGGCCGTTTCCGGCGAGAGGCGTGATTATTCGGGTTGCGATATGAGTCAGGCCAAGGGGTCACCTGATTAGCTGAGTCGACGTATCGATTTATCTTGTGAGCTGGCTTGTGGTTAGCCCAGGGCCAGTTGTCGGTGATTACGATCGTCGATCTTGTCACGGGTGGACGGGAGTTTCCGTGGACTATGTAGTTCCTGGGTGGGGCTTGAACTCTAACTCTAAAAGATTAGGCGCTGGTACATTGGGCGGGGGGTAGGGGCTCGTAGGGTTGAGGTACAGGGGCAGATGTATTATGTCTCGACGCTCTCTGGGAGGCGTTTTCGGCGTATAGGTCGCTCGTTATACGATTGGAGGTTACTCCTTCCCTTTCGGGGTTGGGCAAGCTTTGAGGAGCTCTCGTTTAAGGCCCAGGATTTGACCGCGGGGTCGTTTATCCTCTGTTTTGTTCTTTGTTCTTTTATTCGCGCAAGTTGGTTTCATCCCGGAGGACTACTCACACCCCGGACCACGAGAAGGTCTGCGCTGGACTCGTCTGTTACGACGAGCCCTCCCGGGGCTGGCAATGGACATTGGAGACGCGGTTGGAGTCCACGTCACCGATCGCCAGTGCAGCCACCAGGCAGTCTTGGAGAGGACGGTCACATCACCCCGCCTCCTCGTGTAGTATCTTCGACTAATTCATTCATTTCTTCCTCACGCTTGACAGACTTTCCCGCTGCCCAGCCGAGATCATGTATTGCATCATGCGACGTATATAAGCAGGTCCCCACGCGCTCGGAACGTTGTCTCTCCGACCACCTCACCGTCCACGAACCTACTGACACTTTCCTACGTTCCTACGGATCAATCCGTTCTCCACGATAGTCGACATGCTCTTCACTCAGTCTTTGCTATATCTCATCGCTCTTGCTCTAGTAAGTAGCGTAGGTCATGCTGTGCCTCAAGCAGAGAGCAGCAGTACCGTGCCCAGCAGCAGTGACGTCTCACCTTCGCTGTCTGTCACACCCTCCAACCCACTCAGTGGTCTACCGACGTTCAGCCTGAGCACCAGCCTTATTCCAACTGCTAGTCTGTGAGTAAATTATACTTGAAATCGCGCATGTGCGATATCTGACTCAACCAGGTCATCGACGACGGAGTAAGTCACTTTGTCCATACCACTTGATACCCTTGATGTAACCTTCTTTTTCATGACCAGGAGTACGGAGTCATTCCCAAGCAGCTCGAGGTGAGCCAACAGCACTCTTCTCGGTCTCATGCGATAGCAACATGCATTGCTAACATCCATCTTGCAGCTCGGACTTCTCCACGTCGGTGTCTACGGTCCCAGCCTCCTCCTCCACATTCAGCGGGACGTCTGGCGAGACCACCCGCTCGGGCTCGGGATCCGTAGTCAGCGTGACATCCACCTCCACATCGACGTCGACGTCGACGCCGCATTCTTCTAGCTCCTCGACTCGTTCCACGTCGGCCGCTCCTACTACGTCCAGCGGTGCGGCGATGGGGTTGCAGGCAGAGCTGTGGAAAATGGCGCTTGGCGTCGGCGCTGGTGCACTTGCACTCTTCATTTGAATGTGAAGCTCGGGGGGAAGATAGCTGGGAGAATTGTGTGCGGTGGCGCGAATGGACAGAACATCGGATTGCAGTATGTATCACTGTAATATGTGCTGCTGTAATGGATTGGATCCTTGAACTCGTTTGGTTTTGATCTGCCAATGGTCTGATCCAAGCCCGCCCTGCAAACCTATACAAATGCACTCATTTGGTACGGTTCGAAGTTTTCCGACGCTCAGTGGCTCAGTGACGTCACGACATGCGCGCGACTAACACTAGTGGTTGTTCACTTCCTCTTTCCTGTCATCCCACTATTTATCCAGGATCCGTAGACTTGATATCGTAACTCTTGATGCATATGCATGGTACGTACAATAGTGCGTTTGGCGGTATCATCGGGCGTGGGATCCTCGTCAGCCTCCTTCCGGCGAAAAGTGGATGTTAGTATGTTATTACCACTACCACATACCATCTCGGCGCTGGGCCCGATCGACATCGCACATGCATGACTATGTACTTACATGCGAACGTTGACTTCAAGCTTCCGAGTCACGGCTAGTGCTCCGCAAATCAAGCACAGCCTCTTCTACACCAACAGATGTGTATAGTACAAACCCGCCACACCTTGGAGCCCGTTCGAAAAACTATACGCTTTACACCGCTTCAGGCAACTTCGATGAGCATCGGTACCGCAGAACACAGCCATCATGCTCAGTTACAGCCTCGCCGACCCCCGCTCCTAATACCCCAGCATCGCACCCTCTCAAGCTGTGCAATCGCGCTTTCGACATCGCTATACATCGCGGCATGACTGTCTGAACCCGAAAGCGTCCACATGCAGGCCAAAGCGATAAGCTCGAAAGCTGTGCAGGTGGGCGTGAGTTCGCGCGCTAGCGCCCACGCCCACTGCAGTTAAGAGTCCAGAAGGTGTCATCTGAACAGTCCACTCTGGCCTTGGTGGGACGGTATATATATGCTGGTGGATGTGTGTCCTGGGGAATTCGCCCCTCTGCTCCGCCCACCCCTCTGCAGTCCAAGGACAAGCAGAGAGCTCTCGATGTTCGCCACGCGTATCCTGTTCTACTACATCCTCGCCCTCGCGGGCATCGTCGCGGTTTGTGCGTCCCCATTGGTTGCACCACAACCACAGCTTGAATTCGAGCGGCGCGCCACATACGCGTCGACAGGACACACGTGAGTGTACATGTAACCTTTTATCACGTACCTGCATACCATCTCACCTCCACATTGACACCCGCACTACAGGACCGCCGCAAGCGTCACCCACGCAACCAGCGTGCACTCCACAGGTACTGCCCACACGGGAACAGGGACATCCCACTCGACCAGCTTCGCGGGAACGCGGACAGGGACAGCACTGTCTTCTACTAGTACCACAGCGTCTGTCAGCACCTCCTACTCGCTATCGCTGTCCACGTCAACAATCAGGGCAATATCGACTGGTGCCCATACCACCGCGACCGTGACGAGGTACTCGGTCGCCACACGGACGATCGCCGTACCGGTACGACCCTCGAGGGCAGCTGCCGTTGGGTTGCACGCAGAGCACTGGAGGATAGCCGTTGGCGTAGGTGCTGGTGCACTGGCTCTCCTCCTCTGACGGTAGTAAGCAGACGGTCAGCCTGGGGGGCAAGTTTGGAGGGGCGAGCGGATTATGATATACCGGTATACACGAATTACACGACAAGGTGACGATGAAGAGCTTACTATATACCCAATAAGCGAGGCCTATCAGTACCACTAATAGTTGACCCTCAGCGGGGTCGACTGTATCTGCGTGAGGAGCATAATGTCCGGCAAGGTGAACCAGCGTCTAGTGGATCTTGGTGCACGATGGGGATTACTGTTGCTGATTGTCGTCGAGCGTTTGTTGGCCTGCTTGGGGGCGATTGTCCTTGTTCATACCAAAGAGCTTCACGCAGGATCTCGTAAGCGCGTAAACCAAAACTCGTAGGCTAGAGAAACGCACAGCTTTCAGCTCCTTCACGCTGAGCTTGTGGAGCTTCACTCCGCTTCCTTCGCCCAGTGCAGCTTCGGCGAGACCTGGAGACGGATGTCAGTATGTTCCTCCATAATGATGAGACGTATCGACACTCACCGGTCTTAGTGTCCTGCAATCGCAGCATCCTGAGGAAAGACGCAGATTAAGCAAATGTCACCTTTGAATTGGCGAAGTGACATTGCTTACCGCTCTTCGATGGTATTCTTCACGATAAGCCGCTTAATGAATACCTCTTTCTCCTGGCCAAGACGATGCACACGGTCGTACGCCTGCGACTCCGACGCATAGTTCCACGACAGGTCCATACTTCAAGTGTCCCATCAGACTCACAAATGCAAAGTAGTGGCCTTCGCGAAACTTACTTGATGATACGGTTGGCAGATACGAGGTTCAGACCCACGCCACCGCACTTGATGCTGCAGACGATTGCGTGAGCAAGAGCCTGCCTCAAAATACTTACGAAGCATACCTGATGAGGATGACCTTTGGCCCGCCCCGCTGCCTGAACTCAGACAGAACAAGCTCTCGCGCGTCACGCGACATCTTCCCGTCATAGCGCAGGCTGCGAATACCATACCGTTGAAAGAGTGTCTCGATGAGGTCAAGCATCGACGTCCCTGGGCAAAAAGGTTAGGTGGGCATGGATCCATCCACACGAAACTCACATTGCGAGTAGACAATCGTCTTGTCTCCTGTAACTTCCCACTCCTGCAGATGATTGATCAAGGCCATCATCTTCGTGCTGGGCTCCAGGTTATCGTCGCCTCGCCTCCACGTATTCACCATGTATGCCGGCACCTGCCGCGGACCATCGTCATCACTGTCGTCGTCAGCGGGAGCCTTGCTCTTCTGGACCCGCTTTCCGCGGATCTTATCCATGGTATTGTGCAGGTCATTATCCTGTAGGCGCATGTATCAGCATCATAGCGAACCAGCAGACTCGAGACAAACCTCATCCATCGGAGAATCATCGTCGTCTGACATGACTGTCCTGCCCTTGACCTTCGCCTTGCTCTCCTTCTTCTTCTCCGAGCTGGACTGAGATGAAGACGCAGCGCCAGCGAGCAACTCCGATAGGTCGGGCATGTCTTCGTCGGAGCTTGAGCTCATTTCCAGGTCACTGTCGATGATGATGGGCTCTTTCTTGACAACTCGGGACATCGGCTGGGAGACTGCCCGACGTGCAGCCCGAGAGCGGCGATTCGCCGCACGTACATCGTCTCGTAGAGGTTCAAAGGCCTGCGACAGGAAGACGTGTGCCGGACTGAGGTCCTGCATCTTCTTACAGGTGGGGCCTGTAACGAAGTTGAGACCATGAAGGTGAAGCATGCGACGATGACGTACAAGGACGCAAGCCCTTCAGGGCGGCCGCTTCGAACTCTTTCTCTACGCGCATGTTCTCCTTCTCGTCACCGTTGCCACTGCACCAAGATAAGTGTGATTCCATACAGACAGAGGCTCGACGTACAACTCCTCATTCACCTCCATGCGCTCGGTACGCAGAGCCAGAAGACAATCTGGAAGTCAGACAAGTTGAGATGCAGACTATCCAGATTTTGCGGAAACCTTACCGTTGCACAATTCATGGCCACAAGCGAGCAGTCTTCCACTGCCCTCCATGAAAACTGCACACACTTCAGCCACGCAAGCGAAGACAATGAAAAACGCTCCTTACAGTCTCCGCATCTCGGACAAGTCGCTTCCTCGTCTTGCTCCATGTCGTCCGAGAAGTCAAGCTGGGCCATTCGCGCACGAGCCATGAATCTGTCATGATTGAGAATACGTCCTCTTTAGTGAATGATCTAACAGCATACCTCTTCTTCACCTAGATGACATAATGACACCTATGAGCAACATGCACCGATCATTGCTATATGGACAGACCAACCTGAGTCACCCACTCGGGACCCATGAGCTTGCTGGCACGTGCGACCTCCTTCTCGGCATCGCTGGCAACAAGCATAGTAGGGTCCTCGAACCCTTGCGCTTGTTCCTAAACACTTCATCAGCGGCAGTTGACTTTTCGAGATAAAGCGGGTACCGACGAGGATGAGATGCGGATGACACGATAGCTGTCGAAGACGGAGTATCATGACCTATTGAAGTCATGTCGTGAATAGCAACACAAGTGGGAGTATTTCAGTCCTGAGCACTCACAAGAACGACGGAAGTACTTGAATGTCATCTCGTCAGCACATGATCTCAGCATGTGAAGCTCTTTCACTCACTTCTTGAGAAGACTGCCGTCTCTGAGGAACCGATTAATCTGCGTTTGCGCACGTCCCTCGAAGGAGTCGTATAACTACGTAGGTCATAAGCCTTCATCCCATTCTATCACGACGCGAAAATATACATACCTGCCTCTCCTCATCAGAGAATTCGAGATATTCGAGTTCGATATGCTTCTCGGGCAGTTGCAAAAGTGGTTCTCCTTCCTGGTAAACCATACGGCTTTCTGAGCACAAGTCTAGAGATGCATTTGACCACGCACAATCTCAGCGTCTTTAGTGCGGCGGAGCAAGAGAGGCTTGAGGATCTCCTGTGCTCGCAACCCTGTTGAAGGCCGACTTTGATGAGCAATTGACACTCTAAGCAGGGTGGAAGACACATACCTGCGAGTGGTGCATCACGAAGCTGTTCCTTGGCGATGTACTCATTGAAGTCCTTCCAGACACTAAACAAGGGGTGAGTTCACGATGTACCACATCAGCGCCGCATGCACGCACTTCCAAGGGCGAAATCGTCCGAAGCGAAGAAACCCGTATATATCCGCCCTATATCCACCTTCCTTGAGTTCAGCATGAGACATCAGTCGACATATGCTTACAGCGTATTAGTGACAGGTGTGCCGGTAAGACACCATCTATACTTGGCGCGGAGCATCGCTACTGCCTTGCTTGATCTCGTCCGTCTGCATCGCAAGTGTTAGCACAGCACTCAAAATACTCTTGACATGAGTGACGCACCTGTTACGGATGAACTGTGATTCGTCGGCGATCACTCGATACCACTTCATCTGCGACAGCAGTCCGCTACGAAACCGAGAGAAGGGACTAAGTTCAGACGATAGAGATCGAAAACGCGATTCACATACCCGTTATCCATCAGATACTCCATCTCGTCCTCACTCTCGATGCCGGAAGGGATCGTGAAGTCTCCACAGAGGGTGTGGTACGTGGTGATGATGACGTCTTTCTTCGAGAGCGCAGATACACTCTTCAGCTTGTCCTTGCCGTGATGTATGTGCACCGAGAAAATCCCATTTGTCTTGGTCAGGAGTTCATCTTTCCACTGCTGTAGCAGCGCTGCTGGGACCACAACGAGTGTTGTGCGATGCTTGTCCTCAGGTTCCGGAAGGTTGATGGCCATGGTAGCGATCATCTGTACAGTCTTGCCGAGACCCATTTCGTCGCTATGCTCACCAATGAGTATAAATGATGGATCAAGATAGCATGGAAGACGTACGCCAGGATGCCCCCTTTGTGCGGGCTTACACGTTCTTGATTCATCATCCTACGAAATATGAGTAACGTACTATATCGCGGACAAAACACATACCAAGCCACACCCAAGATCTGGTGCGGGAGCAAGCGAACCTCCATACCTGGGAGCAAGTCTCGCTTACTGGACGAACGTTAGCATCCCTGCTGATATCTACTCTGGTGGGACGCACTTGCGGAGTCCAAGCTTCTCCATCGCGGCCTTCACACTGACTCCATTTGCCGAATTGTCGATGGACCGTGTTACGAACTCCGCTAGTCTAAGTGACTATCAGTGCCACATAAGTACGAAGGCTTAAACGATGTGACAAACCTCATCTGCTGGTCTTCGCCTCCCAGGTCCAAAGGCAAAAGCCCGCCCTCCTGGTCGTAGTTCAGACGAAAGCCCCCTTGAGACGCGCCAACCAACATGGTCATCTGTGTGACGGAAGCTAGAATGTACGTGTTCAGATCGAATGCGTTCAAGCTCCAAATCGTGACAAGCTCACTCTCGACGCCACTCGGCGTGTTCTCCCTCTCATATCCCGGCCTCCTGGTCCTCTTCTGCGATCCACTTCCAGACGCGCCGGGGGTATCGAACGGTCTCTTCGTGCCTGAAAGAAGCGGTGTTGCTGGGGGAAGTGATGCTGCCGCAGGAGCCTGACTCGCGAAGAAACCTGGATTGTCAAGTGCAGCTAGCACTCGCGACGCGCGTACCGGCTTCTTCGGGGTCTGCTCCTGTCCCGCAACGCCCATTGTACAACGTCGGCCGTGATGGTGGAAGGAGAAAAGTGATTTGAGCGCAGTCGCGTCTGTGGCGTCAATATGGGCGCCTGCACGCGACGCGACCGGTCGCGAAGCGGCGGTGGCCCGAAGTGGCACTGCAAGCTCGGGTAGCTATAGCTCACGAGCATACGTCTATCGTGACGATGACGTCTTCATCGCGCACAGTATGCACTGGCCAGCAGATATAGCGTCTTCGTCAATAGTCAATAGGAATATATATCTTTAGCGACCACGATGGTGGACCACAGAATACAAACCGAAGACCGAGGGACAATGCTGGAGACTGCCCTAGTGTCTGCGACAAAGGCTGAACGTCCAGTACATATCACAGAAAGCTAAGCGTATGTTGGGTATATGTGTCAGGCTGATCGCCTAAACATTACTCGGAACAATCTGCGGAAGACACCACCCGACTGTGTACTGGCTTCAGCCTGCGTAGTGCCCTCTGTTTTATCCATACTATCCTTGGTCTTGACAAGTACTGGCTTTGACGTATCCCCGGAAGCGTATCGCTTCTTGTAGTCAGCGGCAGACTCGCGCTTGAGGCCGTACTTCCAGATTCCACGCTTCGCAGTCCTACGATCGGCGGTGAGGACACGCCGCAAGTTTATCAAGATGAGCGACTTACTGCGCCTCGCCCTGGACTCGCAAGAATTCGTCCACACCCAGCTGCCCGTGCTCTGCGCCAGACTGCTCGTATACCTCGGCCCAACCGTGCTGAAGCATCTCGATTGGGACTGACTTCCCGGTCGCTAGAGAGCCCGGGAGGATGCGGGGCTTCCAATGCACGTGTGCTACCTGCAGGTTGGCATGTCCCGGAGTCAGTTTAATCCCGATCTCAGTCTGTGACACCAAAGTCAACTCACAATACGTCCGTACTGATCCTTCCGGCATAGCTGACAGTACACAAACCGCCCCTCGATATAATACTTCAGCCATGCCAGGCTCTCTTGCGCGAACTCTTGAGCCGGCTTGCCAAAATGGGCAGCCTACAGCCCTTCGTCACCCCGAGTACCTAGGTCCAGAGGCTCTCATCGAACACGCACCTCAGGGGCATCAACGCCCGCTAACCGTATATGTATCGTCTGGTCCTTCAAATCTGCCATACACCGTTACATTCGGACTTCAAGGGAGCGTGTCCGTTCCTTTTCACCTCCTCGTGTTGTCGGTATGGTCCTAAACTTCAGTGGCCATCGCCAACCAATGCCAGGCGTGTGATACAAGCGGAAATTATCCGCATCACCTACGCTAGACCGCGCTAGCAATGAGCACAATTTGCATTACTTGTGATAGGTCAGACCATAGCGTTGGGCTCCGCACTGGGAGTGCCCGCCGGAGCGGAGAAGGAAACTCCATTGAGTCGCAGTGCACGTACTAGCGTCGCACATAAGTGATATGTAGCACCCTCCGAACGTTCGTTTTCAACCATCCATGCGCTGTGCCGCTCCACCCAGGCTACTACGGCCGAAGTCGCGCCTGCCTGGCTTGTCCTGCACGGTCCCGACGAGCTCCGCCTATGTGCGTTCCCGGAGCCCAACGAAAGTACCAAAGTAAAAGGAAGTTACAGATTCGGTGCTGACCTTGTTACATATCCCTTGATCCAACGGCCCTTCACCAGAATCTCCGGCGTGATCCAGTCCGCGGTGGGCAGCCTCCGCCAGTATCTTCTGTATACACCTATGGTTCCTGCGGCGCTAGCTGATCCGGCCAGAAACGCGGCGAGAAGGAGTACATCGACTGGAAGGGAGAGCGTCTTCGCCTTCAGCTCTCGGATCAAAGCAGCTGTATCGTCCAGCTTGGAGTCAATCTCAACGAGCTTCGTCCTGCGCTTGTCGGGAGAAGGTGCCGTCTGTTGCGGACTCCATGGCCAAACCATTTGCAGCAGATTTGTCAATGTCTGCGCGACAGACGGTTCACGACAGACGGTCAGATGGTGGTTGGCGAGAGAGCAATGGCTTCTGAGCCTCAAGGCTCCCAACGCGGTCACCGTGAGGGTTGGAGGCGCGATCTACCACGTGAGCCTTCCCGAGATAAGATAAAAGGCCTAAGCACAGTAAGCGAGAATTATCAGATAATTCACCCCGACAGAGATGGGCCGAGTGTGGTCAGCCATGTCTTTCTCTGCGCCCGTCGCTGAGGACGGGCACGAACGTTCGGTGACAGTTCTCTATGCCACGGAGACAGGGACAGCGCAAGAGGTCGCCGACAGGATCGCTGCCCAATGTCGTCGCATCCATGTACGAGCTCGGGTGCACGACCTAGAGACATATCCACCGGTGAGTGCACCTCCGAGATCAATACTGTCAAATTCGCCTAATTAAACACGGCAAAAATCCAGGAGAACCTCATCTCTGAGGACGTCGTCATCTTCTCTATTGCGACGACAGGATCAGGTCGGGAGCCGCGAGCTATGACACCCCTTTGGAACTTGCTGCTTCGGTCAGATCTGCCGCAAGATCTCTTCGAGGACCTCTCGTTTGCCGTGTTTGGCTTGGGCGACTCTGCATACGAGAAATTCTGCTGGCCTGCCAAATTGTTGTCTCGGAGGCTCGTCAGCCTCAGTGCAACCGAAGTATGTGCGCGCGGTGAGGGTGATGACCAGCATCATCTTGGGTCCGTCTACATTCGCGCTTTATAAGGGGTATGTTGGTGACTGACGTGCATGCTCAGGATAGATGGGGCATTTGAGCCGTGGCTTCGGAAGTTGAGCGAGGCACTGCTTGAGTTCTATCCTTTGCCGCCAGGTTTGGAAGTTCAAACTGCGGACAGTTTACCCCTTCCCCGAGTATCCATACTAGATGCGGATGCGTCGACTCCCGCCCCTTGTCGAACTCCCCTCGATGATGATCCACAGCACTACACTGCGACCGTCTCATGCAATCGCCGCATAACAGCTGAGGATTGGTATCAAGACGTTCGACATTTTGAGTTAGACTTCGATGAAGATGTCCGGTAGGTTGTGCGTCTCGACGTTCCGTGACCATGGCTGATGCGACGCGTTGAGGTATGAGCCGGGCGATATAGCAGTTGTCCATCCTGAGGCCCATCCAGCGGATGTAGATGCTTTCCTCGTGTCTGCCGGATTTGACAAGGCAGCCGATGACCCTATCACTCTAGTACATACCTTGCAAGGTGACTTTCCAGACCTATGTGCTCAGCCGTGACCCAATTGACGAACATCGCTAGATCAATCTCTGCCCCTATTCCTTCCCACCACGACCACTCTGCGAACACTCTTCACAAAGCACTTAGACATTAGCGCAGTCCCTCGTAGATCCTTTTTTGCATTGCTTAGACATTTCGTGTCCGATGAGCTTGAGGGAGAGAAACTAGATGAATTCCTCAGTGAGGAAGGCGCGGTATGTCGTCCGTCTCCTGTAATATGCCTCATCGATGACTGAATGGCTTGACGGGATCCACAGGACGAGCTCTATGAATATTGTCAACGGCCACGACGGATGATCCGTGAAGTTCTTGAGGAGTTCAGATCGGCACGTATTCCTCGTGAATACGTGTTCGACCTGTTCCCTCCTCTGCGACCTCGCCACTTCTCCATCGCGAGTTCCGTCAAGGTGTGTGAGATGCCAATCTTCGTCACTTTTCATAGTTGATACGATATCGTCATAGCGCCATCCACGGCAGGTCCATCTATGCGTCGCGATGGTCCAATACAAGACCATGCTTCGAATACCGCGCAGGGGACTTTGTACTGATTATATGTCGCGGTTACAACCAGGTGAGTGTATCCGCGTATAAGTATCCTGTCGCATGCAAGGGATGGCTGATGTATTCATTCAGGCGATAAGCTTCCCATCGGTCTTATTAAAGGTCTCTTCAGCCTTCCCGAAGACGGTGCGACACCGATCATTTGCGTCGGACCAGGCACAGGGGTCGCACCGATGCGTTCCATCATCGAAGACAGAACATATGATGGCTCTTGTGGTACGTCTTTCGCCGTCGTGCACTTCTATAACGCATTCTGATGGGGAATTTCGCATCAGACAATACCTTGTACTTTGGCTGTCGGTGCGAGTTGAAGGACCAGCACTACGCCGCCGAGTGGCGTGCCTACGCAGAGAGCGGCTCTCTGACATACCGTACGGCATTCTCGCAGGACGTCCCGGAAGGTACCCCACGGCGATACGTCCAGGACGTGATGCATGAAGACTTGCGGAGGATATGGAGACTGCTCGGTGTAGACGGTGGTTGGCTTTTCATTTCGGGGTAATTCGAGCGTGCTCTCTCCCGCCTCCGTTTGCGATCTGACGAGGTGTGAATATCGGCAGATCTGCGAACAAGATGCCTGCGGCTGTGCGCCAAGCCATATGCGACGCGGCGAGGCAGGAAGGGGCGAAGACGGAGGAGGAGGCGAACGAGTTCCTTGCACAATTAGAGAGAGAAGGAAGGCTGATCGAAGAGTGTTGGAGCTGAGCCTCCCTTGGAGCATTCACCATCATCGCTCGACCCGTAGTGGTAGGCGCCATAATTGTCCTCGTCTTCTGTACTGCGCTCCGAATCCGAGTCGTGGACTTGCTTATCTGCCTCGTTCAATGGTTGGACCTCTGGGAGAAGTGGATGCGAGGCGGCGGCGTGACACAACCCGACCGAGGTTCCAGTTGGAGGGCGTTCGTAAATATAGGCTGAAAGCAGCGAGGTGACTAGGGCTCTTGCAACGAAATCGAGCGTCGAGCATAGTTGTGCAGGTTTGTACAGGCATGAAGTCGCTCGAGTGGTTGAGAGCGACAAGGGGGGATTGCGATGCAGCCGACGCGGTGCAGGCTCGCCTTTTATGTCCAGAGGATGCGGACAGATGTGGAGCATATACGTACGCTGGGGAGAGAGTACGTCAATGACGACAGAAGATCGAACTTGTGACAGGAAAGGCAAGCGAGCTACCAAAAGGGGAAGGTATCATAGGGCCGAATCGAGTGCACCCACCCTGATGACGACGATTGTTGCTTCCTTGCGGTCAACGTTCGGCTGGCGATCTGGTATGTTCGTGTGCAGCTATAGGTGGTCGTCCACCATGCCGCCCTAGCGGGAGTTGGTACAACATGACTACGTCGTGCACAAACCGGGCTTGCCGTTTTCAGAAGGCATTACTCCCCGAGCTCGCCTCGGTACACCAGCGGTACACCGTTCACACCAGATGGAGAAGATATTGAAAGCGATACAAGCGTTATACATCCACGCACTCTTCCTGATACCAACATAACACTCTAGAACAAACCCAACAAATCCTCCTGACCCGACTGCTGCATCGGTGGCGACGCCGCTTGGAGGACCGACGGTGTCTGCGGGGGCATCGGCGACGGCGCGCCTCCCATACTAAAGCCGAAGCCTCCAAGCGGCGCCGCACTCTGCGGCTGCACGCTGGGCGCGCTGAGGCTCGCGTTCCCGAATATTGACACGAGGTCGTCGAGCGGATTGCTTGACGTGCCCGACAGGAGGTTCGCCGCGGCGGGTGTCGATGTGAGCATTGTCGTAGCGGCGAGCCCAGAGGGCTGCTGCCCGTCGTCGGCACCATCGTCCGCGAAGTCGAGCAGGTTCTCGGCTTGCTGGCCGATGGCGACGGTTTGGAGTGCTTTTTGGGCTGCGGCACGGTCGTCTGCGAGACTGTCGTTGGGGTGAGTAATATGCTGGAACACGGGGCATAGATACAACATACTCGGCGCTCTTCCGTTGTACGGTGTCGATACCGATACGTCCTTGCCCGACGAAGGTCTCTTCTGGCTTGTGGTATACACTCGCAAGGCTGGAGACCTCGCCCAGCAACTCCTCCAGCAGTTGTGGCGACACCGTCGTTCTTGGCAGCGAGATTGGAGGTCGGTGTGCGAGGACCACGGCCTAGCGATCGAACGTTAGCGACATCAGCGCACATCACCCTTCGCTACCCACCTTCGCTGCACCTGGATCTGTGGACAGTAACCGCCAGTAGATGTATGCACGATCGCGGACATCAGGCGAGTCGCAGTCCTTCGTGGCAGTGTTTAGCACACGCTGCACAAGCCCTTGTGACCCGTCGGGTTTCTGCAGGAACAGCTTCACGACCGCTGTCAGTGTCTGCAATTGTACCTGCAGGCGGCGACGTCAGCGTGATAGAGTAGAGCGATCAAACAAGACGCATACAGGGTAAGATTCTTCTGTGAACGTGTCGACGAAGATGCCGAGGAGCTCGTCTGCGTTGTCGATCTTGTTGGCGTACTCGCCGATGATCCAAATAAGGGATGCCTTCGCTTCTGGCTCGTCCAGTTCGTCCAGATTGGCGCATAGTGTGGGTATGACACCCTCGTACGTCGAGGGGTATTTTCGGAAGATGTCCTGTGCCATCGAGGTTCAACGCAAAAGCATAGTTCGACATACATTCCATTTCACCTTCATGACGACAACCGCCTCTTGAACGACGTAGCTGACGCGCGTGCCGATGAGCTCCAGCAAGACGTTCACACACCGCTCTGCGGCGGCGTCAATCTTGATCGCGGTCTGACCTATGGCCTTGATACTTCTCCGCACGAAGTCCACGTCCACCTCCGAAGCGTACCTGTCACGAATGAGGGCGTGCTAACCTGTGCCAACACAACCCGACTCACTCCTTCAGCTCACTAAGAAGCGCGTCGACATTGCTGTCGCCCGCGAGGCGCACCATGATGTCGAGCTTCTCTACCTTGACATACAGCGGGTCGTTGTACTTGCAGAAGAACACGCGCATCTCGTTCTGAAGGAGGTCGGGCCGCTTCTGCAGGAGGAGGTTGATATTCCGGAGCGCAACCCATTGGACCTCTGGGGGATTGGAGAGGAGCGTCACGAGTGGCGGAGCCATCTTGCGGATCATCTGCTTGTTGAGGTTTTCTGACTTCACATGGCGCATGTGAATCATGATGACCTGGTACAGAAAGTCAACAATGATACTGCTGCTATGTGGGTGTTCCACACCTTGACAGCTGCGAGGACGACGCTGCCGTTCGCGTGCTGGAATTGCGGCACGACACGCTCACAGATGTGCTCGCCTTCTCGCTCGTCTGTAGTCTCGTAGCGGGACAGAGCGTTCAGGATCCCCACGCGGCCCCATTCCGAGCACTCATTCAACGCGACGAGAAGTTTGTTCAAGATGGTGGATGTGATGTGGAAGGTTTCACTGGACGAACCAGCTGCGACCGCGGCCGCATGGATGTCTGACAATGCCGCGACGGTATTCGCGACAACCTGCAAACACTGAGTTGGGCGCCCAGTAGAGAATGCAATGCAGACGCACCATAGGATTGCTATCCCCGATCATGTCCTGCAAGGTCTCCAAGAACCCGTTCTCAATCACTAGCTCCGGCTTGAGATCGTACAATTTCGCGACACAGAGCGCGGCCGTCTTGCGCACATATGGGTTGTCGTCGCGGAGGCACTTCGTGAGCGGGTCGCAGATGTAGTCCAGAATCTTCTCCGCGCGCAGCATGCCCATCGTCCGGATCGCCAGAGCGCGCACGAGCGGGTTTGGGTCGTCGGTGTCTTTCACAAAGGTGTTCACGGCGAGGATGACAAGCTCCGGCTGCGTCTTTGCGTAGTTCATCAGGTAGAGATATACGAGCTTCTTCTGCTCGAGGTCGTCGGTCTGCATGTTCTTGAGGACGTCCGGGAAGAGGCCGCTGACGTCTGTAGGTGCGAGTCGCTTCAGTCGTGCATCGCGTCAGTGCACACGAACGAGACGTACCCTTCTGGACGGTCATGTTAGCAATGACCTTCTTGATGGCATCTTTCCGCTTCTCCCGATACTCACTGTTGAGGTCGGCGCTGAGCTCGTAGTTCTCGCCCTTGCGAGGGGGGGCGCGGAGGCCAGACATGAGACCAAAGTACGAGAGCTCGCTTCAGCGGGAGTCCTTGGCAGATATCAGTGATGGGGGATTTCAGAAAGCAGGCTCCGTTCCCGCACAGAGTAGAGATGGTTGAGACCGTCCGTAGCCTGCTGGTCAGCGTTCGAGAGTCGAGACGACGGCGGGATCTTGAAGCTCGGCCTGTAACGCTTCGGCGCTAAGCATCACTGTAGCGCTGCCAGTGCCAGTGGTGTAGTAACTACTACTTTAGTAAGTAGTAGTAGTACTCGAGTGCCCCTTTCTTTAATATTCTCTCAAATGCTCAGCTATCCATCAAGGGCATCTAAATTATAGAGCGAGAAGGGTCATGCACTTCAACACGTCCGCCATTTTGGCATCCTGCCCGTTGCATGAAACGCTGACCTTCCACTCCGGCCGCTCATGGTACTTGCACTGTGGTACTATCATTCCCCATCCGGACGGTCGCTTTCTTGATTTCAGAACACACTGGCACGGTAAGTTCCGTCGTTGCATAAGGATGTGTGGGGAGAACGCAAGCCTCTTCAGTCAGCAATGTATCGGAGTTCAAGTATGATAGTGCTCAGAGTCGAGAATGGTGAGGCCTTGAGGGTTGACTCATACCACACGCGGACAAGCAGTGGTAGTGTTACACAGCAGCCGTCACCATTGTAGAAACCTGAAGGGAGCGACTCGTTCCACCGTAAGAATTGTTTGCATTGTCACTAAGTTACAAGTGAACCTACGTAGTACCGATTTAAGAGACTCTCAGCCCACAAAATTGAGACAGGTCCAGGCCTGTGATGTTCTCTGAACTTGTCGAGGTGCTATTTGACTCGCGTTCAAATGGAAAAGCAGGTCTCGCTCGAAAGCCTTCGTGAATTGAGATCGCTCTATGATATCATGATAGTTATGTACTCGCCTTTTCTACTGACGAATCGGGACCGGGAGTCGGCTGTCAGATGCTGCCAGTGACGTCGCTGTCTAGCTAAGACATTTCAAATAGTATGTGCTTACTTCAGTCTATTTCAGTATTCTCCTAAGCACACATGCTACTGAGGTTGACCTGTCGTGTTACAGTGTGGAGCTTCAGTACATACGTGCCTTCAATCTTTCACGCTCTTCCAGTTACCAGAGGACTGTCAGCAATTACTGACATAACCGTAGAGTAGATGCTGCATACAGTTCTCGAAAACTGTGTCGATGTCACAAGATTGTGCGACATGTATTGTGAGGAGGGGTGGTATGGGTTAGAAGGGTTTCCGTAAACGGCAAGCCACCTGCCCAGTTTGTGTATGTATGACGTAGTGAATAGTGAATTCGAACGTCATGTAGCTCCCGCTGGGGCGACGTGGTGCGATCTCCGCGCCTCCGCGCCGCTGCACCACATGTGTTCACAAGCGTAATACTCTGCGGGCGCTGGCTTTGACTATAAGTACGGGGCTGCCTCTCGATGTCGTCTTCAAACTACTCTTTCACGACCCTCACGACCAACGCGCTTTCATACTCGCATATCCAACTTTCCAAACCACACAAGCACCATGTCCGCCTACGCTACCCAGCGCCCGCCCGAGCACCACATCCACCGTGACTCTGAGGCCCTGCCCGGAGCTCGCGGCGGTGCAGCCGCTGCCAACTACGCCCCAGACGTAACGAACAACGAGCGGGTCTGGCAGGACAACAACGAGCGCCAGTTCGGCGCAGGCACCGACGACCGTGCTGTCATGGGTGGTGCCCAGCACCAGTCCGCTGCATCGCCCAGCGCTGAGTCGGGCCACACAGCATATAACGAGGACAGACCGCTGAGCGTGCAGCCGACCTCAGCAGGTACGCTGATCAGTATCGCAATCGGCGAACGGCCTGAAACTCATATCTTTCGTTAGGAGGCGTCGCGGTTGATGGCCACAGCGACGTACCGGAGGGGAAGGCCAAATTCACCGACAAGCTGATCGGCAAGACTCAGAAGGTAGGGACACTCATTGCGCACATCTAGAACCATCACTCACCGATAGTCACGCAGGTCGCCGGAAAGGCTACCAAGAACCCCGAGCTCCACGAGAAGGGCGAGCTGCGCGAGGCGGGTGGAAAGGGTGCAGTCACGGGCGAGGCTCGTGCACCCCACGATTGAATCGGTGGACGGTGAATGAAACATGGACGGCAGCTGCACCTCAACCCTGTATAATTACATGTATACCATAATCTCTTCTATACCGTTGAGCATAACACGCGGTACACATGTGAGCTCTTGTTGCTCACCAAGATACATAGTTTCCCGTGGCGACATCGAACTTGAAACGACCGAGATGAGCGCGTAGCGCCGTGGTTGTAAAGCCTGGTTAACTTGCAGCCCAGCGAGGGTGCATAAGCATCTCCAGTAGGACCTTCCGCCAAATAATTGGCTGTATCCTTAACTACGAAAAAGGGAGCAAGAGCACTGAACTTGCACGGCGAGCTAACGGCTGTCCATGTCAGCGCTTCAGCTACGGTGCCGGGTGTACAGAACTTGGCAGCCACCGTTGTGTTTGCTCTGCGCAAATAACGCCTCACACGTGATCGTGGTCGCGCATTCGCGTTGAATGCGTACCGCGCCTCCTTTCCTGCAACCACCATCTCCCCCTGATCCGCCACACCCGCGCGACCCTCGCATTTCCGCGTCCTCGCGTCGTTTGCCTTGCCCACCCCGCGCACGCCCGCCGTGCCCATTCTGGTATCGCCACACTTCTGTTTGCGCGCCTGCGGTACCGCGTTCGCTACATTCGACGCGTCTGAGAAGGCTATATTTAGCGGACACTCGCGTTTTTGAGATATGCCGTCGCCGAAGAAGCCCAAGTCTGCCGGAGGAAAATCGAAGTCTGCGGCGCCGCCGTCGACTGCTGGTGCTGGTGGGGACGCGCCTGCCCAACCCTCGCAGCAGCAGAGGGTGTTGCACACGCGTAGTCAAAAGGCCGGACTGCAGGTTTGTGGTCCCCTGTCCGGTGGAGTGATCAGTCGAGGAAACCATCGTGGCTCATGTTCTGTATCTAGTTCCCTGTTGGTCGTATACACCGTTACCTGAAGCAGCGAACGCAGCACAACGTTCGCATAGGGGCGAAGGCGGCCGTGTACACCTCTGCAATCCTGGAGTACCTAACGGCTGAAGTCTTGGAGCTCGCAGGTATGTGGCGCATCTGCAACCTCGCCTTTGCATTGACTCATGTACACCCCTGATCCCCTTGCACAGGAAATGCCTCCAAGGATTTGCGCGTGAAGCGTATTACCCCTCGCCACCTTCAGCTCGCCATTCGCGGCGACGAAGAGCTTGATATGCTCGTTCGCGCGACCATCGCAGGAGGAGGTGAGTTACTCATTTCTGCTACTACCCTTTATGCCGCTCACCTGCTCCTTCTTTCAGGTGTTCTTCCGTTCATCCACAAGAGCCTGACTGCGGGCAAGCAGAAGAAGGCGGCGGAGGGCGCGCAATAAATCCCCCTGCCTGCCGTTTCGTTCTTGCGCGTTCCCAAGCCACCGTTGAGCGCTGCCGAGTCGATGCTTCATATGCTTTGCTGTGTAGTTGTATCGCTGTATGATTGATGGCTTCGTATGTTTAGTATGAATGATATGCTTATTGCTTGTTCTGGCGTGCTGCTAGCAAGTCCTAGGATGTTGCGGGATGCCTGACCAGCATCCACAACCCGTCTCAACTCAGCTCCTGAGTCAATTTCATGGCTATCCATACGCGTCGAATTTTGACGGCAATCCGCAGATCTTCGGTATGTGAGGTTTCAGTCATTCATGGTGGTGTTGACTCACCAAATCTTTGTTCTCATTAGCATGCCAGGTATCCTCCGCACAAGTAGTCTGATGGTGAACTGAGGGTCTGACAATATCGGGAGGCATATCTTCGTTTCCCTGAAGAATGATAGGTATGACTGCGACTGGTTCATCCGAGTCGTATTGCACAACTTAGTCTGAACTGTTCATAAAGCTGAGACTGTGTTCGGAATCCGATTCACAGACCTCTGCCATGGCGGCAGAGCTATTGTCCATAGAGAAAAGCAAGCAAGACCCGTGTATACTGCCATGACAGCATCCGGCGGTGGCTGAGATACCGAATGATTATCCACGCCCGTAGCGGAGAGTACCATTGCCATTGACCGCCTTCGAGCTTCAAGGACCGCTCTGGTTTGAAAACACTGCTTGCTCACACGAGTGCCTGGGCAACGTCCTTATTGAAGGCCACACCATAGGGGAATTTGTAACGACGGAGTCGCCCAGTAAGCAGGAGGCACGTGATGACCGGTTTGTTCGGAGCAAACATGGCGGTGGCTGAATTTTTCGGTGGGAAATAGAGGCGATCGCTGGAGAAGGCTTGAGCAGCAACGACTTGCATCGCTGTGCTTGCATCGCTGCCCTCTCTGCAGCGTCTCCCTTGCTCTCGACCAGCATCGCTGCCACCATGCTCCCCCGTTCAGCCCGCAAGGTGGAGACGACTTTGCTGTCGTGCTCCCGGCAGAGCCTCCCCCGCCCTGCCCGACTCTACTCGACTCCCTCAAAACGGGCCAGTGCACCCGCCCTTGCGACCGCCTCTGCGCCGTCCGAGGCCTTACCGGCGTTCATGCCCTCTGACACCATCAGCTGGCAGGACGAAATGGAACACTTCCTGCGGCGCCGGACATCGTACACCATCCTCCCCACGCCGCCCGCCAGCGCCAACGCAAGCGACCTCCGTGCTCTGCTCTTCACCGACACTCCCACGCAGAACCTTATCTCGGTCATTGGCGCATGTCTGCACAACTTGTACGACGTACGCCGAGCGCAAGGAATCTTCAACGATCTCCGCAAGTCCGAAAAAAGCGCGCTGCTCGACGTGCGCATGTACAACTCGATGCTGCATGCATACTTGGAGATGGCCCGCGGGAGGGACAGCGAGGACCCGGAGATGTGGCTGGACGAGGCGTGGTCGCTTTTCGGTGCCATGGAAGACGGCAGCTCGCAGGTACACCCGACAGCAAATACATACACTGTCATGCTCCTCGCGTGGTTACGACATGGGCCGGACTCGGCGAAGCCGATACCTTCGCGCGATCAGCGGGACCCCCCACAGTTGCTACGGAGCATGATTGACCACCAAGTAGCGCCGACGATGGTCGTAGCTGACCGCGCGCTCGAGACATCGGAAGAGGCGTCGGAGGTGATCCAGCTGCTGTCGAGGGCCGCGGTGGAGATGGGCCTGTCAAATGTGGTCAGCGAACTTGGTATGGCGGAGTCGCTCGGTCGTCAAGAAGACGATCCTTTGGATAACGTCCCGGAGGCAATGCCAGTTAAGCGTCGGAGAAAAGTGGAACGTATCAGTGTGCTCCACGGAGACGATGGCAGTGTTGTGGGCATGCAGGCGACCGAGGATGTGGGCGAGCCCCAGCCGGACGTGCCGTTCAACCTGGAGACGTTGCGAAAACACCTTGCAAAGGTCGTATTCGCGCGCCGGGCGCTGCCCGACGATGTCGCGGCACGTCAGAAGCTGCTCGAGGAATCGGTCTACGACGTGGCCGTTGAGCGCCTCAAGCACACGACCGATCTGCTCGAGGAGCTTGGGCTCTCGAACAAAGCGCTGAAGACGAACGATTTACAGCAGCTGATGTGGCAATGGCATGCGAAGTTAAAGGAGCGGTTGAAGGCGGAGATCCAAAATGTCGACAAACAGGAGCACAGGCTCAAGAATAATTCCGAAGTCAAGCTCGGTACGTCCGCTAATCAGCTATATGCGTGCCTTATAATTCACGTTACAATTCACGTTACTACAGTTGACAAACGCAGGATGGTCGGCTTGAGCCCGTTCTTGTCTTTGCTGACCCCCGAGAAACTCTCGATGATTGTGATCCTCGAGTTGATGCATATGCAAGGGACGGGCGGTGTGCAGCACGGCATGAAGACGGCCCGAGCCCTGCTCTCCATCGGTAAGGCCGTCGAACTGGAGTACAAGGCGGAGATGTGCAAGAAGCACAACATCGCCATCCCCAGCGCCGGACGTGCGCCGTCGAACGGGTTTTTCACCAGCCTTGGGTACCGCGACTTGCAGTCGCAGCGGCTCGTGGCGCAGAGGTTCCTTCAGGACACAGAGGAATGGTCCGCAGAGTGGTCGCAGGCCGTACGCGTGAAAGTGGGCAGTTTCCTCGTAGACTGTCTGATGGATATCGCGACCGTGGTGCGCACGAAGACGGACAAAGCGACGGGAGAAGTCCAGTGAGTATCCCATGAATTGTCATATAAGCGCCTCCCTGAACGGCATATGCAGCTCCGAGGAACAGCCCGCGTTCTTTCACACTTACGAGTACTTGCGCGGGAACAAGCTCGGTGTCATCAAGCTGAACCCATCTATCGCCGATAAGATCTCCAAGGATTCTGTGCGGGGGACCCTCCATCCACGTCATCTGCCCATGCTTGTCAAGCCTAAGCAGTGGCTCAGTCCCGATGAGGGCGGTTACATCTACAACCAGAGTGAGTACTTCATTCTGTTTGGCACCACTCAAGGCAGTGTCTGACTGCTACCGACAGCATGGGCGATGCGCTTTAAGGACAGCCAGGAGCAGCAGAGCTACCTCCGTCGGGCATCCAGCCTGGGCAACCTTGAGCTGGTGTACACCAGTCTGGACATCCTCGGGAGCACGCCCTGGCAGATCAACCGCCAGGTCTTCGATATCGTTCTGCAGGTGTGGAATTCCGGCGAGCGCTTCTGCAAGATCCCCCCAGTGTCGAACGACGTACCCGAGCCGGAGAAGCCGATGAACTGGGACACCGACCCGGCTGCGCGCGTGGCGTACCTCACCAGGCAGAGAACGTACCAACACAATAAGGCGAATGACCACTCGAAACGGTGCGATGTCAACTACAAGATTGAGATCGCGCGTGCTGTAAGTGCCGCAGTATGTACATCTTAACGATCTGGTATTGACCACTTTTTATTCAGTTCCTGGGCGATACGTTCTACTTCCCGCACAACGTCGATTTCCGTGGGCGCGCGTACCCCTTGCCGCCCCACCTGAGCCATATTGGTGACGACCTCAGTCGTGGTCTCCTCCTGTTTGCCGAGAGTAAGCCGATTGGTGAGCGAGGACTGCGGTGGTTGAAGATCCACCTGGCTGGTCTCTACGGGTACGACAAGGCGAATTTTGATGAACGAGTGCAGTGGGTGCACGAGCGTCTTGACGAGATCTACGACAGTGCCGAGAACCCGCTGACTGTGAGTGTGCACCCTCGCCGAGCGTAAATCGTTTTGCTGACTGCGCTGTAGGGTCGGAGATGGTGGACGAAGGCCGAAGACCCCTGGCAATGTCTTGCGACCTGCATAGAGCTCAGGCAGGCATTGAACTCGCCAGATCCACATGCGTACGAGTGCGCGCTCCCTGTGCACCAGGACGGCACGTGTAACGGTCTGCAGCACTACGCCGCACTCGGCGGTGATGCTGCCGGTGCAAAGCAGGTCAACCTCGACGTGACGGACCGGCCATCGGACGTGTACTCTTATGTCGCGGACATGGTCGAGGAGCAGCTAGAGCAGGGCATCAAGGAGGGGCACGTAGAGGCCATTATGCTCAAGGGCAAGGTCTCGCGGAAGGTCGTCAAGCAGACCGTGAGTAGATTTGGGGTTTCTCGCGTGCTCCTGCTGATGTATGATGTCCTAGGTCATGACTACCGTCTATGGTGTGACGTTCATTGGTGCGCGCGAACAGATCGAGAGGCAGCTTAAGGAAAGAGGAGACATCGCCGCTGAGGATTGCTGGAAGGCGTCGGCATATCTGGCGAGGCTGGTCAGTCGCTTCGTTTCTCTACATCTAACAGAGTGAAACTGACATCGTGCTAGACTCTTGGATGCATTGGCGATTTGTTCAAGGGCGCGAAGTCCATCCAGGAATGGCTGAACGTCTGCGCACGCCTGATCTCGAAGTCCATCCCGCCGGAGCGCGCTGAAGAAGCGGCGGAGAACTTGAAGTCGCTGACTCGCCGTCGGACGCGTGAATCGGAGCTCGCCAAGCTGAAGAAGGAACAGATGACGACTGTGATTTGGACGACCCCGTTGGGTCTGCCTATTGTCCAGCCGTACAGGGCGACGAAGCGCAAGCAGATCCTCACAGCGATGCAGAGCGTGTACATCTCTGACCCCAACATCCCCACGACTGGTATGTTATCTTTGAATGTGCGTAGCGGTGCTTGCTGATCCTGTATCGCAGTGAATACGATGAGGCAGGCATCTGCGTTCCCGCCGAACTTCATCCATAGTCTGGACGCCACGCATATGATGTTGACTGCCCTGGAGTGTCGGGTACGTTGTATGTGTATTTCTCCATATGACAAGCCTTGCTGACATCCCTCGCAGACACAAGAGCTGACCTTTGCGTCTGTTCACGACTCGTACTGGACGCACGCCGGCGACGTCGACAAAATGGCCGCCATCATCCGGGACACCTTCATCGCCTTGCATTCCTCGAACGTTATGAACCGGCTATATCAGGAGGTGCGTATCCGTCGTTGATCGTGGACGGGCTCGGTGCTAACCGCAAGCTTAGTTTCTTGAGCGCTACAAAGGCTACATCGTCCCCGTCGCAATCCTCAAGCATGGCTCGATGCTTCAGAAGCATGGCATCAAGCCCGAGCGCCTGACGATCAAGAGCTTCCCTGCGGACTTCGCGAAGTCATCCGAGGACTCTGCTGCCATTGCTACCCCGGCGCAGGTCGAAGAGGCCACCGAGGAGGACGTTGCCGAAGCGGAAGTCGTGGAGGAGATGGAGGACGTGGAGGATGTTACAGACTTGGAAGCGAAGTCCATACAACACAAGAAGATGTCCCCCACTGCGAAACAGACCGCCAAGTTCATTGCTGCGGCTCTGGCGAACGCGGGGCCAGGCCCGCTCGATCACAAGTTCGTCGAGCTCTCTAGCCTGCTCCCGCCAGTCCCGGAGATGGGCACGTTCGACGTGAACAAGATCAAGTCGTCGCTCTACTTCTTCTCGTAATTCGCCTTACCTGCCTGCGTCCCACTCCTTGCGAGCGTTCCCCTACGCACCCACACTGCTCGCCCCTCGACCCCCCCCCCTTTTTCCTCCTTCTGCTGCAGCATTGTTTTTGCTTACTCACGCATCCGGTTACGTTCGTCGTGCTTTCGACCCTCACATCTCTATCATAGCCTCTCACGCATTGTGCATACTGATCGTGCTACACTATCCTCACTTATTCATAGACGAGAGAATCAATATCATGGAGGTCCTTGAATGGGTGCTGCGCGTGTGATATGACATACGGTCAGGGTCTACGGTGCTATGCGCTCATACTTATGCATGGTATTGCTCTTTCCTCCCTGTGTGTCTGGCACGCAGCGAGGACAACCAACTGCAGGATGCGCGCGATTAGCTATGACCAGGTCATTCACATCGAGCTCCACCATTCAAGCATACACGGAGAAGTCTAGGATTATCGTTACGGTAACTTACATCCAGCAAATGAGGTGTGCTAGTGGTACACATGAAGCAGATAAGTAATGCAGCCAGGACAGCAAGATTAGGCACGACTACAGTATACGGGAAGACAACCACATCGCTCCTCGTCAGGCTGTATGCACTGCTCATTGAAGTTACTCAGACTCTTCAACTTCACGAACGATGATCTCCACGGGCTCCTGGGTTTTCTTCGGCATGCGCCTGGCACGCTTCTTCGGCGGAGGCTTGTCCTCGTATTCGTCGTCGTCTTCAGGCTCGTCCTCCTCATCCTCCTCGTGCTTGACCTTCGCCTTGGACGCCGCAGCCTTGCGTTGTGTGCGTTTTCTCTTCGTGGGGGTAAAGTCCTCGTCGTCCGACTCGGCTTTCTCTACCTTAGCCTTGGAAGGCGTCTTGGGTTTGGCAGCGACAGCCTTACGACCACGGGCCGCTGAATAACGGACCGTTAACGACGGCAATGTACACGTATAGCGTATACGTACGTTTTGGTGTTGGCTCTGGCATTGGCATCGCCCTCCTTTCACAGTATTCCTCCAGCTTCTCCGTCAGCCTGCACAGGCAAACGCTATCAGCACGCATATACCCACAACGGGGACCAGCATGTATCACGCACCGTTCGATGGTCGTCGGACCAACGCCGGAGACCTTCCCGCGCATGTCAGCCGGATGTGCGTATGTCTGCGTGCACATCTCGAGCGCGCGAACGGCATTCTCGTAGCCCGTCGCCCGCGGAGGCCCGCCGCGCTTGCGGTAGTCCTTCTCGTCGTGGAATTCCTTCACCCAGCGCAGGAACAGCGGGTTTGCACACTTCGGCATCGCGCGTGCAGTTGCGAAATTGTAGGCAGTTATATGCGCGACGAGGTCAGAGGTCACTCGGGGCGTTCCAAACGATGTGAGTTGGTAAGTACCAGGAACTCTGAGTCTACATGTAAGGTAGGACCGTCGTCGCAACCGCTCAGCGCTACTCCGCGTGGCGCGATCATGTGATCGCGACAACGCACCCCGCTGCTGTAGCTTTAATATGATACTAACTTACTTGAGGCCTTACGACGTCTCATTTTTCGACAACGACACCCGCCTGCACCAAATCGGTGGGAAAATGAAAGGATACGGGGCAATATCCCCGATACTTTGAATACCCCGCTGCAAGCGTGCTAAAGTTGAGCGAATCATCACGATCAATGGCGCGTATGAGGCTCAAGCTGGATACGACTACTGTGTACCACCGCTATAGTGACCCGGAGGCGATATCCACATCACCCCTCAGGTCTGGAAACACGCACGTTTCCTGCCTTCCGACCCTCACCTTGCGAGGGCGAAGCGTCAACGCCGCGATCTTTGCTCTCCAAACAGCCAACCGCTCCCTCCAAGGCGCCAAGTCTCCCGGTCTGATCATCTTCATGCCCTCGAGACCCTGGTACATGACGACGGCCTTCCACAGATCCTGCCTCCACTCTTCCTCGAAATCGCCGCCAACGGCGGCGCGCACTTCCGCCCAGGAAGGGTTCCACCGCGTACTGTCGATGAGATGCCCCAGCCCACGCTGGTGTGTGTACTCCGTGAAGCCGTCAGGATACGTCTTTACGGAGTTCAGGAAAGGCTCGTATGGTCCGACAGGCTGAACAACCCGGCGCGGGTCGGGTTTGTTGCCTGTATTTCTCAGGTCCTTTTGGCGGATGTAGCACATCCAGTCCGGGATGCAGTACTTGACGAATTCGAGTCGCGTGTCGACATCCATTGCCTCGGGCACCACACCGGTGTCGAGGAACGTATCGAAGGCAGGCGCAAAGAGCTCGCCGTAGGTGGCAAGGTGGAAGAACGTCTCGGGCGGGTCCATGTTGAGCGTCCATGCGTCGTCAACGCCGCCGTCCCAGAAATTGGGCGTCGCATACCACTGCACGCCGACGCACCTGTCGATCAGGTCTACCACGGGATTGATTGTCGAGAACCGCAACTCGTACAGTTCGCGGATACGCTCCATCGTCAGGCCTGCGTGCTCGAGCGCGAGCTCCAGCAGGCCATCCATGCCCTTTCGGAAGGCGGCGCGCAGCTCGGCGGTGTTCTCGGAAGAACGCGATGCCCATTCTCCGACTTGACGTGCAGTTGCAGCTACGAGGAAGCACGGGTCAGGTCGGAAGAATGTCCTCGATGCCGCGGCGGCGAGCCGGAGGATGGTGCGAGGCAGGGTGTGTAGGGAGAGGTTATGGAGGAGGCGACATGTTGCAGCGAGGTTGATGAAGTCTTCGATGTCTCGAAGGTAGTGAGGGAGGGTCAGAAGGACGTCTTCCGGAAGTGACAGCAGGGACGCAGAACATTCATCGCGAGTCATGTCCTGAACAGTGCGATTGCAGATCAGGTCAGTATCTACAATACGTCGCGTCAAGACCGGACGTTACACGCACCAGCTACAGCGACTGCAGCTGTGGATCTTGCGGACGAGGGTTCGAGTTGGTGCGAAGGGAGGTGTGTTATTGGTCCGCGATCGAGAGGTGCCATTTATCTCTGGACATGATGGGCTATGTCGGCAGCTTGAACAGCCGGCTGGATCAAGTCAGTTGGGAGCCTGATGACTCGCAGCTGGAGTTGGCGAAACATTCGTACGCCGTTATGTACAGTACGCGCATCCCAGTGATACATCGCATCACTGAAAGCGCTGCTACTCTACAGTAGCTGTACAGCATGACAGACAGTACTCTGGCCTACTCTGGCACTTAGTCTCTCGCAAGTTACCACGTGCACTGGGGGACTTGCCTGATCGAGACATACAGTGTGCTAGACCGCCACTACGTTGAGCTTCAAGTGAGTACTAAAGTACGCACGTCCATCTTTGCACGCCAATACTCTGTCATTCTCTGCACCCGTCGCCGCGAGCTCTGTCCAACAGGTCGGCCACTGTCAACATTCACTAGCAATGGCAGCGCCTGATGCAATGCGCTTGCCTGACCGCTGCAATCAGGCCACAATGCGACTCTCGTCATGTTATTACGGAGCTAGCCGATCTTCGCTTCGAGATTTTCGCGTGGAGTGAAAACGACGGACACGAGCCGGGGTGCTGCTCGTCCGCCGCACGTCCTCCTCGTCGCCGACCGTGATATACGTCTGAGGCCATCGTCCCAGCGCACCCAAGCCTGTTGAGCCTGCCGACCAAACCGACCTGAGGATGGGCCGTCTGTTCCATATCCCAGGGATTTTCTTCCTCTTCGTCGCCTTTGTCCTCTTGTTTCTCGTGTCTATCTCGCTGCCCTACCTGACGACGCTCGACTTTGCACGCGTACACTTTGACGGGGGCAAGGTGACGGCGGGTAGTGATTCGAATGCGCTCACGGAGCTAAGGGTGCGTCCATGTCCGCTCAATCTGATCGTATTCCCCGGCATTATCTGACCAGCCCATCAGTTTGGCACTTGGTACGTGGTATTGTGACTCGGCACACGGACAGGAGTAACCGTCGTGGATCACCAGGGCGGACTGCTGGTATGAGTCTTCTGGGGACCGTGTCTGCAGTAGCGCAGGTTAGTCTACTCGTTGCATCCTTCAGTGACGCGTCCATAACGCGTATTCGCAGGCAACGCGTACAATGTCACCATTTACAGCGACAACGGCTCTAGCTCTGTCTCCATCGGTGCCTCTTGGACACGTGGACTCGCGCTCCATCCAGTCGGTGCGTGCCATTTCTCTTCACGACCTTTCACGCCTCACGCAGACACACTCGCAGCGGCGGGCGTGACCCTCATTGCGTTCCTCCTCAGTCTCTCCAGCCACATCACGCTCCGTTTGTTCGCGTCCCTGGCAGCGTTTCTCGCAGGCACTATCGCATTCATCGCATTCCTTGTTGACGTCGCACTCTACGCGTATGTGAAGAGCGAGGCGGGCAAGCTGGACGGCGTGAACGCCCACACAGATACCGCACCCGGTACGTCTACTTTCCTTCCCAGCCAAACCATCGTGCTCATTCTTCGCCGCTGATAGGTTTCTGGGTGACATTTGTATCGTTCATCCTCCTCTTCCTCGCGGGAGGCACCGTCTGCTTCGGACGCCGACGAGACCGCATGGCAGGTGCAACCAACTATCCGATGGCCTCTAGCAAGTTCTCGCGCTCGTGGCGGGACCGCTTCACGCGCTCATAGACGGCCAGTTGGTCCTGCCTTATGCTTGCTTGATACCAAGACGGTCGCGCCACCGGGCTGGCCATGGCCCTCGTCAAATACCCACAGGCGAGTGTTGGGATACGCTATGATAACTTATACCTGCTACATTTAATGAAGCGACCGAGCGTCGTTTCCCCGCGCTTTGTTACCGATCCCTACCCTCGTTCTGCATCCCTACCCCGTGCTCTTAATGATCATTTGCTTAAGACTCGTTCAGGGAGTCTCAGACCCGATATTCGCCCAATATTGAGGATGGCTTCTTGATGATGATGATGAACTCTGCATTTATAGGCCGCAACAAGCAAGCTCTGATGGTGCTAAGTTAAGACGTGGCGGGCGCCGGCCCTGGCTTCTTGAAGGCGGTGAGCCATCACAGTGGGCGGTCATGTTCATGTGACGGTGAGAATGCAGCATCGGTGTCAACCAACACTTTGAATCTGCCGCTTTCTCGGACACTGCATCCTCTGTGCAACCAACTTGGGCTCGCTCACGGTAAGCATGTAGAACAACCCATGTCATTGATGTTTCGATAACTGACCACACGACCCTCCGCGCCTTAGTTCACCCCGATGTTCCCAAATACCCTCCTTGATAGCGTTTTGCTGGTATTGCCAAAGAACGATCGTTCGCAGCTGCAGGGCCGCTCTCTCGAACAGATGCGCGAATGGACACTCATGGAGGCCCGAGCCAGTCAGCGTCGCCTGGCGAATCTTCACAGCGTACACAACGCGACCCTCCCGGTGCATAGGCTGCCCACCGAGACCCTGATCGAGATTTTTCGTCTCGCCCATGCCTTCTCGTCGTCTCAAAAGACCAAGGCACACGTGTGGGTGATCATGACTACGGCTGTATGCCGGTACTGGAGAGACATCGTCGTGACTTCGCCTGTCTTTTGGAGGAACATCGATTTATCGAAGGCGGCGCTAGAGTTCGTGGACCTCTGCTTGGAACGCTCGGCGGGCGCAGGTATCAAACTCTTCCTGACGATACCTCAGGACAACAATCTCTCTCTGCTTGCGCCCCCTCTGGTGCAGCATCACTCCCGACTTGCACACCTTGACATCCAATGGAAAACAAACAACCCAAACAACGCTTTCGCACGAGTGTGCGACACCTGTCTGCCCGCTCTAACTTCGTTGACCGCAAAGGCAAAGCACATACTCCCCCTGAAGTTCACACAGGGATACCTGCCGAGTCTGCGACACGTCGATGTTTCTGGCGTTGTGCTGCACTGGGCTACTCTGCCCTTAGCACAGTTGACGTCGTTGGCGCTCGCCGACATCAGGTGTCCCAACGATCGCGGAGAGCCCAATGCAGTGTCACTTGCAGATATTCTGGACATTCTGGAGGCATTTCGGTCACTGGAGGAGTTCGCGTTTCAACAGTGGGAACATATAGAGGGGCAAGAAGAGAGGTGGACAGTCAACTTAAACCGCACTGTGCCGTTGCCCCGCATGCGCCGCTTCCACGTCATGGGCCCAACACAGGTCATTGCCGAGCTCATGCCCCATGTCTCGCTTCCGGATAGCGTCCAGCTCTTTCTGAATAGACATTCCCGCCGTACGAGCCACGGAGCAATCCGGCAGGACGTGCCTCAGCAAGACGATATGACGAATCTACCCGTTGTCAAGAACGTCCGGCATATCATCATACGAGAGACTGAGTTTCGGGAGCTCGACATATATGCTGTAACAGAGCTTCCGGCCAGGGACTTTTGGGACTCGCAGCTGCGATGGCTTTCTGAGCATGCGGGCCTTCCTTCTCTTGGTGTACACGAACTCCCTCTGGTACCATCACTCTACCTGAGGTATGGCGTACGGGAAAGCTCCCTTCGGGGGCTAATAGCCGTGATCGGCACCGGGTTCTTCCCTACAGCTATTCAGACCCTTGCTCTCTACGGGAACGTCGAGGGTGTGACCACAGACAGTTGGGCTGAGATGCTCGCCGCCTGTCCGAAGCTCGAGCACCTCGAGATCGTCACGGGCCTCCATCACGACACTTGTGCCTTCCCCCATGCCCTCTCTCCGACTTCTTCAGGGACGCCCTGCCCGCAGCTTCGCGAACTCGTTCTGGGATTCGATCCTCGAGCTAGCGCTGATGCCCATGGTCGAATGATGCTCGATGCGCTCCGTAGAGTGCTACGAGAGCGCGCCCGGGCTGAAGGCGGACGTCGTCTCCTCCTCCTCCGTCTAGTATTCGGGCCCTCTCCTCCGCAGAATCCAGATGGTGTCTCACACACTGACATTGTGGCTAGAGTAGCATTTGCGCGTTCGCCGATTGCACAGTACCGGATCCCCGACGATATGCAGGAGGTGACGGCAGATTTGGAGTCTTTGGTGGACTCGATGACGGTCACGGTTCTGCAAAATCGGCCCTTCGGTTATCAATACGGTTGATCGACAGAGACTTGAATCTGCAGTGATTGTACTGGTAGGAGGTGTACGTGTTAATTGACAACCATCTCAGGTCCCCTTGGTATCGTATGATACTGAGATTTACACATATGTACCGGCTGCCAGCTGTTGTCAAAGCACCGATACCGTACCACATACGGACTGTCCTGGATATACACCACCGTCAGGGAGGACCAATCCGCGGCACACCTACTACATACGGTTGCTGGCAGCCTGGATTTACTCGTGTATATGGACGTGCTGTTATACTCAAATCGGAATTCAAACACGCCCGGCCGCGGGTAGGGCATCGAGTCGCTCAGTAGTACTAAATGTCAATTGCATATTGAGCGTTGGAACGGCTTGATCCGGATCAATGTAAACAACCATACTTACCTAGGGCGCATCGCTGAGCTTGAGAAACCCGCCCCCGCATCGATAGTCGGATCTATAGGCACTGTGGATGCCTCAGCTCGCGTAGCTCTGCTACTCCACTGTGTACCGCCAACGATGGCGGGACTACGTACCCTTGCTCGCTTAGAACCGCGAACTTAAGACGTGTGGGGGCTGAAAACGACTATATAGAGATCGGGATGGGCCTGGCAATGTGAATGCGGCAAGAATTTGATAAATGGTGCAGGCCAGAGGACGGGCCACGCCGCCGCTTCAAGTTGGAATGTCGATGCACGTCGGTGCATTCTGTAATACGTAGATAAACTCGCGCACTGTACAGTTCTTGCAGCCTTCCAGTCGGCACAGGGTCATCCTCACAAGCTTGAATGCTCGCGCATACAGCTGCAGACTATAGTAAGAGCACTTACGATACCTTCGAGCAGCCTTCTAGCATCACAAGCGTTTCAAAGCTCACACAGGAAATGAAGTTCACAACTGATCAAGTCTCGTTACTGGAATCCACGTCAAGGATACAATGGGTGCCATACAATTTCTAAACATCCCCTCCATCGGACCGCTCACCACCAGGAGTCGAGCAGCTCGCGCGGGCGCGAGGCGCCACGCTTGGGCTGAGGTGGCTGAGGTGGCTGAGGCTTCTTGTGCAGGTCCCTCCGGCGGTACTTGGGCGGGCCGTTGGGGTCCTTCTCCGAGTACTTGGGCTTCTTGCCGTTGTTCGGGTCGTGCCTGTGGTAGTTGGGTGGGTCGGTGCGCGCGAACACGCCAGCATCCTCGACCTCGCGCGCCCACATCTCCTCAAGGTCCTCCCGCGCCCAAAGCTCGTCGTCGAACTCCCGCTCCCACAGGCCGTCTACCTCCGCCAGGTCTCGCGGACGCGAGGGGCCCGGCTTGGGCTTAGGCGGCTGAGGCTTCTTGTGCGGGTCCTTCTGGCGGTACTTGGGCGGGCCGTTAGGGTCCTTCTCCGAGTACTTGGGCTTCTTGCCGTTGTTCGGGTCGTGCTTGTGGTAGTTGGGCGGGTCGGTGCGCGTGAACAGCGCATCCTCGAGCGCCGCAAGGTCGCGCGGGCGCGAGGGACCCGGCTTGGGCTTAGGCGGCTGAGGCTTCTTGTGCGGGTCCTTCTGGCGGTACTTGGGCGGGCCGTTGGGGTCCTTCTCCGAGTACTTGGGCTTCTTGCCATTGTTCGGGTCGTGCTTGTGGTAGTTGGGAGGATCGGTCCGCGCACTGAGCACGTCCGCGACCGCCCGGGCGAGAAGGCTCGTCGCCTCGTCGAAGTCGGAGCGAGCGACGAGGTCAGCGACCTCAGCGTCGAAGGCACGGGCCTCGAAGCTGCCAGTCCTACGAAAACAAGGTCAGACCCGGGTTGAGCTAACATCATACGGAAAGGCACGTACGAGTCGGAAGCGACTGGCGCGGCGAACGCGAGCGGCGTCATCGACGCGACAGCGCAAAGCAAAGAGACGGCTGTTCCGAAGCGCATGATGTATGGCTGTTATCTGCAGTGATGGACGGCGTGGGGCGTAAAGAACGAGGTCGAAGAGTCGTAAAATAAAACAAACAAGGCTGCAGAGCGAAGTGATCAATGAACGAGGTAAGAAATACGATGATCGACGAATACTCACCAGCCAGTACCCGTCTGTGTAGTTGAGCCCGAGAAAGAGAAGTGAGCTGGGAAACCAGAGCAGCGAAGGGGGCCCTTTTTATCCTCATTCCCAGCGCCTTCTACGTGCGCCAGCCAGCCCATGGTGGCGACGTCCCAGGCATGCAGGCTGCAGTGCTGCGCATGGCCCAGGCGAGCGAGCCTTTGACCCGCTGTCGTACAGCTGTCGAACAACTGTCAAAGGAGAGGAGCATCAGCGCGGCCCATGACGTTCTTGAGAGGCTGACACTGACACTGGCATTTGCCATCAGAGCCCAACAGCGCCCTCAGCGATTGATGAGTCGTACTTATTTGATGTGCGCGCATGGTGGTGTCGTGCAGTGCGCTTGGAGTAACCTTTGCCTGCGTCCTAAGTACATCAGAAGACCACCGTGACTGAAGCTGAAGCCTCGCGCAGCGGAATGGGTGACAAGGCGTATCCAGCGCGGTGGGCCGAAATGGCTGATAAGTAAGTACGTGAGCGTACGGACCTCGGATGGAGGAGGAGGGTCGGGGGGAGCCATTTAGCCATGCAGCACGCGCGATCGACGCGGTGCACTAGTACTTGCGATGACAGCGGAAGGCGTCCGAGTTGGATGTCGGACCACGCGTACGGTGACGGAGATGTCAAGCAGCGCGCTAGTACTTAGTAGTGTGCCCTGAATGACACTGCATCCTGGACCAGTCTAGGTAAGTACCAGTAGTACGTTTAGACGTCGATTAGTGGTGGACTACAGTACACTGCGGGACAATACATATACCGCGCGATTACTTATGAGAAGAGACGGTGTTCCGTAGCGAATTGGGCCGACGGTAGTTCCCAGTCCTAAAAGAGTTTAATTACTCCGGCCGACGGCGACGATGTGGCTGTACTAATTAACGGTACGTATGTGAGCGTATGTGGTCGCGCGTCGGGACCGACTCCGATCTGACTCTAGCTCTATCGTGGCAGCGAGTTGACCTCCTCCTCAAGCCGATTGTCCTTGTTATTCTCATCGGCCAGCAAGAGCTCGCTGGGCAGGCCCGATATATCATATAAGTTGTGGTCCTTTCCTCAGCACTGCTCATATCCGGTCATCTGCGCAACGTAAACACTTAGGTAGTAGGTCACTCGTGCGTCCCACTGTTACATTCTCAAACTGCATAATCACGACTGAGCCTTTGAACACATAGTGAAAAGCATGACTGCCGCCGAGGCTTCTAAGTCTCTACTGTCACTCCCAGCAGATGTCCTTCTATTTCTGCCCACGTACCTTCGCGACATCGAGGACTTCATCAACCTTGCTGCTACATGTCACCTCCTCCATGACCTCTCCCTGCACACCTCACCCCGGACTATCCTCAAGCTCGCAGCGGCAGCATCGAAGATATTCTTTCGACCAGACCCGTGCTTCCTCGTAGCTGCAACCGCACGTCAAGTTGGAGAATGGGCATCTCGCTCTCCCGAGAACACCGCTGAGCTCCGCGCCGCATTCCGAAAGGGCATGGACGGCTTATTGGAGCTTGCGCTCGAGCACGCCGGCCTGACGATGGAGCGCATCCGCGAGCTGCACGAGATGCGGTTCTCGACGATCAATCCTGTTGTGGACCTCATCGATAAGTGCGTCGGCGCGCAGTGGTACGCGACGCCCAACTTCTGGAATGGCGGCGTCGACGACGCGTGGACCCTCAGCATGGATCCGCCCGAGACGTTCTTCCACCTTGCCACCTACGGCGAGCTCTTCGCACCCGCATTCGACATCTTCCTGGAGACCGGTGCGGTGCCCGAGGTATTGGATGTCGACACGCGGCTCGAGTTCGTCAAGTACTGCATTCCTGACTGGGCATGCTATGCGTGCCAGAACTCTGCAGGAGACGTGAAACGTCATGATGGGAGCATCGACCCACGCCGAGCGGTGGAGGCCGTCGGTCCCTACGTTCCTTTTCTGACCACAGAACCCGGTTTCCCCAAAGGCTTCACGCACTGCACGCATCAGCTTGGGCTGCGACATCTCCTCGACAGCACAAGATGGAATCCATCATGGACGCAAGTGCGCGCTGCCGTCGGAGGAGATTTCGAGGAAGAGTGGAAGCAAGAATTGTGGTGGTCCGTCGTCATGTGCCAGGGCCTTGAGGGCATGATGATGATCAGACCAGGGAACCTGACGCAATGGAGCGACCGCCTAGTGGCTTGGAGGGCCAAGATCGCAGCGTTACCCGTGAAACCCACAAAGTTCAAGGTTGGCAGGCAGGAGACGTACGTGTTTCCGGACCTGAGGGGCGATCTGGATGTTGCGACGAGTGGGTATGCATGTGGCACATAGTGTACATGACCGGCTAGACTGCGACGCATCCTGCGCATCATTCACTCGCTACATTCAAAAGAGGTTCCATCACCTTTGGCGGTAGACAACTCGTCTACTTACGCGTGCCCGTTCAGATCAATAGAGCGTTGTACAGCTACTTGGTGCTCACCAGGCGAGTATGGATGTGAAATCTCGTATAAAAGAGACATGAGTGACGTTGCATCTTCTCTTACCTCGCTACCTGCAGACATACTGCTGTCTCTTCCGTTCTACTTCTGTGACATCGAAGAGTTCATCAACCTTGCAACGACGTGCCATCGTTGTCGCGAACTGTCTCTGCATACCTCACCTCGGACCATTCTACGGCTCGCCGTGGCAGCGTCGAGGACATTCTTCCGACCCGATCCACATTCTCTCATAACGGCCACCACACGCCAAGTATGAGCATGGGCATCCCTCTCCTCCGCCAACACAGCCGAGCTGCGCCCGGCGTTCCGCAAGGGGATGGAAGGCCTCTTAGAACTCGCACTCGAACACGCGGGACTGACCATGGAGTGCATTCGCGAGCTGTACGAAATGCGCTTCTCGACGATCAATCCGGTCGTGAACCTCGTCGACAAGTGTATCGGCGAGCAATGGTATGCCACGCCCAATTTCTAGGAAGGCGGTGCCGACGACGCGGCCACCGTATACGCTGAACCTTCTGACACCTTCTTCCATCTCGTCATATATGGCGAGCTCTTCGCGCCTGCCTTCGACGCGTTCCTCGATCTGGGGACTCTAGTGCCAGAAGCCCTCAGCGTCGATACTTGGCTCGAATTCGTCAAATATTGCATACCGGACGGTCAATGTTTCCAGAACCAACAACCGCGGCGCGGAGTGCAATGGCCAGAGACGTTCGTTGTTGGTTCGCGTCGGGCGGTAGAGTCTGTCGGCCCTACACTCCTAGGGCGGACAGCACCGCGAAAATCAGTTCGGACTTGCGCATCTCCTGCGGAGCTCGAGGTGGAACCCTTCCTGAACGGAAGTCCGCGCGGCTGTTGGAGGCGACTTTGAGGAGGGATGGAAGCAGCGGTTGTGGTACTCCATCGTGATGTGCCAGGGATTAGAGGACATGAAAGTGATCCGGCCGGGGAACCTGAATCCCTGGGAAGAGAATCTGGTAGCCTGGAGAGCTAGAATTGCGGCGATGACGACGGAACCTGATAAGGTGAGGGTGTACCTACGTATACCCAGACCTCAGACGCGATCTGGAGATTACGCAGAGTCGAATACGACCTAGTCTGTAACCGTAAAAGCCATCCTCGAGTCTAGCATGCGGTCAATGTACTACCGGTATATTCAAATACAACCAACGAAGAGGTTTGAGCTCACCGAGTCCTCGTCGACCGCTCAAACTGACTAATACCCGACGCAGTGAGTTTCATCGAAGCCAAATTTGTGCCACCGCATTGTACACAGAGTATGTCGGAGCTATGGTCACTTCGCGCTCGCCAGTGGTGAAGGTGTGACTAAGTGACTTTGAGTCTAACAGTATTGAAGAGCGTGTGGCAGATATTGGCCCGGCGCGTACACGGTACATACAGTGACCAGTCACCAGTGCGCGGTGGTGGCTGAAGACATTCTGAGTCACGAGCACGCGTACCAGTCTGAGCGGACGACTCGCGGAGCAGCCACGGCCCACCAACTCGGTCCCATCCTCTTCGTCCAACTCCCGTTTTGACCTTTCATCTTCAACCCCTGCTTTGCACACAAATCATGACTTCACAGCCGAGCAAGCCGATATTCAAGAGAGAAAAGCCGCTACACTCGGTCATCGCGGGGACGACCGCCGGCGCGGTAGAAGCGTGAGCCCCGCCTGCCTACTCGTTCGTCGTCGACCGTTCAGCGTATTCAGGTGACGCAGATTCGTGACGTACCCGACGGAATATGTTAAGACGAGGTCGCAGTTCAGTGGTCAGGTCCGTGTCAGCTACTGAGGATGGGTATCGACGCATACCGAAGCTTCATCTGGGTTTCAGAGGCAGAGCCCATGGACCATCATTCGGGAGACGGTGAAGACGAAGGGGCTGCCAGGGTTGTACTCTGGGTGCATGGCCTTGGTTGTTGGTACGTATTTCAGTCGTATCGGCGCAGGTGCACGCGTAATATGGCGACCGCCTGTAGGTAATTCGGTCAAGGCTGGTGTACGGTTCCTGTCGTATGACCAGTTCAAGCACATGCTGGCCGATGCGGAGGTGAGTATTCATTCATCGCAATCGGATCCTTCCGCCTTCACCTGTCTCACGTACTGCGGTGATTGAGGGTAAAGTCACGGCGCCAAGGAGTCTCGTAGGTGTGTGCTCTTCACGGCAAGTTTTGAGCTTGCCATTGACGGGAAGCGTAGCTGGTCTGGGCGCGGGTATGATGGAAGCCGTTTTCGCTGTGACGCCCTCAGAAACAATCAAGTAATTATGGCCATATCTTTCTTATGTGCCGTCATTGCTAAGCGTCGTGCCGCAGGACCAAGCTCATCGACGATGCAAAGACCCCAAACCCAAGATATCGTGGTCTCATCCACGGCACAGTCTCGATCGTTCGCGAAGAGGGCATCGGCGGCATATACCGCGGGCTTTTCCCAGTGGTCTGTTTCCTACCGCTTCCTCCGACTACTCTTCTCCTGATCTCTTCCTGTCTCTCCGCAGATGATGCGACAAGGTAACATCTGTGTGCATACTTGGGCGAGACAATAAGCTCATGGAGCTGTAGGCGCGAATTCCGCCGTTCGCTTCACGACATACACGACACTCAAGCAATTTGTCCTCGGTACCGCGCGACCAGGGCAGAACCTCTCCGGCGGGATGACCTTCGGTATCGGCGCCGTTGCCGGGCTCGTCACCGTCTACACTACCATGCCCCTCGAGTGAGTCGTCTGTGCACCTCCATCGTACTGTGATGACATTCGTTGACGGGGGCGGCACCACACTAGTGTGATCAAGACGCGCATGCAGAGCCTAGAAGCAAGACAGGCGTACCGCAACTCGTTCCACTGCGCCTACCGGATCTTCACAGAAGAGGGCCCCTTGAGGTTCTGGACGGGCACGACCCCGCGGCTGGCGCGGTTGGTGGTGAGTACTATGCCGTTATAAACTCAGAACGGCTGGTTGGGGACTGAGCGACTGCGCGCAGATGAGCGGCGGTATAGTCTTCACGGTGTATGAGCAAATTATCGCGGCATTGGGCGGCCGATCGACGTAGTCAGCTTGGTCCCCGAGGTATATGAATTGACATAGCGTAGACGATATTCGCCAACCCCTCACGAACACGAACGACGGTTTTGCGGCGCAACCGTACCGGGCGATTGAATGATCAGAACGGCAGCATCCGCGGCGAGCACCATGACGAGTCAACTGCTACACATTTGATACATTCGGGTTCCTCACAGTACAGGGAACGGTTCCACGTCTAGCCATGCAAGCCGCCATCTAATGCCAGTATCCTGAGGCGTGGCCCTTCACCGACAGCCAGGCTTCGTCCAGAGCCTTCACGACTGGCTCCGCTACATCAATCACGAATCATCAGCACCTCCCTTCATATCGAGATGCACATAAGAACTCACGGAGCGGGCCCTTCTCCAGATCCTCCATGTTCTACTCAGCGACCCAACAATCCGTCAGCGAACGCGTACACGACAGAAAGGATGCGTCGCCCAACGCACCTCCTGGATGTGCTTCAGGCTGGACGCGCCGATAATGATCGCGTCGCTAAACTCGCGCTTCATCTGGCTGTGGTGGTTCATCCAGCGGAGCGCGATCTCCGTGAGCGTCAGTCCGCCGTTCTCCTGCCCGGCCTTCTGGATCGCGGCGAGCGCGGCGAAGTAGGTGTCGTTCCAGTAGCTTCCGGTGAAGCGAACCGTCAGCGTCAAGAAACCGCTGAGGGGAGGACGAGATCATATGCTTACCGGGCGCGGTACATCTGGCGGTCAGGTGGACATCAGTGTCGAGACAGCCCCCAGGAGATGGTGGCGCGAGTTTACCTTGCCCATAGCCATGGTCGTGTCGAACCGCGAGCCCGGCTCTGCAGAGCTCTCAAGGCCAGTGTACCTGCCGGTGAAGAAGCCGCCACCGACTATAAGCAGATGTCTGTAAACATCACATTGTACGGTGATGAGGCCAAGGAGCTACTCACGGGGATTATATGCGTAGAAGCTGATGCCGAACTTGCGGAGACACCGGAAGAGCTCTGGTTCCACAGAACTGCGAGTGTCCGTCAGTGCACGCGTTCGACGATGCTATATGTGACATGCGGGAAGGCCGTGCGCACCGGTGGATAGCGTTGTAGACCCCTTGGTAGACGGTCGGTTGGATCCACCCGTTCGCCTTGCAGATCTGCACGATCTCCGCGACCTCCCAGCTGCGACACTGTCGTCAGCTTCCGACAGCCCCTTGCCTAGGGCCAAGGAAAGAAGGTACGCACGATAAGTAGTTGCTAAGACCCAGACGCTTGAATTTTCCCTCCTTGTGCAAGTCGTTGATGGCCTTGAAGGTCACCTCGTAGGGCGTCGTGCGGTCGGGGCCGTGGAGGTACCACAGCTCCACATGGCTGGAAAGAGGAAGTCAGTGCCATGGGCGGGGAAACGGTCGATGCGCGGTGGTTTACTCACTCCGCCTTGAGGGCCTTCAAGGACGCATCCAGGTGGGTACGAAGATCCTAGGACATCCAACCCTGGTGAGGGCCATCTGCATATCACCCTGTCGGACAAACACACCTCTGGCGAATGCGTGATAGGGATGTCCGCACCAGCTGGGTTGGCAGCTCCTGGCTTGAACCAGGCCTAAGATAATCCGTGTCAGTGGGTTCTACTCTCTTCTACGAGTAGTCAGGAACTCACCACGGACGGGTAGAGCTTCGTCTCGACGACGAGGCCGCGGGCCTGCCAGTTGAGCTTGCCGAGGTACTCTTCGCTCGTTCCTTTGTTGTAGACACGGGCCGTGTCCACCTATGCGTCGATCCAGCGTCAAAGGTACAGGGATGAACGGGTCACTGGCGACGTACCTCGACGTGACTATGCGCCTGGAAGACGTCGATGATCTTCTCGACCTCCTTCAGGTCAGACACTCGGACACCTGTGGATCAGTGAGCGGGTGCGTGCCCGTGAGTCGATCTGACTGGGATACACGAGCTTGCTAGTACGCACTTCCACTGTTAAGTCCCGCGCTGCCAAACGTCATGGCACCCTGTGTGCATTTCAATGAACCGCTCACACATAAAGCTGCTATCATCTGACCAGAACCACGGTGAGTTCGCTCTTCTCCTGGCCCGGCATGGTGTCGATACGGCGGTCGCGTGCCGGTAAGTGTTAACAGACTACTCGAAAAGCACAGACAACAGTGGTCGTCGCTGCCTTGCGCGCGGCCAGCCGTTCCAGTGGCAGCTTATACGTTCAAACGTTCTCCCCCAATCTGGATTATCGTGCATGTACCCACCGATGCAGTCATTCGTGCCGCAATTCGTCGAGGCAGCGATTATTGACACGTTGACACGCGATCGAGAAGATGGCGATCGGTATTGTGTGTGGATGCGCCCCACATTGGACGCCGCCTGTGGGTCCGCTGTAGGACCGCCTGGCTATATGATTATCGAGATAGCAGCAGCAAAGTAATGATCATGACGTGCGGCCTGGTAGATCGATTGCTTACCAGATGGAGCGGGGATGACTGAGTTATGTTTAACAACTTGTACTTAGTCCGAGGGTGTGTAAGGAAGTCCTAGCCAAGTCCTAGCAGTTCAGAACTTCCTGGCCTCGAGCTGCGTTGAATCGAAAGGAATCAGAGTTCATACTGTGAGTCGGATTTCTGGCGGGTTTGCAAAGTTGGTCCGGCCTGCTCACGCGTTCAGGACGACTGCTTCTAGTACATCCTCGAGCAGTACTGGGTCGAGTCCCTGGCTGCTAGCCTCGAGAGGACGAACGGATGGTTGTATGTCATGAAGCCTAGATGCGGTTCCATTGGCAGAGCCCGCTCCAGCATTCAAGGATGAAATTGTGCCATGGTAAGCCACGTCATGGAGATCCTCACACGTTCACGCAGACACTAGAAGCTTACAACGGTGGGCCTCGCTGTTCGAGTGTCGCAGAGGACGATAGTTGACGAGGTATCCTCGCATCTCTGATGGCCAGTGAGGCAGTCTAAGAGAAACGTCGTAAGTACCGGTGAATGATTCCTCGTGCACCCGTATACGCGCATACAGTACTTGTGTTGATAGAACGGCTCCGGGCGACAGCTCAGCTCAGTGGAGTAGGAACGAAGCGAAGTACGTACCTGCTCAATGTCATTCAGACCCTCATGGAACCACGTACGCGTCATGCACGACTCCAGCATATGTAATTGACCAACTTTCCAGCTGGGAGACATGGCATCTTCAGACCGATAGGCGAGTGAAGATGCAGTGAGGAGAGGTATGCACACCAAAGCCAACAGCTCCCCGGGTCAGGAACAACAGCAGCTCATTCCATTTCTTGTCATGCGTAGGGCTATATGCATTACAATGTGATACGAATCAGTGCGCCAAATCATCTGTCCTTCACAGGAGACCACAATCAGAGGTATCGCGCTGTGCAAAAGTGTTACAACGTGCGCCGGCAGGAAGGAAGCACAAAGACGAACCTGTGTGCACGATCATACTCCGTGGATTTATGACTTCTTCGCCGAGAGCTCCTCGTGCTGCTTCTCGAGTTGGGCCTGGGGATTATGAGCATGGTATGGACACGGGCGCACACTGAACAAAACTCACCAGCTCTTCTTTCTTCTTCTCAAGCTAGAAGAGTTCGCATCAACATCTGGGGTACGCTCGGTATGAGAGTCAACACACCTCGGCCTTGAGCTTCTTCAGCTGCTCCGCCTCATGCTGGCGAGCATACTGGTCTGAGTCGCAATGAGCACACTACCGCACACACGTCCCGCGGAACACGCACCCTCATGAGCCTTCTCCTTCTTGCTGTTCACGCGCGTCAGCTCATGATGTCACCGCGAACACACCGGCAGCACTCACTTGAACGAGTTCTCTGCGTACCCGCGCGCGGCGACGGGGGAGACACGGGGGACGGCGAGGCGGGCAGAGCGGGCGGTGATTCTAGCGAGCATGGTGGTCGTGGGTGGATGGTCGTTGGGCGAGACAGCGAGGACGCGTCGCGGCTTTATGGGCAGGCGGTCATGCGCCGGCAGGCGACGTCGCCCGCCCGAGCCCAACCGAGGCCGCGCGTGACAGGCGTCACGTCACACTTTTGTTCTTGACCATGTCGTCGACCGTCCTCAGGCAGGCCTCCACCGCCGTACGTGCCCCGCCTGACCCCTCTCACCGTCCGCTGAAGCCCAGCTGTATGTCTAGGCTCGCGCGTTCTCGCGCAAGGCCGCGTTCTCGACGTCCGCGGCGGCGAGGAAAGGTGCGTGACGCGAGAGCCCGGGTGCGGGCAGCCAGCTCACCTCGCGCGCACGCAGACTTCGTCCAGGACCTCTACATCAGGGAACTGAAGTCGTACAAGGCCCCTCCGGCGGTGCGTATTCCACTCACGAAAAGTCAGATGCAGCGGGCTGACACGGAGCAGGCCAAGGACGCCCACGTCGGTGTCGTGAAGCAATACTCCATGCCCCCAACCCCCAAGCCCCCCGTCGTCCCGGCCGACCTCGCATCAGAACTGTCCGCGTACGACGCCATCGAGCCTGTCGACGCTGCGCCGAAGGTCGCTGATGGGAGCGCGGCGGAGCAGCTGACAATGGGTGCCGACACCTTCCTTGCGTTCCTCGAGGCGGACGAGCCCAAGGCGGAGGGCCACCATTGATCAGCTTGCGATGAGGATGTTGTTCAAGTGATGGGAAAATAGAATGTCTTTTTGCTTCCAGTGAGTGACGACGAGCTCGATGGGTGGTCATGAGCAGTCCAACCGCCTATAATATACCGGTACACTCCTCTTCCCCTGCGCCACCGCACCTCACCAGAGCCCAACACGACGACCGAGGCAGCGAAGCGTCACGACCACCAGAATGCATGCGCGGCTCTCAGCCTGCCTCCGCCGAATGACTTCCGGTGGTGGACACAATGACCCTCTATGATGCGGGTATAAGCTCGCATTCACGCGCAACGCCCGCTGAGCGCACCGGACTGTCAATCCGTCCTATTCACCACGCTGATCCCTGCTGCCTCGTCACGCACAGACCATCAGGGTGTCATACATGAAGGGGAATGTTCAGGAGTAAGCTATGGTCTGCACCTTCAACTCTCATCTCGTAACAAGAGCATATATCGCTGCTGTTACCGGTTGAGTGGTCCAAGACGATAACCGACCCCAGCGTTGTGTGAAGGTCTGTTTCATGGTGTGCTGTGGCTTTGAAGTTATCCACCGCATCGCTCCGATGCAACTGGTAGATGGTAGGAAGTCCTTCTGTCTTTGAACTGCTTTGGCATCGCGAATCGCGTCTGGATACGCAGCATGGTAGTACACGTTCCATTCTATCGTCTTCTGTCCTATTAATACACAGACATGCACAACCGCGCCCTGCGAGGACCCGCTTATCACCAAGGATGTGTACTGTCGAAGTCTGCGATTGCCTCCGCCAAAGGAACAGGGCCTGGCTTTGGCGAGACGACATCGACTCTCAGACCCATGTTGTTCCGCAGGAAATCGCCCGTCGTTGGACCTATCGACGCGATGCGCGCGACGGGCTTCGCGTTTGCGGGGCCGGCGGAGTCGCCGTTGTCACACAAGAGAATAAAGTGCTCGCGAAGGATGGGTGTGGTGAACTCTGCCTCGGAGGGGGCGAAGTAGACGATCCACCAGTGCGTAGGCCGCTCTGTATCAGGGTCTAGTCAACGTCGAAGTTCGCGCATATAACCCGGCTGAATTCACACCTGAACGTGCAGGCGACGACGACCCCGGGTGCATCACCTTCTCCAGCACCTTCTCCACCCTCCCCTCTGGCTCACCCGCCGCACCTCTGATCGCCCCCTCCAAATCCGCGTTGAACGTCGCGGACCCATGCGTCTCGTACACTTGCACGGGCTCCGCGCGCACGCCACCCTCCTCGAGCACCCTCGGGAGTGTGTCCCGGTTCTTGTCGCCCATGAGGTAGAGCAGCGTCCGGCGCGGGTCGTCGCGCGGGGCGTCCGCGAGCTCGGCGACGATGAGCCGCGCGAGCTTCTCGGAGGTGCCCGTGCTCGCGGCACCGCGGACGTTCTCCTCGGAGGGCGCGTACTGCGTGTAGGCCCCGACGATCGCGCGGATGGAGAGCAGCGCGGCAGCGGTCGCCTCGCCGACGACGTAGAACGGGACGGTCGACCACTGCGCTGCAGGCCCGTGATGAGTACGATGCGTGCTGGAGGCGATGGACGCAGACACTCACCCGCGTCGCCTGGCTCCGAGTTCGCCTCCTCCCCGACGAGCTCGAGCACGACCGCCTTCCACGCCTCGCAGCTCCGCGCGCTCGTCACGACCACCCCGCCGAACCCGCCGCGCTCCGGGCCCGCGACGATCACCTCCTTCAGCTTGTCGAGGTTGGTGTAGCCCGTCTCGACGACGGGGACGGATGCGGGCGTGAGGCCCTTGTCGGCGAGCGCGGACTCGTACCGGTCGGGGCCGTCGCGGGTGGGTGCACGCAGGAGCAGGACGTGAGCCATGGCGGGGTGCTGCGATCCTATGAGGGGACAGAATTGAAGTTGATTGAGTGCAGTGGAGGTGTTGCGGAAGAGGCGGCCAAGGAAAGCATGGTCGGTGGGTTGGGTAGGGACTGTTTGAGCATGCTATGATGGGAGAAACAACGTCTGCAGGCCGGTGAGTCGTGTAGGCCGAGGTGATGTCAGACTCGGACATCGAGGCGCTCACGGCGAAGTGGTCGGTGTAGCGTGCGTATGTATATACACAGACGTACAGGATGTCGACGGAATTATCAATGTATAAGTATGACAATGTGTATATGTTATACGTCGTAGAATGTACCATAGGGATCGCTCCGTGGATATGGGCTGTGTTCTGACACTCATCCCTGCCTCCCCGCCGCACTCAACAGGAACCTCGACGGGTGCAGGTAGATGCTCCCACCAGGGCTCCTCCCGTTCTCCAGTACACCCCTCCGCACCGGCGTCGTCTGCTCACCCTCCCCGCCCTCACCGTCGGCGCGCAGCGAGAGCGACGACATCGACGATGAGCCCACGACCAGCGACTGCACCGACATCGTACGCCTCGAACGGCGGGGCGTCTCCACGAGCGTGTTCACGTCCGGGTTGGCAGTGAGGGACCTGCCGTGCACTTGCGTTGGACGCAGCGGCGAGTCGGACATGGGCCCGGGCGCAAGCGACAAGTAATCGTCCGCGGGGCCAAGCAGAGTAGGGTCGATGTGAGTCGTGCTCGAAGGAGCGTATTCGTGCTCGTTGAAGCGGGCGACAGAGGGTTCGTCCAAGGAGGTGTACCATCTACGCGAAGGCGAGTTGAGCGGCGAGGCGAAGTTGAAGCCGTCAGCGAGCTGCGGGAGAAGCGGGGCATTCCATCCAGGCGAGCCAGAGTTCCAAGCATGCATAGGCGGAGCCGGGTTCCACGCAGAGTTCATAGTCCCTTGCCGAGTATCCAGACCGCCGTCAGAGAGGACTTGCTGCAGCGGTGGCAAAGTAATGCGCGGATTGCCGTTGTACGCGAAGGCGTCGTCTGCGCTGTGGAGCCGCCGAATCGGGGGAAGGTCTTGGTAGCTCTGAGCTTGGGAGTAGTTGCCAGTCTGTTCAAGTCCGGGTCGAGCCTGAGAGTACGCGTCAGGCAGCATATCCGAGTGACTAGGCGCAGAGCCGGAGGACCAATCGTTCCGAGAGCCGTAAGCATCAGACATCCAGGGGTCCAGAGGAGGCACGAAGGAAGAGTGGGCCGTTGCTGGTACGGTCTGAGAAGCAGACGGAGCGTGCACAGGCGGCAGAGGGACACCAGACCAGTCGGGCGTGGGCGTCGTCGACTCGATCTTGACAAGCACAGGGACAGCACCCGGTTCAGGCAAGTTCGGGAGTTGCGGGAATCCACCAGCAGGCTCTTGCGCACCGACGAAACTTTGCTGATACGGAGCCTCGTCACCCTCCATCTTGATCAGCGGCGAGTTGCCGACGTCGCCGAGGGCGTGCGCGAGGTCCTTGCTGCCCGTCTTCTTGAAAATGCACGTTGGGCAGACCTTGACGAACTGCGCGATGAGCTCCTTGGGCACCCACGAGTAGTGCGCGCGGATGACCATCGTCGTCTTGTCGCGCCCGCCGTGGTTCGAGAGGTCGTGGCAGTAGCAGAGCACCTCGTAGATCTGCTCCTTCAGCGCGACGGGCCGGTCCTCGTGCAGCACCACGGGCGTGCCCGCGGCGTCGTCCGAGCCGGCGGGGCGGACGTGCGAGAGGACGAACATCTTGCGGACCCACCAGCGGAACTGCGGCGAGCCGACGCGCGAACGGAGCGGGTCGTGCAGCACGTCCCAGATCATGTCGAACATCGCCTGGCTGAGCAGCGCCTTCTCGCGCTTGCGCGGATGCAGCGACTGGATGTACTCGTCCTCGATCGCTTTGTACTGTTCGCGCGTCGGCATCCCCAGGTTGATCGTCGGCGGCGGGAGGGGCTCGGAGGTGGTCTTCGGTTTCTTCTTGTCCTTGTCCGAGGAAGCGACTCTCGAAGCCGTTGGACGAGAGCCAGCTTTCTTCTTGGGTGCCGGCAGGAACTCATCCTCGTCGTCGTCGTACACGAGCGTGTATGGCTTGTATTTAATGGCTGCTTCCCTCTTGGCTTCCTGTCTCCTGGACTGGAAAGACATTGCGATTGCGGCGAGTGGTTGAGGAAAGAATGAGCGTGTATTAGCTGTGATTAGAGTAGTGACTGCTTGCGCCGCGTCAGTGAACATATGGCCAGCCGTGCTGTTTCCCACTCACAGATGTGAGTGCCAGGAGGTAGTAGTTCAGCACTCTCGAGGGTACCCAGGAAGTTAAAGAGAGGGGGTGCCCAGTAAGGAATATCGCACAGGGAGTAGAGTATAGAGAGGCAAGTTAGCGCGGCGCACCGACTCGACACCTGTGGCTGTCACTGTCAGCCACCGTCACGCCTGCCCTTTCTCAGCGGACTCGGAGGCTGGCAAATCAACTCACAAGTCGACCAAACGTCCGCGTCATCACACAGGTGCAAAATAATTAATGAGTCTGGTATACTTGGGGTAATGGGAGTGTAGCGAGTGATATGCATGTAGGTATGACGCGACGAGCTGTACTGTCGCACTATCCACCTGCGACCAAGACATTGGAACACGATCAGAACACCAATAACAGCGAGGGGAATATTGAGCCAGCAACCGCAGAGTATGCCAACGAGGGAGGGATGAGCAGTGCCTATACCGAATCCAGAGTGCACGAAAGGAAGATATTAGAGTGGGTGGGTGGGTGATGCTTGCGGACGGACTAATTAGGTGTACGAATATGCGAGATGGTGTCCCGAGCCCCGATGCAGAGAGGAGAGAAACAGAGACGATGACACAAGACGCATGTCCGGTGGTTGATTGGTGTGTGGTTCTACACCGCACGCTGGAGATCAGCTCGGCTGCGACAAACGCGTCAGAAACTTTGGCCACGGCGAAGCGCGAGGAGTGCACTCACTGTCTCAGCGTGTCATATACAAATTTGTAGCTCCTCAGGTTGCCCTTCAGCCGCCTGATATCGAGACTGTAGGTATCATCCAAGCGGTCAATGCGCGTCAACTCGACGGAGAACCTGATTTCGTCGCCCTGGTCTTGCTGGGTGTCGCCATAGATCGACTCGACGACTGGTACGTCCGAGCCGCCAGGCACCGCTGCTGCCATGAGAGCGTCGGGCGAGGTCTCGCCGTCGTACGACTGAGCAGCGCTTTGATTGAGCGAATTCGTCGATACCTGTGAGGACTGGCGACGCATCAACAGCCCTCTCAGCATACCACCTGTTCCGCCGAAGGTACTAGGAGGCTGGGGCAGTCCACGCTTGTCGACCTGGACGTACACGTCAGCAATCGAAGGCAGAACTTAAGCAATCCGTCTACTTACGCCATTCGAGGCAGCCGAGCCGACCATAGAGAAGGCAGCCACAGAACCCTCGCGCAAGCCCAAACCAACACCATTTGCCTTTCTGCGCTTCGGCCGGACACACCTGTACTTGTACTCCGTCTCGATGTGGATCTCGACGCCCATAGCCTCAAGGACGTGCTTCATATGCTTCATGACCTCCGGCGGCGGGCGCGTCGTGACCGTCGTCTGATCGAGCGGGCCATGGTGCCGACGGATGTCGGGGTACTCGTGCGCACCCTTCTTCGCACCAACCCCGATGCTGCGCACGCGCTCCGCGAGACTGCTGCCCGTATGTGACGACTCGTTGTGCGTCGACGCGGAGCGCTGCGGGTGGCCGGCGGCCATGGGCGAGCGATCGTACTCGGACGTGGGCGTGTTGAGGTAGACGCCTGCGTTGGTACCGTTCACCGTACCAGATGGCGACGGCGTCATGCCGCGCTGGACGACCTCGATATCGGGGCCCTTCTCCGCCTCGTCGTCCGTCGTCTTGCCCTTGCTCTTCGATCTGAACCACTGCATGACCTTGTTCGCCTTGACCGTGGAGGCCGGCACGGCGAGGTGGGAACCTCCGAGCGTGCTCGGGGGTACACCCCGCGAAGGCTGCGCATACTGGGGCGTCGCCGGCGTGACAATGGCGGGTGACTTCGGCGGAACGGCGGGAGGTACGACGACCTCCTGAGATGACTGCTTGTCCATCGCCTTCTCCTTGACAGGCGTCTCCGCTGTTCTGCCCTTCGTGCGCTGCTTGATGGTTCGGCTGAGCGGCTCGACCATGACCGTGAGCGTGTTCCGCCTCGACTTCTTGCTGCTGATGGAGCCATCTGGGCTGAGCGTGGCAGTGGGCTCAGAGGTAGTAGGGGATATGGGGGACACAGGGACCTGCAGCGTCGACGGCCGCCTGCCGACATCTTGTTTCCCATTTGTCATAGCGTCCACAGACGGTGCACGCCCAGGGCCATTCTTCTTGCTCTGCGAAGGCGCGCGATGCACACCGTTGGTCGGCTGCTCGGGTGAGGTGCCGAAGAACTTGGAGATGCCAATTTTGTCGATGGACAGACCCTTCCTGTGCCGGCTCTGTTTCGACGACGCAGAGTCCGTCTTCTCGGACGCGGTCGGTGCCTTCTCTTCGAGAGGAAGACCTGGCGAGACCGGAGGCCCTGTGACCTCGATCGAGACGGGAGGGGAAGTTGCGCTTTGCGCAGACACGAGTCGCTGGGTGATCGTCTCGGAGCGCTCCCGGGAGACAGTCGCTGAGGGTGTGCTTGGCAGAGCCTTCGCTGAGCTGCTCCTGGTAACGTCAACGGACGGCTTCCTCTGAGAACGATCCTTTTCGGGGCTGGATGGCCCGGCCGAGGACGTCCCGTTGCCCATACGGCTACTGCTCTTGCGTTCGGGCTCCCTGTCCTCGGATTCTCCATATTCGACCTGGATGGTGTGGCGCATGCCACCCTTGCGCCTGCTTTCCGGGGAAGCCTTGCTGCCGGACACGGGTGGCGAGGACCCATTAGTCTTCCTGGACTCTTCGCCAGCGGTTCCATTGGCAGACGTGGTATCCATGGCAGATGCACTAGCAGCGTTCTCCCGCGATGGCGATGGCGCAAACGGATCGTCCTCCACCATAGGTGTCGACGTTGGCAACACAATGGTGGAGTTGAAGGCACGACGAGAAGCACTTGGGGCAGTCGAGTACACGGAAGGGTCTGGCGACGTCTCGTAGAGGTATTCCGGTTGCGCTTGCTGACTGTATGCGTGGTCGCGGGTGCTCCTGGACCGAGAGGGTGGGCCTACGCTCGCAGAGCCGCTGTAGCCCTCCGTCCGCGAGCTCTGGCTGCGTGCAATCTTCGACGCGGGCTCCGGTTCCTGGGCGGCCTGCTTCATCTGCCTCTGGTAGGCGAGTCGCTTCTGGTGGTGCTGCTCAATAGCTACGCGCTCGAGATCCGCCACGGTCTTCTTGAAGGTGTGCGCGTAGGGTGCGAGCCATGGGTGAGCCATGATATTGGGAAGGTCAGCTCGACGCGACGGATCCGGAACGAGCATGATGGAGAGCAAGTCGCGCGCCTCGGCGGAGATGTAGTCGGGGAAAGACAGAGGAGTGTTAATGATGTACTTGTACAGGAGGTTGATGTTGTCTCCGTCCGGGTTAGCTGGATCGTCATCGAAGGGCAGGTAGCCTGCCAGCATTGCATAGAGGATGACACCGCACGACCAGATATCGACAGCGGAACCAACGTAAAGCCCGTCGGAGATGACCAACTCAGGCGCCGCATAGCACGGCGACCCGCAGCTGGTCTGCATGAGGTCGTCTGCTCTATGCTCGAAGCGATTGGCGAAGCCGAAATCGGTGATGATGACATTGCGGTGACGGTCGAGGAGCAGGTTCTCCAGCTTGAGGTCACGATGAACAATTTTCTTTTGATGGATGTACCAAACGCCCGAGATGAGCTGCGAGAACAGCTTGCACGCATCTTTCTCGCGCAGGTAACGGTGGGCTAGGATATGATCGAAGAGCTCGCCCCCCGAAGCGTATTCGAGAATGATGCCGATGTACTTGTCGGTCTCGATAACGTCGTAAAGGCGAACAATGTTGGGATGTTTCAGACTCTGCGTGCCATGGCAGTTAGCTCTGCATACGATGATCATAGAATGTGGATGACGCACCTTGAGGACCTCTATCTCCCTCTCAACCTTCGACATGCGCACCGTGGAATCTATGTTCCCCCGTCGCATCAACTTGACGGCAACCTCTTCACCCCATTGCATGTGCAAGCCCAGCTTCACCTTCCCGAACTCCCCTTCGCCTAATGTCTGTAACAACAGGTACGGCCCAAACTTGGGTATCGTTCGCTTCGGGTGAGCGGCGGCGTACTCGAGCGCGGCGGGATGCGAGTAGATGTCGCGATAAGAGGGCTGCTCTTCCTGTTCTCGCTGCCCCGTTACCACTGTATGCGAGGCACGCTTCCTCGTCGATGACGGGGATGCCGAAGACGATGTGCTCGTGGGCTGAATGGATGCGGGTCGGTGTGCATGGCGCGACGGGCCGGCCTGCGAGGAATCGGGGACCTGCAAGTTCGAATAGGAGGAGTCCATGGCGTGCAGACCGACGCGAGCGAGCCCGCTGGCTGCTTTCTTTCCGAGGTTTTTGTGCTGTTGTGGGAGAAAGTTGGAAAAGAAGGCGGCGTGATGGCGAACTGCGAAACGAATTCAAGACGACGTGGACGCGTGGCAATTGTCATGCGGGGACCTTCATATAATGACAAGCTGCATACTCACGGGAAATGTCAAGTCAGGCCGCGGAAAGAGCACGAGTTCACCGTCGTCGTCCACGGCGACGACGAGTGGAGGAAGTGAACCGGGAAATGGCGAGTGAGCAGACCGATGCAACGGCAAGGCAGACTTCCGCATTCGTCAATGACTCAGCAGGGCACACATCGCTGTGGGCGTCTATTCCATTGAATGGTGTTAAGTACGCTCGGTTAAGTATTACGGCACCTTGCTCCGCGCCTACTTATACGCACAGCATTACGGTATGTTATCCTACTGAAGGGCATTCCAAAGAAGTTTGGTGACGGTAGCGCGGAGAACACGACGCATCCAGACAATTACAGCAAGCATGGACAATAAATACGTAGCAGGTAGTATTACCGAAAGCAATGAGGAAGTCCGTTGGATATCACCAGCACGACGATCCGCACGAAAGCAGTAAATCACGCAAGAGTCCCAGTGATGACCATCTGTCCGGACGACACTCATCAGTCATTTAACGCGGCGAGGTAACTCTGCGAGGGCAACACGTCAATCACGCATCGACAGGATCAGTGAATAGGACAGCTTACCTCCCTATCGGACACGAAGTCGAGGTAGGTCAACGCGACCGCTAAGTAGAAGCCAGTCTCCACCCCGAGCGATCGGACGAGCTTCATGTCAATTTCTATGACGCCGGACACCGAGTTGACAGTCCACACCGGTGTTTGGTCAGAGAAGGTGAGCAGTGGGACGGGCGTCGCCGGCACCGCATCGCGGTGTCGCCCTGGTGTAGATGGTGATGATGGCGCCCACGGATCCGGAATGGGTGACAGGGTGAAGCTGTACGAATGCGCGGGAGCATTGGTCTTCAAGGCGGAGAACATCCGCGTGAACAGCGAACTTCTTTCCGCCTGCTGAGGAGTGACCCTTGATTGAGGCGAGAGGACGAAGTGCGTGATGGGGGGCTTTGCAGGAGGTGACGAAGTTGCGTGACGGCCTGGCGGAGCTTTGAAGTCATAGTTACCAAGCTTTGGCTGTGTCATGCGCGGGGACGGTGGGTGAACGACAACGCTCGGGGCAAGCGGTGGAGGAGTCGGAGGATATTCATGAGTGGCTATGTCTTCCTCCGTTTCTGATGTTTTCTCAGAAGTCTCGTTTGAATCTTTGCGCTGACGATTCGGAGTGGGCGATATAGTGAGGGAGAAGGGTGGGGGGTTCCGGCATGCAAACGTCAGCGCAGAGTCCAGGTAGTACGGCGAGGTCTGCGGCAGCGGTAGAAGCGGTATAAAGACATCCGGAGGAAAGGATGGTGTCCGCAACCGGATGTACCAGCCCCGTTTGGGACGATGAATGGTCCACAAAATTGTGGATGTTCCATTCTCCTACAACAGTGTTAGGATAACGCGAAAATCAGCATTAGTTACGCACCACGAAGTGTTCTACAATTTCATCATCAGCGAGGAATCTTTCCTTCACACAGCCTGCTGAGCCGATCATTGCTTGCCACGGAGTGATGGAGATACTTGCCTTGTACCAAATCACCCTCTCGGATCCCTCCTCTGTGATGTTCATTCGCATGTCCGCCAGGACATCCGAGCTACTGTAGAGATGAGCAGACTGCATTGTACCAGCTACGCACGGATAGCGTACCTTTGGACGGTGAACCGCGCAGTCCCGACTTCATCTTCAGGCGGCCTTCCCTGGACAGTTGGATTCATCCCAAGCTCGCCAACAGGCTACCTCTGAGGCACAGAAAGGCTCCGATACTCCGTGATCCAAAGCTTGTGTTGCGCAATGACAATGCGGCCTGCCGCAGGCCCTCCGTTCGAGTCAAAGCGAGTCTAGGTCCGTGGGCCTTCCTATCGATTACCGTTGACCTGTGCAGCAGAGGCTATGCTCGAGTCAGTAGATATAACGAGGAGACGGCGAGCTCAGACGACAAAGACGACGGCAACAACGACGAAGTCGGTGCGCAGCCAGTGAGTGTCGCTTGCCACTGGATACCGAAAGTACAGCTTATGACAGACGCCGATTACAGATACAGATCCATCGGGAACATTGAATATGAACAATGGACCTGCAGCTCAACGGCGTCCATGTCCTCGTAACAGGTCAGCATAGCCTACCAACTTGAACGCATTTCCCAGCAATGTTCGGGAGGACCTCATACCAACCGTCGGAACAGGTGCTAGCGGTGGCATAGGCCTGGTGACTGGCAATCTGGTGACGGCACCGTGCCTCTTCCTCAGTCAGTCTCATATTTTTACTGGTATAGTCTACACAGCGGGCTTGATTCTCGCTCGAACACCTTTTGCCACACATTTAATATGGGACAGAATGCGGAGCAAATGTAACTACTCACTATAACTCCACGTCGTCAACTCTCGAGCCTCTCCTCGCCCGGCCGCCGAATTCGGTCCTTCCCGTGTGCAGTCGGCGCAAGCGAACCTCAGCAAGGAGGAAGACGTCTTGCGCATGTTCGATGCACTCAAGGGGTTCCCATTTGGTCCAGTGCAGGTGCTGATCGCGAACCATGGGTCTCACCCGGCTGAAGATGTGCCTGTTGTGGAGATGTCTCTCGCGCAGTGGGAGTCGACCTTCGCGTCTAACACGACGGCTACCTTCCTGGTTGTCAGGGAGTACCTCAAGCAACTGGCAGGGGCGACAGCCGAGCAGAAGGAGAAGGCGTCCATTGTCATGATAGGTAGCACTGCGGGCAAGTATGGCGAGATTGGCCATGCCGACTACTCTGCGACCAAAAGTGGTCTGTACTCTCGATGGATTCTTCTAGCGATGCAGAGTACTGACCATGTCGATACAGGAAGGATGTATGGCTTTACCATGTCGCTGAAGAATGAGATCGTCAAAACCGCCCCACGCGGGCGAGTGAATTGCATCGCTCCGGGTGAGTAAAGGATCGACTGCCACCTCACCCGAGCAGCGTTCTTACGAACCCTAGGGTGGGTCAAGACCCCCAGGGCTGAGCATGCCCTGAAGTAACCTGATATTATCTACCGCGCGCTGGCGACGTAAGCCGTCTATCAATCGTACTGCCGGTGATCACGTATCTAACCCACTTTGCTGCCTAGCACGCCGCTCAAGAAAGTCGCTACGCCAGAGGACATCGCGTCTCAGGTCTTCGTGGCGTCGACCGCCGTGTCCGGACATGTCTCCGGCCAAGTCATCATAGTGGAAGGCGGTATGGAGGGTAGGCTGCTGAACAAGCGCGAGGACATCACCGCTCACTAAGCTTCGATCTCGCGTCCAAGGAAAGGCAGGCTCGAAGTAGCTGTTTTTTTCAACGATCGTGCGTCAGGTATTAGCCGACGACTGGCCAGTAAGTGTTCTGTATCTCAATAAAACGTGTTTAACCCCTGTTGGTGTGAACAATCGCGTTGCAGAGACGCGAGAAGTGTGATCCTTTGTCTACATAGGGCTCGGCCCTCGCGGACAATAAAGGGATTGAAAGTGTGATCCTCCTTGTGACTCGTTCATGTTCATTGAGGGTGCTCCTTCGACTCCCGTAGCACACGCTAACAATGCAGCTCCTCAATCAGATCCCACAAGGCGCGAGTTGAGTATGCAACCGATAGCTCAGAGACAAGGATGTATTTGACGCTCAACGTCTAAGTACATATGATCACCGTACGTCCTGCCTGCGACTACTACACTGTGATCGTTTTGCGCTGATCTGAGCAACCCGAGTAGTTTCGAGCGGTGGTGTTCCCACAACGGAGCTGTCCCTGGGTACGCTACCTTCAAGATCTAGCTACCTCCGTCAAAACTTACCTCTTATCTCTCCAGAGGCTGTAGCGAAAGTGACGGCGTACAACAACAAAATTTCATCAAGTCTGCAACCGCTCCTCTCCTATGAGGGGAACCTGACAAACGAAGAAGGCATGACACAGCTGGTTGACTTCGCATTCGGTGCCGTGCACGTCCTGGCGTTCATGTTCATCACGGTGGACATCTAGTGGAGGACGTGCCAATGGGCCATGGCAGAGATGTCCCTTGGGCCATGGCTGAGTATGGTCGTCGTTGTCATGACATCGTCCTCTTTGGTTGTGCAAGTACTTGGAGGGCAACAGGGACAAGCGAGTCAGGGTGGCATGTTCACGGACTGAGTGACAAAGACTAGAAATGTAATCTTGAGTATGACTGTCACCCAACAGAGTACCTAGAAGCGAAATCCTTCAAGTGGTAGAATCTGTTGCATGGCGAGTGAGCCTGAGGACTTAGGTGCTTGACAGAATATGTCCGGACCCTCCCGAAGCGGGGAACTTGGAGTCGTTGGCAGGCCGTAGCCCGAATTTGACAGCCGTCAAAATCGTCGATCATGATCAGCACTGCGCAGCGATGCGCGTTGTCCGACAGCAGGTGGCGTAAAGACTTGCCACGCAGCCCTTGACAGAAGTCCGCACACTCTCGATATACTGCATATAGTGCATCGAGTAGTAGCACAATAGCCGTCGCATAATCGATATTCGTGCACGGACGGCCGAAGACTTCAGGCAACTTCAAAGATCAGTTGCAGACATCGCATCGGTGGCGACGAGGGATTTCGACGCAGAAGTCGGTCATGACATACCATCTATACATACTGGGTTGACTTATGGAAGCTCTCAGATGACCAGTGTTAAGATGAGTAGAGAGAATGCACGCTGAATCGTATACGAGTCACACGGCGCAATCATGGCCACCTATGGCCATGCTCATGTTTGACCGGATTCGACTACTTAGTACGACTGTGAAACCGAGGATTTGACGGTGCGAACATCTCCAAAGCACGATGTTCCTGTGTGCCAAATGCTGAGCTACATCAAAGAAAGCCTCCGCATAGGATGTGAGGTGAATAGAGCGATCTAAACGCGAGTAAGATCCGATATCGTCTGCGAGGCACGCGGAGCGCCTATTCCGACTTTTCAGCCAAATTTTTCGCATCTTCCTGCTTCTACTTACTGATTCAATCGACAACAGCAACTTGACGCAGTGGAAGCGTGCAGGGCTCATAGAGGCACCCTGAAGTCCCTGGATCGAAACCAGGAGTTGCTAGAGATGTGTTTTTGCCATCCTGATGTTGCATCGGACGTGAGCGCGAAGTATTGGATGTCTACACGTTGTTCTCGCGTTCTTTGCGTTCCACATCACTCCCAAGTACCTAAAATCACTTTGATTCAAATGTAGATCATGAATTTTGTCAGAATATCACAGCTGGTGGCCTATGTTGTGTACATTTCGCATAGTATGTTGTTCAGTGAGCCCCAACCGCGTTTACACTCATGCACGTGACCGCGTTAATCCCGCGTCGAGGATCCGGCGACGCAGCCTCACTCTTTGGGACAAGTACTACTCACTTAGACCGATGAACTCATCCAACATACTACGCTGAAACATACGAATTCTGAGCCTCTGATGTGATTCGGTGGACTTGCGGGAGGGAGTCAAGGTCCGCGAGATAGCTCTCAAGTTAAGTAGGAGTGGTACGTCGCCTCGGGGGACTTCGGGGTTCCCATATAAGTACAACATTGGCGCTATGGAGTTTCTGTGGCCGCGCACGTGAAGGGTGGGCTTCAACCTGTTCTCACTCTGCGTTCGCAACCTCCAGTATATGTGCGTCTTAGCACGATTGTCTGCTTGCCGCTTTATAAATCGTGAATTCATGATTGTTTATCATCATCCCATGTCTACTGCCTCGAGCCAGCCTCCGAGTCAGGCTGAGCTGACTACTACGCGACTGCAATTCCCGGACTAGATTTGCTCGTCAATAGGAAATGACACATTCGTGCGAGCCAGACAAACCAGACGTGCCCAACTAATTTACCTCTTTGCTCAGGGGCGAGTCCCCTCACCGCCCCCGCCATGTCGAAACTTCGGGTGACATATCTTTATGATCGTGCGTTATCATACAACCTTCGAAGATCAGGCATGGCTGACGGGCTTGTACTAGTAGCTGATGTGGGGGCCTACACCTATGGTTATGGACATCTCATGAAGCCTTAAAGGCTGTGTATCACCCATGTGCTTGTCTCTGCATATGACATGCTGGACAAGACGCATATCCCAGTGCGTGATTCACTCGCTCCTCTGCTAAGTATGTCTCTCACGTTCTTTTGTTTACGGCGAGCCAAACGCGCATCCGCAGAGACTAGAAGTGTATGATGATGAAGAAGAAGAAGATGTCAATTATGAATCACTGCAGTGTATGCGGAGTGCAAGCTAGTCACGTCAGCGAAGGTTGTCTGACACGCTAATGTTGGTGAAATTTCAGTGACATGCTGACGGTTTTTGACGCTTTGGCGTTAGCATAATCGGTCAGCGTTGGGTCAGCGTGTCAGCAACCGTCAGCACTTGTTAGCAAAATCCTGGATCTACTGATTGGCACTTGCTCACGTATACTCGTCTTCTAGTACGTCGAACCTGTTCCTCTATGGCAATACCTTCTTGGGAGCGATAACAAATACAAATTCTCGTACGGTCATCATGAGTCGGTCCCTTCCCCCTTTCTATGTGCGTTACCTCATGTAATGCTCTATGCACTCTCACAGTGATAATGGCCGAATGTGCATGCCGGCGACCTCCATCTCGACTGCAGGCTATAGTTCGAACCTACTCCAATCTAAAGTGGACTAACACATGGTCTCGCACATCGAAACATCCTACGCGGAGTCCGGCCGCTATTCATGTAGGGGCCAAAAGCGACCGGATTTCAGTATCAGACACCTTCTTATCCCCGAATGTCTGACACTTCTGCTCTACTCGCATCCAGGACGGCAGGAAGTGCTACATTTTCGGCACTCACCCCCCACATCAGCTGACGTAGAGACGCTTTCCCCCTTCGCCACCCCGCTACGGTGATTAGCCCTTTGCGGCTCTCGACAGCGTCTCTCGTCCATGGCCGTGCTATAAAGCTTGACCTTGATTTTGGACAGTCCCTGTATCTCAATTCGGACGAACGTACCATGAGCTCCTTGCCACTGGAAGCTGACATCATCATAGCTGGAGGTGAGAGTGTACCTAATTGTCGCTCTGCAGTATACCTGACAGTCTTTGTGATCCAGGTGGCACGACTGGCTGCGTCATTGCAGGTCGTCTCGCTGCAGCGGACCCGTCTCTTCGCATACTCATCATCGAGGCTGGCCCGCCCACCCTCGAGGATCTCGCACATATACAGCCCGCTCGCTACCAGACTCACCTCCTACCCGGAAGCACGACCGTCAAATGTCATGTGGGGAGGGAAAGTGCTGACCTCGGCGGTCGTGCACCCATCGTGCCCTGCGGACAGTGTCTCGGGGGTGGATCAAGTGTGAACTGTGAGTATTTGGTGTTATGTCGAACGAGCGGTCGTAATTGACCACTGCGCTTTCAGTCACTATGTATACACGCCCATCACCGTCCGATTTTGATGACTGGGAGACGGTATACGGGAACCAGGGCTGGGGCTCACGGGACCTCATCCCGCTCCTGCAGAAGGTCAGAAGGCGTCACGAAAGTACTCTGCAGTGAATTGACGGGATCTGTAGATGGAGACCTACCAAGTGACACCGGACAATCCGACACACGGCTACGATGGTCCCTTGAAGATTTCGCACGGCGGTGTCTTCACCAACGTAGGCAAGGAATTTCTCGAAGTTGCTGCACAATATGACAAGAGCCGGGGAACCACGGACGACCCCAATGACATGATCGGGGTCAACGTGTACGGTGTGAGTCTGCCTCAAGTGTCCTATCTTTTCGGTTCTAAGTCCCATACACGGTTGTAGCGATGGCAGAAGTGCGTCATACTTCGCTTCTCATATGAGCCCTATCTGACGAGCTTTCGGAAGGTACATCGACAAGGAGAGTGGTCGCCGCTCTGACGTGCCGCACAACTACATCTACAACCGTCAGCTCGACAATCTCAAGATCTTGACTGGCTACCATGTGAAGCGGGTGCTGTTCGAGTGCGCACTATGCATAGCAGTTATTTGTTCGTCAGGCTTAAACATTGCTCGTCATCTGCAGGGCTGGACGGGCTACCGGCGTGGAGTTCCTGCCAAATGCGCGCTTCCATCCGAATGAACAACAAACGCTGCGAATCGCCAGGGCTCGCAAGTTGATCATTGTGTCATCGGGCACCTTTGGCTCTCCTGCCATACTCGAGCGCTCCGGCGTAGGCGATCGCAAGCGGTTGCAATCGCTAGGAATTGACGTCGTTGTCGATCTCCCCGGCGTGGGCGAGAACTACCAAGGTAGATTGCGATTCGCGTGATTCGCGTACTATATTGTCGGATCGGTCTAACGCTCACACAGACCACAATGTGATATTTACACCGTACCGCCTGGATGATGATGCAGACACGTTGGACGGACTCGTCCGCAATGACAAGGAGGAGATCGAAAGTACATGAGCACCTTCGTTGATGAAGTCGCACCTTTACTAATTACTTTTGCCAGGGTTGACAGCTCAATGGCTCAAAGACGGCTCCGGCCTCTTAGCTCATAAGTAGGCTTTCACCTCTCTTACGTTGTCTATTGTCAACGAGATCTAGCGGTATCGACGCTGGTATCAAATTACGGCCTTCCGCCGAGGAACTTGAGGTCATCGGACCCGACTTCACCGAGCAATGGGAGCGAATGTTCGCCAATGCCCCAGACAAGCCTGTAATGTGGGTAGGCCCCATCGGCGTGTGAGCATTCTGACCCTACTTTGTTTCATTGCTTTGGCTGACATGCACAGGTTCGTCGGAGATTCATCTGTCGTCCCTGTAGGGAAATACTTCTGTACATGCTACTTCTTGGACTACCCAGAGGCCGTTGGATATGCGCACATTTCATCTGTCGAAGACGTGAATGCGCCGCTGGTTTTCGATCCAAAGTTCCTGAGCAAGTAGGTCTAATCTTTCGCGTCGAAAGCACACGCAGCCGATATTGATGCCTTCATGATTATTCTAGACCCTCAGATATCGCGCTGATGCGATGGGGCTACAAGTTTGGACGAGAACTCACTCGCAGGATGTTATCCTACCGGGGCGAGTATGTCCCATCTCACCCTGCATTCCCGAAGGGCAGTCAAGCAGCCTGCAACGGAGATACCAAGCCTGTAGCTGTGGGGCAAGTGAACATTCAGTACACAGATGCAGACGATGCAGCGATTGACGAATATACGCGGAAATATGCGGCAACGACATGGCATAGTGTATGTACAGCGCTGCTTGCGTCTCGCCCTAGTCGCTGACACCGAGTTGATGGCCATCCATGCTAGCTGGGAACGTGCGCAATGAAGCCGCGTGATCAACAGGGAGTCGTAGATGCCTCACTGACCGTGTACGGTGTCTCGGGGCTCAAAGTCGCCGGTCGGTCAAGAATCCCCTGCCGCGGATCCCTGCAGAACACTGATCGTTCATTCCTGCTAGATATGTCTATCGCACCCTCAAATGTTGGATCCGTGAGTATCCTTTCAACACGGTTGCATATTAGCCTCACATATGACCACACTCACAGAACACGTACTCTTCTGCTGTGGTCATAGGAGAGAAAGCAGCGATGGACATCCTCGAGGAGCTCAGCATGAATCGCTGAAGCCTACGTCACACATCATTGTCACCATCTTTTTCTAATAGCCTCGATTTCATGACGTTTCATGCCATGTCCACTTTTGATTCGCAGGAATGCAGAGTTATGACAGGAACGCACTGCGAGCGACGGCAATTGTCGGACAGCGACTCGGAGACATATGCCAGTCCTACTACGTATGCCACTCTGCGTAGTATAACAATGAGGGGCGAGCAGAGTTACTATTAGATAACGTTGTCTCCTTGAACTCTCACGCTGGCAAAGGAGGAGGAGGAGGAGGAGGAGATGGGTCCATTTAGCCGCAGTGTAAAGGAGTTTCGATTGATCCTGATCATGCGATGTACATAGTGCGCTTGGGCATATTTCTTTCTTGACATTGCAGTGCGTAAGCGCTTAAGCGCTTGCGAAACGGGCCACGGCGAAAAAAGTCAACATTACACGGCAGCGGCATGACGAATGAATGTGCGTAAAGTGCATGTCTCATTCAATGATTCATGCGGCTAAGGAGCATCAGCCGCACTCTAACTGGATTGTCATATATTTACATCGATTGCTCATGAGATATAGAAGGATTGCTACTAACGCTACAATGCAAGATATGTAATGATAGAAATGTTAGAAAACGGTCATCGCCCCTGGCGTCATTGGCAACTCTTGAATCGCATCCAATTCATCGCGCTGCACCAACTTCTCATTCTGCACCAACTTCTCGCTGTCTTTCGTTGCAGGCGTTTCCTCGATCGCACCGAGGACACCCCACTGTTTTGTCAGCTGCGAAGCGAGGTGGAACACCTTGCCCGACCGCCCTGTCTTCTGGCTCTTAGAAAGCGAGACGAGGGCATTGGAACGACGTCCGAGACTGCCCAAGCTGTCCGTTGAGCCAGACGGTGTGCTCGAAGAATCGAATGATGAGGCGGTGGCCGTCGTGCCGACAGAGGCCTTCCTGTCGTCGCCGAACTGAGCAGGAGTGATCTGGGATGGGTCCTGGGCTTCCGCCGGCTCGACGAAGATAGTAGGCGCCGCAGCGGGAACGGGGGCGAGAGGATCGACTTCGGCATGGCGGTGATCGACGACAGGCATCGCTGCGGGGAGGTTGACACGCGCGTTTTCCGGTTCCAAGAACGGCGTGGGTGCATCGAACACAACGGTCGCCGATTCGTCTTCGACGACAGCGGGTGCCTCGAGTGCAACCTCGTTGGCCGTCTTAGCCTTCTTGCTTGACCGCTTGCCGCGACGCATCTTCTTGAATGCACCACGCACCGGCTTATTCGCGATGCGCTCCTCGTCCGTGACCGTGTTCTTGCTCGCGCGCCACATCCGGTACTTCTTGCGAAGCACGTAGAACGCGTACTTGGACTCGCCGACGATGACATCGGAGTAGGCTTGCGCAGAGAGGCCAAGTCCAATTCCGCCAACGACCCAGAACAACGGATTGTGGAAGACGGTGGCGAGCAGGTAGGCGAGACCGAGGGAGAGCATCATGTACCAAACGACGAGGTGACCGACATGTGTCGTGCGGGAAAGGAATGACTCGGGACGTGCGTATTCCGACTTTGAGCGTGCCGATGTACCCCAGTTCGTGACATGAACAGTGAAACAAGCGAACAGCTTGGAAGGCAACAGTCCGAAGAAGTACTGCAATAGCGTCAGAACAGTGACCGTAGTGGACAAAGGGATGCTGCATACCATGAAACCGTAGATGCCGAAGAGGAACTGGCGCGGGTCGCGCAAGCAGATCACGCCGTAGATGGACTTGATGACAGCCACACCGAACATTGTCCCGAGCCAGATGAGGGGGCGGATCCAGCCTGACGGGTGGTAGAGCATGCGCATAACGGTGGCCGTCAAGACGAACGGATACAGGAACTGCTTGCTCGTCTCGACCGTCAACCAGAAGCGGTGGAACGCGAAGCTCTTGGGGAACCAGAACGCCTCACGGAAGAAGGACTTTGACCAACGCGTCTGTTGCTTGACCCAGCGGACGTAGCCAGCAGGCGTGTCGGAGTCGCACATCGCAAGGTGGGTGTAACCTGTCTTGTGTCCGAGGGACAGGATACGGTTCGACAAATGCCGATCGTCACCGAATGTGGTCTCCTTGCCGAGGAACGACTGGAGGATCCACGGTCCCAGGACGGAAATCAGGTCTGACGTCTTGTAGAGCCCCAGCTACAGGAGCGTCAGACCGTAGTGACGATCAATTGAATGATGAAACTCACAGGACCGGACAAGCAGCCAACACAGCCAAAGGCGCTCTGACAAGCGCGCTCGACGTTGAACGCGAACCAGTAACGAATGGAAGACATGAGCGCAAGGAAAGAGTCACTCTTGTTCCAGATCCGCACGTCGCCAGTGACACCAGCCAACCTTTCATCACTGAACAGCAAAGCCATCATGTTCTTCACGGCATCGGGGTGAACGTAGGTGTCACTGTCGGTAGTGAGCATCGCGTCCTTGGTACCAAGGGCGTATGCGCCGACAATGAATGCAGTGAACATGGCGTGACGCTTGTGGCCGTGAGGTCTACTTGACAGTTAGCGGAGGAGGAGATTATGGTCGGTGAAACGTACTCAGAGAAACAGATGGCCTTCCAGTCCTTCCAGCGCCCCTCCTCTGCCTTCTGGTGGACGTAGTTCAGCGTGTAGTTCCACGCGACCTCGTGCGCCTCCGCCTGACCGGGGCGAGGATCCTGGGTGAGCCACATCTTGAAGAATTGCCAGCGAGTGAGCGGCGTGTGCCCGAGACTGTTGATATGCTCCCAGTACTTCTCCTTGTACATGACAGAGAGTAGGACCGGCAAGTGGACGATGAGGCGCTCTTCCTCGGGGAAGGCCTTGCCGAATGCGTTGGCCATGTCCATATCAGGACCGTCGTTTCCGTCAACAACGCCAATGATATGCTTGATCGGGTACTCCTGCGCCCAAAGCGACTTCAAGCACTGCCGACACTGTCAGTAAAAGAGCGAAGCGCAACAACAGTAGATTTACCGCAATCCAAGCGTCTTCATCTTCACGATAACCAACGACGGCGATGCTGCACTCGGGAAGAGGAGCAGGCTCCTGCGCGGGCACCTGGTCTTTAGCGGCTAGGCGCTCCGCGACGCCCTTGACCAACGGCGACTGCGCGGTCAGCTTGTTTACCCGACGACGATTGAAGGATGCCGCGATGGTCTGAGTGATGAAGTCTATAGAAAGCGTCAGAACAAACTCATCGAGGAAGGTTGTCAGACTCACCGATGATCAGGAGCAGGCCGTACATGCCGAAACTCCATGGCCCGACGGTGACGATCTTTACGCCAAGACCGTACCCAACGAGCAGACTGCAGACGACGCCCAGACTGACGACAATCTTAAAGGTCGCCGGGAACGGGCTGATCTTCGGCTGCTGGCGCTGCACGATATTGAACGGCGGCTCGACCCACGGATGCGTGACCGACGACTCCAACGCGCGAGCTTCCGCGATCGGCAGCGTCGCCGTCGAGGCGTTCGGTACGAAACACTCGATCTCCGGGTCGACGTATTCGAGCGCAGGAGGGACCTCCGGCGGCGGGCCGAGGCCAAACTCATCATCGTCTTCGTCGGAGCTGGAGCTGGAACGCGACGAGGACGAGCTGCTCGAGTGGCTCAGAGTCGGGCGGAATGGCACGCCAGCGTATGGATGCGAGTCGGGGTGTACCGCAGGGAGCCTGATGGGCTTCTCGGGCAATGCGCGAGGCGACACAAGAGGCGAGCGGATGCGGTCGAAGTTAATCGCTTCCTCGAGCCTCTTGCCCATCTTGCTAGGGCGCCGCGACCAAGGGCTGACGAGGAGAGTCTCCTCAGTGGGCGTGGCCGTGAGGTTAGGTGCAGACGGCGATGTCAAAGGACTGGGCATGGCCATGAACGAACCCTGCGAGTAGCGCGGCGAGGGCATCGCAGAAAGAGACTGGGTGGATGGCGACCGCGACAGTGTGCCGGAAGAGCGCCTGAGTCTGTCGGCGAAACGGTCGCTGCTTCCTCGTCGGGGGAAAGCAGGCGGAGGGACACACAGACGAGCGAAGTCCCGGGCAACGATGGGACGAGGCTTAATCTTCTCGTCATCGACGGCGGTCAGGAGATCGCCACCTTCATCTATGGTCTCCACGCGAGAAGGAGCTTCGTCTGCGTCCTGAGATGCAGAGAGGCCAGACGGTCGACGGTCGTAGATGAGGAGGGAGCCACCCGATGTCGAGGATGCATCCGACGGTCGACGGCCGGAGACGAGCGAGCCGTCCGACGTCGATGAGGCATCCGATGGTCTGCCATCGTCCGCGAGGTCCAGGACGACGGCAGGATAGTCCGGGGCATCGCCATCGGAGGAGGAGCTGCTACCAGCGGACGAGGACTGAGAGTCGCCGCGCTTCTCCTTGTTGATGTCGAGCCATCTTGCTTGAAGGCGCGTCTGACCAGCAGCGTCCTTCATCGTTGCCTTCGATGACTGAATTGAAAATCAGCGACGCTCGACGCAAGGAAGAAAAAGATAAAACATACCTTAAGCGACAGGGGAACGGCCTTGGCGGGAAAATTGAAGCGACGAGGCTTCGAGCTTGGCGTCAACAATTGCGCCTTCTCCCCCGTGGAGGAGTACGGGGTTGAGGCTCGAGACTCCGAAGGGGTGTTCGCGGCTGGTGTGCCGCCGGACCGGCCGAGCCCCAGAGCGAAGTATGAAGCCTCGGGATACTTGACATCGCCTCCCTTAGGACGGTTCGACTTCGCCGTAGACATATTGCCAAGGAGGGAACGTGTGGGTGAGAAGTCAATGAATGCGCAAATCCTTCGAAGTTAGAAAGTTGAAGTGCAGGAAATAGGTGCGTTTCCGTAGCAATCCCGCACGTCTTATATACGCAACAGCATGCAATGCCATCGCGTGCCGAACCAGCATGCAGCGGCGCATAGAAATTAGGCAGCGGAAGGGCGGATGCGCTTCATGCTGCCCATCCGCACTTCTGCCGGTGGAGCAGTTGCCATATATGGGACGTCACTTCTAAAAGAGGAAGGTGCTGTGGTTGCTTCCGCCATGTCGGATTGTACCCGAAGCCATCCATTTCCGAGTCGTGCGGACCAGCACAGGCACATCGGCAGGGCTGTGTGGCCGTATCCGTGCTCCCGACGTGCCCGCTGAGTTCTAGCCCCATGTAGCTCCGTCACCCAGAACGCGGTGCGATCGACGGCAGCGGCCTGAGGGGAGCGACTTGCCGGCGGATGGTGCACCTACAACCCAGGTCATCGCGGCTTCGGATGGCAAGTAAGACTTTACACAGCTGCCGGTCGCATTCGAGGAGCTGCTTTCGGATGGCTGCAACCCTCTGTGAGTCGGATGCGGGGAGGCGTGGTCCAGGCCTGCTCTGGCCTACTATGCCCCGGCATGCTTCCGTATGACTCGTTCTTCCGTCCTCAGGTCACGTTCCGTTACCTGAGAAAGCAAAAGAACAAGTCGTTGTGGTAGTGTCGTGAATGAGTGCGAATTGCGTAGAGTGCATGAGATGAACGACTTGGGAGAGGACGAGGAGAGGATGAGGACAGGCACTTTAGGCGCTCTCGACTGATTGCGCGTGACACTGAGGATCGCGTGACATGAGTGTGACCGATTGACTCGAATCGAGATCACTGAGTCTGACTTTCTGCAGCCTGTGCGATCGTCCTCGACATACGACTCTAGCTTCTCCGTCTCTTCTCCCCTGCCGACCGCGACGAAAGTCAAATCTTACCATGCCAGGAGACGAGACATTGCAGAAACATGACGGGTCCGACAGTGAGGGCGAGGAGAGCGACGACGAGGAAGTACTCCCGCAGGTGGAAATCGATCCGTCGAAATTGACCCCGCTCTCCCCGGAGGTCATCTCAAAACAGGTTCGTTGCATGTACTTAGTAAATACTCTCTTCTAACTTAATGTAAAGGCCACCATCAACTTGGGTGCGTTTCTTGAAGACGCGATACTTGTCGGGTCAGCTGAGCAACCGTTTGTGCAGGAACCATCGGACATGTCGCGCACGGAAAATCTACTGTCGTGAAAGCAATATCAGGCGTCATGACTGTGCGCTTCAAGAACGAATTGGTCCGCAATATCACTATTAAGCTCGGATATGCCAACGCGAAGGTGAGTGTCCTCGTGCTTAGCCCGTCATACATCCTTACACGACGTTTCCAGATCTACAAATGTGAGAACGAGGCTTGCCCGCGTCCAGGCTGCTATCGGTCATATCGCTCAGACAAGGAGGACAACCCACCTTGCGAGCGACCAGGGTGCGGTCACCGCATGAAGCTCATCCGCCATGTCTCCTTCGTCGACTGTCCCGGACACGACATTCTGATGGCTACCATGTTGAACGGTGCCGCTGTCATGGACGCCGCCCTGCTACTCATTGCAGGCAATGAAACCTGCCCTCAACCACAGACGTCTGAGCATCTGGCGGCTGTCGAGATCATGAAGCTCGAGAACATCATCATCCTGCAGAACAAGGTCGATCTGATCAAGGAGTCTCAGGCATTAGAGCACCAGAAGAGCATCGCTGCGTTCGTCAAAGGTATGTATGTCCGCTTACTTCCACGCCGTCGTCTAATCCCTGCCTCCAGGTACCGTTGCGGAGTCATCGCCAATTGTCCCCATCTCCGCACAACTGAAGTACAACATCGACGCCGTAAACGAATACATCGTCAAGCGGATACCCATCCCCGTCCGTGACTTCACCGCCGACCCCAAGCTGATCGTCATCCGTTCCTTCGACGTCAACAAGCCTGGAGCGGAGGTCGACGAGCTCAAGGGCGGTGTCGCCGGTGGCTCCATTCTCACGGGTACCCTCCGCTTAGGCATGGAGGTCGAGATCCGGCCAGGCATCGTCACGAAGGACGCGCAGGGACGGAATAAGTGCAAGCCCATCTTCAGCCGCATCGTCTCGCTACACGCAGAGAGCAACCACCTGCAGTTCGCTGTTCCCGGAGGTCTCATCGGTGTTGGTACGCGTATCGACCCTACGTTGTGCCGAGCAGATCGTCTCGTCGGTCAAGTGCTCGGTGCTGTCGGCAAGCTTCCCCAGATCTTCAGCGGTACGTAGTGCGACTGTCTGTGACAGACGCTGCAGCCTGACATGACATGCCTATCAGAGCTCGAGATCAGTCTGTTCTTGCTCCGTCGCTTGCTTGGTGTCAAGACGGAGGACAAGAAGCAGACGAAGGTATCCAAGCTCGTCAAGAACGAGCTGCTGCTCATCAACATCGGCTCCACGTCGACCGGTGGACGTGTGCTGAGCGTCAAGGCGGATCTCGCGAAGATCCAGCTGACATCTCCCGCATGTACCGAGGTTGGGGAGAAGGTCGCCCTGTCGCGCCGTATCGAGAAGCACTGGCGGCTTGTCGGTGAGTTCGCCTGGTGTCTACCCACTCCTGCACTTCACTGACATCATGCACAGGCTGGGGTAGTGTGCAGCGCGGGACGGTGTTGGAGGTCGACTGAATGTCTTCCCTTCCCGGATTGTATCATTGCTCTTGCCAACACGGATTGCTGTCATCATCCCTCTAAGAGGTCCTGTAGCACTACAGTAGAATGTATCCATTTGCATTCATCACGAATTCGCAATGCGTGTTATTGAACTTGATGAAACCTTGCAAGTTGTGCTATATATGCTACACCTCGCAAGCAGCCGCGATGTTTGTCGTTTATGCTTGTCAAGGATCGGGTAACTGATCATGAGCACATACTGGTGTGCCCTAATGGCATTGAGCAAAAGCATAGAGGGCATCACCGCGGGAGCACGGTGGTCTTCCCGTGCGTTCTCAGATATACATACTCGTGGCAGGCAATCAAATAGGCTCAACAAATGCCAACTGCATCGCGATTACTCGTTGGCCAGTGTATTGTTCCTCAGCATAATAGAATATGCGCATGCATTGTCTTTCACGGCATGGCCCTTGAGCCTAGTAGGAATTCTTATAGCTAATCCGGTGAGAAATGCTGAGAGGAAATGTACGATTGTTATACAATGGGTAGCGCGTGCAACAGAGCGAAGGACTAGTTAGAACGATCGATGAAAGCATCTACACGATATCGTTGCGGGATTGAAGTACACGGCCATCATGGGCAGGAGGATGTATCAGGTCGAGCTCTTCGAGGTCCACTCCTGCAAACGAACGACTCTTCACTCGTCGGGTCTCGAGGTCGCGCTTTGCGAGGTAGAGATGGAGCAGCTTAATGCAGTCCTTAGCCTGCACACATATCAGTTCCATATCAAGGTTGCACAGATCCATAGTCACTCACGACAATGAAAATGCCGAGGCCAATGGAGTTCCGCCACCTACGGTACGTCAGTTTACAACACTGGGTCAATACGACCAAAACCCTCTCACCAGACAGGATCGCACTCGTACCAGACTCTCGTCCCACCCAAGACCAAGTTGAGCGCGACTTGCATACTCGTGCCGACCTTTTTCAGCAAGCTCATCTGCGTGAACCCCTGGCTCTCTAGCCACGGAGCAAGGAGTGGCACGCGGCGATGACCCAGCAATGGCGGGCGAATAGCCAGGAAGGTACGCAGTGTCGGCGAGTACCTCGCGAGCCGGTACAGTATGGAACCCATGTAATTGGCGATCGTAGGCATCAACAACGCGCCGCCGATGAAGCGGCCCAGCGACGCGTTGGTTATGCGGAGTGTGTGTTCTGCCGCGACACCCGGCTCGTCGGCCTGCCCATTACCCTGCTGTTCTTGGCCCTCTGCATCCTGCGCGGGGGCATCGTCTTGAGCTGGGACCTGCTGTTGCTGTCGCTGTTGTGCGGGATCGGCCCTGAGGCCTATATGTGCGCGGATCGGCATGGGGCCTTCGCCGCCGAAGTCCCACACGATATTGCGCACGGGCTCATGCTGCGTCGGCCGCGTGCCCATGATGAGGTGCTTCAACTTCGAGTATTGTTCTCGGTAGAGCCTCCCGATGAACGGGAAGAGCATCGCGGCCATCACTGGTGAGGGGGGCCATCCGAGTATGGGACCGTAGGGGTCACCATCGTTCCGCCCGAACAGACTCCAGCTAGCAGCACCTAATCGCAGTGCGGCGGTGGGGACGGGGTGCGACGACGGCCATGAGATGATCAGTGGTAATAGAGGGAATGTGACGAAAGTGGGAGAGCGGGAGAGCACTAGGCTGATTGGTATCATAGGAAGGTTGACGAAGGCGTGCCATGGCCAGTTGCTGGGTTCGTCCGTGAGCAGGATGTCGTACCTACGTGGGCGCAATCAGCCTTCGGTTGACCACGAGGAATGCAACGGAACGTACATCTCCTTGCCGACCATCGACTGCATTGCATGTGCACCATAGGATGTACACACGAGGTAGAGACCTGTGAGACGTAAGTGGACCCAACACGAGCTACGAGAAATCTGGAACGTACCGAACCCAAACGATACAAACACCGTCGCCAAACCCCCGATCATAACCACCTTCCCTGCAATCGACAGGAGCGCATTCGAACGGTCAAGTATTCGCAGTATACGAGGGTGGGGGTTGTCGCTTTCCAGCTCGTAGGAAGCACCACATTGCGGGCACTTCAAGGCATTGCGCGCTCGTGCCGGGTCTTGCTGTGCTGCCTTAATCCATTGCAGCAAGCATGCCTCATGCGCTACCAGAGTGCATTGACACGGGTGCGTCCAAGCTCTGGGAGGGTCTTCAGGACCTAGACAATGCCGGCAGCAGTCAGCAGTGAGACAGGCGATGTATGGTCATGGCGCACTATCATACCGCTCCTCCTCGCGGCAGATGAAGCACAGCTTGACCTGAGAGGCTGTCGTCAAGAGTTGTTTGTTGTCCAAATCATTTCGGTACATACCCGTAGATCGTCAACGGTTGGTACTCGGGTCTCAGCTGCAGGCTGCATGGTCGGGGTGGCTTGCATGGTGGTACGCGCGACTTGTGCCGGTAGGCGCCACTTACGCGACACGCGTTGGCGCCAAACCGAACGTCTCTAACAGCCAAGTACCCACCCAATGGTCAACCCAAAGTATAGAAGGCTGCAGTTCTGAGTACATACAATTCATCGACGTGGCATAAATATTAAGCGATGATAATCATGAATTTTTGTGGTGACTGTCCGCTACATACACCATGCTAGAAACATTCGGAACGAAGACAGAAACAGGTATGCCCCACGAGCGAGCAGTTACCCTTCGAACATCGAGAGGAAAAAGACAGTTCAGTGATCATACGGAGGTGTCTGAGCCTTGTCGTCACCCTTCATGGGTTCATCCACCGGAGGCGGAGTCCGCGCCCTGTCATCTCTCCTGTTGTCTGGAGTCGGGCTCCTGCGACGGTCTGGCGACCGGCTGCGCCGCCTCCTATCCCTGTCATCGGGCTCCCGGTCACGGTCGCGCTCCCTGTCACGGTCACGGTCTCTGTCCCTGTCGTCACGACGGCGGGGGCTCCGAGAACGTTCCCGGTCACGGCGCGCGGGAGGGGACCTCCTGTCGTAACGCCAAACGGAAGACGGAGGATTCTTGGCCCACTGAAACAAGGAAAGTCATGAGGCACAAGCTTTCGACAAGCCACAATCTAATGTGACTCACCTGGAGGCTCAGGCGCGCCCCTTCAAAGCTCCTTCCGTGCCTGCACCATATGCGTGAGTGGCATATCCGTGCAGTAGAGCGACCGACCTACATGTCGTAGTAGGCATCTTCGGCATCACGCGAGCTTCTGAATTCGACAAAGGCGTAACTGCGGGATGATTCGAAGGGCACGTTGAGCGACGACGAATTCGAGCGAGATGTGGGACATCGAGCGACCGAATGGATTGCGCTTCGTGTGAGACGAGGCTCCGCGGTCCAGAGTATTCGTTCGGGGGTTCGGTGCGAGGGACAGCAGCGGCGGCCAGAGCGGGGCCAGCTCTCGCACGGGGCGGCGTACGCAATGCGGACAAACGGAGTTCGGGCCACTCGACTAGAGCAAAGGGTAAAGAGTCAAAAGGAGTACTCACGGATTGGAGTTGGCACGGGGGTTGCGCGGGGCAGGGACGTCGCATCGAATGAGTGGCCCATAGCTGGTAACCGCGTCATACATCATCAGGATCAACAGTCTCAGCACACACAAACATGCGACTCACCGCTCAAACTCGTATGCAAGGTCGCGCGCACGCGTAGCGGGATGGAAACCACTCACGAACAAAATACGAGGCATGCTTTCTTTCACCAACCCACCACGTCGACACCACCGTTGAGATCAAAGGCGGGCAAGGCGCAGTGGCTGTTCCTCCCTGAGCGCCCGTCGGAGCTTGATCGGAGTTTGCCATCACGTGCGCTGCGGTGGCTGCAGGCTTCCTCGTCGAGGTCGGCGCCGAGCAGCTTCAACAGGCTTCCACTTGTCGCACAGCGTCTCGAGATCCTGGTCGTGGACATCCACGCGCCATATGCTGTTTGTTCAGTATGTCATCTATCTTGCTGTGCTCGTCCGTCTCTTATGCTCGCGGCACAGATGAATGTGGTTGCTGGTTTTCCGTCGCAAGCCGGCGAAGCCTCTGACACGTCTCGTCTCGACCACAGCGCCCTCCAAGTCACCTCCGCAACCAAGCACCCATGCTGTCCTACTCCGCAAGGTGTACCGTATCTCCAGATACTACGGCAGGAAGACCAATGATCCCATATTCAAGCTGTTCAACTACATCGTGCGGAGCCCTGAGCGCACGGTGCCCCCACCTATGCTGAAGCGTTCTGGCATAACAGTTCAGGAGTACATGCTATGGAAGCCTGTCATTCTTGCACAGGACCTCGATGAGGTTATTCTCTTCCTTACCAACAACGGTATCACCATAGCAGAGCTCGACGTCCTGCGGGGACAAGATACGAGCGCGCGTCCGCAGCCTCCGACCTGGGTTGTCCTGTATACCCTGTGCTACAAGGTCAAGTTCGAGTCGGACGCGTGGAAAGCACTTGTGCTAGCGTACTTTCACCTTCCTGTCGTACCGACCCACCTCCAACCAGCCCTCCTGATCTTGGCCGCCTGCTGGCTAGCTGAACATGACCTGCTAGTTCCTCTTCAGGGAGTCGTAGACATGCTTCTCCACGGGCCGCACGGAACAAGCCTCCAGGATTTTCACTTCCAACTTTTGCTGCAACTCATCGCTCACGCATCGTCCTCCAGTCAAGTCTACCCGGTCGTTCGCCATGTCATTGAACGCTCCGACACTCACCTATTCAACCGGGAAACGTTCGATGCCCTCCTTCGTAGCCCTTCTTCCACACCTATGACAGGCCTCGTCGTATGGCGGAAGATGGAAGCCCAAGGCTATCGCCCTACCATGACGAATCTGGCACGGTTGACGGCCCTGTATACGAGGGGGCGATGGGAACGCCGAGCGCGAGCTGTCTTACGTCTCCTGCGCTCACGTCTAGCAGAGGTCAAGGATGATGACGGCCTGCCTCGTCCCGCTTCCAGCCTATACCTCTCGTTGCGAACGGAGAGCCGCTTTCTCTCTGCTTTCTCGTCTGTGGAGGCACTCCATGCGTATCTGCGCGATGTTCTCGAGACAGACAGCCAACAACCATCCAAAGACAGTCATGCATCTAGCGGGTCTGAAGTCGCGGAGGGCGAGCCCGATGTCGACGCTCATGGCGCCACTGCTACTGCAAGTAGCGATCCGCCATCCGGAGCGCAGAAGCAAGATCCGCTCGACAAGCCGCTTGGCGACCTTGGTCCACTGCTCAAGATAGCAAGCGTATGGAAGGACTCTATCACGGTCGCCAGCCGGGATTCCTCCACTTCGTCCGAGTATCTACGGCAGGTGTATGATCGTGCTATCCGAGCGCATCCTCTATTGAGTCTGGATGTATACTTCCATGCCGTCACGATCCACGGATTCCTCAGGCGTCGCGACTACGTCAATGCACTGGAGCTCTGGGGCAAGATACGGAAATATCAGCCGCGCCTGACGAAGTCCACCCTGACAGTCGGAGTCGAGGCGCTGACGCTAGCGGGTCGACCCATGCAAGCCTTGGACCTGCTTTTCGAAGCGACAGAGCTGCAAGCAAGCTCAGAGGCGCGTGGTAACGACCCTGCATCGTTGATCGACACGCAGGCGGTCAATGCCTTCATGATATCACTACAGCGCACGGGCTTCACAGACGCCGTCTTCGTGTTGTGGGACAGCATGAACACGATGTTTCATGCCCGCCCTGACCTGTACACCCTCACTATCCTGATGCAAGCGGGGCGCCTGGCGAGCAAGTGCAACCCTTCCTTCCGCAGCGCAATGGCGGAGCTCGGCTTAAGCCGTTTCGTTCGCCGAGGAAAGGAGGTCGAGTCCGACGAGACTTCACGCGACGGCTGTTTCTCTCAGGTGGAGAGGATCATGTTTGCCGAGGCGACTAAGGGATCTTCCGGGTTGTGGAACGGTGAACGCGCTGGCACCGTCGTTTTGCGAATCGCACAGGAAATCATGTTCAACAACTGGCCGGAGCTGAAGGATGTCGACAGCCCAGCCGAGGCTCTCCGACCAACTGGAGACTTCCAGGGATCCTTCCCCATGACGAGCCTCCTGCGCACCATGCTTCATCGCAAGGCACCCACTGCCACTCCCCCGGATGCCCAACCCACGCGCGGCGCCCTCAACTACCCGCAGATCACCCTCAACGACGTCGCCTTCCGCGCATACATCGACCTCCTCGCGTCCGAGTCGCAAATCCCGCAGATCCCGCTCGCCCTCGCGTGGATGCGAACGCTCGGCATTCGGCCGTCGCAGCAGACGCTCGCGACCGCGCTCGTGTACTGGGCGGAGGTCGGGATGGACGCGCCGCTGTTCGAGCACTTCCGCGACGGTATGAGCCAGTACGCACGGCTGAAGCGATGGATGAACGAGTGGGTGGGCGACAGGATGATGCCGACGGACGAGCATGTCGCGGTGCAGATACAGCGGCTGAAGCATTTCAGAGAGCGTACGCGGCAGCCTCGCCTGGATCCGCACGACTGAAAGCGGCTGAAGCTAGTTTCCGTCGGACACGCGCTCCTGTAGAGTTACGTAGGCTTGCCTGGCTCACGTCCATGGTCACTTCTCATTGTTGTCAGTATGTCCGTGTTCATGTACATAATGCGCGACATTGCTCTCTATCGTAGCGCATGTGGCTTAGGTGAGAACCAGAGATGCTGTGACATGCATAGAACGGAACTTGGACTGACGGGGCTGGCCTGTCTCACAGAATGTTTGTATAGCATGCACATAAATGGATTCCGAGACAGATAGGGTAACGACAGTGTGGAGTTTGTCTAGGGGACCATGTAAAGACAGTACGTGAGTTGGACTGAGGAAATGAGCCCAATAAAGACCGTATGGAGTTATACAAAGAAACTGAGCCCAGTAAAGACCGTATGGAGTTGGACAAAGAAACTGAACCCAGTAACGACAGTGGAGAGTCGATCCATGAACCAGAGCCCAGGAAAGACAGTACGAGAGTTGGACGACGAGGGAACAGAAAGAAAAGAACCGTGCAGCGAGCGAGACCGAGACAAGTAAGGACCGACGAGAGTTAGGCGAACGGTGAACCGCGTAAGGACAGGCATGGGTTGGCACAGAGTGAACCCAGAAGAGACTGGGACGGGCCTTGGATCACGTAAGGACAGGTGGGAGTTGGCCGAAGGCGGGCGGATGGTTGGGCCGAGTCGAAGGATGTTGACACAGTAAAGACAGGCGCAAGTTGGTTGACGGCTGAAATCGAGTAGAGACAGACTAGAGTTGGCCAGAGGAAACCGAGTAGAGACAGGCTAGAGTTTGCCGAATTCGGGGGAGACCGCGTAGCGACAGACTTGAGTTGGACCACGAGCGAGAAGGACACGATGGTGTCATCGGGATACAAATACACAGAGGACGGCCAGGGGGTATAGTCCCCAGTCCGGAGGGTCGTCCTTGCTCGCGCTTGAGGAGCATGAACACCTTGGGGTGCGTTCGAGGGCCATGGTGAGGTGCTGGCGAACGACAAGGAGATCGCGGAAAGGAGTTTTGAGGCGACCGTCCTCCAGATAGACAGAACCAGAGAGATGAAAAGACGAAGCGACGACGCTGATGATGAACGGCGAGTCCCGGTCCGCGGGACCATCCCCGCTCGCGCTTGTGGATCAGGAGGCAGCACTGGCGAGCGATGACGAGCCGGCGTACCAGGAGCTTGAGCGCCACGGTCTTCCCGCGAGCTTCGAAGAGAAGTCGAGAGGCAAGGTATAGTACACAGACGGTGCGGGCGAATGGCGGTTGGGTATAATCCCCAGTCCGGAGGGTCACCTCACTCGCGCTTGAGGACCCCGAGTCCTGGATGGAACCAACGGCCAGAAGGGGGGTGGCGAACGACGAGGGGATCGCGGAGAGGAGTTTTGGTATGGCCATCCTCTAGTAACAGTACAGAGGGATAAAGAAGAGACGCCGGGAAACGAGAGAGACGAGACGAGACGGGAGAGAGGACGCTGATGATAAACCGCACAGAGGAGGATCCCCAGACCGGAGGGTCGCCCTTGATCGCGCTTGAGTAGTTCCAGGGGCTGGCTGACAGTTCGAGGACCAGGACAAGGACCGGCGGACGACAAGGAGATCGCGGAGAGGAGTTTTGGGGCGGCCGTCCCGCGAGAGAGGAGACGAGAGACCGAGACGAGAACCGAGACCGAAGGCGAATAAGTTACGAATAAATTAAGGGAACTAGCCGGTTCTCCATGCCTCGAGCGCACATTGGGAGCCATCCTGGAGCGCGGACCACGGGTACGAACTCGATCCAGGGGAGGCTGGCGAACGACGAGGCCAGAGAGCGGGGTTTGGGCGTGGGTAATCATCCTTGCTCGCACATTGAGAGCCACGGCGGTCGATGGATCCGGACGGGCATGGCTGGCGGACGACAAGGAGAGCCCACGGGGCAGCGAGGACGGGCGCGAGCAGAAGACTCAGCCGCGATTGGGAGCGTCGCTCCGTAGAGTCTTACTATCTTGCAGGGTATCGGCGGGTGGCCTGAGCAGTATTGATCAGTGGGTGAGTAGACTGTGAGTATGAGTCAAAGATACTTGCCGCCACAATACCCAGGGTCATCGCTGGAAGAGGAACAGACTTCGCTTCCGTGTGGTCCATGGGAGGTGGTGGTGGAAGGAGGTAAGGAATCCGGCACGCTTGAGGGCGGCTTTTATGCTCGTCCACGGCGGCGCACTTGGGGCTGGCATTGTTGAGGCTGGCAATGAGGATGGGTGTAACATGCATGTCCTGGGGCTGACTGCTGCTGACAACGACGCGGTCACGCTAGTCCAGACCGGCCGCGACGCGTCTGTGGCTGACGCGCTGACGAACCAATCGAGCCACCTCCCGACAGCAATCACTGTATGTCTGAACTGAGTTAGCAAGGAACAAAATTAAGCACGCACTTCTTGTGGACAGTCTCCAACGAACCTGGAAGCAGTCCAGTCGGCTACACGGGAATCCAAAGACAGAATGGCATTACTTTACAGTGGATGACTAAGAGCTACAATAGGTGGGGCGAGACAAAGATCGGCGTAAGTATACAGTGTTCAGCTCCAGAGGACCCAAGAGATGCTAGCACCAAGAGTCCGTCACCATCCGTGCGGGCCGTCCAAGTCCAAGCTCGGACGCGACCCCGCAGGGAGTATTAAGCAGGGTTAAGCGTACAGTGAGTGTGGCGCCGTCACGTCGTTCCTCGTGTGTCGTCCGCGATATGCATGAGTCCAGAGGAGTGAATGTTCGTACCGCAGTCTCAGACTGCGTGCGGGGAGTGTGTGGCTTCTGCGCTCGCGTAACTGATACCGGAGCTGCGGCGGCCCTCTTCGTCTGCCTCAGGCTCGGGCTCGGCGTACCGGACAGTGCGCGAGACGTACGTCGGGGCCGGGCTGAGAGTGGCGGTGGGTCGGGGGACATATTGGGGCAAGGTTGGCTCGGGCGTGGTCAAAGTGTGTCCTACCGGGCCGCCGATCAGCCAATACCCAACCCGCAGTTATACATCAACTCACCTCGCGCGAGCGCTGCCTTCTCCCCCTGCCTCCCGAAGCCCATGCCACTCTTCTGGCCCAGAAGAGTGCCACTGCGCGCCGCTTCCGCGCCCTTCTCGTCCCACGGCGCCACGGGGTTGCTCGAGCCAGTGCTAGCGGAGGTGAGGAACGGCCGTGGGCCGGAGCGCAGGGACGTGCGGGGGAGGACGTCGTCCGTCTCCTTCCACGCCTTGAGCGCGCGGCGGGGCTTCGCCTTCTCGCGGAAGATGAGGCCGAGGAGGATGTTCAGGCAGCCGATGGAGAAGAGGAAGAACGCGGAGACGAGCGAGAACTCGTCGACGTGATGCGAGAGCACCGCCGCGCCCAGCCTGCGCCACAGAAAGCGGTTAGTATGTAGCGGAAGAGAATGCAGAGGGGGAGACGCACAGGCATTGAATGACACCGAGAGCACCGAGGCCGAAATCATCACCCAGAACGGGGAAGAAGCGGCTGAAGAAGGCAGAGGGCCAGCCGGCCTCGGACATCACAAGCACGATGACTTGGAATATGATCAAGAGGCGGTTGAGGACTGCCCAGAAAGCTCCTGCGGGCTGATTTGGCACGGTACTACCACTGAGGCGGAGTTAGAAGCGAATGGGGAAGTAAGAGCGGAGGGGCGTACGGAACGTAATCCATGTCTGAGCAATCTTCCGTCTGCGTGGAGTTTCCAGAGGACACAAGGATATCCTGATGGCTGCCTTCTGCAATGAAAGCATTGACAGCCTTGATATCTTGCACCAGGGTAACGATGCTGCTGGCAAAGAGCAGGAGGAGCGCGATGATACTCAGCACCCGGACGGCGTTCAAGCCGATGAAGATGTCTGGTCCGCGTGTATAGTCAGTTCATGACAAGCCTGGGTATCATAGCTGGCGAGACTCACAACCACGAGTGTTGTTAGGTGCCATGAGTGTTGTCGTGGATGGGGGTCAAGCAAGGAATGCGATAGTGTACGATGAGGAGACAGCAGAAAGGCGTCGGTGGCGTCTGGCGTGCCCGCACGAGTAGGAGAGGCGGCGTGAAGGTAGGCTAGGCTGGCGAGAGACCGTGAAGCTCTTCAGCTATTAGCACGAGGCGCGGCCCGTGGTGAACCTGAAATGAAAGGCGGTAGGTAGAGTGAGAATGCGATGGAGAACGGGGAGAAAGGGCAGCTGCATTATGTACCATGTGCGGCTGCGCAGGCGCCAGCGGAAGGGTATTGTGCTCTGTCGGGAAGGACGGTGTGCGTGTGGGCATTGTTGCAGGCGGACGCGCAGGACAAAAGCTACGCTTTCGAGAACAATGGCCACCGCGTCTCGGCGCTTGCCGGCGACGTCTCCGTCACTTTCCCTCCCAACGCCGACTCCGTCTTGTACGCAATGCACAGCATAGACAATTTTCGTCAATGTGATGTCCCGTTCGGCTCCAGTCCATTCGCAGAGCACTGAGCAGAGACTTCATCCACGGTTGTCAATGTCTCGAGGGTCAGTACCACCTCTGTGACCCCATTCACGTGACCTGTGACAGACGTGGTAGGCACCTACGCGCGGCGGTAGTCCTCTCCATGACCTTCAAGTTCACGTACGTTCATTCGGCTATACATGCCCATGACGTTGCAAACTCGTGGATTGTATGCAGAGCACCGGTTCCGATTACATCTCCTCAACGTATGAAGTAGCGCTGTAACATATGTAGCTTCTGTATCAAGCCCAATTCCAAGAAAGTCGGAGAACTGTCTCTCGGCCCACAAGTAAATCTCGGAAGGATAGCGCAAGAGGAGTAGGGGCCACCGCTTCGTCCACATTGTGTATGGATCCTCAATGCCTGTCCCGGCTCGCGGACGATCCTGCAAGAACAACATCCCTCGACCGTAGCAAATAATCGTCTGCCAGGAGCACGAGGGAAGTCCGGGCGAAGGATGCAGTTTCATCGACGATGTCGATATGACTACCTCACCCATCCTCCTGCGAAGACACGCCCGACGCCTTGCGCACGTCCAGCGCCCGATGCCATCTCAGCCATGGCTCTTGCCCAGGGACGAACCTCGCACGCGTTAGCCGGTACAGGAGCTTCTCGACGAACGACTGCACGAGGAACATGGATATGTACGTGAGGCTCCGCAGCCACTTCCACGGCTTGGTCGGGGGTGGGTCGAGCGAATGCGTAGGCGGTACCGCGTTGTCATGCCCGGACAGCTCCTCCGGCAGCATACAAGAGCGCATGCACTGCAGAGTCGAAGGACGGGATTTCTCCAATGAGTTGTCCATGGTCGCATCGGAAGCGAAGACTGAGCTGAACAGCGTTTGCGAGGAAGGAATGAAGATCCGTTCGGTGTGATAGCCCAGAAGTAAGGCATGCTTAGCCGACGGTGCCATGTAGACAGTGCTGAAGAATAGCGGGGAGAGATACCAAATTGTCAGGTGTTTCTCGTCCACGGTATCGTTATGAGTGCGTTTCGGCGAGAAGACCACGTCAGGTTCGTCAGGATTACCGCACACAAGGGTGACGCGTGTATCGAGTTCCTCCGCCCGGCGTTGAAGGAAGGCCTCCACGAGACCACGAGCGTACTGCTCGAACCAGCTCGGGCGCTGCCACCCAACACCTCGGCCGGATTGCAGATTGGCAGGCAACATTCCTGTTGGAATAGCATCCTGCTCGCCCCAGGCTTGTCTCGCAGGCTTCGGATCCGGCCTGATGTATACATCGAGGCGCTTGACGTAATGCAAGATCCAGGCCTCGTAGAGTATGCGCGCGAAAGACGACACAAGGGCGAGAGGCTGACGAGCAAGAGAACGTAGAAGAGCGGATGTGGTGAGCGGCCTCGACTCAGTGGCACGTAGAGTCGCAGTCATCGTGAGTACGTGTGAAGACTCGGACGAGCTCAATAGATGAATGTCGACGTAGGGCAAGGGACATGAGACATCGCTCAGATGTCTACCATCAGCACCCAGAGGAGGGTGGCACGGTTCGGAGATGGTTATGGTGTAGGTGCCCTGGCGATTGTTGAAGGGGGAAACATGGAAGTCCTTCGGAATAACCCAGCGCAGGCGAGGTCTACTCGGGTTTATTGATTGCGTGCAGCCAGTCATAATACAAGCACTCACGTATCTGCAGGAACGTCTACTTTCTCGGCTTTGTTAATGTCGAGCAAGTAGACATGCCGCTCTCCAAATGTATTGTGAACCTGTTTGCGAGACGCATGATACCAGAATTCCAAAAGCAAATATACTGGAAGCCTCACCTCAAGCACAACCATGAAGAGACTAGCCTGCGCATCGTAACAGTAGTAGACAGTCAGGGGGTTGATTCCTTCAAACCCAGCAAAACTTGGCATCGTCAGCATCCACGCGTCTCCCAGCTGATGCCGACCCAATCCCTCGCCATCCAGGAGGTCCAGCAGCTTCTCTCGAATACTCCGGGTTCCTCGTCCGCCGCTGGGCGAGTCGTGTAGGTATGCCGAGGAGCGAAGCCCAGTCAGTCGCCAGAGCAGCCCACCGTATCCGAATATCCAACCGCGAGCGAGATCTAGTGAGTGGGACTCCAAAGCATTCAGCGAGACGAGCAGCCAGAGGGTCCGGTACGCAAACCCATGCGAGGACTCCTTGGGGAGCACCCGGCGGTGCGTGACTTTGCACTCCAGAACATATCCAGATGCGTTTCCGCGCTTTCCATCAGTCTTGGGCGGCGCAAGACGCAGCCAGCCAGTAGCAAACCCGACATACGCAGCCGCAAGGCCAGCAATGATGATGAACACAGTAGTTGCCATAAAGAGAGAAGCACAATCCAAGCGCCCGAACACGGCGCGAGTCGGTGACGCATGCGTGTGACGAAGTGACATCCGTGACACCCGCGCTCTCCCAGCCACAACCAGTCACGCTCGTTCACCCATGGCAGACAGCCAGGACTTCTCGGTCGAGGAGAGCCGCGCAAAGCGCGTCGAACGGCTGCAGTCGAAGTATCGGAACAGAGGAGGGTGAGTGCGTTGCGTTCGGTGCGTTTGGCGCGTGTTGACGCGCTGTACTTAGGGTGTTCCAGCCTGCCACACATAATGCGTTGCTGGATATCCTGCTCTCGCGCGGGGTCAATGGGGAGTCGCCGTCGAAGCGGAGGAAGAGCCGCAAGTCATTTGCGCCTTCTACGAGAGACCCGGGATCCCCGACGATAGAGAGGCGGAAGTCTCTGACGGGTGCGGCGGAGGAGGTGGCGGAGGAGCTTACGCCGAAGGAGAGTGCTAAGGGCAAAGCTAAGGCTACGCCAAGTCGCCGCAAGAGTCAGGTACCTAAGAAGAGGAAGAGTACAGCTGCGAGTGCGAAGCCGCACAAGTCGGTTGAGGTCGAGGTAGAAGACGAAGAGCCTGTCGTAGGTATGACCCATCCACTGGCTATATGCGTGTTGGTGGTACCATTCATGTTGCAGGTCCCTCTCGTACATCAAAAACATCCACGAAGACGTCAAGGCGCAAGGCGAAGGAGGATAGTGAAACTGAAGACCAAGGTATGCGTCGTACATCTATATGCGCATAGTATGTCTGACGGGTCCAGTACAGAAGACCCGCCCAAGAAGGCCGTCAAGCGTGCACAACCCAAGAAGGCTGCGAAGACCACGAGGACCACGAGGGCCACGAAGAAGCAACAGGAAGCAGAGGACGAAGGTATGATCCTCTAGATCTATGAAATCCCCGAACTCAAGGACCATGCAGTGATCGCTTCTGTCCCACCGCCCAAACGAGCAAGCGAGAAGCGTTCTCGCCGTCAGAAGGAACCGGTTGAGGAGGATCCGGATGATGAGCCACCCGTCCCGCCCAAACGTGTCAAGACAGCCTCGGAGCGGCCTTCAGCGAGTTCGTCGGGTGCTCATAAACAACCCCTCGAGACCATTCTCGAAGAAAGCGATAGCGAAGAAGACATCCCTCTGCGGCTCATAGTCAAGCGGGCGAAAGCAAAAGCTGGAAAGGGTGCGAGCAGCATCGGCAAAGGTAAGCCGTATTGGTGTATACAGTGCTGGACCCAATTGAAGGCCATATGTCAGTGCCTTCCAAGCAACCTGTGATTCCAGATGCGGCGTCGAAGCCCAAGAAGGCCGTCTCGAAGCCCAAGGCCGGCACTGACGAAGAGGCAGCTACAATGTCCAAACGATCGAAAGCAAAGGCGAACGAGCCTGACGAGGACGACGCCGTGGATACGCAACCCATGGCATCGTCTAGCGGAACCATCCAGAACTACACGAAGGCCGTCACGTCCAAACGAAAGCTCCCTGCAGTCCCTGAGCCGTTCGTCGACTCCGACTCTGATGAAGATTTGCCACCCAAGCCGAAGGCGACCAAGCCCTCGTACAAGCAGGCGGACGGCGCGATCAAGTCTGCAGCTACACCGAACGATCGCGATGATGCTTCTTTCTCCAGGAAGCCGCGACCTGCCCACAAGGACGGCAAGAGTGCTGCTTCAGCACGTGAAGACGTGGACGAACCAGAGCATCAAGAACCTTCAATGACGTCTAGGAAGCGCGAAAGAGGCAAACCGGCGTCGGCTGTACCACCTCCGGAGGATGAGCTAGATGCAGACGACCAGCCCGCACCTCCGCGCAAGCGCACGAAGCGGTCAGCAGCGCTAGTGAACGGCGAAGCTTCGGGGCATGTCCCCGCGTCGGTTGGAGAGGAGGCAGACCAGATTGAACCTGTGCAGGAGGAAGAACCCTCTGTCAAGCCTAAGTCCAAGTCGACCAGTCGTACGAAGAAACCGCCGTCATCGCAGACCAAGACGGAATCCAAACAGTGCGTTCCCTGATCCTTGTCACCTCACCGCTCGCTTTAGCCGATGATATTCCTCCCTATGCAGACGACCGAGGAAGCTGAAGGAGAACTTGCCCGCTGCGTCTCGGACCGCACACCAGAAAACGGTCAACAAGTATCAGCCAAAGCCGAAGGTAAGTCGACATCAGGCGAGCGTGCTTTTCGTGTTCTCATCGCCACCAGCCGCGCTTGTCCATGTTTCCACCACCTGTACTGGTCGCAGACAGCGACGACGACCCCATTGATTTCCTTTCGTGATCACCCACTGCTGGCTCGAGCATCGCGACTTCCCTGGAACGCAGAACACTCACATGGACATCACATACCCACCATAATCCGCAACAAACTTGTCTGTAACGTAGATTGTACAATGAGTCCGTGCACACGAGGGTCCTGAGCTGTTGGAGCGGGTGACCAGGGCACGATGAAGTTGACTATAACACACGCAAGGGGACAGATGCAGTCGAATTCTCTCTACTTGAGCAGGCCAGTAGCAGCGGGCAATACAGCGTCCTCGTCCCTCCCTGCGTTCCTCGTGAGCACAGAACCTGGCACACCTCGCGGCACACGCACCTTCGTAGAACTTCTGCAGGAACGTCCGCGGCGGGCGCTTCCTGTCCTCGAGCATGATACCCATGACATGGTCAGTCTGCTTCCAGAGGTTCATCGTCTCCTGGTACTCTTGCCGGCCCTTCAGAAGGAGCACGTCGATGACGCGCGGGTCCGTCACGTAGCGACTCTCCTCGAACTTGCGTCGGATGCTGTGCCGGATGTGCTGCGCGGTGACGGGGATGGCGTACATCGTAATGATCTCGGGTGCCTGTGCACGCAGCGCGGATGTGGTATGTCAGCGCAATATCTGAGTGTGGAAGGGAGACTGACCCCGCGGTACCAGTCGCGGTAGAGCTGGATGGCCCGTTTGCGGGCCTCCTGGGGGCTGGCGGACCGGGCGGCGGGGCGCGCCAGGCGCGCGGGGATGGTGCTGGCCATGCAGGTGGTGGGCGGCGAGCAAATGTCAGTGACGGACTCGGGCGACGGTGTGCAGCGGTACCACCAGCGGCTCCGGATTCGGTAGGCCCGCACGTGAGTGTATCCCAGTCATGGCGCTTCTGCTACTGTATATGATCGCTTGAGGCGAGGCCTTTCTTCATATCCTCCATCTTCCGCTATCTACTACAATGGCTCGCGGCGGCTACAAGGTCAAGCGGGGAGGTGGGCGCAGGTACAGTCTACTCCATCGCCTGTGCAGATGTTCGACTGACGATGGTGGCGGGCGCTGTGTAGCTTCAGGTTAGCTTCCGCCGTGGTCGATCTTCCTCTCCCTGATCGCTGATCGCGCTTGCCGACGGTTAGCAAGCATCTTGAGCTCGACGAGAATGGCACAGCCGTATCCACTGACAAAAAATGGTGAGGGGGGAGGAGCTCGACTGCCTTTGTACTTACATCACTCCTTGCCAGGGTAAGACGCGACAAGGCTGTTGACGAGGAAAGCGATGAGGAGTCCGAGGAAGAAGAGGAGGAGGAGTCCGAGGAAGAGCCCGCCGAGGCAACGTCCTCCAATCAGCCGCAGCAAGAACTCACTCGCGCGGAGCGCCGCGAGCTCAAGAAGAAGAAAGGGCAGCAGAAGCAAGATGGGGAAGAGGATGAAGACAGCGATCAGGATCCCCTTCTGGCCAACCCTAACATCGCAGCAGGGAAGAAGCTGGCCATCTCGGACATTGGCGCACCTAGGGAGCTGACCAGGCGCGAGAGGTATGTGCGACCAGCAGTGGCATCGATGTAACGCCTCACGTGCGGCTTCAGAGACGAGAAGGAGAAGAAGGAAGCCAAGGAGCGATACTGGAAGGCAAGTTATGTTGGGCTGCTGCGACAGGCGTTGTATTGACTGTATCCAATAGCTGCACGAGCAGGGCAAGACTGAAGAAGCCAAGTCTGACCTTGCCCGTCTTGCTAAGATCCGCGCCGAACGCGAGGCTGCGCAGGCGAAGCGCAAGGCTGAGGCTGAAGGTTTGGACCATCTCGTGCTCCCGAAATGTTACAGGCATACTGATTCACTTTTCCTCTTTGTAGCCAAGGCCGCTGAGCTCGAGGCCAAGAAGCGAGAGGCAGCGGCCAAGGGCAAGCGCATATAACGACTGTTCTTGTGAACTCGGTTGTAGAAGACACGCTCTATCGCTGTTGTATATCAGGAGAAAGTCCAAGTGTTGTATTATCATCTGCTGACGCCAATCGAGCGCAAGTCGCTTTTTATTCCTCTCGAACGTCTGAGTTCAGCCCTGAACCATTCATTCCCGGAGGTAAGTCATCTCGTTGCATCAGGAAAGAGGGCAAGAGTCCTTTCCGATGTCAGCCATTCCTTGACGTAGGTTGTTTGCCACTTTCCTCCACACCTTCACTCAGCAGCCGCCCACGATCGCGGCCTGCCTAGGCTTCGCTTGAGTACGCCTGCAGTCAGCCTCAGCCTCAGCCTCCTACGCCGGTCTGCGCGACTTCTTCAATGTCAGCCGCATGCTCGCCGCCCTGAGTGGGCATAAAAAGCCGCGCTCTCGCGTACTTCTTTCCTTACCTCCTTCCACCACCACCTCCCATGGACCACACGGAAGCGAAGTCTGTTCCTCTCTCAGCGATGACCCTGGATATTGTAGCGGCAAGTACCTTTGACCCATATACTCACAGTGTACTCACTCACTGATAATACTGTTCAGGCCATCCGCTGATACCCTGCAAGATAGTACGACTCTACGGAGCGACGCTCCCAATCGCGGCTGAGTCTTCTGCCTCGCGCCCGTCCTCGCTGCCCCGTGGGCTCTCCTTGTCGTCCGCCAGCCGCGCCCGACCGTGCTCGTCGACCGCCGTGGCTCCCAAAGTGCGAGCAAGGATGACTACCCCCACGCCAAACCGCCGCTCTCTGGCCTCGTCGTTCGCCAGCCTCCCCTGGATCGAGTTCATGCTCGTGGTCCAACGCTCCAGGATGGCTCCCAATGTGCGCTCGAGGCCCGGAGAACCGGCTTGTTCTCTTAACTTATTCGCGTTCGGTCTCGGTTCTCGTCTCGGTCTCTCGGCTTCTCTCTCGCGGGATGGCCGCCGCAAAACTCCTCTCCGCGATCTCCTTGTCGTCCGCCGGTCCCCGGCCTGGTCCTCGATCTGTCAGCCAGCCCCTGGGATTATTCAAGCGCGAGCAAGGGCGACCCTCCGGACTGGGGACACTTCTCTGGGCGGTCGATCGTCGGCGCTGTCTCTTTTCTGGACTCGGTCTCTCTCTCTCTTTCTCTTCCTCTCCGACTCTGTCGGGAACACCGTGCAAAAACCAAAAACTCCTCTCCGCGATCCCCTCGTCGTTCGTCAGCCCCCCTCCTAGTCGTCGGTCTACTCTGGGACTCAGGGCTCTTCAAGCGCGAGCGAGGTGACCCTCCGGATTGGGGACGATACCCTGCACGGCTGTCGCCTCTGTACTATATATCTGGTCTCTCTCGGTCTCTCTTCGACATACTCGCGGGGTAACCGCTCCAAAACTCCTTTCTGCGATCTCCTTGTCGTTCGCCGGTCCCGGTCCTGGTTCTCGAGCTGTCAGCCAGCACGCACCCCGGATTCCTCAAGCGCGAGCAAGGGCGACCCTCCGGACTGGGGATCCTGCTCTGTGCGGGTTATTATCGGCGTCTTCTCTCTCGTCTTCTCTCGTCTCTCGTCTCTCCTTCCTCCCTCTGTATACTGTTACTGGAGGATGGTCGTGCTAAAACTCCTCTCCGCGATCCCCTCGTCGTTCGCCAGCCCCCTCCTGGCCATCGGTTCAATGCAGGAGACCGGGCTCTTCAAGCGCGAGCGAGGTGACCCTCCGGATTGGGGAATATACCCTACACCACTATCCGCCGTCGTCGTGCGTCCTTGCTTCGTCTCCTTCTCTTCTCCGGTTCTGTCTGCTTGGAGGACGGCCGCATCAAAACTCCTTTCCGTGATCTCCTTGCCGTCCGCCAACACCTCCTTCGACGTGCTCCCAAGAAGACTGCGGTGTTCCTCAAGCGCGAGCAAGGATGACCCTCCGGACTGGGGACTATACCCCGCGGCCGTCCTCTGTGTACTTGTATCCGTTCCTTCCCTTCCCTTCGACTCCAACTCCCGCCTGTCGCTACGTGGTCTCTCACATTCCCGACAAACTCTAGTCTGTCTTTACTCGGTCTCGAACCTCTATCAACTTGCGACTGTCCTGACTGGTTTCCCCTGACTCGGTTCAACTATTTCCTGTCTCTACCCGGTCTCCACGTCGACCAAGTCGGGTCTGTCGTTACACCTCTCGCCTTCTCCGCCGGCCAACTCAAGTCTGTCATTACTTGTCACTCGGATTAGTTCATCCTCGGCTCGCATTCGCGCCACCTATCAATTTCGGCCTGTCCTTACGTGGTTCGCGCCAAGTCGTCCAACTCGCCGTCTGTCATTACGCGATTTCCAGCAACCCAAGCTGCTCAAGTCTCCCTTCAATCTCTCTGGTCTCCTGCGATTCTATTCCTCTGTCAAACTCTAGTCTGTCATTCCGCGGGTTTTTTTGTCCAACTCCTCACTGTCTTTACTCGGCTATTTTCACCGACCAACTCTCCACTGTCCTTACAAGGCTCTGTTTCTCGGCTCAACTCTCGTCTGTCTTTACGCGGTTTCTTTCGACCTCCTCCCCCCACTGTCTTTACTCTACATGTCTGTATGGAATGATTGGTTGCTTATGATTTGGAGTCGTGATACCATGAGCCCGACCGAGCAGGATAAACTGCACATTACTATTGGACTCATCGAAGTCCAGCTGTCATCATCATTGAAAACCGCCATATCGGCGTTGCAAATGACGTCTATGTTACACTATGTACGATCATATACAGGGGTGTGTTGCATTGCTACATGTACAAACAGAAGATTCCACAAGCCACTCACTACGCAGATACAGAATACAGATCATGATATAAACCTGCGTCAAGCATGCGCAGCGGAACTGAGCTCTTTAAGGATGATCGTCGACGCCTTCTCACCAATCGCAATGGCAGTGGAGCAAGTGTTCTGCAGGTGCAGGTAAAGTGAGCCATGCGACCGGAAAGATGTGTGATGTGGGACTTACTGCGCAGACGTTGGAAGGTGCGATCGACATATCTACAAGGAGGCTCAGACGTTGCGATTGATATGGGGTGACGTACTCACCTGCTACCTTCAATCCCGAAACACCATATACGTTCAGATTGGAGTCCACGACACCATCCTGTTCGCGCGGCTTCATAGCACACGTGCCGAGCTGCACAGATACACAGTCAACCTCATGATGCAGCACGACTGGACCGCCAACACGTACGCTATGCCATGTCGTGGCGACGACTTTCCGAAGATAGTCGTCAATCGCCTTGTCATCCTCTTGGTTATATACAATCTTCGAGGCCGAGATCGCAGTCGGCTTCGCGTCTCCGCTGCAAGCAGCCTGGCTGCCCTCGGGGAAGACTGGGTGTCCTGGCAGGTATTCACCGCGATAGTGAGACATACGACGAGCGATCTCTCGCCCATATTTGTAGGCCCATCGGAGCACGGCTACATCCTCGGGCCTTTCATCGCAGATATCGTCAGCTTCAGCCGCAGGTCGGTAAAGCGAAACTGAGACGCACTTGCTGAAGAACTTCGGGTCAAAGTCAGGCGTGGCGTCTACGTCGTCAGCCGAGGTTATGTGAAGGTACCCGATCGATGCTGGCAATTCCGAGAAGAACGCTATGCTGCTATAGTTCCCAGGCGGCAGTGCGGTACGATCGCCGACGAACCTGCGAAGCATATTCAGTCATCACATTGGATCTGCAACAGATTGGAGGCTCACATGCTAAGCAAACCAAGCCACAGAACTGGCTTGTCGGGTGCATTTGCGAACACCTCTTGCCACCGTTTGGTGAACGACGGGCCAATGAGTTCAAGCTCCTCAGCGGAAGGCCTGAGCTTGACACCCGCATCAATTCCACTACATGCTCCCAATGCATCAGTGATTTGCAGTATGGCTCATGTAAGACGGGTTACTTCGACGCCATCTTGCCGGACCCGTCCATCTGCCACTGTGCAGTCCACCCTGAACGAACACCGTCAATTCGAATAATAAGGCCACTATCAGAGCCTAGATGACACTTACTCTCAACTTCATCTTTATCATTGTTGACAATACCGTCCAGGGTCTCAGCCTCATCGTCAGCCTTGTACGGCACAAAAACAATGTTGTGGTCTGATTGCACAGTGAGCGATTTGCATGTCATATGCATATAGTAGATATACCTTGATAGTTCTCTCCAACGCCAGGCAAGTCGGAGACTACATCAATTCCTAGCGGCTCAAGGATGTGACGAGCGCCAATGCCCGAACGTTCCAAGATTGGGGGAGAGCCGAATGCACCAGCAGAGACAACAACGAGCTGGCGCGCCTTCGCGATACGTACTCCGTGAATGTTGTCACCGCCGAAGCGCACATTGGGGACGAACTCGACGCCGGCGGCACGACCATCTCTGCGACATAGCGTTGAGCAGCTGAAACAGTAATCGTCTACGAGACGCACTCGACGATGACCCGCTTGACTTGGTAGCCGGTCAGAATCTCCAGATTATCTAGCTGTTGGTTGTAGACGTAGTGGTGAGGTGTGTCAGACCGACGGCCCTTCTCTTGATCGATATACCTAACACGAAAACAGTCATGAGGGGTGCTCAACTGCGAGCAGGAATACGCACTTTTGCCATCGCTGCAATGCAGTCCTTCAGTAACTCATGCACCTCGGTATGAGACTCATTGACGTACCCCGTAGACATTGATATCGATCATGTCATTCGGGTCCTCGGTAACGCCTCTGCTCTTGTCGTATTGAGTAGCGGCGTCGAAGAAATCTTGACCGATATTGGCGTAAATGCCGCCGCGGGACACCTTGATGGGTCCCTCATAGCCGTGTGTGGGCTGGCCAGGCGTCACTTGGTACGTCTCCATCTATGTATGCCGTCAGTACGACACATAACCTCTAAATGTCCGAACGCACCTTCTGCAGAAAGGGTATCAGATCGCGAGAGCCCCATCCTTTGTTCCCGTACACGTTCTCCCAGTCGTCATAATCAGAGGGAGACGGCCGCGCATACATGGTAACTGCGCGATACATCAGTTACTGTCATGACGTCTACGGCATAGACAGTAGAAGTGTGACTCACAGTTGACACTCGACCCTCCGCCAATACACTGTCCGCAGGGTACAATAGGAGCGCGGCCGCCAAGGTCGGCACTTTCCTTGCCGACATTGAACTTGACGGTCGTGCTATCCGGCAGAAGATGGCTCAGGTAGCGAGCGGGCTGCACATGTGCATCATCCTCCAGAGTAGGTGGACCCGCCTCTATCATGAGAATTTTGAGAGAGGGCTCTGCGGCCGCAACTCGTCCAGCAATCACGCAAGCAGCAGTTCCGCCTGAGGGATGCCTCAGCCAGTTCCATGCAACCAGTGCGACAGGACACACTCACCGCCAGCAAGGATGATGTCGGCTTCGAACACAATGGAGGAAGTCATGATGCGTTACTATGAGAAAGCTCTGGGAGACGAGGTCGACGAGGCCTGAGCTTGTGGAGATGGGCCATGACACTTGACCTTATATCTGCATCGACCCACGACTTGGCAATCATGCTGGGCATACGGCCTACGCAAGCGAGTATGTCCCCCGAACACAAGGCAGAATCACAGACTGACCATCCCAACTTTGGAACGTCTTGCCCGGAGGTCATGGGATGCTTCGAAGGAATCCAGTGGTGGGAAAAAGTGAATCGATGTCCGCGCACCTGGCAAGAGCCAGTGTGACCCGTGAAAGTGCTCCGCCAGACTCCACCGTTCACGGGCATCAAATTCACTAGCGGACCCATGACTTGACGTTTTCCATCACAGGCCCTTGAAGCCAACATCGATCCACTAATGTCCGGGAAACCGAGGATAGTAAGCCTCCCTTGGCTGTCGTCGCGGAAGTGGACTATAGCGGAATCAATCATCCAACCAGGTCCTCAAGATTGACAGTTTCACTCACCTCATGCCATTACAGTGTTTTAACCAGTCAACTTCTTGTCCAGTTATAGATAGGTACGGCGAAGCCCCTCTAGTGCGTACCGTGCGTTTGCCATCACTGGCAGAAGCTTGAACAGTGGATCGTGTAGAATGGACTTGCCTGTATGAGTCGTGCGTCAACACAGACGCGAGCAATTGTCTCCGAACCCGTCAAAGCAATGTCCGGTAGTGAGATCAAGTGTCAAAGCAGTCTGCACCCTCACTGATACATAATGGAGCATACTTTCGCAGAGAAGACGGAGTAGGATGCCTCGTGATTGCGCCAGCAGTATCTCGATCCCGCGACAAGCCTGAGGCTGATTGGCACAGGATCTCAGAGTTGCCAGTGCTGTAGAAGCAATACGTACCTGGGTGGGCTGTATCCCAGTCAGTGCGTAGCAAACGAACACAATGTCACGGTGTTTGCGTTAGCATATCTCGATCCATTGGTCCTCACCGGGTACTAGAAGCTACGTACTTCGCCGCGGAGGACTACCCACGCGATGCGACTCCGAAGCCCAAACTTGCTTCCTGTGTGTATGATCCGTGATCAGCAGAAGGACGCTACGTTCAAGACACGCTGACCACTGTGTTGCTGCGTCGCTGCTATCGATACGCCTATGCCAGCTGGGATGTGGCTGGGGTGCCGACTCACTCACATCGCTTCAGTGTATGCTTGTGGCATGCGCAGTCTGTCCTAGCCGCAATTGCCACTGTCAAGTTTCACCATATGTAACATTCGTCTGGTCGACCCATGCGTTCGGTCTCTGACATCATCTCAGCGCTCAGCTGGCTAGTGAACCTGTTTCGATGTCGGCACTTCTCGAAGACTACCTCAGTGACTGAACACTCACCAGATAGTAGTACCCTCCACTGGCATACGCCATCCAGGCGGGACCTAATCTTTAGGCTACCGCTGGAGCGCTGGATAATAGTGTACTAGAAGGCTAGTATGGCCTCTCGGGGACATGCAAGTAACATGTCTAAGACCGAGGGCTCTCCTTGGGTGATCGGCCGCCTTTGCATCTAGGCTCAACCTACAATAGCGCAAACGTAAGTGTAACCTGCATTATGAGAACCTTCTCACTGGCATGGTGTTGTGTGAGCGCGATGCTTCATGGCCAGGGAGTGACGCCGCCACCACCTATGCCAACGAGGTCAGACTCAGTACGCATAGCGCGTCAAGTCGTTCTAACGGTTAAGGTTTTGTGTCCAGCCTGATTCTGCCGTACGAACATATAACGGCTTACATAATCCAGTGACCCCCTCTTCCCGCTGGCCTCAGACGTTCTATGTCGCAACCAACTTGACCTGGACCGTCACTACCGCCGATATTGACGTTCGGCAAAAGCACTGTCTGTCCAGGAATATCAGTTCATTCGAATGACAAGCACCAAGTATTATCAATGACAAGGAGGGCGAGTTCAGGTGTATACCGAGGAGCGGGCCTGCATGGGCTCAGTCTTCAGAAGCGCAACTCGAACGCGATCCAGCGTCGACGTCGACGGCACCGCTGGCGGCGAGTGGTCCCCGCCACAGCTCAGCTCGGCAACTGCCGTAGGCTCTATGATTCTGAACATTGAACTCGGCGGTCGAGCGCTCACTGGTCGCTCACAAGCTTCGTCTCAGTGCGGGAATAGAAAGGCATGACATTGGACACAGGCAGAGTAACGACAGACTAGAGTTCGTCTACGAGACCACGTAAAGACAGTAGGGAGTTGGACGACAAAAAATGAGCCCGGTAAAGACAGTGACAAAGAAGTTGGTCCGCGAGATTGAGCCCGGTAACGACAGTGGGTGAGTTCGGCAGAGAAAGAGAACCCAGTAAGGACGGTGGGGGAGTTGGCCAAAGAGACAGAGAGTAGATGATGGAAGACAGGGAATTCGCGTAGCGACAGGCGAGAGTTGGACCGAATGGGGTACCGAGACCGAAATGACCGACAAGAGTTGGACGGATGAGCGCTCAGATTGACGTGCTCGAGCTTGAAACCACGTAAGGACAGGTGCGAGTTGGCCGGAGTAGAGACCGAGTAAGGACAGGCGACGACCGAGTCGAAGAGAGATCCGTAAAGACAGACACAAGTTGGTTAAAGGCCGAGACCGAGTACGAGCAGGCAGGAGTCGGGCCAGAAGAGAAACCGCGTAAGGACAGGCAGGAGTTGGCTGAATCCGGAGGAAACCGCGTAAGGACAGACAAGAGTTGGACCAGAGAGGAGGAGCCGCGTTGCCGAGATACAAGTACACAGAAAACAGCCGCGGGGTATAGTCCCCAGTCCGGAGGGTCATCCTTGCTCGCGCTTGAAGAACACCGCAGTCTTCTTGGGGGCACGTCGAAGGAGGTGTTGGCGAACGACAAGGAGATCACGGAAAGGAGTTTTGAGGCGACCGTCCTCCAAGCAGACAGAACCGGAGAAGAGAAGGAGACGAAGGAAGGACGCCCGACGACGGCGGATAGTGGTGTAGGGTATATTCCCCTATCCGGAGGGTCACCTCGCTCGCGCTTGAAGAGCCCGGTCTCCTGCATAGAACCGATGGCCAGGAGGGGACTGGCGAACGACGAGGGGATCGCGGAGAGGAGTTTTAGCACGACCATCCTCCAGTAACAGTATACAGAGGGAGAAAGGAGAGACGAGAGAGAAGACGCCGATGGTAAACCGCACAGAGCAGGATCCCCAGTCCGGAGGGTCGCCCTTGCTCGCGCTTGAGGAATCCGGGGTGCGTGCTGGATGACAGCTCGAGAACCAGGACCGGGACCGGCGAACGACAAGGAGATCGCAGAAAGGAGTTTTGGAGCGGTTACCCCGCGCGGGTGTCGAAGAGAGACCGAGAGAGACTAGATATAATACAGAGGCGACAGCCGTGCAGGGTATCGTCCCCAATCCGGAGGGTCGCCTCGCTCGCGCTTGAAGAGCCCCGAGTCCCAGAGTAGACCGACGACTGGGAGGAGGGCTGACGAACGACGAGGGGATCGCGGAGAGGAGTTTTTGGTTTTTGCACGGTGTTCCCGACAGAGTCTAAGAGGAAGAGGAAGAGAGGGAGAGAGACCGAGTCCAGAAAAGAGACAGCGCCGACGATCGACCGCCCAGAGAAGTGTCCCCAGTCCGGAGGGTCGCCCTTGCTCGCGCTTGAGTAGTCCCAGGGGCTGGCTGACAGATCGAGGACCAGGCGGGGACCGGCGGACGACAAGGAGATCGCGGAGAGGAGTTTTGCGGCGGCCATCCCGCGCGAGAGAAGCCGAGAGACCGAGACGAGAACCGAGACCGAACGCGAATAAGTTAAGAGAACAAGCCGGTTCTCCGAGCCTCGAGCGCACATTGGGAGCCATCCCGGAGCGGGGGACCACGAGCACGAACTCGATCCAGGGGAGGCTGGCGAACGACGAGGCCAGAGACCGGCATTGACGTGGGCCGGTCATCCTTGCTCGCACTTTGGGAGCCGCGGCACGGGCGGGCGCGGCTGGCGGACGACAAGGAGAGCCCACGGGAGGCAGCGAGGACGGGCGAGGCAGGAGACTCAGCCGCGATTGGGAGCGTCGCTCCGTAGAGTCGTACTATCTTGCAGGGTAGCGGCGGGTGACCTGGATAGTATTGATCAGTGGATGAGTAGACTGTGAGTACGAGGAGACGGTACTTGCCGCCACTGGACCCGGAGTCGTCGCTGGGAGGAATAGACCCCGCTTCCGTGTGGTCCATGGGAGGTGGTGGTGGAAGGAGGTAAGGAGCATAGCCCGCGTGCGGACGGGTTTTATGCTCGTCGACTCGACCGCGGCGAACATGCGGCTGGGGTTGAACGAGTCGCGGCGGACAGATGGACGCAGGAGGCTCCACCGAGGCTGACTGCGAGGCGGTCTTGCAGACCTAGATCAGCCGCGACGCGTCTGTGGCTGACGGCCAGAATGGCGATCGTTAGCTGCTGTTCGGGCTATGGACAGTAGAAAGGTGTCTATGGGCAGCTACGAGCCTCTCGGTGTTGCGTAACCGATGTTCCTAGTAGGCAGAAAGACCAGCCAAGGATATGTGGCATCGTCCGTACAATGCTGTGGGCCTGGCACAGTGACATTGATTGTACTGGCGAAGAACTGTGGCCGCCCGGTCAGTACCGCAATGCCCTACAGACGGATTTGCAATCATGACATCACGGCTGCGAAACCTGTAACACTGCGCTTCACCCCCATGCAAGTCAGAGCTCGATAGAATGAAGACATGATCCACCCCTCCTGCCAGGTATTGGTAAGACGTCTGAGACGTCTTACCAATGCGGCGCGACAGGACACTGTTTCGTCGTTCCGTCGCTGCTAGGAAGCCCGTGAACTCTGATGACAAACAACACCCAGTACCTTCGGAAGTCTTACCAGGTGTTGTATGAAGCGTCATGCACTGCATCAGAGTGACTTCATAGCCCGTCTGCGAGATGTGTGGTTGGATGACATATTGGATTTGGGAAGATGAGACAGGTCTCGAGGCCGGCCCAGGAGACAGGACTGAATGTGAGTACTGTCACTTGTGCAAATACTACGGGCTGGATCTTCAAGAGGCTGCACAGCGACCTCAGTCCTTTGGAAAGACGGAGAGTTCACGGCCCCAACGTCGCGTCGCCGCCAGTAGGCGCCCTCGTGGTGCTTTGGACTGCGTCGCGGTCAGACAGCCTGTCAGAACGTGCATGAGCACCTGAGTAGAAGCTGCCGAAAAATGAAATGCCCACGAATGCGTACGGTCCACATGTTGCTACTTACCAGTACAAGGTTAGAGTGCGCGCCACAGCAAAGAGAGTTGCTGATCGAGGCTGATTGGCCGAGAGCCCTTCGAAGTTACGCCTACCGTCCGAGTGCAGTCGCGGCGGCTTCGAGGACCGCCCCAGACTGTGTCCTACCTTCTTGTGAGTGGCTCCTACCTGTCGCCGCTGTCCGTCGACCTCATGTCGACTGTACATGGACGCTCGAATGTGACGCGTCCCAGGAGTGGCCGGCCACGATCGGGGTCGGTCTGGATGGAGTTTCCGGATGGAGCGAGGACAGCCAACTGATCTAGCATACGGACGAACTCATGTAGTAGTTCCAAATCCATTAGGTCCGTTGGGATCAGCGCAGACCAGGCGCAGAGATGGACGGCCGCGGTGCCGGCGGTCGGGACTCGAGGGGTCGAGAGGAACGTGCGATTCCGTGGCTGCCAGGCTACTAGCTGCTCATAATGCGGGCACCGCCTTACATCAGACGCACGGAAGGACGATCGAGCATGCACGTCCGCGATGGGGATGTTACGGGTAGCTGACAGCAGCGGTGTCCAGATGGCCTAAGCCTGCGCTCTCGTCAGCAGCGACGAACAGCATGATCCGGATGCGATGCAGGCGGCGTCGAGTCATGGTTGTATGGCCTGAGTAACATGGGTGTATGTGCGCTGGTGCGGGTGCCGAGCTGGGACGATTTGCGGCCGACGAGGAGCGAGGGTTGGGAAAAGTGAGACGATGGACGATCTGGGGACGATCGCGCGGGTGACTCAGGCGGGCAGACGCGCACGTTCGCGCCTCGCACGCCTCCTCCCAGCGAGTGGCACTGCGCGGACCGCGGTCGGGCGGCTGGGCGGGGACTGGCGGGGAGGGCGACTACCGTTACCCGCTAGTCCGTGGATAAAGATCTCGCGCCACCTGCGCGCCACACGCCTCAGCCACCTCGCGTCTCGCGATGTCGCCTTCACACAACGCTCGATGCCTCGCTCAGTACTCGTTCTATGGCTGTGACGACCTCGTTTTCGGAATATACGCATCAAAATCACCTCAGGGAAGGTCTCGGGAAGGCCATATCGACAGTAAGCGCCTTGCAAGACCTCCACTGGCAGACGTGTCGGCGAACACCCGCAGACAGCAGGACTGGCGCACGGGTCTTATACATCGCGTGTTGGGACGCTAGGAGAGGGTGCTAAGGAATGGTCGAGCCGAGGATGACGTTTGCTGGGGTGGAAGGGCAGAGATTGTTCGATGTTAGTGAGTTGTCCTTCTGTCCTTCTGCACTTTTGTGGTGCCAAGCCCCGCTCAGTCCCGTCGGAGTCATAGCATACTTGTTCGCAATTTTGAATGTAGCAATACACCATGTTGAGACGTTCAAACCCAACCTTGATATGTGAAACACTAATGACACGACCTTGTGTCCAACGCCAGCGCCGCCTCCCAGACCCGCTCCGCAGCGGCAGGAGGTCCAGCTGCTAAGCCGATACAATCGTGTTCATTCATAACTATCGTACACAGTCCCATGTATGTGCTCATATTCCACGCTTATGTACTTACCAGAATACATCACACAGCGTACATGATGTTTTGTGAGTGTGACAAGATTCAAAGAAGCTGGCATCCTCACCACCAGTACCATCGCCTGCCAAACTGACCGTTGACAAACTGGGTTGTGTATACTGTCTCAAGCTTTCCGTATAAATACATACCGCGATCTAGTCGCCGTACAGTCTACTCCAGTATCCCAACACGCGATGTCTGCGGGTGTTCGCCGACACGTCTGGAGGTCTTGCAAGGCGCTTACTGTCGATATGGCCTTCCCGAGACCTTCCCTGAGGTGATTTTGACGCATATATTCCGAAAACGAGGTCGTCACAGCCATAGAACGAGCACTGAGCGAGGCATCGAGCGTTGTGTGAAGGCGACATCGCGAGACGCGAGGTGGCTGAGGCGTGTGGCGCGCAGGTGGCGCGAGATCTTTATCCACGGACTAGCGGGTAACGGTAGGCGACGGGCCAGAGCGCGGTGGGCGGCCTTGGGCGCGGACTGGCTGCAGTCACCGCGAATGACGCGCAGAGCGTTCGAGAGACGGGCTGAGCGCCCACGCCCGCCCTGGCCAATGGCGCAGCCCCGAGCCAATCATGATGGCCGATAATCGTCTCCTATAAAGCACACCGCACTCCTCTCCCTGTCCCCATCCTCTCCTCCTCACTCACATCCACCAATCCACACTCACACTGCCATGCCCGTAAGTCCTCCTCGTCGGTAGCATAGTCCAGCCTGCTCACGTACCTTGCTCTCCAGGTCAAGGTCGGAATCAACGGGTGAGTATATGCGCGTCTCTGCGCCTCGCGATCGCGCTGACCACGCCTCGACGCGTTCTTCCCCAGTTTCGGTACGCGTCGCTCTCTTTCTACCCAAAATATTCGCGCCTGACCAAGCTGCAGGTCGTATTGGCCGTATCGTCCTCCGTAATGCTCTCCTCCACGGAGACATCGACGTCGTCGCCGTGAACGAGTGAGTCGGCCGCACACCCAGCCCTCAGCCGCCTGCTGACGTCTTCGCAGCCCCTTCATCGACCTTGAGTACATGGTCTACATGTTCAAGTACGACTCCGTCCACGGCCGCTTCAAGGGCACCGTCGAGGCCAAGAACGGCAAGCTCTACGTCGAGGGCAAGCCCATCTCCGTCTTCGCCGAGCGGGACCCCTCCAACATCCCCTGGGGCTCCGTCGGCGCCCACTACGTCGTCGAGTCCACCGGTGTCTTCACCACGACCGAGAAGGCCTCCGCCCACCTCAAGGGCGGCGCCAAGAAGGTCATCATCTCCGCGCCCTCCAGCGACGCGCCCATGTTCGTCTGCGGCGTGAACCTCGACAGCTACGACTCCAAGTACACCGTCATCTCCAACGCGAGCTGCACCACCAACTGCCTCGCGCCCCTCGCCAAGGTCATCCACGACAACTTCGGCATCGCCGAGGGCCTCATGTCCACCATCCACTCGACCACCGCCACCCAGAAGACCGTCGACGGCCCCTCGAATAAGGACTGGCGTGGCGGCCGTGCCGTCGGCAACAACATCATCCCCTCCTCGACCGGTGCCGCCAAGGCCGTCGGCAAGGTCATCCCCTCGCTCAACGGCAAGCTGACGTGAGTCCCGCCTTTCCCCCCTCTAACACCCCCTCACCCACCCCCGTGCAGCGGCCTCTCCTTCCGTGTCCCGACGGTCGACGTCTCCGTCGTCGACCTCGTCGTGCGGCTCGAGAAGCCCGCCTCGTACGAGGAGATCAAGAAGGCGATCCAGGCCGCCGCGGACGGGCCCATGAAGGGCATCCTCGCGTACACGGACGAGAAGGTCGTCTCGACCGACTTCACCGGCAACGAGCACTCGTCCATCTTCGACGCGGACGCGGGCATCCAGCTCTCGCCCACCTTCGTCAAGCTCATCTCGTGGTACGACAACGAGTGGGGCTACTCCAAGCGCGTCTGCGACCTCCTCGCGTACGCCGCGAAGAAGGACGGCGCGTTCTGAGCGCGGACCCACCTGCACACTCGAGCGCCTGCCTTGGGCGGGCGCGCGGCGCCCGGCTCGCGAGGGCGAGGCGCGCACGCGGGGTCGGAAGGGAAGTAAGAAGTTTGTAGTTATACGAAGCAAAATAGAAATGTCACTTGTACTCGTTACGATCCTAATGACATCGCTCTGTACACTGCGTCGTGTCCTCCTCAGTATGCGCGTTTCGTCTGCTCATTTTGCGCTGCACGCCATACCACGAAGGACTTCTGGCATCATCGACACCCTTACTAGCAAAACACAACCGCGAGCAACTTCGCTACGTATATCACGTCGACAGCGCGACCGACAGACAGCCGTCCTGCCCGGGCCCAAAGGAAAGGAAGCACACCCAACCCCGGTCCAGCCCAGCCGTCAGCCCAACGCCCTCCCGTGCTACGACACGGACACCGCACTAACGACGACGGGCCTCACGCGCGCCGCCTGGCCCATCTTCTCGCTGTCCGGGTCCCACCCGCACTCCTCCCTCCGATGCCGGAGCCGCGGGTCGCCCACGACTGCCGCCGGCGTCTGCGCGGGCGTGCCGACCGAGTCGGACGGCGGCGTCTCCGAGTCGGGCTGCGGCGACGCCTCCTCTGCGTCCGCGCCGTCCATGTCCATGTCCATGTCGTCGTCGTCGTCGCCGTCGCCGTCGCCGTCGGGGGCGAGGTCCATCATGTCCGCGACGGCCGCGTCGAGGTCGGTGCCCTCGCCGGAGAGCGACGGGGAGAGCACGGACGGGGACGCGGAGGCGCCGGGCTGCGCGGACGAGGACGCGGAGGCGGACGCGGAGGGGCGCGCGCCGCCGCTCTCGCGCCGCTTCTTGTCCATCTTGCGGAGGATCTTGGCGATGTACTCCTTCGCGAACTTCTTGATCTTGACGACCTTCTCGTCGGAGAGCGTGTCGAGGCGGCCCTCGCGGAAGGACGAGGACTTCTTCTCCTTCTCGGCGATGATGTGCGTGAGCTGCGTGAGCGTGCGTAGTCAGTAAATGGGGAACGGAGGAGAATGGGGAGACGGCGCGCCGCACCTCCTTGGCGTGTTTCTTGAACTGGTCGTGGTCGAGCTGGTCGCGGTGCTTCGACATGCACTTCACGATGACCGCGCCGACGAGCTTGAGGAGCCGCTTCTCCTTGTTCGCCTCCCTCTCCTCCTGGCTCAGCTGCTTCCGCTTCTTCCGCCGCGCCTCCTTCGCCTCGCGCTTCTTCTGCTCCTCCTCCTCCTTTTCCTTGTCCGCGTCGGCCTTGGACGGCGCGGCGACGGCAGTGGCGAGCGCCGCCTCCGCTGCCGCGGACGCCTTCGCGATGATGGCTGCGACGTCCCGCTCGCGCTGCTGCACGATGTCCCATGCGTTGACGAGCTTGACGGCGGGCGCGGGGGGCTCAGCGACCTCCTTCGCGGCGTCCTTGGGCTTGGGCGGCGGTGGCGCGGGTGCGCGGAGCTTGAAGTCGAGCTTGGAGGCTTCGTTCTCGAAGACGAAGAGCGTGTCGGGGCGCGCGCGCTTCTGCGGGCGAGGGTCGGCCACTCTGTAGGATAGGCCGGACGATGGCGCAGGGGCATCGTCTTCGTCCCCCTCCTGCGCGAACGAACGTCATTGAGTACAGGCGTAGGACGGTGTAGACTTGAGATCTCACCCCTTTCAACCGCTTTGGTATTCGATACGCGTACTCCAAGGCATCCCATTGTGCAAGCAACTACTCGATCGTCAGACATATAATGCCAAAAACATGGTATAGATGTGCCGACCTTCTGGGCGAGCTCTGCAAGCATTTGGTTCTCGGACTGTGCGCATGCTTGAACCGGAACGTTGATCTTGGAGTCCTCGACTTTGTTCCGTTGGATGAGTGGCCAAGTCATCATGCACTCGATCGCCTGCACACCATTAGTCATGACGCAACACGGCACCTCCAAAACGATGCTCACCGATATAGACACCTCCGCGTCGGTACTGTAGTCCTCGAGGATGTTGGTCATGACGCTGAAGCCACGAAGACGCATAAGCTGCCGCAAAGCAGGTTGATCTTCCGTCATCTACAGGTATGATGACATCAGGACCAGCACAGCGACAGCGCGACACGACCACCACCGACCTTTATACGCGTCAGCAACTTGATGAGGACCTTGCGGCTCTGTGTCTGTCGGAGCGCCTGGACGACCTTCGGTATGTCCTTTTCGATGAGTGGCTTGAGTGTAGGCTGATGCGACGTGTGCGGTTAACACAATATTGACAGTTAAGCAGTAAGTGAACGCACGATGAAGTCCTCGTCGAGCTTCTTGCTCTTCCTCTTCTTGCTCCCCTTGAGACCCAAGACCGCGACCTCCTCGGAAATACCGAGCGCTAAAGCATTGTCAGCTTACGTGAAGGTTGAAGGCACGATCGGCGCACCATCGAGGTAGAGATCGTCCATAGCCGCGATATCGGTCTGCGTCTTGCCACCGATGAACCCGACGCAATTCGGCTCTCCGCAATAACATGGTTGTGCGTCATGGCTGCAGAACCGCATTGAGTATGCTTCTCCTGAACGACCACTGTCAGACCGTGCCACTTACCCATACCGGTCAACGTTGTAGTTGAATGTGAGCTCTTCGTTCTTCTTGATGTGCCGGTTGGCGAAGATACCCATGCGCACATGCTGATCCACTGTCCACTTTGCTACGTAACAATTGGGGTTACAGCTGTGGTTAGCAAAGCGGCCGATTCCACCTCGCTTGGTGGCGTCAATGAACTTCGCGAATCGAGTCAGCGAATCAATACGGATCCTCGACGTCGACGTATTCGACATACCTCGTCCTTCTGGAGCATCATGAAGTAGAAATGTCGGATACCCTCTTCGGCATACTGTCGCATGCGTTTGAGGAAAGTGGGCTGGCTGACTACGTCGCCCAGATATTCGTAAATGAAGGTGTCCCTATTCCAATGTTTGAGTCCTCCATGGAGAAGCACGAAGATGGGGTGCATACTTTGGCAGATCCTCTGCAGCACGGAGACCAAACCCCTTCATTTCAGTTTGCACGATCTCGATAGGCGCGTACTGCCTCAGCTGAAATCTGCACTGCCGTTGAGTATTGAGTGAAAGCTGCGATAGTCTGAGCACTTACCGTTGATTTTGGCAGTATGAGCGACATCGACAATCGTCGGGGAGGCACTCTACCTGCGTGAGTCGGTTGATACAATCCGAGCCACACGCATCGTCAGGGTGATCCACCCCATGTTCGTACTGACACTCGCAGGTCATACTCTCTAGAGCTTCCCGCGACCGTCCGAGAGTGCCATATTGGTAGTGATTTTGCTCGAGCTGAACAAATGTGCGTCGTGCGTCCTCCTCAGCGCGGGGGAGGTGGCCGATGAGCTGCGGCTCGCTCTTGGGCTTGCCCCGTGAGGAGACAGGCGGTGTAGCAGACGGCCGGTCGTCTTCAAGTTTCAGGGCAGCGGTCTCTTGCTTGAGCTCTGAAGAGGAGCTCCGTGAGGTCGATGGTTCGTCCATGTCGAAGTTGTAGAGGTCGTCGATGTCTGCCTTCGCAGATGAGTCGGCCCCGAGCTTGACGCCGAGAGTCGCGCCAACGGCATGCCCCATGGCTTCGGGCTTCACGCCCTTGTCTGCCAGTTCAGAGGTGCTGCGCGAACTGGCCGCATGAATTCCGCCTCTGTCGCCGTTTGCGAGGGGCGGGGTATATGATACGCTGCGCGTAGAAGGAGGTCGAGTGCCTGCCATTTCCGGGTTTGTCAGGACACAATAGAAGGAGGTCCTCGAATGGCCCGGCGAGTAGATGCGAGTATACAGACGAATAAGTTACGGCCAGAACTAGGCGAGCATGCAGGAAGCAATAGACCTGTGCGAAATAAGATATCTCGAGCAGAGTCACCGAGTACTCACGGATGGCCAGAACTTGGTGGCGGGAGGCAAAGTGGCTGAGCCAATCACGCTCTCACTTCGACGCACACCATGGCCTCTGCCTCCATTTCGAGAAAACGCAAACGCGACACCGACGATGCTGGAAAAATCACCCTCCTGAACTCGTCTCAGTCAACATCGCACCTTGGCCCAGTGTTAGGTAACACTTGTTCAGAGATGCTCAGAGCGCGTCAAATTGACTCTTGCCGTCCAGCCAGTTTTCCAGCCCTCCAACCGCCTAAGAAGACATCATTCCGGTGCTGGCGGAGAGACAAGCATGTCGACGGGACGGAAGCTTTTGCGTCTCAGGACACCCTCGTCGCTGGAGAAACGGAGACGGTAGAGTTCTCCACATCGGGCGAAAGCCAACAGGCCTCCGTGGGCTGCAGGTATGTGTAAAGTGATGCGATCCGGGCCTGCTTTCTCACTGCAATAATCATCTTTTCAGCTATCTAGTTGCTGTACACAACAAACGGACGAACACAACTGTGTTCCGTCCCGCACCACTCCATATCATGAACCAACAAGTGAAAGCGCTCAAGAACCTTGCTCCCATAGAGGCCACCAATGAGGAACGCGCACAGCTGCGTAACAAACTTGGTGAAACGTTCGGAACGAAGAAGGCGAAGGCAGCCATCCGCGCGCAAGAGCGAAACAGGGTGGATATCGATGCTCTGAAGGGTGTGACCGGTCATCTGCAAGAAACCATCATGGAGAATACTAGCAGTTTACCGACATTAGGTATGTGTTCTAACATCTGCTGTGTATCTTCACTGCTCTACGACCTCCGGCACATCCTGTTCGCCTCTGGTGCACTATACTGAAGACCTTGATCCGGTCCTGCACAACGGAAGGATCTGGGACGCTCTTCATGTGATATGGTGCAAACTCTTTCCTGGACGAAGCTGTTGTGCAGCGACCACACGTCCCAGAGAACGACATTGCTGTCCGTTCGAGTCAGTGCGGTGAGACTCCGTTACGACGGCAATGTGTGTTCGGGTGCTACGCTACGTACATGTGTGTACGTCCCAGCCTCGATTCCTCGTCTGATGACGTTCCCGAGCACATATCATACATACAAACATCTTCATCCAATGTCTTTTGTCACCTGACTCGGCGTTCGCTAGCGTCACTGGCTCATCGGTGTACTTCCTTCCTACACCTACTTACCATCATCTACAGAGGAGGCGAAGGAAGCCGCGGACAGCAACCGACTCATTCCCCCACACAACCCGAACGCAGATCGACCGGACAACGTCTATGCGTTGCACGACATCATCCCTGAGACGGAGTTCAATGCTTTGTCGGTGGCACCGTTCCGGTCTGCAACAAATGTCCAGGAACGGAAGGCGTTGTTGCCCTTCCGACAATCGAATTGGGTCAACCAGCATATCTATCAATTGTTCCAGGCGCCGAAGCTCAGGAAGACCGACCTGTCAGTGTCTGCATGATGACAGATTTGCGCTTCCACTGACAGTCGCATAGGAAGATCGTCATGTATGTCTCTGCGATGCTGGCGTTCAGGATGGCAGCGCGGTCCGTCAACGACAAAGAGGCGTTACAGAAGAAGTTCACCGGCGTACCGCAAATCGTCGTTGATGGGTTGTTGTCTCGGTTCACAGAAAGCGAGAGAGATACGAACAAGTAAACTTTACTGATACTCCCATCATCCCATGGTACTGATGCGGGGTATCCAGAATCAAGGTAACGAGCCAAACAGAGACGATGCTCATGACATATATGCTCGCGCTCTGCCTGCGCGTCGATGACTTCGCAACCGACACGGAGCTTATTGCCCACGATCTCAAAATGCCGGCCTCCAAGTACGGTTTTTTTTACCTTCCGATGTGCTCTTCGATCGTACTGACTACGTCGTTAGGGTCAACCCGCTATTCAAGGCGCTCGGTACGTGGACCCGAGTCAGGTCATGAGAAGCATAGCGTCTGACTTGTTTTGTCAGGGTGTAACATCCGCAAGCTAGACCACAAAGACCTCAAACGGCTGGGCCTGCCCGACTCTGCTACAGAGTCGAAGCGTGCGATCTTGGAGGTGCCTGTGAAGTTCCCTCAGCCGCGTCCGAAGCGTGCTCGCCGCTAGGAACATGTTACATCTACGTCGGGATACAGCACTTTGTGAATTGATCCCTGGTGGTGGTGTTGCCTTCTCCACATTCTGCTGCGAAGATCCATCTGCGGAGCGCGTCCGCGTCGCTGGGACCCAGATATCTGTTCCCGGGGCTGCTTAGGTGAGGTACTCAAGTCCTGCGCGGGAGTTCTCTTCGGCTCTTCTACTGTGCATTGCGGCGCTGCTTCCGATTGCCCGGATGTTGCGGCGTGGATGAATGCGGACTCATTCAGTGGGAGTCCGCATGCCTCTTCGAAAGTCAGCATCTCGCAAGCATCGGCCTGTACGTTCGTTTCGCAAACGTTTTACCACTTTATGCCATGAACTCAGACGTTGGCCGACAGCTCGGAGGAATGACTAGCAATGGTGGCTTATAGTCGTTCCTCAGTCTAACCCTTGTGAGACGGTGTATTACTTCGTGAGCGGATCATGAGAGATTTCCCGTTGTTTGCCCGCTGTCATCACGAAGCTTGTGTTGCTTGGACAGCTCCAACCCGATCTGCATCCTACGGCGCTAAGGATGGCGCTGCAACATCCTTTGGGTGTTTGTGAATTCATTTAAAAAGCAGGGATGGCTGGCTTCGAGAAGGCGTGTCCAAGGACAGATACGACCCTGGTCCTATATCGCCATGTCGAACTCACCCTCTTCTGAAGTAGATATCATCATTGCTGGAGGCAAGCTTCTCTGAGCATTCGATCTCGTCGCCAAACTGACGTGTATTTGTAGGCGGTACAAGCGGGCTAGTAGTTGCTAGTCGGCTGTCGGAAGCAGACCCGTCACTGAGTATCCTCGTTCTGGAGGCAGGCCCGCCGACACACGACGACTTGGCGCACATCCAACCTGCCCGCTACTTGAGCCATCTGCTCCCAGACAGCAAGACCGTCAGGTTCTATGAAGGCAAGAAGACCGAGGAGCTCGCAGGCCGAGGTGTCGTCGTACCGTGCGGCCAGTGTCTGGGAGGTGGATCCAGCGTGAACTGTACGTCGCCCGTTCACGCTGTGGATAGCCCAAAACTAAGCTATATATCCACCCAGTCACGGTGTATGCACGGCCGGCTGCGTCTGACTTCGACGATTGGGAGAATGTCTATGGCAACAGCGGATGGGGCTCGAAAGACCTCATACCCCTTTTACAGAAGGTATATCAATGTTTTCTCCTATCACTCCTAGTCGCGGTGCTCACGCAGAGCAGTCAGAGACATACCAAGCTGAGGGGTCTGCGGACACGCACGGCTACTCGGGTCCTCTCAAGGTTTCGTACGGCGGACTCTTCACGAATGTGGGGCAGCAATTCCTCGAAGTCGCTGCGCGGTACGATGCGAAGCGTTCTCTGATGGAAGATCCCAACGGGCTGTTCAAATGTAATGCATATGGGGTTAGTACGTGCAGAACGCTCCAATTGACTTTCGTTGATTGTCCCGCAGAGGTGGCAGAAGTTCGTGGTCATATCGGTTGTGGTGTGAAAGTGGAACTAATCAACGAATAGGTACATAAGCGCGGACGATGGACGGCGGTCCGACGTGCCTCACAACTACATCTACAACCGTAACTTCACCAAGCTCGAGATACTTACAGGTTACATAGTGAAGCGAGTTGTCTTTGAGTGAGTCTGATTTCCTCCCTTTACAAATGGTGGTGGTACCAGGGTGCTGACGAGAAGCACAGAGGCAATCGAGCCGTTGGCGTCGAATACACGCCAAATGTACGGTTCCGGCCTAACGAGAAGCAAGAGATTCAATGCGTCAGAGCGCGCAAGCTAGTGCTATTGTCTGCAGGCGCCTTTGGGTCACCTGCGATCTTGGAACGTTCTGGTATCGGGTCGCCGGACGTGTTGAAGAAGTTCGGTATAGGCCCCTTGGTGGACTTGCCCGGCGTAGGAGAGAACTATCAAGGTGTGTATCGTTGACCCTCAAATTACTCCAGTGTTCTCATCTTGACTGATGTAGACCACCAAGTTGTCTTCACACCGTACCTCGTGAAGGATGAGGCTGAGACCCTTGACGGAATTGTCAGAGGCGATCCAGAGGAAGTCGACAGTACGTGTTTCCGCTAGGTGGCGCGCATACGCTATAATGCCGGCAACTGATCTCAACCTTTTAGAATGGAACGCACAATGGTTGAAGGACGGCTCTGGACTGATGGCGCACAAGTGAGTCATTCTAGTGCCCGTGAGATCTTAATGGCTCATAAGGAATGGCTCAGCGGTATCGATGCTGCTGGTAAATTGCGGCCGTTCCCCGAAGAACTCGAGCTCATTGGCCCCGAATTTCGCAAGAGGTGGGAGACATACTACAAAGACGCGCTAGATAAGCCTGCCATTTGGTGCGGCACGGTCTCCGAGTGAGTATCGGCACATTGCAGATGCGGAGTCGGCCCGCTGAAGTAGTCGCTCGCAGATACGTGGGCAATCCGTCGACAGTCCCCAAGCGGAAATACGTCACTATTGGCTGCTACGTGCAATACCCTGCGTCCACGGGCTACGTACACATTACCTCCACAGACGATGTGTCTGCTGCTCCTGACTTCGACCCTGGCTTCCTACGTCGGTCAGTGTCATGTATACAGGCGTTCCATGGATCTGACATTGGTTCTAGGGCTGAAGACCTCGTCCTCTTGAGATGGGGTTACAAGCACGGCCGCGAGCTCGCGCGTCGAATGCCGCTGTACTGCGGCGAATATTTGCCTGACCACCCGCAGTTTCGAGACAGTAGCCAAGCTTCCTGCAGTGCTGAAGGGCAGTCCGTTGCCGTGGATGCACCGCCCCTGCAATACACGGCTGAGGACGACAAGGCTATCGACGATCATACTCGCCGCGCTGTACAGACATCCTGGCACTCCGTAAGCCTCCATGAATACCTTTGATTGTAATCCGTTGCTATATGGTGCGTGCAGCTCGGAACCTGCGCAATGAGACCTCGCGAGCAAGATGGTGTCGTAGACGCGAAGTTGAACGTGTATGGAGTCACCGGGTTAAAGGTCGCAGGTACGTCAGACTGCCTCTCGCGTACATTTTCGTAGAGTTCATGCGAATAAACAGACATGTCTATCGCACCGGGTAATGTTTGTGCTGTGGGTACCATCCCCTTTCTCCTGAGCATTGTGGCTGACTTGCCCTATTCATAGAATACATACTCCACTGCGCTCGTCATCGGAGAGAAGGCAGCAATCATTATTATGGAGGAGCTGGGTATCTCGGGAGCTCATACAGCTTGAAAGTCCTTGTGATATGTGCGTTAGTGACTCCCTGTCTGTAGCGTGTCATGGGAATATGTATACTGGGTATTCGCAGCCTACGACTCGGCCTGTAACAGAGGGTACCGGGGCGATTCACCGCGACCTACGGCGATCTATCGTTGAAAGAGGAGGAGGGAAAGGGGACGAAGAAGACTGCGGGCAGGGCGAAGACACGACCGACTCGACAGGGAGGCTGACAGGCGCAGACGGGCGGGACCAACTGACATGACGGAGATGCTCTATTTCTCATCACAATCCACTACTCCACATTCCGTGTTACTGTACTACACTCCTGATGCCATCGCGGCTGACGGACATGCGCAGCGAAGCGAGGACGACGACAAGGACTCCGTAGGATAGATCATCATGTTTATGTCTACATAGGGCGCCGCCCTCAGCGACACTAAATGGAACAAACAAACAAACAAACAGAGGGTACATTCGTACGTCGGCAGCGCCGCACAGGTTCGACCATGTGTTGTGTACAATCACAGAGAATGGTGCTCAGGGAGTCTGCACCTCAACCTTCCAAGTGGCTATCTGGACCTTGAAGGAGCAGTACCAACCGGGCGCGCGCCGCGCGGCGTGGCGACTGCGCCACAGACGCGTCTAGCAAGAGCACGTGACCGTATTAGGGCAGATGTCGTGTCGTGTTAACTGTTACTTAGTTCAAGCTTATGCGCACTAGTACTCACCGCTGCACCAACACACATCGCAATCCGCTCAAGCATGTTTACAGTGCTAGCGCTTAGATGTACCTAACATTCAAAGTGACGGTATCCGTGCACTATAGTCTATGATGAGCTCGATATTGACGTCTCCGCGATCCTCCCGCGCTAACCTTCTTAGCGTCCGACGACGGCGGCGACGATCACCGACCCTTACATAACCTCGGACGACCCTGGAAGAACCTAAGTTAAGTAACGGCATCGTCTTATGCTGCGTTCCCGAGGTAGATTGAAGCACAATCTCCTTCAACCACCCACACTCTCTTGTCTCCCTCAGCCAAGTAATGCCCAAGTGGCCGGCCAAGGCTGCACAGCCATTTGTAGATTCGGACTTGCAGGAGGTCTACGAGGCCTGTAATTGGCACTACATCTGGCAAGCAGAGTATGGCGGGCCCAGCGAAGACAGCTGCCCGGGCGACGACGTTGATGGATACGACGCGATGGAGACTCGGACAGTCCCGGACGAAGAGGACAACGTTGATGCGCAGATTGTGCACGCCGTGCTATACGCTGCGACTAACCTTGCAGACTACTAGTAAGTCGCATGCGAAGTCCCTGACGGGTATATGTGTTTCGGACGGCAGCTCATTAAATGTATCATCCAGCAAACGCATGCTTGACGATCCCCTTGACTCCGACTACGCCCAAGCAGTCGACCCAAGGACTCTGCTGAGACTGCTCACAGCCGAAAAAACGCGCTCGCGCGCCATAGGAGAGACGATTTCTTCTCTGAGGAACACTACACTCGCTAAGGAGGGATGGTCCGACGCGTCATATTGGGACATGCAAGCTAAGCTGGAGATGTCGTTGACGCTTGAAGTGAGTGCGCAGCCGAATACCACCGCAAGAAAATGTCACGGTGACCCCGTTTTTTTAGGCAATGATACCCGCTGAACGGCCCAGCGTGGGCCCAAATAGTCTGAGATACATCGCGCTGTTGCGCACTCTGCCTGTGAAGGCCAGGAAGTCCAAAAACCGCATGAGACGCAAATCGGCAAACACCACCCCCTATGCGCGCCAACAGCCACACCGACATGAGGGATCAGACGCTCTGGCGAGGTGCTCGGGGCCAAGCCCTTTGAAGTACTGCAGTACGAGTACCGAATGAAGGCGTATGCTCGGCGCCGACCTGCAAAGGGAGAGGGTGCGTTTCTTGAAGTAGTTCGCATAGGATGTTCAGCTTGCGATTTGAGACAATCGTTGTCCTTTGTAGGAATCCCTTGAACGTGCCATCCTCCCGCTCATCAAGGAATGCTGATGGCCCGTCGCATTGCTGCGTGTCAATCGGCAGCCCCTTGTACTCATCTACTCCGACATCGTACTAGACTCACAATACCACTGCATGCTGCGTAACGGTCCACCGGCGTGCACGAGCGAGGGTCTCACTGGCGGAAAGATATTCTTCTGCCTTCGCAGATGCAGCTTCACAGAGAAGTTCAGCTAAACATATGTGCCTATCGTCGAGACTGGGTCGTCCGTAATCACCCAGCGTGCGGTAAACTATATGTCCGTTCGCTGATGGTTCTCACACCCGGCACAGCGTTACGGCCATCCGGTCATAACGACTCCCCAGTAGAAAGCCACCGGCGAACGAACCATCGCAGTAGTTGCTACTATGCGAACGCTGGGCAGGAAGGCATCATCAAGGCCCATCAACAGGCCTGTGTAGCAGAAGAGGTGAAGTCATGCTGTGTCTTCCCGGCAATGGACTAATAACGTTTGGTAGACCGTAGCCCAGTGCCGTTCGAACGCAGTCACTTCAAACCACGAGAAAGTGGAAACGTTTGCTCGCATCACTCGGCTCGCGGCCTCTTTCGGAAGCTCTGGTGCTGGCACTCGTTTCCTGCATTCGCGAATCTCTGTTCGTCCCGAGCATGGCTCCATTTAGACGATTCTTTCACGGCCGCAGAGGAGCAACGCACTGCGGATTGATCTTCTACCTAACTGCCGTCCTCTTGGACGGAGTTACCGTCGCCGAGATTAGCTGAGCACCTTGCCATGGAAGCGTATAAAAGCGAGGTGTGCGCCGTCGGAAACCTCAGCTCTCTTCCCTTTTTCCTTCGGAGCTCACGAAAGCAACGGTACTGGCTAGTAGGTCTTCCCCATTGCATCCGATACGAGCAGTCTCTGAATATTTGTGCGCGCTAGCCTTGCTTGATTTCTTGACGACACCTGTACCACTTTCATTTGTCTGTTTACGACATTCACCTCGCTTCCACATACACTATAAGTCATGCGCTCCGCTACTCTTTTCGCATTCGTCCTCGCCGCTGTATCTGCGGGCCCCGCTCTCGCATATCCCGCTCAGTACCAGTGCGTTCGCTGTCCATCCAGTATGCTCGTGCCTTACTTATCACATATTTCTCAGGTTCAGCCGTGACCTCGACTCCTTCACCCCCAGCGTATGGGAGCGCGATATTCTTGACGCCTTGTTCGCTCGAGGCCCTCAAGGCCGCGGCGGCGAGATGAAGCACGCGCATGAGGGGAAAGACGAGGAGCACGAGGAGAAGCACGAGGAGAAGGAACAGCGCAAGCACTCCGGCTCCGGTAGGATGGTCCCTCACGGCGGGCAGGGTGTCAAGGAGCCCCGTGCGCTTTACGAGCGTGACCTCCTCGAGGAGCTATTCGCCCGCGTTGCTCCCTCAGCGGCCGGTGGCGACGAGCAGTCCGCCACTGACACCACGAGTGCCGGCGACGCGCAGTCTGCTCTTGGGGCTGCAGGTGCGGGCGCGGCACCGTCCGCCACTGGGGTGCAGGGTAACGGCCACGCCGATGGCAAGCACAAGAGCGGCCGCAAGAACAAGGGCAGCCGCAAGAACAAGGGCGGCCGCAAGAACAAGGGTGGCCGTAAGCACAAGGGCGGCCGCAAGGGCAAGGGGAGCAAGAAGTCACGGGCTCTCGACGAGCGCGACGACCTTGAGGAGCTATTCGCCCGTGTCGCCGACGGCGCGGACGGCGAGAAGCACTACGCTCCTGGAGTGGAGGAGCACGGTTACGCACACCAAGACAACCAGGGCAAGACCGGTAGCCGTCACGCTCGATTGTTCGATGCTCGCGATTTCGATGACGAGCTGTATGCGCGTGACTTCGACGAGGAACTGTACGGTCGTGACTTCGCTGACGAGCTGTTCTGAAGTGTTGTGGGGATGCTCTCTGACAATGGCTCTGGCCCCGCAGTAGTACGATGTCACGGTTGGAGTTGTACTAGTAGACAACGAACCAGGAATTGTATGCCGTAATTGCGTGTTCAGGCTAGCTCATCGATCCGAGCAATTTTCCCAGCACGGTGACATGCTTGAGGGGCTTTTGCTCGAGGGGGAAGGACTATTCCCAGGTTTGTGTAATTCGCTCATGGCCAGGTGGCCCTCGTCGACCGTGCTGCTATGTGTTGATCACAACGCATTCTCGTTATCGACAATGGACGTGCTTGCCAACAGATTGCCTCGTGTTGCAATCCTTCGACGAGTGATTGATGGCTTTTCAAGTCCGAGAGCACCTGTACGACTGTGTCGTGTTCCTTAGTTCCTTACCACCGGTCTCTTGGGATGTTCGAATCCGAAGGCATCCAGACTCATGTCTGGACAGGAAGTCCCCAGGCCCGGTATCGATGATGATGAACCTCTACGATGTATCAAAATAATTACTTATATATGTCAGGGCGGATGTCGGTCGTTCAGACTCAGAGCTCCTCGTGTTTCTCATGCGTAGACCGTGACGAAGACGACGGAGTGGACGCAGAGCTACGCGAGGATTCTGTCCCTGTCGATTCTGCCTGCTCAGTCCCTGTGGCATCTGCACTTGCACTCGAGCTCGTACTGGTCGTTTTCTTCGGCACCTTCGGCGCCTTCTTATTCCGCAGCTTCTGCAGTGCGTTGTCCAGCGTCTTCGCCCGCGCCCTCATCTCGCTCGTCAGGATGACGGGGTCCTCGTCCATCTGGACCTTCTTCTGCTTCTCGACCCACTCGTCAAGCCACTGTTCGTGATCTGAGAGTGCCTTCTGAAGGCCCTCGATCTCGCTCGCGGTCCACTTCGACGGTGGCCCGCCTTCCTCGGCGGCGATGAGACCGTCCTTGGCTTCCTTCATGAATATCCGCGTCTGCCAGTTCATCAACTGACTCATGTTCAGCGCGTGAGGGAATTCCTTGATCTCTTCATAGCGGTGGAAGATGGGCCGTTCCAACTGTCTGTAGATTTTGTCAGTGATGAGAGCTGTATTATAGCGAAGAGACGGGCCGACCCACTCTAATACACTGCGCTTCGCGAGGAGCTGATTGGTATCCGCATCGTCGCCATGGTCGGAAACCCAGGCGGACGTCTCCTTGAGGCTCTCGGCGATGCGCTTGCGCTCAGCTTCCCTGGAACACTTGTTGAACGGATTCTCCTGGTTGTCATCATCGAGTAGGTCGCGCAGCTTGTAGATGTACGCCTCCAAGCTGTTCCGGGCTTCCTCTCTGCGACGCTTTCCCGCTTCTTCATTGTCGATAGTCGAGAGCCTGTGGGAATGTCTGGTTCAACACGGTACGAACCAACATGTTCGGTCGTCACGTACCGTGCACGAGACTGCCGCTTGGCTGCCACGGAGAGCGGTTGGAGCGATGGGAAGTCCACTTGCACGTCGAGCGGGATAGTGTCCTCCCTCTTCTGCTCAGTCGCAGCTGCGGAAGCCGAAGGAGACGGTGCGGCGAATGGTGCTTGGTCCCCTTCCGCCGCCTCGCCTTCCACGACTTCGTCCGACTTGCCGGAGAAGAGACCCTTCAGTTTGCCTGTAGCGCGCGTCAGATCACCGACCTGCGCGAAGCGACTCAAACGTACCGGTCAGCGAGTCATCCTTGATTTCGCCGTAGGCTACGGCGTCTGCGACGCTCGCGAAGCCGGAGTCAGAGTACCTCAGTGTTGCCTTTACGACAGGGTCCGTAGCACCCAACTCTGTTAGGTTCTTTATCGCCTCCGCCACTCCGCCGATCTTAGCCACGAGTAGTTCCGACGGCAAACCTCTGCGTAAATGATATCTTCAGCCCCTGATCCAAGCCGACGGATTAGAGGCAGGACTTACGGGGCGGGAGAGCTCTTGTATGCAAGCTTCAGCGGGAAGTCATCGGTGCGCTTGAGCGTCAAGGTCTTCTTCGTGCCTGTCTTCGTACCCGCTGGGAAGATGAGCGTGTTGATCGTCCGCGGCTTCGCGTTCGGCACCTTCTTATTATCGGCGGTGTACGACGTCTGGATGTCGTACGGATTGATGTCCGTCACGCGGATATCCTTCGTCTTGAACTGCTTGCTCAATGATGCACCATGGAGCGCGGCGCCGAGAACGGCGGCCTCGTCGGCGTTCACGTTGAGGGCGATCTTGCTCCTGGGCATACGTGAGTAAACGAGTGGCGAGAGAGTACGAACACTCACTCTCCCACTGCGGCCTTCACCGCTGCCTGAATCATCGGAGTGCGCGAGGCACCACCCGTCAGGATCACGGACGAGATGCTGTCCTACATGGAATGTAAGCACTGATTCCGACCACTGAGACATGTCAAAATATTACACACCAGAGTCATACCGGCACTAGCCAGTGCGTCGAAGATAGGGCGCGCAAACTCGCCCTTCAAATCCTTGCACGCAATCTCGAAGTCCGCTCGGGTGATCTTGGAACGGTAGTCGATATCCCAAGCCAGGCTCTCCACCTATGCCTTTGTGAGTACGGGAGGTACATTCTGCGAACACGTTCAGTGCCCTTACCGAAGCCGTCGCATCCGAGTTCGCGCTCAATATCGTCTTCACGCGACCGGCCTCCTTCCACAACTTGGCCATCCCGCGCTTGTCCTGCCGGATGTCCTTCTTGTACCTTCGGTTAAAGTCGTTGATCATGATCTCCCGTAGCCGTCTGTCTAGCTCTGTCCCACCGACTGCGCGGTCGAATCCAACGCCTTCCACCATGATCTGGATACTGTCCTTTGTCAGGCTCTTCGACTTCGGATCACCGGCTACATTCGAGAAGCCAACAACGGTCGCGCGAATGGATGATGCACCTGCATCGTAGATGACGTGGTACTCCGGTTGAGGGAATGTCCGTGTCATGGCGTAGTTGACCGCGACAGCAGTACCGTCGTTGACGAGTGCAAGGGTGCGCAAGCCAGCGATCTCAATAGCGTCGGCTATCGCATCGCGCTCGAACATGGTGTAGTACGGAGGGACAGTAACGACCACGTCGTAGACCTTCTCGCCCGAGAAGTCCTCAGCCAGTTGCTTGACATAAGACAGCTGCATGGCAAGGAGCTCTTCAACCGACCACTCGGTGCCGTCGGACCGACGGAGGGCAACTGTGCCCCGATCCGTCTCGACCAAGTCGGCGGTAGAAATGGACTTGTAGAAAGAGACTGCGGGAGAGTTGTACTGCGCTGCTTGGAGGAACTTCAGGGAGGAGAACGAGTCTTGGGGAAACCGTCCTGCCTGGACCAATGTTCAGCTTGGTATACACGATGCAGTGGCTACAACTCACAACCGCAGCGGCGTCTGACCCAAATAGCCTGTCATTCCGTTTCCACCCTACCGTAGACTGTATTTTCCGCTTTGAGTCCTTGTTCAGGAGGACATCAAATGGTACGCCAGGCTTCATGAGGGAAGCCTTGATCCAGTCTGCGCCATAGTCGATCGCCAGGACGGACGCAAGCACATTTTCCGACAGTGTCGAGAGCAGAAGAGTAACAAGAAAACAGAGTCTGTATAACGATATCATCATGGCAGAGTGCAGGGCATGAAGGGAGTGGCGAGTCCGAAGATTGCGAGCTGGTGTTGAGCGTGGTGGCTGCGAGCAGTGGACACGTCGCCTGAAACGCAGGTCGTGGAGATCACGTGGGGGTGCGCGATGCGATCGACGATGCTGTGATCTTGCATCTCAGATCCAGATTCATCGCACATTTTTCCCTTCGCGTCAATTCTGCAGTCTCAGCCACCTTGAGCGACCTCGCCGCTTCCTACGCCCACAGGGGCCTTCAGCTGGCAACTTTCGAAATGACCTCTAGTCTGGCTGCTCAGTTGGCGCAGAGCGCATCTCTGAACGCTGCTTTGCTGAATACATCTCGTCGAAGGTCGACCGAGTCCTACCTCTTTTCTGCCAAAGAGGCGCAACAACATGACCTTGACGCTATCTTCGCCCTTGGGACCAATGGTTTTGCGCAGCTGAAGTCTCTGGACTCCGCCTTGAGGCACTTTGAGCAAGCGCTCTTCTCCGACTCAGCGAAGGGCACGGACAGGACGTTGCTCCCTGCGGACGCGAACGCAGAACTGGACAGGCAAATTGCCTCTTTCCTACCCCTCATCGGGCCCTTTCTCTTGGATGCACCGACAGGGAGGGTATTGGAATGGCTAGTACGGCGGTTCAGGTATGCTTCGGTGCTCTGTTATGCATGGCTTTTGCAGCCCGATCGTCTGCGACCGCTAACATACGACATTATATAGAATCAACGAATTTAATGTCCAGGACGTTCTTACTTTGTTTCTTCCTTATCATGAGTCACCTCACTTCGACAAAATGCTATCTATCCTGCACATCGAGTGCGTACACCGTACCCTGCTTCTTTCCCGAGCTTAACAATTGACCACCACTGCAGCGACAATTCTATGTTCCGATTCTTGCAGGCGTACAAAACCACCTCAAAACCCCTCCCTCGCTCCGGCCTAGATTCCGAGATGCGCAAGCACTCCGACTTGGCTCGATTCATTACCAACTTGCTCCCAAACACGCTGAAGAATGGCGGTGCGGGGACGCACAAAGCTCTTGTAATCTTCCATACTGGAGTACTGCTCGACTTCATTGCAAAGAGCCAGGTGCTAGACGAGGGTACGACGGCCTTCCTCTTGGCGGCTTCGCTTGAGGTGCTACAGATCGAGCCCAGCGAGGCTGGCAAGGCGAACGGGTCCCTTTTACAGGAGGCCGGGGTAAGTAGACTCGGGACTCACATTGAGTAAGCTAACAACGTACGCCGTTGAATTTAGCTGTCGAGCCTGCTCGTCCTTGCCGCACTTTCCAACAAGTGTTATCTTACACAGAAGGCATTGAAAACGATTCTGAATGCTGTCGCGACATGCGCAGAACGTATCTCGGCAAAACAGCTCGTGCGCACGTTAGCTTGTCTCTGCGCACCTCAGGACGAATCGGAGAAGCTACCGCGTGCTCTACTTTCAGCGGCATTGAAGAAAGCGTGAGTTCTCGCCCCTTTGCGATGTCGCGCTGTAGACTGACTGCCCGCCAGCGATATCGACACAGAGCTCAGGGAATCTCTGGTATATGTTGGCTCAGAGAAGCTCATTCATCCTTGGATTAGAGCCCTCGTTGCGAAGCTGGAGAAGGAGCGTTACTACGAGGCCCTCACATCCCTCCTCTCCTACGCCTCGCTCCCTGAAGTCATCACTCGCCACACAACGTCGGCGCTACTACAGAAGGTCATTGCTGCGGAGGACCCCTCTGCTGCTGATGCACTCAATGCTCGCAGGGCCCTCTCCGTCCTTCAATTGCATCATTCGCGCATAGTCGAGGCAGTATGCAGAGAAGCTGTGAAAGAAGAGGATACGCGGGAGGCCGTAGAACAGATTGTATTGGCCTTGGCAATGGTGCGTGTATGTTTGTATATAAGGTGTCGTAACAGATTGAACACGCAACCCCAGGCGGTGCCTGGCCACTTGAAAGCAAGCAAGGCCGACACGGACATGATCGTCGCCTCCATGAACGCGGACGCCAACGTGCGTGCTCTGGCTGTGAAAGAGCTTTGCGACAAGCTCGCAAACGAAGCGACCGCAGCCGCCGAGAAGGATGCGGCGAAGGACGCCCTGCGTACCCGTATACTCGACACTACCCCATCCGTCATCGAAGCCCTATACTCCAGGCATACGGAGCTCCTGCCCGTCCTCCTGGAGGATCCCTCGACCTATATCTCGTCGCTCGCCTTCTCATTGCACGCGCCCAAGGCGAGCCCATCGCGAGCCCTCATGCGTCTTCATCTCTCCTTCCTGGCCACGCACTTCTACCCAGCTTTGCGCGCGCAGGACCCCGCGCTGGCGGAACGCGTGGTATTCGACCTCTTCTTCCCGTGCCTAGTTACCTCCAAGCCGCGTCAGAAGACCGCGAACATGGCATGGGAGATCCTGGAGGGCTCCGAGGGCGAGAACGGTATCGCGCGGTACGAGCTCTTGGGTGGATGTGTTGATGCTGTAAGGTGGCAACAGCAACAGCTCGGCGGGAAGGCCGGTGAGGAGGTGAGGGAGGATGAGGGGTACAAGGGCATGGAGAGACTGGCCAGGGTCGATCTTGCGCTGTCTGCCAAGATGGCTGGTATGGCATCCGTTCATCTCACAGTTACTGTGGGAGGTCTGACATGCCGATTTACAGACAACATCCTGGCGTCGAACAACTACTCTCACCTGTTCGGTCTTCTGATGTGGAAGCTGCAAGACCCGAATCCGCACGCACGGTCGCTTGCCTACCTCACGGCTCGCGCGCTGCTCTCTCGTCTCTCTGGCGAACATCAGATCGACGCAGCCCACGCCATCATCCGGGCGACCGGGCTTGAGTCGCTAGAGGGAATGGGCGAGTTCATGCGCACCGTCACTGATCTGACTGCGGTGAGTAGCATACACGGCGAGTCGTTGACATGGTTGGCTGACTACGTTTTACCTGCAGTTTTTGCACGACATGAGCGTAGCCTCGGCCGTTGTTCTAAAGCCGAGCAGCCAAAGCACGCTGCAACGACTTCAGATCTCCATCCTGGCGATGATGCCTGTCATCGCTCGTCCAGCCGGTGTACACCTGGACTGGCTGACCACGCCGTCCGAAGCTCCTGTTGACATGCACGGAAATGACACGCGCGGGATCAGATATATTCAGCTCCTTCGCGCCGTCTATATCCTTAGCAACTCCTCTGCTGCCCTCCCTGCGCTCTCCCTCCACCTTCTCCGTGCGCTCTTCGTTAACCTCGGCGACGAGTCACTCGGTTTCCTCGCTGGTATATGGCTCAGCCCCTCTCTCCCAGCAAAGGGACGCGATGCCGATTACTTGCGTACTGCTGCGCTGCACCACGCCGCTGCCTTCCTCGAAGCGCACCATGCCACTCAGCACTGGCTGGACTTCCAGACAGTCCTTCCTGCCGTGCTCGTCGCGGTGCAAAATCCTGACCGCCGTATCCGCGAAGCCGCTGTGGCCTGCCTCCAGGTGTTGGTAAAGCTCGTGGAGAAAGAGCCTTCCGGGATATATGCCTACGACGCCATCTACGGACCACCCTCCAAGCTCCTTCAGTATACGGAATGGGCTGACTTCGGCAAGTACGTTGCGGCGCTGGGATCGGTCTCGGAGCATATGATGCACGATCCCGCATATGTACGAGAGTTTCACAAGGAGCACCTCAGTGTCGCCAAGGGCGATGGGAAGAAAGTCGCGGGGTACGTGTTCGCCGATAGCAATAACACAGTTGCTAACTTCCCTTGTATTCGCAGCTATAAGCAGCGTATTGTGTTCTACTTATTGTCGCATGTCAACGCCTGCCCGATGCCGAACGTCAAGTTAGCGATTCTACGCAGCCTCGAGACAACCTCGAGTGGTAGCAAGTGCCAGGCCTTGCAGCCTACGCTAGAACACCTCTCCGAAGTGGTACCACCGTCATTGGAAGTCGTCGACAAGGACACCGAAGACATCTTCGTGCTTGCGACATCATCCTTCGACGCTTCGGCAGTCGCTGAACTGAACGAGAGCACCAAGACGACGTGGTCTGTGTTCGAGCAGTGCCTGCGCACGTGCCTCCTCAACCGTAAGGCCGAGTCTATGCGTCATTGTATTCACTCTGACGTCCCTTTGCAGGCGGCTTGAAGGTCGCAAGGGCGGCCATCATCCGCAATGTTCAGCAAGTAGTCCGCAGTCGACTGTCGGTCGATCGCCAAGAACAGTTGTGTCAGTTCTTATTGGACATCGCAATACAGTCGAGCACGGCAGTAAGCCTTCATGCCCGGTGACAGTGAGCTCTGATTAACTCTCCTACTAGATGGCCGACTGCAAGTTGCTTCTGGACAGTGTCTTGAGCGATGTTTCACTCATCATTCGCCTGCTCGTGCTCCTCCAGCCCGTCGTGATTGACGCTGCTGAACGTGCCCAAAAGAGAGCCAGAATGGACCCGTGAGGATTATCGCTAAGGATCCATGTTCACGACTCACCTTCTTCGCAGAGCCGCTGCCCGTGACAGTGACATCAAGGGGCAATCACTGACATTGCTTGTGGAAGTGCTGGGTGCAAAGAGCTTGCCGGGCTCGATGGAGCTCGTTGCTAGCTTATTGGAGACTCTGACCCGGGTCGTGCATGACACTTCCGCCGTTCCCGCTGACAGGACGTATCTTGAGCAACTGCTCATGAATGCATTGGAAAGTTCTGTGGCTAACATGCCGGTAAGACTATGATCGTCCCATCAAATAGATGTCGTTGCTGATGATGTGGCAGGCGAACATACAAGCTGGCAGCATACGCGTGGATATCCTCACTGAACTGATCAGAGGTGCGCATGATACTCAACTCCTGTCTCACGATAAGCTCATATCATGTTGTTAGCTGTTGACAACCCGCAGACGTTCCACCAAGCTCTCTTGTTGATCGCGGCCATGGCGCGCCTCGCGCCCGATGCCATTCTACACAACGTCATGCCTGTCTTCACATTCATGGGCTCGAATGTGTTCCACAGGGATGATTCATACAGCTTCCGTGTTGTGCAGAAGGTTAGTGCTTCTGAAATTTACGGTGATGGACGCCAAGTTAATGATACTTACATTATTCAGACGATAGACAGTATTGTTCCAGTCATGGTTGCGTCGTTGCGAAGCGATCACGCGCTTGGTTTGGATCTGTACCTGGCCTCCCGCGATTTCTTGCGCATCTTCACCGACGCATCAAATCACATCCCTCGTCACCGTCGGGTCAAGTTCGTGTTCTCCTAAATTCTATGCGCCGTGACAAGCAGCTAATATATCACCCTAGCTTCTATTCTCATCTTGTCGATGTCCTCGGTCCGGATGATTTCTTGGCTCCTGTCTGCATGCTATTAGTGGACAAGGTCTCCAAGCGAGTTGTCCGGCAGGATACAAGCGATTCCCGGACTTCGCTTGCTCTACCCATCGCTACATTCCAGAGTTGCAGCATGAAGAGACAAATAGAGGTCAGTTTCACTTCTTCATGAGTTGTAAACTCGATTGACGTACCATTTCCTCCTCAAGCTGTTGGTCGAAACTGCTCTTGAAGCCGAACGTCTAGTCAATCGAGGATTCATCAACGCTTCCGAACCTTGCTTCATGGCTTATCCTACGTAAGAGCCATTTCTCCACACTTGCTCCGTATGCTGAGGACTTTTCAGAGACGACGAAGAGAGTCTTCGAACCGCATCCACACAACGCGCTCTCGCGCTGTTAGTCTACTGTACACATGCTGTTGAAGAGCTCGTGGCAGCGCTGTCGGGCAAATCAAGGAGCTCAGAAGGACTGATGTCCTCAGAACTTCTCTCCGTGCTGCTGAGGATATCAGTCGTAGCTGATGCACAAGACGATGGCAAAGAGGTCGCACAGGCTGCGCGCAGGGCAATGGCGGGCACGCTGAAGGCCATGGCTGCAGCTGAGTTCATGAGTGGTGTCCTGAAAATGCTACATTCCGCAGACTGGAAGGTGAGCACTGAAATCTGATAGAGAGCGCAAACGCTTAGTCTATTCCTACAGGTGCAACTGGGTGTCTTGGATGTACTCAAAGACCGTGTCGGAGACATAGCAGACCAAACGCGTCGCGATTTGGCACAGACAGTGAAGGACATAGTCGAGACTATCCGGTCCATTATTTCCGGTGAGCCGGAGGAAGCCCTTGCAGTGGTGTCCCTGCAGTCCTTGGGAAGCATCACGAGTACTGCAGAGCCTGGCGAGCTCAATTCGCTGGCTACTATCGTACCATTAATACTTGCTCGTGTGCATGCGGAGGCAACATCATCGGCAGCACTCGGAGTGCTTTCGCCTATGTGGTAAGTCTTGTGACTTTCTTCCCTAGGTGATGATGCTGAGCCATCCGCAGCTCCAAGTTAGGTCCACGCATAATACCCCACCTGAAGTCGATCGTTCGGGAGTGCACCAAAGTCCTAGGCTCGAATGCCACATCTAGTGCGTAATCTACTGAGTTTGTTCACTGGTGTACTCTAACTTCGCGGCAGCTGACGATAGTAGTCCTATCATGGGAGCTTCGAGCGTCCTCCAGACTCTACTTTCTGCGGTTCCCACATTCTGGGGCGAAAAGGAGATACTACTTGTCACTGACACCTACCTGCGGACGTGTGAAGACGCGTCGCACTTGGAGACAAGCTACTTGACTCCTATCATCAAGACGATGACGAAGCGTCTGCCGTCTAAATTGCTACTGCCAACTCTGTCTAAGCTCTGGTCGTCGACATCGGATCTAAATGGCCCTACTGTGAGTGATCAGTTACTACTTGGAGTCGTCTGCTCATTTTCTCCAATTTCGTAGTTCATCGAGAGTAGATATGCTGGCTTCTTCACGCTCCTGAAGCGAAGCCTTCGGGCGGCAGAGCGACCGGTAGTCCTCGAGCACATACGGACGCTATTCACCACATTCCAGACAGCATTTGAGCTAATCACGGACACTAACCGTTCGGAGGTTCGTACAGTCAACAGAGCGCCTTTTGTTCAGCCACTAAGCTCACCCTACACAGATCGAACATGCCGTGATAACATCATTCCTCGAACTCGTCGTCAAGCTCAACGAGACAGCATTCCGGCCTCTGTTCCGGAAGCTCTCAGACTGGGCATTTACTGACGAAGGATGTAAGTCGATCAAAATGTTTGCGTCTCACTGCCAGTCGCTCATTCCTACATTCGCTTGCTACGTCAGCTGGACACGTCCGGGGTGTCACCTTCTGTCACACTTACTCCGCTTTGCTCGATTACTTCAAGGTTAGTTCCGGAACGTCTATTGCAAGGCTATACTCATCTCAGCGACATTGTCAGACCCTGATGGTGCCTTACATGACGTTCACCTGGATTCCTTTCCTCAAGCTCCTTGATGAACATTACAAGAACCCTGCACAAAATCCAGATTTATGGACATCCATTCTCACAGTGGTCTCGAAGACACTGGCGTCAGATGAAGGAGGTTCGTGCCATCGTATCGGACGTCACTTCATCCTATTTACCTTTCTGGCAGCCTTTTGGCGCGAAGACAAGATACGTCAGTTGGTTACCGCCTTGGTCAAGCAAATACCGGTCTGTGTACAGTTGCGTTCGCCGGAGGGCCGAAAAGCGCTGCTGGACTGTCTGGTCGCCACAATGGAGGTGGTGAACGACGATGACCTACTGAAGACCATGAACATTGACATATTGATGCACACACGATCGGAGGAGGCGTCATTGCGTCTGTTCAGCGTATCTTGCAGCACTTCTCTATGGAAGGCGCACGGCGGGAAATTGCTAGGTAGGCGAAGTCTGCCACGGATCGAATTGACAACGTCTGACGCTTTTTTAGGTCTTGTGGCCGAGACTGCGACATTCATCACTGAGTGCGCAGAGGACGATAACGACAGCGTCGTACGTGAAGCGCACAACCTGAAGGATGCAGTGGAGAGTGTGGCCGGTAAAATTGATGTGTAGACATCTCATTGTGGCCTGTATGCTTGGAGCTACTAGTCGAGAATCTAGGGCGGACCGCATTCTAGTTTCATTGTAAGGACACCCACTGTCAGCGTGATAGTGCAGACGGGTAAGTGCGATGCAAAGCATAGTAAGGGATGTAGATGCACTGTATAGTATATCACACTACGTGTCCGATGAATGATCACAGCGAATGCACGAGGGTATAATAGAATATAGATTATGACACCGAAACTGTCCCATTTGAGCCTGAGCTCTGTCTCCGTGATGCACGATCCTCAATCGCTCTGCACGCAGACAGTAATCTGAGAATCGCTGGCCTGCCGCTAGCATTGCGGATAAATGGTGTCTGCAAATAGTCTTAGAAAAATGCAAAGATGAGATCCTCTGCAACACACCTTCAACAAATCGTCCGGGTCTGGTCGTAAAGAACTGGGTTGTGAGCAGAGATGCAAGAAATCGTGGAAAGATCGTGAGTAGATTTCGGCTTGATGTAATGAGGGCCACCGATGAGGGATCAAGCGCGGGTCCTCGATGTCGGAGAATGGAGGCTCTGCCTGTGCCATCTCCCAAACAGTCGCACCCAGCGACCAGACGTCGACTTTCAACGCGTTGTATGGCGGGCTAGTGGGTCGATTGAATCAATAAACTGCCTCTGGATATTGGAACATAATGCTCACGTTCTGACCTCAGGCGCCTAATATTGATGAAGCGAAAGTCAGCGCATTACCATGGAACGAGCTTCACAAGACGAACCTGCCAATAAACCACACCAACGGTATCGGTTCGTGACGGTTCCTCCTTGGAAACCTTCACGGCGCTTGAGAAATCAGCTGCGATATTTGTGAGCATATTGCGTGAACAAGAGCACATTGCCACCTACCGATCTTCGCAACACCTGCACTGTTGACTAGGAGGTTGTCAGACCTCAAGTCACGATGAGCTATGCCAAGTTTGTGCAAGTGACTGAGACCGTGCAGCATCTAGATCGATGCCAGTGAGCAACTCAATGATAACCAACCGCTGAAACCACTCACATCGCTCGCGAACAGTGCTATGGGCTTTTCTTCTACAACGATGCCCTCGTCGACAAGCAACAGAACATCCGCCAGGCTGCGCTCCATGAGCTCCATCTTGATCCAAAGCGCATCCTCGACAATGTCGACGAACACTTCCTGCATACTCAACACGTTCTGGTGACGGACTCCGCGCATAAGACTCATTTCCCGCCGAAGGTCGCTCAGCTTGGGCGAGCCATTCGGGACAAGCGGAACGTTCTTGATGGCGACGGACTCGGTCTCAGGCGAGTCTGCATGGTCCCCTCTTCGACTCCGGGAAGATGCCACGACCCGTGCAGCATACACACTCCCGCTCTCTCCTTCCCCGATCTCCCGTAGATCCACAAATAGGGCTCTCGGATCCGCTGCTTCATCGATGAACTCGGAGAGCGGCGCAACGACTTCAGTGACCCAGCCGGGGTAACGAGGTGTCGTAGGGATTGGGGACGGCGCGAGCATGGCATCCGATAATGCGCCTGTGGCCATGATGTCGTCAATGAGAATCGAGGGCCGACGAAGAACATTCAGATCAATGTCAATGTCGAGCCCGAGGTCCAATGAGGGTAGCTTGCCCTTGACTTCCTCATCAGGCTCCTCCGGTACTTGGTTCGCAGATGCAAACGTCGCGACCCTCGGGGAAGGCGCGGGACTGCTCTTCGCGCAGGCCGACCCAGATGCAGAGCCTGAACCAAAGGCAGTTGTGGAGGCGCTTGATTCACTTGAGGACACCAAGCTTACCGGCGACGGCGACCGTCGACTCCGCTCGTCTTCCGGCGCTTCTATCGGCGTCGTTGCAAGCGGTGTCGGTACACCTCCCTCTCCATTCGCCTTCACAGGCGAAGTAACGTAGTTGCCTCTAGCACTGCGCACGATCGACGCACTCACTATGGTTGCGGGCGTCACAGTCACTGTCGACAGGTCGGAATCTCGGTTCTCCTTCTCGCGCGACCGCACTTGCAACGTGCCATCCTCGCTCTCATACGTGTGCCCGCTATCGCTCAGCCCTTCGTCGGAGAAGCCTGTCGGCGTCAAGGGTGTCAAGGGAACCTGCAATGTGTCTCTCTGCGATATGTCCTGATCGGGAGTCCGTGGCATGTAAGGCGAGGAACTTGCAGTTGTGGATGTGAGGGGCGGCGTAGGTTTCGACTGTGACGAGCCGCCTGCGCTGGAGCCAGGCCCATCCTCATCGGAGGGACGAACCATTTCCAGGACTTCCGCCCATAAAGGACTGGATTTCGCGGAAGGAGGCGGCGTACCTTCTGACGACGAGGGTGCCAGAGTTGCCCTAGGAGGGAGCTCGTGCAACGGTATAGGTTTTTGTGGAGGCAGGTTTCTCTGCGCCGAGGGTGATCGCGAATGTGACTTGCCTCTGAGCCGAACTGAGGCAGGTGACTTCGTAGCAGCGCGACCGGTCCATGGGCTGGTCACAGTGGTTGGGGGAAGAACGGATCTCGGAGGGGTCATAGAAGCAGCAGTGACGGGAGTCGGTGTGGGTGTCTCAGTGGTGCTCGGGATGATCGAGAAGAGTGATTCGGACCAACTGGAGAGATCACCGAGACTGTCTCCCTGAAGAGACAGCCTCGGTGGGGACGCAAGAACTGGTGAACCCGCAGACGACGCTGCCGCAGAGACCGAGATAGCAGGTATTGATGGAGAATCCTCGTACGGCCCGGGTAAAAAGAATCCGTCCTTCCCCTTGTTTAATGGCGCCTCCTTGGGAGGGGATGCGTACGCCGGTGGTGGGGACGACGTGGAAGACAAAGAGCTATTGGCAATGTGGTAAGCTCTCCGGGGAGGTGTCCGTGGCGGCGTGTCCTTTGTAGACGTTGCATTCGAGCTGAACAGGATAACCGGCTCTGACTGCGTGGGCACAGGGGGAGGACGTGTTGGTGGCGGACCTGCGCGCCGCTGCTGGGCGCGGTTGTCCGCATCCCCCAGGGGTAGATCGGACGTCGACGAGATTGCGCGAGAAACTATGCGCTGATGTGTCCGCGACACCGACGTGACTGAAGCTAGCGACGTTTGCGAACTCGACGCCCCTGCCAGCCCCCGCCACACCGACGGCGGCTGTCCGTTAGCAAGAACCTGGTCCCGACTCGTCGCTAGTGAGTAAATGGACTGTGCATGCCTGGAACGAGCCTCTGCTCTCCGCGACTGTATTGCCGCGATTTCCTCGTCGCTCAAACCAATCTCCGCGAGTCGTGTGGACCATGTGGGTGGGAGCCCATTACAGCTACGACCAATTCAGCAAACCGGATGCACTCAGGGTATAATACGTACTTCTCGTCCACATGTACATTGTGCTGAAAGTACACGGAATGTGAGCAATGGCACTGGCAGCGCGCGCTGTGTTGCGTACCTGGAAGTTCCAGGGCAACGAGATGGAGGGGTCCTCCACAGGCTCGGGGGGCTGGAGGTCTACAGCATTCCGGTCGGGTGTCTTGGGAGTCTTGGGTCGCCTCCCGAAGCTAGACAGCTTCCGCAAACCCTGCCTGAAGCCTGCAGGCGTTGCAGTCTCTGGAGAAAGGATGGTAGACGAGGCGGCGGGCGACACGGTGGGGCGACTCGGGGTGTACGAGGGCGACGGGGAGGGGCTGCGCATAAGAGTTGCGTACTGAGCTGAAAGAGGCGTCGGCGGTTGCGATGATGCCGAATCCGGGGATAACGAGTGATTTAAGGAGGGCAGTGAGGGATTGTACAGGTAGTACGGATCCTTGGGCGGCAGAGGTGGTGGCTTCGAGGTCGAGGCAAACTTGAACACCTTCAAGGACGAGAACCGGGACGGGTTCTGCTGGCGGCTGCCTGAGGCTGTGGCCATCGTGGACGTCGTCGACGTCGATGCACGAGCGAGCGCATGCAAGTCGTTCACCGGATGGGTTTCACTGGCTTACACCGGACGTTTCAATTTGCGGTGCGGACATTCAATCCCAGATAAGCCAACACAATAGCAAACCCTTTTCGGGGTTCGAAACCTATTCACTGCCGGTCAAGAAAGGCGCGCTAGAGACGCGTCTACGAAACACCATCCACATGTGACGACCAATCAGACAAGATTCCCTGGCTATGCATTTGCAAACGGACGATCAGCAAGACTGGATGGGATACATGGCATACGAGATGAGAGACCGCTGAATACTGTTGTCAGTAGTACTACGGATGCAGATAAGTTATAATGATACAGGGATTCCCAGATCTGATTCCAAGACAAAGCGAGAAGGTACCTGACCATCCGGCCAAAAGACTGTGCTTATGACGCCGCACCTGCACAGCAAAGATCAGTGAGCGACTGTTTCATACGCGCGCCTCGCTAGCACGGACGCAGAGTAGAAAGTGGATCTGTACTTACGAATGGCGGCAATCTCGCCCTCGCTGAAGCCAAGCTCACCGAGGCGGTTGAGAAATGTCGATGGAAGTCCCATCGGAATTCCGTCCGTGCTGTTACATCATGATCAGCACAGCGCAGTTGGTGCTGAGACGCCAACTATCGTACCCAACAGACACATGGAAGCAATGCTAGCGATGGAGCACAACATTAGTGTGCACTGGTGCCTGTGGATGTACAGATCTGTAACTTACCTTGAAGTTCCATGGCACGCTAATTGCTTCATCTGCGTCTGGAGACATGTCCAGCAGCTTGTTGATCCGTTGAGACTCGCCTGGTCTTGTCCATCCCGATGGAAGGCCGCTGAAGCTATGTTGCTGGTCAGAAAGAGACCTACGCTTGTGCTTACGAGACATACTTCTCGTCCACATGTACATTGTGCTATACGAAGATTAATGGGTGAGACAATTCTAGGACGGGAGAATACTCGGTCCGCACCTTGAAGCCCCACGGTGCAGATATGCCTGAATCTCCTTCCCCAGTCGGAGGGACGTCGACTACGAGAGCCTTGTTGTGCGCGGCCTTCCTCGGTCCGAAGCAGAATATGCCCGTTCGGGCATCTGCGTTAGGGTCGACATCTTGTAGTGGAGGCGCCTTTGTTGCGACCGACAGACTGGGTTTCTTCTCATGAATGGGAGAGGGCTGGCTAGGAGTGGCCGGGCTGCGCCGGCCGAGGTCGCCTTTCTCATTTACGCCAAGTTGGGCGGCCCAGCTCGGCGGCAGGCCATTGAGACTGTCGATATAATGCACAGCCATACAGGCCACCGTACTCAGGACATTGGTTTGACGTACCTCTCATCCACATGCACTTGGTGCTGTGTGGCTCTCAGCTGCCGCATACTGCTACCGATTTGTAGGGTACGCACCTGAAAGTTCCACGGATACGAGATGGATGGATCCCCCTGCTCTTGAGATTCCACCACAGCGGCCCCCACAGGTCGCTTCATGAGGTCTCCGAGCGAGCGTCTCTTGGTCGAGATCGCCGTTGTCGCGCCGGTCGACATTGTGGTTCTAGACGAGCCTCGGAGGCAAAGCATGCTCGAACAGCGCCGTCTCGCGATACTTTTCATCTTGGACGCCATGGCGGCGGTACAGCACTCCTTCCCGAGGACACGCGCGTAGACCCGCCTAGAATGCCCGCCCGGTGGCTGCTAGCGCAGTGTAGATGGAGGTTGGGAAACAGGAACTCAGAGACTCAGGTGAGGCGGATAAGCTCTTGCGCTGGGCCGGCGTGCATCAGCTTCTGTGATCTCACGACCGCGACAGCCGGAACAGACCAGATGCAGCGGCCTCGTCGGAGTCGACGCAGATGGCAAGTCGGACACCCGTTTCGTCTGACCAATATCTGAGCTTACCTAATTATAGCCACACAGGCTTATGGCTCGACGTTGAAAATGATAGAATGGGACATCCTCTTGAGCCTGCGTATTTACTGCTACCCACACCCTTAGAGGCCATGCATCCCGAGCATGTTGACTTTGAAGACGAATATTTGACGCATATTTCGTTGCAGCTGCGGGCTTTCGTCGGGCCCGGGACAACCTCACGCTCGCGACCCGAAGGCTGAAATGAACTTCCATGGTCTTCTCTATGATATACGTTCTCACTTTTGGACGCAGTGCACTTTCCCAAACAGCTGGTTTTTTGACAGGTGCCATGTCAGGGTACACCAGTAACCAGCGTTACTTAGTTGACTGTGCGAGCCACTGATCTCAGCCACAGCTTCCCGGCTGTCTCCGGGCAGAGTGTGGCTTCCACTGAGACACGATCACATGTGCGTTAACATTCCCAGGCGCGTCAACAACCGACAATAACGCGCCCCGGAATAAGTAATTAGTTTCGATCCGTTAAGCGTGGCCGTGGCCGACCTTACCCTCGTCACATTTCACGTCGGTTCGGGCGCCCTCCCTCTCTTATATCACAATCACATCCTCATCTTCACCTACTCTCAACCACCACCATGTCCTTTCTAGTCCCCACCTCGCTGGGGGAGAGGTAAGCTACGCGCCACAAGGATGTTTCGAGCTAGACTTAACTAACGTCTCTGGTGGCGTCGCTAGTAGCAGCGGTGCGGATTACAACCCCTTCGATGAGGGGGTTACGACTCGCTCTCAACAACGGAAGCGCACGTATAGTGCAACTCAGGAAGACGAGCCTGAGGACAGGAAACGGCTGAGGGTGAACCCACGCCTTTCTTCGCTGTTCTATCGACCGCGCAGAAGCGCGACGCCGCAGGAGGTAAGTCTTCATCGTTGACTCTGTCTTTATCCAAAGTATAAGATCGAACGCGATTGATCATCGAGGACATGATGTCCGATGAAGGGGACGAGTGTCTCTCGTCGTGGGCCTACGTGTCAAGGGGGGGCTGCCTGGCCACAACTGGTCCGACTTGCCACGGGTTGGGCGAAGGCGCTCCACCTTTTCAAATGTCCCAACCTTTCTCAGCGCGTTGCAGATGCCCCTCGGCGCTGCGGTTCCGTATTCGCTCGCTGTTCCGACTGTGCAACGTCGTGTGCACGAGAGACGCGGGCGAACAAGGGGTATGCGCGCGTCTACTTCCTATTGCATGACGCCATTCCCACCGAGGCCGAGCGCGCATCTCATTCACTTCGTGCGTGATCTGCATACGAGGGGCACCTCCACGTATGTAGGAGGTGGGCATAGACGTTCGTAGTGTCTGTCCGCTGGGCATGGACTTGTCTCTCGCTTCGCGCGGCTTGTGATGGACGGTGGCTCTGTCTCAGACATCCACGATTTGATGCGTGCGTCCTCGGCATGACAGGGTTTACCGCCAGTCGGCCCCTCAATGGTCTCTTCGAGTCCTCTTCAGCTCAGCGAATTTGTAATGGCTGTGGCTGCATACCTATGCGCGAGGCGTTCATGTCGTAGAAAGCACCAGGTCTACCCATAACCACCGAACTCAGAGGATGTATTCTGACCAACCCTAAAGCTTGACAGGTCCCTGCACGCGGTGGACCGCGACGAGTTCGATCTCTTCTCTCCCCCTTCTACACCAAGGTCCCGTCGCTCACGCCTGAGCTCGAGCACGTCCTTCTCAGATCACTCCTTTTCTCGGGCATCCTCGGTATGCTCAACCATGACGCTGGAGAGCGCGATCGGTCTCAGCCGAAGCCACTCCGTCTCCGAGACACCTCCTACCCCGCCTCCCGTCCCCGAGTCGGCTGTCACCAACATGCGGACCGACAAGGTCATCGTCGACTTCTCCGTGGTGGAGGAGGAATGGAGTAAGCGCGTGTGGCCCGTGAGCTGGTCCGAGAACAACATCCTGCTTTTTGGGCGCGGTGCTCGCGTGCATTACAAAAGCCTCTCGGCGAATGAGGCCATCGGACAGTTGTGCAAGTTCCGGGAGGACCAGGGGAATCTGCGCCTCATCGAGTGCGCAGGGAAGGACTACCCCAACCTCGTTGCGGTGAGCAGTTCGAACGGGCATATCCAACTGTGGGACCTCGCAGCGAAGAAGATGGTCTCCAAGTGGTCCACGAAGTCCACGGCGGCCATTCAATGGAATGGTCCCATCCTCACCGTCGGCGGCGAGCGCGGCTCTATCCGCCAATTCGACACGCGTGTTCCTGATACAACGAAGATGAAGGAGCAGGCAAAGAAAACCATGCGCCACCAGTCCAAGATCAGCAGCCTCGCGTGGAATATTGACGGAAAATTCCTGGCCAGCGGAGATGAGAGCGGTCAGGTTCACATTTGGGACCCCCGTCTGCAAAACGCACCTCTGGAAGTGGGCGAAATGATCCAACGCCGGAAGAAAATCCAGCACGTAGGTGTGATCACAGTACGTGTTTCTTGGGTTGTGCAGCGAATGCAGCTGACGCCGCCGCAGGCTCTCGCGTGGTGCCCGTGGCACCCCAAGACTCTGGCCACGGGCGACTCTGCGCCCGACGGCACAGGTACCATTCGTATATGGAACGTCAACGGGTCCGTATCACTCAACCACCCCGACCGCCTCGAGCTCGACGCTCAAATCACGTCCCTGCATTATTCCCCGCACTGCAAGGAGTTGTTGAGCACTCACGGCCCGGGCAAGGGCGCGCCCGAGCGTGCCCCTGCCAACCCCAACGTGAACACGTCGACTGACGACTCGTTCGTGCCGTCGCGCATCGCAAACTCCGTGGTCGTCCACGCATTCCCGTCCTTCCGCCGGATCGCTACCATGACGGGAGCGACGGCGAACATCGCAGGAAGCGTCCTGAGCCCGAACGGGCAGAGGGTTGTGCTCGCGATCCCCCAGGAGTCGAAGCTGAAGGTCTGGGACGTATGGGGCAAGCGGAGGGAGCTGAAGCGGTCCTCGAGCATGTTGAGCACCTGTTCTATTCGGTGACGAGGTGGGTGCGTGGAGGCTCGTTTGCGGGCGGACATACGGGATCGGACGTTGAGCGGCGGGGTGGTCTGGCGGGGTGCGAGGCAGTTTGGCTTGTAAGTTGCATTACTAGTTGACGATACTGTAGCCGTAACGCAAGTGTGTTGTTTGCTGTGCATAGGTAGGTGCATCGTATGTAATCGCAGTCATCTACATAGTGTAATTGTAGTGTTGTTGTGCTGGTTCTGTTTTCCCAATTCACCAATGCTATGTATTAGGCAGGACTGGGGTAATGGTGTGGAGAGCAGTCGTGTTCCTGCATTCCGTGTTGAGTCCCATCGCAGAGTTCAATAGGTGCAACGTACCGTGCAAGCTGCTTATTGTCCTCTAAGGAAGGTGGCTTCGCACGTCTGTTACCTGGCCTACGAAGGAACGGAATGCTGAAGACGAACAATGACTGTGTCTGCAAACTGTCGCACGCGGTCTTCCCACCACAGCGCGTGTGGATGGGGCTCGAGCACATGGCTCAGAAGCAGACAAATTCGCAGACAAATTCGGACGGCGGACATGACATGATGATCGACGTCGAGCCTGCTAAGTACCTCGGACTCTACAGAGCCGGGATGGTACTGTCAGGGAATACTGGTCGATGGCTCGAACGCTGTGTGTGCGGCGGAGGAGGACGAGGGGGGACGTGTGTCGGCATGGGAACAGCCACCCGGGGAGGAGAGCGTGATCGCGCTGTGGTCGGGTGCCAGCCGAGCGCAGCTGCTCTGGGTGGCCGCTTCGAGACGGGAAGTGACAGAGCCATCATGCAGCAGCATCGCCAGCACTGAGCACAGTCTCCATGCGCCGCTGCTGCCGGACACCCTTCCCCTTCATCTTCGCCTCAACCCCCTCCCTTTCCTGCTGCCCCCGCCTTTCTCTTTGCGCCTACCGCAGCTGCTAGCTCCTGGAGAGCGACTTCCAGTTCTCTTAGGGCCCACAGAGTGCCGGCCTACAGCCTGTCCACCCTGTCGCCAGCTTCGCGTAGCCCGCAGACATGGCCGACCCCCAGTCGGCAGGGGGTTCTGCCAGTCTCTCTCAGTCCACTTCGGCGCCGACCTCTTCTGTATCTTTGACCACGGCTGCCTCCTCGTCCTCTGCTTCTAGCCAGCCGATCTCGCTCGCGACCTGCACAACTACGGTAACGGTATATCCGTCCTCTACTAGTACTAGCGACCCCAGGGTCAGCATCGTAGGCAGCCCATCCTCCAGCAGTCTGCAGACCCAGCCGTCCTCGACGACGTCCGTCGTGACATCTGCCACAGCGAGCTCGTCCCCTGAGTGAGTGATCCTGTCCCGACTCACGTCATTGACTGACAGCCGGCGCACCGTCAGTGCCAGCATCTCCGTAGACCCATCCTCGTCAGTGTCTGATCCCCTGTCGATCGTTAGTTGCGCCGCTGACTCGCCTTGCCATGCAGTTCGACCGCCAGTGCTTCACAAAACGACCCGAGTGTATCTCCTTCTTCCGTGTTCTCCTCTGCGTCGAGCGATCCCGCTGGCGCTTCCTCCGCGTCGTCTGCTGCCTCTGCTGACTCTGTCGCTGCAACTCCTGCTACGACGTCTGTCGCGTCTTCATCTGTCTCACCTGCGCCTACTCCCTTCATTGGTGCACCGCCATCGTCTTCCTCCCCAAACGCAGACTTGCAGACTGTGGCTGCAGACTCCTCCGATGCAGCAGCTCCCACAAGGTACGCTTGAATATTCACACATGTTCGCGGGATGTCTCACAACAGTGTTGCCTAGCGATGATGGCTCTGGAGCGATCGCGACTTCCATCGGTGTGGATCCTTCGTCAACGCTCACGCCAATCTCGCTGGGCACCATTTCCGCTACCGCTGGAGTAGGAAGCAGCACATCACCCTCCTCGCCGTCACCGAGCTCCTCGCTCGGAGCCAGCAACAACACAAATTCGAGCAATGGCAAGGTGAACTCCGCAGGAGCGCAAAGCCAAAGGTACGCCTCCCTCACGTCTACTTCGTCTCCATCCTCACCTCACCTCCCCCTCCAGCGCCGCCTCCAAACGCGCCGTAGTCGCCGGCGCGGCGGTCGGCGGCACGCTCGGCGCCCTGCTCCTCCTCGTTGCCATCATCTTCTTCATGCGGCGCCGCGCCCAGCGCACCCGCACCTCCGCCTCGCGGCCTTTGCGGAAGTACTTCAGCGCGCGGGGGAGCGTGCTAGGGTACGGGCCCGACCCGTTCGACCGGAACACGGGCATCGAGTCCGTGCGCACCGTCGCGGACGCGTTCCGCGGGCCGGGCATGATCCAGCACATGAGCCCCGCGCCGAGCATCCACTCCCCGCGCACGATCATCCAGAACATGAGCCGCCCGCCGGAGCTCCCGCCCGTCGACCTGGGCGCGGGCGCGGGCGCGGGCGGGGAGGCTGAGGCGGGGTTCATGGGCATGGGCGAGGCGACGCCGCGCTCGTGGATGACGTTCCAGCAGCGCGGCTCGCCCCTGCGGAACAGCATGCCGGACGCGGACCCCGATGGGATGGGCGCGTCGTTGCCGTCGATCGCCGTCCCGCTCGTGTCGCCCACCGCGAGCGACGCCTACCCGCTGTTTAGCCCGCCCGCGGCGCCCTCGCTCGGCCAGACGAACTTCAACTCGACGCGCTCGTCCAAGGCGTCGTCGAGCATGTACTCGTACTCGGGCAGCGGGAATAGCCCGCCGCGGAGGAGGAGCCTCGCGGACTCTGTCGACCCCTTCCGCGACTCCGTGGCGATGAACGGGGGAGGCGGCGGGTATGCCGGCGGGCGCGGACAGTACCTCGGGGACAACGTCGATCCGTTCATGGACGCTGCGGCGCCGCCGGTTACGCAGTCTGGGCCGTACTCCCCGCCGGGGCGCGCGTTATAGTGACGCTCGACCCTGGGATACACAGCATTGACACCCAGGGTCTCGCGGGAGGGCGGTGATGCAGTGGCGGCCCGTAAGCAAGTAGATGAATCTGATCTGATCGACGACGAAGTGTTCCCTTCCCTGCCCCCTTACTCACATTCTGTCCCACCGACTTCAGGTCACACCGTCAACGCGCTCGCTCGACGCGAGTGGCGTCAGGACGTGCGGTCTCCGCGAGGCTTGCCGTCCCCAGCTTCCCTCTTAAACCGAATCCCTCATGGACCTTTCGCCTTTCGCAGATGTATTCTTAAATTATCCTCGCCCTTTTAGAGCCGCAGGCTGCTCCGATTCTTGATTTCTGGTTTTTCGCCTTCATTCCGAATTGGGACCGGAATACGAACTCGTGTGCAGTCTACTGTATTATACGTACCCTGTCTCCGCATAGCTTGGTAGGCGCGTGTCAGTGCTCATATCAGTCCTTGGTCTATAATCGATCGTTACATTAGTCCTCTACCTCTGAGTGCGCGGCTGGTCAGGTGTGGGGTGGTTCAGGGCTAGTGGCGTCGCCAATGGGTTTGGTGAGTACCATCACTTTCATGACGCAATGTACAGCGTGTATCGATACATGCAAAGCGGATCCTTCGTACGCTGAGATAAGTTATGCCTGATGAGAGTAATATCTTACCGTAATTCGTCAGGCCCCCAAACTCATACTCTCTTGCTCAGCAGCGTCTGCCTGGGCCTCCTTTTCCTCGAACTCTTTCGTATGCAGCCACAGCTCGTGCGCCGATTTGACCATCCTCGAGAACTGGAGCATTTCGCACCCGCGCAGCTTCTCGCACGCGTCGTCCAGCTCGAGCAAGTGGCTCTGGTACTCCTTCTCGTCCGCCATGCCCGTATCCGCTTCGTGCACCTGCAGACATCCACAGCACAGATGTCGTGAGTTCCATGGGGCAGCGAGTACGGCGCAACTCACAGCGTCCCTGGGGATCTGCCCGATGTACCAGAACGTTATGTACTCGCCGCCGCGGTCGCCGGGCCAAACCTCGTCGTTGGGGCGCTGCTTATTGCGGTTGCCCCATGTCAGGGTTGAGGCGTAGAACGGCTCTGTGCATTTGCGCATGCCGTGCACACGCCCGGCCGGGGAGAGGGGTGCGTTCGTCGGGAGATACAGCGGCAGAAACTCGACTCGGTATCCCGACTGCTCCCATACCGTGGCGCCCGGCCGTGGCAGAGCAGAGGAGCGCGATATGAACCAGCACATGCATGCACTCTCAGTAGGATTCTCAGCATGTATGGAAAATACACAGCGTACCTCCTCGTACGCCTCCCTGAGCGCGGTCTGCTCGAGGCTCTCGTCCACATCCTTGCGGCCCTTCGGGAGGAGCCACCGATCGTTCCGGGGTTCGTACAGCAGGAGGACCTTGCCCGTCGCGGGTTGGAGGACGACCATGCCTGCGCCGACCATGAAGTCAGAGCAGAACCAGAAGCTGTTGCGCACGGAGGGCGAGGACTGCTGGGAGAAGGTGATGCTGTCATTGGCTTTGCGGGCGCGCGAGCGACGGTGGGAGGTGTTGCCGCTAGTGCTGGGATAGGCTGAGGAGGCGGAGGCTGACTGGGAGTGACCTTGCATCGAGGCTGGCTAGAGGAGACAGTCACGGTCCTACGCAAGATGTAAGTACGACGACCGGTACAAGTTCAGTCGCTCTAACGGAGCCACGGTATTACGTCATCGATGGGCTGCCACGAGGCTACTGACCTTCACTATTTAGGTAATCGACCACGAAGCTGATGGATGCGAACCCGTGAAAATAAATTACTGAAGGTTAAATAGTAAGGACCGCGGAGCAGTTACAATGAGAGTACTTGGTAGGGGAAGGAAGCAAGTGATTACACGGCGATTATTTCGGCGGACGAGGGATCGGCTCCGACACTACCCTCCTCGGATACAAGCTCTTCAGAGCCATCTGTCGCCGCCAGCACCTCCACCGATTCGTCGACGTCTTCTTCCGGTGGCTCGAGACTGTTTGTACCATAGGAGAATGAGCGAGCGAGACTCCCGACCACCCGCGTGAAACGTAGGTCGGACATCTGCGATTCGGCGGAAGGCTGGTCCATTGAATTTGCTTCGTGCAAATTGATGTAAAAGCGAGACAGGAGAACCACTTGGAGTCTGCGGGATGTTTATACACTCGGCCTAGATCTGTTGTGGATGAATGGGGAGTGACGCACGCGCGTATGATAGGCGCCACATATCCATTAGTAACCTGAAGCGTGAATTTCAGCACAGTACAACAGCATATGGGGAGGGTGTAACGAACAGCGTTTATGAAATTAAGTGCCATATCCACGACTAGAAGAATGAGAATCGTGCTGAGCCGAGTGCGCGTCAGCGTCGGTTTACTCGGCCTCGACGGGCTCCGCGCTCACACGAAATATATGGTACCTGGTATGGGCAGAGAAGGAGTTAGATACGAGAACTATCTGGAATGCAGGCGTACACTTGCCATCTCTGATGATCACTATGGTAAGGGAGATGTTGGCGTACATTCCCTCCCTCAATTTGCTTGTGTGTGTGTGGCGCCAGGTTGCCAAAACCAACAACAGCTCGGAAGTCAAAATAGAGGCTTGTCCAATGATGGTCACTGCAATTAGAGAAGATGTGTCCTAGTGGTCAGTCAAAAGGCACTGTCGGTCCGACGATGTTCCACCATACATGCTCTGTAACATGCGTCATGAGATGAGATGAGGCGCAAAGAATTGATAACGCACTTGTAAATGGTGTTGACGTCAGTTACAAGCACACAACCAACAGGATAGGCCACAGTGACTTCATATGCTGCACTAACTGCGTACTAACGCGCACATTCGTTGAGTAGTCGTATGAACGAATAATCATGAAAGGACGTACTATGTCCGCTGCACTCGCCATCAGAGAGAATGCGAAGACCGCAACTGCGAGGAACATAGAGCGACGACTGATAGCGTAGGCACGCAATGCCGTGAAAGCTACCGGACGTTAAACCATCAATGCGGCATACGTGAGGCAGATACAATGTCGCGTACCGCCAGTGGCAAAATGAAACAGTGCTTCGGCACAATCAATCACTGCATATAAGATGTAGCCGCTGCAATACGAAAAATATGTTAGCCTGCTCTGACATCAGAGGAACGTTCTCCACCTCTAAGATAAGCGTCAGCATTCGTGGAGAGTGCGAGGAGAGCTGACTGATACCTTGCAGCTTGTGACATCAAGATTGACTACAGGTATATACAAACACATCGCTGCGGATAGGTGCATCAGAATGTATAGGCCAGTAGCTACAGACACACTCCTGCGCCGCCAAATCAGGTCGACCTCTGCCCCGATGGTGAGGAAGCGATCGAATGTATATATCGCTGTAAACGGGGTCGAACGTCGATAACATTGCGATAGCGGATACTCTCGTGGTTTAGCTCACCGCATCCTGCTACATAACAGCAGTTCAACGTGGATCTATGTCCCTTTTTGTGTTTGTACCCAAGATGATGGAAATGCGACTCACGCTGCTTCCAACGCCGCGATGATCTCAGTAAGTGCAGCCGTCGACATAGCTATGACCTATGAATATATCATGGCGATAGACTTCGTACTTATATATGTGCCTGTAGTCCTGATGTTGAATGAGTGCTGTCCACTGACGCCGGGCTATTCACAGCTAGCCTTCCAGCGACGGGAAGGCGTGTTCGTATGATGTAGTCAGAATCTGATCGTAAAGCAGAGGAATTGCACAATGATTCACCTGATGGACCGTAGTTGCCATGCTGGTCATGATGCAGTACGACCTCACTCCCGCAACTCATGATTTTCAGCATAAAGTTTGCTCGCGGCTGTGCTAGTCAGTGGCATGCGTCGTCGTGTATTGCCGGGACATACCATGAGTACGCATGCACGTACGTTCGCATTGAGCCCACCAGTTCTTTGCCAGATGAACAGTGGAACGACCGCACACTGTACCAACATGTGATCCCCACGTAACTCATGAGACTGCCAATGAGCTGATTCAGCATGTCCGCACAGAGTACGACAACAATCCTACGCGTTGAATGTGCTTGCGTTCCTGTAAACACGGTGTCACCGACTCAGTACGACCGGAGTACCCGGGAATTGACAAATGATCGACCGTGCCACCGAGCATCGTACAGCCTGGTCGCCTCGTACGCCGTGATCGAGGCGCCAACTCGTCGTTACAAGGTACTTTGCACAGTAAACCTTGTAAAAGAATATCAGATGGGGTCATCAAGCATCATGCGACCATGGGTACAGCTCACCATACAGATTAACTCATTTGCTGCACCTCACGAAGCCGTGACTCGGAATGGCAGCTCTGTTGAGTTCAGCTGTCAGCCCACTGTTCAACGTTCAACGTTCAACACCAACTTCCAAGTATAATCAGAACATGCCTGTGGCATGGTTGGCGAAGCGTCCCTGTAGCTCCAAGACATCGACCTACGTATCTGGATCTGTGCAACATTGGAGTTCGCCGTCATACCGCCTCATACCTGACCTGTCTGCCAATCATTATGGCCATGGTAGCAGCAAACAGCGCATGTTCGTAGCAAGAGCAGCAATAGAGATACGCTGAGAGGGGGCAGTGCATCAAGTGGGTTAGGGCAGCCAGGGCGATCATCGCAACACCACTGGCAGTGGAAGGGCATGACACACCTAGAAGACGCAGTTGACGATGCCGCGACCAATCGCAGAGCTGAATCCGAAGCCGTACATTGCTAGCGGGGGTGTCAGCCGTCCGCAGCTACCGGAACTCCTTCGTCAGACTCGCGAACATGAAGTATGCGCCGATGCCGCTCATGGTGTTGTTTACCTAATTGAGTCTAGCGAGTTTCTGGTTAGTGACGATGCCACGTAGCAACCGAGAGAGCAAGGCGAGGTCTCAGTGACATCGGAAGGCGATGGTATGAAGCATACATCACAAAGTGAAAGGACGCATAGACTCGGAGACGGGAAAGGACATTATTGCTGCAGTTGCTCTGCTCTCTTCTTCAACCCGTCCGCAACTGCCTGGAACCCCTTCGTCAGACTCGCGAACATAAACCACTTGATGAAGTATGCGCCGATGCCGCCCATGACCTCGCGCGTCTCATACAAGGTCTTGCCACCCTCGACCACACTGAGTGCCTGCCAGCGCTCGGCATTCACCAGCCATTTGGGCATGCAGTTAACCCATGCGACGCGGTAGTTTGTGTGGTCGACGGCGGTGATGATCTCCAGCGGTCGCGACGTTGGTGGACGCGAAGCGTCGGGCGAAGGCGGTATATGTACGTCCATAAGCAGGTACGTGCCCTCGCGGGCGGTCTGGTCTGGTAGTGGTTTCTTGGTCTTGCCGTCAACGATAACTTGTGCGTGCCTGTCCAAACGTGCTGATAAGAACATGTAGCAGCGAATCGCGCCAGGATGTCCGAATCTTACACAAAGTCGTTCCTTAACAAATGTCGCATCATTATATGAGGAGGGCTATGCAACTGCGACACTCACCATTCACTGTAGCTCTGGAAATTACACAAGACATCCCATACTTTCTCGATGGGAGCATCAATGACGGACGACGCACTGAGTGTCAGCACCCCGGTGAACTTCGGCTCCGGCAGATTTGTCATAATAAGCAACGGGTGTGTTGAGAAGCAGTATTTGGGTTATGTGCCAGGAGCCACGATGAGCCTGAGTTCGTGCAGCACCGTTGAGCAGAGGACGTAGTACGGGCTCAAGCTCGCGAACATCAACGGTTGCCCGAATAAGGTGGCACGTGGAGGGCTCGCATCGCAGATCTGAGATCGACTCGGACTCGCCAGTGCACTGACAGTGACTTGACTGAACCTTACTATATGCCTTTGCTAACCGTAGAGCCTCGAAAGTCGGTACGAAGCAAGTACAAAGCCACAAATATTGGCCTTAATACTCGGCGTCTCTGCACAAGCATATCCGTACTCCGAGTCACTGTGTGACTTGTGTCCTCCGTCTGCGGTATTACTCACAATCGACCATGGACTGAACTTCTAGCGTGGGTGTGCGATAAGCCTCAGCTCCCACTGGTACATGTCCATGGACAAACCAGGTGAGCCTCATTCTCGTTCACGTCGTCCAGCGTTTAGACTCCATGGAGGGCACCGCACCCTTCGTGTATGAAGGCGCGACCCATCACACCTGGTACAAGGTCGTCGGGGATCTCAACCATACCAGCACCGCCCGCCGACCCCTCGTCATCCTGCATGGCGGTCCCGGGATGTCGCACCATTACATGCTACCCCACGCACAGCTGCACGCACTCTTCGGCATCCCCGTTGTGTTTTACGACCAGCTCGGCATCGGGCGGTCCACCCACTTGCGAGACAAGCCAGCGGGTTTCTGGACCATGGATCTCTTCATGGACGAGCTCGACAATCTACTCGCGCATCTCGGCATCCATTCCAACTTCGACGTGCTGGGGAACTCGTGGGGCGCGATGTTCGCGGGACACTACGCAGCCGTGCGTCGGCCTGCCGGGATGAAGCACTTCGTGATTGCGAACGGCGGTGCGTCGATGGCGCTTTGGGAAGTTGGTCTGAAGCAGCTGCTGAAACGTCTCCCTGACGACGTGAGAGAGGCTATTGAGCGTGGCGAGCGCGAGGGGAAGCGGGACACGGAGGAGTACAATGCTGCCATGAAGGTATTCCAGATGAAGCACATCTGCAAGGTAGATCCGTGGCCCGAAGACCTCGTTACGTCGTTCGCTGCAACGGACGAAGACCCGACTGTGTCCAGCGCTATGTGCGTGATTTCATTACTGGCACTTGGCCCGGGCAGGACTCAACACTACGGTGATAGGATCGGCCCGTCCGAGTTTAACGTCAGCGGGACGCTCAGGACCTGGGGCATCGTCGAGGAGGTGCAGAACATTACTGCGTCGACACTCCTGATCAACGCGTATGACGATACAGCGCAGGACGTCTCTCTGATGCCCTTCTTCTTGAAGGTGAAGCAGGTCAAGTGGGTGCAGTTCGCGTACAGCTCTCACCTACCGGCATTCGAGGAGCCAGCCAGATACTTCGAAGTAGTTGGCCGTTTCCTGACTGAATCCGGTAGCTAGTGCTCGTAGCACTCCTAGGATGCTGAAGCTTCGGGTATCTGAATGACTTCGTCTGCCAGATTTCCAGTGTTCAGTCGGGCCGGCAGTGATATCGTGTCTCCTCGATACTACTCCCGCGCCCTGTGCGAACTCTTTGTCGCGCTTGTACTCGCGCCGATAGGCTACTCATACACCAAGGCCTTCGAAACATCCCGGCTCACGACAGCTGACCCATGAGACGTCCCACCCTATGAGAACTCAAGCGATAAGCACCCTGTACGATTGCTAACAGCAGTGCTATAGATACATGCCATTGTACCAGGCGTACGCTACCTTGACTTAGCTCGTCGTAGGACCATCGGCCGCGGTATGTCTAGCATCAATGTCAATACGCCTATGGAGGTCGATATCATCGTAGCAGGCGGCACGTACTAACCTTGACCGCTCACTCCTCTGAATACACATTGAGTCCCTCCCGTCTCCATAGGTGGTACCGCTGGCTGCGTAGTCGCAGGCCGCCTGGCGGCAGCAGACCCTTCTCTGCGCATCCTCGTCCTCGAAGCGGGCCCTCCAACGCACGAAGATCTCGCGCATGTCCAGCCGGCACGCTACCTCACCCACCTTCTGCCTGGGAGCAAGACGATCAAGCTTTATGAAGGCAAGGAGAGCGAGTTCCTGGACGGGAGGAAGCCTGTCGTGCCTTGTGCACAGTGCTTGGGTGGCGGGTCGAGTGTCAACTGTGAGTGAAACTCCGAAATGTTCAGGTTTGACTATGACAGAGCCCGGACATGTACAGTTGCGATGTATGCACGCGCGGCAGCCTCGGACTACGACGATTGGGAGACGGTGTACGGGAATCCGGGATGGGGCTCGAGGGACCTTCTTCCACTTCTGAAGAAGGTACGCCGCCAAAGAACCTAAGTATGCCCTACAGCATGGCACATTGACTCATGCCGGCGGAGTGATTAGTGCGAGACATACCAGGTAGCACCAGGCAAGGAGACTCACGGATACGAAGGGCCGCTAAAGGTGTCATACGGAGGTCACTTCACGAATCTCGGGCAACAATTCCTCGATGTGGCGAGTCGGTACGACAAGACGCGCAGAGTGATTGAGGACCCCAATGACCTAGGCGAATGCAACGCATACGCGGTGAGCGGGAGAGTCGTACACGAGCCTATTGCTACTGACCATATTTATGCAGAGGTGGCAAAAGTAAGCACGCGAGGCCTCTCGAAGTTAGACCGCTCACCATCTATTGAGGTGGATTGACAATGAGAAGGGAACACGGTCCGATGTGCCACACCACTACATCTACAACCAAGCGCACAACAAGAACCTCATCATCATGACCGGGTTCCACGTCAAACGAGTCATCTTCGAGTGCGTCTGCAGCCACATACGTACCCTCCTTCTATCAACATTGCTAATGCTGCATACAGCGGGAAACGCGCAGCCGGCGTGGAATACGTGCCCAACATCCGGGTACATCCCGATTTTGAACAAGGAGAGGTCCACGTAGCCAGGGCTGCACGCATGATCGTGCTCTCCGCGGGAGCCTTCGGGTCCCCGGCGATCCTGGAGAGGTCTGGCATCGGCGCAGATCATCTCATGCGGTCGCTCGGTATTGAGACCACCGTCGATCTACCTGGTGTCGGCGAGAACTATCAAGGTTTGTTCGCCTTTCTTTGCTGTGACGAAGTACTTGACAGGTTGCTTCTGCAGACCACGACGTCTGCTTCACGCCATACCTCGTAGGAGAGGAAGCAGACACTCTAGACGGGATCATCCGTAGTGAACCGGAGGAGCTTCAGAGTGAGCACACATACCATCGGCCTCGCCAGCTACAGTGCAAAGTTGACTTCTCCGGGCAGAGTGGTCTGCGCAATGGCTAGCGAAAGGTGACGGGTTGATGGCTCACAAGTGCGTACGCGAGCTCTACTAGCGGAGACAGCAGCTTCATACACTTCCAAGCGGCGTCGATGCAGGTATCAAGATACGACCCTCCGAGAAAGAGCTAGAAGACATTGGCCCTGAATTTCGACAGCGATGGTACGAATACTACGCCAACTCACCCGATAAACCAGTCTTCTGGCTTGGTGCCCTCTCGATGTGCGTTCAGTCGCCGCTGCTGCTCTGTGCCGTATAATAATTGGTGGGCAAATTATTCAGGTTCGTTGGGGACCCGTCCACAGTACCAGCGCGGAAATACTGTTCAGCGGATTATTTCCTCGACTATCCGGCGTCCATCGGGTATGTCCACATCACGTCTGCTGGCGACGTGAACGCTGCTCCGGATTTCGACCCGAAGTACTTAAGCCGGTAAGTTTCGCCAACCCTCCATTTACTTACGTTCGTGTCCGACTCCCCCTAATTGGAATCGTAGTCGGGAGGACGTCGTGCTTCTTCGCTGGGCGTACAAACGCGGCAGGGAGATAATGCGGCGTATGCCGCTGTACCGCGGAGAATACGCCCCTGCACACCCTCAATTCCGCGTGGACAGCGATGCGGTGTGCCTGCAAGAAAGACTACCTGTCGGTATCTCCGCACCGGACATCGCCTATACGGCGGAGGATAACGAGGCCATCGATAATTTCCTGCGCAAGTACGTCGCGACGACTTGGCATTCGGTTCGTGTACTGTTATCCGGTATGTTCTTGGGCATGAGTTGACCGCACGATACGTCAGCTTGGGACCTGTGCGATGAAGGCCCGCAGCGATGGCGGTGTGGTGGATTCGCGGTTGAGAGTGTACGGAGTCGAAGGGCTCATGGTAGCAGGTGAGATGCTCGTCGCGTATGCCGCGCAGATGGACGCTGACACACATTAGACCTGTCCATCGCGCCGGCCAATGTTTCTGCGGTGAGTATCGCAACCTTTTCGTACTGAAGGTCTGACACGAGTCGTGCGACAGAATACCTATTCAACTGCTGTCGTAATCGGGGAGAAAGCAGCGGTGCTCGTCGCAGAAGAGCTTGGTATACGCGGTATATGACCCTTTGATGCATAGTCGGTAGTCCTAGCGAAGACCAGTCAATACATATATATGATCTGAGACAGCTAGCTTACCATACGCATTGCCATGCGGAACGGCGACGCAACCAATGAATCACTTTGAGAGTACTTAGCTTAGCTAGTTGCGTACTGGCGAGAGCCCATGAGGCCAGCGCAGCCCGCCGAGACGGATGCAATTTCACCGAAGGATGGCAATGCGCAGGCATCGTCGGCGTACGTATGTATAGCTCCCGCAATCGCACCGTGTGAGCCCGATGATTCAATGGCTGCGAAGAACAGCTATGTGAGTGCTGTGTACCCGACTCACGTCGCTCGGGAAGAATAGCGATCCAGTTTCTCTCCGTACGCGTACGCGTTACGCAGGATGGGTATCATCCGCGTCACGCTGTGTGTTCATAAAGCACGCATGCACGGTCTGCTATCCATTGGCAGCCGTATAGCCTTAGAGATGCGTTTGTTATTACGATGGTTGCTGTAGGAAGGCGTATAGACACGTACGGCTCATGACTGTTCGCGGGCAGAGACACCCGCTGGTGGCGGTGTGAGCCCAAACTGTGCCGCAATCAGGGCCCGGGCGTCTGCCACGCGAGCACAAGTCCTGCCGTCATTTGCAAATCTGGACGGACCACGACTTGCTGCACTCGCCTTTCCTGTCCTGCACGACGACGACCTCCTTCGACCTTCACGATCTTCTTGCTAGGCGGGGCCTTGATTGGCGCACATTCGTGCTCGTTGCTGCTTCACTACTTATCCTCTGAATCTGGCATCGGAGCATCGAGATTGGACCGCGTGATTCATAGGCTGTAATACGGCCTGCTCTGGACGAGGACGACTTGAGACTTGTCGACCTTCGGATCCCATACCATGTCAAGACGCAGCTATGCTGGCTCAGTCCACCATGAACGGAGGGGATCGAAGTTCCGTGTGTCCGATGAGGACCTAATGAAGTGCGTGGTGCTACTGCATAGTGCGGAGCACAAGCTGAAGGACTGACTTGTTCTAGCTATGTGTTCCGTGTCGCGTAAGGTTCTCTTAGCACTGCCTCGGTTTCGACTGACACCCTCGCAGATATCTGAGCTATCAGCTGCAGCCAAAGCCTGTAGAGGTTCATGCCGAGGAGGAAGCGAAGACCTCAGATTACTCCGCTCGAATACAGGGAGCCCTTCACAACTCCATCTTCTCTATTGGCGATCTCTTTAAGGACCTTCGGGATGGTCAGAAGTCCGTAAAGTTTCCAAAGGATCTGCTGAAGGTGCTGGAGCAGAAGCTGCAGAATATTGCGATGGGCAAGGACCCGGCGTGCGTGGTAGTCTTGATACGTCGACTTCGTCACATTGAGCTCCTTGCAGATACTCTGACCAGCTCACGCGGAGAACTATGGCTGTCTTCTACGGGCAAGTGAAGGACGAAAACTTTAGACGACAAATGAAGGAGAATCGCAAGATCGAAGAGCTCATCCTTATGTTTGCAACGAACGCTACGAACGTCCTGAAGAAGGAGCCTTCCTTGGCAGGCGATGGATGGAAACTCGAAGTGAACAACCACATCGCTTACTTCATTCGCCTGCTGAGGGAATGCATGCGGCAAGTCAGCCATGTGCCACCAGAATTAACGGCGCGGCTGGATATGTACGCAGCGAAGCTCACGCCATCACAAGCTCCCAGCGACTCTGGTTACGACTCGTCTTCAACGCGTGATTCCATGGTATCCCCAAAGCGGGTCAGCCAGAACATCTCCGACATGCCATTACTCTTGACTGCCGCACACCTGTTCAAGTTGCCGGAGTCCGCAATACAACAAGAGATGCAAGAGCTCGGCAAGTACTGTACTCCGAAGGCAAGCTATCCGTTCATGCGCTGTTACACATTCGGTTTACCCTCTCTTAGGCTGCTCTCACAGATCTGAAGGTACCCGGGATTATTCCATCTCGCTGAACGTCCTTACTGATAGACTGTCAGACATGTCTCAAGAACATCAATGCCGGTGCGGCTTTCCCTGGTCGCCGCGAAGACTTCGAGAGCGAGGCAGCCTGGCAATACTGGCGAACACTCGAGACATCTCACCTCTCGCAACTCATGCTTGTCATGGTACAGATCAACCCCGAGATTGCGAAGGGTCCTTCCTCAACACCTCCCCCCTCCGCCGGCCCGAATGGGCGGCCAGGATCCATTTACTCACAACGGTCTACCAGGCCAGACTCCTTCTATGCTGCAGGCACGTCACAACGACATGCGTCGATCAGCAGCAGGCATTCCCTGCACCACTCCAACAGCATCACCGCCGACGACTTCGGCAATATCGGCGAGGAGGTAGATGGCGACGAAGACATCCCCGTCGGGCACCACTTCACCTTCATCCCGCCGAACCCGCGCAAGTATTACAAGCGGCTGCTGGAGCACTGTCTCCTCGCGGACCTCGAGGCGATGCTCAGCCCGTCGGTAGGTGACGACGACGAGGTCTCGCTGGGGATCCTCTCGGGGACACACATCGAGCTAATCAACGAGGTCGCGCTGCGGTGGCGGATAGGCCAGCCGTATCGCGTGACGTGCTTCCTGGACCTCGTGAGGCAGTTCTATGAGCGGAATGAGGTGCCGCTGGAGTGCATCCCCGAGGCGCTGCAGAACATCCAGAAGGTCCTCAGCGAGGTCGAGCTGGAGAAGTGGCCTATGCAAGATGTAGGCATCACCGTCTCATGAGAACCGACTGTTGTATTGATGATCCTCCGTAACAGCATGACTACCTCGCTCAGGTTTATGGCAGCCTCTTCAGCATATTCCTCTCTTCCCTCTACCACGCCATGGAAGCCATCCCGAACTTGAAACAGTCTGAGGTGGCGCCGTACATCCACATCCTTGAGGTAGTTCGCGCAAGTGGGTTGCTCGAGAAGTACGATGTCGATGTCGCCGCTCGGATCGCCGACGTCCAAGAACAGGTGCGGACCGTGGCCGCGCGCTACTACGGGCAGAAGCGGGAAGAGCTGCACGCAACACCAGGTGTGAACAAGGCGCTTCCACATCTGCTAATGACAGATGAGATCGAGAAGGCCGCGAAGTTGCTGGACAAGCGGTTCCCTGAGCCTCTACTCGGGTACGCGTGCGTGTCTGTTGCTATCGCCGGGATGGGATTGGCCTGACACTTTGCTGCTGCAGTCAATTGGACATCGTGTCATTAGTGGTCGATATCCAGGTGCCGCACTTTATCATGGATCTGGACGACTCGCGGAAACGACTGTTCGAAGACTCCATGAATGGGCCGACACCTGACGTCCCGATCCAGGACATCTTCGCGCTTTATCGACGTACGAAGACGTTGTTGGCCATGCACAAGGCGTTCGTGCCGAAGTGAGTAATTTGGAAGTTTCATGAGGTACGCTGGCAGTGAACGCTCTTCTGCAGTGGGGAAATCCAGTTCGACCTCGGGGGCTTCTTCCAGCCGTACGTACAGCAATGGCTTGTCAATACCGATAACAAGACAGCCCAGTGGGTCCAAGCTGTAAGCACCGCCCCAATCGCGCATGAACTCTGTGCTCATATGGTGTTCTAGGCTATTGATGCGGATAAAGTGTGGTTTCATATGCAGATTGGGTGTACACAGCTAACTTCGTCGTGACAGTTCCAACCAGAAGGCTCAGAAGGGCACAGTTCGTCGATTATTGATCTCTTCGACTCCTTGCGGAGTCCGATCACTTTCCTCGAGGAGTTGGAATGGTCGGACGAATACCAGGAGGCGAGGTTCTTCACGAGCTTGTCAAAGGTAAGGCGAGAGCGCGGAATTCTGGCGGCTTGACGGCTAAACCCTACGCATAGACCATCAGCAAGGCTATCGACCAGTACTGCCGAAGCGTCGAGGAGCTCTTCATGACGGAGATGTTCCCACGGCCGACCGACCACCTTCAGCCGCAAAAGTCATCCGCCTGGCTCGAGAGGGCCAGGCAGCTCGCGGCCGTCGGGGAGAAGAAGGTCGAGGCGTTCACGTTCCAGCCCGAGTCATGCGTGAAGCTGAACAACGTCGAGGCCGCGCGAAGACTGCTAGACCAGATGTACGTGCAGATGCAGGCGGACAAGAAGGCGGAGGTCCTGCAGCAGGTGCCGCCCGTGCCAGAGAAGGCGGAGCGGACTGATCGCTTCCTGTTCACGGCGAAGATCTGCATCGCGGAGGGCTTGGTTCCTCTGGACACGAGCCCCTCGTCGAAGCTGGACACCTTCGTCACCCTGAGCGATGAGCAGGGCCACCGGCTGGCGAAAACGCGGACTATCTACGAGACGCTTAGTCCCCGATGTGCGTTCATTTTCTCTACTTAAGCTTTCACAGATGATTGAAATGAACCTTCTCAGGGGACGAAACGTTCGACATCTCAGTGGAGAAGCCGCTCTGGCTCATGGTCAGCGTTCGCGACCGTGCGCTAGTTGGCAAGCATGACACCGTCGGGCGAGCCTACATATGCCTCGACCCGCGGCGATACGGCGACTTCCTGACCCATGACCAATGGATGGATCTGGACAGCACAGGGCGGATATTGCTGCGTATCAGCATGGAGGGCGAGAAGGACGACCTGCAGTTCTACTTTGGGCGTGCCTTCCGGTCACTCAAGCGTGCGGAGAGTGACATGGTCCGGGTCTTCATTGACAAGGTCAGTAGTGCGCTATCTATGCAATCGCGACGCGCTGAATGAAGCTCCGGACCGCAGGTCTCGCCCTTCATCCGGCAATGCCTGTCGCGGACGGTGCTCAAGACGCTCGTCAAGTCTGCGAGCGGGAGCATCGACTACAACAAGGCGCTGGGGAACGTGACGGCGCTGTTCGGGCAGGCGCTGGGGCAGAACAACGCGGAGGTGATGATCCCGCTGCCGCAGTCGGAGAAGCCGCGCATCAGGCCTGAGGCGCTGACGGACATGGAGATCGAGCAGGCGATCGCGCCGCTGTTCGACTATCTGGACGCGATCCTGCCGACGTTCAACACGTATCTGAGCGAGAGCACGAAGGAGATGGTGATGACGCGCGTGTGGAAGGAGATCCTGAACGTGATCGAGGGCCTGCTCATCCCGCCGCTGTCGGACATCTCGAGCGACATGAAGCCGCTCTCGGACAAGGAGGTCGATATCGTGTTCAAGTGGCTCAAGGTGCGTGCGCGGTTGTGTGGGAGTGCGGGCTGTGTGGGTAGGGCACTGACACGGTCCGCGCAGTTCTTGCGAGATTACTTCTACGCGGGCGGAGAGGGGCCTGTGCCCCTGGAATCGCTCCAGAACCAGAAGTACCGCGACGTGCTGTCCATCCGGCTCTACTACGACTGGCACACGTGCGTCCCGCCGCTCACAGAGTCCCGCTAACGCACTGACGGTACGTGCGCGCAGCGACGCGCTGATGGAGGAGTGCGTGCGGATGATGCAGCAGAGCCTGCGCGCGTCGCCGGCGGTGAAGAAGCGCGCCAAGTCGGTGTACCAGCAGCGCAACCTCGGGACGATCAAGAAGCGCAAGAAGGAGAAGCAGGAGGAGAAGGAGGTCAACAACGGCGAGACCATCCTGCGGATCCTCCGCATGCGGTACGTCCCCTGCCCTCCCCGCCCCTCCCTCCCGCACTAACCGCGCCCCCCTTTCTCCCTCCCCTTCCCCGTTCTATCTGCCCCCTTTCCAACCGCTCCCATCGTACGCTCCCGGCGATTACGTACACTCGTCGCTTTGGCGCTCGCACGCGCGGACAGGCCGGGCACGTCGGACTTCATCGCACAGCAGCTGCACGCGATGACGAGCCTGCAGGCGGAGCGCGAGGCGCAGGAGCAGGAGGCCGCGCGGCGCAAGGCGGCGCGCCCGCGCCAGGGCCAGCACCCGTCCGTGCCCGCGATCCCGCCGTTGCCGCCGCTCCCGCCCAAGTCGCCTGTGTAGGCCGCGCGCGGGGACGAGGACGAGGGGCGAGGGGTGGGGAGGGGGACTGGACTGATACCTTGCATAGTCTAAGTATACCAGAGACTTTTGTTGCGCTTGTGTTGGTTTTTCTTGTTCGTGTGCATACCTACCTACCTATTTGTTAGTCGTGCTGATGTTGCTGCTGCTTCGGTCCCTTTTTTATGCAAGCTCTTTTTCTGGCTCGGATGCTCGTATATCTGTGCTGCGTGATGCGCAATGGGACTGGCTAGTTTTGCGGGCGTGCGCTCGAGGCTTTCCTAGGTCTCACTCGAAATCAAAGCAGTCCGACGACACAGATTATCCAGGAGAGGATGAGAAGATCATTTCTCCAGCAAATACATGCGTAGACTAGCGATAAGGATATAAGCATGTACAGCTCCTACAGCCAGCCACCAGCCAGCAGTTCCCGAGCAAGCAGACAAAACGTCCGTTCCGCATCCACTCAACTACTAATGCGATTCTACGTAAGCTAGGGTATAGAAATACAAGATCAGACGGTACGATAGCGTTGGCCAGTTCTGGATATATAGGGCGGTGCGACGAAGGCAGGGGCTACAGCGAAGAGCTCTGCGTGCTATTTTTACAACCGGCGCGACGATGCAGGGAAGCACAGACATGGAGGCGTTCATGCGCTCCGGATCGGGAGGGGATCGTCATCGCCGGGGGCCGCGATGGATCGCGTGGGTGGCGCGGGGCGCGCGTGGCGGGGCCGAGTGCGAGAGAGGCGATGAGATGCCTGCCCTAGAAGCAGGGCGCCGGGGCGGGCTCCTCCTCCTCGGATATGGACGAGAGCGAAGAGTGGCGGGAGCGAGGCTCCGCGTGGGTGCGCCGCAGCACGGGCGGAGGCGCGGTGTTGAGCGCGGGCGGGCGCGCGGGGGAGGTGCTCGAGCGCGGGGAGGCGGTGTAGATGATGTAGGGCTCGGCGTCGGGGGCGGCGGGGGTGTACGCGGGGGCGCAGGGGAAGGAGGGGTACGGCGCGGGCGCGAGCGGGTCCTCGTAGTCATCGTCGGCGTCTGCGGCGGCGAGGATGTCGACCCACGAGTATGTGATCGGCGCTAGTGCCTGCAGGGGGACGTCAGCGGCTGCGCAGTGCGGTGGCGTCACGGACGACGGTCGTCGCGAAGGCGCGGCGGGAAGCGAGGCAGGGAGGAGTAGGGAAGGGTCGCGTACCTTTGCCTCTGGGCCCGCAGCAGAGTCGATCCACTCTGCGATGCGGCGCGTCCACTCGCGGCGGCGGAGGAACTCGACGCGCTGTCTGCGCTGCTGGAGGGACTCGACGAACTTGGTCTGGCGGCCCTTGGCGGCGTCGTGTGCCTGGGACGCGAGATAGAGGTCGATCGGGGCTGCATCGGGCGTCCAGGGCAGGCTAGGGGGCGGGAGCTTTGAGGACGAGGGCGTGGCCGACGCGAGCTGGCGCGGGAGGGCAGACATGGAGGGCGCGGTCGTCGGGTGGTGCAGCGGCGAGGGTGGGCTGCGCGGCGGGCGGGGGCAGGGCGGGTCGCGGGGCCATTGCTGGGCTTTATAGGGCTTGCGGGGATGTGGCAGAAGTCTGAGTCAGAAGGAGACAGGCTGACGGCATACCTGGAACCGCGCGGGTGGCTCGCGGTCCTGCGTACACACCCCGCTGACGCTCGGCCTGACGCAGCCCAGGCCCAGGACGCGGGTGCATCGCCCGATCCGGCACCCGGCCCACCCCCGCCTCCAGTCCCGCGCGATGCCCATTTCCGGCCCCCTCCCGGCACCCGGCCGCGCGTTGCCGCCGGCGGCCCCGCGCGGGACCTCCTCCACAGGCCAATCGCCGCGCCCGCCGTCGCCCGCCTCACCGCCCCCAGGGCGCGAGCGCCGGCCACGTGCCCCCGCTGCCCAATCAGCAGCGCGCCCGGGGCCGTGCCGCAGCGACCGCGTACGTACGGCGCACCGGCAGACGGGCGCGGGCCGCCACCGCAATCGCACAGAGCACCGACGGTATTTTTGGACGCGCCCCGGATCGACGTCTGCTCCCTGTGGCGGACGGCCCATGGGTGCGGCGAGATAGCCATCGATCCTGCAGGGCCTGGACGGTCGCAGTCCACGCGTGAACGGGTATGTAAGGTGCGTGAGGATACGCACGTTGCGCGGCCTCTCGCGCTGCGGCCGTCTGTCATATCCCCCCGGATATCCGTCGTGATCCTGTCCGCCCCGGCCTGGTTACCTCGCATGCCCGTGCCTGTACACGCCGCCACCGCGCCCCGGCCCCCGATCGGGTTTGGGAGTGGCGTGCTGATGGACAGCCCGCGCCCGACGTAAAGGCTAAAGCCAGTTGTCCGAGGGGAGCGCACTCAGCGGGAGTGGATGCCGTCAGAATGGACAGTAGGGTCCACCGGACACACCGACACGGTCCACATCGTGTCTCGCCGCACCGCGACCTCCCAGGATCCCAAGCCCCATCGACGCCATGCCCTAGCCTATCGGGCCCGCAGGGCAGCAACGCGCCGTCGTATCGGGTGTGGCGGCGAGCGGTGTGATAATCCCGGCCCACTTACGGTAGGACAGCAGACTCGTGGCGGGCTCGAGTAACCCGCGGCCGATCGACCCAACTCACACTCCGAATTGCCGCATGGGGATCCCGGTCGCGTTCCCGTCCACACGACCAGCCTCCGCCTCCCCGCGACGTCTATTGGCCAAGGCGGCCAAGTCGGCTCGGGGACTGTTCGCATTTGCATTTGCATTGCCAAGTTTGCAGTGAGTGAGATCCATGATTCGGATGGACGCGCTCATTAGTACTCACCTACGCGAACGGCGACGCACTACGCCTGCCATAACGAGCAGAGGAACCGCGGTCCAGGGGCTCGTGGGTGTTTCAGCGCGACCAGCAGGGTGTCGGACGGAGGTGGGGGCCGCGTTGCTGTGTCGCGCGTAACCGGCGTCGTTCTGACAATGTTCAGTTGCTCAGAAGGTCGTGTTGTCTGTTGTCTGTTGTGTCGCGAAGAAGCGCCCGCACGCGGTCACGGGGCGTGGCGCGTCGCGCCTACGCGTCCCCAGCCCAGTGTGAAAACCCTAGCCTACACTCAACTACCAGCCTCTACTACGACACTTCTTCAATTTGCAGAGCGCTTTACGGGTACTTCCCCCCCCCAAAGCTTCGGCTCTTGGCTCTCTGAGCTCGCTCAGGCTGCATCGTCATAGTGCCGGCGAACCCAGCGACCGCAACACCTTAGCCCGATCGTCCATTCCTCTGCCGAACAGTGGCTCATCAAGCTGTTGCAGATTGCTGCTGCAGATTTTCCTCAAAATGACGTCGTGCGGCAGGGTCGAAGTGACCCGAAGAGCGGGTATTTCGGTCGAAGATAAGTTACGTTACAGGAGGGGGGCGGCGTCTACAACGATGCAATTTGAAGTGGACCGTCTTCTCGGACGCAACAGCAACCACATCCGGCTCTTGTATGTTCGTCGCGGCCAAGACCTGTCGGAGGGAGATCGTACGACGATGTCGCGCTCCAGGTGGCGGAGCTGGTTCTGGCGTCGACTGGTGGGACACAGGTAGCAGTCACGAAGTCAGATACTGCGCTCGCAGTCGATTTGGTGGAAAACATTCAGTCTATGCCGTGCAACCGTTCAGGACGACGATACAACAGGGATGGCGGAAGTAATCGCGTGCAGCTTGAATCCCCATGTTCAGATCAGGTTGCGCAGTTCAGGCGGTACATACAGTATGCTTCTGCCGGCAAAGTCGTGCCATGCTCCTCGCCAGAGCGCGCTGAGCCGAGGCTACGAGAGGGAGCATGGGCGAGTCGACGAGCTGAGCTACTGTTGCAACGTCGGCGCGCCGTCCGAGTCGCTATCCCAACTAGAGCGCGCTCGGATGGTGGGCTCCGCTCTCTGCGCGTCGACATTAGCGACGCATCTCGTAGCGCGAGGAGGAACCCATGGGTAGGATGGATCCGGGTGTGCACCGCAACATGTGTGCGATCCCAGGGACATGAGTTGAGGTGTACAACTCACCTCTACCCGTCCGCAACATGATCCATCTGTCGATGGGAGTAGGTGGGAGACGATCGCTCACGCTCTGCCCGACTTAGGGGCCGTCGCGCTTCGCGGAAGATGTATGCACGAAGTGCAGCGTTTCCTTCCAAGTCCAGCTCGTCGTAGAAAGCATGGCACGCCAACCATGGAGACCCGGAAGCCGGTGACGGGATCTGGCGTTGAGCGTTGAATGTCAAGGTAGCGAGGAGACTGGCGACACGGAGTCGGTGTGAGGCGCTGCGATGCACACGAGACTGAGGAGGATGGGAGCTGTCATCCAGGAGCATCCCCGCGCGCATTGCAGACCCACTCAGACTGTCAACCGAACAGCGGAGGTTACCTGAAGGTACACGCAAGTCAGTCCCGACTCTCAGCACTGATGACTGCAGTAAGTATTGCCATCGGTGGGCCGGCGGCAACTCACCGGGGCTGTTCATTGACCAGCGGGGATACAACAAGGATCGCGGAAACAATCGCATGCACTTGCGGGGCTCCGGACTGTCCCGTTCATATCGGATCGAACAGCAGAAATGGTTTTGCCAGTGAGCTGAGTGAAGTTCCTGCAAGACATCGTGCTGAAATCCTGTGGCAGAGGGGGTGACTGTGGCAGAGAGGACTGTGGCAGAGAGGTCGATAGCAGACTTTTGATGTCTCTGCGGCGCCCAGGCTCTCGATAGTGTAGCAATGGTGTCAATGTAAGTGAAGATACTAGGCTCTGCATGTCAGGCTGGCCGCTGGCACCGCGGGCAAACCAGGTTTTTCGGCCTCCGAAGATTGCTCACAACATCGGTCCCTTATGGGAACCTATTCGGAGAGCTTGACTGACTCCGAAAATGCCCCCACATTATTCATGTTCGTAGCATGTTCGCCGAAAACACGCATTTTCGGCCTCCGAACATGCTGAAACGCATCATGTTCGGAGCATGTTCTGACAACATTCTGAGTCCGAATAGGTTCCCATGGGGGACCGATGTTAATAGCAATCTTAGGAGTCCGCAAAACCTGGTTTGCCCGCGGTGTGGGTGAAAGTGTTCAGGTTCGCGCGCTTCACATGGCATCAACCAGATCTCGATCCTCCCGTGGTAACTTACTTATTTCGGCCACAACTCGTGCCAAACTCACGCCCCTACTACAAGTGGAGCTGTCGTTCGCCGCCGCCATCCCAGTCGACGTGCTTTACAACCTAACTTGCATCAGCCCTGTTACGCGACTGTCCTAGGCATCGTGACATCGTCCGGCTACAAGCAACCGTGCGGCCCACGCTTGAGCATGGGACGCAAGACGGTTGTTCTCGCCAGCTCTTTGATACTAGTAGGTCACAGGAACAGTGCTTGAGCCCACTATCGGATTTCTCGGACCTCTGTACGTTTCTCCTCAGGCTCCCAGGTCTACGTCGCGAAGCATTCGACGTATCACGCACTCAATTGACTCTACATAATGGGAGTGCGTCAGCTCATCGGATGGCCCTGGGAGTCTCACAGACTGAACGTGGAATTTGACAGACGTGTTGGTCATGGGTGACCGGCGTAGGGGCGCATGTCAGCGATAGCAGCGACGCTAAGTCGACGCAATGTCTGACGCAGGTGTAGCCAGCTGTGACCGCATGACTGCTCACCCAATATCGTGTTCCTGTGCTGGTACGTCGGCGATGCTTGCTACGTCGCTTTACCTTCGGCTGTGGTGTAGCTCTACGCCAACAGGCTGTTGGACGTCGTCGTACCGTGTACCCATCGGTGACCGTACGCAGTTGATGACTTCCCGTAGTGCATAAAGTTCAACGCTGGGTACTAAGGGGCAGTGGCGCCACTGTGTGCAAATGCTATGTGGCGGCACGCTCGACTCGCTGCAGTCCAGGTGGTGGAGTCTGTCGTACTCACCGACATGAGCTTCTCATTCAGCAATCCTTCTACAAAAACTGCATATGCAGCGACCATGTGCCTATGCGCATCCGCTCCATAGGCCATCATTAATTCTACCGGTCATGTATGAAGAAGTTCCCGTCGGGCGTCTCAAGGCCGCGCGGGATGCGAAGATCTCCATATGGCGTCCCCATTCTTTTAAGGTCTCCCTCCTTCCTTCACTCATGATCTACTGACTCATGTCCCAACATAGGTCTTCGAAGCCTTTATCGAAGCAGGCACTGGCTTTCTCCTGCTGGAGCACCGATTCACTCCGACCGAGCTGAGCAGACAAGATAGACACTGAGACTCAGGCGCCGGTCAGCCAGCTGATGGTATGGTGCAGCCATATCGAGGGATATGACCGACCCACCGGTGTAATTCTAACGGACGAAATATCTCTTCGGAAACGGAGCTGCTTGTTGTGGGAGCCCGACTGCGTCTTCCACCGGGTAGTTGAACACCGTAGCCCGGTACAGCGTCGAGCGAGGCTTTGTGCACTGCTCCATAGCATGCCGTCGACGGAGCGCACCAGGAGCTCGGACGATTGAGCCTATGGGGATGACGTACCCCTGTGCTGTCCGAGGACGTGTTCTCATGTTTAAGGCGTATAAAGGCATGGTAGGAGGCTCTTGACGCCAACAACATCGTTTGCTCACTCACCAGCAGACGCAGCATAGCAGTTCTAACCACGCTCAGGACCTCTTCATTCTACACACAGAATGCCCGGATTGACTAAGTACCCGCCCTTCCCCGACAACGTGCCGACCCACCCGCTCCTCGTCGTGGACTATGAGCTCCTGAAGGCCGGCGACGAGGCAGAGGTCGAGAAGTTCTGGACTGCAGCGACGTCCCTCGGCTTCTGGTAGTAAGTAGATCTCCATACCTGATTTACTCTAGTCTAACTCGCTTCCGTACTACAGCATGAAGAACCACGGTGCTGATGAACTAGTCAACGGGATGTTCGAGATGGGTGAGGAGACCATGAACCTCCCCTTCGAAGAGAAGATGAAGTTCGAACAAGGCGATGACGGCATGTCCTTCGGGTAGGCGAGCTGTGCACAACCTCCCCGATCCCTACTGACATTCTCCGCCAGCTACAAAGCCCCGGGGGCAAACGCCACCGACGAGACCGGCGCACGGGACTTCGTCGAGTTCATCAACACCTCGCAGGACGACGCGCTCGCGTTCCCGAAGCCCGTGCACCGCACGTACCCGTCGACGGTGAACGCGCGCATGGAGCACACCATCCGGCCGTTCATTCAGCTCTCCGCTGAGGTGAACACCACGCTCATGGAGATCCTCGGGAAGCGGCTCGGCTTCAAGGAGGGCACGATCGCGCAGCTGCACCGGCTCGACGAGACGAGCGGGAGCGAGACGCGCTGCATCAAGAGCCTCCCGCGCCCGGAGGGGATCTCGGAGGAGAAGGCGGCGCTGGGCGCGCACACTGACTTCGGTTCGATAGTGAGTTGCTCTTCCTCACGATTCGACTTCGAGGAGAACTTGGGTTGACGCGGGCATGCTGCGCATATAGACCTTCTTGCACAACCGACTCGGCGGCTTGCAGGTGATGCCACCGGGTTCTGACAGGTGGCAGTACATCAAGGTACGTCACCAGATATATCTTTCAATCGACGAGAGACTCAGAGCTCCGCTGCAGCCTATGGCAGGACACGCTGTCTGCAACCTCGGAGACGCCATGTACATCTTTAGCGGCGGTATTCTGAAGTCGAACCTCCATCGCGTCGTGTAAGCTCACAGCCGCGCTTCCCCTCGCGCCGATCGTACTGACCGATGGAATGCAGTCCCGCCCCGGGCGCTCAGGCTGTCCTTCCGCGCTGGTCATTGGCAATGTTCACGCGCCCCGGCGACTCCGTTGTCCTTCGCGCGCTCACAGAGGAGAGCCCGGTGGTTGCGGAGGCGGTTGCGAACGCCCCCGACAAGAGCATCTTCAACAGCGGTCAGACCTCGAAGGAGTGGTTCGCGCGGAGGGTCAAGAACCAACGTACTAAGAACCAGAAGGTAGATTCTTCCACATTCGAGTGCTCTTGTAGCTGGCTGACGTAGACGTGCGTTGTGCAGGGCCCCACGACCTGGCGCCAGAGCCGTGGCACGGAGCACCGCCGTGATGCTGCTTGATGCGCATTGTGCCACTCAATATTAGATATATTTTTCCATCGTTCATCATAGCTCCGTCACTATCTACGGTTCCACCTGATAGCCGTAGTGTATCATCGATGTATTTCTGAGCGGTCAATCTACTGCGGCTTAGTTGTGATTATCTAGCGTGTTGCATCGAAACATCGTACTAGAAGCCGGAGAGCAGTCTGGCATTGGACTGGATTTGGGGGTGCGCAAGGCCTCTGGTGCGATACTGTCATCTTCGTCGCCCCGGCGCCCAAAGACACGTACTTAGGTACATGCATATTTTTGCCGGGTCGTTACGCTTGGCATAGGAAAACGGAGACCAAGGATAGGGATCTGACTAGCAACGTTGCCGGCAAGTATTTTTCTGGCGCACTGACCCGGCCCTGGTAGAAGTGACTGTGGCGATTTGTGGCGTCATTGCCGGCAGCTCGAAATCCCCCCCAACACACAGAAAGTACTATGGACACTGCAACCATCCTATCCAACTGATAGGGTGTCCACGCGTGTGGTCACTGTCATGGACTGCTGACTCGACGGCCCCCATTCTTCCAAATCAACATCTTGATCCTATCGTGGCTGGTACCATCCTACGCCGGATGATTGCCATGGGCACTGCCTGTCCTCTATAGGCAATACAGAGGCAGCGATGAGGACCACGAGCCACTGAAGAACAAGGCCATCATCCCACACCAACGAGACGGCTCCATCATGTGTAAACACCCACCGCCCTTCCCCCAAGGATTTGTGATGCTGGAGAATAATAAGCGACATACACAAATGCACTCATTCGGATGTGCCGAGCGCGGTTGTGAGAAGCTAGAACCACGGTCAGGGATACGGTTTTGTGTGGCGTTTTACCGGGGATATAAATGCGAGAAACTGCATTCCACAATTCTTCAGCCCCGCGATGATGACAGCATTTACTTTTTCATTTGCCTTGCCCTCAGGACGCTGCCGTCGGGCTCACTCGCCCCTCGCACGGGTAATGACAGCGAGGGCACCACGGGAGTCGACTCCCATCCGGCGCCGTCGTGGCGTCCCGTCTTCAACACACTCTGCTCGTGCCCGGGAAGAGTATGAGGGCGACCGGGCACCCGACCGGGAATCCTGGGACGATGCGGACACGATCGCAGAAGACCGTCGAGGAAAGAGAGTGCCACGCACTCCGAGTCCGGTGTGCGAGATCACCGTCGATATGCGCGTCTTGTGCGACCTCCAGTGCAGAGGATCGGAAATGGATCAAAACATTTCTGGGACGCCTGAAGACGAGGATTATGGTTCTCTCGAGGAAGACGTGGATAACTCTCTATCTTCGCGGGCGAGCTCTCCTACTAGGAGTGTGTGCTCGGATTTGACCGACTTTACTGTGTCCACCTCGTCAGCTTCAAGTGTGGCACCAGACGATGGCAACGTGGAGGATAAAGCTTCCACGGCAGACGCACCTGACAAGACGAACGTTGTGAACAATACTGACTCGGACATTTACATTCAGCATGTGAACAAGCTCAAACGCAAGGGTAATGACGCCTACTTTCCAGCAGAGTCAACTGAGATTGAGCTATATTGTATGCAGCTGTAACCGATGGGCTCAACAGGAGCGCAACCAAGCGCGGCTTCCGCATTCCTGTCATACAGCAAGGAACTCAAATGGTCAGAATCCCGGCGAAGCGCATTCGAACGTTTGATCCGAGATCGGTAACGGAGCTCCTGAAGTACGGCACGGCTGCGCATCAAATGTGGGCCGCGGTGCGGCGCTCGGTGTGTTTTCTCAGTCGGAGGCGGGACCTCCAGAGGGTACTTGAGGATGGTTACCGTACCCAGTGGTCGAACATTCTGGACCGGTGCAAGCTGAGGGAGTGGGCGTTGAACCGTACGAACTCGCGTACGTCGTTAGCATTGTGTTCGCGACCTGGAGCCCGCCACACTCTACATGTAAACGAGTCGGATCGTATGAATGAGTCCGAGTAGATTGATAGTCGCCTCGAATTATGGACATACCTATGCTTATATATGCCTGTTCTTATATCTTGTATGTACTATATCATGGCCCTATGACACCATCTATCTCATGTCGGAGGACATCACCTCATAGCCACGCTGAGGTTGCACACAGTTTGACCATGCTTGGCCATGTTCGCCATCTAAAACTGACGAAGACGGAACACTTGTCGCCCTCAAGTCGTCGCTCAGGCTGGCGTTCGCTGCGACTGACTCGCCATAAGCCACCCATGAGCGTTATCACCCAGCACTGCCAAGGCCACCACCCCGCCAGCGTGCTCAACCACCGCAATCCCCCATACGTGATACGCCTCGGTGGACGCTTCTGCAGCACCTCGCCCACAAGGTATCGCACAAAGTGTTCTGTAGGTATCGCGTGCGGACGCTGGCTATACCCGATGCGCTCCGCGATTGTGTCGCGCCATGCGCCGTAGCACGAGTCTGGCTGGAGGCGCAAGGCATCCAATGCGTTTGTGGCGACGTTCGTGCGCACGCAGCCCGCGCTGACGTGCAAGGTGGAGAGGCCGAACGGCGCGAGCTCCACGTAGAGGACCTCTGAGAGCCGCGCGAGGCTGCTCTTCGTCATGGCGTACAGGCGCTACCAGGCGCCAGTGCTAGTGCAGACCGTGAGCCAACGGATCGAGCGCGCGAGACGGTGCTCACAAGTCTTCGACGAGCGGGCCGGTGTTGACGATGGCCCCCCTTCTCCGGATGGCCATGTGTGGGAAGACCGCGTGGCTCGCGCGCAGCGCAGCGAATAAGTTCGTGCCGACTCCCTAGGCTTCCCTCGCTGAGGACATGCATCAATATTTGCAGTGTTACGCAGAGCCATGCAATGACGCACCGATGTTACGATGTCGCGCTCACAAGATCTTGAACGCGTGTGCTGCCTTGGTTGGTACGTTGGATAGAACGGACCCGTCTGGAGAACGTCGGGCGGCGATAACCAACTCTCATGAGAGAAGAACCCATAAGAAAATGGATTCATCAGATGAGATATTGATGGGCTGGATTTCTATACAGATACAACACTGGTGAAAAAATAGTGTAAACAGGAGACAAGCGAGCTACATTGACCAAGGTGCCGAGCGAAGACTCACAACACAACTTCATCAGGCCGTCTTTGGCTTGCCCGCGACGAATCTCCACATGAGCCAGCACACAAACGACCTCGGAAACCACTGCAAAACCGTATTCAACCAGGCACCCGCGCCGAGCGTCATATACCTCGGCGGGTTGGGCTTGACGACCTCCCTGACGACCTGCTGCGCAAACTGCGCGGCGGTGAGCGACCCAGGGCCCTGCACACGATTGAGGACCGCGACCATCGAGTCGAAGTACGGCTTGTAGAACGAGTCCTCGCGCAGAGACAACTGCGAGAGCGCATGGACGGTGATGTTTGTCTTCACACCGCCCGGCGAGATGTGCACGACGTGGATGTTGAAGGGCGCGACCTCCATGTAGAGGATCTCGGAGAGCCGGAGTAGCGCGGCCTTCGTCGCACAGTAGACGCCGCCCCAGGGTGATGGCCTGTGAGAAGAGAAGCACGGGGAGTCAGTCACACGTCGCGGTGTGACGGGAGGGGCAGCGTACGTGTCACCGACGACGGAGCCGACGTTGACTATTGTGCCGCTGCGCTTTGTGGCCATATGTGGGAAGACGGCTTGCGAGAGACGCAGGACAGAGATGACATTCGTGTCGAACGTCTTCTGCGCTTGGTCTAGGGATGTCTCCATGAGAGGGCCTGGCGCAAGTTAAATAGGCGAAGTGCTGAGAGACGTACTGCGTACCAGAGCATGGGCCACCAGCGTTGTTCACGACAATGTCGATACTGCCCTCCCGCTCGAGCACTGTCTTCACGACCTCCGCCACATCCTCGTCCGACGTGACGTCCAGCTTGAGTGTAGATATGTTCGGGTCCTTGAAGCCTTCCATGGCTTCTAATCTGCGCGCTGTGGCATACACTTTGCATCCTTTCGCCGCAAACTCTTCGCACCTTCAGCGTGGAACATTGATAATATTGTCAGCGAAATAACACCGATGATCGACCGAACACTCACAATGCGAACCCGATGCCTCCCTTTGAGCACCCAGTGACGATGACAACCTTGCCAGTCATTGTGAACGCGTGCTCGCAGTCAAATGCGGAAGGGGTCGAAAGACAATGCGCCCGGTGGAGCGGATGGCATGATAAAGCTTATTCTGAACCTATGGCGGTTGTATGGCAACTCATATAATAGACGCTTGCCGGCTATTATGGTAAGTATGCAACGGAGACTAGGCAACTCAAAGTGAGCAGCCTCGTTACAGCTCGTTTCCAGCAAGTACGGTATCCCACGCACAAACATGCTGAGAATACAGTAGTAGGGATATGTACTTACCTAGTAAGCATATTCCTGTTCAGGATATGGTCAGCCACGCAGCCAATCAGAGGCTCCGGTTTCTACCATAGTCTCACAACATTCTCCCAGCATATTACACGCTCGAACTGTATGCCTGATTTATCAATATGCTGCCCATGTTCCGCCACAAAAAAGCCGACCTTACCCAATGTTCCAACAGTGTTTCCCAGTCGTTTCCCGTCTCGGCTGTTACATACAGATCGTATTTTGAATCTCTCCGATCGCGATCTGAGCACGATCTCATCTGCCCCGACAAGACCGGAGGACCTGCAACTCTGCACGCATGAACTTCCACCCCCCGGGCACAGGGACTGCAAGACGTGAGACTGGTGTACGTGTATACAACTCAGCCCGCCAGACAACTACGGGACGCACAGCTTCGTCCAGGGGCCATTTGATTGCGCGGTCACATTCATACCAGTGGGGGGGGGGGGGGGGGGGGGGGGGACGGAGACCACAGGGCCGCTGACCACACTGGTGATGTGCCGGTGATGCGCGGGCAGCGGCCGGGGCGACCTCGGTGTATGCACGACTGGCAAATGAGGTGAGCGATCGAAGATAAACGGCCACCTCCCACAGATTGAACCTCCGAGTCCAAACAACACAATGTTCATGCAACGTGCACGGCGCGGCGTTACATCATCCTGAACTCTCGGAAGTCCAAGCGCAAGTACCGGTGTATGTCACTGCCGCATTGATTCCCATCTGGAGCTCGCTGATGTGTCTGCACACAGATAAGGGCGGCCCTATGGACATCTGGATTCTGCGTAAATTAGTTAGCTTGGTTCGTGAACCATTACGCCAGGGCATGCCTTTACTTTTTGTTTGTATGTCCTTATGAGTTATGATCCTATGCAAACGATTGATTGAGCCCTCCAGCGTACACGGTATGAGAGCGACAGGCCTGTCGCCCTGAAGCCTTCGACACTGACCGCGTCCGCTTGGCCTGCTGTTAGCCACCATGCACATCGGCCCCTCACGCACCTCGATCACTTTCCCGCGAGTCCTGGTGCCCTGCCAAGCCGCCGTGTTGGTGACGAAGCGTGAGCCAGGCGAGAGGCAGGGGACAGGGAGAAGACTATCTCCCTTAAAACCGAGCAGAAATGTATCCATATATAGAGTCATCGAAAACTAGGCAACGAACAGGCAAGCAATCCTGCAATTATCGGCCCAATGAGCTGCATCCGCGTAACGAAGACGCTGAACGAAGACATACACACAAATAGCCCGCACAACACAATTAGGCCGTCTTCGGCTTGCCCACGACGAGCCTCCACATGAGCCAGCACACAAACGACCTCGGAAACCACTGCAACACCGCACTCGCCCACGAGCCCGCGCCGAGGGTCATGTACCTGGGCGGGTTCGGCTTGACGATCTCCTTAACGACCTGCTGCGCAAACTGCGTGGCGGTGAGCGACCCGGGGCCCTGCGTGCGGTTGATGCGCGCGACCATCGAGTCGAAGTACGGCTTGTAGAACGAGTCCTCGCCCAGGGAGAGCTGCGAAAGCCCTGTGGCGGTGATGTTTGTCTTCACACCGCCCGGCGAGATGTGCACGACGTGGATGTTGAAGGGCGCGACCTCCATGTAGAGGATCTCGGAGAGCCGGAGTAGCGCGGCCTTCGTCCCGCCGTAGATGCCGCCCCAAGGCATTGGCCTGTGAACGCGCGGGGAGTTAGTGGCGCGGCGCGGTGAACGGAGGGGCTGCGTACGTGTCACCGGCGATGGAGCCGACATTAACTATGGTGCCGCTGCGCTTTGTCGCCATGTGTGGGAAGACGGCCTGCGAGAGACGCAGGACGGAGAAGACGTTCGTGTCGAACGTCGTCTGCACCCGGTCGATGGACGTTTCCATGAGAGGGCCTGGTGCAAGTCAAGTACAAGTCAACCGAATGAAGAACCGATTTTGCATACTGCATACCCGAGCATGGGCCACCAGCGTTGTTCACGACGATGTCGATGTTTCCCTCCCGCTCTAGAACTGTCTTCACGACCTCCGCCACATCCTCGTCCGACGTGACGTCCAGCTTGAGTGTAGATATGTTCGGGTCCTTGAAGCCTTCCATGGCTTCCACTCTGCGTGCTGTTGCATACACTTTGCATCCCTTAGCCGCAAATTCCTCACACCTTCAGCACAGGGCATTGATAAAATTGTCAGGGAAAGAACACCGACGACCCGACTCAATCCTACTCACAACGCAAATCCGATGCCTCCTTTCGAGCACCCAGTGACAATGACAACCTTGCCGGCCATGTTCAAGACTGCACTACTAGTAGGTTCGCAGGCAAATTACGGAGAACGGTTCGGGGGAGACAAGAGGTGATGCGCCCGGTGGACTAGTGCGAGCGACATGATAAAGGTGAGGGGTATTCTGGACCCATCACCGCCACACGCGTGAGTGACTCTGAGTGAGCATCCCCGCTGTGATCGGCCCGGGTGACGGCGGATTCACCGGACGAGGCCCGATCGCGATCTGAACATGATCTCAGTCTTCGGCCTGTTCCCAGCCCCGAGAAGACCGGAGTGCCTGCCGCGCTCAGGCTGCACGCGTGAACCACAGCCCGCGCATATGGGCCAGTTTTATGTATATAATGATGAAACTTGCGCATTCAAGTCGCACAGCTGCATCCGGGGCCCATTTGAATCATTGCAAGGTCACTTTCATATGGGCTGAACGCAGACCGTAGTCACGGTGCTGCGCAACAGCAGAGGCGACCTGTATGAGGCCTAGGTACACGAGGGGAAACCACTGCCTCCACAGACTGAGCCTCAAGGAAGTCGTTCACTGCAAAGAGTCCATGCAACATGCACGCGACAATGATACAACCTGCAACCCAGTGCAACTCGAGCGCGGAGATGTAGGACAATGCAACAGCACTTTTTACGAAACTCTGAGTGCGAAGTCACTCACTTCACGAATCCATGCGAGGAAATCTACTCGATTGCTGTGGTCATATATTTACAATGCCAAAGACGCATAAACTACAGTTACAGTGCTTTCGATGTCAGTAGGGTATACACATAGCAGAATTGCAAAACACCAAACTCAGAACAGCTCACGCTCCCTCACCATCCTCAACTCATGCGCCGCCTCCGCGTCCAACTTGTTCTCACTCTCCGGCACCTCTTCCCGCGAGACTCCGAGCTCCCCTCTTGCACCGTGGTGCTCCTCCGCAGGCGTCACGACGATATGCGGGGCATGACCCGGCGGTGGCGTACCCGGACCCTCGTCTTCACTCTCTGCGTCACCATGCGACGGACTGAGCGTAGGAGTCGCAGGGTGGTCGTAGCGGTCGGCGGTCGAAGTGGAAGGCTCGCCTTCCGTCGTACAACGCATCTCGATATGCATTACTTCGGGCTTCGGCTGCTCTGCGGGCGGCGACGAGGGTGACGGTGGCTGCTCGATGATGGCGGAGAACTGTGGGTGGACATGAACAGGGGAAGCGGGCACTGTAGGTGCAGGCTGCTGCGACTCGAATGCCTCCTGGTCCTCCGCGTCCGCGTCCTTGATCTCGACCGGCGACTCGACTTCGGCCGGTACACTGAGGCTGTCCCTCCGCCCACCTAGCCCCTCGTTATCGCTCTCGTACCCGCCCTCCTGCTCCGCATCAAGGATTTCCACCGACAGCGACGGCGCAGACTCGACGACAGGGTCGGACATATGGCCCTCCTGCGTCTCCTCCCACCCCGGCTCACTCTCGTCTTGCGCGTCGGGGATGTCGACCTCGGGCGTCGGCGCGGACTCTACTACACAAGCCGGCGGGTCAGCATCCGTCTCCGTCGGCACCTCAGGGGCGTCGTCTGTCACAGCAGACATCGAGAGCGAAGGCGCGGACTCACTCGGCTCGACCTGCATGCTGTCCATCTCCGTCTCCGTGTCATCCGCGCTGCTGCACACGGCGGGGACGAGCTTTACCACCTCCGTTACCTGCATCGGCTCGACGTGCGGGACGATGTCGAGGGTGGCCTCGGCGCCCGCGTGCTCGTCCGGGTTCCGCTCGACATCCATCCTCTTCTCCCCTTGCTGCGCGTCCGTCGGGGAGTCCGCCGTCGCCTCGTACACACCGGAGGCTATTGGCACGGTCTCGCCCGTCTGCATGGGGACGTCGGCGATGTGCGCCTCGGGCACTGCGTCCTCGCCGGGGTTCTGCTCGACGTCCATGCGCTTCTCGTCTTCCTGCTCCGTCGAGGGCGGCTCCGCGGTGGCGTCGTACACGCCGGGCGCGACGCGGACCGTCTCCTCCGTCTGCGTGGGCTGCGCGGGTGGCGGTTGGTCGAGATGCGCTTCGGGCTGGGCGTGTTGATCCGGCTGCTCGACGACGTCCATCGTCTTCTCATGCTGCTGCTCCGCCGTCGGGTGCTCGGTCGTCGCTCGATACGTCCCCGGCGCGACCTTGACCGTTTCCGTCTCCGTCTCCTGCCTTGCTTGCCACTTCGCCCATACCTCGCCAACGACCGCCTCCACCCTCTCCGCCTCCGCCTCGACCTCCATCACGATGCTCTTCCTCCGCTCCCTCACTTCCTTGTCACCGCCGCTCTCGATCGCATCCAGCTTGCTCAGCAGGCGGTTCAGCTCTTCCAGGTAGCCGTGCACCACCGCGTTCTGCGACGTGTACGCTAGCCGCGGACGGCGGCTCCGGCCCTCTTCGACGCTCGCGCCGTCAGCGAAGACGAGCACGCTCAGGGCGGCAGGATCGACCGGCACGGCGACGTGGTCGTGCGTACCCGGCCCCACGGCGAAGTCGAGTGTAGCGGGGAAGTGGAAGTTCGTCTTGAGTTCGTTAAACTTGGCGCGGTGCTCGTCGATCGCGTGGAGCGCGGCGGTGCGCGCGGCGTGCGTGCGGTAGGTCTCTTGGATCTTGCGCGCGGCTTCATGTTGCTCGGGTGTCGGCTGCGGCTTGGGTGAGGGTGCTTTTGACTTCGGCGACGGTGTGCGGATGGGGACCTTGAAGTGCCCGGCACCTGCGTTGTTGTTCGCTGCGGTGGGCCGGATCGGACTTGGTGGAACGGCAGAGCGCGGTGGGACAGATGATGCCCGTATGGCGCTGCCACCAGGCATGAGATGGGTTTGTGAAGCGGGAGTGCCCTGTGAGGCCATCCCGCGACGGTGAGTAGGCGTGACGGTACGTGGTCGCCGGCCGGTCCGCGGCGAGACCTGAACAAAAGTTAGATGTAGAACAAGAACCCACATGAGGCAGGGCCACTCACCGTATCCTCCTCCTCGGGGTCCCAAGCGTAGGGGCCAAAGAGAGGGTCGAACTGACTTGCGCGCTGCTGGCGATTGTACTCCTGCTCTCTTCGCCTCAACTCCCCCTCACGGATACGCTGCCTCCGCTCCTCCTCCATGAGCCTCCGCCTCTCCTCCTCCAACTGCCTCTTTACCTCCTCGAGCCTCAACCTCTCGAGCTCCCGCTCGCGTTCCCTCCTCTCCACCTCCCTCTGCAGGGCACGCTGGCGCTCCTGCTCCATCATCGCCCTACGCTGGCGAGCACTCGGGCTGTAGCCACTGAACCCGCCGTAGGGCATAAAGCCGCCATCGTAAGAGTCGTGGTTTTCGTAGTCGTCAAGGTCATCGTAGATGGGGTTGTACTGCGACGGAATACCGTAGCCCGGGCGGGCGAGGCGAGCACGTTCGCCGCGCTGACGGGCCTCTTCTTGAGCGCGACGGGCGGCGAGGAGCTGTTCTTGGGCCGCGCGCTCCTGGGCGAGGGCGCGGAGGTAGTCAGCGTCGGGCGACGAGTACGAGGGACTTGCGCGCCCGTAGCTGTAGGGGCTAGAGTATGCGCCGTAGGGATTATAGCCGAACATTGTTCAAGTAGTCAGTGTATGTCGTGGAAATCGTGGACGGGCGCGGTGAGATGATGGGTGTGACAGAATGTGTATGTGAGCGGCAGGGCAGGGGAGCAGTGGGTAATATACGCACATCGGCGGCTAGGACGGCACTTCCGGCTGGTTCGAGAGGTGGCGCGGTGTGGCGGGCGGCGGCGAGAGTTCGAGAGCGTTCATCACAATCGACGTCCGCCGGTGGAGACAAATACGGCAGGCGGCCGAACCTTCTAGCACACTCCAGCCTCAGGCGTTCTCGCCTGGAGATCCGCTGAGTACCCCCTGCCGCTGGAAGTCTTACTCACTTATTCTAGGCATTTCTGTATGCCATTTCGTTAGCAAGTCGACGAGCAACTATACAATACCGAAGTCTGTCAATGACAAATGGTTAGCATGACAAGGAAGGACGGTTGTTTGGCCTTGTTAGGATCCAAAGCCTCCGCCTGCCATTCTCGGCGGTGACATCATGCCAAGTCGGCGTCTGTCGGACGTGACAATCTTGAGATGAAACCGGCCCGAAACAGTCATCATGCAATGTCGTCAAGTTCTAACCGTCGAAACTGTAGTTGCTCTCTTTGTGCGAGTACTATGAACGCCGAAGTTCCCTCTCTTTTAGCCATGTTTCACCACAAGTAACGCTACGTCTACATGATGTTTTCTATTTTCAACCTCAACGTTCATGTACAGTACGTGCACATTCTATGTAGTCTCACGCACTCAGAACCAGTTCCTTCAGTATTCCGAAGTTGGGCGAGCCCCAACCAGTGACTGGATCCCACCCGATCGTCGCCTAAGGACAACCCGGTAAGTACAAACATTTTCTACAAGCATAACACGAATCTCACATTGAAGCCCTCTGTGCCACATCCCGGATTGTTCCCGACCGTAATGTCGTTGAATCCCGTCACGGTTCCCGCGTTCAGCGCGTAGATCAACGGGTTGAGGAAACCCAATGTGGATTTCCCGCTAGCGATGCGCGCGTCGTTGAGGAGAGACACGAGTGCTGCAAACGTAGGTGAAGAGCACGACGTTCCGTCGACAAGCATGGTTTCCAGCTCCCAGACGACGGTGAAGTTGACGCCCTCAGCGGAAACGTCGGGGGAGGCCTGATCATCATGAGAACATTGCAGCATCGGCACAACGGAATGGACTCACTCGGCCAGACCTGTAATCAACCATCATGTGAGTAAATTGACATACAACTCGGAGGGGGCGTCTGTCACTCACGGGTTGTACAGACCCGCATACGTTTCCGGAGCCAGCGCATCGAGGTACTTCGTAACCGCCGTGTCTTGATACGAGGGCCGAGTCCACTACCCAAACCTTCAGTACCGCTAGCTAACATCAACGACTTCGTGTCACTTACGTAGTTGCTGAAACCACCACCCGAGAACCACGCAGCAATCTCCGGTACCTCCGAGGTAGCTCCTACAGACGTGACACTGGCAAGCATCCGTCGGTGTGCGTCAATATCAAGCTTGGGCGAGTACCCACTATGGACAGCTGGCCGGGAATATAGGTATAAACATTGTCCTGTTGGTGCCGTCGTTGCTGTAGCACTCCTGAGTGGCTGGGTCCGGATCGCTATCACCCACGCCTCCATCTCCAGAGGCGAACATGACGGAGACACCGCGAGCACCTGGAAAGGATCCATTCAGAGACGAAATCTACGCGGACAACAGTGTCGCATGCGTACCAAGCTGCGCGAACTCCGCGCAGACACGCTTTGCATAACTATATGGGACTGCAATTCATCAGTTAGCAGTCTAGCCCCATTTGCAAGCAGCAGCATACCCGTCGGTTCAGCATCTCCGTAACTGGAGGAAATTGACTGCGGCAGGTCTTCTGTAGCAAGCACATACTCAAGCCACTACAGATGCGTCAGGCCCCCGAGTCGCACAGCCATTGCAAGAGAGCTGCTCGCCTGTAGATATGGCTCGTTCGCATTCGTAGGCTCGACATCGTCCGGGATGAATGGCGGGCTTCCACCAGTGGTGTAGAACGTCCCCGGCGTAGGATACGTGAGACTGAACGCGTACTGCGTATCTGAAGCCTGCGCATGAGCGGCCATTGGGTTCCAACTCGCTTTGTTGCGTACCAAGGTCTGCCTCCAGTCCAGCATCAGCGAGCGTTTGATTGTTCAGTCCGCCTGGAAAACCGATGAGCAACTCGAACCGCAGAGTTCGAGACACGCAGTCCTTACCGTTGATGTACACCACCGAGAATGTGCTATCAGTAGCGTACGGAACCAGCTCCTCCAAAAATTTGTGATAATCGTCATAGTTCGCATACTGCTCCCGGTAACCCGTCACGGCGATCTTGTTTTGCCCAGGCACCTGCGGTGTGTACCCCGTCGCGTTGTACAGCTCCAACAAACACGCCGGGGTGATGGTCCCGTTACAGCTCGCCGCAACCTGCCCTCCTGACGCGTACGGCACCGCGATCTTGGCCCCGTCAGACTGGGGGACGGTGGCGTTAGCGCGGAACGAGTGGTACGTCGTCCGCATCGGCGTGAAGCGCGAAAACGCCGTGGTCGGCTGGACGACGTCGATGTGTGCGTGCAGGTGCTCCGGGAGGCTGTACGACGTCGTGCGGACGATCGAGTCTCCGCTCGCGGTGTGCGTCCACATATGGTACGTCTAAACGACATGTGAGCTCGCCACGCTGAGAGAACGAGCAGTCGTCCCCTTACCGTGTCCAGCATCTTCTCTGCCAACGAGACCGGCACCCTGACGGTGACCCAGTCGCCAGCCGGGGACCGGGACAGCGCGTCACCCAGCAGGCCATGCGAGGCGAGCCATTCCTCGACCAGGTGCACGCTCTCGGGATGAGGCGCTACGAGCGCTTCTACCTCTTCCTTCGATAGGTGCCCTCCGTACCTTTCGCTCGACGGATCACTGGCATCAGGGTTAGCATCACACGCATGCATGGTCAGGATCTCAGCCAGAACGCACCTCACAGCATACAGGTGGTCCTCCAGTTCAGCGAAGTTGGGCTGCGGCAGGCCGATACGGAGCTCGATCGTGTGCGCGGGCGACGCAGGACGTAGGGCAGTCCACCCGCGCGGGGGAAGCACCGTTTCCTTGACCCGATGCGTATGCTCCGCGGGCGCAGCGACCGCAAACGCACTTAGCACGGCGAACAGGAAGACAGACCGCAGCGACAACATCGTGCGTGCGGACAAGCCTGACAGGGAGACGAGGACGACCTCGCGTCTCGCAGGCCCGTCTATTCCTTTATGTACTTGGACACGGATATGGTGTCATGCATCATGCATCAATAGCGGAGTATTCATAGCACGATGACGGGTGTCGACGTGCACTTTGAAAGGAGCCTGCCACAGTCGGGGACGTACAAAGCCCACATGACTTACGGTGTAAGCAGAGGGAACAGATATTCATCTTTACGCGGGCGACGCGCTATGCAGGCCACTCCATGGTCGATCGCGGGTATCTTGGCCTGTGGATTACAGGGCAGGTCAGTGTACGTGAGAACGGACGGTGCGTTGCTCACCTCGCATACGGCGTGCCCACTGCCGTGTCCGTTGCCCGCAAGGCGAAGGCGGACTCAGCGCAGAGGTGCCGAAGACAGGCGTATAGAGTGGTCGACGACGGACCCGTAGAGGTGCCGAGGACAGGCGTATAGAACGCTCGATGACGGACCGCACCACAGCAATACGGCGCTGGCAACAGCTACATAAAGCGCTCAGCTAAGTTCTGTCATTGAGACCTCTACTAACTGACCTCTAGCGCTTCCAAACGTCGAGAAGAGAGCAAGAAATAAACGTCAAGTAAGGCTACACATCACAAAGTCCAACACGGCTGCAGTCTGACTTGAGAGCAAACCGCGCATGGAGCAAGCAGACTGGCTGTCAGGCTGTCAGTAACAAAAGGCAAGAATTGGGCAAGAAAACTGCGCAAGATCAACAACGAGACATTGAACAAGTCATGATCGGATAGCAGTTGGCACTGCTGGGCGGGACCTCAAGGCCTCACCGTCGTCGGCTCATATGAAGCAGCCTTCGTACCCCAGCACCTCCGGCGGGCTGAGCGCGTCGTGCCACCGCCCGTTGAAGTCGCCATGTTCGTTGCCGATGAGGTATGCTCTGTAGAGCCAGCGCCCGCGGTCCCCATCCACCTATACGTCCCAGCGTCAAGCCATCGTCTCCATGAAACTACACATACGCAACCACTCACATCTCTCGACAGACACAGATGTCCATCGCACGGGCGTACCTGCCCCAGCACTGAGATGCAGAACTAAATCATGCACCCAGGCCATATTCGCGTCCGAGTCGTTCTTACTATGTACTTAGTACAGCTAAATGGGCGTAAGCGCCTAGAGGCGTTCACACGTGATGGTACGGGGTTTGAGTGAGGCGTAGTCATCCGAATTCATCTCGTTTCCTCGTTTCCATCTTAACCGTTAATATTTCAATACCAGTGTAGTTCAAGTCGGGTGCTCTCTTTGTGCGAGTATGAAAAGCCGAAGCTCACTCTCTTTTAGCCAATTCTCACCACAAATAATACTACGTCTACATGATGTTTTCTAGTTTCTACCTCAACGTTTACGTGCACGTCTTAGTCTCATGCACTCAAAACCAGTTCCTTCAGTATTCCGAAGTTGGGCGAGCCCCAACCAGTGACTGGATCCCACCCGATCGTCGCCTAAGGACAACCCGGTAAGTACAAACATTTTCTACAAGCATAACACGAATCTCACATTGAAGCCCTCTGTGCCACATCCCGGATTGTTCCCGACCGTGATGTCGTTGAATCCCGTCACGGTTCCCGCGTTCAGCGCGTAGATCAACGGGTTGAGGAATCCCAATGCGGACTTCCCGCTAGCGATGCGCACGTCGTTGAGGAGAGACACGAATGCTGTAAACGTAGGTGAGGAGCACGACGTTCCGTCGACGAGCCCGGTTTCCAGGTCCCAGACGATGGTGAAGTTGACACCCTCAGCGGACACATCAGGGTAGGCCTAATCATCATGAGGACATTGCAGCTTCAACATGATGGGTCAGAACTCACCCGCCCAGACCTATGCAGAACATCATGTCAGCTAGATCGCCATCTAACTCCAAGGGGACATCACTCACGCGTTGTACAGACCCGCATATGTCCCTGGAGCCAACTCACCGAGATACTTCGTGACTGCGACATCCTGATACGAGGGCCGAGCCCACTTCACGAACCATTCGGCACCATGACCAGCATCGACAAACTCATGTCACTCACGTAGTTGCTGAAACCACCACCGGAGAACCACGCAGAAATCTCCGGCACCTCCGAGGTAGCTCCTACAGCCGTGACACTGGCGATCGCCCATCGGCACGCGTCGACGTCAAGCATGGACGGGAACTCACTATGGACAACTGGCCGGGAAGCCAGGTATAAATATCGTCCGGTTGGTTCCGTCGTTGCTGTAGCATTCCTGAGTAGCCGGATCAGCATCGCCATCACCAACGCCTCCGTCTCCAGAGCTGAACATGATTGAGACACCGCGGGCACCTGAAAAGAATCTATTCAGAGACGGAATGTACGCGGACGACAGTGTGTCGCATGCGCACCAAGCTGCGCGAACTCTGAGCAGACACGTGTTGCATAACTATACGGAACTGCATTTCATCAGTTAACGTTCTAACACCATTCGCGAGGAGCTCTGGCATACCCGTCTGTTCATCATCTCCGTAACTGGTGGAAATTGACTGCGGCAGGTCGTCTGCAGCAAGCACATACTCGAGCCACTATATATGCGTCAGGCCTCCGAGACGCACAACCAGTGCATAAGATTCGCTCGCCTGCATATATGGCTCATTCGAATCCGTAGGTTCGAGATCATCCGGGATGAATGGCGGGCTTCCACCAGTGGTGTAGAACGTGCCTGGCGTAGGATACGTGAGGCTGAACGCGTACTGCGTATCTGAAGCCTAGGCATCAGCGGTCATAAGATTCCAACTCGCTTTGTTGCGTACCAAGGTCTGCCTCAATTCCAGCGTCAGCTGGTGTTTGGTTATTCAGTCCGCCTGGAAAAACCATGAGGAACTCGAACCGCAGAGTCCGAGAGTCCTTACCGTTGATGTACACCACCGAGAATGTGCTGTCAGTAGCGTACGGCACCAGCTCCTCCAAGAATTCGTGATAATCGTCATAGTTCGCATACTGCTCCAGATATCCAGTCACAGCGATCTTGTTCTCCCCGGGCACCTGCGGCGTGTATCCCGTCGCGTTATACAGCTCCAGCAGGCACGTCGGGGTGATGGTCCCGTTGCAGCTCGCCGCAATCTGCCCTCCAGACGCGTACGGCACTGCGATCTTGGCCCCGTCGGACTGAGGCACGGCGGCGTTAGCGCGGAAGGATTGGTACGTCGTCCGCATCGGCGTGAAGCGCGAGAATGTCGTGGTCGGCTGGACGACGTCGATGTGCGCGTGCAGGTGCTCCGGGAGGCTGTACGACGTCGTGCGGACGAGCGAGGTTCCGCTCGCGGTGTGCGTCCATACATGGTACGTCTAAACGACGTGTGAGCTCGCCACGCTGAGAGACCGAGCAGTCGTCCCCTTACCGTGTCCAGCATCTTCTCCGCCAACGAGACCGGCACCCTGACGGTGACCCAGTCGCCAGCCGGGGACCGGGACAGCGCGTCACCCAGTAGGCCATGCGAGGCGAGCCATTCCTCGACCAGGTGCACGCTCTCGGGATGAGGCGCCACGAGCGCTTCCACCTCTTCCTTCGATAGGTGCCCTCCGTACCTTTCGCTCGACGGATCACTGGCATCAGGGTTAGCATCACACGCATGCATGGTCAGGATCTCAGCCAGAACGCACCTCACAGCATACAGGTGGTCCTCCAGTTCAGCAAAGTTAGGCTGCGGCAGGCCGATACGGATCTCGATCGTGTGCGCGGGCGACGCAGGACGTAGGGCAGTCCACCCGCGCGGGGGAAGCACCGTTTCCTTGACCCGATGCGTATGCTCCGCAGGCGCAGCGACCGCAAACGCACTCAGGACGGCGAACAGGAAGACAAACCGCAGCGACAACATCGTGCGTGCGGACGAGGAGACGAGGACGAGCTCGCGTGCCGCAGGCCCGTCGATCCCATTATGTACTCGGACACGGATATGGTGTCATACATACACAGCGGAGTATTCATAGCGTGATGACGGTCGTCGACGCGTGCAGCCCGAAAGAGCCTGTGACAGGCAGGAACGTACAAAGTCCGCATGACTTACGGTGTAAGCAGAGGGAACAATTGTCTATCTTTACGCGGGCGACGCGCTGTGCAGGCTACTCAGTGGTCGGCGATCGCGGGGATATTGGCCTGCGGATTACATGGAAGGTCAGTGTACGTGAGAACGGACGGTGCGCTGCTCACCTCGCATACGGCATGGCCACCTTCGTGCCCGTTCCTGGCAAGGCGAAGGCGGACCCGCAGAGGTGCCGAGGACAGGCGTGTAGGACGGTCGATGACGGTCAGCACCGACAACAATACGGCGCTGAGCGCTCAGCTAAGTTCATCGAGACCGCTAGCGCTTCCAACCGTCGAGAAGAGAGCAAGAAACAATTACGTCAAGTAAGGCTACACATCACAAAGCACAACACGGACTTGAGAGCAAAACGCGCATGGAGCAAGCAGAGTGGGTACCAGGAACAAAAGGCAAGAATGGGCCAAGAAAACTAAGATCAACGGCGAAACAACAAGTCATGGTCGGGCAATAGTTGAGCGGGACCTCACCGTCGCCGGCTCATCATGAAACAACCCTCGTACCCCAGCACCTCCGGCGGGCTGAGCGTGTCGCGCCATCGCCCGCTCAAGTTGCCATGTTCGTTGCCGATGAGGTATGCTCTGTAGAGCCAGCGCCCGCGGTCCCCATCCACCTATACGTCCCAGCGTCAAATCATCGTCTCCATCAAACCACACATACGGAACCACTCACATAGTCCTTCGACAGACACAGATGTCCATCGCACGGGCGTACCCGGCCCAGCAGACTAAACTGTCCCCACGCCGAGTGTCCCTCGCCAGTGAGTATAACATCGCGCAGCCTCCGCTTTCCCCGCTGCTTCTCCGGGACGCGCGACCACGTCTCGTACACGACCGGTGTGCATCCGGGGGCACGCACCTCCAGCCCGTTCGGGCCCTCCTGCACCTGCGCGCCCATGGGCATGTACGCCAGCAGCGGGCTCCCCGGCACGAGCGGGTCCGCGCCCGCAGAGTCATCCTCGTCCTCGTCCGCGGAATAGTACAGATGGTGCTCGCGGAGCTTCCACAGCTGCGGATGTTGTGCGACAAGGCTGCGCTCGAGGACGGCGGGGGACGCGCCGGAGAGGAGCGCAGCGTACGCCGTGAACTCCGTGTACGTGAACAAGCCCTCCCAGTAGCCGTCGAGACTCCCGGGCACGAACACGCGCTCCTGGGCGCCCGGGGTGGCGACGCCCGCGAGCGCGCGCGACCACTCCGCCTCCCACTCGGTGCTGCACGCGCCGACGACGGCGGGGAGCGTCGGGTCGGGCGGCTTCATGTAGCTGATCGTGTCCCAGGCGACGCTGAGCTGGTTCACGAGCGTGAGGTACGCGAGGATGGCGGGCGAGGCGGGCGCTGGGTGTGCGAGGCGCAGCGGCATGCCGAAGTGCGTCAGCAGCGAGCCGGCCTTGGGGTTGAGCGGTGGGTGGAAGTCGATCCAGGATGGGGTGCAGAGGCTGTAGTGGTGCGCACCGAGCGCAAAGAGCTTCAGGACGCAGTTGGCGCTTTGGAAGGCTGCCTCGTCCATCATGTATTCCTCTGCGCGGCCTGCGTGAGCTGGGTGATGTCATGCAGACAGCCAGTGGACGCACCAGGTCTAAGGAGCATCCAGAACAACCACATTGCTAACGATACTCGTTCGTCATTCCCTACCGGCCATTGGTCCCGCTTTGCAGTAGATCGCACGAGGGATGCGCCGTTCTCGTCGAGGAGGTAGGTCCGTAGCCAGTTATCCATCCGGGCATATTCCCTGAGCTGGCGCTCATTCCTCCCATCGTTCTCTAGCATCATGAGGTAAGCCGTCCATAAGAGTTCACTGAGGTGCCTGGCGTGTCCCGAGCTGAGCTCCCATATCGGTGCCAATGTATCCGTCTTGGCCCGTACCCGACGCAAGACCATACATCGCTTCTTGAGCTCTTCTGCGATCGCAAGAGGGGTGGTGCGCGCAGGACCGAGGCGGCGCACTGCGGCAGCTAGGTCAAACTTGTACGCGAATATGCGTGCCCAGATGTGCGGGTTTCTGTCGAGAGCAAGGGCGGCATAGATGCGGCGATTCGTGGAGAGAAGCGGGACGAGCGCGGAGGGCGGACCGAGGAAGCTGACGGTGGCGGTGAAGTACGCGATATGCTCAAGCACCTCCTGTGGTATGCTGTCGAGACTATGGCTGGGAGTCATCGTCGAGGCCGGTGAGCAGAGGGGGGACGATGGGATGAGAAGGAGGAGGCGAGGGCGAAGGACATGCCAGGAAAGGCGAGGGAGTGCGTGCGACTATATAGCTCGATTGGTCAGTGGGCTTTCCGGGCAGGAGCCCCCGGGGTCCCCGAGCCTCTCGCGCGATCGGACTCAGCCACGGCGCGCCCACGAGCTCTATCGCCGTATGTGCTCGTCTGCCATCCACACACACACAGTCGTGTGAGTCGCACAAAATCGCCCTTGGCTGTTCAAAAACGCGGATTTTTGCAATAAGGAGGCCTCCGCCGGCTACGTCGTGACTTCAAGCCTATTTCTCTGCGCGGGTTTGACCGGCGAAACGATCGAAATCGGCTTGATCTCGATCGTATTTCGAGCGGGCGCCTCTCTCCAGAACCCGAACCGTCTCTTTCATGTGTCTTCTCCAAGTCTTCTCCGACCCACCTGGAGCCTGACGCGAGGCTACGAGCGCCGCTGCACGTTGATCCTTGACAGCTTTCCCGCTCAGTGACCGGCAACATATGGGCTGGACCGTCTCCCCTTTGTCAAAGCCGACAGGCGGTCTCACGTTCACGCAATTCGCATACGCTGTCAGGAGGAGGAGTGGCAGTCATGTAGACGCAGCCAAACCAGCGGCTTCACGCGGGTCCATGGCTACGCTTCAAATTCTGCCTCTTGCTATATCAAACCGCGGGTAGGAGTGTCGTACATCGGCCGCCTCAGTTCGGCCTTAGTCAACAACATTGTGCAACGGCGGTGCGAGACGTATCCTAGTGCTGACTATGATGTAGCACTCACGGATAGCGGGGTCCCTGTGATTACTTTCTATATTGTCCTGGTTGTCACTCGAGGAATAACTTGCTATCATACCACAGTTGTGCAAAAGGATGGACGAAGGGTCCCCGTCGAATGGGCACTCGCGGTAAGCTCATTGCGAATCAAGATATCATACGCATTATACTCAATATTGGGTTTGCCCCGCATTCATCCCCGAGACTGTTAGTTACCGGTTACCGCCTAGGAGATGCAATACACAGCGCTCAACTTGTAGATCCATAAACGGCATTCAATACATGTACGTCAGTGTGCTACCCCTGTAACCTGGACGCCACCATGACACCTCTCCCGGTGAGCCAGGACTGTGTGTGACCATCAAGTGCAATACGAGCCTAGCCGTTCACCTTGGCATAATAGCATGCCAGGATCTTTCGCCCGCGACAGCGCGCCACTAGGTCTAGCCTCCCTCGGGAGGCTGCACCAATGGGCCTTCGCTTCGTCCAGCTCACTCCAGAAGAATCCAAACGGGTTCAGCGTACCCCGTGGTGCCCAGCTTGCAGATGCGATCCTGTGGTAATCATCTATCCAGAGGCTGGGCAGCTTCGCACCTGCGGGCTAGCACAAGTACGACCTTCCGAGCCTCGGCGGACTTCGCGGGACTGCACGTCGGCGTCGCGCGGGGGGAGTGATCACTCCGAGGAACCATACATTCCGTGCGTTAGGCCCTCGGACCTGCCATCCGTCTGCACTAGCTCGTAGGTCGACGTCTCGAATCCCAGTGTAGCCGAAGACACCCGGAGGGCAGCCCGCTACCGTACGCCGGCAGACGAGAATAGCTGTGGTGGCGGGATAGGGAACTCGTGGGATGGTGCGCAGCCTGTCGTAAGTGCTAGCGAATGCTGACGCCACGGGCCGGGTCTTTGGGAATGGCTGGGATCCGGGCAGCGTTCCGATGGGCTACGGAAACTTCGGCCGTGGTCGACAGGGACGTAGTGGAAGGTTTGTCACGGACACTGCCAGCTCAGAATGCACAAGCAGCAGCAAGCACACATGTTTCAGTGTCGGTGAGGAGTCGAGAGGTTGCATGGCTGGATGAGCCCAACGACACCACTTTCCTTACTCGGATTGGCACTCGATCGGACTGTGGCAACATGATGATGTAGCATCCCGGGCCACCTCTCGATGTTACATTAGCAGTTGTCATGCCAGCAGTTGTCATGCCAATACATGTTCACGCATTCGAGTTCTTGTTCTTTCCCGAGTTGCACCATGAACCATGTCCTACGCAAGAGCGGTTCTGAACCTCGGTCTCGTATTGCACAGCTCGCCTCCAAAGCCCGCGAGCGCATCCCAATGAGGCCCGACAAACACCCTCAGCGCATGCGGGCGCACCTCCTCCATCCGCGACTCCCGAAGCCTACTATGTCCCCAATCCGGGTCGGTCAAAGTCGTCTGCTTCACCTTGTCGAGCGTCGGATAGCGGATGTTCACGGTGAACGTCAGGTCCTCGTTGTCCTGCGCGAGCCGCGCCATCGTCATGTCGAGCGACACCCACGGAAACGGGAAGTCGGCGAACGCGCCTGGCAGCTCGACCATCTCCGGCGGCCGCTGGTACGGGCCCGTCCCCGGCAGCGGCATGCTGAGCACGATCTCGCGGAGGTTCGCCCGCATCTCCCACCGCGCGATGTGCGAGAGGGCGGACAGCATCCAGGCGGGGTACCGATAGTCGACCGCGCTGACCTCCAGGCCCGCGTCCTTCAGGTGCAGGCGGCGGAGGCGCGCGAAGGGCACGGGCGACTGCAGGATGATCGCCAGCAGCTGGTACGACGGCAGGCGCAGCACGAGCTCCTCCACCGTGGGTGCGGCCGCTCGCAGCAGTCCGTTACAGTCGAGCGATGAGTCGAGTTTGTCGAACTTCAGCTGCAGCCTGCGCAATGTTCGCAGAGGGAGGTAATATAGCAAACATGCAGCGGTGCTGCCCGATGCCGCACGGAGCGTGAGCGATACGAGTGTCGAGTCTGTCGTGGGTGGGACGTCCAGATGCTGCATGGAGCCTCCGATAGGCGGAGTAACTTGTACTTGGTCCGACAGGTGCAACAGAGACAGCGATCGAAACGCTGCCAGGAACTGCAGAAAGTCATCACATTGCAGACTGTGCGTCCCGAGCAGGCGCAGCATCCGGACGCGAGGAAAATATGTCTTCAGGCGTTCCCGGACGTCCCCCCTCGCAAAGAGGTTCAGCGTGCCGACGTTGAGCTCCTCCACGCGGTCCATCATCAGGAGCAGCTCGGGCCATTCGACGTCGAGCTCTGCGCGCTCGGGGTCCGGTTTGCCTATGGAGAGCACCCGGACGAACTGTGCGAGCCCGGGATGCGCTTTGAGCATGCTCTTGACGCGTTTGTGATGACTCCCATGGAGAATGGAGACAGTCCGGAACAAGCTCCTCTGTGCACGTCTGGCCCAGTGGTGACATGTCAGAGCGCAGGCCTTGAGCACACGCGGCTCGCCCGAGAGCTGGTCCACAATCTCATCCTGGATTTCGGCGGGAAGCATCTGCGCCACAGCGGTTTCTGTTGAATGAGTGATGCGGTCAGTGGAGCAGGTCATACAGAGGCAGATCGCTCACTTCGTTCGGCGATGGAATGCAATCGGTTCAAGTTCGCAGAACCTCGCTCACAGCAGGATGATTGTACAGAGGCAAGCGGCGTCGGCTGACTGGACTGACGCTGCTGTGTCAAAGCTATTAAATACGACCGGCTGCATCAACGGATAGTGGCGCGTCAGTGGCGGTATAACAAAACCCGCCTATTAAGGGCCGAAACGTAGTCAAGTGTTGATCGCCATGACTCGGACACAACAAATGCGAGAGTGAGTGTACACTGGTAAGTACAAACAATTGATCGATATCGGTGCCTGTACAGGCGCTTACTGGCACCGGCAGAAGCAGTTGTGGCACAATTGCCAATAAGCTCAACGTACGCAGGTGTAGTAGTACTAGTATGCCAGGAGCGAAACTCGTCATGTATGTATAGAGCTGAAGTTGATCCTTCCATGCGCGGTCGCAACTGATAATCGTGTTGTCGCCAAATTCACGCGAGGAATAACTGGATTACATTTCCCCCCAAAAAACTAGGGATCCAAGATACACCATACCATACAAGACGATGTCGACAAATCATAGGATACAGAGCTTAGACAGCGCTATACTATGCAAACAGACACACGGGTAGCTCAGGCTCAGCCTGGACATACTTACTGCCAGTCCATCTTGATTCAGCGTCCACACATTACCCAGTCCACAGCGCACCCGTTACCGTATCCCACACTTCGTGAACACACTCTCCCGCGGCTCGAGCTTGGCCGGCGGCCCCCACACCTCCCACATCTTCATTGACTCCTCGTCCGGGCAGATCGTGAACACCTTCGTCCCGTCGGGGCTGAGGCAGCTGTGGCCCACTGGGCGCAAGTGCGCCGGCACGCTCAAGACGGGCTTGAGTGATGGCCAGCTGTGGATCGTGATGGAGTCCGTGTACTTCGTCTTCGTGTACAGATGCCCGCGTGGCATGGTCGTGTCGACATCGTCCGCGTGCAGATTCGGAGTCGAATGAGACGAATGCGGGTTCCATGACGAGCCGTGGGTGCTGAGAAGCTCCTTGCAATGGGGCGACCAAATAAGGGAAGTAACGGACGTGTCCATACGGATCGTTGACTGGGGGAGCGTTGCGTCCGACGCGTTAACGCTCCAGAAGCGGATCGACCCTTCGGGGTAAGTAGAACCACTTGCAAGAATGTCTGGCTTCCACGGGCACCAAGCCAGAGCCTAACAAAAAAGAGGCGGATGAGCATTGCGACCTCGTAGCGAGTGCATAGGTCGAATACCTTAACCGGGCCACCGCTCCTCTTCTTGCAACCCAGTTTGCTCGAATCCGACAATGGCTTGCCCGCCCGGGCATCCCAGATTTGCATGATCCCCTTCTCGTCACTCGAGGCGAGGTAGTCTCCGCTCGGACTCCACCGAACCCCGAAAACCTTCCAACTATGCCCCGACAACATGCCCACAGACTCGGGCGCCCGGCTGTCGAACAATTCGACGTTGCCCTCGGTGCCGCCTACGGAGAGCATGTTCCCTCGCCAGTCCATACCACCTACTTCCGCTCTATCTCTACACTTCCACCGTCGGATAACCTCCTTTTCCTCCGAGTCCCATAAATGCACGACGCCGGTGGTTGTTCCGGAGGCAAGCTTGATCGGATCGTCTTTCGACCACTCAATGGTGTACAGTCGGCCCTCTCTTCGTTCGTTGAGTGCACCGAGGTGTGTAACGACGCGATTGTCGAGGTTTTGATAGTACAGCTGGCGGCCGCAGGCGACTGCGATTGCATTCCGTGACGACCAGCAGAGAGGATATGCAAACGGATCACTAGGAATGCCTGGTCCATCCAACGCGAGGATGAACTGTTTACGCGTGCCAAGGTGGTGTGCGGCCGACGCCGACGATCTCTTAGGAGTCGTTGAGAAGAGTTGTTGGACTTGTAGTCGATGTTCGTTCAGCTCGTTTCCTAGTGAATTTCGGGACTTAGGCGCTGCATATTGGAGCACGCGATCCTCGATCAGTCCGAAGTTGCGTGCGATCCGTTTAGAGCGCGGCGTAATGTTGAGAGGTGCAGGGTCTTCTTGTGGAGCGGTGATAAATCGGTCCGCCTCGCCATGGAATGTCAGAACACAAGTAGCATCGATACAAGTCATAGTACTCACCGTTGAAATCTTGTTCACTCGCGGGATGCTCACTTCCTCCTCTAAGCCGGACCAATCGATGGAAGCAGTGGATATCCTACGACGCTTTGCTGAGTATGCGTTCGTTACTGATGCTGGAGTCCAGGTGCGCTTCCGCCGTGGAGTTACACATAATTGGGATGGACCAGCACCGCTGGCCTCTGTTCCGTCCATGACGAGAGCTAGACCTGAAAGCCCATAAGTAAGAGAAAGAGCAAGGCAGATGAATCGCCACAGACGATGTAGGATATACACAAGATGGTCAGCTGCGCACGCGGATTTGGATCCTGTCGCGCAGAGCAGCCTAACCCCGAGCCCAGTCAACCCGACCTGCAGTGATACGATGGGGCGAATGATAGCACACCTTCTAACGCCAGTTCTTGTTCGAGAGTCAGTTGATTGGAGTCAAGCCGCGTCCCAGAGATACATAAGGATAGTGTAGCACTTGGCAAACGCGTGAATGAATGTGAGGGTGGACGAGCGTAATGAAGCGAAGCGCTGGCCGGTGAACCATAGTAGATCACGTGGGCACGGTACGGCCGTGTGAACTTGTTCCGCCAGTTGTTGGCCAGTTGCGCGGCGACTCCGAGCCTGAGTGCAGTGCAACCGCTTGCTTCACCACGTCCACTGCCCACTATTAGCGAATATTGCTAGGATGGCACCAGCAGCAACACCGGGAGGTAGGCAAGCGAGCACCCTCGGTTTACAGCTCACTGATTCTGTGTCAAGCTCAGAGCCTCGCAAATCTCCCAGGCCACAGCCATTAGGGAGCATTCCTTTCATCTTCCTCTTCACGACGTGTGCGCTATGCGTCGTATTCCTCTTGTGGAGAAGGGCGTCGACCCTGCGGAAAGTAGTGGCTCATCAGTATGTTCAATTCATTCCTCTATACATCGGTGGCGACTGAGCGATCTTGCAGGCTGAATACATGGACGCAGAATCAAGGGACGATTCGTCTCTCGGAAGACGATGGTCCTCCCGCGATTGAATTCCTTTCGAATGACTTTGATGACGACCACCAAAGGATTGGGGATGACGAGTCGCTTGCCACCACGGCAGAACGTCTCAGGGCTGCGAATGCAAACACAGACCTAGGACTGGGGACTCTAGAAGGAGGCGAGCTTCTTGACGATTCGCCGCCTGCACCACCACCCAAAGCCTAGCTTAGCGCCTTCCTGGTAAGTCCCATACTCCCTGCGTGACTCCGTCCTTAGGGTAGGCTGCGAGACTGCGCTTGGCGTCCACCCTTCAGGAAGGCATCAGCCTCATTTCTGCTGCCTCACAACAACATCGCTAGCTCAGGCATTGTCCTCGCAAGTTGCTTTGGTATGAGGTTATACATGCGACCACTGGTCTGCATTCGCTTTGAAACTGAGCTTCGATGACTTCAATGTGTAACTAATTGGCTTTTGTTCCAGGTGCCAACTCCTATGCTATCGTGTATACTATTCCTTCGTATCATACGTTATTCCCTGGATCAACCAGAAATACCCTCAAGCGTGGTAAATGAGGTAAAGTTCCATGTCTTGCGTCTCCCGTTCACAATTTCGCTGCATTCAGCCACGGTGCATAACACTGTGACTGTCCTATAGCCGGCGTGTTTGAGGACCTCACCGATTCAGCAAAGCACGTTCGATCCTTGAAAGCTTGAACAATGAAGCCAAAGGTCAGGATGTGGTCACTGGTGAACGTGACCGCGCGCAACGGCGGCGCAGGTGCCTGCTAGCGTGACTATGCGCGTGACGTCACATCATCAGGTGATGCCGCCGGTCCGCTCGCGAGCATAGAGGGGAACGTCTGGACAGGTTTGGGTCAGGTCCATCAACCCACGATGTATGAACCCGTTCTGCTCACCGCTCTGAACAGCGACGGACCACTCCCGAGCCGCATACAAGTCTATCCGACACCGAAGAAAGCCCGTATAATCTACGAGCTTCTCAGAATTCCCGAGGTCACAAGGACCCGTGCCCTAAATTACTCGCCGCATCCTGGATGCCGAAGGACGTGGGCGACTTAAAGGCGCGTCAGGGAGGTCGGCGAGCCCGTCTGCGCTCTCTGCGGCTTCTAGGGACATGCTTAGGCTCTGGCTGAGTCTTGTGGTCGGCCTGCTGGCCTTCAGCGGCAGCGTACATGCCATCGGTCAGGCTACTGCTATCTCATTCGAACAGTCCTCGTCGTCGTTCCCCATTGTCAGCAATGACATCGCCACGCCTATCTTGCTCTCTGAAGACGAATGGGGTGGTGTTCAACGTGCCGCCGGCGACTTTGCCATGGATATTCACAGGGTCTCGGGCGTGATGCCCCTTCTGTTCAACGTGACCACGCCTGCGACGCAGTCAAACTTGAGCCTTGTTGGAGCGCGCGCTATCATTGTTGGAACTTTGGGACAATCCTCACTGATCGACGAGGTGGTGAACAACACCGGAATTGATGTCTCGAGCGTGGAGGGTCACTGGGAGGCATTCTTGACCAAGGAGGTCTCAAACCCGCTCCCTGGTATAAGCAGCGCATACGTTATGATTGGCGCAGACAAGCGTGGTACGATCTATGCTATGTACGACCACTCTGAGCAGATCGGTAAGCCCCGCTCGTGTTCTATGAATGCTTTGCAATCTGACACGGTTTGTGGGCAGGCGTCTCGCCATGGTATTGGTGAGCTCTCTTCGTGAGACTACATCGAAGTGTTCTAGACTCAGGACCCTCATTCAGGTGGGCTGATGTACCGCCTAAGGCCAATCCTGAAATCTACGCCGCATCTGCTGGTTGCGCACACGGCTCGCCTACCGTGCAATACCGTGGTATCTTCTTGAACGATGAGGCCCCAGCATTGACAGACTGGGCTATGGTCCGCTTCACCAATGGAACTGGTGCCCCTCTGACGGGTTCTCCGTTCAACCACTATTTCTATGCAAGCCTGTAGGTTTCATTCGTCAACTTCATCTGCGTACATACAAACTGACAAACCGTAGCTTCGAGCTGTTGCTTCGCATGAAAGCGAACTATCTGTGGCCTGGTATGTATACTTCTTTTGGAGATGCAACGCGTTGGATTGACGAAAGTTGTTTCTAGCTATGTGGTCCAGGTATGTATCGCCGTAGGGTCACTTTGCGAGACTCACACTCTGCTTAGTGCATTTGGTGTCGACGATACTTTGAACCAGCCTCTGGCTAATTGGTACGGCATCGTCATGGGTACAAGCCACGAAGAACCCATCATGCGCTCGATCCCTGTAGAGTGGACTCTCTTCGGAGACGGACCATGGGACTATAGTACGAACAAGGCGAACATCTACCCATTCTGGGTCGAGGGTGCCGAACGCGCTAAGCCTTATGAGAACATCTTCACTGTCGGGCTGCGCGGTGATGGTGAGTGGTATTCATCGCCTAAATGGACTCGAATTGATGTGTCACTTCAGGTGATGGTGAGCACGCAACAACCGACCTATCCTCAATAACGACTGAATAGTTATCTTGCACAGCGGCCATCGCGGGCGGTCAGAACATTCAGCTTCTCGAGCAGGTCATCAGTGATCAGCGAACGATCCTCAGCGACACATTCCCGGGAGTAAATGTGACTACCATCCCGCAGATGTGGTGTCTCTGTATGTTGTTCCACGTCGCCGGGATGCCCTTCGTTAATTTCAATCTTGCAGACAAGGAGGTACTGGGATACTACGAAGACGGCATGACCGTTCCAGACGACATCGCCCTCCTCTGGACTGATGACAAGTGAGTTCGGTTCACAAAAAATATCATGTCCTGACTCATGCTCGAATCCATTCAGCTATGGCAACATGGAGCGGCTACCAGTGGTATCCGAACGTAACAGGAGTGGTGGTGCCGGAGTATATTATCATGTATGTTTCCCATCATTCATCATAAACCTCACCCTAACTCTCATCTGTGCATAGTATGACTACGTACGCATGAACAATGCGCCTAGTTGAGGTTAGGCTTATGTTGTTTGCATAGGTCGGTTCGCCTCGCAACTACAAGTGGATCATGGTAAATAGCGTCGCTGTATGTCCTATGTATGATCGCTTATCGTGTGCTGCGAATTTCAGAGTAGCCAGCTCAGCAAGACGTACGAGCAAATGTCATTGACGACCGCTCGTAACGCGACTCGCATCTGGATCGTCAACGTCGGTGACCTCAAGCCTTACGAGATGGAGACCGAGTTCTTCATCACGTACGGTTGGGACACATCCATTTGGAACTACGACAACCTCGACACGTTCGTGACTCAGTGGGCGCAGCGTGAATTTTCGTTGTCTTCCGAGGATGCCGACACTGTCGCGGGTATCATTGCGAACGTCACGCGCTTCAACGCGAACTGCAAGCCCGAGCTTCTGAATGCAACAACTTTCAGCCTTACCAGCTATCGCGAGTGAGTATTGACTTTTGAACACGTACTGAGCACGTCTGAACTTAATGCACAGGGCACAGAACATGTTGGCTATGTGGGAGGCGACGAACGCCTCTGCGACCGCTATCCAAGCGAAGCTGCCAGAGAGCATGGTCCCCGCTTACTTCGAACTCGTATATCACCCTGTCCAGGCCAGCTACACCTTAGCACACATGTGGATCGCCACAGGCCTGAACAACCTGCGTGCGTCTCAAGCATTCCTCAGCGCAAACGACTACGCCGATCTCGTGGAGTACCTCTTCGAGGAAGACTGGAACCTCGAGGTTCAGTACGATAGCCAACTGGACGGTGAGTCTCATGACGCTCCGATGTGAGAAATATTCCACTGACGCATATGCAGGTAAATGGTAGGCCGCATATCACTGGTCCATCGACGTCCATGAATTGAATGTCCTCAGGGTCCACATGATGAGTCAGACCCACACGCTCTACGAGTACTGGCAAGAACCGTACTCGAATGCGTAAGTACTGCTTCATATTGCCGGGCCTATGGCGTGTATTGACAAGGCTCAGCATGCCACCTGTGTCGAGGCAACAGCCATACAAGCAGGCCTTGGCTGGCCCGATGCGCCTTGCTGTCGAAGGCTCACAAGGCGCATGGTGAGTGATTAGCATTGTAATACACCTCTGAAACTTGTAACTAATGCTTTTCCAGGCCAGGAGACAATCAATACAATTGCGCCCAAGGCTATGGCTGCCCGAACCCCACAGTAACGATCGACCCATACGTTCCTGAGGGCAACAGGTACTTCGTCGTTGGTGCTGGTGGACCTGCGCCCTTCAACTGGACAGCCACTACCAACGTCTCGTGGTTGGCTCTATCTCCGTCGTCTGGCTACGTCTCGCCAAGCGCATCGGAACAGTTTGTTTACGCCACTGTCGACTGGTCTCAGTTGGAGGATACGCCCTCGGTTACGGCGTTCATCGACTTCAACGCTACGGCGGCCAACCAGCCTATGATGTCCCAGCAGGTGTACTTCGTGGCGAACTACACTGCTGCCCCGAGCAACTTCACTGGTCGGTAGTCCTCCTTTGTTGATGCTATTTGCTGATATGTAGTCCCCGTACAGGGTTTGTCGAGGGCGACGGCGTTGTCAGTATGGAGGCTGCACACTCGGCAAGGAACACCTCAGTGAACGGTATCACCTGGACCGAGTTGCCCGGATACGGCCGAACGCTGTCCGCCGTCACACCCTGGCCTCGCGGCGGAGACGAGTTGAACTTCACCGTAGGGACTGGTCCAAGCATGTAGGAGGTCCGCCTTTCCCATTATCCCTGCCGTTCTCACGTCTTATGGCAGTGGTTATGACTTCTACACATTCAACAGTATCAATGGCAACATCAGCGTCACGGCATATGTGGCTCCGTCGCTGAACTCGCTCGGACCCGATAGGCCTCTGGCCATCGGCATGCAGATCGACTCAGACGAGCCACAAGTCAGCTACTACATCCCGAACTCTACTCCGGGAACGCTTCCCGACGCTTGGAGCCAATGGGTCTCGGAGAACATCGTCTATGTACCGATGAACTTCCGCGCCAGTCCCGGTGCACACAGTCTGACGGTAGGATTCATGGAGCAGGCGTACAGGGTGTGGCGCTGACATTATTTGTAGGTGTGGATGATTGAACCGACGGTGATACTGCAGAAGATTGTGATCGGTACGTCCCTGTCAATATGCTTGTGCGTAACGACAACTCACGCGTGTGCCTCATGGTGCGTTCAGATACCGGTGGATTGCTACCCAGCTACCTCGGACCGCCGGAGAGCATTCGCGTTTGATTGCAAGGCATATGAAGGTCATCAGGGGATCCAACGAATGATATTTGAAGAGTCTCGTCACAATAGTACGAAAAAATCATCACCACGCTGGTTGTGAGTCAGCAGGAGAGGTACATTGTATCAGTATTTCCCGCATCTGAGAATATGCTGCAGTCATTGACGGCGATGATCTCGGTGACGCCAGGGAAATGCAGACCTAGACTACCTGGTGCTCGATCGAGCGACGACGTGGAACGTGTCGAGCTAGTACTCTTCTACAATCAGAGGGTCGAGAGCGAATTTGCTCCTCGCGAGTCTTTGCCTATCTCGCCTGCCAGCTTGTGACTATCCCGCGAGACTCGATGGTGTTGGATGTCCAGAGACAAGCTTGGACGGACACGTTATCATCATGACCGTCTTGAGCTCGACGGACCCATATGTAGGACATATCAAAGGGGTTTGGCTCGAATGTTGGCAGTTCATCTGTGGAACTGATAACCCTAATGAAGGTCTTCGAAGCAGATGATATCCAGTCTTGCAATGAATTACAGTAGGTATACAGTACACCGATTTGATATAGGGCTACAACGTATCCTAGGTCTATGTGAGCGACATCGATACCATTATGCTATAGCTTGCTTGAACGCAGTCAACTCATCCGTCGTTAGTCCCCATTTCTCGGCGAGCTTTGGCTCGCTCCCCGTTTTGTCCGCCTCGGTCTTCACGTACGTGCGCAAACCACTCTTCTGCTGCTCGGAGAAGCGGCCGTCGCACGACGTCACATACGTATGTAGTGACCTGCACCAGCGAGAGTCAATCACCGTCGTGCAAGCCAGCATGCGACGTACAGTTGCCTTACCTGATCACCTTCTCGTCAAAGTCCGCGTCTCCCTCGCTCTCCCCGTCAGGCCCGTAGGGTACGGGGGACGTCACCGCGGAAACGAGCGACTGCAGAATGCCGTGCTCCTCGAGCGCCTTGAGCGCCGCGGTGGACGTCGAGATCGAGGAGGGATCCGCCTGCATCGACGCGTGCGAGTTCGGGTGTACGGGGTTGCTTCCAGCCGGTGGGTGTGTGTCCGACGAGTGGACGGTGAGCCCAGTGCTATTCGACTCGGCGGATGGGGAGGGCGCGGGAGACGGTGTGGGTTGCGAGACGTGCGTTTCAGGGATGATGAGTGCATTCAGGAGGAAAGCGGTCTTGCGGCGGACGGTGATGTCTGAGTCTGTCATTTTGTCATTAGGACGGATGCGTAGTAGAGCATTAAGTAGAAAGCTAACCTTCGAGAGCTGCCTTGAGGACTTGCCAGCCGCCGGCCTCGTCGAGCTGCTGGACCGCAGCCGCATTGTGCTTCAACAGCCCTGAAAGAGCGTACACCGCTTTTGAGCGCAGTTTTGGTGACTTGACGGATGGGTCGAGGAAGGTAAGTAGAGTCGGCATGGGTGAAAGGGCAAGACACTGCAGGGAAAGATGAATGAGATGTGGCGATGTCAGTGTATTGAGGGTACTTACCGCTTTCTGTGCAGACGGATTGTTTTGAACCGCAGTACCGATGATCCAGAGCGTCTGCATATTTATTCCCTCGGTGGAATTCGGTGACTTGAGAAGGTTATGGAGTGGCTCCCACATCTTCATCTTATCAATGTCTGCGACAAGGCGGTGAATTGAGCCGACCGTCACGGCGGAAGGTTTCAGACGTGCGTACTGTTGGCATTGTCAATCTGCTCGACGAACTATACATGGACGCGTCAATGAAGGCTCACATACAAGGGAATCTTGACTCACCATTTCGAAGTCATCCAATGCTTGTATCCGCGCATCCTCATCCTTGCCCTCGTCCACCGCGATGGCCAGAGCCTCCTTCATCAGCTCCGAGTCCGGCCTCCCTAGAATTGCATCAATGATCCCGGGATCCAAACTCTGCACGGATCGCGGTGGTTGCGGTTGTGCGCCGTCATTGTTGCCTGAATGCTCGATACCCCAGCGTAAGAGGCTCTCCATGCTTCTCCCTAGTGTTGTGGTCGGTGATGAGTTTACGAACGTGCTGCGTATGTTGTGAGTGCGGAGGAGAGAGGTTGCGAGGGTTATGCTGAAGGAAATATATTGGGACGGGAACATGCTCGAAGCTTCACGCCGCCTCGAGAAAAGGATCGGGGATGCCTCGGTCATCGCCGATCGTCCCAGAGATCTTCAGCCACATCCGGATCAGGGCAGATGCCGATGTGTATCGGCAGTATCCGCGCGTCATTTTGTCGCGTCGACAGCCAATTTGACAGCTCTGCCAACGCTCTCTTCCGAGTCGTGCAATCCCTGCTTCGGTATATACAGGACTGTAGGACGGCTCTTTCTTGTCATTGGTGAGTCTCCGATTCGTATACGCTTCTGGGTGATGAGACAATCACCATAACACTTTCCGTCTGAATTCAATGTAGACGAAAGTTCACCTAGTTTCAGCCTTGGCTGACTTTCTGCTATGAAAACGCGTCTTCGGAGCAGTCACTAATCATGAATTGAACAGATTCTACTGTCATGAAGGACCTCGAAGTGATTGTGGAAGGTGATATGGTGAGTGACACGTCGCGTCTTTCAGGGAGTGCAGATGAAATCATTTTCGATGGGCGGACACGAATGCACTCTGCCTACACCAAAGTCTCCCAGTGTACAAAGCGGAGATGGGCACGGGTGCTTGTTGAAATGCATCGAGTACCTGACTCTTCTCCTATTCTTTCAGTTGTTACGTTGCGTGCGGTTGTGCTCATGCGGTCCATCACAGGTGTCAAAGTCAACATTCAGAAATAGAACGTGCAATCCATGTATAGTGCATGTACTTCCTATCCCTCTATTACGTAGCCACAATACATTGAGTGAAACTTCGTCCACACATGCGCACGTCGTTCGTCGCCCGCGTGATTGAGCCGGCGGATGGTCTCAGCTGGTCTCATGATCCACCTCCCGCGTCGTCACCAACGTAAAGGAGCTTCCTCACTGCAATGAGCTTGTCCTGCCATCGAACATCATATTGACGACGCTTCGCATTGTGTCCGCGAGCAGCACGCCATGGGCGCATCTAGGGAGTACGCCCGTCGGCAGTCCAGGCCCATGATTGATCCTGCGGGTACCTACCGCGTCCCCTGACCCGCTCCAGCTTCCTTGCTCTGAACCATAACGACCGCTTCTCTCAACCTCAGGCCCGTTCATAACTGGGGTCACCGGCGTCATGGGCCTTGGACGAACCATAATCAGCGCCGCCGTCGCGTCGTGGGCGAGATCCTCAGCGAAGGGCAAGGAACCTGCGAGTCCGGACGCAGAGGACGAGATGTCTCGAAGACCACTGCTTGGGCTCTCGCTGCCCCCAAAACAGTCGTTCGGCTCGGCTGCCCCGCCTCCAACGTATGGCTCGACGTCAAGACAGGCGAGCTCAAGCATACACAGCAGCCCCGAGCGATACCGGAGAGATAGCCAACTGGGCCAGGTGCCCGAGGAGGGGCTGGAGGAATTGGATGAGGAGGAATTGGACTTGGAAGAGCGCGGATACTACATCGGTACGTACATTATGTATACTCGAGGAGCGTGGAATCGCCTCATGGTGTTTGGCTTCGCAGGGTCATACAGGCAGAAGGTTGCTCTCTACACCTTCGTACCGCTAAGCTCCCTGCTCGTATTCGTGCTCTTCGCTTTCCTGCCACTGCTCGTCTGGCGCAGTGATCCACCCAGCGATTCAAGCTATCCCAAGTATTTCCAGTCACCAGTGCCGGAGCTTCTCGTCTCGATCTCACTATGGATTCTATCTCACCACCTGCGTCTCCCATTGTTCACCATCACTTCTTCCCTCCTCAAATCGCCGATCTGGAACACACTTCTATTCAACATCCTCCATGTCCTGCTCAGTCAGCTCCTCCGCCTCTCTGCGTTCCCTGTCCTCAGCATCCGGCACAAGATGGACTACCCGCTTCCGACATGGAAGGACCCCGCCTTCTCCCGGGTGTGGTGGATCGGGCTCGGGTGGGGACTCGCGGACGTCGCCGTAGGAATCACGCAGGGTTACGAGCAGCTCGTGCTGTATCGCGAAGTCATGGTCCCGGAAGACAAGGTCCGGGACGTGCTTGTGCGGTGGAAGAGCGGGCTTAGTGGGCTCGGCGGCGGCAGACGCGCCTCATCCGACGACGCCCTGCCGCTCAGCCCGCGCGCCGCAGAAGCCCGCGAGAACGGGGAAAACGCTGCGAAGCCGAGAAGCCTGGAGGACGCTATCAAGCTCGCCGTGGACAAGGATCTGGAGGAAATCGTGCGGCTGAAGGATAGGGAGGAGCTTGAGGAAATATACGGCGTGCCCCCGATTGTGAGCTACCCGTTCGTTTGGCACGCTTGCGTGTTGCTGACACGGCGATTGGTTACAGCACATCCCCGTCTTCGTGTCGTGCTTGCAGCGCATCGACTCACTCATCCTGTCGATGGGTCATACGCTCATCTTGTCCGGGACCTACCTCCGATCTCCGCTATCTTTCCCAGACACTGACATCCCGTCGATGTATAAGCATTATCCTTTTGCCATAGGTTTCCCCCTTGTTGTATTGGTACACCTTTCCCTTGCGCTACTTCACTCACCCAATCTCCTGCCTCGCGTCGGCGTGCACACTATGGCGTACGCTGGGTTTCTAGTCGGCCTCGGCATGACGTTTGCCGGGCTTGCTCTCTGGGGTGCCTTGTCGTAATCACCATCTCTGATTATATCCCCAGTAGCGACTTGCTTACCTGTTCACACATCTACCTCTGTATCTCTGTTTGGATCCATAGACTTTGCAGGTACTCCCTCTGTGCGATGTGTGTACAGCGATCGACGTCACAGCGAGAATAAGCTTTTGTTGGGAGAGATCTTGTCAGCGCGTCGGTAGATCTGGTTGCCTTGCGACCGGGCAGCAACCCGTTGACTTTCCCCGGGGCCCGCCGCCCGCGTACCACATGGTTCGTCTTGGGACACAGTCATCTGCCGTGGCCGCCGGCCTGTACCTTCTTCTGTTCATCTGGCTCAACCTCTGTGTCGGTCTCGACCGTGACCTCACCAACCCCTGTGCATAACAAAACACTCCCAAGGCCGCAGCGGCGAACTCGACGGTGTAACCAAAACAGGCGAGGATTACGTCTTCCGTTCCTAGGAAATGTCCCTCGCAACCCGGCATCAGTAGCGCTGCCGCGATTGGGTGGACCGTACTAAGATGCTTCAAGCGTGGGCGTCTTGCTCTGCGGTAAGAGGCGTTGCCCAGACCGAGTTGAACCTCCCGGTGCCACGAACAGCCACGCCAGCTAGCTCCCGCCCGCAGTGCTCGCGAGCCTCGGTCAATGGGTACACGAGCGCAGTCGCATCCGCCACGTTCCAGCTGCATCCTCGCCCCCACACCCGTCTGACAACATTGCTATGGCAGCCCTGTTCCTGCACCAGGCCCTCTTCTCGTCGGAAAGCTCGGTGGTTCCGCAGACGGCCTCTTCTGCACGCTCATCATTCACGCGGGACCGACGACTGTCCGCAGTGTCGTCGGTGACCCTCCACACCGTGTCCAACTCGGATCACTCGCACCCCACGGAGCCGCTTCTGAACCCACCGATTCCGGAGGCCTCTTCTTCTTCGACATACGTCGATCTTCTAGCGCGACAACCCAGACATCCGACGAGCCCGAGCAGCGCTGCGGACGGAGCACTCAGTCTTGAAGGAGACCCCCTAACAGCGAACGAGCGGAGGAGTCATTGGGAGCGTCGGACACGGAGGCGATTACGTAGGCTGCGGTGGACGAAGAGGTCATTGCTCAGTGTGATAGGTGAGCACCCTAGTTAACCCTCGGCCTGGGGACTGTGCGCTTTGCCGCAGGCGTATGACCCCGGCGGTACGCCGTACGCGCTCTGGACGCGTTGAACGGTCTCATTCGGGGCGAAGCGGTGTACAGGAGCCCGCGCGTGGTTCCGACGCGAAGCCTGCCAGCATGACAGGTTCCGTCCAGAGTGACGCTCGATTAGAACCTGCCAGTGCCTGTCTGAGCTATCACAGGGAGCTGTACGAAGTACCGTATAGGAGATAGCGATGCACAGTGCTCCATCATACGAACCACCATCGAGCGAACAGAAGAGTCTCTGCGCTGCCATATTGGCCAGATTTAGCCACTATTGATCTCTGTTCGGTTCGTGATCCGCTGGCCATCAGAACGAAGACAGGGGATCACACTTCGACAGCTCATGTTGTTCGATATGATCCCTTAGGGCGATTCAACGCGAAGCAGGCGCACACGGCGCTTGTGATAGTGATGCATTGGTACGCCGCAACCGCGTGCACCTGTGACAGGAGGAGTTGCGTTGAACAGCGTTTTCACCCGTCCTTGACTCGTCTGGGAGACCGTCCGCAGATGACTGACCATTAATCAATTCCAGGTGCATGGGCAACGTACAACACCATTCGTTACTTCTTGGCATTCGCGATCTACCCGTACCATGATCGACAATTAATCCTCCTCTCTCTGGGGACATGCACTGCGTTCTCCCTGACTTTCATTCTCATCTCAGTGCTCATAGGCGCCTTCGCTCCTTACCTCGGCTGGACATCCAGACCGAACGCTCCTCATGCTGTCGTGCAAGTTATCCTAACTTATATGTCGTCTGCTTTGCTACTCAGCCCCGCCGTCGTCAACCTTGCTTTCGTTTTTGTCTGGAGACATACTCCCAATCTCATCAACACACTCGTCCACCGCTGCCGCTGGGACATCGATGTCTTCTGGTCTGGGCTCGGCTCGCAATGCAACGTGTCCCCCTCCTGGGCTGAGTGGCTCGCGGGATCTGTAGTCCGCTTGGTACTCACGCTCGCAGTTCTCGTACGTATACATTACCCAACTTTCTCGCAACTTGTCAATGATGTGGTTCTGACCGATTACTAGATCGCTTATCACCTGACAGCCTACCACTATGACATCACCCTCCAGCCTTCTCGTAGACGGCGTCGTTCCCGTCCACGGTCAGGCTCTTCAGTGCCGTCCGTAACGCCAAAGTCCACGTCTACAGGAACCCATCACCCAATGTCTTCGACGTCAACGCCCGTGTCCCCCCTTTCGCTCTCGCAGATCGGCCGGCAGCTGTCGATATCAACGTCCGAAGGTCACGCGACGATTGAGAGCTACTCCAGCTCGGGGGAACACCGGCCACTGCGCAGCTCCCAGTCTCGCATAAACGCACAGAGCTTCCTGGCCAGTCGATCGAAGGACGGTTTCGCGTCCCCGGCCCTCTCGCCCACCCGCAGCGAGAAGGACCGCTCCCTCGGCGTGTCAGCGTTCTCGAAGCGCGAGGACACGTCCCCTAATTCATCGGATGAGGACCTTCCCTCGTCCCTGGGGACTGACAGGTTCGGCCGTTCTATCCGGAGAATTCCTGGCAACTACACGCTCCCGGGGGCCCCGGACGCATCGCACACCGACAACCCCGGAGAGCCGCCGCGCGACGCGATGTCAGACAACGAGCTGTACAGTTTTGTGGACCGTTTCCGGTCACTCGTAGATCAAATCGCACGAGAGACCGAGGAAGGCATTACACTCGCCCAAAACGAGAGCCCGGGGTACGCCTCCTCCATGTCTCATGATATAGAGGACCTAAGACCAAGTTATCGCTCAACCTTCCCCTCTGATGACGATGACGACTATGTCCCTGTGCTCGGAAAGACTATCCACCGGATGCCCACCATAGAGTCGCTCGGGTCGCGTGAGGTGATGAGCCTCGCGACGTCGAGCCTACACCGAGCGTCTCCGGGACCACACCACATGTCTCGCCCTTCGACGCGCTCAAACACGTTCAGCCTCAGCGAGGCAGGTATGGATACACCCTCCGTCCGAAGCCGTGCCAACTCGCTCGACGCGGCGCTCGCGCTTGTCTCAACACCAACGACCACGGATCTCCCGGACGAGGTGTGGGGAGGCTCAGTACAGCCCACAGCGGGTTCCGGAGACGTGTCGAGATCCGGGTCGCATGCAAGCAGTAGTAGCAAGAGCAATCCTCAGGAGCCATATCCGCCGGAGGGAGAGTAACAAGTCACCAGAAGTGGGTCTGTTTCCTCTTGGTGGCAGCCACACACGCAGCTGCTCGACATGTTCCATTTGCTATGGACTTCGCGGTGCTCGCCCTACTGTCGTTACGGTTGAGTAACTTATCTCTAACCGCATGGTGCTAGATCCACCGTAACCTACATGAGGCAGGTCTCTGCACATTTCGTATTCTCGTAGAGGAGGCTGATACGTATCCTTGATGTCTAGTAGTCGAACGATTACCCTGTACCTATCGATAAATGATCAGAGTCCATTGAAGGCAAGAAGCACATTGACCTCCCGGATTCAGTCGTCAGTTGACAATCCTCGGAACCTATTGGAAGCAGCATACAGTGGATAATGAAGACTGACTTATCATTTCGCTTGAGCCTTGATAATTTCCGCGCCGCGCGGGCGCAGAACAGGGTCTGCTGCACAATGCTTGATTGGAAGTTAAACGACTGCTTCTCGTGACATTAACGGCATGTGGACCGTCGGCGCGAGGAGTCGTCCAACACGACATTGACCCGAAGTAATACAATGCGGCCTCTCGTGTCGTGTAGACGTTATGGTGAGCAAACGTGCTATCTATGAGCGCTATGCAGTCCCTTCATCACCTACAACCTTTTTCAACCACTTTGGGCGGCGTACTGGCAGCGCCGAAAGACTACTTGGTTGATCATAGGTACCTAATCGAAGCTGTGTCTCCCGGCGCCTGACGGGCCTGCAATATACCACGAGGCGTATTCATCACTCGCGCCAGGAATAACGTTCAACGCTAGAACGCTAGAAGAGTCACAAATCTACGATATCCTCTCTGCAATGAGGCGGTATGTACTGTTGCTTTGACGTGCCGCAAGCCCGCTCTGATTGAAAACGATGATAAGTCCTCCAGGCCGTGATGCATATACGCACCTCTTCTGCGTATCATCAGCTCCAGCAACTGGAAATCCCGCTCGACAGTTGGGAACAGTTTTTCAGCACAGGCCTGTAGCTATGTATCGGCAACGTCAATTGAGCCATGCTTCGCACCGAGCTTGATTATCATCTATCGGCGGATAGGGTCCATGCCTGCAGGCGGAAGATCGCACACACTCCGCCTCTCCTCAGGAGCTTGGGTCACTTTACGTGCGGTGACCTCGTCGTAAGCCTTCATTTCGGATTTTTTTAACCCACTACACGCTTCTGGGAGTTGCTGAAGACTCACGATTCCGTCGGACCCGATCTTAGAAGGCTGCTCTCAGCTGCGATGACGTCTTTCGCACTAACTGCAGCATAGATTTCAATGAACCGCGCACACGCTCATCCGCGACTTCAGCAGCGATGTCAGCAATCGGGTCTTGTTCGAGGGGGAACATACGAGGCAATCGTGATGGTCTGTTCTTGGTTCCGCCTTCCTTCCAGCTTGACTTCTGGTCTTCTAACCTATCAGCTTCCGGATAGGGAGCATCCTGCTACCGTCAATCACATTCAATCCGTGGCGGAGTTCCTCAAACAAGCTTCGCACGCGAGTAGTACTCGACCGCTTGGCAGGTAACGTGAATAACCTCAAATTAGGTCTAGCTGACTGCGGCATATACAGATAACTCATAGGACTCCCTTAAATGTAAATCAGTCCAGTGCGTGATACGTAGGTCCCCTACTTCTGCGACGATCTGTGGTTGCGTTGGTGAATGGTCTGCCCAAGGTTGTTATGGATGAAAGACGCACACTGGGACATATTCGCACACGAGACCCCGACGATTGCAATTCGCGCAAGTCGGCTGACCGTCACACTTCAACTTGCGACCTGTTAAGAAATCGAGCGGCTAGATAAAAAGCTGTGCATCTATCGCGGAGCGCCACCGACCTCTGCAGAAGGTGCATGCCATGGGTGTTCGTCGAGGTACACGCGTAACGTTCTCCTGGCCATCGGCCTCTGTCTCCTGGGTCTGCTCTGAAGTGTTTGTAGCCTGACATCGTCCTAAGTGAGCGGGCGGTGAGGCGAGAGACCGAAAGAGCTCGTACTTGTGTGGCGGACATCTGAGCTGGTGTCTCGACTTTCAAGGAAGCGTTCAGGACCTGATGCTGGTCGGGTTGTTGGGGATGATGTAGGTGTCCGACATCTCCTTTCTTATACAGGTGCGCTCTGAGGGAGGCGGTTATCTCACCGCGGGCCACGCAGACTGTTGCTGAGATCGATCCTGGCAATACAGATCTCAGGACGCTGTACGAGCTGTCATGTGCAGTGCCGAAGTGGCTAGTAAATGACAGGGGAGCTCTGGTCTGCTTTCATGAACTCGGATCATAAACATGACAAATCTGCCTGGTGTCGGTCATAACGCTTGATGTCTTGCTAGAGAATGCCTCCATTGGGTAGGCAGTGCTCTGTTTAGGATACGAAGGCGGCGCAGTAGTACAGTGCGTATCACATACATCTGTTCCCGCCGAGGATTGACGCCAGAGCCGTCCAGGGCTGCAACTCGTCTGGCCATTTGGCACGAGTGCTGAGCGCGAAACGATACGACACGCACGGCGCCCGGGTGTCTCAGGCGGTTCAAGAACACAAACAGTAATTCACTCCGCACCGACAAGCCTTCAGCCTAACTCTCGCGCTTCCGCTGGTTCCGCAACCAGTGCGTAATTCCGGGAACATCGCGCGCTCGATCAAACTAAGTCGGTGCTTCACTTTCGGACCCTCGTATGTGACCATATAATAGCAATTGAGTGATACGTGACGACCGACGTACCTAGTGAGCATATCCGGACGCTCTGTGGTTTATGTTGCTCTTGTCCTCCGTGCCACTGTGCCAGATGCGTTGTATACAAAACAGAGCATTTGAATCCGGCGCACCTGTTGTCCGCGCTGCTCTACTAGGCACGCGTGGATCGCTGAGTAGACGTCGACGGAACTACTCCCCATCCATACTTCTAGCTCGTCTTTGGCCCGTGTTAGTTATTCTAGACCGACGATCGGGTTAGTCTGTCTCCGGCATCTCAGGGCAACGCCCACTTGTAAACTGGGTTGCCAGACTTGCTGGACCCTTCCCAAGTCCTATGTATTGTTGGCTCCACAAGGCGCCATCTTGGTAAAGTTCAAATGCCGCTTCGGTCATATGCTGTAGAGCGTGTCTCGATCCGGATGGACTGGATTAGAATGTACCGTGTGGCTCCTCAGATGGAAAGGCATCCGGTATTAGACACCACTGGCCTATGGCGCCCTTCACTATCGATGTCTCCGTCAAAGCATCGGCCATTCTCACCGGCGTATAGCACACAACCGCCCTATTGTCCGACAACACAACCACGGCGCCCCTGGGCGTACATGCCTTTGGAAGTTCTGTCACTAGGGAGCGGCAACGGTTGACTGAATGAGATCTGCGAGGGTCAATTCCATAGATTTGATCTCGACGCCGCAGAGATAGGCTACCCGCTCACAGAGCATCGCGGGAGATAATGAGTCGAACGTAGATTGTCCGCTGTGCTACACATGATGAGGCTTGGGTACAGGCTGCCTTACGAGAGGGATAGGTAACGATACATGACGTGGGATCATAATCTTGACCAGATCGGATGACAACGCGCATACTGAGTCCTAGCGGGGGCAATAGGCATTGAAATGTTCCTCAAAGTGTAAGGGTATCCTTGTGTCCCTTCTCGCTTTCTACTTCGCCTGGGATGTTATCAAGCTGTAAGAAGTCGTTGAGAATGGCAACAATCGTGCGCGATGGTTGTAGCTAACCTTGTCCAGGTCCTCCAGGGACGATTTGATTATATCAACTGCCTTCATGAGGTCCTCCTCGGAAATTACCAGTGGTGGCGCAAAGCGGATGCTGTAACATAGTCAATATCTCCAGGGACGTGCAACCATCATTACAGGAAGTGTCTCACATGTTGACATGTGTGGGCTTGGCAAGTACGCCCCTGCTCTTGAGAAGCAGACAGAATTGCCACGCAGTCCGACCCTTGGAGCTTGTCTGCTCATCGATTACGAGCGCGTTCAACAATCCACGGCCGCGAACGGCCTTGATCAGCGGTGACTTGATGGCCTGGATGGCTGAGCGGAATTTCTCCCCAAGGACTTCTGCGCGGTTGGCTAGGTCCTCGTCTACTAGCACATCCAGAGCAGTCATTGCCACCGCGCAACCCAGTGGGTTTCTGAGCATCATCAACATGTCGACGAGATTTGAAGGAGACTGAATGGCTCCACTCACCCGCCGTATGTGCTACCGTGCTCTCCAGGTTGGATGCACAACATGATGTCTCTGTCAGCCAGGACGGCCGAGACGGGATAAACTAACGTCGTCTTCAGTCAACATGGTATCATTTGATATCATGAACGGTACTAACCTCCTCCAGAAAGTGCCTTTCCCAAGAGTACGATGTCAGGCCTGATGTTGTCGTGCTCGTGGCACAGCATCTTTCCTGTTCGGCAGAGGCCCTGCATCAGGTGTCAGTTGCGACGCCACATCAGCGCCCCAGTATGGCTCAACTAACCGTTTGAATTTCATCGCAAATGAGCAAGACGTTGTGCTTCACGCAGAGCTCGCGAACCTTCGCGAGGTATCCGGCGGGCGGAACTACAATACTGCACGGTAGTGATGAGTATGGTATCCAATCATTGTGTTTACCACGTACCCAGCCTCCCCTTGAATGGGCTCCACAAGAAACGCTGCCACGTCCTTTCCATGCAGCTCAAGAGCGCGTTCAAGATCGGATATCTTCCCGTACCGTATCGTCCTAATCTCCCCGTCATCATCATATGTCGGACCGACGGCCTGGAGATAGGGCCCAAATCCGCTGCGGCTCTCCGGATCCGTACTCATACTGATGGCCACATGCGAGAGGTCAGCGTTCCCAAAAGCTTACTTGGAGGCCAGACATGCGGACCACGGACCTGATAACGCCGATGGTTCTCCCATGGAAGTTTCCCTCAGCACTGAGGACGATAGCCTTTCCGTCCGCGACGCCTTTCTTCGTGTATGCCCATTTCCTCGACAGCTTGATGGCAGTTTCAACCGCCTCCGCGCCTGTATTCATCGGAAGGACCATGTCATAGCCGAACACCTGCGTCATCTTCTGCGCAAACTGGCCGAAGACCGAGTTGTAGAAGGCGCGAGAGGAGAGCGTCAGCTTCTGGGCTTGCTGAATTAAGGTGTTGACGATCCTCGGGTGGCAATGGCCCTGTGAGTGAAGATGTGAGATGGTTTGTCCCAAAGACACTAGATTTCTAATTTCGGGGATTGCATAGGGCCGTTCTGATCCTCGAGGACGCCCAGCGCATCTATGTACTCGGTACAGCGAGAAAATCTAGTCTATTTGGCCAGCCCTGGAGTTCATGAACCGCACAATTAAGCCGTCGCATGCATACTCCATGCGACGTACCGGTGCCACACTGTGGCGCATTGAGTCCAGGAGCATGGAATAGGCAAGCGGACTACCTTGTCGAAGACCTTCCTCCGACTAACGGACCAAGAAGTACGTTTTCGGGGCCAATTCAAAGTAGCACTCCGCGGTACACGATCGAGGAAGTCGAATCGAGGGGGGTAACGGCATAAGGGAGACGTGCGCCGGATGCTCACCTGATTAACGGCCCTGCGAACACTCAATAAGCCCCGATCATAATGCAGAGGCCACAGGTAGCCAAAGGACTCACGAGTACGCAGACAGCATATCGATGTACTCTCTGCCTTCCGGATCCCATACTCTGTATTCCGAAGTGTCACCGGCGCTACGCACGCGAAGCATAACGCACAAAAGACTCACTTGGCACCTTTCGCGGACTCGAACACGACTGGGAGCGGGTGGTAGCTATAGCAAGCGAGTCAGCACGCACGCAATACGCACGCATGAAGACGGAACGGCGAACTGAGTATCTCGGAGGCACTCCGCATGCCGACCAATCGACGATCGCTGCAAATCGCGCATCAAGGGGAAAGCGTCTCCGCGCTGGGGTCGCCGGAGACGCGACTACTCACTTGTGTGCGCCATACTCGTGCTCGAGGCGGATTACTTCCGCTGAAGAGATATGGACTTGTCCATTTCTGTTCATTCCAGCCTTCGCCACGCCATTACCTGTTGAGGTGCGATCATCTGCACTGGGGGCCATGATAATGATGTCTCGGGTGAGGGTAGGCTGTTATAGACTGCGTAGTGTCGATGATGTGGTTGAGGTGCAAGAAGTGATCCACTCCCGCCACAGCTGCTCTGGTCCGTAACGTCCGTCGAGGTCACGTTTAATATTTCCGACCCAAATAGGAAATGTCGGAGCGGATCTACGTTTTGGTGACTGGCATTCACGATCGAGTCGGTGGTATTTTTGATCCGTTCGTATGACGGAACGACCTTGACGGTCGCACAACTGAAAGTCTATGGCGAGTGTGTAGGTATAGGCATAATTTACAGTGCGGTAGATTATGAATGTAGATACGATATCAGAAATCCGGGCAGAGTTCCATCCATATACGTAGCGGGGTCATCATCCAGACATGTCATAAATGCAGAACTGCACGGCGGGCGGATCAAGGAGACGCCAAAATGCCCTGCGTCTCAGACGGACACAAGAGCGGAGAGTAGCGCTCACGTCTATTGTAACTTGGCAGGCCACTCCCGCCGTGGCCTCCAGCGTCCCTCGGGGTCATGACGAGGGTTGGGGATGTACGATAGGCCATCATCGGGACTTTGGCCAATGGGTACTGTCGCATTACACCTTTAGTAAAAATCGCGTGTGGAACATGGCAGAGAAGACCTACGGAACCACTGCCATGCATAGGACCCCATGACAGACTCCCAGTTTGCGCGGTAGCTCCCGAACCACCATAGGTTTCCCTCGTGGTCTATACGACCCCATTCCTGGTCCCACTGTTTGCGTGTGCGCCTCTTCGCGCTGTCAATTGGAGTGGAGGACATTAGCAGACTGGCCCACGTGAAGTCCGATGATGCTGACTAACCCTACTGCATACCAAGGGTGCATGCGGGCGAGCACACGCTTCTCTCGGTCGCGTATGCTCTGTGATCTAAGCGACTCCACAGTTGTCGTATTTAGCATGATGAGCCGCATGTGCGATACCAATAACGACGACGTGAACACCACGAAGAAGAACGACCTGCTCACGTACATCAGCGACAATCCACCAGAAGTCGAACCGCGAACTCACAAGACAATGATGACGATCTTCTGGGCGTCTACGCGTCCCGACTTCGCCTGATCAGCGACGAGCGTCGAGAAGGTCCACAAACAGAACAGAAGGGCCCACTCGAGGAAGATCACGAAGTATTTGTAATTGCGCGCGCCGACGCATTGCCCGATCCCTTCGTAAGCCTGGTAAGTGGGAATGTACGACCTCAAACCAACAAGCACTCACATGGACAATGATGGTCGTATCTAAGGACACACTGGGCACACCATCAGTGTACAGTACTTCGCACAACGGTCAATATGCCCACGGTACCACAGGCAGCACAATGGTGCGCCCTGAGGGGCTTGACGAAGCCTTCTTTCCAGCAATACCGATTCTCGGGACGCAACACGGCGGTCTCTGGTACACGTCTGGAATTCTGAGGGCCCTTGCGTGCGCTTCCGTTCTGTTGCGGGGCAGGCGCATCGGGCTTTGCAACGCGGGCTTGTGCAACCGCAGGGATGGCATCCGTCATCCCAGCTTGAGCATCACCTGTATTGTGGTTCGTACATATTGGGATTACCCGAGATACGTATAAGCATTAAGGACGTACCATCTGCCTGGTGCCCATTAGGCTGGTGCCCATTGGGCTGGTGCCCATTAGGGGGCTGCAGACCGTCTTCGTGATCGGCAGCAGTTGGTTCTGGTGGCTGCTCGCCCTGGCCCATGTACTGGTACGGCATGCCCGTCAAGTCCCGCTGCGAGTCCCACCAAGCCGGCACGAAAGTATTCACCACCGGCTCCGGTGTCTTCTTCACGAACTGAGGGGCAGCGGTTATCGCCGTGTTAATTACATGGTGCAAAAAGTCGTACGCACGTCTCTCGCAAGGCCTGGGGACGTAAGGACGACCTGTAGCCGATCTGAGTCTAATCCCGTGGACCTTGGCAGCAATTAACGGACGCACCTTCTCATAAGCCCAGAGCATCATCAGACCCAGCACACAGAACACCACCAAGAACCCGACTGACGGAGCGCTTTCACTCAGCTTCGATCAGCACGAACGGCACGTACATTCCGGACTCACTGCCCGTAGCTCTGCCGCCCAGAGCGCCCTCGTCCCTCCTGATCATCGGCACGCACAGCCTCCCAATGTACACATAGAACGTATATGCGACAATGGCGATGGTGATACCGACCGCGAGCTTGAGCACGATCCACGGCATGGGCTTCTGCTTGCGCTTCGCTCTGCGTTCCCTGGAGCGCATCGCCGCCTCCTCCATGACCGCGCAGCAATTGAGTTCTTGTCGCCTGCTTTTCTCTGCATGCTGGGCCATAAGTCGTATCCGAGTCACAAGATAGCGCGAGACAAGGACCGAGAGCAGCGCGGGGTACGCGTGTGGGCAACGGACAAGCAGCGGTGGTGAAGACCGTGAGGTCACCGCGACAGACGCGTGTCGGCCGCGCCGCAGCCGTAGACGCCCGATCAGCCTCACGCTTCACGTGATCTTACAGGATTCTACCCGCACAATGGGCGTCTAACTACTAAACGCTAAACGCTATCATATTTCGCTGCGTTGGCTCGAGCTTCACCTCATTCGTATCGACCAACGGGGCCGCCTTCACTTGACCAAACGACCTCGGCCGAGCACGCGATGTCGCGACGTACTCTCGCCTCATCCTACCATTACGTCCGCTTCTCCGTCGCGCCGGCATGCGCGGACGCATTATCAATCCGCAAGTCTATCCAGGACGCTTTCGCGCAATCGTTTGGCCTCATTTCGGCCAGCACGCACGTCGATGTCCTATGGGTCGCCGATGATGGGTCGGAGGCGGTTGTTCGGCTCGCGGAGAGGTGAGTGGTGGTCCATACATGGCGCAGACGCGATGCATGTATATTGACCCTCACGCCGCACCCTTCCATTTCTTCCCGGGCTGGGAAACTGAATGCATCGATACGCAGCGAGGCGACCAAGCTGCTTGCGTCCGTCACAGCTTACTCAGGGCGGCCAAGACTGTCACTCGTGAAGGAGAGCTCGTTCCTACCCTCGTTGTTGTCGGTGCATCCGCTCGGTGAAAGTTAGACGACTGAGGTGGGCGGCAGGTTCGTGTTATTACTGAGTCATGTTCCTAAGTACACTCATCTTTGACAGCCGCACCGGTCTCTACGGCTAGAAGGCGAAAGAAAGTCTCAATCAAGGGGGCTGTAGCTGCATTCCGGGGTCGCCACCGTCGCCCGAGTTGTGACAGAAGCTGCATTGCGCGGGGAAGTACTTCCCCTGAGAGGATCACGTCGGGAGTTGTCGCCTGAGAGATCTAGCCTCGGTGGCTATCTCGCACGTTGCAGGGCGAAGGAGGTACGAACTTGGGCGTGTCCACGCTTGTTAGAGTTCAGCTACATAGTCATTTGCGCCCGTAAGATCCGAGGAGGGTACGAGTCCTGGTGTGCGATTGCAATACAGATTCAGAGAGCTTACGTACAGCGTGTGATACGATACAACAGCGATTCAAAACGTCTGGCGGCTGCCCGCAGCGGCAAGCCCATAGCCCTCACGAGGCTTGTCGGGCCTTCGCATACTCTACGAAGTCGTCTATCGTTGACGGCCATGCAGCTGGATTGAGTCATATCAGATCGAGTGCACAATGGAAGACGCGCCAAGGAAGTGAACCCACCTTCCGCATCGTACTTCTCAAACTTCGAGTCGATGCTCCGTACAAATTCGAGGAACTACGCGTCCGCGCGAGGTGATGACGATTGATTACTGTCTGCTGTCGTCTTCCAGGACGTCGAGATGAGACTCACCATCTGCCAAGTATCTTTGCTGATTCCCTTCCCGCCCCTCTCGTTGAGGAAGTCGAGCCACCATTGCGTGTGCTCCTCCTTCCACCCTTCCTCGCCCGTCATGTCCACATCATCATCTCGCTGGACATGTGCTAGTGCGCCACCTTGCAGACCATGAGGAATGAGGAGCGCCCAGAACCCCTGCGCGTCGTCCAGACCTGTCCCGCACATCACATGGGCGCGTTCCACTCAGCCCGTCCATATAACGCTAGCTGCTAACTAACGACGCACCTAGACTACGCTGCCCGGGCTGTCTCGAGAACTCGAACGTGTAGTTGTACACTTGCGTGTAATACTCCGGGTCTTGCGAGAGCTTCTGCCGGAGCTGCACCAGCACATTCTGCAGCGCCGAGATGCTGTCGCAGCTGTAAGAGCACAGTCGCTTCAGTGTGACCAGCCTTCACGATTGTTATGGCAGAGCACGCACTTTAGCCGCTTCAAGCCGTCCACCCAGCCCTTCCGCGACCATGCGCCCATGCTCGGTGACTTGAGCTCGTACGCTACAGCCAGCCAGACCACATCCGCCGGATCCGAGCCCAAATCCGCACATAGTCTGATCGTACCGTCCACCGCGATCATATCATCGCCACTCAACGGGTCTGGATCTGCGTTCACCCAGTGCTCAGTCCCAGCCTACCCGGCAGCCCGATCACGACAGTGCGGAGACATACCTTTGTACTGATCAAAGAGCTGGGTGATCTTGGTCGTGGAGACACCACTGCGTTGCGCACTCGCCAGTGCATTGGGGTCGCCATAGAACGCGTCGATGGCTACGTCGAGTCGCTTGTACTTCTCGAGGAAGCGCTTTGCGTCGCGCGCCCTAGCATACGTTAAAGCCAACCGTGTCCGTGAGTCCACTACCGTACCCAGACGCGCCATCCGCTCCCGCGCAGCATCTGCGCGGATCGCGGAAATGGATCACTCACGAAGCACCCGTCACCGCGACGAATTGATCAATGTTCGCGTTCATCGCCTTATCGAGCACGCTCTTGCTCTTCGAGGATACCTTAGACTAGCGGCGCCGTCGGAGCAGTCCCAATGCAGCAAGCACGCAAGATCGCCGCGCGTGTAGCGAGTACGAGCGACGTGCGCGAGTCGAGTTGAGCGGAGGACGGTTGGGTTCAAGAGCGCGGGTACGATTTCGGTCAGATACGCCTGGGCGCCGGATGCCTCCGGGGGAAGACTTACCATGAAGAGATACGAGAGAAGCACCACGAGCGTGGCGCAGAATACTGAGTTTAGGAGGGTCGACAAAGCGGCGGCTGGCGGTGAGCAGTGTTTCGTGCAGAGACAAGCAGCAGAGTCGGGCTGTGGCTGATGCGTAAGGCGTGTGTTGTAGGCGCTCGGAGTGCGATCACTGCGAGGCCGTCTTCGGGCTTGCTTCGGACTGCTTCGGGCCGCTTGCTTCCTCCCGCCATCATAGCCAGATGCGCGCGACCCGACTTTTGTACTCGACTTTGCTTTCGACGAGGAAAAATCTACGTTGCACTCTTCTTGTCAGGATGGATTCGTGCGGGGTCGAAGGTAGTCCACCAAAGGCAGTCCAATCGAACGGGGCGTCCGTGTTGTCACGACTCATTGCCAGAAGCTCGCCCGTGCGGTGGTGATCGACATAAACCCGTACATCTTCAAGCTTCAAAGCTTCATGGCTAAAATGATAGCTTGTATCGTTCTTCGATTTCGCTGAAGTACGTGTCTCGCGTTCTGCCGACTTGCGGTCTATACCTGCATGCATTTGTGAGCCTTCACATTACTGGTGCACGCCTGTGGCCCTGATCCTTACGTGAAGTAACAGTATTTGTACACGTAGGTTAGCGTTGTCCGTCATGTCGACGGGCTCTGCGTTTTCATGACACGCGCCTTGTTGCAGGGTACTTATTCCCTCTTCTGTTGGCATTGACACTGAGTAGGCACGTTGGCTCATATTTTCCGAAGCTTTTCCAACTCAACCCCTCGAACGCGCCTTTAAGCCACGGATCATCGCTGTATCGGTGTTCCAATGCAGATATGACGCCGTCCCTTTCCAAAAGGCACCCTCTGTTCTCGGCCTGATATACTTGAAACCCCAGGCTTATGTCATTGTATTCCGCCGCTGGCTCATGATTCCGACCGACCATGGACGAGGGTAAGTGATCACTTCGGTTGAAACAACGCGTCCCCGATGAAATAGATGTTGCAGATGAGCGAATTCGCCATATCCATTCCGGTGAAGTCAACCCGCATACTAGTTCTGCAAGGGGACAGATGCTAGCCCTTCGAGCCATGCTCTAGCTGCAGTTGTATCGCACGGTGATTAAATGGTGCTGTTCACTCCCCCGACCTCACTAGCACTCTGCAGCGTCTGAAAACCGTTAGCACTGGAGCCGGATCGAGGATGAAGCACGAACGGTTTAAATTCTGCCGCTCTCGACCCTCCAGATATTGAACGCACGCCGATCATATGCTACGGAGTAGACCTTGGCAGGCCGTTCATCTTATATCCTAGGGCCGCAGCTGACGTTCAATACCAGACCCCTTTACTGACGCCACAGATATGTCTTGTGTCTCAGATCACCAGTTGCGTTATAGTACTCCTGAGCTCCTCCTGAGGACCCTCATTCTGTCGGGCGCGTCCTGGCTCTAGACTCCGACGATCGTGGTCCGGTCCGCCGATCGTAATCACGATACAGTTTCAGGTACGTACGCATCGACGTCGGGCGGCGGTCCCCTCTTCGGCATCAGCGCCACCATCACTCTACAGACAGCGATCATCCTTCTCTTCCGCTCCGCCGCAAGTCCGCTCATTGGCCATTCGATCGGTCGACGGTTGGTCGACGGGTGCAGTCTTCGCGTTCAATACTCTGTAACGACGTTACGACATTGGCAGCGAAATGCTGCGAGCGTGCCGTCATGGTCTGCATGCGACGTACGGTGCGGTGCGTGGATCTCCGAATGTACATGGTGGCGGCTTGCTCGCATCCGAGGAGCCTGTCGTCCGAGCACCATATGCGGAATTCCGTGACAAGCGGCGGTCGTATATCACGTCACATCACCCTTCTCATTGAGCAACACGATCGACAGTACCGCTTGATTCCAGGCTCTATGTACGCTGTACGCTGCTTCTCGACATGCGATGGCATCATGCAACAGTTTTGCCTTAGATCTCCGCCGGCAGGTCCCGGAGCAGGCTTCTCTCGGTCAATACTGGCTCGTCGGTACATCCAGGACGTTCCTCGGATGCAAGCTGCGAGTCCGAAGCACCAGCTGATCGACTGGCACACTGCAGCGCTTCCGACGCATCGCCGCGTCGTCGAGTTCTCGCGTCGTGTTCTCCCACTGTGGCATCCTTGCATATGTCTGGCGGAGTGACCCGAGCGTCGCGTCTACAGATATCCCCCGGATGGCTAGTTGCATGCGGTAATGCCTATGCGGGGTGGCGCCGAGCAAATGGCGCTTGGGTGATCTGTCGAGTGCGCTGTACGTATGCGCGCGCTGTGATTTGTTGCTGGAGGTTGTTGGCAGGTGGTGACATAGGTAATGTCGGAGAATATCTGTCATCCTCTCGTGGATTGTGAATATTCTCTGATACCGAAGCACAGCTCCCTTGCATCAACGATATGCTTGGGCGGCATCCTTGACGTAAGTCTAGCCATTGGCACTTGATTGGCACTGTATCGTATGAAACGCTTAGCATGAACGCTCACAACGACTGTAGACGTCTCCTGACATATTGTGCGGACGGAGACGCCGCATCAATACACACTGGTGATTCCTCCACACTCGACAATCGGATCCTGTCCGCACCACCGCCCGCCTCAGCTCATCAATCCGAACCTCACTACGATAGGCACCTCGGGCGAACAGCCATACGCCGTCCACCCCGTATCGACCCACGCTCACCGCGCGTCGTTCTGTATGCCACCACGCTCTAGCATTTGAGGGCTTTGGAGACCGGCGTTCTGGCTCTGCGAACGCGGATCATACATGGAAGCCCCTCCGAAGGAGAATCACTTCTGGGTATCGTTTGTCGTCTAAAATCAGGTACGTACCGTCATCTCCGCGATCGTCTGCCAGTGTCGCCCCTTGTGCGACCGTCCAGTCCTACGGGGCGAATCCACGTGGGTCTAGAAGCTTTATCCTACGCGCTGCAACACTCCCGCAAGCTTTAGGCAGGAGCTCTGGGCCCGTGTTGACAAACCTGAGCCCCTGGGCGTACTCCTCCCAAACTCGGCCTCCGACCTCGCACACACTACATGCCTACCTCTCAGACTTCTTCGGCACCTCCCCGCGAACCACGCACGCACGCACGCACGTACGTACGCTTCCGAGACGCATCTCCCGCGTTCTCCGCCCGTCTTCGAATTCTGTATCTTCGACGTTCGTCGGCTTCTCCAGGGCCCGCTCTCCTCCCACCGCTTCCCGCGGGCTCTCTCTCCGGCCTCCGCGTCGTTCGGGAAGTCTCCATGTTAGTGCTGGAGGTGCTGTGGGGCGTGGACGTGTCTCGCGCTGCACGCGCCCAGTTGGTCAGCCTTACGGGAGGATCATCTCTGTCGTTCTTCGGTGTTCTGTGGTCGCCGTACTACCTACTTCTTTGTACCGTGATTCCGGGGCCTACACTGAGTAGACTAGCATGGGTTTGGTGACATAATACCTCGCACGTCCACCCGCTCTGGTAGCGTATACACAGCACTTGCTAAGGCTATGCTGAGTCGTTGCCAATGCATCAGCAAGCAGTTCATTCAGAGGTCTCAGACATGACGCGGATGCGTGCTCGGCCTGCAACGATTTGCAGTCCGAATATCATTGACTCGCGCATAGAGCCCAACACTCCGCACGAGACCAACGCTCGCAGCCTCGCAAGCAGTGCTTAGTACACCCTGCCCACCACCCTCAGCTGCCCACCCTACTCACCTCCGACTCCCCTCGGACGGAAGCCTCGCGCTCATAACGAGCCCTACCACCGCCCAGCTCAGCCTAGTAACCCATCCGCAGCTTCCCTCACCCCGAGAACCCGCCCTCCGCCAAGCAGCAACTTGAGTAGAGTGGGCCGCCCGGGTCAGGGGGAGCGTCTGCGGTGACAGCGAGGCGAAGCGGCGGTATCTCGACGAGTGCGCACTGTATATAGTGGCGCGGCATAAGTACTCCTCAGGCTCGCTCGAGGCACTGGGCAGACTGAGACTCGGACAAGACGCCGCTGGCATGCGCAGCGATCATCGACTCTCCAAGTTAGCGTCCGAGTCGGCCAACTGTAGCCTGTACCGTTAACAGCGTAATTATTCTAAACCCGAGGCCTCGGGTCGACGGCGATGATCCCGCCTCGGCCCTCGAGACCCGGGTCGCCACCACTGGCACAAGCGACTGGGAAGACCGACCCTCGACTCCTCGATCATGATCCGAGTCTCGCTGGGCATCTCCGAGCGACCCGTACATTAAACGAGCCTGAGCGACGGGTCCTGGTCAGCACCCGACCCAAACATCCCAAGACGGCCTCGGTTCGCCCAACCGCGAGCATCATGGCACACGACGCGCGATCGGAGCAGGCAATACACTCACAATTAAAAACGTACTACGTATATGGAACGCATCAACGGCGATCAATGTGTCACAGCTCCTCGGGCCCAAGCAGGCTCAGCCTGAGCATGAGCCTGAGCGCCAGATACCGTGACCGGCGGCTGCGTCGAAGTGCAGGGTCGGGTGGCGTAGCGCGAGGCTTCCGTGCCTCACTTAGCCTTAGCAGCACGGAGCCCGGTTCATGGCGTGGCGAAGGTTTGAGCCTGAACCGGCGGGGCGGTCAGGGTCTCGCGAGCACAGGAAATGAATGTCACGGTGAGATGAAAGGGGTTCGGGAAGGACCTGGAGAGCCTCGAGGCGTGCTAAGTTGGGCAGATACTCAGGCGACGTATGTCGCGACGTCATAGCGCGCAGTCGAGGATAGACACACCGAGAGGCCAATCGCGCCGAGAGCACTTGGATTGCAATGCGATAATAGTACGATGACTAGCCAATGATGATGGTGACGGGCAACAAACGCGATTCAGCAGGAGCAGCAGTCAGAACAGAAAGAGACGTAGTATAGTAAATCGTAGCGTACGACACGACACCCAGCCGCCAGAGAGCAACCACCAACCCCAAGAACGAACAGACAGACGGCAATCGAGTCCAGCGACGACGACCACTCACTTCACGACGATCACCCGCTTCGTATGCTTCCCCGCTCGTCTCCGTTCGTTGTGCGGCATCGGCCTCCTCCACGCCTCGTCGTCCTCCACCGGGTACCCCTCCCCCTGCTGCTGCTGCTTGCCTCCATGCTCGCCCGCGGGCGGAGGCGGCGCGGGCGGGTGCATCGGGTACTGCATCTGGACGTCCATAGGGGCCTGCGGGGGTGTCGTCCGCGCGTGTGGGTGCGGCTGCGGCGGGGGCACAGAGTGCGCGTGCGGCGGGTACGGCGACGGGGCCGACGCAGACTGAGCGGGGACAGGGATGATCGGGATGCCGCCGCGGGGGCCCCTGGGGCCCCCCTGTATCGGCGGAGACGGGCCTGGGGGCGGGGGGGCGAGCGCATGACCGCGGGGGGAGCGCGACGCGTGGCGGGCCGGGTGCTCGCCGACGCTCACGGGGACGTGCGCGTGGGCGGGGTGGGCGTGGGCGTGCATGTCGACCTCGATCTGCACGGTGACGATCTCGTTGCCCTTGCGCGCGAAGAAGGCGCGCTCCTGCTCGAAGAAGAAGCCGGACGTCGGGCCGATGACGGCGTTGGGCGGCGGCGGGGGGAAGAGCGCCATGAGCTCGTGGCCCGTCGGGGGCGCGGGGAAGCCGCCGCGGCGCGGCATGGGCGCGGCGTCGGCGTCGACCGGGGAGAGTTCCAGCTCTGCTAGGGGTCAGCGCGGGCGTGTAGGGTGGCACGGAGACGTACCTCGGAGGGTGGGCGAGATGGGGCGGTATTGGCGGGACGGGCCTGGGGGCGCGGGGGGGAGGAAGGCGCGTTTGGAGGGCCCAGAGGTCGGGCTGCGGTCGCTGCCAGTCGAGGCGGTGGTGGAGGGCGAGAGGGGCGGCTCGCCGGTGTGGACGTGGGCGATGGGGCGGAGGTGGTACTTGGTGGCCATGGCGGGGGTGGGGGAGAGGGGCCCGAGGAGGGCTGGCGGGGGCCTTATATAGCGCGGGGGCGGATGGCGGACGCAGATTGGGGACCCTGAGAGGGGCGGTCGTTCTTGGTGTGCGATCGCGCATCGCCGCATCTGGCGTGCGGCCAGGACAGGAAAAGGAAAAGGAGGCCTGGCTTGGGCCTGGCAGAGCGAGCACAGGCGCGGGCAACTGATCCTGATGGGCTCTTCCGACTGCACGCGCCGCCTTCCCCAGATCGCGATCCCAGATACATATCGTCTCCAGAACACCGGCCATGACACCTCCCACCGCGCCTACGCCAGTGGGAGTTGCCAGCGACTGCTCCGAAGCAGCTGCAGTCCGCCCACGAGCTCTTCTCCGCCCGCTCCATTCCCACTCGCCGCCTTCCCACTGCCAGCCCACGCAGCAGCTATGCCTTCTGCGCCCGTGCATGGCACGTCCTTTTGTCATGCATCGCCGTCCAGCGGTGATCTCGCGACGCGCTGCGTTGCCTGGCACATCCATCTGCCTCCGGCCTGCCAATCACGCCTCCGATTACAGAGCGTGTGCCCGGATGCATCTCATCGACGCCGCGTCTCCCTCGCCCCGGGGCCCCCCTTGCCGCATCCGCACGCACTCTGTGTACGTACCCCAGGGCTGCCCAGGGCGATGCGGGTCTCCGCGACCAGCCAAATCCTGGCACCTGCGCGGACTGCAGCGAGACACCATCCTACTCGCGCGCTCGCAGATGTCAGTGGCTGCAGCCGGCCATCAGGCTTCCGGTTTGGGCAGAAACTGTCATGCAGGCCACCGCCGAGGCCTGTCAGTTGCGGTGGGGCGACCCTGCAGGAGAGCGTGAGCGTCGCGGGGGCAGTTGTACGTGTCACGCCCATGACATGCCGTACGTCGTCTCGTCTCTTGACAGCCCCGTCTTCTTCGCAGGATCCGAGTATGGGCTGTCTGCGGGGCGCTGCAGCGATCGGCCCGCACGCCCTTCGATCTCTGCTCCTCGCCGCATTGGGCCACTGATGGGATCCGGCGGCCGCGCGCCTCGGAACACCCGTCCTCCAACCTCGCCACCCGTCACGAGCGGGCACTCGCCGCCCTCCAGCCGCCTTCGCACGGGGAGCCCGCCGCGGCGCAGCCCAGATCACGACGTGCCGTCAGCTCGCGACCGCCACGCCGCCAGCGGCAACTGCCCACCCCCGTCACCCCACCGCCATGGCCACCGCGACGACGACCCCGCTGAATGGAAATGGAAGCCGGCCAGCGAAGATCAACCGTCCTCGGAATCCGAATTCCAAATCCCGGCGCGCTTCGCGTTCGCGAAGGCCCTGCGACGTCAATGCCCTTCGCATTCGTGCCCTCACTGGCACCACCGCACTCGGACGCCATATGGCGACGCGGCGGACAAGCGACTTGGTACTTATTTACATACATCGCGCGGGCTTTGCACGGCGGAACCGCGCTTCGTGCTTGGCTCTTGGCTTGCTCGATGCTTTTGCGCCATGGTCACCGGTCGCACATGTGCCGGCGAGGGAAGGCGCGCCTCGTGCAACGTCAAAGAGTCTCCCGGGCGCGGAGAGCGGGTGACGATGCGCCGTCCGGGCTGAATGGGCGGGGATACGCACTCGCTTGCTCCGCTGCAAATCATGCCTCGTGTGCACGCAGTATCTGCTCGCTTCGCGCGCTCCGGGCTGTGTACGAGTCGACAGGTAACCGTATTCCTCTACATACAGGCAACCTGCCATCCACTCGACTCATTGCCTGCCACATTGACACTCACCGCATATACCCAATTGCCCTCCTCGGTTTCCGACGGAGCATCGACGGCCGTCGCGTCCTCGACGGAGCTATTGTCCCCTCCTCTCCATACTGCCCCAGCCACTCCCCGGTCGCCCGCACGCCGAGTGATCATCTGCAAGTACCTCCGGCGACTATTGACCCACGCCCAGGCCCATGCGCCGCACACACTCTTCCCTGGTCTACAGGTACCGCCGCACTCTAGGCTCAACATCAAGTACTCTGCACCCTCGAGTGGGCTGAGACAGCGTACGAGCGGGGCGAGACCGCTTCTGATCCACGGAGCACGTTCCTGCATTCCGAGGTCTAATTTGCGTGCGTCTGGGCTGCCACACACTCCAGCTCACGCTACGCGTGCGTTCTCCATTCAGTCGTGCGGTGGCGTCGACCCGACGACACGCCCAGTCGCCCGAGCTCCGAGTCCCGCCCCGGATATCAAACCCACTTCGCGACTCCGCGATCTCGTCGAGTTCTGCTGCCAGCGCGCCCCGTCCACCACTGGCAGGCGTCATCCTCCGAGCCCCTCCCTGACAGCGACACCAGTCCCGAGCGCGCCTCCTCCTCCGAGCCGCCTCGACTCGGTATCTCCAGAGTCCAGCTCGCAGCAGGCAAAGGCGGGGCCACGCACACACCCGCCGCATGTGCACGCCAGATAGCCGTTGACAGCGCATGCGGGTGCGGGCCGCCGGTGTCTAAACCCGCCATATAAGTCCCCGGCGCTCCCATCCCATCCCAGCCATGCCCAAAACTGACATCGAGCAGCGATAGCTCGCAGGGGGTCGTGGCCATCGCGGGACTGCGCACCCATGACCGCTGTGTTGCTCAGTGCTTAGCGCTATCGCGCTGGCCATCTTGCCGTCCGAGCCTGCCGGGCGGCAAGCTCTGAAGCTTAGCTTGAGCGTTTGATCTGCGGGGACGACTTCGCGGGGCGTCTTGCCTTGGGTGAGTGCTCCTTTTCTGTGAGGAGGGCCTGGCGCGGCGGCGTTGATATCGATGCGATTGCGGTTCGTGCGCAGGCTACTTACCTGCTCACTGCTCTCGGAACCGCGAACGTTCTGCGGTCATGCGGGCCGCGTCTGCGTGGCTCTCCCAGTACCGATTCCCGGTAAGTTCTACTTACAGCTGGTTGTTATTCACATACTCATCTGCGTACATTCCTAATTGCCAATGCAGACGATGCGGTGCCTAGTGCATTAAGCAATAAAGAAGCCTACTGTCAGAGTATTAAGGCTTTCCCGCTCCCTCACCAGCACTCGCGGGCCTCATGGATACGGAATGGATGATTTCATCGGGCCCATCGCCTCGTGGTCGAGCTCATTACCTTCTGCGCGAGCGTTGCCTGGCGCTGCCCCTGAAGTTTGCAGCTCACCCCCTGAAGATGAGTCACAGATGAAATGGAGGTTCGCCCTGTCAGTGTCAGGACGATGTGCTTCGGGAACCGTCGGTGTGGGTTTGCACCCGGGGACGCTGGTTCTGAGATTATGTCACTGACGGGTTCTGCCCTCAATATTCAATACTCGCTTCTCGGGAACTTGGAGGACGTCTGTTCGCCTCGCGCGGTGCTGTGCCTGGCGCGTGCACGTCGCCTTTGAGGCGTCGACGTCAACCGAGAGTGCGCCGCGCTCGGTACGCCGTCGTCCTGGGAGAGCGCGTGCTATCCGAGTCTGTCTGCTTGCTCTTGGATCCGGAATGCGCGCAGCCGCTCTCCGATGTTCTTCGGCGGATCGAAGTGGGGATGAAGTGGAAGCCCTGCCTGGGGACCACCGGTCCCGCAACGCATCACAATCCACAGCCCACAAGCCACATGTCGACGCATCTGAGCCTTCCATGCCAGCCTGACCTGCCCGTCGTATTCCGTGCCTTCGCATTATCTGCGTGCATCGCCGCATCAGCCGTCGCCTGGCGATCTCCCGTACCAGGACACTGCAGTGACGCTCCTACGCAACCCGTGCACTGTACATAAGTAGATCGATCCCACCGGCACCGGCACGACGCACCATCCCACCGACCCACCCACCGATCAGTCCGTACGATACCGATAAGTAAGTTGCCTAGTGACGACATCCGCACACCGACCTACCATCGCTCCCTTAGCCTAGCATCAATCATACTATATCCGGCGCTCGCGATCCCAATCCGTCCTGTTCGACTTCTTCCCCGCGTTTAGGCGCCGGCTGTCTGGTATGCTCTCCGATCTCGTTACTTTCTGCTTCCGCGTTCGCGCGCCAAATTTGCTCCCGCTGGTTGCCTGATTCTGTGGGCACGGATGGATATCGAGATCGGAGCCGGGGATGTGGTAGGGTGTGCCGATAAGTAAGGCAAGCACAAGGTGTCGACGCCGTTAGCGCGGTGCGGGCTCTCTGGCTGGGAGGTTCGACTGGCCAGGAACGTCTCTACCGGCCGGGAGCGCACTTCCATGGGCATGGGGAGATTAGGGGAGGTGGTATTTGTCGTTCAGGGTGACTAAACGATTGGCTGTTCAGGTGGGTGGTTGGCGAACGAGGGTGGTACTTACATACTGTACTTGGCTGCTGCTGTCACTGCCCTCAAATGGCATGCATGTAGCGCGGTTACTAGCGTTCCGTGTAAAACCCTGATGTTTTATACACGGTAGTTTTTGACGTGTTTTAAACATGTTATAAACGTGTATAAAACATCGACCCAAAAGAGACATGTATATAATGTCAATAACTCTGGCACGTGATGTGCTCGGGGCATGTTCGAGCACCGTCTCGCGGGACGTTCAAGTCCTCTTGCACCTCTCTGAAGTACTTGGTAACAGCTGTAATTTGATACATGACTGACTCCAGCCAAATCCCGAGCACCAACTCTGACTACTTACTTACGTCCGAGAGAATATGAGCGCTGAAGCCCTTCCTCACGCCGCAAGCGCCGGGGAGATCACATCAGTGCTCAGCTTGTTGTGAGTCAAATTTTAGGTGTCAAGGCCTTCAATCTTCATTCTAACATAGGTTGACTTGTATGGCACGAGGCAGCGCATGCTGTCTCGGCGGAATCGGTTGAGATTTCTATACGTGGTTCTTCTTGCCATATATGGAACCATTACCTTCTCGGCCACCTCACGCTGCCCGATCTACGATCTTTTAGTGAGGTCGGATTGACAACATACTTGGAACATGCCAATCCCACTCATGTAAATGACCACAACCGGCTGGCTTCCGTCAGCGAGCGTGACGGGTGAGCGACATTGCAATCTTGATTCTCACTCCCGGGTGGCTGGTCATAAGCGCCCGTGATAGCACTGAGTCGGCGTCTTGATGAAGACATCACCATTCTGTCGCTGAGAAATACAACACTAAGCAGAATCGTCGAGGTTAGCAGGAAAGCTTGCCGAGTGCAAAATCAGCATTTAAGCAACAGGGCACAGGTGCCGCAGGCCCGGAAAAATCAAACACGTGACGGTATATTGTCACGTGATTTGGAGTTTGAAACGTTTTAAACACTAGGTTAAAAACTGACCCCCTGGCCCGAGTTTCTTACATACCGTTTAAAACCTCGTCTGAGTTTTATACCGAACGCTAGCGGTTACATACGATGGTCATACTTGGCACGTGATGATTCCCAGTGTGACATACCAAGTCATTGGAGGCGGGTTGGCGAATGACAGACGGTGTCAGTGGACATGAATCGACCGCAGCATACACGACAGTCCATTCCGCTGCCATCATCGTTCAAATTTCCCAACACGGCAGACCCGAGTGCTCTCCCGGCCGCACCTACTATCGGTCCACGAGCGCCGCGTTGAATGCATGCCCACCCCCTCCGGTACCCGTCCGTATTGTCTCTCCCGTTCAACTCAGTTGAGCGCTCTCCTCCGGCAATGCCCCGTCTTGTTGAGGATCATATGTCCCCCAAGATCCCGCGCGCATTGACGCCACAGGTCCCTTCGACATCTGCCCCTGTCAGGTTTAACTACCGCAGCGGCGCCACCTCGACACTAGCGTCGTGCGTTATTCGCCGTTGTTCGCCATTCGCCATTCCCCGGCCGTCCCGCTCGATGGTTCGAATGGTTCGATTTGGCGTGGCGGGGAAGGCCCGGGTTCGTGGCTGGCGCGCGGCTCGAGAGTAGTCCGCTGCGTCTGTAGGTGGTTGGGCACGGTGCCTCTGCAGCCCTCCTGCCAGCGAGTGTCCCTAGAAAACAAGGGCCTCCGAGACAGCGAGCCGTCGATCGCCCAGTCCAATTAAATCGCGGCAACCCCTGTCAGAGCAAACCGAATATGCCAACACGTAACCTGCCAACATCGCCTCTCCTCGCCCAGTGTAACCGTATATGCAGCAGCCGCGCGTGCTCCGACCGTCCGCCGGCTACCAATGCAGACCGCGTTACGTTCGAGGGCGCCGCGTCCAGTCCATGCCATACATGTCCGCCACGCATTTGTGGCGCTCGCCAGCGACGGACATTGTTGCAGCGCCTACCGGTAGCGTCTAGTCGGTCCTGAGGCGCCACTACGCTCGTCCGTCCTTCATGGGGCGCCGCGATCATTGAGTCGAATTGAGTTCTCCGCTTCGTGAGTGATTCATACCCACCTGCGCGCGCTTTGAGCGAGGTCTTTGCGGGAGCGCGCTGGAGGAGTGCAATTGGGTGACCATCTGCTCTTCACTGGATACTAGGTGTCGAGAAACATATCCGGACGACAGAACGTTAACCCTAGCGGGAGAGCACTAAGCCGTCTGTCACGCGTAGGCTGGATGGTTGTGCGTGAGCCCTGTCTTTGCAGCAGAGGCGACTCGGACCAGATAGACTTACCGCCATCCTCATTCGCTCGCCGCGCGGCGAACACCCACCAGTTCCGGTTTCGATCGGAGACACGGCGGCAGCACACCAGTACGCAGGCCACGAACTTGTAGGAAGAAGCAAGACGGCTGATTGTGGCGTCGACGTCAACGCTGGACCGACCACGGTCTGTCAGGTTCTGTCAAGCGTCGAAGTTCGGAAGCGGAGGGTGACAGATCCCGACTGTCTCTGTATTGGCAGATGCGCGAGATCAGCATGTGCAGAGACGCCGTATTGAGTACTTGACTTGGATGGATGCGTGCGTGTAGAAACGTCGACGCATTGGACAGCCTGGAATGTGATTGATTTTGACGTTATGGTACGCTCGTTTCCCTGGTGATGCCTGCATTGCCTGAAGCATTCGCTCTCGACTGTCGAGAGTGGACGTCTGCATTTACTTCAGCGATGAATGCCGCGATCTCAGGCAGGGCGTTACATCCATTCTACATGGTTCACAGAATTCTGTTCGATGATAAGCGCCGTGCACCGAATTGCAGCAATGTCAAGCGGCGACTCACCCGGCCCATTGTGCACCGTAGCTTTCCCGTACATGTGTTGTGGCGTAGCTTCGCTAGAGATATGTCTGTCCATCCAATCAACGCTCATTCTGCTCTCACCACCGGTGACTAGTGACGCCTCGACTCGTCTGACTTGCCCCCTCCGGGTCTTTTCTCAGACACCCAACCTCCGCGCGCGGGTTCTGTACTATCTTCGTCGCCCCATGAATAAGCCACCAAACCTTACACGTCGTCATCGCAAACGCCTTACGACAGCTTCTCCCTGGCAACTGCACGCAGAAGGCACGCCGCGCCGAGACACGCCCGAGAAGCCATCGGCTTCCCACCCCCGCTGTCCAAGTAAATCGACATCAGCGAGGGGCCATCTTGACCAGACGCACGGGCCATCAGGACAACGTTAACGTGCGAGAGTGCGAGGCCGCGCAGGGGAGACGCCTGACACCATGCCGGACTGTTTTCGTGCGCTTCGTTGACAGTTCCAGTCGCTGGTGGAAGAATGATATAGTGGTTCCTGACATCAACTCGGGGTGAAGCCAGATATCTTTACCGCAGCCAGTGTCTTTCTGTCGGTGGTATTTCGCTCCCAGAGGAGATGTTGGCTACAGATGTGATCTTCGACCCGGTCACCGGTTGAGTGGGCTGTTCCTACCGCTGAGTATCTAGTCCGAATGGTCAGTTATAGCCACCCGTATATTGCGCAGGGAGCCCGACTGACCGGAAGACAGCATCTTTTGGCAGCATCTCCTTCTGTGGACGAAGCGCCCTCGATCTCGATGGTCCTGCAGGCATCGACAAGGGTCGACTGACTCAGGGGCGTCATGGGAAGGACGGTACCAGAATTCAAATACAGCATCGGCGCTGACAGAAGTCCTATGATGTCCGAGAGCAGATGTCAGATGGACGTTCTTACGCTCCAGCAGTTGTGTTTTGCCAAATGCGGCTGACGACCGTCACGAAGGCGCCACTGACGTTAGTCGACCTGTGCACAGCCGGCGGATTGTATGCATGCGCAACGCGAGAAGACGTACTGTATGTGATTCTTGAGGTTCTGTTACTGTGCTTGCTATCGCGGCGAAGGCCGGAATGAACCTACGAAGTTCACAAGCCTAGCTAAAACAAGGGAGCTCAGTAAAGACCATAGACGTCAGACCGGGCCGATGAACGCGAGAAGATATGGATATAACGCGATGTTTGGGGTTGTCATTGAATAATGAGTCTTGAAGCGCTGTGATCAGACCGCACATCCCATCAGGAACTGGCTACAATCATGGGGACGCTAGTCCGGAAGCCATGGAATTGAACCATAATCGATCAGTATTCAGTCGCGGTGAAGCGTGCCACCTACGAACGCGCATGACGTGCGTAAACTTCGTCCACTATCTCAATACTCCAACGGTATCGTCAGCTGGTCCGAGCTTCGCCTAGCGATCGCCTTGAAGCATTCTTTGATAACACGCAGAGCAGATGGGCCCGCGGAGTCAACGAGGCGGTTGTAGTAATAGTAAGTGTCACTCGACCGTAGTAAGCTCCGTCTCCGCCTTCTTTTTACGCTTCTTCCCTTTGCTCTCCGCAGGTTCGGTGGGTGCATCGCGGTCGCGATGTCTCTTCTTCTGGCCAGATTTGGAGCTAGTTGGAGGCGGTGCATCCACACCAGCGGGCTTCATGAACCCCGAAGGTTCTCTCTTCATGTCCGTAGTTCCGGAGCGTGGGGCAGAGGAGAGCGATACGGGTGTTGTTGCAGCTGTCTCGCGAATGAGCTGCTGCGCGGTCTTCGTCCGCGCTTTCTTGCCGTCTTTGGATTTCGTAGGCAGAGGTGCCCTGAAGCCCGATATCGACGCAGGACGGCCCTTGCCTTTGAGCGGATTTGACCAGCCCGTGACCTCCTCCGCAGGTTCCTCCGCCTCGTGGTTCGATTCGGCCTACATACGTAGTTAGGCGTCAAAGAAGGGGCGGAAGCACCGTTAGCTTCAGTAAAATACGTGAATATACGGACCTCCTTTCGTATGACCTCCTGACCGCGTTCATTGAACGTCCTTCGTCCCCTCACAATCCCCGATGGTCCCAACGACGGGTCCGCCTCGTCTTCCCCATCCTCCCTCTCCTCATCCTCATCTCCAAATACGAACGGTACATATGACGCTTCATACGTCACCTTCTGAGTCCTGACAAGTGTGGTTTCACCCTGAGATGTTAATGTACTCGTTTAGAGGAGTGGACGCACTTCGTCTGGCTCCAAGCCGATGTTGAACTCGAACTCGAACCAATGCCCCACGCGTCGCGGACCTCCTGCGACACCGACCACTCCGCGTCATCCTTGACCTTCGCTTGCTCAGCCTCTACCTGTGCCTGTAACTTCGCCCGCTGCGCGTTCTGCATGAACCGCAGGCCCAGCGTGCTGGTGCTAATCGATTTGCCCGACATCGTAGACCTAGTAGCATGCCCTGTCGTCCGTGTTGTTCAGCAAAACACACCACGAGTGCCCAAGAGTCTGAAGTGCAAGTCGAGAGTTGGGTTACTGACAAGCGCAAGTTGTGATCGAAAGGCTCGTAGGCGTACTGTAGGACGCGATGGTGGCGGAAAGGAAGTATAGTACCTCGGGCGTGCCTCGGCGTTGCCCTGACGCAACGTTCCGGCGTCAATCTTCTGAGGGCTAAGTATACAAAAGGTAAATACGCCCACTGGGACTCGGATCACATTATGCAACGTAGGAATCTGACATCATAACCATTAGACGACGGGCGCTCTATTAATGCTATATAACAAGCAGCTGTTGTTAACCTCCTTCCAGAATTCAGACGGACCGTTTACTAAGTTATTAGCGTGCCACGGTCTGGCCACGGTTGGGAAGGCGTACGGTCACGGTGTCCTTGGGTACGCCCCTTGATCCCAACTTGATCCTCAAGTTGAGTTACATCCGGAATTCCGGCAAAACCACTTGGCGTAGGTATGGCCGGACACTCCTTTGACGGAAATTCGTGTCACTGAAGCTCTCATCATACAATGAAAGACTTTCACTGAAATGACAGACTTGGCACGATATCTGATACCCGGAACAGACGAGGCCTTCTATATCCCGGACTTTGTCACAGCAGAAGAAGAGGACTTCATCATACGGAAGGTATATATGTCCACAATGATTGCTACGTGGAGATCGCTGCACGGAGCCATGCATTTTGCCTTCGTAGATCCATGAATCACCTTTGCCCAAATGGAAACACTTGGCTAATCGACGGTAAGTAGTGTGTTTCCATAACCATTAGCGGCTCACTCACGCGTCCTGCACGGCTCTGAGCAAATAGGTTGCAAATATGGGGTCAGGGCAGGTCTCGCTCACAGTCCAGCTGCAGGACATTCACGCCTAGCCAGGGGGCAGCATGACTGCGAAAGGTGTCCTCATACCTGAAGAAGTACCTCCATTCATCAACAAATAGTCAGTGCACACCGTCGGGATTCCTAAAATGCTGTGACGCTACTGTTCAACAGTCCAGACATCATCGCGCGCATCAAGGCCACTGGCGCATTCCAGTCTTCGCCTCACGGCGCGCCGAACCATATAATCATGAACGAGGTAAGCACCCGCAAAGACGTTCTAACGACTCCGTGCTGAACAACGCAGTATCTTCCGGGCCAAGGTATCATGGTCAGCAGTGCCCGCGTTCACATGTTTCTCCACGCACGCTCACTCCCCTCCAGCCGCACGAAGATGGACCCGCGTACCACCCAGTCGTAGCGACCCTCTCCCTCGGCTCCCACGCAGTCTTCCACTACTACCGCTACAAGCCGTCCACCACCGCCGACTCGGCCAGCAACCAAGGGCGCGCGATCGACCCCGATCCCGTCTTCTCCGTCTTCCTCGAGCCCCGGAGTCTAGTCATAACCCGCGCCTCGCTCTACCAAACACACCTCCACGGCATCGACGGGGTCCACGCGGACGTCTTTCCTGCACCTAGCGATACAGCCTCGGGCAGTTCCGCTCGCATCGCCAATGTCGAATTGCTAGGTGACGCGCCCACGCGGGAGCTCGTGGCCAACGGGGGAACGCTCGAGCGCCGAGCGAGGTACAGCCTGACGTGCAGGGACGTCGCACGCGTCGCGACTGGGCTGCCGGGCCTGAAACGGTAGACGCTCCTCTTTGTGTTCATGTAAGCTACATGCCGGCGCGCGACACGTTGTCGACGCGGAAGTTTGTTGTTTGACTGCGACGATGTAACTTACTGTCGTCGTAGGTCTGGTATGTGAGAGCCGCACCCATCGCTCTAACATGGCCGCTAGAAGTTGAGGTTGAGATCGTTGAGAGCTTGGGTCCGCTCTGACTTCACGCAGTGAGGAAGCAGGCGCATAAGTAACTAGGTACACTATGAAATGTCAACGACGAAGGTGGATGGGTCCCTCACATTATCAAAATTACTAGACAGTTCACGGCGATCGTCCACGAGCTCTGTCATTTGGGCAGATGCACTTATGCCGGAGAATGGACGTTTGTCCGTGGCCGACAAACATGCTAGAACTACCATGCTGACAGCAGACCAAACGTATATTCAGTACACGTATTCGACAGTACGGTATCGCTACATTTGCAAGATAGCCCACTAACGACACATCCGATGTACCTTCTCATTCTTCTGAGCAGTCTGTCACCTCTGACACCACATAGCCTACCATCGCTACACCACACCCAAGCCCGCCTTCAGCTCCGCCTCCAAATCCGTCATCTCCCCATTTCCCTCGCTACCCGCCTCTTCCGCACCGCCCGCCGCCCTCCTCTCTTCGAGCGCCTTCGCCTCCCCGACACACCGCGCGCACTCGCACTTCCCAAAGCCCCACTCCAGCAGCCGCTGCCGACGCTGCTCAACTGGCAGGCTCGGATCGACGTACGTGATGGTGAGCTCCTCGCCCGCGGGGATCGCGCGCCGTGCGAGGACGGTGATGCGCGCGAGCGCGGTGCGTTGGTCGAGGTGTCGCACGGAGAGGTTCGGCTCGCAGGAGTGGTTCAGGTGCGAGTGAAGGATGTAGAGACCGCCGTGGGCCTCCAAGTCTGATCGCGCGTGAAGGGCGGTCAGCGATGGCTATCCGGGACTATGGTGGGTAAAGACTGACTGAGGCTCATGCGCCCGAGGCCAAGTAGGAAGGCGTCGTACGTGAAGAGCGCGTCGGCGATCTCAGGTTTGACGGGCTTCTTGAGTATCCGCGCGAGCCGCTTCTTTTCGCGCTCCGTCGCGGGTTCGCGGAACGCCTGCATGTACAGTTCGAACGCCTTCTTCCATGTTGCTCGGTCAGGTTCGGCGCCGTTCAGCCTGAGCGAGGATATGTCAGCCTTCCCTGGGTATTGTTAGTATTGAGGCGACTTACCACCCGCCTTTCGCGCGCTGTTCCATCCCCAGCTGTGCCATTGCTTTCACGAAGCGCCAGTCAGCCTCCGCCTGGGCCTCGTCCTGCTGATACGCGAGCAACACGCGCGCCGTGCACTGTGCAAGCGCATGCAATGCCATCCATTCGCTCTGCCGCGCAAACTTGGTCAGCCCGACTGACGCTGGATTATTCGCGGAGCAGAGCAGCGGGTGGGTGCGCGCGGATCGAGAGAGACAGAGGCGGTTGCAGAAGCGCGCTGGACAAGATGGAGAGGAAAGGGAGTCTGAAGAGGTGGAGGAGCAGGGGAGGACGAGTGAAGAGCTCGGGTTGAGGGGTGTGCTGCAGAAGCCACAGGCGAGGCCTGCGACCTGGAGGTCATAGATTTCCCTACGCGAAGCGATTTCAGTGAGCCGAGTTAGAGTAGCAACCCAAAGTGAGAACGTACATACCACTCTGGTGCGAGCACAAACGGCTCTTCTTTCCACACGGCATCGCCCTCGGCGATGTCTTCAGTCGCCACCAATCCCTTGCCCTTCTTCCTCCCGAAATGCTGCACCTCCACCTTTGACGTCCACTTGCGCGCATCCAGTCCTTCCACCAACCCAGAGCTCGGGAAGTTGGCACTCGCACCTTTCAGCGCGGGTTGCCCATGTCCCTGGTTCTGCGAGGTCACGGACGAGAGTACGAGGCCCTCCTGCTGGAGGATTTTGCGCGTGCGTTTCTCGCTGACAGTCCAATACGGGTGCTGCGTGAGTAGTTGCGCGTGTAATTTTGCGGCACCGAGGCTGGGATGTCCTGCGCGGAGAGCATGGAGAGCAGCCTTGAGGTCGTCCTCCGGCGGGGAGATCGAGGATTGGGACATGGCTTGAGATGCGATCTAGAAGTGACGATGAATTTTCGCACACGATCGTTGCCGTAAGCACGATGACTGCAGAGTGATGGTCGATCCATTCATCCGAATCCCAAGCGTCGAGAGAGGTCTGGCCTTTCTTGCGCAATTGCACTCGCCGAATCTACATCTAGGTGTGTAGATGGACGAGAATACCACATTCATCGGATGAGATGCATACAAAGGTATTTCATTCACTTCCTGTCATAGTCAGAGCCGGAACTCATGCATCATGCAAGCTGAAGTTTGCTCGCAACTTACAGTAGCCTGTCTTCGACTCGGCAATTGGGCAAGTACTTACTGTACCAGCTCAGCACGACAAGAGCGTTCCAAGACCATCTCGACACAGCGTGGCTTCAACGAGACGCGTACGTTATATTGAACATTATACCCGTACGTACAATACAGGCTTACATTGTGAGGCATCTCGTAAGGTCGGTCTCACGTGGAAAGCGAAGAGCGGCCGAAATTAATGCCTGATATCACTATTCCCTTCGTTATGTAACAACTCTCGACCCGATGGAGGAGCAATCAAGTCGAGAATGTATACAAGGGTGAAGATTGGCCAAGGGTCTCAGACTCACGAAGGATGGCGCGATTGCTCCGCAAACAAGCAAGGAATGGCGATTGTCGTAACCAACGTAGGTATCCACACAAGGATTTCCGAGCAGGCGGCCGAGGACAGGTATCGTTCAAGATATGTACGCAGTTCAGATTGGTGGACAAGCAGAGAGCTGACAAGAAAACGCGTCTGTCGCATTCGCAGAGAAAATGGAGGAGTTTAGGGCCGGTCGATGCGCGTTGGCGCCTGCGACGCGCCGACGCGCGCCCACGTGGCCGCATAAACGGGCAGGCACCTCAATACGTACAGACCCAGGTGTCTGCTACGTCGACCACCACCCCCCGCCATGGCCTCGGGCGATACCCAGCAATCCCTCCGCCATCGCCGCAAAGGCTCGGACGACTCCAATGCAGCTCAAGTCTCTCAGGACGAGCCACGCGCGCGCAAGACCGAGGAGGTCGTCTGGGGCAAGACGCCAAGCGGCGAAGGCATGTACCCCTCTCAGCGATCGTAGTCCATCTCACTGACATCCATGCATTGATTGGCAGTCTTTCGCGTCCCTACGACCCACGACGTTCTAACGGCGCTGTTCCATCCCGCATACCCCAAATCGCACCTGGACTTGCTCAACCTCGGCTTACTCGGGCTGCAGCTAGTGCTATTCTGTGTGCTGCCACGTAACGTCGCTAAAGTCTTCTTCTTTGTCTACTTCGCCTTCTGGCGAGCGGCGTACGACTTGGGTCTCGGCTGGGTGCTTACGAAACAGAGCAAGCGCAAATGGATTGTCCGTGAAGTCCAGCGTCTCGGCTGGCTCGACGAGAAACGTATGCCCGCAATGCGCAATTGGATCAGGCAGCAGCTTGCGGGGAAGATGGGCAAGGATTATTCTTTCGACGTACGTTTCAGCTCGTCTGTGGTCACACGACTTCGACTCACTGCTACGTACAGGAGCTTCCGCTAGAATACAATACGTGGCTTCTATTCCGTCAGTTGGTGGACATCATCTTGCTCAAGTGAGTTCATCGATTTCGCTGCCTTCCCATAGACGCGGCCATGTTTCTGGCGCATCCGGGTTTCGTGAAGTCTACGTAGCGCTGGGCGCTAGAGCTCGTGGAAGCTCCGAAGCGGATAGAGTTTCAGTCTGGCGCGCGATGCACGAGCTATCGGCGGTTGTTATAGCTGGACGACCTGAACCTAGTTCTGTGCGATGTGCCACACACACTAGAAGTCGAGCAATGCCGTGAGCATAGTCCGCTTTGTCTTACGGCTCTTCATGCACGTTGTGCACGAGTATCACTGAGTGTTGGCACAGTATCGCCCGTCAACGTAGGACCTTGTACTAGTCTTCTCAGGAGAGTTCTGTAACGTTCGCCCTTATGCGTCACGCAAATTGGCGACTAGTGCTGTGAGCGGAGCACCATATTCAGCCCCTCAGACATCTGACCCTCAATGGTATTGAATATGATTCACTGATCTTCAACCCATCGTAGTGACTTTTTGGCCTACTGCATGTTTGCCTTCACCTGTTTTCGCATTCCGACTGACCTGTCGACGTCCGTCCATATCATGCGGTGAGTACCCTTGATGGCCTTCACCTCAGCGAAATGACTGACGGGCTCATAGGTGGATTGGCGGTATCGCCCTGATTGCATTCAATCTTTGGGTGAAGACAGAGGCGCACGATGTCGTCAAAGACTACGGCTGGTACTGGGGCGACGTGTTCTTCCAGCGCGGCGGACTCACCTTCAACGGCGTATTCGAGCTTGCGCCTCACCCGATGTATTCTGTTGGTGCGTCAATCCTCTGCATTCCCCCTACCTGCACTGATGTGTCTGCAGGCTATGCTGGGTACTACGGCTTGTCCCTCATCATCGGAAGCTACTTGGTATTGTTCGTCAGCCTGGCAGCTCACGCCGCTCAGTTCGGCTTCCTGGTCTTCTTCGAAAACCCCCGTGAGTACATTGGTTGCATTGTACGGCCCTTCACGTCACTCACATCTAAGCTGTAGATATCGAGAGGACCTACGGTCAGAAGAAGCTTCTCGCCCAGCGGTCCCCTCTGGCGTCCGTATCTGCATCCTCGTCCTCCTCAGGCAAGAAGTCAAGGGACAGCCCCATCTCCCATGATCGCCAGGTCTCAGCGTCCTCTCTCTCCTCTGTTGACCTCCCGACGCCGTCCGCTACTGAAGGAGAGACTGCAACTGAAACCGACGGACCTATGACGGAAACTGAGACTGAGACGGAGTACGAGAGCAAGACCGAGGATCTCAAGCGCAAGCTTCAGCGCCGCTCGGCGAGTTCGCTCAGATCTGTCGGCTCCATGAGCGAGAACTCCCGCTCGAGGCGTCCTGGCTCCCCGGTCATGTCCCAGCACGACCTTATGAACCGGTACTTCCGCCAGGACACAATTTTCCTGCACAACTTGGATCTCCTGCGGTACGTCAGCACGAGGCCTCTCGCTTAACCTACCTACCTCCCGTCGGTTTCGCATGCTGATTGTCTTTGTCTAGTGCCGCTGACCTCAAGCTGGTCCTCATCATGCTATACCCGCTCGTCCTCTCCTTCCTCCCGCTGCTCTCGCCCCGCGGCACGCTTGTGTTGCACTTCGTGCACGCTCTCGGGTGGTGCCTAGTGCATTCGTTCGGCCTTGGTCTCCTTCTTCGCGCTCAGTCAGAACGCAAGTTCCTCGTGCGCCACTTCCTGAAGCACTACCACTACCCCGCGCACGACCACGGTCGCGGAGCCCTCATCGAGGCGTTCACAAACTGGAAGTTGATCTACAACCTCAGCATGTGCATGACATACGGTGGGTTTGCTGACTTGTATATGCGTATACTGGTGTTCTCACGAGCGGATATTATTAGTCTCGTTCATCTGTCTTGTGTGGAAGACGTATACCATCCCGCAGGAATGGACGGTGGGCGTCGAGCTTCTGCGCCACACTATGGGAGCGGTCAGTCGTCGATGACACGCATGTTCCGTGCGCGTCATGAGCTGACCGCCTTTCCTCCCCAGATTCTCATCGGACTGCATGTCTGGGCGACCTTGGAGTCCTACGAGGTCCTCGGTGCCTTTGGTGCGTACTGCTCGGCCTCGTTGCAGTCGCTTTCTAACTCTGTTCCCATAGGTTGGTTCTTCGGTGACTTCTTCGTGGAGGACTTCCCCTCGCACCTTGAATACACTGGCATCTACCGGTGCGTGGTTTACCGCATAGCCTTTGCCCCCTCTTGCGTACTTTCGTGCTGATCTTCCACCATGACAAACAGCTATCTAAACAACCCGGAGGTCATGAGCGGTGCAGCCTTCTTCGGCTTGACATTGATCAGCGGCAGCAAGCTCGTGGCCGCACTGGCGGTGATTCGTCACCTTTCTCAATGGTGGTTCTTGAGTAGAGTCGAGAAGTACGTATTGAATGCCTGCGGAATGATGCTCATGAGGTCCTGACGGCGGTGATACCTAGTCCTCATATGCGGAAATTGTACGGCGACTCGTTGCGGAATGACGCGGGCTTTGTCAAGGTCATCAAGAAGGTCGCGAACAAGAACGCACGCCTTCTCGAGTCCCGCGCTGGCCGGCACGCGCCGGAGATCCGCAGGGTTGCACGCGAAGTCAAGGGCACCTTCGACAAGGTCTACGAGGAAACTGCCGACGTCGTGGAGGAGTTCTTGGCAAAGTGTCAGTCCCCTGCTTCTCACCGATCGTGAAAGGTGCCGCATTTGGCTCACACGACTTCTGGTAGCACGCCCCAAGATCTCGGAGGTTGTCCAGGACACGAAGATCCTGCTCCAGCAGTCCAGGGAACGCCTTGTCATCTCGTACGTTTCTTTAAATGGCGAAGCTACATCGCCGCTGACTAGAAGGCTTGTTCCTTAGCCGGGTGGCCAATGACCTGTCCTCGTACGACACAGCCAAGTACAAAGTCTCTATTGTGCCCGCTGCGGATGGCTCCCTCCGCTTCCATCTCGGTGAACCCATCAGGATAAAATGGCGGGCGCCGCTGCACCACTCGCGCCGCGATTGGATTGGCATTTATCGGGTGCATCTCCATACCACCTCTCGTCCTGACTAACTCCGACTCACCTGTCATGTCTGCAGGTTGGTGCGAACCAATCAAACCTCGTCACCAAAACCTCGTCCCTCGGGATGTGGGTTCCGGTGCATGATGAGGAATGGGACGGTGATATACCCTTGAGCCTGAACCGGCCGAACCGTCCCGACAACGACTCGGAAGATGGCGAAACCATATTCCAGCGCGGAACTTTGCCCTGGCAGACTGGTCGCTACGAGGTATGGTAGTTGTGAGTGAACCTCATCGTCATACGCTGACCGTTGTCAATAGATCCGGTACCACCACGCCGGTAAATATAACGTCATGAGCTTGGACGGTCCCTTCGAGGTCTACGGTGCGTTCCCCGACCTCCATACGTCCCCGGACACACTGTGCCTAATCGCTATTCCACTTCGCTCTGAACAGTGGACAAGCCGAGTGCCATGAACTTCGGCAACATCCGGAGGAGCCTCATGCACATTGTGCCGCTTTGTCTGGACTCCGACCCTTCATTAATCCCTCTGTCGTGCAAGTCCGAGGAAGAGAAGATGGCTAGCGAAGATGATGATGCTCGGGACCCTGACGACTTCCGCTTCTGGTCTGAGAGACAGGCCAAACGCATTTCTGTCGCGATCAAGCAAGCGTTCGGCGTCGAGCTTACACCGGAGGTCGTCGTGGCGGATGCGAACATCAATGCCTTGGCCAATCGGATACTGGTGTCGAAAGAGCTGCTGTCGGACTGACCGGACGGTGGTCATTTACAACGTCCATATGATGCTGCCCTGCAGGACAAGCAGCGTCTAGACTTGGTTCTCACATTTCTTCCATTAATCCTGGGTCGTGTAGTTGCTCCTGTTTCGTCACCCCAAAAAGTGGAACATGACTATCACGGATGTAATGACCAATGAACATATACTTGATGATGCTTCGCCATAGTAGAAAAGTTTGCGTTCCGCGCCTGTTGCACGCGAAGTACAACCCAAGATGATTCCGTTCGTAATTTGTGAGATTGATCCAAGGTTTCCGTCTCCTCAGGTGGGTACCACACCAACGCTCTGCCAGATCTCCGTCATAATAGACGTAGCATGAGGGTATCTCCCGCTGACAATGTTAGACAGCATCTCAGTTACCTGAGCTGACCCCTTTAGCTCTTCCCAGTGTCGCTTCAGCAACTGTAGCTCCATTTCTTTTACTTCCTCATACCTGTGTGAAACGTTGCAGTAGTGTCGTTGACGTGCGTGCGAAGGATACGTAAGAAATGGACTGACTGAGAAGTGAAGGGGGTAAAGATTTCCTTCACGATGTTGTCCTTCGACAACTGGGACTTCAATTCCTTGAGTGCCAGGTCTTTGAGATCGGCCATGTCAAGCTAATAACACCGCGTGAGTCGATGAATCCATCAATAACAAGCTAATGTTGACGAACCTTGAGTGCAATGCGGTATATTGACTTGCAAGAACATGGCTTGGGACGACGCGGGTTGTTGGCCTTGTAGTTCAACATGAACTCCCTCCGTGCCTCCGTACCATTGCTTGTCAATGGCGCGAAAATGATGACGCCAGTATAGATATAGAACAGAAAGGCCTCCCATCTAGAGCTAGTCAGCATCATATGCAATGTCGGGGAGCAGTGCTTACGTAGCGGCGGGAAGACCGACAACGACAGGTGGCGTCTGGCATGTGGTGCGTTGAACACCGGCCTCTTCGCATTCGTTCTCATCCTCAAAGTCACTGTCGCCATCGGAGTTCGTGAGTCGAAAGCTTGTCATATCGCCCAAGGGCACGTTGATACAGCGCAGAAGTTGATCGCTGAATACCTGGGCAAGGGCGATCTCAACGAGATTCGGGTTCTGCGACCCTAATCGCAGAAGGCGCAAGGTCAACACGTAATCAAATAGGCAATCAAATAGGATGACACAGTACCCACATCGTTTCAAACGAGGGCATTTGTCCCATAATGCCTTCTTGTTGAAGGATAGTACACGCGGTTGAACGAGTTCTCCACCCGTGTTCCGGCTTGCAAACGCGACAAATTTGACATCGCAAGGGTCACGTCCAGTTATCAGATCGTGCAACACTCCAAAGCCTTCGCAGGCATCGGAGAAAGCAAGGGCCGTAGCCTGGGCGCGGATAGTGGCTGTGATGACGAGCCCGTTCTCTTGCCGCAGACGACGAAAGCGATACCAATGCTGCGTACGCAAAAGGGATGTGGGTCGGATGCGCGACTGCCTCGAAGAGAACCTGTCGGGGCTGAACGTATACGTCGCGGTATGTTCGAAGTACCGGTGGCCACTTGATATCGACTCGCCAACGAATGAACACAGGATAGGCCGAGGATATCCTGCTGGTCCGACATCGAGAAAGCATGACATGCATTCCTCGCCGTCGGACTTCGTAGGCCAGCATTCGATACGCCAGCCTGGGCCGAAGGTGTCTGTGACATAGGGTTGTGCCACTCCGCGGTCGAAGAACTCCTCGAGATCATCGATCCGGAATTGCAACTTGATGTCGTGGTCGTGCTCGAGGTGAGACAGAGCGACCTTCATCCGTTGCCTGTGCAGTCAGCAAGGAGGTGAGTAGTGGCAACCCAAGGTGAAGAATGTAAGTAAGAGAGAACCACGTTGTGATCGTCACATAAGTGGCAGGTCCGCCTTTTGTGTCAGACGCTTGCGTAAGGTTTCTACAGGCAGATTCGGTAGGCGTTTCTCCATCTCGGAACGGACCCTCGGTGCTTCTGGAAAGACGACGTCGATAAACCCAACGATGTACTTGCACTCCGTTGCCGTAGTAATCTACCCATTGACCTAGCCACAGCGTTGGGTGACGTTAGGAACCATAGCGTAGTATCCAGTCGTCGAGCTCATCCTCTACTACGGGCACATACTAGCTAGCGGTTTCAATCACCTAGTGTGCCGAGGCTTCTGTGTCGTTGCAGTGGGTTCCCTGCGGGAGAGCCCATCACTGCGCAATCATTCGCTCCCAGTGTTTACCCAATGGTGTAGCGCGGCCCATTATAGACGTCACAATAGTTCTGCCATGACTGCTGCAGCATGGGGCAGCTTGCCACGGACGACATTCTTCAGCACCTCCGAGACCTGTTCGGTGCCCTTGAGCTCGGCCCAATGCTCCTTCAATATCCGAAGCTCCAGGTCCATCACCTCTTCGTGCCTATACAAGGCGCGCAAAATGCATCATTATACCTGGCTGCGCATATCGCAAAAGGGATACTTACTTTGCAGTGAATCCCGTAAAGATTTCCGTCACTATGTTCTCCTTCGATAGCTGTGACGACAGTTCTTTCAGAGCAAGCTCCTTGAGGCCAGGTAGATCGAGCTTCCAAAAACAAAAACCAGTCAAGAATAGCCTATCTTCACAGTATCGCAGAACCTACTATGCACGCGATACGGTACATCGACTTGCACGAGCATGGTGCAGGCCGGTGGGGGTTATGTACTCTGTAATCTGCTATGAACTCCGTCCGGGTGGCTTCACCTCTGCTCTTCAGCGGCCCGAAGGCGACCACGCCGGTGTATATGTAAAATAGGAAAGCCTCCCAACTGACGATGTGATATTATCAGCACCCCATCGAGGGTCGTGTCAGAGCTGAATGACATACGTAGGTAATGCGGCACCTGTGATTGCGATCGTAGTAGGGGCAATGGATACCACTAAATCGTAACGGAAAAGGTGGTAAGATTGTACACTATAACGTGATGAACGTCAAGACATGCCTTCGTTTGCAGGTCTAGTCTCTTCGAAAGCCCAGTCCGACATAGTATCATCGAGCGGGGACATATCCCCGGCCTCCCAGGACTCCGTATCGGAGACGGCCCCTGCTGTACGCTCCCGCTATAGCGCGTTATGTGAAAGTTTACGACGGTTGGACGTACCATCCCGGCGTCCTTCCGTCTCTTCAGCTGTAGGGTGCGGGTGCGGGGCCTTCTCAACCTGCTCTTCGTCGTCAAAGTCCCAGTCACTATCTGCTTGGGACGTATTGTCGTCGTGCTGACCAATTGCACTGGAGGTCGATTGGTGAGGACCGCGCTTGGCCTCACCAAAGAGCTCCTGTGCAATTGCGGCAGCCGCATCCAAGTTGTCAATATCTGATGGATCGAGGTATATTAGGGCGAAGATATGAGCGTTTCGGCCCTGAGTCAACCTACATTTCGCTAGCAGAGGGCAAGCTCTCCTAATGGTTGCCTTGTTGGCGAACAATTCGCGCGGCTTGGAGAGCTCCCCTGCTCTGTCGCGCGAAGCGTGCACTACAAACCGAACGTCGGTAGGTCTCTCCGTGGTAATCACGTCGTGCGACAGATCGAGGCATCTGTCTGGGTACACAGCAGCTACTTGGGCCCGGATAGTCGCCCTGATATAGAGTGCATTCTCCTCACGGAGCGTTTCGTAACGATCCCAGCCCTTGAGCTTTGATAGGGCCTTCGTCCAGCCCCAGTCGGCTCCCTTGAACGCGGTAAAGGTATGAGTTGTGCTGAACTTGAAGTACTGTATGCCTCCCTGCGACGACTCTCCAGCGAAGGAGAATGAGATCGGGGTTGGGTATCCCATTGACCCAGCTACGAGGTAGCAAGACAAGTAGTTCTCGCCGTCGAAGTTCGTCGCCTTGCATTTGATGTGCCAGCCTGGTCCGAACGTGTCCGTCGCGCGAACCACACGGGTACTGTCCTGCTCATCCCCGCGCTCGAAGAAGTCCCGCACGTTCTCCACGCAGAAGCGCAGGCTGATGTCGTAGTTGGTATCGATTTCTGTGAAAGCAGCCTTCATCATCAGCGGTCGTGCGGGTGGGGAGTGGGTCGTTCAGACGTCTGGGACGACGCAGACAGGTAGCAAGCCTTGCTGGATGCAACGAGGACGAGGTTCCGCAATCGTATAGTGCTCTGGGTCTTCGCAGACCACCACGAGGACATTCCGCACGCTGAATGACCATATTAGCCTACAAGGTTCGCGCTAGGATCCGAGGTCGATACGGGAGAAAGTCAAGTTAGGATGTACCAGCCTGCCATTAAGGGAGCGTGACAGCGTTCTCACGTGACTGTGACCGAGGCCAGCAGCGATCGAATCTAGATTTGACATATCATTTTCGGTCAACCTCCAACTCGTCAGATCAGACTCCTCTTACTGTAAACTAGCGTGCCAGCCTCGTACCACGTACACTCTACCGCCATAACGTACACACCGTTCTCACTCAAAGTGAGTGGACGGCAGCATCCGCAACGGCAAAATTGACAGAGTTATTGACGAATTGGGACCAGCATCTCCATCTGACGTAACTTACAATCCACCATGAACAAGACGCAGTTTTACCTTTCGCAGTGTGCCGAGGCTGCCTCGAAGAGCCAGATGTGCTTCACTCTTGGTGCAGTGATGGTCAAGGGCGGCAAGGTCATCTCCACAGGGTACAATCACCACCGGCCGCACTACGACGGGTCGGACGTGCGCACTCAGGGGCATCGTAAGGTGTGCGACACAGCTATCCTCCCCTGACCCACAAATCAATATGCCTGCCAGCCTGTGTCCATGCATGCGGAGATGCACGCCATTTTCAATCTCACTGGCATGTCTCCCTCGTTCAAGACGCAGGTTCAAGGGATGGAGCGGCGTCTTACACGGGGCACACGAACACAAGGTGCACCACCAGAACATCCAGCAAAAGGCAAACCGAAAAAAGGGTGCCCGGGCCTTGAGTGGTGGCTTTCAGGGCCCTGTGGACGTTCAGCCCCCGCTTCATCGACGCTCGACCTCGAAGGGCAAGGCCAAGCAACGACGTTCGCCTTCGAGTCCCAGCCCGACTCGTTCCTCTGGACGTAACAGCGGTTCGGGCAGTGGGAGCGAGAGCGGAAGTGAGGCTCCGCGATCGACGGGCTCAGGCAGCAATGTGGGTGCAGGGAGCTGCTGCCGCGACCCAGACAAGGCATGGGACACCCGGCGGCGCGACCCGCGCGTGAATGGGGCGGACATATACGTCGCGCGGTTCACCAAGAACGGGATGGGCAGCGCACGGCCGTGCTGGCGCTGTCTGGAGTGGTGCAGGTGGGCTGGGGTAAAGCGGATATTCCATTGGAACGGGGATGAGGGCAGGTTTGACGTCGTGAAAGTGAACAGCGCGCAGGGGGACATTTTGTACGAGACGCACGCGGATTTCCGTCTCTTTGCAGGATTGGTGCGTCTTTCGATCCCAAATGCGACCCCTAGGCTTGCTTATATTTCACCTTAGGGCTGGTAATCTATCCGGGGGCTTCCTCAATGTATCAGCAATGTATTGGCTACGTCTACACCCATGGGCCCACACGCCTGTGCCATTCACTGTCGTGCAGGATCCTGCGTCAGGTGCACCATACTAGTCATCCCCGACAACTGCTCCGCGTCCGTCCACACCACGGGCGATGGAGTTACTATGGTGGGAAAGATCAACTCGAAGTGCCAGCCCGACGGGCGGCATAGGCATCAATTCAGGCGACTTGTCTCATATCACCGGGTCGCACTATGTGTCTTACATTCAATGTCGTGATTGACTTAGATTCACACTTCTCCATCCGCGCGGCGTTCAAGGGGCGTTAGAATGAGTACAGCACGACATCGACGAGTTGCATGACGCTGGTGAGTCATTGTCGGTATCACGTGACCGCGTTCCAGCAGTTTCGCGCACTGTCGCGCACCGCCCATCCGGATATGGTAAGCGTCGGTGGGCGGGAGAATGTTCGCGAGCGCGCCAGATACGTCCGACCTCTGGAAGGAATGCGCGCGCACGTCCTCAATGGGTGACGCGTCCCGCCGGGGCCGCATCGCCCTCTGCTGACGAAGCGTATTCCTTGCAGCTATAAAGCCCACCGACATTGTACGTCCCGACCATCCCAATCTCAGAAACTCATCCAGCCTTGTCTTCACCACCCACATCCATCTCCCCGCACATCCACTCGCATCTCGACATGCTCGTCTTGACCCCAGTCTCTGCGTTCTCGTCAGGCTTTTACCCCTACCCGGTCGTCAGCCCCGTCTCCATCCAGAACGACTACCTCGAGGCCGTCGCACAAGCTCGCGCCGAGGCGGTCCGCCGTCACAGGCAGCAAGAGCTCCGGCGCAAGCAGATTGAGGAGCAGCATCGCCAGGCCGCCTTCGAGGCCGTGTACCAGCAGCAGGTCCTCCGTGAGCGCCAGCGCCGCCTTGCGATTGCCCGGCAGTGCGAGGAGGCGTACGTCCGTGCTCTCATCGAGGCTCAAGAACGTGAGCGCGCTGAGCAGCTGACAATGCGCAGGGCCAGGGAACAGCAGCTCCTCTCTGCGGTCGCTGCTCTCGGGTCCATGCTCGACTTTACTGCCGAAGCTGGCGAACCGACGAGGCTTGCACCACAGGTACGTCACGTATGGCTTAACACTACAGTAGGCCAGCGCACTGACTGTCGTGTGTTCCAGATGCCCCGTGCATCCTCTCAGACATCGACTTCCCAAGTCCGTCGTGCACCCTCGCCTGTTTCGTCAGCTCGGGAGCGACTCCAGCAGCGTCTCGAGCGCGAGTCCGATCCCGACGTTCGTGATGCAGTCGAAGGTCTCCTGTCCGTCTTCCCTACGATCCCGCCTGTAGACCGCAAGGGCAAAGGCAAGGCCCGTGAAGTCCCAATGCAGGCCCCTTTCGCGTCGTCTTCGACTCAAGTCCCCGTCTTATCTTCGACCGCGCCGGCACAGACGACGACGACGACGTCCCAGCCCGCCTCCGGGCCGTCGCTGAAGGACGCGCTGCGGCAGCGCATGCACAACGAAGCAGACCCCGAGATCAAGGAGTCGCTCAACAGCTTGTTCACGAAGCTCTATGGTACTCCGAAGGTCACACCTACCGAGAGTGCCGCTCCCAGTTCGAGTACTACCACCAAGCACGTCCCAGTCCAAGAACAAGCGGCGAGTGAGAAGATCCAGGTATGCGACGCTTGCCTACATGGGTTCATAGCAAAGTGCTCATGCCGACGTCTACAGGACACGGCCGCTACCACCGATGCACCTATCCCCGGAGCACCCCTAGAAGACGGTGCCGGCCTCCACCGTCAGCCCGCGCTCCCGCCCGCCGTCGCGGCCAAGATCCTCTCGCTCCACCGCTCGCGGCGCGCCCGGCGCACCTCGCTCGGGGCCATCAAGGAGATCGAGGATGCTCTGCACACGCTCCAGGCGTCCTTCGTCTTCCCCGCCCAGCTCGACTTTTCCCCGTCCCCGGTCTCGTCCCCGTCCGCCGACTCGCGTGAGGGGGAGAACACGCTGATGTACACGTCGAACAACCGCGCGGTGCATTCGTACGAGCACGCGCTGAGCGGCCTGCTCGAGCGCCTCGACGCGGTGGACAGCCGCGGCGACCTCGAGGTGCGCGGCCGCAGGAAGGAGGTTGTGAAGGAGGTGGAGCGCGCGTTGAGAGACGTTGAGAGGAAGGTGGAGGAGAGGAGCAGGGAGCGGGAGCGGGAGGGTGCGAGGACGCCGATGGCCGAGCAGCCCGTTGGGCCTCAGCAGCCCGTCGCGGAGCCCTCGCAAGTCGACGCTGCACCCGCTATCGACACCGTCCCGCATGCTGTTGACCCGACCGTTGCTCCCCAAGACGTTCCCCAACCCACCGAGTCTCTCCCAACCCCCGACGAATCAGCTGCCGAAAACGTCCCCGCTCCTGGTACCCTGGACGCTTCTGCATCCGAACCGTCAGCACCCCAACCATCTGCCGCCGACCTCTCCTACGCTGCACCTACGCTAGACATCCTGGTCGCTTCTGTCCTGCCTTCACCCTCTGCCCTTTCACCGTCGCCAACGCCGGTCGAATCCACGCCGGAAGTCCATGCTGAAGTCACGTCGCAGTCGGAGACCGAGCAACCCGCGCAGGACGCGCAACCCGCACAGGACGCGCACCCTCTACATGTACAGGAGGTCACCGAGAACGCTACGCTCCTGACCAACGACACCGCGTACGACAAGACCGAGACATCTTCCCCCACCGGGTCCTCTTCCTCCGAGAACGACGCCTTCCTCCTCTCGTCGCATCCTCTCCAAGACCCGCCGCGCAAGTCGATGCCGCAGGAGCAGGAGCACGACGAGCCGGAGATCGTGACGCTCGCCGAGGCTGAGGCGGACAACAGCGGCTCGGGCTCGGAGTGGTCTGAGGTCGAGGCATGATAACGATAAATTACCTAGAGACTCATGATCAGAGTGTATACAGACGAGGACATCGGCCTGGTGGTTTGATCGCTACGGACCTTGTAGGATTAGATACCTTATTGCTTGTTAAATGGGATAGATGTGTACATTAGTTGCGTGTGCATATTCATGGTTCTCAATACTTATATGATTCTCGGAAATGTGAACACCGTTTTGGGGACTCTATCTTAACAGCAACCATGCTCTCGCGAATGGCGTCCAGTATCAGTACTGCGAATGCGACAGCAACAATATTTGATTGACGTCCAACCCAGAGACAGGGCTTTCTAATTCAGCGCGACAGCAACAACCAGGAAGCGGACAACATTCATGAGCATTAACTTATTACACCCTAGCCAATAGCCGTCAGCGCTTCAGCCTTAGGGTATCACTACATACCATACTACACACGACCAAGCTCAATCAACTCTCTTGTTCGACACATTCCCACTCGCCTTGTTGAACTCAGTCGAGAGTCTGTCGTACTCGCGCGCGTTCTGCTCTGCCTGCTTTTTGACGATGTCTGCGATACGTTGAAGACATTTGAGCGCACGACGAGGGGGAAGTGTATGACAGAGGCTTACCGTAGTCCTTGGCCTTCGCTTCACTTGCTGCGAGCTGCTTCTTGAGCTCTTCGACTTGCTTGGCCTGGTCCTGGGTCGCAATCTGGCCGCGAGACGACTTGGCAGTCTGAAGATGGGTTTGTCAGCCGCGGACCTCGGAAACGTGAGAGATACTGTGACTGACCTCCTGCTTGAGCTTCGCGTACTCTTCTTGCGTGTGGATAAGGTCGAGCAGAAGGTAAAAGGTGCGCGTGAGGACGAGCGAGAGGAACAGCGTGAAGCCTGTCAAGTACGTGTTCCGCTGTGCGCTGCGCGAGGTACCTACCTCAGTATTGATAGCGAGATAGCTTGAGGGATGGGGCTTACTAGAATTTACGCGCAGCGAAATTTGTCTCGGAGCGGACGTCCTGCACGCCTGATCCACTGGTCTTCGCCAGGTCTGCCTCCGCAGCTACCCTGATCATGCGCTGGAACGCGTCTAAAAACAGTACCCCCACAAATCTGTAGTCGCGTACATGTCAGCGAGAAGTTGCCTGACGAGCACAAGTGGACGTACATGAATGAGATTTTGATTCCGTAGGCGAGTTTCGCGACGATTGGGCTTTCCGAGAGGAAGCGGAAGAAACGTTTTCTGATGCCGTAGGGCAGCGGCGCGACCAGGATGCAGAAGGTCGCCATCTCCGCCGCGAGGAGCATGAACGTGAGCGAGTAGCTGCACACCGCATGTCAGAATATTCATCTCTACTGTTTTGCAATAAAACATACTAGATCGTCATTTAAGATGTCTGTCGTAGGAGAAAGGGATGCTGGTGGTCGTGCACAGGTCGTGGCGGTTTAAAGCGGGCAGCGTGCAGCTGTGCCACCGCTCAGGCCACGTCTCCCCCGCAGTGCGACGTCATCTGCCCTGGGCGCCCGCCGGCCGGCTTCTTCCCTTTCTCGACCCCCGCTCCGGCCGGCCTCCGGAGGCACGTGCCGTGACGCGTGCGTAATGTGGGACGCGCGTCGAACAGATTGAAATCTCGCGAAGACAAAAGCTGGGTGTGCGCGTCCGGTGGCTCCAGCATCTTTCTCGCCGCATCCCCTACGACGATCTCTCTGAAAGCAACAGCCATGGCCCCGCTTGCCGTGAAGATCAAGCACGCTGGAAAGGTGCACGACGTGCAGCTCGACCCCGATCAGCCTCCGACCGTCTTCAAGGATGCGGTCTACCAAGTGACCGGCGTCCCACCAGACCGTATGAAAGTCATGATCAAGGGAGGGGTGCTCAAGGTTCGTATGCTGCTTGTGCTTAGTTAGCCCTGGACTGATGCCTCTATTGCCGGCAGGATGACACAGACTGGAAGAAGGTCGGTCCCAAAGAGGTGAGTACTGTGCCTTTGAACGAGCACTTCGGTCATAACGCGCTACGCTTTCGCTCAACGCAGGGTCAAACGTTCATGGTTATTGGCGCCGCAGGGGAGCTGCCAAAACCCCCAGAAAAGCCAATTGTGTTCCTCGAAGGTAAGCCATGCTCGTCCACTAACCCCAGCGCGCTTGCAAAGCCGCCATCCAACACTTTTCGCGTCAGAGATGCTGACGAACCCCTCTGGTCTCAGATATGGACGAGTCGTCCCTCGCAGAAGCTGTGGGTAGCGATAAACCTTTTACGACCTGCATTCAAGGATCTCACCCTGCGATCACAGCTCGCACTCCCTGTCGGTCTCAAGAACCTCGGAAACACATGTTACATGAACTCCACTCTCCAAGCACTACGTGCAATTCCTGAGCTCCAAACAGCACTACAGAGCAACGCACCGCCTGGTCTTCCCTCCGCACTGGGACAACTATACCAGCAGATGTCGAAGACCACGGACAGCGTTGTGCCTGGCACATTCCTTACAGCACTGCGCCAAGCGTTCCCGCAGTTCGCGGAGCAGAGTCGGAGTGGCAAGGGGACTGGTGGCTTCGCGATGTATGCTCAGCAGGGTCAGTACCACAGTACGGTCCTTCAGCATATGCATGTCACTAAGCACGATCCTCTCTACAGATGCTGAGGAGTGCTGGGTGCAAATGACGAACTCCCTGAGGGATGTGTCCATTCCTGGCCCCTCAGACGGTTCTTCGCTCCCTCGAAAGTTCGTTGACCAGTACATGACGGGCGAGTTGCGCAGAGAGTGAGTACCAGTGACATAGGCCATCTGCGAGTTGCTCATGAACGCACCGCGAAGGCTGAAGTGCGACGAGGCACCAGATGAGCCTCCATCCATCTCATTCGAGAAAGCTCTCAAGGTCGAGTGCAACATCTCGATCACGACGAACTACATGCTCCAGGGTATCAAGGACGTGCGTATAATTGCGCCAGTATGCAGATGCATCACTGACCAAGATCGCAGTCTCTGAACCAGAAGATCGAGAAGAACTCGCCAACACTAGGCCGTGATGCTCAGTACACCGCCACCTCCCGCCTCTCCCGCCTGCCCAGCTACCTCACCATTCACATGGTGCGCTTCGCATGGCGGACGGACATCGGGAAGAAGACGAAGGTCATGGTAAGCAGTTGATGCCCCCCGACTCCACCGCGCTCCGCTTGACAATCTTTCGTAGCGTAAAGTGAAGTTCCCGACAGACTTCGACGTGGTCGATCTCGTAACGGACGAGCTGAAGCAGAAGATGATGCCGCTCGTGAACAAGTACCGCGAGGTCGAGGGCGAGCGCTCTGAGCGGCGAAGCATCCGCAAGAAGACCGCCCTCCGCATTGCGAAGGAGCAGAAGGCCATCGCATCCGGCAGCGCACCCGCAGAAGGTACGTACGTTGTGTTTGGCGCTCACCCTCGGCTGACGCGGTCTCTACTATGTAGCGTCCTCGTCTTCGGCCCCTGCGGACGCGGATGCGGAGCCTGTTGCGATGGACATCGACCTGGAGGACGAGTCCGTGTACCGGCAGAGGGAGAAGGCCCAGCTCGAGGCACTGATCCACCCAGACCTCCAAGCAGACATCGGCTGCAGCCTGACAGGCCAATATGAGCTTATCGGTACGTCGTCCCACCTCACCGCACCCTATTCATCCTCTCACTTCCCACTTGCAGCGATCGTCACCCACAAAGGCGCCGCGGCCGACTCGGGCCACTACATGGGCTTCGTCAAGAAGAGCGCGATTCAGAATCAGAAGCCCTCCACGGGCGCGTCTGGGTCGTCGTCGAGTGCAGTGACGCCGGCGCCCGCGCAGGAGGACGAGGATTGGTACAAGTTCGACGACGACAAGGTGTCGGTGTTCCCGAAGGAGAAGCTCGCGACGCTCGACGGCGGAGGCGAGGACTCGTCGGCGTACGTGCTGTTGTACAAGACGAAGCCGCTTGCGTAAGGGGCGTCAGTGTGTAAGTGTCCAACGAAGGTGTTGTACAGATGTGCGATAATGTCAGGATGAATTTGCAATTTGACGGCGCTGAGGACGGATCCTTGCGCTTTTAGAGGGACGGTGACACTTGGGCGGTCGTCGTCCCCGAGCCCTGTCGCCGCACAGGTATGTACAGGACTTGGTGTATGTGCGTCAGCTGAATTGTGTCGTTCGTCCTTTTCGCTGTAAGCTGCTGACCAAGCTGTGCTCGGTATGCAATGCAGATTAGAAAGGACGATCGAGGAATGATCATGATCGCGCACAAAACGGGATCTCTGATCCACCGCGGTCGAGATGCCTGCACGATGCTACACATCTTCCGCTCCGCTCGACACTCGGGCGATGCACCGGCGCATGACAACCTAGCGCTGTTTCTATGAACTGTGCTTGCCTCTTAAGAGATATTTCTCCCCACGCCGTCTGTGTGGTCGGTCGAATGGTATGGACGACTTAGCAGACGCCTTCGAAAGACGTACTTCAGCAGCACATTGCGCCTTGTATTGGCGTCACTTGTCAAATGCCACAGCCTCGACTCGGCCGCTGAGAGTGTCCGCGCTGTTGTTCCCATCCACATAGACAGACAGGGATGATTAGCTTACGCCATCCACGCTGAACCTTGGTAAGCTGCGGCTCACACCCAGAACACACGCAACACCAGGCGTATATAACGCCATGACTTCAATGCCTACTTCAACACAACCCCCGTCGTCTGAACAGTCGCTCCACAGCTAGTGTATGTCCTATAGCATGTCTACGAAACTCAGCCGATCCTCGTACACCGTCGTCCTCGTCGGCGCGACCGGCGGCCTCGGTGAGTGATCAGCTGAACAGTTCATTCACGCCAGAGCTAAACCTAACTTCACTATGCCTCTCTAGGAAAGGAGGTTGCGAATGTCTTCCTCTCCTCCTACAAGCCCTTCTTCTCGCGCATCATCGTCACTGTGCGAGACACCACCACCCCAGCCGCGAAAGAGCTCGCTGAGCAGGGAGCTGAGCTCGTTACGATCAGCACTGTGGGCGCTGTAGCGTCGCTCACCAAGGCGTTCGAGGGCGTCGATGCCGTCGTGAACCTCCTGGGTCGGGCGCCGGACGAGTTCAGGGATGCCGTTGGAGAGGCGGCGGTCAAGAGCGGCGCGAAGGTCTACTTCCCCTCGGAGTTTGGCTCGTAAGTCGCGTCGTTGTGCGTTCTAGTGAAAGAGTCCTTGTCTGAGCTGTGACCATAGTGACCACCGTATCAACGACTTCCCCGGATGGGATGACGCTGACTGGATTTTCAAGGGCCAGCACGCACGGAAGTACCGCCAGCTCGGAGCCGGCAGGACGAAGGTCATCTCGGTGTACAACGGGCTCTTCCTCGAGGGCCTCCTCGGGCCTTGGTGTACGTGCCGCGCACTCATCTACCAATCATAAGACGTGCTCACCACGCCTCACAGTCGGCTTCGACACCGCCAAGTTCACCTATACCTCCGTCGGCTCGCCCGACGCGAAGACCGCGGTCACCGCGAAGGCGGACGTCGGGCGCGCGCTCGCCGAGCTCACCCTCCTCTCGCTGAACCCTGAGACCGCCGTGAGCGTGCCGAACGACGTGCACATTGCCGGGAGCAACGTGAGCTGGCGCCACATCCGCGACATCGTCCAGAAGGTGCGCAACGAGCTCAGCGTGGAGCCGAGGGGCGAGATCAAGGTCGAGAGCGTCGAGCTGGCCGTGTATCGGGAGAACCTGAAGAAGGAACAGCTGGTGGAGCCGAGGGCCGGGCCTCTCGACCATATCAAGTGAGTGTCAAGGGTGACGCAGTGCGACCGGGATGCTGACAAGGATGCTATGCAGGGTGCTCATCGGGGAGGGGAAGATGGACTTCTCGAAGAACAACGACGAGCTGGTCAACCCTGGCCAGAGCATCTGGAAGTGGAAGACTGTTGAGAAGTTCGTTCGCGAGAAGGGAGGCCAGGTGTAAACAGTTGACCTGATGCAAATGCAGCTTGTACGATTACTGAGCGACCATGAACGTGAATGTACATACACCTACGTGTAAATCTGTCTTGCCCGTGTACCTCGAGTGTTTGCGAGCCCATATATCCTTGAGCCCCTTTGTGTATTGTGACCGGAGACTTCGAGTCGTCGACATTGCTGTTATATGTTTGACTGGGACTCGGCGAAAACTCGGGGCCCAATTGAATGCATTCGACATATCAAGTGGTGAGAGGATACAAGTCAATTAGCAATGCAAAGCGAGGAGCGATGTAAGGACGACATGAGACGATGACTCGTGAAGACGGTACGTGGCGATCACTCAGCGAAAGACGGACAAGTTCAGGGATGATCATCCTCACTCGGATCCCAGCCGTCACCCTCTAGTAGAGCGGCCAGTGCTCATGCGCTCAGTTTCTCCTTGTCCCACTTGTGCTGATCCGCCGCCGCCTCCGAGAGGTCCGAATCCTGGCACTCACCGTACCCAGTCGGCCGGGCGGCGCCCTTTGGCACTGGAGGGCCCTCAGCCCCGGGCCAACCTTGACGCTGTGCCCACTGCAAGACACGCATTTTCTTGTCGAAGTGTGCCTCGCGTGCAGTGCCAAACGCCGGATCTTCCACCGCAGGCTCCTCGTCGTCAGCCCCGCCGTGCTTCAAGGCACCGTCGTCGATTTTGACCTTGCCAAACTTCCACATCATCTCCTTGTGACCAATAACGTCGGCCTCCTTACCCTGCAGGACAGCAAGTCATCAGGAAAAATACCTCTCATGAATGAGCAACAATGTGGTGTTATTCCATGATATTGATAGTAACGCCGATTATTCTCTCTGTTCTCGTAAAGACAAAAATTCCCTGGTCCCGGTGGGTTGAAATATGAATACTCCGTAATACGTGTAATTATGAAGCATTTGCTTGACATACCTATGTAATGAGCAATCTGTTTTGCATTATTCCGTAGACATTCACAACATTCCAGCATCTTATATCCGTTCACGCAGAATACTGAAGGGAACTTAATGTGTATTGCACTGCATTCAATGGTACTACAACATAAGGGCCTAATGAGAGTCACACTACGCAGATACAATCATTACAGGAGCACTAGGTAGTAATCAGAGAGAACAGTCGCAACGAGACGAGCAAACGATAACAACAGCAACATGACAGAGTACGTTATCTTCAACAACGTTATATGAACTACCTGCGCTGGCCAGAGCGGCGAGACAGGTGGCCTGTAGGGCGAAGCAGAGGAGACGGTTGACGGAAGAGAGTGCAGATATCCGGACACAACAACGCAAACTCGCCGCCGCCACACTTGACTGCGTGTCGTGGGTGTGCTCACATTCGCACATGGATACAAAAACTTCAGATGCACAACCATTTCCAGAGAACGGGAAAGACTCACTTAGCTGGTGTGATCAGTCCAACATGGGCAGCGGGGGTGCTTGGCCATCGCCTGATCTAGGCGAACATCAGCTGCGCGCTGTCAGAGGTTGCGTTGCGCGAACAGCGCGCAAGTGATCACGCCGAGCCGGTCCCTACGACGGTCATGAGCAGAGTACAGATGTACATGTACTTGTCAGTCTACATACCTGATGACTGATAAGTCCGAACACGGGTTTTGAGGCGAGGACGACAATCTGCAGAGGAAGTGAGGATGAATAGAATGAGACATTATGTAAGATTCGTACGGAATACCGAAGACGGTCGAAGAATTGGGCCGGGCCCTGTTGGAATGAGGTGAACATAATAATAATCCTCCGACAACGCATAGTTCCAGTAGCCTTCAGTTGCATAGTAGAGGCTGCGCGGTGGCTGCCGGACTGTGGGGCTCGAACTGCCAGGGAAGTGGCTGGGATGTTGGCCGATCAAGCGCAGTAACAAGGTATTGTCGTGGGCGAGACATGGACAAGTGATGCCGGTGAGCGGGCAGGAGACGGCAGACAGCGGAGAGTGGTCGTCGAGGTAGGACTCAGAGGACCAAGGTGGGAGCGCCTGACGTGGCGGTGGCATGGTGGCACGTGCTCTCCTCCGGACAAGTCGAGACTCGGGCGTTCACGCGTTCACGACTTAGTAATAGCAACTGCTGTTGTCTCGTCATCAACATCTCTCTGAGCCGGGCTCACCAAAGGTGAGTATGTATGTAGTGTCTCTCTGCGAGCTCGTTGACGAAGGGCTATAGATAGGACCAGTGCCCATGCGTACTGACGGCCTCGTCGTGGTCGTGCACCACGCCCCTCGCCCGCCTGCACGCAGGCGCACACATACCCACCCGCCCTCTCCTCTCGACCGCCCACTTGCGCATTCGCACACCCGGCGTGCACGCGGCACGCCTGCCCGCCGCCCGTTCACGCCGCAAAGGCAAGCAAAGTCGCACCCAAGCGATCGAGCTGCCCGCGCAGTCGACACGCACGGCAACCACAGACGGGCGCGGCAAATGCCCAGCATGCAAGCACGGCCGGCGAGCGGACACCACGCGCGCAAGGTCGGGAGCGAGCGAATGGCAGGTACGGGTGGGGGCGAGGCCGAGAGCATGCAGGCAGGTGAGTAGGAGGGTAGGACAGCAGGTGAGTGGACTGGCAGGCAACCGGTCAAGCTACCCGCTCAGGCGATGCACACGGCGACCAGCAGCGCGCAGGGCAAATGCCCCACCCACAGCGACGGCCGACGAGTGGACGCCACGCGCGCAGCACAGGCCGCACGTACCCATTATACGCACAGCGACCGGCAGCGGGCAGGTCCTGCCGCCCGCTCATCTGTCTACGCACTCACTCCTCCGAGTTGCTGGCGATCGCCCGCACGGCGCACGCATGTCCACCCCCTGCTTGCCCGCGCGATCGCCCGTGTCCTTGCACGCTTGCTCGCCGTCCACTCTCCTCGCCCGCTCGATGCGTCGCCAATATCCGTACCCGCGCCAGCCCGCGAGGACCCGGGATGACTGTACACACGGGGCGGGTACTTGACCGTGCCCGCGCGTAAGCCTCCAGTACATTGGACGAGCGAGAACGTCTTAAATGAATGTACCGTGTCCAACTTAGTACCAAAGCCCCCATAGCCTCTACAATTTATATTAGTACCACTATGTACATGTGTCGGAATGCCATGCTTATTCTCGTTCTGTATGTGAACCTAGTGCCTGACACAGTGAATGACATCAATGACACCAATATTACTTAGTATACAGAACCGATTCCTATCATACCTAGAATTTCGCGAGAATGTCACGAATGGCTGTCGGCATGCGGAGTAATCCCACGTATTCGCAGTAATAGTGTGGATGTTGCAGCATTAATGCTAATTCCGAGGGGGGGATTTTCCTGATGAAGGCGCGTTTCGGCATCTGACTTTGCCGCATTGCGCAAGATTGAGATGATGCGGTCCCAGGGAATATGGATGGGGTGTTTCTTCAGGTCCGCGACATCCTCGAGCGCTTGTGAAAAGTCGTTGAAGATCGCTTCCTTATGCAGTACTGCGACCAGTGGGTGGTGCAAGAACAAGAGGTACACACTGTTGTGGAGGATGGTGCGACGCATCTCAATGATGGCCCTTGCGACCGCCGCCTCGAAACGTTGCCTCTCCTTTCGCTCGTCTTGCCCCAACGTGACGTAGAGCCGCTAAACTGTTGTGAGCTGCGACCCCACAAGATGAAGACTCATGTAGTGCTCACCGAGGCGCGGCAAGCCCGCGATCAATGAACCATTGTGGATCCCTGTTTTCCTTGACACCCTGAGAAAGCAGGTCGAAGTCTTGTATGCTCGAGAAGGCGTACAGGACCACCTCGATGCGTCCCTGAATCACACATCCGTCATAGGACCAACCGAAGTCCCGAAGTCCAAAACACGCTTGGCACGTGAGTTCAGATTCTGCGGGCTTGGTATGTTCTGCAGGATGGGTGCTTTCTTTGTTTTGCGCAGACGAGCGCAGACGAGGATTGGCGGAGGCGTCACAAGGGAATTCGGTGATGTCAAGTACAAAATGGGGGACAAGATCATACCCCTCTGAGGTCCCGTTCACCTTCACAAAGATCTGATCCTGTGTCTGCATACCGGCACTATGAGACATAGCACTCACAATATGCATCAGTACTCACCTTCTGCAACACATGTTCTGCACGCTCAGCAGAAGAGGTTTCAGTGACTGTGCGCCAGATTGGGATGTTTGCAGAGATGCCTTCCGATGTGGGGGTGGCCCTCCTTTCCCTCTCTTGTAGCACTACACACCTGCCCATGTTGTCCAGAACAGTGGTTCCGGGGACAATTTGCCTCACACCTTGAGACAAGTCAATGAATTGCATCTCGCGTCGTACGGCAATGTCCTCATCATCACTCAGTCCGTCGGCCACAGAGCCGGCATCATCATCAGCATCAACATTGTCATCATCAACAGGCTCTGTGGCAGCATCGTCGGTATCAGGGGCAGAGTGGAGGCTGTTGTCGGGGACAGTGTTGTTGCCATCATCGGGGCCAGCATCGTCGCCATCGTCAGGGGCAGTGTTGTCGCCGTCTTCGGGGATGGGGATGTAATGCATGAAGTGATCGGTATAATCGGCAACATTGTCCCTGCATATGGTTCCCCACAATGCAGACATCACCTTATGCACCAGCGAGATGCCCTGCACTTTGACACCTTCTGGTCCTTTCATGAGTCTGAAGATCACCATTTAGCATGTCATAGAGCAAATGAGGGCTCAAACATACTTAAAGTGTTTGATGAAGCGGGGGCAGCGATGTGTGACATAGTCAAGAACCTCATCCCACTGTTGAGTAGAGAGAGCAGCAGACTGAGTGTATGTTAGATTTGGCCATTCAACAAGATGATTGACAAGTACCCGTTTCAGACCACCCACAATAGGGAAGCCCGGGTAGGTTAGCCACTCGCCAAAGAGGCTCATGGAGTGTGGGGGGAGGTCCCAGTAAGCCTGCAGAGTTGCGAAGTTGCTTTGGGGATCGGGATGACCGTGGTCAGACCCATCCTCACTGGAGGAGTGTTCTGAATCAGAGGAAGCTATGGTCACGATGAGTCTCACAGCACAGTCAATCGACACACTCAGTGCTCACCTTGGGCAGCACTCCAGTACCCGGAGTCTTCAGCCGGCATATTATTATCTGGGGGAGGGGGAGGCAAATGGGGGCCAAGAGGCAGGGGGTTCACGGACTGAGTCGGGGACGAGTCGGACGACATGACTGGGCAGTTTCAAGAGGGCACGGCGTCGAGCACATACGACCGAGAACTATTAAAGTTAACGTTCAACGTTCAACACCTATACAGATGCTCCCACGCGGATCCCCGCGCGGCCTGATTGGGAAGAGTCGGCACTTGAACGACCAGTCCCTACGGGCGGGTGAGTGTATAGTGATTTGGCAGGCAACTAGCGCAGAGCACAGGTACACCCGCAGGGACCACAGCACGTAGCCGTACCGTACCCACAAGGGTACAGACCCGTCTGAACGGGTGCAGGACACGGCAGGTCGCGCGGGTTCAGCGCGGGTAGTGTAGTATGGCTCAGTACAGGACAATGTTGACAGATACACAATGGTCGCGGTGCAGCGGCTCGTCCATTCTGTTAGGCATCCTGTAATACATCAACGTTGCCCTCACCGCTCGCAAACCTCAGCACCGTCATCCTCCTCCGAATTGATCTTGCAAGAGTTATGGTCCTTGACGAAGCCGCACATGCTCCAGTCGCTGAGACAGAGACATTACATTCTGAATGTGGGGTACGATCAAGCGACCACGGCTGAAGATGCGCGCAACATCTGTCGATGCTGCTGCCGTTGGTTGGCTTCAGCGGGGCGAGAGCTGGAATGTTGTCCAACATAAAGCATGGAGGAAGTATGAGCGCACAGCAACGGACGAGGCTCGTACACGCACCTTGTATTTGGGAGTACGGACGTCCTCGCTATCCTCGCTCTTGTCACCATCCGTAGCCCCATCCTGGCCCTTCTCGCCGTGGCGAGATAGCCAGTCGGCATACTCATCACGGACAACGTACTCAGCTGTTCTAATCCAATGACCTTCCCATTTCGCAGCTGGCGACGAGGATGAAGCACTAATAGACGGTGAGCCAAAACTATATACAGATGTAGTGAGACTCACCTAAGTCACATACGATACAGTATATAATCAAGTCGTCTGTCCGGCTGTAGTAGCGGTTAAGAGTGCGCGAGCTTCACAGCAGCGCGGATGAGGGTGATATGTTCGCTTCGAATGAGTAATCTATGAGGTCTATGGCCGGTATGACCATGGCGAGAGAGCGTGAATCTGGTGGCAGAGCGCGCCGCGATGCGAGAGTGACAGGTGTGACCAAGGTTGAGACTGTCACACCACGGTGGCGCTGCCCACGTCCGGAAGACGGTCATGACGGAGGTCGCAGGGCGGCACATTCAGATTCAGGCCCTGGCTCTCCTTGGAGCGAACACGCCAGTGAGGGTCATTTCCTGGGCATGTATGTCGTCAAACTCTCACCTCATCGACTCCGCCTCACGTCGAGCACACCGGGTACAAAGACGCATCCCACACCAGCGCTGAGCGAACAGCAGCACCATCATCTTCTACTTCTAGCGCAACGTTATCATCTTCGCCGCAAGCAACACCCGACTAATCTCATTCGTCACCAACGTTTCGGAGACCATGAACGCCGCTCTCCCGGAGTCCGTCACGCTCGAGCAGCTCCAAACCGTCAATGACGAGCTCCGGCGCAAGAAGCTCGACGCGGAGAAAGACCGCGACCTATTCCGCGACATGTACAGCAAGGCCTCCGCGCACGCAAGCGAGGTCACGAAGGAGAACAACGAACTGCTCGAGCGGGCTGAGCTCGCAGAGGGACAAGTGAAGGATGGGCTACGGATGATCAAGGGGACTTACGAAGAGCGGATCCGGTTACTCGAGGCGGAGGTGGAGAAGTGGAAGGGGCAAGCCCAGCTGCTCACTGCGAGGGACAGGCGGACGTTGGAGAACGAAGAGTTTCGAAGACGTGCGGCGATGGAGCCAGAGCTGAGGGGGGAGAACGAGAGGCTGAAGGAGGAGCTGCAGAAGCTGCAGGAGGATTATGCCAAGCTGGAGGTGTTGCTCGCGCAGATTGGGGAACAAGAGTTGGATGACTCGGCACCACCGACGCCGATGCTTGAGGTTCCAGGCCGTCCAATGCCTCGTATAGTGAGGACATCGACCACGTCCGTGCAGGTTCTGACTTGAGAAGGTATGAGCTCACCATGAGCCCGTTTCCGTTGTCGCACGTGCCTCATCCAAGTCTCCAGCCAACAGCTTAGGGTCGAGAGTATGAACATTGGTCAAGCAGTCTTCATTAATTGGTTGTATGTACGTATATCTGCGTCTTGAGGCGTGGACACGAACTAATCGGTTGCGTACAGTGTATGGCCGAAGTCACTGTGGTATAACTGTGTCACACGGGTTCCTGTTTCCGCGGAGCATAAAGCAAATGCTCCCACCGTGGCGGTCTGCGATATGTTAGCTTGATTCCTGCCTTATGTGGTCGGTATAGCTGATCAGTGGTAGCTTGAGGATATTCTAGGGCGCGATCGAACCTCCGCCCTATGGGTACCAATTAAGCGGCTCGAGAGATGCTGCCGCATGTAGTCGTCGCGCATGAAGACCATTGGGAACTAACAGCCACCTGCCTGCTATCTTGGCGTAGAAATCGCGGGGCTTGCGTAAGTCATCGACGAAGGTCCACGAACGGCGGCGGCATACCGCCCGCGCTGTAGAAGCCAGACAGACTCGTATGTCTGCCGAAGTGGCCTACGGATGCGTTGAGCATTCTGTAGAGAAGGACACTACGTATATGTATGACCTGCATCTCTCTGATTCTGAGTACAGTACATTCCTCAGCTACCCTCCCGACCTCGCAAAGCGCCTCGCCAAGCACGACGCGTGCATCTGGGCGCTGGGCAAGACATCCGTCGGGATGAACGAGGCCGAGTATACGCAGATGTCGCATGGGTACGTCATGAACGCTGTGCGTGCGCTCAGGGAGGCGGGCGTAGGAGAAGGACGGCCTGAAGGCGATCCGTTCCGTGTTGTCTACATTAGTGGAGAGGACGCGGACCCTAGCGGAACGTCGTTTGTGCTATTCTCGCAGTCAAGGTATGGTTCCGCCTCCCCTACTCGGAGCTGCTAATGACCTTGCGGGCGGGTAGGCAAGGCAGAAACAGACCTGCCCGAATCATGCATGAAGGCACGCACCTACCGGCCGGGGTACTTCCCTGCATCACAGTACCCTGATGACCGCAGGCACCTGCGTTACGCGTACGCTGGGTTCATGGACACATTCCGAACTTCGTGAAGACACCCCTGTACAAGGTGCTAGCGCCGTCGCTACTGACGCCATCGACGATATAGCGCAATTTGCTGTGGAACTCGCGAAGGGGCGTTGACCGGAGAAGGACCTGTTCCGGAACAAGGACATAAGGGAACTGATGCAATGGATTGACAAGCATGGGCCTTGTGTTCTAGGGAGAGTAAACCCTCATGTGTTGTACTTGTGTACCGACAAGTCTTGCAGTCCCCACGGAGCGTCAGTCCACGTCAATTCTACAGCATTAGTACAGTACTAGCATATACATAGTTGGGAAGGAGCATGCGCTGACCATATCGTCTTCCCAGGCCAACTAGTCTTCGTTCTGTCGATCTTCGTACGTGTAGAGGAAGGACCTAAAATAGTCGTCCGGCTTCTGCCTCCACCTAGGTTGCCAGAACACATCGTACGCCGTGTCCACATGAACCGCCACGTAGGCTCTCCTCTCAGCTTCATCTGGAAGAAGTGCCAACCTAGACACTGCGTGAGGCCGGAAGCCGATAGACTCGGTATAGCCAGACTCTGGGTCCTCGTAGAGGAAACGCAGTTCTTGTAGGGACTCTGAGTGGAGGTGTCTATCGAAGAAGTCCTCGGAAAATGCCACCAGTTCGTCGAAGAAGTACTCTGGGGACATCGGATTGGCTTTGTCTGCATCGGGGTGGAATGTCAATGACGGCCCGCTGCGAACGTGCAGGGAGAACATGGTACTTACTGGACAGGTTGTCGGATAGGCTGAGGCTCGTTTCAATGCTATCGCTCATCTCGACGTCCGAGCATACGGTTCCGACATCAGCGTAGTCAGATCCACAATCGATTGCTTCCACCACAAAAAGAGCCGAGAGCGCGAGTACGCGCAAAGTAGGGGTCTGGCGCACAGTCGTGCTCCACTCGACCTGCCCGTACACGGTCCGGGTCAACGTCAAGCCTGTCATCGTAGGGGAAAGCACGCACCAGGAGTTCCTCGGTGAGCGAATAACTGTACAGCGTTGCTCTCATATGGTCTAAGACAATCTCTTCTAGATTGGGGAAGATGTCGAGGATACCCGATAGTAGATGCGGCCCAAACTCGGGCATAAACTGGTCATCCACATTCACCGTAAGTCGTAGCCGGCGTAGCGGGCACTGCCCAAGCACAGTCAAGTGCTCCAGCTTGAAGAATGCAGATATCGAGAGGGTCGCGAGGCTGCCCCATCCTGTCGCCTATCATGGTGCATTGTTAGAACAGCATTGCCACCCAGGAGCATGGCACTTACCAACGCATAGCTTACAAACTCAGAGTGGTCCTCAAATTCTGGGTTGCGTCCGCCGCACGTGAGACACAACTGCTTCACCGTGCGGGCAGACCCGGTGGTACGCAAGCCACCCCCGAAGACGGCCTCCCACGGCTCGCTCGTCATGACGCTCTCCCTGAAGTCCAGAGCACGCACACCCACAGGCTGGGCCAGGAACGCGCGCGAGAGCTGCACGTCCTCTGAGCGGATCGTGATCCGCTTGACCTGCAGATTACGCACAGGCATGGTGGGCCTGTCATTCGTCAAAGGCAGTGGCACAGTGACGCCTGCGCTTGTGCACACGCGAATGAGGCCGAGTTCAGCGAGGGGACGCTGGTCGTCCCGCGCGAGCTCCATCAGCGTGCGCAAGAATGGGAGGAGTTGGCCTGTCGCGGAGGCGTCGAGGATGAAGGCCCTTAGGTTCGGGGTCGTCTGCGGGTCAATGAGTTGAGCGAGGGAATAGTCTAGGTCGCTCAATAGCCGAGCATACATCTCCGCGCTCTCGTTGAGGGCATCGAATATGTCGATGCCCTGTTCCACAGGCGGAGAGACCTCCACCGGAAATGACCGAGGATCGAAGAGCGAGACGCGGAAGACGTGGGTCGGGTGACCTCTGTTGTCATCGAACGTCCGCAGGAGCAAGGTGAGATGGTCCATGAGCCGAAGCAAGCCGGGCATGCTCCCGCACGTCGCATCAAGTGGGAAGTGAATGGAATTATAGGCCATCGGGGCGCACCGCTGCAGCGTCCTGCAAGTGGCAGCGACGGAGAGGATGTCCTTGTTGCGCAGATTCCCGAGGTGCAGGATCCTGCGGAGAAGGTCCATGGGTAAGTACGGGAACGGTGATGGGTGTTGCTGAGGTGGAGGCAGAGGTTGGGGGCCTGGTTGGGAAAAGAGCTGGGCGAACAGTTGAGCCTGCATCCTGTCGCAATTAGAGGTGGGAGTCGTCTTTGTGAGGGGGCCAAGAAGCAGAACAGAGTAAGCGCTCAGTATGCGGGGTGAAAGGGGAGTGGCGGTGGTGGGGGAGTTGGTACACGGACTCTAGCCTATGAATGGGAAGTTGAGAGTAGCAGACTCAGAGCGTCTGACACGGATGACATGGCTCATGGCCTTGTGCCATGAGCGACGAGATCAGTAGGATCTGAGCGCTTATACACAACACCTACCGCGTTGGTCGCACAAGGTTCAGAGCATCCTTGTACTTGGGCCATAGCTGTTGAAGGCTGCGAGCAGCATGTGATAACATATCATGAACCTGATAAGCCTTGTTCTTCGAACGGAGGCATTCTTGTGGTCTGTACTAGTTGCTGATCACTTGCTGGTTCGGTGTCTCCGAGAAGACCAACGGAACAACGCGGCGTTCATGCTACAATAGGTATCATTGCGATGTGACATGGTATGCAGGACGTCAGCGAGTTAGCATAGACACTAGGACAACTAATAGAAAGCACACAAGTAAGATGTAATACAGTTCGCGATCGCCCTTCGTTCCGCTTGCAGAACCCAGAAAGCAGGAAGTGGACCGGAGGCTCAAGTCGAATGTCATGACGACTTGTCTTCGCCATTTGCACTGGGCTCGTCCTCCATATCTAGGTCATTGGCTGAAGGCACCGCCGCGGAGGTGGCCGCTCCGATGGCTTGCCCGGTCCGTTGCTGCGGTGTGATGTCCCTACAACAACACAGGTAAGCACTTAGACCTTTCACACCCACACAACACCAACGAGCGCAACGAGGTCTTCTGCTCCGCACCCGTTGATAGAACACGCACCACTTGATCTGGAATCGCGTCACTCGCGGCTTCGAGTTGATATCCCTCACAAGGCGGTCGAAACGAATCGGCTCTGGAAGCGCCTCCTTCATCTCCTCGTTATCGTACTCCGTGTTCTGGTAGTATCCCACGCGAACGAACTCTTGGTCCTTGTAGGAGCCAGTGAGAATCAATGCTGCCACACCAAGGACGTCCTCAGGCGGGATTTTGGATGGGTTTGGGGCTGAACCCTCGAAGTCAAACGCGTTCACTCCCACTGGTACTGGCCCCACGAGACAATCATCCAGCTCTTGATCCAGCTCCTCGTTTCCCGGCGAAGAGACGTAGATGAGCCGCCATTCCAGATCTGCAGACACCGGTCAGAACGCATGAACTTTCGATGCTGAATGCGAGATCGGGGGCACGAGCAGGTAGACGCACCTTCTGGAAGGGGTGCTATGCACTCAAAAGTGACGCGAAAGTGATATGGGTCCGAGAACCTCGCGGGGTTGTTGAGGAATTCTACGTTCTGTGATATGCATGAGCAGCATAGCCACAACAGCGTGGCAGTACGCACCCTGATGGTCACAATAGACATGGTACGTGAATCCTTCCAGGTGCAATTGAGTGGCAGACTTGGAAGAGGATATGATGGATGGGCGCGAGGGACAAGTGCGGTCCTGAGACCGTGGACTAACCGTGGCCCACTGGCACTTGCGCGAAGGAACGCGTAGTGTCACAAACGCGTTACGTGTCACTCATACGTGACAAACGCGTGTTTCACGCGCTCAAGCCGCAAACTGCGCAAACTTGTGCGCGACTGATGCACCGAGTACCGATCACGAATGGAACGACTCGTTCAGTACAGCGCACCGCCCACCCCGAGGACATTAAGGGCCTTACATGAATCTCATGAGGAAATGAGAGACCCAGACCAAGCATCCCATGGTGAAATTAGCGACTGATATCGGAAGACTCAATAAGCTTTCTGAAGCGATGCCCACTGCCCGTGCAGTGAGTGAACCAAACGCGGAATTGTCGTGGTAGTTCGAGCTCGAGGCCGGCGCAGTGAGAAACGATGTGACAACTACAAGCACATTTGCATTCTAAACTTCTCGTAAGATCCGTACACACAACTACTGGTAACCTTCATAGAACACGACACCCAAGATACAGAGGAAAACACGGATACAGTGTGTGACCGCTTATAGCTCTGCAACGCGGGCCGGTCAGCATCTGCAACCCACGGTAGGACTAAGGGAAAAGGAACTCACTCTGCATGGCGACAACGTCGGAGCTCTGGACATAGTCTTCTAACTCAGCAACCTTGTCCTGGAGGTCTTCGAGGGAGACCAACTCGTCCTCTGCGGTGGCTCTTTAGCAGATGTCTGCGGAGCGACAATAGATGGACGTACCAACGACGAGGGTGACCTGGAGCTTCCTGATACCGTAACCAATCGGGACGAGCTTGCTCGCACCCCAGACGAGACCCTCCATCTCGATGGCGCGTACCGCCTCTTCGAGCTTCACCATGTCGGTCTCATCATCCCAAGGCTTCACCTCGAAGGTGACAACAGACTGCATGATAGCATGGTGAGCACACGCCAAACGTAGGGCCCATTCAGCGAGTACAGACCTTGGCAATCGTCTTGGGCTTCGCGGCCTTCTTCACGTTGTACGCGGCGACACGCTCTGCCTTGATGCGCTCTGCCTCCGCATCCTCCTCCTCATCGTCGGAGCCGAAGAGGTCGACTTCATCGTCGTCCTCAGCAGCAGCCTCCTTGGCGGCCTCAGCACCACCGAAGAACGCCTCGCCGGCCTTGCTGGAGCCGGAGAACGACTCAAACTCGGCAGTGTAGGACTTGATGTGGTTGTACCAGCGCGCGACAGCGGGGGAAGCAGACGCGTCAGGAGCAGAGGTGATCGCCTTGTAGACGTGCACGTCGGCCTGCGAGGGCGTGTAGCTGCCGAGAAATTTCGTCAGTCAACGAGTTTCGGGGCAAATGCAGGTAGACGCAAGAGGATCAGAAGGCTAGGTAAATATGGTTGTCGGCATGCTTGAGCAGCGGTGTCTAGTCGCTTCTTGGAAACACGGACCATAGCGTAGTATTCATCACTTCACGCGCGTCCATCGCTGGAACGCTTCGCGCCGAAAGGACGAAAAACTCACCCCTCAACGTATGACCTGGTCGACAAGTGGGAGTTGAGCTTTGCGAGATCGACAGACATGGTACGGCGAGGAGAAGGAGGAGTAAAAGAGAGGGAGGATGAGGGTCTGGGATCGATGGATGGTTTGAAGCACGTTCAGCAAGTCGAGAAAATTAGAGCTGACTTCAGGGCAGGGCCGAGTCAACTTCGCGTGGCAGAGACGCCGGAGGACTTCGATCCTCCCCGGCGAGCCGAGACGCTGTGGCTGCTGGCATTTCATCCCGTCGCCTCCACGCTTGACCAGAGTCGCCGCGGCTCTGCTACCATCCAGTCAACCGCACTTTTGGTGGAACAGGCTTTTCAGTAGATGAAAAATGGTTTACGTGCATAGGCTGGGATATTTGGGCTCGAGGTGAGTGCTTGAGCGGCTCCCGGGTGTACGGTGCCTGAACGCCTGAACAGAGTGTCGCTGCAAGCAGCATGTCACTCTCAGAGTCGGTTGACCGCTCCTATCCTACTATATGTAAGTCAGTATTACGCACATAAACGTGTTTCTGATGTCCGCCAGCGTACAAGACCACTTCAGTCGCTGCGGCCCAGTGGACTGTCCCATAATGCGCGGAGTTACTGGTGGTCCTCCTCCCCAAAAGCTCCTCAAGAGCCGGTTGTTGATAAGCAACTGACTGCCGAGGAGTTTGCTCCGGAGCAGCCTTGGGCACTGGAACAGTCGCCGGTTGACCCTGTAGAAGGCATAACCGCTGCAGTAAATGCTCCGGTAACGGGCAGCGAGCTGGCGAGTGTGCCGACAGACATTCCGGTAGACATCTCTGCTCTCGTATCAACTCCACCCCCACCCATGCAGTATGGCGACCTCGCATCACTCGGACTGGTCGGCTGGATGCCTGCAGGGTTTTGTCGGTGGGGTATGGAGGCGCTTCATGTGTCAACGGGCATGCCGTGGTTCTGGACGATCGTGGGCGCGACACTCATCACGCGGGTGGTTCTCTTCCCTCTCACTGTGAAATCCATGCGCTCGACCGCCGCCCTGGCACCCCACCAGGAAGAGATCAGCAGGCTGCGGCAGAAGATGCAGCTCGCGCAGGAGAGCAAGGACATGATTCTCTTACAGCAGGTTGCTCTGAAGCAGCAAAGCATCTACGAGAAGGCGGGCGTCAGCATGGCCTCGATGGCTCTGCTCCCTCTGGTCCAGCTCCCGATCACGCTCGGCATGTTTTTCGGCGTGAAGGCGCTGTGCGACCTGCCCGTCGAGCAGCTGAAGTACAGCGGACTATCCTATCTGCCCGACCTGACGGTCGCGGACCCTACTGGTGTTTTGCCCATCGCCGCCGCTGTGCTGGTCAACCTCCAGCTCACTGTGAGTTTGCGCGAATGGACATTCGTATCTTATGGGTGCTGATTATTGGTTTTGTAGTTGGGCGCCCGTGAGATGATAGCATCCCCTCAAACCGCTCATTTGGTCAACCTCTTCCGCGTCATGTCTCTCGTCAGTATACCGCTTTGTTGGAACCTTCCCACAGTATGTACGTTTCGTTTCATTCTCGGCTATCGGCTGAATGTCCTGTACAGGGCACCATGGTATACATCATCACGAGCATCATTGGACTCATGGGACAAAGCCTCGTCTTGCGGCCCACGGCCATCAAAAGATTACTCAAGATCCCCATCGTGAAGGACCAGCAGCAGGCTAAGCCCGCAACTATAATGGAATCCATCGCTTTTTTGAAGAAGTGGTGGCAGGACAAAAAGCGGGAGCAGGAGGCTGCCATTAGGAGAAGGCGATAATCAAACGTCGTGTAGACTTACTGTATACTTGGGCTAATTGATTGCTTCCAACTCTGCTCAGGGAAGCAGTGTGGTCTATCGCCTATCCAGTCTATCGCTGTCCCTCCGCCTGGTCGCCCAGCGAGGGCGGCTTGTCCCGAACCAAGCGATGAGGCGGCCGCAGAATCTAAACTGGATCTGCGGATCAATGCCAGTATTCGGATCAAGATTGCCGGCGCACGTGGCCGGCTTCCGTCGCATTTTCAGACCTTGTCCAGACAGCCACTCCGGAGCCAGTGCTTGGCCAGACTTGGCCTTACTGTGGCTGACCCAGCTTTGCAAACGCGTTTGCAAAGCTGTCCCACGCCCTCTAAATCGGAGGGTCCGCGGTTTTTGCCTCGTAGTACCGTTCTTATACTTATTGAGTGTGTGCATGAATATTTATGGGGGTCTCCGAAGGCAGCAACATGCTTTCGGCAGCCGTGCAAACGAGAGACTCGTCCTCCCGCCAAAAGATCGAGTGCAGTTATTTAGCGCTTGTCTAGCGCCCTCAAATATTGAAAGCCCGCTCGCGCGCCGGCAATGCCGGGTACGCGCCAATTGCCACTCGCCACCGCTCATTGTGGCGGAGTTTGTTTCGGCACCGGAAGAGTCCGCATATTGTCTGTATGTTGCGACTCCCTGTCATTGCACGGTGCAAAGGAGCATGTTCCTGTCGCTTCTCTGGCACAGGAAATTTTGACAAACATACTGGATAGGTATCGAGTCCATATGTAGGTCAGAACGCACATAACGAAATGAGGATGCCAATCTACGGTACATCGACTTCTCGTTACACCTGTATTGGGACGCCCGGAAACAGACCTTTGCAATTTTTCTGCAACATGTATTGCGTGCCGCCGTCTGAGCATCTGACACGACAATGTAAAATACGAAGCGATTCCGATGCCATTTTCCCGGAGAGGTTTGCCCTTGTAGAAGGGGAGGAATTTCGCTTTTTGCATAGCTGGGCCGTTTTGCAAAGCTGGGTCAGCCACAGTACGTGCTCGCCAATCGGTCTCACGCAAGAAGCTTCACGTTCGTATACGTACAAAAACACTCACGTAAAATGGCAAGGCGCTTAGAGCATCACCAACTTAAACCCATCCCGGAGATACGTATGTGTCGTAGAGGCCCGCCAGCGCAGCTCCTCTACGTATAGGTTGCGTCCGCGTACTACTGCCTATGCTCACGCGCCGGAGGTTGTTCTCTTCTTCAGCCGTCGACGACGGGTTTCAGCCACTCGAGGAAGACAACACACATCGTTACAGGTATGCGATCCGTGAGCTTGACGGAACCCCGATTAACGTCGAGGCTCGCATAGGGGACATCGCGCAGACTCATTCTTTCCTGAGGATGTCGATGAAATAAGTGCGCCCCCATTACATGCGACGATTGACCTCTCTGATTTGTTCTTCCTCAGTCGAGCTGCGCGCCAGGCAACGGACATTCGATGGGGCGTATGCGAGGACAGCTCTGGTGAACTTTGGGTATGCCCTCACCATCCTCCGCCTGTTCGACAAAAGCTTCGCTCGCAGTATGTGTTCATACACCTGCGCGTCGTGTCTCATGCTGAGCATTGGCCAAAAGTCGGCCTCGTATATACCGTCCTCGGCGTCGCCCTAACGGCCATCTCGTTCTTCCGCCACCGGCACGCACGACACGATTTCGCCGACGTACACCGCAAAGAGACATGGCAAGACGCGATACTCACTGTCGGACAAACAGGCCAACGCAACTACGGACGACCGTTCGTCACTGCTGGGTGGATAGTCGTTGCGGTGACATTAGTAGTCGCCGCAGTCGAGATCAGTCTGCTTGTCCTTGTGTTCGATGCCAAAATAACCGATTCATGACCATGGGTTGGCACCTGGATCTTGCCCGTAGCTGAGTTATGTTACGTTGAGCTTCACTTCGGCAGGACGACGCAGGAAGTTGTTGAGATCTACAGGGGCTTGAGGCGCGTAGCTCACTTTCCAAGGAGCCGCAGAAGGCGATACAATTGCGAAAGGCAATACGGTTTATCAGGTGAGAGAGATCCCAGTAGGATGAAAGGTCCAATTACCATGTTGACCTGCGTCCAGTTAGGGCACAGGGTTGCGTGTTCGGCCCCCGTCAACAATCTCAGCAGCGCCTACAAGGAGCATTCGACTACAAGTTATTTTCCTGTGTCAAGCGCGTTGCAGAGCGCGGGCAGTCCGACCATTCGAAGCGCCTTGATAATCTATTCGAAGTCGCGCTCTCTGTGATACCGGTGTTTCGGGACACCGCCGCACTCAAGGCTCTGGTTGAGATTTTGAAACGTTAACATCCCATTGTCTCTTTCTCCACGTGGCGCTGGATCTAGCTCACTCGCAGTGCTCAACGTGTCGACCCCTCTATAGCGTTAGTAAAGCGGCGCTGTTCGGTCCCGATGCTTATTCGGGCGGTTTGTCCGCTTTCAGTTCAACTCATGTTTGGCGAGAGCGTTTGATCCATTTCTTCCGAGTGATTGCGGGCCGCCTTCGTCACTTATAAACGTGGGCCCTTCCTCGCAGACAGAACACGACACCCTGGCTTCTACTGTCGCTGCCCAATCCGACGGCATATCAACTCCTTCAGTGATACATAGCCTCTCGACCCCGGGAGGATCGAAGTAACTCCGCGTGGGTAGCGCAAAATCTTGTCCCTACTCATACATCAGTACGTGAGTCTGTCGCTCGGAAATAGATGTCACGCCCATGCTTCTCCAGAACCTCTTCGCCATGATTCAACCGACTTTCACTAGGATCGGAGTGATCGGCGCGGGTGCTGCAGGCCTGATTACTGCTCATACGCTGCTCCGTGACGGCTTTCAGAACGTCGAGGTTCTGACGCGCGACGAGAGTCCGGGTGGTGTTTGGGCGGCCGAGCGCGTCTACCCTGGTCTGACGATCAACAAGTCGGTGTTCAATATTTTAATGTTCAATGTCCTTTGTGATCGTGCTGATGGTATGCTCACGTAGCGTGCATGGCGAGTTCAGGTTCTCGCCTTTACCGATGCCTCCACCTGCGGACGCGGCCGCCACCGGTGGACGCCTCTCTGGCGAGGACATGCGACTGTACATGGAGACATTCGCTTCTAGGTTTTTGCCTGGGAAGATTAAGTATCGCGTAGAAGTGCTCAGGATACGACCATCAGACACCGACGCTTGGACAGTCACTGTCAGACATCTGGGTTCAAACAGCGTTGACGACATTGTATACGACAAAATCGTGCTATGTACTGGGGTATCAAATCTTATATCTTGAGGAGGGCTCAAAAACTAATTGAAGACGAACTAGGGGTGCAGCGCACCGAGGATACCAGACGAACTGACACCCGAGAAGGCGAAGTCTGCGTGCTTCTCGGGCCCAATTCTGCACTCCTCCCAATTCGGTTCGAGGCTTGCCGACGTCGTCAGCGCAGGCAAGACGGGCGACGTCGTCATCATCGGGGGCGGAAAGTCAGCGCAAGAGTGAGTAGCATATCATTTGAAGGCTGTGGCCTCTGTCTCATAAACATGGCAGCATCGCGGCGTATCTCGCGCGGCGCGATATCCCTGTCTCTATGGTCTTTAAGACGACGGATGCTGTTCTGGCTACCCCTGTTCCGTACCCTGCTGCTATCAGGAAGAGCAGGCATGTTCATTTGTGTTCTTGGCTTATGTAGGAGCGGCTTACATTCGATCGCAGATTCTTGTCTGTGTTGTCCCCGCACGCGGAGTTGCTCACCGGTCTGGAGTAAGACGTCCCGCTAGTGGCCATCTACGTTCACTGAACCTTTTGACGGCAGACGCTTCCTCCACACCACCTGGCTTGGTTCGCTGATCGTACGCGGCATGTGGGCGCTTCTGACTTGGTCCTCAGTACGCATCGGACTGCTACGTCGCGTATTCAAGTGACTGATCCTCCCTACCCTACGTAGTTCTGGGTGCTCTCCGTTCCGCGTGGTTCACCCTTGAGAAATGCGCCAAACCCACTCTGGACGGTGCGGACGAACGACGAAGGCACCGGCAGAAAGGATGGCTTCCATGCATTGGTCAAGCAAGAAAAGATCAAATTACTCGCACCTGCCCGTGCTGTGGGATACGGTGCGGATAGCCGGTCGATTCTTCTGGACAACGGCGGCAAGGTTCCAGCTGCTGCTGTAGTCCTAGCTACGGGCTTCACATCGTCCTGGAGTGGTGTATTCGATGGTCCGTCCTAGACTCCGCGAACTCTAGAAGATGATGGTAACTCAGCGCTATCTTAGATACAACTATGAATGACCTCGGTCTTGGCCGAATCGTCGGAGGCGTAGCCCCACGCGGAGATCATCATTGGAACTATACCACCTTAGCTAGGTCGTCTTTTAGCCCCAACGATGGTGACAAACGGGGACCATCACTATACAGGGGGATCGTCCCAGCGAAGAACATACTCCGCAGAAATTTGGCCGTCAACGGCGCAATTGTGAGGCATCCTTCACTGAACGGATGTATGGCGCGCTCATGGGATCGGCTCTCTCCAGTACACCACAAACAACGGCTACATCCACGAAGTCACCGCAAACTGGATCTCTTCATACTTCCTCGAGGACAGCTTCCTGCACCTCCCCTTGTCTCCGGAGGGAGCGGTTGCGTGGACAAACCGCAACGCTGCTTGGCTTCGCCAGCGCTACCCGGATGCTCTGTCGTATGCCAACGAGAGCTACAGCGGGGATGTGGCATTCTGGAGGTAAGTGCGAAGCGGTTAACTTAGGCGAGTGCATGTATTGACCGTAATGTAGTTGGCCTCAGCTTGCCGACGGGCTGCTTGCAGACATGCAGCTGCAGACGATGAGAAGTGGGGGGAATGCCTTCACGTGGCCGTTCAAGGTAATTGACCTTGATGAAATCAAGCATCTCCGTGAAGAGCGTGCTGCACTGAGAGCTCAGGGTAGCTGAGCACACAAATTCACCATGCGAGACGTGAAGTCATGGTGTGTCCTACCACGACGTCGAAGTTACGCATCATGTACACCAAACACTGCAGTCCGAGACTCGCACTTGCCCCGTACATAATGGTACATTTTGACCAAGAGCGATAGTGAGTACACGACAGATGATCTATTCGTCACATTGCCGTCCTCCTGCAAGCATAGCAGTGATGGACCGATAGCTTCGAGCAGCTTGTTGACTGGAGCAATATACCAGTCTGACTGCCACACCTCCAGCGTGCGTATTGGCCTGCAGTCAGACACGCTAAGGAGCCAGACAACGAGATCGACGACCATGTTCGCCGGCAAGTCGGCGCCGATGCGCAGGTGATCCAGCTGCGACAACACTGCACCCCGCGAGGATCTACGACGCGACTCTGAAATTCTGAGCTGGATGTCGTCGGGGGTCAACGGGACATGGGTCTCGTGGCCAAGATACCATACGTGATCGAGAGCGACTTTATGGAGACGTGGCAGAGCGGACATGACACGCTGTAGATCCCGGAAATCACTGAATGTGACGTTGAATAGGTTCAGCTCTGTCAGCGACGCGCAGAGGCGAATTGTCCGGAAGAAGGTACGGTGGGCCGGCGCAGCCGTGCAATTGCGGAAGGTCAGACACTCGAGAGACGGGCAGAGTGTCGATAAGGCTCCAGGGGAAATGGTTCCTATCGAGAGTGGCTTCCGCGGAGCGTCCAATCCGTCCTTCGTAGCGACCACGAAGTCACCGTTCAGTCGCAACGACCGTGTGTGCGAGAGACGCTCTCTTACGGCAGTGTGCTGATATCCCGACAGTACCAATCGGCCGAAGGCCTCTGGACGCGAGATGAGGATATCGGTATACAGGAGCTTGATGCAGTGCTGCAGAAATGGAGATGAAACAAGTGCGCAGTTCAGTAGACTCTGGTTGTCATCGATGGGCCATTCGATGATAAGTACACCAGATGATCTCCAGCGGGATGCGGTCGCTGAGCTTTCGAGGGAGCTGTCGCAAACTTTCGTCCTGGTCAAAGTCGGAAACCCAACTCAGAGCCTTAGCAGGCCGACGATCGTAGGATGTGGTGCGCGCGAATAGATTTGAAACGGTGTAAGATGCAGGTCCCGGAGGGGATGACTCTCGGTCGTAGGATGTACCACTGCGATCCGGGGACATGGGGGAGACCTGACCAACAACAGTGTCATGAGAGAGCAGGGTGATATAGTGAGGGTAGCCTGGAGAACATACATATTGGACTTCGACATCATCCGCAGTGCTAGTGACCCCCCCAGTGGATGTGACCTTTCGCAAATGGCGAAGACGGTTGAAAATATCTAAATGCCATTGGAGCTGCTCCATCACAGCTCTGTGCAGATGAGGGAAACTTGCCTTGCGAGGTGTAAGAGTTGTGTAAGATGGTCTGTTGGACTGTTGGAGGAGGAGGAGGTATCCAATACGGAGCGCCTAGAGTGCCCAATTCGGACACGGGGCGTCTATTCCACTACGTGGGGCGCATAGCTTTCGCCCGCCAACTTGCTCGCTACGACTCGTTCGCTCTGGTTGTGCTGGCCGTCTAACATCTGGGACGACAATCGGGATTGTGTTCGAATCTCGCTCTGATGTCGTCGTCAAGTGTCTCGCCATCGCCAACAACCGCAATCCCCTCCGCTACAGCCACCCCTGCACCCGTAGAGGAAGAAGAGTACTACTCGTCATGGTCGCTCTTCCTGGTCTGCGGCCTCCTCGTTCTCTCGCTATGGACGTCCTACTATCTGCAGATCAAGAGGATACGCGCAATTCACGAAACCCTCGTCGCGATTATTGGAGGCATGATCGTGGGTTTGGTAGTGCGCCTCGCACCGGGGACTATGATTCGGGAAATGCTGGTGAGTGTCCCTTCGTACTGCATCCCCCCTCTTGCTATCTGCTCCTGTGCGCGCAAGGGAGCTCGTGAGACTTGGGTCCGTGGAGACCGTGCGCATGTACGACCGCTGTACTCGGTCCGAGGAACGTGGTCAGAGTTGCTGTGGTGTTCGAGTCGCGCCTATAGTGACCTCCATCTCGGTTCCATACCTGGAGATTATTTCGTTTGCTCAGAAGAGCCGATGCGGCGCAACAATCTGCACTGGGCGGACATCGCATCCGTTGCGTCGCGTTGTTCCCGCTTCTCTTCGTACGTACCTGTATGTTCTGTCCTGTCTGCGTTGTTGCAAGCGCTGGTCTCCGTCACAACCTCGCTGCCTAGTGTGGGCAAGGCAGTTTCAGCTACAATGATATCGTCACTTCGTACCGTCGTTCAACCCCGTCTCTCATTGTAATTACCCCTCATCACTTGAAACGATGTTACATTCGACGTCCGGACTCATATGCTTCGCAGACCTTCAAACACACCCTATTCTTCAACCTCCTGCTGCCGCCCATCATCCTCAACTCAGGCTATGAACTGAAGCAGGTGAGTATCTCTCGAAGAACCACGCCCTCTTGACCTTACAAAACCCAACCAGGAAAATTTCTTCCGGAACTTCGGCTCCATACTGACATTCGCGTTCCTTGGGACCTTCATCTCCGCAGTTGGTGTCGGGTGCGTACGCTCGGTGCTGCGGTATTGTTCTGATATGCACTTACCACGTACAGCACAGCGTCCTGGTCTACATCTACTCGTTCCTGGGCCTTGAAAACCTGGAAGTAGGGCTGATAGAATGCCTCATCTTCGGGTCGACACTATCTGCGACGGACCCAGTTACGATCCTCGCCATATTCAATCAATACAAAGTTGACCCAAAGCTGTACACCGTCATCTTCGGCGAGAGTCTGCTGAACGACGCAGTCAGTATCGTCATGTATGAGTGAGTACCGCACACGTCGAGTCTGTCTTAGAGGGCACTGATCACGTAACGTCAGGACCCTGACGCAATTCCATGGCACGGAGATCTACGTCTCATCCCTTTTCCACGGCATCGGCATCTTCTTGCTGTCGTTCAGTGTCTCGATGGCGCTTGGCGTCGTCTTCGGCCTCGGAATGTCGCTCATCCTGAAGCACTCGTCGCTGATGCTGTACCCCTCGATCGAGTCGTGCCTGGTCGCGCTCTCCGCCTACACGTGTTACTTCTTCTCGAACGGCCTGTCCATGTCCGGCATTGTGTCGCTGCTGTTCTGCGGAATCACGCTCAAGCACTATGCGTACCACACGATGTCGCGGAGGACGCAACGCGCGACAAAGTACATCTTCTCGACGCTCGCGCAGCTCTCGGAGAACTTCATCTTCATCTACCTCGGGCTGTCGCTCTTCACGAGCCCGCCGTCGTCCGAGAAGGTCACGAACTACGTCAAGCCGATCTTCATCACAATCACGACGGTCGCCGTCGTCTTTACGCGATACGCAGCGGTGTTCCCGCTGTCGGAGGCGATCAACCTGTTCCATCGACACGTCCGTGGGCAGCGCCAAGAGGAGCTCCCGCACTCGTACCAGATGATGCTCTTCTGGGCTGGCCTTCGTGGTGCAGTCGGCGTGGCGCTCGCGGCCGGGTTCAAGGGCGACAACGCGCAGACGCTGCGGATCACCGTTCTCGTCGTCGTGGTGCTTACCGTCGTCGTCTTCGGGGGCACCACAGCTCGGATGCTCGAGGTGCTGGGAATCAGGACCGGGGTAGAGGACGACGAAGCCAGCAGTGACGACGAGGAAGACTTCCCGCTCGCTCGGAATGGTTGGTATAGCAGGCGCAACTCGCGCTGGAACACCTATGAGGAGGAAGCCAGCGTCTTTGCGACGCAGCAGGCAGGGGTTGTCCACAGCCCGCGCCTCTACAACCATCAAATTCAGAATACGCCCATCCCGAACAACAACATCTTTTCCGCAGCGTCGTCGGACTCGCTCGATTCGGACGCCGAGGTCCTCCCGCTTGCGACAGCACCGATGAACGGCCTCTCTTCCCCAGGCGGTCGGCGCAAGCCCCGCGAAGGGCCACCGGTTGCGGGCCCGTCCAATGGAGTGGTGGCCGAGGAAGGGAAATGGTTCCAGCAGCTCGACGAGCAGTACCTACTCCCGCTCTTTTCCAACGCAACCGCGAGCCGTGTGTGGCATGCGCGCAAGGTTCGGCGAACATCCGGCGTGAGCACGACCTCCGGGACGCGGTTGGGCACGCCTGTCGAGTCCGACGAGGAGGCGGACGACAGACCGGAAGTCGACCTCACCGCCGCGGCGACGCGCGCCGCCAATGCCGGGGCCGAGCCGGTGCGCAGCCAGTCCGTCGTCGATATCGACCAGAGCAGGACGGAGCGTGGGCTGGCGAGCCCGATGCTTCGACGAGACAGTGAGGGCCAAACCCGCGATCGGGTGACGTAGAGGGGTTTCAATTCGTGCGTCGCGCTTGTTCTCCTATCTTATTCCTTTGTGTTTTTGTTTGGATTGCATAGTCAGTATATACATTGGACGATCTCTGTGGTGAACATGAAGTTTGGTCTCTATGTTGCTGGTCTTTCTGCTTGACCGCCACGCCTTGAACGAGGTGACGAAATTACATATTGGTCCAAAGCCAGAAGACTAGAAGTCTCAGACTCCGAAGGTCGCATTGCGTCTGAGGCACGGTCGTGTGCGTTCCTCATATTAGCGTGGGCATTCTCCGCGCGTGTTTGCTCCATTTCCGAATTGCTATCTCTGTGACATGGATTTAATGCGGCGATGTTGCGTATATTTTAGTGAATGACAAAGTAGGGAACACTGCTGACATGACTCGCAGAGGGCATCGGGCAGATTCATTCTATCTCACTGAAGATGACACTGCGCTTCGTACGTGTTTCCCCTGCCACGACGCAATTCTGCAGACTCACTGTAGCCCGTTCCCCTCTTGACAGTTGAACTTCGGGCAAGACAACGGACATTCGATGGCGCCTACACCCGCGGTGCGATGGCGACCTTTGGTTATTCCTTAACCATCTTGCGCTTGTTTGACAAGCGCTTTTCAGACAGTACGTTGTTCGCGGAACAACGATCGACCACACGACTCATGCCCGATGTGTAGTTGGCATAGTGTATGCCATCCTCGCGGGCCTCCTCTATGTAGTTGCCTTCCTGCGTCACCGACAATCCCGCCACGACTTCGCCGACAAACATGTCAGGCGCACGTGGGCTCATGCGTTGCCCACCATCGGCCAGGTTGGCAAGCAGAATTTTGGGCGGCCGCTGACAACGGCGAGCTGGTTCGTGCTCTTGTTGACAACGATCGTGACGCTCGTGGAGGTCGCTCTACTTGTACTGATCGTGCGGATGGACCTGGCAGACATCGCCGCTGAACAAGGCATACCAACCAGTGGTACGGCACATGTCCCTTGAACAATATTTCCTAATGAGTTGTGATGCTTGATAGGTGATGGCGCCTCGTAGAGTCACGCAAAGACAGCGGTGTACGCTCATGATAGCCTTTCTAGTGCTCGATCGCGCTCAGTCGGACATGGTAGATGTATCCCAATAGAGACACGTACACCCAGCGTACCTGAATCCAAGCGCCTCTGCGGTTGTCCCAGCGAAATTCTTCCGGGCGAGCAGATTGGCGACCATGCCTTGTACAAGACTAAACCGCACGAGATGGGGCCTACACAACGTTGCCGCCTGATGTTGTCGTCTGAGTGTTGCTGCTTCAAGGCTTCGACGCGCCAGCAACGCCCTCGAGAAACAAAGCAACTGCACTTTGACACTGTGTCTGCGCAGGTGTGTCCGTGTTTAATCTGTACAGTATCACTGTGGTGGTTGGCACAACCTAATCCATCTGCGCGGAGCTTTTCACCCAAACACCGTGATCGGGCATGTCATAGACAACTTGTGCCGCAAGGATATGTGCCTCTCAGGCCGTTCCCGCCGACCTTCAGGGTTCTGTCCTAGGAATATGCTCGACAGGACCAAGGCGAACTCTATCGCGAAATTCTAGACAACGTATGAACGCGGGCTAATTTCGCCGTGACAGCCGCCTCGTATCGTTCAAAAGCAAGCACCGCCAAAACGAACCGCAGGGGAAACTTCGACCTGCCATGCACACCTTGTGGACCCTGACCACCGTCCTCCCCTTCGAGGCTGCCGCCGCCGGACGTGACGCCCTCCAGAGCCGGGCAAGCTCGGGCACATACACGCTCGCCAAAGAATACTCCGGCTCGAGCTTCTTCGATGGATGGGACTGGTTTGGCGCTCCAGACCTACTGCAAAACGGTGCGCAGGATGTATGCAGGGGTCGGGTACCACCATAGGCTCAATGAACCCACAGGTGATGTCAACTGGGTCACCGAGGCGCAGGCGACCGCGGAGCAGCTCGCGTACTACGTCAATGCCGCGGGGAACGCAATCATCAAGGTGGACAACACGACCTACGTCCAGGCTAACCAAAAGCGAGACACGGTGAGTGGAAGTGTCGCACGGGGGCTGAGAGCATAGACTGATTGTTTGCATACCAATCGGTTGGTAGGTCCGCATCACGAGCCAGGACGACTTCCCCATCGGAAGCGTCTTCGTGCTGGACGCCACGCACCTGCCATACGGCTGCTCCGTAAGACACCTCTTCACTCGAAACACACAGGAACACGGAGCAGCTCACTAATGCCTCGCACACATGTAGGTCTGGCCGAGCTTCTGGACGACCGAAGCGGGCGTGACCTGGCCTTCCGGCGGTGAGATCGACATCATCGAGACCGTGAACCGGATGGCGGCGAACCAGTACGCGCTGCACACCGGCGGCACTGACAGGTGCTTCGGGGTCAACGACACGAGCGTGCAGACGGGCACGCTGACGAACGCGAACTGCACCTCGTCGGCGGCGAGTGATAACGGGTGTTCTGTCGTGCGTCGCGGTGTTTGCGTTGGTGTGTGTTGATGGCTGAACACGGATTGGTGTCTGCGCTCGCGTAGCTTGATACTAGCGGGGATAGCGCGGGTGAAGCCTTCGCTGCTGCCGGAGGAGGGGTCTACGCTGCGCAGTTCGATCCGTCTGGTATCTTGTAAGCCGGCTTGTCTGTTTCTTTCTCTCACTCTTTATAACTCAACCCGCTATTTGCCTAGCATATGGTTTTGGAGTGTGCGTGGCTACAGCATAAACAAGGACTTCACCGTCTATCTGACCCAGCCATGACCACATCTAGCGCGCGAACATCCCCTCTTCCGTATCCTCCGCGACAAACTCAATTGATACCTCCGACTGGGGTACTCCCTCGGCGGCATTCCCCTCCTCGTCCTGCGACATCTCAGAGAAGTTCGGCCCTCAATCCCTCGTGCTCGACATCACCCTCTGCGGGAACTGGTCAGTACTTCCTTCATTCATAGTACCATTCCCACCTATCTCACCAATCGCCACCTCGCAGGGCCGGCGAGCCATCGGTGTACAACGAAACATGCCCCACCAGCGGCACGCTGGACGCCAACAGCTGCGTGCGTATCACCTCTTCTGCTCCTGCTCGACGACATGCGTCCGCCGAGCTCACATCACGACGCAGTACCAAAACAGCGTGGTATTCAACGGGACGTCCGACTACACCTTCGCGTACTTCGAGATCCAGTACATCAAGGCGTTCACGTCCGACGGCCAGTTCAACGTCTCCGTGTCGGCGTCCTCCTCGGCGGCGGCGGCGACCGGCACTGGCGGTGCGCCGGCGTCGCAGGGCGCGGCCTCCAGTGCGGTGGCGACGCGGCGTGCGGAGGTCGGGGTGTTGGTCGGCGCCGCTTTCGTGCTCGTGGGATGGACGGCGGTGTAGTGAATGATACCCTCTCACTCGTTTCTCGGCTTCTCATCTTCAGGGTCCTCTTGTGAATTGGTTACAAGGGCCGAGGGGCTCGGTGGGTAATGGAAAATGGTCGTCCTGGACACTTACAGCCATATGGATTCATGATTGCGAGTACTTGTGCACGTCTACGCTATGACTGCACTCAATCCATAGTGGCAGATGTGTCGTCGTCGATGTGGTTACATCCTTTTGTCGTTAGTCGCGGGAGGAACGGGGAGATAGGCATGCCGCATTCCGTCAATGGAACTTGCCGTCAAACAAGGTTGCGCGAGATCTGTCGAATCCGACATGATATGTCATTTGTCGCTCAGGCTGTGAGCACAGTATGGCAATTCACGCTCCTGGTTTGCTCGACGCCCATGGTAAGATGGGCCTGCGATCATGATGCGTGGGTGGGGTCTGCATTGCATCGGACGACTCCCTACTGCGGGAGTGTCTGCCAGCGGGGACCCGAAGAGAATTATTGGCCCATGCTTCAATCCTCGAGACGAACAGTCTCCATGTTTTTTTGGCAGGGGACATGAGATGCCGGCGGTGATGAGATTGAGTTGCACGCTCGCAACGAGTTCTGTTCAGCCGACTTGAATTTAGGCACGTCGAGCGAGCGGGCGACCAGGGGCGCCCGGGGTGCCCTGAGCGGCTGTGCCCAGATCCCCGGTGGCTGCGCGCGAGGGGCATGCTCTGCAGCTCGGTCCCTTCTGTGGACTCAAAGAATAAGGGAATCCACTCGAGGACACATTTGTCGCTCGCGTGGTCCGACTTCCCTGAGCAATAAATCGCGAGCCATCAGCTCGAGGCAGCTCGTGCGAGGTCGGAGGCTAGTTGCACGCGGCAGGTGCAACTAGGGTGCGCCAAGCAACCTAAAATTCGTGTTAGCTCAAGCAATCGACGTTCCATATGAATCGATAACTACGGATTGTTGGTCGGGCAGAAAGAGCATTACAGATAGTTACCGGCCGTCGCTGTTAGCATCCATGTCGCTTGCGGCAAAGTCTCGATCCAGGCGGCTCTGCGCCGCCCATATAGCCCAGCTGCACCCCGTCCATATATAAGCCTGTGCGCCACCAACATCGCCTGAAGCCCCCTCGCCCTCCTCCATCCGCCACCCATGGGCGCACCACCTGAAGACGACCCGCTTGCCCTCGCGATTGCGCCGCCGCCAAATGAGACAGCCGAGCAGCGCGAAGCACGCCTCAACGCCGAAGCAGAAGCACGCAGAATAAGCGAGAAGATTGACGAGCAGCTCAGAGTGGACAAGGCCGCACATCGTAAGCGACGGTCTCAGACCGTCAAGGTGCTTCTCCTGGGTCAGAGCGAGAGCGGTGCGTGTTGATGCTTGTGGGCGCGCGAACGTCGTTGAGCCCGACTTCTTCTCCCAGGCAAGTCGACGACCCTCAAGAGTGAGTACGCCCCCGCCACACACCGATAACTCTCTGATTCGCCCCTCCCCTAGACTTCCAGATAACCTACTCGCCAAACACATGGGCGGAGGAGCGCAACTCATGGCGGACGGTCATCCAGCTCAATCTCGTCCGGAACATAAACTCTATCCTCAACATGCTCGCCGAGGAGATGGCCAACACCGCCACATCCGATCCCGCCGCTGACGCCGACGCCGATGCCTCCGATGACGATGACGGCGATGGCGAGGGCGAGGGCGAGCCGTCCGCCGCAGCCACCAGAGCCACCTCGCCTACCGTCCCTCTGCGCTTCACCGACCGGCACGCGCTGCTCAAGCTACGCCTCACGCCGCTGCGCGGGCTCCAACACGACCTCGAAGACACACTTGGGGTCTCGGGCACAGATGACATTGAGCATCCGCTGCAGCGCGCGAGCACGCGCAGCCCGGCGAGGCGAACGTCGCAGGAAGCGTTCATCCGCTCGCACACGTCGTGGAAGAGCAAGCTGCGCTCGGTGAGCGAGGGCAACCTCGACGGCATGTCGAAGCGCTATCGCGAGGCGAAGACGCGGGAGGCGATGGAGGTCCTCGCGGGGTGCAAGGACGATATCAGGGAGGTGTGGGAGGACGAGATGGTCCAGGAGATGTTGAGGCAGCGGAAGTTCGTGACCGAGAGCGTGCCCGGCTTGTGAGTGGTTGTCTGCTCTGTGCGGGATGATGTGTGGACTGGGTGTGCACAGCTTCTTGAACGATGTCGAGCGGATTGCGGCGAGGGACTACGAGCCTTCGGATAACGACATCGTGCGTGCACGGCTACGCACGATGGGCGTCCAAGAATACGGCATAAAATTCCAGATCGGTAAGCAGACGTGTACATCGCTCGACGATCAGGGATTTGACTGTCTCCTTTCTCAGGACCGGCGGCGGGTACGGAGTGGCTTATGTACGACGTCGGCGGGTCGCGAACACAGGTAAGCTTCCTCTTCTCCGTGATCCCCGTCCCCTTCCTCGAACCTATCACCACCCAACCCAATCCCAATTCTGACAAACCTTCGCAGCGCGCCGCATGGTTCCCGTACTTCGACGACTGCGACGCGATCATCTTCCTCGCGCCGATTTCGTGCTTCGACGAGCGGCTCGCGGAGGACCGCAAGGTGAACCGGCTCGAGGACAGCTACATGCTCTGGCGCCTCGTCTGCTCGTCCAAGCTCCTCCAGAACACGCAGATGATACTCTTCCTGAACAAGTACGACCTGCTCGACCAGAAGCTCAAGCGCGGCGTCAAGGTGAATGACCACGTCAGGAGCTATGGCGACAGGCCGAATGATGCGGAGACGGCTAGCAAGTGTGAGTGGCGTCCTCTTGTGCGAGGGGCGGGTTGTTCATGAGATGGCTAGATTTCTCGCAGCATTTTAGGGAGATTATGAAGCGCCATTCGCCCCAGCCAAGGCAATTCCGTGTGCATACGACCTCGGTCATCGTGAGTACCCATCTTGTATGCGACTGAGTCTGGCCTCATCATTTGTATGATGCAGGATACCAAAGCGACCGCCGTCACTCTGGGCATTGGTACGTCACTCATTGCTGTCTTCGCGATCATGATCACTTACCCTTGTGCAGTCGAAGAGGGAATCCTCCAAGCTCATCTCCGCTCTGTCGAGCTCATCTGATCCACCTAACTGCGCCTATCCCTCTAGACGTCGACGTTCCGACACTTGCTCCTTACTTCACTACCGCGTAATCGCGCCTCGCTTGGTGCTTGGGCCGTTGCCAGCGTACTGTACCGCCCTATTCTTTATTTTCCGAGCGGCCCGCGGGTGAGGGCCGCCGGGTTTTATTCTGTGCTTGTATGGTGCCTAATTCGCATGTCATCGCTTCATCGTCAACTTATCACGGATGCCTAATGCTGTTTATATCTGTTGTTTGTGCCTGCGTCTGAAACATCTCGTGTATCGCTACGACTCACCTCATGGCCCTATGTACGCAATATATGATTGATCTGCTCATGATGTGCCGTCTTATCCATGCCAGTATGACAGCATCGAATGCAAATCCCAGGGTCATGCGACGGAGTGCCATTCAGAGTACTGACTGTTGCTCACGGGTCTGTCAGAAACAACAAACAAGCTGCATAGCAAGCGGCGGGCATAACAAAGTGTCATTATGCATCTATCTATGTCTATAAGAGGGTGAAAAGTAAATCGGAGTCGTCACTTCCTCCCGGAAGCGTTCTATGTCGGGGCCTCGTCGAGTTTTGCGTTCAATAGTCGTGAGTAGGTTATCACCAGTGTCTCGTGCCAGAAAACAAGGATCAGTATACCGCTAACAGCTTGGGCTCTTTCTTGAAGCGAGCTAGCGGGACATGTGTCAGTACCATGCCAGCCACTGACCGGCAAACTCGAGTACAGACCGTAGAGCATTAGGAGCACACCGAGCACCTGCATACCGCCCGAATAACATGCAACCGCGTGCCAGTTGCCGCCCGTGCCACTCAGGATCGCACCGCCGAGAGGAGCTCCGGCGGCGTTACCTGTGCAGTGGCAGATCAGTTCGTGCCATCCGACAATGCACGGACTACGTACCAGGCAGGTTGAAGAACAGCGTCAGCCCGGAGAGACCCGCGAGCCTGTCCGAGCCATACAGTTGCGCGCACACGGCGGGCGTCAGGGAGATGAAGCAGCCGCAGAAGAAGCCGTATATGACCCCGAACGCTATCTGCAGGACGTCAGACGGAGGCAGATGAGTAAGGAACTGTACCCTGGGGCGCGGCGGGCCGGGGAAGGGGCTGTGCGTACGATGCCGGAGTAGTTCTTGACGAAGTTCCAGATGAGGAGCTGCGCGAGCCCGGACATGCTGACGGAGATGAGCAGGGCGTTGACGGGCCCGATGCGGTCAGCGATGAACCCCACGGACGTGCGGCCTGCGGCGGCACCGAAGTTGAGGAGCATGAGCGGCAGTGCGGAGAGCTGGCGGGGAACAGTCAGTTGAGCGATGTGGATGGTGCAATGTGAGCTACTGACGAAGTCGCTGGTGCCCGGGATCACATCGATGACGTAGGTCGGCAGGAGGAAGATGGGTGTCAAGTAACCACTGTTGATGGTCGTCAGTCCTGCCACTTCGAGCCACGGAAGAAGACTCACAACACCGTGAACAGGATGCACAGCCCGAGGCTCCAGAACACGGGATCCTTGAAGAACGTGATATCGATCCATATGATCTTCGGCCGCCTGGAAGACGGCCTCCTCTCCTTGATGAGGACGAGAGCTACAATGAAGCATATGGCGTTCATTGCGGCGTAGATCGCGAAGGTCTTCTTCAGGCCGAGTGCAGCGAACATCTTGTACATGATGAGGGTCGCCAAAGCTCCACCTGGATCATATAAAGTCAATCACTGCTATCGTATATAGAATGAATGAATTGCACCGAATGAGCAACCAGCAACCACCACTCCGATGGCAAAAGCTCTGTACTTGAGGAACCACTGTGCCGGTAATGACACCTAATAAGAACAGCCGTTGAGCTACCCAAGCGATGCCAATGAGCAGTGAGCACGTACGACGAGCGGAAAGATCAGCGCATTCGCGATGCCTTGGAGCAGGCCCTGCACGTAGTTGATGAGAATCAGAGAAAGGATTGATCCCGCCGCACGTACCTGCGTAATGAAGAACTGCCACAGCTCGGTGCAGAAGGCCGAACCAAGCATGCCAGCCAGCCAGAATACAGCACCTAGAGCAAGCAAGGGCTGACCGGGACCAGTCTCAGGGTGCGCGCAGAATCCCAGCATAGGGCTTTGTTCACCTTGAAGCCGCTGAGCTCAATGGTCAGCACAGATTCTAGACGAATAGGTAGTATCCCTTACAAGCGATCACCAATCTTGCCAGTGATGAAACTAGCCAGCGTCATAACCTGAAATATGTCTCAGCGGTCTGTATGGAAAATGCGAAAGATGATATACTGACCATACCCGACATACTACCCAGTGTGCTGAGCACAGTATCGGATGCGTCGGGAAAGATGTGCTCCTGGTAATAGGTCTGTACAACGCCCCATGCCTGCCATGAAATGAGTACCAAAGAGGAGAACGACGCTGAGTATCAAGGACGGATGTCCGTAATGCTCACGAGCCTGTCCGTCCACCGTCATCCGACAAACACCGCAAGGGGTAGAAAATGGAGAAGTCAATGCAGATTCTGTGAGATGTGTACGGATCGAGGACATACGCCCAGCCTAGTGTGTTTGCAGAGAACAACACGCAACCGAAAACGACGAGCCATGCACGCAGCCCGCCGTCGGGGTAGTCATCTTCAGAAGGCGAGTCGACGGCCGAGTTTGTATACGATGTAGTTGCGGGCGAGAGCTTCTCCTTCTCGGAGAGGCTCTGCTGTGTCTTCGCCTCTACATCAGCCGGCATGAAGTCGACATGCGTCCTTTCCGATGAGGGGGTATCCATAGAGTACAACGAAACTGGGGAGCCTGAGGGGGGTCGTGAATGTCTGACTCCTTGACCCCACGGTATATTTATGCGGGGTGAGCAGAAGCAGGGCAGGCTCGTGATCGAGTGTGCCGAACGGCGACATTGGGCGACAGGCATTCATTGGGCGTTCAAGGCAACCGACACGGAATGGGACCCAGACCTTCCGACGTTATGAGCTCGTGGACGACGCGTGCAAAGAAGCGGGGCTTTACCTGTCACTTTGACGTCAAACTTGCGATGTCCTAGACATCTTCTCGCGGCTCACTTGACGAACGCTCCAGCACGCCGGTGGGCTTCACCCGAAAACAGGACTAGATTGTCAGGTGCTGTTGCTTCGGTCCGGTTTTCCCTCGGCAGAAATTGATGCATGACATGAGTCGGTATCTTGTCGACAGACATACCGTCACATAGCGAGTTGGATGCGGCTGTGCGAGAGCGAAGAGTCGAAACCAGACACAGAGCCAGTGCCCCATGTAACACGGATGCACGATGCATCCAGAAGGTGTCACTTGGCCATAACAGTTTACCGCCACCAGGCGTGTAGACCGAATCAATCGAGGTCGCGGAGTTGTTATCGGGCTTCGCACGGCTAGGCTTGGCGACCATTCGATCCTCCGACGGTCTGGACACACTCCTGTATGCGGCTCCGTTGCGGGCGGCTTCAAGCTTGTGCGAGTGGGGTCACTTAGGAACGGCACGCGGAGCAGCTTGAGCCTTCAAGCTCAAGCTTCAGCCAGCTCGTATAACGGTACGACAGGGTCGACTTCTAGCATGCGCAGCCCACCTTGAAGTATACGGCCTCTTGCAACATCAGCCAAATTGACTGAGATTAAGTGTCTCGTTATCATAGGCCCGCATTAAGTTGAACGCATCCCGGTAACTTAGCTGGTGAGAGGATTCTTCACTATCACAGGACGCCGTTCAGCAAGAGTCGCAATAACACTTACTCAAACTATCGTACCGCGGCCGACTAGTACGTTCGAACCTCAAGATATGCCTCTTATCGACACAATTTGTCACGTATTTGAGACTTGAACCTCGAGTTCAAGGATGAGACGACCTTGAGATCCATGGTCCAGAAGCAAGAAGGGCGCCAGTGAAGAACACACTATAGACGCGATGTACAGCTGGCACGAGGCGGCGAAGGTCCGGTGAGCAGAGCACTCGAGTGTCCATTGCTCAAGACTAATCTTACCTCCTCGCGGGATGCGATCTTGCGCCACAATCGATTGTAGCCGTAAAGTCGGCCCCGGGGTTGCCATGCTTCCGTTGAATGTAGAGAGAGTGACGCCGTTTCAAGAGGCGCCTTAAAACCCCCGAGTAGCTTTGTATAGGTGAGCGTCGTCGAGTCCTCTTTACCGGGATGGATTTACCTCAACTAGCGTCGAAGCGGCTCATGGAGGGAGCCGCAGTCAATTCCATGTAGAGCCACGGACCAGGATTCCCCGCCAATGTGCTGCAAATGATCTCCGCCCTCTCCCGACTGAGCGCACTGTAGGACCACAAGAGTAGTTAGCACAACGTGTTCTGTCAGCGAGAGAGACGCACCGTCGAGGGTCGTTATGATGCCGAGCGACTTCCCCCACCGAACATATCAAGCGATTACATGCGAATCGCTGCCCCACTTACAAGAAGGTCGCATACCGGGGTGACTGAACAAAACAACAACCTGCCACACGTCGATGACGCACCGCTGAAGCCTTAGGGTATTACGTGCGCGCGAGATACGCCGCAGATTATTCCCAGCATTATTTGTTGCGGAAGGTAAGGCCGTGAAGACGCCGCGCCGCGCCGTGAGGCAGAGAGCTGCACGAACCGCTTAGGCTACGTCGCGACAACATGTCAGGTCAGGGGGACTGCGAGGTACTACTCAACTTGCCAAAATCGATATGATCGGCACTGAAACCAATGCATTTCCGCCCTATAGCTCATTCGAGGGCTATGACGTCTGCCATGTCACGGTCCAGGAGTAGGGTAAGGTTTGAAACGCAAGGAGGCATCGTCAAGCACACCTTTTTCAACTTGGGCCAGTGCAGTGGGTTATCCCCCACACGAGGCGCGGAGGTGACCACCACCATCGGATTTTTTTGCGTCATAAAGACTTGCGTTATTGCGCTACAATGAGTAGTGTCTTAGGACGGCACCCCAGATACCGTAGAGATATCACCTGGGAACGTGAGAGACCTTCCGTATGTAGTCTTGATCATCGGTATCCGCATGCAGATTAGGTTCAGAGGCATTCCGTAGTCAACACTGAGAGGAGCTCCGGATTAAGGGGTAGAGTACTGCGAACAATCTACGTTCTTTCTTGAAGCGGGTTGAAACGTTTCAGTGAGCACTACACGCTATTCTGATCACCGAGCACGCACCATAGAGCATCATGACTACGCCCACGATTTGTATTCCGCCTAAGTAGCAGGCAACCGCATGCCAGTTGCCTCCAGTTCCATTCTGGATCGCACCGCCCAGGTGTGCATCAGCAGCATTTCCTATGAAGAGTCTTCCTAGGAGGAGTCGCATTCAGGACGTGCCGTCACGAGCGGGCAATATAGATGAACTCTTACCAGGCAGGTTGAAGAATAGTGTCAACCCCGAAAGGCCCGCCAACCTATCTGCGCCATACAACTGGGATCATACGGCAGGCGTCCAGGATATGAAGCATCCGCAGAAGAGGCCATATATGATTGCGTACACTATCTGTTGCAGGAGGTGAGAAGCATCGAGTTGCAAATGCCGGTCGAGATGCGTACAATAGCCGCTTACGTCTACACCTTACCAGGAGCTGGTCACATCAGGAAAATACCCCCCTGAGAATTCCCGGGCAATGGTCAATATTCGCGGGAATACTCAGAAGGTTGGTAAACGCCCGTCATTCCGAGACTAATAGCAAGACATCTCAATACAGCGCACACCTTGTGAGAATGAGTCAGGAATTCCCAAGAAATTCTGTTCCGATACCAGTGCAAGTGTGGAGAAATGATATTTCGCCGAAAGCGTGGAATGGCACATAGTCATGGCGATTACAAGGACAACACTCCAAGTCATTCAGTACATGGGTATTGGGCACCATCATGTGAAGTTCAGGATAAGACACAAATCAATTGCGATTAAGCTACTGTACATCGCGCGCGCATCTCTTGCATGGACTGCCTATCTAAAAGTAGCCTACATTGTCAACTCACCCGCCTCCACCACCGAGGCTGTCACTAGTGCGGCGTGCCCATACGCACTCTATAAATGCACTGACTCGGAGTCCACATATCCTATATCCGCTCGCGCCACAAACGCAAGCGGCTGTACTGCCAGGCTCACCGACACCCTCACACACGGTGACACACCTCCCCTCCGCATCACTCACGTTCTCGTACCCTTCCCCACACGGCAACCACTCCACGACCATCCTGTTCACGTTCCACGCACCTGTGCCCATGTTCGGCCCCGTAGGCTCGAGCGGGTGCAGCGGGAACAGGCTCATTGCGAGTGACTGGAGACGGGGCCCGACTCGGAGATGACATCGCGTTGTCATGTGAGAAGTCCGCGTAGACCATGCGGTTGGACGGGAAGGTCGCGGGTGAGGCGTTGAGCGTGCGGTTGGTGGACGTGTTGTTGGAGGGTGAGCCGCGCGAGGAGCTTGTTCATGTAGCTGACACCTCAGATGGACTGCGGTTTGTTGCCGTATCTGATCTGGACATAGGTGAGTTAGTCTCAGCGAGGGGGCGAATGTACACACCTACTGCTAGTGCCGTAGTACTTGTCCGAATGCCCCAGTACTCAAACTCGTGGCACATGTCTGGACCCACGCGCGAATCTTGGAAATGCAGAGTCATGACTCACAAACGGCGAGCGGGTGCGTGTTGCGCCTGGCATAGCCGGATTCAGCCCAGCGGCGGTGTTTGCAGGGTAGATATTGACGTACACGTCGGGTTTGGAGAGGCTAGTGGATTGTAGAAACTGGACAGGCGGTACTTGTTGTTGAGCGTGTCATCGCCCGGCCAATCATCTGTCAGTTCCCAGCTTCCCAGCGCGTGTCGCCCAACTGTCCATACCCGCATGTATCCAGCCTGGAGTGAGAAACGAGCGAGCTTGTGTACAGTTGAAGCGAGTTGAGTCAGTGATGTGTGAGGAACTTACGAGGAGGTGAGAGTGTGAGCATTCGGCCGGCGGACTCGCGTGCCAGCGGGTTGCGGCGCCACGGCGGTACACGTCACATGACCCATTGCCCAATGATCTCAGCTAACATAACTAGTTATAATTGATTATTTAGTCATGAATAACTAGTTAACCTATGACTAATAGTCGACCTGTTCACACTTCAATCTCTCCATAGTAACAAGGATCATTGAGTACTCCAGCAATAATAGTCAACAACTAAGTAGTCATACAAAGGTAGTCAGATATGGGTAGTCACATATGGGTAGTCACCTGTACATAGTTGGACATAAGTAGTCGTACTTAATCAGTCGTACTAAACTAGTTGTACTTAATTAGTTGTACTAAACTAGTTGTACTTAATTAGTCATACTAAACTAGTCATACTTAACTGGTCGGACATAAGTAGTGGTAGTCAACTAGTCGGGCATAAGTAGTAGTACTTAACTAGTTGTACGTAACTAGTTGTGTGTAACTAGTCGGACATAAGTAGTCATACTGAAGTAGTCCAACATAAGGAGTCGCCCTCAAGTACTCGGACCTAAGTAGAGAGCCATTGTTCCTGCGCTCCTGTTTCTCTGCTTCCAAGGTTGTCGGGCTTGGTCACAACAGCTGTCAATCATTGCATCAGTCGACGCCCGTTGGCCAACACCGCGTGCGGCGCACGAGGGCAGCAGAATTGTTGCTCGAGCAGCTGCACAACCACGAGATGACGGCAGCAACGACAGTGCACAAGTCTGCATGGAGTTCTCATGCCAGGTGAGCAGCCTCAGGCTGCTGGTTCTCCATATTGTCTGCCATGCGTATATGGTATGATTAATTGGGTGTAGATGCACGACTGATGTACCCACCGTTTGCTGGGACAGTGATAAGAATGATAGTGGAGTCTTCCGCAATTGAAACACTCAACGAGGTCTTTCATGAGGGGTAACGGGCCGATGTGTTGCTACATTAGACCATGATATGTATAACGGGGATGGGACACAAGGAAGGACAAGCACCTCAGCCAATCTAGCACCAACACACTGCGCCTGGATGGTCAACGTGGGGCCTACAAGAGCTCCAAATGCTTAGTGGGATTACAGGTGAGTGTGCTAACTTTGTGTAGGCTCCAGCACGATTGACGTCCCAAAGTGGCCTTCCCAGAAGAGCCTATGGTGTGCACAAGAGGCCATGGCCAGGCACTACAATCACCTGCGGGCTTTCTGGGGAGCTCAACATGACAAATCGATGATGATGACCTCTGAAGTGTCAGCGTGAGGTCGAGTCGAGTGTGTTGTTGTTGTAGAAATCATTCCTTCTTTTGCTGGTGGTGTCAAATTCGGTAGTCTCCTTGTACCCAGCTATGACTAGTCTATGTTTCGTAGTCATGCACCTCATAGACCTTTTAGTCAATATCCCATAGTCAAGCAAATTTAGTCAACTGTATCCAGTCAACTGTATCTAGTTGAACATACTTAGTCATTCAAATCTAGTCGGCCATACCTAGACATCCGAATCTAGTTGACCAAATCTAGTCAACAATATATAGTCATTTATGCCTAGTCAATTGTATCGGTTTGACCATATCTAGTCAAACATAAGTAGTCAATAGTGCCTAGTCGTGGTATCTAGTTTACTGTATCTAGTATACTATTAGCTTACTAGTCCGACTTATAGTCATTGAATGACTAGTTATGTTTGGCTAAATAGTCAATTATAACTAGTATGTTAACTGAAGTGGCTCCATTGCCAGGGACTCCGCCGGCGCCACGTCATGCCCACACATCCGCCCGTCCCCTTGTCTTCCTCCCACTACTTCGTCTCCGAGTCAGACGTTACTCCCACCTTTGAAGATGCCGCCCAGGTGCGTTACCAGCTACTCACTATTTCCGAGGATAACATCACGAAGGAGGACACCATTGTCCTCAACGGAGGGGTATCAAGAACGCGATTTTGACCACGGGTGAGTACAGTCGCACCAAGCTCCTAGAGTACCTCGCGAAGCTAATGTGCGGTGTCACGTTCACCATGGTCAGTAGTTCGCCCGAGGTCATCCAGAAGATGAACTGCTACGACGCCGCGCTCAACACCACGCGCGGCCGTCGAAGAGGGTATGCTGCGCGGGGATGATGTTGCGCCTCTCAAGGCATCCCTTGTCCTCTGGCTCGCAGGCAATGACCTTGCCCGACGTGAAGACTGCCCGGACGGTCAACTTTGACCAGAACTTCAACGTGTCGATCGTCAAGCGGGCTCTGGTACCTCGCGCGGATGATCTTCGCGGACGCGGGCGAGGAGAGTCCCTTTCTCGTCAGCACCATGACGCAGCAGTACGGCGAGGAGGACAAGTTCGCGTGGAGCTACGACACATGCAAGGGTGAGTTAATTGACTTATTTGCGGCCAATATCGTTGACCCATGTAAGGTTCTGTGCGCTGTGCTTGTCGATGTGGTGGGCCCTGTAGTCCACGATGAATGAAGCGAGTAGAAGGCTCCCATGTCAATCCACGATAATGCTAGACAATTGGGTGTTGCCGGCGGCCCGAAGATCACTAAAGGTACACACATATCTTCCTTTCCATTACATCATGCTCACCCGCTCGCAAATGGTGTTACGGTCGCCAAGTCAATACAGCTGAAGGACAAGTTCGAGAACCTCGGTATTCGGTAAGCTGTCCCCTCGTCTACGGCATCCAGCTTTCTGCTAATCCGCCGTGCAGCCTCGTTCAGGATTTCGCCTCCAAGACGAACAAGAATGCTGGTGACGGCATGACCACCGCAACCGTCCTCGCGCGCGCCATCTACGCGGAAGGTGTGAAGAACGTCGCCGCCGGCTGCAACCCCATGGACCTCCGCCGCGGTTCCCAGGCCGCCGTCGAGCGCGTCGTCAAGTTCCTCTCTTCGCACGCAAAGACCATCACCACCACCACCGAGATCGCCCAGGTCGCTACCATCTCCGCAACGGCGATGCCCACATCGGGAACCTCATTGCTCAGGCCATGGAGAAGGTCAGCAAGGAGGGTGTCATCACCGTCAAGGAGGGCCGCACGATTGACGACGAGATCGAGATCACCGAGAGCATGCACTTCGACCGCGGCTTCACCACTCCCTACTTCGTCACCGACGTCAAGACCCAGGAGCGTGAGTTCGAGAAACCCCTCGTCCTCCTCAGTGAATCGAAGACCAGCCGTCTCCAAGACGGCCTCCTGTGGACGCGGTGTTTGCGAGGGTCACGGTTGGAAGATACACACCATGTATATACCTACTGTAGATACTATATATAATCGTCAATGTCATTATCTTAACATGATCTCTGTGCATATGGATCTGTCCTGCGAATGCGAAAAATGGAGGGCTGATTAGTACTGATATTATGCTCGGAAACACCAAGTAATGTCCAGCTACTGCCGGAGAGATCCAGAGATTACCTGGTAATTCTGACTCGACGAGGCCGGACATGGCTAAAATCTGTGGTTTATCAGATACGAGGTAACACTCAATATTATCGCGAAAGCTTGATGATTCTGTAGTGTTTACGGTAATTCTCAGGTGGGTTATTTCCTGATGGTATCGGCTGCGCTCAAATGAGAAGGGTAGCGCAGTCGTCGAAGGCTCGATCTGCTCGAGCACAAAGTTACAGATCAAGAGTAAGAGCCCGAATATCGCAGTGGAGATGAGCAGGGCGTCGACGGAACCAATGCGATCCGCAATGAACCCGGTGGATACCTGCCTACGGCAGCGCCGAGTTGAGCAGCATCTGCTACTAGCGAACTATTATCAGTCCTGTGATAACGCGAATCGAAGCTCTAGGAGAGACACTGACAACACCATGAAGAAAATGCGGAGCCCAAGGCTCCAGAACACAGGATCTTGAAGAGCATGTTGTCAATCCAGGTGATGTCCTTCCGCTTCGAAGGCGGCCTCCTCTCCTTCAAGTTGACCAAGAAGAGAGCAGCGACGAAACAAGCAGCGTCGATAACCGCATAGATTGCAAAAGTCTTCCTGAGACCCAATAAGGCGAACATCTCGTCCATGATGAGAGTCGCGACCGCACCGCCTGATTTGTCCGTGATGAGTCTGCCTTTGGGACGGTAGTGATACCAAAGGAGCACCCACCGACCACTATTTCAATCGCAGACGTCCTGAACTTCAGAACCCACAGCGCATGCAATGCTACCTAGCGATGATGATGGTTCAGTAATCTCGACGTATCGTCGGCAAGAGCGACGTACGACCAGCGGGAAGATGAACACGTTCCCAATTCCGAGTCCTTGGAGCGTACCCTACAAACTCTGAGTGAGAATTTGGGAGCTGTCGAACAGTGGGAACGTACCTGCGTTATGAAGAAGTGCCACAAGTCGGTGCAGAACGCCGATCCGTGCACCCCCGCTTGCCAAAATACAGCACCTAGAGCGAGAAAAGGATGCGACGGGTCAGCACGCGTATGAATACATCTTTATTTACGGTGCCTCGTTCACCTTGAAAACATTGCACACTCTCTGTCTACAAACCACATGGGTGCAAACTGAAAGGCGCTCACAACCGGTCTCCAATCTTACCAGTCACGAATTTGAGCATTGTCATGAACTACGCCTCACGCCTGACATCACACGAATTAATCAGAAACGATGTGCAGTAAATAGGATTGGAGAGGTAACACCCACGAGTCTATCCATTCGGTCCAACGTCAAGCCACACCAGGCAGCGTCTCTACCCTATGACCTTGGGGTAGCTGACATGGCAGAATAGCCTATGGCTTAGGGCCAGCTGATGCCGGCCGACGTGACCTGTGGGCGCTATACCCACTGCTCAGATGAGCGTAGGCGGCGATGCTAGTGGACAGGTGGTGGTTGTCGCCACTTGCATTGCGCCTGCAGATGTTAGCTGAAAGGCTATACTCATGGCAAATAGGTGAAGTTGTGGGTGAGTATAAGGACAAGAGTGGGAGAGTCAAAATGCGGAAAAGCAAAATAAGCGGAACAGCAAAGAAGCGGAACAGCAAAGAAGCGGAAAAGCGGAAAGTGTATAACAGTCGAAGAGTGGAAGAGCAAACAAGCGGACAAGTGAGAAAGCGGAATCAGTGGAAATGTAGAATAAGCGGAGATGCAGAATAAGCAAAAATGCAGAATAAGCGGAGGTGCAGGATAAGCGGAGGTGCACAATAAGCGAAAATGTAGAATAAGCGAAAATGCAGAATAAGCGGAGATGCAGAATAAGCGAAAATGTGGAATAAGCGGAGGTGCAGAATAAGCGGAGATGCGGAATAAGCGAAAATGCGGAATAAGCAAAAATGCGGAATAAGCGGAGGTGTAGAAGAAGCGAAAATGCGGAATAAGCGAAAATGCGGAATAAGCGGAGGTGTAGAATAAGCGAAAATGTAGAATAAGCGGAGGTGCAGAATAAGCGAAAATGTAGAATAAGCGAAAATGTAGAATAAGCGAAAATGCAGAATAAGCGGAGGTGTAGAATAAGCGGAGGTGCAGAAAATGTAGCATAAGCGAAAATGCGGAATAAGCGGAGGTGTAGAATAAGCGAAAATGTGGAATAAGCGGAGGTGTAGAATAAGCGGAGGTGCAGAATAAGCGGAAATGCAGAATAAGCAAACAACACATAGGCAACTTCGCAAGCAAGCAAAAGGATAGGTGAAGTTGAACAGTTTTCACTTATTCCGCCCGCTCATTCCGCCCGCTTATTCCGCATTTTTGCTTATTCTACATTTTCTGCACCTCCGCTTTTTCTACACCTCCGCTTATTCTGCATTTTCGCTTATTCTACATTTTCGCTTATTCTGCACCTCCGCTTATTCTACACCTCCGCTTATTCCGCATTTTCGCTTATTCTACATTTTCGCTTATTCTGCACCTCCGCTTATTCTACACCTCCGCTTATTCCGCATTTTCGCTTATTCCGCATTTTCGCTTATTCTGCATTTTCGCTTATTCTACACCTCCGCTTATTCCGCATTTTCGCTTATTCCGCATTTTTGCTTCTTCTACACCTCCGCTTATTCCGCATTTTCGCTTATTCCGCATTTTTGCTTCTTCTACACCTCCGCTTATTCCGCATTTTCGCTTATTCTACATTTTCGCTTATTGCGCACCTCCGCTTATTCTACACCTCCGCTTATTCTGCATTTTCGCTTATTCTACATTTTCGCTTATTCTGCACCTCCGCTTATTCTACATTTTCGCTTATTCTACACCTCCGCTTATTCCACCTTTCTACTTCCTTGCTGTCCCGCTGATCAACTCTTTCACTCTCTTGTCCTTTTGCCCACTTGCCAAGGTGCTTATCTGTTTTCCTCTTCTTTGCTGCTGCACTTTTCCGCTTTTTTGCTTGTCCGCTTTCTTCATTCTCCTGCTCTTCTACTCACTCTTATGTTGTTTTGCTTACTGACCCTTCATCAATACCTGAACCTGCAGAGACCTGTAAGAGCTGCAGATGACCCATACCTGCTGGGTACGTGGCCCTGAATGGTGAGGCTACTAATTGGAAGGCCACAGTGTGTATTACAGTACATGCCTCATGCATTGTGCAATGTACAAGAGTCAATCAAACAGGGCTGCTGCTGCTGTTCCTGGAAGAAACATGCCAGTGTTGTATCACAAACACAGACAGCTAGCATATGATGATCACACAAGGCTGGCCAGTGACAAGCAGCACACTACTTGGTGCTAGGTGATCTATTACCCTGCTGCATACACCTACTTGGCAAGACAAACAGATTGAAGGACAGACAGATCACTGACACACAGACTGGTACTGAGAAACAGATGTACAGAGACATGGATGTATCACAATGTCAGATAAATGGATTGATCAACACACAGATTGCTGACAATGTGAGAACAAGCAAAATATAATCCACAAGTGCAAGTGTCCCAGGTGTGGATGATGTCCAAAGGGCAATTGTGTGAGGTAATTACATCAAAAACATCTGTATATATACCACCTCCCCCCTATCCATCCCAACCAGGCACTATTGCATCCAAGCTTGCGAGCTTGCCACAATTGCATGCTCCAACAGACAAGTGCCAGTGGTTGTACAGAGAAGCAAGTTGCCAGCATGTAGATCACCAATAAGCAGACATATAAAGAAACAAAGTTGATGGATAAGCAGATGTCAATGGAGAAGCAGATTGAAAGACAAGTGGATCACTAACAAGCAGATGCCACAGAGAAATGAGTTGCTGACAAGCAGATTGCCAACAAGCAAACATACAAAGAAGCAAATGTACAAAATTTAAGAAGCAGACATACAACAAAGTGGACCACTAACAAGTGGATCACTGACAAGCAGACATATGTACAGAGAGATGGACATCAGAGAAGCAGATGAGTCAGACAAGCAGATTCAAAGGCAAGCAGATATACAGAGATGTGGGTCACTAACAAGTGGACCAGCATAAAAAGAAGTGAATGTACTGCAAAGAAGCAAATGTAGTACAAAGAAGTGGACATATAAAGAGGTGGATGTACAACTTGAAAGAAGCGGATGTACAAGGAGCAGACATACAAAAAAGCAAGTGTAGTACAGAGAAGCGGTCAGGTAAAGAAGCGGTCATTAGAATAAGTGGATGTACAAAGACACAGATATACAAAGAGGCAGATGTCAAAAGAAGCGGAAATGCAGAGAAGCGGACATACAGAGAAGTGGACATACAGAGAAGTGGACATACAGAGAAGCGGACATACAAAAGGGCGGACATACAAAAGGGCGGACATACAAAGAACTGGGTGTAGTACAGAGAAGCAGACATGAAAAGAAGCAGATGTATGAAGAAGCGGATGTATGAAGAAGCGGACATGAAGAAGCGGACATGAAGAAGCGGGCATGAAGAAGCGGACATGAAGAAGCGAGCATGAAGAAGCGGACATGAAGAAGCGGGCATGAAGAAGCGGACATGAAGAAGCGGACATGAAGAAGCAGACATGTAAAGAAGCAGACATGTAAAGAAGTGGACAAAAAAGCGGACATACAAAGGAGTGGCTGTTCAAAGAAGCGGATGCCATACAAGCAGATTGAAAGAAAGCAGTCACTGAAAAGCGGGTGTACAAAGAAGTGGATTGCCAGACAAGCGGATGTACAGAGAAGCTCAGACAAGTCAGCCAATGACCATTGGCAGAACTGGCATCTGTTGACCCAAGACCAGCCTCAGTAGGCACACCAGCCGAGGTCAGCTTGCCCATGGTCATTGGCGAAGCCAATGCTCCGCCCACCCATCGTTTGGCAGCTGTTATGGGTGCCCCAACTGACATTGATTCGCCCATGGTCATTGGCGAAGCCAACAATCCGCCCACCCATCGTTTGTCAGACCAGGTGCCCCCGTGGTATCAACTGGGCATTGGTTCGCCCATGGTCATTGGCGAAGCCAACGGTCTGCTGGCCCATGGTCATTGGCGAAGCCAACGGTCCGCTGGCCCATGGCCAATGCCACCCGACAATAAAAGACACTCGCTCTTAAAGGCACTCGCTCTTAAAGGCACTCGCTCTTACGTGCCCGGCCGACTACATGGCCATTGGTCAGGCCAACCATCCGACCGCCTATCCCAACAATGCACTGCAAAAAGAAACGGCACCCTGCTACCATTTATCGCCCGGTCATCCGCCCATCACCAACCCAAGGCGCCTATTCGCCCATCCCGTTAATGAAAACGCCCCGCTCGGCCGACGTCAGCTCGCCGAATACATTGGGGTTTTTCACGCATCCGCTACCCTAACAGCATCGGCCATTCCGCTGAATGGGCTCGTCAAGCATGTAAGTTCAATCGTCTGGTACGTGATGAAATGAAAACGTACGCCCATCCCAGTGTGTTCGAAAAAAAACATATCTGAGTACGACGAGCTACGCTCGTATGCCACCATCAGGATAGTCATCTTGAGGCGCCGAGCCAAAGGCCGGGCTGCTACACGGTGTCGGCGAAGATGAGCTCAGAGCACATCTCTTGCCCGGGGACCCCTACTATATCTTCGCATCCATATTATACGGACGAGGAATCTGTTCCTATGGGGATGGCTTCATGAGTACGGTTGCACAACGTCGGGATCTTGGTCACCTCGCGATCCCCCACGACGCTTGCTGAACGTTCAACGGAGTGTAGACGTCGCCGACGTCGTGCAGTGCGCCAATGAAGGGTTCCCGATGAGTCAACGTTCAATGTTGTCAACTGCGACTCCGCCGCAAAGCACTGCGCATATGATCCGGTTGCTAGTGATCCTCTGGACCACACGATGTTTGAACTGTCCACTGTGTTGGGTGCATCTTGAACTCCTCACGAGGGTCCTGCTTTCGTCCACGCGCTTCTCTGGAAATCTAACGCACCAAATGACCCACGATCACACGAGTCGAAGCAGAGTCATATGGAGATGTTTGCTTTCCGGAGACCCAGAAACCGCACAACACCGGATGAAACTTTCGATCCTTCAAGTGAAAGATCGATAAAATTGACAAAATCTTTTTCACGATATTTTGTATGAAAGATTGTCAATAAAAGTCAGAAATAATCAATTAATCATTCAGACTCAAAGTATCAGGAACAGATCACAGAAGGATTCATTGACAAGTGTCTTTGATCTGTTTGTGATCCTCTAGGCAAATGATTGAGAACATGATATTCAAAAATTCTTGAACACTATGTGGCTCAATTGTTCTGAAAGGATTGAAAACAGATTGTCACATGGGGTGTTACAATCTTTTCTCAATCTTTCAGGCTGTCACAATCTGTTTCAAATCCTTCCAGCTGTTGATATCTTGGTGAGATTGGAAACAATTTGTATCCCAGGGGTTCAAAACAATTTGCCCAAAAGGATTGACAAGAGATTGTGACACTAGCTGTGACACTGTGCCACTTCCCTATGACAGAGCAGTGAAGGCAACTATGCCAAACCTATGATAAGCTGCCTTCTGCTGGTATGCTCAGTCATTTTTGGTCCCTCATTCATTGCCTGCCATCACATGAGTCTCATTAGATGCACTCAGTGTACAGGGTTGTACTTGTGATTGTACATTCCTAGAGATGTGCATCTCATTGTATGACTAATGAACATGTCCCAGACCTGTGCATGTCCAGATGCAATGAAAGAGGGACCAAAATTGACTGAGCATACCAGCAGAAGGCAGCTTATCATAGGTTTGGCATAGTTGCCTTCACTGCTCTGTCATAGGGAAGTGGCACAGTGTCACAGCTAGTGTCACAATCTCTTGTCAATCCTTTTGGGCAAATTGTTTTGAACCCCTGGGATACAAATTGTTTCCAATCTCACCAAGATATCAACAGCTGGAAGGATTTGAAACAGATTGTGACAGCCTGAAAGATTGAGAAAAGATTGTAACACCCCATGTGACAATCTGTTTTCAATCCTTTCAGAACAATTGAGCCACATAGTGTTCAAGAATTTTTGAATATCATGTTCTCAATCATTTGCCTAGAGGATCACAAACAGATCAAAGACACTTGTCAATGAATCCTTCTGTGATCTGTTCCTGATACTTCGAGTCTGAATGATTAATTGATTGTTTGTGACTTTTATTGACAATCTTTCATACGAAATATCGTGAAAAAGATTTTGTCAATTTTATCGATCTTTCACTTGAAGGATCGAAAGTTTCATCCGGTGCAAGAGTGACATTGAATGGGACAAGCAATGCATTGCAAAGTCGTCTGGGGAGCGGACAAGGAGCGGACTGTTGATTGATTTGATGAGTGTCGCCGTCACGTGCATCCTCACGCCGAACAGGCATGGATGGTTCCCGCAGAGCCCAACTGCTTCTTTGCCCACCGTCAGGTCTTTTTCTTCAACCACCACCTTCCCTCGCCCTCCCGCGTATACCCCCGCCCCCCTCCAAGCTTCAGCCCTCACGTCCGCCATGCGCTTCTTCCTCGCTGCTCTTGCTGCTCTCCCAGCCGCGCGCGGTACGTCTGTGGCGCCGTTTCTGAGCGGTCGCGGAACTGAAATATGCTTATGTAACAGCCGCGATCAGCATCCTCGCGCCTTCCAACTCCGAGTACTGGTACGTCTACCTTCATTTCGAGAGATGTGCGATCATTGAAGGCTTCGGTGAACAGGGTTCAGAACCAGACGAACACCATTACTTGGAACTACAGCCCGGGTGACCCGAGCCCCATCGACATCGTCGTCTCCAACGCCGCGAATACGACGCTCAACGGCAACTTCACCATCGCGCAATATGTCAACCTCACCGCGCAGGTAAGCCAGTACTACGCACTCGAAACGCGGCTTCCCGCTGACTCGCACCCTCGCAGAGCTTCACGGTGTAAGCATTGCCTCCACGTTGCGCGTTATCCTCACCCCTCACACGGCTGGCTGCATGCAGGACGAACGTGACTCTCGTCACTGGCGGCAACTACCAGGTGAGCTTCGTCGACCCCGCGAACGCGACCATCATCTACGCGACGAGCGGTACCTTCTCCGTCGACTCCCCGGGCAGTAAGTTTCCCATCTTACGACCCACACGCGACGGAGTCTCACACCCCGGTGCTTTTACATAGCCTCCCCTGCGCCGTCCGTCTCCCCGTCCAGCGCGAGCTCCTCCGCGTCTGGCTCCGCTAGCGGGTCCGCCGCAAGCAGCACCTCGCCCTCGTCCTCGGGCAGCGGCGCGAGCACGACCAACTCCGCGAGCGCCGCCCCCGCCCAGTTCGCCATGTCCGCCGGCGGCGTCATGGGCGTGATCGCCGCGTGCGGTGTCGCCTCGCTCTCTGCGCTCCTCCTGTGATCGCCGCTCTGGCGTGCACACGGAAAAGGTCCTCGAGGCCGGTATCATTACCACGGACGCCTGGCTTCTCTTTTCGCCTGGGAACTCTTGTGTGTCTCTTGAACGGTGTACTCGCTCGAAGCCCGTCCGCTCCTTGTTCGCGTGACAACTCTTGCCTCGTCCTGGGATTCGAACGGTTGTACGGACAGTGATCTTCTGTTTGGCTGTTGTTGTTGTATTTACTGTACTTACATCTGTGTGTACGGTAATGGATTTTGGTTTGTGATCGGTGACGTCCTCTTGTCTGTGGCGTGTGGTTGATGACCGGGAGCTGGGACGGGCAGGAGGTCGCGAGGTGCTGCGGGGATGACGCGGACGCGAAACACGCACGGCCTTGCAAGTCTTCGTGCCCGATGTCAATTCATGTAGGCAGTACATGTGACGTATAGCTTGCGGACCGATGGCCTTGCGGGGTGCTCATTCTCGTTGCACCAGGCGTGAGTTGTACCGAGTGTCTCGTGTTGCTGTACATTGCTACATATGCATGTACATGGTGGACGGTCAGCAATTTGAACGAAGATTGACCAGAAAGTCAAACCAACTATGTAGGCATGTCTGACTTGCTTGCACAGGCCAATGCCCGAGTTCAGATGCCGTTCTGACGATTCCGTAGCCAATTGGCAAACACAGGAGACCTACGGGGTCATATTGTGAACGGGGCTTGATGCGTTGTTCGTGGCAGGCCTGGTTGCTCAAAATTCGCTGCTATTTGCTGGTTACTGTAATTTACATATACCGCCCATTGATGTGCACCTCTGTACGTGCATGAAGATTGCGAGCTGAGTGGCTGGACTGCAGGATGTTGACTCCCGACGTGAACTTCAGGGCTGTCTCAGTGTCTGAGAGGTAAGCAAGGATTCAAAGCACCAGTGGCGCGCATGGTCGCCTCTGTCCAAGATCGCATTGAAACCCCGTCAGCTGGACAGTCACTGTCAGTTCCTGTTGAGCGCGCATACGCCGTTCGTTCCTCTCTCTCCGTCCCTCCTCCAGGAGAGCAGCCAAACGAGCGCTATAGCCGAGAAGAGAGATCGTCGTAGTCGCTTCTGGTCCTCTGCCCCATCTTCCTGAAGAATCCATGTACCAGAATCACAGAATCACGCTTCTACATTCGCTGCACAGGATACATATGTCTTCTGGATGATAACGCCGCCTGACGATCGACGATCGCAGCTGCGGGGCATTGCCGGCGAGCCTCCTAACTGGTAGCTAATCGTACAGCAGGTCGTTATCACAGATGCCAAGTCTACAAAAGCCTAGCACGGCGGATGCGTAGGCGTGCGCTAGGAGGAACGAGCGGTGTAGTATATGTTCGTAGAATACGCGACATACGCGAATCACAGGCCAATGATAGGTGGCTGGGATACACGTGGAGCGGGGCCGGGGGCGGCGCGCCCGTGGCTGGCGGACCCGGCGATCGTGGTGATCGGGCTCGCGTGCAGCAGGCACCGGGGCACAGCAGCGACTTGGCGGGCGAACATTTTTCGCCCGCCCAGCGCCGCCCCCGACGCGCGCCCGGAGCCGGGGGTGTTTTATCGCCCGGGCCACACAGCGAGGCCGATTATCAGGGCAGCGGACAGCGTGAGATCCCCTTGCCCCTTCTCCGCATCCCCAGGAGCGCCAGCCCCTCCGGCTCACCTTCGCTGTCAGTCTGCTATCTACCCGCTAGGCTGCGTAGGGAGCGTCAACGCGAAGCTGATAGCGGATTCTCAGACTCCAGCCCCGGTCTCTCCACCTCCACAGTGCACACAGACCCACCTCGAGGCCCTGAGCTCCAGCTTGCTTGCGTACGACCATGTCGCCTCTGTCCGGAACGAAGGAGGCTCTCTCGAAGACCGACGTCGACGCGAGGTCCATCACCAGCTCGCGGTCCCGCAATGGGAGCACCGACGACGACGACAGGCTGCTCGAGGAGTTTGGCTACGTGCCCTCCTTCAGGCGCGAGTTCTCCAACCTCGCGACGGTGCGCACACGCCCATCTCTCCCCGGAGAACGTCCTAACGTATGCATGTGCGGGTAGATCAGCTTTGCGTTCAGTATCATGGGTCTCTGCTCCAGTGTGGCCACGACTTTCAACACCCCTCTCCTCACTGGTGGCCCCGCCTCCGTGACCTGGTGCTGGATCCTTGGTGCCTGCATGTGTTTCACCCTCGGTGAGTCTGGTCTTCTTAACGTCTTGTTGCATCCAGTCTTGGGTCTTCTCGCATGGAAGCGACGTCCAAGCCCCTCTCCTTGATCCGCAAGGCGAGTAAGGGTGCGGCGAACCACAGGACTATCGGGTCTGCGATCGGAAAATAGCTCGGAAATGCCTCGCAATGCACGCAGGAAGGTCTACCGCCCATTCACCTCACTAGGCATCGAGAAGCCCCGTGGCTATCCTCCCTATCGGGTTACTCTCATGAGTGAAAGCGACGTTGACGTGCACCGGCCCTGTAGCGTCTATGGGCAGCCACAATTGCCTATAACGCTCAGGTCCTATCTTGTCGCCCACCTGTCGCTCAAAGAAAAGCAATTCGCGTGTCGTGACGCTCCATCTGAGGGGGACATGTGGCGGGCTGCATGAAATAGGTCAACGGGAGGGGGAATTCCCGATGCGCATCCCGCTCTTTGTAGCCTCGGGGCACACCGCAGGGAGGGCATCGCTGTATGATCCCTGCACCGTGCAAATGGCCAGGGCATCGAGAGGCCCCTGAGCCTGATATCAGCCATGCGAGCGTGAAGCCCGTTCGCTCGGTCGGGCTGACTCTGGAGGAGGCGGACGTCGGCATGCCCGAGTGTAGGAGCATCATGGGGCATTGACGGACATGACGCTCGAGAGTCCTCTTCTCGTTGGTCCATGCAAGTGCTTGCGTTTTGTTAGCCCGCTCGATATCTGGCTCGGTTCGGGTTTAGGCCGCTCTACGCCGTTCGATTTGCCCCGGTCGAGTTCGATAACAGCTTGGCGGAAAACGGTGCGACATTAGCTGGATTCGCGAGTATTTGCCTCTGTACGTTGGCAGGATCATCTGGCGGGGACGGTGCCTATCTCGGGGTACGCCCCAATATCCAGAACTTCAGGCTGGCGCAGAGTGCACGGCACTGCACGAAGTTAGATCGTGCAAATGACCAGATCAGACCATGATAGATGTTTCTATACGAGCAAGCCGTGCCCCAAAGAACTGCCATAGACGAAGTGCGTTGAATCGCGACTTCTGACGTCTCAGCCGGTCGCTGGGTCAGGAACTTTCACCGCACGGCCTTGATGCAGACACAAAACCGACATACTCCGCCTCTGTCGACGCAGGGGCTTATCGCGTGCAGGCAGCCGAAGGCCCGCCTGTCCCCTTTCCTGTAGCGCGTAGTAGCACTTCCACCTATGTTCCCGTGACCGCGTGTCAGAACTTGAGCTAATCACACACTTCCCCCCCACCCAGGTTCCAGTATCGCTGAAATCGTCAGCGCGTTCCCGACCTGCGGTGGTCTCTACACCGCGTCCGCGCAGCTCTGCCCGCCGCGCCACCGCGCCATCGTCGGATGGGTCGTCGGCTGGCTCAACCTCCTCGGTGCGCAGCGACCAGCCCGTTATCAGTGTGGTGTTGGGGTGCTGATGGGCCGGCAGGCCAGGTCGCGGGTCTGTCCTCGACGGAGTTCGGGTTGGCGAACATGATCTGGGCGGCCGTCGTCGTCTCGAAGGTGCGCATGCCGTCCCCTCACGTGCACACGGGAGCAGCTGAGCTGACGTCCCGCCCGTTCGGAAGGACGGAGACTACGTCGTCACGCAGGGTATGACCGTCGGCTTGTTCGCTGGGCTGCTCGTCTTCAACGGTCTCCTCGTGAGTTTGCTGTGCTCTTAGCACGCGGGGCGTGTATTCTAACGGCGCGCGCACACATAATAGAACTGCCTCGCGACGCGCCAACTCGCACATATCACCAAGGCCTTCGTGTTCGTGAACCTCGGCGCGACGATCAGTGCGTCCCCCTCCTACGAACATCCCGCCTCACTCACTGACCGTCCCCCCTTCTCTCGCTCACCTTCCTACGACCTGGTACGCGGTGCTGATCGGGCTGTACACCAACTTACGCAGTCATCATCATCGTGCTCCTCGCGATGACGCCGCGCTCCGAGATGCACGCCGCCTCGTACGTCTTTGGCTCCGACGGCATCGTGAACCAGACGGGCGGGTGGAACACGGGGCTTGCGTTCCTGTTCGGGCTGTTGAGTGTCCAGTGGACGGTGAGTGTTCTCGCTCCCCGTTATTGTTGTTGTTGCGTGCTCCTTGGGTGCCTTGGCCGCACTGGAGGCTTCATACCGGGTATATGGTTGGGTGCCTTGGCCGCACTAGAGGCTTCGTACCGGGTATATGCGCCTTATCCGGTATCGACGCACGGGCGACCCCCAGTGTGCACGGTATCCCAAATGGTGTGCCTGTGGCTTGGGAAATGGAGAGTGTCAAAAGCTACGTTGACGGTTGGCGTGCGCCATGCATGCCCACCGTGGTGTCGCGCCTCGTTGCAGGAAGGGTCCCGCCCGCAGCACGGACGTACGGCGTCGGTTGCTGTTGGAGGACCCTGAAGGCAACGACTCATGTGTGCGAGCGGGCTGAGATCGGACCATTACATATACCAATTGTGTATGGCCCGGAGTGTCTCTACTCCGTGCGCTGGGACAGCCGCAGCGGCGACCTTCCTCTTTTCTCGTAATGCCTTCTTGCCCGCATGCATCCTACTCCCTTCTTTGTCTCCGATTTGTCTTGAGCGCTATCAGATACTAATGCTCTTGTCTTTGCAGATGACGGTGAGCACTTATCTCCATCAAACAGCGCAGGTATTTACGGGTCGATAGGATTATGACGCTACCGCGCACATCTCGTACGTACTATCTCATCTTGCTAGGGTTCTGCGCTCGTCAGCGGCTACCGGGACGGAGCCCGTATCTCATGAACCTTCGTCTGCTCGGCGAGGCCATACATGTTATACAGCCTCGCTTCTGCCCACGTCAGCCCGTCTCGTCAGGCCCCGTGTTCTCATGCATGCATGAGAAAAGGCAAGCGCGGCTCGCGTTCAAGCTCCGAGAAGGAGTCATCCCGCGCAGACGAATCCACGTCGCCGTGATTCGCTAGGGTCACATCTCGTCCGTTCATCTGAGTTTCGTGGCGTTGACGAGCCGCAGGCCCCTTCTCACGATGGCGCTGTATGCTGATAGAGAGGTCACAGAGAAGAAGTGAAGCGTGCAGCATATGCAGGTGAGCCGCTCTGCTTTCCCTTCCGGCAATGTCCCCGTCTAACGCGAGACCCGATACTAGCGCCGTCGGCTATTTTCATCGCGGGTGAGGACACAGAACACCTGTCGTCGGCTATGGTCAACTTTAGCTGACAGCGGTTGTATGACCTCCACCCACAGTCATCGGCACAGGTTTGATCGGATGGATTCTGAACATCGTGATGGTGCTCTGCTCTGGCCCCCTGTGAGTGCGCTCAATCGACGCCATCCTACCTTCGTTGACGCAAGGCTGCTGACGCAGTGAGAACCTTCCGGGCGCGTCTGGTTCAGCCTTCTTAGAGGTACGCCTGCCTCATTGTGATGTCTTCTGACAATAGGCGGCTGAATTAATAATATCTTCGGCTCGCAGATCATGGTACTGCGTATTGGAAAACCTGGCGCTCTGTTCCTTTGGGTCCGTCCTTAGCCGCCGCGATTTCGAGCCCCGATATTGATGGACGTGTCTTCAGAGCTTTGTGTGCCTGACAGCGTTTTTCGTGTGTCAGACCGCATTACAGGCATGTTCGCGGATGGTTTACGCGTTCAGTCGCGATCATGGTGCGTGGTGTCTTTAGTCTGTCCCGTTGAGCGACAATCTGATGCTTCGCGGTATTAATCGCTGCCCGTCTCTAGCGCTCCCGGACCGCGGCTACTTCGGACAGGTTACGTTGTGGACGCAGACGCCGCTGCGTGCAGTGTGGTTCACCACTATCCTCAGTATCCTCCCCGGTCTTCTGGATCTAGCGAGCCCCGTCGCAGCAAACGCCATCTTCGCCCTATGCGCTATCGCACTAGACTCCTCGTACATCATCCCCATCATCTTGTACGTGTGCGCAATTGTACTACATGATAAGCGGTCTGACTATGTTTCGCTCGTGACAGGAGAAGGCTGTACAGGAACCATCCAGATGTCCACTTCAAGCCAGGTCCCTTCTTCATGGGAGACGGGCTTCTCGGTTGGGTGGCGAACTTGACATGCATCTTCTGGACGATGTTCGTCTGCGTGATTTTCTGTATTCCAACGGAGCTCCCCGTGACCAAGGCGAACATGAACTACGCATCGGTGCGTCCTTTCGTCCGTCGTCTGTGCCTCGTGCTAACAGCTTCGCCCCGCATAATAGGTCATCACAGTGGGCATTATCTTCCTCTCCGGGTGAGTCTGGTGCTAGGCTATCTCTGCCGTGGACAATTCTGACTTGCGTCATTATAGTGTATGGTTCGTGTGCGGGTGCGTGCCAATCAGTTGACGCTTCAGCTCAACCACCTGACGATCCTTACAGCGCACATCGCCACTACAAGGGTCCTAGCGGCGCCCTTGACAATGACCGGGAAGGTGTCGCTTCGACGGTCCAAGATGATGAGAAAGTAGGCGTGGCATGAATGCACGTTTCTTGGATACGAAAGCCTATACACCAGTATACCGTGAGTGCATGCAAGGAGGTCAAGGAAGTGCTCAATCTACACGTAGGCTTCATGTCGTAATCGCCTGTGAAGCCAGGCGCGTTTTACGAGTGTGGAGTATCGAATATAGATGCAATACTGCGTACGACAAATCTATTGGTCATGGGATGTCATGTCATCAATCTATGCATCTCGGCATCTTCGAGGCACAAACGATAGCGCCAACCATATGTTGTATAGTGAGACTCAACCAGCCGGCCATGATCTGGCATAATCGCTGCTCGCCATGATCGGGGGCGGAGATCCATCGGCCATTACATACGATTGCTGACTGTGTGTAGATTCGCTCTGCTGCAATACCTCGTAATCCTACACTACAGCACCTTCGAGAAAGGTTGCAAGCCTTCTACGAGATGCTCCCACTTCCCGCCGTTGCGATATCGGATCCGATTCCAAGCTCCCATTGGACCTGCCTTCTCGAACCAACAGAAGATGGCCCCGAGAACGAAGTCCGCATAACCCGGACCATCGGTCGCGCTGAATAGCCAGCGCCGATGTCTGCCACGGCGCGGCAGGCTGTCGATGAGCGAGGCTAGCTTGTCTAGCCCTTCCTCTAGGCTCTGCCATATCGCTGGCTGCTTATGCGGAGGGAACATGTCCTCCAATGCGATGCCTTGTCTGCCCGTGAGCCACTGCTACTTCAGAGTGAATGTGAGACTTACCGAGAAATTCCTCCCGGCTGTCCAGGTAGTAGTCGAGATCCCGACCTTCTAGAATTCGCGTCGTACTTGGGACTGTCATGAAGATCATAGGGGCATAGACGTGCGCCTCGATGACATCGATATAATCCAGTTGTACCCCGGGGTCGGCCTCAGGAAAGATTGGCGGCAGAGGGTGGGTCTTCTCGAGGTACATGGCAATGTTTGCCGAATCCGAAAGCGCTATACGTAGCCCATCTGTCTGATCCACGATAGACGGGACGGTGTAGAAGGGCTTTTGAGTGCGAGTAGGCGGCACTCCCACCGCGGGGAGCACTTCGCCTATGTCCGGATATGACAACCAACATGTGGTGTACGCAATTCGCTTGTAGTTGAGAATGAAGCTGGTGACGCGTGAGATAGAGACCCACAGATGAGTGACGGACAAGGTACCGGGTTTTCCAGACGTTGGGAGACCACGCAGGAGGATTCAATGTACTTCGAACGTCATAGAGAGTAATCTCGTGTTTGACAACCATGGTGAGGGCGTGACACGACGATGATAAGTTGATAAAAGTGATGACGACCTCCGGATGGCGCCCTTATAAAGTGATCCATGCGCGCCCATAGGAGCCGGATGACCGATGCATTGCGGGACCACGCACTCAAATGCGCCGAGTGGCTGAATAGCGCGAGGGCACTAATGTCTTGTGAACTTCGATCATGGCCACCTATCCGGGATCGGCACCTAGGAGCACATGTGGCTCGGTAATAAGCGGTATGGCTCGCCAGAATGCCTTGTGGCTTCTTGAAGAGGTATATCTCAAGTTTCATGGGACGCCCGTGCGGGTTAAGCGGCATTGACACACCTCCGACCGGAGTGGGCGTTCTGCGATTGGGGAGGTTGATGCCCGCAGTAAGTATGTACTCCGGTGGCGGGTATACAAACACTCACCGCTGAAAAGTCGACGAAGAAATCCCAAGGCTCAGGTAAGAATCGCTCCGTTTTCCGCGTTCAAGGTATAGTGCAACCTTGTCGGACACGGGCATACGCCACACGGCGGGGTTCATGATCAAACGCACGATTGATTTCTCCGCTTCTCTAGATCGCGCCCGTAATCAGTGAATACGCAAGGCGGTAAACCAATATGCAGGCGTACTAAAGCAACCAAGTCGGGCAAGGTGAACCTGAAGTACCACACGTGGCGGCGGTGGCGCAACACAATGGACGGCTTGAATATGCCACATGCTCTCATACTACGTATAAAATCCATAGCCGTAGCACCCATGACTCGTGCGACGGACAGCTGTGATATCGCAGTCCAACTAGGTTGTCAGCGGAGCAATGCAGATAACGATGGACAGAGACAAAGGAGGACTACGAGCATTTCCGTCTCCGTAAGAGGTGTCGTGGCCAAACTTCTGTTGGTCGCGCCCTACGAGTGTCCGCGACTACTCCGCGTTAGTCTCGGTAATACATCCATTATGGGAGAGGGATTACCAGGCTACGGCCCGCCGTGCCTTGTCGGCGTCTTTCTGACTTCGCCCCGTGTGATTTCCTCAGCTATTCAACTTCTTGCATAGTCAGAGGCCGTGACACGCCATGTCTGGTCATTGTCGAGAGCTGGCCAAGTCTTGTCTAGACAGCAATGCCGAGTGAATGGGACGGAGGACGACGAGGATTTTCGTAATCTCCACGCTCTACCATGGATGATGATCCTCGGGGCGAAACTTGTCCTTCTTCGTAAGGCCCAGTGCCGTCGATTGTCAGGTGGACGACAGAATTGTTCAGCACGCGCACACGGTGAAGTCAGACAGCGTTGCTGCACCACAATATCGGTAGTACCCTGAAGATATTTTTGGTCAGTAATCTGCAATATGTGTCACTACAACAGCGTGCAGAATATGTCATTCTTACAGGGCGGCCAATGTCGTCAACGACACATTTGATTCACCGACTCTCCTGCGTTGAGCATATCTGAGTCTCGTGTTATACTCGGTCTGTACTGCCAGAGAACGACGAAGCACCGTCCCAATGATTGATCACTATTGACGCTGTATCGGGAGACGAGTACGGACGGCAGGGTATGAACTCTATCCTGTTGATGCATGTGGGTCCTAGACAGTCGTGCCTGTCCGCAGAGGTGTTGCTCTGACTTGACGCTTGAATTCATTCTACGATCGAAGACACGGGGGCCGTTTGTCTTGAGCGTGTAGTAATCGAGGATACTGTGCCGCAACCCTAGTTATGTCTCGTATTGGCAGATAAGGTTGAGACAAATATAACGCCGATGGATGTGTGCATGAGACTCACCGATCAGGACGGTCAAATACCACATTCAAATGTTCTAGAATGCGCCCCGTCGACCGTAGGTCCATGAAGATTGACCATGACATGGCTTAGATGAACATGCCGAGGAGGCCACACCTTGTAGCGATCCAATTTAACACATTAGACCAAACATTATACGCATATACTTTACAGATCAAGGGTCCCCTCTATAACAGAAAACATCATGCCTCAACTGGGGACGTAGTAGGCGTCTTTCTAGGTGGAGCAGAAGACATTGTGGCATCTCGTCGTCTTCGTAGGTAGCCCTCGTAGGACTTGCATAACCACTTGACGTAGCCGATGCCATCCTGGTTGCCATTCCTTACGAGACGGGCGTGGAGTATCTCGAGATCGGTGAATGTAAGCAGCGGTGGGACCGTGTCGTCAGGAACATCTACGGAGCTGGTCAATCTCACGAGCGGCCTTGTTCCTTCGAGGATGGTGCGCGAAGACCGCAGCGGATGTTTTGTTTCAATGCGGAGAAGTCGTTCCGGAGGGTACCGCGTAGCGAAAGACCGCACAAGGTCAAGCGCACGTTGAGTCTGGCCCGTCCTGCAGTAATACAGCCACAACCGATCAGCACCGGGTGCCAGAAGCAATCGAATCTACACTTACAAGGACAGCATGCGAATCATAGCCACATTGGCGCGCTCGATCAACCGCGCGTTCATTGTGCTGACGGCAGGGTCATTACGGTCAGACACGTTGCCCGTCGACCACGCTCCCTCGATGCTTTGCCAGCTGCCCCAGATCTCCTCGGCCAGACGGAGCGCCAGATGGCGCTCCGACTTGTGCGATGTCGAACAACGCTTGAGCGCCTCCACATACGACTTGGCGTCACGCGGGACGTCCAGCTGGTCGAATAGCGTACGATAGAGTTCGCTCCAAACCTCAAACCGGGAGTGGACGGAGTGCACAGAGAGATAGGCGTTGAGTAGACGCGTCGTCAGCGCGACATGTCTGAAGGGTCTTGGGAGCTGAGCGGTTTTGCCCTGACCGCTTCCGTCAAGATTATGCTTGATCCTGTCATCTTCGACGATCCGAGAGAGCAAGATGTCCACCTCCCTGACAACCTCCGCACGGGTCTGGGGCAGAATGTGGGAGAAGCTAGATGTGTCCTCTTCCACGGGCAGACCTGAGGAAGCAAAGTCTTCCTCCATGTCCTTCACTTCGTCTGCCGGTGGCGCATCCGGGACATGGATGCTCTCGCCTTGTGGTGTGCTCGTTTCCTTGACGGCGTTTTTGGTGTCGGAGTCCTCGACTATTTTTGCCAGTGACGGAGTGAAAGGCACCTTGTATGACGCATAGGCGTGGAAGACATGCCTCATGATGCCCTCACTCAAGAACAGCCGGGAGTTAGGCGAACCGCGATCCACTGTACCCTCAGCCGCTTGTGTGGATTGCTTCACCATGACGGCGAGGAGCCAGCGAGTCCTAGCCAGGTCACCAATCCGCTTCGCACCTTCCAGCAGCGCGCCCACAAACCGCCGATCAGGTCGGAACGCGCTCATACCGCGCGCATCGCGGTCGCCGTCCATCATCCGCTTCGCAAGCCGGAACGCCTCTCGGACGAACCGCTTCTCGCCGCTGCGCGAGAGCGCGTATATCGTCGCTGAGAACGCCGCGGGAGTCGGCGTCAGCCTGCGGTCCACCATAGCTTCTGTGAAGAGATCGAGAGCGCGCTCGGGCTCAGCCGGCACGGCAGGGTGCGCGCACGCTCGAAGCATCAGGGTGTACAGCGCGATGTCCGGTTTCGGGTGGACTGCGTAACGCATGTGTGCGAAGAGGTCCCTGGCTTGAGCGTGGCCGAGGGAAGGTCTTGTCCGTGTAGAGAGCAGTGCGGTCAGGACACGGGTGTATGACTTCATCGGTGCGGGTAGGCCGCGGGCCTCGTAGTGGTGCAGGAGCTCTTCCACTTGCGACGGGAACGCGCCGGGAACCAAAGCCTTGCAATATGCCATGACATGGGAGTCTCGCTGCACTTCTGTGGGCGAGGCTGCGTAGGTCTGCAGCACTCTTTCTGTGGCGGGAACATCTCCCGCGGACGCGTAGGAATCGAGGACTTCGTTGACAGCTTCCTCGAAGCCGAAACCACCGGTAGACTGCGAACGTCAGATTGAGCAATGAAGGAACAGAGCAGACCAGATTCGAACCTTCATTAGACTCAGCGCAGTCTCCGCTGTGGCGCCATCACCGGCCCTGCACTGTGACCGGAGGCGTGAATTAGTAGACATCTACCGTAAACAGAGATATGACGTACGAAAGTGCGGATTAGAGCTAGCCACTCTTCGGTAGTGAGCATGCCAAGGGGCACAGAAGGCACAGTCCCATCTACATCTGTCCCTTCGCCTTGGATGCGGGGAACAGCGTGGCGCAGCTGGTCTAGGCTGGCGACGACTTCTTGCAACCGACGGACGATACTGCGCGGTGTGACGCTGACGTCTGTTGCAGATGACGACCCTGGACTCTCGGACCATCGAGAAGCTATCCCCTGGAGAATCTTTGCATCTTCTACCATGGTGTCACGCGGCTCGACAGCCGTATCTTTCTCCGGTTCCGAAGACGGGGGCAGAGCCAGAACATCCTCGTACACCCGCAAAAGGTCCTCTTCTGAATACGATTCCTCTTCAACGAGGGCCGCCTATGTGGTACTTAGTGACCTAGTTTAAATCGAACAATGCTATCGGGTACGTACATGGTCCTTCACAGCCTCCTGCAGCATGCGAACCCGCTCCTCCAGCTCTGCCAGCGCGCGGTCTTGCTCCCGGAATTCCTTCACAAAGGACAGTTCTGTCGACTGTCCTGAACCTCTTTTGGCCACCTCCCTAAACGATATTCAGCAAACAAGCAATATATCACGCTATGCATACCACTCACATCGAGTACATCAACGCGTTGTCAGCGTTGTCCAATGACGCCTGTTGGAGCAAAGCAGCGGCGCTGTGACCATGTCTGCGAAGAACCGTCTCACAACCCTTCCACTGTCGAATGACGGGGACAGGCGTCCGTACAAAGACACGACTGAGTGTGAGGTCGAGCAGGCCTGGTGGAAGGCGCAGAGCGGTCGACATCTTGTGAGACACTAGTCTCCGAGAGTCTGGGAAGGTGCAAGTCCGTGATGCACGTTCGTGAGATCCGACGAAGTTGCTGGCGTTTGGGAAAGGTTGCCTGACCCTGGTCGACGGAGGAGAGGATGATTGGCAGTAGTGGCAGGAGGATGTGGCCCGGTGGCGATCGCGGCGCAAAGTCGCGGGCTCGGCCCAAATTTTGGTCTGGCGCCCATAGCCAGATCCGACTGCCTTATCAAGCAAGTCCTAACTTCGCACTGCGCTCGGGCACAGGGCCAAGTTACTCGAAGCCCGCGCGTCCTCGAAACTCGGTCTCCATGAAGGAGCTTCGAGTCATCTGTAGACTGGGCAGTTGGTACCAACGAGACGATGAACCAGAATATTCGCTACAGTTACGAGTTTCGAAGGAATCTACGTGGAAACTACGTAGAGCCTTTTCGGAAAGCCACTCAGCAAGTTGTTCAAGGTATACGTAGAAGCGCAAGTCGTACAAGTCTATGCCCTTGCGGCAGGCTGACACAGTAAGGTACGTAACAAAGTTTGCGTGCAATGTTCATACGTTGTGTCGTCCAGACACTACCGTGACTGACGCCTAGACGGCAGGGCCGCAGCCTTGCCAATTCAATGGCTACTCGACATACTTGACGGTCCATTGAGAGTGTATTACAAGTGTGCCTGGGGAGGTCGGATCCCGTCCCTGAACATGAAGTCTGAAGGCGCGTATCGAATCCGATGCACCAGGTATCGTTCTAGCTTCCCCCCTGAGAGGCATCCGCCGCAACCGTTCCCTCGGAAGCGCTACAACACTCACAACAGAGCCTGAGTGTGACAAGGCTCAGCATGTGGCACCCTCTGCGTCCATTGTGACCACAACCTCCCCTGCAACGTGCAGTCCGTTTAGATTTACGGTCCATTCGGTCAACGCACGTCTACACATGCTAGCGGGCAATTTAAACCTGCCACATTACGCAGTGTCACCTCCGGGTCCCACTCTCAAGGTGAGCACTTTCGACATTCTAGGCCGATTCTAGACATCGGATGTTCGCATCACCGCTGACAACCACTCGCCAGTCAACCTTCTGTGCCAGCCTATCCGCAAAGTCAAGCAATGTCAAATGCAAAACACACGTCTCGATAAACTCCTGGCCCCAAACAGGCAAGGATATAGGCCTCTCATTGTCCAGCCAGTGGACAAGCGGACTTCCCGACGTCGCGCCAAAGCCCGGGCCTACAAGCGAGGCCTTTCTTGCCAGTGGCAGCTCTCACCCGCTAAATAGTGTCAAAGACTCCTATTCCTGGACGCTCACAGTCGACCCACGTACGTACGCACCCCCACCATCCAATCCCGTTGAAATCCACGAACGGTCGAGCGTCGGCACTCTCTCGATTTATCCCTCCCCGGCACCCAGCCTCAGCTCCTCCTCCCCGCCGACCATTTGTATTCCGCCCCCGCTTCCCGTCACCGCGTCGACCGCCAAAGATAAGTGCTCAGCTTACGTCCAAGCCCCCACTCCTCCCCCGCCGACGCGCCCAACACGGGAGTCCAATACAAACCCTGAAAATCAATGGACAAGTCCGCTGAGCGTCGGCAATGACTGAATACATATCGAAACCGCAGTCACCCCAACTCAATTCAAGCATGTATGTAAGTAGTTCTGTACAGCTGGTGCAGAATCACCGCTCTAACTCCATTCAGCGTCGTGGCTTGGTACTAGCGCGTTTGGCAGGCGCACGCACTCGGCGGATAGTCTAAGGGTTCACACAGCATGCGCCAATGATCAATGAATTAATGACTCGCGATGTAGTCAACACACTGCCGTCACACCAAGCCTCGCAGTACTGCCCTCTATACCGCTCAGGATCGCTGCACCAAGTATCGATGCACCAAGTGTCATTATGTTCACCGATCACGTATGTATCCGAGTTACTATCGTACAAATACACTATATGCCACTACGTCTGGAGGGTAACACTACAATATTCATGCAGGACAACGCGTACCATTTTACGACGAGACAGCAAGAGACGACATGCAACCCGTCCATCGTGTTACGATCACAACTCCGTCTTCTGCATCTTCTGCCCCGCCGATTTCAGCTTGTCCCCGCCCGTCTCGACGCTCTCGCCCGCCCGCCCCTTCGCGCTCTCCGCGCCACCCGTCAACTTCTCGATCACCTATCATACGCACACCATCAGCAACAGTCTCCTCCTATGTAGAGCACGCTACAACTCACATTCGCGATCTGCTCCTCCGCCGCCTCCGTCGCGCCATGGAACACGCCCTTTACCTTCCCCAGAACCCTCTCAGCGCGGGACTCCGTCTGCACGTACCGGATCCTCACCTCCTGGAGCAGGCCCGGCCGACCCGTCGGAACCGCCTCCTCCGATAGCCCGCGCTCGCGCAGGTACGCGCGCAGCCGCGCGTCCGGCCACACCAGGTACGGCGCCGCGCGCGCGTTGTACTCCGTGTACTTGTCCTGCATCAGCTTCACGAGCTCGTCCCGCGTCTTCTGCGCGTCGCTCCGGAGGTAGCCGTGCTCGATCAGCCACGCGCGCATGTCCGAGTCGCCCCATGTGCCCCAGAGCGTGTCTTGGGTGTGTGCGTAGTTGTCGCTGCGCTGGTCGTCAGCGCTAGCTTGGATGGGGAGGAGGACTACCACTTACGCAAGGAGCTTCTCGAGTTTCTCCCGCTTGACCTGCGCGTTGCTCTTGATGACGCCGTGCTCAACCAGCCACTCCTTCATCTGCGAGTCGTTCCAGTTCGACCACACCGTCTCCTGCGGGCCGTAGTAGTACTTCTTCATCAACACCAGGTACTGGTCCCGCTTCTGCTGTGCGTCCGACTTGATGACGCCGTGGTTCACAAGCCATTGGTGCTACAGAGACGGTCAACATATAGCAAGACTCTTCTTGAGGAGAAGGCACCCACGATGTACGAGTCGCTCCAAGCCTCCCAGACGGGGCTCACAGCAGCCGAATACGCGTCGCGCATCCATCCAAGTAACTGGTTGCGCGTGGCCTGCTGCTTCGACTCGATGACACCCTTGCTCTCAAGGTACGCTCGCAGCGCGTTATCGTCCCACGTCGAGTAGATGTAGTCCTTGCTGTCATCGAGCGCCTGCTCAACCTGCGCGGATGCTGAGGCGACGACGCTGCTCGCGCTCTTGCTGGCCTGATGCTTCTTGTCGCCATACACCACCGTGCTTGCCCGAGCGTTCGCACTGCTCCCGAGAGAGCTCGCGCTTGCGCTTGCGCTGGACGCGCTCTGGCTCGCCTGACTCGCCAGCGATGACGCGCTGTTACTGTATGCCGATGCGCTCGACGACGCCTGGGCCCACTTCTGCTTCGCGAGGAGGGCGAGCTGCTCCCGGGTGCCCGAGGGCTCGACGACGCCCTGCTCTAGGAGGAACTCGCGGAGGCGCGACTCGTCCCAGGTGTCGAAGGCGTCCTGCCTGAGGTGGCCGTAGTAGTTGTAGAACGCCGCCTGCGCCTGGCCTGCTTGGTCGCCAGCCCAGTCGGTCTGGGCGGCGCCCCACGCTGCGGCGGTGTGTGTGGCGGTCTCCCAGTTGGAAGAAACTAGGGACCGCAGTTCGTTGACGGATGGGCCGGGAGTGGTGGTGGGGATGGGGACGTTGCGGGAATCAAGCCATGCGATTAGCTCTGAGGGTGTCCATTTGGAGTATACTGTGGTGCAATGGTAAGCAACCTTGAACGCGTCCAGTCGCGTGAAGACGTACCCTGTGGCTTGGCCGTGGAAGACGACGAGGAGCCCCACAGCGACGCCTGGGAGCCCAGGGTCATGGCGAGGAGAACGAGACTGGGAGAAAGCTTCATGATTATGATGTTGCAGTGGAGGGTAATGCAGAGTCGTTAGTTCGTGAAGTAGGTCGTGAGAGAGGCGGAAGGAAAGAGTGGGGGCCGACGAAGGGCGGGCGGGGTATATATATGTACTGTCCCGCATCTCAGGTCGAACAGACACGCAAGGAGCCTCGCTCTGACATACGAGGAGCCTCGCGACGTCATCCACCCGCCACAGCCGCGTCATCGGCAGGCCCGCACCAGTCGTGGCGCGTAGCACCCACGCCAGGGTTAGGGTGCCGCCTTGGCTTACGTATGCACCACCGTTCCCTTTCCTGGCGGTGACCCGGCCATTCTTGAGTGTGGGGAAGGAACTGCAGCAGCATCGGCCTCAAATACTGAAGTGACATTCACATTGATCTGCTACATGGCGAAATTCGAAGTATGGGGGTCAAGATCTTCGAGGCCGCTAATCCTTGGTGTACTCCGAGGACAGAGTCGCCTGAATATCAACCTTACGTCCACCACAATCGTGGCGTACAAACTTCGGAATCGATCCGCATTTTCCACAGCACCGTGTCCTCGTGAAGGACCCGTTAGTATGCAAGTATGCAAAGGGCGCAAAGTGAGAACGCGAGTCGCTGAGATGCCCGAATGACGCGGACGACGGAAGCGCCGATCATGACGATCTACGATATGATTGCCGGGGAAGCAGTACAGCGACGGTCACTACTGTAGATGCAGTCTTTGCTGCCACAGCCGTCACTCGTCCGCCGCCCTCATCTACGTCTTGACCCGCCATCTACTCGAGCAAAACGCATACCGAATTTCTGACGCACCCGCCCGCATGTCTACGTTCAGCCGAGACTGCTGCGTCCAGCGCTCACCCCGACGTTCCTTCCGGGAGGTTGGCACCGTAGGAGGACACGCGTGATGGTACGACGCCGACCGACGCACGGTACGTCCGCATACCCACTACTCGCCGTCATGCCCACCGCTTGCATGCTCATCCGCCCTAGCACCATATATACGGCGCTGCACAGGCTGAACACTTCCTCCGGGACACAGCCTGGGAACACAGCGTGATGGCTCCCCAGCGTATGCACCGTCCGATACAATCCCGCCGGCCGTCCTTATCTGTCAATCCTCACCATGTCCGCCCCCCAGCCCCCGACGCCACCGACCGCGAAGGCGCCGCTCACCATCCTCATCGTCGGCTGCGGCCTCGGCGGGCTCTCGGCCGCGTGCGCGCTCACCGACGCCGGCCACAAAGTCACCATGATCGAGTCCGCCGCGGCCATCGGCGATGTCGGCGCAGGCATCCAGGTCTCGCCGAACGTCACCCGCCTCCTCGTCCGCTGGGGCATCGGCGACGCACTCGCCAAAATCGCGGTCAAGCCCGCGCGGTTCGTCACCCGCCGCTACAGCAACGGCAAGATCATCGGCGTGACGCCACTCAACGGCGAGGGCGTCACGACCCCGGAGCTGCCGTACTACAACGTCCACCGCGCGGACCTCCACCGTCTGCTCTATGAACGGGTCGCGCCGCACGTAACGCTGCGGCTTAACTCGAAGGTGGTCAGTGTGGATCCGGAAGCGCCAAGCTTGACGCTGGAGTCCGGAGAGGTCCTGCGCGGCGACTTGGTCATTGGTGCAGACGGTGTGCATAGCACACTCCAGCAGGCGGTCGTCGGCAAGAAGATCCCTGCCACTCCGACGGGGGATGCCGCGTACAGAGCTTTGATTCCCACCGAACTATTGCTGAAGGACCCGGATCTGAAGTCGTTTGTGGAGAACCCAGAAGTCACGTCGTGGATGGGCCCGCGCAGGCACATCGTTGCGTACAACGTGGTAAGTGCATCCATTCTGCCATGGTGCCTTTCCGGCCGCCAAGAGACTGATGCGGCACACCCCAGCGCTCGTGCGAACTGTACAACATCGTCATGGCCCACCCTGACAAAGGCTCAGTCGAGTCATGGACGGCAGAAGGCAGCGCGGAGCTCATGAGAGCAGGCTACACGGACTTCGAGCCGAGGTGCGTCCCCCCTTCTTCGCTTCGATCCTCGATTACCTACCAAGGCACGTGACGCAGAGTGCAGAAGCTGCTCGGGCTCGTCGAGAGCACGCTTGAATGGCGACTGCTCGACCGCCAGCCGCTCAAGACATGGATGCACCCTGCGGGCAAGCTCACGCTGCTCGGAGATGCATGCCATCCCATGCTTGTACGTCCGTCCCATCAGCATGTCCGCTTCAAGTTTCCGGGGCTGACTCTGGTTTTCGTAGCCTTATCGAGCGCAAGGCGCCGCGATGGCGATTGAGGACGCAGCCGTGCTCGGCACCCTCCTCTCACACATAACCTCCGTCGCCCAGCTCCCCAATATCCTCAAAGCGTACGAGGGCCTCCGCCTCCCACGCGCGACCGCCATGCAGAACGCCTCCCGGCTGAACCAGCACTACGTGCACATGCCGGACGGGCCGGAGCAGGAGAAGCGCGACGCGGGCATGTGGAACGTGTTCTCGGGGGAGAAGGAGGGGGACGCGGACGCGGACACTGAGCAGCCCCCCGCGCCGGAGAAGGCGGGCGAGGTCGTCGCGGGGAGCGCCGAGATCAGCGCGACGGACGCGGCGGCGAAGAGCGCGGGCGAGGAGGGCGTCAGGGAGGAGAGGAAGCTCGACGAGAACGAGAAGCAGAAGGTCGCGACGCACTTTGGGTACGATGCCGTCGGGGACGCGGAGCGGTGGTGGCGGGCGGTCGGCGTCAAGGAGATTGGTGAGGTGCAGGGCGCCACCTGCGCGTTGTAGAGCAGTGACGTGGTGCGTGCCGGTGGACGCGGGTTGCGCCACGAGCAGAGCAGCGGTCAGCGGTCGTCGCCTGATGGGAAGCAGCTAGGTAAAGTTGTAGCGCATATTTGTGTTTGTTTCACGTTTTGTACGAATTAGGGGCTTTGCGGGTATTGTATCCCATCTACCACTCGAATGCCTGGCGGGTTGGCTTCAGGGAACGAGCCTTGAATCTCTATCAACGCCGCGATGTACGCCCGCATGAGTGGAGACGTCAGTGCTGACAACTTATCTCACAGAGCTTTTGAGGTACAATATGACATTGTTCGCTACAATTTGGGGGTGAGTCCAAGTGTCGACAGCCAATTCCTCCTCCTTGGGCAATGACAACAGCAACACCTGGCCCGTAATGCATTCTGGTGTGTAAGTCCACCTGTAACCTACATAGCCATGAGCCACTGACTCATACGTCAGTGTATCAATCCCTAAGCTACAACATGCTTTCGGAATTGGAGGCATCGATATCAGCAAGCTCGACGGTGCCGATTGCCCGCGGCAGTCCTGTCGACCAGCCGAATATGGATGGTGTTCCTTTCCGTGCTTCATTACATCTCTACGCAACCTATCCCTATGCTTCGAGCTAAACGGGCGTGGCTAAGCAAGCTTAGACTTCTTCCAATTTCGGTCCTGTCGCTCCTTAACGTTCACCACCGGTATCAAAATTTCTCCGCCACGGGGTTTCCATTGTGTCCGCGGCTTTATCCTAGCCCTCTTCTTTATTGCTTTGGCAAGATCTTACCTCCCATATGCGGCCGATCCGAGGACTATCAATGTTGGTCACAGGTGAGGCTGTCGAAGAGCTTGCAAAGCGACAGTGCGAGATCAGCTTCACCTACGCCTACTACAGCAGCAGTGAGTCATTTTTCGTCTGTACCGACACAAACGCGTACTGAGGGGTACTTCGGCAGAGGATATCACTGACAACGATGAAGAGTGAGGTAACTCTCTGGATGTCCGAAGATCGATCCCAGGTTCTGGCATTCAAGGTATGAAACTCTACCCCCTGCAACCACTAGTGGCTCACGCAATGCTGCTAATCATCATCGCAGCGTACGAGGGCGTGCTTATTAGCGTTCAGTAGCGTGGCTATGCTTCACTGGCATGCACATCCGCCAAAAACGTTGTAACAAGCCATGACGAATTAGCGATCAGTGCGGACCCGGTGACGTCTGAGCTCGTTGGAACCGTGACGCGCGCACAGCGGCGCCACTATCACCCTCATTCCCGGATTGTAATCGTAAGGCTCGAAGGTCAGAATACGATATTGGTGAGTGCCCCTGCGAAAGTTTCACTGCCATGTGCGGGTTTGTACATATCGTCCTGCTCGACGAAGAGTTCGGAGGCTGAGCGCTGGGCGCTGAGCCCATGGATTGTTACGCCATGAACTGCTTACATTCGTATCCCAACTTCTATATGATTTTTGCGGGGTCTATTGGCGCATCTCATCCATTCAATCTCAATCCACTTCTTACACTGTGCTGCGCGGACTTGCATGTGGTTCACGCTTGTCCAAAGGGCCTGACTGGGTATGTGGCTCAGCTGATGCGTGGCCAGCGCTGACCAGCGCCAGCGAGCCCATAGAATTCAAGACGTCGTTTCACGAGTGCATGAGGAGGTCAGTTAGGGTTTGTACAACGGGTACCTGACCGGGAGAATAAGCAGCGTCCCGCAATCAAACCACATGAATGGCGAGGGCGGAAACCCTGGAACGGGTTTCTTGGTAGTCGTCCATCCTACTTGGGTCAGCAGCTGACTACCGGGCTTCATGATCCATGCTCTAGATGATCTTGCACTGGCAGGTTCGGACGCTGGGCCTGTGAGCGTGATGCCACCGTAAGTAGTGTCCGTTAATCCCACAAGACATACACTGAAGGACCCCTGAGCATGAGAAAAGATCGCACCATGCGAGAAGAGGGAAAATGACACTGTTCGTGCATCTAGTAGGTGGGTTCTCAGTGCTGTCATTGTGTTTACACACGCGAGCGACGTTGCTCTGAAACTGATAGAGTATGGGCTGGATCAGTATCCCAGCGTCCCGACACACGACCACAATCTTCCCTCAGTAGTATTGCTCTGTTTGCCAAATTGCAATGAATGATACCGTGCGTGGTATATAAGCCGCCTGCCTACACGTCTTCCCTTCAGTTCCTCACCGTGGTACATCTAGCTTTCGACATGCAGATCAAGCAAATCGCCATACTCTTCACTGCTATCATCATGCCCTTCATCGGCGGTGCCATGGGCGCCCCCATGGGTGCCAACGGTGAACACCGAGCCGTTCTCTCGTCACGGTTGCCCGATAACTGACGAGTGACGGTCCTAGATGTCAACATAGCCGAAGAGCTTGCCAAGCGAGCGTGCGAGATCAGTTTTAGTTATGCGTACTGCAAGAGTGAGTGTACTTCCCTCCCTCCCTTCACCCTAAAATGTATTGAATGCCGCTTACGTAGGTGATGTCGTTGACAACGAGGCACTCGAGGATGACTCGGAGTGAGGTAGCTCACAAGATCCCCTGGAATGACCCGCACTTCCATCGTAGAGGTATGTGATACACATACAGTTCTGTCTTGTGACCATTGCCGGCTCATGTTTCATGCCAGTGCAACTTAAACCTGTGGTGTGCAAGGACGTGAAGTTATGCGGCGTGTAAACCAGAATCCTCGTACTTGTGTCTATTCATTGAGCATGTCCACGAACATGCCTAAGTCATCCGAGTGTAGCCCGACTCGGAGAGTCCAGCTTTCCTGTACTCATCAGCACACCCGCGAAACTTGATGTCGTCAGTACCTCGCCGGAGTGCCAGTGCTGGTGCCAATTTAGCTTCGCACCGTCTAAGTACTGTCAAGTCGCTACTGTGGCGCGCAATATGAGCACGGCTGTAGATCAATCGGCATATCCCGAGATCCAATCATGACGAGGCTTACCACGATGGGATCGTTGCTGAAAGTTACAACATACGGAGCGTATACTGTATCGTGGTGAATCGTGGTGAATGCAGTCGATATGTTGGCGTCACAACAAGGATATTTACGAAAATGACAGCCTGAGTCTGACTACGCCTAGGACGCATGCTGCATCAGGTAGGAACACACGAGTAACAATAGCCACACTGCGCATTATGTAGACCCGCACCCTACCTCTATAGCGTCAGTGACTTCGTACTTAATTGATTACATCCAGTTCATTGCTTAAGAACCGCCCGCTATAAACCGTCGGCACAATACTCGCACTTCTTCAGCTTACAACCACGCTTCCGGCAGAGCATTTCATTTCGATGTGTGCACAACAAAGTCACTGCATCCAACAGTCCACAATACCTACTCACTCCCCCACCGTCCCCGCAACAACGCTCCCATGCACGCCCCACGACACGCCCAGGCCAAAAATGACCCAACCAATCAAGATGATCACCGCGCCCGCCCCGAGGCACGCCCACCGCGCCCACGAGAACTCGGGCTCCGGCGCCTTCAGCCGCTTCTCCCTCTCCTTATTCTCCGTCATGCCCTCGTCCAAATTCTCCTTGGACACGGAGATGCCCGCGCGCGCCGCGAGGCGGTCGACCTCCGCGGGCACCTCGCGCGGGTTGATCTGCGAGAGGCGCGCGGCGGGGAGGAGCGACGGCTTGAGGTACGAGACGACCAGGAGCCCGCCGGAGATGGCGACGGAGATGAAGGCGTATGCGAGCCAGAGCGAGACGCCTGGCTCTAGTGAGTCGTCGGACGTGTCGTCTTGCATTTTGCCGGCGGCGGTCGTGATGATGACGATGGAGGCCTGGACGACAGATTCTGTGGGAAGCGGTTAGTTGTCCTGTACGAGGGTACGAGCTAGATGCACCCACTCTTAATGGCAAATCTGGTGTTTAAAAATTTGAGCTACTCCGGTCACTGCGCTGTTAATAGGTGGCTCACCCTGTAGCGTAGTCCTGAGGATCAGGAATGATGTTGCGCACAATCTCAACTTGAGGCGCTGGTGTGAACGCCTGAGATCCACATCAGTCTGGTACCGTCTTTACATTCATGAAGTATCCCCTACCTGGGATAGTGCGTAGAAGACATACGCAGCGACTGGAATATCTGTTAGACAGGAGCACACCACGCATTGCGAATTCTACTCACTAAAAGTCGGGATCGCACTTGAGAATCTCAGCAGCAGCATCGACACCAGGAACGTCAGTCCTGATATAAACACTGGCAAACGAGGCGGGTCAGCACACGTCGATCGCACCCCGACGTCGTCGACACTCACGGAAGCCGATCCGCTGGCCGAAGCAATCAATGTAGATCCCCAGGAACGGCGTCAAGCACGCGGGCAAAAGGAGATAGAAGCTCGACACCCATCCGCCAATGACCGCGCCCTTCTTCAACCTCTGCTGCGCAAATTGTCTAGATCAAAGAAGAATACGTGCGAAAATGCACAGAGACAGAGTGAGTGACAGCCCGCGTCAGCGTCCGCGAAAGGCAAGCACGCGGTCACATGACGTACGTCGAGATGGACACGAACGCCTGCACGCCCGCGTTCTCGAACACCGCGAACGCGACGACGAACCAGAACGTGAGCGGCAGGTTGCGGATCGAGCGGAAGCTGAAGTGCCGGCGGAGCGTGCCCTTGTGCAGCTTGCCGTTCGTCTGATCGATGATGTCGTAGTGCGCGCGCAGGTACCGGTCGAGCACGACGACCGTCGCGGCGCACACGAAGGAGAAGCCCGCGATGCCGGCGCTGATCCAGAGCGCGTATGCGTACGACCCGAAGTGTGCCGTGATTATGTTGGCTGTGGATTGGCCAGTGAACTGGGCGAGGTTGGCGATACCCCTGGAAGAATACAGCGTCAGGCGTCTGTGCTCGACGAATGCGGCATAACAAGCTACCATATGGCACCTGACGGGTGTGGTCAGTATCTGCGGGAAAACCAGCCGTAAAATCTACTTGCCTATTGAGAACGCGAAGCCCCTGCCGGGTGCGAAGTATGTTGAGAAGATTCGGTGCTGGGCATTATCGAGAGACCCGTCGCCGATGGCAGCGATGACTTTCCCGACGATCAACAGGGCGTAGCTGTTGAGGTTATTGGTGGCAGCGCCTGCCATAACGATTGAGCCTGCGAGATGGAATCCGGCGAAGATAACGGAGAGCGGAGCGCCGCCCCACTTGTCGATGCAGAAGCCGAACCCGATGCATAGGAACGTGTTGATCTACTTCGCTGTGTTAGTAAAAGAGTGCGCATACATTCACCAATTTCACTGACCAGATTGGTGATGGCAACCTGGTGAGCAAGCGTAAGCAGTAGCTCTGAGATATCGTCATGGAGCAGCATACCAATGTGGCGAACTGGGAATTGTTGATATGCGTCTCCTTGATGATTGTCGTCTTCAACGCGCTGCGGGAGGCTCGACGATGAGCAGATCAACGTTACCCCCTCGCCGGTACTTACACAATCAGACCCTGGATTTGCACGGTGAGTCCGTTGTAATAAGGTGTGGCGCAGACCACTCACATTCGACCAGTGGTTCCCAACTGAAGACAAGCGTTCCAAGCGTCAGACAATGGGCGGCTGAAGGAAGACGATGTACGCACACGTGCACAAGCAGGTGAGGACACCGATCAAGACTTGCCATCCTATGGGCAGTCGAGGTCTGGGTGGATCACTCTCGGACGACGAATATGAGAGCGCCTTGACGCTTTCCCGCTCCTCGGAAAGCTTCTCCTTGCTGATTGAGTCGCTCGGCTCGCGTGTCGGGAGGACCATGTCAAGATCCAAGCAAAGGAAGGGTGCTTAGCCGCGTGGATGGGTAGGAGGGGGAGGGGGGAAAACCACGGAGAGAAATGGGTGCGGCTGGTCATCTTATCAGATACTCGGCCCCAAAATGATTGAATCTTCATTGACAAATGAATAGACATCGGCAGCGGCGTCTGTGTTCGCGAAGGGGGAAGATGCCTTCGAAGCGGGCTGGCCGCACGCAGAACGAGCGTTTCAGCGGGGCACGACCGCGATCGTGGCCCAAGAATAGCACGGCGGTGGCCCCCGACACCACCCGGCACGCTGTTCCACTGTCGTTCCGACGACAGCACGAATAGCCGCTAATCCTAAGCAAGAAATAAGAAACACCACCTCTGCATGCAGAAGCAAGGCGCGTCTTACCATTCGTCGGAATTAAATACGCAGGCGCCAGCGCACTGGCCCCCGGGAATCCCTATAGCATACATGGTAGGCCTGATCGTGATTTCTGACCATGACGCCTCTTCAGTGGGTCTGCTTCGCGGTCCGTCACGGTCATCTCGGTGAGTGGTCGTGTACCAGTGAATCTCGGCTCAGAGGTGTGCATCGTCGTCTGCAGAGTCGCCGCTGGAGGCTCCTGCGCTTTATGCCCAGACTTCGGCGAACAAACAGGCCCTCGGCCAACCTGTATGATGCACAGGGGAACATCGGGGTGTCGGGCACAACATGGAGAATGGGGCCGATGGTCTATTTTGCGGCTTATCTGATAGTGGAAATGTTATCAGATAACGGCTTGACATCTAATCAGGAGCTCGAGTTTACAGCACGCCGGCTGTCGCGCGCCCGCACTCAAAATGCGATCGCTTTCATACGTCCGCCTCGCACCCATAGACCCCGCCCCTGGAGAAGAGCCCTAGAAGCATCGCCCCACCAGCGTATCTAGTCAGCTGTGCGCAGTCTGCGGACACAGAGCGGGGTCCAGGGCCGGCAGACGTACATATGTGCTCAACCAGGTCGCGGCCGTTCAAAAGCATCCAGACCCGTGGGTGCGATCTGCTCGCGCGATGCCATGATGGACGTCCTTGGACGTCCCGTCGGAACCGCTGCCATGCAGGAAGCACAGCGCCAAGACCAATTATGCGGGGTTCTTGGTCAGCACGCAGCCGCGGAACAGGTGAGCACGCCAGGGATGGGCCCGGGCGGAGGCAACCTTCCAGAGGGACGGCATGGTAGATCCCGGGACGATACCGTGCGCAGTAAGTTCTGCTCAGTGTGATGTGCTGAGCCAGTAGCGTCCAGCCAAGCGACGATGTAACAGCAAGTTGACCAGTGCAACATTGTAAGAACCAGGTACCTCGGAGGCGGCGGAGGCCCGCCGGACAGTCATTAGCGCCGATAGCACGTGCCAGATACTTGAATCTTGAAAAGGCAATTCTCGCGGCTAAATGGACCCATCTCCTCCTCCTCCTCCTCCTCGCGTTGTGGCCCTCCTCAACCGGGCACTCGCGAGCTGCAGACGCACTACCTTTCCAGGTGCTAGTGAGACTTACATCCTGCGTGATATCTGCGTATTACGACAAAAATGTGTGCTGACCCGCTCGGCCCTCCAACAGACGCTACGTACCTCCCACTGTGTCCCAGCGCTGAACCGCATCGTGCCTGGTGACACCGACCCGCCCTGCCAGCCTACATCCCAGTGAGCACACATTCAGCGAACCGCGCCGCATCAGGCTTGTGTTGAGGCTTAAGGTACGCCCGTCACGTCGATGTATATTTTCGTGCGCTTCCGCGACATTCCGGAACTACCGTGTCTCGATACACCGCCGTTAGACAGAACCTTCGTTTGCACCCCGGCAAGCGATCTACATGGCGTATCTCCATCCCGGGCAGAAGCGTTACGTCCGTCTCGTTCCTTGGCGTTTGCAGCCTCACGGTGCTGCTTCGTATCTGATTCGACGCACGGCTGACTGCCAGAGGTATTGCTCGAGACCGTATGCCGGGGTCAGCGATACCGATGTGCCTCCGGCTGGTCTGGAGCGCGCACGTAGGGCGGCCAAAAATCCTTTGTTCGATCTTGTCTATCTGTCCTAGCCACAGGCACAATCATAATGGAGGTGCTCACATGCTATCGCGCTTGCCGCTACCATACTCCAGTCACGCAAATTCCAACTTCAGTAGCTTTCTTCCACCATCGCGCTAGAGGCGATTGTGTCTCGAGCATGTCCGGTACTCGCTTCTGCCAGCGCATCGCGTACTAGAACTTGCTCCAGGATAGCAAGGCTCCGCTGACGTATTTCAGGACGCATCCTTCGCTTCTAGCCGGGTAGGGTCCATCACCGTGAACGAATAACATGCCATGCTTTACAGACCGGGTTGGGCTTTGCGTCGAAGCGAGGCTGCGGAGACGGGTGGAGTACCGTAAGTGATCGACGTCGTCCACTTCTGAGTCCATTGGACGCTTGACCTAATTCAAGGGACTCGACGACCTATCCAGGTTCTAGATCTGCTAACTTAGTGCTCGAGTAAGCTGACCGTCCAGCTTGCTCGAGCAACTACTAGTTGCCCTGGACCTGCATATCCTCATCGCCATTCGACGTCGCTGTTCACGTAGTCCACATCCGGTGGCATGCATCACAGGCTTCCAGTGTCGACCTAGCGAGTGTGCGAGCATCCATCATCCCTCAGCGGACATTGCTCTCCCCTCAAGTATGCAGGAAATGAGTCGCACATTCCAGCCGGTCCGAATGGCGAAGATATCGCGAATGTTCAGGGCGCAAAGTGGTTCCCTGCGGAAGAGGCAATCCCCACCGGCGAGCTACGTCACTCTTCGATTCCGTCGGACTGATCCATGTCTCAGCTAAGACCAGCCTAATATCGCCTCGGGAGATCCTCTGGATTCAAGAAGATCGTGCATGTCCCCGGACATGAAGGCTATCTCATTTTACGACACAAAAGTACGATACTCGGTGCGTGCGGCTCTGTGACCTCTATTGAGGCATGTCAACATTCATTTATCGCACGCAGTTACCAGTACACTCCATAGAGTCTAACAGTTGCGAAGCCGCCTCGCCGGGGGCACGGCATTGCTTCTTCGTTGAACAATGCACTGTGCACACTGTCACGGAGTCGGCCGCCTTCAAGTGCTTCTACGAACTGAGGTTGTGCGCGCTGAACGCGAGGCGATGCGGCTCAAACTTCGGGGCTCTATCAGTTGTATAGTTGAGTACCGGTGGTTCTCGCGCACTGCATGCACATGCTTCAGTGAAGGAGTATGGTGGCCAGCGGCCGGTCTCGGCACCGCTTGGCACAAAGGCCCTCTACTCATTTGGTGGCTTGAGCACTTCGGTGAAGTAACTGTGCTTGGTGCAGCAACGTGCGTGCTTATACCTTGCGTGGTAGCGAGTGGCCACCGTAGATCGAGGTTCCAGACAAAGGATGTTCCCGTCATGGAACATCGTTGAGACTTGACACGATTACTGTGCAACTCTGTAATCAAAGGAATCGAAGAGCCTCTTTGATGCCTTTGATTACAGAGTTGCACAGATGTATCAACATTAGTGGTAAAACCCCGAAACGTCATGTTTTCCGGTATTTGTACATCATTCTCCAGGTCGTGTAGACTGGGTAGCTAATTATAGAGTAGTCGTTGATAATATCTAACTAATCTGCTGATTTTCTATGTTGCGATGAACCACCAGAGAATTTCATGAATCATGACAAATGTATGAATGTATTCAGGGCTAGTACAGATTGTAGAAGTCGTGTGGGCTCTTGTACAGATTCAAGTAAAACGTCCTACACTCATCCAACACATTCTCACTCGTCCAATGCGCAGGAGCAGGACCACCCCATTTCGGATGAAGGTGGGCACTGCATTCAAGTGATGCGAGAGGTACCACTGATGCGATCTGCTCGCGACCTGTCAGTGCTGTGACCTTGTACATCTGATAGTGAGAATCTGGAGCGCGCGCGAACTTAGAGAACCATTCCACATATACGAGGTGACGTGGATATCGTAAATTCGGGGCCGAAGGGATCAACTGATGGCGAACTTTCTCTGGGATCGAGAAGATCGCACGGACTCGACCTATACGCATGTCTGTGAAGCAAATCAGTCATACATTCTCGTATCGGACTATATCATCATCGCGGGCTATGGGACCCACCAAACGGCTACCAAGACAAGCTACTACATAGCTCTGTGATATGGCGCCCTCCATCCCTGCCCACCCGTCAGCCCGTCTGGCGGATCTTGAGGACAGCCCAAGGTTGTCACGGAATCATGTTATTCAATGGCCTGGTGCTCTGTGAGTTTTGTCAGATGCCCGGAGGACCGGCACTGGCTCCTGGGGGGTTTTTCGAGTTTTTCCCCCCAGGTTTTAGCAGAGTGTCCCGCCCCGCCAAAGCTTGGTGAGAGGGCCAGGGCCGAAAGAGGTGACACGTCTTGGGAAGAGTGTTTGGCAGGGATGGAGGGGCATTGGGGGCCGTCTAATGTAGTAGCAGTGAGGTAGTCTAGTACGTAGACCTATGGCTTGCGATGTTGTAGCTAGTGAGCGCTGTCACCGTCAAGAAGTCGAGACGCGCGTGCGCTATCGGCCGGTGGCTAGATGGACCCCCCTCCTCCTCCTCCTCCACCCCCCCTTCCCCGCCAATCCATAAGAGCCGTCATAACCAGGCCTTGTATGACGCGTGAGGCTCTGGTGAACTGCTAGCTACGTGATCGCAGCATGCGAACAAGTACTAGAGAAAGCTAGTGAACTCCCGCTGGACTTCGCGTCGCGACCGGACTATCACTTTTCTCCACTGGCGAGCACGGGTATAACACTGATAACAATCATCTGTTAGCCTCTCGAGCCATGCGAATGTCTCCTGAAAGCGAATGTCGTCCTGCCTGCACAACGACTCGATCGATCCGTCCATTCTCAACTGGAACGCTTTCCACGTGTCGCATTTCTTGCGGCCTCCTTTATGCACCACCAGGCCTGGTGCTTGACGAGCATTCTTGAGAGCTTCCTTGAACACCGAGCAGTAAGCAAGCTGTATATGATTAGCCCAGTGAGGAACCGCGTGTCTTTCAAAGGGAAGCCCACGTACCCAGGAACCAAGGAATGCTTCATCCAGGGATATGATGCCAACACTGCCTGAACCGCGAACCTCGGACGCTGCTGCGTTACACAACGCCGGGTGATTATGTCGTAGTGCATACATAAGAACTGTCACCGGAGCTACGGGGACCGCCGCGCTGAGGTGAATTAGATGCCACAGTTGACATAGTCACTGAGGAGACTACGTACGCCATAGCCATGTTGCACACCTGCAAGGCTGGGAAGACCCTGTACTTCTCCACGGCTTCCGCTAGGTCAAAAAGCTCAGTGCTTTGTAGCTGCCGCACATCCGGTTGTTCCTGTCGATACATGAACTGAAAGAGCAGTTCCAGTGTTGAAGCCGACTCAGTCAAGGAGACGATCTCCTCGTCCGTGTTGACCGTGATATCTTCTCCCGGGAAGCCCTCCGTATGCTCGTAGAGGTTCCGCCTGTGCACGCGGAAGAGCTGACCATCCGACGAGCGGACTGTCAGATCGGCGTCGGGCGCGTTGACTGTGCTCCTTGTCAAAAAACAGCTTGTTGGGATTGTGCAGCGCATGGACACGTACACAAGCGATTGTACGTGGGAGTCTTCGTACCTTCCACTGTCGGGGCGTCAGAGTTCGACATGCTGATTCTGCATTGTCACATCGGCGGGAGGTTGGGCAGGTTAGAGGACATGACCAGTCTTCAGTCGATGCAAGCTCGTACCTGGCGACTACAAGGCTAGGTTCAGATGGAATCGTACGTTGAAAATACATATATGTATGTTCAGCGTGGGTCATAAGAAGCGAATAGCAAGCACGCCGCAAGTGCGTGGCCTTCATGTTCCGGGCCTCAGCTGCACTGAACTTACTCCCAGTAACTTAGAAGCACCGACAATTCAGAGATACGTCTAAGGTTCTCGCAGCCACCAATGCAGCTAATTGAAAGCTTCTTTTGACATGGAAGATACAGATCGACAGCGCATGCAGGCTCCTGCAAGCGATTCTCCCTTAACCTTCACGAGCTCGGAAGACAGCTGAAGGGAAGCCCAAGCAGGCGCGTGAACACTTCGAACTGGAGCTCCGGGCCAACGTCCGCCTTCGTCGTATCGTTCAGCACGGACACGCTGTTGTAGCAGCCAGACGTCGCCACCACGTCGCTCTCCGCAGGGAGTGTCGTGCTCCCGCACGTCCAGATGTCCGTCGTCCCGGGGTCGGCGAGGTTCCGCGAGAACACCCACTTGTAGTCGGACGGACTGGGGCAATCGTCAATGGGTGCGTAATTCACGTTGACGATGATGCCTGGCGGGAGAACCGGGTAGAGGAAGGTGTCGAGGAGTGTCTCGGTGTAGTGCACCGTGAGCGCCGAGTAGATCCAGGATGATTCGGAAGAGGACGCTGTAGGATCGCTCTCGAGGGTGGTGTACGAGACTTGCGATCCCGTTCCTCCGGAAAAGGCGGTAGCTGGGACGCCCTCTTTCGCCGCTTCGCACGCGGCACCACTATTGCAAAATCCATGAGTCGTGTGCCCTACGTGAGCGGTCAAGTGATACATACACTGTGCCAGAAATGAGGACCACGGTTCCAAGGTTATCTGCGAGAACAAGATTGGAACTCTTGAGTCGTGATAACTACGATGCGACTACTTACTGCCGATGTTTGGCCCGCTCACGACGAACTCGGGCTTTTGACCCCAAAAGAATTTTGGCGCAAGCGTCTGGATCCCGTAGTGCGCTGCGTCCACCCTGCATGATAGAATGTCAGCAACGTGGCTATATTGGTAGACATTTTTTACGGACGGGTAGGCATTGACGTAGTTGAACCGAGCTAATAGCACGATGAGAGTCTGGCTTTGTCAACACGATGTGAGGAACGTACGGTAACTCGCGTTGAATCCTTCCGGTGGGGATCCGACGGGACAAGTATCATACTCGCAAGGCTCCGTGAGGACAGTGGGCGTTGCGGTCGTCGATCCGGTACCTGACATGTTCTCCGAGGGGCATGACAAGACGACCTGACGAACACGCACTCAAAAGGTTAACAAAGCGATCGAACAACTGATACACGTCTGTAACGTACATCGTATCCTGCCCGCGTCAGCTCATCATACTGCGCGCGGATCTGCGCTACAGCCCATCCATCGTCGTTCGTAAGCAATATGTTCGTGGCGAGAGCCACCGAAACGAACGAAACTGCGACGGCAGCGCGGAGTAGGCCGAAGCTATGCATGTCGCTCTTGGGGAAAGAAGGTGGGACGAACGACGAGGAGTAGGAGGACGGATATCCCTAGCACGACCCGCTCAGATTTTGTCGGCGCGAATATAAATGCCCACCTCGACGCACGTTCGTCGGCGAGCGACAGGTTCCATATCACAGGGCCGAAGAACAAGTGCATGCGGCATCAGAGTTGGTTATGAATATAGCGCGCTTGCCTTGGCCTCGGTCGCGAACGTTCCTCTAATGTTTGTCTTGATGCGCGACATTTGCAGTGCGACTATCCAGCAATGGCATATCAGCCATCTTGTCGAGAACTGGCAGCATGCTCAAGGTGGACAATACACATGACTATGATACTGTAGACGGGACGACATGAATGAGTTCGTGTGACTGACACAGGCACAGAAAAAATATACGGCAGTTTGTCGTCCCAAACGAGAGAGCGGATCACTTTGTACTGCGGACGTCCAATCGGCACAGGGCACGGATTGAAGGATTCGAGCCTCCTCCAGTACTTGCGTCGAGTACGTCACTGACCATTTGGCACTATAGCTTAGTCTCCCCTAGGCAGACCTTAAAGAAACCTCTTGGACGGACAGGGGGGCGTAACTATAGCTTAGTCTGCAGCAAATGTGTGTCCGCTGGTCCCAGTAAGTGGCCGCAGGATCCTTGACGAGTAAGCTTGCTTGTAAGAGAGACTGTCCCGGCGTTCTGAGGATTGCAGAGGATGTTATGTAAATGAGTGCTACGTGGATTGGAAGACATGCATCCGAGAGTGACAGACAACACCGCCTGGCCGCGGGACACCGTGAGAATTACAGTCGATTGCGAATATGTTGGCACTCACAGAATTTTTCGACACGCGCGTGAACCTTCCGACTGAAGTTCCCACGCATCTTCCGACCCATCTTCCGAGTCGTCGAATGACGAATCTCTCATGTATTCTACCAAAACTACAGCAATTTACACTACCACATGTTACTCTATGTGTCGTGGAACAGGTCTATGACATAAAAAAGGAGGATCCATGAGCTGAATGCGCAATAAGAAGTATGGCATGTCGAGCACAGAACAATCACGTGCATTATTACCACAATTGGATAGACCGCGTAACAGAACCCAGTTCTACGCATTGCCGTATTTTTCTCCATTAAACCTCACTGCTATGATGACCAGGGACTTATCTGGTAGTGTTATTGTCATTTTCAGAACAGAGAAGCGAAGTTATGCTGCATTATCATAGCTAGAGACACTGGTAAGGTAGCTCGGAACTTTGGGTCGGAAGATTCACGCGCGTCATTGCGCGCGTCGAAAAAAATCCGCGAGTGCCATGATTTCTGCAATCGACTGTAAATAAGTAGTGCTGAACATCCTCCTGCTGGGGTCATTCCGCCAATATCGCGGTACCGTGACCGGTTCTTATCATTGGAAAGTTGACTCAGTGAATGCGACTGACCTGGCTGGCACGGCGGTGGCTAAAAACATCCATATCCCAAAGGTTTCTTAAAGTCATCACCATGGACCACGATGCAGCGGGCTTCGGAGGATGGACACGAGAAGACCTCATCTCTCGCATCCGTGAACTCGAGCGGCTCAAGCTCGCCGACCAGACAGGACCATCGAGCAGGGAACAACGCAATAGCAAGACGTCCTACCCCTCCGCGCACCCGCGGCGCAAGATCGCCCTCAAGTTCACATACCATGGCGCACACTACTCAGGACTCGAGTACCAAGGGCTGCCGTCGCGACTGCCGACCGTAGAAGGGGTCCTGTTCGATGCATTGGTGCGTTGTCGCCTCGTTGATCCCGAGGCTGGATTTCAGGGCTGTGGGTGGGAGAAATGCGGGAGGACGGACAAAGGGGTCAGTGCTGCCGCACAGGTCGTCAGTTTTTGGGTGAGGAGCGCATTTGGCGAGGTGAAGCGGCCTCAAGAAGACATCGGAGAGGAAACATCAACGGAGGCAAAAGCAGAAACTTCCGACTCCCCACCCGTCGAGAAGGTGAATAATAATGACGGTCCGGGGCTCGAAGGAGATCTAGCCATGATGGGCGACTGGGATGAGGCTCCGACCAACGCCTCACTCGAACAACCAGCTGAGGCCACATCCGAGATCCCTTACATCTTCCGGCTTAACAGAGCCCTCCCACCCACAATCCGCGTGCTCGCATGGTCGCCCGTCGCAGACGAGTTCTCCGCCCGCTTCAGCTGTCGATGGCGGCACTACAAGTACTTCTTCTCCCCGCGCGGGCTCGACCTCGCCGCCATGCAAGACGCAGCGTCGCGGCTAGTCGGCGAGCACGACTTCCGCAACCTATGCAAGGTCGACGCGTCGAAGCAGCTGACCTCGTTCACCCGGAGCATCCTCTCGGCGGCGATCAACCCCGTCGAAGACAACCCGCATCTCTACGTGCTCGACCTCGTCGGCAGGGCATTCCTGTATAACCAAGTCCGACACATCATGGCAGTGCTCTTCCTTGTAGGCTCTAGGCTCGAGCAACCCTCCATCATAGACGCGCTTCTGAACGTCGACGGGGACAGTCCTCATCCGCCCTCGCGTGAAGGCGAGCCCCAGCCGCCCGTCGTGTCCGGCAAACCGTACTACGAGATGGCCGACCCACTGCCGCTCGTGCTGTGGGACACCGGCTACGACGAGGACGTGGTGTCCTGGCGCGCCGACTACGAGACCGAGTCAGAAGACATGTCGCAGAAGAGCCTCGCGAACAACGTGTGCAACGTCCTGCAGTCGCTGCTCGACCGCTCGGAGATCCACACCGCGCTTGACGCGCATTTCCTGCGGGCGGCAGAGAAGCACCATAGGCCGACCCCGCTGTACTTCCCCATCGGCGCGGAGGGCACGATTTCCATTCAAAAGGAGAGCGTGTTGCCTGTGCCGCTAGGGGGAGGAGCGCACAAACGCGCAGCGGGCTATACACCCCTGTTGGAGCGTGGAAGGAAAGACACACCCGAGGAGATCAATGAGCGGTGGAGGTTGGGGAAGGGCGCGAAGAGGATGGACCGCAAGAACGCGGTAGCAGCGTCCGAGGAACCGTCGTGACCGCTGCGTACATAAGTGCGCTATGTCAAAAGCTCGCGATGAGCACCATTTCCTTCGGTAGCAAGGTAAATAGTACGTTTCATGTCTTCTCACGTCGCTGCTATCCTGGAGGCAATGAATGTGTACCATTCGACCGATACTAACAGAGCAATCTAGAACATCCTATGATAGTACATGACAACAATGAATCCCTGTCGCTTGTCCACAAAGCAACTTTTGTACGAGCACCGTGCGCGCTCAAGCATTCGCAGTCTTACACACGACCGACCAGCCCTCCCACTCGAACTTGCCCTCCTGGATCTCGACGATCCGCTCATACAGCGCGCGCGCGACGGGGCCGCGGCCGCACGCGTGCTCCGGGAGGACGATATCCGTGCGGTCGTAGCCTATCCGCCCGACGCCCGTAACGACGACGGCAGTGCCGACCGTGAACGCCTCCAACAGCCGACCCTCTGCGTGCCACTGCTTAAGGTCGCTCATAGTGAGCGTGCGCTCGTGTGCGTGCAGGTGCAGCGTCTCGGGGAGGTGGGGGAGCGTCGTGCGCGAGGGATGCGCGGCTGAGAGCGCGATGCACGAGTCGCGCGTGACACCTGGGAGGATCGTCCCGTCCAGAGGAGGCGTGATGACGTCCCAGTCTATTCTGGCAGTTAGCTCCGCTCGGAAGGGGGCATTGGCTGCGCGACACTCACTGTTCTCGTCCTGCTTGACCACCGCGAAGAAGTTCATCGCGCCCGCCTCGGTGACCTTCCCGTCGAGCAGCCAGAGCACCTGGTTGTAGCCCTGCAGCTCCGCGGACTGCTGCGGCTTGAGCGTCGGCGCGTAGTTCAGCGCGAGCTTGTAGCCACCCGTGCCGCCCGGCCAGGAGCGCACGACGTCGACGTTCGCGAGCAGGGAAATTTGGCGGGCGGAGCCCGCGCCGAAGTACGGTCCTGCGGGAGAGCAGATGACGTAGAGGAGGGCGTGGTCGGACGCGGTGACACCGAGGTCTGCGAAGACATGAGATTGTGGTAGACTGAGGGCATCGGGTTTACTTACTAGGTCGGGTACCGATAATGGTGGGTCGGAGGTAAAGGCTGTAGCCTTGGATGTTGGGTATCCAGCGCGACTCCAGTTGCACCAGGCGCTGAATGAGGGTGAGCAGGGCGTCTGTGTCGAAGGGCTGCAGATCCAGATTGTGTCAATCGTGTCGCGGTTATGAAATACCATGGACTGGTGACGCACGGGAAGAGCGACGCGACCTGCGGATCGGCGCATGCGCGCCATGTTCAGATCTGGCCTGAACAATCTCACTTCGCCGTCCGGTCCAACATAAGCCTACGTAAACAAATGAGTGGTTATGATGAATGGTGCGGCGTTACATCGCGTGACGGTATGTACCTTCATTCCCTCGAAGACGTTTGTGCTGTACTGGAAGCAAGAACTCGCTGGGTCGAGGCAGATTGGTCCGTACGGCTTGATCTCGGGGTCGGACCAGCCATGCTCAGGGTCGTAACTTGCAATCAACATGTGGTCGGTCATTGTCTGCACGAGCGCAAGCACATGGTCAGTCAATCGACATTCTGCACGCAAGGTTATGACAAGAGCTGTAGGGTCTCTCGCACCGCGAGCAGCGACAGATTTATGCACGGGCCACACGGCTGCGCCATGAATAACTTGGTGGACAAAGGCGGGGGCCGAGAGGATCGCTTGTTGAGCGCACAATGGCGGCCGGAGCATGAATCCGGGCAAAGTCTAGGGACGACGAGGTCATGAAGGCGCGTCAAGAGCGCGGCTCGGACCCTTCGTCATTGGGTTGACGCATGCATAGAGATACCCTCCCAATGATGAGAAGCCTCTACGTGCATGCGCACCGAGATGCATCCCGCAGTCGCAGCCGTCCACGGAGTTGCCTGGATCATAGCTTACCTGACCGAACTTGAGCGTTTCTACCGGAGGAATCGACTTCGGCGACTGAGTCACTGTGACATTGAGTCTAGAAGGCTATTAGAAGTCCTCCCCTTCAGCCCATGTACTTACATAGTCAAACGAAGTGAACGTACGTCGAGCTCCGCGACGCCCGGACGCGACTTGGCGTGCCCGTTCACGCGAGGGGCATCAATGGGGTTTGGCAACTGGATGGCCATGTTTGCGAGGCCAAGCGGCGAAAACGAGCAGGTGGTGGTCCGAAGATGGAGTGGGAAGGAGTATACACATTCGAGTCATAGCTCGTCAACTTATGGGGTGGGCCACTGACCGGACCTTGCAAGAAAATGTTGTCGGAAAATCAGACGCGATCAGGGGCAAAACATCATCTAATCTTATCAGCCAAATCTTAGATAGGCGCTCCGGTGTCCTCGCTACCACACGTCCGGATTCGGGCGCGTGCGCACCTTCGTCCGACCCGTCAATCAACATCTACTTCACTTGGTGACTCTCGGAATCCCTAGCCATGTCAGAAAATCCCTTGGACTTGGAAGAGCCTACTTCTGTGTCTCCGGAAGCGCGTATGTCATGGATATTGCTTGTCGGACGGCACTCTGATTTGAGAATTAGCGAAGATGAAGACCACAGGTCTGCCAGAAGTAGAAGACACTGGTCCTTCACCATACCCAGATATCCCTGCCTCAGATGCATCGCAATTCACTGCAACTAATGGTCAGTACGTCTGCGATCTACACAAGTCCCCAAGGTTCAAATTCAATACTCAGCATGACTGACATTTATTTCATGTCGTTTTGCACCGCAGAGTTTGAGCCACTGACGCCGATCCAAACTTATGAAATGACGCAGGTGCGTTATCTTGCAGTATGCACACATGCAAAAAGCTGAGTGCTGTAGAGTCTGCTGGAAGAGGCTATTCCAGACCGACCTTTGATCGCGCCACTCGCGCCGATGGCTGTCTTGCGAGCTGAGTACGAAGAGGGCTCGCAGGTCTTCGTCAAACAGATTGATTGGCTCACCGCACATGGGTCTGCTGGCATCCGACGGACTCGAGGAGATGGTACGCTTGATTCTGCTCTGCGCCACATCCGGCTGACCCTGTTGTCGCATCTCAGGCGACTGCTTCTATCGCTGTAAGTATGGTCTCTTCTGCGTCCCCCGCCACGCAAACTCACCGCGAACGACAGCACTTGCCTTTGCCTATATTGAACGACTGTTACTTGCGAAGGACCCACCTTTGGCTGTAACGAGCGCCATATCTGTGTTGGAGGCGTCGCAGCCACTTCTCGAAGCGGCAGGCTTCCAGCGCATGGTGTTCGAGGACTTCTACGACTGCTTCGTGTCCGTGATCAATAACATCCTGACCCCCGAGGGGAACGGCCGTCTTCTGACATCAGCCTCCTTGCTAGAGGCCTTTAACTCCCCGGAGGGTACGTGTGTCCTTATGGCGCCACGAGGTACAGCCAGGCTGATCGACTCCGTACGGTAGTCTCCAACTCCATTGTCGTCTATCTCCGTCTGCTGACGTCTGCGCAAATTCGTGCGGACCCCGATACGTACTCCGCGTTTCTCTTCCATCCGGAGATCGGGGAGCCGATGGAGGTCCGGGACTTTTGCGAGACGTTTGTGGAGGCGGTGGGCAAGGAAGCCGGTGCGTCTGCATGCAGTCGAATGTGCTGCGGTGGTGAATGGATGGTGATTGTGGCGTAGATCATGTGCAGATGACGGCGCTATCGCGCGTGCTGAAGGTCAACATCAGCGTAGCGTACCTTGACGGACATGTCCGCGGCGAGGAGGGAAAGGTCGACTTCGTCGAATTCAACAACGTAGAAGACTCTGTGATAGATTCTGTCACTCTGCTGTACAGGTGCGCTTCTTTACGTAAGGCGATCGTGACGGGTCGTGTCTCACTCAAACTTGACCTAAGACCCGGACACTACGATATCCTCGATCAACGAAGCGAGGAGCCGTTGGACTTGGAAGATCAGTAGAGCAAATATGCTGAATGTCGGGGCCGGCGCTCATGTGTGAAATCAGTATGTTGTCATCGTTAATCTGTGGAAAATGTTGTATAATTGAATCTGTGCTGTTTCATGTATACTACCGTGGCCTATACATTACGCTCACGCGAGTGGTTCGCCACGAGCGATCGTTGCGAATCGAAGTTCATTTCCGGAAGTGAAATGAAGGTATCGTCACCGTGTGATCGACTCGGACTATCGCTGTGCTACGTGAAGCCGAGCAGCATGCAACGTTACGATCCTGTCTTCTCCAGGTCGTTGAAAACTAAACAGTCGTCCTCGCAGTGCACATGGGCTGTCGTCTGTTGACATGCCTCTCGGCGTCTCACGCATGCCGTGTTCGAGAACCAAGGTGAGCTATAGCTTAGCTATGCAATGATCACACAAACGGCCGCCGCTGGGTGATAATGCTGGAGATGTCCCATGCGAATGCGGCACGGGTGCGTCGCAAACATGGGCCGCTGCGATTCTAGAGGGTAGAGAGTTCGTTGCACTGCTACTACTACCGACGGGACGCCCGACTCGCATGACTGAAGCTACACATGGTCCATTGGAGACCGAGACCCTCAAGATGACACATAGAGCACTTCTGTAGTACCCCCAGAACAATTGAGAGGTATGCAGCTTCCTAAGCTATCGTGCCGGGTGCACTCCGGGAAGGTTAACTTTGTTCAGGTGCGAGACGTGCGTCCTCTGAAATTCTTATGACCCTGATACTCATATGACCTATTTGTACTGCTGCGCTCGAACAGCGTACAAATCAAATTGGTCCCACGTCACAGCTTCTGTGCTCGGCAGGGGACTACGAGCGAAAGGTGCTACAGTCAGTTGACCGCAAGCCTTGTTCTGCCGAAGGACCCGCTGTGTGGCGGGGCACAAGGAGTCGTTCTCGCTCCTGGATGGCCCCACCAGACGTGGGAGATGGGCACAGTTGTCTTCTGCGGAGTACCTCTATTCCGAAGGAATAGGACACCTGTACGTCAAACATCCACCGAGGGACGCATTGTTGGCTGACAGTCGTCGTGGCCGGGACGGCCGACAAGCAATGTCTGCAACGTAGTCAGGTGGGGTCAGGGACTGCATTGACCACAGCATCCGCTTCAGGGCCATGCCGAATGAGTCGGGATGACCTCACGGCCGTGCAAGAGAAGGTCCACAATCCAATCTACGGAGGAGGGTTGGCTTTTTGTATCGGCGTCAGTGCCAGGAGAGAACACCGGAAGCTACAGCACTCCGGCCGCCAGACGAGCTTTTTACCAGGACGAGGCTCACACAGAACGCAGAAAGGGGATCCGTGCTGCCAGAACAAGGTCCCATGGGTGATTTTGGCGCGAGCAACGAACCTTCGACAACGTCTGCAGTTGAGATATGTCAAGTTCGCGAAGGGCAGTGCCGGTCCCACTGCGGCCAAGCATCTCGATTCTACCTCCTCCGATGTGCCTTAGGCGCCAGCATCACGGCGTCATTGGGCCCAAAGAGCGATCCCTCTCAGGGTGAACCCACGTAGGTGTTATTTGAGGCACCATTCATCGTCTTCTTGCTTCCGGAAGCCTGCATTCACCAGTATCATTTGACGGCTGCCGGTTTAGTCGACTGGCGCTGTGGCTCAACCACCGAAAGGGTGCGGCTCCCGGCGTCCTGTAATACATAAAGAGACGAGGTGAAAACTTGATACTAGTACGCCCAAGAGTCTGTTGTTGTCGACATGGATTCTCTGGCGACGGATAGAATCTGTGTCATCGGCGCGGGTGCTGCTGGGCTAATCACGGCTCATACTCTCATACAGGATGGCTACCAGCACGTCGAGGTGCTCACCCGGGACCCGACGCCTGGGGGCATCTGGTCCGCCGGCCGGGTGTACGACGGGCTGATTATCAATAAGTGAGTGGCCGGATTGTCAAACCCGCAAGCTCGAAGATGTGTTGACACATATTCTCATACAGCATCCAAGGGGAATACAGATTCTCGAACCTTGACCTGCCTCCGCCTCCGCTCTCATCATCGGGTGACATCCGTCTATCCGGTCAGGACTTGCAGGCTTATATGGAAACATTTGTCGAACGATTCCTTCCCGATTGTATCAGGTACAACACCGAAGTGCTCAACATCCGGGCCACTGCTCGGGGCGGAGAAGGTCTTCCCCACGGCGATGATCACGTCTGGTCTGTGATGGTCGAGGACAAGACGAGCAAGATCATAAAGGTCCGCGAATACGAGAAAATAGTGCTGTGTTCAGGGGTAAGTACTCTCGACAGGTACCACGTATACTGTATGATGCTGACCCAGAGTGATCTAGGGTAACAGCGAGCCTCATTATCCACTTGGTCTTAGTCCCAAGGAGGCGCGCACGAACGGGTTTCAAGGACCTGTTATCCATTCTTGCGACTATGCTGCGCGCATGCACGAGGTACTGGATGCCGTGAAACCTGCATCCGAAGGAGGAGGCACCATAACCATCATAGGCGGCGGCAAGTCAGCATCGGAGTACGTCATGTAGTCTTTCTCTACGAAAGCTTTGGGTATTGACCACGGGTCGACGCCTTAGTATTGCGACTCACATGGCGGACAAGGGGCGGAAAGTCACGATGATCTATACGACCATCGATGCGGCAGTCGCAGCGCCGATTCCCTTGCCCTTATGGTTCGCGAGAGGCAGGTTCGTGCAATAGGGGTGGGCTATGATGCGATAATGCATTGAAATTGTTCAGGTTCTTCTCCGCCTTGTCGCCTCACATTGAGCTCCGCACATCACTCGAGTGAGCATCAGTTCAATAGTAGCTGATATGGCTCAATGCTGATCATCCGCGAGACGATTTCTGCCTACAACCTGGCTTGGAGGAAAGATTGTTCACGGCTTCTGGGATACCTATCAATGGCTCGCGGTAAGGATACACCGACTAGTTGGGCCTCGCCTGATAATCGCTTTGAATACAGTTCAAGACGCTGAACGTACCCTATGATTCGCCTCTGAGACGCGCTCCCAAACTGTTTTGGTCAACGCATGCTAACAACCAGGGTTCAGGCGCTCTGGGACTCTTCTACAGGTTGGTCAACGAAGGCGCAATCGACATCATTGCTCCTGCGAGGGTCACGTCCTTCTCCGAAGATGCTCAGGCTGTGGTCCTGAGTGACGGGCGACTGGTGTATGCCGATGCGGTCGTGCTCGGTACTGGTTACGTATCTTCGTGGAACAAGTTGTTCGACGGTAAGCACATGGCCCTGTATGATGGCATCTCGAAGCTCACCAATACACAATCTTCCTCGCCGTTGGCATTGCAGACACGGCCTTGCAAGAGCTCGGGCTTGGTTGCCACGCGCCCCCGCCAGCGACCCAATATTACCGATGGGACTACACAACCCTCGCTGAATCCTGTCCCGAGCCACACCCTGCGAACAAACTGGTCACTTCGTCGATCTATCGAGGGCTGGTACCGGCTAAAAACATCCTCAGCAGAAATTTCGCTATCAACGGCGCTATCGTAAGTGTGTCATTAATCAGGTCAGGCTGCGCGGATTCTCACCTCAGGTTTGATAGACCACGACGAACGCCGGGTATGCTTTTGAGACTTCAGCAAATTGGATAGCATCCTACTTCCGCGGAGACAAGTTTCTGCGACTTCCCTTGACTGCCGAGGAAGCAATGGCTAGTGCTGCGTATAATGCAGCGTGGCTCCGAAGGCGGTATCCCAACATACATATGTCTGCGAATGACAGCGTCAGCAGCGACTTCGCCCTGTGGTGGTGAGTGTCGTGCATTTCCATTGAAACTAATTTCATACTTAAATCAATCCGTGTTGCAGTTGGCCACAGATCCTCGACACGTTATTGGAGGATATGCAATTGCCCATAATGAGAAGCGGTGGCAACGCCCTAACGTGGCCATTCCAGGTGATCGATGTGAAGGAGATCGCACATCTGAAGGAGGAGCGGGAAGCCTTGAGGAATGCAACTTCAACTCTATGAGTGACTACTATCTAAAAGAATGGCTGTGTTCGACGATGCCGGGTGACCATGTATTTGTACGCAAGTCGACAACCTGGTCTGGAATGAACGCTCACGATTATTCTATATGCGGAGCCTGACACAGTATTCGAGGTAAGCTCTACCTTTTGCCTCTTGATATGACTGATAGCTTACACGAATGCACACTTCGCGCACGGGAAGGAGATTCTTTCACTCAACATGAAAGTTGCGTATCATTGTGAGGATCACAAGTCGAAAGTCAATATTTCAATGCCCGCCGTTATGTACTAACCCCTTAATACATGTGCTAGTACGTATGTACGACTCTTTAAAGATGTGGTGCTCCTCCCAGATACTCGAAGATTACATCGACTTAATTGTCTTCTGATCTAGATCAACCAGTCGATCCAGGTGCTCGAGTTTCGTACGATCGCCGCAGCAATCTCCCTCGCGATAACCCTATCCGTCTGTTCCGAAGGATGCAACTCGTCGTACCTGCTCGGTGGGCGGAATCAGAAGCACTCAGTCATGTTCGTGTCTCGTTGACGTACCACATGAAGCTATCACGTGCCGTGCCCTCCGTGACGTTGCACGTAACAGGACCAGCGGTGCTCTCATCCAGCTGGTACACGCACGAGTTGATGCATCCAGTTACGTTGTAGGCAGCCGTGCCGTTCAAGTAGTTCTGCGGGTGAGTGTACACATCCGAGATTAATCCATACGAGTCAAAGATACCTAACAATTGGGACGCAGATAATGCAAGGACCCGGAAATTATCCGACCGCTTACCGAGGTGTGCGCCCGTGAGTGTCGGCGCCAGGGCGGAGAGCATGGCAGCAGACAAGGTGTTGCCAGTATTCGTCATCTCAGTCATGAACACATTCCACTCGGTCGTGTTGCGCTGTTCTGTCCAGTAGCGGTTGGGATACGAGTCGGCTGAGTACAAGATCGTCAATTGCAGAGGGAGCATCTATGAGTCGAGAAGTTGAGCCATCAATAGTAGGAGATGAGTGCGAATACACACTGACGTTCTGCACGATGAAGTTCCGCGCTCCGGCGGTGTACAATACCTTCACCCAATCTACCGCACAGCTGATGGTGTCCACCAGAGTAACCCCAGGGGTCTGTTGTCCCGTGATAAGCTCGCCGACGCCAACGTCATTCGTCCCAATCCAGAGGGTATACATCGTGTCGGTCGGTTCGAGCACGAGCGAACCATTCTCGCGTTCGGTGAAATAGAGCGGTAGCTCGTCCTCAAAGACAGACGGGAAGAGACGAGGGGTCAGATAGTTTGAGCAGGTTCCACCGGACTTCGCGTATGGATACAACGTGAAGTCGCCGTACATTGCCGCATAGACAGGCCAGGCGGTAGCGTTGTCTCCTGGGTTTCCCTATGCCAAGGTGCTCGTGAGTGCTCGCCCATACTTCCCTTCAAGTGACACTCACCACATCGGAGTATGAGTCTCCGAAGGTCACCAAGTTCTTGATCTGACCAGGGTATGGTCCCTGCGCTGCGCTCCACTGCGCGCAACCCAGAACCAGGGAGACCGATACGAGGAAACGTAGGAAGGACATCGTCGCTGTCGCTGAATTACCTAGTGAGACCTCGGGCCGCCTTTATGCGTTCTCCTGACGAGCTGCCAGAGGCGTCTCGAGACTCGCGAACCTCGAGGATGTCCATGTGACGGCTCTGCGGTCCACAGGCGGGCCAGTGAGTTGATGAGCCCGACGGTGAGACGATCAGACGCGGTAAATAGAGCTTGTGCATGGGAAACGCACGCACGGTCTCTATTGTAGGCACGAAAGGACTCGCTGATATATTTCCTGGGAGGTGCGGTATTCCGTTCGGGACTGCGAAGCGTTATGGCATCCCGTACCTGTGAACACGGTGTGGAAGGTCCTTGATGATCCTTGACTCGGTATTTTCTAGCAAGGCGCATGTGTACGCCGCAGGGAAGCATCACAATATGCCTGCCGAAGATAGCAGCAATCTTATTCCCAGGTCTCTAGTCCATTGCTCTAGGGTAATGTCTGCAGTGTTCTGTCCGATGTTCAACTCAGCCATGTAATCCAGTCCGACGAGTTCCGCACTACAGCAGACGCAATCTCTCTAGCGATGACCCTGTCGGTCTGCTCGGACGGGTGCAACTCATCATACCTGAAACCATTAGTGAGCAACTGAACGTCAGCCTCGGCGACTTTAGCACGCACCACATGAAGCTATCTCTTGCTGTTCCCTCAGCGACGTTGCACGTCACCGGACCCGCTGTGCTCTCGTTCAACTGGTACTCACACGAGTTGATGCAACCAGTGACGTTCAGCGGAGCAGTACCGTTCAGGTAGTTCTGGGGGTTTGCATAGATGTCGGCGACGAGCCCGTACGAGTTGAAGTAGCCTAGGGGCTAATCAGCTACCATGCATGCACAGGGATGATGAGAAGCTCACCGAGGTGGGCGCCCTCTAGAGTTGGAGCGAGCGCGGTGAGCCAGGCGAGGGACAAGGCGTTGCCGGTGTTCGTAATCTCGGTCATCATGACGTTCCACTCTGTCGTGTTTCGCTCTTCCGTCCAGTACCGGTTGGGGTAAGAGTAGGTGGAGTACAAAATGGTATCCTGCAGAGGCAGCATCTGTATGGAGCAATCAGCAAAGGCTGTCACCATCGCCAAGAGGTATAGATGACTTACATTCTGGAAGACGAAGTTCCTAGCACCGCTGGTGTACAAGACCTTCACCCACTCGACGGCGCACCCAATAGTATCCACGAGCGTAACGCCTGGGGTCTGATCGCCTGTCAGGAGCGCGTTGACGCCGACGTCGTTCGTCCCGATCCATAGCGTGTACATTGTGCTGGTTGGATCGAGTTCGAGGGATCCGTTGTACTTCTCTGTGAAGTAGAGCGGAAGCTGACTCTCGAAGACCGGTGGAAATGGCTTGTAGGTCAGGTAGTTTGAGCACGTTGCGCCGGACTTGGCGAAAGGGTACAGCGTGAAGTTGCCGTACATGGCCGCATAGATGGGCCATGCAGTGCCGTTGTCCCCTGGCGCATACTATCAGGCGTGTAAGTTGTTTTTCTCTGATGAGTGACCTTTGGAAGCGCGACTGCACTTACCACGTCAGAGTAGGAGTCTCCGAACGTCACCAGGTTCTTGATCTGGCCCGGATACGGTCCCTGGCCATTGCTGGTCCACGCAAGGCCGAGGCAGGCGACGAGCGCAGAGAGCAAGCGAAGGAAAGCCATCTCGAGCTTAACCCGCTCTCTCCGTACGAACCCCCTTTATCGTCCTCGCACACATGCGGGCTGCCGGTCACGAGTGAGTACGATATCCGGCATTTAGTTTCACCCATGGAAAGCAATGGGACTGACGTTCGCTCTATATTTATCATGCGACCACTCTCAGAGGATCGCAGCGGACTCGCGTCTGCGTTCTGTCGATGGTCAGGATCACGAGGCATGGATGGCGGCGGCTGAACCTGTCAGAAACCTGTCAGCATACGATCGCAGCGTCTACGGTCAAGATTGGTAGCAATATGCAAAGCCGACATTTCTCCAGTTCTCAGGGCGACATCCTGGCGACACTCTGGTCCCCTAGCCTCCTATGATTGGTCTCGTGGTCATCTGCGAGTGCCGCGCGAAGGCGCGACCCGTCACAGGTCATGCCTCTTGTCACGTCGCGACGTCACGCACCATTCGCTGCCAAAATCATCGATTTGCATGCGATCCCCAGATGGCCGCATGTTCCAGCCATCGAATGCTGCGTTGCATAATGACAATATGCGTGTTTAGCATCTGATGTCATGAGCCGACGAACTTCCTCCCTCGACGCCACTGACCTTGAATATTCCCCTCTCGAGATTGACCAACGCATTGAAGAATCAACCCAACATTGCCCGTCAGGATTCGTCCTCGCAATGTCACAGCTGCGCCGCTCTATGTCCGTGCGTAGGCTCGCTGAAGTGTGGGTCCCTCCAGAGATGGGACACACGGCAATCTTGACTCCTTCCAAGCGGGTGTCCGGCTGAGTCCTCTAACGCACCTGACTGGCCACCCAAACGGAATGCTGTACTGCACACGAAATTCAGTGGCTTGGTGCTAACAATAGAGTGGACGATGTGGCGGACGTACGAAGATGTAGAATTCATGTAGGCGAAGGAAGTGTGGCTCTGACATGGTCTGCTCGCGCGGTCCAACGCACGTGTGCCGTGATTTAAGCATAAAAACGCAGCAGAATGCCTCTGTGCCACAGCGAAGCACACTATAAACCCACAGACCAGTATGCTCGCGTTGTCAAGGCTTCTTGTGTTCATTGCGCTCTCGTGCTCTTCGGCCGTGCTGGCCAGCAACATCGTGCTAACGAACGACGACGGATGGGCTGTCGCGCAGATCCGCGCTCAATACGCAGACTTGGCATCCGCAGGCCATGACGTAAGTGTGCACACAGTATAGACAGTGTTATTCTGACCAAGAGCCCCTCGGCCTGCAGGTCATACTGTCGTCCCCTGCGGAGAACCAGTCCGGGACGGGCTCGGACACCGAGACTCCCCAGTCCCTCACTGAGCCTTGCGAGTACAACACATGCCCCACGGGCTCTTCCGCGGAGGGTTACAACTCGAGTGACAGTAAGTCACTTGCATGACAGAAAGTCCGGCTTTATTAATATCAGCTTTCCCTAGACCATCTGAACTACGTGAACGCTTACCCGTATGCGCTTTCCTTGCTCCTGCACACGGCTTATGCTAATCGCATTGGACATGACAGTGTGGATGCTGTCCGCTATGGTATCCAGACGCTTTCTCCTGAGCTGTTTGATGGCGCGGAGCCTGACTTCATCGTCAGCGGACCCAACATCGGCAGTACGTACTAGCTTCTCTCACCTGGAGATTCTGTGTGACACCTCTGACGACGTGCTTTCAGCGAACACGGGGAAAGCCACCCAACACTCGGGAACCGTGTATGTGCGATGTTAAAAGCTGTTGCTGGCGTTCCAAAACTCACTGTGGCAACAGCGGCGCAGCCTGCGAAGCAGCGAATGAAGGTTACCCGGCCACCGCGTTCTCCGGAAAAACTGGGAAGCAGAAGTCCTACACCAAGCTGTACAGCGACCCCAGCTCGTCAACCAGCGAGTCCGCTTGGATCTACTCCGCACTCACCGTCCAGTACACCAATACGATCCTGACATCCAGCAGCAACCCGCTCCTGCCGTCCGGCATCATCGTCAACGTCAACTATCCCTCCACCAAGGACTGCTCGGACCCAAGCGACTTTGAATGGGTTTTCGCGCGCAACCTCGCGAACTCGAGTGCGACGGACTACGAGACGTGCGGGAGCACTACGCTGCCTACGGAGAAGAGCGTGGTGAAGACGTCGGGGTGCTATGCTAGTGTCGCGGTTCTGAATGCGACCACCAAGACGGACGTGGATGCGAACATTCAGGGAGAGGTGTATAACACTCTGTCGGGTCTCCCTTTCAGTTGCCTGCCGAGCTCGTGAAGCTCATCCGGGCAGCGACTGAGGTACAGACTGGCGTAGGCCCCATTGTTGGGGATATCATCGACTTTCCAGACCTTCAGAGTTACATTCGTCACATCGATACAGAGACATACCGCATTCATAGAGTCAATCCAGACAGCATGAGCCCTGAACTAGTTTGAGTGCAGGATTCCGCAAGACCTCCGACCAAAACGAGAGTCAAGCAGCTCGGCTTGAGCTCGGCGCCCCCTGTGTACACCGTGACGCGTGACGGAACACGTGTGTCGCGCTACGCCCGGCGCTTCGAGAGGCCTCGCCCTTTCGAGCTGCCTCTTCGCTACCTGTCATGCTGTCGCATTCTTCGTATCCTCGAGCTGGAAGAATCAAGAATGTGACGTATATTCTAGTGGCACGTTCATGCCCACTGACGCGGCAGCAAGGCGTCGCTGAACTATGTTTTTGGGAACCATATGCCAGTTTCCCGCAGCCGTCCCTGTACGGCATCTGGTTTACCGTTCGGGAACCACCCATTGCCCTGCGCATGCGAGCCTGTTCGCGCACAAGCTGTCAGTTCCACCCCGAGGAATCAGTGCGCCCACGTTTTCATCACGATCCCATTGTATCGTAACGTTCTCAGGAAGCCAGCAGAGGATGCACGGTGCTTTCATGCTGACAAGACTCTCAAAGAGTGAACCTCGTCGGACCTTCCAGATCGATGACTTGAAGGGAAACGTTCGCTACTTGACTCGCAGACGCTGTAGTGCCAGTGGGCCGTTACGCAGTTTACGTCTCGCTCCATGTGCTCCAGCTTCCGCATTGCGATCGCCCTCGAATCCCTCTGTTCGACCCACGTGTGTCCTGTCATAGACTAATTATACCACGTCTTTCAAAGTAGAAGAGCCTGGGGTCCCTCCACAGCTCTCGTACTCGCCAGCTCTTACCTGGACGCTCGCCGGAATGCACGGGTTCAGCATCATCCGCTTCATCACCATATGTTGGTGCGCTTCAGCGGCCCTGTCTGCGGAGAACATAGTCTCGACGAACGACGACGGTTGGGCTGTAGCGCAGATCCGCGCACTGTACACAGATCTGACTGCCGCAGGCTTCGACGTGAGTGGCGATTCCGTATCACTTATGGCTCATCACTGAACCGTGTCATTTGACACTCACAGGTCATTGTATCGGCACCCGCAGAGAACGAGTCTGGCACAGGCTCTAGCACAGAAACCCCGGAGCCCCTCACCGAACCTTGCGAATACGACTCATGTCCTACCGGGTCGCCCGCTGAGGGATACAATTCCAGTGATAGTGAGTACATCTGACGTGAGTTACGCACCGGCAGCTCAGGCTGACTATGTTCTCAGCTCATCTCAACTACGTGAACGCTTATCCGTGAGTTGCAATGTTTCTGCTCAAGTGACGCTGGTCCGATCTACGCCTGTGTTTGCAGTGTAGATGCAGTTCAGTACGGTATCCAGACTCTGGCACCGGAATTCTTCTCAGGTTCGGCGCCCGACTTCGTCACCAGCGGACCAAACATTGGAAGTGAGTCTACAGCCCCTGCTAGTCATGGTCACACCATACTGAAGCCCATTACTCTCTATCATATGACAGACAACCTCGGGCTCGCCGTACTCCTCTCTGGCACTGTGTACGTGCATATGCTCATATCACCTCGCAAGCTCGTTGTGCTCATTGTGATATAGCGGCGCAGCATGTGAGGCAGCAAAGGAAGGCGTACCAGCAACCGCGTTCTCCGGAGATTCCGGCTCCGAGGTCTCCTACACCACTCTCGAGAGCGACCCGACCGCGTCGTCAACCGAGGCCGCTTGGATCTACTCCGCGCTGACCGTTCACTACACACAAGCGCTCTTCGCCGTCGGCAGCGACCCGCTCCTCCCGCCGGGCATCATCGTCTCCGTGAACTACCCGTCCATCGACAACTGCTCCGACGCGAGCGATTACCAGTGGGTGCTGTCCAGGAACCTGTGGGACCCCTTGGCCTCGGACTTCGCGGCGTGCTCTGAGGACGGATCGGTCTTGCCGACGGAGAGCGATGTGGTGGGCACGGCGGGGTGCTATAACAGCGTGACGGTCCTCAATGCTACTACGAAGACGGACGTGGATTCGACTTTACAAGGAGAGGTGTATAGCAGGCTGCGCGAGCTGCCTTTTACCTGTTTGCCGAGTTCATAATTCTCGCAGGAAGCTTGTACTTGGTAGCGACCTATACAAAGTCTCCGCAATAAGTTACTTCGAGTAGAGAAAGTCGGGTAGCATCGTGGAATTCGCTGTAGCGATTTATCTGTTTCGAATGGCGCTGGCCTGCGATCCTAGATTCTGTACGTCATGTCGACAGTTTAGACTACGTGCCGGGGCCACATGTACGATGGTACGTAAAGTTCTGTACTCGCCGTTGGGGTCAGTTACCGTCTGTACCTGGCGCCTGGAGTTTGCCGGGCCGGCATGCAATGCCAAGAGCTCTCTGAGTTGTCGCGAGTGCGCGTTTCGGCTGCCTAACTCTAAGTTAGTCTCGATATCGTCGCTTCGCTTACGACTTGTATACTTGCTGTAGACCGTGTAGGCCACACCCCTTCCGCACTGAACCACCACACCATCCACCAGTCTCTGAATCATCGAAACGACGATGCCAGCACCGGAAAGCTGGGCGGCCATAGACTCGCCCCGCGTCGGGACTCTGAGCGAGGTTTCTGAAGAGAGCATTGTACCCGTACCAGGACGCGCAAGCCCAGGACCACGCTCGCCATACTACCACGCCGCGCTCTCAGGATCCACGTCGACGTTCAAGGCACCCGCAGCCGCGAACCTCAGCTCGAGCAGCCTCGGTGGAAGCATGACGGGCTCGTCGTCGCGACCCCCAGCGGGTCCACGCAGCCCTTCCGTAACGATACGCCCGACGGGGTCGCGATCGGCAAGCGACGCGAGCTCAAGTCTTGGTTCGACCGCAGCGAATGGGCGAAGCACGCCTGCAGTACGTGCGCCAGGGACGCCGAGGCCAGAGTCCCCCGGCTCCACAAAAGACAAGGAGAAAGATGGGGAGCGGGAGGGCCAGCGAGAAAGACCAAAGGACAGGGACAGGGAAAGAGAGAAGGGGAGGGACCGGAATGGGAAGAGCACGAGGGGCATTGCGAACGCGGGTCCCCCGCAGCCCCGGGTGCGGAACACACCTCACCTTCCGCATTCAAAGGACGTCGAGCTCGCGCCGGCGACGCTCATGTACTGGAGCCGCGCGCCGGTGTACGGCCTGCTCCCGCAACACGGTGTGCGTGCGCACAGCGTGACGCTTGTCGACAACATCGCATGGGTGTTCGGCGGATGCGACGAGAAGGGCTGTTGGCGGGACGTCTATCTATTCAATACTGGTGCGTGTGTATGCATTGCACGCCAATGGACACTGAAGGGATGCAAGTGTAGAGACGATGCAGTGGGTACATCCGACAATGCTCGGTGACATCCCGCCTCCGTGTCGCGCGCACACCGCGACCCTGGTCGACCGGCGGATCGTCGTGTTCGGCGGAGGCGAGGGCCCTGCGTACTACAATGACGTCTACGTGCTGGACACGGTCAGCCGGCGGTGGATCCACAAGGTCTTCCCGGAGGACACGGTGTTACCGCCGCCTCGGCGAGCGCACACCGCGGTGCTCTACAAGGGGAAGGTCTGGGTGTTTGGCGGGGGAAACGGGATGGAGGCGCTGAACGATGTCTGGACGCTCGATTGCAGTGGGCCGACGGAGCGTATGCGGTGGGAGCATATGGAGACGCGGGGGCGGAGGCCGTTGCCGCGCGGGTACCACACCGCGAACCTCGTCGGGAACGTGATGGTCGTCGTCGGTGGGAGCGACGGGCGCGAGTGTTTCTCGGACATCTGGTGCCTCAACCTTGGTGCGTTTACACTCACAGATGTCACAACCATCTGTTCCTGACCTGTCGTCCTAGATACTCTGTGGTGGAGCCAGCCAAAGCTGGAAAACTCATACCGTCGCCTGTCGCATACGTCGACACAGGTCGGATCATATCTGTTCATCATGGGTGGACACGACGGGAGTCAATACACGTCGGAGCTGTTGTTGTTCAACCTCGGTGCGTTCCCTCTCATCCATCCCTTCCCCAACTGATGCTGATGCCGCGTGCATTCTCCAGTTGCACTGAGCTTCGAGCCACGGGCGACAGCGGGAAAGCCGCCCTCGCCGCGTGGGTACCACGTCTCCTTCCTTGCAGACAGCCGGCTGTTCATCTTCGGGGGATTCAACGGGAACGAAGTGTTCGACGACGTGCACCTGCTCGACCTCGCCGGTGCTGCATACCTCCCGCAGGTCACCAGCTTCCGTATAGACGTCTAACAGTGTCGATTTGAAGGGTCCCTTGAGGGAGACTGCTGCTTACGCTACCACACGCGGCCCTGGACGCTGGGGTTCGGGGCGTAAATTATGCTGTTCGTTCGGTTGTTATATTTACCACAGTAAGGGCAGTCATAATCACTGTTGTATCTGAGTCTTCATCTTGAAGCCATAACTTCTGCACGGAATAATTTGCACATACAGCCTTCCGTACGGGGAGAGAGCAGTCTTCCTGAATCCCTTGGTAATATCTTCCCTTCCGCCTTCCCGACTGACGATATTGGCTACATTTCAGTTTGTACAGTACACGTTACGCCTGGACCACGGACCCGGTAGAAGAGCATTCTATTGTTTCATACTGCCTGCTGTGTGGTAAGTCATTGCATGTCAATATCGGTGCGGATAGCAACGTGACTCTGACGTGCCCGACTTTCTTACTTCCAGATCCGTCAAAGTGTTCGCTTTCGTTGCACTCACTCTTCACCTTTGTAACTCCGCCACGGCCTCCGCGTTGGCTCAATGTCTGTCAAACCCGCGTTGTTACTTATAGCAGGCTGCCCTGGCCCGGATCAAACACTACCCGGGGCCCCCTCCCTTCGTCACCATCTTGATGCACATGTTCGTTTCGTATAGGTCGAATTCGCACATACATCAAGGTCGCAGGTCGGCGAAAATAGCTAGATTAGACTGCGCGGTGAGTAGTCACAATACATCAGACTGCTAGCTCTGACAGTACGCGTGATGTTATGTCTCTCGAAATATCGGCTCATCGTCTCATTCAGGGGACTCATCGAGTTCGTTGCCACAGAAGACTCAGTTGTTGGGTCGTCTTCCTCACCTAACAGGTTGACCTCTGGATCGTGACAGTGGTTCAACCCCGTCCACAAGAGTGATACAGGATCCGAACTGCCAGACTAACAGATTACTCCCCGGGATTTTTCGCCTCACTCCCGATTTTATAAAATCAAAAACGCCGCGGCGTGCTGGCAACGTTCGCTCCCATTGTCGCGCTTACTCGCTTCGAGATGTCGGGGGCAGGCACCGCCTGGACTAGCAAGACTACCGAAAGCATATTCGTGTTGGCTGTTTGTTCGTTCCATTCGCTCTTCGCTCATCGAAGGGCTTGCGCTGGCAGATGGGATACAGCGGCATCTGACGCCACCACGGGCCGGAGGCGGTTCGCTGTCTTGTGCTAAAGAACTCTTGCTCTTGAGCAGTTGCCCGCTGGTATGACATGTGGGTGACATCAGACGTGCTTGGTTCGCACCAGTCAAGTACACTGTACAATACCTATGATTCGAGCGGGTTGCGATCAAGGCGCCTGTATCTATTTGTATTCATTGACTGGCCACCTGGTAAGCCAGACGTTCTTCTCATTCCCCCGTTACTCAACGCTGTACTTACAGGTCTCATGGCCGGCGAACTACCATCAGTACGCTCTGGGTTCGACGAGGTACACAAGCCTGCCACCACTGCCAAGTAGTGTGGCTGAACCCTGACCCCGATCCGATCGCTTTCCGCAGTCGTTCGAACTTCGCATTGGCCTCTCCAAGCTTTCCCCGCGTTCGATCTCCTTTCCGCAGTCGCGGGGAACGTGTGAATCCGGACACAAACTCGAAGGAACTTGTGCAGTGTGCCCACAATTAGATCTCGATCGTTCGGTGTGTGGTACGCCGTCGGTTGTCCATACGGTAGTGGTACAGTCAGACCATGGGCGGTGCGTACCTTTCAGCGAATGGATGGCTGAGATGAAGATGAACTAGTAGTGGCATTGAGCAGATGTTGGACAACCGCTGCTCGCTGTGGTCGATGAGTTTGTTGTATCGCTCGGTCGGGATGGGGTCCTCCGAGCGTCTATGTAGTGAGTGGAGAACCTCGTGCGCGCAATCCATAACTCATCCATGCTTATGTTCGAGACCCCCTACACCGCGGCGAGAGCAGACCCTGACGATTGGCGCATGTTCTGGGCCTGGGCGAAGTCGCTCACGGAATGACAGTTTGTCGGCGAGCTTGGTGGTGAGCGATTGGTTGTGGCAGACAAGTCACATTAGCGGCGCTCCCGACGTCCCCAATCCGTTCCCCGCTGAGCTCCGTTGGATTCCCATTGAAACAATGACCGTGTTGACGGACAGATGCGCATCGCAGACAAGAACCTGGATCGAACGTCCGTTGCAGATGTTGAGCTGACCAGCTCTTGCGAGATGTGGCTGGCATCGTTGACCTTTTGTTACATAGTGCAGTGTTGATGCCACCATCGCTTCACTTGAACAACGAACAGGTAGGCAGTGCGTGGGTCAGCAATGAACCATTGAGGCCTGACATTGAGGCCTTGCGACGAACCATCCAATCGACGGTCAATGGGCATTGACCGGTCAGAAGCGGCGCTTGAGTGCCTCGGGCTGGGCCATGGGAGCGGCGGGGAGCATCGTGACGGCTTTGCGAGGATCCATTGGCCGCGTCCAAGCACTGCATGCCCCCGGATGGGCCCTACCAGTGTGTCCTTTTGATGTCCCCGGGGTGTTCGCCAGGTATGTATGTAGAGAGGCTTCTACGTTATCGTTATCTGATAAAGCAACACGGTGCCATGTACAGATGCGGCTTGCGGTCGCGAGCAAGTAGCGATGACAACGACTGGACGCGGACTGGACGCTTGCATCCTGTTCTAGGTGGACATTCTGTTCCATGAGTACAGCGGCCCGTTGGCTCCATTGTGAACGCGTTGTCTCGTGCAGTCGCACAAGGGACGTCCGCATCGACTAGTATGCATTGCCAATGATACTGGATGCTCTACACGACATGCCCGCTTCACGTTGCCATCGGCGACGACAATCGAACAGCCCTCATTCCGAGCAGTAGTAAGGGCCGTGCATTCGAATGTGAAGAGTCTAGTTCCATCCTTGGCTTGCGAGATGAGCCGCACGGCAGAAACGAGGTGTCGCGTTCTCGAGCTTACAGTGCGGCCGGCAACGATGACGCTCAGGCTGTGGGGCCGCTCGAAGCTCTCGACCGTATCAACTGTATCCCTGAAGCCTCCACCAAGCACTCTTGGACAGCGTGATCGTCAATGCGGCGCGCGGCCTCTACAACGACCGTCTGTGGACTGTGACATGCCGCGGCTGCATGTGAGCAGGGGCTGTGCTCGACGACGCGGATGTGTGGCGCCGAGGCTTGCAGCTGGTGCATGCAGGTGCATGCTCAAGTGCCGGCTATCAAGGCGGCGGGGGAGGGTGCCTGAGCACTTGGCTGCCTGGGCTTGATTACTTACTTACTTCTGGCCGGGACGACCGCCCGACGCGACATCGCTCGCTTGACCGACGCCTCGGATGCTAATTATAGCACACCCCAGCGACCCCTAGCAACCCACTCCCGCTCATTCACGATGCAATCCGCCAGAATGCAGAAGCCCCGACGCGAAGAGAGCGCACGACAACCGGTACCATCACCGATGATCATCGCTATTCTTGACTTGACAGCATCTGAATACAGTCTGGGCCTGGTTACGAACTGTTGAGACGAGGCTCAAGTCGGAATGGATCCGGAGATGTACTACGATTGTTGCATAAGACGGTTGATCCGTTGGCTCTGGCAGCTCGCCGGGGTCGAGGTGGTCAGAAAATCATGTCCCACCCCGCACAGGCAGTGCTCGGTCTCGGAGATATTTAGCAGAGTGCTTGTAGATCATAGGCAAACTCGGACGACGGTTGCGGGGGGTGGAGTGTGGTGAACCTTGCACTCTCTTTCCTCCCATGCGCCCACACACGCGCACGACACGCACGTCGCTCGTACTGTCCTTCTCACGCTGGCTGGATCACCCGTGCGCCGTGGAGGACGCATCGGCGGCATCGCGCGTGCGTCGGCGGCGAGACGGTTCCGGGAGGCTGCATGATTGGCCAGCGGCCATGTTGTTCGTTGTCGTTGTCATCCGTGCAACGAAGCCTCCTCCTGTCGCGGGGGGAGATGGAGTGGCGGCCTGAGAGAGCGTGGCCCAATCAGGGCATCTGGACGCGCGAGCGGCCTCGAGATCAGATACTATGCCGAAAGAGGAGGCATGTGCTGCCCTGTGCTGACTCTCCGTTCCTGTCGGGCGGCGGGCTCGGGGTGGCGTTGACGCACCACGCCTCGACATTGTCCCAAAGTTCATCGTCGCAATCTTGAACACCCTCAGGAGGCATTGCAGCGATGGCCCTATGCGCACAGATGCGGCTCAATTACCGCGAACGCATCATGCCCATAGCGGCCGAGATTACCCTGACGACGGAGGTCGTGTAGAAGTTCTGGCCGGAAGGTGGTTGGCACGGCAATCCAGATCGCGCTTGATTCGGTGGACGATTATCGACCAGTCATATGCTCGGGGCGCGATGATTGGAACGCTTGTCCGGGGAGCTCAGGCCCGCTACAACAATATAAAGCAAGGCCCGCGAGATGTAGCCAAGCACACCCTTCCTCCTTCTCCATCTTGCCTCGCTCTTGCTCTTTGTCGCAGGCCGGTTGCCTAGCGTTGCGTCTAACTCGACCCGGGGTCGTTCTTTCCCTTCTTTCGCACCGAGTTTCTTCGTGGTCAAGCTCACAAAGCACCCCGTTCATTCCTTAAACTCAGCCCGTTCTCAGATACCTCCTAGTCGAGATGTTCACCAAGAAGGCTTTGATCCTTGCTTTCCTCTCCCTTTCTCTTTCTGCATCCGCGGCTCCGGCAGCTGACGCTGACTGCGTGCGTACTTTTCTCGGAACTGTCCTCCTCTACCTAACACGTGCTTGCTTCCCAGACTCTCACGCAAACTGTCACGGCAAGGTCGTCTGCTACGTCCGCGGTCTTTGCGAACACCGGCAACGGCAAGAACAAGGGTGGTAACGCTGGTGGTAATGCTGGCGCCAACGCCGCTGGCAAAGCTGGTGCCAACGCTGGTGGCAAGGGTGCCGCCAACGCTGGTGGCAACGCTGGCAACACAGGTAACGCCGGGAACACCGGGAACAACAACAATTCCACGGGTGCTGCCGTAAGTGTTCATCTGAATACGGTATTCTGTCGTCCGGTCTGATCCTATTCACCCAGGCTGCTGCCTCTGGCAACAACAACAACAACAACGGCGGCAACTCGGGTGACCTGCAGAGCTCGTTGAGTAAGTGGCGTCGGTGCCCTACATACGCAAAATTTTAGACTGATGTCGTGCGTGTAGCGCTCGACTCATCATTGATCCAGACTGGCTTCCAGCAGGATGGTCAAGCTGCGTGAGTGCCGCCATGTCCACCTTGAGTCTATGGTTGAACTAACTCTTCACCAGTGGTTCGGATGCCGGCCAGGTTGCGTCGGTCACGTCGGACAACAACTTCATCAACTACTGTGCGACAACGAACCTCCCCCTGACGAACGGCACGCAGATCAAGACTGGCTCGTGCAACGCCGCGCCCATGGGCATGATCGCTGCGACGACCGCGATGCCGTCGTCGAAGTTCGTCTCCCCCAAGAACCTTGACACCATCCAGGCGAACACGAACTTCACCGTCCAGATGGCGATCAACAACCTGAACACGGGCTTCTTCGTCAACCCGAACACCAACTACTTCGCCGCTCCCCAGTTCACGGACTCGTCCGGCCTCGTCCAGGGTCACTCCCACGTCGTCATCGAGGCGATCGACTCTCTCCAGAGCACGAGCGTCACGGACCCGACGAAGTTCAACTTCTTCAAGGGCTTCAACGCCGCGGCGCAGAACGGCGTTCTCTCTGCTGCAGTTGCCGGTGGTCTCCCAGCGGGTGTCTACAAGATGTCCTCGATCAACTCCGCCGCGAACCACCAGCCGGTGCTCGTCGCTGTCGCACAGCACGGCTCTCTCGATGACGCTGTCTACGTGAGTGTTCTCCGGAACTGTCTCGATCTTGGATGTTGACGCTGCGGGACAGTTCACCGTGACCGACAACGGCCAGGCGGCGAACAACGGCAACGCTGGTAACAACGGTAACGCCGGGAACAACGGCAACGCCGCGGCCAGTTCGTCCGCCGCGGCCACCGCCGCGTCGGCTGCAGCAGGCAAGGGCAAGGGCGCGGGCGCAGGTGCTGCTGCAGGCAAGGGCGCGGCAGGTGCTGCTGCTGGCAAGGGTGCAGCTGCAGGCGCAGGTGGGGCTAAGGGTGCGGCAGCTGCAGGCGCAGGCAAGGGCGCCGCGAAGGGCAAGCGTTGGCTCTGGCAGTGAACGGGCGTCGCCATGCCATGACGGCTGTCCGCTCCTCCTGACCCGGCCCGCGTGATACCCCCTTCGTCTTCGCCCCGTACTGTATCGCACATCTCTCTCGTCTGTACAAGTAGCGCTGTCTGAGTCTGGGCTGATTCCTTCCTCCATCCCCTCCGCATTTTTTCATTGGCTTTGTACGTTTTGATTAGTTGACGCATGCGCCGCTCAGTCGGGCAGTCGGCTTCACTCCTGAACACTAGCAGAGCGTTCAATCTATAGGCACACTTGATGGATAGTTTTCGGTGTGAACATTGTTTGGTGTGAACGTGTGATGCCATGGAGAAGGTCAGAAGCGGTCCCGAAGTCAGCGTTGTCGGGAGTTGCTGGCGGGTGTCATGCGTTTAGGTCATGAGTTGCTTGCGTCGTCGACGTCGACGCTTCTGTATTCTCCGAGACCTCCGGTCGCGAGCCTCGTTTTGCCGCTCCACCAGCGAATGCAGGGGACGATGTGGGTTAGCCGGGCCAATCCTCGCCCGCGGTATGCACTTCAGCACGCTTTGCGGCCGTTGCCAGCCTGTCATTCGGCGATTGGCTCCATCCATTGTACGACTGCCAGACGTGTCTTCTCTTGTAAGCTAGCGCAATTCGGGGGGGACGCTCAGTCACCTCACTACATCGTCTGTGTCCAGCCTCAGCCGTAGCCTCGACGTGTCGGGCTTTGAAGTGCGATATGAACATTGCTTACGGCACCTGCAGTTCCAAGAGGCTAGCATCGAAGCACAGTATGTAGGCGACATCGCTGCCCGAGCATCGGTATGAAAATAAATGATGTGTCTACTCGCAACACTGGCCCGGTATCTCCGCAACGTTCCAACACACTTCTCATACACCTCTGAATATGGGTATACAGTTTATCTTGCGTGCCGAAACATCACTTATACCACATCACACCTGAACCAGATTCCAGAAGGTGCTCACGGCAAGCAGCTGAGCGGCAGACCCTGGAGCTTCGCAAGCACCTCTGCCTGCAAGTCACTCCCCACATCCGTCTTTGTGCTTGCACTCAACAGCGATACGCTGACATAGCACCCGTCCTTGTTCACCACGCTGACCTCGTCCGGCAGACGCGTGCTCCCGCACGTCTCGACGTCCGTCGCAAACGGGTTCCAGAGGTTCCGCGCGAGCACCCACTTGTAGTCGGACACGTCCGCGCAGCCGTCGATCGCGGGGTAGTTCACGTTCACGATCGTGTCGTTCGGGAGGATCGACGTCGGCTGGAGGTCCGGCGATGCCGCGAGGAGCGTCTGCACGAAGTGCGTGGTGAGGGAGGAGTAGAGGCGCGCGGCGAGCGTGGAGGTCGCGTTGGGGTCCGAGCTCAGAGTGGTGTAGGAGACTTCAGATCCGGAGGTGCCGGAGAAGGCCCCAGCGGGAACGCCGAGCTTGGCTGCAGCAGAAGCTGCTCCGCTGGTCAAAGAACAAGGATGAGCACAGTCAAAGAACATCGAACACGATCGAATTGCGTACATTGTTCCAGAGAACTGAGTGATGATGTTGAGGTTAGCTGAAAGCACAGGAGGTCAGATATGACGGACGGCCGTGCCAGGAATACGACTCACTCCCGATGTTAGGTCCGCTTACCACGAAATCTGGCGCGGATCCACCGAAGAACTTCGGTGCGAGCTCCTCGACGCCATATTGGGCTGCATCAACACTACGACAATGTTCAGAAGACTGACGCGCATCAACCCATATGTGACGTACGGATGTCCATTGACATAGTTGAGTTGCGCTAAGCAGCTGGTCAGAAACATCGCCTGGCTAAGCATGCCGTGCTGTACTTACGATCACTCGCGTTGTATCCCTCTGCTGGCGATCCTATGGGACAAGTATTGAACTCGCATGGCTCAGTCATCGGCGTAGGCGTCTGCGATGATGAGCCCTTCCCTGACTGGTTGAGTGCCGGGCACGAGAGGACCACCTGCGAATACAACTTCATCAGAATATTTCGAATAGACGAGGATGCTAACGCACATTGTAGCCCGCATCCGTCAAGGACGCATACTGCGCCCGAATCTGCGCCGTAGCCCATCCATCATCGTCGGCAATAAGCAGGTTTTGCGCGCGAGCGAAGGCGGAGAGCGTCAGCCCGAGGAAGACTAGATTCCTGAAAGACATGCCCAGATCCTAGGATATAACGAACGACTGTGAAAAGAACGACTGAGAGGTGGCAAGCAAGCCCAGGCTCCCGATCTATACTTCAAGGAAAGACGATTCCTAGGACCAAGACACAGGGAAGGTCACCGAGCCTTTGGGACTGTAACGAGGGTCTGTGCGCTGAGTACGGGAGGAGGGCATGTTGCCCTGCGTCGAGTTCATATACGGGTTCGCTGGGCATCGCGAGCATGTGAGCCGGAGAAAATCAGAATGTGTTGCATATGGTTGAGAAGACCTGAGAGGCAGTGCCGGCGGTATGTGGCTGCGAGGAATCCGAGGATAACAGATCGAAGGGGCGATCGCATGCACCGGAAGCAGGATTCATTTCGTCAACAGTCCGGTCTCAGTACATTGTCGACCATCTGCATCAATGCACAATCAGTACAAGTCAACCATTCAAGCATTCATGGACGGGGACTAAGAATAGAACCCGAGCTTGCGGCTCCGGGGCAGCAGGGGTACGCATTGAAGTTGAAGGAGTCCGAGTCGATCATTGTCTGCGCATGCATCAACCAGGAGTTCTGACATGTGGTCATCAAACGGAGGAACAAATCCACATCGCGCCGTGACCGCAGGCGAGTATACTTAACCGAACACGAGTTCCATCGCCATACTAGCCTCCACTCAAGAAGGGACACTTCACGAGATCGCGAATAAGTCAACGGGCAGATACTGGGAACGCAGACGATACATGGGATACTCGGCAAGATGCTCTGTGGGGCCAGAGCAGGAATAAGGCCTAGGTTGTGGGCTTTGCCGGTCTCGTTGTATCCACGAACAACTATGGAGAACTGTCGAAAGCAGAAGCATGAGCTGTATAGATGAGCACCGCAACAACAAAGATCACGCAGTTAGACTGAGCACATTCACACTCCGTGTCAACTCGCCCTCTGCAGGTTGAACGCCCAACCCTCCTTCAAGCCGCGGTAACGAGACTTTCTCAGGTTCGCGTACCAACCGCGACACCTCCACCCCGTAGTCTTCCTCATCCGAGTACTCTTCCTCGTAGTCTCCTTGGTCGTCCTCAGGCGGAAGTTCCTCATCCGGGAAGAACATCTCGCCTAGCCCGAGGTCCGCGCACCGCGTCATCTTGAGCAGCATGCCGAGCCCGCGATCGTTCTGCACGGCAGACGTCCCGGGGCCGTCTAGGAGGTCCCACGTCTCTGCGTCGAGCTCTTCTGCCATGCGGCCCCAGGCAGAGCGGATCGCGCCGGGGTAGTTGAACGCTGCGAGGACGAAGCACATGGGAGAGCCTGTATAGACGAGAGCGTCGGTGAGGGTGCGTTTCGTGGACGAAAGAGATGGGACGTACAGAGACCACTCAGCTCTTGCTCGCGGAGAAGGTTGGGCGCGATCGGTTCGTTGGGCTTGGGTATTGAGTCTTCGTCAAGCATATGTTCTGGCAGGGCGTCACCCAAGCGATACAGTCGTTGGCATGCAGGGCAGACCCTCGCGCCGATTCGGCTCTTGTTGTACCATAGGATCTGAGGCGAAGTAAACGGGTTGAGCTGTGCTGTCTACCCTTCAGGAGGATAACGCGTACCATCGCAGTTTCTTCAGGCAGCACAGAGAATAGCATCTCCAGCATCTCCTCTTGTGCGAACTCCGCACAGAGAGGGTCATCGAGGGTGGGCGGCGCGGCAAAGCTGGAAGCGAGGAACGCGGGTACGTTCCGGACGCGAGGGCCGTTTCCCGGATCGTAGATGAAGGGCTCATTGACAAGTGATGGATGAATGTTTTCGTGCTCTTCATGTGCGATAGGTATTGGAGGTTGGCCGTAAGGAGCCGGCGCGGTATGTGGACTGTCATTGGGGTATGCTTCGATAGGGTAGTAGGGAGGGTCGCATTGCGGAGCACCTGCAACTTCTGACTGATCGTACGGGTACGCAACATCCGCCACAGTTTGCGCGTTGTCTGGAGGATATACCGCGTCATGGTCGTCCGCATACGCGACCTGCGCAGGAGGCCCAGAGGGCGCGTCTTGCTCGTCGTCAAGCGGTCTGCCGCCCAGCGAGCGCCTGGCCTTCTTGGCCTCCTGCTTGGCCTTCTTCTTCATGTTTCGTGGGCCCGGCATAGTGGTATCGTTATGAGTGGATGGAATGGGACATGGAGTTGAACATGGGAGAGCATGTGTAGTGCGCCCGGAGAGCTGTCAGCGCCCTGATCCGGACGCGTCGTCACGGTCGCGACACGTCACGCGTCTGTCACAGCGTGATGCTCGGCCATGGGCGGGCACACACACCCGCCACAGTGCCAACTCCTGGCATGCTCTATCATAGGGACCAACACATGCCCACTGCGTCGATCCAGATCATTGGCGTAAGTAACTCCATACGGTGAAGGTACCTCCGTCCAGATCCACTGCTAAATAAGTACCTACTAAGGCCTGATACATACACATACCCGCGTCACGGCCCTACCACAGTCGGCAGCGAATAGTACCAGACCGTTCCATAATACACATTTACCGCTACGAATATACTACAGCAACGCTCTGCGCACCCCGATCCATCCGCAGTCAAGCATACAATAAGTTACCAGACGCCCCCACCTCCTGTATCGTCGTGTCCGAGTCGCTCCCGCCCGAGTCCACGCTCACTGCGCGTACGGTCACGGGGCTCCTCGGCCTGTCCAGGTCGCCCTTCCCCTTCTCATCCACGGCCCCGAGCGACTCCTCGGAGTGGGGGCGCGGCGAGCGGGGCGCCTCGACCTCGTGCGCGAGCCCGCGCTGCTGCGCCTGCTCGTCCGCTGCGCGCCGCGTCTGCTTGCCCTGGAGGAGCAAGATAATCGCCGCAGCTGCGAGCACAAACACGCCCTGGAAGATGATCGCGCCATGCATGTTGTTCGGCGGGTCCGCGTCGGGGCCCGCGCGCAGCGCGCCCTCCGCTGCAGGCGCGTCAGCGCGGTGTCCACAAGGGACCTTGGAGGCAACAAGGGAACGCACCGAGCACGAAGATGATGCTGAGGAGGTTCGCGGACGCCCACAGGATCGCGGAGCTCCCGTCCGGGTTGTGCGTGATCTCGACCGCAAGCTCGACCGCGACGGGGAGCATCGTCAGGCTCGTCGCGCCGATGATCGCCATCAGCGCGAACAGCCCGCCCGTGTCGCCCGCGCGCACTACCGCCGTACGTCACATCAGTGCGGCCCACACACGCGAGCATAGCGGACACGCACCAGCCCAGATCGACGCGAGCCACGCCCCGCCCAGGACCGGACAGAGCACCTTGATCGTGAGCGCGAGGTGGTGCGTGAATACGCGGTCGAAGAGCGGCGCGGCCACCGCGGTCACGACGATGCCCACAAGCAAGAGCGTCGCGCCCATCAAGCCGGAGAGGTCGTCCGAGTATCCGTACGGCTCCAGGTCTTGCGCGCTCAATATCGAGAAGGCGCTGATTCTACATGACCCAACCCCATGCGCAACGCACTCGTCAGTACGCCAGTCTTACTGGGGGGAGCAAAACACTTACGCAGCGACTAGCACACCAAATACAAACGCCATGAGCACGAAGTCAACCCTCTGCCTCACGCTCATGTACGTCGGCTTGCTAGCCGGCTCACGTCCGACCATCGCGCGTACAAGACTCATGAAAGACGGGTTGCGCTGCGCCGCGGCGCGCGTGGGCGGGGTCGGCGGTGTGTCAGAGACGAGCAGGACGAAAGGCGTAGAGGCGCTATAAATAATTGCGAAAATAAGGAGCTACGTGCGCATCCGTCAGTTGGGGCCCCGGTATGAGAGGGGGGAGGGGACGTACGCCGGCTTTCGGGGAGCCTACCAGCGGAGAGATGAGCTGGCCTATGGCTACGCCGATCGGGTTCGCTGGGCCGCGCGTCAGCCGTCAGCCGTGCCTTATCACTGGACGCGTGGAGTGAACGGGACATACCGATCGACATGAGCATCGTCGCGGTCGTGCGCTGGCGCAGGTCGAACCACTTCTCCGAGTACCCGGGTATGAGCACCTGGAAGATCGGCTGGACGACGCCGGAGAGGATCTGCAATCCGTGCGGACAGATGCGCCGTTAGCCGTCGGTGTTGTGTTGATCGCGGAAACGCGACACACCTGGCCGATCAGTATCAATGCGTAACTCCCGCCCGACGAGAGGCCGTCTGCCGTGCCTGCGTACCGGATCCATGCCGACATGAGGAGGAGGAGCGCACCGATGTAGCACTATCCATTATATCTCGTCAGCCTCAATTCCAGGGTCCTGAGCGGCAAGGCGCGGGCGACAAGGAGGATACACGGCAGAGGGAACCACTCGCATGTGAGCGGCTCCAACACTTGACAGGTCGAGAAGGCCTTGACGCTGCTCTTGTCTACCCACAGCCTACCCTCGCACTCGAGAAATCGCACTCACAGTCCGCCGCAAACCAAGCTTCGAATACAACCACGGCACGACCGCCGCGCAGGGGAGATACGTGAAGTTGACGCAGTTGCCGAGCCAGTTGACCTCATCGAGGGTGTACCCAAACTCATTCACGGCTACCAGGGCAGGGAAGAGGGTCGAGGGAGGAAAGAGCCACCGTCAGCTCGCCGCGATCGTGTCGGAGTACGGGGAGAGGGTACGCACTGTCATCCGCTATGGGCCCGAACCACACCAACGACATCCCCGCGACTATGTTCAGAATAAACTGTGGTCCCAGCCCCATTCGTGAGTACGACTAATCCCAGCTACACCCCCACAGCGCCGGAACGGGAGTGTAAGAACGATTGACAGAACCACTCACGATAGCAAGAACCCCCACCCATCGCCTCTTGTACATCCTATACACAACCTCCTCCTCCTCCTCCTCTTCCTTTCCATCGCTATTACACCGCACCTCCAACGCGGACGCCGAACCTAGAGGAGTCGCGAACGAGTCCTTGTCAGCGATCGAAGCCGAGCGAGAGGCGGACATGTGGAAGTAGGGCAAGCTCGGTAAAGACAGCTGCGAGTACGAAGAAAGACGGGCCGTCGCCGTGGACGCCCTCGGGGGCGGTGAAGCGGGAAGGAGTGGTTTGCCCGACGGCGGCGGGCTCCGATGGGAGACGCCCCGAGAAATAAGTGGAGGAACAGAAGGCGAAGGAGGGGAGATGGCAATGGACGGAGTGGAGGGAGTCTCCGTCCGCTGGACGAAGCGATAGTATACGCCTGCGAGGACGTCGGGCGACACGGGGAGTGTCATCGCTGCTGGGGTCGCCTATTTGAATGGAAAACAAGGAGGCCCTGAGTATGGCCGCACCGCGCTCCGGACGCGCTTGTGCGTGTGCGATTGGCAAGGTAAGATGCGATGGGCCGCAGAAGAGACAGGAACGGTGATGCCGACGCAAGCGCGGACACAGGAAATGACAGGAATGAACAGCTCGGGGAAGGAACCAGAATGAAGAAGGGAGCTGATGTGGGGAAGAGGAAAGACAAACGAACCGCGCGGCGGTAAGGGAGGAGCACACTAAGTAGTAGGTAGCACTGGAGAGGCCCTCTTCACGTCCTCGGGTCCGGAGGGTTGTCTCGCGCGCAAGCGGAAACACGATCAGCTCCGTTCACACAGATCAGATCCAAAGACAGGCGAACAGATCTCTCCTCTCCTGGGACAAACGCTGTGCGTCGCGTGTCCTGCATCCGCCCGTCACAGTGGCTCGGCACCCAACGAACGCAACGCCATGATTTGAACGTAATATCGCACTAAGTAGCAGAGACTTGGTACGCGCGAGCCTCATCTGCAGGCTCGAAACGCGTTTCGCGGGTGTATACCGGGAACACCGAGAGTCTCGGGACGCTCCATGGGTATTGTAGCCCCCGCGGGCCTGGAAGGATACCGAGGGTCATGAAGATGGCATCATTGCATGCCGACCACTTTCATCGAGTGGAGGTGCGGCCGAGCGATGGCCGTCCAGGGCGTGCTTATACACAGCTGCAGTGCAGAAACCAAGTGTAGCGCTCGCATAGCACCTGCGATAGGCTCCCGCCATCCGCGTCAGTCATGAATCCCAGAAGCAGGATGGCTTCGTACGAGCAAATCCAATCCCAACGCGGCTATCGCCATCGTGGGCATTGTTTGAAAAGTTGAGAGCAAGGCAGAGGAAGGAACTGAAACCGGGTAGAGTTAGAGGCGGGCTCACCGGTGGCAGGACTCTTCTGCAGCGGGAAGGCGAGGCGCAGACCCCAGCGGACCATTTGAAGCGCGCGAATGTGCCCTAAAACTAGTAATATAACAAGCCCAGATCGTCGCCGGGGCGATCGCGAGAAGCGGGGGGCAGAACCGAGCGGGCTGGGGGCGAGGTGGTGGTACAGAGGGCGGGGTGTTTGCAAGGAAGGTACCTCGCGGAGGCATAACTTATCAGAGGACAAGGAGGGAGGAGCAGTGATCCTGGGGGAGTTATGTCATGAGGCTGCCGTGGCTGGTGAGTCGCGTGCACGTCAGCCTCATCGCCCAATCCCAGCCCCCGATCCTGATCGGGTCGCCAAGAGCTTCCGGTGCCGTCCCCGGTCCCCGCCCCGCCCTCCCGCCCACCTCCTCACCGCCGCCAGCTCTCCCCAGGCTTGCTCGCTGTGTCGCCCCGACGTCGCGCCGCGCCCTCCCCGCGCCGGCTGTCTTTCCACAGGCGCCCGTCAACGGCCGTGATCCCTAGACCGCGGCCTGTGGTCCACATCTCCAGTGGTCAGTGCCAGGTTGGCAGCTCTCCCTCGTCTCGCCTCTTGCCGTTATGAATTTCAATCTGGAAACGATGGGTCTCGCTATGCACCGCTCACCTCCACCTCCAGGCGGCCGCGTCCGCTCAGGCTATGATAACATAAGATGCAGGACGCCCCGCTCACTCGCGTTTCAATGCCCGCGCGCCCGGACGCAGAGCCTGTTCTCTCCCGGAGCCGAGGGAGCCTCCTCCTCGTTTACATCCTCCTCCGTTCGACTTCTGGCATCTGCCGACTGCCGCAGGCCGGCCCCGAAGAAACGTCCCTCGATCGCCTACAAATGGTGCGTTATTCTTACCTGCTCTCGCTGACGCTCCCACAGGCGGCCCCATCTCGGGAAAACACCGTGTTCAATGCCGCTGAGCTTCGCGATACGACGGTCGTCCGAAGAGGCGTAGGGGAACTTCCTGGAAGGGCGTGTACACGGTGTTGGAACGGGACGCGTCGCGTTCAGAGGCCGACTTCGTGGACTCTGCTATGATGCTCAAGAGGCAAGTGATTCTCGTTAGCTCCTCTGCTGAAGGTCGTCTGCCTGGGAGCCCTCACCATTGCATACTGCCCAGTGGCCCCCTCTGCGTACAAATCCGATATCTTTCAACTTTCACCCTACCTGATCCCGCTGGTATATCATACTCGCCCCCGTTGTCGTAGGTCGTCCTGGAAGCCGCTGAATGCATCAAACGAACGAGATTCACATGCCCACCTCAAACAACGCCTGTACGTCAGATCCCAACAACTTCGTTTCCCATTCGTCCTGCTCTGCCGTTCCAATGGTTTCAGCCACGCTAGCAAGCTATGGCCAATCCCACGACGCTGATAAGCTCGAGCCTTCCTGAAGCACGGCACCACGCGCCCGCCGATCATGCGTGCGGCCTACCTTCATTCTCAATTCCCAACCTCATTACGGGGCGTCTCGCCCAATCCTCTGCGCGCCGCTCACTTCCCTTCAGCGCATCGTCCGGGCCCTGATGGAGCGCCCCTCGCGAGATAAGTCATCTGGCCTTACCGCTTTCAGTCTCCTCCGCCTGTGCGCCTTGCAATCTTACCCCTCGCGCGCAATCCCACCTTTCCCATAGAATCTCCCAGCGATCGCGCTACCCTCCTTCCAATCGTGCTCCCCCTTGGCGTACCCGATAAGCCCGCCCTTCTCTCGTCTTCCCTTCTTCGGGCTGGGCGGGGTTTCCGTTTGGTTGAGGGAGCAGCTCAGGCTGTCTTGCGGCGGATGGACTACGCGATGGGACGTGTGCGCGAATGCAATTTCGGCTTCGGCTTCAGGAATCATGGCCACTCTGGCGCAGGCGCCACCTGCGCCCGCGTCCAAAGACGATCCGTCCGTACGCGTGTTCCCCTCCGTTTGGCGTGCCTCTGTCATCGCACTCGGATGCACTCTGCGCTCGGAGTGCGTCCGGGTGACATCTGACTGGAAAGCTTGTACGATGGACCGGCGTCCGTCAGCGCCATGTCTAGCCAGCGTTCTTGTTTCCTGGACGGGAGCGTAAGTCTCTTGGACGGCAGTGTGTTTGACGGCTCGCCAGCAGGGACGCCGGTGCGGTGCCGGGTGGACGTTCGTCGACATTCACTCACCGGCATACCTTGCCCACCTCGTTCTCCTGTCCTCCCCTGTGGGATAGCCTGGTGTGAACGACGTGGGGCTAGTCCTGCCGCCGGGACGTACGAGAACGTCGGACGGCTCACCTACCGCGGCTCGTACGATGTGGCGTCCGAAAACCAATCGTGCTGTTGTGCCCTCCTGATCGCCTTGGAACATGTTACCTGACGGTACGATCAAGACGAGCGTGGAGGACCTACCAACCACAGGGGCACACGGACCACGGAAGCCGACAGCTCGCGGCCCTCTTATGCCTGTCAGGAGCAGCAGTACCACTGCCACCCCGGGCTACCCGCCGACGTATGCGTAGGTACTGCGCGCGGCTAACTGTATGCGCACGCAGCACTGGGCGACGTCGCAGCACGGTATTCGGAGGGACAGCCCGCGTTGGAGAACAACATAGAGTAAAGGAGCATGGTCCCCGAAGATCCGTGTTTTGTATAGTGAGTAGGCAAGTGCTGCCTCGGGAACCGTTCCATGGTGTCTGTGTTATTCTCTATGTTTGCGGGTGGTGGTTGTAGCAGCAGACGTTCCCTCGTGATGGCGCTGTTGCCCTTCTAGTCGTACCACATTGCCCTCGCCGGTGGACAAATGAGGGGGAGTTTATGCGATCGTATATATGTAGGCTAGGAAGGAATCAGGCGGGTAGAATCTGAACTCGAAGATTTACTATCGTCTGGCCCGCTCGACCGTGCTCAAAGTGCACGCACGACCGGCTCATCGCTGCCGCGTGCGGAATCTTGAGGCTCAAGAAAGGAGGTAGGTAAAGCAGGGAGAAGTCGGTGGAGCACGAGCGATCGTCTGACAGATCGGGAAGGAAAGATACTATATAGGGCAAGATTGGGGATTGGGATTCTGTTCGAGTACGTACTTAATTATGTCGTCCGTCCGTTGGCTACCCTGGAGACTAGTAGAGTCAACTTGATATACAATGGCTATGCGACGACTAGGCGCGGGCCGGGAATGAACTCGACGGTGCCGTTCATATGTACTCGCTCGTCAGCCACCATCCGGTTCGTCGCGCGCAGGCACCCAGCGTCGATCATAGTATCACAAAAGTTCAGATGATTCTGTAGGCTCAGTGGACTTACGTTCAATACTTATTGTGGAACAGAAGATCAGAAGAAAGGAGTCTCATAGCACATACAATGATAAGTTATTACAGTTCTTGCTTGGTTCTTGCCATCGTGCGCCCTACCCTCTTAATCCATACAGCTCAATGGCAGCCCCCGTAAACTCTCGACAACCGCCGCCTGCGTCGCCCGCCCCACATCCGTCTTCGTCTCTGCGCTGATCACCGCCACGCTCGCAAAACACCCATCCTCACTCCTCACCACCTCCGCCTCATGGGGCAGCCTCGCGCTCCCCTCGCACACCTGCACGTCCGTCGCGAATGGGTTCCACAGGTTACGTGCGAGCACCCAGCGGTAGCTTGCAGGGTCGGGGCAGCGCTCTGAAGAGGGGTAGTTCACGTTCAGGATGACGCCGGGCGGGAGGAACGGCGAGGCGGTACTGTTGAAGAGGGTAGAGAGGAAGCGCACAGTGAGCGCAGCGTACGTGTGCGCGGCGAGCGTGGAAGGCGCGTCGGGTGAGGTGCTGAGCGTGGTGTAGGAGACTTGTGACCCGGACGCGCCGGAGAAGGCGATGGCGGGAATACCGAGCTTGGAGGCTTCGGCAGCGGCACCGCTGTAAGGGGTAGATGAGCTCGAGGTACGCGAATGTGCATCGGAGTGGACGTACACAGTTCCTGAAAATTGCGTAGAGATGCCGACGTTGACTATATGCGCACAGTCAGAGGGGTGATGTGGGATGGGTGATTGGGGTGGTGCTCACGTCCGATGTTCGGCCCACTGACTAGGAAATCCGGACCAGACCCGTCGAAGAGCTGCCTCGAAAGCGTTTGGATTCCGTACCTTGCCGCGTCGGCCCTTCATGGTTCTGTCCTCAGCGTGTCCATCCAGTTTGCCTGTGGGATCACGACTCACGGGTAGCCATTCACATAGTTCAACCGCGCTGGGTAGCCACATCAGTCTCGACACCCCTGGGGCTGCTCTGTAACTCACGGTTGCTCGCGTTGAAGCCCTCTGCGGGCGACCCTACCGGGCACGTATCAAATTCACATGGCTCGTCGAGGGTGGTCGGCGTCTTCGACCGCGAGCCCTTGCCCGACTGGTTCACTGCCGGTGCGGACAGAATGACCTGCACATCCTGCGTGTCAACTGCGTCCTATTCCATGCGAAGATATACCCAGCGTACCTCGTACCCCGCATCCACCAACGCGTCAAACTGCGCGCGTATCTGCGCGGTCGCCCACCCGTCGTCGTTGCTGAGGACAAGGTTCCGAGGCCCACTCGCTGCTGCGAGAAAAGACACCGCGAGCGCAGCCTGCGCTATCAATGGATGGTACATGGTCGAGCTCAAGATGAAGAAGAACGTCCAGTCTCTGTGCAGTAAGCGGTTACGAGGGGAAAGCTGATGCGGAGCGACGTAGTCCGGTTCGCAATAGGTTCGCAACGTCCTGTCCAATAGGACCGAGGTGGAAAGCGTACAGGAGTTTTCTGTCGGATAGACTATTCATGACCGCGAGAACGGAGCGGCACCGTGCGCTTCGATGAGCGAGCGGTAAGACGGCCAGCACCCAGAGGCAGCGCGACAAATCGGGATGGAGAGGCCGCGAAGCCGCGTGAACCTCACAGCTTGTCAGGTGTGTGAATGGTAATGAAGAGGGTCAAGAACTCGATGTCGAATTGCATACATAGGACGAAAACAATGCACAGTAGGGCAAGTTGAAGCAGTAGGGTGCAGTCAATCGTGACATTAAAGGTTGTCCGGCGCCCTGGGCCGAGGAGGAGAGGCTGCATACTTGCCAGTGTTTACCCTTGTTTACCAGGCGCGACACCCGACAGCGCTCACTATTTACCACGCATGACCATTCGACACTGACAGCATCCGGCGGCCTCCTCTACGCTAGACTTGACATCCTACTCTACTTGACCACTAACACGGCGTAAGTGCAAAGCTACGTCGTGCTTGTGGATTGACCGCGACGCGGCTCCAACTAGTTTCAAGCTCCAAGCTTCAAGAATCAAGTTTCGATTCTCGTCGAACCGAAAGCAGCATATACTTGTTACTGTAAGTATCGTACACCATTGCCCACTCGCAAATAAATGCCTCTCCATGTAAATACCAACACGGACGTGACGGTCATGCGAGGCAAGCCAATGGATTGAATACCGGTATGCCCAACACCATCGTATTTATCGCGAGCCTCCAATTTTCAGCACGTTTCGCACAGTACGTACAGTCTGCCAACAACCACTGTTGCTTGTCAAACGTCGCTCTAGGTTTTTGTAAAGCGGCCAATGAGCTTCCGAGGTCTTGCAAAAGGCTTGCCTGGAATCTATACCACACATGACACTCTGTGTAACTTCCCTTGTGCGTGAACAAGGACGACGAGGGAAGAGACGAAGTATGTGTCTTAACCATGACTTGCAGCCATTCCTCGCGCCAAAGCACCTGGCGTAAGTGTCTGTGAGTTGTCGTACAGGTGGTATGACTATTAAGAGTCACTAACCCACTCAGTGAAGCACGTTGCGTCGAGTTGCCTCTGAGCGTCGGCGGCCTTCGCTTCTAGGGTGTGCGGAGCGGCCTCCGCGCAGAGGCTCTCATAGCCATGCCTTGCCGCATATCCCATGACAGTCAGCGGGATCTTCAGGATTGCAGCCCTATCCGGTAGGTGGTCATGATTAGATCTGACCCGAACAGCATCGTCAAGCCACTTGGCGAAGCCGTACTTACTGCATGTACACCTTGCACACCTCCATTGCTGAGTAGACGCAGTACTTCTCCGCAGCCTCCGCCAACTCTGCGAGTTCTTCAGGAGGGACCTTGCTCAAGTCGGGCTGCCGCTGGCGACGCATATACTGGAACAGCAGCTCCAGTGTCGACGAGTGCTCCGACAACGAGACGGTCTCGTCGTCCACTGGGACGTCGGTCCCGGGGAAAATATCGGAGTAGGTCTCGAGGTCCTTGCGGTGCACTTTGAAGAGCACCCCATCGGACGATGAGATCGTCACGTCTCCGTCGGGGGCGTTGACTGCTCAGGTGTTTTAGTGTAAGTCGCCACAGTAACTGCTCCTTGCGATCACTCACACCGGTCACTGTATCTAGGGCTCGGCTCGGAGAGATCCTCGTCCATAGTTGATTGGAGCTACTGCGAGATCTGTGGGACTCGCTGTGATCTCCGTGTCGTTGAGGGGCAGCGCGAGATGCAGGTGCCTAGATGCTTGTAAATGGGTACAACGACGAGGGTATAAGACTCGGGCGCGATGGTCTGATAAGACGGGGATGCTGGGGCACTCTCACGCTGCCCTCGAAGAAGTAGCGCATGACTGAACAACCAGAACCTTGTTGACCACTTCACGTACACTTCACGCGGCTCAGGCGCCGTCCGATGATGAAGGCCACTGTGAGTATTCATGTTACATGGAAAGTGCGCTTGCGTTTTGACACTTTCCCTTCAATCTCTCGCTCATGCAGCCCCATATTTTGTCGGAAGACACCCAATATTTGCGGTCCGCTGAGATCCAGAACATACACGCAATCAGACTAGCAAAGCGCTGTTGTATGAAATTTCAAAATATGCGCCTGCAGTTGTTGTGCGGAATAGATTTATTAATGCGTCTCCCGGACTCTTGCTTCGAGGCCCACCATGGTAAGTTAGCAGTCCTGGCGCGTCCCAATGCTATTGACATGCACTCAGTTTCATCGACATACGGGATGATCTCGAATCACTCTGGTCAATGTCGATATGTCTTGGACTGAGCAACTCGATTGCACTCAGACGAGGATATCATTTCTGCACAGTACATCGACGGATCATCTGTAAGCCATGAATCCCTCTGTATCTCAACACTGAATGGCCGTGAACTTTGGCAAGAAGAAACTCCCAGTCACAACAGAGGTCTCCAAACTGAAATACCGCCTCATGCACTCTTCGCAATCCTCGAGCATAGGGCGATGCTTCTTGAACAATTCCTGCGACTCCGAATCATGGATTGCCACAAGCGATTTTCCGAGTTCTTGAAGGATCGCCCACAGAAATGGAGGCCACAGATAGCATTCTTCTGGCCCATCCGCTTCCTCGAATTCGTGAGTGTGTCCGAGGTTGATCGCTGAATAGTATATTCTTCTATGGTGCCGTAGCCGATGCTCGCGATATAACATCTGGATGTGCCGTAAGAATCAACTTTGCGACCGTAGGACGGCCAACTGATGAAACGTTGTAGCCACTCACCCATTTCTTGAACAAATCGCCCTCCATAACCTTCAGAGCAACAGCAGCATCGGCGTCGAGAGTATACGGAGCGGCCTCATCGCACAGCTCTGTGTATCCGTGCCGTGCGGCGTACATCAAGACCTCCATGGGCATCCTCTTTTTTGCCGCTCTGCATGCCCGTGGTACGCTCAATGAGCTTTTCGGGGCCGCGACCAGCACTGACCAAATGCACTCACTGCATGTAAAGTCTACACACTTCCATCGCCGAATAGACGGAGTACTTCTCTGCGGCCTCAGCCAGTAGTGCCAGCTCGCGTACGTTCAGCTTGCTCAGGTCGGGTTGCCGCTGTGGGTACACATATTGGAACAGCAACTCCAGCGTTGACGCCTCCTCCTCCAGGGCAACGATCTCGTCTTGAACGGGAATGTTCGCCTCGACTCCAGGAAAGATATCGGAGTGGACTCCCAGATTGGTCCTATGCAACTTGAAGAGTACCCGATCCGACGATGAGACTGTTATGTCTGAGTCCGGCGAGCAGACTATCAAATCATCAGAATCGTTTGAGCGATGTTGTACCACCGCGGACGTCTTCATAGGGAAACTCACAGCGTTCGCTATACTTAGGGTCCGACTCCATATCCGCCAACTCTTTGAGGTCAACCTCGGCGCAGAAGGTTTGGGAGAGGTGCGTACTCGTTTCTACCTGCGTAGACAGAAGAGCACAGTGCAGCACCGGGCGTTAGGAGGCCAGTATAAGTATTCCACGGTGGTCCCACATTTCCATACGTAACCTCCAACTTCAGGCGCTGGTGGGCGATGCAAATTGCCGTTATAGTATACCGCAGTCTGATAGATGATTGTGAGAAGCGTACTGCTGTGACATATGCCTAAACTTAGCGATCGCCGCTGTCAATTGGTGCGTTTGAATCGCACCTTGCACTTACCATGACCAACCGACGACCTAGTCCCCAGTCTACTAGTAGCACAATCGAATACGTGACAGTCAATGGTGACCGGTGACCTACGACTCCTTGTAGATCAGACAGACTCAGTACTTAGAAAAACAAGACCTTCCTGACGATCTGTGTACACCAGACGCACTCCTGTTGCTTCGTACACGCGCACAGAACATCGAAGGGAATTCCTTTCACTATGTAAAACAGCGTCAATGACATCATGATTCGGCGTCGACGAGTTGTCAACTACACTGGTGACGCTCGTTTGGAATGGCTTCCACACGGATAGTAGAGTCACGCCGGCGCGCCGATTCAATGCGGGGGGTGGAAGGAAGTAAAGTATCATGGTGCAGGAAAGGCTCTGTACGCGCTCGTAACCTACATTGAAATTAGACAGTGAGAGCTGATTGCTAGTGCTACGCAATGCGCATATCGATTCTGTGCAGTTGCAACTTCCGATCACAATATGCTACGGCGGCCAGGAGCAGATTGTCTTGTCATACCACGCCAACATCCTCGATGCATGTTTGTGCCACTTCATAACGTCAGGCTGAACTGCGGCAACGCTGAAATCTTCTTGGTTATCTGCGTAGACCAGGTCTCCGCCCTCCTGCTGCACTGCGTACACGTGGACAGCGAGGCGAAACTCTGAGCCTCTGAGAAGATGTCGTTGATGCGATTGAGCGCTGACATGTCGCTGCCGATTGCAGTAGTGACCTTCAGCTGGAATATCTTCCACAGGTCGCACTCCGCGATGCCTCCGCGATGCAGGAGGTGACCTCCGGGACCTGGAGGCTGATGTGCCTCCATCAAGGTCTTTAGATAGGGCTCGCGATATAGCACCTGCATGTCCGCGAGTTCAGTGCGCTGTTCCATAGTATCCGAAGGCTTCTTCTCTCACCCAATATACAAACCACAAGTGTCCCAAATGCTCAAACGCCTCCTTCGGTTCGACATTCACAGTATGGGGAGCGGCTTCCAGGGAGAGTTTGGGGTACCCATGTCTCACAGTATATGCTAGGACGGCGATTGCATTCTTCGGTAACGACAGCCTACCAGTACAACGACATCGTGAGTATGGACACTGTCGACACTTCTATAACTGAAAGTAGCTTGACACACGCACTTCATCATGACCCTGCAGATCTCCATCGCGGAGAAGACACTTCTCAGCTGCCTCAGCCAGCTTCGACAGTTGCTCAAAGGGAAGTTCCGTGATATCGGGTTGCGGTTGGCGATACATGTACTGGAATAGCAACTCCAGCGTCGAGGATGTCTCGGACAATGGAACGATCTCATCGTTGGTCGCAATATTGCCGTCGGGGAATACTTCTGAGTGAGTCGCAAGGTTCCTCCTATGTACTCTGAAGAGCACATTATCAGAGGATGAAATGGTGATATCCGAGTCAACATTATTGACTGTGGCTACAAGGTGAGTGCCACGCATGTTTGTGCCAAGAAGAGGTCTGGTACGTACAACGTTCACTGTGTTTCGGTTCTGATTCAGCCATCCTGATGAAGTCGGTTGGATGAGCACTGAAGCCTATCGAATGCACCAGGCGGGTAAGGCTACTCGAGACTCGAGGGGGTAGCCAACGTCTCGATGCGACAAAGCTAAGTATATGAAGCCTTACACAGTTTGTCGTCGTGGGGCTTGCACCGATGTGGCGTCCTCGAGGCCAAGCTTCTCTTCGCCAACGTGGGGATCGCGAGGCATGAATCGTAATGCTATCAACACGAGGTGAGTATGAGAGTCAGGGTACAGAGAAACCCGCCGTCATGAATCCATTTGGCCGCCCTGTCAAGGTGGAGCGCGAGATGCAGATGTGTAGTCAATCACAGGCGAGCACGAGCTAGGCACGACAGGATACTTACGATTTGAACCCAACTATGACGCTAGTTAAGTATCAGTGTCGCAGGAACATCAGCAGACGTGAACAAGTGCAAGTATGTTCAGCAACAACCAGTAGATCCGACATCGAGTACTGTGGCTTCAATAGACTCGTAAATTCACTATGATGCGCATATCAGTAATCACAGTTCAGGGGCCGAATGACGTGAAATTCGGCAGAAGTTTGTTGTATTGTACGGCCATAATCCTATTCTCCCATTCCCGCAGCTGCACTTGACAGTCATGACAATCGTCCAGCATCCCCCGATACTTGTTGAAGATCGCATTCGCGCCGTTAACGCTCGAGAGCGACCTGAATTCTTGCAGGACCTCGCCCATAAATGGCAGCCACAAATCGCAGTCTTCGCCCTCGAACCCTTCATGCTGAGTTACCGATGTCCATGGACGGTGTAAACTGAGTAGAAACTGCAGCCGACTCTCGCGATATAGAATCTTCTCCATAGTGCCATTACACCGTGAGCGGTCTCAGTAAAACGACCGAGATTAATCAGCGTACTCACCCACTTCCGGAACATCCTGTCGTCCAGATATCTCATAGCGACAGCGGCGTCAATGTCGACGGTGCAATGAGCAGCCTCATCACATAAATCGTTGTACCCATGCCTTGCAGCATACACCAAGACCTGCATGGGAATTGCCGGGATTGCCCCCCTTCAAGTGCCCTTGATGAGCTTTTGGTAACGCAACATCTAGCATATTACTCACCGCACGTAGATCTTACATACCCCCATCGCCGAGTAAATGCAATACTTCTCTGCGGCCTCCGCTAACAACACCAGCTCTTGCACGCTCACCTGGTTCAGGTCGGGCTGCCGCTGACGGTACATAAACTGAAACAGTAGTTCCAGCGTCGACGCCTTCTCTGTCAGCGTAACAACCTCGTTCCGCACAGGGACGGCGTCTGCCTCGCTGCCGGGGAATATGTCGGAGTGCATCCCCAAGTTGTTCCTGTGCACCCTAAATAGTACCCCATCCGACGAAGAGACCGTGATGTCTGCGTCCGCGGCACAGACTGCCACGAGTCAGTACAAGTCTCATTTACGCCTGAAGCTGCAAGACTACTCACACCGTTCATTGTACTGGGGATTCGAACTCGCTGACATGCCGATAGGCTCCAACCTTCAACTACAATGAGTGCCAGTGGCTCGTAGATGATGTTCTGCGGAGGTGTAACGAGGTTGAAAACAAGTTACAGTACGCATAGTCTTGTACCACTGGACACGGCTATGCGGGCCTGCGACGTTCGGCCGTAGGCCGAGTCACGTGTGTGGAAAATAGATGTAAATAACGCGCTCCGCGTCGTGTTCTGCACACGCGTCTGCGTATTATCTTCACTGTTTGCGACTCGACTACGCGGTACGACGTCCGTCTGGATCTTGTGGAGCACGGCCGACGTGTTTAATGGTATGCAACTGAGTCAATGCTTGGCAGAAGAACCGGTCTCTGTGTGCCTGCCTCAGACAAGCACCACAATCTGAGTACCTCGCTCCGAGCTGTGGCCCCGATCGAGCACTGCGCCGTCCGTCCCTTCGAAGTAATTGTCGTGTGGAAGAGCAAGGGTGTCATGCTCACGCCCTGGCGAGAACACTGCAGATTTTCGTGAAGGAAAACGTGTATGTGTGCTGCATGCGCGCAGATCTCTCAGGAGTACGAAGTTGTGCAGGACGTGGACGAGCGTCACGAGAGCGAAGAGTCGGAGGACAATAACTCCAGGGCGTCGCTGACGAGACGCAAGCGTGTTGAGACGCAAATACGGCGCTGGGGCGCTGGGGAGGTCTTCATCGGTGAGCCCCTTGCGGCGCTCAAGCAACTGTTCGAGGAGGAGAGGTCATTTGACAGAGTGTTCAACACTGTCGCAGGCATAGAGATCTGGGAGATGACATAGAGGCTGCTCGCGGCGCCCCCGTTGATTTCGTGTGCAACATCGGATGTCGAGGACAACAGCGACGACGGGCGCAAGGTCTTTGTCTGCCCGGCGCAGTTCACCACGCTCGTTTTGTAACATGATGATACTCCTCCCTGAATTTTCCATGCTGAGTTTAGCCCGCGGGATGATATATCACTCAATCTGATGCTACCCTTGGACAGCAGGCTTCTCGAATGCTGCAGCTTGAACACGATGTTTAAGCTCATGCACAAACCACAGCGCCAGTGATAAATGTGTCCGTCGCGTACCAATCTTCTAGTGCACGATGGAGACCAAAGTGTTACCTAGAGCAAAAATCAAAAACAGTACCTCAGTTAAAGCTCCTGGGCGATTTTTGGCTGAAGGTTGTCACTCAAAGAGACTCAAATCGCCAAACTTGAGCGTCCGAGCGAACGTACAACGTGAGATTACATAAGCAATACCATATGTGGACCATCCGCACCTTTATGCACGTCTTCATACCGTGCAACCAGCCAAACCGCACCGTGAAGTGCACAGACTTATCAAGGATCAGAAACATTCAATTCTGTAGCAAATTCTCGTTATGTATCGTCGTAGTCCAGCACGACACGAGACGCGCTCTGGAGGGAGAGTCAGGAGGCAAATCACTACTTGCCTTTTATATCCGGAACCCTTCAGGCCCGGTTAGGCAGCGCGTCTTATTGCAGACCAAAAACGAGAGTAACTCTTTTTGGTCAGCAACGGAGACTAAGTACGCAGTCGTCCGACGGGTCTCTCTCGCTTAGAGGCAGATTGATCGAGGCCCAATATTACATAAGTGCTAGAGGGCCGTCCATTGCTGTGACAGACGCCGGCCGAAGATACAGTGCCAAGCTCTCAGTGCATCTGACTGCAATTGAAGATTCGACAACTTCGCAGTGTGTAAAGTGCCTGTACGTCTGTGTTGAGTCAGTATGTAGCCCCATGCAAGTTTCAGTTCAATTCCGGATGTGCAGACTTACTTGGTCTAGGATTCGGACCATATGTACCTGGCAGTGGCTAGCCGCAGGAAGCAATGTACAAGCGCCTCCGACTCGAAGTCCTTCCAGATAATCGTCGTCGGAGTCGTACAAGACCATAAAGCTGCCTGGATCCGAGCAAGCTCGCACAGACTCATACATTCACCTGTTTCACATCTGTACACTGGCCACCCAACATGGCATGAGTTTGCTTCAGATCCAACACTGAAATTAAAGTAATGTCATAGTAGTACGCGAGGACGCCGCCGGTCTAACGCCGCCAGGGTTATGAATCGACGCTGGGGAACAACATCTGATGCATAGTTCAGAGCTGGAAACTCGGCAATTCAGCAATGCGCCGTTGGATCTGGTCCCGCCATGTTTGGGCTCGCATTTTGCAATGACGACAGTCCCGCAATCTTTCGTAGTTCTTCTCGAGGACCGAGGAAATCAGGCTAACTGTTGCCAAGTCGCGGCCCATATCGTCAATCACGGCGAGCACGAAGGGCTTCCAGAGATCACACTCCGAGGATCCCCCCTTGTGCAGGATACCGCCCGATGGTGGTGGATGGTAGGCATCGAGTAAGGCCTGTACCCAAGGATCGCGGTAAAGACTCTGTCAATAGGCCATAATTTGATCGTCAATGGGGATCGTTGTACTCTACGTTCAACCCATGGTGCTCACCCAGCTGACGAAATGCGACGGACCCAAATGGTCCAGAGCGTCCCGGGCTGACACGTTGAGCGTCAGTGGTGCGGCCTCAGCGCAAAGTTCCTGATATCCATGGCGCGCAGCATAGCCCAGTATGATGACGGGATCCTTTCCAGAGGACAATGAGGACCTGGAAACGCTAGTTAGGCTCGCACGACGATGGAGGAAACGAGGCCACGATATCGGCACACACCTCATGAAAACCTTGCAGATCTCCATAGCGGCAAAGACACGGTACTTCTCCGCAGCCTCCGCTAGCTTTGCCAGCTGCTCGAACTCAACGTGGCGTAGGTCCGGCTGCGGCTGGCGATACATATACTGGAACAGAAGGTCCAGCGTGGCCGAGTCTTCCGACAAGTCCACGATCTCGTCGCCCGCATGGACCTCTTCTCCGGGAAAGATATCCGAATGCATGTGCAGGTTCTGCCTGTGCAGCTTGAACTGCATACCATCGCAAGACGATATGAGGATGTCTCCGTCATCCGCGTAGACTAGGACATGTACCGTATTAGTCAATGATCAGATAAACTTCGGATTCATTGGACGCACAGCGTTCGCTAATCAGCCCTACAACGTCCCTCGGAGTTCGAAGCATATCGCAGGTTGATTTCTGGGAGGACAATGAACGAGAATCGTGACACCGTGTAGTAGACACGCACCCGATTCCGTACGAAAGTGTTTGAGACTGGGGCCCGAAAGGACTACGTCCCATCCTCACCATTTATAGGGCTTTGGATTTTGTGGCGTGCTTGGATCATGCTTCCATTCGCGAGGCGTGTAGACCGGCGGGCCTAGCTACTGATCTCAGCAGATGTTTCACTTTGCAATCCTAACTGCGCGGACGTGGTTCACCTACGTTCAAGAACGTGTCTAATGATCGGTTCTAGACAGTGTAGCCACCGCCGTGGCAGCAATGCACCTACCGTTCAAGGACTTCACCGTCCGTCAAGATGTCGAGACGCGCGTGCGGTACCGGCCGGTGGCTAAATAGACCCCCTCCTCCGACTACCCTCAGCGAGCTCGGCCAGACACCGAAACCGTTTTAGCACTGACTGCGCAAACATGCGGAGACGGGCACACTTTATGATGATGCAATATCGTTTCCTCGAGGCGACGCCACCTTACAATCAACGATGTAAGCGTAGTTGTACACCGAACAGGAGTGGATCCAGGTCAACTGTAGAACTCGGCAGGGAGCGAGCCGAGTAAGGGAGCTGAATGAATGTTGCATGCAACACCGAAGTCAGCGCCACTCAGATCGGAGATAGAGCAGCATACTTGTACCTCATCCTGTGGATTATCACGCAGCCTGATACGGTTTGAAGAGCAGAGGCAACTGGCTCCCCGCTTCAAGCTGATCCCGGATGTATGGGCGCTGGACAATGGCAACCTTCTTGATGATATCGTTCGCGGGAAGCGCGAGCTCGATCTCGAACGCCCTCACAAGGACGAAGAGTAACGCCTTCATCCTGTTCAAGTGTCAGTCCCGCGGAGGTTCATGAGAAGTGCGTTCGCGCTCACTCGACGAGCGAGAAACGATATCCGATGCATGCACGTGGCCCGCCCGCAAAGGTCATTAAGTTACCCCATACACCGGGGATGCTCTGAACCGCTTCGGGCAGCTTCTCCCAGCGCTCCGGTCTATAACTTATGAGTGTATTTGACGTAGTGCTATCAAGTTTGCACCTACTTGAACTCGAAAGCATCCTCTCCCCACAGTGTCTTGGATCTATTCAGAGCCAGGATAGGAATCAGGATCGCAGTGCCCTTCTGAATCCTGCAATATGTGTTAGGTTTCATATAGCTACACCGTGACTGCGAACAGACGGACGCTCACTCGATGTGATCATGCACCTGGCCATGCCGGTCGGTGTACGGCGCATTGAGAGGGATCACATCATCTCTGCATGCTTCCCTCGCAGTAACAGGGACGGGTGCATATAGCCGCATTGTTTCGCGCACCACCGCGTCCAGATAGGGGAGGGCGTTCAGCTCATCCATCGAAGGCGTGTCCGTCAGCACACCGAGAAGCTCTTCGCGAAGCTTGCACTGGACATGAGGCACTTGAGCGAGAGCGAACAGACTCCAGCCTGTCCCATAACTCGTCGTCTCGTGTCCTGCAATGAGGAATCTGATAGTGGACCACGCGCCAATATTAGCTGCAAATCATCTCGAGAATCGCCTCGCGACGCACGTCGGCACCTCTTCGCACACCGGTCAGCAGACCGCAGGCATCGGAGACAGATACACGTACGTGCAAGGACATCTTCGTCAGACAGGCGTTGGTTTTCCGGGATGTCTGTACTCATGTTGGCCTTGATGAGCAGAGTGAGAAGGTCACGATTGCCTAAGGTGTCACCAGCCCCCTTCCCATCAGATGAAGCCTGCATGATCTCCGCTTTCTTGTCCTCAATAAGCTTCATGCCCACCCGTCGTGCGACGGCTTGCCCTGCATTTGTCCCTCTTGCATAGTTGTCCGGCTGCACAGACAACATCAGCGTACACATGCCGTTCGACACGAAGTACTCACAATTAGATCTAAGATAGGAAATGTGTATTTGAGAACGAAGGTAAAAGCCGCCGTCGTATTTGTAACGACCTGGAACATGGCGGTGAATGCCTCATTCAGCTCGTTCGGCCTGCCGTCCAAAGCATTCAAGTCATAGTTGAAACCTGTAAGTGCGCGGCGCGCGGCAGTCAGTAAGGCGCCACATCGAACCGCACGGCATAACCTACCGGCGAGTCCGATCGCGTCTAGAGTCATCTTGCTTAGACCAGCAGTAACATCAATCCTAGTTAGAGCACCGGTAACTGCAATTTGGTCGCTCCAGAAGTCCCGTAGCTATAGATCTCCCCTTAGAGGTGGGGTGTACTTGCAGGCGCGATCTGTCACGCACCTGCTGCGCCTTCTCGACGAAGATCCCTGTGAGCTCCCGGATTTGAGCGTGCCCGAAAGCTGGATTCTATGACTCGTGAGCGAGATCCACCAACGTATGATAGGCACGTACGAGAACACGACGCTGAGAATGGATATTGTCAGCCCTGACGTTGCATATGGTGGCATTTCTACTTACCTGTTGGCGGTGCTGCTCGCCTGGGGGCAATATTGTCAGAAACAGCGACTTGTGAGAGATCACACCTCATTTACCCTCCACGACGATCAGACCTAGTGAATCAACGCCTTGAGGACTACGCACGCAAAGATCACAGTTCGTGACATACCTCGACCAATGATCTTGTTGAGAAAGAAAGCATCCAATTCAGGCTTAGCGTAGTCATTCGAGTGGCTGAGTATATGTGCCAGTGCTCTAGTATCATGAGTATACAGCTTATACGACTAACGCAGACAGTATCAGCTCAGCGACGAGCATCATATCAAGTGTCCCGCCTTACGTTGAGCCAGCCTTTGTAGGTGAGCGTCGGACCGTATGCCTCCACCCAAGACTCGTGCAACGCTGGGTCGTTGGCCTTCTGAATATCAGCGAGATTACCGAAGACCAGACTAGGACTGGGGGGTCCCGGCAGATCTCGTAGGGTGGACCGAAGAGGGGATATGACAAGGATCTTCACAACCTTCCACAGTACGTAACCCAGCAAGGCGACCATTATAGATGGCAACACTGCGGCTGGGATGGATGCGATCATAGCGAGAGCTGCGGAATCGACTCTGCCGCCGATAGCTCGCAGCCCTTTTATATGTTCGGCCTTCAGCGGCAATCTGTCTGGGTGAGGTAGTTTGGCAAGTCAGACTTACTGGGGGCGGCCACTAGGCAATGCATCATGATCAATGACTTACTCAGTCTAATTACAGAGCCCTCGAAGACGTTTTCATGCGAGCTCGATGCATCAGTATGAACAAGACCATGGACCCGGGTCGCCGAGCGTACTGCGCTGCCGCTTATATGACCGTGATGTGGCTGCACACCTCCCGTTCAAGAGACATTGTCTTGATGATTACCAGGCTAGGTACAATCGTCGACAGGACTGTTAACGCAAGCAGCACAGCGGAGTATTGGCATACTCTAATCCAGTGGATAAGCATGCGTCGGAATTGAGGCCTGAGGTCCTGCAGTGCACCGACTCGAAGATTTGCGTGAGAGCGCTCTGTACATATGACTCGGATTCGTATACATATTCGAGTTGTTGACAAGTCGCAGCTGCTGATCCAGAAGAGCTCAGTAGCATTGCCGGAGGAGCCCAAAAGGTATATAGTAGTTTCTGAGGTGTATTGACAGTCGTTCAGGAGAGTGCATCACTAGGTAGTCTATAGAGCAGTTGGGCTTGGGCCTAGGCGAGCGTGCCACCAGTGCCAGGTGCTTGCATCGGCAAAAGCCGCTTTGTGGAGTCTCATTCCGGATTAGGCTAAGGCAGCGACGACGACCACGGGGCTGCGGCTACGCCTGTTACGGTCGTACCTTCAAGTTTACTGTGCCCAGATGACTTCCTAGTGGCTCCAGCATGTCAGCAGGAACCTGGAACTGCGCTTGGTCATGGAGATTTATCCTCCAAACAGAAACAAGGCTCCATCGTGTGAGGCCTTAGGAGTCACCGCGGAAACCCATTTGACCGTTCCAATCCCAGCCTGTATTCCCAGTCGTGCGTTGTCTGGAGTTCTGCACACGCAAAACGCAACGACCAATGGAGTGAGTGCGGACATCGTGCTTTTTGCCCTCTTCAAGTTCACGCATGTACTTTCAGCAGGCCATTTGAGATCGAGTTGCCCCACGATGGCAATTTGAGCTCGTTGTTCACGGGTTCATCGCGAAGGGCGCGTGCTCCCGTACATGTGACATCCCATGACTGGCAAAGGAACTGCTAAGACTATCCCTATATGCATACCCCATACCCGTTTCAAGAGTTGGCTCAGGAACGACGGTCTCCTGAGATCACGGACACTACGAATGTCTTGGGCGATGCTAATACTAGAGGGTTCTAGTCCGCGTCCGCCAGGTCAACATGAGAAACTCGTTGACTTGGAAGTGGTGACAGAGGCTCATGGCGCGTACATGGAGCCGAAATAGGCTAAGATTGCGGTTCCTGATCACAGATCGTCACAGCGAGGCCTCCATAAATGGCGGACATCTCCATGGGTTCGTGTCGCCCTTCTCGACCCTCTCAGGCTGTCCCAGTTCAACCATCATGCAGCATGCCGTTCCTTCTTCCCGGGTGCCGCCCGTTGTACATCTAGCGGATGCACACCCCCAACCGCGGCTTTTGGTGCCCTGGCAGAAGCACAGGCGGGGACGCGCCCTCTGGTTCATAGAGTTTGTCGCCGAAGCAGTGAGTGGCTGGTTTCAAAGTCATGTGGTCCAGCTTCTCAATATTTCACGTAGATGTCGACGTTCATGTATACGTACGCGGGCACAGGATCTACCGCAACCTTCATCCTGGGAAATATCCTGGGATTGTCTAACATTGGTAGTATGTACCCAGTAATCTGATGTCTCTTGACGAACGTGACGCCGTGTCTTCGTCAGGTCTGCTCCAAATCGGTTTGGCATATTCCTTGGGTATCATGCTAGCGATGGCCATCTGCCTGGTGAGTGGCTCCCATTACATTGATAATTCCTATTGACAATCACTGCACACGCCGGCAGCCGACATCCAATGGTCACGCGAATCCTGCATTCACGATCTGGGGCATGCTCATCGGCCACGTAACGCCTGTGAGAGGTCTGCGGTGAGGCCCTCTTGTTGTTGCTTGACCTGAGTGCACCACGTACTCATCGCTCGCGTAAATCGTTGTCGCACCAGACTCATTGTCGCGCAGATAGTAGGAGCATACGTCGCGTGCCTACTCATCTACACTCAATATCACGACCTGATCAAGGTCTGCAGCTCTCCGCCTAACAGTGAGCATGATGCTGACGATCACTACAGGAAGCGACCGAAGTCTTACAAGCGAAGGATTTGTACGACTCTGTCATGTTCACTTCGCAAGGTCCTGCGGGAATATTCGGGCTGTACGCCTCGCCCACGGCCAACCTGGGCTACGTCTTCTTGAACGAGTTCGTTTGCGTGCGTATGGCCGATGATGACCGCGATCGACATTCTAACCGCTTCCCTTTGTAGGACTTCGTGCTCGCCATTGTCATCTTCGGATGTTTGGACCCTACGAACGCGTTCGCCCCTCCGGTGGCCGTTCCGTGGATCGTCGGTTTCACCTAGTATGGGTTCCACGTCTGCATGCTTTGGCTGTAGCTCAGACAACCCCTTCAGCGGAATTATCGTCTGGGGCTTCGTGCCTGCAAGCGTCGCCACCAACGCCGCTCGCGATCTCGGAGGGCGTCTAGCAGTCCTCTCGCTCTGGGGTCTGCCGGCATCGGGCGGGCGCTATGCTGCGATCGCCGCCCTCACGAACATCCCCGCTACCATCTTTGGTGGCATTGTCTATCATTTCATATTCACTGACCCCGACCGCAGTGAGTGCTCTCGCTTTTGACCACGGATTTTTACTCAGCCACTCGCTTTACAAGCCATCACGCCTGCTTCTCTGCAGCTCGCAGCCGCCACGAAGGCGTACGAGGAACGCGGCAAGACGGATAGCTCCTCTTCATCCGTGAAGGGCGACGTCGAGTACTGCGAGCGCGTTCTTACGAAGTGATTTGCTGGTACCGGTTCCCTCGCAGGCGGCTCGGCTTGACATTCCCGACGACTCTGTGTTTACGACATATACGACATTTTGTACATTAGTGCCCCAAACGATGGGCTTCCATGACTGCCTTGTTTTAGTGAGTTTTTCGAGTCGCTAGTTTTGTCTTATACTAGCAACTCATTTTCAATGGCAAATGTGCTTCAAGTTACTGATTCGGTGCCATTCAGTTGGTCTTTGCCTGTCGCACAATGTGGTATCCGCGAGGTATGTGAAACGGTGACTCGGAGTTGTCCGGAAATGGACATCGTCGTAGACGCGTTGCCACCGCTACCAATTGCAAGCGTGCCACGTTTGCTTTGTTCCCCGATGCGTTCGTGCAGATTGCATTGTCCATGGAAAGATTACCATATTCGTCAGAGGAGGCCACAGTTGGCCACAGACTTAAGCGGCGCGTGGCTGGCTAGTATAAGATGATGGTCCCCCCGTCCGCTAATCACGCCGTTCTCTTTCATTCTAGGTACGAAGAGCGATTGAGGCTTGAGTAATTCCAGGTGTGTCCGCTTTGCTCGACTGCCATTGATTTCGAGGCTAGACTTTATTAGCTAACACCTCGTCCCGACAGACCGTAATCTATCAGCCGCTCTCGGTCAAGTCGAACCATGCCACAAGCCCCCCGCAACGTCCCTCCCGAGCTCGTCGAACATATCATCGACTTCAACTTCAGCGATCGACCCAGCCTCTTCGCGTGCAGCCTCGTCGCCCGCGCCTGGGTCCCCGCCACTCGACTGCACCTCTTCACCTCCCTCAACCTCAGCACTGCTCGCCGCATCCTCGCATTCGCCGACATTCTCCCCACGTCCCCTTACATCGCGCGGCACGCGCGGGAGGTCCACGTCCCCGCCTGGCTCAGCAAGCCCGCGCCGCGCGACGCCCTCGCTCAAGTATTTCAGCAGCTCTGCGAGGTCACGGTGATCCGTTGTGCAGGGCAGCAGCTCCAGCCGGTGTGGTACGAGGTCCTCGGTCGGCTCAGCTCGGTCAGGTCGTTGAAGCTGCGCGCGACGTGGTGCGACCTCGACGCCCTGAACGGGCTGTTGCGCGCGGTCTCGGGGGTGACGGACCTCTTCGTGCAGACGCGCATGCTCTCTGGGGTGGGCGAGATCTCAGCGCCGGCAGCGCGAGTCGTACCCTTACCCGACCTGGAGCGCATGGTCGTCTTCAACGCTAACGGATTGCCGAATGATTTTCAGTCGATTATTTTGAGACAGGACTTGCCTCGCCTTGAGAGTATCGAGGCGCAGTTTGGCTCGGAAGAGGACATACTGCTGTTCCGCAAATTCCTTGATAGAGGTGGGTACAAGGCCTTGAAAGACTTGCATATGGACTTCACCTACGAATACCTGAGTGGCCCGACGGATGGTAAGCGCCTCCTCAGTCTGGCCACGGACAACGGCTCATCATGACCATCGTTGCAGGGACCGATGCCACTCAGCTATTAGGTGAAAGCGTACGGAGGTGCAACCTCCGCAGTCTGGGCCTCAAGTGCGACAACGACGACTTCGCACGAATCTGGGCAGCCAGTCAGGAATCCTTGACATCAACGGACAGTTCTGACTTCCCCATGTGCATGTACAACTGAGGCACGTACATGATAAATATTTGAAGCCTGAGCTGGAAATAGAGCTTGAGGACGCAGACCGAGCGCTTCGATAACGAAGCCTAATTCAAACGGATAATCGATATATGTATATACACGCCGACTCGCGGGGTATTGCTGGTCTCGACAGAGCTATGACGATACATGGAACAGACAATTATAGCACGACAGCGACATATGTAATCTACGAACATCATGACAATCGTACACTTGCTCGATGGGTTGATAAGTTAGGGGGATATCTTGCCAGAGGCCGTTCAGCCAATGACGTCTCCGATGATCTCCACGGAGTCGCCCGTCTCCGTGCGCCGCATCGCCGATGAGCGCAGGACGGTGCCTACTCCGTGTTTCATCGCGAAGTTTTCGGGGCTGGCCAGGCCACTGCCGCTCGAGGTCCGCCGCACGTCGCTCAGTTTGAGGGACGCGACGTCGCCCACGAGCCCATTCACGCTGTGAGTCTGCTCACTGTAACGCTTGTATCCATGAGTCTTTCTCGACGGACTGGTAGCCACTCACCCATCCACGTCCAGCGACTCCTGCGCCTTCAGCTTCTCCCCCTCCTGGCGGCCTGCTTCTTCGATGCGCTGCACATCGCCGTCCATCACGGGGAAGCTGCCGCCCTCCGGGTGCGCCTCCGCCGCACGCTTCGCCTCGCCAGCAAGGGAGTCGAGGGGCGGGGTGTGTCCGAGAGCCTCCCTCGTCGCGTCCACGAGTTGCTCTGCACCAGCCTCGCCGAGGGTGCTGACGTTGACCTCGCCGACCATATTGAGCTCGCGGTCGGCCTTGATGCGCTCCGCATCTTTGAGGGCGATGTCTTTCAACACCTCTGGGTCGACCACTGGGATGACGGCCGCGCCATCGGGATGCTTCGCGGCGGCAGCCTGGGCCTCCGCAGCGAGCGAGCCGGGCGGCGGGCGGAAACCCAGCGCCTTGTGCTCGTGCGACATGAGCGTGCGCGCCTCCGCAGCACTGAGGGAGGCAAGGTTCACGCCACCGGTGGCGGGTGGCTTGACGGCCTTCGCAGTGCCGTTCAAGTGGATGGCCTTCGAGCCGGGCGGGCTCGCCTCGATGTTGGTCTTGCGCTCGGCGAGGATGCGCTGGGCGTCCTGACGCGCGAGCTCCTTGAGCGTGACGGGGTCGGGCAGCTGCTTGCCCGCCTTGCCCTCAGGGTGCTTCGCGGCGGCGGCTTGCACCTCTGCAGCAAGCGAACCGTGGGGCGGGCGGAAACCGAGAACGCGGTGCTCTTCGGACATGATCTTCCGTGCTTCCGCTGGATAGTGGTGTTAGCGCACAATGCCACCGCGGAACGAGTGAGACGGTCTTACCCTTGCCTACAGCCTCGAGGTCAATCCCGACGGCGTCTGCAATGGATGGCCGGCGGGTGGCGGCCGTCTTGGGGGGCGCGGCACCGTCCGCGATGGGCTCGACATCAGGGGAGCCGGTAGTGCGCAGAATGTCGCCGTTGACCACTGGGACCTCGGAGGTGATGATGCTCGGGGCGGTTTGAGTCTCAATCATGACGGTGAGTGGTGAGCGCGGTGAGATGGTGGTGGATGAGAATGGGTGGCGGGGACAGTGATGAGCATGGCTTTAAGGCGAGCAGCGGTGGGGCTGGTGGAACAGGGAGCATTCGCTTGCAATCTGGGGTTCGTTCGACTGCGGGGTCACGTCATTGGCGGTGCCCGCGTCCCGTCACCATCACCTGATTTGGGGGTCACGCCGTCCCGGCGCGCTTCTTCGCGCTTCGCCGCAGTCGTCTCGCGAGCTGCCCGACTTCGCGTCGGCCAGCCAACGCGCCATCCCCGCGTGCACCCCGCGCGGTGGCACAGCCGATGGCGATGTTCAACTGCACCCACACGGCAGTTCGGAGGGTGGCCACACGCGCCGTGAGCACATGCATTCTCAACGCGCACAATAGTGTACAATCCATCCCGGAGAAGCTTGCGGACACGAAGCATGCGTTAGGCTCAGAATCGGCGATGATCGTTTGTGGGCTATAATGCTCACCAATGACAATGGATGAGAACCTATGAGAAGCTGCTGTCACGGTTATGATTATCGCGCGGAAGCTACTAGCGCGGTGGAGTGGGTTCGAGGGATGATTGCAGTCGGGACGAGAAGTCGGTGCGTCGTGACGGCATAATGATATCTTAGATCGTTGTCCCCCTCCGCGAGGTCACAACGTGCAAACACCTGCACAAACACAGTTCTTTGGTGTCGCGCGGCCGTCGTGTTTCGCGCAAGTATGTACGCGCACCTACATACATGGCTCGTAGCTTGATGCTAAGAGTAGTCCTTCCGAGGCTTCGAGCAACTGCACCCGCACGCGCGCAGCGGCGCGCTCGCAATGTGTTGCCAGTGTGACACATGCTGCTGTGATCAAGGTGAGATTAGCATCCACGCAGTAGATGACAAACGCCGGATCCGGAGGTGACATGAAGGGAAGCACTCATAGATACTATAGAGATCCAGAAGACCGAACACATTGCGCCATGCAGCTGCCCCCACATCGCAAGATACCGAGTTCCGTATGCATACCAGAACGCATCTTCTAGCCATCCCCTTCGGGAGGTGCGGGTGTGTCGTTCATCAATCAAACACGGAGCATCGCAGACTCGCAGTATCGTTCTGTACATGCCGTGTAGGCCTCACAAAAGACGCGTACGTGAAATGCAGGTGGCAGGTATCGGGTGGTGGGATCGTTGCAACGGACTCGAGCATCGTAACATCTATCGACACAGGGCCTTCTGCGTACCCAACCAGAGAGGGCAGAGCTGGCAAGAGACTGATGAGAACACGACTCATGAGCACTCACAGCTTCCACTGGCCAGTTCCGGACGCACGCGCGTCATCTGTCCCTCCGCCTCGGAATTCGAACCAGCGGTCCTCCGCCGCTAGAACCGGTTTCCGTGCGAGCTAAAAACAGCCTCTCGCAGGCGCATACTTATACACACCGACGGGTGACGCGGACGGCGCGGTAAAGCAGTAGAGAAGTAGGGTGCGTTCCCGAGACGCGCATGCGCGTTGACACGGTGGACCGTGGTGCAGCGTCGCGCGAAGTCGCCTCCACACTGAGCGAACTTCTCCCGAGTACCGACTTGTACCGATGGGCTAATCATCGACGGCGAGACGCGTGAACCGCGCGCGAATTCTCCATGGGGCGGTTCGCTGATAGTCATGCGGAGAATCAGCGGTTCGTCGAAGCGCAGACTCGTTGCATGTCGAGCAGGTAGAGACGAACACGTACTGATGTGGGTGTCATTGCAGACGGAGATCACAGTTCCAGTCATCCAACATATCAGTTGGCCATATGCGCCTCATAGCATTCATGGCACCGTTGTATGAGTAGCTAGCTATGCATCATGAGCCCAGCAGGCATCCAGCGGAAAGAAGCAGCTGGTCTCCCATGAATGAGTGGGAGTGGTCGTCGAAGCGTGGTCTCCGGTCGAAGAGGGTGGTGTAAGACTCAGAGGGTGCAAGCAGGGCGAGTAAGCGCCTAAATCCACGAATGTAACCACTTCCGTTTATGGTAATCAAGCGCTCAGCATTTTGCCCCGACTTGCTCGGGACGGTGAACATCTCCTCAGCCCCTTCGCAGTCCTCAATTCCCATTGCCCCTCTCCTACAGCTATGCCTCGTGCGACGTCGGACCGCTTCAGCAGGGCCCATCTACCTTCTGCAAAGTCAAAGTCTGCCGGGGAATCATCAGGATCTTCGTCCGCTGTACACAATCCAATCTTCAATACAGAGCGATTCGGCCAACATATTCTCAAGAACCCGCAAACAGCCCAAACGTGCGTTCAGTTTTGTGAGTCTCCTCTCATTTGCTCACGTTGATAACAGAATTGTTGACACGGTACGTACTCTCTCAAGCAGGCATGGAATAGATGAGCGCAGACCTAAAGGAGGGCATGGCATAGGCGAATCTGCGACCGACAGACAAAGTGCTCGAGGTCGGTCCTGGTACCGGTAACCTGACGGTCAGGATATTGGAGAAAGCGAAACATGTAACGGCGGTGGAGATGGACCCCCGCATGGCGGCCGAACTCACGAAGCGAGTACAGGGAAAGTGAGTCCCCGCCCCCACTCTGCGCCCCCCATACCAATCTCCGCACCCAGACCCGAACAACGGAAGCTCGAAATCATCATCGGCGATTTCGTCAAAGCCACCCTCCCCTACTTCGACGTCTGTATCTCCAACACGCCCTACCAGATCTCCTCGCCGCTCGTCTTCCGCCTGCTCTCGCACCGGCCGCTCTTCCGCGTCGCGATCCTGATGTTCCAGCGCGAGTTCGCGATGCGGCTCGTCGCGCGCCCGGGCACGGACCTCTGGTCGCGCCTCTCCGCGAATGTCCAGCTCTACGCGAAGGTCGACCTCACGATGCATGTCAGCAAGAACAACTTCCGCCCGCCGCCCAAGGTCGAGAGCAGCGTGATTAGGCTCGTCCCGCGCGACCCACCTCCGCCCGTGGAGTTTGGCGAATTCGATGGTCTGGCGCGGATCGTGTTTGGAAGGAGGAACAAGATTTTGCATGCGAATTTCTTGGCGAAGGGTGTTATGGAGATGCTGGAGAGCAATTGGCGGACGTGGGCGTCGATGAACAATGTGGTACGTCCGGCTTGTGCACCATCTGATCAACCAACTGAGTCAGTGTCGGGCAGATCGTCGAGGATAATGTCGACATGAAGAAAAAGGTACAAGAAGTCTTACAGGAGACGGGCTATGCAGAAAGCCGCGCAGCGAAGCTGGATATCGATGATCTTCTGAAGTAAGTGTCTATCACAGCTCGGTCGGATGACGCTCACGATTGTGCGTAGGCTTCTGTCGGCATTTCATGACGTTGGTATACACTTCGCATGATACCAATGTATGATATGATCGCATTGGGCTTAGAGTTTCCTGTCGCATTCTCTCATCGCTGGTTTTGTACTGGTATGTGCATCCATGGTTGCTAAAAGTACTCTACTGTAATGATACATTGCTAAACATGTACACCGTTTCACTCGTACACGAATATCAAGAGCACACGATGCTACGAGCAGTGAGCATCATAGATAATGATCCCCCTATGTTTGCCTGTCAGCGTTCCTCGGCGCAATTGTATAGGAGTTACTGCTCACGAGTTGTTTAGCGGGTATCATGCAACCTCCTTCTCCTGCTGCGCCTCGTATTGCTTGGGTGTCAGCGTTTTCTACGTTCGGATGATGTGAGTTGGCTAATACCAGTGGTGCCTTTGGCTGGGCTCGCAGGCGAGACTGACCTGCGAGAAGGCGTGCATCTGGGCGATCTGATCCTTGAGGACTTCATTAACTAGATTGCAGCCGATCAACTAGATGCACGGCTACGTAAACTTGGCCTGAACTTGGCCACTCACTGAATCGATGCCTCGCCAACGTGTTCTTGCCCTCGAAGGCCTGACATACACGTCTCAGGCGATCCTCCTTCTTCGCACGATAGGAGCGACTCACCGGGCTCACGACGAATACCGCGTAGTTCTCCCCGCAGCCGTTCGACTGGTCGATGATGTCCAGGTGGATGATGGGAATTGCGGAGCGAATGGCGCCCTCGAGGTGGTCTCTTGAGATGGGCATTGCGGCGACCAGGCGGCGGATTACGGCGCAGAAATTGAGAGAGCAGGAGAGGGTGCGGGGAACGTATCTGATAAGATCTCCGCTGGCCTTACCCAATATATAGTCATCGGGAGATACCGATCCCGGGTCGCGCTTTCCCCACACCTCCAACTGACTCAGAACATCGCGCAACCTGCTCGTCTTCGCGGTCGCCGTTCTCGACGGCCTGGGCGAATTGCGGTCCCACAATTACTTCGGATTTCCAGCGGCAGCGTATGCTCCGTGCCAGCAGACTACGTCCATCAACCAATGGCGTCGAGCGAAATGGTTAGGCTTGGGAACCCGGTCCGTTCGTAGGAAGGGTGTTCCGAGCCGTTCGGCCTCCGTTCATGCAGGACTCGGTCAGACCCAAAACTCAGTCAGCTCGGATGCCGACGGAGCAATGTAGTTCGGCCAGTAAGTACTTAGTGACACAACCTAGCAATGGTCGGATCGGATGGGCCGCGGCATAGGTTCCAACGCACGTTCGTACGTCCATTCATTGATCAGACATACCTTCTCGCCATTACTGACGCCGGCCGGGATCTCGGCCACCTAAGCAGTTGATGTGTCCTCCTGAGCCTATGTGTGCATTGAGTGCCCGGGTGAGTGTCTAGAACTTTGATAGAACATCCTAGGTACACAGTAAAAATATTTAAAGAATTTTTGGGCCATTGAGATGGCAATGGGAGGGGCTTTCGTGACGAGAGTACTGGCGGCTGAGTTAACTATGAAGTCGGCCACGCAGTTGCACATGAGCCTATACGAGGCTGTCAAGTGTCTATATGGGCATCAAAATAGTTTGTGAGGCTCACAGACATTATCACAATACTTCAACAGCCACGGGGCCTGAGCTGTGACCACAGTGACTGGATGCAGTCAAGGTGTACAGGATATGCAGCCGGGAATTGCCAAATATGGGCATCACCACACAGATTGATTTTTCCTGCTTCCAATTCTCGGTATATGGACTTCAGATATGGTACATGGATAGAAAGGATGATTAGTTAGACCCTAGTATTTATTCTGTGACCATAGAACATGGTTCAGTAGACAAAGAGGACGGTGACCGACTACCTAGGGTGGCCGAGATCCTGGCCGGCGTCAGTAACTGTTTCGTTTCAAGCTGTTTCCTGATTTTGGCCGTCACCCCTCGCCAGCCCAAAGTCATAACCATTCAATGAGCTTGTCGCAGACTCATTTATCGCTACTTTTTGGTCAGCATCGTGTACGTTCACGAACACATCTGTCCAACAGCCGTCATCGACGTCGGATGGATACCACAGTCAACGTTCCGCGAGCGCTGAGGCTGCCTGCCGTCCATTGTCTGTCCCTGGCTTGACCAGCGCTCACTTGCATCGTTTGTTGCGTCCCTGTATTGCCCACCTTCGCGTGTCCCTTGCCTCATTAGCTGAAGCCAGAGCCGCAATTCCGTACCGCGGTAATCTCTTTAGGGATGACTCCGGAGATATGGTCCCCCGGGCGCGGCACAATGGGAGGCACTGCGTCCGATTCAACAGCGCCTCCTAGCTTCTCATAGGTGATCAAAGGGAAGGCAACTGACATGTGTTCGAGGCATTGACCTTGATGTGGAAGGCTGTAAAACGATAATTCTCCGATCTGTCTACTTTGCTATATAGTCGGCTGACCATCGTCGCCTCATTCTAGCCGCGTAACTCCCTACTCTGACTCTACGACTCAACAGGACGTGCCAACCTACAAGCTGCGCCCCAGTCACATCCACGTCCATGGTATCATCCGACGCGCAAGGGAGCGCCAATCTCGCTTCGTACCATTCACGTTATAGCAGATTGGCCAGCACATCGGATCCGGAAGTCATCATTCATATCAGTGACGACCTGTCTCCGCTTTTGCACACCCAACAAGGCCTGAGCAGTGACAGCATAGCAGACTATCAGGTGAAGCCCGAGTTCGCTTCTCGTCTCTGTCCTCGGGGCTGACAACGTTCAGAGCAGACGTGATGGTAATGTCGACCCTAACACAAATGTCCTGGACCAGAATCCTGCTTCTGCGCCGGATACGTCTGGCGCGTGGGCTATGTGCGCCGAAGAGGTCTGGAAACATGAAGAAGCCACAATTCAAAACTGGAAGGAAGAGATTGACACGATGCTGGTTTTCGTGAGTATTTGACCACGATACTCATAGTTCATTGCACCTGATTCTTTTTGGCCTTATGCACTGTAGGCGGGTTTGTTCTCTGCGATCGTCGCCACATTCAATACTCAGTACTACCCGAATCTTCAACCGGCCTTCCAAGCGCCATCTGCGCCAGTATTTTTCCTCATCATGTCAGCCAATGTGACAACGCTTCCAGGGGGCATCGAAAACTTCAACGGTACCATTCAGGTGCCCGCAAGCGGGATTAACGGCATGGCAATTGCCGTGAACACCCTGTGGTTCTCCGCACTCGTCTTCAGCCTCGCCGCTGCATCCATTGGCATCAGTGTCAAACAATGGCTCGAGCATTACGTCGTCCCGCAGAGCGTTGTTCCGCGCCAGCGTGCCCAGATCTGGCACTCCCGACGGCGAGGCCTGCTCGACTGGCACGTCCCCGAGATCATCACGTTGATCCCGCTCCTCCTCCAGGTCGCTCTCGCATTGTTCCTCGTAGGCATGCTCATCCTACTGTGGAGCATGAGCTACATCGTGGCTGGAATCGTCCTGGCTCCGACGGCACTGCTCCTCGCGTTCACGGTGTACACGACCGCTGCGCCGACTGTCGCGAGCGATTGTCCGTACCGGTCGCCCCAGGCGTGGCGCGTATATCAGGCGCTCCGCCGACTGACACAGCTCTTCACACTTGTCTCGAGGTTCGGGTTCTTTGAGGGTTGGAAGCTGTTTTTGTTCGCCGGGCGAGCGACGAAGCCATGGGCGACCTGGGTCGACAGGGAGAAGGCCAAGCTGCGACGTCTCGGGAAGGGCGAAAGCAGCTTGGACGTGCTCGTTGCCGCAGACAAATTCATCGGTGGCGACACCTTCCTCGACCAGGTCGTCAGGCCCTGCCTCAACCATGCCGAAATCCACTCCGCGCTACCCATCTTCTATCGCATCCTCCAGGAACGAGCCCACCTCATCGATACAACACCCGGGCAGAGACAGATGCCGAAATGGCTTGAAGACGAGATGGACAACGGTTCCGTCGTCGTCATGGGTCATTTGGCATTGGACATGCTCCGCCGTATTGAGGCGGAGGGTGGTAAGGATGATCAGCAACGCGAAGAGCTCAGGATCCTCGAATTACTCGGACGACTCCTGTCTGCTATGCCCGTGACGGACTTCTCGGTCTACGAGGGTCTTGTCACTTGGTTTGTCGGTTCCGAACTCGCGCAGGAGCCTCGCAAAGAAGCCCTCGCGCTAATCTGGCGGAACGCCCCAACATTTCTTGTGGAACATCCAGGTATGCACTACCTCCGCGCAGCGATAAATCATTTTCTCACTAACTTTCCAGCGCTGTGCGTCTCCCTCGGCCACATGTGCTTGGACATGGTGGAACAGCTCCAACGGACTGGCGGCGACTCGGTGGCGCTCGCGAGTAGGCAAAGGGACATCCTTCAAGCCTTGGATCACGTCCTCTTTGCCACTCCTGCAACTCAGTCCTCTGTGTACGACCGTCTCTGCGCGTTGATGCAAATAACGGATATGTCTCGAGGGGCTATAGATGAAGTGGTCGATGTGGCATACCGCTACTCTGGACAATTCCCGTCCAACGAACAGAGTGAGCTCAAGTACGCTCTTCGTCGGCCGCGACTCACTTGGTCCATCTAGACATTCAAATGTTGAGCTCTTGTATGCGACCAATGCAAGACGAGAACGACCCTGTACCCGCGATGTCGTTGCTATCCGCTGTCCTTGTCATGTCAGCCAAACTACCCAACCCCGATGCATCCCTCATCGAGAACGCACTGATCTCCGCCACTGGAAACTCGAGTGCGGAGACAGTCACCACGATAGCTCAGAAGCTGGAGAGCAAGGCCGTCTGGTGGGTCGTATGCAGACTGGTGGACGGATGTATAGCCGTTGCCAAACGCGATGTTCAATTGCTGCCGCCGGGGGGCTTCGGTGCGCTGGAAGCACTGGTATCCCTTTGCGATGCGATGGTGTCGCCCGCCAACGGTATTGCGCTCCTCGGGATACGTCAGCGACTGCATGTCCTGCGAGACGTGCTGGAAGGCAGATCGTAAGCATCTTCCAACAACCTACCTTCTTCCCTTCTCATATGGTTCCCTTACGTTGCTAGGAATGCTGAAGAGATTACGGATGTGGAAGTTCTCATGAACCGACCCTCGACGGCACATAGCATAGCTGCAAGGTATGTGTTGTCTGTGATGTCTGGTCCAACGGCAGAGGCTCATGACACGCATATTCCGCAGGCGACAGCGACGGTCACATTCAACAGATTCGCTGGCGGCGATGGAGTAAACGTAGCCCGACAGTCGATCCTTGTATTACATAGATACATATAAATCAATAGCAGCAGCAAAAACAGATCCTACGCACTCTCCCGTATCATATCCTCAGCGCATTGATCCCTTCCGGACATTCGGCCTGCAAGGTACAGCCAATGTACGCCTGCATACTCACCGGCCGATAAATCCAAATTTCCCCCTCCTCGAAACCGCTCATGACGCATTGATTGCGCTTTGGCTTGATGTCTGTGCTCACGCTCTGTTCGACCACCTCCAGCGTGCCCAGGTCCGCCGGCTTCATGAACTGCCCGTCCGCTACCTGCACAGACGGCACTGCGTCGCTCACGATGACCGCGGTATGATCTGGGTTGCCCATCCACTGCGTGTACGTCGTGCGGCCGTTGCTGACGACGAACCGCACCTTGCGCCACTCGACGATGTCGCCCCGGCGCACACGGTCGTCGCCGCCGCGCCAGCGCCCGACCTGGTTGCTCTTGCCCATCGCCTTCCCCTCGAAGATAAGGTGCCCGTGCGTGCGCTGTGTGCTCGGGATCGGCGCGGGCACGTAGTCGTACTGCTCGAAGCACGCGATGGCCTTCGCGGCTAGGTCCCAGCACTCCCCGCGTGCGCAGTACTCGCCCGCTTCCACGAAGCTCTCCGCGAACGAGGCGATGGTCTCGCCGTACGTCTCGTGCGCCTCGACGAGCGCGGCGCGGTCCATAGGCGCGGGCCGTGGGAGGTAGCGTGCTTCGCGGCGCACGGTGCGCGTGTCGTTGGGGTCGCTTTCGCCCTGGAGAGGATACTGAACGGAGAACCACACCATGCTGAGATCGGCAAAGATCGCGCTGCCGGAGAAGATCGCGGTGTACGGTTCGGGTTGCGATATCGTGGCGACCTGTCTCGTATCGGTCCTGCCCTTCAGACCAGGTACCAGTCCCATGTTCGCGGTCTTGAACCACGCATCTTCCCAGTGAGCGGACGGTGAAAAGTGCATTGCTACATCGAGGGAGGCTGAACCATACTGCGTAGGAGGAGGGTAGGACATAGTAAAGTCTTATGCTACACATGAACATAGTGTCTGGATAGATCAAGCGAGACTCGCACCGTCTGCGGGGACGGCGAGCGCAGGAGATGGCTGGGCCGGTCGTGACCACTTCGATATCGAAGGCTGCAGGTTCTTCAGTACCGCGAAGTGGTGATACTGTAACAGACTTACTGCTGTGACGCTTGACGGGGTTCTAGGTGCAGGGGCCACCACAGACGAAGTAGCAGGTTCTTCGACGACCTTCTTGATTCCCTGTACACTCCTTGGAGGCACAGGCAGGTTCAGATACTTGGCGAAGAACTCGTCAAGCCAGCTGAAGAACACTTGCTTGTCCTCCGGCGACAAGTTCGCCCAGTCAAGCTTCTCATCGTCAACGGCCTCCGGAGCCCTTGTGATCGAGACTGATCGGACTGGGGGCGGGGGAAGGGGAGGAGAGACGCTGTCTGGGCGTGTGTCTCTACGAATAGGAGGCGGAGCAGCAGGTGGTGAGACACTGTCAGGACGAGAAACCCTGCGGATCATGGGCGGAGGTGCCGGGGCGCTAGGTGAACTAGGGCTGGAAGGTGTGTTCCTTGCATTGCTCGTGGTGGAAGAGGTTCTGGATGGCGGAGGAGCATAGAGTTCGCTGTTCTTTGGCTTCACAGCAGGCGGTGGTGGCGGTTTCCTATGGTTTGGGTCCCAGTTAATCTTCTTGCTCGGCTGGCTAACCATATGGTCCCGAGTGTGAGCAGCTTTCTCAACACTGTAATCCTTGGCCTTCATGGCCTTCTGCTTGACACCTTGAGTTCCGAGTCAGTTTCATGGGGGGTCCAAAGATACGCTGATACTCACTGGCGAGCATCCTGGGCTAGAGTTGAGAGTCGACGTCTGGTGACGACGTGGGGACAGGTGGAGAGGCGCAGTAGCAAGCTGCTACCTGAGGTTCTATCGACGACGAGCAAGCTGGAAGATGAACAAGATAACCGACGCAGTTGAACGAGCCTCAAAGTGTAGTCAGTGTGAGAGGCGGAGCCACGGCACTCGGGCTCGACACCGACTCCGAGCGGCCATTCAAGCATGGGCGCTTGTGCGATGGATCATGCACATGGGATGCCAGTGCACGATTGTGACGATCTTGTCTGCCAGCATAATGGTCCCGGTCCCTCCTCCTCCTTCTCTCCAAGCGAACCTGTTGGGTTCGCTCACATATAGCTACTACTTGCCTCATCCAATATGACAGGAACGCGTTCTTACCACTTAGTTACCCATGGACCACGGTGACCGACGCTAGAGCTAGCTACGAACAGATTCCAACCTCCTCAGTGCATGCGCAACTGGATGCATGGTGCAAAGTGTATGCGGGTATCTTTCAGGGCTCCGTGTGCACTCCCATATATCTTTGGTAGACCAATAACGCTTTGCTACCATTCTCCCCATCGTCCGGGGCGGGGCAATGCACATTCATGTATACGGAATACAGTAATATGTAGTCCTTTGAGTGGGAAAGGAGAGACGAGTGTCATACCCTGTCGTACCGTACGTCTGAAAGTGTAATGCTACACCATGAGCTTCATGTTTGCGAATCAAACGCGATCATGTGATGCAATAAGACGCGAGACGCGAGAGGAGTGCGGTGCATAGCCATGCTCCACTAGGACCTAGGTCAACATAGACTGCTAAGCCAGCAAAAGCCAACATATTCCCACCAGATATGCCTGTAGAGTCGTTCTGTCTTCTTGTGGTATGTAAACCATTCAAATGCTAGAAAAGTTGCCTCGGTTCCATGAGCCAAATCGATGTCGTGCTCGGTGGAACACTAGCACCACCTTGCCGAGCTCCTCGCATCGGCGCATTCTCTTGGCCTTCGACTCTGCAGAAGCAACGGTAAGCACGGGTCACCGTAAGAGTGACCTCAACATTTCGGACTGCCACCATCCTATACAACGGTAAGAATACACTCGCAATACCGGAATAGGGAGAGACCGCCGCCTGCGCCACGTCCATCAGGATCCTCATTACCGTCGCGACACCGGGGGGTCTGGCCGCTGGCAAAGCACCACCGCCCCGCCTCTCATTCGCTTTCGCGGAGCGAATGACATCACCCCCACTCCCCGCCATGTTCCCCGACGCAGCAGTCGTCAGGTATAAAACCCGACCGTCGTTGCCCATCTTCCCCAACTCGATTCTTCGCCTTCTCATATCATCCAGACCGAACGACCTCTATCACTGTCACGACCGTTCACGATCCCAACAATTGTCAAGATGTCTCACAACGCTGGTTCAGTTATGTTCGCTGCCCACCAGGACGCTACGCGTTTCGCTGGTGCGGGCCATGTCGACCTCAAAAACATTGGTGAAGGTATGTACCTTCGCTCTGTAGCATGTCTTTGACAGCAACCGACGCGGTTTACGGCACAGCGGAAGCCCGCAAGCTGATGTCCGCCGAGCACAAGGCTCTCGGCTACCGTCCCCCTCCAGGCTCGCTCGCTGCAACGGCTCAGGCTGAGGCTGCGAAGCACCCCGACGCCTCCGCCGACATCCCCGAGCAAGCATTGGAGCAGGCTGCCATCGAGGATGCCACTCGCATCCAGAGCTTGAAGTCCATTGACGTCGATCAGGTCGGCGAAGGCATGTAGCTGTGTCAAACCTGGCAAGAACTTCGGTAATGACCCTCGTTTACAGCGGAAGCTCGCAAGATTGAGTCCGAGGAACACAGGGCCTTGGGCTACCGCCCGCCTCCGGGCTCGCTCGCGTCGCAGGCCCAAGCCGCCTCAGCGAAGCACCCTGATGCGAGCTCCGGGTTGCCTTCGCATGAGCTCAAGCGTGCAGCCATCGAAGACGCGGCGCAGATCGCAAAGCTCGAGGGCGAACGGGGAGTGCCGCTATCCCAAGTCGGCATAGGTACGTGTGGCTTCTGCTCGAGATAATTGCTGTTGCTAATACGCGGTCCACAATAGCTGAAGCTAGCAAGCTGATGTCGGGAGAGCACAAAGCCCTGGGATACCGCCCACCACCTGGCTCGCTGGCAGCCAAGGCACAGGCTGCTGCTACCAACCACCCTGACGCATCTGCAGGTATCGAGACTGCGGCGCTCACGAAGGCGGCGGTCGAGGACGCACGCGCCATCGAGTGAGTATCCAAAAGCAATGAGCCCCACGGTTGTGTTGCTGATCCGCGACATAGGACTCGGCGTCAGGAAACCGTGGACGCAAACGGCACAGCTGTCCCAGCCGACGTCAACGTCAACACTACGACCGCCGACGAGGCGCATGCTCTTCAGTCTGAGGAGCACAAGACCCTCGGCTACCGCCCACCAACCGGCTCGCTCACCGCGCAAGCACAGTCCGGCGTGGACAAGCGTGCGCAAGAGCCAGTGACGAAAGAGCTCGCGGCTGAAATCCAGGGCCAGGAGCACAAAGCGGTCGGACACCTCCCAGAGAGTGGCTCCCTCGCTGCGACTGCACAGAGTCTCGCGGACAAGAACGCGAACGACGGAGGTGACAGGACTCTCGGTGACGTCGGCCTGTAAAGGTGTATGGATGAATTGAATGAGCAGAAGTAGGACGTACTTGTAGGTTATCGGTTTAATGTCACATTGTAGCATAGCATTCCGCGTACGCATCCTTTGCATCGGCCGCGGAACCTCATGGTGTGCATGCAAGTATTTGGCGAAAGACCTCCGCGCATTGTCACGCAAATTGTGCGGTATTGTCTTGTCACGGTCTTCAAAGTTCGACGACCTACCGGCGGTACGGTGCCTTCCTAATAGCATATCTTCGTGGGTGTGGTCTTGGAGTGGTCTGTCCTACTCTGCGAATTCTCGAAACGTGTGTGTCCAGAAGCAGGGAACTGAACAGAGTTAAGGTTTCGTGCTAATTGACAGAGTTCGTCGATGGTGGAAGACAGAGGACCGCTACGGGCGCCTGTGCGCTCTTGACCTCGTCGCCTCCTCCTTACGCTTAGAGCCCGTTCAATCCTACTCACATTATGTTCAAGAAGCCCCTTTCTGACGTCAAAACAACTGGTATTATGCTGCTTGCTATTGATGCACGCCCTCTCATATAGAGTTCAGCACCTCTGCGCACCTCTGATCGCCGGAAACTCAAGCAACGCGTCCTCGAGACCTACAACCATGTCGCGCCCGAGGATGGCGATGTCCTCGTGCCGGAAGGCTTGCATCACCAGAAGTTCGTCACTTACGCGGACGATCCAGGGGTCAGTCATGAGCCTCAGATGTTGAGCGAAGGGTTGACCGGAGACTGCGACTCGGAACAGGTGGCCTACTTCTCCATGGAGGGCGACCCGTTGTGGTTCACGATCGGGAAGGACTCCAATGCTCTCATCCCAACGGGCGAGTGACCTTGGCTTAGCCCGTATAGCTGATGTTCATTCCACCCTTGAACAGTATACACGCTCTGGAAGTGCCCCAATCTCCTTCCCTTCCTCTCCACACCCGCACCGGTTATCCCCAAGCTCGTCGGCGGTGCCGATCTCATGATCCCAGGAGGTCCGCCTCTTTCCTTCTCTACTACCCGCACAGCACCTAACGCCGACGTGCTCGCGCAAAGCAAGTGGTCCAGCACTCGCCCGGTCTGCAAGAGGACCAGCTCGTTGCGATCACGCAGTACCATAGAGAGAAGCTCGGGCACCCGATTGCAGTCGGCCGGATGGCAGTGGATGAGCTCACGCTTGAGAGAGCGGAGGAGAATGATGTGAAGGGGAAAGCGGTGTACGTGTTGCATACGTGGAAGGATGCGTTGTGGGAGATAGGCGCGAGCAACGGCCAGGACGTCCCGGAGCCCAGAACTCTGGAGCCTGCAACGAATGGACAGAGGGAGCAGGAGGAGGAGACGGGCGGACAAGCACAAGAGGCGGATGGACAGCCTACGGCAAATGGCGTGGCAGAGCAACCGCAGTCTGTCACTAACGAACATGCCGTCGCTGCAGAGGCCTCATCACTACCTCTTACTCCGGAGGGTACGTCGCCTGTGTCTCAAGGCTGTCCCGCCACTCATCCCCGTCTGAACAGACGTGTCGCATTATCTACGCGATGCATTACTACAAGCCCTGCAGACATCGCTCGCCTCCCTTCCTGCGTCTTCCTTTCCTATACCTGCCTCGACATTCTGGAGCTCTTACATCCTTCCTGCACGGCCTGTGTATGCCACCGGCAGGAGAGGACCACTAGGTGCGAGGCCATATTCTCCTCTGTGCGATCTGGATTTACAGTGCATGTTCCGCCAGACCCAAGCAAGATCGATGTGAAGCACTCCACGCACAAATCAGTCAAAGCGTTCTTGAAAGCTTGTGCGAAGGACGGTCTCATCAAGCTCAAGGATGCTAAAGGTGGCGATGTATTCGTAACAGGTCAGCTAGCCTCAGACGATACTACGATGCCGCGGCGAAGGCTGACTGCTGGATTTAGCCGTGTTCCCGAAGCATTCTGATGTTGCTGAACATAGAGAGCATCGTACGGTCAAGGATGCCGAGTTGAAGCAACAGAAGGCGGAAGATAGGGAGCGGAAGGAGAGAGAAGCGGAGGAAAAGCGGAAGGGCGAGATCCATATCACAGAACTCTGGAAGCCTTTTGGCACAACGCTCAGCTTCTTCGTAGCTGCCGACAAACAGTCAGTGCGAGCCAGCAAAACGTAAGACCAGTGCTGACATCCTAATACCAGGACGTCCGAGCTTTTTACGCTCTCTGATATCAAAACGATCGTCAATACGTACATCGCCTCTAAGAGCCTCGTCAATGCGCAAGAACAGGCATACATCAACGTCAGTCAAGATGACGCGCTCCTCGCCGCAGTGACCAGCAAAAATGAGTTAGGCGTGGAGTTCCTGAAGCGCGAAGAGGTTCTGACGCGTCTTCGGGACCACATGCAAGGCTGGTATGAGATTCGGGTGGAAGGTAAAGATCCCTTGCGAAAGTACGTCCGATCCGCGAGGTCCTTCGCGAAGCTCTTTTCTACAATACTTCTCGTCCTTATCCTTTCAATCGACAGAAAGGGCCAGCTAAAACCGGTCCAGGTGGTCATGAAGATACGCCAGGGCCGCAAGGCGTGCACGCTCGTGACCGGCTTCGAGCCGTACTCCCTCAGCGCGGAGGACCTCGCGGAGGAGCTCCGGCGGATCTGTGCTAGCTCGACGTCCGGTCAGTGACTGATCGACTTCCTTCCCCGATGCCGAGTGGGACAGACCGCTGACGCCGGGGGACGATATATATAGTGAACCCCGTCCATGGGAAGGCGTCGGAGATGGAGGTGATGGTGCAGGGAAAGCAAATCAAGGCGGTAACGGATCTGCTCGTGAACAAGGGCGTGCCGAAGAAGTGGATCGAAGTCACTGACATGACGGCGGAGAAGAAGAAGAAATAATCACCGTACGCGGAATATACGCAGGCTCTGTATTTGTGTTCGACGGTAGTCGTGCCGAGATCTGTAGCTATTAGGTCCGTTCATCCGTCTTCTCTCGCTTGCTGCCGTTCTAACGTATTATGTCGCAAGTCTGTCTTGTATTACACACACCTTGACACTTGAATTTAGCTGATCGTTGAGCGTTCAATGGCTCATGCACTCATGGCCGGCGAGAGCGGGCTATTACGTGTAGAAAACGGTCTGTTTTGGGCTTTCACAGTAGATGTCGACATCGTCGCGTTTACGACAGCGCAGATCGTGAGTTCTATCTTATCCTGACTCATCGCCTTAGAGCTGATAAAGAGGCACGCTGCTTTCGATGTGGAATCCAAGTGGAACCACTGGAGTGTGAGACCTCGGGAATGTGACTGAATCGCTTGAACAGATCACTGAGAACAGTACGCTCGTCACTGCGACTCACCGGGGCCGCGTTGTGTCTCGTACCGCATGTGTTCTGGTGCCGGGGTTTCCTGGCCCTCTGAACAGATGAAGACTGGTCAGGACACTGTGGCCGCCGCACACCACCCGGAGTTCAACATAGTATGCCCTGTCCTTTCCCAGGGAGGCTCCTCGACGTTTCTGTCGTCCCGAACCCCTTCCCAACAGCACGGGTCACGCGTACCTCAGATCTGTCTCGCGTCTCTCGGAGTGTTGACCTCATGCACGCTAATCAGTATGGGACCGGCTAGTCATTATCTCCGTTATCCTGCCTGGACCTGCCATACTAAATGCGGACTTCCACAGAATTCGTATACGTATGGGTGTATCAGAGGCGGTGTCTCTCCATGCTCATGAAAACGTTTGAGAGGCTCAGGAGTTCTTTATCAGTACTCATGCACGGGTCTTTGGATCTACCACGATATACCGCCTTCCACGTACCGGTGTCTGCTCAGGTGTCTATCGAAGGGGAGACCTTGGCCTCATTGGTACTTTACACGTCAGTCAGTCAGTGTACTCCTTCTATGCACTCTGATCCTTCTGCGCTGATGATGACTTCTCGGGTTCACAGATTAATGACGTGCCTCCGCATGCCTCGCATACCTACAGTATACTTCCGGAGCCGGAGGTGCCATACCCCGTGGGTCATATCTTCTAAGCGAACTCAACAACATCGGTACGCACAGTCGATTCCAGTTATGTCAGAATGACGATCATTCAGCCAGTATTGGTGTGTAATAATATGGGTCAGTAGACCGGCGATCAGATCGCAGCCCTCCCTTCCGCGACGAGAGAACGCGTGAGGTGACTAATTATGCGAACCGCTTCGAGACTGGGACAACGAGCACTCATCTACGACATGATTTGCGGGATGAGTGCGTCCGAAAACGTATGTGCCTCAGAATGTGGTGCCGCGAGTTACTGCTCACTATGTTGTCATTGCCTAGGGCTTACTATGAAGAACGCTACAAGTGTGAACGAGCCTCGCAAAATGGTTTACACGCTGAGGCACTAGCGACAAATCATTAATCAATGCTAGCCTGGCCCCCATGCGTCCGGCTCCTGTTCTGGTCGATATGCGAAGATGCCCTCTGGGTCCCGTGTTCACTTCGCGATACTAGACCTCCAGGATTCACGTAACCGCTGCGACGGCTCGGACTGCGATTTCGGGATAGAGTGATTCAGGCGCCTCGCTGGTCCGCCTGCGTATATAGTCGGCTCTCTCTGCTTCGATGTGGAGGCATTCCTGTACAGGGGCAAAAGTACAACACCATGTCGTCCCGATCCGTACTTCACGTTGGCCTCCTATGCTCGGCCGCGTACATGACCTATCGCTCCAGTACTTCTCCTACTCCCCCGCCTTCCGATGAGGAGGTCAAAGCCCCAAGAGACATTAGCACGAGGGAGCGAGTGTTCACACGTGTCGCACGGCTCGTGGCTAGCATCGTCAAGGTATGCATGTGTGTTCTATAGACGTGCCACCATGTACTGACTACTTCGATTTGACCTCACAGTACACGACTGTGGCTGGCGTGGGTTGCACTGTCGCTGTCATCTACGCGCGAGACCACCCCGGTCCTTCCAGTAGAACGATATTGGAGAAACTCGTCCTCCCTGGATTAGGATCGGCGGCGAGGATCTCGATCACCCCTGCCGTCCTCGCAGGATGGTCTCTGACGATGTTGGGGACGACGCTTCGCCTGTGGTGTTACCGCACGCTGGACCGATTCTTCACCTTCGAAGTCACACTGAAGGAAGGGCATGAGTTGTGCACCGGCGGGCCATACTCCTTGGTGCGCCATCCTTCCTACACGGGTTGGATCGTGCAGACCATCGGGCTGGCGGCCTTCCTCGGAGGTACCGGGTCTTGGGCCAGAGAGTCCGGGTTCCTTGGAACTGTACCGGGACAGCTTGCAGCTTGTGCATTCCTCGCTGTGGAGACATATATTTGCATGAGTATGGTGCACAGGTGTAGCGAAGAAGACACGCTCATGAAGAGCCGCTTCGGAGACGGTTGGTACGCTTGGGCGCAAAGGGTGCCCTACCGCCTTCTTCCTTACGTATTTTAGTGCCGGACATCAATTGTACGTTGAATGAATGTAGTACTAGTTGTTCATGTCTTTGATGATGTAACGATACTGTAACGACCTCCCCGACGAGCCGAAATGACGATCCACAATATCGATATCAGCATGTACGCAGCAATTTGACGATTTGTGGTAGCAGGGACTACCCTCCGGTTAATGTCATATTCTGGGACTCTTTGGTGAGCTTATTGAACTTCAGGCCTGCGGATCAACGTTCATCAATTTAAGCACCTCGTCGCGGCCTTCGCTCGAGGATTGGACGACGTACTAGTACTGCTGCAACCACGACATACGACTAAAAAAGTGCCCAACTCTTCAAACGTTCATGGCTGGCAAAAGCTTTGATCGTCGTGTGCTTATGGAACGCAGGCGGCCCGTGTGTTCATCACGGTCCGTCGATGTCGAGATCGTATGTTCTGTACATGTCTTCCCGCGTCTCATCATATGTATCTTCAAAGACGGCCCCCACCGCATCGAGGGCCGCTACACTCGATGCTGGTATCCCTCGAGTGTACAGGAGCATGCGCGCGAGACCTCGCAGGGTACGGCTGATAGGTACCCTTGCGACAGAAGAGTCACTACGCTTGTCACTGGACCGCCGGAGGCGCACATTGTCACGTCCTGCACTCGATCTGGACTCTGGGTCCCTCTTGTCCTCTCGACGGCTGCTCGATGGACGAGCTCTGGAGTCTGCGTGTGTCCCAACACTTTCCGAACGTGAAAACGGGATGCTTATGTAGCCCTTCGTAGAGTCCAAGAGGGTCGCAAGGCCGAGCGACGTCTGCACCCACTGTTCTCTTCCCGACGACGCCGACACAACTGGGTCAGTCAGTTTTTGTGTCTGTCCTGGCCAGTACCATGGTCGTTGGTTGCCGTATACATACATGGCCAACGAGAATGGGACCGGCTAGCTGCTTCAAGTTCCTCCGACGCTGACTGTAACCATCCCGTCAGGCTGGCCTGAGCCTAGTGTTATGCAAGCTTCCATGAAACTCGAATAAGTGTAACATGGGGCCCGTGCCTGCTGAGGCTCTGGAGGACTTGACATGTGAAACTTTGGACACCACCCTGGCAGGAGAGGTTGTTTGGTCATCCGTGTATCCTCCGGCTCGCTTGCTCCGCAGAGCTGTGGATATAGCTCCGAGTGGTTGATATATGGCCCGTGCGAGGTATGAATAGGACAAGGTGGGATTGCCAGCCAGAAAGGTCAGCTTCGCTGCATTGTCCTCCGTTGGAGACCAAACGTTGACTGGTTTGACACTGCGATGCATGTATTAAGGGGTCTGTCACGATAACTAGTCTTTCTCTCAATGACTCAGTATGAAGATATCAGTTGATCAGCCGTTCAACGTCGTAGCTTGCAGAGAGGCCCTGGTCGAATTGGTGTTTTACGTCAGTCAGTGAGTCGTCTTGCTTCCACGCACACTGTTCCTTTGAATGCCGATCATGACTTCTTGACTTCGCAGCATAAAAAGTTCCCAGCGTATTCCTTCCATCCCTATGCATACCTCATAGTGTTCGGAGGCGCCATACTCCTTATACCTCCGGCCTCCAAGGTCAGTCAACGCCAAACTTCCGGTTCGCTCAGCTGATTCCGGATTTGTCAGGGCGACAGTCAATGCGGCGCATAGTATGTGATGCTTATAAGTATCCGGCCTAAAGCCCGTCAATGCACCGTTGCGTAGGACCCAGAGGACAGACCGGAAACATTTCCTCTACATAAAGAGAATGGACGCGAGGTTTGCGAGGTTCGCTTCGGTACTGGCACCTTCCGGCCGCTGCGTGGACCAGCCTGACGGTATATTCAACTTACCATTCAGTGCTGCGATATGACTGTATTGTCAAGCTGAAGGATGTGTCGGAACTCTCCATTCCGATATCATGGAAACGGGTTACTACATGCTCAGCCGATGGTCACAATTCAAATCATCGCCCACCCGCTTGGCCGCCATGCGACCGCTGCCTGTTATGACGGATTTACGGAGGATGCCCCTCGAATCCCGTGTTCACTCCGTGAGACTGGAACTCCGCCGAACTTCACGTAAACCCTTGCGGCGACTCGGACTTTGATTTCAGGGAAGAGGATGATCCCATCGCCTCGCGGGTATAAAGTACGCACCCTCTGCTTGGGTATGGACCGGTACGCCTAGCCAAGGCAATAGTAGGACATCATCATGTCTGCCAGATCCGTGCTTCACGTCGGCCTCCTATGCTCGGCTGCGTACATGACCTATTGCTCCAGCACGTCTCCTACTCCCCCGCCATCGGACGAGGAAGTCAAAGCGCAAGCGGACATTAGCACGATGGAGCGGTTGTTCACGCGTGTTGCACGATCCACGGCCAGCATGCTCAAGGTATGCATACCTTCTTAGATTCTACAAAAGAGCCTCTCATGTACTGACTTCTGACGCTTGGTAGTACACGTCTATTGCTGGTGCGGGCTGCACTGTCGCTGCTATCTGCGCTAGGGAGTACTCCAGCACTTACAGCGACACAGTGTTGCAGAAACTCATATTTCCGGGGATAGGATCGGCAGCTAGGATTTCGATCACTCCCATCGTCCTTGCAGGATGGTCTCTCACTATGTTGGGGACGTCACTTCGCCTCTGGTGCTTCCGCACGCTGGACCGGTTCTTCACGTTCGAGGTCACATTGAAGGAGGGACACCAGCTCTGCACTGGCGGCCCGTACTCCTTGGTGCGCCACCCGTCCTACACGGGCTGGATCATCCAATGCATCGGGATGGCGACTCTGAACGGCGGTGCTGGATCTTGGGCGAGGGAGTCGGGGTTCCTAGGCACTGTACCCGGGCAGATTGCTGCCTGTGCGTTCCTGGCAGTGGAGATGTACATGTGCATGAGTATGGTGCACAGGTGCAGCGAAGAGGATAGGCTCTTGAGGAACCGGTTTGGAGACAGCTGGTTTGCTTGGGCGCAAAGGGTGCCTTACCGTCTTCTTCCTTATGCATTCTAGCACCGAGCATCAGACGTATCATGTAGGATACCACCGTGTACGCGATTCTTCTTGTCCTTAATTACGACGACCTCTTTCACGGTTGTCCGTACTATGGACGCAGCGAATTTGCCATGATAAAGCGATCAATTGATGTATTACTGTAATTAAAGTGCAAGATAACGTAACGTTGAATGAACAAAAAGTACTGCATGTACAGCACCCTATGGATAGTCAGAGTCCCTAGTCATAACTGTCGTCAATCATAATCATACTAATGCCACGAGCTTCACAATGACTGCCAGAAGCAGGATCACATACGACACGCGCGCTCAACGAGGCATAGATGGAAGAGCGTGCCACCCCAGACATGACAATGGCCCTGGGGAGTCACAGGCCTATCTACGACCAGCTGCGGGCCGATGGTGATCGCTGTTAGTCCACAGACTGCGAGTGTTAACCGATTTTAACCGAAGTAGTGATTCCTGCGCGAATTCTGCACGACGAGAGGGGCCGGCGTCGACGTCGCATATGCGGTCGTGGCTACTTTGCTGTTGTGCCCGACCAGGGTATACTGACTCGCAGTAGGAGATGCGGACAGCGCGGTAGAGGTCGCGACCTGGAACTCCTTCGCGAACTTGTCGAATTCCAGCTCAGCGATGCGTCTGGCGTTCAACAGGTGGAACTCGCTCCAGGCTGCGTCTGGGTCGGTGATCTAAGGAGCCACGCGTAAACATCGCGTTGCATACATAACGAGCCATGACGTACGCTGAGCATCTGGATGTGCGCCGGCTCGTCACCCCCGCGTTGTGTTACCTGATCACCGAAGTTAAACAATGTATACACGTTGCGCATGAACGTATCGCCGAGGACCATGACTTGAAGAGGAGTCAGTCCATACACGCTTCGAAAATATCGACAAGACTCACGTCCATCGTCCGCAGGTTCAAATGCCGCCACACATGTCACCATACCGTTGTCACCGATATCAGCCAATACGGCGTCGATGGGATGAATGGGGTAAGTGACACCACTGAGGGCATACGACTTGAGGACGCGCTTGTATCAACGAAATACGACAGGACTTACCCGAAGACGAAGCTGATGTTCACTTTCGATTGGCAGGGAAGCGTGTAGGTGTTGTAGTCGTCACTCCACATCGCCCCGGCGATGTCTTTGTACATGAAATCCACTACGGCTCTTGGAATCGTACCTAAACACAATGACCATAAGGCTCAATTAGGTGAAGGAATCCAACTAACGCACCAACAGTCGTTCCGGTATCGATCAAGGCGAGGCTCTGGTTCCCAGCGGCATTTCTTGAGCAGTAACGTGAGGCCAAACACACAAGGTAAAAGACAAATCCTTACGACGTGGTGTACGCCGGATGATGCTTGCCATTCACGAGCACGCCGTCCGAGGCGGTCAGCCAACCGCGTTGCGAAAGGAGGGGAAGCTTGGGCGCCTTCGTGATGTGCGTGAGGTTGCTGACCAACTCGCCTGCGCCGCTATCATCAACACGGCCGCCGTCTCGGGGACATGATGTGACTTACCAATGGACATAACACCACCCTCCGTGACCCCCGTGTTGGTCCGAGACAACAGGAATGTCATGAAGGGAGACTCGTCCGGAACCAAGTTAAATACCTGTCAAGCAGCTTCATGAATAGGAGTATCAACGTTGCTTCGACACTACACTGACGTTGGTGAGGAAGTTCTGCCCGTTGTAAGCGGTGCCATTCAGTGTCTGGTAGATTTTGGAGCCATCGTATCTGGGAAGACTGTCAGTGGGCATCGACACGACCTCGTGAAGACGTACGGGCCGACACCAAGGAGACCTTGCACTAGGCCTCCGCCAGTGGCATTGCTGCCCGGCGCGAGAACTGTACAGTGATGTATCAGGATTGCGTCAAGTATGTCGTGCTCCGACGTACCCAATGCTTGGTTCACCACAGTGAACTCGCCGAATGTTACATTCCCAAGGACAATCTCTCCTCCTGCCGAGCTGCCATCACTACAGACGCGGATGTCAGTAGGCTACACCGAGTTCGCAACCTGCTGCGTACCCATATACAGTATTCGATTCGAGATCCGTGTAATGAATTCCAGGAAGATCAATACCGTCGGCATTGATCCACAGGTCTGAACTACCAGAGTCGACCTGAACCTGAGGGTATCGGAGTGAAGAACGAAGTTAGCATGGTGTACGCCTACGAACATGCTTCTTACATACCTGGTACGGGTGACCATTCACATATATGGTGGCCGAATACATCTCGTTCGCTATATCCGAGAAATTGATCTTCGCGTCCGCCTGCGGATTACGAATGACGACTGTCGTAGGGGCACTCTGCCGCCTGATTGGGATCCATAGGGCGCATGCACATGAAGCAAAGAAAAGGAAGAAAGAGGATCGAAGTAACATGGCAAAGTCGTGAAAGGGAAGTGGAGGGAGCTCGGCTCATCCAGTACTCCACTGCATACCGTCGAGTCTTTATGCATGGTGATGCTAAATGACTGAACTATCACACGGCATGATACGAACATCACGACACTCGCCACCTGAGAGGCTAGTTACTAGTACGACATCTATGCTGCCGCAGTGGGGTACAAATATAAGCGAGTTCCCGACGTATGTTGATATGAAACACACGTCACGATATGGCTCGAAATACGCTACCTACCGAAATTGCGCTCGAGCCATCCATCAACGCATCATTGCACCCCTCGAAGGCATGTCGCCGAGGCGGAGAATAGGAACCGCACAGCGAACTTCAGCCTCGCAAGCGCATTGCAGTAGGCCCTAGAGTTGCCCCGCTCGCCTCTACATACGGCTAACGTCTTCTGAAGGCATGTTAGCAACTAGCAAATGACCTTGACATCGCCAACTGGGACGTACAACAGCAGATCAACGATCATTTTCAGGCCCCACTGCTTCGCGGCGTTGCTCATCAGGTCGATCATGCAATGCGGGACAGCGCATCACAGGAATCTGTCAGTAGACGTCAACATGTCGCTCTTGAAGGATCTTCGTTCCCGTCCAGGCGACCTGTTACTACTGAGTGGATGCGCCGCGATGCAGCATCGTCGCGAACATACTATAGACGGTGGCTGTGCCGCCCAGGTGCCGCCAATTGTCAATCCTCTCGGGAGACCACATATGGGACGCCGCACATTCGTTGACGTCGCCTGTGTGGGAAACCATTCTGAGGCCGGGTCTCAGAAGCCCTCGAGAGGTCATTCGAGGCTGCCGCACACGCAAACTTCGCAAACTTCGCAAAGCGGCAAAATCTACGCAATCCCGTATTGCGCAGCAAGTTCCACAATGTGGTTCGGCCGCAGGCATCCCGAGACAGACGACCGCTGTGCTTTCGACGTTCAAGGATAGCCAGAACCCGACCATACAGCCAAGTTCCTAGCGTCGGGAGTTTGTCACGGGGGACATGGGGCGCCACATTGGACACGCACCCTGAGGCGATACTGCTGTAACGACCAGCCGGTGAGAGACACACGCACCACCAGAAGCGGGTAAGCAATTGAGTTTGAGAGTCAAACAGCTCAGATATGCCAGTTGAGCAAGCGTGGCATGAAGACAAATGGAGGAGGAGAAGAGAGCTGCTCAAGGATTCGATGGAGGATCGTCACGGTCCGGACGATCGTCGATCTCGATCTCGGCGACAGCCGACCATGAGCGGATGAGCGGCAAAAAGCGCCATTGCAACGAACCAAGTACTGGCACATGCACATTCAAATTGCACTGACAGGTCGCAAATGACCTCCTGTAGCACTCAACAACTACGAGTGCCTGTAGCAAGAGCTAGCAACTACTCTGGAGCATAATTACAGGAGCTCTACTCGTGAAACAAAGATTTTTGCCTCAATCACTCAGGCTGTATAGATTGCCTGGTCGCGCTCTTGAATGTGAGTCTCAACGTAAACCGTCATGATTGTGTGCGAATACAGATCATGAACACTTGACTTGACTGCTACCAGAACTCTTGTGTTCTATACAGATACCGTAACGGCTTTACGTTCTCCCTTGTATCACTCGTATGTGTACCAAAAAATCGCTTCGACTGCACAGCAATTGATTCTGCGGCCACTGGCATACTGGACGCTGACAAAAGCGACGTTTTCAATGACGGAACAAACAACGCCCGACGACATATCCACCTTCATCGAATGGCTGTCAAACAACGGTGGGAAGTTCCACCGTAACGTCTCGTTTCGCGCAGGTGAGAGCGACCTACAGCATATGTCGTCATGGCCAATACTAATTCTAACTCTTATTACTTAGAACCATCCGGGTACTCTGTCGTAGCCAGGCAAGACATCCCATCCGACACAGCCGTAGTGTACTGCCCATTCAATCTGGCCATAACACCGGACATATCGCGGCGAGCTATAACGTCCATTCTGACATCAACGGATCACTCCTCGCTCGACAATTGGTCTGAGAGGCAGCTCATCTGTTCCTACATTTGTCTCCACTGGATCCTGAGCGAACCAAGGTAACATAGAGCCTGGCTGTACTCCTGATCAGAACTAACGCGTGTTCCTTCAGTCATCGGGACATCTTGGTACACTGGCCATACCTAAAGACATTGCCTAGTGCCGACAAACTGCGCACGCCATTGCACTTCACGCATAATGAGCTCGAGGCGTTCCGGGGGAGCAACCTCTACGGTGCGACGCTCGACAGACAACGCGAGTGGCAGCAGGAATGGCGTGAATGTCAAGATTTTCTATCCGCAGCCAACCCGGCATGGGCCAGCGACTTCACTTGGTGAGCCCTCAAAGGATATCGTTCTTTAAAGGTACGATGCTCACAGAATGATGATAGGGAGCGATACCTCACCGCTGCGACGTATCTCTCGTCACGCGCATTCCCCTCAACTCTACTTTCGTCCGAACCGTCGCTGATCTCCACGGCCTCCTCCCACCCGGTGCTCCTGCCCGGCGTCGACGCACTCAACCACGCCCGGGCACACCCCGTCTCATGGGTCGTCAACGCACCCGATAGGTAAGCACCATATACCCCATGCATCCCCACCCGCAAGCTCATCGTTGCTCTCTCAGAGGGGATACCCAGACGATCTCGCTCGTCCTGCGCACAAACACCCCGCGCGGGGCCGAGCTCTTCAACAACTACGGCCCCAAACCAAACGCAGAGCTCATCCTCGGGTACGGCTTCTCGCTCCCGCACAACCCCGACGACACCATCGTCCTCAAGATCGGCAGCAACCCCACCACCTCCCCAACCACTCCCATCACTCCCACCACTCCCGCCACCGCACAACCACCCGGTGGCAAGTTCGAGGTCGGGCGGGACGCCCGCGGCGCGGACCCCGTATGGGCCGCAGTGCTCGCGGTGCTGCGCGAGGACCCCGAGGAGACGACGGTGGAGGACGAGCTCGACGCGGCGGAGATGCTCGCGGAGATGGCGGAGAACCTGCGGAACCGCCTCCCCCAGCCGCGCGTGGCCGGGCAAGATTTCCGCCCGGAGGTCGCGACGATGCTCGAGCATTACCTGGAGGGTGAGTGTGGCTTCGCGATGCCATACGATACAGCTGACGAGAAGAAATTCAGGGCAACGAGACATACTGAGCTCGCTGATTGCGTTCGCGCGCGAGAAGGAACGGCAGGCTGTGCAGCAAGCACGCGAACAGGGACTGCAGATCGTCGATGAGGAAGCTGAAGAGGAAGAGGAGTAATTTGATATTGGGATATGCTACAACGCGTCGGAACACCCTTATACCCGTAATCATACAACGTGCGGCAGAAGACCTAGGTTGTACACTTTGTTCGCGGTGTCGAAGAATGCACTTTTGACGATGCTCGTTGCCTGGCCGAGCGTCAACTCTCCACGACGCATGGAAGACTCCAACACCTGTCGGACATCGCTGAGTATCAGTGTTGAACTAGATCATGTGAAGGAGCACGTACCTCGTATAACACCTGTCTAGCTTGCATGGTGCCGAGATAGTAGGATTCCGGCCAGAAGTGGCCATCAGCTATGCAGTACAAGGACGGTTCAACCATGATCTTGCTCTGCAAGAAACGAAAAGGCCGTACTCGACCACATGATCTTGTTCGTCGGGCACAGCTCAAGCACTTGCTTCACGACGTCTCGCTGCCCGTCTGCGCTCAAGAATGGGAAGATCTCGCCAAAGTCGAGGAACGCGTTGCGGTAGACTGCTGTCAGATACCCTGCTTCCTGGGTGAATGGATAGCTGGAGTGCAGGAGGACGAATTTGGTGTTGGGGAAGGCTTTGATCACTGGCTGCATGAGCGCAGGCGTTGACTTCGATAGCGTGATGTCGTTGTCTCCCAGACCCGTGTGGAACTGCACTACAGGAGAGTAAGTGATGTCGTTCGATCCGTCTGGGATGCGTAATAATCAAGTTACATACCCGGTTTGCCACACTCGCCCGCAACGCGAAGCGCGGTGGTCACGACATAGTCATTGACCGCCTTCTCCGACAAGCGCAAATTGTTCGTAGCTTCATACCTCAGAGCGAGCTGCACAAGACCGACTTCGATGTCCGCGAACTCCTGCGTCACGCTGATGTCGAGGCCAGTCCTGTAGCACGCGACCGACTTGAAGCCGACGACCTCTGGGTCCGCCGCGCTCGCCTTGAGCTGCGCCGCGAGTTTGGCCGCAAATGACTGCCAGAGTGTGTAGGGTGCGAGCACTGCGCCTGTGACTTGCGCATCAATGAGATCCTTCAGGATGTCCTGCACTCGGTTGTCTCAGGCGCCAATCGGGTAGTATCGCTGCCAGTCTCGGTACGCACCTGCGCGACCACTTCTATTCGGACGATCCGCTTCGTGGGGCTGCTGGTGTAGCGATCATGCCACTTGTACTCGTACACCAAGTCGCGCACCCCTAGCCCGTCGTCGATCAGTATGCACTGGATCCGGGTGGGCTCCATGCAGAGGCGGCAGAGCTGGTCGTACTCGAGCTCCTTTCGTCTTCTCTTCACGTCCTCCCAGCTCGCATTCTTGCCCAACCCGAAGAGTTCCGCCAACTGCGCCGTGGCTCGGTAGCAGGCCAAAGTATGAACAGCATCCTCTGTCAACGCTGGCCCAGAGGCTTCGGAGATAAGGCCCTCGAAGGGCATCGCGTCGCGGTTCTCGACCTTCAGGAATGCATGGGCATGGTTGTCGATGGCAGGGTAAGAAGACACTGTCCGAGACAGCTCGAGGAGGTCCTGTTCAAGCTGCTCAGAATCCATCTGTCTTAGATGCGCGTTCGAGGATGACAGGGACGCCCAAGAATCCAGGTATTTCAGGAGGAATTTGCTTCGAGATAACGTGCGTCTGAGGCACAGACCCTTTTGCGTTGAACTTATCTCGAAAGTGCGTAGGCCCTGGGCACCTTTGGCGGGGATTGCGTGAAGAATGCATGTGCCAGTAGAGCTCGCAATGGAGGAGGACGGGGAAGGCGTACGTACTCAGACTGCGCCTGGCTATCCCGGCATCCTCCAACCTCCGACGTCGCCGAGGACGCCCGTCCACCGCCCTCCTCTGGACATGTCGCTCACTCACAACTCACTCGCTAGCTCTCACTGACAAGATACTACGCACGCTTCAAATTGCGAGCTGTCAAGTAATGACAGACTCACGTACAGATCCACGACTTTTTGATACTGACCAGCTGTAGTTGCATATCAGGTCTGCTTCGCTCCCGCGGTAGCACTTGATATAGATCACTGTGTGAGCCAATTCTTTCTCACTCCAATGTCCCCAACTCATGAACATGCATCTAGCGATTCGAATGCCATACCAGCTCTCGGGCGTCCTTTGACTGTCCCTACAATGTGCCTGTGTGGCGAGGCAAGTCCACACTGACAGGAGTCAAATGCTGGGCCCGTCTTCTGCTTTGACAACTGGCTGTTCCTCCGGCGTACCCAGGTTGTCGCTTATGCGTCCATCATCAGGCTAAGCGCGGGATTCGTACCTCGAATTCACAAAATCTCCGTTGCAATGCAGACCCCTTATCGCTGGAGGAAATGAATATAAGGCCGGCGCACACGCTCATGGCTTCGCGGTCACACCCCTCGGTCTCTCCCAGCCGTCGCGGATCTTCTTGTGTTTCTCTGGCTGAGGGCCGCCATGTTCTGCAAAGGGCCTGTAAGATGGGTCTTCGCCGCGCTCGCGACGCATACTTTCTGGGCGTCCGCGCGTTCAGTGGAGAGGGCAGTAGACTCTAGAGGTCTTACCGTTGACCCGACTGTCGTGATTCTGGGCGGGGGAGTCGCGGGTGTGATTGCAGCGCGTACCTTGTACGAGCGTGGCATCACGAACTTCAAACTCTTTGAGGCGCGAGGTCTGCTCGTCTTCCTCTACTTCTCATGATGCACAGGTGGCTCACATGGACGCGATAGGTGAACTCGGTGGTCGACTACAATCCCAAACGATTGGGGTCTCTGGCGATGAATGGGTCATCGAACGAGGCGCGAACTGGGTACAAGGCACTCAGACGGACGATGGACCCGTAAATCCCATCTGGACGCTAGTCCAGAAGCATGGCGTGAAGACCCAGGCAAACGACTGGTATGGCAGCGTGTGTACGTATCTGTAGCTGTCTCACTTTCGTAGAAGGTTATTTGACAGTTGATCTGATACAGCTACATATGACGACACCGGCGCCGTAGACTACTTGGACATATTCGACGCGTCGAGCGACCAGTACACGACGCTGACAGTGGCTGCCGGTGCGCGTGTGCAGAAACAGCTCGTGGACCTCACCGCGAGAAGTGGGTATTCACTCGTCGGAGCAAAGCCGAAGACTCCAGCAGACATGGCCTGCGAGTACTACCAGTTCGATTGGGAGTATGCGCAGACGCCTGAGGAATCGTCATGGATAGCCAGTTCTTGGGTATGTGTTAAAAGGGCCAGTATCTTGGTGACCGCGCCTGACCATGGACTTAGGGTAACAACTACACATACGACACAGACGACGGCGGTTTCGGTGACGACAACCTTATGTCGATCGACCAGCGCGGCTTCAAGTACTTCATTCAGGCGGAGGCGGCCGAGTTCCTCCGGCCCGACCAGCTCTTGCTGAACTCGACGGTCACGAACATCACCTACTCGTCCGACGGCGTCAACGTGACTCTGACTGACGGCACGGTGCTGCTCGCGGACTATGTCCTGTGCACGTTCAGCTTGGGCGTCTTGCAGAACGACGATGTGACGTTCGAGCCTGCCTTGCCGGATTGGAAGCAGGAGGCGATTCAGAGTATGACCATGGTGCGCCGCGTTCCGACTGCATTCGAGGATGCGTTGCTGAACCTGGGTGACACAGGCTACCTACACGAAGATCTTCTTGCAGTTCCCCGAGGACTTCTGGTTCGAGACCCAGATGGGCATCTTCGCAGACAGCACTCGTGGCTACTATCCCGTGTGGCAAAACATGAACCTCACGGACTTCTTCCCTGGCTCCGGCGTCATCTTCGTCACCGTCACGGTAAGTTCTTCTCCGTACCGCCAAATTCGCGCGTCCCCCCATTCATGAACATGAGAACAGGGCGACGAGTCGGTGCGCATCGAAGCCCTGTCCGATGACGAGGTGCAAGCCGAGGTCATGGAAGTCCTCCACGAGATGTTCCCGAACGTGACCATCCCCGAGCCGACGGCGTTCTACTTCCCCAGGTGGCACAGCGACCCGCTCTTCCGCGGGTCCTACTCCAACTGGCCCTCGTCATTCTTCAGCGGGCACCACGAGAACCTCCGCGCCACGGTCGAGGACCGGCTGTGGTTCGCCGGCGAGGCGACGAGTCAAAAGTACTTCGGTGAGTGGTATCCCGTGAACGACCATGTTTCTTGTTCATGGATGATACATAGGATTCCTGCATGGCGCGTACTTCGAGGGACTGAACGTGGGCACGCAGCTCGCGGACTGCATCAACGCCGGCGGATGCGCAGGGAGTACGCACATCGCTGAGATCACGAACGCTCTACCATACACAATCTGAGGTAGTGCACAACTTAAACTATAGCATACATATCATGATCATTGTGGACGTCAGTCGCGCTGCTACAGGTCAGTTGCCCGACTCGGCGGCACATGCCGGGGCAGCGAGACGAGTCAACATCTATAGCTACAAATGAGTGCTATGCCGTGCTGCAGCCTGCCCGTAGTAAGGAGAGTGATACAGTGCAGCGTCCGAGGAGCGAGTGGAGTGAGTCGTCAGTCATTCGTCTCGCTGTGAGGTGTCATGCTCGTTTTGCAACCCGATAACGATGATGGGCGGCCCCGCGTCGTCGGGGTCCCAGTTGATGTCCTGCTTGACCGTGCCGAAGCTGTAGACCTTGTGGTCGGACAGGACGTCTGAGAGTTTTGTCGCCGTCTGTTCTTGCGAGAACACTTCCGGCGTGAAGTTCGCTTTCGCCAGCGCGGCCTCGGCGTCCACTGCGCCACCAGAGTTCCTGTTAGCAATACCATCGATCATTTTGGAGTTCAAGATGACTCACGGAACTGCCTGAGGCCCTTGCCGAAGTTGAGCCAACAGAGCACGGCGAAGACGGTCGCGAGCACGAGGACGACGAAGGACGCGACAGTTACGCAGGCGAAGAACACCCAGGTGATGAACGTCCAGCGATAGACTTGCGAGTAGAACATGATGGACCAGCAGGCGATATAAATAAAGGAGACAGCCAAAAAGCCGGCCATGAGGGACCTGAGTTCTCGCCGCACGGCGTACCAGCCCTGTATCAGATAGACATGAGATCACGGTGATCTGGCACGAGGAAGGGAATTGTCCGGACGACGTACCATGACAATCCAGGGCGGTAGGCTCTGCATTCATGTCCGATGTGAGATCTGAGTGGTTTCGAATAATGAATGCTCCACGTACCACTATCGTGAAGATGAACAGCGCCTTATAGATCGGCGTGTGCAGCGATATGTGGACAAGCGGCCCGTTCAGCAGCCAGGTGGTCCATAGCGCCACGGCGGTGACCAGGAAGAACACGGAAAGTTGAAGCAAGACAAAGATGGTAAGGAAGAACTTGAAATACATGATCAGAACCACAGTTGACCGCCACAACGCGCTGACGGGATCAAACTTACTCGATAAATACGGATGATGCCCTGAGGCGGGCCGACACGTTGGAAAGTGTATTCCTTGAAGTTCTGGATAGCAGTGCCACATGTCAGAGAGGATGGGCGTGTACTGTGGCCCGCGAAGCGCACCTTGATGAGCAATCGTCCGAGGTAGACGGTGAACAGTAAGGCAGTGGCATTCAGCACGAGGTTGGCGATCTGCACCTGGCACTTAGAGTTCGTTATTAACGGCAAACGTGTTTCAGGACGCACCGCGAAGGCCGATCGGGTCTTGAAATGCGTGGGGAACAAATCGAAGCTGCAGGGCGTGTCAGGTTCGGCGTACAGAGCGCGGAACATGGTTTCGTGGTAGCGCGTATTGTCAATCGAGTATGCCGCCCAGGCGGTGCTCAGTACTCGCGTGCAGATGACTGCCGAACTGTAAGAGTGGCCACCAGAATCAGCACGACTCCCGCGAATGGGTTAAACACGCGGACTGACATCTGAGGGATGGAGCTGTAGAGGATCTGTGGAGTTCAAGGTCAATTTCCGCACGGTAGTCGCCAGATCGGCGGACATGACTCACGGCCACGAATGACAAAATGAGCAGCCAGAACTGCAAACCCAACAGGGCAGCGTCCTCTTTCTTGTAGGTGCCCATGCTATAGTCGCGACAACCGTTAGAAACCTGATAGCCGTCGTAATTGATGTAGATCGGACGTACACTTCATCGGCATAAACCAGAGAGCGGGTGCACTGCTCGCTGAGTAGTACACTGCTCTGGTTATCGCCAGTGCCTTGATAGGTCAAATTGACCCCTGCTACACCCCCTGTGGCGTTGAGGGACGGAAATATGTCGTCCACTTTGAGCGTGCGCCGCGAGAGCACCTGCGCATGGAGTTAGAGAATACAGAGAGAGAGCTATGTGTACACGCTTCCTCGACCTACTTTCGCTGTCATATCTCGGGCAACCTGGACGCATAATTTTAGAGAATCATATGAGGGCATGGTACGAATGCATACCAGGTCTACATTCTTTGCGGAGACAACAGCATCATTCCAATCTTGGGCTCCAGTCTGGTACACCGTGACGCAGGATTCCGCCCCATTTTCCGCGATCGGCAAATTCGTGCAGAAGCTCAGCGTATAATTGCCAGGCCCCGGCTTCTGCAACCACGAGATTCCACTCGGCGGTAAGTCTGCTGCGTAGATGATGTCATCGAGAAGAGACGACGCCCGTGCGTCCCCCACGAACAGTGATACTTGCAGAGCTCCCTGAGCAAAGCAATGCACCAAGGTCAAGAGAATGAATGCGACCCCGAAGCGGGTGAGAACAATCCTAGTATACTAATGGGACGATGCGTTAGACATTGAATTGACCCCATAAAATGTATCGGTATGCCTCACCGCTGCTTGTACTCCCGAACGTGTCTTGCCTGCAAGGTCGAACATCATGAAAGAGTAAGAAGGAGCGCTACGCCACAGAGGACGGACACTCTGGGCAAAAACCTCTCAAGGGTAGGGACCCAAAGATGAGAGCGAGAGGGTGAGCAGCTCGCAAAGATGGATTGCCGAGATATAGAAGTTAATGTACACTCGTGCGGACTTCGAGCGGCTGTTGTTCGGGACCTAAAGTGTCGGACCCCGCATGGCCTGGACTACGCGGCGACGAAGCAGTACAGGAGGTACCGACACATGTCTGTGGGGTACGCGAACTTGCTTCATCGTCCCAGTAACCTCACACCTCAGTGACCCTGAGGCGGTGATAGGGGCGACTGCCAGTGACAATGATTGATCGCTGCGACCGGGCAAATTGTTTCACTTGATGCATTTGACGCGTGCAGAAAGGCTTCATCCGCATCTGACGGAGGATGCAGAGGCAATTAAAGAAGATTGTCGAAAGGAAGAGCGTCGATGTTTGACAAGTGGTCCGGGGTACGGAGACAGTCGCGCGGTCCGACTTCATAGCGCAGTTGCCTTTGCGGGGATGATCGACTCGGCAGAACAGTGCTCCCGTCATCCGGAGCGCCGCCTTCTCGGGCGGCTGTAGCGACCTTCACACCCAGGTCTTCCGCTCGCTGACCCAGGCAGCGGCGACACCACAAACCCGTTCGCACTCAACAACACCATCAAAGCATGTGGGGCCAGGCCGCACTACCGCTTGCGCTGCTGCTTGTCACGCCGCACGATCCTTCTGTCTTGACCAGCAGCTCCTGTCTCTCCGAGTCGTATCGAGGGTTATTCGGTGGCAACAACGTCTTCGTTGTCGATGATGCCTGCCTCAGTTCCTCGACCGGGCTTCTGGGCGAAGGATCGGTAAGCCCTTTGGACAATACCGGTCGCCAGCTTGTCTGGCTGGAGCAAGAGGCCGTAGAGGACGCGTTGAAGTCATCCGCCACGAATGACATCGCCAGCTGCATTTCGGCATTGTCTGGCGTTCCCCTCAGTACGCAAGATGGCGAGCAGATGGTCATGCCCGGGTCCATGTCCACCATCGTCGTTCTCGCCGAGACACCATCCTCAATGGTTGTCTCCGTCGCGCCGGAGGTCGCACACACGCTCGACACTTGCCTCCCCCGCTTCTGGAAGTCGTCCCCTATCCCGACCAAGCCCGTTCCATACGTTCCGATCTCATCTGCAGCGACGCAGCGCGTGATGGACATCGCTGCATCCGTCAAATTTGATCCTGTAGTCGCATCCATCGTCGGGAACATCTCCGTCCCCCAGTTGCGCAAGGATGTGCGCTATCTGAGCGGCGAGGATCCCTCCTCGGGCATTCTCTCGAGACACGCATTCTCCAAGGGCGCACTTCAAGCCGCGGCCTGGCTGAAGGAGCAGTTCGAGAGCACCGGCGCGTCGTGCGAGCTTAAGCCCTTCCTCCGTGGCTTCTCGCCTAACGTCGTCTGGTGAGTTCCCAACTACCTAGCGCCCTGTCGCCATCTCGCTGACGGCACACGTAAGCACGTACGCGGCCACGGAGGATACGACCGAGACGCTGCTCCTGAGCGCGCACTACGACAGCCGCGGCTCGTTCGGAAGCACCCGTGCGCCAGGCGGAGACGATGACGGCTCCGGCGTTGGCGCGCTCCTCGGCATCGCACACACCATCGCGCGCAAGGGCGTGACCTTCCGCAAGAACATCCAGCTCGTCGCGTTCTCGGGCGAGGAACAGGGCCTCTACGGCTCGAAGGCATACGCTCGTGAGTCCACGGACTTTGTGTGATTGGCGGGGGCCCCGAGTACTGATGAGTGTCAAAATGTTGACAGGCGAGATGTATGAGCTCGGCGCGAACTTGACGCTCATGGTCCAGGCTGACATGTTGGGCTACCACGTACCCGGCGAGCCAGCGCAGCTCGGTCAGCCTGAGAGGTATGTCCGGAATCCGTTCTGTAGCAGGACCGGTGCTGACAGCAGGCATAGCATTGGTAGCGCGGCGGTCATGCAACTGATTTCCAACATCTCGGCGATCTACAGTCCCGAGCTTGTGGTTGGCACGACCCCAGTGAGCCGAAATCTTCAGGTGGCATGTGTGATTACTGACGAGGCGTCATTCATAGGCTTGCTGCAGCGACCACCAGGTCAGTTCGCTGTGAGACCTTCCTTGACACGCAGGCGCTGATACAGGTGGTCTTCAGAGCTTCCACGAACTAGGGTTCCCGGCGTCGCACGTGTTCGAACGCGCCGGACCTATTGCTGACCCCATGTATCACAATAGTGGTGCGTCCGTCTCCGCGAGGTCCATGCGCGGGTTATCTGACTGAACTTTCGCTTGTTAGGCGATCTGAGCGACCGCGAGGGCTACGACTTCGAGCAGATTCGCTCAATAGCGAAGGTTCAGGTGCGTGTTGTCCGGTGGCTGCCAGAGAAGCAATCAACTGATGAGACACCCCGACATCGTGTAGTTCGCCACCCTCCTCCACGCGGCTGGCTTCGACCTGCCGGAGTAGAGGCATGCTGGCTTGTATCGTTCTAGATATCCACATTTGTAGATCTATTTGATTCCAATGTCTCCTGAGCGATAAAGGTAGACCAGCGCAAGTCTTGCTTCAACATCTTGGAGGGCTCTCGTACAATCGACATTGCCTCTTCAACTTCCGTTTCTTCTCGTCTTGGTTCAGGCCCGTGGCAAGAATAACACCAGCGCGTACCTGTATCAATATCTCAGCAATTGGATTGTGTTGCGCCAAAGATGTATACGCACTTTCCGTTCACCCTCCACTTCTCACCGCTCTGATCCAGCCTCTCCGCGGTCTCCTTCTCGACACCAACTACTACATCCGCTTTGTTCGTCCGTAGGCTTAAGACCGGGAATGCACCCCGGATAGGGCCTGCAGGTCGTTCCGAAGCCATGGTCAGGTATGCAAGAGAACGATGACCGGATCGAACGTTGCGAAAAGATGCGGCGCAGTCGATTTGAGGGGTGGGGCGGCGAGCACATCAGAGAAGGCGGCAGGCGGTATCTGCCAAGGACGCACCGACTGCTGTCTCGAACGGCGTGTCGGCAGGCCACTTGACGTCTCCTGTCAATCTATCCATGGCACGCGATGCATCAACTTCATTTGGGTCTACAGGAGATGCATGGGGAAGGCTTACTTCCGGAAGCTGGATGTGATGGTGATGACGAAGTGTCAGTAACATGGGTGATGGCAGCTAGGGATCATGCGCTCTCACTTGAGATCGCCCTGCGCAGAAGGGACCGGCATGAGCTCCACAGAGTTTGGGACGGACATATCGCTTACCTTGAATATGACCAATCCACTGTCTTTCAGAGTATCGAACACCCCCGGTGCGAGGTCTTTCATGTTCCAGTACGGGTACGGAGATGTCCAGAAGTCTGCCTTGACAACAACGTCAGACCTGCTGCACTTCGTGATCTCAATGCCAATACGCGAGGTACCTTTGGATTTGAAGCACCGAGCGGTGTATCCGGCGACACCGAGAGCGCGAAGACGCCGCTCTCTAAATAACCTGCCCACCGTGTCACCATGTCTTTGAGATGCTGACGAGACTCCGGGAGCTCTTTCGGCGTAGACACGGTAGTGGGGTTCTGCGCAAGGGCGGATGCGGCGAGAGAAGATGTTTGTGTTTCTGGCTCCGAGCCAGGGAAGAACGTCGGCGACAGGAGCGAAGAAATCGTAGACTTGAAGTCGGGCGGCGTGACATCCGACACGAACCAGGGGATCAGCTTGGGGCTAGCGTGCTGTTCGATAATTCCCCACGATGGAATCGGAGATGAACACGCACTGGAAGACCACCTTCGACACAAAAGGTGTGTACGTCACGAGGAAGTCGGCAAAGACGAGGTCTGTGAAGAGCTGTATGTACTTGAGCATTGAGTGAAAGAGGGGTCACCTAGCTCACGGACCTCGAATCCGGCTGAATGATACAAGTCGATTGAACATCAGCAATGCCTGCATGAAACCACATATGTACCATTGTCGAGCACGAAGTCTATTCTCCCATCCTTCAGGGTCATGAGGTGTGACCATACTTTGTCTTGGTCATCTGTGAGTATGTATTCCTTCCTCGCGGCTTGCGCATCCTTTCCGACCGATTGTAAATGTTCAATGTCTTCATGGCTCATATGTGTGAGTAGCGACAAATCCTGCGACGAACGATGATCGGCATATATGCAGTGCGACCGGCGGACCGAAGCCCACGCACCGTGGCGTTACCCCTGTGTGGGCATTCATGAGCGATCGAAGAATATGTCGGCGGGTCTATCACTTACCAGAGACACATCTGAATCATCTCCTTGAAGATTACATTCAGGTTCTGTGGGTCGGAAGCCAATTTCTCCTTCTCGCCTTCAAGCTGATGCATCGTGGTGGCCAGTTCTGTGTCGGAGACGCGGATTGTGCCGTTAATCTACCGGCATGGATCGACACATCAAGCATATATGCGCACGAAAGATGGCTTGAGAGCTCTTCCGGAAGGTCTCCTGCTTCTGAGCTTGAAATGGGTCGTGCGAAGCCCAGTATGTCGTCTGCGAAAAGTAGGAGCGTAGCAAACGATACCTAATGCACCCAGCTTAACGCGCATCCCAGGAAGCGAAGGCATGATACCAACAAATAGCACCTATATGCGGTGAGCTTCGGGACGAACGCTCAGTATGAGGATACTCACTCTGCGAAAAGCCAAGGAGCAGTAAACCATGTCCCCTTGCCTTCTTCTGTCAAGCTCGCTAGCTCAGCATTGTAGAGATCCACCATCGACTCCCCGTCATTCGCTACGGGCCTACAGCACCCAATTTAGTTACTCCGCGAACCAAAATCGCAATGCGGGACGCACTCGAGGGGGCGGTCTCTGCCCATCTCATACTTTAGCTTGCCGATCTTCTCAATAAGGTTTTTCCCCTCTTCTATCTGCTCTTGCACTATCGTAGCATTGTCATTTGCAGAATCACCTAATTGGGCCACGCTGAGACCATGGTTGATTCGATAGATGTTGTCGATAATGCTGGTCAGAATAATGGGCCAACGCTTCACCACGGTCTCGTAGCTTGTAATTGATCGTGTATCAGTGTAGTTTCGGATGTTGGTACTTAGAACTCACGAGAAGCTGTGACATCGCAACGCATGAGCCAAGGATGTTTCGTTTCGAGTGACTGAGTATCTCACCCCTCCTCGTCTCTAGGATCATATGGTGGGAACGGTGCTTTGTAGTACATTGTTGTCGTGGGTTGGAAACGTTCCGGAAGGAATGTAGTGAATCAAATAAAAAGGAGGCGTCGATATCGCTGTGATTACAGAGGTCCAGCGTGAGCGGAGTGTGCACTCAAGAAACACACAGTAATTGAAGTACAGTGAGTACTCGGTGAGTGCCAGTGCGAACTGTGCACGACTGGGTCATTCAAATAAGCGCTCATTCACGTCATAGGAAGATCGATTCAACTGCAGCAGCCAGTCTGGATCATTGACAGGCGAGTCAGAAGCGAACCGCAATCCCAAAATATTCTGAGACTAACTTACTGGTAACTGCCTCTATATACTGACGACCCAAGAACGCAAAGCATCGGTGTCAACAATCATCAATCCAACTAAGGAAGATGTCTAGGAGTATATTTCACTGTCCTACAAAAGTATGGTGGTTTAAAGGCTGGGAAGCATAATTACAGCGAAGAAAGCGAAAGTCGAGAGCGGTCAACCCTATGATATCAAGGTTAGACATTGTCTTGTTGGGACAGATGTAACTTCTATCGGCATGGCCTGCTAATCATGCCACTTTCTTGAGTATCTCATACGCATGGCAAAGCTTGAAACGTACCTGCATTTGGCTCGCAACAACAGCACTTAGTAGATCAACACAGACAACACCCGTCGCCTGTACGCATCTGGGAGTGCCGCCTCTATCAAGGCCCTCGTCAACTCTTCGTCGCGAGGGCAATATACCAGCAGTCTAGAGCACCGTAGCGTTACCACGATCCTCGACGCGTTCCGGAAGCGGGCCCTGGCAAACACTCCGGATAGGGTCCTCAGTCCGTACATGCTCCCGACAGTAACCTCTATGGTGACATCCTGCAAGTACGTCGGATCGACGTGGTCCAGGATGCCCGCCAGGCATTGCACGGACTTGGTATAAAGTCGCATGGCAGTAAGAGACTGCGGACAGCGTCGCAGGCTGTCCAAGAATAGAGTTGTCTCCTGGTGTTCTGTCCGACTGCGCATGAGTATGATTCTAACAAGCAGACGCCCGTCTCGCACCTGCCACAGTGATATGCATCTGCAGATCCAGCTGCTTCAGCTGTCCCGTAGCCGTGCGAAGAATGTGGCTGAGTGTCACTAGGTCTTGCACCCGCCTGATGCACAAAACCAAGGACTCCAACATCGGTGATGACGGAGGTAGTAGTCCGGGATTGAGAGCTGGCTGCACTTCCAGGCGTTTGACGGGGAGCATCGGTACATGGTCGAAGGGACCATAAAGGTACCTCGTGTTTTTGATGGACAAGTCGCTGATGCCGGGAAAAGCGAGGAAGAGATCGGCAACGTCGCTGATCCTACAGGAAGACAAGCTGAGCGCGAGTTCCTGTACGGGTCCAAAGCGCTGGAATGTGGCTTGGTCGACCACCAGGATATCTCCACTCAGGACAAGCCTCCTCACGCGGCCCAGGTGGACCACGATACTGGGCAGTATATCGCTGTACTGTAGTTCCTCCGTCATCGCCAGGTGCATCTCCCGCACATACTGTCCAAGGCCGGGAGTGCGGTCCAGCAAGCTCGAGAATGCGCGGCATAGGCCTATGTTCTCGAGGCTGATAGCGTAGTAGAGGTGGTATCGTACGGCCGCAAGCCAGGAACGACATGCCAGGCCGCAGCTCTTTAGCGCGGTGTGATCGTCGTGCAAAAAGTCGACGATCCTGTCCGTCAATTCCGGGGGCATTACAGGCGCGTCCGATGTAGAGTTTGATTCTGGGCGATGCGGGGCAGATCCGCCGGTGTTCGCGCCTCTGTCCCCAACGTCTGAAGGCGAAAAAGAGCCGCGTCAGTAGGTACGCCGACGCGGAGCGGAGTGTAGTGCGACAAAGGAGGGACCCGTGACGCACCTTTTGAGACCAGCCACTTCATGAGCTTATGGTCCGGATGATAGGGTGTATATCGTCGCTGAACGGGCTCTGCAGGGCTGAGTGCCTTGTGTGGGTAAGCCGACACGCAGCGTCCGCTTCGCTCAGGCTGACGGCGGGCTCCGACGCCCTGCTATCTCAGAACCTGTCCCATATCCGAGCTTCAGCCGACCCTAGGTTTCCCCGACACACGCAAATAAACACTGTCGCCTCTGCAGTGTTGGAAGAGGGCGTCATAACGAAGGTTCGTACGAGCAGAAGTGAGCAGACCGTGTTTGTCGCCAGCGTCACCGTGACCGTCGAGAACAAGTCGCATCGAGCCTGTGAAAGTGGACCACCACCGTGACCATGAAAGAAATCATCTACATCCAAGCAGGCCAGCTCGCAAACTACACAGGCACACACTTCTGGAACACACAGGAGGCGTACTTCACGTATGGCGAGGATGAGCACTCGGAGATCGACCATGATGTGTCCTTCAGGGAGGGTTCCACCTCGAACGTACGCCCTACCCATTCAAGTTCTGATTGTTGAAATGCCGGGCGGTGTGATAACGATCCGCATTAGGGGGAATCAACATACTCTCCGAGATTACTTCTGTTTGATCGAAGATGTAGGTGTCTGTGTTGCTCTAGACTGGTACTTACTGCTTACTGACGTGGGAGTGCAGCTAACTTCGGCACTCTCTCAAGCAACAGAGGCTTGTACGACACAAACGAGGGTGACCTACAACAGGAATCTCTATGGTCGGTCTTGCCTCATTCAGTACTCATACAGACAGCTCGAACAAGCTAATGTCTCTAGGAACGGCGGTGTAGCAGAGTATCGTCAAGATCACATCCCACCCAGTAACTACCATGTGCGACTTGACCACGAAGCCGGCGATGACGACAAATCTCTTGAAACCGATGAAGACGGGGTTGCACCCCAGGTGTCAGAGTCTGATGTTCGCTTCTGGTGGGATTACAGTCGTGTGTTCTTGCACCCGCGGTCCATGCGGCGACTCCCAGACCCGCCTGACTGGGAGAGCACGGAGGGCAACTGGGTTGGGAGCAAAGACGCGTTCGAGCGGCATAACACCGTACGTCTCTCTCACGCAACGCGGCCTTTCAGCGATTATTGACTATAGTAGGATACGGACCTCATGGAAGAGTCCTTCAGGTCCTTCGTAGAGGAGTGCGACAACCTGCAGGTCAGCCATATTGAGGCTCCGTGTGCTTGCGAGCTGTAACACGATTGTCTTGGCAGGGTATTCAGGTCATGAACGACACCTCTACTTTCGGCGGATTTACCGGTTCATTTCTGACGGCTTACCGGGACGAGTTCCCAAGGCTCCCGTGCCTCGTAATTCCGCTCATGTCGTACAGCCTGCCCGGTCACGTCCGCACCGACAATGTATGTCCATTGCTCGCTACTACGAGAAACCTCGAGGATGACTGATTTCTACAGGATATGGGCATGCGGACCGTTATAAATGACGCGTTGTATCTGCATGGCCTTGCGTCGTTATCCACCATGACCGTGCCAGTGCAGGCGCCCGAAACATGGGTGGCCGGAGAATGGTTGAATGGTATAGACTTAAAGGTATGCGCCTCCGAGCCTTTTCTCTGCAACCGTGCTGACTCTATCCAGCACAAGAGTGTATATCAAACATCTGCGCTTCTTTCGGCCCACATCGAGACCGCGACCGTGCCCTTGCGGTAGGTCTGTTTGCTTCGATATGCAGAGAAGTAGCAGAATGTCCGGTTGACTTCTGATACGCCAGGTTGAGAGGGTCCATGGAGGATCTCGATAGCGTTTGCGGCGTCTTGAATTGGGGTGGAAGCAACCGCTTCGCGCATCTGTCTGGGGCTTTCCCGTTGCCCTCGCCTCCCCAAGCCCAACGTGATTTCGTGCGAAGGGCGTACGATTTCTCCCTTATTTCCGGAGGTCAGGAGAAAGCCGAAGATAACTTCGTACGTCCCCCCTTCTATCTCCATGCTAGGCGCCTTACACGGGGCTAACCGAGCCTCTTAGCAGGCGACACGTCTGGAATTCGCCAGAATCTATGTGGCCAGAGGATTCTCGTCGTCTGACCGGCGACAACTGGATGCTTGGACAGAATCTCGGCGGCCCCTCCCGTACACCATTTTTGCACCCGCATACCCGGTCCCATCGTCTTTCCCGACATTCTTGGATTCTCCAGCCGCATCGACAGGCGACAAGCTGCGTGCGCCCACGACTCGCGTTCTCTCGTCGCTGCATACAACATCGCGAACGTCGGAGATGTTTGCGGCCTATGCAGCGGTCGTTGACGACTGCGTTCGGCGCGGTGCTGAGGTTCTGAGTGCTATGGAGCTGGAGAAGGACGACACGATCGAGCTCAGGGATGATCTATGGGCACTCAGAGATAAGTATGTCGGGTTGGAAGAGGGAGACGCGATTACGGAAGACCTCGAGTTGGATGTCGACGAAGAATAAAATCATGCGGCTGCGTAACATCTTGTCTTGTCGCTAGTGCTCTGACTCTCAGGTTACTCCCATGCTTCTCCATGGAGGAGGACCGTGATGTCGATCCTGGTGCGGTCGCGGCGCACAACCGCACCTTGAAAGAACCACGTCGGGTCCTGTTCAGGTATTGATGGCGATGGGGCTCGGGTTCACTACTCTGTGACATACGCCATTGGGGACCTTGGGGCGGGTGCCAGTGCACGTCCGAGAAGATTAGCCTTCCCACCACCGATCCCATCGCTCATTCAGTGCTAACCACTTGCAGCCGGCTTCTTCATTTACTCACAGGCTCCGGGATGCCTTCCCGTGAGGTCCCAGGAATGCAGGATGGAGTGAGAAATGTACGGCTGCGCGCCCCGTCTTCCGAGGACCTCGGTTCATTTCGCTGACTGAGTGTGTCAGCCAGAATATGATTGCGTTTGTGGCAGACATTGAGTTGGTGCCTGAATATTACCGCTCGAGGCGATGTCGAAGCTTCGTGGTATGTTTTCGCGTCAGGCGTATTTGTCTTCGGATCACTGGTTAGGCTAGTGGAAAATATGTCGGCCCAGTAACCTTGTCCACTGACTATGATCTACCTTGTTCATCGCCGGCCCGGAGTCCCTCACCGTGACACATACGAGCTAGACGAGTGCCACTGGATGCGTCGAGCACTTGCCTTCGATGAGTCTGCCTATGACGCCATATCAGCCACTGAAAGATATATCATGTTTGGAATACGCTCGCTGCCAGTGCGAGATGACAATGCCTCAGGTGCAATCGAACAAAATGGTTGAATTTTCAGGTGATGGACGAGGAGGACTCCGATGTCATCTGCACCACTAGTGGTTTCTCCAGGTCCCTACTGGGCTCAATATTTGCTACTGTGTAGATTAATTCCCGCGCATCACAGCGTTTGCTGGGTGTGTGACTGTAGCGCGGCCAAGCCAAGTAGGCTTTGAGTGGCTTGTGATCAAGTGGCGAATCGGCGAGCGCCGGCAACAACGTCTGGTACACGCCCAATCTCGATCCATTGCTACAGACGCCCGATGTCTCTGCCTGCCCGACCAGGCCCGACCGCATGTGTCTACTTACTCCTCTAACTTGCTACCAGCTGGACTTGTCTACATGTCCACCCATCGTGCAGCGCGTCCCCCCCAAAGCCTCTAAGTACTACTTGGAACCATCTTCGAATGTCCAAGAACAATCGTCGCCGTATTCATGTGCGGTCCTCTCCACATTGACGAGGTTGTTCCGGACCAGGACCTTCAGCAGGCTCTCGTACTCCTGCTCCCTTCCGGCCTCCGGCCTCTGCGATCATCTCTTGGGCCACTTTATTCTGGCTCTCCATGCGCAGCACATTCTTACGTACGTCCAATAGCTCTTTCCTCCATGCCGACTAATGCCCGTTGGACAGCCTTGCCAGGACATACTCCTCCAGGACATACTCAAAGTATGCTGGCATGACATTCGCCGTCTCCTAGTCAATGAAATCCGTCACTTCGAGTGTGTTAGGGTCAACGAGGAATTCCGCTCGGACAGGTCACCATGGGTGAGTACCGGTCTGTCGTCGCACATGGTCTCTCGCTGCACCTGCTCGAGGGCGAGCCGACGTGGCTCGTCGACGCCTAGGGTAGGTGCGACCACCCGCAGTGCTTGGATGCGAGACTCGTCCCATTCCGCGCGTGTGGTGCAGAACGTATGCAGCGTGACGCCAAACTCGGTCTCCGTAGTGTAGGGCAGTCCCTCGGGGCGCCCGTAATAGCTGAAGCGGCACCGGCGCATGCGTAAGTCAAGGTCGCACAACCGTTTCTTGACTTCCGCGCGTTGCACGGGGGAGAGCGGCGGCCAGAGGGTGATATGGGGTGTGCCCGGCTGTCGCTCCGGTGGCGGGTCAGAAATCGTAACGACACCGAGGACTTGCTGGATAATTGGACCGAGGATCGAGCGAGCAAGGGTAGTCAAAGTCATAACCCCCTCTCCTTCTTCAGCCCCCATCTTCAGAATGGCTGTGGGTGAATAGTCGTAGAGGCACCGTGCTCCGACGTTGAATAACATGCGGAGAGGAGAGCTAGACATAGTACGGTGGACTACGCAATGCGGGCGGGCCCGTTGCCGGATCGCGGCTCGTCCTGAATGCGTTGCGATGCCATGATTCGAATATTTCTCAAGCTTGGACGGAGATGGAATCGTGGTGCACTGCTACTACATAGCCTGGGGCAAGGCGCTCGGATGCAACAAGTGATATCATGTCAAGAAGAAACCGCCAATTCAATTCCGAACGCCCTAGTAAGTAACTTAGCTCTCCCAGAGAATTTGAGTGCATTCGCTAATTGTCAGAGTGAGAGCTGCTGCTGCAGAGTGTCATTGTGCTTAGCAGCCAAGTGCAGAGGCGTCGGCCCTCGCTCGGCATTTTCTTGCCTATGATTCTGCTCCTGTCACGATCGCTCGACTTGTGTGCTGACAGTCGTGCGACCAAAGCAATGAAACATGCGAGTGAGACTTGGTGGGCGTGACCGTCTGGGACCATCCCACAGGGCACCACACTCTCTCTTCGCGGAAGTGGGTGGGCTATGATGAGAGTGGCGCAATTGCTCTGGCTCATCCACGGTCACTGTTTCATATTTTACTCACGACTGTGCTCTAGTGCTGGCGTCCCTCACTTTCCCTGGGACCAAGTTATTCTCGACGTTGAGGAGCGCACTTCAAACACCCACATTCGTTCCGGCACCAGGAACCAACTATCAGCTAGCAGAGGATAGCGGTCTTGAAACGCACTCTGCATGATGTCAACGCAAGACTCTCTGCAGCTGCGGAGGTGGCACGAGCGTCACATACTCAGATAAAGATAAAATGCAGCAGGCAGAACGAACTACAGCCATCATCCACCTCAATACCTAACATGCAACTCGGTCACCTTTGCGTCGTCGTCGCGGTCGTCATCTCGTACGTTGGCGGAGCGACCGGTGCTCTTGTTCCCGCAGCGGGTAAGTGTCGAGCACTCTTCGTGCTACAAATGAAATGACCTATTGCGCCAGGGCTCACTTCTCGTAGCTGTCCCCCTGACTTGAGTGGAGTGAGTCCGGACGGATGCCAAGGAAGGCGGGCACTGTAAGGTGCGGTAGTCAATATTATGTCTGCTACCTGACGGGAGCTGTGTAGGTGAGGCATGCCATACGACGTATGACCCATCTATACTGATGATCTCGTCTGACAGCATTGCACAGTCTCGTAGCGACCAGTGTGCTATATGAAAAAATCCGCGCAACGAACCCTGGGACTCGGGAGAATATTACTACTTCGATCGAGACAGTAATGTAGACTGAATTCAGCTTTCAGCCAGCGATACTAGTCGGCGTCTTCCAGAGCAAAATCGGCTCAGGCGTCGGCCTGTTGACATACACAACATACACGGAGCACGTCCGAGTCGCATCCTCCGAACGTGGTCGCCCCTCCCATTCGCTGATCGCTTCGAGCGCTGCAGGGCGCAGCACGTCGCTCACCAAGCACGCCACATCCACGCTCGTGCCAGTGGGATGCGCCTCTCCAGACTGCTGCGGCGGTTGCTCCTTGCGCAGCTTGTCTTCCCAAAGCTTGCGCACCCTCTCTGCCATGTCTCCGCCAAACACTACTTCTTCGGCCTTGTCGACGTTGAGCGCCACAGTGCCGATCTCCTCGCGCCTCTGCTCTCTCGTGCCTTCTCGGCGAAAGATGGGCTGAGAGGGAATCCCGAATTCCTCGACCAGGTGTGGTTCTTCGGGCACTAGGTGGACGGCATAAATCCTAGAACCATCGTCGACGACGAGCATGGCGGAAGGATATTTGGTGCCAGTGAAGAGCTTGGATAGAAGCGCTAGCATTGTCTTAGTGCGTGGCCTGAGCCTGGGTGCTATATGATCAATCGGCCTTCTTCAGATATAACTCCAACTGCCTACGCACCGGAGGAGTAGTGGATTTCGCGTCTTGTTGTGAGTAGATGTGTCCTGTGAACCCCACTTTTGCGAATTTTGACGTTGTCAGATGTGTACTATGCCGAAGGAGCGCAAACACACTGGTACACTTCTCGTTGATGATGTTTGGCTACGTGGCACTCACCTGCGTGCTCTGAGCTGATGCAAGAACCACCATCGTGTCCCCTCTACATAATCGTGTGATCCACTTACACATCGGCTGGGACAGTGCGGACCGTGCGGTAACCCCTTCCCACACTACCACGCCAGATGGCCTGAGGTACCTGCAGCATTAGGCGGAACGCGCCGCGTTTTGGCTGTCGTATCGGTCTCGGGTATGGTATACCAATCCGACTGCGGTACCGTTATTCAGCTAGTCTACTATCTGAGTAAGCGAAAGGAGGGCGCGCTCCGGCCCCGACGACCCACGCAGTGACTGGGATGGTGTGCCGACCAAGGGGTGAATTCCTTCAGAAATCGACACTGAAGAGCGGTCCCCAGGCGGATATCGGCTCAGGCTTCCGTCTTTTGACATACACGACATAGACGGGATACGTCTCGGTCGCTTCCTTCGAGCCCGCGTGTCCCTCCCTATCTCGTATGGCTCCAAGCGCTGCCGGCCGCAGCACCTCGTCGACGAGGCGCGCCACATCCAAATCCAAGTCGGCACCGCGCATGTCCGTCGACTGCGCCTGTTCGTTGCCCGACATGTCCATGTCAGCCCTGAGCTTGCGCATCCTGTCGTACACGTCCGCCACGAAGTCCGTTGTCTCGTTGGTATGTACGGGGAGCGTCACGGTCCCGATCTGCTCCCGCCGTTGCTCGCGTGCACCGTTGCGACGGAACGGCGCGTCGGGCGGACGGTTGGAACACGAGAAGCCCCATTGTTCTATGAGATCTGGTACTTCGGGTACGGGGTGTAGGATGTGCGTCATGCTGCCATCGCTGACGAGGAGAAGGGCGGAGGGATGTTTGGGGCGGGTGAAGAAGCTGGTGCATACAGCGGTGAGCATGGTTCCCGACAGTGTGGCGTCCAACCTTGGACCTGGGGTACTACCGTGAATGTCAGACTCGAGACATGTGCAGCATTTGAGCTACGTACCTGCAAGAGGCTGTCGAAGGAACGTTCGTGGAAAGAGCTGATATGGAGTGGGTGTGGATGCAGTCACAGCACGTTCGAGACGCTCACCGGGCGGCAAGCTTAAGATTTGGACCCCGCTATGACGCCAGGTTTCACAGTGTAAGATGAGCGCATCGCTGATGGGACTGTATGTACATGGTGACTTGGAGAAGATACGGTCGGCCGTAGGAGACGCAGGGGAGTGTCGGCCGTTCGAGATCAACTCAAGATCAAGGTCTAGCCTGAGGTACTACGTTTGGGAAACGTCGATTAGTTGGTGTATTATTGTACGTGGGACAACTTGAAAACATATACTTACCGCGCGATTGAAGAGAGACAGCGTTCCGTAACAAACGGGACGATCACGCCGAAGGCGACGATGTAGCAGTCTCGGCGGGTGCGGGGCGCAGCCCTCCGATGCCAGGCAGCCCGGTCCAATCGACCCTCCGGGACCTGTGGAGCAACGGGTGAGCGCTAAGCTGCGAGGGTCGGCCATGGGCGGACCCCAGCCGTGACAGCTTCGTCACGGATCGTCGGCTTTCCTGCGGTGAACTGGCGAGATTGCGCGGCGCAATGGGAGAGGTGGGTGGGCGAAAGAAGGCTCAGAGGTCTATCGAAGACTCTAGGGTGCTTTCGTTCGAGTTCGGAGTGTACGCGCAAAGAGGCGCCGCGCGCTTATTAACTCGCAACTCTTTGTTTGTTTGTCAATGTAAATCCCATCTGAGCGCGAAGCCCTAAGGCTATAGTATGTAAGTTAGTATGTAGACACACTGCGGTACTTAGATTCTACTATAGATTTACCTCTGTGCTCCACTCGTGCCTCGCTTCGCTCGAACCAGAATAGGACAATGACTGCCATCAGCTACCATCTTTCCGCGATTACACCGGCGTCTCGAGACTCGATACTGTAGCGTCCCAAATCGGGGAGGCAACCTTCTCGATATGGTAGGTATGCGACGCGACGTGTGCATGCGAGGAGCTCGGCGAAACCGTGATACGCTGGAGTAACAGTGATGGGTCAAGGCAGTAAGAACTTTAGTCAGGATTGACAGACACATTCGCATGGTCAGACCTCCGGTTTGTAGGGTGACGTAGTCGAGTGATCATGGCCTGCAAGCGCCGAATAAACTGGCCGACGAAGTGCCGTCCTTCGACTTTGCTAGAGAGGGACACATGTACAGCTTGATGTGAATACAAGGTATAGCGTGCGTGTGAGGCAGCAGAGGTAGATCAACAGGATTAGACGATGAGATGGGAGGTGAAGGGAGGTGAAGGAGGGTGCGGAGGATATCGGGGCAGCATCTGGGCGACATCGACCGGCGATCGAGGCGAAAAGCGGCAGGTGGTGCTCGTCGATTTGCTCATACGTACTGACGACGTCCGCGCAGGATCGTCGCGCACATATATCCAGCCATCTGCCCTCGCTTCCTCCCAGATCCTCCGCGAAATGACCACCACAACAGCGCCCACCCGGTCCGCCCCCGCTCCTGGGGCCGAGTCCATCGCGGGTGAGCACGTGCCGCACGTCCTGATGTCATAGATTGAGGACTGATCGCTGCACAAATACTCGCCCTCGCCGCCCCCGACGGCCCCCACAGCCCTCCCGTCGTCGACCGCCGCGATGAGCTCGCTACGCAACAATAGGATCATCATCGCCTCCCTCTTTCTCCCGAACACCGCTGTCCTAGGCGACTCCGCCCCCTCATCGCCGGCCCCCGAACCCATCGTCCAGCCGTCCTTCCTCCAGCCAGGCCCTACGACAGGCGGCCGACCAGGGCTCCCGAGCAAGGCGGGTCCGTTGCGGAGCATCGTAGAGGATCTCAAGGACAAGGTGAGTGGTCTGGCTCGGTCGCTAGCGTTCTTGGGCGTGCCCACTACCTCCACGTCCCTAACCCCGCGTCGCCGGGGTGATGGAGTCCGTGCGGTCAATCTCCTGCGTCCGGCTGTTGTATGCTGTAGTGGATGTGGGACAGGGGAGCTGCAGCTCGTCCTGCGCGCTGTATGCGTTATGCTACAACCATTCCGCAGATGACTGCAGTCCTCCATATCCTCGCCTACATGCTTTCTGCATCCATACGGTTATCTGTGCTGTTCTTACTTCTGTCAAAAGTAGCGCATACATGCACTCCTACAATCATCTGCGTACAGGCTGTGACATGCACAGCCGACGAGATACTTGTTTGGCCACTTGGCTAGCATCGATACACCACCGGACCTGCTTGGTGCAGTGTGTGGAATGCGATCCGTGGCAGTTTCCAGCCACGAAGAGCTAGACACGTAGCCTGCATCGCTACCCCGAAAGATGGAGTGACTCCAGGGTGATAATACGTTCTCGGGACACTTCGGATGGACGAGGCATCCGGGCGCTATCGTCGTTCTGCCTGAACGCTGTGGCGGCGAGATACAGCACGCCCTGTACGCTGGACTCGCGTGAGACGACAACCATTTTGCGGAGGAGCGTAGAGTGCACCGGGAGGCCACCGTCAGATTGATCTCTGCGTATGCCAACTGCATTTTGTATATGCTAACCATCATTCATAGTCCCGGGCAGTGACTCCTGCGGTGACGCCTCGTAACGAATCAAGCAACCCATTCACGACATTCACCGGACTCACTCAGCCATCCAGTCCTGCGCCGAACGGCTCTTCCGCCTCCCTTGTCGACTCGCTAGCTGCGAAAGCAGCCAGTGCCGCCAACAGCGTCGTAAGCGGAGCAGCGAACGCATTAGGTGCCAACGGCTCGACCAACGGGGCCTCCAAGCGGCACCAAACCACCCACACGAACAGCGCCGCGAGCCAGACGCGCGTGCAACGGCGTACATCCCGCGGCTCGTCGACGCGCACCGCTAGCCGCTCGCTCTCAGGTACACGGCACGAGACGAACGGCGGGAGCCGCAACATCCGGTGGCACGTCGAGAACAACCCGCACTGCAACGGCGGACTGAAGAACGCGGTGGACAGCGTCGGTGCGCGGCTGAAGCGCAAGCTGTGGGTGGGCACGCTCGGCGTGAACACGGACGGATTCCGGGAGAGCCTGAAGCGCAACATGGAGTGGCGGATGCGGGACGAGTGCGGCAGCGTGCCGGTGTGGATCCCGGACGCGGAGTTTGCGGGCTGCTACGACGAGTACTGCCACCAGGTGCTGTGGCCGTGCCTGCACTACGCGATTCCGGACGCGCCGAAGACGAAGAGCTTCTACGAGAGCGAGAGCTACAAGCACTACGAGTCTGTCAACCGCCGGTTCGCGGAGGCGATCGCGAATGTGTATCAGGACGGGGACATCATCTGGGTGAACGACTACCACCTGATGCTGCTCCCCGCGATGCTCCGCCAGAGGCTGCCGAACGCGCCGATCGGGTTCTTCATGCATGTCGCGTTCCCGAGCTCGGAGATCTTCCGCTGCTTGAGCGTGCGCGAGGACCTGCTGTACGGCCTGCTCGGCGCGGACCTCGTTGGCTTCCAGACGGCGAACTACGCGCGTCACTTCCGCCAGACGGTGAGCCGCATCCTGACAGTGGAGGCGTTGCCGAAGGGAATCCAGACGGAGGAGCGCTTCGTGGACGTTGGTGTGTTCCCGATGGGGATCGATGCTGGGCACCTCAAGCTGGAAAAGTGAGTCCGTTCGTGTCGTTCATTCCGCAAGATGCTGACATCTGGCAGGCGTAACCCCGAGGTCGCGGAGTGGGTCAGCTCGCTGCGGCAGCGATATGCTGGCATGAAGATCATTGTCGGCCGCGATAAGCTCGACAACATCCAGGGTGTCCGGCAGAAGATCCAAGCCTTCGAAACCTTCCTGGACAAGTACCCCGAGTACCAAGGCAAGGTCGTCCTCATCCAGGTCGCGCTGCAGACGACGGAGGAGAACGAGATGCAGGGCGGCGTCGCGGACGTCGTGTCGCATCTCAATTCGCGCTTCTCGACGCTGACGTACCAGCCCGTCGTCTTCCTGCACACGCAGGACCTGACGTTCAGCCAGTACTTGGCACTGCTGACGGTTGCGGACGCGTTCGTGGTGACGAGTTTGAGGGAGGGGATGGCGCTGAGGACGCATGAGTTTGTGGAGTGTCAGGAGGAGAGGCATCGGCCGTTGATCCTCAGTGAGGTATGGCATAATATTTCACTGTGAAACGTCTTGACTCTGAAATGGTGCCACAGTTCACTGGGTCTTACAGCTACAGTGGTTTCCGGTCGTGTATCCCTATCAACCCTTGGGACAAGCGGATGACAGCGAAGGCTATTCACCAGGTACGGATACACATCTTCCCCGTAGCATTGGTCACTGATCATGTACACAGGCGCTCACCATGAGCGACGAGGAAGCCACCTCCCGCTGGGAAGACTTGCACGGCCACGTCGTGACGCAATCCGCCCAAGCCTTCGTCACCTCGTTCCTCGTGCGCTGCCTCCGTGCGAACATCGAGCATATGCACATGCAGGGCGACACCGCGGAGGTCGCCTCGCTCGACGTCGCGCTCCTCCTCCCGCGGTACCGCCATAGCGACAAGCGGCTGTTGCTCATCGACCTTGAGGGCGCGATGTGGATTCGCGACATGCGCAAGCTCAGCAGGGCGGAGTTCAACCCGCCAAAGGAGGCGATCGACGTGCTCAATAGGCTCGCGGATGACCCGAGGAACGAGGTGTGGCTGTTGAGCGGCTTGCCGGTGAAGGGCATGCTGGACGTCGTCGCGGAGATGGCGCCCAAAGTCGGGATTGTGTAAGCGCCCTCGTCGGGTCCCAGAGCGTTTGCTGATTGTGGTGATACGACAGTGCTGAGAACGGCTGCTACATCAAGACGCGTCCTACACGCGGTGGCGAGTCGACCTGGACCAACATGGTTGCGAACTTCAACTTGACGTGGAAGGCACCGTGCCTAGAAATCCTCAACTACGTGAGTTTGTAGATCGCACTGACCTCCACGTCTACTGACACCGACCACGCAGTTCACGGAGCGCACGCCAGGGTCCTTTGTCGAGGAGCGAGAGGCGTCCGTCGTCTGGCGCTACTGGGTCGACCCCGACGAGCCGCAGACTGACCGCCAGTGGGCCCGGCGCCAAGCCGGCGAGGCGCAGAACCACATCTTCGACAGTCTCGGCGAGCGGTACGGCCTGCGCATCATCCCCGGCGCCAACTCCTTCCTTGTCCTCCCCAACAACATCTCGCGCTCGACGGCCGTCGGCGCGATCCTCTCCCCTGGCGGCCCTGCGCACTCCGCGCTGGCAAGTCGCGCGGCGTGGCTCGCGCCCGAGGCGACGGAGCCGGAGAACGTGACCGAGTTTGGGTTCGTGTTGGCGGTGGGCAAGGACCAGAAGCTGATGCGCCGCTTGAACGAGCTCGAGAACGCGGAGACTGTGAGCACGGGCAGCAAGGGCACAGATGCGAAGTGGAAGCTGGAGCCGGAGCAGGTGCTCAGCGTTCTCGGACGGTTTGCCGATGCGAAGTAGCCGCGCACATAAGGGCGGAATTGGAGTGCGATCCAGGAAAACAAGAAGAAGCAAGGAATCGATTTCTGTAGCAACATGGTAGTTGTACGTGATGTTTCTTATATCTCTAGATGGCAGGTGTACCTGCGCACCGTTTTGTGTAGCATCCAGTGGAAATCATGTAGTTTGCATGTAGTATCGTGGCGGACATTACCACGCACCGTATACAATAGTGACTAATACAACTAGATTGTCATGATACATCGAGCGTATGTTCGTCCATGCACACCTCGTACAACTGTAACATTGATAGTGCCGTTCTGAAATAGGTGAGTGCTTCGAATGTCGGGACTGTATGTGACTACAGTGTTCCGGCGAATGTAATCACTGCGTAGGCGTGTGCTTTGATCCAGCTACGCTGACTGATGTCACCGCCCTCTGCAAGCGTCCGTCTACTGACCTGGGAAGTAGCCGTTATTTGCGTTATGACAGCTCAGACATGAGATGGCTCACCCTGGAGGAATGCAGCCCGCGCCCGAGTCATCTGTACGCCCGCTGCCTGAGCAAACGACAGCGCGCTTGGCTTCTCCGCTTTGACCGTGACAACTTCTATCGTCTCCGAGTACAGGCAGATGTATCGGGTGGTCTCCAGGACAAACTTCTCGAGCGTGAGATGTGAGGACGCGCCGAGGTCCTACGAAGCGACTGCATTAGCTCTGGTTGCAATAATGACACGGGTATACAGCTACATTGGCGATCAACGCTGAAAGGGCCGCGTAGTCGACGGGAGAACCGTGACCAGCCTTTTCGTGCACGATGATACTAATGATAACCCGCTGCTTTGCCTCTCGCTCGGGCGTGTTGACTCCAATGATGGTGAACAGCACGAGGTCCTTGATAGTAACACGGACGCTCTCCGTCCCTTCTATGATTTCCTGCGCATAGGATGTCGAGATCTCCAGTGTGAACTCCCCAGCGAGCGGGATCAGTTTCTCGGACTTGACGGCTACTACAGCGCGCTGGGCAGCAAACGCGCCGGTGAGAGCGAACGCCGTCTTCACTACAGCCCTCGCAAGATCCCTCGGGCCATCGAACTCTTGTGCGTCGGGACCATAGGCGAGGCCCATGATGCTCTTGCAGAGCTGGCCATAGTGGACCGAGTCGCGGACATCGTCCGACGCGCCGGCTTTGTCGAGGTACCCGGGCTGTAGATGGAGATGGAGGGTGACAAATAGAGGCTGTGGGCGTGTGCGCCCCCACCAGTCTCGCCCAATTGTTGAAGAAATGGAGAGCGAGTCTATGAAGACGGTGTCGTGAGCCACCGGGTCGTGGGCTTGGGGAGACATGGTGGCTGACAAGTGGCTGATGCGAAGGCGTGAATGAGAGCGATTGCCTTTCTTGTCTAGTGGATCGCCGATCGACCGGGCATGTGCCTGGCGGCCATCGGATTTCCGACGCGCGCGACAGTCGTTCGACGCGTCCCGACTCGCAAGCAAACGTGGGGTAGTGGTAACCTGGGTCGTTGCCATACAAGCACCCTCTCGACCCGCTCCGAGTTCGATTCTCGGCGTTTGCATAACAAGTGCAGTGCAGCTACTGTCCTGAGGTTCTTCTTTTACTCGCACTGCGCAACATGAGTTACAGAGTTGAGCGGGCTGGAGATACATCAGGCAAAGAGCGCCGAATCTTTGCTCGCGTGGAATAGGATGTAAATATGTCCCACAACTACCTGTACTAGGGATGAGCGACACTTGAGCTCTTGGTACTCAATGAGTGGAAAACTGACAACACCCAATGGGCAGTATGGTTCGGAAACAGCTTCGATTGAGAGTGACACAACAGATCGAGAATCCTTGCCATGACCCATAGCTAGTCCTCGTCCGACGGGCTGAAGTCTCAAGGCGACGTAAAGCGCTAATAGACATGTCTGACTCGGATTTGATTAGATGTCGCGCACAAGTGCCCACAGGCTAGTAAGAAACAGTCCTGAGACGGGCTTCTCAAATAACCATAGATGTTCCAAACAAACCGCACATCAGACGGGAGCAGTGTGCGTACGCGCCTCAAGATTAGAAGCTCCTCCCCAGCACATGGTCCTGACTTACCTTCTGCAACTTAGTATGTGGTATGTGCGGTTCTCGCCTCGACTTGTACTGCCTCGCTGTGGTTCAGGGTGCAAGATCAGCTGCTATGTACGTGCGTTGACTAGAATTGTGATTGCCTTAGCCCAACCTTAGCCCGTCGTTGCCAGACTTTAGTTAGACTCCATATTAACCAAGTCCATACGTTGGGCCTAGTGAGTGGACCAACATAAATCATTACCTGCTACTAGAGGTATATTGGGATGAACATGAAATGAGAAACCGGGCCATAAATCACAGATAAAAACCGAGAGAATGATGGGCATTATGCGTCCAGAAGCTACACGCCCACAGAGAACCGCTCGGACCCGAGTTTCTGACTGTTGGCCCAACTCCTTATCGAGCTTCTCTCGCCGCAGGCGCGCAGCGGTCCTGACTCGATATTTAAAAGGCTCTGCCACGCTCTCCACGACAGCACTGACCATGGCTTCACGCACCCAAGAAAGCGAGACAAGTCCCGAGTTGGACTTGGTCCGCATTACATTGCCCACCTTACCAAGTGTACCTCTCCTCTCCGCACCTTCGGTTTTCAACGTCGGAGCACGGCGCCTCTACGACTATTCACCCACGGCGATCCTGAAAATGGGAACGGATGAAGGCGAGGGGGTCATGACTGCCCTCGCTCGCTCGATCCTAGGTCCAGTCGTCCCAGAAGTCCTCGGGGTCGTCACCGTCCCACACCTCCATCCGCGAGCGAGGCACGGCCTCCTCTTGGCTCGACAGCCGGGTACACCCCTTGTCACCATCTGGCCGTCGCTCCAGCCCATGCAACGCGCCGACGTCAAGAACAAACTGTGCGACCTTGTGTTGCGCATGCGCAAGCGCCAGTTCAGCTATTACGGGCGCCCTGGGGGATTGCCGTACACTACGGATACCGAGTGCGGCACCGCGCAGCATACGTTCTGTACGACGCGCACGGAATGGAACGAGTCTCGCATTCGGGCACTGCAGACGGTCGCGCCTAGCATAGACATCGATGAACCACGTCGGCTCGCACTCGAGCAGATGCAGAAGGAGACCATATGCGACGATAGACCGGTACTCACACATGGGGACCTGTCCTCTCGAAACATCCTCGTTCACCCCGACACCCTCGAGGTGACGGGGTTCCTCGATTGGGAGATGGCGAATGTCATGCCGGCGTACTTTGAGTACGTCCTGGCAAGGCTGTCCGGTGGGCATCAGGCAGAATGGAGGAAAGAGCTACTGGACGTACTCAAGAACGTACTACGCGTAGAGGCTCAGAATAGGGCAGCCCAACAAACTTCCGTGGAGGATGGAGGCTCGGCGGGGGATGAGGAGTACGGGAGGGCGTTGAAGGCATGGAACAGACTCGTCGACGTGGAGAGGTCCGCTCAGGAATATAGCGACAGATGCTACTGGACGTTCGAGGACAATTCTCAGTAAGTAGGTTAAGAGACGTGGTGATTGTGCTATACGGTGGATGGGTGTGTATAGGTAGTACAGTATAGTTTGTTTACCCAAGGGATTGACGAGGGCGAGGGAGCCATGACTACCCTCGCTCGCTCCTCGGCCCAATCGTCCCAGCGTCGTGACCAATCATACACTTGAGCTATTGACACTCAGCGAGATACGGAAAACACACAACGTTTGGTGATTAGTGTTGTCTAGAAATAGGCTCGAGTGTGCGCAACACAGGAGAGTGAGTACCCTTGGCATGGTTAGTACTCGAATGAATCGACTTGTTCAATGACTTGAAACGTGTCCCAACCATGGAATCCCCTATATTATTATCTACATCCGAGACAAGGTTGAACGCTCGTAGAGATGTGCAAATTGATGAGCGCGTCGAAGATGCACACAGAATTCTACATGTTGGAAAACAGCGGTACTCACAAATGCTCGCGGACATCAAGTGCCAGCGCCCATGCCAACCACAGGTATCCCAACAAGGAGAATGCTCAGACTAAGCTGGTAAGGACCACGTATGCCACGTCCCAGCAGTCGCAGCACATCGAACGGATGTTGAGGATCGTCGCTGCTTATCGTAACCCAGTATCTGGGACGACGAGGCCTTCACGATCTGTAGAATGGATTAGAGATAGTGATATGGATGATAGATAGAAGATGATAGGATGATGGGCGTTCAGCGTCCGTAGTTATAGAGAACCGTTCGCAACCAATTTTAAACCCTCATCGACTTCAAGCTCTCGCTCTCAGGTGTCCAATCCTTGCCCTAGTATACCTGAGGCCCTCCTGCGTTCTCCACGCAATTACCAAGGATGGTTCAACAGACCGGTGGAAGCGAGTCACGTCCAAAGTTCGAATTGGCCCGCATTACGTGGCCCACCCTACCAAGTCTACCTCTCGCACCCATGCTATTCAACGTCGGAGCACGGCGCTTATACAAATATTCATCCACGGCCAATCTGAAGATGGGGACTGACGAAAGAGAGGGAGTTATGACTGCCCTTGCTCGCTCGATCCTCGGTCCAATCGTCCCAGAAGTCCTCGGTGTCATTACCATTTCTAACCCGCCACCGGAGCGGCATGGCCTCCTCCTGGCTCGACAGCCGGGCACACCCCTTATCACCCTCTGGTCATCGCTCTCCTCCATGCAACGCGGGGAAGTCAAGGGAAGGTTGTGCGACCTTATGTTACGCATGCGCCGGTGCCGCTTCAGCTATTACGGGCGCCCCGGGGGACTGCCCTACACTACGAAGACCGAGTGTGGCGTCACGCAGCATACATTCTGCACCACGCGCGCGGAATGGGACGAGTCTCGCATCCAAGCACTGCGGGCGGTCGCGCCTACCCTAGGCGTCGACGAGCCACGTCGGCTCGCCCTCGAGCAGGTGCAGCGAGAGACCACGTGCGACGATAGACCGGTACTCACCCATGGTGACCTGTCCGATCGAAACATCCTCGTTGACCCTGACACTCTCGAAGTGACGGGTTTCATTGACTGGGAGACGGCGAATATCATGCCAGCATACACTGAGTATGTCCTGGCAAGGCTGTCCAACGGGCATCAGTCGGCATGGAGGAGAGAGCTATTGGACGTACTCAAGGATGTGCTGCGCATGGAGATCCAGGATAAAATGGCCCAAGGGACGACCGCAGAGGCCGTAGACCGGAAGGAAAGAGAGCAGAAGTACGACAGGACGCTGGAGGCCTGGAACAACCTCGTCAATGTGGAGAGGACCGCTCATGAATACGGCGACGATTGTTCTTGGACATTCGAAGACAGTTTCCAGTAGCACTTAAACGAGGCTTTGAGGCGGACGCGCTGCACGACGGTGGACATGTAGACACATGTACAAGTTGAGGTAGTAGTAGAGAGTAGGTGTGACCGAGCAGACAGAAGACGGCGGGCGTCTGTAGCTATGGATCGAGATTGAGCATGTACCAGACGAGGCCGGCGCTCGCCGTTTCGCCACTTGTCACTGATCTGTGACCACAGGCCACTCGATGGCTACTACTTAGCCGCGCTACAGTCTACAGTCACACATCCAGCAAACACTGTGATGCGCCATTTTTCTCAGGTGTCACAGCGTACAGTAATCAATGTTGAATTCGTTCGAGACCTGGACAAACCACTCAGCGACGCAGACACGTAGTCTCCGTTGCCGACCATGAAAGAATGACAAGCGCTTTTCTGCAGACACGGTATGACATCCTTCTTTTCCGCCATCTGAAGAGCCACTTTTAGATCGCAGCGAGCGTAATGAGGACACGGAATATCTCTCAAAATTACAAAAGCTGAGACCACAAGATGCGTGATCAGACGAACTGTGCAGACAAATAGGTGGACTTTTGTTGGTGAATGCTCGACCCATCGACCGAGGAACAATTTGAACTCCTCGGATGACGAGTTTGAGACCGGCGGGTCTGACTGTAGGCTGTCATGGGCGGCAAATTATCGTCTTTGTTATGGCAAGACAAGTCCTGACACTTCTGATAGGTGGAACATCCCTCTCCGTGTGCCTCTACCGCCTTGTCCATTCGAATCCTCCCTCGATGCCCCCAGGAACCTCAAAACATCTACTTTCTGCCAGTCTACGATACGCGGTAGAGGGTTACTATTGCGCGACTGGAATAGAAGTTTCAGTCAGATGATTGCGCACACTGTGAGTTCCCATTTGACGTACCGGCGTTGACATGTTCTAAACGATGACGCAGCTGTAGCCGGCGTTGCCATTGCTAGTGTCGTAGTCAACAGGAACCGTCTCTGAGCCCTCAGCGCCGGGGACAGAGGTGGGAATCGGCTCGGCGATGGTGAAGAACGCGTCCATTGGAGCGAAGAAAGCGACGAAGTGTGAGTTCGAAGGTCGAAAGTTAGCGATGTTGTCTGGCTGACGGACTCGCTGCCAGTCTATGCACTCTGTCAGTCTATTTATGCGATTTCTGAACCTACGACGAGACAATAAGGTGAGCCCTCTCACTTGCTTGTACCTCAGCAGCGGGCGGGCCACACAGCCATCGTGTGGCTTTGACTTCTTGAGGATAATCCCTGTGCAAAGAGTGGGACACGTCAAAGCTACATACCATCTAGATCCCGATACCCCTCTCGATCCAATCTTATTGAGCTATGCCATAAATGTTTGGTGTGATTGACGTAGTAGCATTCTAGGATCCGTCCTACTAGTCCGACGGCCGCCATACTGCAACATAGGAGGCGGATAGTTTCAACAATAGCGCGGCGTCCTTCCGAGGCTGTCCGCCCCCGGGCCCTCTCTAAAGAACGCTCCGGCTTGCAAAGCGAGGTACCTTACAAAGATACATCGCTTTGAGCATCAGCGGATTCGTTATTCTGGAGCCCCTTCTTGAGGGAGCACGGCATTTGGGTCAATCGAGCTGCTGGCTAGGGCTGTGTCGCAGTACTGAAGGCCCTATTCACTCTCGCTAGGGGCAACCAATGCTCGTCGAATACCCCTCCCTTCTACGACCACAACGCGGGCCTTGTCGAAGTTCGTCAGCTTGTTGCGACACGCCGCTCAGCACATGCCAGGAGGTCAGGTCTCTGCGCCAGGTCTATATACCATATACAGCGTAGTAACAGAGAGATGGATTGACTTCAAAGGTACCGATTCATTTACATCCAAGACCTTTTTGGATTCTCTAATTAGCGATGGCAACACGGGGAACAGGATATGCCGGCATGTACGTTGAGAACACAGCTCGGTACACTGGCAGAGCCTACCAGGCGCACGGTGTTCACGTACATACCCTACCTCGTGGGTCTGATACAATGTACGCTTGCCTGTCACGCTTCTGGACACGGAGACAAAATGAGAGTCCATTGCAAGCTGAATGCAAGTTGAGTGCACGTCGCGTTCGGCAGCACACAAGATGAGTTGACTCCGGATCTTCATGTCTACATTATCCAACGTCCTCTAACATTATCGATACAAAGCGTGCCAGTACGGCGAGGTTACACTAGGGTATCTTCGACTCTGCCAACAACTTGACTCAGTTGTTGACCGACGTGGGGTGGTTGATATCCTGCTGAGCCGAGCCCTTGTCACGGCGGACGTTGCCTGCACATGTCGGTGAGCCTTCTGCAGGTATGGAACCATAGACCTGATGTCACTCACCGATCGTCTCTTGCTGGCGGTCGCCAGTCAGAGCACCGACGACGGCGTCTTTGCGGCCGCCGACGCGGTCCTTGGTTCCCTCGACGTAACCCTCGGCTTGGGCAGCCTGGTACTCGCCCTCGCCCCTGGCGTGCTCATCGCGACCGGACTGTGTCCACGACGTCGCACCGGTGACGTTACCGATGGCCTCGACGGCAGTTCCCTTCACGGAGTGGAACTGGCCGGTGGTCTTGCTACAAGGGTGAAGAAATGAGGTCAGCGACCAGCCGAGCGAACATGGTGAAAGCAAGGCTTACTTGGGGCCGTTGTTGCTGTTGTTGTTATCGTTGGACATGGTGATAGTCGTGAACGGTGATTAACTGAGTTCGTAAAGATGTAGGTGGGTCGTGAAGTGATTGTGAGGACCTACTCTCGCGTTCCGGGCCCTTTTATGCTGCTTGTGGCTGTAGGTACCTAGAATCATACGCCCGGCACCACTGACGTGTAGTGGTGACGATGCCGGGACGAGGTACCCACATCCACAGGTTGGTGGTGCTTAGCGTTGCGGAGGAGAGATGTCATGTTTCACGCCATACCTGCCGTTATCGTGATCCAGGTTCGCCGGAAGAAAGTGCCTGGCCGTAGTGACCGTATACGTGCGCAGTGCTGAATAGTCGAATTTCGGGTGCAGGACATATTGCGCAACGCTTGGCCTGTTGACTCACGTGTAGAGCACACCACAGGCACCACGTCCTGGGCCCATGTAGCACCATACGACGTATGGTGGTCTGCCTAACTCGTGATGACGTCATGAGCCGTACACCGTACTGCAGCTTGGGTGAGCAATTCGGGAAGTATACTGTCAGGGTTTTCAGTGTACAGAAATATAGCTCATGCATCTAGAATCTGCGCTGGACCCACGATCTTCACGAGGGAATAATGTTTGGGCCGAACAAAGGATGCGAAGAGGAATGATAGAGTGAACTTGATGGAATGTGCTCACTCACTGAACGTCCGAAGCCGTTACGGCTCATGATCTTGACCTTTGAAGACGCAGCGAGCCACGTCCAGACTGAACGCTGGATTGAATAAAATACATACATACTCTAGGCTGCATCAACGTCGTTGCAGAAGGAGCCTGGGTCGAACGACTCGGACGCCAGCGCCACAACGCGGCTTATCATGTGCCTCCTCCACGTGGCCGTCCCGGGCACTGGGAACGAGCGCTCAATAACTTGTCGCAGACACGAGAGCATCGTTTACTGAGCGATGTACGCGACGGCGGTGGTACAGAGTGGTCGGTCAGCATGGAAAGGTGAGCAAGCGCAGCCATGTTCTATGTAACAAAACTAAGCCTTGCTTCAGGTCCGTTCTTCGTAGCATTCCCTAACATCCGACTGGCTCTGGAGAACAACGTCCCCATCAAGACGAAGGCCCGTTCGTGTACCATCCTGCCGAACTTCGTCGGGTATGTCCCTCGTTTTCATAGGTTCGACTGATACTGATTGCATTACAACAGTCTGAGGTTTCTCGTCCACAACGGGAAGGATTACCTCCCGGTGAATGTCACGCAGGACATGGTGGGGCACAAGCTGGGTGAATTTTCGCTGACGAGGAAGAGGTTCACTTTCCGGTGCGTAGCGTTATACCCGTTCTATCTATATCTCTTCTGATTTACGATGCAGTGCCACCAAGAACAAGTAGAGCATACACTAATCACGCCATATACATCATCGTCTCGTCTTGCTGCTATTTATCCGTTACGCTGTGCTTGCGGTCTCTGTAAGACCATGTGAAGTCCCTTATTCTCCTGTGGAGCCCCAAAACAAGGTCCAGAGAGCCCTTTCTTCGTTGATTCGTGTGCTGCAAGTCTGCAATTGCGGTTACATTTAATCCCCGAGACTAGTGCTGCTCTCTACCTCGTCAAACTTGAGGCGAAGAACCCTGCATCCCGAGATATGGAGCATGTCCTCCCAGGTCCTCCCATGACCGTCAGCACCCTCCTTCGATGCTTCTTCCAGCGACCTTATGGTGTCAGAGGCCTAGGCGTTGGCTTGAAGGCTATCACAAGGGCTATAACCGTGCGAGCGTTCTCGAGGAGGATCACCAGCTCAAATCCCATGGCTAGAGTGATAGATATGGCATCTCCTTCCGCAAAACAGAGCCATGCGACGTCGATGCTTCATTCATTTGAGACGAAGGCGCTTCAGGTTCATTTTGCGTGGTCCTTCCAGTCATATATCGCGGTACTTCTCACATCATAGTGCCTATATGGTGCAAGCCTGGCTCAGACCAAGATCATCTCTTTTAGCACTGCCAACCCTCGCTCAGAGTCGGAATCATGCCGCGTTGTAAAGCGTGTAAAGCAGATTAAAGTGCTATTCCCGCATAAGGCAATCAGGCGCCCATGTGTTGCCTGAACGGACAAGGCCTGCTCAACATCGCCCACAACGACCACCGCTAGACAGACGATGCCGCGCTCATGATGCAGACCGCCACGTCCACGATCTATGCTCCTCCGCTCGGCATGAAGCAGGCACCGCCAGACCCGGCACGGGCCTCAGTGGGCCATCTGCTCTCGAAGGCGTACTCGCTGCCGTGCTCGACCGCCACGCAAGGCTTCACACAGCTGGTCCCGCCGATGAAGCGGTTCCAGGTCGCGCTGGACGTGCTGCTGCCGCTGCTATACGCGCCTGCCGAGGTACGTTGCCTCGAGTCATCTCGACCCAGACAGACTGATCAACCGGCATCTGGAAGCCCGCGCAACGGATCCTTGTCTCGTACATCCTCTACTCGCTCTATGCACCTCACCCGATCGCTATCAACCCCTTCCAGTCCGCGCTCCTCGCGACGTTCGTCAAGGAGCGAGAGGCGGCGATCCGTGTCGCGGTGGACGGCGGTGTCAGCGAGAACGAGCAGCTCGTCTGGGTGTTGTGGAAGATCCTCAGGGGAGATGGCAGTGATGTACGTTTGCCGCACCTCCACTAACCATACCCGTGATGCTGACGACCCACTAGATCGGTCCGTTCTCGCCGTCCACCTTGGCGCGCTCGCCGCTGCCCCCGAAGCTGAGGGCGGCGAACTTGACTCTCGAAGACGAGGCGGAACGCACGCGATCCGATCTGTACGCCCTGTTCGCACTGTCGACATCGAGACCCCTGCTGACCCTTGATCGACTGGTGCCGTAACTAGAAATGGCGCTACCGGCGCTGACGCGGAGGCGCAGGTCACACCGGAACAGGACGAGGAAAGACAGAGACTGTCCGACGCGATGACTCTATTGTTGGCGGCGCGCGACCGCGTCCTAACCTTGTCGGAACAACGCATCTTACTCCCGGCCCTCCCGCAACTGACCTCACGACCTGTCATCACCCCCATGGACCTGCCCTCTCTGATATCCTACAACCCTTCGATCGCACATCCTCTGTTCGCCGCGCTTCTCTCGTCTTGTGCTGCTAGTAACCGGGATCCCACCTTGTATCTCGAGGTTCTGAGGTACCTCCCACCGATCTTGCCGTCTTTCGACATCATGGGGCGGCTCCTGCGCGATCCTACGACTGTGCTGGATATCGCGACCGGCGGCAAGACCACTATCGCGGACCTGGTGCGAACAGAGGTGCTCGGCTGGTTCCTCCACGAATGCATCAACTGGCTGGACAGGGCGGAGGAGGACGAACGCGCTGGGGAGGTGAGCGACGACCGCTTCGCCAAGGGCGTGCAGAACGTACGTCACGTCACTCCTTAGCACGGTCTCGTAGACGCTGATGGGCCTTTCCACATTGCAGCTGTGCCGGTTCTTCACCTCCCTTATCAAGTTCTCGATCATCGACCCAGCCTCAGACGCGGACTCGGCTGAGATGGCGCACTTCACGCTGCGCAACGCGCGCTTCGAGGAGGCGCAATTGCTCTATCGCATACTCGTCACGGGCCAGTTCTGAGATGAATATGTGAATGACTGACCATGCACCTACGTATTATGTCGCTAGCTGATCGGACTCCCTGATAACCCATGTACAGATCCGTCCTATGTGTACTGAACCGCGTCATGAGCCTTTATGATCATCCTTTGTCTTAAGTACTTATTCCTATGCAGCCGTTCGACTCACTGTAGTTACTGAGCAATGTATGTATGTACAAAGTGTATGGATTAGACTGACTGTACAACCAAGACAGACGTGAACAATTCGCGGCGAGCTCGGTGTTCGAAGGGTATCCATGCATAAGACCGATGCGTTCCACTCATACATACACCGCATATGTTATGCATACGTACCAAGTGAAGACATGACGCAACTCGCACTATTCGTCTAGCAGACCAGAATACAGTACGGTGTTTTCCAAGGCGAGCGAGGCGGGAGAACGTAGGAAGGTCGTGAGATCGATGTGAGCGTGAAGAATAGATAACGGGTCGGGAGATCAGGGAGCGACAGGGATACAGGGGGCGGCATGGCGGGCTATGAGAGGGTAAGGGTACAGACCGCGAAGCCTCGCGCACGCGTGTGGGCTACAGTACATCTAAATTACGATGCTTGCTTATTCCTAAACCGCAGCAGAGGTGCAAGGCCCGACAGCGCGCACGCTTTCTTCAGGAAGTCGTGCTGTGGGATGATTGTCAGATGATCGTTCATCTGGGGCACGTCCGAGACACTCACATCCAAGAGCTCGTCTGCCGTTGCCCGACTCTTGACGTCCACGCAAAGACATACGCTCAGGAAGCCCTTCAACTCCCGACTGAGCGCTTCCGGCTTCTTCAGAGTGGGCGTGCCGTTCGTGGCAATAAGGTAGAGTGCCTTCAATGGCTCCTCGTCGAGGTATGGCGGCTCGTTTTCGATCATCTCAATAGCCATGATACCGAGGGACCAGATGTCAACCTTAGCACCGTACTCCTTCTGCTTGACGACCTCGGGTGCCATCCAGTAAGGTGTGCCCACCATGGTCGCACGCTTGGACTTCTGGTCAGTGAGCTTCGCACAGAAACCGAAGTCGGCTGTGACGAGGGGTCAGCTCAAGCGAGATATTGCACCAAAGTTGGAACACGTACTGATTTTGACATGGCCTTGTGCGTCCAAGAGCACGTTGTCGGACTTGATGTCACGATGGATAATGCTCTGACTGTGCAGATGTCCAAGGCCCTTGCAAGTCTAGATCACCAGCACGGTCGTCAATCAACTGAGCCCCACACTTGACGACAGGAAACACGCGCCTCAAGGGATATACTGGCAATCTGATCCTCCTCTAGCGTGTTGTTCTCAATGATATCTGTGAGCGCACCGCCCTCCATGTACTCCATAACGACCCAGAGTTCGTTGTTCTTAATGAGGTACGATTCGAGAAAGTTGACAATGTTTGGATGCTGCGACTCCTTCATGACCAAGATCTCGTTGACAATGAGCTCCTTCCGCGGCTGGTTCGATAGGTCCATCTCCTTGATAGCGACCATCTTGCCAGTCGCAAGCGTCTTCGCAACGTAGACGTGTCCCGATGCACTGCAAACATATATGAGCCAGCCTGCACGTACTGTCTAGCAGTGGAAGACTCACCCTTGGCCGACCTTGCGAATCTTGCTGTACAGCGTCTTCGGGTTGTCCGGACTCACGACGTTCCGTAGTTTCTCCATGATCTGCGCTTCGTTCATTGTGCTTATCCGCTTCTCCTTCTCCTTCGGCTTCTCCAGTGCCGCAGCCGCCGCGGCGACACCACCGTCCTTCTTGTCCTTCTCGTCATCAGCGGCAGTCACGAATACGGCCGGGCCCTCCTTGTCCTTGGCGGGTACGTTCGGTTTCTTTGGCTGGAGCGGCTTGACGGGTGGCGGACCGACGGTCGCACCTGCGGCGCCGTTCACCGGCGACGTGGCGGGCTGGCTCGTCGCAGGGGATGTCTTGCTCGGGGCCATCTGCGGCCGCCTCTCCTGCGGCTCACGTGCATCGCCGTTGAGGCCAGGAGGCTTCGACACTTGCGCGTCGGCGCCGTGTGGGCCCTGGGCCTTCGCCCGCGCGCGCAGGTCAGCGGATGTCGGGGTGTGATCAGGGATCGAGGGCTTCGGTGCGGGGGGAGCGGGGCGGTTGGCGAGGAGCGGACGAGCTGGTGCGGGGCGCGATGGCGTGAGCGAGCTGGACATGGCCTGCCCGATGCCGGGCCTGATGTTCTGGTTCGTCTGCGCGGCGGATATAGTGTTCGCGTGCTGAACCGCGGAGCCGTTGACGAGCTCGGCCGCGCGCGCGAGGGCGGCGGGGGTGCTCGAGACGGTGTCAGTACCGTTCAGCCCTGTCGGCGCAGAGTCCTGTCGCTTGATGGACGGCCGACCGTCAAGAGACATCTTGCCCATGCCGCCTGCACCGCCGAGGCCCGTGCCTGCGTTGAATCGGGGAGCGCTGGAGGAATCGGAGTACGGCGACAGAGTCGTGCCGCTCATGCCGCTCATGCTGCTCGCACTAGAGGGGCCAGCAGGCGTCAGGGATGGCCCATAGCCTATGCCCATCTCCTCCATCTCCCGTTTCTGGTGGTCGGTGTAGAATTCCAGGACGTCCAGCACTGCTTGTGGATCCTTGGCATAATCTTCTCGCGTGATGGCAGACTTCGTAAGTAGCTTGCTCCATGCTTCGGGTAGGCCCTAGTAGAGTTCAGGTGTATGCTCGCTAGGCCAATTCAGCTATACCTACCGTGAATGCTCCAGAAACGGGATCGAAGCCAACATGGACCTTGTGAACAAAGTTCGTTGGGTTGCTTACGCCAGCCATAGGACTTCGAGAATAGATATCGTCTTGCCAGCCGTAGAGCTCCTCATCGTTCTTGAGAGACATGAACCACCGCTTGTCTTTCGTCTCGAGCAAGAGGCAATACGGCTTCAGGTCTGTCCGTTCGATGTTTGTGATATCGGACATTTGAATGAGGTATTGATAATGTGGGGACGACTGATTAAGACGTCAGTACGCTGTCTAAGGAACACCGGTAGACGACGGGAGGTAGAAATGTAAGCGCCCCTACAAGAGCCACTAACTCGCCTGCCATGTGCGAGGAACGCCAGCAAATATGGTCCCGTCAACATGATCAGGTCACCGCTGGCATAGGTCGTGACTGAGCGTGTCCTCCTGTGCGCCGAAGTCGCATACGAAGCACAGCCCCAGCACCGTCTGACGATCAATGGGATCGCGCGCTACATGGATGTGACAAGCATTCGACGCATGACAGTCGAGCTTCAATCCCTTTACCCCGCGTGTAGCGGGGTGAGCACGGCACAGGAGAGCAGGGCTGCGGGTCTCCTGCTCCCCGAAGGAAGACACCCTTGGGACAGATGAGCAACTGCCGAGCGCACTAAAGCAGCTGACCCGGGCCGTCAGCCAGAGGATTAATCAGCCACGTCGAGTCCCGGAATACGACAATGCCAATGCACAGATAGTAGACAGATGGCTGTTGCCTCGGGCAGCGTACCCTCGCCAATGGATGTGTGGCACCGTGTACAACCCATTAGTAAGTGTGATTTCTTGGTCGAGGTCTCGTCCAGCTCGTGGGTGCACGACATTGTGAATGTGCGGTGCGAAAGGACGCGTGGGCGCAACTATCTCCGCAGTGGTTACGGTATATGATCGCAGATGAGACTCACCTCGCTCTTGTGTATGGAGAGCGATCCCTCCTTCAACACCAACCACTTTGGCCGCCAAAGCCAGCTAACGAGGCCGTCCTCCTTCACAGCCACTACGCCCGCCCTGACGACCTCCGAGCCCGAGTACATGTCAGTGTTGCGGATGGGTGACGCGCCGATGCCAGAGTAAGAGGAAGCGTATGATGAGCCAGATGGGGAGGACATGCCGACAGAAAATGAGGAGGCGTAGCCGGACGAAGCGAGCGCGTTGCCGATGTCGGTTCCGCGACGCACCGGGGCAGCCGGTGCAGGTCGCGATGGTGTAAGGGATGTCGCAGTGACCTGGTTGAAGGCCATTGATCAAGAGACTCCTGAGACAGATATGCTGCCTCTTGTTGCCAGATCGAGGATGTGGTCGATGTCAAGACGGCGGGGCCACGCCGATACAGACCGCGGACGTATATGGGTCGTCGAGTCGAGACCGATGAGGCTGGGGCCCTGTTCGTCGTCGTGCACAGCGACGAGGACTTGCGGGCTTGAGGTGAGACACGATGAGCGGACAAGGCGCTGCAGTCCCGGGACTCGGGTATAGCCGACGCTTCGCTCAAATTGGCAAGGCAACCATCCCGCCCCTCATTTCTATGCACCCCTCAATTCCGGCGTAGATTTCTCTTCTCAACCGCTACCGCTCATCATGTCTGGAATTTTGCTTTCGAAGTCAAGTAACTCCAAATTTGCCTTTGCTGCCAAACGCTCTCCGACACCCAGGCTCCGGTCAATGAAATAACGACCCTCGAAGTGTATCATATGGCCTAGCGCTTTCACTAGGCCTTCTGCGACCTCCGCGGATACGGGCGGTCCGTTTTGCTGTGTGCAACACAGAGCTCGCTGTCGGCGACCACCCTCGCGCCAAGCGGTATCGATTGCCTCAGCGCGCGAGTTGGAAGCGAAGTTGGCGATAAGATCATGGTATCGGCTGGGATTGGACCGGGGCATGGACTCGGAAGCTGGTCGACTGCCTTCAGCGACATCTATCATGAGGTCAGTGCTTCGCAAGGAGGAACTGCACACGCGGAAACATGATCATGGTTCAGGTAAGTCCTCCTCACGAAGGGTGCTCGAACAGCTGCACTGACACGCCGTACAATTAGTACCTAGGTAGTCCACAGTTACCGACCGAGTAATCACGGTTGTCTTGGCTTGTTGTTAAGGTCTACGATTTCAATGCCAGGCACGTTCATAATAGCGCGTCAAGTAACATGAGATGCGCACACTACCGCTGTCACGGGCGATGCAGCTGGATCGCATACCATGCACGTTCTGTCTAGTAATCCGCGCAAGCCCCACAACGACCCGTAGCAGCTTGCATGTGATTTTGGGTTGCAAGAGGTTGAGGAACAGGCTCCCGATATCCAGTGAGTGGTGTTCGCCTTCCCCTCGCATGCTAAGCATGCCTCATAGCATTCGCAGGTTTGTCCGATACAGCGAATCGAATGTGCATCACTACCACCTCGGTCCGGCGACGGAACACGTCGCCTGCGAGGGCTAGATGGTCCGACTGATATTCGGAATGGCCATGCGCCGGGCCCCCGGAGGAATCGAAGGGAGGTAAGTGCGCAGATCGTGAGGCGAAGAGAAGGCGGCAGAGGAGATAGCAGCCCGGTCGAGGACCTCGCAGGCTACGCAAGAACCCATAAACAGTCTTTCGAAGCTACGCCCAGAAAAGGAATCCGAGGGAGGACCGGAGAGTGTCTCCGCGAGGGGGGTAGATGGATCACAGCGACGAGGACATGCCGCTCAGAAGCGTATCACAGGTCAGCGGACTCCCTTCCCAAAGACCACATCAGCCTCCTCCTCTACTCGCCGACAGAGTATGTCCCACCTCGCCGCTCCCTGAGGGAGTCCCTCTTCCAGAAAGTCGACACTCCCATCTACCAAAGCTGCGACCGCGGAGCCTGTGAGTCAGTCCATCACTATCATATCTATTGAGTGTCCGGGACATGACATAGGTCGAGCCGCAAACGTGATCAAACGAGCGGACGACGATCAGACCGCCGTTCCGATACAGCCACGATACAGGACGCTTCATTGCAATGTACGGCGCCTTGTCTCTAGCAGCTACCAGGAGACACGGAGGAGAAACGGATGCGGCGATGCCGATGCGCGGAAACCAGGTACTTTGAAAGAGGAATCAAGATGGGAGGGGAGGATTTTCGTGAGCTCTCATTGCTCAGGACGCTACTATACTCGATACATCACACACCACAGGGTACGGCTGACGGACAAGCACAGGGACAAGGAAGGAGGGGGAAGGACAGTGAGAGGGCACGGTGGTCTTGATGTCTACATAGCGTCGCCCCAGTGACAACCGGAGAGAATAAGACAGGTCTGTACGACATGCCACATTAAAATCGTTGACTCCGTTGAGACCAGTCTGACCTGCGTACTTACAGGGAGGTTCCTCGGCATCAGACTACTCCTCCCTGTGCTCACCACTGGAGTGGCATGGTGATCCAGTACTCGTGGTCACCGAACCTTCGTATCGGACACGCTTCGAATTGGATGTCCAATGACCGCGGGGGGCATTGACACGCACTTGAAACCGGTAATAGCTTATCCTCATATGTTTGAGAACACCGAGATCTCATTTCCCGCGCCGAGACCTCCTGACAGCCGCCCTCGAGAACAATAAGGGAGTCAAAAGGAGTCTACCACGCGCACCCGGAAGCGGGCATCTTGACTTCACCCGCATGCCCGACGTGGAAGCGCTGCTGTTACACCACACACGTGACCGCGTGCTGTAACAATAAAGCAGGCCGGATATGTCGGGATTCAACGATCCGCATGCGCATCGAGCGCAACGTGTCGCGTCGCGCCGACAAAGTCCCGCCTAATCATAGACGAGACCGCCGTCGGTGTGCAGATGGAGTCATTGACGGCGATGTCTCTACGCGGATCGTTGCCCGTATAACTCCCATCCGAGTTGGTCGCCCGATCGCGACATGATGGTATCTCTATGGTGCTCTTGACTCGTTGGGCGGACAATAGCCTGATGCAGCGACCGTGTCATCCTCGAGACGTTTCGGCGCCCTTGAGAGTGGCTCAGCGGCCGATAAGTAACATCGTGTGTCCAAGTCGCTGCAACAAGCTACGTCGACTCACGGACGCAGGTAGTCCATCATCACTCCTTTGACAATCCTTCACGTTTTCAGTGCATCAGGCCCGACGGAAGTGCTGGCAGGCCGCCACTCGGATCGGTATCTGGGCAGACAATAGCTTCTCCGGCGTGCCTTGATCAAGGTGAGTGCGTACGATCACGACGCGGTACGCGTACGGTTAGCCGAGACGCGACATTGGGATTTCGCAGGACCCGAGTTTGGTGCGGGACGCGTACAAGTCACATCCTTGCATCCGGCCGCGTCTGTCAACGTCCGTCCGTGGTTGTCAAATCCGTAACGCCTGCGGCCACGCTACGCCCCCTATTGTCTTTCGTTGCAGAGGTCCGCGCCACGATCTAATTCAGCGCACATATATACCTTGAGAGGCCAGCTTCTGCCTCACTGCAAGTCTTCCGGACCTTTCACGACCCACCCCCTTCGGTACCCCCTCGTCCTCACCGGCCTTCCTCGCCACTCCTCGACACATCGCAATGGACGCGTTCACATTCATCGCTCTCGATATCGCCGCGCCGCTCCCGTCCGAGGAGACCGAGACGAGCCAGGTGCCGTCGAACTATGACCGGACCAACGGGAACGCAGGCTATGTCTGCACGATCGCCTGAGCACTGCGCTCAGCGACGACTTTGACGTCTCTGCTCATCAGGTATGTTTTCCCGCCACTCCTGCGGCTCTGTCGGCTATTTCTGACGCGCGCACAAAGGAGCGAGACAACGGCTACCCTCGCATCGGCAGTTCCCTCCTCATGCCATTTTATTCCCATCTCCACCTCGCATGCACCACCGATTGGCGCTGTGCGCACTGGCGACGCGCATAACATTATCCGCAACTTCGTTCACGACTTCGCATTGTACTTTATCGCATTCACTCTGACGGACTCTGGGAGGATGCGGCATTAGGCCGCCGCGGCTGGCATGGGCCGTCGCGCTTTGGGGAAGGGTTAGGCGTACTGGATTCGGACCAGGACTTGCATTTTGCCACGAACAATATACGACCGTGATGATTGGACTAGCTGGTGTGATGGTCGATGTGACCGACCGATGGAGAGGCGCAGGCTGGTTACTGCTGCCTACGATTGTCCGGGTGCTAGGCTTATCTGCTGGCAATACACTCTTTGACGCATATACATGAGGATTGAGCGCGTCGCATCGTAAACTCCGTAGGGCTGTAACGGTACGTGCTTGAGTTATACGGACTGTCGGGGCAACACATGCCTGCCTGTTTAAATCTCAGGCCTCTCCGAGGCTTCTTGGGCATGCCGACATCGTCGATGCGTCACATCCATACGACAGTTGCCTGTTCTGCGAATACGAAGGAAAGGGATACCTGGCTGACCGTACGCGACCGCCGGTGGGGGGGAGGGATATCCGTGCTTGCTACGCCGACTCAGAGTCTCTGTGGATGCTCCGGACAGGGGTCCCATTGAAACCAGCTGCACGGGGAGTCAGGGGCTCTCTTGTTATTGAGGGTTGAGAATAGGAGCCACTGGCTCGCCGCCACAACGACCAGCGCTCGATGACGGATTAAGGACAGAACATCGTGTTCCTGGCGCCGTGCACCGTGGCGTCAGCGTTGACGTTGAACATTGAACCAGTACGGGCGGGCTGTGCCTTCGTTAAAAGGGCTGCTTTGCCACGTGAAAGCTCTTCACGAAAGCGCATGTGAAGAGATACAAATATCTATTTGTTCGGCCGAGTACTAAGCAATGCACTCAACCAGCCTGCAAAGGGCATACCGATCATGGGATCCAGATTCTATGACGATGAAACAAAACATTACCATCTCATTCTCGATCTGCTCCTGTAGACTCCCTTACGCTGTATAGCCACATAGTTGAGCGCAGTCTAGCAGCGGATGTCAAAGCCACAGGATCTTCAATGGGCCCAAGCCAACGATACGATCTTCTTGTCTTCATTGCACCGTCGCAATAGCCATAAATACGGGAGTGATCTACGGGGACTCGGAGCGGCAGCGACAAAGTCAGCATTGCAGACCAGCCGCTACCACCTTTCGACGCACCGGACATCTTACCCTCCGAGTCTTTGCCTTCCTTCGCCTTTCTTCGCCTCCGGCATGGACACCTTCATCGACATCGCGGAGCCTATCCCCGATAACACCGAGCATACCCCGACCAACTACGACCATGGAAGCGGTAACGCAGGTTATAGTTGCGTTGTAGCGTAGATGGATTTCTGCTTGAACCAATTGTGAGCAGCGTCCTCTCTATTTACATTCTTGTGGCTCACCTGATGGTTTTGCACTCTCGCAGGGCATGATTTCTTGATGCGAGTTGGTCAAAATTTGTACTTGGGCTATAATACCATCGCAGAGAATGAATGACATACTCTTTCCACGTTTTCCTGGCGAATTTAGGCTGTGCCTCAACCACCGTCACGGTAACCAGATATCACTTGTTAGGTCAGAGAGGCTTGAAGCGACGCTATATTGAACTACTCACCAGGCCATGAACCTCGAAGGAAAAGGGTGATTGGTATCCTGGATCGCAACGTCTCTGTGTTTCCGATTGGATTAGGCAGGCTCAATATGAAAGGTGAGCAGACCGTAAGCTCTGCCGCGGATCGCTTTGCGCTTCGAATTCAATGCCTCACGTGAGCACAAAATATGAAGTCAAATGTACACACAAACCCTTGATCATGAGTGTCGATGCGGATTGACGCGGGCATCCTACGCCTTGAGGTGAGTACGATCCACAGTGTATATCATCGAGTCCATGTCGATATGTCGGCAGCCCCGACCGCCCTATCGTTCCGCGAATGCAGCTGACCACCCGCTGACTCGCTCTTATCTGCACGCTCGAGCAATTTGCGAACACCAACAGCGGTCCACGAGCACCGTGCTTGATACTTCAGGTGAGTATTAATTGATGCCGCGGCGAACTGACATGCTCACTTAGGACCGTCCGTCTAGATCCATTTCAAGCAGAGTGGACCTTGATGCGTGTGTGCCCTGTGCGTCCTCCTTTGAGCCACCCTGAACGACCCAAACGTGGAGAGCACTACACCCGTTGATCCCACCAGGAATCGACACGGTGGAGACTTGCAGGACCTTGCATTCTTGCCATATACGGGTTGTATACGGGCGCGTGTACTGAAGCATTCCATCAATCGGCGGCGTCAATGCCTAGCGATGACAGAACTCTATCATCTGTGACCTTGTCTAACTTGTGTCCAAGGTATGCGAGGCACATGGGACCCCTCGCGAAGTGCACTCGATGGACTACTAGTGCTCTTGTCGGTTTCCCAACATGGGCGATTAAGGCCGTGCCGCCTATTGTGTACCGAACGCCTGCTATCTCTTGAGAAGGTCATGCCGACGGCGAGGATAAAGCTTCGAACATATGCTCCCGTACTACGAGCTCTGCAGCACCGGTAGAGCCCATGGCCCATCCTCGAGCGTATAAGAAGCTCTGATATACTGCCATCAGTCCCCAGTCAACTCGACCGCATACCTCTCAGCACGACTCAGCAGCCATGCAGTTCAACATTCTCGGTCTCCTTGTTGCCCTCATTGCCCCCTTCTTCACCATGGGTATGGCCGATCCTGCGCCCGCCATCGGCTCATACTACTTGATGGGTGAGCAACGGGACTGCATGCTTGGCCCGCAATCCCGTCGTCCATATTACTGATTGCATTGTAGCAACTGATGTGGACGCCGCCCACCCTACTGCTCCGACTCGCAACGGCGGGCCCGCTTGCCATGATAACTCATGTCATCAATAGGCTCCTTCGTCCAATCAGACGAGGTTCGCATGGTCATCCCAGCGCTGGCCATGACTTCATACGGGTGCATAAGTTAAAGCATCGTCGAGATCATCCGATTGTAGAGGTAAGGCTCACCAGTTGCGACGTTGATAATTAGAGCGCTGAAGATTACGGTCATGCCAGACCTCACGACGTTCCTCCGATGGATATGAAGTACTTATACGTAGCCGCGCTATAAGCCGGTATGTCATCTTGTCGGTCCAATTTGGAGGCGATTTCCGAGATTGTCGCAACATCGGCTGCGATTAGAGCAGCCGAGTGAGCATGTAGAAACAAGCGAAGGGGCAAATGATATATTTCACAGCTACTCGTGAATGCGCGACTCTAGAGGATGGCGTTCGATATCCGCGCTCGGTATCGTGTTGCGGATCATCGCGTCTCGCAAGTGGACCTACGTACCCGACATCTGCAAGAATCAACGACTTTCTGAGGTCAGTAGCCGTATTCCAAGCGGCGTACATACAGAACCTTCGAGGATGACAGGATGTCTCATCCGTCTCAGGAGATGCCTCAAGACATCGCAGAAACTCTTGGGTCTGTAGTGAGCTCGTCATCCAGAGCCTGAAGCATCGCTAAACTTACACTCACATCTCGAGCCTTCTGCGTTCTGATGATGGCGGGTGTCGCCGTCGCCGCCGCGGTTCCCGCGCTCAATCCTATTGAACGTGTCAAACATCATTCGTCCGCCTATACACAGGTAATGGCCATGCAGCTACAGCTGGCTCACCTTCTCAAGAGCTTCAGCGGTGAATCATTTGGACGCCGTCTTGCGGTTGCCATAAGTTTCGACATTCCATGTGGGCTGTAGTGACGCTGCTCAGCGCACGCATTCGTTTGGATTGGAAAAGGGTGCGCATCCGCAGGGAAGATGAAGCAGTCGCCATACACGGCTACTGAGCAGCAAAAAGTGATGGCGAAGACGCATATGCAAACGCCGAGAATCGAACTCGGGGCGGGTCGACGGTCGATGTGGCAACGACCCAGGTTACCACTACCCCACATTTGCTCGACGATTTTGCCTGCGGGCACGTAACGGGCCACGGGTATGGTTGACGGGACGTCCGAGGTTCGTTTGCCGCGCGCCTCGGGCATCTGCGGGCCAGGCCGCTTACGTAAACTGACCTCGCAGACAGTGTCTCGCTAGTATTTGGCTGCTTTTTCAATAACGGACACAACTCAGGATGCTGAAGAATACCATACCGTGCTTTACTGGCTTTTCCGGGTGTCGAGATCGAGTTCTGAGATGCACTGTCCGCAAAACCGCCATTTCTGCGCACGGACAACATAAGCGCCGGTGATAACGGGCATATCAGTGATCTAATCTGACATGGCTACCTAAACGGGCGGTCTTCGGACAGATTACTATGTCAGGTTGCGATGCTAGTATCTGAGTAGTATGTGCCTCACTGACATTCCTTGGTTATGCTAATGTGCATCGGGCTGGACAAGTTTTGTGCTTGAATGTTATTGATTTCTCGGACGAGCAGGTGATCTCCAGCTACATCTACCCATTTAGGCAGCGAACTCAGATAAGATCACTGATGTGCTCATTATCACGGGCGCTTACAGCATGTCTTCCCAAAATGACCATTATTACGCGTCCTTATCCCACACAGACCGGGAAACCTACTGAAAACATCTGTAAGGTCCATATAAATCGGTTCAAATGCACCAAGAGTGTGTTGGGCAGTCCGACACGAGCGAGGGACACTGTGCGAGCGAAGCTTACGTAAGCGGCCTGGCCCGCAGATGCCCGAGGCGCGCGGCAAACGAACCTCGGACGTCTCGCCAACCATACACGGGTCTCGGCCGAGAAGAAACTCATTCTCAATATGGTATGTACATTGTACATAGGTGTAATCCACTGTAGTGAATAGGCTTGACGGTCACCTGATCTCAGTCTCGGCTACTCATTCCGGCGTCGGACAAGCTGTCTGAGACTCTGAGACTCTAGTCTCTGAGTCCAGTCTCGACCAGTCGCTGACCTGACCCTCGCCATCTACGCTTATCTATAATACAAGAGGCGTGAAATTCGCACGGGAGACAAAGAGAGCATCTGATTGGCTGAGAGACGAACACCGAGCGCCGCCCGAGCCCCAAGCGCTCTCTCATACGGCCTGACTGGCACTGCATGCTGCCCTCCGTCCCGACGAGTCGGGACTCCCCACTGCACCTGGCGGCACTTGCAACTCGACTCGGGATTCTTAGCAATTCTAGAGCTCACAAGCACCCGCAGGACTTCTCAAACTCTCATTGGCCGTACTAACAATGGCACAGGCTCGCCGAACTCTACGATGTGCGCAAGCCGCATGTGGCATACTGACGGTCGGGTGAGAGAGGAGACACGGGAGAGCAAAACCTGAGCTCCATGAGCTTGGCAAGCAACCGGTTTGTTTTCCTTGACCATCGCAATAGTACTGTCGCTAATTGGAATCGAGAGGAGCTATTCCGAAGCTCCCCTACTGCAATAGAACATCCTCCGCACGTGCATCTTGACGCCGTTGTGCATCTGGCTTGGAACGGCGTGCAGATGAGCAAGAACACCCGCCAGACGCATGCGAGCACTGAGACGACGGCAAGATGTGGCATTTGGATGACCTAGCGGCCAGCGAGAAGACTTAGGTAAGCAGGAACACTGTGATATCGGTGCGGGAATGCAAATGGGAATGTTGAATGATGACAAGGAGGACGAGGAGGAGGGGGGGATCCATTTAGCCACCGGCCGATAGCGCACGCGCGTCTCGACTTCTTGACAGAGTAGGACAACAGCACGAATCGTAGAGAATGGCGTGCGGCATGCAGACATCCAGATAGCAAGGCAAACATGGGCGGGGAAAGTGATGGAAAAACAAGGTGTGCGATAGTGCTTCGACGAGTTGCAGGAGTGCTCCGAGTGCTCCGAGCATGGACGAGAGGAATATGGCGAGCAAGCATAGCGTGGTGATGAGCTCGCGAAGCCAGTGTCTACCGAGGATGGCCCGGCGAGCATCAGCACGCAGTGGATAGCTTTCAGCAGGCACTGACGACGGCTTTGCCAAGTGAGAGAGGCGACGAGTGTGGAGGGCGGACACGAACAAGCGAATTGCAAAGTACCTCAGGCTCGCTATCGGTGGCTTCGGATAAGTAGCAAAGTATAGAGAGCAAGATACAAGTGTTCAAGTGAATCTGTCTAATTGTAGGGCTGCAGCTCGCCGGTGAGTGCATATGCAATGATATCGAGTCCGTGCACGGGGCCACAAAACCGCCTCCCTCCGGACACGGCTGAGTGGACCTACCAAATTGTCGAGCTCACTATATAGGCCATAGGCAAGCTGGGTCAGATCGTATACCTCAACTTTGCAGCGGCGTTTCAGCGAGTCCACAACGCAAGACCATCAACAGCTACGCAAGAGACCGCGAAGCCGACTCCCGGACTCGGAGGGCGCGGCTTCGTGGCCTTTCGGCTATTTACAGTAGTCATCTTTCCACTCTCAATGCAATACAAGTTCTTTGTATCCCCGATCTCTGAGATCCGGGTGCTCTCGCCCTATCATAGCTGCATGTTGCATATGTAGCCGTAGCGGAGCACGGGCATCGGCTAGTCTATAATACAAGAGGCGTGGAATTCGCACGGGAGACAAAGAGAGCATCTGATTGGCTGAGAGACGGACACCGAGCGCTGCCCGAGCCCCGAGCGCTCTTTCACCGCGCGCTGCGGCAAAGGTCATCGTCGCGTCTCTTGAGTCTTACACTCTTTCTCTTCGTTGTTTACCACGATGATCATTCCTGGATAATTGGCTGGTGACGGGGCCTGGCGGTCTCTACTCAACAACATTTTACAGTGTCCTGCACGACCGGGGAGAGGAGGATATGCTTAGGAAGAGCCCGAGCATTCAAGTGAGCGCGACAAGGAAGGTTCGTTCGTTCATCTGCCTCGATTCGGACACGATGTCCTTGACCCGTGGTACTGCTGTCATCAGGACTCAGTGAGACCAGTTGGAGACACGAGCTCATCACATGCTATGGATGGGTGTAGTAATGAAGACAGCCTGTGCTCAACGACCTCACGCCGGAACGTGCTGCACGTATGCATTCTGTTCTGCTTTGACTCGCAAGTACTGATCTGGAACAAGGTTTGGACGAGCAAGAAAGGAACATGAGAAAGCGGACGGAACCAGAGGCAATTGACATTCGCACGGATGACCTAGGCATCAACGAGAAAGACCCAGACAAGCAGAACAGTATGCTGCGTGCAGACGCAGCCGGCGAGCGCACCGCGGGCACGCTAGCAAAGGAGAGGCAAGGAAGATGAGTGCAGATGCATGCGAGCAAGCGAGCTAAATGCGGGCCCAGCAGGTGCACACCGCTGAGGACAGGGCGAGCCGGACAGTGGGTGGGCACACGCGGGCGACGAGACGCGTGGCGATTGCGAGCGCAAACATGACCAACAAATGGACTGCGAGCACGTACTATAGGGACTCGGAAAGAACGGGCGAGGGCGAGTGGAGGACGGTGGGCGAAGACGAGGTGGCAGCGGCGGCGGCGGGCAGGGCCGGCGCGCGGCAATGCGACACACATGGCGACGGCGAGCATGCAGGGCGAATGACCTGTGTGCAAGCGCAGCCTGCCAGCGGATCACAGCCGAGTGTGCAGATGAGAGCAAGTGCGAGCAGACGGTGGGAATGGGAGGGGAGGGTCAGAGGATAGTAGGGACGGGCGAACGCGAGGGTGGGCAAATCGCGGAAACGGGCAACTGTGAAGGCGAGCAAGCGGGAGGAGGAGGAGATGGTGATAGTGGAGGAGAGAACGGCGGGTGCGGGCGCAAGTGGGCGAACCCGCGCATTCAACAGGTAGGGTACGGGTAGCCCTGTACGCGGGTTGCGGGCGCGGTATGCACCCTGCGCACCCGCAGGTGGCCTGCTGCCTGTGTCCAACCCTCAGAGACATTGTCTAACAGTCTACCACTACTTATTAACAAACCTCGCAGGTCGTATCATTCCGTGAATCTTAGGTTGAAGCAGGAGATCATCCGGTGCCAGTGATTTGTGCAATCAGAATCACAAGTACTGTTCTGAGCTGCATACTGTACGCATACTATTCACCTCATATATATATAGCTTGGTGAAATAGCTTGGTGAAATGGAGGCAGCACGGTCTATAGCCGTAGCGGAGCACGGGCTTCTGCTAGTACTGTAATACACTGCTGCTGTAGTGCGCTCTCAAGCTTTTTCTCAAGGAATGGACGGTCTCTTCGCTGAAGATGTATACGTCACTCAGGACGTCGCCTGGCACACGCAAGCATTTTTACCAAAGAGCAGCGCTGTCAGTCTGTCACTCAGCTGGCACGGTTGCATTCACTTGTTTTCAAGCTCCTCAACAGTTGATGATGAGCGTTTCAAGCGTAAGACTCTGAACGCCATATATTTACGCACACACGCTGAGCTCGAACACATGCATCACAGGTCGTGACTCGGTCTTCGCTATACTGAATCAGTTGAGACAAGGTGACTAGCCACCGCGATTGAACCTGAGACCTGAGGCCTTGAGGCCTGAGCACTCGGCGGATGCCAAACTCTAGACTGCGACTGACAGCCCCGTCACCTTGCGCGGCGTGCCAGGTTTGCCGGTATCCGACCATGCGGTTGTGTACGCTCTGGCTCATCTAGGAATGACACATGTCCGGAAGTGCGCAGACAGCATCTGATCCATAGTCACCTCCGTCTACCGCGTAGTGCTTGTTCCTTGTGAGTGTGGCGCCTTTGAAATTACTCTCTACAACTCAAGTAATCTATGGAACGCAGACTGGACGAGCAAACAATTCTAGTTACTGACCATGCGGCACGAGAGTTGAGTCAGTCGCCGGATCCCGTCGAACCTATTGACAGTCAGTGAAGGACGTTGTTGCCCAGTATGACAACGTGGGAGGTTCGCCTTGTATCTATTTTTACTATCTCTCATGAATGACACAACTCACACGATTGGAGTGCCAGGAATGACAATGACGACGTCGTATACGGGGAGAAGCGCAGGATTTCCATTTGGCCGTGCCGCCCAAAAGCCTTGCATAAAAGCTCGTGAGGACGCTTCGTCCGACCTCTGTCCTCACCCGACACTGGAACACCATGCAGTCAAAGTACATCTGTCTTCTCTTCGCTGTAGTATTGCCGTTCGCGACGGTAGCGATGGCTTCCCCTAAGCCGGTACTGGGTACGTGGTCTCCCGGTTGAGTACGTACTGGTCAGCACGGTGCTGATTATTCCCATGTAGTCGACAATACCCTTGAAATGCTTGCTAGGGGCGAAAATCAAGCGTGTGGGGGCGGTGCAAACTGCTGCAACGAACACCTATGCTAGCCTGCCCTGATGTTGGGATGCCTTTCGCCTTAAAGCGTGCGGTTTACATCGCCATGATTCAACACGAGTTGTGACCTTCCTACAGTCTTTGAAGTCGGGGCTGTGCTTATAGCGTATAAAGCATGGATATGTCTAGTCGGGCCGGTACATAGGTACATTGATTGCCTCACACGCAACAAGTGCTGGATCGACGGAATGTTTCGTACGATGTCTACGGTGCCGGTTTGTTGCCGTTTATATATGTAGGCTGATGCTCCTCGCAAGCGAGACTTGCGTGCCTGTGTCTACCCTCTTCATGCCGCCGTTGGGGCAGTCGATTGCGTTACGTCTGATTCGCTCCTGTAAGAAGGAGTGGGCTCCGTCCCATCCTACAAACACGTAGGGATGACTCTTGGCATTTGCTTCGCGCCGTAATGCAGAGGTGCAAGCTGGGCATGTCCGACGTATTTCTTTCTCCTTTCCATTCCTGACGGAGCACATGGCATCGTAGAAGTATACATCGGGTGAGTACCTGATGGTCTATCGACTGGGCATAGTCGCCAGTGCTCATTTCATTCAAAAATGCGATGTAATGAGACGTGGAATACGTTATCAATGTATCGAATGTTACGAACGGCGTGAGGGTCTCGCCCTTCAATGGCAATGATGATATAGCACGAATCTGCACGACCGGGCTAGCCACGACTGTTCAGCACAAGCCCACGCATGTCATACTACCCTTCTTCAGGGTATCTGGTGACTCCGTTCGCAACTGAGGTAGCGCATCATGGCCAGCGTATGCTCAGTGAATACTATTTGCACGCTCTTTCTTAGGTACATAAGCTGAAACTTACAGAACGCTCGAGTGTAGTTCCGGTATGTGTAGGCCGCGCAGTGACAGCGAGCTTGACGCGTCGAACACCAAGTCTGCACAACATCTGTCAGCTTCAACCCCGCGACGAAACAGAATTCAAAACCTGTCATGCTGAGACACAGTCAGATTCCGGCGTGCCTCCCCTATGTATCTCGAGCTTTATAACAACCAGTCATACGAGTACTAAGTTGTCGTATCTGTCAGTGTAAGCACAGCCTCTTCTCGAGACGTGATGCGCCCAGTTCTCACTGATGCAGTCTTGTCAACGTACGTTCTCATTCGTCCGAATGCATAGCAGTGGAAGGAAAGCTCGGCCTCGTGAGACCGAGAGCGTAGTACCTCCACCACATTGTATTGGCGCTTACAGTCAGTATAACGAATATTTAATGCGGGCCACTGTCAGGCGGCCGTATCATCTGCCTTCTCTTTTCTTCCCTTTTCCCTTCTTTAATTTTCTTGGTGATTGACGGACGACATGCATTACAAGCGCCTGAGCCTTCTCTTCGCCTTCGGTGCATACCTCGTCTCGAGTGTAGCCAGTTTTCCTGTTCCTGTACCCGATATTGTTGAGTGCCATCATATTGTCTGTATTCATACACGCACTGATCACGATGAACACATAGTATCCACGCTTGACGAACGTGACGAATCTAGAAGGGCCACGCCCTGACACAGCCCACAGGCTCCGATATGACGAGAGCCGGCACTAACCAGGCGAGGGTCGCTGTTGAAGTATATTATGTAAGTCATCACCGTGCCTTCTGAACGAACAAAAAGTAACGGTACCTCCAGTAAGTTCGGAGCACCTACACGGCCTATCTGACAGGACACTATCATTCAGATTTCACTCCTTACCTTGCCATGACTGTATTTGAACGCGCACTGTACTGCAATCTGATGCAATCCCTGGTGCTCGATGAGGCCTACCCTCGCCCAGAGTATATCCGCCACGGGGATGCGTGAGGCATTAGCATGGCAGCTGTGCTGTGTGATTTGTTCGCGCCTGACAGGCTGGGCAATTGAAACGTCAGGGACGCGGCAGATGACAGAACATGCGTACCAGATCGACCATGCCTGGGCCACCCAAAATACTATCGGACATCCATGTTAGCGTCATCAATGGACCAACGTACTCACTAAGAGACGAATCGTCCGAGACGACCATGCGGGACGACCGGGTGCCCAAACAACTCGCTGCGGGACCGCTCAGCATACCAGTCCGGAAGGAGGCGACTCGCACCCATGCATCGTCCGAAGTTTATTGTCTTTGTGCCGCCCGCCATCTGATGCGATTGCGGCCGCACATCCGTCTACATATCTCGTGCACGTACGGGACGCCAGAAGTGGGACGGGCAGAGAGCGGTACGACATCTATAGGCAAACATAGGCTTACTAGCTGACGAGCCTCTCCGAAGCCGATAGTCTGGGCAGGTACGTCCATCATGGACGATAGATGTAGTCTCCACCGTCCGGCTTAGATGGCCCCAGCCGCCGCGAAAGTCTAAGATATGCTAGTACATGAGCGGGATGAATACGTCGTGACATAAACGTAGTGACTTACACATGCCCTCAGCCTGCTTCTAGTCTCTTCATGAGGCTATAACAATAACAGATGCAGTGAGTTGGACAGATATTTTTGGGTACACAACGCCAGAGGCCTGAGGCGCGTTACGTGCGTAGCACAGTATACCAGCGAATGCGAAGCCACCTCTTGTCAAGGAAATTTGACCGTAGCGATAGACTTGATGAGCGACTATTGCCACGACTCAGAAGAGATGATCTGATTGACACATGCATGTATCTCGCTTACCTTCTAGTGCGGAAATGCCGTTGCACCGTCAATGCACAGAACAATAAGGACGGGCGCCATTGGCCCACGGCTTACCACGGCTGGGACGGATCCCGGCCGCACTGCGCCTTTTCGCAGGGTACAGGGAGCTAAGCCATACGATATGTGAGAGACTGTACATTGATTGACCTGCATTTGCAGGAGCCGCGGCTCCTGTTTGAGGCGAAGTTATGCAGCGGGCAAGGCGAGAGGCTTGTGGCGTTGTGAAAACTTGCCAAATCTGGGCAGGTACGCGAACAGATCTTGAGATCTGTTGGATCGCCGGCGCCCCGCCTTCGCCCGATTCCCTGACGGATCGTGTGGAGGAGTGGTGCGTGTTGCTCCCCGAAACAATCAAAGGCTCCCGGAGTCGAGGCCCGAGTGAGGCATAACAATAAGAGTTCACAGAAGAGGAAGTGGGGAGGAGGATTCGCTACTTACGCCGGTGGCGTGTCAAGGTAGTAGTCCATCGATGCGCTGCGTGAAGGCCCATCGCTGAGTATCCGGAGCTGGAGATGTCTGTCCGAGAATCAAAGTACTCCTTTCGATGCCAAGGGCTTGAACTGGCCTGCACATCTAGCGTGTACATCACAGTTAATCGACATACGTGCAACCAACCGCTGCTAACCTTCAAAATCAGAAACAAGAGTCAGTGTGCTGCTAGGAGCGACGTGATATGACTCACACCCAAGAGGGCGCACCCATAGATGATAGAGTTGCCTGACATGAGAAGGGCTGACGCAAATCTGAAGCTTAACTCCCGATGAATCTATCAAAGTTGCAAGAGTCCCCCCGGCCTGCTTCGCCTGACAGGACAATAAAGAACCAATCATCACGCACCGGCCCTCGCTGAACAAGGAAGCACGAGTCCAGTGCCGACTCATCATCGACTTGCTATGAGCGCCTCCGTTATTGTCTTGCGCGCAACGCCATGCGTGCATAAATACTGGGCTGGAAGACGGGAACGACAGCGACTCAGCCAATTCGACGTTCCAGTCTTCGAGACTCACCGCCCAACACCTCGGTGCTTCTACCTCCAGAGACATACTACATCTTCACCTCTCAGGAGCAATGGACGCGTTCTTCGACATCGCTACTCCCGTCCCCGCCGAGGCCGAGGAGATCGAGCAGGCTCCCGTCAACTACGACACTGGGAGCGGCAGCGGCAGCGGTAGCTGCACGATTGCATGACTGGATTTCTCACCTTTGTAAGCCCCTTGTCTGCGGTTGTCGATGACGCTCTGCTGACATTGTCGCGTGTAGCTGGGCGCACTTGCTCGCCCACACCTATGATCACGTTCACGACTCGCGCACCTTCGGTTTTCGCGCCCCACACACCCGTTTGCAAGCCTTCGTTCTCGATTACCCTTAAGTTATTCCATTCGAAGTTTGGGAGCAGGATGGGAAGAGTGGTGGAACTCATCGGCTACCTTTTATCCTTGTCCTGGGTTACCCCCAGTCGACGCCATCATGACGAGAGGAGAGTAGTGGACGCCAGTGTACTTGTATTGCCTGGATTATCGCACATTCGCTGATTGCGAAGTTCTATGCTTGTATGCTTGAAGTGGGATTCCTCTGTCGCGAGCATTGGAAGACGGACGACATAGCTCCACCGGTATGCAAATCTCTCAATACTCAACGCCAGCGGGAGGTGAACGAGTCCGCGATGATTGCGAAAGCAAGAAATCTGCAAGGAGCAGTTCAATGTTCAGAGCTGTTGCGTCCTAGAGAGTCAAACAGTGCGTACCTGGCTTTCGACGGGAGCTCTTCCGATGCAAATCAAGTTCATCAGGTTGCGGTTGATCAGAATCGCATGTGCCGCCTTGAACTGTATGCAAATCAGACACCACTCATCCGGGTGGTACTATCATGTGGGTCCTGGTGTGTAGTTCATAGTAAGAGTAGAGCGTGATACGTGTGTGTCGTCGCGAAAAGCAAGAACGAGGGACGGTGCCTGCAGTGTAATTTATTATATTATAGTATAATAACATCTGATGCATTACGTAATTGTGACATAACTGTTACGTCACTCTACTTAACTCACAACAGTCACAAGTGGCGCTGTACTACCACCCCGGGTAATAGCAGAAGACATTGGAATGTTGTATGGATTTGTACAGCGAGCTTGATGTCCTATGGAGTTCGTGAAAAGTGGCCAGCGAGACACGCCTTCATGTTTGTCAGTCGCGATATGGTTCGTAGCAATCGAAGTCACGTCAGATGGACAGTGAAGCTAGGGAAGTCTCGCGCATCGCTCATATCGCGCGGACTGATGTGCATCGGGCCTTGATTTCCTGACCGAGTAGATGAGAGGAGACAACGTCATGTAGAAATAAGGACGTAGCAGGGACACCACAGCTCGAACACGAATATTTATAAGTTACTTGCGATACATACGGTGGTGAATGCGAAGTCAAACAATAACTGTACACTACAATAAGGGTCATCAGAAGGAGGGCGAGAGCGACAGTATACGCTCATTTGTGCAACCGACGTTCAAATACACAAAGCATCATGAGCACGGCAACAGCGAAGAACGGCCATGCACGTTTCCCACTCTCCCAGATAGCCAGCGGCGATGAAGCGATCTCGGGGACGCCGTAGACGCACGTGGCGGACAGCAGCTCTCTGCTCTGAAGCGAGGCGTTGGAGGCGGGGGCGGAATCGGCATCGAATCGTAACACAGCCTGTGCTGTGAGGTCTTCTCCGCAGAGCTCTGCGTAGTCTACTGGAGGGTCGGTATGCGATCGATCGAACGGGAGCGGGAAAACTCACCATTGAGTTTCGCGGGTACAACCAGCGCAAGAACGTTCGGTGCTGCGCTCGACCCAACGTCGAGCTGGCACTGTACGCATTCGTGAACGGCCATGGGCCGCGCAGTTGCGCATGTACATGCAGCATTTCTGGAACAGTTCTGCGGATGGCAGTCGTTGGTAAGGGATGTAGCACTGAGCGAGCGTTGCACGACTTACCTGGGCATCCAGAACGGGCTGGCAGGTAGAGATACACTACAACGCGGAAGAGTCAGCCATAGATTCGACTTGGATAGCGCACTATGCGCACCTCTTCTGCTATAGCGTATGAAGTCTCACTACCGCATGTTGAGAGCTCTACCGCCACACTGAGAGAAGGCCTGCTCTCCACGCTGGGCAAAGCTATGGGCGCGGTTAGACCAGACCTAGTGGATCAACGGGGTCACGTACCTGCCCAACCAAACACAAGTGAGAAGAAGAAACGTGGCGAGACGTGCATTTTTCGTCAAGTTGGGAGGAAGGAGGGTCGGAGTGTAGAGGGAGCTAAATAGGCGGAGGAGACTCGTACAATGAGCGCCGCTGAGAGGGGGGTGCGGGGATAGAAGACGCGAGCATGCTGGCCGCACTGCTTAAGACTCTGGCGCATCTCTCATGCAGTATCGCTACAACGGCCGCGAGACAATTGAGACAATAAAGCAGTTACGTAACGGGCCGCTTCGTAGCCACGGCCCACGGTCCGTGTGATCGCTCGAGAAGCGGGCAAACTGCCTATCTCGGACAAAGCGACTCATCACTCGTGCCTGGAAGGGCTTTGGGAGTGCCCGTCCCGCGACTAGTCACTCAGACATCGGGGAGTCATTGGGAAGACGAAGGAGACCCCCTTAGTTCACCAGGGGTCCACCATCGTATCGGTAACAAAACTTGCTGGGAACAGTACGCGTGGACGTCACTACGCTTAGCGTCAGATGATTTATACCTCTGTATTCGCTTTGACGATACATCTACACATAAGCCAACGTTAACGGTACATAAGACATTTCATGCGATTTTTGTGAACAGGAGGAACAAGGCCGTCGAAGGTCTGCAGGGGCGTCCTCGAGGCTCGCACCGAGTCGCACGCAACGAGGGCGCAGATTAGATCGGGAAGCGGGCGTTGATTAGATTCGGGAGCGAAGTGTAGATCTGAGATCTAAGCCACCGTGCTCGGACGATTCGGGCAACAGCAGTGTTTCATACGGCTGGATTGATCATTGTGCTGCTCGGCCATTTCAACCAACATGCCTTAGTAACAAGCACGCCACCCTTGTTGAATGTGGTTCCTGGTCTCCCGAATCACCAACAGCACGGCTCATCTTGACAATGTGATGATTTGAATCATAATGCAGTCCGTCCACGGTCCGACCGCTCCTTTCTATTGGCCGGTTTTTTTGGGTGGCTCTCAGTCGGTACACAGCGGAAGCACGTCGCTCCCGGAAGGTCTAGCTGGGTACCTATGATGATCTAACCTCGGATCACCGCAGGGTACATATGCCCCTTGTACTCTCGCCGAGTCTCGCGTCGCGATCACTCCGAGTCCCTCCTCCCGCGTAGCTTATGGAACGTTCTGATACATGCGCCAGTGGTCGTCGTGCCACATCGAAGTCGTCAACAGATGACACCCAGATTCGCATTTTCTGGATTTTCCCAGTGTTTAGCTCTCATGTTCTTTATGTCCGTCTCAGGCTCAGGGGTATTCACTGCACTCCGACCGCCCGGTTTTTAGCTGAGAGCTCACTTTTTCGAGACAAGGACTGCATTTTTTCATACTGTCGACGTAGAATGCCAACTTGCTGCAGCCTGGTATGTTTGGAATATTTTGCAACGACTTCCACACAGGCCTACGAACCAGTATAGTGGAGCCCTCCAAACCGTGTCCACAAGGAACCTTAGTTTGCGCTAATCGCGCCCGTCACGTCTCAGCGTTGTTCATGAGCGACTAATTCAACAAGGAGCTCCTCTGTACACATCACAGGCTGCGAATGATTGGCGAGGGACAGCCCGGCTTCGTCGTGGCGTCTGGGCCCCCTGTTGCTAGTGCCTCGAGTTCACTGCTGGCCTTATCGTGTGCCATTGTAGCATGTTAGGATGCCATTCGACAGATGAGTCGCCGCCCCCATCCGGGGGCTTTTGCACCGTGTTGATGGAACGTTGATAGAATCGACTCAAATACAACCTCCATGCTCCTCGACAAATCTCATTACAGAGTAGGGACCCGTGCGCAGTTTCATTTCATATTTTGGCCACCCACGATTCACGGGCGACCTCTAGGATCATCGCAGCGGGTGCATCGCCTTCCTTCAAAATTATGACAAATAATGTGACATCCCGACGTGTGCGGAACCGATACAGGAAATACAACACCTACCTATACAGTCCAGCGCTACAACAAACCTTCACAACACGCGGCAATGCACGTTTCACAGGACACACACAGAGTGTCCACCAGAATACACCCAGCGGTCCCGCTCACACCTTCTCGAACCACGCGTCCGCCCACTCCCTGACGTTCTTCGCCCCAACGCGCTTCCTGGCCTCCACCGCCTCTGCATCAATCTCTAACCCGAACCCCTGCACGCTGACGCTCTCGCCGTCGCCGTCGAGCACGAACACCGCCCTGCCCTCGCTCTCCCCCGTCTCGCTCGTCTCGAATGCTGTCCGGTTGGCCCCATATCCCTCTGGGAACAGCGCCGTAAACTGCAGCGCGAACTCAGTGCCCGTCGCGTGCGTTAACCGGACGTGTGTCGACCAGATGCGCGGCCAGGCCGCGTAGAGCGCGGGCTGCGTCTGCGGGGCGGGTGCGGGCACGGGAATGGGAGAGGGAAAGGGCGTTTGTGGGATAAAGGGTGCGAAGGAGGAGAGGACGGAGAGGCAGTGGTGTGATGTGCTTTGGGCTGTGCAGAGGATGAGCGCGCCGTAGCCCGCGTTGGCGTAGGTGCCCGAGAGGAGGTCGAGATCGACTGGGAGGGGAGCAGTCTCGTCGCTTTGCTGCTTGTCTACGAGCGAGGTCTGAACTTCCCTTTCAGACACAGCTCTTCCGCTACAGAATGCAAGCAGACATCAGCACTCAATTACATCCGTCGCGGATTCGACCTCACCTGGCGTCAGTTACCACACCCCTATCTACCCTCTTCAGTCCCAGCACATCCTCCACGATCCTCAGAATGATAGCGTCGTTCGCGCTCGCCTTCTCATCCGCATTCGCCAGCACGACGATCCCCAGGCCGTCCTCAGGCAAGAACGCGACCCGCGTCGAGAACCCAGGTATCGCCCCGGAGTGCGTCAGCATCTGCTCAACACTGGTCAGCTTCTCTGAAATGGCATAGACGAAAAGATAGAAGCATACTAACATCGTGGCCCTGGTAGGAGAGGCGCTGCCAGCCGAGGCCGTAACCCATGACGGACATCTCTGGCGTCATTGGCCTGCCGGCGATGATTGCGTGCGCGGTGGTGATCTCGTCGAACGCGGAGCGCGGGATGATGGTCTCGTTGGAAGCGGGGTCGATGCCCTTGTTTAGGAGCACGGTCAACCATTTCGTCTGCGATATCGCATCGTCAACGCTCTAGTTTCGGCGCGGGAAAGGGACAGACACGTACCATTTCCTCGGCACTCGAGATAATTCCTCCAGCGCCGGCCATGAGCTCTACGACCTCGTTGTCGAACCAGAACGGTATCAGCCTCCCGAACTTCGTCCACGCCTGTGTCAACAACCCGGCCTCGCGTGCCTCGTTGGGCCAGAACGTTGTGTGCGTCATGTTCATGGGCGCGAAAAGCCGCTCTGTGGCGAAGTCCGTGTAGGACTTGCCGGCATATCTGGAAATCAGGTATGCGCCCGTTTTGTACATCTATGCGGGGTGAGCGGGGGGAAGTGGCGGAGGGGAGGGGAGGGGAGTACCTGGTTGTTGTAGGACCATTTCTGACGAAGTTCATAGGCAGGAGGAAGGTTGCGCAGATTCTTCACGAGGCCCGACAGTGTATCACCAGGCGCATACGAATAGTCGTGCCTTCCCAAACGCTGAGTGCTGCTCTCCGTCTTGCACGGGCTGTTGCGCTCACCTCGGCATACCAGTCATATGCGACAACGCATCGCGTACGTTGACCTTCTCGCTCGCCCAGTGGTCTTCGAGCGCCCATTCTTCTGGGAGTAGGTCCTTGACCTTGGTCTGCCAGTCGAACTTGGTAACCCCCGAAGGGAGAGGCGTGACGTTGCGACCCTCCGCGAAGTCATCCATAAGGATGCCCATGGCACTAGCGAGGAAGGCTTTCGAGCATGATGCCAGGTCGAAGAGTGCCTACACAGAGTCAGCGTCCGTTGGAAGGATGAAAGTCAAGGTACAAGACATCAGAGACCGGGATATCCAAGCAAGCAGGTCAACTAGCAACTGGTCAGAGATACAGAGCGATTGCCTCTAGTGTATAACGATGCATATATGTAGTCGTAAAAACCGCCCGCCGCACAAGCACAAGGATCACGCAGCTTTCCGACGACATCAGGGAACGAGAGTGTGAACGCATGCATAGCAAAACAATGCGTGTACTACAGGAAATTGGATGTTGGTGGCTGGTAGCAAGAGTCCATGAATCAAGGTTTTGCAGTAGCCAGAGACTCACATCAGAAGTAAGATCAGTCCCGTCGCCGTCCTCAGTCATGCGGCCCCAAGACTTCAGCTCGACCTCTGGCTTCATGTGCACTTCCGCGCCATCGGTGTGCACCACGCCCAAGGAGATGCCTGGAATCCCCGACGAGTTCATGAGACCAAAAATAAACTCCGAGAGCTCGGAGGTGATGGCATGCTTGCTCGGAGTCGTCGTATCTGAGAACGCAGTGTTATACAGTGGAATCTGTGTCTGACCGTATGCGGGTAGTACGAGGACCGCTATCGCCTGGGCGAGTACGAGACGACCGAAGATAGCCATCTCTCCAACAACGCACAGCGTTGTGACCTGCGAACGAAGGAACGGGCCAGCTCTGCCAGTGCGAGTGCGTGCGTAAGAGTAAGATGTCTGTGTCGCACCGGGAGAACAAGAAGTCAGACATCTCACGCCACCGAGGCCGGGCCGCCGGTGCGCGGAAACAGGCTCAGCCACAGACGCGTCGAGCGCCCGAAGCATCAAATCGAACTTGTACTTGTACTGAACGTCGACCTCATGAGACTCTTTCCTACGACTCGGGGTGAGTGTATGCACGTCGATCACAGCGGGGAATTGTCCCAGAGACATACACGGTGCGAAATCACTGTGCTTTGGTGACGGCTTAGTCTCATATACCAACCTCTCGAGTCTCATAGCCAGCATGACGCTCGTCAATTCCAAGCAGGGAACGCCACGGCGCGTTCTGTACCCTCCGGAGATCAAGGGTTCGAACGTGCTCTATTTTTTGAGCGGCCTCTCAACATTGTCTACCTCGGCGCAGAGGAGTCGGTATCTCCCGCTCGACGCCCTCGTCTCGATGTTCTCTGCATCCCAATGATGATACGACAACAGATTAACGGGTACCAGGCATGAGCAGCAATTGCCGGTCCGCACAATGTGAGTGGCATAAGTATCTCACCGTTCAGCATAACGAGCTCTTGCGTGTCTCAAACACTGCTCAACCTCACCAAACCATGGTCTGACCCTGGCAGAAAACACTGCATTACGAGATACAATGGTATGTCACTTCACCTCCTCCCCTCCCCTCTAGCGCGGGTATCCTCTAACAATAATACACGAAACTCGAACAACGGCGCCATCGCGTGATGGGCGACGCAACATAACTTATGCCAGCTAGGGGCGAATAACGATGCAGCGGCGATCGGTGAGAAGGGAGCCGAAAGAGTGTCACTATCTCCTGATCAGTCCACCATTTCGACGACACATACAGATAAGCTCACAAGTTTTGCTTGCACGTTGCAAGAACAGGTTGAGATGGGGAGGACGCTGCACGACGCTGACTACTATGCGATCACGCAGTAGCCAGGATAGCCGTCGGGCTTGTGGTCAAAATCGACAGGTACGCCGCCAGCGGGTCTAGTGTCCTCCGGTGCGTGCTGACCCTCAGAGGTCAAGAACGACTCTAGGTTGAAGGCGAGTTCGAAGTTATCCATATGTGATAGCAGGATTGCGACTGCACGAGCAGATGAGAGCTATGTCTGTGACGGATGTCTCGGAGGCACAGCGCGAGAGCGATAACGGCAGAGCTTGACTGGTTCCAGTGAGTGATTTGTACCGTCGTTTTGTATGCGCATGGTCTCGTGAGCATTGATCTTATGCTATAGAGCCTTAGGTCCGTAGCTCATTGTCCGACTAAAGTGAACAATAGCAGGTGTGGCCATTGTGACCGGCGCTTGTTTCGGCGCTCGTCGGCGAGCGCAGATATCTTCATTGCCATTGAGCCCCCTTTCCAGCCATAGTTCATTCGTTGCAAGTTTTTGGATTTGATATGCGGGTTGTTGTGATCTATGCCACTCGGAGAGTGCAACCGAAACGCCGCCGGAGGAGGGTTCATCACGCCAGGTTGCATCCACACCGACTCTCAGGCACTCTGTAGCTCAGCTAGTAGTAGCCGACACACAGTCACACACTGACAGAGTCACCTATGGAATATCCCCAGGGATATTAGTCTTCCCTGGGCGTACTGCCTTGCCTTTCGAAGACAATCCTGGACGCTCGAGATCATTCCGCAAGGTACATCGAATCAATTTAGTTTTGTCGTGGACCGCACGCGTCCGAGTCTAACATTGTTATGGACAGTGGGAGTGACGCCCAGGCCGTTCCAGTCTTTCCCAAGGAGCATTTGGCTTGAGGTTGCCGTCACGGATGACATCGAGGCTTGCTCATGGGCCACGTCGGGACCCTTGCAAGCGACAGCGGTGAATAGTTTCGTCTGAAAAATTTATTATCATGGTTGCAATTCGATACATCCCGTTGTACGCAGAGTTGTGCGTCGGCCAGTTCGTCAACCTCGTCCGCGAAATAAGAATCTCGAACGAAAAATAACAATAACATTCTTTCTGAACCTGGTCGTTCACGAATAACGTAATATACAAACGAATGTTCCCGGTAAAAGCGAAGTCGGGCAGATAGGTTAAGTATCATGGGACAGAATGACGGGAGGAATTTCTCTCCTGAAGACGCAGAGCTACAAATGATGGGGCAGACGAGAGGCGGGTTTACTAGCAGTCGATTCCTATCAGCGAAGCCTACAGCGCGGGTTGAGAACGAACTCACAGGCTACACGTTGACGGAGGGTATATTGCTTCAGCATACGACACAGAAGAATTTTGTGCCGCTTCCGCTGTGCTCGAAGTCGAGTGGGACGACAGACTCGTCAAATGGGGTGGAGTCTTCAGTGAGCCATGAAGAGGAATCTTCCGCTAGCAGCGAGACATCTAGATCACGGTTCAGTCCGATGAGCTTAGGGCGGCGTTGACGAGTACTTAGTATTGCTCACCTCCGAGAGTCGATATGAATTCGTCCATGGCTGTACGAGGGACAAGGGTTGCGGCTGGTTCGCTTCAAAGTATACGTTTATCCCTGGGACGGGGATGCCTATGGGCAAATGGAGATGGCGAATAGGCCTCGGCGTACTCGACTGAAGACCAGTGAGGAAACGGTAACTGGGAGTTGAGCAGTAACTCCGCGACATCCACCCTTTTATAGTTGGAGATGCAGACTTGCTCCCGCGCAATCAATCCAGACCGCATAGAGGACAATGACAGACACGGCTATGGTCCGTAATCCCATTCAATATGCCGTGGCTTTTTGGCCCTTACTGAATCAGTCGAAGAAAGGACTACTCAAGCGCGCCTGCTATTGGCTAACACAGAGCGGTGGCGCGGAATCAGTCACGTGCAGCATGCCCATCCATTGTTCGACTGGCGCTTGGCCACGCCTTTGAACTACGCGTCGCCACTGTCCAGCTTTCTATATTACAGATGACGGCCTCCATGGGGCTCACGTACCTGCCCCTATCTTGCCTGGTGCTCCGTACGGGACTGCATCACGACCATGGCAGCTGATCCGACCTATCCCTTGTACTCTGTCTTCGCTTTCATCGGGTTCATCCTAGCCCTCGTCCCCCTTCCGTGGCATCTACAGACCGCCAACACTGGGACATGCTACTACATGATCTGGACGTCTCTTGCATGCCTGAACGAATTCGTAAACTCCGTTGTCTGGGCTGACAATGCTTTGAATGTCGCGCCTGTGTGGTGCGATATCTGTGAGCTCGACCACTCCCTTTGTCGCGTCGCGTCCTGACGCGCCCCTTTCAGCTACGCGCATCACCATTGGCGCGTCGGTGGGAATCCCCGCTGCCTCTCTATGTATCAATCGTCGACTCTACTATATCGCCCGCATGGACGCTGTGGCGATCACACGTGCAGAGGTGAGGACTAATCACTGGCCACGCGATTGACCATACGTGCTAACAGGACACACAGAAACGACGAACTATCCTGGTCGATTCTTTGATCTGCATATTGTTCCCAATCTTGTGCATGGTCTTCGGTAAGCCCTCCAGTGTTTGACTCTCGACCGTCGCTTATCCACAACTTCCTAGCATACATCGTTCAGGGACATCGTTTCAATATCTTCGAAGTTCTCGGATGCTATCCGGATGTCTATAACACGCTCCCGTCAATATTCCTCGTGTATACTTGGCCCATCGTCATCGGCCTAGTCTCAGCCGTGTACTGTGGTATGTATTTCGCTATTCCCCCTTCGTCGCTTTTTGACATCATCCCCGCAGTACTGTCGTTGCATTCTCTCTTGAAGCGACAAGCACAATTCAAGCAGTTCCTCTCAAGCGGAGCAGGATTGACCCCGAGTCGCTACTATCGACTGATGGCATTGTCCATGACCGAGATCCTCTTTACCACCCCGTTTGGCGCATATGAAATCTACAGCGCCGTCACCGGAAGCTCTATGCAGCCGTGGCTAGGCTGGGCGAACACTCATTACAATTTCTCTCGCGTCGTTCAATACCCTGCCATCGTCTGGATGTCTAACCCTCAGCTCGCCATCCCCCTCCAGCTCAGCCGCTGGATCATCGTCGGCTGTGCCTTCATATTCTTCGCGTTCTTCGGCTTTGCTGAAGAAGCTAGGAGAAGATACTATGCCTTGTACTCATCTCTGTGCAGTCGGATGCACTCGCTTCGCATGCTCCGAGGTGGTCCTCGCGATGACCTGTACGTGCATCGTTGATCCGGGCGTGGAATCGTTGCTCAACCTTCACTAGGCCTTTCGTCACAGATCACACCAAAGGCGCCACGAAGCGCGAGGACACACTACCACCCTACAGCCCCCTAGCTGCCTCGCCGGGGTGGCGGTCGCTGGCGTCCGTCACTATGGCTGGTAGCGATTGTACGCCTATTAAAACATCATTCTCGGACAATTTCTCTCCCGATGAGCCCGGATCACCTTACGACAAATGCTAATATACGACTGGCGGAGGTTCTCCGCCGCTTCACTCTCTTATTTCTCTATGCGGTTTCTCGAGCATCTGTATCGATAGTACTACAGGGCAATGTATTCGTTCGTTCTTCGCGGTAGGCGGCCTCGCAACACTTTTGTCACCACCACTGAAGTGAGGACAAAGCTGGTCGTCGAGCACACCAGAGTCGCCCAGTCAGTGATCATACAGCATGTGGTCTTACGTGCATTGGTACAGTCCAAGAGATGTCGGCCATTGCCTGCAATTCACGGGCACGTCCAAGACACATCTTTTCACTGAGTTGACTCAGCTGTTCAAATACGCTGTACATGCCACGCAGGGTAAGTACGTAGATACCGAAAACCCCTCCTCACATGCTTGCTGATCAAGACGATCAAACGGTGGGCCGAAGGTGGCTGAGTCACTTCACGCTCACGCAAGTGTGTATACACTGAGCACTGCTCGCTGTCGGTCGATGAATCCTTGATTATATGGCTACAGATGGCTCGACAAATACAGAAAACGCAGGAGGCTCATCCCATGTTAGAGTTCGCGAAGTGCCGATGACAGAAGAAACGTAGATCTGGACCGGCGTTTATATAGGAGTATATGCACGGGGCGGAGTCGAGGGTACATGTCGATACTGGGTAACGTATGCTGGGGAAGTGGATGGGACTTGAGCTTGATAGCAGAAGTGGGCTGATGAAGGTGGGGTGGAAGGAGGACTATGAGAGGTGAATGACGTGCTAGACCATGACGAGCTTGCGTTCCACATGCGTGCATCCTTCTGAGGATCGAAACCAGTGCGAGTGTGGGATGCTTCGCTAGATATGCTGGTTTTGACGAATATAGCCGAGTCCTTAGGAGACAAGAGTGAAGATCTGAACAGCAGGACCGTGCGTCAGTGATTTGGCGCGTGGGCAATCATAGAACGTACCTGAATCTGGGAAGGGAGTGAAGAATTTGAGCCTTGCCAATATAAGATCGCATCCGTATGCAGCGAGGTAGCTTGAAAAGGCTTCGGATCCATTCCCAGCTTGAGGCGTAGGATTGCATGGTATCCTGACCAAATGCGAAGAAGACGAAGAAGAGATATGCCGATACAGGTACCGCCCACCAAAGGAAGTACGCCTCGGTAAGCGCTGGGCCAGGTATAAGGACCAACGGGAATTGACCGATGCGGGAGAAGTCAGAGTGGGTATTGGCCCAACTGATCCACGGGCGCAGACCGTCACGGTAGGAGAAATAAGTATTCACAGCCGTCACAAGCAGACCCCAGAACATCTCGATGACCGCCATGGCCATGAGACGGAGGTAGCGAGACGGCGTGAGTGCAGCAGAGTTGCCTTGGAGGTGTTTGGCGAACGTCGCTCTGCGACGGAAGAAATGCGCGAAGGCAAACACTGCGAAGGGAATGAGACACGCGCAGCTTGATACGTGGAATAGCTTGCCTGCATAGACAGACGCGCCGAGCGAGAAGAAGATTGGCGGGAAGCGGATGAGAAAGAACTCGGGGATGGACACGTAGGTCTCCGGCCTACAGCCTATGGTCTCGACGAGATCGAATCTGTGACCCTGTACCACGTAGTCTGGAAGATCTCAGTAGTTATCCATGAACACGAGAACGGCACTTACATAGGCCTATATAGACGGCAGGGACCCCGAAGCACAGCACCGAATCCACCCAAATCTGCCTTCGTTTATCGGCCTCCGTGATGCGGACGGCTCTGGCCGATGCGATGCGTTCGAGATGCATGCATAGCGCAAAGCATGCAGCGGGGAGTGCAACATTGGATCCAATGAACAGCCGCGTCACTGCGAGAGGCAATGGACATGAGATGTCGAAGAGACAACGCGAGCGGACCGCGGCTCACCTACGTCGCACCAAACTACGGCTTTGATCTCGACATTGTCTGCCCAGATAACAGTGTTGATTCCCTGAGCTAAATTCACCGCAGAGAGCCATAGAATGATTGCCACGGTGGCAAGGTTACGGGCCTTGATGTGGGCAGGCAGGGGAACGAGTACGAGGACCGCTGCAAGAAACGAACCCAGGGGAAGTGCGACCAGCATGTCTGACGTTCAGGTCTACGAAAGATAATCGGAGGGAAGAGACGTACGTTTCCACACCGGTACCCATAGTGTTTATGAGACGGCCAAATGTTGGTACTTTGAGCGAACAAAGACATATATCGGCGCCTAGTAGCAAGGACAATACGAGCTAATACGAGTTCCTCGGGTCACGTGAACGTGTACTGAACGTATGATAGGTTCTCCGTTCAGATCTCAGATTTGGTAGGAAACTTGAACGGCTACTTCTCGCATTGTTCGAGTATTAGTAACGCAGTCTGGCTTCCCCGCCCCGGGATACGTCGTTCTATGCACCTGAAATATGCGATCATTGAAGCTGGAGCATCTTTGTCCTAGGTCGTGGCAGATCTAGAGCTGTAGCGCCGGCAGTCGTTGAACTTACTATGTGTCTTCATTGACGAGAAGTGACCACGACGATTTCTCTTGTACCGACGTCAACCACCAATCAACCTTACTAGTAGCATTTGCTACCTGCTGTACAAACATCATGACTATATGCTGATCCTACGCGAAGGCCGCGGCGTTCTCCATGTCGCGCACCGAGTCAACGGAGTCCTATTGAAATTCATCACAGTGCTCCCCCGCGAGGTACCTCGCGCACTCGACTTCGTGTTATATTGAGGAGAGTCATCGTAAGCTGGTTGTTGCTATATGCCCCATACAACACCTCATAACATTACTTGAGCCAGCGGACGCTCACATTCGAGTGCACCTGGTGGCGATTGACGACGATAAGTCATGGTTTCACGCAACTTGCGTTATGAAGAGTCAACGAGTTTGTATTGATACAGACAGAACGCTCGCAAGCAGATTTGCTACAGCATAACCCCACCGATACTACCCGGACGATTGTATAGTATAAGGCTGGCCAGGTGCTGGTATATCTGGTGACTTGGTGAGTGGGGCATTCGTACCACAGTCAAGGCAAATGCTTACAACGTGAGAGAAAGGGAAACACAAATCTAGGGCCCGTATACTCGCGAAGAAAGGTCGAAGGGTGATACGTGCTGTCGACGAATGTGATGGTACCCGTCAGTCTCCACTGCGTCTCACCAAGCTGGCCGCACTCACCTCCGGGCACAATATCAGAGGGCAGGTATTATGCAATTACGCAAAAGATGGATGAGTTTCCGGACCCAGAATGGTCCATATCGACCGGGATGTTGAATGGAGGAGGCATGCTAGCGTCGTCCACATCCCAGGAGTGTGATGTTTCGGGGTCGGCGATCTCAAAGAAGGCGTCCATCGCTGGTAGTGGGTAGAGTGCGGGAACTGTGACGCAGAGTTAGATGTATGTTGGATGTATGGCTCGGGAGACTACAATGTTAGCGAGCTTTTGAGCGAGGTGGCTTGGGAATATACGTGCTCACGCTTTCGGCGATCAATGGGTCGGCGACGCCATTGTCTGCTGTTTGTGCGAGAGCTTTGCCATTCACGCTGCCCCATTCCGCGGACAATACTTCGCATGTAATGCACGCTCATTCTCGAACAATAGGGCAAGAAATTATGCATAAGTAGCATGCGAATCGATCGGCTGCATTCAAGATCATCTTGCACCTGACTTTGTCGTCTCCGCGCATCTCCGCCCTCACCCTCGTGCCCCGCTATCACCACTGAAATGGACGATCTGTTCGACATCACCCTAATCATTTCTGGCATGGAAAACGAGTCAACCATGTCTATCAACTACGACATTCCTGTTGACCGGGACTTCGTCGACTCAAGGCCTGGTGGCTATTGCGTGATCGCATAGGCAACCCTCGCCGAGGTAAGAGAACTTCATTTTACGATAGCGCGGAAGCTGATACCAGAACGTTTCAGAGAATCCAGTTAGCGTATACCCGTTTCGTATGCTCTGTAGCCATAAGCACCGTAGTCTGTGAGTTTTCGTCTGCCAATGCGTTCACAGGCCCCAGACTGATACCGAGTTGCACAGCGTCTCCGTTCGGTCACCAGTGTATCCCTAGCTGTCAGCGTTAACGCCAGATAAGCAGTGGCATAACTGTATCACCTACTTCGTTTTCTACCTTGGACCTTGTTCTAGTTGCCGACGAAGCCGTGTTGCCTCGTTGTTATTGTTCATCGTATTGGGTGGAGCAATCTATTCGCGAAGCTTAACATGAGTTGTGACTGTAAAAACAGCTGTTTGCAGAGCATTAGACAAACACAACACGAGAGAAATCGAGAAAAAAGCCTTGCTTGACACGCGACAAGCTACAGCGGCGCCCTTCTGCACCAGCGTATCGCAATATGGTTGTAAAGCTCACCACGCCAAGTACTGGTAGCAATACTAGTCTTGGAGCTTCCAGCGATGCCTATTGACTGATCCGACAGGCTCTGGAGCGCGTACGGTTTGATACAGAGTTTTATAGATGTGATCTACACAAGAATTTGTTGACTGAGTATCTCTACACAAGCCTCGGCCCTCGAAGACGACAGTGGGCAAGAGGCGCGGCGGCGTCGTGGAACAGCAAGCCAAGTTCGGGCGTTCGCTGAGTTTAGAGATCATGCAACCACGAGGTGAGGTGAAAGATTGGACCGTGGCGTGGCATCGCACTCGTCCGGTCGAATAGAACAATGTCTGGGTAGCCTGCAGTCATCTCAATGAGGAAGTCGTGCTACCAAAAGCGGTGATAAGCGCCCGCCCATTGTGCGCTGTGGAGGAAGCGCCGGTGGCTCAATATTGCGCTCAATGAGTGGGCTGGCTTTGTTCGTATACAAACGCTGCACAACTTCGTCTCGCCATCAACACGCCCCTTTTGTCGCCCAAACGATGCTCAGCTTTAATACGGCGAGGGCTCCTCCCTGGCCTTCAGCGTTATGGCTGCAACGCTATCCGCTGGCGTCTTCATTGCCGCTATCCTTGTCTTGTTACCCTCGCCATCGCATTGGCGGGCACGCAATGTTGCTACGCTCGCTCTCATTGCATGGCTCTTCGTGGTCGACCTCATCTACGGCGTGAACACCATTGTATGGGCTGGTAACGTCGAGGTCCGCATTGTCGTCTGGTGCGACATCAGTACGTAGCCCTCCCGTCACCATGTGCTGGATCCTGACCCTCGTCCTCGGTCTTAGCTACCAAAATTATTATAGGGGCCTCCTCCGCGCTGCCGGCGGCGGCGATGTGCATTTGCAAGCATCTGCACCTGGTCGCGTCAGGGCGAACGGTACGCTTGACGCACGAGGATAGACGGCGGAGGATGTGGTTTGAGCTCGCGATGTGCTTCGAGGTTCCTATGGTGCTTATGGCCCTGCGTGAGTGATGCGTCAACTCCTGTGCTCTCCCATACTGACTCATACATAGACTACATCGTCCAGGGCCATCGGTTTGACATCATCGAAGACATCGGCTGCCAGCCGGCTACCTACTACTCTATACCAGCCGTCTTTATCGTCTGGTTCCCACCTCTTCTCTTCGCCACCTTCACATTTATTTATGCAGGTATGTTGGCTCCAGATACATCCCTACGCGCTGCTCACCCCCCGCCCACAGGTCTGGCACTCCACCACTTCTTCAGGCAACGCGCAAGCTTCGCGACGCATCTCCAAAGCTGCGACTCCGCCCTGACCACGAGCCGCTACCTCCGGCTCATCGCGATATCCATCACCGAGATGGTATGGGGCACGTCGCTCACCGCGTTCGCGATGTACGACAACATCTCGCCCGGGCTCTTCCCCTACGTCAGCTGGGCCTACGTCCACGCCGGCTTCTCGCGCATCGGCCAGTACGCCCTCGTCGAGTTCACCCCGGGCGCGCTGCAGCACATCTTCCTCCTCTTCTGGGCGATCCCCGCGTCGTCCTTCGTGTTCTTCGTGTTCTTCGGCTTCGGCGAGGAGGCGACCAAGGACTACCGCAGCGCGCTCGCCTGGTTCGCGCGCAGGGTCCTCAGGATCCCCGCGAAGCCCGACAAATGGCATCCAGCATGGTGCGTCCTCTCGCCCTTACAGCAATCAGCGACTGACGCGCACCCGCACCGTAGCCGGCGGCCCTCCCCGGGCACCGCCACGCTCTCCGCTTACTCCAGCCCCTCCACGGAGTTCAGCGACGACAAGGCCTTCCCCGCATACACCCCGCGCGACACGGTCATCGACATCGGGAGATACACGCCGCTCTTCCCGGACACCCCGCGCACCCCGGCCCCGCCGTCCCCCGCGAAGATGGAGGCGGGCACGTACCACGCGCGCCGCACCTCCGAGGCTATGCTCAGCGACGCGGACCTCGACCTCGACGAGCTCCTCGCGCGCTGCCCGTCCATCTCCACAGGCGTGCCCTCGCCGAACTCGCCTGTGGAGTTTGGGCACCGCGTCGAGGGCGGAGCCCCCGGGCCGGTGGCCGTGCCGTCGCCTGCGTATCGCCGCTCGTGCAGCCCGCCTGCGTCCCGCCGCTCCGCCGCGCGGTCGTGGACGGCGAGCGTGTACTCGCAGGTGACGAACGTTTCTGAACATGGCCATGGCGCCGTGTAGTGTGCGGCCATGGCTTAGTGCACTTTCGATTTTGCACCGTATACAAAGTTACGATCAAGATCATGAAGACAAGGTCTTCTCCGAGATCCCTGAAATGATTGCCTCCTGCATCGTCATTACTTATGCAGCCCACGAGCCGTCTTTAGCACTGTATTAATCCAGACGACTGAAGTCGTTCTTGTACTTACCAATGTCTCAAGCATAGGGCGTTATTGTATCTACAAATCAATGGACCCACAGCCAGCTTGACTAGACCAATATTGCCTTTCGCAGGGTCGATGCGCCGGTAGATCCAAGACTTCAGACTCATAGTAAGGCAGACTGCTGTAGCAGCTGTATGGCCTGTGAGATATGCGCCTCGCTCTGCGTGAAAACCAATCATCTGCACTGTGCTACGACGTATGATAATGACTGGAAGTTGGGGTGATTCTCGAGCTCGATCTCTGCATGTAACGCCCTCTGTATCAGTATGTAGTTACGCACACGAGCAGTGTCCTCACTATCTTGGTCCAGACGACTGGAATCGCTCTTGCATCATGTCGCGCCTTTACGAGGCGTTCGTTGTGTGTATGATGAATAGACAACATCTCCTATGTACTCATAAGGTGTGGCCGAAGGTTCTGTCCCGGACGTTGGGCGCTGAGCATGGTGTCCTGCAGCAGCTCGAACAGGAGGCTTGTGTGAAGACGGATTCTGCAATACGCAGTGCACAGCTGAGCTTTACGTGTCGACAACTGAGTTGGCTGAAGGAATCGCGGCATGAATGTGTTCTATGTTCTACCAGCCTGTTTCGTTCTGCCAGTGGAACGTAGTATACAAACACAGCGTAAGGGGAAATCCGTCACGGGCGTAAATGGGATGGTAGGAGTCTATCAATAGGGGCAGCCAAGGAATGTCGAAAGATGAAGGGACGGTAGAGTAATCTAGCACAGGCTACAGTTTAAAAGACGTGTTCGCGGGAGATATCGATACAGGTAGCAGTGGACCGGGGGTACGTGGAGGAGACAGTGCCTGGTGAGAGTACATGGTGAGCAGCGCGACCAGGAAAATCACAGAGAAAGAACGCACCGGCTAGCGGCGGGGCGTCACCCTATACGATGGTGCAATAAGAATAAGAGTCGTTGTTTCCGATGTGCTCCTGGTCAACAGGAATGACACATTCCAGAGAGTCGTCTGGTGCATGCGATGCAGACGCGAGGATGAATTCGAACGAAGTGAGGTCGTCCATTATTCGGCAACGAGTTGGAGGTGGCGAGGCGGTCGATGTGTTCGATTTGAGCTGATGCAGTGCACAGCAATGCTATGGTCGCTCTGGTATTAGGTATGCGGGAAGCGGCTGAGCGAGAGGTGTTTATATGTACGACCTAGAATCAGGAACGGGGGTGGGTCACAAATATTTGGACGACTCAGGGTGTCATGGTACACGCTAGACCGAAATAGGAGGACAATGCGCGTACAGTCAGTTATGCGTGCCGTGCCATTGAGTGTCGAACCTGTTACCTGATGATCCGGAACAGAGTCTCGTGAGATCGCTTGGGTCGCAAGGGCGTCCAGCTGTCCTGTAGCACCTACTGTATACATCTCTTAGGTGTTTGAACACCTAACAGGCTGCTGGGTCTGCAAAGGCCCCTCGGCTGGACGACTGACGGTGGCAAAATGGCGCATTGTGGCTTGGCCTCAGCATTGTGGTCCAAATAAGGAAACGGCGCTTAGCACCGTGGTTCGCGTGAGGCATCAATAGGCGCTCGCCATTGTCTCCTGAAAGCTCGACGTTCCATTGTTCAGTCAACCATGCAGGCTCCAGAGACCAATAAAGGAACGCACGCGCCAAATCCCTGCGCCACACACATTCCTACCATCCTGCAACTACGCCCAACTGTACAATATGGGTGACGCGACATATCCGCTGTTTCCGACGTTCGCTTTCCTGGGTTTCATTGTCGGCTTGATACCTATTCCATGGCATCTGCAAGGGTGGAATGCAGGGACATGTCTCTACATGATCTGGGTATCTCTTGCGTCTCTCATCGTGTTCGTGGACTCCATCGTTTGGAACGGCAATATTAACGATTCCGCGCCGATCTGGTGCGACATCTGTGAGTGACCATGCGTTCCAGTGCCGGCGGTCCAGGCTAATGCTTGTTAGCAACGAAATTCCTCATTGGCGCAGGAGTCGGTATCCCTGCATCATCGCTCTGTATCAATAGACGGCTCTACCGGATATCCTCAATGACCGCCGCGACGATCACACGAAACCAAGTAAGTCGTGCGCATCTTCAGCGCTTTTGCGGTGCTTAACCTTCTGCCAGAAACGCCGAGCAGTGTTTGAGGACATGGGGATAGCGATTGGAGTTCCGGTCCTCGTAATGATACTTCGTGAGTTGTTATGCGTCTCTCCTGTGGTTCATGTAACTGATGCCTGGTCCCGAAACGCAGATATCGTTGTACAAGGTGAGCAGATACAACACGGCTTTCAGCCAGGGTGGTGCTCACGACGCCATCAGGCCACAGATTTAATATCTTCGAAGACGTCGGATGCATGCCGGACATCTGGAATACGGCACCAGCCTATCCCCTCGTCTTCATGTGGCCTGTTGTTTTGGGTTGTATATCCTTCGTATACGCTAGTACGCTTGGTCCACCTTCAGGACAAAACTCGCGGCTCATCATACTTTTCAGGTCTGACTCTTCGAGCCTTCTGGCGACGCCGAGCGGAGTTCAGCCAGCTGCTCTCGAACAGTAGTTCTCTCACGAAGAGCCGATACTTCCGATTGATGCTACTCTGCTGTATCGAGATGGCGTGTACCGTCCCTCTAGGCGTCTTCAGCATCATCATAAACAATGGCGACGTTCCCATCGCGCCGTACGTTTCCTGGACCAACGCACATTACGACTTCTCCTATGTAGGCACGTTTCCTGCGCTCGCTTGGATGTCTAGCCGTCCATTCTACATCTCTGTGGAGATGGGCCGGTGGATATACCCTTGCTCTGCATTCTTGTTCTTCGCCCTTTTCGGTTTCGCTGAAGAGGCGCGTCGAAACTACAAGCTTGCATCCTGGGCGATCGTGAAACGTCTGGGCTTCCACCCGTCGTCGGATAAGACGAAGACGTCAGCGCTGAAGGGATTCCGGTAAGTCCTATTGCATACTTTCCATCCAATGAGCTGACGGTGCCCTTACAGCCTAGGCGGAAGCAAAGAGAGCGCATCCCCCTCCGAGGAGAACCTGCCGCCCTACAGCCCCCGCAAAGCCAAGCGCCCTCAACGACCACGGTCTTTCTCCTCATCCTTCCTTGACAGCGTCATCGAGATTGACATCGACTACGACATCGAGAAGGTCGGCGAATCGCTCGCCTCCACCGCCGTCTACGGCACCGACAAGCCCGCCGACTCCCCCGCCGCCACCTCCGCCACGCTGACCTTCCCCGAGTCCGCCATGACCGCCACGCCGAAGGCACCGTCCGAGAAGTACAGAATCACGCCTCCTCTGTCCCCCGAAACGCCTTCCTACCCCTTGACCGCGACGACCGTCGTCCCGCGGTTCCATCGACCGTTTGCGTCGATCGACGGCCCGGTGTCGCCTTCGAAGATGTCGGCTGAAAGCGCCGCGATAAAGGTCACGATGCACCAAGAGGTCGAGGTCGCCGAGTCCACTTGAACGTCGCCAGCATACACGCCGCCCTCCACGCCTTTGCTTGTCTTCCGATCTGCGATGATGCGCCTGTCTTTCCGGTTCTGCTTGACTTGGTTTACTGTATCGTTATTGCTCGCTTTCCGCCTGCTTGCTCCCGTCGGCTCCCCACTGTATTGCATAGCATCAAAGCCATACCCTTCATCGACTCCTGTCTCCCTCTCGCTCCTCTTTCAACTGTACTTGCCGCATAATCATCGCCCTCGCGCCTCCTCCGCTTCGCTGTTATCTTATGGTTCCGGACTGCATGTCGCTGTCTCTGCTGTATCATAGACCGGGCAGAGCCCGCTGAATGACATCCACGACGTGCTCGTTGACGCGCATCTGTATCATGCTCGGCCTGGAACAAAGTGCGAGACTCGGGAGGCGTAGCCGATCCAGGGAAGGGTGCAGATGTGTCCGGTGAGTGCCTATGTTTCGAACGGCTTGCTGTCGAGCAATCGTATCATGCGAGCAGATCGTCGAGGAAGTCTTGCATGTCCTCTTTCTCTGGTTTCTTGGGCTTTTGCTCTGTCGGAAGCGGTGGGGCTTCTACGAGTCGATCTGCGAATATAGCCTTGTGAGAAAGCACTTTCCGAACTAGGCGGCGATCGACCTACCATGATGTTTTCCCCGACCAGGACCTCTGCCTCTAGCGACCGGTGTCCCTCGTTGCGTGGCTGCAGAAGCACGGAAGCGCGACTTCAAGTCTAAGGTGAATCGCGACGACGACTGTCAGCTGTCCCATCGCGTCGACTTCCTCTCATACTACTCACCCCACTTCGCCTCGGCCGCTGCCTTCTCCCTGCTCAGCTCCTCCAGCGACTCATCCCACTCAACCTGCTGCACCTTGCCCTTCTTTGACTGAGCTGTGGCGCCTTGCCTTCCGGGGAGCATATTCACGACGCTTGTGTCTATCTCTGGGTCCTCCTCAGGTGGCGGTGGCGCGGAGGACTCTTGCGGTGAGAGTCGCTGACGCTCGAGGAAAGCAGATAGGTCGACCTCGGGCTCAACGACCTCTTCGCCTATTATGCGGCGAAGCACAGTTCAGCGTGCTGTAATTCCTTGAACCGAGTACATATGTGCGCACCTTCCGAGTCCAACTCCGCCTCTGGCTCCTGATATCGATCTGCGTTCGTCCCAAGCTGCCTCCGCGCGTACTTCCGCTGCGTCTCCGCTAGCTCCTCTTCGTCCACATCTTCCGGCATCTCATCCTCAAGAAGCAAGCGTTGTCTGAACTCGGCTGGACGTCCACGACCACGGCCTCTTCCTCGCGCGCGTAGATACTTCCCCAGGCCGCCTCGAGACTTCCCTCGGCCCCTGCCTCGCGGGGCAGGGTTGCTAGAGCTTGCTGAATCGTTATCCATTGGGTGATGATGTTATATTCGCGTCCCAGTGTCAGATTCCCGTTAATAAAGCAAACTTGGATGAGAGAGTGGAAGAGACTGGGACAAGCACAGGCGTCTCTGAGTCCGAGTCGTTCGTACCTAGTGAGCGCTGTCCAGAAAGTCCGATCCACGGGGAGAGCCGTTGCGTGCAACGCGTTGCGCGCAACGCGCAACGTCACGCAAGTCACGGTGTGGCTCCCCTGTGGCCTAAGCGGCGCCCGGGCCAACGGTACACGAATCTTTTCAACCTTGGGCTACAAGGGATTGTTGGAGGTTATACTGAGAGGTATATCCTCTAGTAGAACGAATGTCGCCTCCGTGTGCGTAGTTCGAGTGCTTACTCGATGCACCGCGGCCCGCCACCGTATACTTACGTAATCTCCTGGTAGATACATCGCGGCCACCGGCCACGGTGGCGTCTGTTGGCGACTCAGAGACTAGAGTCGGTCCCCGCAATCCCAATTGAGAGAAAATCTGGAATGTAAACCCGATTATATAGGAGCTATCACACATCTAAACGATGTTCAGAAAACAGCTGTAAGTATGTTTGGAACAGACCGCGTCACAAGGCACCCGCCACATGCCCCGATTAGGCAAGCGGTCGGTCAACGGTAATAAGTTAGTCGGAATCTATGTACAAGTAGACGTCAGCTAGCCGTGCAGTATTCACCAGCACAATCCTATGACTTCTCAAATAATGTAGCTCTCTACTTAGTTCTCATCGCTGCGGCGGCGCCGAGGCTGGACGAGCACATAAGCAACTGTCTGAAAGTGTATGTCACAGCGTGATGTATGTGACTGTTGCACGTTGCGCGTTGCGCGTTGCACGCAACGCCCCTCCCAGTCGATCGGACGTTCTCGCGCTGTCGCCGTCAAGAAGTCGGTGCGCACGTGCGTTATCGGCCGGTGGCTAAATGGACCCCCCTCCTCCTCCTGAGTCCTCCTCCTCCTCCCTTACTAGGCGCTCTCGTGCGTCATGCGCGCCTTATATGCCAACCACCACCTTGACCATCACCGGTTCACCATTCCCTGCCTTGACTAGTACTGCGATTCATGAATCTGCGTGCGCATACGCCCGCGTACGTCTCGTCCTACTGATATGCAATACGGTTGTTGTGGTTGCTGTGAGTACTGGGAATCTGTACTACGCACAATGCACAAGCTGCTCTGCCCCCAGACCGAGACGACGACGAACGTATTATTACACTACAGGTATATATCCGACGTATCTCACATGCTAGCTTGAAAGCATGGCACTTGCGTGGTACAATCACAATGGGTTGATAGGAATCACGGTCATGACATTCGTGTCTAGTCGTAATCGCGTCAACTGGGCGGTACCCAGGACAAAATACAAAATCGCCCGTGAGCTCCCCTCTCCTCCCACATCAGGCTTCCCCCTTATGAACGAAATAAGTTACGTTGTCAAGTAATGAAGGTGGCTGCAACGGGTTGGGTGCGCGAAGGCGATCATGCGCAAGTCGTGAGTCGTGATGGTGAAGTGAGGACTGCCCACTCTCTGTATGTCTCATCAGTATGTGTTCGTTCTGCAGGAGAATGAGGGACTTACGATGCGAGTGAGGCACCTAGGCAATGGTGCAGCTTCCGCTGCCGCTACCGTTGGTGGTGTCGTAGTTGACGGGGACCTGCTCGGTCTCCTCGGGGACGGGGGTAGCGATGTCGAAAAACGCGTCCATTTGTGCTCGTAGGTGAGAGTGGGGGATGGCTTAGAGCGTAGAAGCGGTGAGAGCTCGAGTGGTGTCTCGAAGACTGGACTTGCTCTGAACTGGCTGAGTCGCTGGTGTTCCGTGCTTCCCTCCACCGCATTTATACTGGGACTCCTCAGCGCACAACAATAGCCGGGACTTTCGGGATGCCTCGGTGACTGCCTCGCAGTGATCGTGCATCGCTATTCCGAGCCTGTGTGAGTGCCTGGCGGGCGTCAGTCTATTGTCTTGCGAGGCGTGGACGCGCGAAGGTAAACTCGCAACTTTGTCAGATATCATCGGGAGTGCCCCCTTGGGATTCCGTGTTCCCGTCTGATGCGGCGCAGTCACTTTCCCAGCGTCAGCAGGTCAGAAGTGTTCGTCACGCACTGACTTGCTTCGCAGTGTCCACGTACCAAACCACCTCTCCCACCTCTCAGACTGAGGTTTGGGTGCCCTCTCAGTATCGATTTCCCCTCCCGTGGTCTCTCGCACATGATATCGCAATATCTCCCGTATTGTTTTTTACAAATCGATGCCGGTCCTCCCAAGTTCCGAAATAATGACCGCGCCTCGCCAACGCAAACCGAGCGAGCTAATCTTTCAAATTGGGACCTGAACTCATGGCCCCATCTGCCTCTTGCTCCTGTCATTCCCGTCTCTCCTTATTGTTATGCCTCGTAGGTCGGCCCGGGCTCACATTCCCGGTGTTTGCTCCGGCTGCAGCGTGTCTTCAGATTGAAGGTGACTCCGCGCCCGCGCCTCATATCTGAGATGGCGCTTTGCCTTTTGTGGAAAAGGCGGGCGGCGGCCGCGGCGCGCCTTGATCGATCAGGGAGCCTCCGCTAGATCCAGAGATCGCGTCGCCGTGGCTTCTTTGTGTACGTCCGCATTCGGAAGGTGACTCGCTCTCGTCGCGACGGTCGGCAGAAAATGTGAGCCGCAGTCACTCCTTTTCGCTTGCTCCTGTCTCAGCATATGATATGGCGTTTCATGGTAGATTCTCAGTCATCCTGCGTGCAATCAATGTGGCGTGAAAGTGTAACTCCCGGTGGCGCCTGTCCTTATTGTTCTCCGCCAGTGCTTACCAGTACGGACATCTGTGCCAGGAAGTAAGCGCGATGCGCGGATTCGTTGAGAGTCATACCATGCTCATTAGCACATTGCTCCCTTGAGATACATGCGAGCGATGAACGCTGCCCGCCGGATCGATGTCGTAGACTCATCTTGAAGTGACGACGCAGCAAAGGTGAGCACCCAAAGTGCGGAATAGTCGGTATGTGGGGCGCATAGTAGGATTGTGAACGACTCTCACAGCACAGGTTGCTTCTAGCCCACGTCTAAAAATACCATCACCGTGACAGTCTTCGGGGGGTTCTCTCCCAGCTGGAAGAGCGGCTAGAAGCCCTTCCCGAACGCACCCACTCTCAGCGAGGACAAGGTTCTGAAGTTCGCCGTGTCCTCCGGACTTTGTACCTGGCATGCACGGGAATGAGCCCATAGAATCCTTCCAGGCCCACGGAGCAGAGAAGTGATAAGACAGTGAGTCGAGATTTCCTTTGTACAGCTGCCGCAACTCACTGGCATGAGATCAGACAAAGAGAGTCCAGTCGAGTCTACAGGCCAGGAGGTCAGGGCACGGCGTTTTTCGGCGAAGCAGAATTTGAGCTCCGTGCAGTGCCCAGTCTCATGGGCCCACCATTCACTAGTCAGGGTACAACGGACGATGCGAAGAGCAAGACAATAAGCAAGGTGAGCGTTCGATGGATTGCCGGTGGCGAGATTCCAGTCAATTTGGTGTTGATCTTCCCGATGCGCTCCGTGAATTTGCCATCTTGCGAGTCTGTTACGTCATGATGTAGAGCATCAATAAATGCGTCGTGCAGACCGGTCTGGGTCCACCTTGCCATCTCCGTGTTTTGCAGAATCGCCCACAATATTGCCATTCGTGCTATTCGCCGCTCAATTCTCCGGTGAGTCGTGTGTAGCAATCTGTTTCAGGTTATTCCAAAGTCGATATTTGCGCTCATAACATTGGAAATGGGCAAGCGTGACTCGGAAGATTACTTCGAGCTACGTTCATGATCACTCCAATGTCTCGCACGTCTCCGTCTCACAGACGACCGGTCTACTCAGTCTCACTAAACCTGTTGCCGTTAGATGAGTGACACCGCTCAGGTCGCCCCCGGGGCCTTGAAGCAAGGATCACAGCCATGCATATTGACTGACTATCGAGCCAGATGACGAAAGTTCTACATTTGCGACTCTGTACTCTCCGTGTGCCCTCGCAGCGCCGCATTATACATTCAGGACGGCACTTTTCTTCTCCGACTCGCGAGCAAGCTCCTCGATATACCCACGGAAGCCTCTCTCGAGCCACCGAGTCTCCACCATCCAATAACACCAGAACACCGCACTGAAGTACGTCCCTCATAAGTCAAGGAGGCTGAGCGACAGCCATAATATGCGACTACTCACCGCCATCCGGGTTCACCCGACACGTCGACTGAGCGTCTAAGACTTCGAATGACGCTTATGGCCTTGCCGACCGTCTCAGAATCGACGTACCAGACATTCTCCTCCGAGTCGCTATCAGAAATGACCAGGATACGATCCATCTTCGGCAGCTGGTCCCACTCCGCACCGTCAATCTCGCACCCTAAATCCACAGCGATCTGGTCGAGGCCAAGATCCACTGCTCTCTCCCACTTGAGATCTTCGACGGGTCTGAAACCGGGCGCATTCGCCAGCGGCATGAATTCTACGCCATTGGAGACGAGGTAGAACTCCTTGAGGTCGTCCGGGAGCTCAGTTCCTAGCCGCTCCTCGGCCTCGCGGATAGCTGACAGAGATGCCGGGGGCTTGAGCAACGTTTCGTGTTCTTCCCACTTCAATACTTCCAGCATTGGTACGAGGCTGGACATCGGGGCGTTGCGCAACTTCTCCATGGCGGCGCGCCGCTGGTTCTGCACCGCAATGGAGGTGTGAGGAAAGGACAATAGTGCCTGTCGTGCGAGTTCCGCGTCTTCTTCTGCTTGCTCTACGCTGCGTCTGGTGATCTCGGCTACGATCCCCGTTTGTTTGGCATATTCGACAAGAATTGGCCAGCGCCCGATATCCCATGTCCACGTCGCGTCGGAGTGCGTAGCGTCTCGGACACTGGTGCATGTCCTCAGCGTCAGTACGCATATGGAATTCACTCATTACGCACAGTTCTGACATCCATTCCCGCGCCTCCTTCTCCGCACCAGCCCCCAACGCTATAGCAACAACACCAGCGTGCGAGTATGGAGGCATCCTCCAGTCGCCGGGCTCGTAAGCGACGCAGACCTTGACGTATTCGAGGACATCCATGAGATCATCGTCAGATGGGTAGTGGTGCATTTCCTTGACCTCCTGCTCCCAAGAGCGTAAGTCTTCGTCCGATGGGGCATCCCAGGGCACATGAAGTCGGTTCCCAGCATCCCGCCAGAGATACTCGAACGGTCGTGTAGACGAAGCGCCGAGAAGCCCATACGCGTTCGGGAACATTTGAAACAGCGCGCGCACGAGGGCATTGCAGGAAGACATGGAGCCTTCAAGGCCAACACGAATAGCCAAGTGCACAACCGAATGTGGTATCCGGTCGGCTTCGGCAGGCGAATAGCTGTTTATGGACTTGGCTAAGTCTGCCCCTGGGGTCGTTGACGGCTTCGTCGGCTCCGAGTGTATGGTCGCGCCCTGTTCACCGGATTGCGCTTTCCAATGCTTCCGGAAAGTCGGTAAGGGGAAGATCGCGCACTGCAACTCTCCCCTTACCGCTGCTTTGACCAGATATGCGAGGGATCTGAGTGTCTCCGGAGAGTCTTCAGCTGTCCAGAAATAACCTACGGGGAGGCAAGCCTTAGCGTGAGCTGAAGCATTGCAGCATTGACATACCATCGCGTATGATGTTGTCTTCAAGCCACTCTTGCGCTGATGCTAATAGACGGTCAGAGATCTGGAGGATGATGCTGACTTAATCTCACCCACCGACTTGTGTCTGAGGTACGTCCAGTGACGCAGCTGAAGCTGTGCGTTCCTTAAGCAGCCCCGATGACGCGAGTACTATGAGTTGGATGAGTAGTATACGATGCATAAGATGCATTGAGGAGAATCATACACAAGCGGCCACTCCCAGTGGCAACAGTATTCAAGCCGTTTCCATACTGGGGAGAGATAGTTGTCAGGTCTATGACAGAACGACGCTTGGACGATAGGGACGCACCAGGGCCTGGATATGGGAGGCTGCTGCTTCCACAGAGACTGCAGTGATATCTGACGGCCCGGGTATGAATAGGATGTCGTATCTGGGGCACGTTGAAAGGTTAATGACAGTACTGTACTTCGAAGCCTATGCAAACCTTCCGCGGTCGCCTTGTTCGAGGAAGGATGAGACCTGGGAGATCTGTGCATCTCCTATGCCACGAGCTTTCTCGTCTTCTAGATCCCCATCAGCGATCAGATATATAGCTCGCTCGCGAATTCGCAGCGTGTCGAGAAACCCTAAGTGATTTGTATTGAGAGCTCTGAGAGGGGGTGTCTTCAATGATGACGTAGATCAGGGATGATGGGCCAACAACATACCCAGCAATATAGACCATAGCGTTCATCTTGCGACGTGTCGGGTCGTTCAATGTCACTGCGAGGATGCTTGCTAGACCTAAGAAGCCGTTAGACATACACCCCAGTGAATATCCCATAGAGATCACAGTACCGTTCTGAGGGAGGGAGCTTACAGTGGTTCTGTCTGTCGCCAGTGGATGTGAGGACTCAGGAGAGTACGTTCAGTCAGGCGGCTACTGTGACAGGCTCCCGAAGGCTGACTAGGAAAGCTCATGTGGTCGGTACTGCGTAGGACACCGCAAGAAACCTCGTGTAGAACATGACGTAGTAACTCTTCCTGTCATATGCGTCATGGCAAACACCGAGGTCCATCGCTCAGCGCAGCGCAGCGAGGCCGACAGTCATCAGCCTACCCTGGCCTACAACGACAATCTGGCTTTCCTCGTTGAAAGTAGTGCTTGTCGGGCTATACCAGTTCCCATGGCACACGTGTAAATTGGACCTAAGCGTCAGACGGTGATAAAAGCTCACCTATGGACAGCACAACGTCGGCGTCCAGGTCGTGCAGCGGCACTGCCAGCGGTTTACGTTCCAGCAGTAATCACGTAACCTGTAACCGCCGCCAAACGTAAACTACTTCAAACATCGTACCTATTGAGGGTAGAATCTGATCAGAGCAGGTACACTAGCAGTCTTTCTCTGTGCATCCACACAACGGAACATCTGCTTGAGCGAAGCATTGCGTATGACTCTACGCAACCGTGGCCGCTGGCCGCTTGAAAACATCGTGAATACCGTGCACAATTACGGTGATCCGTCAGCGAAGAATTCCCACTATATTAGTGTGTGGCCAGAATCAGATACAGTCTAGTAATGTTGTACATGCTCGTCATGTCGTGCACGACTAGCGACCAGACCAATAGCAATACATCCGTGTCCGAAGGGAGAGGCTTCGGAAGCCTCGAGGTGCGACATGGAGCCCAATGAACCTGGCTACTATGTGAGAACGAAGCCGCACAATCCCAGTGGCGACTGCTTACATACCGTAGTGAAAACGAACAGCCAGGATACACACCCGACTTGACACGATCACCGCGACAGTGGCTCCCAATACCAGTACGTGCTATCCAAATACCACCTTGGTGGTCCCTCCATACCCAAGCGTTGCCGAATCTTCTCGATTGTGTGATCGGACGGGAGGTCTGCGCGCTTGAGATCGAAGTTCGTGTATACTGCTACCAGCAGCGTAGCCTCCTCCTTCATCCCGACGGGCGATGTCTGGATGCGGAGGTAGTCCTGACTGATGTCTGCTACGCCCTCGCGAATAATCATCGCAAGTAACGCAGCGCGCATGGTTCCAGGTACGTTCAACTTGCGACCAAGTCGCCTGTTGAGTTTGTTCTTCTTTGCGTAGTCGAGCAGCATCGCCTCGGGAGCCAACCAGGCATAGTGTAGGCAAGGTGGTTTCCACGCATACCGAGTACTCGGAATGAGAATTCGGGGAAGGGTGTTGAAAGGCTCCATATGAGGCGCAGCGTCGAGAACCTAGACGATGGTAGTCAATTCTTGCCAACAAAAGCAGTGTCGCGATACATACCTTGCCAGACTCCGGCCTACGCTCGCTGAAAGCGAATGGTACAGGGAGCCCGCGGCGTGTACCTGGAGGGTCGAGCGAACTTACTCTTAGTTGCCACATGAGTCGAGACGAACGCGTTGGCTGTACGGTTCGCGATGAACGTGTTGGCTCCATGACGTCGCAGTGTCGATCAAATCGGGTCGACTGAGTGAGTGAGCAGAATGTTCACGGCAAGTGCGTGCATGCTCTGAGGGGAGGTGGATGGTAACGCGTGGTTCTGGTAGAGGTGGCTCACCGTGCGTGAAGCAAGGGGTGATAGGATTCCATGAACCGTGGGAAATTTGAACAAGCGCTGGCGGCATACGGTGATGCCAATGTGGCCCAACCTATCCTGCAGTATATAGAGGAAACATCGCTCTTCTGGCGTGCACAAACATTGACGGATACATCACGAAGTTTCTGTGCATCGAACGGGAACAGTATGAGCAGTCGTAGTGTCTGTGGTTTAGCAACGAGCATGGGCGGCAGTGATTCGGGACAGGCTCAGCGATCAGGCCAACTTGAAGCGATATCGGAATGAGAACTAGTAGAACGACTACTCTGTATCGGAGGGATGAAGGCCAGACAATAATATTGTACACGCCGTCATGTCATGCATGACAAGCGACCAATAGCATTACATCCGTGTCAGAAGGGAGAGGTATCTGAAGCCTCGAAACGCGAAGTGGAGCCCAAATAACCTGATTGCTATGTGAGAACATAGCCACGCAATCCCAGTAGCCACTGCTAACCATAGTAATAGCGAAAGACTGGATGATGCACCCGATCACCGTGACCGTGCCTCCCAATGCCAATAGGTGCTATCCAAGTACCACCTTGGTGGATCCTCAATATCAATCCCCAAGCATTGCCGAATCTTCTCAACCGTCTCATCGGACGGGAGGTCTGCGCGCTTGAGATCGAAGTTTGTGTATACTGCTACCAGCAATGTAGCGTCCTACTTCATCCCGATGGGCGACGTTTCGATTTGGAGGTAGTGCTCGCTGATGTCTGCCACGCCCTCACGAACGATCATTGCAAACAACGCTGCGCGCATGGTCCCAGCTAGATTTAAATGGCGACCAAGTCGCCTTACCAGTTTGTTGTTCTTTGCGTAGTCGAGCAAAAGTGCCTCCGGAGCTACCCATGCATAGTGTAGGAAAGGTGGTTGCCACGCATACCGAGTACTCGGTATGAGAATTTGGGGGAGCGTGTTGAATGGCTTCATATGAGGTGCAGTGCCGAGAGCCTAGAAGACGATACTAGTCAATGCTTGCCAAAGAGAGCATACTCGCAAGGCGTATACCTCTCTAGGGTCAGGCCTGCGCTCGGTGAATGCGAATGGGACAGGGAGCCGGCGGTGTGTACCCGGAGGGTCAAGACAGCAGCTGCATGGTTCGAGACGGACGTATTGGCTGTATAGTTCGAGACGGATGTATTGGCTCCATGATGCTGCAGTTCGAGTCCAAGCAGAGTTGACGGAGCAGAATGTTGACGGCGATAGTGTGAGTGAAGGAGGGTAAGGTGTGGTTCTAGTAAGTAAGTAACTCAGTTGTGGCTCACCGTGCGTCCAGCGCGTCCATCAACCGTGGGAATATCAAACAAGCGCCAGGCGGCAGAGGCCGGTGTGGCTGAGCCCAATCATTTGTATTCCAACTGAGTACATACTGAGCGTACTGAGTACTGAGTACTGAGTCCTGAAGCTGAGCCGCGTCGTCAGGATTATCCAAGGAGTATGATTACAAAGTAATTAGGGGAGGAAATTTTGACACTCTCAGTACCCCTGCATTTGAATTCCTGCTCGTCTCGGTATCGAGTTCATGCCCTCTGTCCACGCGCCAGGTCTCAAGCCTGTGGAGGACTTGCAGTGGCAGGACGCCGAGGAGCTTGGTCTCGACGAGTTCCATGTAGACAGTACATAGATTTCGGGTGCGAGACCGATCCCGACGAGTACGAGCGCCTGCCGAAGATGGGCCGTCTCCTCGTCATTTCTGTCAATACTTCGGAGGAGATCGTGTGGTATGTTGACCCGGAGACTGTTACAGAGGCGATCCGTGGCCTAGGGGCAAAAGGGCGGAGTGATGAGACTGTCGGCCAGCCTGATTTCCGGTGAGTCAACGCATTGGATCAGAGACGAACGCTCGTTGACCGCATCGGCTGTAGCGCGGTTTTCTGAATTCATTATCTACCCGATCTCGAATGGCTGAAGAGTCTCCGCGAGTACATAGAGTGCCTTGCTAGCAAAGCGGAGAAGGCAGGGGCTCAGCTGCAGCAATGAGGGATATACTGACTACGCTTGCTTCGCCCTTCGGACATTGATCTCTACTAGCAACTATCCAATTTGCATCTTGGATTCTGGATGCGGGACTAGGAGATCTACGTAGATCACACTGAAGATGGGCTAGTAATGTATAGAGTTGCGACTCATTGATCCTTCTGATATCCTGAGAGTGCGCAGATCCTGTTGGCCGCGCAATAGCCTGTGGCTCCCGGCGCCCCAGGTAGAGCACCTTGTCCATCGCCCTTGAAGTCGAATCGGACGTCGAACTGAGTGCCTTGGGTTATCTTCTTGTAGAGACCGCTGATCTGGCCTCCTTGACCTGTGTCGACTAGGTGAAAGTTTGCACAAGTTAAGATACACGAGACTTACTGCTGTTCTGTTCCTTTGGGACGCAGCCTGAGGAAGATGTCAATGATGTGACTATCTTCCTCTTGAGGAAACTCACGTGTAACAGCTTGCAGAGTCTGTCCTTCACGAGTACTTGCAAAAGGATACTCATCACAGGACATGTCCTTGATCTTGCCCGCATTTCTGAAGGGAGAGTTGAGGGCATCATCGCAATGACAATCAGCGAGCTAGGCTACGTGGTCATCGTTACACATACCCTGGAAATTTGGCGCTGCATCGGTTCGGATTTGTTGCGCCACAGGTGTTACGCTTCCGCGCGTCCCGGCAAGTCTTCGTATCGCTGCTCTTTGTCAAAGTGCTGGGCAACTTCGGATTGGCGCCTATAGGATGCTGGCAGTCAGCCTCGCCCTTGTGCCTGTTCCCTGGAAAACACTACATTCAATGCCGAAGCACATATTTTGCTGCATGTCGTATACCGGAAGGTGTCAGGAGTAAGTGTCAGCAATAAGGCATGGTGATGCCCGAGAGAACGACTCACGCAAATGTCAGGAATTCTCTTGCAGTTGAAGACGAGCTGCTTGTTCTGACGTGCTGACAGGATGTGCCATCGGACGGTCTCTCCTTCTTCCCAAGGGACGGTGGCATTCCCGTAGATGGTCCTAACTGAGATGTCTTCGTCTTCCAGCGACCGTTTGTTTGTCTCGCACTTGTCATCACATCTGAGAGGTATTGTCAGGCGATACATTGACCATGTAGATGCCATGTGGAATACGCACGGGTCACAGCCTCCAGAGCCGTCTTCGCCGTCTTCATTCTCGCAGGTGCGGGCCTCGAGAGCTGCCGTCGTCCCCGCACGCTTGCCAACTTTACACTTGCTAGATGATACCGCGAAGACGGATAGTGACAGACACAACAGAGTTAAGAAGAATGGAATGCGGGCCATAGCGAAAATGAAATGTAGGTCGTGAGGAGAAGGATATTAAAATGCAGCGAAGATAGAGATAAAAACAATAGGACCGGCCTGGGGACCAACATACCTTGGAAGTGCGCTTTATACGTCGTCCCACATAGCGTATCCAATTTTGTGTTGCTGCATGAATAGACATGCGCGGCATCCTGAAGCAGATGGGGTCTTCTCACCACTTAGTACAGGCATGAAGGGGATGACGAGTAGCGCGCGCTGACAGGTGAGGTTTTGGATATTGCGGATGCTCCAATGACGACCACATCTGTTTCGCGCCGACAGACCATCTCTGGGTCAACGTCTCTCGTTATGATTCTAAATTCTGGTCAATAGCATCAAACGGTAACGAGACAACATCGCATATAGTTGAGGAAAGCTGTACAGATGCCATTCAGTGCAGTCGTCATGGTCCGATGATTGCCCACGAAAGGTGGCTACAATGCACGAGTCTCAGTGACAGTTGACCTCCTTGATGTATCGTGTATCCTATGTGCTACCAACAGTTCTGATTATCCTCAGAAATTGGCAATATAAGTTGTGCGACTGCTTACCTGTCGATCCCGTCACGTTCTGTACCTCATCATTCAGTCCACTCCGGGATGGCACAGGCCAGTGCGACGCGAACTGGAAACACTAGCAGTGGTGTCACCGCATGTCTTGAGACGAGTCGCACGATGCAAAAGTGTCCAAGTGTATATTCTAGTCTCAGTGTCCTATGTGAGCGCCACTTGAACGCCAACAACTTGAGCGTACCGCCGCACCTTTGGCAATTCTCCGAGTTCGGGGTCGTCGGACGAGCCTACTAGTTACCGTGACGTTTATATTTGCTGCCACTGGCAGTGCCTCGCTCGAAGCGCGAACATCGAGTGAATCAGCACCACCGCAGTTGCTATGCTCGTGAGATGTGATCGGTCTAATTGTAGCTCTTTCAGATGAGTTTCGATGCCTGGAAGTCGATGCCATTGCCAACCACTGTGGCCGCCACAAGATGGGTCAGGCCTTCGAGCTTCAGCTTCAGGGGCCACGGTTTGCCAGCTGAGCGCTGAGCGCTGGCGCCACTGCGATAGGCGCTCGCCGCCACCGCTGGCCTGGTTTGCGCGATTGCGTGTCCGCTTCTTGAAGTTCACCTTCCTCCGCAACTTTCATCTGACAACATGCGCGCATCTTTGTGGTTGTGACATCCTGATGAAAATGGAACAGTGCGATGTCTGACTCACAGCACAGGGCAGTGCGGGGCGGTGGTTGTATAACAGCGGCCATGAAATACTAGAAGTCCACTGGCAGAACTCAATCAGGCCGCCGGCTTCTGGCTTCCTGATAGACCGTCGAGCAGTGCGTCTTGAGAGTACACACGGAAGACCTCGACATTCATACTCACTCTACTACCGCCACGCTCTCCTTCACGATGGTCTCCATTTCTAAGCCGAAGACATTGGTTTTGCTTGCGCCCGGGTAGGTACTATCGTCACACGAATTCCTGTGGTAAAAGACATCTAACTCCTCGGTGTTCTCAACAGAGCGCTACCTAGCTCAGATGTTCTGATACCTCTGAACATCCTTCGCGTTCGCAAAGAGTCGACGTATCTGACTTTCCAGGACTCGCAGCACGATGCTATCCGACACCACTTCAACGTAGAGCAAGCAGTGATCATTTCTGTGGCGTCATTTCTAGCGCAGGCAGATCGCGGAAGGTAAGCACTCCGGATGTGAGGATGTGTTCAAGCCAATGAGCATGCTTCAAGCTACGACCTATTGTTTATTCCGGGAACGGCGGATGTCCTAGGACTGGACCTGGAGCCCTTAGCCAATGTTATACGATCTATCGTAAGTGGGACTCATACGTTCTCGACGCACTGCCCTTAACGGCATGGCAGTATGGTGGTGGTGTCGGATTGGATATCATATCCACAGGGACTGCTCGCCTATGTAGGTTATCGTGATCAGCATTCGATGAACGAGTCACCGACTATTCTATAGTACTTGCAGCTTCTGGGCTGTTGAAGGAGAGAGTCGTATCTGCTGCATCACTCGACCTCAATGAGCAATACATGAGTACGTCCATCGTAGGGATGACGTCCCGCAATTGACGTTTTACATCAGCAACGGCGAGGGCTTGGGATGCCGATGCCGATGTCATTCGCGACGGTGAGCACTTCTATTCTTATCTACATCGTCAGTATTGAACGCGCACTATTCTCAGTCCAATTCTGGACAGCAACGGACACCCCGGGGTCTTTGAAGACACTCGCAATTTTGTACAAGGCAGCTCGTCACGGCGGAATAAGCAGCATCTTCCCAAGTTCTGTCGCGCGCAAACACTTAGGGTACTCGCCTCGTCGCCTCGTCGATACGCCGACAGACACGTCTACCCCTGCCGCTCTGGCATCCGGCGAAGACCTTGCTGCAGAATTAGCAGATCTTTCGTCCTCGGATGTGGATCAGGCCTCAAATCTCATCTTCCATTTCGCCATACGTCTGGGTCTCGAGGGCTTTACGGACGCGTGCAATTCTGTCTTGCTCACACTACTCAAAGCCCTTCCCAATGCCCTCGAGAGCCTGGGCGAGCCGTGCATGCGGTCGATCGAGTACATGTGGGAAAGCTCTGGCCAGAGGCCCTCAGTACCGTGGAATGTGCCTTCCTTGGAGGACCTTGACCGCTGGGAACTCGAGGTCCGATCCAGCTACCAGTTACCTGCGGATGAAGACCGTGAAGACATCCTTGAGTCTATCAAGCTCCGCATAACCATCGATGGGGACTGGTACCTCACACCGTACACTCTGGCAGGCGCGATCACAATGGCGCTCGATGCTGGCTGGGACGACCAAGCTCGTGAATGGATGTTGAAATTGTACGCTATCGATCCTCGCGGGGTCTAGTCTGTTCACCTACTGACATCCAACACTAGGGTACAAACCGCTTCGAAAAGCGACATGCGTGACGTCTGGACGTTCGATATCGCGCGCTGGCGGCCGTTGATCCGACTGTCCAGGACAGGGATCGTCGCTCAGGTAACTGGGCGCACATTCGAGCAAGCGAACCACGACGCTGAGGTCGTGAGGCAGGCACTGCAGTCCTTGCGTACCTCCTCCGTTGTTGCCCTGGACGAGCAGCGCGTCTCTTCACAGAGCATCGCTGACCTACCGTGGAGCACTTTAGTCCCCATGCTCGACGTCCTCAAGTGGGAACAGCACGACACGTTGATTAAGCCTCCTGCTTCGCCGTCGGCCATCAAACAAGCGGAGGAGAGGCTCGGTGTCGCGCTCCCCGAGGACTATAAACAATTCTTGCTCGTCTCCAACGGCATCGAATTCATGCCTTCCATCGACGCACCAGGGTTCCAGTCCGTGCAAGAGCTCGAATGGGATAACGCGGCGGAGCTTGGCTTGGACGAGTTTCGTGTCGACCTCGGGTGCAAGACGGACCCCGCTGAGTATGACCGTCTGCCGAAGATGGGCCGCGTGCTCGTGGTCTCGGATCCGGAATGCGAGGAGCAAGTGTGGTTTGTAGACCCGGAGACCGTTGCAGAGGCGATTCGTGTCCTGCGAGCTGAAGGACGGAGCGACGGAGTCGTCGGGCAGCCTGGGTGGCGGTGCGTCCAATCGGCGGAAAGGTGCTGCACAAGCTAATCTCAGTGTTATAGAGCGGTTTTCTGGGCTAGTCATATGCCGGACTTAAGATGGCTGAAAAGCTTCCGGGGGTATATGGAGGGTCTTGCGCAGAAGGCTGACAAGGCAGGTGGAAGATGAAGATCGCGGTCTAGATCTGCTGTGTCAGTTTGAGCCAGTCAGGTCAGGAACATGTATTTGAAGTATCAATGCTATCTCTCAATGCCATGGTATTGAACGGTGATATCTATGGTAAACTCGCTTGCTCGTCCGATTGCTGACTAGCACAGAATGGTCGACCATATGCTAGAGGTTAATACCGTAGAGGTCAAGCAACTAGCTTTGCGCCAGCCTTCTCAGCTTCCTGCGCTACCTCCTCGATATAATCCCTGAACCTTCTGTAGTACTTTGTTTCCGGAGCCCAGTGAAGGAAGTGAACTGGTCTGTGCATGCAACATAAATTAGGTCTAAGTTAACAAAATTCTCATCCATGATATGCTCACCGCCAGTCGCGTCTACCAACTGCCTCGTCCGACCGGCCCAAACGCTTGAGTGCTTCGATTGCCTCCTCGACTGTGTCAGGTTCGACGTACCACATAGCTGCCTCGCCACCGCCTGTGAGGTCCAGGACGCGTTTCATGCTCGGCAGCTGCTCTTCTTCTGCGAGGTCCACCTCACATCCAAGGGTTACGCGGACCCAGTCCAGGCCGAGCTTCTCGGGACTCTGCCAGCACAGTTCTTCCACGCGTTGGAACCTGGGTGCAGACTCTACCGATAGGTCCTCCATGCCATTAGAGATAAGCAAGAACTCCTTGTAATCCGATGGAAGCTCAACCCCTAGGCGCTCCTCAGCCTCAAGTATGGCTGATGGAGATGCAGGCGGGCGTAGAGCCGTCTCGTCGATGTCGAGCTTGCATATGTCCAGTATACGCACAAGGACCGGCCACGAGGCCTTCGCGAACCTCTCTGCGGTTAAACGCTTCTGTTCGTCGACTATGGCTGATGACTTCGGGAAGTTCAGGAGAGCTTGCCTGATGGTAGCTGCATCCTGCTCCGCTTGCGACGCGGTGTGCCCGGTGATCTCGACGACGATGCCAGTGAGGGCGAAGTCGACAAGTGTTTGGCACCCTCCAACGCCGTAATACCATCCGTTGTCCTGGATCAGAGCGGTTTTCACACTATTTCACAAGATCAGCGTATAGAATTGTGGACTGAGAGAACATGACTCACAACATAGTCATCCACTCACGAGCTTCGTCAATCCAACCCGCCTGCAACGCCATCACGATTGCACCTTCAGTTGTATACGGGTAAAGCCATTTTTCCTGTCCGAGGGACACGCGGACCTTGAGCTCCTCGAGAGCTTCCAATCGATCTTCTTCCTCAGGTGGGATGTGGTACCCTTCGCGTGCATCCTCGTCCCAGATCCCCAGCTCCTCGGGGGTGATCTCCCACGGTACAGACGGTCTCTCGCCCATTTTCCGCCAAATTGCTTCAAGAGACATGGCGATTCTCGGGCCCCAGTGCTCGCGAGCGTTAGGGAACAGGGCCAGCAGTGAGAGTATGACGGTGCTGCAGGCCGATACATGCCCCTCTAAGCCCAGGCGGACAGCGAAGAGAGCCACGCTGCTGATGAAGCTCTTCGCTTCCGAAGACGATTGCTCAGCGATTATACGGGCGACATTTTCGCCGGGGGTGCCAATAGAGATTGTCGGTATTGAGGGGGAACGATAGTGGTCGAAGGCGTGTGGCGGGAACTGGTCGGGCATCCTGAAGACGGCTTTGTATGAAAATGCTAGTGATCTGAGTGTGGTTGTAGAGTCTTTCGCCGTCCAAATGGATACTAATGACACGTCGGCAAAGCTAGCGCACAATTGGGACATACTCACTGTCACGGATGATCTCTTCGCTTCGCCATCCCGCTGCCAGGCCTATATAATCAATGAGATAGAGCTCATGAGCGTGTGAAAGACATACCTATGTAGTTCTCATCCAGGTTGAGGGAAGCGGATGAGGCAATCCTGTTCTGCAGGAGCCCAGAGGCAGCAATGACTATCGGTAGAGGAGAACTAGTGTCAGCGGCCATACTTCTGCACTTTTTCATTGTCTTACCCAGTCTACCGGTACCTGTTGCAATCATGTTGAACCAGGCTGACTCAGGCTCGCGGTACTTCGTATTCTATAAGCACGAGCTGGAGCATTCTATGAGTAGTGGCACATACCAATGATCGAACAACCCTATTCCGCACGGGATCGTCCTTCAATATGATACCCTTATGCCCCGGTATCAAGATAAGCCCACCGCTTTGCCTGTAATCCATGCCGTTCAGTGTAGATGTGTCAAGCCTTGAAGCTCGGAATACTGACTGGTCCCGTTTGCCGTCTTGCTCGACGTATGTTTGGGCATCGAGGATGTCTGCTCGTTGCACATACCGACGTACATATTCTGCTTGCGACCCATCAAGGATCAGATACTTAGCAGTCTCGCGGACATTGAGGGTATCCAGAAAGAGCAACGAGGTCTCATTGAATTCGCTGTAAGTGGCGGCATCCCCGGGGCTACCCTTAGCAAACTGATCGAATGCTATACCGATGTAACTCACCCAGTAACTAGTACAGCGACGTCCATTGTTGAAACAGACATGGCCGCACGGGATGAGGAGCTGTAGGGCTGTAGAGCTAATAGTAATCTCGGGTCCGGGATTGACTTTGAGTAAGTTGTCCGTTGAGGAGCGGGTTATGCAGTGGATCGCTGAGTCACACTAGATAGCTGATGCAAATTGGCCTGGAGTGAATGCGAGGACTGTATCGCACAGAAAGCAGCTAGAACCCACGGCGTTGATCATCATACCTAGTACTGATACTGATACTGCGTTGAGCGGCCTACTCGGAGTTCGAGTCGATGGAAGTCGTGATGATCCAGCCACCACGTGTGCCTCGCGCACAACGTACACCAGGCGTCATTGGCGGAAACGCGCCTTCACTCATCGCACAGCAAATGAGAAATAGTACTTCCATACAGTCACGTTCTACAAAATCACATCAGCGCACTGTCGACGAATGCCAGCATCTCCTGGTACACATCCGGCGCAGAGTAGTGCTGGTTAACCGCATGGCCCGTGTTTGCGGGGATATACACCGAGAAGTTGCTCGTCTTCGGGTAGAGCTCCTGCGCGTACGCCGGGATGTTCGGGTACTTCGCGTCCGGCGGGACGGCGTAGCAGTCGCGGTAGCAGAAGGGGAGGTCCTGTGCGCCCGTGACCTATCACGTAGCACAGTGAGTGGACTTTGCGGATGGGAGAGGGAGAGAGGGGACATACAACGTGGACGGGCCCGGTGAACTCGTGTGCGGTGCCCATGATGGCGGTCTGCGTGAAGAGCACGCCTTGCGTCGCGGGCTGTTCGGTCGCACGGGTGAGGTTGAACGCGGCGGCCGAGAAGTAAGGGAAGTAGAAGAAGTCGAACTGGTTGGCTTGCGGCTGTAAGGCGAAGGTCAGCGCTCCGATAGCAGGGTTGAGAGGGTTCCTTGACGTACGACAGCCGTGACGAGGTAGGCATTGGTCAGTTCGTCCGCAGAGAATCGGTCGGGAAAGACCTCAGTGGCAATCGAGTACGAGCCGCCTGCGAGGAAGGGACCTTGGCCGGTGCTATACAATATATTAGATCGTGACGGTATGATACGCTCGATGGCAGACATACCCGTTGTTAGAGAAGCCCTGCAGGAGCGCAGCGTCCAAGGCAGTAGGGACGTGCGCGGTTATCGCCTGCACCTGCACCGATCCGTAGCTGTGTCCGACGCCAACGATCTTGTCGAACTTCTGGCCTCCGATGTCGCCGCTCCGGAGCATCTGTGCGAATCTGATGGCGATAGCGAGGTCCGTCGGGGATTGCACCACACTGACAACGCGCGTCAGCTGCGTTTCGTCTATCATGTAAAGGATACACTTACTTGTATGCATCGGATGGCTTCTCAGATAGACCCGTCCCGAGGCGGTCATAACGGAAGGTCGTGTAGCCGGCGTCAGCCGCAGCGCGAACGTAGCTGTACTCTTCGCTTGCAGCGAAGTCCCAGTAGCTCGAGTCAAATCCGACACCGTGAATGAGGTACTGGACGTGGGAAGGGTTCTTCGTGCCGTTCTTCGGGGTGCACAGCGTGCCTGAGAGGGAGTAGTTGTTGACGACGTTCTGCTGCTGAGAGCTTTCGTACATCCCAGTGAAGTTGCTCATCGACGGCAGGAATGTCTGGAAGAGCGACGTGATGTACGTCTAAAACCCGCATCTCAGTCATGGGTAACTTATCAACAGTGGTAGAGGTATGTGCGTACCTGGTTTGCATTGTGGTCGACGTTCTGGAAGACAACGTTGCTGCTCGTGAGGTCCAGCTGGTAAATCTGGCGAGTGCAGTTGGCGTTGTCCGGCCCGACACGAGACGTGTTGTATCCTGCACCAGAACCTGCCGGGCCATCCGCTCTAGCAGCCGGGACCGACGCTGCAATAGCGGTGAGCGAGGTGAGCAGAGACAAGTAGCGCACAGAGGTGATCATGGTGAGGCGGAAGTCGAGAGCTAATGACCAGCGGGTGAGGGAAGGAATATGAGCGGTGATGACCCAGGCAGGACGAATCGCGACGCTCTTTATACCAGCCGGAGTTGGGGCTGGAGGATATGTTGAGTGTCAGCCTGAGCCGCGGCTGTCTTTCATTCCTTAGTTCAGTTCATGATGACAGCGAGAGGCTTGCTAGATAATTCCGGGTGCTCAGCCAGGTCAGCCAAGTCAGCAACGGTCAGAGCGATCATTGACCTGTAAAAGGGGATCCTCCTAGAACGTTAGCCTCAACAGCAGTGCAGCATGCGATTGCTTCGCGATCAGAATCGCGAACCTACTCACCACGTATGCGTCAATCTCTTTGAGCATTACCGTTTGATACGAGAGCAGTAAATGAAGCAACAATAAGAATGTCGTGAACGACCACCGAGTGATCAAGGCGATTTTAGAGAATGTCAGCACCGCGGGTGAGCAACCAACAACTTGAAACCAATGTAAGCGCTAGGTTCGGAACAAGCCGCCTCCTCCACGTGGTATTTCGTGCTCCGCACACCGACGTGAGGAGGGGCTTGCTTCAAGATCGGTCCAACTGGGGGGTTTGTTGCGGCCTGTCTGGTGGTTGAGAAGACGCGCCAATTGACTAGGTCTCGCAGTTTGAAATGTTATTTCGAAGCATAGGAATGTACTCCAGCAACTCCGAAGTCACCGGACCTCTCAGACGTCGTGCTACTACCTGCGTAAAACAGCGCTCGGACGGCCAAACCAGCATGGTTGCTCGCTACGCTAAAAGATATTCGCAACGCCTAGTTGCGTCGTCTGAAGGCCGAGGGCTGGTGGATAAAGGTCTTAACATGAACCTACATCAGTATTTTCAGCCTGACATGAGCTCAACATGAGGAGGGAGCCTCCGCCGCGGCGCGAGTCTTCGAGACGCGCTGTGTAAACGCGTCCGAACGCGTGCGGCTGTTCGGCGCTTATGCGCTCTCTCTGCGCTCTCACCTTGGCTCTCCACGACTCGACGCGTCGCAATGTCTGAGAGTCCACGAACGCCTCCCAGACGTCCCGCGCCGGCCCTAGGCAGCTCCACTCGCAGTCCTGGAACGCCTCGGCGGCGCAAGACACCTCCGAAGAGGACTCAGGGCGTCAAGCCGAGGTCGTCAAAGTTTTCGGAGGGTAAAATCAACGAGAACCTCAAGAGATTGCTGCGGCTGGAGTTTGAGCCGGACCCATGGCAAGCTCAATTGATTTCCAAGGTGCTACGCGGTTACGACAGCATTTTTTGCGCGGGGACCGGCTACGGAAAGAGTCTGGTTTTCCAGGGCCTGGCGGTGCTAGGAGGGAAGAAGAAGGTTGTCATTGTCATCAGCCCATTGAAGGCACTTGAAGGGGACCAGGTAAGTAGTTCCCAACTGTTCTACTAGGTGTGAGATGAAGTGTGCTCTGGTGACCAGGTCAAGGAAGCCGAATTGAAGGGTATCAAGGCCGTCATGATCAACGAGGATAACTCTCGTACAGCGGCACTCTGGACGACAGCACGCACGGAGGCTCAAATGATCTACATCTCACCGGAGATGGCACAATCCGAGTCGTTCGCGAAGCTCTGGAAGGACCATCGCTTCCGGGATCGCCTACAAGCCGTGATTATCGACGAGGCGCATTGTGTAGACGAGTGGGGCGCGGAGGACTTCAGGGGGCATTATCGCCGTCTAAGTACACTACGTCACTATACTGGTCACGAAATCCCTTTCGTGGCTTGTACAGCAACGTGTTCCACTTCGACGTTCGATGTCTTATGGGACACACTTTCGTTCGGCCTACGCCCTTTCTGGGGCATCGATGTTGGCGCGGACCGGCCCAATCTCTTGTTCGTCACGCGCGCGCTGCGCAATCCGCAGAATCCTCTGCCAGACTTTCTTAATATCCTCCCTACCAACATCACCGATGCCACGCAGGCCTCCGAGATCCCGAAATCCATCATCTACATCGACTCAGAGTCTGGATGTCACGACATGAAGGCTCAAATCCGAAAGTGCCTCCCTGCGCACCTTCGAGACACGGTCTATGCCTTCTCGTCAGGTGCCTCCGAGGCGGCTAAGAAGCTCGCATGGGAGCGCTTCCAGAGTGGCCGCTACCGCATTCTCTGTGCCACTGATGCGGCGGGTATGGGTTGCAACGTACCGGACATCCGCTACATCGTCGTTTTGAAATGCCCGCGCTCCTTATCGGTCGTCGCACAACGTTGGGGACGTGCAGGGCGTGACCGAACGACGCAGGCAGTCTGTCTGCTTCTAGTCCCGCAATGGGCGTTCCGTCCTCCGCCTGTCGCAAGTCAGATCACTGTGCAGGCTGTACAGCGCCTGCGCCGGTCGTCTACTAAGGTCAAGCCAGAGAGCAAGCGAAGTGCTACCCAGCGTGCACGGCTGCCTAGCGACCTGGAGAAGTTCATCAATGTAGCTGATGAGTGTGAGCACAGTGCGTACAGGCGGGGATACTTCGCTTCATGGTGTTATCTAACTTGCTGTGCAGGCTGCCTACATCGCTTCCTCGTTGACGCCTTCCAACCGCAAACACGGCTAGCGACGCATAGGTCTCTCGACAACTCCGACAAACCTGTGGCAGGGTCCCGCTCTGACAAGTCTCCCTTGTTGCTCCGCTGGACCATCTTAGATGTTGGGAGACATCCGCCTCGCGCACGCTGCTGTAATCATTGCAGCCCGGCACATCCTGACATCATACAACCAGCCTCTGACAAAGACCCTCGCCTATCCATGTATGCCGCCGATTTCATACGACCTCTCGCGGTCCTGAGCACTCGCACACGATCCACAACCATCACATCACAATCATCAGCGTCTGGGTCCCATTCTGTGGCGTCAACGGGTACCTCCGAGTCGGGTAATATCCCGCTGAATCACGACATCTCAGTGACCCGGCAGGACAAGGATCGACTACGGGCTGCGCTTACGGAGTGGCGCATGAACGCAGTCAATCCTCAACACGACAATCTCTTCATGTCGTACGAAGTTGACTTTCCGACCAAGTTCATTACCCAACTCGTCGAGGAGAGTAGGAGAATCCTGAGGCTTGACGACTCAGAGGTCAATGCCCAGAACGTCCTCAAGATCATTCGGTGGGATTCTGCGACAGACGCGGACCTCAATAGCCTCACCTCAGTCATTGAGACGTGGCGCTACAACACCCTCTTGGGCATGACACCTGTTTCACAGCGGCGAAGTCGAAAGAAGGCCCGTACATCACCCGCCGCTGCACGTCCTCGCATCACGCAACCAGAGTTCACTAACTCCCCTTCGGCATCTGTACAGCCTGCCATGCTACGCAGCTTGTCGATGGGTGCAGACCTTGCGGCTCAAACTAGTGCCTCGTCACCGTTAGATGTCGGGTCAGATCCATTCATCACTCCCCGTGCGTCCCACACTTCTGTAGGACTGCCAGGACAATCACATGCAGCACACTTCACTCTGCCCCATCCTGTCCACGTCACACCGGCATGGATGTCTCCATTGGCCACCCCAACCTCCCGTTATAGGCCTCCAATTTGGGCTGCGCGCTCACGGCCCTTGACACCCATGGACGTCTCGCCTCGAGCTGGGCGTTCCCGACCCTTGACGCCTATTGACGTCTCGCCTCGAGCCGTGCACTCCCGACCTTTGACGCCTGTTGATGTCTCGCCTCGGCCAGCTCAGTCAGTGCCACACGGATGGCCACATATGGCTCTGGGCGTACAGCCAATGCCGCCGTCACCCTTCCCAGTTGCATATCATCCATTTCCTCCGGCTGCCGCATCAATCATGTCAACGCCTTACGGAACCTCAGGTCACGGTATACCCGGCGGGATGCCCAGCGGTTCAAGTTTACCTCCAACGCCATACTATAGTAGTGCCACTAGTACGCCCAGGCCTCCACCAAGTTCTGCTAGTAGCACGTACTCGCTGTCTCGGGACACATGGCTTGCTCAGCCGGCACCGACGCCGTACTCCTCTTCGATGCACATGTACTATCAGGGTAATTATCACTTGCCCGTTCATTCTCCGTATAGTACCAGTAGTAACTATCCGAGCGATACTTCGTACTACAAATGAGGATGTCTTCAGTCATTTTCTGTTCCCGTTGCAAACTCTCCACCGCCACCGAGCCCCCCTGACGTGCTACCGTTTGTAGTGTGATCGTCTGAGTCTCCATGTAAGTCAACATAGCTATCGTATTGTAGTGGATTATCTTGACTGTCAAATGCAGTGTCTGTGTGGAATGGCGTGGAATGGTCATTGCTCCGTGAATTAGCAAGTTCTCCAGATGCAATGGGATACCCTAGCTCTCGGTCGTATGCAGTGCTCTGTACGTAATCTGTGAACTTTCCATTCTGCCATATCTCCGCTCCGAGACTCATAACATCTGCAACGGCAGAGCGACGCGGCGAATCAGCTTTCTTCTTTCCTTTGCCCCTTGACGATGTAGCTGCAGGCACATGGTGCTTGCCAGCGGCCACAACATGCGCACCATCGACGATCATGCCCTCGACCAAGATGCGCATGTCATTGATGAAGGCAATTTCCTTCGAACGTCTGTGCCGGTCGGGGTCTCCAAAGAAGTTCGCAAAAAGGTGAGAGGTCAAGCGGAATGCTTCAACGCATGCAGACCCTTTCTTCATGATGTAGTCAATCGACACCCCATTGCCATGGGCTATGTAAACACGCTGTGCTCGCTCATCAGCGCTGCAGACCTGTACGCGCCCAGTAATATGAGTGCCTCACCTTGACCCAGTAGTTACACTGCTCCAAATATAGGTCCGCAGCGATCCATCGACCGGGCTTGCCCCACCGGTTCACAAACCACGCTTTCTCCAGGACTGCGCGCATTGCATCTGTTGTCTCGTATTTCCATCGTATCAGTAAGTCAACACACTCTCTTGCGTAGTTGTGTTGACCGGCCCCGCGGAATGCGAAAGCCCAGTACTTCAACACCCGTAAGACAGCTCCGGCATCCGCGATACTGACCGCATGTTCGAAGCGGCAGAAGAAGAGCGCATCTCGCATGAAGTACACTTCGTGTGCGAACCAATCGTCCCCAGCGGCTTGCGCCTGAGTCAGGGCCACCCCGGCAGTGGAGTACCGCCTCACTATCTCCCGCGCTATTCTTTGGATGTCGTCCAGGTCCGGCTTCCACTTCGTCAAGTCTGACCACCTTTTGAAGCCTTCAATGACCCTGAAGCAGATTCGTGAGTGACCTACTTAGTATATTGACATGGCCGCGCTCACATTACACAGTGAAGCAGACGTGCTATCAGTGAATGGCGAATCAGCGCCTTTGCTGCGGCGTAATTGGGCTTCTTCGCGTCCCACGTACGCTGGAGAAGCCCCTTGTGCTTCGCGAGCGATGCGTGGTCGGTAACGGCATTCCCGAAGTGGACACGCATGATCATGTGGGTCGAATTCAGCGCAAAATGCCATAGCGCGCTGACTTCTTCAACATACTCCAGACGCTCCATCGCATCTACATCATCGACGCGCTCCCGCCGCGCAGCTCGCAGATTTGACACTGTAAGCCAGTCGCCTTGGAATACACGTGGCTGCTCTGACCACTTCTCCCTCGGAACTGTTGACTTCTCCTGGATTTCCTGCAGTGCCTCGATGACCCCCTTCTTCGAGCCTGAGTTGACGTCCACCACGCCAAGAGGGCGCGTATCTGTCACCACGGGCGGTAATGGACGGTCCTTCGGCATATATCCTTCAATAGTATCCAGCCACTGCTGACGGTCCTCCCAGCTCTTGCTTCCAGGGGCGTACCGCACCAGCATCCCTGCGACCAGCCCTTCGAACGCAACTCGCATATGGTTACCATCATCCTCTGTTGGTCGGATGTCGTCAAAATGTGCGGTCATGCGCTTGCCACGTAAGTCCAGCTTTGACTGCAGATTCAGGGCAGCTGCGTCTGCATTGTTGATTGCAATGACCGCAACGTTCGTGGCGTGTATCATCGCGTTACGGTTCGTGATACGTTCTTGGAATTTCCGCAGATAGATATCGATATTGTCGAGGATGACGCAGAACATTGTGTCGCTTTTCAGCAAATTGATAGCATGCTGTGCAGCATCGTTCGAAATCTGCTCCTTCAGTCGTTCGATGGTCGTGATGGATACTGACAGCCCCATATCGCTCAGGACCGATAGAACCCGGGAGCTCGTGCCCGAAATACCAAGGAACAGCCCGAACGGCAAGGCTAGCACATTTGTGGCACGATTGCGAACCAACGCGAGCAACGCGATAGCAACAAGCACCGCCTAAAACAAGGTTTAGTCCACGGTACTGCCATGTTGTGCTTGACTTACAAAGCTAGGGTTGCGCGAGAAGCCTTCATAAACCCTTCGCCACTGAGTTCCAAACCTAGGCTCCTCTCCGTCTGGTGCCATTCCTTCGCCAGGCGAGTCTTCTTCAACCTCTTCGCCACTCTCCCACCCATCCGAGTCTTCATCATCTTGTGCGCCACCCCTCGTCTGATCGTCCTGGCCTCTGCGACCCTTTCTCTTGGTGAGCACCACACTGCGATACTCGTTCGGAGAAGCACTGAAGACATGGAGGAGGCTAGACGTGAATGGGGCCAGCTCCTCTAGCCGCATCGCGACGTTCCCAGGCGCGAGAAGATTCCGGATGCCGTTCACGGTGAGTTTGCTCAACCGGATCTGCAGTTGACGGTCTCGGATAACACGGTTGCTCTCAGACAGAGCTATGTCCCTCGCATATGGCTGGACAATTAGTTCCATCAGGTTCGTCCTCGACTTTGGCCACTTCTCGTGCCACATCTTGAACAAGCCGAGCGGTTGGAAGCGATCCTCGGGATTGAACATCGACTTGTGATAGCCCATGAATTGGCCAACACGAATCTTCACAACCTCGTGGTCACTCGAAAAGATGAAGCCAAGGAAGCGGTGGACAGGGACATTGAGGAACACAAGAAGCGATGCGAGCAAATGAATACGTTCATCGTCGGGAGCCTTCCGTACTTCGTCAGGCAGGATGTCTTGCCAGTAAGTGTTGTCGAACTTCAGCGAGTGAGGCATTGATACATCTCTTATCACTCATTTTTTCGCCGCAGCATGCTGCACGGTCACTTCCGAGCAACCCTCACACCTTCGCGGAAGCAAATCTGGTGTCCTAAATAGGCAGAGCTGGGCAGGGGCGCGATGGAGTACGACCGCGCCGACGCGTGACTGCGCGAGGCGCGTGTTGTCACAGCCCGACACGCTTTGTCACATCACGCGCTTTCTAACGTTGTTTCCTCTCTAGCACATTCAATTCACTTTCCGGTTGCCCCGGATGAGGTTCCGAGAGATGTAGTACTTGCTACCTTTGCGTACATATGTAGAAAATAGCATGACAATGCATCTCTGCGCAGATATATACAGAGATTGCCTTCGAAGTCTTGCCATATCTGCAAGTCCAATAACTCCTCTTGTGTGCAACGGAGGTGATCACGATTTTTTGTGGAGTGTCATTAGCATCTAAACTACAACTTCTCCCGCAGCACCAAATAAATATACCGTATACTTGACGAACTTTGCTCGACTGAACCGACCCCTCTTGAGCGCCGACTTTGAAGCAAGCCCCTCTCCGAGAGGCCGGCGTGGCGGCCCGGAGAGGTGGCTTGCGCCGAACCTATGTAAGCGCCTGGATGAATTCCTGCGATCGGGTTCTGCCGGTGAGAACATGATCGTTAGATCCAATCTGAGATTTTCCATCGAGCTGGATTTGCGTAGGCGCCGGCACCGAGCCTCCACTGAAGTAACTGGACCGGCACCTGGATGCAACTCTACTGTGTTCATGAAACACACACATCGTTTCCAACACATATTCTCAACAAAATCTCGTCGCTGATCAGAACTTCTTGACGATGTCTGCGCCTCGATCCTCGCTTCCCAGTTCCTCCAAAAAGCGCAAAGTTTCTACAAATGCCGACCAAGATGAAGACGGAACTCTCAAAGAGATCAAGCAGCTCGAGTCGCAGCTGGCGGCAGCAATCTTCAACAACGAGTCGCTCAACAAAATTGCCAATCTGGTGCAACTTGCTCTGAACGCCTCGGATGCGAACCATGTACTCAAGGCGGTCTATGCGCTCTACCGGACATTCGTGACACTCATCACGAAGGGAATGATGAACAGCAAAGGTGCCGGAGAGACTGAGGAGACGAGAGCGGTCAGGGCGTGGCTGTCGGAACACATGAATCAGTATGTCGAATGTCTCGGTGAACTACTGCAAGATGAGGAGTCCATTCTGCGGGTGCGTCCATGTCCGTGTTTGGGTCATGCCTTAGTATCTGATGCCACGTACCATACAGACATCCTCGCTTCAAATCCTTCTCTCCATACAGAAGCACCTCTCCACCGCGCTTACGACCTTTTCAACCAACCCGTCTACCTCGTCTGGAAAACCGCAGCCGCAATTCCACATCTCTCACTTCCGAAAGGTCGTGTCCGCTCTCCTCACATGTCCCCCCTCCTCCCGTTTCACCCACACATCATCAAGCAAGAAGCAGAAGCTCAGCGGCTCGAGCGAGGGTCTACTCAGGGAGGACGTGCATGATACATTCCTGAACACTTGGCTCGACGTGCACGACGATATCCGGTGGTTCTTCCTTCGCGAAGCTGGGTACGTTGTGCTGTATCCCTGGCCATGTCTTGCACTTACCATTCAGTAGCACGCTTCTCTCCAAGTCTGATGCACCCAACGTCCCCACCAACCTCCTCTCGCTCCTAGAGAAGCTATCCACGTTCCCCACCGACCCCAAGGAACTCAACACATGGTGGGTGGAGGAGCTCGGGGCAAAGCCTCCATCACCCAAGAACAAGAAGGGCAAGGGCGCAGCCCCGCAAGCCGACAACTCGGACGACTCCGAAGTCGAAGCGCATGAAGACAAGCCCGCGGAAGACGATGACGACTGGCGCAAGTTCTTCGACGACGCGCCCGCCGATTTGAAGGACCAGAAGCGCAAGTCCGCGCGCGTCCACACGCTGACATTGCATCAGTCGCTTCACTCCCTCGCGAGCCACCGCGCAGTGTACACAAGATGCTGGCTTGCACTCCTGCCGAAGCTCTCGTCGGTTGAGATCCGCGAGCGGGATGGGAAGCGGAAGGAGGTGGGGAATAGGGAGAGAGCATCGAGGGGGTATGCGCTGAAAGTACTCAATGTACTGCATCGGGGTGTGCTACCGCACCTGACGAGGCCAGTGTTGGTCATGGATTGGGTTGCGGGCTGCGTGGACTACGGTGCGTTCCTCCGTCCATGTGCGCAGCGATGAGAGTACTGACGCCACACAGGTGGCACGGTTGGCCTGATGGCCCTGAATGCGCTATTCACACTCATGAAGGAGTACAATTTGTACACATCTCGCTGCATGACCCACCCCCTTACTATCTGACTCACGCTGCCCCACACAGGGACTACCCCGCGTTCTACACGCGCCTCTACACGTTCCTCGACCGGGACGTCCTGCATCTCAAGCACCGCGCCCGCTTCTTCCGACTCACCGAGCTCTTCCTGAGTTCCACGTGCGTCCTCTCCACTTACCCCGCTATCCCTCTCCCGCTCATCATGATCTGATCGCTCGGACGTGCAGTCACCTCCCCGCCGCTCTCGTTGCTGCTTTTGCGAAGCGCCTTGCCCGGCTGTCCCTGAACGCCCCACCCGCGGCGGTGGTGATGCTCATTCCGTTCACGTACAACCTCCTCAAGCGGCACCCCGCGTGCATGGTCATGATCCACCGATCCGTCGAGTCTGTCGGGCCCTCCGACGGTTCGCCCCTTCTCCCCTCTCCCCTCAATACGTGGGTCAGCTGACCAGTGAGTGTAGACCCGTACAACGACAAGGAGCCAAATCCGCAGCACGCACACGCGCTCGAGTCGTCGCTATGGGAGCTCCATTCGCACGTCAGCCATTACCACCCCGTCGTGGCGACGCTCGCGAGCGTGCTTGAAGAGGCGTTTACACGGCCGCAGTATGCGATGGAGGACTTCTTGGATCATACATATGGCACTGTGCGTCCTGCTCCCCCCTGCTCGTCTTGGGCATCACTGATAGTGAATTGCGGTAGATGTTCGAGACCGAGGCTAACAGACGCATCAAAAAGGAGCCCGTTGTCGAGGACACGAACCTCGCTCCGACCAACGTCACCGACCAACTTTGGGCATTCTGACCTACGAGTGCCCGACAAGCGGTCGCGAATGATTGTGTATAGGGCTACAGCGTTTGTCATTCCGTAATATACAGAGACCTATCTACCATGCACTAGCCGCATCGCGCCAGTACATGACTCCGTGAGTAATGTGAGAGTCTAAATGGCCTCTTCCTCCTCCTCGTCGCCGGACACTTCGGCGTTCGCTTGTGCGGCCTTTGCCATGGCCTCCGCGAGGTCCTGCTCTTCCGTCTCGGAGATCGCTTTTGGCTATGAATGGCACAGTCAGATTGAGGACGGGCAATGGGGTAAGGCAGGAGAGACGCACCTTCATCTTGACTACGAGCGAGCCACCGCTGTCCTCGATCGTAGACTGGATGGACTCTATTGCGCGCTCGAGGCGATCTACCGCAGCGTACTTCAGACGAAAAATTTAGTCATCCTACCCATTTCAACAGTCGACGAGAAGCGTACCTTGTCTGTGGCATTGGTGGATAGGACATACAACGGTGGTGCGACGAGCTTTGCCTTGATCGGGACTGCCTCGTTGCTCTCCTTCTCACCAGCGCGGAGGGCCTTCTTGATAGCGTCGATACCGGCAGGTGTGTAGCAAGTGAGCTCAATATCCGCACGCAGCTTGATGGGCTGCGGCGTGAGCCGGCGGGCGATGGTGGAGAGGAGGATGGACTTGACGTTCTCGGGGACGGGTGCGGGGAGAGAGGCGAGTATGGTCTCTTGCTCGCTGCGGGTGTGCGGCCTAATCAGTAATGGGAGGATGAATTAGTACCGAATGCACGTACGTGAGGACTAGCTTGAAGGCATCGTATGGGTGCCCGTATTTCTTACCCAATGGCCATCCGATCTGCTCGTACAGCTGCTCGAGACGCTCCTCCTCGCTCGTGCCGGTCACCTCAGTCTCTTCTCCCTCCTTTGTCTCCTTTCCCTCCGCTCCCTCGCTGGGGCCAGACGGGAGCTTGGAGGCGACGTGCCGCATGATAGATGCAACTGTTTTTGACTTCATATAGCGTTCCTCGCATTTTGTGATATCTTCAGGAGAGACACGACGCTTTGAGAGATCGATGTAACCTGGCATAGAAGAATGGATGAGACGTTTAATCAAAGTCGTGAGGATCGTTGAGACGCACCCTTCTCCTTGTCCACCCTAAGCACGACCACGACCTCATTCCTGCCCACACGGATGAGCTTCTGGATAGATCGAATACGTCTCCTGGACAGTTCGGAAAGCAAGATCATTCCCTCGATATTGTCATACTCAAGCTACGCGGTAAACGATTCTGTTGTTGAGTCGATCGCACGGGACATTATGTCGGAATGCGTACCAGCTTTACATATGCACCCATCTCCGCGATCTGGCGGACCTGGACCATCACCAGCTCGTCCACCTCTGGATAGCGCTGCTCGTAGTACCGCATTTTCGTCTATATTCTGATGCGTTGTTCAAGATGCAGGAGGGTGCAGAGGTAGAAAGATTGGGCACTTGCAGACGATCGAGGCTTGACTCGGATGAAAGATCGCAAAGCGCCCGAATAACAGGTTGCCTTTTCAGGATATGATAGTGGGAGCAAACAGGCCTAAACTCTGTACTGTGTCGAATCCAACAACTCTGCTTTGTCTCTCATCGCCTCCAACTCATATTTTCGTTGATTTGTCAGTCTATGTCATACTGCTCATCACAGGTTGGCCGACCGTCACCGTTGACGTTGTTCTCTTCCGTGAAGACTACCGGTCACGCGGCACCAAGCCTATACGCTCCGGCGCAAACAGTGCACTGGCGATGTATGTGTGAGAAGCTGCGCACAACCTGCGTGGATTGTCCAATCGTGCTACATCCAGGTATATGACAGAGCCCTTAACTATGATACAGAACAATGGCTACAGGGGAGGGGATGCTATCGGCGGGGGAGGATGGATACAGGGTATGTGAGTACTGCAACTTAGGAACGAAAACATATGAGCAGTTAACCAATGAAAATGGACAGATCGTGGATTCGTAGGGATGTCGTGACCTGCCTCAGAGTCAAACCGTCTCTTGGACCACTGTCATGTAGACGCCGCCGTCAAGGCCCTCCGAGCGTTTGTCCCTGCCGCGCAGGCCGCTGAGGCTCAAGGTCCTCCCGAGAGCAGGGAGCCCGTCCCTACTACGCGTCCTCCTCGCGTGCCTCGGCACGAATTGCTCTGTCCTAGATGCATGCGCATAACTTGCTGGCACCCCGGCGTCTGCGAAGGGCGCGAAGTGGGGCAGCGTCGGCGAGTCGTGCAGAGCATCCGGCGGGGGTTCCAGCGCGTATGCGGAAGTGCTGACCGTCGAAGATACGAGGCTCACATCGACAGATGTACTGCTTGGCGGGCGTAGGCGATGAACGACGGGTGACGGCACCGTGACGACTTGGTCCGGAGCGATGGGAGGCATTGCGTTGGGCCGCGTAGGAGAAATGGGAGACACGTCCATAAGCTTCACAGGCGACGGCGGAAGGGAGGTCGGAGGTCGTGGCCATGGGCCCGCGATTATGGAGCTAGGTCGCCGTCGCGAGCCGGATCGATGTATCTCGTCTTCGTTCCTGAGGGCAGACTCCGCTACAGCGTCCGCAACGACGGCAGGCGGAGGCATGTCAGGCAGGTGTCCAGGTATGTTGGAGGGGCGGAAGATGGAAGGCGGACGAGGCATGGAAGCGATCGCTGCGCGCCCGACCGGCGAATCGAGGTAAGACATCGCGGACTGGGCGAAGCTGATGTCCGTGTCGTCAGAGGAGATAGATGTCGGAGGCGAGGCAGCCTTGTCGCTACAAGACGGGATGGACAGCGGCGGCAACTTGACTCGCGCGCGGGATCGAGAATTCGTGCTTCCCTTGTGGTCCGGATACATGGGGTGAATCGACATCAGCGTCTCCGAGGATCGCTTGGACGACATTTGCGGCTGCAGATCCATGACGGAAGAAGAGGTGGACAGCGGCCTCACCTCGTTCTTCCCTGTGAACAAGATGCTCGCGCGCCATACCATCGTGCGATAACCCTCCAGCGAGTTGTCTTCGCGCGAAGCACGAGCCAGGTTCACGAGGAACATCCCGATGAGCACGAAGGATGAGGCGGGTATCATCCACCACGTTACTTTAATGTCTGACACCGTCAGTGCCGCAGAGCGACGGATGATGTTCGCCTGAGACAAGTGCGCATGGACGACGCGCCACGACGTCCAAGGAAGAAGGAGAGGAGAGGATGCAAGCGCAGCGTGCAAGGTGAATGCAGAAGAAGCCAGGAACAGTGATGCAATCAGAAAGGATCTGAGCAGCGGCCGGAGAAAGTCGAAGATGTGGCGGCCGGAGCTAGCTGACCGGCTGGTGCGGAGAAGCGTGAAGCCGCGCCGGTGACCGCAGCGTATAGTGACACAGGTGAGGACGATGGCGGATACAGAGAGAACGAGTGGTGGTAACCAGACCAGGAACAGAGCGGGGACGGAGTTGTATACAGCGGGTGAGCATCCGAAGTTCTCCGTCAGGTTGAATCGGTGGCTTTGCACGATTATATCTGGGCGGGTCCAGGACTTAGGTAAGTAGGTCGGTAGGTCAAGCAAGACTGCACACTCACGAAGTACCATGTAGACAACAGGGACTATGATACACATTGTCAAGTCAAAAGAGAGGACGCCAATACCCCCTCTGGCGTCGCCCGTCACGAGAAGATGTCGCACTCGATTGGATAGGCATAAACAGGCTGAAGGCAAGGCTACTCGTACGCCCAGCAGCAGTTTCGTGCCTGTAGGAGTCTCAGTCACTCATCGGTAATTCTACCAAGTTCACGCACCTATGTCGCACCAGACAGGGATTCTCACTTCGACATTCCCTGCCCAAAAAACCACGTTCACGCCTTGGATTATGTTGCAGATAATCAGCCACCAGATGAGGGCCAGCATGGCGACGTTCCGCGAACTCCAGTATGCGGGCAGAAGGCATGCCAGCAGTGCGGCGCACGAGAAAGCCACAGCGGCCAACGCAAGTGCCATATGGACGACACAAATTCCACAAGGTCTAAAGAGTGCTATCGCAGGATCGAGGACGAGGAGGTACAGGAAGGTCGTGATCCGACGGATTCACGACTTGACGGGCTGATGTGATATGTGGGGGAAGGAAGGCTGAGCAGTCAAAATGACGCCTCGCCATTAATAGATGTATCGACAAGATCGACAAGCGACTGGTGATAGAGCTCTTGACGGAGTACAACAATTGCCTACAGCGAAACAACGAGCGGGAGCCGCAAGTATCCGCGGAGGCCTCACCCCGGGCGCGCGCTCTGGTCGGAATGCACTAGAACCACGCTGACGTCCCTCTGTGCGGAGGCATGCAGGGTGACAATAAGTGGAAGCCCAAATCGGGATGAGGTTTCTTTCGGCTTGCCGGAAGCAGATGGGACGAGTGGCGTTCCATATAAGGAAGGCATAGTATTCGACCACCCGATCACCGCATGGATGTGTGAACCAAGTGTGGGCCGGTATAAGTACGTCGAGGACGTCAAAGACGCCACCTGCGGATGTGTGCGACGCCTGCATCACGTAGAAACAGCTAAGCAGATTAGGCCTGCCGGCGAGGTCGAAACCCGAGCGTCTTGCTACTACTACCGTCAGGAGTCGGATATGTCAGTGCGACGGCACACGTTGGCGCTCGCTACTTGCTTTGTCTCGTTGTCTGGACGCGCACCTGAAAGCCTGAGAGTCATGTCGCCCGTCCGACCACAGGCAATGGTTGGTAATCGAGTATATGGCCTAAATTATTCGCTTTCTGGGCTGGAGCGAAACTCGAATGAGTCTTCGGGCTGCCATAAACGCGTTGCATGGCTGAAGCCACTGTCCATGCTAAGACAATGGCCAGTGTCATGGTGTCTGTCCACTGACAGATCACCGAATTCATGCAGTCGTCACTCGCGTCACCGGAGCTCATGCAACAGAGTGAATTGTGACATTAGTGATCCAACTGCGTACGCGTCTTCGTATCGCATATTGCATCAGCGTGGCTCTTGGCACTGCAGTATCCTGGTCCGCTTCCACTCGAGGCACACACTGGCATGGCCAGGCCGGTACGCTTCATCCACTGGCTTCCGGAGACAACTTAACGTGGTTCAGAAATTTCAGGGGGTACGTTGAAGAGTTAGCGCAGGAGGCCGAGAAAGCGGTGCGAAGCTCACTGATTGATTATCATGTTACACAGGCATACTTTACGAGGAATGGATATGCACCATTGCATTCTGAGTTTCATTCGCGGAGCATGAGTTGGCGAGGGCGCTGTTCCACTGACGCTATCCTAGATGACTGACTTATGCCAACATCATACGCGGCATATCCTGGCAATGTCCCTCGTTCTTGTCCTATTTATTTTGCCTTCTGAGCAAGGCTCCATGTCAAGCTGGAGACTTCAGCCAACTCAGAGCGATCGGCGAGTGTGACAGTGGCCCGACAGATCGTACTGAGTGACGCCACTTGCATGTTTGGCGTTGTTTTCCATCTTCAACATCATCACATCCGCTGGAGGCTGGCAGTGGCAAGCATGAGCTCTGACTCCGTCGTCCGTTTCCTAGCTTCAGTCGAATATATCAAACCTTCTCCTACTCGACCATGCTTTCCGAACTCAACGCTTTTGGAACGCAGTACGCTGCCACGGGAATGAGCAGCAGCGAGACGACTGGCGCTGTCGGCGACTCCAAATGAGGTCGAGCGTACGAGGAACGGCGGGCACGATTCTCAATCGTACGCTAATGACGCGGAGTCTGTGACCGCATATGAAGGTATGCTATAAACTTCGTTAGAGACCGCAATAAACGACCCACACACTACGATGCGTTGATCTCTATTAGGCACGAACCATGTTTTGGATGGCTACCTCCCAACGACCTCCGGAGCTCCCTTGCCTCAGGCTCGTGGTCGGGCCGGTGGTCCTGGATTACGGTAGTGGCTCTGGATTGACGAACACATACCTAACTCAGTGGTCATTGGAGCCCCCTCAAGGGATCCCAGACGCGCCTAGGGGTCTCAGCACATCCCACCATCTGACCTGAACCGCAGTGGTCATTCTACATGCCAGCGATGATACGTCCGTTTTCAGGTACTTGTATGCGGCGCTTATTGTTGCGCAAGCTCCACTGCTTGAGATCCTCTCAAACTCCAGGACGGTATGTGCTTTCAATGAACTGAATATGGTCGTGTACTATCAGCACTTATGGCTGTCCCATTAGTACGGTCGTGAGAACGTGCCGGAAGCTACATATACAAACCACCCGTCCGTCCACGTCCGATACATAACAGTCCCAATCCAGACTATCCAACTAGGGATACAAGTATCAAAAAGCGATGGCCATTCAATCGCGAACGAAGAAGTTAATAAGGATAGTGTGCGCATTCCGGATAGCAATTGCCGAGACCAAAGAGTGGGTATGGGCGTCGGAGGAGACAAGGACACCTCAAGACGATGAAGGTACAATTGGGGGCTACCCGAGACCCTGTTTGGCCGCCTGCGGCACTGAGCATGTTTCTTCAGTATAGACATCGACTGAGCAGCACACTTCACTTACGTGATCTGCGAACAGGTTGCCTGCAGGACGTGGACAGCCTGCACTCATGAGATGGTGCACGAGTATGCGGCAGGGCCGTTTGTGCGGTCGAAGTCGCATAGGACCTGGGAAGTCTCCGTCTCTGTCTCCTCGGTGGGAACAGGTGTAGCGATGGTGAAGAAGGCGTCCATCGTTGGCAGAAGAGCGAAGAGTGGCAAGTAGCCGAAGATGAAGGTACGGTGGCGGATGCCTGTGCGATTTGGTTGCCGTTGACTCTCGAACGTCGCTCGCACCTTTATAGATCTGCGCAATGGCAATTCCATAACGATGACAATAGAGATAGAATGTGAGTATGAAGATGCATTGCGATTGCAATGGAAGCTCCGGTCGCTACGTAGCAGGGCATTGAGGCACAGCTCCGCGAGTAATTGTTGATTTTCGCCCTGCCTGTCTACAGCTAGCGCAGTTACCTTCAGGTACCAATCAGTGACACTGTGGATTGTCTCGTGTTGTGTTCATGAACGCCTTCGAAGATCCTCACCATCATGGTCAGAGTCCCGCAAATGTGCAAGATGTCTCGAGCACAAGCCCACTTCGCGACCAAGGACTCGGGATCTCCCCCAAGGATGGGTTCTCTGCGTCAGATACACAACCGTACGACCATTGGGTCCGGAGCGCAGTACGTACAGCTCTTGACTGCTTGGTTGTCAACCCTCATCACAGGCACGATTACAGGATCGCGGCGACAGCACCGGCGCAGAGACAAAAGCTCGAGAACCCCGTGTGATCAATGGCGCCCTGTGCCGTAAAGCTGTGGTACAACAGCTCAGGGCGCATATACACGCTGTTGTCTTCACCATGCGTGCTTTCCCTGCGAGGGACGAGCGTAATTGTGTTGTGTGGGTCACGTGAGAACATCAAGCCGACATGGCCAGCGCCCACAAAGAAGAATCACGGAGAGTGCGCAGAAAAGAACTTGCCTGACTGACACGACGCATCAGGTACGTACTGGCATGGCTCTGCAGATAGAGCTTCATGAAGCCGAGACGGAGCGGGTCTTCGCAAGTGGACAAACCAGCGCAAGTACCGTAGTGGTACGTCTCCCTACGCAACGAAGCGATCACTGCGAAGTCCACGCTGGTCATGCTTCCTTCTGTTAGCAAGTCGAAGTCTGAACCATGACTGGGATACTTAGCGGGCGCGGATTTGCGCGGAATTTCAAGAGCCTCAACATCATCGCCCAGCGCTCAGCGCTCAAACTCGAGCCCCGGCAGTCGCTGTAAGCGCTCTTCAATCTCCATGGCCGTACTGATCCTGGTCGTATCATCGCCTATCCCTAGTCTTCGCTTGTGCGCTTGATACATACTCTTCAGGATTCTGGAATGCTCGTGCCTCCAGCAGTATGCCCCCTTGCCATTGATAAGCTATACTCGTGTTGTGAATTGACCGACAACACTGAAGTCTAGTTTTACAAGGTATGCCATATCATGACCCCCTCTTTCCCCCCTCTGCGCTCCTCAAAATCACTAGTCCCCGAACCACTAATAATGTATAACTTAGGATTATTCTTGAACGAATTGTACGCCATAATGATGGTGTGCGCCATAAATGGAAGCGGCACTGTTTGTTCAGAACGACATGTACGAGGACGTCATCGGTTGTCTACTCGTCGGAAGGTGGGTGTCGCGGAATGGGAGCTGTAGGCTGAAGAAGGCTGTCAAGGACAAGCAAAGGGACTTCGAGTTCGGCCACTCACCAGAAGTATTGACTCATGCGATCGTGCATGATCCACTGCCACTACCATTCGAGGTATCGTAGTTGACTGGGATCTGGGAGCCTTCGCCCTCGATGTCGGCGGGGACAGGTGCAGCAATGTCGAAGGTGTCCATCGCTGGTTACGAGGTACGAAGAGCGTGTGGAACGCTTCGTGAGCTTTGGGTGTATCTCTTGTGCTCACCGTCGTGTTCTCTATGGTCGACAGGGAGCCACTTTATACATGGCGTTCAAAACGAGACGCTACGCCATTGGCCGCATCGGAGAATCCGAAGTCTACCGCGCGCTGGAGAGGCCCCTGGCGAGCGATGAACGTGAGCAAGTCTTATTGTTCCTGCTGGCATCTCCGCGCATGGACTTAGACAGGCGGTGGTAGCTGATCGATCGGTATGAATCCCTCGAGCGCGCTGGTGTTGTCAACGACACAATGATGTCAGAGACATACCGCTATAGCTACACAATTTGCCTTGACATCCAGCCTTTCTGCCGAAGCGGATGGAGATACATGTGTATGTCGGGATTGACGAGACGTGTCAGGCTGTGTATGTGAACCCACGTCTCAACTCACGGACATGACTAGCGCGAGCTGCACACAAAAGAGAAAAGACACGCTGTGATTCCATACGGACCGCGGTGCGTCTTTAGCAGCTCGTAGCCTCCATATCCGGCCTGCGTTATTGTCAAGCGACTGTCATGTGACCGTGTCGTGGTGGGACTAGCAGAACGACATTGATTGCGTTCCCATTCTTAGAGCCGCAACTGAATTGCATGCATGTCCGCGACAGGTAGCGGATTGATATGAACGGAGGCTCTTGTGCCGGTCACTGCTGATATGATTCTCGAATAGACCAAGGAGGTTGAGATGATTCCATGCCATTCGGTTAGCCACGGTGGCACCTAGGCCTACTGCAGACAATGTAGCAGTGAACATTGAGGTGTTCGAGAACTGCGCGACCGAATGAGCTTGTCATATGATCCACAAGTGTGTACTGTGCCACCTACTACGATGTCCCACTAAAACGGTGGCACAGGCCACCATGTCAACGCTAACAATGACTCAGGCTAGTCAGTCCATCGTCCACTCGACCAAATCCCAGTGACCAGACCAAAATACATCCTAAAACCGAGATTCAGAGCAAGAGGTGTAGACAACCGATATGACTTATGCGACAGCGGCATTACAAATTAACTATGGAAGGCTTGCAGACTTTAATGAATAGACAGGTGGTCGGACGAGTAAGTAGTAGACAACAAGCTACAACTGAGGCGATATGCATAGTGAGACGACAGGGACCGAGAGGAGGGATACAACGTGGAGACACAGGGTCGCTATAGCATACAGACGCCCCACAATAAGTTACTCTGCGCCAGCCAGGCGATCATACATATTGCTACAGCCTGGTATCTCACCATGTCCAAGCACACGACTCCGTTCAGATCATGGCCTTGGGCATAATTTTGCGTAGGGGCGGCACCATCGCTAGCAAGATCCTGACGCTCGCGCGGTATGGCCACAACACGATCGTTTGCACGCACTCGAACACCCACTGATGGAACGACAACGGCGTCGCTTGCGCCGCATGCTTGCGCGCCGAGCTGCCCCCGCTGTGGCTCCGGCTGCGACTGCGGCTTCCGCTCTTGTTCCGAGCACGGCGGGTCTTGTGATGACCGTTCGTCGTGCCGTTCGCCGTCGCAGCGTGGTCCTTCTCGTTCTCGGTGACATACGTCCCGTCCGAATCGGCCTCATCTTCACCACCGGGTTCACCTTCTCCGTCGGACTGAGGAGACTCGAGGATAGTAGTGAGGCGTGGGTCGGGCGCACCGTTCGAGGATAGCCTATGGTGAACAGTCCCATTTGAGCTGCGAGAGACGGGTGGCGAAGGAGAGGGCAGCGGCGACGGTGAGCCTCCAGCCATCCATTTCTCGGACGTCGCATCCGGTGCTCCCAGCGCCCAGATTGTCTTCGGGAAACGCAAGACTCCACGAACCAAAGGCCGGATATAGCCCCATGCGCGCCGGTACCCTCGTTCATAGAACGGAGCAACATAGCCACGCCTGAGTGCGTCGACGTCCATTCGTCTGTTCTGCTCGACCTGCAGAAGACCCTTCTCCAGCGCCGCAAGCCGAGCGGCGAGTGCGAGGCGCGCCATCTCGGCCTTCCGTTCGCTGCGTTTGCCACCGCGCTCGAGCTCGCCAACAGCCTCGCTGAGGTCGTCGCACACTTCCTGAAGTCGTCCTGCGAGTGTGGTGCGCGCCTGCAGTTCGTGAAACTCGCGTTCAAGCAAATCAAGCCGCTTCAGGAGGACAGCATTGACTGCGAGGTCCTCGGCTCCCACCTTTTCAGGAGGGTAATGGATAGCGTCATGCAGGGACTCGGTGCGTCCTTGGATGCGAGAGATGAGATGCGTCCAAGGTCGGATACCCGTCGCGAGCACGAAGAGCGTTGTACTGAACCAAGAGAGAGATTCCCTCTCCCCGAGTGCCGACAGCACGTGCTTGAGGAAAGTGGCTCCAATGAGAGGGGAAATGGCGGTTACGACAAGCAGCAGCAGCTCTTGCCGCCGCAACTCAGTTGCAGCAAGCTTGGTGACACGGTCGGGCTCTCCGGATCGCGCGCCAGCCGACTTGCGGGGCCGAGAGGCCTGGTAGAGCTTCCAAGGAACTAAGGACAGCAATTAGCTTTCGAAATGGTACGAAGTCATGGGCAGTGGCATACCTTCGATAAGCTGGTGGAGGTAGAATACTAGGAGAATGATGAGGAAGAGGTTCTTGATGTGGTCACCTCCAGTCAGCCAATTTCCGACAGGCGACACGCAGGCCACGATGATAGACAGGTCCAAGTCGGCCCATGACGTGCTCGACCGCTCGCGTTCGTATGAAGCACTGCGAGTGCTATGGATCTGCGCTCGGGGCAACGGCGGAGCTGCCACTCCCTTGCCTTTACCCTTCACAGTCGCGTATGCAACCTCTTCCTCGCTCTCATATTCGCTCCTGCCCTCCTCCTCGTAGTCCGAAGCGTCCTCATTCAATATCGTCGCTGCAGACTTCGTGTGCAGCGCCGTACTACGTCCGGAGTCTCCGCTCGACGTCCTCGCGCGTTGAGAGGGACCCGCCTGCGCAGCCTGTGTCGCCATAGTCGTTCAGCGCAGATGAGATGGAGAATGGAAGAAGAAAGAGTGTGTCGTCGCGTGGAGTGGGCGAGGTTGCAGGCTCCGTTCCGCCTTGCTGGATCGGTCACTTCCGCTGCGGTCAAATCCTGCGTGTTGGCCGCATGTGCGACACTGAACGTGCCTTCGTGCTGCTCAGCACATAATTACACGTCATGGCGAGCTGGACTTACGTTCTGAGAGGTGATGATGGTCACCGGTACTGAGCAGAAAGTCGTGTGAGCAGTTATGGACGCGCTGCACACCACACGACGGCGCGCATGACGCGCCTGGCGGCTATATCGGCAGTTAAGTCCGTCGTCAAATTCGTAGTCAAATTCGACCTCTGAGCTGAGCGCTGAGACGGCGTCGTACGAATCGTACATTCATGATAAGCTGTACAGTGCAGGCTACAGTAGAAACTCCGTAGTCATAACATTGGTATAAATAATAGGAAGCGTCCGTGAACGAGTCAAGCAAACGAACGTAAGCTCATGCTTAGAGCGAAGAGGAATCGAAGTCCGATGGAGTGGGTGGGTTTCAATAGCGTATCTTGACCTGGCTTCATCCGTCATGAGATGTCAAACGGGTGATATAGCATAGCAGCTAACGCACATTCTGAGATTTGGAGGTCGTCTGTCTTGCGCGCAATGAGTCGGTTAGAGACTATGGAAGGGAGAGTAGCACCGGTACATACCAAATTCGACGGCGAACGTATGTATTCATGCGATGACGCACATCTGGAAGCTGAACTGCCCATTCGAACACGTCTCCGACTGATGTTGGAGGTCCGTCAGGACATGTTCTTGCGAATCTTGCGCAATGGTGAGGCATTCTGCTGCCCCAGGCTCAGGCTTGGCAAGGGGGAAGAAGTGGTCCATGGCGTGTGCAAAATGCACTCGCGATGAAGGGTCGAAAGAGGGAGGAAAGAAGGATAGTCCTTGGCGACCCGCGCGCGATTTGTTGTTTATATAGCTTGATTAGGGAAGGCTAAAGCTGGTCTGCGTCAGGGGTGTTCTGTACGCTTTATAGTGCTCTGGCCTTGCACCTACAAGAATTAGGAGCGGTCGCCAAGCGCACAGCGCAGTCAATCCTTTGGCCAGCAATGATGAAAAGGAGGGAGACAGGATGAAGGGAGAGGGAAAGCACAGCACGGAGCTTGCTGTGCAGCGCAAGTCATGACGACGACTCGTCCACGCACCAAAGTCAAAGTTCTGGCGGCTCTCAAACAACAGGGATCCGTGGAGCGCATTACCAATTAGGCCGCGAAGCGATGACCAAAAGAGAAAAACAAAAGGGAGCGTGTCCGGCAGACCGCTTCGGGCTGGCGCGTGCGACGGTGAGGTTGGGATGATAGGCCGGCAACCTGACGTGTGGGGACGGAACTCGAGTCATGAGGCGGAAATGGGCAGGACTTTGATCGGATAGCTGGAAAGAGAGTCGTGCGCGGATCGCTATCGAGATGTCGCGGACAAAAGGAGCGAACAATGTCGACCTCTCTAGTCGACGTACGGCGTCATAGATTTCACAGCTAGATAGGCTATCGCGGAAGCACAACTTGAAGGTTGAAGGTGGATGAACTGACTCCGTCTGCTTGTACCACTCCTCTCGTCAACTTGTCGCGGAACATCATACACGGTGCGCATGAGGAATCCTGCACTCAGTGCGGTGAAACAGCGACTCTCAGCTTCCAATCACGGACGCCGACGTACCCGCGCAAGATGGAAGACTTCTGACTTCGCCGCGACGATATGAGCGCCTTCAACGGGTCTTCCGTCAGGCTTGTATCGCGTTACCCATCCACGCTCGATACACTCTGCAAAGGATGGCACTCACCTCTCATGGTTTCGACAGGACCGTCACGAGTAGATGGTTCAGTGTGCACACACTACGTGGGCGGTCTACCACGTCACAAGTCCTAAAAGTGCGCTCAGTATGTCCTTCGTCTCGAGCACCTATCATTCCATCGCCCTGCGGAAATAGGTGGCAGTAAGAAGTCATCACAGTCCGGTAGAAGGTGGCGGCAGGAGTGTGGCCGGGCGTCTGTCCCAAAGCGGGAGGGGAAGACAATAGGAGGATTAGCGCCGGCGCTGCGAAGGCTTCCCGCCGCAAGACAATAGAAGGAGGGCAGTCATATACCACACCACCAGCACGCCGTCCGTCCCTGTTCCCTCCTGCTGCGGTTGCGACCATCGCCTCTCGCAGTCTAATTATCGCGCAAGACTATGCCGACGACGATACCGGACGACAGCGCGTGCTCGCCGTCGTCCGTCGTCCTCTTGGGGATAGCCATGTGCCCAACGGGGGTGGCTATACTCATTGTGTCTTAGACTTGGTCGTCATCGTACTTAATGCCGGAATGGGTTGGTCCAACAGCATCGCAGGACAATAAGCTGCCTGGACCCGAGCGCGGTGAGTGTTGTTGTGTGAGTACCGGGCGCAAAGTCATACTCAGAGGTCAGCGCGACAGTGTCATGGAGGTCAGCTAGTGGCAGTGTCTTCCGAAAGCCTGCTTGTTGTTCAGGCTTGGACCCCCTCATTGCACTTCGTGCGCCGTGGTTTGCGATCCAACGAATACAAAAGGTAAGTGTTGTACTTCGGTCGGCTAGACAGCCTAGAGACTCGTGTCCTACGCCTTCCGTGCGGCTCATCCACACTACCAAATTGCAGCTCGGTCTGCATAGGGCTGCGATGTTCTTCGATCTCAAGTAGTCGTAGTGGACCGGGCTTCGCCGAAGCATTGCGGTCGGTGTCCTAGAACTCATACCCGGCCACGCTTGTCTGCTAGTATGTCTGGAGGGGTTTTACGGTCGACAAAATAACTCGTTCTCACTTGGCCATTCGCTATCCCATGTGAGGCCACATGTGTCATCCTGATTCTGACCAGCTTTCCTAGGTGAATTACCGTCTTATGCCACAACGTCGGCGCAATGGCTGTACGATGCTCTTGCGCGTCGGGCGTGGCATGAACACGAATCACCCATCTGGTCCTCGACGCGCGGTATTGACGGGGCTTATTGGCTCACTGGTCTGTCTCTCGGCCGCTCACCTAGCTCTTGGCTTGACCGCTGGCAATGCCTTCGCACTAATGGCCTTCACTCTTGGACGATATATGCCGCCACAGTGACTGATGCTTGATAATGGGTTCGACAGACATGCGAGACTGCGGCTCCGTTCGTCCGCTGCCCGGCCAAGAACAAGCGACTGCGTTCACGTTCCGTATCCGGACTGCGACTTGCGCTGCCCATGGATATTCAGTAGTCTCCGTTGGATATTCAGGCGCCCTCAGTCACTTCGCCTCTCTGGTCAGTATATCTCTACGTCCCCTCTTATGCGCGGACTTGTATTACTTAGTTGTTTAACTCTCGTCCTCCAGCGCTGCAAGGACGTGAATGTAGACGCGCCGCCAGGTCTCCTGAGGATTCCTTACAAGGAGAGGCTGGAACACCACTATCTTGTGCTGAGCAGACTTCTCTTTCTGGTCCGGAATCCGGTCTTTCTGGAATCTGCTCGTGCCTGCCATTAGGCGCGGTGATAACTGAGGTCGTGCTTCACCCCAGTCTACGTATCCTCCGCCACTCGGATGCCTTCGTTCGAGGACGCCACTCTGGTCAATGTGCTTCGACTTTGCTTCAACCCAAGACATGGCCAGGATGCGGGTGTTTGTCGAGATGACAACCTGGTCCGCTGCAGCGTCAATTTACGGTCTCACATCGCTTGCAATGAGGTCTCCGACAGCGCGACTTCTCTGCGTCCCGTTTTGGGTGTCCCTTTCGCGCGTCTTTGGTTAGCAGCTGGGCATCTCGGCATGGCCTTCCAGACCGGCGCGTGGCTCGTACCCGCGTACCCGAGCCATGTGCCGCCATATGGTGCCTGCCGGGATCTGCCTCCGTGGCTTCATCAAGGTTTCCAAATCCGGACGAGAGACAAGGTAACGCCTATATTAGGCAACTGTTGAGAAGCACGGTATGCCTTCGCGTGCGTGGTGATGGCTGGTGATGGCGCTCAGATGGCACCCGAGGGACAAGCAAGCATCCGAATTCGTACACAAGGGTAACGAGCGTGGTGAGGTATTTCATGGGCGCGTTGACGAGAACTCCCCTCCAGCGATCACCCATCCGTGCCCGCCTCCCCTCCCCGCAGGCTTCCAAGTCGGTGTCTTCTGTGCTACCTCCCTTCACCACCGCGTCTATACTTGGAGACCCTCACGCGATGGACGCACAAATGACTTCGTGGGCCGCGCAGCAGCATGCTGCCACCGCTCTCTCCTTCATCGGGTTTGTTCTGGTTAGCATTCCCCTCTACTGGCACTTGGAAGGTACGTGTCCAAGTTGGTCGCTTCTCATCGTCGTACTCACGCCTCGCGTCAGCCTGGAACGTCGGCTGTGTCCTCTACATCTTCTGGTGCGGCACCCAGTGCCTCATCCAGTTCATCAACATGTCCGTCTGGCGGGACAACGTCATCGTCTGGGTCCCGGTCTGGTGCGATATCGTCACCCGCTTCCGTCTTGCGTCGAGCATCGGCATCTGCACGGCCTCGCTCATCATCAATCGCCGCCTGTACAAGATCGCGACCATCTCCACCGTGTCGATGACGAACAGCGACAAGCGGCGGATGATTTGGGTGGATCTCGCCATCGGCCTTATTCCTTCCATCGTGAACGTCGCGCTCTGTGAGTACATAGGTTTCGGACTGCTGTGCGTTTGCTGACGCACTGCCATCTCAGTCTGGTTTATCCAAGGCCACCGTTTCGACATCTATGAGGGCTACGGGTGCACCTTCGAGATTGCGAACACCATCCTCTCCTACTTCCTGCTCACCTCCTGGCCGATAGTCATCGGTTGCATCTCGGCAGTGTACTGCGCGCTGACCCTGCGCGCGTTCTTTAAGCGACGCAGGCAGTTTGGCGAGCTCATGTCGAAGAACAAGAACCTAACGTTCCACCGGTACCTGCGGCTCATGGGCCTCGCGGCAATCGAGATCGTCTGCACCGTCCCGCTCGCGTCGTGGAACCTGTACATGCAGTCGCGCAGCCCGCTGTACGAGTGGAAGGGTCTGGCGGACCTCCACTACGACTTCTCGCGCGTCGGCCAGTTCCCCGCGATCATCTGGCTGAACAACCCGTTCACGAAGCCCGCGATCATCTTCGACATCTGGGACATCATCATCTGCGCGTTCATCTTTTTCGCGTTCTTTGGCTGTGCGGAGGAGGCGAGGAAGCACTACTCGATAGCGGCGACCACTGTTGCGAAGCGCGTTGGCCTGTCCACGAGCTGGCTGTCGCGCTCCACCATCGATGGCTCCTATGGGTATGTTCATCGCGTCCATGTACTCTGACATGAAGCTGACGGCTGCTGCAGTCTCAATGGCTCGAAGCCGACCACCAGCGCTGTTGGCCGCATCACCATCCCGACGTTCGTACAGCGGAAGCGGCGCCCGTCGTTCGACTCGTTCTCCGACCGCCTCTCGACGTCGATCTCCATCGGCGAGGAGACGCCGATCGACGACCTCAAGGTACCCTACTCGCCCTCGCAGCACTCCGCCGGCTCGAGTACGTACATCTCGTCACCTACGTCCGCGAAGGACAGTCCGAAGACGCACGCGTTCGTGTTCCCCCCGCCGCCAGCACCTCCCGCGCGCGTGCACGACCCGGCCTCGCCGACGCGCGCGACCCCACCGGACGTCCCCGCGTCCGTGCACGACAACACCCTCGACATCGTCTGAGGTTTAGAGACCTGCAATATCGCCTGTGACCTGGACAAAACCCGCAAGATTATCCCCACCTCCTACCGTGTATCTCCTGTCTGCTGTCGGATCCTCGTTCGTTGTTGTTGACATCACCTACTGTCTCCGTTATCACACCAGGGTTGGTCCCTTGCTTCACACTGTATTGTTAGCTCTTTGTACCTCATCCCACACGACGCCGCTGGTTCCCATACCCCTTTGCGGCTACTAATGATATTCGTATGTACGATTACTTTTAGGTCTGTGGCCCTCGTCGACTTCGTCGGCGCGCCTGCCACCAGTGTATTACCTGCACCTTTGCTCATGACACTCAATAGATATATGGTTAACCTTAGTATGCGAAGTGTGCGCGGTTACAGCGTTTTGACAGCGTTCGCCTTGCTCCTCCGGAGTCCGAGTGCCTGATATTGGCCATCGATGAGATACAGAAAAGCGTTGGATTTCTCATGCTCTTTGCGCGCCCGCATGGTCGGGCGACCGCCTGTCCTTGTCAGCGGTCACAAATCACCTGTACGCTGAATCATCTGAGCTCGTCAGCTTCCTGTTCCCTCTCGCCGTTTCTATTTATCGGTTCGCAGTGGTGTTAGAGTGGGAGCGCACGGGCCCACGGACGCGAGTTACGCTTCCGAGTCAGTCGCTTCCTCCACCTTCCAAATACCGCTCAGTGCGAGCAGCACGTCGTCGACGGCTGGACATAAAGCTCGCTGCCGTCTCTAGCAGGCTCTTCGTCGTACCACCACCATGTCGACTCGTACTCTTTCCGCGAACGAACCTACGCGATCTTCGACGGAGCTGGAGAAGAAGGATGCCACCGCGTTGGCGGAGTCTCCCTTGCAGGACCCGTATCCGCATGCGTATGCAGAAGAGGACCTATTTGAAGAGGGCGCGGTCGATGCTGTCTACCAAGCCAAGGCTCGCGTATTGAACGCCGCGGTTCGGGAAATCGGGATGGGTAGATATCAGGTGCGCGAAGCGAGATTGTGTTGAGGAAGGACCTGGTGTTGACTTGTTTGACCTAGTGGTACCTCTTCGTTGTAGCTGGGTTCGGATGGTTTTCGTATGTCATCACCTTCTCTGCTCTCTAGGCGTCTACATGCTGATCTGCATTCGCCGAATTCAGCGACAGCGTGTGGCCAGTAAGTTGTTTGGTGTGCTTGCGAAGATGACTCGCGCATGACATTGACATGATGTACTTCTAGCTGGTGGCAGGCTTGATTCTCAATCCCGTTGTAGCTGAATTTCAAGTAGACAGTCAATGGCTGTCCTTGGCGTTGAACATCGGCCTGTTCGCTGGTGCGGTCTTCTGGGCATTGGGATGTGATATTTGGGGGCGCAGGTGCGTTAGCAATCGCGATGCACCACTATGTATCGTTGACTGTTCACCACAGGTGGCCCTTCAACTTCACTCTATTCATTGCTGGAGTGTTCGGGCTTGCAGCCGGGGGTTCGCCCAACTTCGTTACGTTGGCGTCCTTGTTTGCTGTCGTGGGTTTTGGCGTCGGAGGTAACATGCCTGTCGACTCTGCCGTGTTCCTGGGTACGTAGAACGTCATTTTGCTTTTCTTGTGGTTGACGAAAAGTGGCTATAGACTTTGTCCCGGGAAGCCATCAATTCCTACTCACTATTCTGTCCATATGGTGGGCTATTGGTCAATTAGTCGCGAGTCTGGTAAGTAATCATGTTCATATCGTCGCTTTCGACTATGAATGCCCATGTTATAGATCGCCTGGCCACTTATCTCCAATCTCTCTTGTCCTGAGACTGCGACGGTCTGCACCAAATCCGAGAACATGGGCTGGCGGTACCTTCTGTTCACCCTTGGAGGCATGACGCTTGTCCTCTGGGCCATCCGCTTCTTCGCGTTCAACCTCGAGGAGAGCCCGCGGTACCTAGTTGGGCGTGGCCGCGATGCCGATGCTGTGGCCGTCATTCACAGGATAGCTGCGTTCAACGGCCGCACTTCCAGCCTAACCGTTGAGCAGCTTGCCGCGGCAGGTGAACGCGCCGCAGAGGCGAACAAAGCTGCTGCAGGCGCAGGCAACGAGCGCACACTCTTGAGCGGGACGTCTGTATGGACAACGTACCACATCAGGAGTTTGTTCAGGACGGCAAAACTTGCTTGGTCGACTAGTTTACTCATCGTCATCTGGGGAATAATCGGACTTGCATCCACCTTATACAACAGCTTCCTGCCATACATGTGCGTTGCTCGCCGTCTTCACGGATCCACCACTGACAGGACCGGCTACCAGTCTTGCGCACCGCGACGCCGGCTATGGAGACAGCTCTTACTACACGACGTATCGTCAAGAGGTTATCCTCGGCGCGATCGGCGTGCCGAGCGCGCTGGTTGCAGGATGGGCGGTCGAGCTTCCGCGGATCGGTCGGAAAGGCACTTTGGCAATCTCGGCGGGCGAGTACTTCCTCTCTGACACTGAGTGACCTTATTCAACGACCCCTCGCGAAAGACAGGGCTCACTGGTGTCTTTCTCTTCGCGAGTACCACCTCCCACACCTCAAATGCGCTGCTGGGGTGGAACTGTGGGTGAGTGATGGATGCTTTTTGTGCGACGTCCCAATGCTGATGAGACCCGGACATATGTGTAGGTACGCATTTGCAAGTAACGTAAGTATACCAGCGTTATCGAACAACACGCGAGTAACTGAGCGTTGCGTTCCGTAGATCATGTATGGTGTCTTGTATGCTATCTCGCCCGAGGTCTTTCCCGCCAAAGATCGGGGTACGGGTAACGGGCTGACGGCCACTGCAACTCGCGTGTTTGGAATCATAGTTAGTACCTTTCGTCTTCGTATTGTCTTCGTATCGCTCATAACAGTCACAGGCCCCGGTTATTGCGATGTACGCCAACCTCGAGACGGCAGCGCCTGTGTACGTCTCGGGCGCACTGATCATAGGCAGCGGGGCTCTGGCCCTCCTTCTGCCTTATGAGCCGAGGGGGCGGACGTCTAGCTGAGACGCCAATACGGGGAAAGGTAGGTAAATTGAAGGCTTATGTGTACTCGAATAGTTTCATGTAAGGTTGTAATGGTTTCTCTTCTTGGTGTTGTAGCCGTGCTCTCTTGTTGTAGAATCGCTCTAGACTCAATGTTATGACCGTAATGATCCCCCTTCTCTTCTCCACCATATGCCGGATATGTCAACATCTGGCTGAATTTTCCGTCGACGCAGTAATAACGGTGAGTCTCTAGTACTTGAGCCACGAGAGAGTTCTGCTGACCATTTTATCAGGGAATATGATACGCCCAGAACGCAGTTTCCTGCGGCTCGCCTGCCAAAGATAGATTGAGCGTCCACTGCAGAATCCCTGATAATCAATAGATGACAACCAGTGTCGGAGTTCGATATTGACTTCGCATCTCACGGATGTCCGAAGGAATGTCGTCTCCGGTATCATGCAGTCAGCTGAGGCGAGGCATGCAGCCTGAGGGCCCGCTTTGGTCATTGCTGTAAGGTTTACTTCGGTAGTACTTTGCGCACGGGCCAATATTATGAGCTGTCGCTGGGTCCCTTACCTGTACGCTCCCCTCGTCCAGCAGGTTGCGAAAGGCACACCTTTGCGCATAGTTCAAGCCTACAGAGGTATGTGGCGGACGGTCTGTACTTGGATTGGCTGCTTACAGTTGACGTCGTAGTCTATAGGAACTCGCACGTCCACACAAACTGCAGTCGTTGTGTACGAGATGCTGTGGCAATTGGGCTTGACCACCTTGGCTGCGTTTGGCGCTTGGAAATGGAGCTCTTCGCAGGAACAGACTATCTCCTATGCCGGCATCGCCATTCCTCCTCAGGCTGTGGTATGTCATTCCGAGTGATATGTACCGCACTCCTCTACTTACGCTGGGGCAGGTTATCGATCCACGAGCGTACAATGTTCTGGGCGAACATGGCAGCTTCCGCCAAAACTCGTTTACTGAGTTCTTCAACCCGACAAATACAAGTCCTCCGTTCTTTCAGATTTTCCATCCAGAGTTCTTGCGAGTATTGGGTGACCGGCCAACGATTCGGACCATCGCTTCTCGCCCTGGGACCATCTTCGCTCATGAAGCACCCGTATGGTTCCCGGAAAGCGATGAAGTGTTCTTCGGCAGCCATTGCCAAGGGCCGGAAGGTTGGCGTGACTGTCGTGGTAATAACTTCATGTCGAAGATCAGCATGCGAGAAGTGAAGGACGCCGTTCGCGCTGCCGGTACTAAGTATGGAGCGCCGTTGAACATTACTGTCACTCAGGTGAGAACGTCGCACTAGTGATGCTACACCATTCGAAACTGCATTTTGTCAGCTCGAGACCCCCGAGGTCCGGCAGAAGACATGGGGTGCAACGGGTCCTTACAGGTCATCGCTCATTCTGATTAACTCAGGCAATGTTGACCACCCGTCGTCACTCGCGCTCATGAACCCTGCACCACCGTACAATGTCACGGTGCTGTTCGACAACTATTACGGGAGGCAATTCAACTCACTCAATGACGGGAAAATTCATCCCAAGAGCCACAAGATCTTCGTGACAGACCCCACGTATGTCGTCGGAAGTCTGCGAGCCAACGATTGACTCAGTCACGTTCCCATGTAGATACGGATTCCTCCAGCATTTTCGTGAACCTCCCACGTTGCACAACCAGGTCTACCGCTTCGACCCGGACACTGGCCATGTGAGGGTTGTTTCAGACGAGCTGATACGGCCCAATGGCCTGGCATTCTCTGCAGACGGTAACACTGCATACGTGTGAGTCTTGCGCATCAACGACTGTCCCAAGACTGCTGAAACAGTGCAACAGGGCGGATACTGGTGCTGCTATTGGATTCCACGGACGGAACCAGACTCTACCCGCAACGATGTATGTCGAAGGTATCCTCACCGCCCAGCGGCTATGCTGACAATATATGTATCGTTACAGCTACGAGTTCGATGTCAATCCTAAGACTCAGGTCTTCGAGAACAAGCGCGTCTTCGCCTACATCGACGCCGGTGTACCGGATGGTATACAGCTCGACAAGTTCGGGAATGTGTATTCATCTTGTGGAGATGGCGTTCATGTAAGTCCTCTGGCAGATATCACAGAATGTCGCGGCACTCACCACATGAATTAGGTATGGAACCATGACGGCGTTCTCATTGGGAAGTTCTTCGTCGGACAAGTCTCATGCAATATCGTCTTTGCTGGGGATGGAAACCTGATCATCCTGTCGGGCGATCAGGTCTTCCTTGCAGAAGTCGCAGCAGGCGGCATAAAGCTCGCCTATCCGTGATACTCTCAGATCGACTGTCTTTTGTACCATAGCTAGTTCCCGATCCTGGCAACTCATGCAGAGCCTCTTCTTCAAACAGCGGGGAGCGCTATACCACTCGCACATATGAATGAGCATCCAGGGATCATTGAACGGTGACTATACGAGCAGCGCCCAAGTACAGTACGAAGGGTAGTATGATAATGGCTCGGAACTGCGATGACAACAGGAAACAGATAATCCAAAGTGATACCGAGTCGGTCAAAGTCAGCGAAGTAACGAACAGACGCGTGAGTACATGCGAAGTCCCTATCAATAGCTACGGCACACGCCATGTCGGCCCCAGAACCAGAGACGAGCCACGACAGATCACCAGGCATGTCAGATATCATCAGTGGACGCCGCCATCCCAGCTGGACCGCTTCCGCTTATTATCGTTGCTCTTCCGGAGCAGAAGGTCCTGCGGGGAGACCGCACTCTGGCCGCGGTGGTGCATAGGGATCATCCGGCCGGCCACGGGAGGTGTGCTCGCCACGCCATGAGACATCAGCGACATCTGCTGGGTGAGCGAGGGCATCATGCCCAATGCTCTCGTGGACGCATACGTCTCCGCCAGATCCAGCGCCTGGCCTTGACGGGCAATGTCCACGTCGGGCTTCGAACCACCTGGCGTAGGACCGCCGCCCTCCAGTCCAGCGATGGCAGGGTTGTGGTTAGATGACGTGTAGTAGTGTAGGTCCAGGAAGGGCAGGTCGTACATGTCCCCTTGAGGCCGCCACCCATCAGGCTGATAGGGCGCCCCTGGCTGGTAGGCTTGTGCCTGCTGGAGAGTCATGTCATCAACCTCAGGTCCCTGGACGGACAACACATCCATGAACGAAGTCGACCGTGGAGGCGGCTGCAGAGGCCTGGACTTCAGCAGCTGGGTCTGTGGCGCTCGAGGCATCACCGCGCGATGCTCGGTCGGAGGCACAGACACAGAGCGGTTGTGAGACGCGCTATAGTGCGCATTGGCGTGCGAGCGGATGGACCGCGACGTCGTCTGCGGCGTGCCCGGTGGCGTCACGTTGAACTCCTGCGGAAGCGATAGGCCCACAATCTCGTCGAGTGTTTGTGAGGGCAGACCAAACGCGCCGAGGTCCATGGCCGACGAAGAGTCCTTCGGGATGGCCATCTCAGCGGTGTCCATCGGCGCCGAGATGTCACTCTGGTCGTTCAGAGTGATCGACGTCAGCTCAATCTCATCGATGCCCGGAAGCGCAGGGGTATGCGCATGCATAGGAATCCCGTGCGGTTGCTGCATGCCCGAAAGCCCCAGGCCAGCGCCACCGAAGCCGAAGCCGAGGCCGTAGTCGAACGGTTGCTGTGGCTGGTGTGAGCGCGCACCAAAAATCAGATCACCGGCGTAATTCGAGTGATGCGTGAAGCCGCGGAAATTATTGGTGGGGAACATATCTGGGTCTGAGAAGGTCGAGTGTGTATCGCCTATGCCAGCTTCGGACGCGAAGTCGTGGGCGACTGACGGCGGGAATAGATCATAGCGGTCGAGCACGCCGTGATTGAGATGCGCGAAGGAGAAGGGAGACGAAGGAGTAGGAGAAACCCCGCCGAGGAAGGACGAGTCGCTGCTCGGGTCGAGACGTGGGTTGGCTGAGAGCCAGTCTTGCGGGCCCCATGCAGACTTGCCGATCATGATATGCGCACCATCTGGCCTCCGTTGGAAAGGAGATTGGGTGACGAAATAGTCGGATGAGAGATGGGAGGATGTCGGTGATGCCGCATTGGTCGCGGAGGACCACGGGCCTGAATGCAGAGGTGTGTCGAGCCCAGACGCCCACGCCTGCGACTGCGAAGAGTCTGTGATTTCCGATAGCGAGGAGCCCGGAAGGTAGTCTTGGATGGACGACGAATCCGCCAAAGTATCAGCTTGCATATCGACTTCGCCTGGATAACCCTCGGTCGCAGAGACCGAGGCTACTTCCTCCGGCGGCGACGTGCGAAGACCTTCCTGCGTGGCTGTGTTCGGCATCTCGTCCTCTCCGTCCGAGCTGTCCTCATCCTCCGAACAAGTCGTGCTCTCCGGTACACTCTTCGTTCCCCCGCGGAACAAGCCCTGAGTCGTATGTCGCCTCTTCCTGATGGGACCGGTCGAACTAGCTGACGAAAGCTGGTCATCAGTCGCTGCCCGCACGGGCTGGAGCATGTCCCCTCTCTTCTTCTTCGCCGAGGCACGAGGCTTGTAGCCCGCTGCCTCATATAGGTCCGGAAACGCGTTCCGGAAGCGGTCCCGAAGGTCGGTCGACCGCCGGTTCTGCTCCTGGAAAATAGGGTCCTTCACAATGGTGGCCCATATAGTGCCATGCTTGTCATAGCCAGCTTTGAGAGCGCGATCCTCCTCTTCCGTAAAGGGCCTCCGCTTCTTGCTGCGTGTCTTCTCGAAGATAGAGCCACCGTCAGGCAGAGCGGCACGGACCTTGGAGGATAGGTGCGTCTTCGCATTCGGATAGTGTTGTTTGTACGCATCGGGGAAGTATGTGCGGAACCTGATGTGAAGTGGATGAGTCTCTGGTGACGCTCAGTGGACTACGCCACGAATGCACATCATGTATCACGCTCAAGATGCGAACAGGCTCTCTGACCTCATGAGCGAGCCCAGCTGACCGCTTGACATGACTGCCTCACTCAATGCGAGTGTTCTCCGGCGCATATAGCATGAAAGTCATGGGCTGCAGGGAACCGAGAGTGTGGAAACCACATACACGATGGATGCCTACGCGTGCATGCTCCTCCAGCGGCAGCCCACCGATCTCATCTATGAAGCTAGCGTCGTGTGCATCATGGAACAGCGTCCGAGCTGCACAACAACACGTTGTCTTTGCGCTGTCGCCAGCTTTTCGAGGTCAACTCGAAGTTCCATGATGTCTGCAGTGAAGTGCCGTGCATGACCGCGCACGACTGACACAACGCCAAATGTTCCACGCATCGACTCCTCCATACTGAATGGTGCACACATACCTGTCTTTTAGGTCCACAGGCGAGCGTCCGTCGAACTTGAACAGAGGGTCATTGAGAATCGACTTCCAGTTACCGACACCCCACTGCCCCCGACAATGTTCATGAGTCCAGAGTCCTGAAACGAAAGTACTCCCTACGCACCTTGTTGCAACCGTCAACAAGCATCTGAGTCTCTTCCGTTGTCCATTTCTTCCTGATCTTCTTCTCGGACGGCCCAGTCATCTGGACCATATCCTCCTCCGGGTGGTCGCTCTCGATTCTCCGCATCTTGCCCTTCTTCTCGGGACCAAGACCTGATGATGGCTCTCCTGAGTGTACTCCGACACCCGTGTCGTCACGGAAGTTGAAAGCAGGGAACAGGCGTGGCGAGGATGGCAAAGCAAGCGAAACCCGTCGTTGTTTGAGCGCGGACGATACGGAGGACGCAGTGGTGGCCGGTGGTAGCGGGAACGGTGCGCTGAAAGAGAAGGTGGAGGTTGAGGGAAGCTGGGCGGCGTGCTCAGCTGAAGCCGCCATGACTGTGGTAGCTATAGGTGTCGTCTCTTCCCCAGACTGTCGTCACCAGACGATCTGGCGATGCTGCGAGTCGGATATGAAGTGCAGGAGGCGCAGATTGCAGACACGTTGAAACCCTCTAGACCGTTGTGCAACGCAACCACTGGACACGGCGCTCGAACGTGGAGGCGAGGCAGGGGAGGCGAGCATGCGTTGTCCTCGAGGACATGCACGAGTTGTGGTGGCTGCACTGGCTTGATCCTTGATGCATGGCGGCCATTGCCTTTTCTGGCTACTACGCCTGCCCCAGGTTTAGGCGGCAGCCGCCGTCACGGTCGTCATCCAGATATGGGTAGACCAGGGATGGGATGTGACGTTGGGAATCGACTCAATAGTCGGCCATGTAGACCTCTTGCGTGAGGGAAAGGAGAAGCACTCAAATGCAATAGTCTAATCTCTATCTTGCCCGGGCCAGTGGGGATAAGTACTGAATGTATCACGGCCTCAGCATCTATGGGCACGCAGCGTTATGCAGCCGTGGGAGGGCTCGTCGGCTTCGCTATCTGCGTGTCTGGTCTCGTTCTGTAGCAGGTGGGTATCGGGTCGTCGCGCCGATCTGTATTTGTATTGCTGACCGACAACTGACCGATGTGCTCATCGAATCCGTACCAGGTTGTCAAAAGGCTATGGCAGCGAGAAATAGGTCCATGACGCGAGTACAATACAACATTTGCGCGTGTATGAAGATCAGCCGCTGACAAGCACCTCGGGGGCAATCCGGTCCTCCACCTTGTGCAGCTTGTCGCCCCACGCAGCCAGCCGCTGTGCCAACTGTCCAATCTGCTCGACCGAGAGCACTCGCGGCTGCACCCATGTAATGTACGCCTTCTGGTCAACCTGGTCGAGCGAGCCCTTGATCAGCTTCAGGCTGTCATGCAGATCATGTCAGCATCGTCATCAGGGTCGAACAGGCACGCAGCCTACCTCAGCGCCTTCATGAGCAAGTGCTCGACCTCGTTGAGGGGCAGCCGTGTCTCCTCCGCAATGGTCTGGAACGACATCGTCCGGTCATTTGCGCCGCGTTTGAACACCGATTCGATCAGCGCCATGAGGCAGATCTTCTGCCGGAGGAAGGAATAGTTTTCCTGCAAGATCGGCTGGTACAGATGAGCGCATAAGTACCATGACCGGTTGCATCTATTTGTCCACTGATCACGCACCTCCTGCGGAAAGAGTGGTGAGAGACCCTCGAACTTGCCGATGTTTCCCTCGTTGAACGTGAAGAGCAGTTTCTTCAGCCACTCCACAGGCGTGTTGTCCAACGCGTCCAGAATCGGATGCATCAGCTGCGATCGGTCACCATGAGCACACCAGAGAGGCTGCCAGCGAAGCGATCCGCGGTACGCACGAGTTCACCAAAATTGTAGATCGTCTCCGCCAAGAATGCCGATACGGCGAGGTCGTGCGCGCGCACAAGGCGGTCCTCAGGCGTCAAATCCTTGGCGGGGTCAATACATGCCAGGTACAGCAGGGAGTTGCGGTAGTAAGCGGCGTAGCCTCCTTTTGTCTGGAACAACCAGGCGTCAGCACGGAACACAGTCGAGGCACGAAGAGCGAGGCATTGTGCAATAGCTCATATCATTCTGTGCCCGCATGAACTGAGACGTACCTTGTAGTAGTCTGCAGCAACACCATAGTAGGCGGCGTTCACAGAGTTATCCACGCCCGTTAGCTCGTCCAAGATCTTCCACGCGCCATCGATGTCGGTCTTCGTCCCCTCCAAATCACCATACAGCAGCTTTGCATGCGCAATACTCGCTAGCAGAAGCACATGCGCTTCTGGTGCCTTTCCCGTATCCACGCGTGTAAGCAGGTCGGTCAAGAACTCGAGGTGTTTCTGAGGATCTGTACAACGCGATTGGTCTGTCAATGGGTACGTCATTCCGGCGGTAGAGAAACACGCACTGTCAATCTCCTTCGACACCTTCACCCCCATTTCTACTAGCCGCAACTGGTTCAGCCGCGAGTCGAAGTCCCGCACGAACTTGTCATATACATCCACTCGGTACGGCTTCGATAGCGGGTCGTCGAAGAATTCGAACAGCTTCAGCGTCAACTGATGCCATAACCTTTACGCAAAATGAATTGTCTGTCCGTGCATTTCGGTGTGGGTTACGCACTTACGACTGTACAAATTCCGGAACGACTCGAAGAACGGATGCAGGTCTGCTGGTGTGCCCGAGATGGCAAGCGTCAGGTATTCGTCAATATCAATCTTTGGTGCTTTTGGCTTGTCGACAGCCATTGATGAAGACATGTTGGAGGGGAGGTGTACAGGCGCGGCAAGTGCAAGGGACAAGAGTACGCAATTAGTGCACCGACGCGTATGTGGGACGCGTAGGCGTTGTTTGTCTGTGTATGCCAAGAGCCTCTGAATATAACAGTGACAAACAACCGCTCCTGTGCGTCATCACTAGCCACACGACCACTACGCGTTGTTCTCACCTACTTACGACTCACATATTTCTGGTCAATTGTGTGTTGAACCACACCATGGCATGATATGACTGAAATTCACAAGCTGGCAAAGGTTTAGGTGCTACAGAACAATATACCGAACAGTATTTGACTTCCGACTAGAGATGACATGAATCGCACAGCATTATAGTCATCTTGGCCGTCTTATTCTTACCTAGATGCTTGTGTTCTCAGGGGATTGACAACACCACCGGAGACCACTTTGCCGGTTTATCAATACTAATAGGTTCTCAACAATTTGATTGTCATTGTCAATGCTTACTCATAGGGAAGCGTGACACAATTCTGTGACGCAGTGACACCACGCGCGTGAGATGGCGATCTTCGTGCGAGACGCGTCTTTCGCCCGTGCCACCATGTCCCACCCCAACCACCGCACACTTCACACCGTCTCCCTCAATGCATTGTCGCATGGAAATTTAGTCAATCTCTCTAGCGTTGAACGCCTCCTGAACGCGCATGCCGCCAATGTCAAGGGCAAGAAACGAACGGCTGGCTCAGAGGAGCCACGCTCTCGCAAACGAGCGCGCGTAGACACGGGCAACGCAGACAACGCAGCTATAACAGAGCGAGACGACGCGGCGCCTGTCGCCGTGAAGACATGCTTGTATCGTCACTCTTTTCATATTGACTTGATTTCATCCGCTGCACGTCCCGACAATGATGGCGAGGACGGTGAACAGGATGCTGAAGACGAAATAGACGCCCATCGCGCAGAGCAGATCGAGGTCGAAGGGCGCATCAAGTCATGGTTAGCGAAGCACCGTGGAGATGACATCCCGTCGACTCTCGACCTCGGAGAAGTACATCTAGACGTTCGCAAACCGTCTCAACGAGTTCGCGGCGTTGTCCCAGTCCCAGTCATGCAAGTGCACAGCGTACACCCCGAATACTTGTACGTTCTAGACTTGCCCCCCGCCGCCGAAGATTCGGACAACACGGATTACGACCTGCGATCAGGCCACCTATCTCAATTGCTATTTTCGTTCGAGGCACTTTGCAGGGACGGTCGGGCAGAGATCTCCGCGCACCTCTACGTTGACGTTCATGACGCTACGGTTCCCGAGCTCGAGGAGCATGTGCTTCCCTTTACGCTACGACTGGACGTCGAGGCCGCGGTCGTGTATGCGAAGATGCTGGAGCCGTTCCCGCCTCCTGTCAAAGGCCGTCCGACTGAAGTAGAGGAAGCACAGCGTCGCGTCTTGATGCAGTACTTCCCGTATACCACTTCGCCCGCATCGTTCCAGGGTACAGTCGACATCCCACTACTGTATACCATTCTCGGACCTGCGCCTCGCTTGAAAGCCTCAGAACAAGAAGAGCACCTGCAACCGGAGGAACTTCGTCCTACGCTCCTTCCCTTCCAGTGCCGTAGTGTGGCCTGGCTGTTGTCGCGCGAAGGCAAGCAGATCGGTGCGCCCGGTCATGTGGAGGATATCCCTCTTTCGCAAGATTCTCCGTTGTTCTGGGATGAGATACGCGTTGGTGAGGAAACATTGTACATTAACCGCGTACTCGGGCTTCTGTCTCGAGTGAAGCCGAAGAACGACGCAGACTCCCTCGGAGGAATCCTTGCCGAAGAACCAGGTCTGGGCAAGACGCTCGAGTGCATTGCGCTCGTGTTGCTCAACCCTTCCATTGGGAGGACTCCTGCGAACAAGAGGTGGGATTCTGTGGCGAAAGTCGACGTCAGGGAGATCAAGGTCAGCTATGATATCTGCCAGCCTTCTTGTTTCACCCTGATCAGGCGTCCGCAGACTACGTTGATCGTGACTCCTTCGTCACTAGCACAACAATGGGCAGACGAACTAGCGTTGCATGCGCCTTCTCTGAAGGTCTTAGTCTATGACGGGTGGTCGAAAATACCTGTTCCTATCACTGAGTCAGCAGCTGAAAAGCAACGCCAATCGCAGTCCTCTCGAAGCAGCAGTAAAAGCAAGACGGTAGCGCGCGACAAAAGCAGAGCTAGCTCGAAGGCGTCTAGCTCCGGAGGAAGCAGGCGTAAACGCGCGCAGACGGTCGATACGGACATGGATGTGGATCGTGACGCAACAGAGGACGGTCAAGGTGGCGGACAAGGTGAAGACGTACTCGACTGGTGCTCCTATGTCAACACGTTCGACGTCTGCATTACCACATACACCGTACTGCAGCGCGACTTGTGTGTCGCACGAGCGCCACCGACGCGTCCGCGGCGTGCGAATGTCAACTACTCTGAGAATGAGCGTGCACGCAGTCCGCTCATCATGTGCGAGTGGTACAGGGTCATCATGGACGAGGTGCAGATGGTAGGCGGTGGACAAGCTGAGTACGTATACCTTGAGATGTCTCGTGTTTAGCGTCAAGTCATACTCACAGTGCTAAATAGGGAGATGGTCTCGCTGATTCCCCGACTGTCCTCGTTTGCTGTGTCCGGAACCCCCGCAAGAGCACAGGTAGCCGATCTGATCCATGTTATGCGGTACGTCCGTTCAGAATGCCTAGTTATATCCAAATGGACGAATGCTGATCAATACACAGGTTCCTGCGTGTACGCCCTGTGACGGAGAACCCTCGCATCTGGCCTCGGCTACTCAAGGCGCCATATGCCAATGATTTTGCCGATCTGTTCAGCAAGTATAGTATCAGGTTGGTTTGAAATTGGAGTCATTAGTACGGTCGGTTGACGCACCTCTCGTTGCGCAGGACGACAAAGGCTGCAGTCAAACACGAGCTCACCATCCCAAAGCAGACTCGCTACCTCGTGCCCATTGAACTGGGCCGCGTCGAACGCCATGTACGCATAACGGTCTATCTTCACGAATTGGGACTTACGGTCGCGATTCTCAGGTATATGACCAGACATTCGACCGCGCCCTCCTGGAATTGGGTCTGGATGCCCGAGGCGTTGCTGCGAAGGCTGATTGGGAGATTGACACCGCTGTGCTACGAACGTGGCTGAGGAAACTGCGCGGGATCTGCACACATCCGCAAGTGGGACAGTTGCTCAACGCAGGAGACAGACTGCACAAACCGGGCGTACTAAAGTCGATGGAAGAAGTGCTTGAGGTATGACTGCTGATATTCTGAATACAGACCCACGTAATGACAACATGCCCTGTTGATATAGGGAATGAAAGAGCAGAATTGGAGAAATCTTATGGAGGACCGGCGCAACAAGGTAAGGAAAAGTGCACAAATTGTATACAAGTATGTATTCACGGCTGACTGTCAACTCTTCCCATAGATCCAACTTATGTTAACGACGGCTCAGCTACGACAACACCAAGAAGCCAACAAGTTCCGCTATCGATCCGCATTGGAGATCCTGCTTGCCGCTGAGAAGGAAGCGTGTCGGCTCATCGACGATATCAGTGCTGCGCTCGCCGATCACGCGGAAAAGGGCGTCGCTCTCAAAGCCGGGGCCGCGAAGCGGCGAGCGGAACTTAGCCAGGCATCATCTTCAGGCGAGAAAGGGAAGGGGCGTGCTTCCACTGAGTTGTCGGACGACGATGTGGACGCCGATGAGCAAGGCCTGCCTCGCAATCGCGCGGGCGAAGAACACACCTCGAAGACCAGCGCACTGCAGCTCCGTCTACGAGAAGCTCGCATCTCACTGCACAAAGTGCACTTTCTCAAGGGCGATGTGTACCATGTCTTGGGCGAAGCGTACGCCGGTGCCGAGAACGAGGCTTATGCCAAAGCGGACGAGATGAGGCGATTGTTACTCAAAGGTCCGTGAGGACGGCAGATAGCTTATGTCCCTTCGTTGACCTCGTGGTTCTAGGTACCGGAGACACAGCGGCGAGAGCCATGACGCATGTGATGGACGCCACGTCAAACAAATCGCTCAAGGAGTCGGAGCTGCACATTGAAGTCCCTTATTGTGAGCCTGGCGGAATTAGGTCGGCTGACCTGGTAGGTGGCTACGTCGTTCCTTATGAGATTCATGTTGACAAAACCACTCAGATTGAGGAGGTGCACGAGATCATCGATGAACTTTTGAACAGGCAATCTGCTCTGTTGTGGCAATGGAGGACAAAGCTTGTCGCCTTACTCACGCAGCCGTTGACTCCTCAGGACGATAGCGTAGATGGACAAGAGTACGCTCGGAGCCTGGAGACCCAAGGGGAGGCGGAGACATACCTGCAAGCTTACGCCGCCCTTCTGGCAGATCGCCGCGAGTCTTTGACAGCGGAACGCACCTTACTAGCGATCCACGATGTCCGAGAGACCCACGTTAGGCATACCAAAGCCGCCCAGCGCGCCTTAGAACCCGAAGATATCGTCGAACTCGATCAACTCGATGATCAGGAGCAATTGCCAGAACACGAGGTTCTTCTGAAGACGTTGAGCGAGGAGCGCAAGGCCATACTAGAAGACTTCGATAGCGATAGGGCCGTCAGATCAGTTCTAGTCGATCTCAACAATGTCGTCGCTCGTATTTCCAAGGACAATGACCCCGAGAAGATTCTGGCTCGTGATGCTGCCACAAAACTCAGGGCACTACTTGCAGACCAGAGTGCGTCACTACTTGGCACTCTTGCTATGTGTTGCTGACCGTCGCACAGACAAGTTGATGGATAAGTTGCAGGTTGATCTAGCACGTTTGCGACGTGCATTCAATGAGCGCATATCGTAAGTGCCGCCAGCCGATATACAGCCTGGGCTAACATAGCTCTCAGGTATTTCCGTCAGTTGCAAGAAATCTCCGATACAGTAGCGGAGGCCGAATGGGAAGATAGCGTAGATGTTGCCATGGCCAACGTCGCTCGAGAGCAAGCCGAGCTAGAGAAGAAGATTGACACCGGGCGCGCTCGTCAACGATACCTGGATCATTTAGCACAGTCCCATACCGAGACTGTGGTAGATGAAGAAGAGCGCTGTTGTGTCCTATGCCGATGTGATTTCCTCCGCGGATATATCACGCAATGGTGTGTTCTTCCGAAGTCTGCCCTTAGCATTTAAGTACTGACTGATCACGATAGCGCACACGTCTTCTGTGAGGTACGTAGATGCGACTATCTGATTATCTGCATACTCATTCTTCTCGATGCTCCAGACTTGTCTGAAAGAGTGGATCTCGCGCAGAGAAGGAAAGGCGTGTCCGGTCTGCCGTGTCCCCATTGATTCTGGCCAGTTGCAGCGTTTCACGATACGCGATCCTAAGACGGAGACAGCACCAAATGCACCGCAGCTCATCCGCGCTAACGAAGTGATCCCGAAATCGCGACGTCAAATTGATTACAACTACATTGACTCTGGCTTGTTCGAGGATATACAGACTATGGAGTCTCTTGGTAGCTATGGCAGCAAGATCGATACATTGCTGCGACATCTCTTGTATTTGAAGGTTGCAGACCCAGGGTCGAAAAGCATCGTGTTCTCTGCGTGGGCAGATTCACTCCACAGTACGTTTCGTTTATTTCTCGCTGATCGCAACTTATTAACTCTGCTATGTACAGTCATCCAGCACGCCTTGAAGCGCAATGGTAAGTGTCACCTAAGAGTGTCTCGCGCGAGGCTCACAGTCGAGCTAGGCATATCTTGTCTGCGAATCGATCAACAAAGGGGCAAGGAACACGCCGCGAAGAAGTTCCGAACTGACCCGGACATCGCTGTCCTTCTCCTGCATGGGTATGTTCGACATCCGTTGCCAATGTTGCCAGTCTGTGCTCACCGATCCGCTATCTACTAGGGAGCGTGAAAACGCGGGATTGAACGTGACGTGTGCATCTCGCGTGTTCCTTGTCGAGAGTGTTGTTCATCACGCCTTTGAACTGCAAGGTCAGTGCGCGCGATTCTACACATGGATTGCTAGTCTAAGACCGATAATAGCCATTGCGCGGATTGACCGCATGGGCCAGACCAAGCCGACGGAAGGTAGGTTCATTCGACCCGTGCTGATAAGGGATGGTGTCTTATTCCTTTCTCAGTATTCTGCTACTTCGCCGAAGACACGGTAGAGAGGCACATTCTAGACTTGGCCGCACGACAGGGGCAATCGCTGTATACGAAAGACAACGCGGCGGGTACACTGGACACGTCAACGTTCACGCTTGCGAGCGGGAAGAACGTGATCGACTCGCCCACGAGGAAGAAGAACGTCCAGAAGGGCGATTTTGTATTCAAGTACGTTCTTGATCCAATCGATGTTCTGCGCATCGGTAACGTGGTAATACGCAGGACGGACGATATGCTGGCCATCTTCTTCCCGCATCTGTACGAAGACATTGAATACCTGATCCAACCTGCAGATACGACAGCGCGTGTTATTGCCTCAACGGACACGGCGACACAGCAGCAACCCCAGGCATCATCTTCCAACACTATAGCAGGTCCTTCCACGTTACCCTCATAGACATCTCTCCGGCCTCGTTGTCTTGATTTGATCACATAGCATTCACATCGATAACGGGTGGAGGACATTCCGGAAGCAATTTCTCGTTCTTTTAGACTCTAGCATAACTTATCCAAGGACGCACATAATCCAGTTATTTTTCGCGGTGATAGCGCTCAAAGCATGTTCGAATTCTGATACCCCTGAGTAGGCGTCTCAACGTCTACGGCAGCCACATCGTAACCATGTACACAACAAGGTCGGAACTGCAGACTCTAAACACGTCTGATAGTGCTCGTAGATGCAACTTATCATCTTGGGACGATCAGAAGACTCAAGCTCAGGCTCGGATGAGTCGGTTCAAGATCAGCTCGCTTTGGAGACGTTGTAAACAAGACCGGAGTTTGTTTCTGAGGCCCGCGATCTTGAGCACCTGATGGTCAACAAGCCTGACGGAGTTTCCGGTGTCAGAAGATGGATCGCTGTTGCTGATAGACTCATACTGCTGTGCCGGTGGCAGGGAGGACCTCTGTGTGCGACCGCCGGCGCGTAGCATACCGGCGGTAATACGGTGTCCATTCCCGGACGACGCGGCAGACGACATATCTAAACAAGAATTTCGAAAGCGTAGACGTCTGTGTGCGAAATCTCTGCATTCCGTGCGTCGCGATACCAGGCTAGAGCATCACTTTAGATGGTCCAATCGCCCACTAAACCATGATGCGGTCGTCTTCGTAATTCCGAAGTGTGTCTGTCTGGTCTCCGTACGGAGGTTACGGGTCGAGGGATGAGGCGAAGCGGAACGTCTACAGCAGCATACCATGATGCAGGGTCATCATCACCTAGCGTCGGGATCTACTAGTGAATATTTCTTTTGGAGTCTCCGTACGGCCGGTCACGGTGACCTGCACTCACAGAGCATGCTCCGTTACGCCGAACCTGATCTTGAGGGTGTGTAACCACGACCCTGTTGACTCGTGGGCTCGCACGCCGTCCGCCGTACCAGGAGTGCCGGTGTCCGGCAGGTGCACGTCGTGCTCACGGCGGCCACCTACCATACTGCAGCGTCTCCAGTACCGCCGATGAGTTACGATCGATTTGGACGGGTAGCTTGCGGACAGCAAGACGGGTTGCTGGTATGAAATAGCACTGGCGAAGTTGCCAGCTGGATACCCTTGTCATCAGACTACGTACCCGGTCGCTCAGAGGGTAGGCTCGACGCACCGTTCAACGCTCTGGTCCGGACGTGTCGGATCACACGCAGCGCGCACCGGGACGCAACCGGGCTGACGGTTTGACCGATTTATTCGCCGGTATTTGACATCTTGTAGACAATAGAAATCAGTCCGTCCGTATGCGCGTTGTTCGTCGTTCGCAGATTGGTGTTAGACTCACATTCGGGTATGTCCTGTCTCCTCATACGTACTCGCCGTCGGGCCAAGCATTTTCGTGATTGCTATGCAAAGACATTTGACATCGACATCCGTGTCTTTGAAAGTACCGTTCTTGAATTTGAAGCTTGAAGCTTTTAGGCCTGATCGACTGATCGGGCGGAGCGCGCCTGTATGCCGTTGTGGGCAACCGGTGAACCTTTTTAAGAATAACAAGGTACCTGAGGCTCCTACAGGATGCTAGGGCTTCACAATGGAGATGGTCAATGAGTTTCCAAGTCAGGTTCAATTGTCAGGGCGGTCACTGGTCAAAAGTCTAGAGCAACTGTTGAATCGTATATCTCTACTGACACGCTTCATTGAGTAGACATGGTCATTAGCGGATTTGCGAGCTGTCACGCCACGAAGGTGTCGTGCGGGCCAGACTCGATGATCTGGCCATCGCCGAATGACGAAGTATAATAAAACAGCGGACCGAGGGTGAAAAGCAAGCGGCGACGTGGCAGCCAAGGGTCGCTGACGGTTAAAATCTTCCACTCTAGTTTGACTGAGTGAGGGGCGGTGAGAAGGCGGTAAGTAACAGCAGGATGAACGAAGCCGCACCTCCTTCGGATCCATTGCTGTTCCCGCCCCAGAGTTGCCACCGCGACAATCCTGACGGTCTTCCAAGTAAACCTCAGTGACAGTGGCGGGGAAGGCTGAGACGGATCAACAGGCCCTGCGTCAGGATCGGTGCACGTCGCGAAGACCATTCGATAGACCGCCGTCAACTGAGCTGACAGTCATTCCGTCGTGGCGGTCAGCGCATCCGCGCCGCTCGTCGGGTCCTGTGGATCGGGAATCTTGGTTCATGTCCGGCGGCGTACGCCAATGAACGGGCCGCACGGAACGCCCCGACTTCAGCTTCATAGGTTACGGTATGTAGTCAGGAGGAACCTGGCCGTACGAACTTGCAATATTCAAACTTCATATGTCTGCTTGCATGAAGCTCCAAAGACCATTCAACGGCGTCGGACGTGACTGCACTGTATCTAGGGCCTGGCGTGTTTCAGGTGACGGGTCTGAGCTGAATATTAATGACTTCACGAATTGCCACCGCTGCGCTGCCGCGTCACGGTATAATTAAAGAATGCATCGGCGACAAATGACGCTTCGGTGGTGAACCCTTTGACAGAAGCACCGTCTGCCTGAGCTAATGTGAGGGCGGAACATTTGTATGAAACGGATCATACACGGTCCGTCGGGACCCTAGCCAGGATGTCCTGGCAGCGGGGGAACACGCTCGTAAGCGTGACTCCGACCCGCCGACTAGCGTCGGCCTCTCCAGCTTCACCTACTCTCCGCAGGCTGAGACACCGGTACCGTTGAGTGGAACTTGAACTAGGGTCCAGCTGCCCCGCACCCGGTATGGTATGTCGCGATGCCGACTTGCCGACCAGGCCACAGGCCCCGCCCGTCTTCGCAACTTCGCAGCTTCGCCTTCCAGTTCCCAGCAAGCTGTCACTGCCAAAATGCGCAACGAACGCCTTGCCCTCCGACTGCACCGGACGCGCGCGCGAGCTCGGGCTGAGTGGTCGACGACGCGGAGCGGGCCCTGCAGCAAGGTTACAGTAACGTTGCCCCCGGGTCCGGGCACTGCGAATACGGCGTAAGCAAGCGTTCACGGCATCGCTCGAACAGCGTCCCCATTCGACGAGATTCAGATTTCCGATTGCGCGGACGCGGACACGGACACGCAGCGGTGTGTATGTATTGCAAACCTGACTCCGTTACTTGAGAACACCGCAGCGAAGTAACCAAGAGGGCGGCCATCCCCCGGCGCCGGCGCACGCACGGCACTACGGGCGCGCCATGGCGGGGAAAGGTACCCCAGTACCGGTCTGGAGGGCTGGGTCTCAACGTCAACTCCAAGCTGCATTCCACCGTCCGCCATGATCCATCCACTATACTGTAGAATTCCACACCCACAGCCGCCCGCATGACGACTCATCACGCGCACCGGTACCCTGCGCGCACCACTCCTTTGTGGAAGGCGCACAGCTCCTGGGCTGCGCGCGGGCCGGGCGACGTATTGGTCAACGAACGGCGTGATGATCTGACCCGCTGCCAGGAGCGCGCTCCAGGTTGAGCTGGCAACCTGGATTGACGCGCCCCAGGGACGAGTGAGCCTCCTTCCACCTGGGGCCTGAGCGCCCGGTACGCCAACGGTACGCTAAGCCTTCTACCGCACCACCGTCCTCGGTCTCCGGGGAGGCTGCATGACGGACGCGGCCGTCCTGCGTACCTTCGATGATTGTCCCTCCCGCCGTGGTGATGGTGGTCTAGCCTGGCGGGTGGCCTTCCTGCGCCTGGCCTGACGCTCAGTTCGGCGTGATGGTGGCAGAGGGTGCCAGTGTGGCAGTGTCGGTCTACCGCGCTGGGCTGACAATATTGTGGCCTCAGCCCGAGGTCTCGCCGTTCCTCCTCGGAAAGGTTGTGTCAGAGACAGCGAATTGTGTACTGGGGTGCGCATATATGCGTGTGTTTGCTTGTAGTTCGAGACTCGGACCACTAAATCGGGCGTATCAGTGGTGGACCTGCACAGTCACGGTCCTCTCCTGGACGGGCTTTTGCAGTTCGGCACGCGCTGCGGTGGCGTGCGCCACTATCCGTTGGTTGCCCGAGGGATTCTGTGATCGCAATCTTCGTCGATGACGAGAGCGTGCTTAGGAGCGCGGCTGTTGTGTGATGGTGGGTCGAGCTTGGGTCGAGCAAATCCACGCTGAGCGCCGGCGACATTGCACATGGCGGGGCCGGGACCGGAGGATCACGATGGCATCATAGGGGTGTACTTATCTTGGATTGTTGGATGATGCTGTGGCGCCTGTGGCTGCGAGAGGAGGGCTCAGACTGGCTGAGAAGGGTAGACCGGGGGAAGACCAGAGACACAAAAAGCGCGATGAGACTGCTGGGGCCGGGCATCCCGGATCCTCCGGCAACTCAAGCGGCTTCTAAGCTCTCGCGAGCCGCGGGGGCAAACGAGGAGCGCACCAGCGGGGTCGGCGGCGGGAGGGCCGGGGGTGCCGAGCGCGGGACAAGCCCGCCCAGGCAAGCGGAGGGCAGCATCCCCCCGTCCGCTATCCGCGGAGCACGCCGATCCTCGACCGTTCGGGCAGGACGCACGCGCCAGCGGAGGGTGCGAGTGGGCTAGCTGATATCGGATGGCGACCTAGCGCCTCGGCGGGCTCTAGCGTGCGCCTGCAGGCCATCAGCTGGGGCTGTCGGCGGGTTCTAGCACGCGCGGCGGACGACGCTTGGAGGCTAGGCCGCAGGGGCGGCCGGCTGGTGCGCGAGGCTGGTGTTGAGTACGATTGTGATCAGCAGCGGCGGCGTTGAGGCGTCGATGGGCTCGTAGCCGAGCGGGCGCGTGGGGACGACCACGCGAGCCCCACGCGCGAGATTCGGGCGCGCGATGCGGTGGCGGCACACGATCTCCCGACCCGGAGCTGTGGGCACGGCGCATTTGGCGGGCGAGGCACGCTCGGTGTGTTGGGCCGCGAAAACTATCTACCTTAGCAGCCCGAGGCAGGGCGGGGAACACAGCAGTGCACCCGCGATGGGATCCGGAGCAGGTCAGGACGAGGCCAGTGGGCCAGTGGCGGGCGGTCTCTGCCGGGGTGGTGGTAGGGCCATCCTGGCTGGCAGCAGCTGTCAACGAAGCTGTTGGACAGCAGTTAATTATCGGACGTGCAATGACAGCTGGAGAAGGCCCTCCCCGTCCATGGGCTGGCTGCGCAGAAGCATCGAAGGGGAAGATGCAGATCATTCCGGCAGCGGACGCACGAGGGGATGTTGAACCTGAGATGGCTGGCGGAAATATCACTGATTCGGGAAGTCTGCGGACGCCGTGCGCGAAGCCCCATGCCCGTCCGTTGCTGCCTCGTCGTCCAGGCCACTGGGCTGCAACGCGCGGTCGGCCTCAGCGAGCGTCCGACGCGCCGGACAGGCTGAGTTCCGCTCGCGGCGGACGAGCCGACGAGGAATGATCACGACGACGGCTGGTGGTAATGCTGTGACAACAGACGCCCCGGCGTATGGCTGTGTGGGTCTTGATGAGGCGGGCAGCGAGCGCCCGGCGTGCTGGGCCTGTGCCTTGTGCTGGGCACCGCGAGAGCGTCGAGGAGGCCGTCGTGGGCAGACGATGGCTGATGTGGGATGACGGGCAGACAGAGGCGGTGCGGGGCGTGACTGGCCACCGTGCTGGCGAGCGGGAGACGCGCGGACGGACAGCGTCCGCGCCGGAGCGCCTTTGGGCGTGCATAACTTGGAGAAAGCAGCCATCCTCTCCTTCTTCTTCGTCCCACCTCGCGAGAGGCTAATATTTCATATCCATCTGAGCCCGGACCTCCATATCTCTACCGACGCCTGATAATCGCCCGCTGCACGCCCAGCTGCACGCCTCGCCCTCCCGTCTGCACGCACGCTTTCTGACGACGCGCCCGCTCGCTCTCTGCTCCTGCATGCACGCGTGTTGCCAGCACGACCCATAATGTGCGCGCACCCCCATCGATCCTCTCACCCGCTGACGCATGCCTCAGTTATAGCATCACGAACGTCCTGGCCACGCTCACTTCCCCGTCCGAAGCATACTACTCGTTCTAATGGGCCCTTCAGCACCATATCAGACCGCAGCACTCCACGCCCCATCACCACTGCACACCGCGGCCGCCTCCACCTCCTTCCAGCCCGCCTTCGCAGCCCAGCAGCCCGACCCGCGCGCCCTCCATATAGCCACCGCCGCCGCAGGCGCACACGCACCCGACCCCGAGGAGCAGACCGCCCACCCCCTGCGCTCGCGCGGGCAGCACGGGCTGCTTGCGGACGCGGAGGAGGACCCCTCGCACAGCGAGCATGGCTCGGACGCCGCTGCGCCGTCCGAGTCGATCGCCGACGCGATGACCCACGGGCCCGGCCCCCACGGCGGCCTCACGCGGTCGCTCACACACAAGGAGCGCGAGCTCATCAACCACCTCGACCGCCTCAAGTTCTTCCTCGCCACCGCGCCCTCGCGCTGGTCTGGCGACGACCCGTCGTCCGCTGCGGCCGCCGCCGCGGGCCTCCCGGTCGGCCACCCAAGCAGCGCACACCCGGCGCTGAACCGCTTCCTCCTGCCGAACTCCGAGTACGTGAGTTGCGTGCTCTGGGGCGGCCTCTACCATATCACGGGCACCGACATCGTGCGTGCGCTCGTGTTCCGGTTCGAGGCGTTTGGCAGGCCGGTGCGGAATATGAAGAAGTTCGAGGAGGGCGTGTTCAGTGACCTCCGGAACCTCAAGCCAGGCATGGACGCGTGTCTCGAGGAGCCCAAGGTGAGCATAGTTGGTTCTTGCTTGCATGGAGATGCGCGTATGTGCGCGCATACATGGACAAATGATGCGATCGCTGCCTGTTCTCATCGGTATATGCGCATAGATGCGCGCACACATTACGATGGTGTGATCGCTTGCTGTTTCGGGTCGGTATATGCGCGCATATATGAGTCGGCGTCGTGATGCAGCGTCGATCGCTTCGATGCATCCGCCCCTGGTCGTACACAGAGAAGCCCGGTTCGGGCCCTGAACACCTGTGCTTCCATCCAGATGGGCATGAGCTGTGCGTGCAGATCAGCTGTTGAGCCTGTCTCAGAGATGTTCTCTGGCCCTGCGTGTCAGCAGGACGTCATGCGCGGGTCTGAGATTGAGATGAGGAACAGGTTCTTCCTGTGTCTCAGATACGCTTTGGGTGAATGGAAGCAGCGCATCTCTTCTATTTGAGCCAACGTCGCAATATGCGCATCTGTCTGTTGATCGGAACAGGGAAAGCTGACCTCGTTCGCCCCAGTCGCCCTTCCTCGACCTGCTGTTCAAGTATCAATGCATCCGAACGCAGAAGAAGCAGAAAGTCTTCTACTGGTATGTCTGGCATCACCGCGACTGCAGACGCGTCATTGCTTACTCTCAACACAGGTTCTCTGTCCCTCACGACCGTCTCTTCCTCGACGCGCTCGAGCGTGACCTCAAACGGGAGAAGATGGGCATGGAGCCGACCACGGTGGTCATTGGCGAGCCTGCCCTCTCCTTCACGTATGATTCGAAGCGCTCGCTGTACGAGCAGTTTAGCAAGGCTCAGAGTGGATCTGACAACGAAGGCGAGACGGACGGCGCACTACGTGCCGAGCAAGGCACAAGCGAGTCTGACGGAGAGTCTACGAGTGCATCGGCGCCATCAGACGTCGAGTCGGAGGCATCGGCGAAGCCCAAGAAGAAGTTCGGTCCCGCATCGCCCTTCTTCTCGATGTTCAGCCTCTTCGAAGGCTCGCCGACGTACAAGCAGCGGCGGAAGAAGCTGCACCGCACGCGGCGGACGCCGCCGGATGCGTACAGCATGGACAACTACATGGGTCGGATGCGCGAGCCGCACGTCGACCGATATGGGCGGGACACGACCCGGATGAGCGCAGGCGAGCTCTTCATGGCGCAGGCGCGGGGCGACTTCGATGGGCAGAGCAACCCAGACCTCATCGCATCCCAGAAGGAGCGGCAGCGGCGTGCGCTGGAGGCGCAGTTCGCCCTCGCAAACCGGCAGCGCTTCGTGGACCCCGCCCGCGCGGGCGGCATGCCACAGCCCACGCTTGCGCACGACATGCAGGCCCCGATGATGATGGAGGGCGTCCAGCCCGCGATGCTGGCCCCGTTTCCCGGCCACATGCCCCAGCGCCCCCCGCCGCATTCAAGGCATACCTTCCCCAACGCCGACTTCCCGCACCATGCGCGCTCGCTGTCGCAGCCGTTTCCGAGCACGAGCGGCGTGCCCTTCGTCGACGTCGACGCGTGGCAGGGCGGCGGCGCGCCCCCGGATATGCTGGGCGAGTGCAGCACGCGCGCGAAGGCGTTCGTGTGTCCGCTCTTCTCGTGCGGGCGCATGTTCAAGCGGATGGAGCACCTCAAGCGGCACCTCAGGACGCACACCCTCGAGCGGCCGTACCTGTGTGAGCGCTGCCAGAAGCGGTTCTCGCGGTCGGATAACCTCGCGCAGCATGTGCGGACGCACCTTCGTACCGACGACGGCGGCGAGCCCGGCCCCGAGGGTGACCAGGAGCTCGAAGAGGCCGACCCGGACGTGAACGTCGGCGACGCGCAGATGTACGAGGTCGAGCTTCAGGGCCCCGTCCACGAGGTCCAAGGCGACGAGGAAGGCCTCGTGATGGCTGCTGGTGCAGTGCCAGTGGGTGGACCCTCCGACGAAGTCCAAGACGGATTCTACCAGACGCAGTCCATGAACCCATCACCCGACGGAGGCAACTACATGCAAACTGAGGGGTCCCCGGGTTCGCAGTGGGCGACTGTCCGACCACACTCAAGCATGTCCTACACTGCTGGCCAGCCCATGCGCATGTCACCACCGACGTTCGGGATCAGCAATGACTACGGGCTGTCGATATCGGCGCCCTCGCACAAGGCTACGTTCGACCACGGGACTCTCTACCCTCCGGAGCTCGACGTGGGCGGCCCCGGCCCCATCCGCCGCCATCGCAGCGTGACGCCGGCGCGCTATGGAGAGAATATTCGCCGCCCGTACAGCGTTGCCTCCGACCACGGCGTCCCTGTGGGGCGCTCCTACCACCCGTATGCACATGCGTACTCCGCGGAGTCCAGCCCGATGGCGTCTACGGTTCCTCTAGGCTACAGTGGCGCAGCGCCGATGGCGGCTTTGAGCCGGGCCCACTCGCGCGCCGGCTCGGGCTCGAGTAACGAGCTGCAGGACCAGATGCGCCAGATGATGACGCTCCAGCAGACGGAGATGGATGCGGACCACTCGCAGGCGGCGTTCATGCGCGACCCGATGCTCACCTCGTACAGCGCGCCGACGTTCCGGACTGACTCGCCCATGCAATACGCCACGACGACGGGCAACGAGTACGAGCTCGTGAATATGCTCCCCGCGCAGGACGCCAGCCAGCAGGTGCCGATGTATGGTCTGTACGGCCTCCCGGAACAACATGGCGATCACTACTCCACCCAGGTCACGGTCTCAGATGGATCCTACTCAACATTCACACATGGAGACCCCCAGCAGGTCCTCATGTGAACCATGGAATCGGATTTACAGCACAAGCTTAATTTATTCTATTCATCAACCCACTAATGCACCCATCTATCGCAAATCTTCCACGTTCTGGACCTCCTCGATTGTATCTATACAGTAATCGCTGTCGTTATTTCCTCTGCCCTGTCCTGCAAAATGGTTTCCGCGTGTACGACCTCCGCACGCAATACCTACTTACTACTTCGCCTAATTATACGCGCCAGACGCGTTTTGTTTTTCTGCTGCTTGTATATAGCTGTCGTATATTGGTCGCCGAGTTGTACCGTATATCCGCTAACTGACCCTCTTTGTTTACTAGTGAAATGCATGTGCACTGCTCTTTTGCGTCGATTGCATTGATCAGCTTCTAATCGGTTTGTGTAGCTACAATACCATGGATGGTCCTTCAATATACTGCTCTTCGTAATACATGGAACGTCGAGTGATTCGTCTATGCTCAGTCATGGCTTCTGTCCGTCCCACACGTATCCTTGGAATATGTTCACCCAGAGCCTCACCTCGCCACCGCCTGAACTCGCCCAACCGCTCCCCGAAAGTCCGGCCGTGACGTTCAGGCCCGAGCCACCCTCGTCTCGGCAGATCTCCCCCTCGTCCTCGACTTCGTTCACCATTTCCTGGGTGAGCCCGATAGGAAGGGCCTCTTCCCGCGCAACCTGGACGGTAGTCTGGGGACCGGCTAGAGAAAGATCAGTACGCCGCAAACTCTCGTGACTGGGAGCGCGTACCAAGCGAGAGAAGCCCGACGAGGCGAGCAGTGAATGCCGCCTTGGTATATGGCGGTGTGTGCACGACGGAAAGCCCGGATGCAGTGAAGGTCCGCATGTGTATTGGCGGATCTGTATGTTGAGGGAGTTGTGGGATGACTTGGAGGAAAGTTGACGGGGGAATGAGAGCTGTTCACGTGTATATCAGCACAAGCTGGTGAGTGGACAAGCGTCATCTACTCACCGACACCTCTCGCGCGATTCCACCCACCCCAAACCTCGTCGAGCCCCACGATGCCGCGCTGACGCATGATCCCCTCGCGTTTCTCCTTACCCCCACCGCCCTGCAGTACACCCGCGAGCTCTCTCGCAAGCTCCTCGATCCACCGCCGCTCGTCGCGGATCATGTCGAGCGTAACCGGAGCGTTCGCCATCTGCAACCCGAGCTGCGCGAGCGACGAGCGGATGAACGTCGCTTCCTCGGGCTCTACGGCCTGTGTCGTAAGCACCTCCGCGTTCGCGCTAGTTGGTGCAGCGCCGGAGGGGGTGGTGAAGGACGGGAGGGCAGAGGCGGTGGTGGACGTCGATGGCGCGGCGGTGAGCCGCTCGTTGAGGTCTTGCGCGAGCTTGACCATATCTCTCCACTTGACTGTGAGCGCTTCGAAGTCCTTCAGTGCATCCTCCATGTCGGTCTGGGAGGTCGCAGCGGTGGTCTCTACGTTGCGCAGGATGCCATCTGTGAAAGGAAGAGTGTTCAACGGAATATTAAGCTTGATTGGTAGGACGAAACTCACTAATGCCAGAAAGGCCGGATGTCTGGCCAGGAGCGGACTTGTTTCGTGCATGCGAGCTCGCCGCAGCCTTGGTACTCTTCAACTAGACACCACGGTATGAGCCTATGCGATATCTCAGAACGCTGAACGGAGACGCACCTCCCAGCCTTTACCAAGTAGACTCCGTCGAAGTACAGCATAAAACGTCTTATCGCCGCCCTTACGGAAACTGAGCCTGATCATCCTCGAGTCGGGACCATCCTTGTCCGGCAACGGCGACGTCGGGCGGGATGCAGGCGCTGACTTTGCATGGATTTGCTGCGAGGCGCGAGGAGGGGCTACCCGCTTGGGCAGCGGCGTGCCGCACATCTCGCACATCGTGAGGGCAGGGTGGTTCAGGAAGGTACATATGGGGCACGCAATCTCATCATTGGGGCCTTGAGGTGGTGGACTCGCTGGCCTGGGTGAGGATGAAGAAGAAGTGGTGACGCGGGAGAAGTTGCCGGAGGAAGAGGGGAGGGAGGAGGAAAGCTGGTATGCGGCGGACGAAGTCGTTTCGCCATCTGTCGACGACGATGTCGCTGAGCGCGGGACGCCACATAGGGCGCATATACGAGACGCAGCAGGGCTAAGACCTGGTGGATTGCGGTAGTTGCATACGTCGCACGTCCAAGACAGGAATGCTGGGTCTTCAGATGCTGCCAGGCCGCCTGATGGTCCATCAACTGGGGATGGAGGAGTCTCGATGGGGTGCAGATACAATGTTACTTTGGGCGAGCTGGTGAAGAGGCCTGCGTAGTACTCCGTCCGAGCGACGTGCGAGAGATCCATCTCGAACGAGCGTGCATCAGGATGCATCGCATCGACGTAGAACAGGCGGTGGGTAGTCGCGTACGCTATGCCAGATTGATGAGGGGCTGATTTATCGGTGCTGAGAAGGTGATGAGGAGAGACAACATCAACAAGGATGCTCTACTCAGAAGAGGAATGGGTGGGACAGCAAGGGTAGGGGTAGAACGCTGCATAGATGTTGTGCAGACTCACCCATCGTATATCCCGATGCCGTCTTGAGAGGCCAACAACTCCTCATCCTCATAGAGTAAGGCCTGAACGGGTATTGTCCCGTCCACACCCTTCGTGTATCGTCTGAGACTCATCACGAAATGCCAGTAGTGGTGAGCACTCTAACCCTGCATACAGTCTCTCAACGACTGGAGATATCACGATCGGAGAGCACACGCACGATGGTAGCCTCCAAATCAAACAGTCTATTCACTTCAATGGGCAGAGTGTACTGCAAGTGGCCGTATGCAACGGTGCGGTGCTTCGCGACTTGCACGGAAGGCTAGATGTAGACGCCTCGATGGGCAGTCTGGCTGTGAGCAAATGTCTGCGATACTACGCGATCGACAGAGGTCTGAGGGTGCAGTATCTTCCCATAAACCAGAGGTTGTGAGATGCCCAGCGAATTCGAGATAATCAATAGTTGCAGACGGTCGTAGTTACTGGCGCACACGACTCTGCAATGTTGCATGTCACGCAGCCGCGCCGGTCTTGCCAGTCAGTTCCAAGTAATACGGACTGAAATCGGCTTGTCAATGTTGCGCGTAGTAACAAAGTAGTGCTGCTGAGAGTGTAGACTTGTTATGGGAAAGGATGGTTGAGACCTCTTGACTCGCCGAATCCTGACAGATGCTCCTGAGTCCTCGTCATACACGACCACGTGAGGCGTGTTTCGCGCGTCCCACACACCGCGATGCTCATTGCTTGTGGTCAGCAAACAGAAGACACTCTGCGTCTGCAAACCACTACCAGCCGACAGTACTGACGGACTAGACAAGGTCGCTACCAAAACAACACAGGTATATTGCTATGATAGATGGCCGGTCAGTAATGCAATTGCAAGCCAACTCCGAAGACTCTGCCATGATCATTGACGGTCTAATCGTTACATGCAGCGGCGCCAGGGAGCGTCCTATAGTCCAATGATTGCACAAACAAATGTGTAGTCCGAAGTCCAGTCGCTTAGAAGGTCCATGGATCCTAGTGTCCCAAATGTCCTCAACGCTCAAACGGCTCCTCTGCAGTTTAGTACGGGTCCCAGAGTTGCGGCTTCATTTCGGACGAGGACTTCGGCGCGACTGGTCTCCGTATCGGCACAGACACTTTGCGTTGTCGGACGGAGACTATCCGACGGGCGGACGAGAGCGGAAGCCTGGTTGCCACCTCCGCCTTGTACGCGTCCATCCGGGTTGGGGTGTCGACCGTGACGCCGGCGTCGCACTCGACGACCAGCTGTCGGACGCCGTCGAACTGCGGCTGAGATAGTATGCTGTCCAGCGCGTCAAATCGGATGTGTTTTACTTTGGTGGGCTTGCGAAGCTGCGGTAGTCGGATGGTGATGTCGCGAATGGCTGGGGAGTTGGTCTGGGTGAGTAGTCCGGGAACCCAGTCGCTCTTTGCGTCTAGGTGGAGGCATAGCGAGCTGAGTGAAGTATTGTAGATTAGACGGGGATACGCTCCTGCAGGTGACCAAGCGTCAGAAGATGACAGATCCTGGGTAATATGATGGTCAATACGTACCGACGTCGCCCTCCCACTCGGACACAGTTTTGTTTCTTGACCTCGTCGCACGGCGTGGAGCTATCCCAATCTCCAGGCGTTGCAACGAAGGGCCTGCAGCCGTCAGCAAGCGCTCCACGTGTTCGACGTCTCCGATGGCGACAGGCGACACGCAGATAGTCTGCAGATCTTGCACAGTGGCCGCCACGAAAAGCCAATCCGCGAAGGCAGCTGACCACTCCATGTCGCGCACGGAGAGCGATGTTAACTTGAGACACTGCTTGCAATCCCGGAGCGCCTCGACGTCGTACGTCTTCTTCACCCAGTCGACCATCCAACACGAGAGGCTGGTCAGCCTCCGCAACGAGCACACCAGCATGGAAAAGTCGTTCAGCGTCGGGAACTGGATGCGGCGGAGCTCGAGGGTCGTGACGCTCCCGAAGCTCGCGAACATTGGGTAGAAATCCGGGTGGATATACGGATAAAAGTCTCGTCGAATATCGATCCTAAGCCGCTGCACATTCGAGAGCTTCCCCGCGAGCTCGAACGGGAACGACCCGAAGAGCTGGGACTGCGAGTAGTACGGCGTGACGTAGAGCTCCTTGAGCGTCTGGCCCAGGCCCGGGTCCGCCGCGAGCTTCGCGGTGTACAGCGAGAGCTGGTCGAGGTTGTAGAGCTCGACGCGGTAGAAGAGGTTGTACCGGCTGCGCTCGTGCCACGCGCGGCAAGTCAGCGCGCAGGCGAGGAGCGTTTCGCGGTCGGGCCAGGTGAAATCGATGATGACTTCGTACACTTCGAGCGGCAGTTCGGGAGGCGGCATGATCTTTGCAATGGGTGCGGTGGTCCCGGGCGCGGTGCGGGAGCTGCACCTGTGCTTGGGCTTTAAAGCACGCACAAGGCGGCGGAACATTTTGGTAGGGGTGATGAAGCCCATCGTCGCTAGCTTCGAAGACGACTGTATTAGCGGGTTCCCTTCTGGTTGGACGTCAGTGTCGCGCCAAGTGAAGACCAGCGTGATGAGGCTTACAGCTGTATTGTAACGACTTGTCAGTCGACTAGTCACCTGAGGTGGTGGATGATATAAAGTGTCTGTAAGCCCGGTGCACCTGATAGTTGTAAATGGCAATGTTGGCGGAGAAGCCAGCAGTACGTACAGCACCTCAGGTCAGGAATGAATGTAGTTCTGGAGAGAAAGTGTTCCGTCAGAGAGGTGCCTTTTCATGGTTGAAGTACGAACACCATACCAACCGTCAAAGAACTATACTGCCGGAAAGCACTTAACTCCGCACGGGTGACGATTGAGTGCGCAGCAGCGGCCGAGCACTGGCAATTGCATGTAAGGACCCATCACGGTACCTGGCCCTGTGACAGGTGGACCAACAAAGTTACCTGAACGGTGCCAAAAACGGCCACGGTGAACAAGCTCGGTGCCTCAGCTTGCAAAGCAGGCCGCAGGTAAGCACTACTTATACGGACAATCAGCTCAGGCACGACACGATCGAGAGCATCTGACCTTGCGCGGCAGCGGTTTGAGACTCCGGCGAACGGATGCAGCGACGGCGGAGGCTGATGCACTTGGGGTCGCTGGAACATGACCACATTCTTATAAGCCGCTTGGAGCCTCTCCTGGTACGAGAAGAGAAGTCATGCTAGCGTGCGCAACGCTATATTTATGTCGAAGCGCTACACGATGAGCGGTGTCGGCGCGGACATGATTAAATGTTACCAAGCTGACGCTCGTCGTGAAGCTGTCGTGGGAAGAGACGACGAAAGGTTCAGCAGGCCACCAACTTGAAGTCCGCACTCCGCAAAGACGGCTTGCGGACATGTGGCCAATCGTTGAGCGCGCATTACGTTGCATTGTACGAGTCTCTGCAGGTCAGAGCTACAATGAACAGACTGGTGAACGTATGGCGCGTTGGTGTATGGAGAGAACGCGGTTCCAGTTCGTCGCGACTGCTGAACGGGGTTATGGACGGCTTCGCGCCAACGTACGCCCTCGGTCAAGAAGCACCGTCGTGGCCGCCATCGTCAGCTATTCTCACTATCAGTGCGGGGAGGTTATTTTGGTACGAGGCCGCGTGTATAGAAGAGAAGAGAACGCATCCTCGAGGAGTTAAATCGGACTTGGTGGATGGCCCGGCTACTCTCGGAGGATTGTGGAGCGTACGAGCGTCGACGAGATCCCGGTTGGTAGGGTGTCTTGTAGCCTGTTCTGCCATGGACCACTCGAACAGCGATCACACCGTCATGGCATGAGCGTCGGGTCGACCAGCTGGAATTTCGGTATATGCAGCGGACTCCGAGTCGCGTCCTGTAGGAAGACAACTTGAAAACCTCCTCTAATCGAGGTAGAAGTCACATTACCTGGCGCCCGCTTCACAAACCAATACACCTGGTAAACCAGGCGCGTATCGCATGCATGCAATTGATCGGTATGCAGCTCATACTGTATGGGGCGTTGGGGATGAAGACGTGCCCGCACCTCGCACCTTGGAGAAGCGGACGCAGTTCCGGCGTTGCCAACGAACCAGATGCACGGCAATCTTGGTCTGATAACGCCAGGGATGAAAGCTCTTCTCATCCCGTCGAACGATCTCCGAGTCTGGATGCTGCATGAGAGACGTCTAGCACGCTGAAGATCTGTCGAAGGAGGCTGGACGGGACCAGGACGTTCATTGATGGTTCTCGGTGTTGGTACGAGACTGATCGTGTCTGGCATTGCCTTTCGGATCTCCTATTGCATGCCATTGACCGGGGACGTGAGTGGCATGGGCGACAACAGCGTGACTTCGGCAACAAGTGGACTTTAAACATACCATAAACATTAGTGCCCTGCCGCAGTCGTAAAGTAATAGATGGCATGCTCCGCAGGTGTGAGACGATGCTGTCCCAGGACCGCGGTATCCAGTATCCTCGTGTAGCGTGTACCAGTCAGTTCCGGGCTGTTAACACGTATACCGTGACTTGACGTCGAATGGAGGCCTAATCTGCCTTGAAACGTTGGCAGCGAAGTCCCTTTTCACCTTTCATTCGCTTGGAGTTGTACAGGTCTATAACGAGCCAAGACGAATCTGCGATTTGCTGGAAACTGAAACTCCCAGAGTGAGTCGGCTGTGTTACGGAGATCTCTATTCCTCGAGCTCGTGACAGGTAGGGGAGGGGTAACGGCCGTCACGCTACCTACTGTCACGCGGAGACGGGTTGCACTCACTGCTCAGTCTGCCTGAAGGTATGTACTTCGATGACGCCGACGGCCACTTGCTGATCATGACCGCCTCTGTGCCCTTCGCGTTTACGACGACTAATTGCGTGGTGCATATACATTCCTCCCATGGCTTCATGACCCGCCCGCTACCGAATGCACGCTATTACCCCCTGGCGAAGGACTCGGATATGGCGCAAAGATAAGTACCCTCGAACTGGACTGTGTTCTCCACAACTAGCAAGGGTGCTTTGCTAGTCGGTGCCTATCAAGCGAACCAGGTCACCGATAGTATGACCTGGCCCGGATTTCTCAGGTCGCGGCTTAGAGGAAGGAAGGCAATCCTGGGCTTTGTCGTTGACGTTGAGGCGGTAAGTCTATTGCGAGAGGTACTGTCCTCTGATGTAACGCTGTTCAAGCTTTGCTTCCAGTCACATGAAACCCTGGTACGGAGAAGCTGGCAAGCATTGGCGCGGGCCGGAGCATGATGATGTAGCAACCCTAAGTACTATAGAAGTCGTCGTTGCACAGCCTACGACCACAGCCGCGTGTCCGGACTCCGCAGATACCACTCACCTGCTGAATGCGCAAGACGTGTGGCCAACGCTACGTTCTGCCATCTTGGCCTTCCGCTACTGCCCATCTGTTTTGCCCTTCCGTTCCAGCTCTGATTTGACTCTTGACGACCTCAGCGAATGGCGTCTTCGGAGGACGTATACGCGAAGGAGCTCTTTAAATGTGGCAAGGGTTACCCGCTATGGCAGCCCGAGGCGATGGAAGACGATATAGAGGTAGAGCTGGGGGACGTCGGCTACTTGGATAAGGGAGGCTTTTGCCGAATGTTCAACGCGATGCGTGAGAAGGACGATCCCTTGAACAACAAGCCCGACAACGTCCCCGACGACTTCGAGAAGTTCACGATAGACATGAAGCCCAGGCGGACGAATACCGCCATAGATGCAGGTCCCTTGCTTAGCAGGACCGTTAAGCGAGTCGGGGCCAAGACGGAAGCTGTTGTGTATGTCGTCTCTTTGCCTCTCGATAAGGGTAGTTCTAGGTCTCACGTCGCTACAGCCATGGCGCAAGGGCAGGCTTCGAGTTCGAATGCATAGACAATCAAGGTGCTTGCGTTGTCGTTGGCTCGTCCGCAGCGCGCCTAGAGATTCACTCGGCACGCCGGATGAAGGGCTACATGAAGAAGAACATCGACAGCTGGGTGCATTACGCTACGGAAACCCTCGGGATGGAAAAGAAACTCGACGAAATTCTGTTCGTCAAAGGGTGGGTCAAGACGACGCACTGGGCTGTAGCAGCGTTCGTTGACCGGGCGAAGAACGCGAAAGTGAGCGTGAGCGGAGGGATTGGAGCCATGGCAGAGGTTGGCGTCGGACTGCTGGTCGAGTCGTCGTCCAGTTCCGTCGACCACCATACTGGCCCTGGAACCCGGATGGTCCAGGTCCCGCAGATCAGCCCCAAGCGCAACAACAAGAAGAGCAAGAATCGCGAGCAGCCGGAGATCGTGCCGAAGGCGGAACTGAAGGCAAATCAATGTGTCTTCCTGCACTACTTCAAGATGAAGAGGAGATTGGTTCTTCCACCGAAGATAGAAGCTGCGGCAGAGCCGCAGGACGGGTCCTCTTTCAGTGATGACGACGATTACGAGTTTGAGGAGGCACCCATGAAGAGAAAGGTACATGTCTGATGGCGTCCGTGAAATGTCACTAACGAACGTTCACAGTCCTACGATCCGGTTGACTACGTACTCGACTACATTCTGGAGGTGCGCTGCTGTCATATAATCTGCCTCACTGTGGAATGTTCTCAGACGTGCTCTCCAGAATTCCGATGCAACCGAAGCTATCGCGAGCGACAGTGATATCCTTGAATTGTGCAAGGTAGTCAGCCTGCATCGCGACTTCTGCTGTTGCATTGACGTTTGATCCGGTAGACCGATGATGAATACCCCATCCCAGACGACATACCCGCATTTCTTGATAGCCTGCGACCCGAAATCGAGCTCACCAGCGATGGACGTGAGTGCCTGTACGTCCATAGTGATGGATTGTACTCATGGTGTCCCCAGTCGGCATGTTACACTTCGACGACGCCATAACAATCCAGCGCATCGCAGAAAGTGCCGCCCTTGCCCAACAGAGCGCACAAAATCCTTCCACCTCAGAAGAGCGACCACCCGAAGACCAGACGGAATCATCATCACGAGCTGATTCAGATCCCACTCAGAGCCCACCTGGTGACTCAACTGGTGCCTCCAACCCGGACCCCACCCGAGACACCAACTCAGGCGGTGGCACCAATGCGGGTGGAGAGCATAGAGACCCTCCTCGCGCAGAGGAAGGGGAGGAGAAGAAGTTTGGCCTGAGTTTTGAAACGAGCGACTCCCTGCTGCAGATGCCACACGATGTTGATGCCGAGCGCAAAGGCGGCGTGTTTGCGCTCGCGTATTCAGCGCCTGGCAATAAGGTCGCCGCCGGATTTGAGGATGCCACTGTCATCGTATGGAGCGGCGATAATCGCCGGATATTACACACGCTGGAAGGCCACAAGGGTTCGATCTGCTCGCTCGCATTCTCGCCAGACGGTCAGCGCCTCGTGACTGGTTCCAGGGACCACTTCGTCGCCGTTTGGGATGTCGTCACTGGAGACAGGCTGCGGGTCCTGCGCGGCCACGAGGGCTTCGTGAACTGCGTGGCATACTCGCCCGACGGACGGCTGATCGCCTCCGCTTCTGTGGACTCAACCGTGAAGTTGTGGGACGCGGAAACGGGCATGGAACGCGCCACGACAGAGGGTCACGACGCTATGGTGATGAGCGTCGCCTTCTCCCCCGATAGCAGGCGCATGATCTCTGCGAGCGCCGAAGGCATAGCCTACCTCTGGGACACCATCGACGCACAGCGCACCAGCACACTGTCGGGTCATGAAGGAGTCATCTACACGACGACGTTCTCTCCTGCCGGTGACCGGCTCATCACGAGCTCAGATGACGGGTCCTCGAAGGTCTGGGGCGCGGAATTCGGAGAGTTGTACATGACCCTCCGAGAACACCGGGGATCCGTATGGGCGGCGGTCTTCTCAGCGGATGGGAGGCACATCCTCTCCGCCGCCAGCGACCGAACCGTGAAGATCTGCGACTCGTACAGCGCGGAGGTGCTGGACACCATCGACGGTGGTGACGACCTCGCGAACGCAGCGACGTTTTCGCCGGATGGCAAGTACATCGCTGCTGGTGGCGAGGACCACACCATTTCCGTGTGGAGCATGGAGACCAAACAGCGCACCAGGCAGTTCAGTGGGCACAGGGACAACATCAACAAGGTCGTCTTCTCGCCCGACAACAAGCGATTGGTCACGGCCTCGGATGACGGCTCTGTGCGGCTCTGGAGGTTGGATGGTCCTCAGTATATCCCTGCTGTGGCACTGTGATTCAATGGGTGTATCGGGCGGTTGTCGTTACATGAAAGGTAACGTATAGGACAAATGTATTTTATCGGAGTGACTGTCGCCTGAGCCCATGAATTATCTGTGTAGCATTGTACGCATTCTTGTATAATCTTCTGTCATCTATATACCTAGGGTATCGTCCCAGCCACATCTTAGTGTATGAACCTCGATATATCACTTGAAGATTGAAATATCTCGGCCTCACGGACCTTGGGTCACTATCCGGTGGTACAGGGTGGTACATACACTGGTACCGTGGGATTGCGACGGGCGCTGTGTGGTTCGCGGAAGCTCTTCCTGATCAGCCGCTCGGAAAATGGACATTCTCCTGCAGGCAGTTGTCAACAGGGCTGTACACACTTATACGAGGCAGTGTATTTGGCAGCGTCGGCGTACCTGTAACCTCATTGCCTTGTCTCTGTCCCCTCGCTGGCAGAACCCTTACTGTAACTCTAGTACTGGATCCATACACACAGCTCAAGCGTTTGAATTTGTTCTACGCATCCTGTGCATGCAGGAGCGAACCACAATCAGATCGCACATACAATAGCGCACTGGACAGTACAAGGTGTGCCTCATGTCACTCATAAGCCTCGAACAGAACCTTGATACACATCTCTATCGCGCCCTCATCTACCTCTTGCCCGTGTTCCACATCCCGTTGTGCTCTCTAAGTAGTGTTTCCAGTGATCGTATTGCAGCACATCTGAGGTCAGTCGACTATCATTGACACGACTCGGCTACCGATTAACGATACACACTAGCAATCATGTCTGAGGATATCCCGAAATCAGCGATGGACGCTGAAATCGATGAGGATGTTGACGAGGCCGAATGTTAGTCTGCTTCACGTCCGTACGCTACATCCAGCTCATCTTCATATTCGCGAAGCAGCTTCGTCCAGAGTGGACAAGGGCAAAGGTCGCGCCACAGAAGAAGACGTGCTGGAAGCGCAGGGCGAAGACCTCCACGTACCTCAGAACGAAGAGGAGACAGACCCACCCCTAGAGCATACTCTCGACAACCTCAATTTGGGCCCGGCAGGGGAGAACAACCAAATCACTGCAGAGTTCAAGGCTCTCGATGCTGATCCCGCCGTCCTCCCCTTCCCGCTAAACTCTGCTGATGGGCGAAGAGGAGGTGTTACCGCCTTGGAGTATTCCAGGCGGGAAGATCGCGTCGCCGCTGGCTTTGAAGACTCTTCTATCCTCGTTTGGGACGCGAACACGCGCAGGTTGCTGCATGAATTGCGCGATATCGAGCATACCGACTACGTATGCGCTCTTGCATTTTCGCCTGATGCGACGACACTCGCAGTTGGATACCGCGATGCCGTCGTCATCGTGTGGGATCTCACCACGGGCGAAAGGATAACAACGCTCACGGGCCACGATGGGTTTGTGAATTGCGTCGTGTACTCACCCGACGGGCGCACGCTTGCCTCCGCGGCAGTAGACGCCACTGTCAAGCTATGGGACACCGAAACCTATACCGAGCGTGCATCGACGACCGACCACGATGCGCTTGTCCTTGGCGTCGTCTTCTCGCCAGACGGATCGCGCATCCTCTCAGGTGCGGCGGACGGCGTTGCACGTCTGTGGAATGCAACGGATGCAGCCGCCCTCCGGGAATTCCAGGGACACGATGGGGTCATCTACGAAGTCGCCTTCTCCCCCGATGGCCGCAGGCTGGTCACCAGCTCCGACGACGGTACGGCAAGGGTGTGGAGCGCTGAATCGGGAGACGAGTTCATGAGGATCAGCGAGCACTCCGGGTCAGTCTGGATGGCGGTCTTCTCTTCGGACGGACAGCGCGTCTTGTCTGTGTCCAGCGAAGGCATCGTGAAGGTCGCGAACTCGTACAGCGCCGAGCTGCTCGACACCATCGAGGGAGGCTCCGAGTTCGCGAGCTCGCCGACGCTGTCGTCGAATGGCCAGTATGTCGCCGCGGGTGGCGAAGACTACTCGCTGTCGATCTGGAACACGGAGACGAACAGGCGCATTGCGCGGCTTCCGGGGCATAGAGACATCATCACTCGCATCTGCTTCTCCCCAGATAATGAGCGCGTGGTCTCTGCAGCGGATGATGGTCGGGTGCGACTCTGGCAGCTCAGTGACCTTCCCACTCCTCCCCCTTCTGATGATGGCGAGGAGGCAGAAGAGGAAGGTGGCACAGCCGAAGAAGAAGACAAACCTAAAGAGGAGGAGGAGGAGGAGGAGGAGGAGGAGGAGGAGGAGGAGGAGGAGGAGGTTGAAGAGGATGAGCAGAAAGAGGACCGTGACGTCTAGTTTCGAAGAGGATTTCCACGGACAGCTTGCTTCAATGTAATCTTGTAACTTCTGCTCTTATAACTTACCTTTCGTCCTGCTACTAACAGCTCCAATCTCGAATTGTATTGCTACCAATAAGCAAGCTCAGGGGCTTGTGGGCTAGGCTACAATTCAGTAAGTACAAATGCGACAGGTTAATAGCTCATCGAAGTTATGTATCTCACTGACGTACTAAGTATGTTGGATCTACAAGGTAATAAATAACTTCCTCGTCTGTCCACCGCGTCTTGAAGCTTGAATATTGAATCTTGAATCTTGATGCAGTGTAAATTTATGATCCTCTCCGCGCTGCAGCCTCAGCCTGCTCATTACTACCGCCACACCTGAGTCTGTTCGCCGCATCGAACGTTGGGTCACCTCGTATCCTCGTCTGTCTAAGCTCCCCTTCATTATTGAACGATGTGCTGGCCCACTATTCCTCACTAAGAACTAGCGGGCCTCAGGGGAACTCCGTGACAAGGTAAGCACTAGGGCAGCGAATGGACATCGACGGGGACTGGCACACGCTGGCACACGGCGGCGGGTTCATTTCAGCTATGAATTGCATCCGGTGGGGCACATAGTAAGTACCAATTCGGAAATGCCTCCGTCCCACGGGCCGGCCCTACCTCTATCGATAGACTTCCAGCCACTCGAAGCGCTGTGTGTGGACGATCACAGCCTCATGCCAGACTGTGTAGCGTCTCAGCGTACAGGACACTTGTCCACTCCTCAGGCCTCAAACCTTGCTCCTGCATCACGACTGCTATGAATGCTGGACCTGCCGCATCCGAAGTGTACGCACAACAGCTCTTCAAGCTTGCCTTGGGTTACCCACTGTGGGAGCCTGAGCCGAAGAACGGACAAGGCGAGGTTCTAATTGGCGATGTTGGGTATCTCAACCAGGGAGGGTTCTACCGTCTCTTCAACGCTATGAAGGATGCCGATGATCCCATTCAGCAATATAGAGTTCCTCGGGATTACAAGAAATTCGACTTGGGCCTCATGCAAGTGGTTCCGGCGAACAATGTTGTCAACGAAGGGCCTATCTTTAGTCAGACAGTCCATCGAACCGACATCGGGGGTGGTGCTGGCTCGTGAGTGACTCTTCATGTATGCTCGTCTGGATTAAATCCCAATGATGCTACTCATAGCCATGGCGTCAACTTCGCGTTTCAATGCGAATGTGCCGACCAAAATGGCGCGTTGGCGATCTTGGATACTCCCGGGAGGCGTGAACTTGTGCACCAGAGCCGCCGGATGACGAAACACATGAAGGAGAACATAGAGACTTGGCATCATTGGGCATCGGAGGAGGTGGGCCTTGAAGTCGCTATCGAAGATATCCTCTTTGTTCGAGGATGGATTAAGACCAGTCGCTGGGCTGTCGTAGCCTTCTTTGGCAACAGTAGACATGCGAGACTCTCCTTCACTGGCGATCTGGGTCTTCCTGTCTCCGCTGCATTCCACGTTGATATACAGAGAGAGACAGCCGCCACTTGTCTTCCTCGGATAGGGCCAGATAATCGCCCGAGGTTTAATCCAGGTAGACCTTCGGGGCCTGCTCAACCGGCGCCGGAGCTCGCGAGTCCTGTCCAGTCGCAGAGTCCCAAAGGTAAAAGAAAGAAGGGCAAAAATCGCGCAGATGACACGGATCCGCGACACTCAAAAGAGATGGACTGGGGAAGTCAGGTCGTTGCCGCTCAGGAGTATCCTTCCGACCAGTGCATTTTCCTGCACTACTTCAAACTGAAGAAGCGCCTGCTACTGCCCTCGAAGATCGAGGCTGCCGCTGAGCCTCAGGACCCGTCGGTAGACCGCGACACTGACGATGGCATGGGATTGATAGAGGAAGTTCCTCCGAAGGTGACGGTGAGAGCGTACGAAACATCTCGAGAATGCATCTCATGAACCCGCTCTCGTAGCCATACGACCCTGTCATATTCGTTTTGGATTACATATTGGAGGTAGGTTCTCGAATCATGTATATTCTTCTCATCTCATCATCGGACGCAGAACTCTCATGCAGACGTAGCCATCGCAAGTGACTTAGATTTGATTCGCATCTGCAAAGTAGGCTGTGATTGCACGTATCTCGTCATATCTGAACTTATGAAAGGCCACAGGCCCGATTTGACCATCAATACCCGATTCCTGACGATATACCACACTTTCTGGAGGAGAATAGGCCTGATATTGAAGTGACTGAGGACGGACGTAAGTAGCGCTGCAGTCTGAGTCTGTGACCGCATCAATTGAGACATTACCAGTCGGCATGTTACTTTTCGACGACGAAGTCACCGAAATGCTCATAGCGGAGAGTGCAAACGCGGCGGATGTCCAGCATGATCCACACACGACGGACCCGGGTCAGGCGGAGGCTGATCCGCAAAAGGGTGCGGCGGACGACGACATCGAGATGGGAGGGGGACCCGTCCCTGGTGCGAGTGATGACAACCCTGTGATACCCCCTGACAATCTTGCCGAGGACAAGGGGAAGAGGGTGGACAGGCCAAATATCCTCCATATGCCAGCGCTCACCGGCACCGAGCGCAGAGGTGGGATCTCCGCCCTCGCATACTCCCCGGTGGGGAGAGACATCGCCGCTGGGTTCGAGAACAACACTATCATGGTCTGGAGCACGATGAACCAAGCAGTGAGGCATCAGTTCCAGGACCACGGCGGTGCCGTCTCCTCGCTCGTCTTCTCCCCCGACGGGAACAAACTGGTCTCCGGAGGGCGCGACGGACGTGTCATCATCTGGGATCTCATCGCAGGAGGCATGATCCGAACCCTTCACGCTCATGAAGGCACCGTCGACTGTGTCGCGTACTCACCAGATGGCAAGCTGTTCGCATCCGCGGCTGGCGACTCTGTCGTGAAGCTGTGGGAGGCTGAGTCCGGGAACTTGCGTGCGTCGACGGAGGAGCACAACGGGATCATCATGTCTATTTTGTTCTCCCCCGACAACGAGCGGTTCGTCTCCACAAGCGCGGAGGGCACTGCACATGTGTGGAGCACGCATACAGCGTCGCATATCTGCGACCTGCAGGGGCACGAAGGAGTGATCTACACCGCGGCGTACTCTTCCGACGGAAGACGGCTCATCACAGGCTCGGACGATGGTACCGCTAGGGTCTGGAGTGCACTTCTCGGGGAAGAGTTTATGACGCTCAGCGAGGGCGATGGTGGCTCAGTATGGGCTGCGACGTTCTCTACAGATGGAAGGCACCTCCATTACGTCGGGAGCGAACGAATCATCAAGACGTACGATTCCTATACCGCCGATCTACTTCACAGCATCGACTGTGGAGACAAGGTCGCGATGGGCATGACATTCTCTGCTGACGGCCGTCTGCTCGCTGCTGGCGGCGAGGACCATGTTGTGACGGTATGGGACATGGCGACGAAGCGGGAGGTGGCGCAGTACAACGGCCACACAGACAACGTTAACTATCTCGCCTTCTCTCACGACAACAAGCACCTTGCGTCGGCATCGGATGACGGGAGTGTACGCAAATGGGACCTCCCGGTTTTGCCAGCAGTGGCTTGAGCATATGTACGTGCTCGCTGTACCTCAGACCGTATGGACATTGACGTCTGCATATAGAAGCATCCATACGTATACAGATGACCCTGTGCGTGTCTACATGGGACTTACAAGCACATCTACTAGTGCCACACGAGCACGAGGACAATGCTATAATTTTAATCTCATGGTGAGTAGGGAACGTTGAAATCTGCCGCGAAAATGAAAGTTTCAATGAAAGTTTCACGCAAACTTTCATGCCGAAACTTTCGGTCTGAAACTTTCCGAATAGGATAAAAGTCTGGTAAATCGAAAGTTTCAAAATGGATTGTCCGCCGAGACGAAAGTTTCATGTTTGCCGACACGCGATTGAAAGTTTCAATTTAGACACTCTCATGCGTGAAAGTTTCGCCCCGAGTATTCTCAACGAAAGTTTCGTCGGCCGTCCCCTCAGGTATATATAAGGTGTCCGACCTTTGCAGCACGACTCGACTGTCCGCCGGCATCACTGCCGGCGACTCTCTTATGTGTTTGCGCTGTGCGCGTCGCCTCTCGTCTGTCATTCTAAGGACTTCACTCGGTTTTCCCCTTCTAACTACAGCTGAGTCTAGCAAAACATCGGTAAGCTACCTTTTTTGGGTGCTGTTCGTCGCTGTCAGCTGATTTGACTGGCCCATCTGTCAGTGTGACAGGGCACCACACGTTTTCGTACTTTATCACAGCATTCTATCACATCGCCGGCTTCGCGATATTCCTTCGGCGGTATCGGAGTTGTTGGGGACGATACTAGGATCGGCAGTTCCAGTTGGCGGATGGGGCGGGGTGAGTCGACTTAAATGTGTTATTGTTGGCTTGACTGACTAGGGCTTCTGAGTACAGGTGGATCAGTTTCGTGTAGCAAATGCTCTCGTGCAGCAAATCAGCTGTGCCCTCGTGAGCAGTGCCGAAACTGTTGTCAGGCTGCGGCCCGGGCTGCGATCGCTTCGGGTACACCCTCGCCTCGGTGTGCTCCCCATGCGATCCGCAAACCGAACAAGCCATCTAAACCACTGGTACAGCCTGGTCCAGCTGCATTAACAGTTAGCATCGTTTTATCGTCTCGTACATTTCTGTTCTGACTTAGAGCTTCCATCCTGTCAGGCCAACTCGTCCGACTCGTCCGACACACCATCGTCCTCCCAGCCTGTCTCTTCCGACCCTCCACCATCCCAGCCTGTCGTCTCTGCGTCACTGAATGCTGCCTCTGAGTCGCCACTTGGATCTCAGGCCAGGTCACCCCAATGTCCACCTGACACCCGACCAACCCAGTATGCACAGCCACTGCGATCACGGCACGAGATGCCACAGCCATGGCTATCGGCTCGTCAGCAAGCCTATGACAAGATCGGCCCTGCGCAGAGGAAATCAAGTATCCACGAAGCCCAGAAGCAGATCCAACACTCCATTGGACTCTCACTGTGGTTGAAGGTGAGCATGGCAGCCGTCTGCGAGTATCTCACAGAAACTGATTTCTGTATTGTAGCCAGCGACCGAGGCAGTAGAGATCACCTCAGTTCACGTCACAACTTACCCTGCGTTCCGGCTGAGCGACTACCCCACCTTCCGCGATATGCTCTGTCCTCCTCAGTCCAGCTCGCCCTTCGTTCATATCTACGACCCGAAGACGAATAAGTGGTCTATTATCGCAGCTGATAGCTATCGCCAAATCACTGGGGGTGAGACGAGCCTCCTCCTCCGAACGATCCCTTCGCTCTCTGCTCCCGACTTTGACCCGATGGAGTATCCCGGGATGGCTGAGGCCATGCAGGCCCTCCGCAGGAAGCGGTCCTTTGCAACTGTTGATGACCTGCTCCCAATGTCATCGAACTCGGCGGGATCTGCGAAGCGTGCACGTCTGGACTCCGAGTCGGCAATCGCACCACGAGCTCCCAGCCCACTCCGTATTTGCTCGTCGCCTGGCCCTGGTCGTATCACAGAGCCTGATGAGCACTTCCCGAGGGTCTCACGAGCTTCGCTCTCTTCCGATTGGAGGGCCCTTCGTTCTGGTGTGACTGGCACCATCCCCAGCAACAATCTGCCAACCATTGACGAAGAACTGGTCACCGAGGGCACCGAGTCGTCGATGGGTCGTTCAGCCTCTGTAGGGTCGCCTGAGCCCTCCATGTCGTCTGGGGCATCTACCACTGATGTACCAGCACCAGCCAGTGCGACCCTCTCTGTGCCGACGATCCCAACTGGTTTCAAGGCAAGGTCGTATGGTTCAGACGACCTGTCGTTCCCAAAGAGTTTGCCCTTCACCGATATCTACAATGGGCTCGTTAAGGTTCACAACCTCACGTCGCAGAGGGTTCCTCAAGTCGGTCGAGCAAGTGCATGTTCGCTCGCCTGGCCGAAGTATGAGTGGCAGAAGAAGCGATGCAAGGGGTATGACGATGCTCGAGCTGATCTCGGGCGTGGGGATGCCGATATCTGGCAGCGATGCCTCAACACCCCGAACGCACTCTGGGGCGACTACACTCGCTATTTGGGAACACTTGGTCGGTCCAGTGCCAAGCCTCTGCATTTCCCATGGGACCCAGACGGTGGCCGACCTTCGCAGCCATCTGCTGATACCGAGCCTGAGGCGAGCGAACCTCCGACTTCATCTGAGTCCGTCAAGACGACCATTTTGTCCCCACCTTCCACTGTTGTCGCTCAGGCGAACCAGCTGCTGTCGTCGATTTCCGATGTCGCCCAGGCGAACGATACGTCACCTCCTTCTCATGCTCGGGCGCCGAGTGAGCCTCCTCCTCCCCCGATGATCGCTCAGGGGAATGATTCACCGCCAGCCTCGCCGCCAGCCGTAGATGAGCTGCCTTCTTTGCAGATCACTTGGGCGAGCGAGCCACCTCCTCCCTCGCAGAACCCGGGCAACGAGGTGCTATCTCCTCCGATGATCGTTCAGACGAACGATCCACTGCCTCCTACTATGCTGGTCGCTCAGATGAGCGAGTCGCTACCTTCTTTGCAGATAGCTTGGGCGAGCGAGCCGCCTCCGTTGATGTTGGCCCAGGCAGAGCTGCCGTCTCTTCCGACGATTGCTCAGACGAAAAACCCACTTCCACCTCCTTCGATGGTCGAGCTTCTGGCGAGCGACAACCCTCTTCAACACATCAACCCCACGTACCCTTCCTTTGATCCCGAGGTACCATCGTGGGATGCTGCAGCCCCTACGTGCACGGCATACTACGGGCCAAGTGGCTGGTACCCTGTGCTGGATACGATCGCTCCCAGCTCAATTGAATCCTATACCGGTATGTCCCCCTGAGCCTGAGCCATATTCACTTCGCCACAGCTGATGGCGTACAGACCTTGTTCAGTCAATTCCCGGCGAGTTAGCAGGATATCTCGGAGACCTCGCAATACCTCAGGATTTGAGTACATCTGCACCCGAAAGTGGTTCTGCGACGAGCCCCTTGGCTGGGTGAGTAATAGCGTGTCCCTTCGGTGGAACTTGCAGGCCAGTACATACAGACCGACCACTAATGCCTCCACTCGTTGAGTGAATGTCCATAATGTCCATAATGATACGGTACTTGTCCCCTATAATACTGGTACCTCTACAGCATCGTAGTAGTGCTACCGACTTAGCATATGCCTTTTGCAACCGTACATACACTTATAGATAGATATTACAGCATACATAGTGCAGCGATGTCGGCATAGAGGTACTCGAGATGGAATTCCAGGCAGTGAATTATACATCTACGAGAGACTAGGGAAAGTATACTGAGTACATCGGGGAGTCTCTAACCAGCAGAGAAATCGCGATACTTGACACATGCGAGGATTAGTACGAGCCTTGCAGATGGCACCCGATGCACCCTGGACGTTCCAGTCAGACAGCATGCCCTTGAGCGACGCCACGAAGAACTAAGCAAACACATTAGCCCACTGCATGCGATGAATAAATGAATGCACACACCATAGACCAGTAAAGAGTCCGCCCCACGGATCTCAGAACAGTTTGCAGGCCGAGATAGCTGACATCGTGCGCCATGCCGTCCAAACCGGCTCGAGGGTAGCGACGGCGACGTAGGCGGTGGCCAGCGTGTAGAAACCGGCGAGAGCGTGGACAGCTTGACGGAAGCTGAGGTGATAGTGGTCCTGGAAGCCTCCGGCAGCCATATGCGCAGGTTGTAGTCCATTGCGCGAGATCTAAGGATGGGTGGCGTGGCGAGCAAAGTCCTGGAACATAAGCAGCATCAGCGACATGCTCGTCTCCTGGGACACATGCTACACACCTCGCTCTTGTTCAAGATGTTGGCCGTCGAGCAGCCACATCAGAAGATCTGTGAGCAGTACTCGTTGATCGTGCGCTTGGAGGCAGCGACGACGGGGACGTACTGAATGGTGGCGATGTGGTCAGGGTGCACGCCCCTTCGCAGCCTCCATGCCCTTGACCGTGCGTAGGGGCAGAGCACGGGTCTACCCACGGCTCTCCCGGGTGTACCCGTACCCGCGCAGATACAGACCCGCCGCAGCGGGTAGGTGGCCAGGCGATCACAGGGGGCAGGCGACCATGCGGGCAGGTGGCGCCGCGGGCAATTGGACGCGCGGGGGCGGAGATGCGGGAGGTGGACACGTCGGGAGTTGAGAAGGATGGGGGGATGAAGGATGGCGGGCACGTCGAGGATAGACAAAGGCGGAGGTGTACGTACAGCCGTGGTCAGAGGAAGCGGGTGCGGGACGGTGGAGAGACGCAGCCGAAGGTTAGGGGGCACGGCGAGAAGAAGCAGATGTACAGAAGGAGACGCACACCGTGTGTGGAGGAGAGGGCAACAAAGGGCAATGGATGCGAGTACCCAGTGTCCTAAACACGTCCTCCCCTTCTCGGCAGCCCTCCTGGTTTGGAGAGCTCTGCACCATTCCTCCCACGGAGCTGCCGTGAACACTGGACCATGCTATGTGAAGAAGATAGCCTCGGGGCTTCCTTTGTCTGCGAAGACGCGACTTGCGAGAGTATGGCGCGTTGGAGTGGTGGGCCAGGCCGGGCACGCTGGTCTTCGGATGTCGCGTTGCCATCATGATGTTAGCACGGGCTCGTTGATTTTCGAGCTGCTCGGGGACGCACGGTTGCCTTTGGTGCTCCTCCAGAGAGTCGAGTGTTGGTCAAGTGGCATCACGCTGAACGCGGGCACGGCAGTCTTCAACACTTGTCGCACCAGGTGCGGCCGGGCGGCTGCGAGGTGTGCAGAGAGGCCACACTACCTCGCGATTAGCTTAACGATCGCATGTCAACGGGAGTCAACACGTCGAGAGACCGTCCGGGCGAGGGAGGGACGGAGAGCTGCGCCTTCGGAGCACCTGGGTGCTCATAAGGTGGCGCGGTTTCTCACGAACAAACAGGCGAGGCGCAGCCAAAGTCGCAGCGCTGGTTGTCGCAGCGAGCGGCGGGTATGGTGTGGCTTTGTGTGGCCCGTGCTCCGCATTAACGATTCGCGCCCGGCTCGGGACACTTGAAGAGCAGGTGGTTTGCGTCAGCCATGTCGTCGACGATGCTGCTCTTGCTGCTCTCCTTGCTATTGAACTGCAGCTCCGCAGAGAGCTGTAGGACGCGATGGAGAGCAGCTTGATCCCCTCGCTGGCGAGGAACTCGGCGAAGACGGACTTGAGCTTTGTCTGGCCTGGCTTGAGATCGCTGCCACTGGTCGCGAGTTGGATGGTGCCCGGGACAAACGTGTCCCGTGGCGTGCTGTTCACGAAGGGCTCGCCCTCGAGGATGGCCGTAACGGCAAAGAGCGTCGAGGGCGATACCTGGAGCATGACAACTTAATCAAGGCGAGGAGCGCGTCTCGGCAGTGACGTTCACACCGGGGATGGTCTCGGAGTAGCACGCCGTGTTCGCGGTCCTAAAGAACCGGCGTGGTCGAGGATGTCCATGCAGAGGTGCTCGAGATGGGACCACCTCCCTTCCTTTGTTTGTCCCTCCTGTTCCATCCACGGAGTTCCTTCCATCGCCTGAGCCCGTAGGCGACACGCATGTCACGAATGGCACCGACCTCTTCCCTGCGTTTGGGCCCCCTGCGCCCGAGCCTCTACCTCAAGCCTCAAGTGACGCCAGAGCTGCTGAAACACCTACCGCCCAGAAGCGCGGAGCAGAGACCATCCGGTGTCTTGAAGAGACGATGGTACTCCATCCGCGCTACCACGTCGGGCACTGTGTGGAGCGTGTTGAGTCGATGCTCGCCAGGGGAGAGGGCGGGCCAATCGGGGCAAGCCCCATGCAGACGGGTGCGAGCTCGACTGGGAACGAGCGCGAGCTCGCGCGTATCCCTAGAGTCGACGGTGCTGGCCAGAGACGGCCCGTTGCATGTCGTGTTAAGGTTTGCGGGCGGGCATGTTCGAGGACACGGGCGCGTGCACAACCGCGCGAGGGGTGTGCACGCCTTATCACGATGTTCGCGCACGAATCATGGCAGACCACCTCCAAGTAAAACATGGCGGCGCATAGGGCGGGCAGGCCTACGCCGGCGCGTGCTTTCGCCGTAGAGAAGGTTCGCTGCAGGTCGAGAGGGTCGGCCGGAGCCATGGCGGGCGGTGCACATGGGCCAGTGTAACTGGGACACTGGTCTTAGGGTACCAAACAATGTTGTGGCAGTTGTCGAGGATCGTGGCGGACAGCGTGGTGCCATCCGCAGGGTACGGGTGTATGTTGGACGAGGGCGAGGCGCAAGGAGCGTAGGGATAGCGGCGCAGTGGCAGAACGGGTCGCGCACCCGCCTGCCGCCAGGCGGGCGTGTATGCGAACAGGAGGCGGGCGCGGTGGCGAGCGGGGAAGGCGGTGCGGTGAGCACAGGAGAAGCGGCGGGGAGCTGAGATGAGCAGTGTGCGCGCAGCCAGCCAACGAACCGGAGGCGGGCCCGGCAGCGAGGTGTGGTGAGCATAGGGCTGCAGAGCATGCTGCGGCAGCACTACCAGGGCATCAGCATACAGGAACTGGTGGAGCAGGAAGCAGGCGCACCGTAACGTTGGGAGTGCGGCGGGCGGGCGCGGGGCCCTTGGTTTGTGGGCGCTGGCAACGGGGTAGTAGAGCCTCTACATAGGACATGTGTCAGTGCTATTCGGTGTAAATTGAATTGCTTGGTACATACCGGTGGTTGTGTAAGATCTCCGGTATCTCGCATGTTCATGCTTGCTGCTCCCCGCGATGCCGTGGAGCTCTGGTACTGCCAGCAGAGCGACCCATCCGATACGAGCAGCCCATCACCCGGCCTCCGTGAGGGGCCAAGGCAACCGTGACATCGTACACGGACAGGCCGATACCAGTAGTACACAAAGAGACCGTATGGGGTAGATCCGGGGACTGGTGGGCGAGGCGGGCGACGGCGTTAGGGGAGAGCGTCCAGCGTGCTGTGCAACGCGCGTCCTGCCCGCGCGCCACAGCCACAGTCACGTGAAATTGCACGGACGCGCACCTGCAACGCGGAATAGTACCTGCCTGCACATCTATCCATCGAGTCGCGGACGTTGTGAGTGCAATATAAATTGTGAATTGGCCTATGGTCACTTACTGTTGTATAGCCTGTGATCGATCTGGTATTTTATGGTGACCTACTACATGGTATACTGACTTACCGCTTCTGCAGACCGGCGCGATCAAGACGATGGCGACAAAGCGGGAGACGTTCCTTCAGCTTGCAGTGCGGCTGGGACAGGACACGCGTGCATTGTCCACCCTACTGCTTTCCTGGAACGATCGCTACCACAAGGAGGCTCTGGGTATCCTGGACGGACACCTGCGTAGCTTGGGTGCGACGTCCGAGGCCGTTCTCGGTAAAGACCCATTTTCCGGGTTCGTCAGTTTGTGTGTGACACTTAAAGACGACGTACCTTTGATCGTGGTGGCCACTATGAAGAAAAGGAAGGCAGGACAACAGCACTACCGGAAAGTTCACCGGCGATTGGTCGAAGACCTTGGGCTTCGCCGAATGGACAACGATGTCCGGATGGCTAACCTCAGGGCGATCGCGTACGAGATCTGTCTTCCACGGCTTTGTATTCCTTACCCTGACCACCGACACTGGGTTTACGAGACCCCTGAGGTCGAGGCACTCTGGCGACCTCACATCGAGGCCGGCCCGCTACCAGACAAACGGATGAAGCGTCTGCCGATGCTGGCCGAAGACATTTCCCAGCTCGCCCATATCGTTCCCAAGGACAAGAGTGCCATCATCTACGATTCTGCAACTGGGCAAATCGCTGTCGCAGTCATTCGCAATTTCTGCGGTGATCAACAAGTCGTAGATTGGGCAGGAGATGTGGTTGGTTTGAATGCGAGCCTGAGGCGCAACGTGCGGGTGAGTCGTGCAACATTTATGTGCAATGCACACTCAATAAGTGGATTGAGACAGAAGGGAGACCCTGGAACCCTTGTCTGTATCGGCTATACAGCAGGTTCACGGTCTAGCCCTTGTTTCGTCTGGACCCACAACACACTCAGCAAGAAACACCCGCCCGAATACCTCAAATCCCTCGAATGCCGCACGGCATCGGTCTGTTCCCTCTCATTCAATATGATGTGTGGCCGTCTTCCAGATGCCATCACCCAAGACTTTGAGGACTTCCTCGCAGAGCACAAATTTTGTCGGATGGATGGTAACGGCGAAATGGCGAAGAAGGGTAGCACGCGCGGGACGTACTGTGTTGAAAAGGCGGGCGAGTTTGTAGAATTTCACAATGCTGAACTCGCGCCGCCTGCTGCATTTATGGGGGCTAACTATGCTCGGTACGTCTCCATGGCACTGCAGCATATGGCAGTGTGCTCATGAGATAACAGAGCGATGCATGCCGAACACCAGCCACACAGATACGCATACTCATGGACAACAAATCGTAATCTGAACGAGGACGAAGGAGGGAACTTCTATGTTGCAAGTTATGGCGTCAAGGTGTGCATGGCCCCGAACACATTCATCGCATGGTGCCCGCGGGACGTCCATGGCACGAGCCTGATGAAACGCGATCCTGGGCGCCCAGATCCTCCATTCGCACAATGGGGTCTGTCAGTCGCTACAAGTTCACGGCTACCAGGCATATGGAAGAAGTACCGGGATGGGATCATCTCAGCTGAACAAGCTGCAAAGGAGTGGGAGGAGACACTTGAGGACGATCTCATTGACGACGACAAGTAACACAGTATTATTGTACAGAAATTAGCAAACAGTCATCGCACTATGTGATCTAAGATATATCCAAGCCTGCTCCCACACCACATACCAGAACATCGCATGCTCATGCTCTTTTGGCTTGCTAGAAAGCGATCCCCGCGTCTCGAGCTTTGAACGAGGAGCACTGCTTGAGCGAAGGTCCTTGGCAGCGGCGGCACGGGCACCATGCATCGAGCTTCATGCAAACACCACGCATCCATCCGGAATGATGCACTGCGCTCCTCCGGTTTGCTGAACACCGACTTGCACGATATGAGTCGCGCGAGCCGTGGCGGCGGGCCCTGCACGAGAAGTGCACGACAACAGTGTTGACAGACACGCGGAACACGGGAAGGGTCGCACCACGCCTCAGGTCGCCAATGCACTCGCCGAGGAGCCACGGCGCGCGTCGCAGAGAGGTTCCGGATGATAGCGTGTGCACCCCACGCCAGCACGGCATGGCATCCCTTCGGCTGGACCAAGCACACAGCAGCAGCAGGGCCTCATGGCCTCGCCCTCAGCTGACACGCACAGCTGCGTGGCGTCGCACATCGCGGGCGCGCGCACGAGCTTAGCGAACAGTGCGGGCTCCGGGTCGGTGCCGTGCAGGCAGACAGAGGCGCCCTCAGGGAGGTCCACACGCGCGAGGAAGCGCGCGAGGTCGCCGTCGGGGATGTCCGCGCAGACGAGGCGGCGGCGGAGCGCGACAGGTGGGGGCGCGCCAGGCATGCGGAGGCAGCTGAGGACGAGGTCGGTGAGGTGCCGCGTGCGCGCGAGCATGCCCATGATGCCGTGGCACGCATCCGGGCCCGGGCACCTGTCGAGCTGCAGGTAGGAAGCGGAATAGCTCCTCCAGCCTCGATGGATCAACGATCGGCGCGCGGACATCCAAGAGCACCTCTGGCCTATCCGTAGCAGCCGAGAATGGGGAAGAGGAGAGGCCCGCGAACGTGCAGCGGACACTCTCGTACTGCTCGGGCGTCGTCGCGTCGAAGAGGTGTATGCAGAAGTCAAGGGCCTGCTGGAGCTCATCCTCAGAGAGACATGTGCCCATCTCGGCGCCGCCCTGGATGACTGCGGAGAGACATGCATTAGTGCATGAGTAGGGATGTGTGCGCGGTGGGTGACAAACGCACCGGGTCGAAGTTGTCCTCGGATATGCCGCCCAGGACGTTTGCAGACTGTGAGCAAATCTGCTGGTACGCGCTGAGGACCACGACGAGGTATCTACGCGCCCAAAAGTTAGCACGCAGTTTAGACACCCCGTGTCGGGCGAGTGACGAACCTGGTGTACGAAACCGCCACGCGATTGCTATGCCACGTCGCCACGTCGACCTTCGCGCAATCCCCACGGACGCTCGCACATATCGATGCAGTGGTGCTCAACGCGCCCGTCATAGCCAGATGGACTCGGGGCTGGGCTTGATCTCGTGTCGGAGGAGCGAGGGCTGCACGAGGGGATCGTAGTACTGGGGGATTCAAGACAGGGTCAGCGCCGTTGGAGAGAGGCTATCGGGGTGCGGTACATACGTTAATGACACAGCGATCCTGGATGTACATTTGCATTTTCTCGTCGTCCTCTGGGACGGGGGTGACGATCTTGGACGACTGAACATGGTGGGCGAGAGTGGGCGGGTGCAAGTGCGTAGGCTGTGGTGTGCGAGGCGAAAGACGAAGAGTCGCTGCTGAGCAAGAGCGAGTTGTGCACTCTTACAGGTGGGCGGCGAGAGAAACTGGCAGTAGAAGTGATGAAGTCAGAGGTGCCTGTCTGTGTCCGAACCCGGAGCGCGCGCTCTCTCTCGCCGTCCCCAGACTTCTGTGTCAAGTCTGTCGCGCTCCAGGCAGCCGTCCCCAGGATAACCCCTCCTCACACACCGCTCAATCAGCCTCCCAGAACCAGCGGCTCGATGGGCCACCGGACATTGTGTCCACCCTCCCTATCCCCAGGGGGGTCAAGGTATTCGTCAACGTCGCATGCAACCCCAACACGTCGCCTCTGCCGGAGGGTGAGTAAGACGTCATCCAGCAGGCCATGCTGGGCGAGGACGTCCTCAACGCGGATAACGCGCGAGGCTGGTTCGTCCCCGCCGCCGTCTCTGAGCCGCGCGAGGCCACAGACAAAGGTCGGTGCCATCCTTTCCCTTTGCTAGGCTCGCCGCTGCTGCTCCTGCAGCACGTGAGAAAGCTTGACAAGAGGCGGGGAGGCCAACACGTTCTGGGCTGAGCGAACCTGAGCACTTCTGCTTCCAGATGTGATCGAAGTACCGTGTCTCGGAAACAACCCGCTCGCAAGTTGAGGGAACGTTTCCTTGCAGGGTCATGGCGAGAGTGGGTACTTCGGATTGTATCCCATCGCGCTCGTGGCGTAGTATCACAGAGCTCAAGCCAACCGACGTGCCAATCCAGTATGTTCGCATAGCATCCGGGATACGATACCCAGGGACACTGGTGTCAGGATGGACATCTGGTGTACGACGATGAGACGCGAACATGAAACAGAGATGGGCGTGGTGATGCCAGTGGATCCAGAACGCAGCCGATGGGTGGTACAGAAGCAGTGGAGGTGAATGCACAGAAGACTGGAGCGTGGTATGATACTCGGGACCGGGACTTGCTACGATATGATACAGTTTGCGTGGGGTGCTGCTGATGGACAAGCGTGCCGAGCGAGCGATGTGGGTCGGTTTTGCCAGCCGGAAGAGGGTATCTACATAATGAAGTCGGGTCCATGGCACCACAGGACAAACACGTCCAAAAGGCTTCCGCAGTGATGTGTTGCTGCTTGAGCGTGAGTGGCGCAGGAGTGGCAGGGACAGCACTGGGACCGACAAGAGGTGCTGGCTGGCTGGCGACGACCGTCTGAGAGGACAAGGTCGACTGAGGCTGGGTCTGTGCCTGAGTCTAGCTCTGAGGGTATGAAGACGGTGGTTGCTGGCGAGGGTGATGAGCAGGAACAGGAGCCGTTCCGTGAGGTGAGAGGTTTTGTTCCATGTCGTGAGGATGTACGAGAACTCGTCGCGACGGCGCCGCCGAGCGCGATCAGGTCGCCATGAACTAAGGGGGCCGCATCTGTGACGACCCAGTGCTCACGCTTCATCTCCTTCCCATGGATCGCGAGCGCAAGGTCCTTCGTCATGGCGCCATCAATATTGATGACCTCCACGCGCGCCTTCTCGAGGTCGTCGCAGAACACCTTGAGAGGCTCGTTCCCGTCGAGGCTCGTGCGGTGCTTGAGGCCGCGCGTCCACGCGAAGATGGACGCGACGGGGTTCGTCGACATCTCGTTGCCCTTCTGGTACTCACTGTAGTGGCGCGTCACCGTGCCGTGCGCGGCTCGGACTCGATCGTCTTCCCGTCGGGCATGACCAGCGCCGAGGCCATCATCCCCAGTGAGCCGCAGACCTGCGCGAGGATGTCGGACTGCACGTCGCCGTGGCAGTTCTTGCATGTCCAGACAAAACCGCCCGAGGACTTGATCGCCTGCGGGAGTCGCAGCGCGACCATGTCGTCGATGAGCCGGTGCTCGTAGTAAACGCCTGCCGCCTCGAATTGCGACTTGTACGTGCTGGAAGGAGGTCGGCTAGGGTTGGCAAGTGGCGAGGGGGTTGACTGACCTCTCGTAGATGTCCTGGAAGATGTCTTTGAAGCGACCATCGTACTTCTTCATGATCGTGTTCTTGGTCGACATGTACTACACGGCGGTAGTGAGCAAAATGAGTAAAAGCGATCAAGTATGGTCTCATACGAGAGGCATCTTGTTGGCTAGTGCCATCTTGAACGATGAGTACGCAAATCCTGCAATGGACTGCCCAACTAGTCAGCACCGTCCTGGGCGAGTCTTATGGCGGAACTGTCTCACATCGTCGGTGTTGTACATGCTCATTGCGACACCGCAGGTACTGCAGTAGCGGTGGTGGCAGGTGGCAGTGAGACAGGCGGTGGATGATGGGTTCGAGTCAAAACTCACCTCACGTATCGCTGTGGGCGAGAATTTGCTTTGAGCTCGTGCACGGAGGGAACGCCCACAATGGGATCTTGTCGCAGGGTCAGTGCCGTCCGAGGTCTCTGCCAGTCGCTGCCGTGCTGGCGCCGTGCGGATCCGCCGAGTGTAGCGCCGAGTGTGGTACATTAAGAGCAGCGAGGCAACTCAGGCGAGCAGCGGACATACAGGAGCCGTCAAGTGCAGAAGCTAGTAGACTACTATGTAGCAGGATGCATGAGGTGTGCGAGGCGGAGCGCTGGCCACGGTAGCCAGACGCCGCGACCAAGTATGGCAGGTCGCGCGAATGACTTGGAAACGCCGTTCGGCCAACGCAAGCCCAACGCGAACGCGAGCTGAGTAGTGCATGGTACGCGTTGGATCCATACGCACATTGCGAGCTCCTTTCAGCCATCGCCCATCCGTGCATGGCGGCCGCGGTATGTAGCCGACTTGTCTGCTCCTCTCCACAGACTCGCTGCCGTCTGCGGCCGCCGGCCACCAAGTCCCCGCCCCATCCGCTGTTCCTTGGACTAAGTACGCGACATCGTCAGCATCTGTACATCCTCGCTCATCGCCAGCCGCCGGTCCTAAGTACCAGGTCGCGACCATCTCCGAACAGCGGCAACCGGCGGATAGATAACCTGGGTTCATCTCGCTATCGACCCCATTCCTTCATTCGTGACTGGGACATCGCACTTTGTGAGTACACACGTTCTGCGCCGCGCTCTGCACTTGCTGACGCGAGTTCTCACTCTAGTTCGTCCAAGGCCACCGTCTTGACGTCTACGAGGGCTCCGGGTGCACCTTCGAGATCGCGAACACCATCCTCTCCTACTTCCTGCTCACCTCTTGGCCGATCGAAAAGGCCCGAGGGCGCGGAGGAGTCGGTTGTAGCGGACGAAAGAGTGAGGTTGGGAGAGAGTGTAGAGTGATGTAGGAGGTGGAAGACGTCGACGAGGCGGAGACGAAGTCTCCGGAGGACTTGGGTGTCGGTGTCGGGCGGTCAACATGTGGGCGGTTGGCTGCGGCGTTTGGTGACGGCTGTGGTCGGGCTAGGACTGAAAACCGAACTGGATCGTCCTTACGGTGGTCGAACATGTCCGGCTCGCCGCAACAGACATCCGCGACCGCACCCCGCAGGCCGGCGCAACCAACAAACAATGTAGATAAATCTGGCGCATTCCAGCGCAGGCAGGCCGCGTACGTAGCTTCGTAGTCCTTATTTTGCATGCGCCGCTGGCCCTCCGCGACTGCGCTTGTAGCGCAACAAAACCACGCGAATGACCCGACCGAACTCCCACTCCCTCGGGTTCTTCTTCGACTCCCCGCCCAACGCGTGCGCCCTCCCCTCGCCGACACCACGCTCCGCAACATCCAAGCCCCAACATTGTCGTCAACCAGAGTTCGCCATCCGCGATGGAGGCCGATGCTGACGACTTCTCCCGATGCCTCAAGATACCTGCCGCCTCCTCTCCCCACCCCTCAGCCCGAGCTCAGGCGGGCCCATCCTCTGGCAGCCCAGACAAGCTCTGCAATCCCAACTCTGACAGCCCACGGGGGCCACCCTCACCGCTGAGCCTGAAGCCATGTCTGATGCCGCATCGAGCCCGTATGCTCTGCGGGGTTCCGCGCCAGGCCGAAACCCGTCTCCCAATGTCTCCCATCTGGCCTCTTGTTGCCGTCCTCCGCGCTCCCTGCGCCGTTTGCGCTCTGCCCAAGCAACTACCAGCCGACGCGCAAGTATCCTACGATGCTACTCCAACTCGTCCGAAGACGTCGGACGTGCGGGATCGCCCACTACGTCGCGTTCCCTGGCGCGTTGTCCAGAGGCACCCGCAATCCTCTCCTCCCGCCTGCTACCCACCGACCACCATCTTGTCTCACTCGCCCGATCGCATCCATCACATCTCTGAAGCACAGTAATGCGCGGTGCGTCGCTCGACTCACCGACCATCACCTCGTTCCCCTTGCCCGGAGTCTTGCATCACAGCGCTGCCGGACAGTAGTCCAGCGTCGCTCGACTCGTTTCTGTTACTCCGACCATGGTGCGTACCCAACACCGTGCTGCCGCCGCAAATGCACATTTGAGGAGGCAGCTTTATACATGGGCCGGCTCGTTTGATGGCGATCGGTGGTGTGGTACCGCTGTGAGTCATTCCTCTACGCTCTCTGCTCGCTGTCTCGCAACTCAACTCAACAGTTCGCAGTTTACCGTACATTCCCATGCATCCTCGTCGTGACATCGCCCGCGGACCTCGTTTCCGATAACACGAGCTCGGCTCTTGCCTGCCCTCCGACACCATCAACGCACAAATGTGTTGCCGCACGGGTACGTCTCCCCACTTCGCGCGCACGCTTACATGACCACATCCAGCAGGCGGCTGTCATCAGCATGCCTCATACCACAGCAAACGTCGAGAATGCCTAAGCGTCTCGGAGGCTCGTCATCGCAGCCTCCACTTGGGTTGAGAGCGCGTGGCCGTCACCGGCTCGCGTGCTCGCATGACGAGCGCATCTACAGGTACAAGACGCGATGTATTTGGCCCTCTGACGGGCCAGGTCGTCGCGCGTATCACACTCGCACCGACTGTGAAGCTCGCATGCCGTCATAACACCTAGTCTAGTAGTACATTTCGAGGAATCTGGTATGGACGGGCACCTCGTTCCTGCAAGTCTGTGATGACCATCCGGTTGCGCTGTTTGACCATTTCGTCTAGGAAGAAGTCGTAGCGATCCTCTCGCATCTCGCGCACGATTGCTTGAAACCCACCAAACCAAGCATTCGTCATCTCTGCAGCAGACGAATTGAAGCGCCACTTGCCATCACACATGAGATCGGGAAAGCGAGCAGGGTTGCAGAAAAAGCCACAGAATGCATCCGAACCCTTGTGATTGGAGTTCATGTGGAAGACGTCCACGGGAAGGGCACAATTGTCGAAGTGGCGATCGCCGATGGTATCGATGTGCTTTTTAAGCTTGCAAGCATTGTCGAAGAAGATGAAATCAGGAAGAGATTGCTTCGAAGGGTAGACCTGACGTAGGAACTCCTGCAGAGATCGAAGTGTCAATAGGATCTGACCGAGCGTGTTCATGTCCTGTCTACATACCCGGCACCCATTTGGTGCCTCGGAACCAAACATGGTCGCTCGGCCAACGATGATACCGCAGGTCGCAACACATAGTTGCTCATTGTGTGTCCTCCGCCTGCCGAATCGTGCCCGTGGTTTTGAATTACCGGCTTCATCTTTGCCCTCGCACTCGCCATCTCGGTCGACCTCCAAGACTTCATCACCATCCTCGTGTCGTGGGTCGTGTCCGAGGGAATCTTCGAGATGTGCCCGCTCGCTCCGCTCGAGTCGTTTCCGTAATTGGAACATCGCGGAGCGATGTTCAGTCCCGACGTGCTCCAGTGCCCGATGACTTGGCTCGCTGCAAGTCTGGAACCCCTTCTCGGTTGGAGCATTGCATTCAACGACACAGCAGATACTGTTCATGAATTTGTGGGGTTCACAGAATCGGGAACGCTGCGAAGGTAGCGGATTTTTGCAGTCGTGGACACTGCAACATGGCCGGCCGAGTGAGACACCATCCATGACAGCAGCACGTATGCAGTCTGACAAGCATGTGGTGAGGTCGGAACAAGTCACAGGATGGCAATCGTAGTACTGACAGGTATTACCATCCTCCTGCTCAACAACGCAGCATAGATCACATGCATGTCCCCATTCCTCTTGACCTGTACCCATCATTGCTAGGTTCCGATCCCTAATTGCATCTCCAAGTCGTGTGGTCTGGTGCTGTTCATTGTCCAGAACAAGCTGTCTCTCCACGTCAGAGTACTCAGCAAGGAGGGAGTGGACAAAAAAGGCATCCCAGACCATTGCACAGGTCAAGACACCATTAGCAGGCCACCCATAGGGAAATCGGGCTGAAACATCCCCATGTTCATGATTGTAAATCCGCGCATTATTGGTAGCTGAGACCCTATAACATTGATCAGCAATTACTGATGAACATAAGACAGGGTATTGCTCACCAAGCACAGACCATGGATGATCTAAAGCGCTCACATAATGAAACCTCAATGTATGTGTGGGTAGTCACATGGACAGCATGAGGCATTCCCAGATAGTGGGTACGCATGGACCTGTTCTGTACATGGTATGTTGGATAGTATCTTGTGCCACATCCTAATACATATGTCAGTTCATGATAGGAACAACATTCAGTAGTTGATAAAATACCTTGACAATTGGCAGATAAAGACCATGAAGGAATAGGACCCCATTGAGATGTGAAAACAGTAACCTGTGTCCATATAAGCTGTGACAGCCCATGATTCTTGCAGTCTAGACAGGTCTTCTGAGGTGGGAACATATCACAGAAGCCTGAAATGGTTGTGTGAGTACTAGGACATCATATCTCACAGCATGACAAGCCACATACCAATCTGCAAAGATACACCATACTTGAGAAAAATTTCCACCAAGTCACTTGAGCCCCAGCCCTGCCTTTGAAGACTCTTAGATGTCCAGATTTGGTCAGCAAGGGCTGCCCAGCATTCTTGCACTACAGAGGGGTGAGTATCAAGAGCATGAGCAAGAAATTGTAGAATATCAGGTGGGAGAAGTGCTGGAGGTCCTAAATTCGACGCAGAAACGCTCCAAGACAGTCGCTCTCTGAGATGGCCGACGAGTCGAACAAAGAGAATGAGTGTATCCAAGGGTAGAACAGCAGCAAGAACAGGGTATCGTTCGGCGAAGGACTGAATAGATATGAACGACATGGAGGGGAAGGGTTTGTCGTCGCCGTCGTCGCCGTCGTCAGAGAAGTCGGGGGATGGTGATGGACAAAGGGGAGCGTCGAGGGCACCTTATATACCGTGGATCGCTGGGACGCACGACTGTACGAAAGATTGATACATTGAAAGTACGATAGTTGATAGATTGAAATATCGCGCGGGTATAACACAATGAAAGTTTCGGACGCGCTGAGATGAAAGTTTCCGACAAAGCGAGCCGAAAGTTTCGGTGGATTGATAGATTTCAGAACGAAAGTTTCAGAACGGGAACGAACCATCACGTGATGAGACGAAAGTTTCGGGGACGATACATTGAAAGTTTCAGCGTGCGGGCAAGTTTTGATGTTCTGCGTCTCAGCGATGTTGGAGTTCGACTTCGCCCACGAATGTGCATATCGTAGCGAGTATTTCGCGGAGTCCATTTCCGGGCCTAGTCAGAGAAGGAGTTGTCAAAATGAAATTATGCACAAAAACACCCTACTTGCATTGGAAAGATGGGGAGCCTGAGTGCAGAAGTCTGTTCGAAGACTCGGAGAGGGTTGAGTACTACTTGGAACTTGGTTCTAGGTTTCGACTATGTCTACTCGAGGCTCGGTGCAGTGGCAGTCACGGAGAGTCACGGTCGTACTGTAGCTCAGTCCTGTCACAACGTGGTTTACGTAAGGGTGCGGCTGCCACCTACTTGAACCTAACTAGAAACATGTACTCGGCTGCCTCACTGTGTTGACTCCCTACCGGTGAATATTTCTCAAATTTATCATGCATGTACGAACTGTCTATTGACTGGTACTACTGACCGTGATGTCGCAGACCTCCGGAGCAGTCAATATTGGTGGCAGCGGTTCTTTGGGCCGGGAAGGGTGTCGTACTAGGCAGGTACAGTATGCGTGGACCAAGGCGCGTATATTCGGAACGAGTTGGACGCCGTCTTTGGCGGACTCTTTGCTCCTGTCAGAGGCAGTCCGAGTGTTTGGTGTCGCAGGCTCGGTTACTGATATCTAGTCCGGCGATGTTGACGGGTCACAGAATGAGACAACGACTTCTCAAAGCATCGACGGTTCGCGGGTTTGAACAGCAGGCTTCACGCGCACGGGCCGGCCATGCATCTATCGATAGAACCACGTATTGCCACAGCATTGCGGTCATGACACGGAAGACACCGCCTCATGCCAAACCATATACTTATCATCTCTGCCGCGTCTCGAGGGACGACGTCTACCCCAAGTTCATCCTCAGCTACGATCGCCATGAATCCTGCGTTCGAAGTGTATGCTCAACAGCTCTACAGCCGTGCATGGGGCTATCCGTTGTGGGAACCCGAGCCATCGCAGACGCAGGGCGAGGTTCTCATCGGCGATGTTGGCTATCTCAGGTACGGTGGATTCTACCGCCTCTTCAATGCGCTGGAAATCTCGGGAGGGGACGATTCCCCGCAGGCGACCGGGATTGCCCATCCCAATCTCCAGTGTTTCAAACTCGCTTCCTCAGCCATCCACCGCAAAGACAATGCGGTGAGTAAGGGCGAGCACTATAGTCAGAGTATCGGCCGTAAGGACGTGGGGGCTGGTGCTGGAACGTGAGTTCTACCAGCTCAGTATACGTGCTTGGTGTTGATGATTGACATTCCCTTTCGTTCACGTAGTCATGGCGTCAATATCGCCTGTGAATACGAGTGTAGTGCCCAGTATGGCGCCATGGCTGTACTAGGCACACCAGGAATGCGAGAAGAGGTACATCCGGGTCGCCGACTGAAGACTTACATGAAGGATAACGTCGACGCCTGGCACGCGTGGGTGAACAGCGAGGAAGGGCCCGACGTTGGAATTGACTTGGAGGATATCCTCTTCGTAGTGGGATCCGTCAAGACTACTCGCTGGGCTGTGCTCGCCTTTTTTGGCGACAGCAGACGGATGAGAGTTGCTATTGATGGCGACGTGCCAGGCATCCCTGTCTCTGCGTCCGCTCATGTCAACATTCGAAGAGAATCAACCAGTTTGCCTGAACATCGAATAGGGCCGGAGGGCCGGCCAGAACTAGACCTTCCCAGGCTTTTGGGGATGCATCCGCTAGAGGAGGCTGAACATCATGCGCAAGGGAGGAGCAGGCGAGGAAGGAGGAATCAAGGCCAAGACCGCGCAGGAGACGCATCCCAATATCGCGCTGATCAATGCATGTTTCTTCGTTACATGAAGGCCAAGAGACGCTTCATACTTCCCTACAAGATTGAAGCTGCGGCTGAACCCATGGACCTAGCGATGGACCGTGATCTGGATGATGGTATAGGGCTTATAGAAGAGGAACCCCGTCAAGCGACGGTAGGATTGCATGTGTCATCTCTACGGTGTATCTTACGAGGATGTTGCCTTTCAGCATTTTGACCCTGTTACCACTGTTCTGGACTATATATTGGAGGCGAGTCTCCGATTTGCACCACGGCACTATCCCAGCTAACTTCCGAACACAGCATTCCGACGCTGAAATCGCCATCGCTAGTGACTTAGATATAATACGCGTGTGCGCTGAGGTACGCATTTTCCTGTGGTCTCGCGCCGTCAGACAATGGCTCATGATGGACCATAGAATCGATATAAAGGCGAACATCCCCTTCCGGAAGATATATCGCGCTTTTTGGCGGAGGTCCAGCCAGACATCGAAGTGACTGAGGACAAACGTGAGTCATCTCATTGGGACTCCGAGGTGTGCGCCATACGGCTCATAATCATCATGGTCCACAGTCGGCATGCTGTTATTCGACGACGAAGCTACCGGGACGTACGTTCCTGAACACTACGATGTCGAACAACAAGAGGGGACGTTCAACGATTCCGCACATATAGTACCAGGCGAGGATAGAGGTGTCCAGTCAAGAACAAGCGAAACCGATCCCGGCCCCGAAGCTCCGTTTGACGGTGGCATTGATGACAAGGGGATGTTAGCGGACAAGCCAAGCATTCTGCATCTCCCCACGACAAGCGGCAACGAGCGATTAGGCGGGATCACTGTACTCGCGTTCTCACCCGTTGGTCGGGACGTCGCAGCTGGGTTCGAGAACAACACCATTGTCATCTGGAGTGCAATGACCCATGGTGTAGTGCACCAATTCCAACATCATACCGGAAGCGTCTCTTTCATTGCATACTCTCCGGACGGAAACGTATTGGTTTCTGGAGGACGTGACGGACGAGTTATCGTCTGGGACCTCATCGCAGGAGGGATGATCCGCTCGCTGCCCGGTCATCAGGGCGCCATTGAACGCGTTGCATACTCGCCCAACGGGAAGCTCATTGCAACCGCGGCCGATTCGTTCGTGAAGCTCTGGGACGCGGAAACGGGGGAACTGCATGCGTCGACGGGGGATCACGGCGGAATCATCATGATGGTCACATTCTCTCCGGACAACGAGCGGTTCGTCTCTACGAGCTCCGACGGCACTGCGCGTGTATGGAGCACGCACACGGCATCACACATTTGCGACCTACGTGGCCATGAAGGGGTGATCTACGCTGTGGCGTATTCTCCGGACGGGAGGCGACTCATCACCGGCGCAGACGACGGCACTGCTAGGGTTTGGAGCGCATTGCTCGGAGACGAATACATGGTAATGGGCGAAGGCGAAGGCGGCTTGGTCTCGGCAGCGACGTTCGGTGAGGACGGGAAGGTGCTTCACTACGTCGGGAGCGAACGCGTCATCAAGACGTACGACTCGTACACCGCTGACCTACTTCATAACATCGACTGTGGCGACAAGGTCGCCATGGCTCCGATGTTCTCTGCCGATGGCCGCTTGCTCGCCGCAGGTGGCGAAGACCACAGCATCACCGTATGGGATATGTCATCGAGGCGGGAGATCATACGGTTCAGTGGCCATACCGACAACATAAATCACCTCGCCTTCTCTCGCGACAATAGGTACCTCGCATCGGCCTCGGACGACGGCAGTGCGCACAAGTGGACACTTCCGACCTTAGCTTTACCTATTTAAGCGAGTACCTAGTTCGACGTGCACTCCTACTAGTATGCTTGCTTAATGCAGCATCGCTTGATGGGCTCCAGAGACAACAATGGAGGATCAGAGTTGTAGTGGATCTGGTTCCATGGGTACTGATGATATACATGCCGAAAAAGACGTGCTGTCTGTTATGTAAGTTAGTGGTTGACGTCGAGAAGACTACAGTTGCCTATACTTCATAGCCCACATAATACCGTTCATATACAAGCAGCCTACGGTCACGTTTTGCAGTGATGATATAGTTATAAGTATGGCTTGCCTGTTCCCGGGAGGTAAGTAGCCGGGCTTTGATATGCAGCAAACGACCGACTTGGAATGAAAAATTCAAATGGAGACGTGTTTGGCAAAAGAATAGAAGACTAGATGGAAACTTTATGTGCAGTGGTGCACCCACTGCCAGCATGGTCTACCTACCGTGACCCGCCACACGCCACCGTGACACGCCTCAGCCACACAGTCGCGTCTCGCGGCCGTCACCCGTGGCCTTCCATAAAAGCGCTTGTCGTTCTTTTATGGTCGGCAACGGAGACTAGTGGCCTTCCTGCCCACAACATTTGCTCAATAGTTTACTCAATACTCAATCGATGCGGCCTTAGTGATCTCACGTCCGGATTCTACACCTCGTAAGGTTTCAGAATGTCCATACCGACAATCAGCCACTGGCACACAAGACCTCACGCCGAGAGTTCTGAATCGGACGGGTCGGCGAACACCCACAGGCAGCATAACCACAGTCAACATCAATGATCGAGACCTGCATACTAATAACTTACCAGTGACTGAGTCTGACAGGCGTTTTCGAGGTACTGTAGCGAACCTAACAACCCGGATGTCACACGTCACAAGCCCGTCGCCCGCCGCGGCGGAGACGGCTGGTTCCTTGTCACATCCGACCCCGCCGCCGGCGCCAACTGGGCGCCAACGCTGTCACTGGGCGCTGGGGGCGGCGCCTGCGGCGGGCACACCCACGGGCGTGTCACGGACGGCGGCGGGCCCGCCCTCCGGGCGGGTCGTCACACGTCACAGGCAACCCCGCCGCGCCGCCGGATCGTGTAAATGTGTCACACGTCACACCCCCATCCGGGTTGTTAGGTTCGCTACAGTATGTTGTTCTTTGTGAAGCTTCCAACTGTCAGACTCATGAGACTCAGTGTCATTATTGCTTGCACTAGTGCAGGTCGGCGGTCGACAAGAGCTATTCCGTTCACTCAAAATCGGCTAATTATCTGTGACCACTGAAGTGCTAGCCCACATGGAGGGCAAGTTCCTCAGGCCTCAGAACGAAGTTGATGACAGTGAGTTCCGACCAGATACAAACGTTTCGTATTCACACTAACTTATGTATGCCTAGACATACACATATAGCTTCCATCAGCTCATTTTCTATGACGCATCCGGAGAGTATAGTGAACTTCGAATGCCCTACACGAAACAGGTCGCGCTATTGTATAACCGCACACATCATGAAACCAATGCGTCGATGATGAGGTGAAATCGAACGCTACCTAGGAAACTTCTGACTCGGGAGCGATAACTACCCAGTCTCATTAGACAAATCCCCTCAACACTCCTCAACACTCCAGGGCATGTCGTTCATCCTCCATATGCCAGCGCTCACCGGCACCGAGCGCAGAGGTGGGATCTCCGCCCTCGCATACTCCCCGGTGGGGAAAGACATCGCCGCTGGGTTCGAGAACAACACAATCATGGTCTGGAGCACGATGAACCAGGCGGTGAGGCATCAGTTCCAGGACCACGGCGGTGCCGTCTCCTCGCTCGTCTTCTCCCCCGATGGAAACAAACTGGTCTCCGGAGGGCGCGACGGACGTGTCATCATATGGGACCTCATCGCAGGAGGGATGATCCGAGCCCTTCACGCTCATGCCAAAAACACCGTCGACTGTGTCGCGTACTCACCAGACGGCAAGCTGTTCGCATCCGCGGCTGGCGACTCTGCCGTGAAGCTGTGGGAGGCTGAGTCCGGGAACTTGCGTGCGTCGACGGAGGAGCACAACGGGATCGTCATGTCTATCCTGTTCTCCCCCGACAACGAGCGGTTCGTCTCCACAAGCGCGGAGGGCACTGCACATGTGTGGAGTACGCATACAGCGTCGCATATCTGCGACCTGCAGGGGCACGAAGGAGTGATCTACACCGCGGCGTACTCTTCCGACGGAAAACGACTCATCACAGGCTCGGACGATGGTACCGCTAGGGTCTGGAGTGCACTTCTCGGGGACGAGTTTATGACGCTCAGCGAGGGCGATGATGGTTGTGTATGGGCTGCGACGTTCTCTACAGATGGAAGGCACCTCCATTACGTCGGGAGCGAACATATCATCAAGACGTACGACTCCTATACTGCCGTTCTACTTCACAGTATCGACTGTGGAGACAAGGTCGCGATGGGCATGACATTCTCTGCTGACGGCCGTTTGCTCGCTGCTGGCGGCGAGGACCATGTTGTGACGGTATGGGACATGGTGACGAAGCGGGAGGTGGTGCAGTACAACGGCCACACAGACACCGTCAACTATCTCGCCTTCTCTCACGACAACAAGCACCTTGCGTCGGCATCGGATGACGGGAGTGTACGCAAATGGGAACTGCCATCGTACGTGCTCATCGTGATGCGTGCCGTAGTGCAGGACCTGATGTCAGAACCCATCGTCACAGCAGCGACGATAACAGGAATGGTCGATGGACTCCAACGAGATAGTAATTAGCACATCTAGTAGTGGTACACATGCGAAAGCACCAGTCGCAAGACATAATACACAGATGGCAAAGATAACTGAGATGTATGTACGAGGTATCGCGACGATGTAGTAACGGGAGGAGACACATCATGCCATGCAGTTCTGATGGTAGTCCGGATTGACATGGGATAAGATCAGAAGAAGGATAGGGCGTGAGTGGACGTGCGTGTCGTGTTCGATACAGAGGAGCCAGCCGCTAATTATGAATATGCGCGGTATCGAGGGTGCGTGAGGCCAAAAGGGAGCCCGAGGACATGATGCAGAGTGCGTGATGCGGAAGACAAAACGAGGAAGACACTGAGGAAGAAGGGGATGCTGCGTAGGAGATGGGTTGCGGTGCACTGACAAAACAAGACGACGACAACGACGATGACGACGGGGAGTCCGAGAGAGGAGATGATGTGCGAGATGTCCGAATGTCCCTGCTGATGCAAAAATGCGATAGATCGAGTGCAGCGGGCGCACCCCGCCGGGGCGAGTCATTAGATCTTCAGTTCGCGAAACCCCCGCACGTCCACGCGGCCCGTGCCGTTGTTCCTCCACTCCGCGCCCGCGCCCGCCTCTGCCTCGTCTTCGGCCTCGCCGTCGCCGTCGCCGGTGTCCTGCACCCCAGGCTTGCTCGCGAACTTCCTCGACTTCCCGCCTGGGATGACGATCTTCCCCGCACCGCCCTTCGTCTTCGCCGTAGTCTTCGCCACAAGCGCCGCGCGAGGTCTCGGTAAACCGAGTGCTTTACGCTGCCGGCGTGTGAGACGCGGCTGTACTGGGGAGGGAGGCAGTACGGGGGGAGGCGGGGAAGGCTCTGGCGATGGGACGGAAGAGAGGGAACTCTCGGATGCAGACGATGACCCTGACGCCGACAACTCGGGCGTGTCGAGATCTGCATCGTCAACGAGCATGTCCATGCCATGCGGTGCGCTGCCAACGGCTGACTGTTCGCTATCCCGGGCGGCCGTCGAAGATGGCCGTGAGGAGCTCTTCTGCCGCTTAGATGCGCTTTGTGAACTCTCTGAATGCCCCTGCGATGATGCAGACGACTCGTCGAACGTCCGCTTCGGCGAACGATATGAAAGTGCTTCGTTCGAGTCTGAGGGCAGAGTCGGTGCAGACGATAGTACGGGTGACGCTCGCGAGGGTAGCGGCGACACCGAACGGGACGAGGGCAGTGGGATCTGCGATGGCGTCTGCGGCTCTGGTGCCTCTGCCTGCGCAAGTGCGGCTACTCTGCCCTTCGCCTTGGATTCAGGTTTCGCCTTGGACTCTGGCTTAGTCTTAGCCTTTGAGGCCGGCTTCTTGGCTGGTGCCGGTGAAGGCGGTCTGGAAGTATCTTGTGCAGGCGTTTCGACAACCTTGGGCAGCCCTGTATGTGGACCTCGCAAGTTGCGGATAGATGAAAAATGTTCCCAGTCATGATATCTGCGGCAATGATGAGGAGGCTCCATGTAACCAGAACAAAATGTACATACGCAACGTAGACTGGGCCAGGAGGGTCGTCCTCTTCTGAAGGCTCGGGCGGCGGCGGCGGCCTCTCGCGTTCCTTCTCTGCGCGCTTGCGATCGCGCGCCGCGCGCCGTTTCTCACGCCCATTCGCCGTTGACTCGACGGCCGCAGAGGACGTCGGCGGGGCGGAGGATGTCGAGGCGACGTTATCTGCATCTTCGTCTGCGTCGCCGCCCGCGGCCCACTCGATCACGTACACGAGCCCGGGCTGGATGACCTTGACGTCACGGCGGGTCATGTGTGCAAAGGCGGATAGTTCAAGATGCCCGCCGTATGTCGCTAAAATGCAAATCAGCCACAGAAAATGGACAGAATGAGGCGAAACCGAGTGTCGGAGGCTGACATCCTCGTCAACGATTGTTGATGATCTGAGACCTTTCACGAAGGGCACGGAGAGCGGGTCTGAGACTGAACCACCATTGTCCCGCTGGCACTTGCGCGCGGGACTGCAATGCGAGCAACCATAACAATCATTCGCTGTAGTTCGGCAACGCGACCAGACAAAACAGTCATTTGGACATTGACCGGATCGCTAATGCGGTAGAGATCCGCCACAATAAGCTCAAGCAACGCTTGAGCTTGATTTGTACTAGGACTCGAGGCACTTCCGGCAGAACACCGCTCAGAGTAGATGCACAAACCACACACACCTGGTTCTCGCATGCATTGGAGATGAACGTCTAGACCCCGTTCGTCATCGACAAAGGGCGCATAGCGTTGCTTGTGGGATGCTATCCAGTCACAGATGTCCTGGCGCAGTCTAAGGTGGTGAGAGGGCGTGCCGTAAAGCTGATCGGAGAGCGCGCGAAAGAGGCAGTTCCCGTCGCCGAGGGTCGGGGCGGCATAGAGCCCCATGGCGCGTAGTTGCTCATTGAGCAGCTGGCCATTCTCAGCTGGATCAGAGAGGTTTAGGGGCTGCAAGGCGAGTGCAGAGCGTAAGTCGCGTGGCCGGCGATAAGATGGGTGGACGCACCTTGCCTCTGCTCCTCGTTGTGCGGGAGCGCACTGGGCGGTGACGGGGCAGAGCTGATCAACGACGCCTCTCCAGCACGCGAGCTGGACGACTCACGTTGCGGCGGAGGCTTCGCAGCCTTCCTCTTGGATGAACCCATCGCGTCGTCGGGTGTATTCGTCTGCTCGTCGTCGGTGCTGCTCGCCCCGTCGTTCAGGACAGCAGCCAACCACGCGGTTCCGGGTCCTGCCGGGGACCTCGGACACAGCGAAACCAGTGCGCAAGCTGCCCAAATTCAGCCTCCTCTTCGGAGTGCTGCGGTTTGGGGCGAGGGTGGTAGACTCTGTGAGAGGGGTGCTCGCGTTTCCGACGGGCAGAGGCTGAAGAGGGCGAACAATGCCTTGACTGGGGAACAACGAGAAGGCCAGATGGGGATTTTCGTAGGATTATCCACGGCCGGCTGAGGAGTCGAACCGAACCGCTCCCGACACGAGGCTCGCGCGCCGCCGCGAGGAATTCCTCGTTTACTCAACCATCGCTCGAGCCTCCCTGTCTCTTCCTCCACTACGCTCTCTGACTATTTGATCTGGTGTTTCTCATTTTCTCGGTCTCAATTCTGCGCAGCGTAATTTGCAGTGCTCGTCTTGTGCGCAGTATGATCGCGCGGCCCACGAACGCCTGCTGCGAACCCTGGGGACTTGGCTCTGAAGGCTGCGCATGTCGTGCTATCCGCTCTACATAAACCATCATCTCTGGCAACTTGCGCAGACTACTTACGGTTTCTGCGTCGACACTCTGCTTTGATAGTCTTCCAGCATGATTCTCGACAACAAGGTTATCTTGACTCCTCCACCACCGTATGCTGCCGTTGCCGCGGATAGGCCACCGTCACTCTCACAACCGTACCGAAGCGTGACGCTATCGACTCTACCGCCATACATTCTCTTGCGTATAGTCTATGATATATTTCCTCAAGGGCGGCCAAAAGGGCAGAGGAGGATACTCTACTGGCTCACAGTGAACCTCCGGCGTGTCAGTCGCGGTCTATACGTCGGTACGTCTCCTCACATTGCGTACATTCCCATAATCTCACCCACCATCAGCATGTATGCACGTCCTGCGATCTACCTACCTCCCCGTCTACACGTCCCTCGTCCACGCCCCCTACTCATCCGACCCATTCCCTATGTCCGCCCCCGACGTCGGCGACTCGGAGCCCGTCTCGCCCGTGCGCTCCCTGCAGCGCGAGACGCACATCCTCGACCTCTTCATCGCTCTCAAGGTGCGCGAGGACGTCTGGGCGGACGAGAGCGAGCTCCACCTCGAGCGCGAGGAGAGCTTCAAGGACCTCTTCGACCTCATGCAGCCCCGCGCGCGGCTCGAGGACCTCGTCCGGACCTATGGCTCCCGCGCGGGCGTCGTCTCTGTGTCAGGTCCGCCACGGACGCCGTCTGCTCCACCGTCGCGGTGTCAGACTCCTACTGGCACCCGGACGGTCCCATTCAATCTGGTGTCCGTGTCGTTCTCCCCAAGGAAGGTCGGCCTCGTGCTCGCGACGAAGCAGCGCAGGCGCACGGTGGCGGAAGTCGTGCGGACTCGGGATCAAACATTGGAGACGAGCGCGGTGCGGCTTGTGAGGGAGCTCGCAGCTTGGCTGTCCGCGAACCCGCATTACATGACGACATTGATGTGACTCGGAAGGCCGATGGAATCATGGATGTTTGTGCCAGCTTGTACGATATGTAGACTACTGCGCTTGTGATCTAATCCGACTTGGCCGAAGGGATTGTGTAGTGCGCACAGCCGGTTTGGGATGTAGAAATGAGTTAGTTGCCGCCCAATTGTGGTTCTTAAAGCTTACTATGATAGCTATAGCATGAAGGTTGCGCAGACTCTGTTAGGGTCGAGTCGCGCAACATAAGCGCAGGTCGGACTGAATGGCGACCTGGCGGCAGTCTACGTACAGTGCTCCTGTTCTCAGCCTGAGCTCGAGTACGAAGACGATGTACATGCACTTCGAAACACACAGAGTTCCTGGACCAGGCTGTATGTACGGTGCATGTCAACCCGAGAGAGTACAATATATGCAAACTCTCCTCAAGTGGGACGATATACGACACCGTCTCTTACGGCGACTCCGATGACTGCAAGGCAGGCCGCAGCCGACACATATGTACTGCATCACCATATTCACCATTCGTTCTAATCTGAACCGTACGGGCGTGGACGAACGGACGCGCACACGTGTCAACCTCGCAGTCAAGAGCAGTGAACCTACCGAGTGCAGAAGCTATATTGCTTAGCTACTATAGTGCGCCTACATACCGCGGCCCCGTCGTCCGAAGTTTTGGCCAATCGTCTTCACGTGAGTTCTCGACCGACGACGATGCCTGCTCTAGGGAGTCCAGAACTCGAAGTTCGTTGCTCGCCTGCTCACTCACCCCCCCCCCCTCCGACAAAGGCTAGTATCCACCTGTACAAGTGTTTAACGTTTAACTTTTAGCTGTGACATAGACATGGAATATGTGTGTTTGCCTACGCGAAAAACGTGATACTGGATCAGGCGGAGATTTCCCTCAAGAGCAATAGGAGCGCAGCGGCACCCCTAGACTACCTCTGGGACTCCGGAAGGGGGGGAGTCATGAGGCCGAGGCTCTTCATTCTCTCCACAGCATCTGGGCTAATCTCCACGCCCTCGTACACCGACTTCCACTGGGGAACGGGAAGATAGACTGGGCTGGAAGGCTTCTTCGACTTGCCGTCTGATGGCCCCTTCTTGGCGTACGAAAGGACAAGCCGTGACCTGCCGTTGACGGACTGTTGGTTGACTGCATCCTTCGCGGCCGTTGCCTCCTCCGTCGTATCGAATTCGATATATGCAGCACGAATTACTGGATCGACTTTAGAATGGTCGTCTATAGAGGAGGGTCAGAGCCTGGTCGAGGTCATAATCAGCAGGCAGGACGTGGAACACATACAGAACTCGATCTTGCGTATATTCTGCGCGTGTGACCCAAACAGCGCCCGGATGCCCGTTTCGTCGCCGTCCACCATCCGCGCGAACAGCTTGTTGTGCGGTTCATGGTGTACCGGGGCCGGCGGGGCGTACTCGAGCATGACGGGGCAGGACTTCCGGCAGATGAACACTCTAAATGGTCTCCATGCGTGGCGTGACATTAGGCGCTCCGCTATCGTCAGTGAGCGACACCTGACGTGGGCGTACGTTCCCCTAGAGTTCGATGTCATTCGGACTACAGGGATGTGCAAGGATAGGCATCAGCCACGGCGCAATGCTGTATCATGGACAAGTGTACTTAGGCTGATATCATCCACCTTGCCGTAAACCTCGAACATCGTGCGCAGGTCGCTCCAGCGCGTCGCTTTGGGGAAGCCGCCCACCCAGAGTGTATGATTCGGCGGCCACGTCGGGTACGAGCTGTCCGCATCAACGGCGGGTATGTCGTCTTCTGGGGCACGGACTCGCAATGGCGTTGGCGATTTGATATTACTTTTCGCGGGGGTGACCCAAATTCTGCGGCCCCCTATAACGAAGCCTTTGTAGGAGGCTACTGACAAGGCGAATAAGGCCTCGTCGGCCCACCTAAACCGTACGTGTGCATACCCAATAGGTTTCGAATCGCGGTCACAAGCTGGACAGGAGTGGATGTCAGTAAGGGACTACAAGGCTATGTTCGAAGCGGGGAGACTGACCGACATCAATAGTGCGGATGTAGCCATAAGGTCTGAAGAGCTCATAGATCTCCTTCTTCGTGATAGTGCGCGGCAGATTGCGAATGAAGAGGGCCTCGCTTTTGCCATTCTGGTCGGCGTCGGAATATAGCACTGTGATCGTCTGGCCGTCTATGCGGAACTTCTTCTGTTTATGCTGACGCAAGAACGCTTGGGCATCCTTCAGTCTTCGAAACAGAACATGAGCGAAGCCCCAGCGACCGGAAACGTGAGCCTCTGCGGGCAGGTGTCAGGTCGTACCTGCACGACACCACGGACGGACGGACGACTCACTCTTCTCAATTACACATTCTCCAAACCCGTCGAGCAGGTCCGTCAGCTCCTCCAGAGTAGCATCGGGCGGTAGCTTGGTGATCATGACCCTCTTCCTCGCCGGGTTCCCATCCTTGTCCTGAGCGACATCTTCATCCGGGGTTTCGGGCTCTTCGACAGTCTCTTGAGACGCATTCTGGCCCTGCGGTCCAGGTAGATAGGCCTTTAGCGTGCGGGGCGTAGCGTCGTTTCCGGTAGCCATAGGTAGGGTACTTTCAGCGGGCATAATCGAGGACTTTGCTTGGATATGAGAGCATCGCCGTATGGGTAGTTGATTCGATGCTGAGGACCCTGGACATAGTGGCAAGTGGAGGAAGAGGCCCCGTTTTGAGCTTCGGTATTGCGAGACGGCTGTGCGAGTGTCGACAGTAAGGAGCTTCCGAAACATCTGTGGACGACTCCTGGACGACTCCGTGCCAGTGATCCCTACAGCCGTAGAAAGGATAAAAAAGATGGAATGATTGCAGACAAGTAGTGTTTAGAGCAGTACCGGTGACAGACAGAAGTTGCGCGTCCGTTAGTCAAATTCAAGCGGTAGAGTTTGTGGCAGCCTGAGCCAAATTAGTAGATAAGTATCAGATATAGGTCAACGTCATCTGATCCAACGAGCGCTTGTTGTGACTTACAACTTCAAGTTACTGGGCCGTACACACGACACCAAGTGGGCATTGATAGCAAGTACAGCACAGTACAAGTGTCCGTGTCGTTGGAGGTATGATACTTTCCCCTCCGACAGTCTCGTCACACGTTCGATCCTCTGTCGTCACTTCCGAATTCCATTCTACCTCTCGAGTCTCAGTCTATCAAGAGGCGGTCCAAGTATCGAATGCGAGGCTCCGGTCCGTCAGCGACTGCCTGCGCTGGGAGGGTGGTTCGCTATGGTTCGTCCCTCGCCCGACGCTTGCCTACACATTTTGCTGATAACGGCGGATTATGCATCATGGATCAAGCACGAGAGCAAAACAAGTAGACAACATCGACAGAGTCCTTCACAGGCAAAAGAGTCGTGGCATGGAAGTCTTGAGGGTATCAAACCTAGTCCACGCGGCATCCTTGTGCCACGCAAGGCACGTCACACACAAGCCGGACTCGAATAATGTATCCGGGGCAGTAAGCATCATGTAGAACTCGCGGAGGAGCCACCGCTCGAAGGGCGACTGCGAATCCGACGCGACCTTTGCGCGCCAGTAATGTTGCAGTCCTTCTCGGCAGTTGTCACAGGACTCGAACGGCGGCATACCCGGGGCGGCGCTGAGCGGGTCGAGGAGCAGCTGCGTCGCGAAGTCGTGCAAACGCTCGCGCCCGATGACAAGCCGGCGCATATCTGCTTGGGAGAGGACGATGTGCGAGCGTCCACCGTCGGCGTTGTATCCAAACCTTTGGAGGGAGAGTGCATAGAAGGCCGCGGCAAGGATATCTGGGACTTCACATTCTCGGGCGAGCGTGATGGCCTCTGGTGAACGATAACTGTCAGCTTCAAACGTTCCCTATCTATGGGTCGAGGCAGACTCACCAGCAGCACAAGGCAGTGAAGCAGTGTCCATGCGTTCGAGGTCAGATGGCCACCGCGCGCACAGGTGACTGACGGCCCACGCACGCAGAGCAGCGATCTCGTACTTTGTTGCGATCCGCAGGGCGCTCGGAAGAAGTGGGAACGGTACAGGATGCTGCATTACTGCAAACGAGCTGAGGTACTCACGGACGATAAGCGTAGCTGAGACAGAGCGGGCGAGCCACATACTCAGGGTCGTATATCCACTTCAACGCGACCTGCCAGTCTTGCACCGAGTCCGCAAGTTGCACCAGTGGACACCCGTCGACGGCTTCTGCGTCTTCTGGCTGCGGTATCGCGAGCATGTCGGAGAAGATCTCTGAACATTGTAAGCGTGTCCGGTGAACCTTGAACCTGTGCTGTCCGATTTCGAGGACAATGTCGCCGTCGCCGAACCAGAACGGCGTCGACAGATGTGGCACCGACGGCCCGCCAAACCTCCGCCGCTTCGTGGGAGGGAGAGAGGAGTCGTCCGGCGAGCTTTCGCGCATGTCAAGAATCAGCGAGGGCGGACAACGCTGCAGGCCGCCACAAAGTTGAGTTGGTTTGAGTGGCGTTGGTGGTGGCACCGGGATGCGAGCGTTGCGCACTGGCAGGACGCGCTTGTGGCAACGCCGGCGGCGTGAGTCGTGACCTGTCGTGACCTCCCCTCGCGCGTCACAGCGGAAGCAACATGAAGACGCGTTACGTCCGTGACCGGGGCAGCGTGACACTGGGGCGGAGATGAATCGGGCCCCGCCCTTCAGTTCGTTTCTGACCAGCTTCAACTTCAACTTCAACTTCTACCCCCTCTCCTCCGCCTCTCTGACGCGCCTCTTTACCCAATCATGGTGAGTGATACTGTATACATACATTGGATGCGCTGACTCGTGGGTTCAACAGTCTGCCTCGCCCGCTGTGCTTCGCCGCTTGATGCGTGAGCTCAATGAGCTCCAGACGAACCCCCCGGAAGGGATACGCGTTGTCACCAGCGAAGACAATATGCTGGACGTCACAGGCATCGTTGAAGGCCCAGGTGAGTACTTGAGACGCGTGCTCTATGGTTTGCAGCAGCAGGAGGTATGCACCATTTCGAGGACCAGTGCGTTCAGCATTGTCCATCAGTGGCTGATCCATACTCGACTGTCTGAGCGCGTGTCTAGCACGCGCCAGAGGACCATACGCCAGTATCTACAACCGTGAGGCTCGTATTCTGCGAAGGGATCACCAGAAGCGACATTCATATCGAGTGTCTTCATGGCTTCCTGCTGCTGGCGGCGACCTTAGCCAGACCTTTGGATATTGTGGGAGGCGGTAACTAATTATGAGCAAATGCAGAGGGTACACCCTACGCTGGCGGATACTTCAGGGTGAAGTTCTCATTCACAGAAGAGTTCCCGGCTGCACCACCAAAGTGTGAGTTATGTGTTGCCACCTCCATGACATTGCACTCAGACAATTACCCCAGGCCGCATGATCACGAAGATCTTCCACCCTAACGTATCAGCGGCAGGCGAGATCTGTGTCAACACACTCAAGAAGGACTGGAAATCCTCATACGGCATTGGCCACATCCTGGTGACTGTCAAATGCCTTCTCATCCACCCGAACCCCGAATCCGCGCTGGACGAGGAAGCAGGCAAGCTGTTGCTGGAGAACTACGACAGCTACTGTGACCGGGCCCGGCTGATCACGAGCGTGCACGCGACGCCGCGGGTGCGCCCCGCAGAGTTCCACAAGCCCACCGCCTCCGCAAACGCGACCGCGTCGGCCAGCAAGTCTGCGTCGTCGAAGTCAATATCGTCGAGTGCCTCTGCGAGCGCCACGACGGAGAACTCTGCTCCTGTCACGTACCCCCTTCATGCCTCCACTCCCAACACATGCTCGCTCTCGCCCTCAGACTCGTCGTTGGCAGGGCAGAAGCTCACGGGCAAGGAACGGCTGACCTCGCCCGCCCCGCTTGGTACCGCAGACTCGAACGTAGCGGGTGCTACTGCTGCCGTACCCGCGGCTGCGGCTGCAATGACTAAGGCAGTCAAGAGGGCAGCGACAGGTGGAGGGGCTGGCGCGGAGAAGCGGAAGAAGGCCCTCAAAAGGCTATGACGAGGGCATGCATAGGGGCGGACGTTGATGCTGCTTGTTCTAGTTGTTGGATCTGTACGTAGTTGTTGTGTTCATCGTGTTGCTATGGGTAGTGTTCTCGCATGTGCATGTTCTGTAGCTTCATTCTCCTCGCATTTATAACACCCCTGCATTGTTGTGATCCGTATCAAATGTTCTGACTGTCGCGGCACCGTAGTCACGATGTCGGTCTCAATTCCTAATTCCTTATAAGCTTGTTAGTGTATCAGGTAAGCCAACATAACAACGGAGATAAGCTGCGGTAATAAACCGCGGTAGCGTGAATCATTACCTTTCTTAGACGCGGTATTCGCACACAAACGCTTCGCGTTCGTCTTGACCTTCGACGGCCGCGACGTTTGAACTTGGGCGCATGCTCCTTGCCAGCTACTCTCCTTCATCCTACCCCGTTTGATGCGCGATGCCTTCGTTCCTATCCAAAGTCTTCACGCGCAAGAAGGATGAGAAGGACGCTTCCCACCCGCCCAAGCGTACCTCAGTAGCCTCCCTCCTCGAGGGCAAGTTCGAGGCCGTTTCTCCGCCCGCGTCGCCCTCCGCGACGAACGTCGTGCACGCCCAGCAGGCCCCGAAGGAGGAGAAGAAGGAGGAGAAGAAGGAGAAGGAGAAGGACGTCGGCTTCTCCCTCTTCAGGACCAGGTCGCCCCGCCCCACGTCTCCCAAGACCGACACCGCGAAACCGCAGCTGCCCCACCTCACGCTCAACCTCCCCGAGGAGAAGAGCAGCGACGGTCGGCAGCTGGCGTCTGTGTTCGACGCGGACGCGGGCGAGCGCGCCGTCCTGCCCAACGATGTCATTGGAGAAAGGCGACTGAATCCCTCCGAGGCGCTCAACCTCGTCAAGGCATGTTCGACAGCTATCGTAGACCGTGGTGGTGCGTGTTCTCTCCTCTCGACGACGAACGCCTTCATGACCGCGTCGCAGGCCTGGAGACGCTCGGTGTGATGCACCCGCACTGGTACTCCGCGTCGCCCGACGTACAGCGCAGACTAATTTCTCTATTTATCCTCTCATTGGCTTCCAAAAGCCCGTCCACGCTCCCTCCCTCTCCTAATTCACCCTCCGCTTTATTTAATACCGAGTTGGAATACACTCGCTCTCCGCATGATCTCGCCGCCGTCCTCCGCTGGGCTCTCCGCCACCTCCGGCTGGAGGGCGACTTCTTCGGTCTTGGCAGCAGTAGTGCTGAGCCGTGGCAGTGGTACAAGACGTTCTCGGAGGCTGAGCGGGCGGCGTCGTACCCCTCTAGTGCGTTCTCCCGATTCCTCACTCCGCAACTGCCCCCGGCGCATCTGCGCCTCCTCGAGGCGACACTCGAGATCGTCTCGTCCCTGGCTTCGCACTCCGACCGTAGCGGCGTGTCTGGCAGCAAGCTCTCCAAGCTATTCGGTCTCTGGCTCTTGACTACACGACGTGCCGAGGACGGGGACGACTGGTCGACATTCTACGCACGATGGGAGCGTGCAGGTCGAATATTGGAGCATCTCCTTCTAGCACAGACCAGGTACGTGTTAGCTCGCGTTCGTCTGCAATGTTGATTGATTGCAGAGCAGGGATGAGATGGCCCGCACAAAGATGCCCCGGCGCCTAGTTGAGCTTGTCGCTGGCTATCCGTACCTCAAGACCGGCGAGCCCGCAGACTACCTTCTGCCGCGACCGCGCCTCTCGACAAGGACGTACGACGCATTGTACGTGCGCGTCGAGACACGGCTTCCCGACTTTTCGGTCTCGAAGCCCAAGCAGCCTCCGCAACAGATCATCGCCGACGCCGTCAAGGCGGAAGGCGCGGCGCAGGCTGGTGAGCACGACAGCTTGTGGGAGCTGCTCAAGCAACACGCCGCTGCTACTGAGAAGACAGCTCTGGCTCCTGAAGACGACACGGGTCCGGCATTGTCACGCGTCTTCACCGACGAGACTATCCGCTTGTTCTCTATGCTTCCCAGTGAAGGCTCGAAGACCGAGGCCACCACTGTTAAGCTGGGAATCCCGGAGCACCGTGGGCGCTCACGGTCTGTTGGAGCCGGTCAGAACGGAACTCTGACGAACGGTACCACCAGGGCGACAATGTCCACGACGGATCTTTCGCCCAAGGACTGGTCTGACTTCTCATCCCTTGGATTCGGCGATACCTCCCTCGGCAAGGATCTCGCCTCGACGCTGATGGATAACGACCTCGAGGTGACCGAACCACCGCTGGTGCACCGTAAGTCGAGCAAGACGCAGAGGGCCAGCCCGCCTCGTCGTACACAGCTTGATGCGACCAGCCGCACGGTCACTCTCCCATCAAAGTGCGCGTCGGTCAACTTCGTCCAGATCGATGAGGCCTTCATCGACTTCTGGAGCGACGCCCTGTTTGATCCCATCGCTAGTAACTGGCCCAGCTTTGTCATTTGCCAACTGAGGCCTGTCGCCGGGCTCGAGGCGAACGGCAAACCCCTCAGCTGGCTCGTCATTGAGCAAGTCTTCACGCGCCCCCCGCCTCCGCCCGAGCCGGCGTCGCCTGTGCTGTACCGCGCGGCGTCGCCCAAGCCCTCATTGCGCTCGAATATCTCCGCGCGCAAGAGCGTGACGTTTTCGAATGCGAAGAAGCGTTTCACGCTGTTCTCATCAAAGGACACGATCGGCAGCCTGGATGCAAAGCTTGCGACGCGCAAGAAGACGGGCAAGCCGTCGACGGTTGGAGAGATGGGCGAGATCCTATCTGAGGAGCCGGAAAATCCGCCTGCTGCTCCTGAGAAGACGGAGGCTGAGGCGAAGAGTCCAGGTTCGACCGGCGCGGAAGTTGCTGCGGGCGTCGCTGCTGCTGCTGCTGCTGCTGCTGCGACTGCTGGAACTGCTGCTGCTGCCTCCGAGAAGGTCGACGCTGACCTACCTCCTGTTCCTATCGTGGAGTCGGAGGCCCCCGTTGTGGAAGCTGTCACGGCCGTTACGCCTGTTAAGAGCGACGAGGAGCCCACAGAGAAACCGACCAAGTTTGTCGAGCACATCACGCCTCCGACCAACACGTCGCCTGCGTCTTCGGAAGTGAACGGTGGTGATCAAGACGTCGCAGAGTCCAAGGAGCTGCCGCCTGCTCCTGAGCCTGTCGTGCTTGCTGGGGAGACTCCAGGACCCGACGTGGCACTCAGCACTAGCGAGCCCGTGGCTATGGCCGAGGCATCTGCGCATGCGGAGAGTGCATCAGCAGAAGAACCTGGTGCTCCCGCCGTGGTTGAAGAGACTCGCCCTGCTCCGCAAGAGGTCGAGGTTGCCACAGCGGCTACAGAGCCCGTAGATGTTGTCCCCGCTGAATCAGAGGCCGCACTGGTGCAGGAATCCCTCGCTGTACCTGACGTTGAAGCGGAGGCTCCCGCTGGACTCACCGAAGTAGCTGCAGAGCCCGAGGCTGTCGAGCCCCCTGCCCCGGTTGCAGAACCTGAAGTGCTGCCAACCGAAGAGGAGCCGGCGGCTGAACCGACGCTAGCTGCTGAGGACACTGTTGTGGAACCTACGGCAGCAGAAGTTGCGGTTGCGGAGGATGAGCCTCAGGGAGCGCAAGAGCCTGTTCAATCAACAGAGGAACCAACTGCTCAAGGCACGAGTGGTGAACCGGATTCCGCAGTCGCCGCGCCTGAAGAAAAGGAGCCTGTTGCCGAAGAGGGTGCACCCATTGCGACAAAGGAGAGCGCACTCGCCGCGCCTGAGGAGCCTGAAGAGCCTTCGCCCGCTGCACTTGAAGAGAACATTGTAGCTCAGGATCAAGAGGAGCCAGTAGTGGAAGAGCCAGTCCCTAGCCCACCTGCAGCAGAATCGACGGAGGCTGTTGAACATACTGGTGAGACAGGTAAGCAGCCGGTCGGTTTATATGAGTGCGACTTAGCTTAGATTCTTTTGACTTAACAGCGGAGCAAAACGTTGAGGGGGCACCCGAGTCGTCGAAAGAGCCGGTGGTTGAACCAGGGACGCAAGTGGCGGGTATGTTCCTCTGTTTCCGCCCTAGTGCCGGTCTATTCTGATCTCAGTATCGTTTCAGAAGAACCTCGGAATGGGTCTGCCCATGCCGATGACACCGCCTAGCCGGACAATCGCCGCTCGAACGGGCTCTGGCTTCTACAGTCGCGCATTTGTGCCAGAGCACCTGGGTTTTCCCATTTGGATTCGAGTCATGTTGAGAACGAGATCTATGTCATCGGTGGAGAGGTGAAGTGAGGGAGTTAGTCTTATTGATTCCAGGTTATGCGTTGATGATACCCGTCTATCCCGGCCTATTCTTGCTGTCGCCACCACTATGCTGTTGCTGTGTCGATAATCCGCTTCTCTCATTCCCTATCTCCATCACTTAGGATGCAGACCCGATACATTTACTTTCAGCCTATTACACAGCTACGACACATGCATGGACTGTCTTTGCTACAGATCAGTCCGCCATCTCATATACAGCTCCGCGAACGAGGCAGCTACTCTGGCTTCGTGCTTTCTATGTTCCAGTATTCTTGGGCATAGTCAACAATTGCACGATCTGAGCTGAACTTGCCCATCTGTACATGTGAAGCACCAACGGTCAGCGTCTTATCCCAATCACTCCCTTGAGTACTGACCTTCGCGGTCGTCCGGATACTCTTCTTGATCCACTCGGTGCGGTCCTGGTAAGCCTGATCAACAAGCTTCAAGGCCTCGATGTCTGTTCATCAATTCGAGAAAGGTCAATCTATGTAGCAGGGGTAATGAGACTGGACCCACAGGAATCGAAGTCCTCGGTCAGGAGGTAGTGGTCATGTTGACGGATGGTGTTGAGGAGCCTGAGTACAAAGTAATTAGACAATGGCGACAGCCATCAGGCGAAATTGACATACGGCTCGTAGACACCGCCATCGCCGAACCTTCCAGCGGAAACCTCGTTCAGGACCCGAGCCAAGGCAGGGCACTTCTGCTCAACAGGGACAGGATGATACATATGCTGGTAGCGCAGATCCTCGACCGCAGGGGTCAAATGCCCGAAGAAGACTAACATATCATCAATGGAACGAAAAGGAACGATGGCTATGTCGACACTTACAGACGTTGTTTTCGCCGACTTCTTCCGCGATCTCGATGTTCGCGCCGTCGACGGTTCCTACCAAGAGACCACCATTGAGACAGAACTTCATGTTCGACGTGCCAGACGCCTCCGTGCCAGCTGTGGAGATATGTTGACTGATGTCCGACGCGGGAATCAAGACCTCAGCGAGTGACACGGAGTAGTCAGGAAGGAAGTAGAGCTGGAGGAGGTCCTTCGTGTCCGGGTCGGCGTTGATGATACGCGCGACGTTCACGATGAGGCGGATGGTCTATGTAAAGATGTTAGACGTTATGATCTGCGGGTCTTGCCCCATTATTCGGCATACCAGTTTCGCCACGTAGTCTGCAAATGCCGATTAGCCCGTGCAATGCAATCACAGTCATCGAAACCTACACCCAGGCGCTGCTTTGCCAGCAAAGAAAACCACCTTCGGGTTGACCTTCTTGCGCTCAGCGGGCGTCATGTCCTTGAGGGTCAAGTATCTCTGCAGCACGTTTCAACGCACGTCTACATGATCTGTAAGTAGGAAGGGCTCACGTGGATGACGCCCATGATGTTCAGGGTTTGACGCTACAAACACGACAATCAGACAACGATGGCGTCTCGATATTGTTTCGACGGTCACCTTATACTCGTGCAGCCGCTGTAAAACCAGTTCAGCATTGATTAGCTCCTCTTAAACGATCTTCTGAACGGACCTTGATCTGGACATCGAACATGGCGTGCGTGTTGATCTTGAGACCCAGCGTTGCCTCCACGTACCGCGCGAGGCGTTCCTTGTTGCTCTGCTTAATCACTGCCCACTTCTTCTGGAAGTTCGGGTCGTCCACATGCTTCAGCAAACCCTGGCGTTGTTCCGTATCTTAATACATATGAGTCACTTTCCAGAGCAGGCTGTCGCACCTCGAGCTTGTACAGGTCCTTCAAGAATACCGCCTTAGGCAACTTCAGGGTGTCACTGATCAACTGGCTGAGGCCGGGGTTGCACTGGTCGAGCCACCTGCGCGGGGTGACTAGTGGATCTCAGTACCAATGGTTGCATAATGGTGCTTGATACTTACTGCCGTTCGTAACGTTCGAGAACCTACACAGTCGGTCAGCATCGAGCGCAATGCAACCATCTGGCGTGTATAACTCACTTGCTGACACCGTGGAAGTCGACGAAGTCCTTCATGATTGTGGTCTTAACCAGTTCCGAGTGGAGCTACATTGCCAGATGTACCGTTGGTGCACGATCGCAACAGTTGACGAATGCCTATGCATTACCTCCGCGACACCATTGACCTTCCGGCTTCCTGCAGTCATATTAGCAAACGTGCAAACTGATTGGAAGCGACGGAGAGATAGTATTCACCGATGCAAGCAAGATTCGCCATGCGCACTTGTTGAGGGTAGCCTTCCTCGATGAGCGACATCCTAGCCAGCTTGTCACGATCACCTGGGAACTTCTTCTCGACCGCTGTGATAGATACAGTGCGTGAGTGCCGGAGTAAGAACAGGGCATATGAGGCATACCTTGCAAGAAGATCCTGGGGAGCGGGGAGAGATGTGAGTACAACTCTATCAACTCGAAGTGGGTATACCGTCGTACTGGTTCTGCAGATGCAAGGTCAGATATGTTGACCAAGATGCAGAGAATGAAACTTACAATGTCGAAGATGATCTGCATGTGGCTTTGGGATCAGGCTGATCAGTTCGCTTGTAGGTCAGCATTCTTCAAACAGACGTACCGGGGCAACAAGTGTGACATCAAAGGGACGGGCCATTTCTACGCGTATTGATTATGTTAACCCATAGAACCTCAAGGGGTCGCGATCATTACCTCCAACGCTTCCGGTAGTACAGTGTGGTTCGTGAAGAAGAATGTGTTCGTCGTGATTTGCCAGGCCAAGTCCCAAGGGACGTCCTCTTCGTCGACGAGGATGCGCATGAGTTCAGGGATAGCCAACGTAGGGTGGGTCTGTATGATGGGTTAGCTCGTGCTCAGATCCTAATCTCCTTCCAACGAGTAGATCTCGACGTAGATAGGAGCACATACGTCATTAAGCTGGATTGCAACGTCTACAAGGGAGAACGTTGAGTAAGCTCCCGAGAATAGCGTCGGTGATGTACTGACAGTCAGGAAACTCGGTGATTGGCTTGTCCAAGTTCTTGAAACGACGCATGATGTCGGCCAAGCTGGCAGCGGTCCAGAAATATTGCTGCTTGAGACGCAGCTCCTTGCCGACTACCAAAGGGTGAGTATGTGAATTTCTCAAGCAACCTCTGGGTACGCACATGTTGTGTGGTCATTGGGGTACAGAACGGAGGTAATCGCTGCTGCGCTGTTGGAGGACTCGACGGCACGCTCGTAGTCACCGGCTGTCCACGGATGCTCATCAGACGGGTTTGACTGAGAGTGCGCGTGATCCTCACCATTGAAGCTGTTCAGATCGAAGCCACGCTTCGGCTTGCTTTCCCACAGCCTAAGGTTGTTCGTGCTCTTCGTCTCATACCCAGGGATCATCGTATCATATGCCATCGCCAGCACCTCCTGGCCGCCGCTCCACACCGCCTTCATATTGTCCAGCCTCTCCGCGTGGCCATAGAAGCGCACCTCGTACGTGACGTCGAGGCGGGGGAGCTCCCACGGGTTGTCGTGCTCGAGCCAGGGGTCGGGCGCCTCGAGCTGCGCGCCCTCGGGCGAGATGTGCTGCTGGAAGATGCCGTACTTGTAGCGCAGGCCGTAGCCCCACACGGGCAGCTCCTGGCTCGCACTCGAGTCGAGGTAGCAAGCGGCGAGCCGGCCCAGCCCGCCGTTTCCGAGCCCGGCGTCGCGCTCCTGCTCGAGCAGGTCTTCGAGCGCGAACCCGAGCTTATTGACTGCCTCGTTGTAGGGCTGCTTCAGCCCGAGGTTGAGCAGCGCGTTGTCGAGCGTGCGGCCCATCAGGAACTCGAGTGAGAGGTAGTACGCGCGCTTCGGTTCCTTGCGCGTGTAGTGCAGTTGGGTGTCGTTCCAGTTTAGCTGCACATAGGTCAGAGACGCATACATGGAGATTTGAACGTAGCAAACTCACGATCAGATTGTCTCGCACGGCCAATGCAGCGGCCTGGTATGCTCCGAGGTTGTCCAGGTTGTATGCCTGGCGAGCGAGCGACGTCTGGACTTGGTTGACAATAGACTTGGCAATTGACGGCACGTCTGACCTGCTGTCAGGTACGTTGAGGACTGGGCAGTATTCTGCACTCACCTTTGTCAAGCTCGCGCATGCTCTCCTTCCATACTTTCTCGTCGCCTCTCGGCCATTTTTCCTTGCCCGATTCGTCAGTTTCGGGGGTATAACCTGTATGCGGGGGATAAAGCTGTCAATAGCTGCATATATGCGGGTGAGTGCGAGCAGACGTTCAGGGGGGTATCATATATTGTACGAGCCTCGTCGCTCGCATGGCTGATGTTATTCGTCAACCTCGCGTACGTGTATGCGTACCTCTTGAGCGCAGATATATAGTAGGCGCACTGCGAGTCCGGAGTCGAGCAACACCTCTCGCGCGGGGCCGCATACATCGCCTTCATCCTTCACCACCGGCGTAGCGATTCGCGACATGGACAAGCCTTCTACCGCACTCTTGTCACGAAGCCATTGCACGACTACCCACCTGTCAAGGACCTGACATGCCTGCGCTTGGGGGCGGGTTTCCCAATCGCCTTCGGGTCGATCGTGGAGGTCATGGTGGTAGCCGCAGAACCTCAGAGCACAGACTGGGTTCGCTCAGGGGCGAGCGGGTGCGGGGTCAGACGGACTGCATTGCGGCGTCTTATATGGACATGTAATTCGAGTGATGGACAGACCTGGCCCCTGCGGATGGATGACCGGAGGGTGGTGACGCGCCGAGCCTCCCTGGACCTGCCCGACAGCAGTCCCGGTGTCTCCTGCTCCATGTTCGCGGTCGAGAGGCATCAGCTGCGTCGGCCGTCGTCTGCTGATAGGTCGAGGAAGTTACACCAGACGCTGCAGGGCGGCCCCGTGCTGATTTTGCATTGAAAGCTGCCGTGCGAGAGAGGAGGTACTGACGTCTTAGAATCACGATAATCGCGGTCACAAAAGGGATCTCAATTGCTGGGATTGCTGCAGAGGAGGCTTCAGAATGCACAATGTCGAGAGCAATGCTGATTGTGGCGTGCGAGCGCAGCGCGAGGTGGTGGTCCAGGTGCAGAGACAACATCGCCCGAGCGTCGTCGGATCGCGGGCCAGACCGAAGCGAGCCCGGGTGGTGGGATTCTCGCCATGTACAGTTGGTCTCGTACCACCACCGGGGCTAGGCCGGTAACAGCTCACTCGGAATCCAGCCTAGGTCTTGTTACGGAGCTTCCGCAGGCTCAGAACGTTGGGCTAGTCGCGAGGAGCGTACAGAATAACTTACCACAATCGGCGAAGCGAAGCATACATGGATCTGTCCTTTCCTGGTCCTGTCTGCCAGTGACCGCCTGAGGACTCGCGCAGTTGCAGCTGTCGTCGTTTGTATTTCAGGTGAGGGTTCCGGTGATTGAGCCAGTAGACCGTTCATCGCTGCATTTCGCAATACCGCGAAGTCTTTTCCGGTGACAGCGATGAGCAGACAGGTTGAAGTCGACCAAATGGATATAATCAGGTACGTTCGCCATAGCGCTAAACAACTGAGACGTGCATTGATATTTGACTATGGTCAGGGCTTGTGCTCATTTTGATCGCGTCATCTGCTGCTGAAAGCCTGAAACTGCATACTGTACCATGTACGCGCGCGACATCCATGGACATGGCATCGACGTAGATTATCGGGTGCCTAGTCCATGCGTCTTGACGCGACCTCGGAACTACATATTGTCGCGGGCGCATTGAACCATGCCTCTATAGAGCCTGGTTCACGATGGCCGGATGGCAACATGCTGGAACGTCGACCACAGTGCCTGCCGAGGATCCGGACTTCAGGTTCCGTCAGGGTTTCTGCTTCCTTCAAGTTCTAGATGGGACCCCTTGCATCCTCAACGTAAGATTGGACTCACAGCGAATCAGTGCTCAAACTCAACCTTGGCGCCCGAAGATGCTTCGAGCGGGGAACACAGAACGTACTGTCGGTCATTCGAGGTGCAATGTCTACTTCGTATCGTGCAGAAGCGTTGCTACGGTGGTGGCTGTGAGCTGTGGACGGTCAGAGAGTGACTCACTGACATATTCAAAACATCTAGCCTTTCAGAAGATGTCCAATGTTCTAGGGCTACATCTTGACGGCATGCACCGCTAGAATGGATGTGTTTGCTAGGTAGGTTCGTTCTGCTGCCATGTACGTTTCCCTTGCATCGTCGTCCACTTATATGAATGATGCTAAAGTTTCCATCTAGCGCCTTAAACTAGAAGGTGCTGCGAGCAGAAAATGCAGAGCTCTTGATTTATCCACGCCGGTTGCGACCTCTTCGATTTCAAACCACAATGACTGATGGACTGTCTTCGATTTCAAACCACAATGTTTGATGGACTGAGCTGGTAACTCCTCACACACCTATGCCTGCAGCGCCCTTGCGAATCATCATCCTAAAGCATCCTATGTTCTGGCCCAGCCCTGCGTGACGGCATCAATGATGGTATGTTTATTTCGCGTTCACTCTTTCAGTCAGCGGGCTCACACGAACTGCGCGACGCCAATCAGACCGCCAGGCGAGTGTTAGTCGCCTCCGAAGCCCAGAAGTATACCCAGGGTAGATACGTGGAGATACTACCCCGTAGTCCTGCTCATGCGTCGGGAGGAGATCACTCCGGCATCAAGAATTCAGCGGAATGCCGTTGAGGTTCACAGCAGTGTGCTGTGGATCGACATGAAATACATGGGGCCGCAAGCGGTGCGCCCGTGCATTCTGTTCCCCGACTGCGACAATGGCGATCAAGTCGGAGTCTGTTGAGGACCTGTGAGCTGTTGCGTCTTGTCATGCTTTCCGGTACTGAGTTTGTTTCAAGTGCTATTTCGAACGTTGGTTCAGCGGTTCATCTTTTGGAAATCGGTCTGATCGGTCATTGACAATATCAGCTCTTGACCTACCTGCTTCATTGGGCACTGCAGGGCGTGCTCGCAGTACAAGTCTGTAAGTCTGGCCATTCGTAAGTCGCCGTCCGAGCTACACTGATTGAGATTTCCGTGCACTCTCATACAGACTTTTACCACGTCCACTTCCCTAATGATCGCCTGCAACTGAAGTGTCTAGGTGCGCTTCCACACTGCCGTTTGAAAGCTCATGGTTCGTCTCAGAATACCCCTAGTATATGGCGTGTTCATCTTCGAGTGGGTCAACTTCGGACTGTTCACGGAAGACGCCTTCATTACATTCGTATACAACGCAAGCAATAATATCGAAGCCTACTACCTTGTCGGCAACGAATGGTTTGCCGTGCCTATCATTGGCACGCTCGGCTCTGCCGTGGTGCAATGTTTCTTCGCGTGGCGCATCTACATGCTCTCGAGACTCTGGGTTTTGGTTGGTGCGATCATCTCGGTATGTCCTCTTTGCGATCTTTAGCCGCGACGTCCTATTGAGGTCGTATGTATCCGAGCAGCTATGTATGGTCCAAATCGTAGCGGGAATCCTGACGGCATTGAAGGTGTGTTGCCCTTCTCCGTTCTATGCGTCAACTCACATGCTCCCCAGTTGAGAGAAGCGCATTCGATCGGCGAGGTTGTCTCATCGACGTCCGGATTGGTTGCCCTCATCGTGAGTGTCTTACAGCAACGAGTCTGCGCTACTTAACCCCATTGTGCAGGTCCTTGGAGCAAGCACCGCTTTACTTGATATCATCAGTGCTCTTTCGATGATAATACTGGTACATAGCGCGCAAAATAATCGCTAGTGTACTCATCAGTGATCTTTGCTCGCCCGCAGTTGCTCAGACAGAAGACGGGTACGAGGCGGTCAACTCAGCTAATTAACAAGGTCGTATTCTTGACGCTAGAGACCGGAGGCTTGACAGGTACGTTGTCACATACCATACTGTTTATGCTATGTTTGATGTGTACTACTGTATAGCGAGTGTCGCTGTTGCGGGGATCGTATTGGCTTCGGTGTTTCCTGTATGTATGGAGTCGCGAGGATGTGGTTGCTCAATGGTTCTAACGTGTTACGGTTAGGACCAAACATATTACGCACCCGCGTGAGTACCATAGCAATCTCGGAGTGTGCCTTCTCATAATTGTCTTCTTAGCGTATACAATCAATCCAAGCTGTACGTGCCTTCTTCACCCATAGATGTGCACCCTACCTGAGCTGTGTGACAGGTATGCTATCACGCTCCTTACGCACCTCCTCAACCGTGTCCATCTCCGTCAAATACCGAGCTTCGACGTCGAAGACATTTCAATCCCTTTATCCTTCGCACAGGAAACAGTCACGGACAACGTCGAGCCATCCGCGGAGGAGGTCAAGCCTGCGGCCACGGGGATCTTTGTAGCATGACATTGTTTGTCGGGTCTGATGTTCGAAGGTGTGTATTCGGGCATTGGGATAAACGCACTGGCGATCAGTAACAATATAGTCACAGGACTTATATCAGGATGTTCCTGCGGCACTGGAACATCCCAATGTATGGCACATATAACGGATGTGGAATGTGCACTCGCCGGCACGATTTATCGACGGCAAAGGTCTGCCGACACTCGCGTGTCTTCTGCGTGTTGTCTTTCAGGATCGCGTATTGTCGACGCCGAGTGGTGGTTCCAGTCTGTGCTACTGGTGACTGGACCTCTCGGTCGCATTGGTTTCCGGTTGACTCCGATCAAGATCAAGGCTGTTTGCTCTCCGTAGCTTGAGCCTTGAGAATCCGGGACCCGGGTATGGCTCTGTGGTGTCCATATCTTATCCAATACAGTACTTGACTAAGGCAACTTTCTCCGGGCCCCGAGCACCGCCAATAGTTGACTGCACTCTAACTAGCGGGATTAATCACCGTCAAGATGCCGGTCGACGGACGCTCGTCCGCGGATAGCGAATGGTGGGCCATACAGATGAGCGCTTCATGAATCCCTCTCGTTCTCGTGTTCCGTATACTGAGTTCGTGTTTTCTTAGTCGACTTCCTTTCTCCTCTCTGCATCCGAGTGTGAAACTGCAAGTCTAGCCCGGCCTGAAAGCTGAGAGCAATCTTGTGAGATCAGACTCGTTTCTGACCAGCCAACGCCAAAAGCTGTATGATGATACTGCATAGGAGGAGGTCCCTGCTACTGCATAAGTGGTCGAAGAAATCCCCGTATCAAGTGCGGTGCCCGAGATCTGATATGAGAAGCTCACCCAGGACACATCCCATCGGGCGATGTATACCATACACTTCAGTGGCAGATGCATAGCCTGCCTGCCCGCACTGCATAAGAGCAATGCCAGTGGTGAAGGTTCCGCTGCCCACCTCGAGACTGTCAAGATGGGAACCAGCTCAAAGCTTTTCGATGAACTGTGAGTCGTATCCCTAGTCGACATGCCTGCATTCGATTACTGAGCATGTCCCTAGAGCCGCGCCTGCCGTGAGCCATTCCGATGACCTGAGGCCAGTGAGACACTTCTGACGCTTTCATCAGCTGCTGAGCTACTTGATGAACTGGATGCTGCAGGGGGTACTCACCGTGCAAGTCTGTAAGCCTCATTTATCGGTTGTCATCAACAATGGACTTGTACTGAGCTCGGGATCGCTCTGTACAGACTTCTATTATCTCCAGTTTCCTCAAGATCCCCTCCGACTCAAAGTCCTCGGTAAGTACTATGGACTCTGACGCTCGGTGCACACATCAAACTCACCGATAACATCGACAGTCTATGGGCTTTTCATTTCTGAGTGGGTCCAGTGGGGACTGGTCACGGAGGACGCCTTCATCACCTTCGTTTCAAACGCTAGCAGCGGCATAGTCGAATACTACACAGTGGTGAACGAGTGGTTCTCCTTACCGATAATGTGTGCAATCGTTTCGGTCGTGGTTCAATGTTTCTTCGCCTGGAGGATCTGGGGATTATCAAGGTCGAGGGTTCTGGGTGGGGGCATAGTGTTGGTATGTCTTCCTATCCGAGTGGCCCTCAGGCTATGGGATAATACCCTTGGTACCTATCTGCCGAAGAGTAATTGACGATTTATACTTCGTACCAGATATGTCTATTCCAGGCAATCGGTGGAATCCTGACCGGAGTGAAGGTAAATTTCTCTTCAGCAGATTCAGCAGAGCAAGACACGGGCTCACGTGAACACATGTATCATAGTTGCAACATACACAGTCAGTCCGAGATGTCCTCTCATCGACGTCCGGACGCATCGTAATCGGTGTACGCGTTTGTCGACATGTACGCTCATTGGCAACAAGTTGACGATTATGTAGATTTGGATTGGAGGCACCGTGATAGTCGATGTTGTCATTGCGGTGTCGATGACTATACTGGTCGGTTTTACGGTCTTTCGTCTCGCCTGTACTGAATGTTTTCGAGAAGATGTTCAGGATGAAGACGGGAATGAGAGGCACCAATCAAATTATCAATAAAATCGTTCGTCTGACCATAGAGACGGGTACTTTGACTGGTATGTAAACCTCCTCAGACTCTATCCACGGTCATAACCTTCCAAGCTGCTGGCAGCCAGCGTCGCCATAGTGGGAATAAGTCTGGCTCTGGCATTCCCAGTGAGTAAAACGACTGTGTAGGTAATGACAGAAACGCTGATCCGACGAACATGTTCTTACAGGAACAGTCATACTACATGCCAACGTGAGTGCTATAGTATGCAGGGCGCATACCACCTTACGCGGTTTGGATGGCCAGCATCTTTATCGAAGCGAAACTGTACGTCATACTCATCTGTTGGCGGAATGCTACGAGCTGAGTAGCGATCGTAGTTACGCCATCAGTCTGGTCGCACATCTAATGAGTCGCGCATATCTGCCTCACTCGCTAGGCAGCAGCGATGGTGACGGAGTGCGGACGTCGGTAGCGTTTGCCCTTAGGTCGACATCACCAGACGCGGAAAACTCTTCACCCAGCGATAAACACCCGGATCTGGAGGTTTAAGCTATGGATACAAGGATCCCTGGATGACATGCGCCAGCGATAACACAGGAGGACATTGACGGCACTCCGGACTGTGCTATAGATGTGTATGCCAATGGTCTCTGTCATTGTATATGAGGTAGATGTAGTCAGCGAATGACAAACTGGAGCGAAGAGCGGTCTATACTGGGTCTATCGGGAGACTAGCGATCCTCGGCCCATGAGAATCGCACATTGATCGCACATCGAGTGTTTCTTCATCGCGAGGGTTTGAGCGGCCAGCTCATTACTGAATGGGACTTCACGCGGAAGTGATTGAGACGTACACTATCTGATACAAATTGCACTCTATAGTTGTGGCTGAGATGCAAGAGCGACAGCAGTGATTTTGCACAGCCAACATAACATCCAGATGTCGAGGCAACAGCCACGCAGACCGAGCCTACTTCTTCTTTTTCGGCTTCTTCTTCTTGACCCCTCCCGAGGAAACGCCAGACGTGCCCGGCACGGGCGTTGAGGATCGGTCCTGCTCAGCGGTATGGGGTGTGTCGATCTGCGAGGGCCCTGGCTTGAGCTTCGCTTGTCGATTCGTCATCTTCTGCATGAGCGAGAGGTTGAGGGCCTCAAATCGGTTGAGAAAGACGGAGGACGAGGTCTTGAATTTGAGGCACTGAATGCGTACGCGGTTGATCAATAGGAAAGCACGCGAATCGAACGTTTTACTCACTGTCGTATTGTCTGTGATCTTAAGCACCAATTTCCCATCCGCCGCCCTCCATTTCACGCAGTAACGTGCCTGTAGACCTACGATTGAGACGCACAACAGATGTGAGAACAGAAATACTCACTGTGTTTGGAGATTTCTCATAGAGAGCCTCCGCCGCCTCCTGATACTCCTGCCAGGACGAGATGTAGACCATGGCAGCATGGAGGCTGCGGTGGCGTGCAGAGTGAAGGCGTGGGCGCCAAAGGTATATCAGTCACATGACAGGCCCCCGCGCTAACCCCGCATTACTCGACAGGAAGCGCCGGGGCACACTATTCGCAGTGGAGTCAGCGAGCGTGCAGCGACGTCGTCCACGAACCGCCCGCGAAGCGTCGGGGCGACCCCGTATTTATTCCCTTCTTGCCAGCAACCATCAAGTCCTCGTGCGTATAAATCCTGAATTGCTGGGACAAGAAGAATGGCTGCTCCTCAGAAGAAATGTGCGTAGCTTGTCATTTTGTGTTGCCACAGAATCGCTGAAGGCCAACGTATCATAGCCCTTCCCTTTATCGCCAACTTTACGGCTGGGGCCATTGCTGGCATTTCAGAAATTCTCACTTTTTATCCCCTTGGTGAGTTCCAGTTGTCCGATTGAACGTGAGGGACGCATCATTAACTCGTTCGACCAAGATGTCGTGAGTAGGCTCGCAGTTCGGTAGCGGTTCCGCCTCATGAGCTCGCTATCACGAGTGCTAGGTGAAAACGCGTATGCAACTCGAGACGGGCAAGTCCCAGCATGGTCTTGTTGGTAGCTTCCGTACGATCATTCGGGAAGAAGGGTGCGTCGCATTCACGATCCCGCGAAGTGTCCTCTCTGAGATAGCACCTCTCCCCAGCTTTGGTCGACTATACAGAGGTATGTGCCTGGTTTGTGTCTACTGGAACTCTCTCACTCCGTGTACAGGTCTTGTCCCTCCACTGTTGCTCGAGGCACCGAAGCGTGCGACGAAATTGTACGTCAACCTTTGCTTTGCGTCATAGCTCACCCACGCTCATCCCATTCGACCTCTGTAGCGCAGCCAATGACTTCTGGGGCAAAACTTATCTCAAGGTGTCGGGCGAGTCGAAGATGACCCAGTCATTGTCCATCCTTACGGGCTGCAGCGCGGGAGCGACAGAGAGTGTTGTCGTCGTTCCGTTCGAGCTCGTCAAAATCAGGTGCATTCGTGATTTCGCGGATCCTGCCTTGGCACCGTGCGCTCATCGAAGATCACAGGCTCCAAGACAAACTTAGCACGTACTCGGGCCCGATGGACGTCGTGAGAAAGGTTATTGCGAAGGACGGTGTGCTGGGGTTGTACTCGGGTATGGAGGCGACGTTCTGGAGGTGAGTTGCCATGTCCTCTTCAGCTCGACTGAACGTGAGTCGTAATCTCGTTACCTCAGACACTTCTGGTGGAACGGTGGCTACTTCGGATGCATCTTCCAAGTACGGCAACTGCTCCCCGAGCCCGAGGTGTGTAGGGCGCATTCAGCGATCTAAAAACGGTGCTCACCGCTTCGATCTAGACCTCCCAGGCTCGCCTTATGAATGACCTGATCGCGGGTAGCGTTGGTGGCTTCGTCGGCACTGCAGTGAACACACCGTGAGATCTCTGGTCACTTGTCTGATTGTATCCATGCTCACATTACTGCCTAGTTTCGATGTAAGCACCTTATTCACCTGAGCCTGCCGTGTTAGCTAAATAATCCGACAGGTTGTCAAATCTCGTATCCAAGGTACGACGAAGGTCCCTGGCGTAACCCCCAAATACAACTGGACATACCCGGCGTACGTCGTCACCGTGACATCGCAGCCCGCGTTCTCGTTATACTGACGTTGACGTAGCCTCGTTACGATTATGCGGGAAGAGGGTCCCGTGGCGCTATACAAGGGCTTCGTCCCGAAGGTGCTCCGACTTGCACCTGGCGGCGGTATTCTCCTGCTCGTGGTTGAGGTGACACTAGGCTTGTTCCGACAGGGTACGTCTCGCCTTTTCACTGAACCCACACGCCGAGTTAATGACGACGTCTGACAGTGCTTGGCCCGCCGTACATCTGAGGTTGACAATGGCGACATACGAATGCGGGGTAGTTGGGGTCTCCGCTCGGGCCTGACATGTATGATGCGTCTAGACGTGCTGCCAAGATATCCATGTGGTTGTTAGTGAAGTGACTCTCCTGTCTAATCATCAGTTTCACTTCCTCCGTGTGTTCCGCAAGACAACCCCCCGAAGGGCCTGCAAGCCATTGGCGGATTCGTGCTCTCTATTTGATACAACAATCTACAGCACCTCCGTTCTTTTCCTTCTTCCATCTCATCCTTACACATTCAGCTCGGCCTTCCCGCCCGCCTGCACGCTCGCGCGGAGCTCCTCGCTGTCGAGAGCAGGGGTGACCCACTCCTTCAGAAACTTGTCCACCTGCTCTGGTGCGCGCCCGATGAAGCTCCTCGGGTCGAGCAGCTCGTCGAGCTGGCTCGTGATCGGGTCGAAGTACGGGTCGCGTCGCACGCGGTCGATCAGGTCGTTTTCGAGGCCCTCCGACTTCACCTGGTGCGCGGCTTCGTGAGAGAGGACCTGCACCAGCGCCAAGTTAGCATCAGGGTAGATTAGGGAGGTAAAAAAGCATACCCTGATCTTCTCGTGTGCTTCCTGACGGTCGCCGCCGGCCTTGACCATCGCCATGATGATGTTCTCGGTGGCCATGAAGGGCAGCTCCTGCGAGATCCGGCGCGCGATCACCTTGGGGTAGACGACGAGCCCCTCGGAGACGTTTTGGAGGGTTGTGAGCACGATGTCGGCGGTGAGGAATGCCTCGGGGAGAGTTATACGGCGGTTCGCACTACGAGGTCGTCGGTTCCAATATGCTAAAGGGGGTAGATGGGAAGGGGACGTACCTGTCGTCGAGAGTGCGCTCAAACCATTGCACGCTGGAAGTCATGAGCGCGTTTTGTTGGAGGACCATGAGATGCCGGGAAAGACTGCATATACGCTCGGAGCGCATGGGGTTGCGCTTGTAGGCCATTGCGGAAGAGCCGATTTGGGTAGACTCAAATGGCTCCTCGACTTCCTGATGAACAAAGCATGTCAGCGACTACCTAGTTTGGCTAAGAGGCGTGAACCCACCTTGAGGTTGGCGAGGAGCCGGAGATCGGTCGCGAGCTTGTGAGCGGTGGCGCCGAGGCCAGCGAGCGGTGCGAGGACGTCGATGTCAATCTTGCGGGAGTAGGTCTGGGAGGTGACGGGGTAGGCGTAGCTGAAACCTGAGAGAGAAGTGACAAGACTGTCGAGCTTTTCCACCTGGAGACAGATGAGTCTCCCTCGCGGTTGACACTTCAGATGGTCATACCTTGTCGTGATCACCGTCAAACAGTGTGAGGAAGCTGGCTTGCGTGCCTGTAGTACCCTTGACACCACGGAAGCCGAGGTCATCCCTAGCCCGCTTGATGTTCCGGAGGTCCCACAAAAGCTCCTATGTGGTGGTGAGCAAGGATCGAAGGGGTATTGATGGCGATCGCACCTGAAGCCAGAGCGTTGTGCGCTTACCAACTGTGGTCAATTGCGCAGGCTGGAAGTGGGTGAAACCGAGAGTTGGAAGGTCACGGTATTGTGCAGCGAAAACAGAGAAGCGGTCAATGACCACTGCAAGCTTTTTGAAGAGCATGGTGAGGGCTTCGCGAATGAAGATCAAGTCCGCGTTGCTGCGTCTCCTTGAGGATGAGTCCTATCCCGGACGATGATCACTCACTCTGTGACATAGCAAGACGTTGCTCCCAGGCTGTATAAGGGCGGGACTCAGTCAATGCAGCCCATTCGGACAGTGCATGTTACGGACTGGATGATTCCTGCCGCAGCAGGTGCGACTTGACCGAAAGTGTGGACGTGAGCCATCACATCGTGACGACGCTTCTTCTCTTCTTTGGCAGCGATGTCGAACTGCTCGGCATCCAAATGCTGCATAGGGACTGTCAATGCAAGATAGGGCTCGGTGACATATATGACCACGCACAAGGTTAGCCTTCATCTGCTCGATTGCCTCATCGGGTATGGACAACCCAAGCTGCTTCTCAGCTACGGCGAGGTTCAGCCACAATTTGCGCCAGGTGTGGAAGCGGTTCTGAGGGAACCGTGAGACGTTGGCTCGGGTTCAACCACGAGACATAGCGAACCTCCGCAGAGAAAAGATGGGCCATCTCCTTGCTGGCATATCGACTGGTAGTGTGTGTTAGCATTCGATCGTCAAGTCACCACTGGCGATCAACAGACCTTGAGAGAGGCGTCTGGTAAGTGTCAAAGCTCTCCATAGTGTTCTGCGTGGGACGTCTGATGAGTTGGATGTTGAATCGAATGAAGACGATATTGACCTGCAGTATCTTTCGCGAGCGAGGCTCGACTTTCTACAGTGACTCGGTACGGTAGAAGTTAGGATCGCTTGAGCGCCCGATGTTACCGCAAGATTTCCGTTCCGGGCAAATGATCGCGCTCCAGGGCCGCACACGTGACACTGACGCGCTCGCCGCCGGACGCGTCGCGTCACGCCGACTTCGACCTGAACCCTCAGTGGTTCTGCTTGTACCCTGCACATCTTGCTCCCGCCCGACTGCGACGAACGGTATGTCTACGAGCTCCTACTAAATCTTGCCGCTGTATCAGTTCTTCTGCACAACACGGCCTGCTGCGGGTGTCAGCGGGGAGAATGCCCCCGGGACCTCTTTACAATTGGATCTGCGTCGCGCACTCTGTCTGCGATGTACTCTCACATGCCACTCAAATACGCGCAGCTCAGCTAGCTGCGGTAGCCAGGCCAATGGGCCGTTCGAGAGATGACCTCAGGAGCGCAAGACCACGCGGCGGCCGTGAAGCGAAGTCTACCCTCACCGATGACTACTCGCAAGGCCCTGGGCAGACATTTGTGCGTGCTTCTTCCGTACCACAAGATCCAGTACCCTCCGTGAACCTAGCTGGAGGACCCGTGGCAACACCAGCGTCTTCCTCTGCCGGGACAAGTGACATCCCGCCTCCCCCAATGACTCTTCAAATCCCACATATTTCAAAAGGGCAGAATACGATCCTCGAAGAAAGCAAGCCGAAATCTACGTCACAACTGCCGGTCCCGCCAGAACCGGTGCCTCATGTCCCAACCGCCAGTACGCACAGTATCACAGCCAGCGGTCCGGTAATAATGATGTCGTCAGAAGATCCCTCACGACAAGTTCTCGAGAACGCGATGGCTCGGGAGGAGTCCCCGATTGTTGGCACAACCTCTGAGGTTCCTGCTCATGATGTAACCAGTACTACTGGTACAATAGAAGCAGCTGCAACGGTGAATTCCTGCCTTGGTTCGCGCCGAGATTCAACGCTTACTACCCTCCACCGACAGCCAGCTCCCGCTCCATTGCCGTCCCGTCACTTACAGTCCTCCAAGGTGCCTTCGTCGCGTATCGGACGGTTCTTTCACTACGGAGGTGAGTAAATGTGTATTGTTTTCTCGGAAACGCGCATATATGCGGTCAGTGACCATCCAATCTTCCACCAGGCCTCGCAGCCTCGCTTGGGTACGGAGCCGCAACTGAGCTTCTGAAACGCACGACGAATTCTGAAGAGAAACACTCACCCTCGCTCATGCTGACGGAGGGCAACATCAAGCGGCTTGTCGCGAAGCTCACGCAGCTGCGCGGTGCCGCGCTGAAGCTTGGGCAGTTCATGAGCATACAAGGTACCCCATTCGTCGGTCTGGAAGGAATCTAGGTCCTCATCTATGGAAGACAGCCACGTTCTCCCGCCTGAGATCGAAGATATCTTCCGCCGTGTGCAGGACAGTGCGCACTACATGCCCGACTGGCAAATGGAGGTCTGTCATGATCTTCTCATCCATTTTGCCTTAAGAAGCTCATACTGGTGCAATGGCAGGAAGTCATGCGAACCTCTCTAGGCTCGTCCTGGCAAGACAACTTTGACACCTTCGACCGACTTCCCTTCGCCGCCGCCTCCATTGGGCAGGTACATTCGGCTGTACTGGCAGCGCACGCCTCTCCGACGGGCAAGCCTGCGAAGGTCGCTGTCAAAATACAGTTCCCGAATATCGCGAACTCGATCGAGACGGACCTCGGGTACGTCAAGATGCTCTTGACGGCAGGGCGGCTGCTCCCGAGGGGTCTGTTCCTGGATAGGACGATCCAGGTTTGTCAATCTCAGCGTGGCTGCTTTATTGGGGTCTTGACGTGTACCATAGGTAATGAAAGCGGAATTAGCGGATGAGTGCGACTACTCCCGCGAGGCAGGGTTTGCAAAGCGGTTTGGTGCGACAGACTACTTGGGGAGCGACCCGCGCTTCAGGGTGCCTTGGGTATGGGACGGGAGTACGCAGCGTGTCCTGGTGATGGAGCACGTCGAGGGCGTGAGCGTCGGTGGGTCGGTCATCAATTCGTTGAGCCAGGAGGATCGGAACCATGTGCGTGTTGGGTGGATTGTATGATGTGTGTGGCTGACTGGCGCGTTATGTAGATCGCGACGGGTATTATCGACCTCTGCCTGAAGGAGCTCTTCGCCTTCCGACTGATGCAGACCGACCCGAACTGGACAAACTTCTTGTGGAACCAGCGCACGCGTCAGGTCTGTTCACAGCCCTCTTACTGTACCTAGCTAGCGTGCTGACCGTGCGTACTACAGATCGAGCTTGTGGACTTCGGTGCGACGCGCGAGTACTCGAAGGAGTTCATGGACGACTGGATGCATCTCCTGCAAGCGGCGGCCCTTGACGACCACGACGCGTGCGTTGCGTGGTCCCTCAAACTCGGGTACCTCACGGGCGAGGAAAACGAGGTACGAGCTGCTCCTTGTCCTTCTCTTTCTCCAAGTCGGCAAGGTGATCCATCTAATCACCGCTGCAGGTCATGCTCGACGCGCACGTTAAGTCGATGACGCTGCTCGCAACGCCGTTCAAGGCGGGCACGCATCAACCGGTCTCCTTCGGGCCTGGCTCGCTGTGGGCTGATATCACAGCACAGATCCGGGAGCAAATTCCGGTCATGCTTCAGCATCGGCTTACGCCTCCGCCCAGGGAGACGTACAGTCTCAACAGGTGCGTCTAACTGCAGCTCATCACAAAGGTAGGAACTCATGGTGCGGGGTGCAGGAAACTAAGCGGCGCGTTCTTGCTTGCCTCCAGGCTGAATGCAGAAGTCGATTGCAAGACGCTGTGGGACCAGGTCGTCGAGAACTATCAGTTCAGTGACGGAACACCATCCTAGAAGCAACCTTGCGAAGCATGCATCAAAACGACAAACAAGTTGAGTTGCAGACAAAATCCCCGTATTAGTACCCTATACAGTAATATATGGTACTGAGTATCGTACGCCAGCGTAGTGTAATTTTGTCGTGTCTAGTAGTCGCTAGAGATTGTTGAAACCTCCGCTTTCGTCGTGTTTGCGTGTCTAGGACGTAGCTGGGCGTCGCGGTCGTTGTGGACGTATTGTGCGGCAACTTGTGCGGCAAATGGGAGGAGCTTCAGAGCTCCTTCTTGGACTCTGCTTTGCTCTGCTGCGCGGCGCGGTTGGAATAGATCATGTCTGTGAAGGGTCTGGGGGCGGGTCAGGCTGAATACTGGGCAATGTGTGGGTTGGAACTTACCCTTCGAACCGCAAGGCGATCACGTAGACAACGTAGACGTACGCCGTCAGCAAAAGACCCGCTGGGCTCTCGTACCTTCAGCACACATCATCAGAACTATTATCCACCTTCGTCCGCTACGAGTGGCACTTACCAGAGGGACACTGCGGTAAAAGACATCGTGCTCCCGACGTACATTGGGTCACGGAGGACATTGAACGGGAAGCCCTCGACGCGGTGATCCATGAGGATGCCAAAATAGTCCCCGAGGAACGTGCCCGTTACTCCGAGGGCCCACGTCGAGGTGACAACGAACGTCTGGCCGAGCACGAAGAGTGCAAGGGGGACGATCGTGTCGAAGGGCTCAGGAAGAATGACGTGCTTGGGCTGATGCTCGAGCGCGCGGTGGAAGCTGTACGGCAGACGACTGAGTGAAACCGAAAGATGTGAAGCAGGAGGACAGACGTACAGAGAGTCGCGAAGCATGCCCGCAGAGAAAATGCACAGCGCGAGGAAGTAGCACCCATACCTCGCGTTCCCGCCAAAAATCCGCGTGATGGTCTTGTTCCTATACTCTAACCCACCAGACCATTCATGTTAGTGCCTCTGCCTGCAAACAAGACTTGCACGCACCATTCCGCGCGACGATGTTCCATACCGTCGGATTGAATGCTACGGAGAACACGGATGCCCACAGTGTCGGCTGCGACAGATCCACCAGTGACGAGAAATCCATGGCCGTATAGTCCGTTAGCCCACGATGCAGTGGTAAGGGGTGCTGCAGCGCTCGAGGATCGACGTGTCCACACAGGGGTCGCTCATGGCGCGTGTCTGTACGGACCGAATTGGCGCCCATACCGAGGACGCGGTCACGGTACCGCTTTGCATGTACCCACGCGTGACGCGACGCGCGTCGCGGACATCCAAGCAACGGCGATGAGATCATTAACCAAACGGACAACTAGACTAACGCCATCGTCTGCGGGGCTACAAATCCTTGTGGATAGTCTTGAGGGTAGGCGACCTGTTCAGAACGCGCATTGAATGACTCGGTATACAGTCATGGCCCAGAGTCCGTCGTTGATGAAATTACAACAAGATTACTAGTAGTCATTTGTGGGACGTTCAACTACATTCAAGAGGTTGTGTAGGCGCCTTCACTGAAATAACTGAACAACTACCGTATGACTCCCACCAGCCAACTGGAGTACTTCAGAAGAGTCCACATAAGCCTCAGCGCCGTTGATTGTCGTTGATCCAGGATACGGCAGCCGAAGGCTCCCGCTCGTCCTCTCCGGCGTCTCAATCGTGATGTTGAACCACCCATCCTTGGATGTCCAGTTGACGCCAAACCACCCCAGAGGTGTCTCGAAGCCTCCCTCAGCGCAAGGCAGCCCAGACGTGTGCGGAGCGACGGACCATGTCTTGCCTTGTGGAGAAGTTACCTGCAGGCCGAGGACGTAGAAGGTGAGTGCGGATGTGGGTCCCGAGCTCCACCCGTGTGCGTGACTAATGTAAGAGGGGTCGTAGTTGTAGCCTTGGTATGAGCGATAGCTGGAAAGCGTGTCAGAATGGGAACGTGTTGCGGTTCCCAGTATGACTTACTAGAGGGATCCGTTTCCGGTGTAGCCTTCAAGCAGTGTCGATTGTACGCTGATGGGTGTATAAAGCATGTATCCCCATTCTCGACGAAGGAGATCCATCGCCCGCGCATCATTGCCGGCTATGAAGTGTGCTTGCAACTGTGAAGTCCAATGAGCTCGCGAAACGTCGTGTTCGCTTCATCCGCCTCACCTCGAATCCGCCAATGAAGGGCGCCACAGTATCAGGCAACTCAGGGGCAATCGACCCATATGCGCCCCAATTTTTCGTCAGTCCGTCACTGATGGACGCAACCTGCTCCGGTGTCTCCGTGAGGTTGAAGAAGATAGCGAGTGAGTTGGCGTCCTGCGGGGTGAGCGTCGTGGTAAGGTTATCGCGGTACATGCCGTCGTCTTCCAGCCAGAACGCATCGTTAAACGTAGTCTTAAGGGCCGACGCATTAGTGGCATAGGCCTCCGCGAGCTCAGTGTCGTTTAGCCAGGTTGCAAGATCCACGCTATTGGTTAGGACCTGCATGATATCATGCGTGAGCCAACCAGGCCCCGACCTACCGCTATTCACATTCTCACCTTGTAGTAGATCGCATTCGCCTCCGAGTTGTATCCACCCTGCCCCTTCCGCCCCCAATCCCTCAACCCCGTTACGTTCAGCAAGCCATTACCCTGCACCTTGCCCGTCAGGTACGCGACCGCCTTCGTGTAGTTGCCCCACGTGTCCTCGAGCCACGCGTAGTCGCCCGAGTAGAGGAAGTAGTTGTACGTCCCGATGAGCGTCCAGCCGTGGTACGTGTCGCTGCCCTGCTGGCTCAGTGGCGGGCCCGACTCAGGCAGCGCGCCCGTCTCGGCGTTCTGCGCGGCGAACATCGTGGAGAGCGCATTGCGCGTGGGCAGGAGGTCGTTCGTCGAGACAAATTGGGTGGGTACGGCGATGCCCATGTCACCTGTAGTTCACGATCAGTGGGGGGCCATATGTGCCTTAAGCACTACATGTACCTGGCCAGACAGCGCTGCACATCCAATCAGTACTCGATCAGTACAGAAGAGTAGCTTGGTGCTATGTTGTACCCACCGGTCACGTTTTGCACCGTCAACAATGATGGGACCCGCAACCCCCAAAGTCGCGTTGTTCGCCCACCCTTGGCGTTGTTCAGCTTTGCTGAAGGTGCGTGAAGGAGTAGAATGGACATACCCGGCGATGGGACGATAGGCACCTGTCGCCCTGTATCCAGCGGCACCGTACCCGTCTGCACTGTGTAGGCACCCGAATACCATAGCTGTCGATGATTGATTAGTGTCAAGTGTTTTCCAAGATATCACGGACACCGTACTCTCGTCAGGAAGTTTTGGTCGACGTAATTTGGGTCCGAAGCATAGAAGTAGCCAGAGTAGTTCCGCATGTCTTCCACATGTGTCATGAACGAGATCTCGCAGGACACGTTCGAAATGGACACCGCATTGTCTGACGTGGACGCGATGGTGAGGAAGCGGTAGCCTCCTCTCAGTTGGGCTCTAGGCTGAGTCCAGAAGCCTGCGTCAAGGGGCGCTGGGACGTGGAGCACGCCGTCGTAGTACATGTTCGCGGATGGGTACGACGAGTCATCTGAGTTGTATGGACTGATGAAGAGCGGCGACTCGGTGAAGGAGAGTGAGATGGAGGAGTCCGAAGAGACTGCGTCGAAGTTTAGCGACACCCATCCTCTGACCTACAAAAGAGGTTATCCCACCGCTCTCACCGAATTAGTGAGTGCGCAACACTCACCTCAAAACCGAAGTCGAGCGTCACATAAGAGCCGTCTCCGCTCAGGGCCGCGCTACCCTCGGACAGCAAGTTGGTCGCCCCCGCAACATTGCCCCCAGTCTCGCGAATATAGCGTGCATAGACAGTCCTCGCCGGTGGTGCGAAGTTGAAAGCATCCCACGGACCGCTCGGTGCGGATGCTAGCACAGACGTCGTCAAGAATAGCAGACACAGCACTCGCCCCAGAGCCATGATGCACCGTCAGTTGGCTTCCCATTTCTCTCACCGTCCTGCGCCTTATGTATAGCTCGTCGACGCCGTCATGCAACCCACGGCGTCGAGATGGTTCAGTGGTCCGGATCACCGCAGGGAACCGCCGGCCCGCGAGCTTTTTCAGTTGTGGTCATTCGAACGCAGGGCTGGTCAGCAGTTTCCGAAGTGTCGGTGAGTGTGACTCTGAAGACGGTGATGTGCCTCGGCAGATCATAGTATAGCGACGACGTCAACCCTGCCGCACGGTAATTCAGTACTGGTACGTGGCTATAACGGACGCGTATGTCCGCTGACGCACCGTTGGCCGTGGAAAGCCTCAACCCGAGGTCAGCTGTTCAGCGAGGACTGGCAATATCTTGTCTTGTTGATGATCGGCTGTCATGGGGCCAACACCTCGTCAGAAGACTGCAAGTGCAACGCACAAGAAAATGCACTGGCTAAGATTCACAGACTTTACATTAGCGAGAATCGTGCATTGCTTGACGGCGAGACACAGTGTAGATGTCCAGAAGTATCACCTCTGGATCCAACAGCCCCAGTCAATGGTGACAGCAAATATAGGCACCTCCAGTCCTGAGCGTTCAAACTTCACGCCTCCACGATAACGGTATGGGATCCTCCAGATAGCTCGAACGCTTGCGAACCGTCCTCATCGACCTCGACCCCATCCACATACATCGTCCCGGTGATCGGCAGCTTCACTGTCCCGCTCGTTTCCTCCGGCGTCGAAATGGTGATATTAAACCTACTCGTGTCCGAGGTCCAGTCAACGCCGAACCAGCCGAGTGTGGTGCTGTACCCGCCCTGGGCCGATGGCAGCCCCGACGTATGCGGCGCAATGGACCAAGTCTGACCGAGGGGCGACGTGACGGTCAGGCCGAGGACATAGAACGTGAGAGCGGACGTGGGCCCGGTGCTCCAGCCGTGCGAGTGGCTGACGAAGGTTGGGTCATAGGCGTAGCCGTCGTAGGATCGGTAGCTAGTGCGATTGTCAGCCTTAATCCTTGCGACGCGTGTGCGCAGAGCGTGAACTCACTACAGAGAACCATTGGATGTGTAGCCCTCGAGGAATGTCGATTGCACGCTGATGTTTGTGGTGAGCATGTATCCCCATTCTAGTCGAATAAGGTCGAGGGCACGTTCGTCATTGCCTGATGCGAAGTGAGCGGAGACCTTGGCACTCGTCAGTAAACGGCCTGTTTAAGCATTGTCACCATACTGAGCAGCTCACCTCGAAGCCGCCAATGAATGGTGCGACATTATCTGGGAGCTCCGGTGACACCGCCCCATACTCGTTCCAGTACTGCGTAAGACCATCGCTGATCCGGGACGCCTGCTCAGCAGATGTAGTGAGGTTGAACAAGACCGCTAGAGCATTGCCGTCTTGTGGATAGAGTGTGGACGTCTCGTTGTCACGGTACATGCCGACGTCGTCATCCCAGAACACGACGTTGAACTCCCCCTTGAGCTTGGTTGCATTCGTGTAGTATGCGTACGCGAGGTCGGTGTCGTTCAGCCAGGTCGAGAGCTGCGCGCTGTTCAAAAGTGCCTGACATCCGCTCATCACACTATAACATCCAATAGGTGCATTCCCTACTCACCTGGTAGTAGATCGCATTCGCCTCCGAGTTATACCCACCCATCCACAACCTCCCCCAATCTCCCGTCTCCGACACATACAACAGCCCCTTCTCGTCCACCTTCGCCGCCAAATACTCCATCGCCCTCGTATAATTGCTCCACAGTTCCTCAACAAATTCGAGGTCGCCCGAGTACAGGTAATAGTTGTACGTCCCGATGAGCGTCCACGCGGCGTAGGTGTCGCTGCCCTGCTCGCTGAGCGGCGGGCCGGAGTACGCGAGCTCGCCGGCGGCGGTCATGAGCGAGAAAATGGTGGCGATGGAGTTCTTCGCGGGGAGGAGGTCGTAGGTCGAGACGAACTGGGTGGGCACGGCGATGTCCATGTCGCCGAGCCACACTGCCCTAAGGAGGGGTTAGGGTGAGGTGCGGTTTGTAGGAGCGAGTGCGTACCGTCCGCGCTTGGCTCCGTCGATGATGAGTGGGCTTGCAATGCCCGCGGTAGCATTGTTATACCAGCCTGTGCGTGCTCAGAGCGAACTGATGAGTGCGAGAGAGAACGTCCATTTACCTGGCGAGCCAAGAGGGGGATCGACACGTCCGGTATCCGCTGCAATCGTCGCCGTCTGGACAGTATATGCGCCTGAGTACCATATCTACCGAGAAAGCCATGAGCGAACGTTCGTGCGAGATCAACCGCGACCGACCTTCGTGAGGAAATCTGCGTCGTCTGATTCTGGGTCTGACGTGTAGAAGTACCCAGTGTAGTTCCGTAGGCCCTCCCAATGTGGCATAAAGGAGATTGCACAGGAAACGTTGGAGATAGTGACGGGGTCATCTGAGGTCGAGACGACTGTCAGGAAGCGGAAACCTCCTCTCAGACGGTAATCGGGTGCTGTCCAGAGACCGGTCTGGAGTGGTGCAGTAAGAGGTAGAACACCGTCGTAGGACATCTCTGCGTCTTGTACTGCCGAGTCGTCGGAAGTCTGTGGGCTGATGTATAGAGCGGATTCGGTGAAGGATAACGCCAGAGACGACGACGTCGTCGCATTGTCGACGGTCAACGAGATGATCCCTCCAACCTAGGGAGTTGATCTTGTTCAGCATGGTCGAGTGCGATGGAAATGGTCGACCTGCGCACCTCGTACCCAAAGTCCAGCGTCACATAAGATCCATCGCCCACCAGTGTAGCACTCCCCGTGTTGTTAGCTAGGTTGTCCGCGGTTGCCACGGTACCTGTGACGCCATATATCGTTCGCGCATATACCGTCTTGCTCTCCGGTGCAAGGTTGAACACATCCCATGGCCCACTTGGTGCAGTTGCTGAGACGCATATAGTCGCTACCAAGGGCACCAGCGCATAGAGAGCAGCCATCGTGGGATGTCATCCATGTCGTAACCACTCGTCACTTTATACGCGGTTCGGAATACTTGGGAGAAGCCTGAGAGCGACGGGGAGTTTCCGCAGAGGTGTGAGCTTGGGATCACGAGGGTAGCACCGCGGACCGTAGGCCGCAGCGTGCTCGCTGCTGACCAGCCTCAAGTCTGGGTTAAGTCTGGGCAAACGATGTGTAATTTGATCGGATGATCATCAAAGACGACTTGCTGTGGTGGTCAGGCAGGAGAATGAACTGCAGTAGGACTGACGGCCTGTAGCTCGATGTCAGGGTATGTTGGTCACCAGAGTCAGACAACTCACCGACCATCTTAGTGTTGTCCTCAGCCCACGACAACATTGTCCGACGCAAAAGCACAACGTACTTAGGCGTGTTCTCTAGATACCGAATTCTAAGCTGAGAGACTACTACCCACTAGCACACTCCTGCGGCCGTGGAGTCAGTATGGAATAGCCATGCATCCCGAAGGTTGATGGATTCCGAGTCGAGAGTCATCCACGACACACGAGCGGAGGATTCCTTCAGGTCCGGAGACTCATGCACATATCATGCTCTTGAGTCGCGATTCTCGAACAAGACCTTGCCAATAGGTCGCAGCGAGGTCGTGCGCGATCATTATAACGTGTACATTGCCGATGTCGTTGAGTAGTGATTAGATTCTTTGGTTTGTAGAACAGATGAAGACTATCCACATCGCCAGATAGTACCCGAGATGTATAAGTAGAGCGAAAGTAGAGGCAGCTTAGTCTGGTGGTGACGATACGGGCTGAAGACACGCTGGGCGCCTACGCGGTACTGCAGGCTGTAGCGCTCAGCGGCAAGTGCCAAGTCGTCGACGGTCGCGCGTGTACCGAACCTGGACGTGGACTCTGGCAACAACTCGCATCCTGTTCTGCCCCGCTACGACCGTTTCATCGCCTATGCAACTAGCCTCCAATAATCATTGTTGATTTCTGTGCACAATCCCGACCGACGTGCCAGGTGCTCCCGGTGTCCCTCCTTCAACATCTCGTGGCAAGCTCAGGATACAGTACGGAGCCGACGTCCTCTTGTGGACTCGAGTGTCCCTCTCAGCCGCAAGATGGCCGCCACAGAACGTCCTATCTTCCGGCTACTGCTGATTGGCCTAGTGTTTCATCTGGTGTACATTGGCACTGTGTTCGACTGTTACTTCACGAGCCCAGTCGTCCATGGCATGCGAACGTTCAAGGCAAAGCATGGAGAGGCAAAGCGTTTGGTTCTCATCGTCGGTGCGTCTCTTGACTTCTTTAAGTCTGTGTCAACCTCATTAGTTTGCAGCGGACGGTCTGCGGGCGGACCTTGCATTGGCGCAGAATCCCTTCCCTTCAATACCATCTGCGCCTGAGTTCGCTGCGCCGTACCTTCGCTCTATCATTGAGTCCAGAGGTGCCTTTGGAATATCTCATACACGCGTTCCTACAGAGAGTCGGCCTGGACATGTGGCATTGATTGGTAGGACTTCGTCTCCGGAGCTCACCAGCGAAGGGAAGCTCAGCTTATTATGTAGGTGGCATGTACGAGGACGTGTCTGCAGTAACGAAAGTAATGAAGGACATTCATTAGCATCTATTGATGGTACTGAGCCGTGCACTAGGGATGGAAGACGAACCCAGTAAATGGCCTCCCGCTCCGTACCCATTGCAAGCTCTGAGGCTTTGAACGAATCGTCAGGTTGACTTCGACTCCGTCTTCAACCAATCGAGCCATACATTCTCATTCGGGTCTCCAGACATCTTGCCCATGTTTGCGAGGGGCGCAACACCGGGAAAGGTGGACATGTGGTGCTACGATGAGGACGAAGAAGACTTCACGAAGGGTATGCTACCTGCTATGCTTGAGGAACTGAGCTCATTGTTAGGCACATAGACGCAACGGCACTAGATGTGTGGGTACTGGAGCACCTGCGAACATTGCTTCACAATGCCACTACGGACCGTAACCTGGACCGCACGCTGCATCAGGAACAGACCATATTTTTCCTCCATCTACTCGGCCTCGACACTACAGGTCATTCCTACCGGCCACACTCTCCAGTGCGCACCCAAAGTCACCTCGTCTCTCGAGGTCAGTGACTAACACTTCGTTCACAGGAGTACATGGCGAATATTCAGGTCGTCGACGCGATTGTACACCAAGTCGAGCAGCTCTTCACCGACTTCTACAAGGACACCGAGACCGCATACATCTTCACTGCCGACCACGGGATGTCCACGATCGGCAACCACGGCGACGGACGTACGTTCCATCGCCCTCGTCATGCTCGCACCCACCCACTGACCCTGCCCGCAGACCCAGACAACACCCGCACGCCGCTCGTCGCGTGGGGAAAAGGCGTGCGGGGGCCGCTCCCAGACATCTCGCCCTCCTCGCACGACACCTATTCCGCCGCATGGCGCCTCGACCACCTCCTGCGGCGCGACGTCGAGCAGGCGGACGTCGCCGCTCTCATGGCTGCGCTCCTCGGGGTGCACTGGCCCGTCAACTCCGTCGGCGTCCTGCCGGACGTCGACCCCGCGCGCCCGGGATACATGGAGCCTGCAGGAGGCGAACGGGCTCTGGCGGAGGTGGCGCTCGTGAACGCGAGGGCTGTGTTGGAGCATTATCGTGTGAAGCATGGTAGGCGGTGGCCGAATTTGGCTGTTGGGTTGGGCGGTGGGCTAACGATGGAGTGCAGAGCTCAAGGAGGCCCATGCGCTGTTCTACAAACCGTTTCCGTACTTCGCAGGCTCCCCGTCAGGTGATCCTGGAGCTGAGTATGTGAGGGGTATCGAGCTTCTCATCGAACGAGGGGAGTACACAGAAGCGAGGACGATGGCGCAGAGGCTCATACGAGCAACGCTCGATGGTCTCCGGTATCTCGAAACGTGAGTAGCATCCCGTCCAATCCTCCCAATTGATGCGCATCGGATCTAGGTACGACCGCACGCTTGTGCGCGGGATCGTCCTGGCGGCATACCTCGGCTGGATCGCCTTCGGCGCAGCGTCCATCTTCCTGGCTGAAGACAAAGCAGCGAGTGGGACACGGAGAAGACAATTTTCCAGTTTGGACGCCTTGGCCGCGACGTCACTGGTAGCATTCTGGGCGGCGTTCGCTAAACAGCGCTCGCCTTGGACGTTCTATTTGTACATCTGCTTCCCGGTGTATTTTTGGCACCAGGCACTGCTCAAGGCAAAGGCACCGCTCACAGTATACCTCAATGCCTCGCAGGATCATGTCTCGGACATCCTCCACTTTACGGTCAAAGGGGCGGCCGTTGTCGCTGCGTTGGAGGGCATGGTGGTAGGTCTGACTTCGATCACGCTTTTGCAGGTCTTGATGAGACGATAGGTCGGCTATACCCATCGCGAAGTCTGGAGCGTCGGATTCGTCGCGATTGGTGTACTGTGGCCTGTGGTATTCATGCGGAGAGACGTGTGGTCGAAACATGCTTTGCTGCTGCTGGGATGGATCGTTGCATGTCTGACTACTGCGGTGTTCCCTATGCTTAGCGTGGATAAGCAAGAGGATCTGCGTACCATGTGAGACGATTCTGAGTGTGACTTGAGTGTGCACTGACTGTACCCATGCCAGAACCGCTTGCGCGATTTGCATGCTCACTGCTGGTATAGCGGCTGGCGTCAAGGTACGCGTAGACCTCAAGGAAGAACGTCGCTTCAGGTTCGCTCTCGCATTCCAAGTAGGTCGCGAAATTCTGTTGTCAATTGCCCGGTTTTTGACAAGTTCTGCAGTGTCTTTTGATCGCTGCGAGCCTCCTAGTCACCATCTCTTCCGCACGGAGCCTACGCGCCAAGGCTGGCCTTCCGCCGGTGAACCAGGTAGTTGGGTGGGCGATCTTCCGTCAGTGCATCCTTTGCATCCTATACTACCCCTTCTGACAAGTTGGAAAACAGTGACGGCGTCGGCATTTCCCTTCGTCTTCAGGTTCCAACGTCTACCTGGCCTCGCACGGCTGATGGTGTTCTTCCTCGCGTTCTCCGTCTGCTTCGTCATACTGGCGATCAGCGTCGAGGGTCTCTTTTACGTCGCCTTCTCTGCCACACTCCTGTTGTGGGTTGATGTCGAGGCCGCTGTGCAGACAACGCAAGATCCGCGAAATTCTGATACAGCGAAGCTGTCCGCATACAAACCGCGATCCGATGACTTCCGGATCGCGGTGTTCTTCTTGTTCTTCGTACAGGTGGCTTTCTTCGGAACGGGAAAGTGAGTAGACCATACAATGGAACATATATATGGGGGCTAACCGATATGCTAGTGTTGCATCGATATCGTAAGCTCAACTTGTCAGGTACCTGGCAACAAAACTCACGCATTTGCAGGTCGTTTTACCTCGAACCCGTGTACCGTCTCGTCCCCGTCTTCAATCCGTTCCTGATGGCCGTGCTACTGGTTCGTACTCTTGTCTGGATTTTGCCTTGCTGTAAACCGAGAGTTGCATCATGTACAGATATTCAAGATCATCGCACCGTACATCATCCTAGCGATGTGCCTCAATTTACTAAACACTCGCCTGCACCTGCCTCCCTTCAGTCTATTCCTCGTTGCACTGACACTCACAGACGGTGCGAAACCTCTGCTTATCGAGCTCTCGTGTTCCGCTGACGTTCGAAAGTAGTCATGACCATGACATTCTTCTTCAATGTCACCGATACGGGTAAGTGAAGAAGTAGAATTGTGAGTTGGCACAATTGACTCAAATATGCATAGGATCGTGGCTTGAGATCGGCCAGTCTATCACGTTCTTCGTCATCAGCTCCTTGCTGCTCGTGTGGGCGGCAGGTACGTGTGCCGTAGGCGAAGTCCTCATGGGCGAAAAGGATGTCTTCGAGCGGACCAAGGGCAAGGTGGACTGATTGTGGGTACTCATTCCTCTCTGCACTTGTGCATGGAGCATGCTGCAGACGCCCCTTTGGCAAAAGGATAACGTATGGTATATTCTCCTGGCTAATGAGATTATTTGCGATGTGGTTGGAACATTGACCGTTTGATGAAGCTATGCATAACATTGACACGGCCCACGAGTATGGAAGAATGGTCCCGTTTCCTAGATTATGTGGGACTCCTCGTTGACGCAATCAATGCACCTCGTACGGAGAGTATCGATCAAGACGGCGCTATGTCAGAGGATCTACTCTACAACACCTTTGATCGGCTGCGTTGCCGCAATGCTGCGTCCATTCGAATAATAGTCCTAGCGCCATTGGACAGCTTGGCAAGCATCAACGCGGTCAGGTGATTATACGCGTGAAGGGTATGTACATAGAGCCACTAACTGCGACGCGTAGTAGTAGGACCGTCGGTGAAGTTCCTCGTTGCATACTGGCCAGTAAACCTTGTGAAACGTGGCCGCGCCGGGTCGTCGCTGAGATCTGAGGCGCGGGGGTACGTTCTCGTACTCACGCTGGTCGCGTAACATCGGGCATGGGCGCTACTGATATGTCCCGCGTCACACGTAATTGTCTCCGTCGTACACACCCGGCCAGTGCGCAAGGTCTACGTGTCTGTCCCTGTCATCTGCAGTCTGGTTCCTCAGCTTGTTATCGACCAATCATGCTGCCCCCAGACCCGTCCTTACCCAGCATCCCGCTCGACGTGGTGGACGAGATCTTACAGCATTTATATCCATCTGGAGTCTTCCATAGCGATTCATACGCTGACTTCCTCGCGGGCAAGGAGGCGCTTGCCAGGTGCGCATGCGTGTGTCGCGCTTTCCAGACACCTGCAGTGAAGGTCCTATGGCGAGAACAAACCCTGACGAACGCTTGTGGCGCTGTCCTACGGGAGTTCACATTCGCTTGTGTTAAAGGCCCGCTGGACGCGGACGATGAAGACGGCGACGAAGGTGATGATGACGACAACGAGGACTGGCCTGTCGGTATCGATCCGGACGACCATCTGTACACCTACGTGCGTCGAGTTCTATAATTCAATGCTGACGCGGGGCTGATGTATCTGTGTCAGAACTATCTACCGGGACCCATCTCACCTGAGGAATGGTCGCGCTTCAAGTACTATGCACAGTTCATCCGCGTCCTCCGATACACCTTAGACGAGAAGGTAGACTCATCTGTCTTATTCTATCTCCATCAACACACCCACGGCGAGCCGCTCTTTCCCAACCTGCGCAAGCTTGAGTGGTGTCAAGCTGTGCCCGACCTCGTTTCTGTCATATCGCCGACGATACAAGTCCTCTGTTTGCGCGAGGAATCCGGAGAAGAGGAGAATTATTGCCAGCCGCACGAGCTCGCGTACCGCACCAGGCGGCACGCACTCAAGACGCTCCTCCCCGGAATCCTCGGTAGGATGCCTGACCTGCAAGAACTCGAGATACGGCCTTTGCACCATGAGGGCTTTTGGCTGCAACTCGCGTCGCTTCCTGGACGTCGATTTGCTACCCAGAGTATCCGCGTTCTCCATATCTCGGAGTCCCTCGACGTCCTGTTGAGCGGTGCCCTCCCTGCCATCTCCACTAGTCAAAATCTCCACGAGCTCAGGATCGATGTCCTCACCTATGAAGACGATGCGTACCCGCCCGCGACGCGGCGCGAGTGGAGCAAGGCGTCCATCCGCACATTTGTGGAACTGCGGCGCTTACGTATCGAAGGCTCGGTTTCGGAGACAGCAACTCTCGTTGATGTGATCATCGCGCCAGAGCTCGAAGATATAGAGCTACACCGCATGGCTCATTCCGATTCCGAGTCCTCTGGTATTCCAGCTCTACTTCGCGCTTCCCTTCACACACTGGGTACACGCAACGCAGGATCTTTGCGGAGAGTCAAGTTGGTAACGTATGGCAGTGCGTCCGATATGGCGTTCTCCGAACTCATTAGACCATTGCTTCCACTTCGCCACCTCGATGAGCTCGACATTGATGACCCTGCTGCCAGAGTCATCGACTCCTCGGCACCTACCATGCTAGCGGCTTGGCAGATGCTCGAAAAACTGTCCCTTGCAGTGATGGTGTTGTCGCCGGAAAGGCTTCAGGGCATAGTGCGCAACTGTCCTCGTCTGAAGAGACTGAAGGTGCTGCGCTTGTCGAAGGATTTCCCCCTGATACCTCCAGTTACATCGAACGTCTCCGATGCACCAGATTCAAGGGGTATCGAACACGGTCTCGAAGAGTTGTGTGTCGTCAGCCCCTTCAAGGTGACAGAACCTGCGGGCATTACAGCGATCGCGAGGTTTCTGAACAAGCTCTTCCCCCGGCTTCGTCCCGAGCGTTGCGTGGATACTACGCATACAACGGACGGCGATGGAGACTGGGATAGGGTCCTACAAGAGATGGCGAACCTTCGGTTGAGCGGATAAGATCGTACGTCATGTCTTTGTTGATGACTGATTGACGTTGTCGCTCAACATATCTCGCATGTGCATGCTCACAGAGGGACCAACGAGACCGGCGAGCGATCAACTCGGAAGCGTTCAAGTTGACGATTAGTAAGTCCTCAGGCCGCAGGCTGTAGCCTCAATGCTAGTACGCATTGCGCATTCTAATACCCCCTTTTGTCAGAACCGCAAACTGTCACTAGGAAGAGAACTAGCCGGGCTACATCTCAATGTTACTGATTACTATTCGCTCTTTGTTGCATCAATGAAGTGGAGCACTTACGCGTGCTGTCAACTCCCGCGTCAGCGATCACCCAAGTGAAGCCAGTACTTGTGAAGCAGACTTCGAACGTTTGATCGGTATCTGTCCACTCGAAGAGAGATCGGGGGTCAACCGGTCATGGCTGAAATCCTGACTCTCGAGCTGCCGCATCTTATGTGAACCATGCCAACGCCACGATGTATGATCTGTACGGCCTGGAAGTGCGCTGTTCCGAACGCTGTCCCTACGTCCCGCGTTGCTCTTCCCGGATACGCTTCGGGCTGTTGCGCGCACTTCCCCCCAATTGAAGACCCTGACGATGCGGTGCTTGTCTGAGGACTTCCTGCAGCTACTTGCGGCGCAGGATGCAAGGCAGCCGGACGATCCTCGTCACCATGCACCTTGCAACGTAGCTGGAAACGTCCTCGAGACGTTGTGTCTCGCCGACCCCTTCACGAGAATAGAACCCGACGACATCAGAATAATTGCTTTTTTCCTGAGTAAGCTCTTCCCTCGGCTTCAAGTCTACGCTATACATCCTTCGATGAGATCCCACAAGAGCTGGCTTCAGGTGCTGAAAGAGGTAAAGAGGTTCCAGGCAGAACATCGAGCAGATTCGTACGTTGTCCACGACATACTGAACTGTCACGATCATACTAATCATACATAGCGAATCTCTCATGAACGTGTCACAGACCGATGCCGCTCAGGTTCTGAGCCAAACTCAAGCCAGAAACAGTGACATCAAGTCCACGGTATGAATTATGGTATGTACCGCATTACCGCTGCCTACGATAAGCTGACGTGAAGGCCACAGGATCATGCACACTGCTGGCTGCGGTGCACCGCGGTTACCATCTACATATCCATTGCTACAACAAATTACAGATCCATGCACGTTGAGCTTGTTCCGGCTAAGATAATATTGCGCGGTTCACCTCTTTTGGCTTATTCAATGATGTATTCACTGTGAGTCGTGACTAATACAGCCTTGGAGGGCCGGCATGAATTGCACAAGGGCGATATTACTACGCACTAATTCGACTTTGTACACGAGAGCGCCCCCCTTCCTCCCAGTCGTCCCAACAAATGGCGAGTATCACCGTATCTCGCCCTGTCTTGTCTTCCATAGAGTCTCCCTTCCTCGGCTTCACTCCTTCCTCATCCGAGACCGCCCACATCCACCTAAAGACTCCTTCCCTCTTGAACCCCATCTTCTCCGCGAGCCGTATCGACGCGATATTCTCCGGATATGCCATCCACTGCACGCGTCGGAGCCCAAGGCCGGGAGGTGAAGCGCTCGGGAGATCGAGACAGTATCGCAGGAGTAAACCTACAGCGTGCGCAGCAACGTGGGTTCGCTGGAATGCAGGTAAGACGACGGTGTAGCCGATTTCTGCCGTCAAATTCTTGGAGCTCGTGTGAAGGAGACTTATCACGCCCGCAAGACTGCCTGCGGCTGGAGGGGCACTCATCGCGTCGTCATCACGTTGTGCGCTCGCCTCGCCCGAGCGTGTCTTGTCGATGATTGCGAAGAGGATATTTTCTGGGCTCTGCCGGTAGGATTTCTCGATGTACGCGAGGTTCTCCTCCATAGTCGCCCATGCGATACCGAAGTGGCGGAACAGCTCCGTGGACACGGGTGCGACAGCGTCCCAGTATGCCCTCGCGTGAACGCGAGGGATGAACGGAGTGAGGCGTACATGCGTGCTTTCGAGCCAAGCTGTGTCTAGCGGGAAGGCGAAGTTGATGTCGTAAGGAGAGGGTCCGTAGAGCGATGGTCCATCCGGGTCGACTGCGGTATCGGTGCCGGGAGGCGGATCCGCCGGAGGAGGGGGGTTGTAGAGATTCACGAAAGACATCTGGACGATGGGTGCGAGCAGAACGAGGCGGGCAAGCCCGTTTACGAGCGTCCAGGGTGTACATAGCCTCTATATACTTACCGTTGTAAATCACTCGAGTCATCGACGCGTCACTGGCAGGCGCTCATTGAGTCAATCCGATCAGCAATAAGTACATCAGGAACTGTCAGGAAACACGTTTGTCTCCGTCGTGTCCGCATGGTGCTGTGCAGATAGGTTCGACTTCGGACTTGGGTTCGACACAAACCCCTCACGCCACGAGGAGGGTCTTGTGATGAGACTACCGGTGCGTGCTCATTAGCGCCCTGAACAACTTGGCTTCGTTCCTTTGGCCTCCGCGTGCTTCAGCCATCGACTATGCGACATGCTACAACACAGACAACTCCCTCAGCTCCCGCTGGAACTATTGGATGCGATCTTTGAACAACTATCTGAGCACGCACATGCGGAGTCTTTCGAGGCTGACACCGACATGGCAAACATGTACAATGCAAAAACAGCCCTCGCTCGGAGTGCGCGGGCGTGTCGTGCGTTCCATGAGCCTGCACTGAGAGTCCTATGGAGGAAGCAGCGGCTAGGTCGTGCCTGCAGTGCCGTGCTGTCACGATTTGATTTCGGCTCTGTCAAGTGGCCTGAACAGGAGGATGAAACTTGGGGAGGAGGAACCGAGTCGGATGATGAGGCAAACGATGACATGGCTGTGGGTATCGATTCATGCCACTATCCCTTCAACTACGTGAGTTTTATGCCATTGTGTCGTGGTCGTAGTGCTCTTCTCACCCAGTGCCAATCTCAGAGTTATCTACCCGGGCCTGTTGCCGCTGAAGAATGGTCGCGCTTCGAGTACTACGCCCAGTTCGTCCGCGTACTGCGCTACTCGACCGACGAGACGATCGACCCTTCCGTCTTTTTCTTCCTTCAGCAGCATGCTCGGGGCAAGCCTCTCTTTCCAAACCTGCATCAGCTTGTATGGGAGCATGCCACACCCGAGCTGGTATCCGTGATCACACCAAGCATCCGTGTCCTCCACCTCCCGCAGGACTACGCCGAGATGGAGAATGGTTCTCAATCATACGAATATGGATACCGTATGCGACGACATGCGTTCAAGCAGCTCCTTCGCGGCGTCCTCGAACGTCTCCCCGATCTAGCGGAACTCACGCTGCCTGTGCTTGGGCACGAGGCCTTCTGGTTCCCGCTTCTCTCAAGGCCCGACAACCACTTCGTGACTCAGGGCATCCACACTCTACACCTCTTCGAATCGCATCGCGCCCTCATGCGAGCAGGCCTTGCAGCCCTGTCCACGATTAGGGCACTAACAGAGCTTGATATCATGCTCGATAGTCGAGGCTCTTATGACCCGGCCAACATGGATGATGGTCGCAACGTACTACTGCCCATCGGTGTATTTGCCGGACTCAAGCGCCTACAGATCGACGGGCGAACGGTGTGGGTGCGCGCTGTCTTCCGTGCGATCGTTGCACCCAAATTGGAGGCTGTAGTGCTGGCATGTGGGACCTGGCTGGATAGTCAAGATACCGCTGCGGCCCTAGAAGAGAACCACCTATGCGCGATCTTCAGCGACCTACGCCGCCGGAACGCAGTCTTCATGCAAAAGCTTCACCTCACCATCCCTCACTACAGCGGGGTCTTGTTCCCCAAAGGTACCACTCCTGACACACATTTTGCGTCTTTGGCGATTCCACTGGCCGAACTCTCTCACCTCCGCGATGTCATGATCAGCCAACCCAATTTAGACGGCGATCATTACTTGTCCATCAGCGTACCTGCCTTGGTAGCGGCTTGGCCGGCGTTGCAGACTCTCGCCTTGCCAGATCTCTTTGTCACCGGAGAGGCGCTAGAAATCATCTCGCGTACATGCGCTCTGCTAGAGCGTCTCACGGTCAGGACACTGTCCTGGTCACGGTCTAATGTCCCTGGCATATCGCAAGGCATCCCCTTCCGCTCGTACGCTCTGGTCTCCGACGCCAACAAGTCCATGCTCGAAGAACTGCGCTTCGGGGAGCATGTGCACGGTGTGAGCGCTGAAGCTGTTGGTGATATTGCGTACCTCCTGGATTCTCTCTTTCCTCAGCTGGTACCCGGGCGGTGCTCGGTGACTGTGGACATAAAGAGGGACGCCATATCCTTTGATGTCATGGATGAAGTGGCGAAGTTGCAACAGGCGCGACGAAGTGGTGCGTAGTACACAATAATCGTATACCTTCATACTGGGTTCATGGGCATCTTTCACCAGGATGACGGCCGCCCAGGTGCAAGGGCCTGGTTGTGGACTGTTCGCAATTGGCCATTGCTACTATATCTAGTTTGAAACGGAAATCATCAGTAGTGTAGATCTGATAGCAAGCGTTTCAGTAAGCTAAATGTGCCGTGCATCTGGAATCCGAGTCCTTGTTGGATTATATGGGCGCGCTCTACATTGGTCAGGTGACCGCGTATCGCACGCGACGGCCACGGCAACGCGTCTTACAAGTAACTTACTTCCGTATGCAGCTGCTGTATGTATGTAAATTACAGTGTAAGAAACTCTCGGACTACCACTGACCAGCACCCTGTCACTGCAAATGAGGCGGCGAGCGACCCCGAGACGCGATCATGTGACGGCGACGTACTACGGCCGTTCTCCGTTGCTTACGTGAGTTACTTATCTACCGTCACCATTGCCAGTGAGAGCGACCGAACGCGCTGTCACCGTGGGTCTCTGTATACCTTCGACTCGTAGCCCGTTGGTAAATCTGTTCGACTTTGCTAGCTGTTCACTGAGGTGCAAACTTTGCTCTTCAGCCGAACCACTTGATTGTGTTTGCACGGTGGCTACCCCAGGCTTCAAGCGGTGACTACAGCATGCAGTCGCCAGTGGACAGACTTCCGCTCGAACTAGTGGACGAAATCCTCAAAAGGTTACCCATTGCCGCGCATGACCAACTCGATCATCCTAGGGGCACCGGAGATACCTCTGTGCATCATGCTGTCCTAGCAAGCTGTGCACGCGTGAGTCGTCTGTTCCACGTATCGGCCGTGAGGGTCCTTTGGAGAGACCAGCACTTGGGCTGGATCTGCCGAGCTATCTTCCGAGACTTCATTCGCCGCAACGTCAGCCGTTCTGATCGTCTTGAAGCACGGTTAGCCGCGGTCGGACTGGACGATGACTCGGAGGAGGAGGGCAACGACACTGCTCACGGTGCCTACTCAACTTTTCCGGATGCCCAATACGTGAGTCTCTTTCTGAAGCTCGTGGTGATTGCAACCTAATTGATCGACATGTGAAGGGATATCTACCTAGGCCTATCTCTGCTGAGGAGTGGGCTCGGTTCGAGCATTACGCCCCTCATGTTCACGTTCTACGCTACACGCGGGACGAGACAATCGACTCTTCCTTCTTCCTTTTATTACAGCAGTATGCGCGCAGACAGCCACTTTTCCCAAACCTTCACGAGCTCATATGGGAACACGCTACACCGGAGCTCGTGTCGGTCGTCTCACCCTCGATTCGCATCATACGCCTCCCAGAAGACGAGGAAAATGAGGAATACGCTGCAGAGGCGCAGGTTAATGTGTTCCACATGCGGCGACATGTGTTCAAGGCGCTCCTGCCAACTGTACTCAAGGGAGTTCCCAGCCTTGAAGTACTCAAGACTCGGACGCTGGGACGCGAGACCTTCTGGTCTCCGCTGCGTGCGCCGTCGGGGGAGTGCTTGCTCAGTCAGAGTATCCGCGTCCTACACATCTCCGAATCGTTCACCACCCTGACGCGAGTCGCCCTCGTTATCATCTCTTCCCTCCAACGACTCGTCGAGCTCAGTATCAAGTGTTCTGGACGGGGCCCCAAGCATAATCTAGGAATGGGTGCTGCCTTGGACCTCTCGGACGTTCGCCCCTTCAACAGACTGGAGCGCCTTCGTATTAAAGGTTTCGGAATCGAAGTGACGGCGCTGATCGAAGCGATTGTCGCGCCGGTGCTAGAGGACGTGGGGATAGGAGTGTACACAGAACACCACCAAAATCAAACCAGGGCCGGGCTTGCCCTCGGCGTGGCCCTCGACACGCTCCGTCGTCGGAACGCAGACACCCTCTGGAGACTCCACCTCGACGTGCGCAGCTGGCCCGTGCCCTTTTTCCCGACGACCACCGAACCGACGTTCGCGCCTATCGCGCGTCCGCTGTTGGACCTCCGCCACCTGCGTTACGTCAGCATATTCAATGGTGGGAGGGCGGATGTGAGTGTGCCTGCGTTGGTGGCAGCGTGGCCCGACCTGCGCACGCTCATCATGCCGGCACAAGAACCCAGCCCCGACATGCTCACAGCCATCGCGCATACGTGTACGAAGCTCGAGAGTCTGTCCTTCGACTCCCTGGCAAAAGAATTCCTGGACCTCCCTCCCGTGGCTGCCGAGAACCCCGCTGCATCCACGGACTCTGACGTGGCGATCCCTGCCCTTCGGGAGCTGCGCCTCATCGAGCGCCTCTTTACCAGAGATTCGCCCGATGCTAAGCACGAAAATATCACTCGTTTCCTCCGCTCGCTGTTCCCTCGGCTTGTGGTCGAGCAGAAGCTGGTGGGGGCGGATCCGGTGCCTTACACCGACATGTCGCTTGCGTGGTATTATGAAGATAACCTATGATGTGGAGTATGGACAGCGGCGTTGCAGCCTGTACACCTCTGCACTGTGAGAGTCGCGTGTGGCACTTATGATTCGTAGTGTGAGTGTGGTATGTCTTCTTCGCGATGGATGCTGGCTGACAGGGCGGTCTTGTTTCTGCGCAGTGCTCGCGCGGCGCACAACGTTCATGTCTGGTAGTTCACATTATGGGCTCCATTGTTGAGTTCGATGGAAATAATGGGATACACGCTTTGGCTTACACCGCCCAAGGTGCATGCATGCCTTGACTACGGCAGCACGACACCGTGTGCGCGACGGACCAGCGAGGCGAGGCAACACGGTTTCGCTATGTACCCAACCCCCGCAAACGAAGTTGATTGCGTTCTGTCGACCTGGAGTGGAGTGGCATTGAGCGTGGTGGGTCCGCGGCGGAGATGAGCATCTCGCTGCCTCCGCATTGCACCTGTGCGGTTCGTCCCCGGCTTCGATGCTTCTCTGAGTATAACAGCCACTCCTCTGGGAGGATACAAGCCGGGACCTCAGGCTAGTACTACTCACCGCTACAGACAGAGGAGCAGACGGCGCGCGCTCTCCCACCAACAACCCCGGCGGTAGTATGAAGACTACGAGTACACCACCCTCCACCGGCAAGACCTCGAGGTGAGCACATCCATGACCACCTCGACAGAAGCCTGCCGGCTCACCACCGTTCATCGTGCGCCCAGCAGCCCGCGCTCACCGAACCTCGGCACGTTCGCGGGCCTGCTGAACATGCCGACCGTCGCGCGCCCCATGCCCTTGAGGCCCATGAAGCCCGCCAAAGCCGGGACGGGCTGGCCCGCGCCGAGTCGGCCGCGCGCGGCGGGCTCGGAGACGTTCTACGCATAGGACTCGGAGGAAGAACAGGGCGCACGGCGTGCATATCCGTGACATGCCTCCGAGTCCGAATCGAGCGCCCCGAACTTGAGCTTGGAGGCAGGAGAGGCCCGGTGCCTGCGTGCGGGTCGGCGGTCGTCCGAGTCGCTGCTAGCTCCGGGGTTGTGATGATGTACGGAGGCTGCTGATGAGTATGAGGACTGTGTCACTGTGGGTCGGCGCGGCCCTTCAAGCGGTTTGTCGTTCCGTGTCTGCATGATACAGTATTCGCGGTACCGGCGGATCTTTGGTAGGTTGAGCTCGAGCTCTAGAGTCCGAGTCGAGGGGTTTCCTCGCAAAACGGTGAGTGCATAACTTGACTGGATACTAGATGCAGCGCGTGTACGTCCGTCACTCGTCCGCACGCTAGCAGCGAGCGTACGTTATGGAGGACGGGGCCACAGAAGGCTATCATGTATAAAGACAAATGGCCATCGTATAAGTAGCTGTATCAGACACGAACTCTATGGATACGTACACAGAAAACAAAGCGCAAAGCGAAAGCATACAGACAAGTCCAAACACTGTAAGTATCATATACACGCGAAGTATCAGCTCCCTGTCATATGCTACAGTATATACACACACTACTGCCACCACCCGCCCCCGCTGCACAACGACGTCCGTGCCCACTCAGTCTAGCTCATAAATACGACTTCCGTACCGCGAGGACCGAGCCCTTCGCGGCCGTCCGGCACTCGCGATCGCGAACAACAAGCCGCCCTCGCGCGCTTCTGGCAGAACTTGGAGCTCACACCCACGACCCGTGCACGAGCGCGTCGAACGCACTCTTGCTCTGCAGCGTCCCGACGAGGCCGACGCGCGTCTTCAAGTTGGCCGCGCCGCCGGCCTTCGCAGCCTCCGCGGGGGCGGGGACGGGGACGGGCTCGGCGACGGAGACGGGGACGGGCAGCGGGAGCGCTGGGAGGTCGGGGCTTGCGGGGGCGGATGACTGGGGAGAGGGGGCTGGTTAGTGATGCGGGGGTGGAGATAGTTTTGGGGATACGTACGGATGGGGAGGAGGAGAGGGAGGAGGCGGGGCGGCGTGTGGGCGGGTGGGGGTGATGTGGGTGGGAGTGGGAGTGGGAGGGGGAGGAGGCGGGCGTGGCGGTGCCGGAGGTGCCGGATGCGGTGCTGGAGAGGGAGCGTGCGTAGGCGGGGCGTTTCTGGGGGTGGGTTAGCTTCTGGAGTGAGGGCTGTGATCGGAGGACGGGAGGACAAGGGTGAACGTGTGCTGCATGGGAGAGGTGGTGACGGGGACGGTGGTAAGGAATTACTCAGACACCCATTCATACGGGTGATGAGGTGCGCCAGAGGCTGCAGGTTGCGATCGAAGGACGAAGCAACCACGGGGAACAGCAGACAGCGTAGTGATTGGGATGATGGTGGAAGGGAAAACAGAGAGAAATGACAAAAGAATGTGGGAGGATGAGGAACGCATGGGCCACACCGGCAGGCGGAGGTCAGAGACGAAAAAGACGCACAGGAGCGACGATGGACCCTAGGGCGAGGCGGAGGCTGAGGAGATGGGCATCGCGGTGTTCGTCGGCGGTCTGCGAGCACATTCTGGTCAATTTTCAACGCACATACGAGAGTGTCGCACAACACACCATCTTCGTCGAGTCCTTAGCTACAACGGTGAGCAGTGTCGAGTGTATGCGCAGCGCAACGTCCAACGGATCCGTGCGGATAGTGCGGGTAGCGGCACCTGGCGGTCGAGAGGTCGCAGCCCGAGTGAGGGAGGGGGGAGGAGCAAGGGGAGGGCTGGAGGGGCTAGCGCAAATTTAACCCCACGGGGTAGGCTGGAGACAAGGTCGATGTCAAATTGTCGGGAGAGGGCGATGGGCTGGCGGCACAGACGGAGGAGCCGGTGGGGGACGCGCAGATGACCGTGGCACGCCTGTCTGCTGGCCTCGGTGCGCGCAGATGACAGCCAGGCGAGCTGCGATCGGGACTGGCCTGCGAGAATGGCCGACGCTGCGACGCCCGGATAATCGTCGGGCCGTCTTTCCCCGCACTCTCGATCGGCGGTGCGGGGTACTTTCCCACGCCCTTCCATTCCGACGCGCGTCTCACCTCCTCCTCCTCCACGAGAGTCGACTGGCTGCACGTACCGACTGGGCCCGAGTCAAGCCTGCGTTCTGCGTGTACAATGCTACCGCAGGCGTTGTACTGCCATGTTCACTATCAGCCTCCGAGTCTTCAGTCCGCAAGGAAGCGGCTTCAAGAGGGTTCTCGTCATCCTTGTCTCTCGATTCCCATAACTCTCCTTCACAGACAAACAAGCGTGTTGCTAGTACCTCCGACAACCTTCGTCTCGTCACTTCTCACCGGCACCGCGCGCGCACATCGTCTTCCTCCGTCGTGACCCCGTCCGAATGTCCAGGATCGCCGAAGCCATCTCGAGGCTTCGACGACGACTGATGTCATTGACCTGAGCCTGCACGGCTCTTCAAAATACTTGATCTCGTCTTCCGTCAACTCGAGGGGCACAGGCAATGAGCGCAGGGTGCCGTCTCGTAAGATACCAGTGAGCTGCAACGATAGAGCGGGCATTGACTCACCAGGTACATGTGTCCCTCAGGTTTCAAGTTGCAAGCCTTGTCGTGCCGACCATCAGTGCGGCAATGGCTGCATCCCGCCGTCATATCCCGGATTCAGACAGAGCAACAGCACACGTAACATCGTGGATCGTCGCATACCGCAGATCGCACAGAACCCCACGGACGTCGACGTCACCGACGCGGATCGCACGTATTCGGGGAGCGACATTCCAGACACGAGGGTGTGCGCGTGGTTTACGCAGGAGGCGGCCGCTTTCTGGATGCAGGACGACTCGGACAGGACAGGCAATGACACGCGCCGTCCTTCGACAACGCCCACGCGATCGCGACCTGCCATGCTCACGCCCCTCTCCTTCGCGGGCCCCGCCACTCTTTCGCCGCGCCGACACCATTCCCGTGGACGCTCAGGCTGCAGGACTGCGTCGGCGGGCTTCACGTTGCGCATACCAGGCACTGGCTCGCGGTACGCAGTACAGCACGATGATCTGCTGGTCTGCCAGAGAAGCTTCGAAGGCGAACTGCGCAGTGCCCACCTCCTAGTTGCCAGTGCACTGTACCGCTCGCTCTGTAGCATCCCCGACCTGTGGGGGCAGTACAGCGCATCGCGCAACGGGCCACTGTGCGCTCCGAGGGTCGGTGCATTCAGTACATCCGCGATGACCGACGGCCATGAGATGTGCACTGTGCGGCAGCGACCACGTCCGAACAGCGTTCGGCGGTGGAAGCTGGCGTTATCGTGCACACTGCACCGATGTCCCGCTGAAGCTGGCACGTTGTATGGCTCCACGAGAACTGTTCAGGTTTGACGAGCACCGCGCGCCCCGGTCGTTCCTACACTAGTGGTGGTCATCATCTCAGACAGAAGACACAGAGCGAGCGGGAAGTACTATACCTAGGTACCAAGCGGGGTACATATCGAGTAATCAAGCATTAATTGTCCGCCGGGTCCTCCACCCAGTCGTACATCAAGATGGTGTTCCCTGTCTGTAGGTGTGTGCCTGCCTACAGGCTGAGCGCTGAAGCGCTGAAGTCTGAGTCGTTCGCCTGGAAGGCGAGGCGAAGCTGACAGGCTCGCAGTAATTCGTCGGTCCACATGTTCACCAGGTCTATTCAACATTGGGTGACGGTGCAAGTCTGCCAGCAACGGGCGGGTGTTTGAAGTGTCATCGGTCATCGGTGCGGTTCGATAGTTAGCAGTGACAGTCCGCAGGGCTCCGGGATGAGCGGGATATGGTATGCATGTCCGAGTCTGTAGTATCTGAGATCTGAGCAGCCGAACGCATTGAACGAGGTCAAGAGAAGAAGAAACGCAGCCATGCAGATTCAGATACATGCGCACGAGATGTTGTCCTTTCCAAGAAGACGACTCGGTCTGCGTACAGACCTCGCCACGCAGGTCATGTAACGCGTCAACTACTAACACGACGTACCGCTCGGCCGCTCGGCCTGCAGCTTTCTGACCTCCTGCATAATGCCATGCCAATTATCCCACATCTCCGCCTCTGAGGTATCAAATGGCCAGCACTGGATCCCGACGCACCGATCGAAATCAAGACGCGGGAAGAGCGCGACGACAAAGCGCGCAATCTTGGCGACGTCCGCGGGATGCGCTGCCCTGGTGCATTTGAGGAGATGCAGCTGCAGAAGCCCGTGTTTTGGGCCTGAAAGTGCGTCGCTATCAGAGCCCCGCGGGCCCGAGTGGGGCAACAGCGAGTCGGAGCTCGGCAGACCCTCAAGGAAGTCTTTGGACAGGCACTTGGCGTCCAGGCTCTCCAACTTGGGAAGCGTGCCACGCGCAATCGCTCGAAGTATGTCGGGCGTGAGGATGGCCACCGACACGGCGAGCCTTTCGAGCGCAGGCCACGCCTCCATCATCGAGAGGAGTGGTACGTCTATGTCCTCCCTGCGCAAGCCAGGGTCGAGGGAGATGTTGAGGTCCCGGAGGTGCTGCAGTCGAAGTAGCGGCTTTGTCAGAGTGGGAAAGCAAGCTCACATCCGCGTCGCTCGCCATCTACTTTGAAGCTACGCAAGTCGAGGCGAACCCTCCGTACAGTGGATGCGTTCCGGGTGCCCAGGGTCTCCAAGGCCTTGGTGAGCTGAGAGGGCACCTTGCAAGGGTCACTCTCCCAGTCGCGCGCCAGCTCTACGTCTTCGAGGTTAGGTGCGACAATAGCGTCGATGAGGATTGCTGCCTGAGCCATGCCCGCCTCAATCTGCAAGTGGCGCAGCTTCTTGAACGTGCGGATATGCGTCTTGTCCCAGCTATCGAGGTCCTCCATGTCGGCCGACTGACCTGAGAGCGCGACGTCGATCTTCAGGTCCGTCAGCCCCTGGATCGTGGACACGACCGCAAGGGCGCCCTTCATCAGGGTGTCATACGTCTCTGTGATGTACAGATTGCGAATATTTTTGGCGACGAAACGGTGTTCGGGAGGCGGCGCGAATGGATGCCAGAAGCCCTCATGGCCGAGCCGTTGCAGCTGGAGCACCTGAAGGTCTGGAAGGCAGCGCAGAATGCTAGGGAGCTGTGTCTTGAAGGCATGGCGCTGCATGCAGGACTCGCGCGAGTTGTCAAACTCAAACATGCAGAGCCCGCTGTCTGGAATTCGGAGGATACGGATAGTCGGTGAGATGATCGGTGCGAGGTCATGGGTGACGTTGCCCCAGGACAGTTCGCGTATATTAGGAAAGAGCGGCTTGCCACGAGCGTGCTGATGGAGGTAGAAGAAAGTGGTGGGATGTATTTGGTCCGACTCTGCGAGGCCGGCGTGGAGAACGCGTATGAACTGCGCGTAGTATTCGAAGCGTGACCATTCCCCAGCCGAGATAGGACTCTCACTTGGCGGTGTCGAATGTGTTGATGCCCGCGTCGTACGCGTACTTGATATGCTTGATCGCCTCCGCCTCGGGGAGCAGCCAGCCAGCCCACTCGGGCGCGCCGTACGTCATGCACCCCAATATGATCCGCGAAACCTTGAGCCCGGACTTGCCGAGGGGCACTGTCAGTCCACGGAAATGTCAGCGAGAATGTTGGATATAGAGCGCCATAGAGACACTTACCGTAGGGAACGCGCTTCGAGGGGAGCGACGGGATCTCTGAGTCTGCGTCGGACATTGCTTCTGGACGTGCTGGGATCTGTGGGCTGTCGATTTTTACTACTACTCGAGTGGCTGAAGGCCCGGGATGGTCAATCAGCGACGCGGTATAAGGCCTCCATGCCCAAGGTCGGTCTTTTATGTGATTTGCGAAGCTCTTCCGTCGCTCCTCGATTGGCGCATTGGAAATGATGCCAGTAGCGCGCCCACCGAGTTGACCGATCCGCAGGTATCCACACTCCGAGAGGACGGCTCACATATCAACTGTGCGGCACCGAAGTTTCTTGGTGTATGACCAGTGTACCTCGCCAACTGTTTGTTCGTCGTTATCTGGCGGCGATATCCCGCCCGAGGCGCCTGCACGGCGCGAAGCCGTTCTGTGGACGTCACCAACAGGAGCTTTGCGGCATGTTAAACTTGAATCGAACGGGTCATCGTTCGGCGCAGGATGTCTATTCGCCGAGACCACACACCTCCCATGGCATATTGCTTGAACGGGTCTCGCTGAGCCGCCCCGGGCGATGTATTTGTACTCCGGTGCGACGGAGTGTCCCGTCGCGAGAGCTTGTATAGCCCCAACAGTTGAACGAGCAATCCGCTCCTTCAACACGTACTCAGTCCCGATTCCTAGTCCAACAATGCCGGTATCGACTCGTCGCGGATTCTCGACAATGGTTCTTTGAACTCCAGGAATTGCCAATTCGTTAGCTGTGAGACGAGACGAAATTCTGTACAGAAATAGAACTCACTCACATCATGAGCGACTCGGAAAGAGCTCGTCGACAGACTGCACAGGTATGGACACTTTGTCTCTGACCCTACCAGCCAAAAGCATATCTTCCAAGCGAGTGCATCCAAGCACGCCATCCACTATGAAATCCTCTTCATCAGCTCCCCGTTGACTCTGAACTGGAGACACTGATTCTGACTGAAGCCGTAAGTATGTCGCATACTGACGAGAGTCATGACTCGTACTCACACATCATTGGTGTTTCTACTGCATCAGATGCGAAAACACCAGGACTCACGTTCAGAAAAAGGCCCCGCTGATGCAGTAAGCTTAAGCTTGTGTGTAGTCGATGGCAGGCGCAACTTCGCCAGACCTGCCCAATGACACCATATAGTATGGCGGCCGGCCGGCGGGCCGGGGTGCTTACAGAGCGGATAACCCTCCGGCGATCGCGCAATGACTTAGCGCTCGCCTCCTGACACATCGCCTGCTGCCAATTTGGCAAAGCTGGCGTTCCTTTGGTCGACGTATTCCCAGAGAATATCTCGTTGCCTGGACTTCGTGCGACTGCTCTTCTCCAGTGTCTCGAGGGTGGCTTATGAAGCCATGTACCCACCATAGATGACGCCATACAGCCCGCTGACATCAGATTGACCGACGGACCGGATGCTAGGGAGGCTCCACTGACTTCGACATAAAAGCGTCGATGCCCCGGGTCTCTTTCTGACATTGCATCTGACATTGCAACAAACAGCCATGACAAAAAAGACGAACATCCTTCTCTTCGGAGCTACAGGTATGTGCAATGTTTCACGGCGTTGTACGCGGTGATATAATCGTTTGTATACTTCAGGCTATATCGGAGGGTCTGTCTTGAACCGCCTCCTGAACCATCCCAAAGCAGATACCTTCAGTATTACCGTGTCCGTGCGCTCTCCTGAGAAGGCGAAGCTCCTGGAGAAGTTGGGAGTGAAAGCCGAGATAGCCTCTCTCAGCGATCACGACAAGATAGAGGAGCTTGCCTCGCGCGCGCATGTTATTTTCAACGTCGTCAGTATTCATACGTGTCTCTGCCAGTTGATGGCAAATGCTGACGCAGCTCTTCTGTCCAGGCAAACTCGGACGACTTACCGGCCATAATCGCACTCCTGAAGGGTGTGCGCAAGGCGTACGAGACTACCGGAGAGCTCCCCATTCTCATCCACACCGTTAGTACAGCGAATGCGCGTACATAGTCCACTCCACGACTGACGATCACTTTTAGTCGGGCACAGGCGAGATCGCAGAGCCAGCGAAAGGAGACTTTGCTGCGGAGACGGTCTATTCAGACTTGAACATCGAGCAGATCAAGGCTATTCCAGAGACGGCCTTCCACCGTAAGATCGACCTCGCCGTCATCGGCGCAGACGAGCAAGGTAGGTTCACCTCTGACTTCAGCTATGACCCGGCACGCTGACGCAGTTGCGCAGGCTACGCACGCTCGTACATCATCCTACCCGGGATTGTAGACGGTATTGCGTCGGGACCTGTCTTCGAGGCTGGGATCGCGAAGCCGGTTTCTATCCAGATTCCTGCCTTCATTAGGGAGGCGCTGGACAGGAAGCGGGCGGGCATGATCGGCCTTGGCAAGGCCGTCTGGCCGATTATCCACATCGACGACAGTCAGTGATTTTGTAAGCTCGTATGCACCGTGACAGCGGCTGACACCCCATGCTCCCCGCGCAGCCGCTGACATATACACCGTGCTTTTCGACGCTATCAGCGCGAACCCGCAGAGTGTCGGGCACGGCTGGGAGGGCTATTACTTCGGCGAGAGCGGACACGTCTCGTACTACGAGATCGGGAAGGCCATCGGACAGGCTCTCGTGGATCTCGGGCTCGCAGAGGACGCGGAACCGACGCGTTTCACGGATGAAGAACTCGTGAAGTATTGGGGCTCCGTGGTACGTCTCGATTTCTCCACCGCACAGTGCGTTCGACCGAGCGACTGACTCGAACGTGTGCTAGCTTGCGGGAAACTATGGAGGCACGACATGCCGCTGCCGTGCGGACCGGGCGCGTGCGATTGGGTGGAAGCCTAAGTATGGCACTAAGGACTTGTTGGCGGTCATCAAGTCTGAGGTTGAGTATGAGTTGAAGCGCGCGCAGGAGAAGGGCGGAATCGATTTTTCATACGAGAAGAGCCTCGCGACGCTGCTGCAAAGCGGGAAAGCGACCTGAGCGCGACTGTGCTGAGGCTGCTTGGGAGGCATAAGGTTAGTCTCTTGCAAGGGTTATGATTGTGCTTGTACCCGTGAATCTGATGCTGTACCACAAGTGCTACCTGCACAGCATGTCAAAGCCTAGACAATCGCATATCTCGACAGAGTAGTAGAGCTTGCACATCACTCGAGGATACCATGTTGTGCAACCCAACGCTGCGGTGAATAATGTGTGCCTGTCCATGGCGTCGATGAGGAGCTGGAAGACCTCGGTTGGGATGCAAATGGCAAGGGTTCCACACAGCTCAACTGTGTTCTGCACCACGGACGGTGACAGAGAAGTACTATGACTGTTGCCATTACAAACTTGTATAGGAGGTTGGCTTCTCAGTTATTGTTTATACAGGCTACTATCGGAGTCCCTCGACCGCCTACCACAATGCAATCGACAAACGGCAGGCCACTTGGACTGTCAAGACACGACTCTACGATTAAGCGCTCCTCCTGCAAAGAATGCACAAGCTCGTTAGCATGCACCGTTTCCTGCCATGAAAGGTTAAGCACAACCTTCACTGCTACTCTGTTTCTCTGGCCGCTCAGATATGAGCGCGCACACGGACGAGGTCTGGACACTATCGTCAGTATAGTCGTCTACGGCATGGCACGCTTTCATACCATCCTCGTTCGTGTTCATGGGATCTAATGGCAAGCGGTCAGTCGGTACGCCTCGAAAGTACTGCAGACAAACGAACCCGCAACTCTCTTCTCTGGCGTGATCACGGCCGCTGCCTGCGACAACGCAACCAAGAGGAGGACGGCGAGTGCAAAGAGCGAGGTGCGGGCCTGCATTCTGGCTATAGGAGGCGTAGGGGCGGGATCGAACTTAACGAGGTCGTCTGTCCGTACAGGTCCGGGCGCGTCAAGACTGGAGCTTCTTATGGTCCCGGATGTATCGCGGTGGTGACTATCCACTTCCGTGCCGTATTTCTCACTGCCGATCCTCGCAGCATGACGATCAACTGGGCTTTGCGCCCGTACTTGTCGTGACCCACTTCGCTGCTAGTTTAGTGCGTGAAGCGCGTGCGACTCCGAGTTCCTGCGATTCCCATCATTGGCAGTGCCTCCCGTCAGAAGAGCGGCAACTGAATTGGGAGAACCTGGGAGAACTCTCCGTGGCGAGCCTCAAGCTCAGGTGAGTTTTCGCTACTGGATCTGAGCGAAGATCTAGCGAAGATAGCGAGGAAAGACTGGCCTTCTCGAAGCTGTCATTTCACAGCAAGCCCGATAGGCACCATGCTGGCTCGTCGGACACCTCGACGAGAATGGAGCCCATGGACTCGCCGAGAATTAGCGCTACTGAAACCTTTCTGAACGCGACATGGGGTTGCAACCGTGCTCGCCCACATAGACGATGGTATGATGATATACATCCCAGTAAGAGCCATTGGAGGAAAGCAAATCTTGTTACACCACCCAATGCCCGTGCGCTTGCTGATTCTTCTCGTCCGCATCATACACCGCGCGGCAAACACCGATACGTCCCTATCCTATCAACATCATCGGGGCTCCAACAATCCACCAGAAATTCGAATGTCTCGAGGTGCATGTCCCCCTGACACAGCACCATCTGCGGAGGTAGTTCATGCAGTGGTGCGCACGCTCCAATTCGCGTTCCTCGAGCGGGAGGAGGTACTGCGCACGGAGGACGTCGAGACAGCGTAGCTAGTGGAACATCGAGGGCAAGTACGGTTCCGAGTCGGGTTCGTGATCACATACTTACGCTCGCGGAGGACCAGAAGCCAGTTGCTGTGGATGAAGCGCACGCGCGAAGACATTCCGCGGGACCTTCTATACGCCAAGTGACTTTGCTCCCGCGCCGCCAGCTACCACCGACAGACTTCCGATGGGCCGGGCAGTATGTACGGGCGCCGACACCTCAGTACGCGCTCGGAGACTCAGCGAAGTGCACAAGAAGCCCGAAGATGTCGTGCTATAGCAGCTGGGACAAGATCTGGCAAGATATGCCCCAAGGAGCTAAATCCACATGTACACTACATTCTCTGGCACTGGCAATGGACTGCCCGCGGTACGTTTGAGCCTATCTGCGCATTTTGGCATCCAATCGAGTCCGTCCGTCCTTCCATCGCGCCGCCGTGTGCGGAGAAAGCTGAGTCTGCGCACGTACGCTCTCGAGTCATTCAAGTCCACACGCCCTGTCCACGGTCGGAGAAGACGGGCCTTGTGCTCCTCCTAGGCTGCTCTATAGACGATGTCCGCGTCCTCGACGGGCCCGTACCCCTCCGTACTTCGCGAGTGTTTCATCATGGGTCAGGCCCCGAGCTCGAGCGCAACTCCCCGCAAATCAGCGCTGCATCACCCGCTAGCATACGGTACACACGAATGACATTCCTCTTTCCTGCCCGGACGCGTGGGGCTCCTGCGCCCTAGATGGTCTGGTGCTGATACATGTACAATCCTGGCAGCCCGCATCAGCATCTTGTGATTCATAGCTCGCGCCATCGATGCGCGCGGCGGAAGCGAGCTCGAGGAGCACTCACCCCAGGTCTGGTTGTGGCTCGACCATACATCCACCAGGCACTCCTCCGAGCTTCCCTCCGCACAGCCGACCTCGAATGAGTGGTAGGTCCCCCACGCGCACGCGAAGCGCGGGAGCACCTCGAGCTCCGCGCCGACCGCCGTCGTGAAGGCCATGGGCGGCGCGGCGCACCGCGGGCGCGCATTCCAGGTGACCGCTGAGACGTCGAGGAAGCGCGGGATGTCGAGCGGGCAGATCTGTAGCTGCGGCGCGGTGCTGCTGAGCGCGGGCTGGTCTTTGCCCTCGACGTGGTCTGACGGGCCGGGCAGGCGGAGGACGAGCGAGCATTCCTCCATGCCGAAGTCCATCGCGCGAAATTGCGCGATCGTGCGTGTCTGAGAGGTCATCGTCGTGAGCTGAGAGTCCGAGTGAGATAACTATATGCTATGCGCACCATGTCGTCGATGAGCAGATGCCTGTCGTACGGGGACAACGTCCCCATCATCGTATTCCACACCTCATGCTCGCCCCTGCTCCCCGCTCGGTCTGGCTCGTCGCGGAACACCTGCGTCGCCACGCGCGGCCTGTTGAGGAGCGGCTCGATGCGGTCGGGCTCGACACGTCCCAGCTCATAGAGCTCCTTTAGCCCGATGTACGGATTCGCGAGGGGAAGATCGGCGGCGTCGAAGTACTCGGTGGCGAAGATGCGCGATATGTACGCGAGGAAGGCAAGGTCCGTGAGCGCGACGAGAAGCAGGGTCGCGAGGGCGTATTGCCAGAGCGGCCTGGCGAACCTAGAGCTGGACTTGTAGGCCCCGGCGACCTTGGGTGATCCTGCGGGCCGTCAGAGGATATACATGAACTCGTATGAATAGACGTACCCTTGTACTCGGTGTCCAGGAGCTCGAAGGAGCTACTGCTGGAGTTGAGTAGCCCGTCGCTCTCCTCACGGGCACTGTGCTTCAGCATAGTCCTCGCAGACGAAGGTGTTGTGCAATGATACTGTGTTGCAGCACCAGGTGGCTGAGGTCTTGGCTGCTCAGAACAGGCTCAGGCCGCAGGTGAGATGGCCATGGCGAGGCTGAAGTGGGGATGCGTGCTTCTCGACCGAGCCAGAACCGCGGTCCGCCATCCGCCACAGATGGACGTCGGAGGGATGCCCGCTCGCCGGCGCCGGGAGATGCAACCAGAAGACCGGCCGGCCGTGCGGTGCGCGAGCTTCCATTTACCACGCCGGCCTTCCTGCTCACCGTCTGCGATGTGCTCCGATACTGGCGGAGTCTCCCCCGGGATGCCCAGCAGGCGGCGGGCGGCGGATACGGTGTCTTATCTGAACATAACGTACACCACTGGCAGATTTCCAACAGAATCACGGCTCTTTCGGATTCGTCTCCCATGCAAACGCCCAGCTCGACCACTCGCCCCAGGGCGACTGGAACACCTGGTGACCCTTCAGCGTCATCCCTATGTGCTCATACACGACGATCTGCAGGTCGTTCGTGAGCTGCGCATCGTCAGCGGGGAGGAGACTTACGTTGTCTTCGCTACCCGTGGATAGCGTTACGACTGCCCCCGTCTGCTTCGCCTGGTGACAATATAATGAGTCTCGCGCATCAGACTCGGGAGGATGCCATTGCCTAGCCACGCACCTTCTCGTACGCCATTTTGAACATTGTCGTCGCGATGCCTTTACCCTGGTGTTCGGGCTGCACCATCACGAGGTTGCAGAAGTGTGTCTTGATTTGGGACTGTGCAGCCGGAAATCAGGCAGAGCGTCGGAACTGGGGGTCCGCACACGAACCTGCGGGATGCCGAAAGCCTCGTCAAGGAACTTTGGAAAGTCACGTCCGAGCTAGCGCCCTCCGTCACTAAAAACGTCCGGACGGGGCACGGAGGAGCAGCTCACCGATTCCTCGAAGTACTTCTTCCCCTCATCCGACATCTTCTCCATAAACTCGTAGAAACCGAACTGCCGTTGGTCCTCCCTGGAGAGGTCAACGAGAGACCGGGTTGCATCCGACGCTCTGTGGGACTCACGAATCAAATAGGTCCCGCCCCGAAGGTATCCACTGTGAATACCCGACGAGGGCGCCCTCCTCGTCCGTCGCGACGTACGTTACACCCGCGCCCTCGCACAACCACGTCGCCTTGATGATCGAGCGCATGAGCAGCGGCAGCAGCTCGAGGTTCCCGCCCGTCCATGCCTTGCACGACGGGTCTGCACGCGCACAGGCTGAGCCCAGAGACAGGCAGACATTCTGGCTAGCTCACCTCCCACCTGGAGCGCATTCGTGAGTTTGACCGCCTGGTCGATCATGGCCTCTGCAGCCGCCGTCCGTCAGAACGCTCTACTATACCGACATGTCGGGCATGCTAATCGACAGACCGGTTGGTTGTTTCACCTCCAAGATCGTGATGTTCGACGGGAGGACAACTGTCGTCATATTTCACGGCGTACAGGCAATTGAACTGGCCTCGGCAACGCTTCTTGAGAGGGCTATTAGGAGGTGAGGTGACGATATGACAGTGGGCAACGTCAGAAACTAAGCACGGTCACTGCGCGAGGCGATAAGCGCGAGAGCTCAGAGCGGGCAAAGCGAGGCGGCAAGCTGGACTAAGGTGGAAGCTGGGCAGAATGCGTTTGGGCGTTGGATGGCATCGTGTAACCAGGCTTCACATTCACAAATCCAATCCAAGACGAGCTGCCGGCGCTCCCTGGGCGCTCCGGAGTCCGGCCGGCCTGGTGAATATAATTAATCGAGATCGAGATCTCCTAAAATGATTCCGCTCATACTGCCGCCATAAGCTTCCGAAGTTCCTTTAAACAAGGCCTCGATCTTAGAAGTACGCATACCCACCGTACCTCATATGAAGGTTTGTTGACGCACTCCACTTGGCAGACTGTCGTCAATAGAGTCCCCCCCAGCTGAATGCGGTCGGTAATCACGATAGTCAGGGCAAAAAGGGATTCATATCCGATGACAACGCGAGGGCAAATGTCACAGTCCGTGTTTCGCTGCGTCCGTGAATGTACTGAAGGACGATACGATTGGAAGAGTACATGTGATCTACATGTAGCCATTGCATCATCAGTACAAGCGGCGGGTATCTGGACGAGAAGCGTACCGTTTCCTAGGTAAGTTTTAAGAGCACGTTTGTGCTCAGGCTGTTAACCTTGTGCGTGGTCAATGTTTGTCATCTTGACTATGCCACGATGATTCCATGGCGCGAATAATTGCCGATAAATGGGTATTATGCGTTGATCAACAGCGTTGGCTTCCTCCTCGCTCCATAGCCCTCCATAGTGTAGAATCAATGTCTCGACAGTGACGTCCCTGAGCTTGTCGGAATACAAGCGGTCCATCACGTCGTGCAGGGAGCGCCATTGTGATGTCAACATCTCCTGGGTGAGGATAGGTGCCTCCGGACCCACAAGGACCGACTCAAGTGTCCAGTCACTGCCCCAATCATCATATGTGAGTTTGATTGTGATACACTCCAGCTGCTGGCTTCGAACAGTGGAAAGAGTGGCATAGAGCCGACTCGCTGCTCGTAGCCATTTTTCTTCCCAGTGACCAACGTTGAAAAGATCCACTTCTAGCGTCAGACGCCGCAGTGCCGTATTGTGCACGAGGTGGTAACCAGCAGGAGGTTCAACTGTGAAGTGACCCAGCGTCAGTGGATGAATTGCTGCGCGGGTAGAGCTATGTCGCACCCATCGCAGCGAGTCGCCCGTGAAAGGATAGCAATGATGGTCCACATGTTTCGAGGAGTAGGGTGATCTGCTCGCAGGCCCGCCCTTGCTGTCCACGTGCCCCAAATTTCACTTCTAAGCCGTTGAGGCCCGCCGCTAGGTCGGTGAGGGAAGCGCAGATGGTTGAGCCTACAAGCCAATTGGTTATGCAAGTAAGATAGGGTCTTTCGCCTTCACGCTCATCCAAGAAGAGTTCAAGCTGTTTGAGCTTGTACTCTAGCGGTGTATGCGTCGGCAATTGGTACCTGCAACAGGCAGAGTCTGTTTGCACCAAGGTTACACCGCGTAAGTGCAGCGCTTGCAGATTAGGGAATGCGTAGACGACCCGCTGCAGCTCGGTAACATTACTCAGCCGGACATCAGAAAGATGCAGGGACAGGAGGTGGCCGAACTGGCGGAGTGCGCGATAGAAGGTTGGATGCATGGCAGGCCGGAGCGCACCATAGATGGCGAACGTTCTCAGAGCAGGTAGTGCAGTGGCGAACACGAGAGGCAGGGAGTCCAGGAAGGTGGCCCGGGTGACAGGGTAGCTAAACCCCTTTACGATGATTGTGCGCGTGCGGGCGAGCATCTGCTGGACGTGGGACGATGTTCGAAACCGCTCTACCAAGAGATGGTAGTTTGTGCGCGATATGATCTCGACTGTGGAATAGAGGTTGGTCGTCGCACGGTGATGCCATGCCTTGCAGACTAGCGCGGCGACGGGTAATGAGGGATGGTCCATTTGGTCGATGATGCCTTCGAATGTTTCGAGAGGAATGCGATCGATCAGCGTCGGTGGTAAAGAACCAATAAATGTCAAGGGGACGGCCAAGGAAGTATCACTGAGCGTCAGCGGTAAGGGAGGGGGAGCAGAAGAATTCCATCCAGCCACCGACCAGGGGCTAGCATTCGGTGAGAACGCCTTGTACGTTGGCCTGCACAGCATTCGCCCTGCCTTGCAGACCATTTTACGACATGCCCTGGGAAGTTGGGTGCCACAGAATGAACGAGCTTGCCGGAGGACTGTGGACAAAGTACCGCAAACGCTTGTCTTGTGCCCAGGGGACTCGGAGCCAATTGGAGACCCCGAGCCTGAGGTGATCGTCTGCATGTCCTGAATGTTCCAATCATCAGTTGAGGCTTGTCAGACTAGTGGAACATACTGACAGGACGATGTGGGAGACTGCAAGTTACTGTGATTGTCCGAGAGAACGCGAAAGGCCTCAAGCGGCCTGCTGATAAGGTTCGTCGCCGCTGTCGGGCCGTTGGCCATTGTCAGCAAGCGGTCTGTTCCCTGGCATAGAAGCTCTCAGGCGCTCTCTGCGGTCGTGCCAGGCACAAGTGAGTCCATTGAAAGGGTCGAAGGTCACCCACCTGAGGCGACACCACTGTTTACTCTCTGACCGTGAGTCGCTTTTACGTACTGCAGAATACGCTTGATACGGAGTAACATCAAGACGATAAAGGATGCCAAATGCAAAGGAAGGGTGTGATTAACGGGTACGGTGATGCAAGGAGTGAACTGGATTGATCTATTGCTACATAACGTAAAAGGAACGACGTCTACAATGTATGCGAATGCATATCACGGCGAGATTAAAACAGCAAAATACACAAGTCCGACAGAGAAATAAGCTTACACGAGGACATGCCTCAGAACAAAGAATGATACGCGTATCGTATGACGATGAACAATTGAAGGAGAAAACAGTCCCGATCCAAGACTAGCTCGGATGGTGAAACGCGCATCAATGGGAGCGTCCAGGTGAGAGTGAGGGGATGGCGAGCGGTCTCACTTGTGGAGGCGCAATCGCAGGATCGGGGTCTCGCCGATGAACAGCAGCACGAGGACGAGGGTGAGAGCCAGAACACCGATGTCGATATAGCACAGAGCATCCCAGCCATTGCTCAGATGGCCGTAGACCTGCATGCAGAGTCAGTGACAGTGTTCGTGAGGTAAACGCTCAGTGTACTCACCTGTCCCCCGACGATGGATCCCGCTAGAAGATTGAGTAAGCACATCTGGAGGCCGAAATAGCAGAGCGAGCATGAAGCCTACCTGCATTGGCGAGTCCATACACAACGTTGAAGGTACCATACGTGTGTGCATCTACGGAGAGAAGACAAAAATCAGCCACCAGCGAACAATCACCCCCGTATTTCCCGCACTTACAGCCTACACCTTCCATGCTACGTGTCACAGCCGCGAGTTCGGTTGTAAGCGGGGACGATGTCGCACCAATGAAGAAGTCTGACGATCCCAAGTCAGAATGTGCGCATATACAAGCGCTGCATATAGGGGACTCACTCTCGACAGCGAACGCAACGATGAAGAACGCGAGAGAGAAATCGAGCGTGAGCAGCCCGAACCACGGGATGCCGCACACGAAAAGGACCGTGGCGACCCATGCAGGGCCGAACTTGTCGCTGAGCTTGCCTGCGAGGGGTGAGGCTGACGGCGTGGTTAGTAGACATAGAAGTGAACAAGGTCGGGGACGTACAAACGAGAGTGGGGACGAGCGAGGCGAGGTACACCAAGCCGACCTTCGTCGAGTTAAGGTTCCAGAGGGCCTGCACGCGCAGAGGGAGCGTCACGTCCAGTGCAGCGAACGCAAACCTGATACAGCAGTCGTCAGCACATCATCTTCCATTGAGACCACGCATACACTCACGAGCCGGTGAACGTGCTGAAGAGCACGACGAGCGTCCGCGTCGAAGTCAGCAGCTTGTGCATGACCTGCAGGAGAGACAGCTCCTTCCTCTCCTTCGTCTGTACCGGCGCCGCGGGCATCTCGGACGCACTGATCGCGACCGCGACTGCCGCCTCCGCGCCGAGCACCTTCCTCACCGACGATACCTTCTCCGTGGACTCGGAGAACATCGACGCAGGCGACATGGGCGAGATGGGCGACCCCACGTCACCCGCCTTCTCCGGATCGGGTTCAGACTGCGGTGTCGCTGTCGCGGCCGCCTCGGTGTCTAGGGAGTCTGCGGGCGGCTTCTCGTGCACGAGCAGACGCGCGGGGAGGTCGAGGAGGGTGAAGATGATGGTGAAGATGAAGGGCGCGCGGTAGCCCCAGCGGTCGTACAGCGCGCCGCCGACAGGTGGTGCGATCAGTTGTCTGGTATGGGGAAGTTGAATGAATCAAATTATTCGAAACACTGGAAAAAACGCATCGGCGCACCCTAGTGGGACGCCCACCATGACGAGCCCGAGTTGTTCTACAAATCATGTCAGCACGCACGTCAGGCGCTTGTCTGTAAGGTACGTACGACCGACGTCCTTTTCCGGAGTAGCGTCACATCTAACATTGACAGGCTCGGTGAACAGCATCATGGACGTAACAGACGCACGCACATGAGAGCAAAGCCCGCAACGATGATGACCGCGGAAGCAAATCCCTCCAACAACCGACCGACGCACATCATCCAGAACGCAGGGGACTCCATCAACAATATCTGCGACGCGACCAGGAGCAGCTGGCCAACGATGAGGACCATACGCCTTGACCGTAGCCGCTCAGAGACCATCGCTATCACCGGTGTGGCTGAGCATGATGTACTGTGAGAAGGGTATTGACATGTATGCAGGGCCGTCAAGGGGGGCTTACCGACGACGAGACCCGCTGACTACGCGCCATCAGTACAGGCACAGGGGATGATGGCTGGAATTTCAGACAGACTCACATATAAGAATAGCAGCCATCCGACGAGGGACGAGACATGGCTGTAGTGTAGCTCCTCCAGTCGGAACGGAAAGACGGTGACGACGATGTTGTAGTTCAGACAGTCCAGCGCCAGGCCTGGTGAGTAGGCGTTAGTACTGTCTCAAGCATGGCAGGAGTTACTCACCCAATGCCACCACTGCAGATTCCGTCGAATGGCGCATATAGGCATGTGTGTCAGCGAGACAGCCATCAAGACCGTTGAAGAGACTTGCCAAAAGTCACATAGGCAGGTGAGGACCTCCAGCCCTGCGAGCGGATGCGGAGATCTGAGAAGATCTTCATGATGCCAGTGGTTCTGCACGGCGCGGACGCCTTCTTGCTCGACGTCGATCGTCAACGAAGGGGCAGAGGTTGTTCGCCCGGCCGCAGAGCGCAAGATATGTGACCTGGAGGTGCTTCTCCTGATAGAGTTGCGCCTGGGCGGGGAGGCGCTGCCGGGGCGCGGGTCTGCTGCAGATGGGCCCCACCGCTGGAACCTCGAGCTTCGCCGCGCATCGCCAGAGCCCTGCGGCACAGCGATGCTTTTGTCAGATGTTCACGAGGTCGCGGTCAGAGAAGCACGCATGTGTATCAGACATCCGTCCATTCGAGGGACCGAAGCACGCCGGGATCGCATGCATCCCGGGAAGGAAGCACCTGGGACGGCATACTTTCGCATGGCATTTTGCTGGGCTCAAACGCTCGGAGTTATACCGTCATCACTGCACCTACATGCAAGTAGAGGTAGGCCGATGCAGGCGTAGCACATTGGCCAGTGTATACGTACGGTGCAGCAGTGCACATGGCGAATGATAGGCAATATAGAGGCGTAGGGATTATGTAATAGTATTGTGGTACACGCCCTCGTGGCGCCGTTGTGGCGTCGGTCTGGCGTCGGTCAACAGCGGTCAACCTCGGTCAACTCGGTCTCCTTTCTCGCTCCAGCACGACAACTGCGCGCCGGACCAGCTAGAACCGAAAGATAGACCGCCGTACTCAAGTCTCAAGCGGTACTCGCTCTCACTAAGACTCGCTTGCTTCAGCTTGCAGGCCCGGTTCAAGGCTAGACTTATGATTTTGTATACACAAGCCCGCGCCATCAACTCTCTATGACACTGAGGCCCGAGCTTCATTGATTGCTACAATGAAATATATCCCAGGCTTGTCCTTGAGTCAAGCTTCCACTGATCATCCGGCCCCACGACGGCTCGGGGTTGCAGTCTAGGTCGCCCACTATGGTATGCGTAAGTACCTTGCTTGACCGCCCAGATGCGCCGTATCTCCGCTTACAGACGCCTGACAGGCTGACGGGGGCCTGGCATACGATTTGGTACGTGCAGTAGCATCATAACCAGTCCGCTGGCAGATAGCAGCAGGTCCATTCAGAAGTCAGGCCCGCTTGATCCTAAGTGACGTGGGCTCGGGCGGCCGAGGACAGGGCATATGGGTACCTCGGTCAGTCACGCAACTTCGCATGATCCGTTCTGTTTGCACTTATCTACAATGTCAACAGAAGGCAGGCACCCTTTTCCGGCCACATAAATCTTCATACCCACTCAGCTACCACCGGACGCCTCCCCTGCCACTACCAACCGTGGTCTCGGTGTCTGCATGATTTTGCCATGCGCTGAATACAGCAAATGGCTGTGTGCTATTACACACTGGCACCACGCTGTCGAGGATGAGCTGACATCGCAATCAAGTCCTGGTCCTCCCTGGCTGTCTATAAACTCAGAGCTTCTGTTGATCTCTCGCTGTCGCCTGCCATCATCCCGCTTGGTACGATCAACGGGATGCCTGCGATGAACAAGATGCGCCGTTGACCGCGAGGTGCCTTGCCCTTGCCACGAAGTCACAGGCCAAGCCGCGATATCCGTCAATGTAGGAGGCAATGAACGCTATGAACTCTCTTCGACAGGGACCCCATCGGCCTCAATTCGCAGATGCGCTCCAGACGTTCTCAACTGGAACAGCCAGTCGCCTCATCGAGAGCATGCTGTCCCTAAACCGTTCGCAAGCACAACCACATACGTCGAGACATTTAACTATCGTGTCTCCTCATCTGAGCGCGATCTCACTCTCCAGCGGGACTGTGATGATCAGCCTAGCGCGGGATGTAGACAGCGCAAGATGACCGACCTGTGTCTCCCATCGACTGATAGCTATCTGGAGTACATACTGATTGATGCGAGGTCGGGGTTTGCATGCCACCGCGTCATTTGAGCCACGTCCAGCCCACTTATCGAGTTGACATCTTGTGAGATGATCCCCGTGCGAGACGCTGGATTGAAGGAGAAATGCATGTGTCCGCAGGCGCCTCTGCGCTTCCGAGCACGATCAAATAGGCGATCAGCTGCGAGCGAGTCTGAGTCAGTTCCCTGCCCCGAGCACTCCCAACCTCCTTCCACGCCTCTGGGCCGTCCGCCGCTGACAGCGAAGACCGTACCCTGCCTTCCCCGTTCTCAGCAAGATGTCTGCAGAGTTCCAGCACGGGTGGTACATTGGCAACATCGGGATCAGCATCCTCTACGGTGCGTGCGTTCGCGAAGCCGGAAGCAAAATACTGTGTGATATGATCGCTGGGCTAACGAACGGTGATTTCGCAGGGATCGAGCTCGTCATCTATGGCGCATCCATGCGCGTGCTGTACCAGCGCAAGTCGCAGCACCGAAATAGAGTCGACATATTCTTCATGGTATTCAGCACTGTCCTCCTCCTGTGCTGCACCATCAACCTCGCGGCAAACTGCGTCTTCGGCGAAGAGTGGTGGATCGTCAACCAGAACTATCCTGGTGGATCCGAACAATGGTTCGCCGACAACGCCGCGGTATGGTACCAGACCTGGGCTTCCGCTGCGAACGTGCTCGTTCAAATCCTCGCGGATGCTCTTTTGGTAAGTTTGTATACTGGGTTATGAGGATACTTGTTTACCTGGCTGCTGGCAGATCTACCGTTGTTTCGTGCTCTGGCAAACCCCTTTCATCATCGCGCTGCCATGCCTCGTCTGGCTCGCCTCAGTCGGCCTCGGGATCACGACGCTCTACTACTCGGGGAGCCCGGGCGGAAACGACTACGCGGGGCTCGCGCAGACGACGAGCACGGCGTACCTCGCGTGCACGATGGCGATCAACATCTCCATGACCGTGCTCATCGTCGGGCGCATCATCTACTTCGCGCGCACGACGGAGCGCGTGCTCATGAACGGCAGCACGCGCCAGTACTTCAGCATCGCCAGCATCATCGTCGAGTCCGCGCTGCTCTACACCGTCTTCGGCCTCATGTACCTCGTCACATTTGCGATCGGGAGCGACCTCGGTGCGCTCTTCATGAGCTTCTACGCGATGTTCACGGTGGGTGCCCAGTCGGACTATCAACTGACGTTTGGCTGACCCATGTGCCAGGTCATCTCCCCGCAGCTCATCATCCTGCGCGTCGTCACCGGCTCGGCCTGGGACCGCAAGACGCACAACAACATGACGACGATCTCGTTTGCGGATCGCTCAATGAGCGCGAACGCGACCGCCGGCAGCCGCACTCTCAACAACAACAACAGCGGCCACATCTCCTTGTCCAAGACCTCGCTCCGCGACGGCTCTCTGCGCGAGTCAAAATTGGAGTCGCCCTTGGAGTATGACGCGGTTTGAGACTCTAATGAGCATCATGGGGCTTATGGGCTTTGAGGCTTATTTTATCGGATCTACCGAGAGGAGGCGCGAGGAGCGGTGCGATTGTATTTGTGTACCAGTATCTATCGACTGCTGAGAGTGCCCTCAGCACGCTCTTTCCTATCGATTAATACCTTCATTCAACTGTGTATTGGGTGTTTGCAGATCTGTTTTAGTGGTGGGTGTTGTGCTTGTGCTACTTGTTACCTTATTGGTTGGGATTATAGGCCACAACGAGTGTACCATAGCAGCAACACTGCGAGACGAGTACTAAGATCCGAAGAAAACAGTGAAACTTACAAGCAAAAACGAACAGAACCTCCGTTACGCATACAACGCCAAGCTCGGTATCTCCGTCTCTTTCCCATCCCTCACGAGCCTCCACTCCATCCAATTCCGCCTGAATTCCGCTCTCAACATCTCCCAATCTACACACTGGTGCTCGCCGATCCACCTCTCCTGCGTGAAGTTTCGGTCCAAGACGTTGGGCGGTTCGAGGGTAATATCCGCGTCGCAGAGAACGTACTGGCGGATATGGTTCAAACAATGTTCGGGATGCTCCCGGTGCTCTCCGCGAGCAGGGTGCGGTGCCTGGAGCGCGTCGAGGAGGTACTGCAGGCAGTGCTGCTGGTGCGTCATGCCCACGCCGAAAACGCGGTGCGCGGGCCCGAGGCGCAGGTCGCCGTCGCCCACAGTCGAGATCCAGAGCCACTCCTCAGTGGATTGGGCCGAGAGCAGGGAGTAGTGCGCGGAGTCCTCGACGGACATGCGCACGGACCGCTTGGCGCCTTTGCCGGGGAAGAGCGGCGGGCGGTCGTCGTCGAGGAAGGCTGGGAGCACATGGTGAGGTGGGGATTGGGGTAGGTTATGAGCGACTTACAATAGGTCGAGAGTGGTCGTTCCCGGCGTCGTGCTACCTGCTGGGCAATACGTGAGAGGAGCACGTCGAGGTAGACGTTCGCGAGGGCCAGCACGGCGAGGATCGTGAGCGCGAGCTGCTTAGAGGGCATGTCTGAGTGACCCTTCAAGTTGTCGACAAGTGCCTACGCCGGTACTGGTGTTAGGTATCGCGGTACATCAGAACCGGGGCCTGAGTCTGGACGTGGATTCCGGGTGATAAGTAAGGGATTTACTCCCGCAGTACTTGCGAAGAACTGCTTACCTCTGGGCCGCGTCGTCAACTAACACGGCGAAGCCCGACGGAAGAGCGCTGTCCACGGAGAAGATGAGTAGACGGTGACATGTGGTCCAGTGTCCTCGAGGCGGCCTCATGTGAGCTCATGCCGGGCGCTGACGGTGATATCAATGTTGCATTCCGCACAAGATTTGAGATCTCCTACCAGCTTACGACAGCTTACGACATACGACAATATAGTGACTTACGGCAGCTTACGGCAGTCTCCCGAAGCAAACATTGCAGTGCATGCCTAGCTTCGACGTCCACGCGACTGTCCCAGCAAATGCGTACTTCGGAGGACTTGCCGTATGTGGTTAGCGGCCTTGTTCGGAGGAGCATCGCGGGGGTTCTAAGCGGGACCATTTCGTAGGAGATCTCGATTGCGATTCTATCGGACGCCGGCAGATTCACGGCACAAGCCTCCGGCCGGACTCCGGAGCGCCCGTAGCGCGCCGGCGATCAGGCGCCCACTCTACACGATGCCATTCAACGCATTCTGCCCAGCTTCCACCTTAGTCTAGCTCGCCGCCTCGCCTTGCCCGCTCTCGCGATCATCGCCTCGCGTACTAGTGACCGTGCTTGGTTTCCGCCGTCGCCCACGCCCACTGTCTTATTGTCGTGTCATCTCCTGGTACAGGAACCCTCTCAACAAGAACTCTCAAAAAGAAGTGTTCCCGAGCCGAAGTCCGACCCAGCCTGTGAAATATGACGACAATAGTCCTCCCGTCGAACATTACAATCTCTGAGGTGAAAGAACCCACTGGTCCGTGAAATCAGCGTTCCCGGAGTATCGCCCGTGCTGACGGAAGGCGGTTGCAGAGGAGATGATCGACCAGGCGGTCAAGCTCACGAACGCGCTCCAGGTGGGAGGTGAGTTAACTAGCGTGTCTGATACGGTCTCTGGCTAAGCGTGCGCGCGCCCAGACCCGTCGTGCAAGGCGTGGACGGGCGGAAACCTCGAGCTGCTGCCGCTGCTCATGCACGCGATCATCAAAGCGACGTGGTTGTGGGAGGGCGCGGGCATAACGTACGTCGCGACGGACGAGAACGGCGTTCTCGTCGGGTTCTCGCAGTGGCTCCCGTTGGGGCAAGACCTTTTCGGCTCGTGAGTCCCACCACCGAATGTTGGCTACAACGCGGTCTCATGGTGCTCCAGAGAAGACCGGAGGCAGTTCGGCTTCGACGAGTTCATGGAGAAGATGTCGGATGAAGCGAAGAAGTACTTCGCAGAATCGGTAAGCTGCGTCTCCCATGCCCAATGCGGACGCGTTAGTGACGAACGGCATTAGCTTGGACGCGAGTTTCCAAAATACCTCGACGAGGCTTTCGGCATCCCGCAGGTTCGTGTGCTGACCGCTGGTTCCGCCGCCCCTTCCTGACTGCCGGCTTCACAGTCCCAAACCAAGGTGCACTTCTGCAACCTCGTGATGGTACAGCCCGAGTACCAAGGTAAAGGCATCGCGTCGGCAATGTTCAAAATGGCGTACGAGGAGGTGCGTAGCTCAGCGATGAAGTCCTCCCGAGTCTGATGCGCGACACTGACACTGTTATCACCAGGCGAAGCAGATGGGGGCAGTCGTAGCGCTGTCCACGGGTAACGAGCACAACGTAAGTCTCCTCCTTCGTTAACGACGAGTATCTCATTGTCAAACATCTTGCAGATCGTCGTATACGAACACATAGGGTTGACGGTGAAGGGTCACCAGGTGTTCCAGTCGCCCTGGGGCGAGTGGCCGAGCTGGGCGTTTGCATGGGAGACAAATCCAAAAGAGCCGTGATCATGTTGGAGATCCGGTGTACGTTATGCGCAGATAAGACATCGTATCCGCCGTCCGCCGCCTGCTGGGCATCCCGGGGGAGACTCCGCCAGTATCGGAGCACATCGCAGACGGTGAGCAGGAAGGCCGGCGTGGTAAATGGAAGCTCGCGCACCGCACGGCCGGCCGGTCTTCTGGTTGCATCTCCCGGCGCCGGCGAGCGGGCATCCCTCCGACGTCCATCTGTGGCGGATGGCGGACCGCGGTTCTGGCTCGGTCGAGAAGCACGCATCCCCACTTCAGCCTCGCCATGGCCATCTCACCTGCGGCCTGAGCCTGTTCTGAGCAGCCAAGACCTCAGCCACCTGGTGCTGCAACACAGTATCATTGCACAACACCTTCGTCTGCGAGGACTATGCTGAAGCACAGTGCCCGTGAGGAGAGCGACGGGCTACTCAACTCCAGCAGTAGCTCCTTCGAGCTCCTGGACACCGAGTACAAGGGTACGTCTATTCATACGAGTTCATGTATATCCTCTGACGGCCCGCAGGATCACCCAAGGTCGCCGGGGCCTACAAGTCCAGCTCTAGGTTCGCCAGGCCGCTCTGGCAATACGCCCTCGCGACCCTGCTTCTCGTCGCGCTCACGGACCTTGCCTTCCTCGCGTACATATCGCGCATCTTCGCCACCGAGTACTTCGACGCCGCCGATCTTCCCCTCGCGAATCCGTACATCGGGCTAAAGGAGCTCTATGAGCTGGGACGTGTCGAGCCCGACCGCATCGAGCCGCTCCTCAACAGGCCGCGCGTGGCGACGCAGGTGTTCCGCGACGAGCCAGACCGAGCGGGGAGCAGGGGCGAGCATGAGGTGTGGAATACGATGATGGGGACGTTGTCCCCGTACGACAGGCATCTGCTCATCGACGACATGGTGCGCATAGCATATAGTTATCTCACTCGGACTCTCAGCTCACGACGATGACCTCTCAGACACGCACGATCGCGCAATTTCGCGCGATGGACTTCGGCATGGAGGAATGCTCGCTCGTCCTCCGCCTGCCCGGCCCGTCAGACCACGTCGAGGGCAAAGACCAGCCCGCGCTCAGCAGCACCGCGCTGCAGCTACAGATTTGCCCGCTCGACATCCCGCGCTTCCTCGACGTCTCAGCGGTCACCTGGAATGCGCGCCCGCGGTGCGCTGCGCCGCCCACGGCCTTCACGGCGGCGGTCGGCGCGGAGCTCGAGGTGCTCCCGCGCTTCGCGTGCGCGTGGGGGACCTACCACTCGTTCGAGGTCGGCTGTGCGGAGGGAAGCTCGGAGGAGTGCCTGGTGGACGTATGGTCGAACCACAACCAGACCTGGGGTGAGTGCTCCTCGAGCTCGCCTCCGCCGCGCGCATCGATGGCGCGAGCTATGAATCACAAGATGCTGATGCGGGCTGCCAGGATTGTACATGCATCAGCACCAGACCATCTAGGGCGCACGAGCCCTGCGCGTCCGGGCAGGAAGGAGGAATGTCATTTGTGTGTGTACTGTACGCTATCTGGTGATGCAGCGCCGTTTGCGAGGAGGTGCGCTCGAGCTCGGACGTGCCAAGGCCTGTGCCGTGATGACGAACTCGAGGGGTCCGGGGCCACCGAGGCGGTCATCTGTAGAGTACGGAGGAGCACGAGGCCCGTATTCTTTGGCCATACACAGGGCGGGTGGACTGAGGGTACCACAATCTTCTCCGCACATGGCAGCGCGATGGAAGGACGAACGGCCTCGATGCAGTGCCAACGCGTAGATAGGCTCAAACTTCCTGCGGGCAGTCCATTGCCAGAGCCAGAGTGTGTGGTGTAGATTTAGCTCCTTGGGCGTATCTTGCCAGATCTTATCCTAGGCTACGATAGCACGACGTCTTTGGGCTTCTTGTGCACTCTGCTGGTCCTCCGAGTCCGTACTGAGGTATCGGCGCCCGTGCTGTGCGGTCCATCGGAAAGATGTCAAAGGAAGAGGCTGGCGGCGCGGGCGCAAGACCACTCGGCGTAGACGGTAGAAGGTCGTGCGGAAGGTTCTCGCGTGTGGACTTCGTCCGGAGTCGGGAGTTGCTGGCTTCTCGTCCTCCGCGAGCGCATGTGATCCCGAGACACAGAATCCTGCCATTTAGAGTGAACCCAAGGATCTCTGCTGACTGGCCGCCACAATCTGAACGTCGGTCCAAGTCCGTTCTGTAGGTGGTGAGTGTAACTCGATAGTGGGCAGCGTGATAAGCCGGGTTGACGTCTACCTCCAGACTGTTTGTGCACCATCGCTCTAGCGGAGCATGCAGGGATTCACGATGAAGCGCAACCTGGAGGCCCTGACTATCTGGGCAGCGTGCACCTTACTCGCAGCGAGCCTCTTCGGAAAGTTAACATACTTACACTGGGCGAAGCGCATACCGTCCAACGTCGAGCCCGCTGTCGCACGCGAAGGCACGCCCCGTTCCGCATCGCCGCATAACGCCGCTCACTAACAGTTCGCAGAACTCACGTCCGCACTGTGGGACGTCGAGCGGGGGCCCGTGCACCTCCAGTTCGACCACTACTACCTGCGCTACGGCCTGGACGCGGAGCAGCAGTGGGCCGCGCTCGTGCCGCACGACGGGCTCGTCTACGTCGGGGACGGACCCAACTCGGAACCGTACATGCCCTCGATGTTCCACCAGCTGCGCTGCCTGGACGTCCTCCGCGCGCAGTACCTCCTCCCGCTCGAGGAGCGCGACATGGAGCGTGCGCAGCACTGCATAAACTACATCCGGCAGATGGTGCTGTGCCGCGGGGACATGCACCTCGAGACGTTCCTGGCGGATCGTTGGAGCCCCGAGAATGTTGATAGGAGAGGAACGTATCGGTGTCGCGATTTCCGCGCGGTGTACGATGCGGTTGAGAAGAATCAGCAAGAGCACAGGCATTGGGTGGTCAACAAGAATACGACAGCTTAGTAACGAAATGCGATTCCTTTCAATGGCTACTGGAATGTATATCATACTATCGTCTACTATGTGGACGAGCGCAGACGCGGTTCGTGGTCATACACGTCGTGTTCAGGTAGGTTTCAGTAGCGCTGGCCCTCGGCGAGCCAATAGTGACCGATTGGTAGATCTGACGAGCCAGCACGGTGCCAGTTCGGGATTTTTGAAACGAAGACGGCTTCGAGAAGTAGCGGAGACTCGCCTGAGCTTTAGGCTCGCCACGGTGAGTCCTCCCAATTGAGTTGCTGGCCTTCTGGCGGGCAGCGCTGCTATGGGGATCGCAGGGAGTCGCGCGCGCGCCGGCAGTCGCCCTCGCTTCAAGCACCAAACTAGCAGCGAAGTTGCCCACGAGAAGTACGGGCGCATCGAAGATGCGTAGGGCGCTGTAGGGCGCGATGGGCGGTAGAACGTCATGCTGCGAGGACATCGGTGGCGAGACACATGACCGCGCGGAAACGGATGTGTGCCGCAATACGGCCGGGCCATAAGAAGCTCGAGGCCTACCGCGCCCGGACCTGCAGGGACAGACGCACCCGTCGAGTTCGACACCACCCGTACGCCTCCCCAGCCACAATGCAGGCCCGCACCTCGCTCTTTGCGCTCGCCGTCCTTCTCATGGTTGCACTGTCGCAGGCTGCGGCCGTGGTTACGCCAGAGAAGAGAGTTGCAGGTTCGTTTGACAGTATTTCAGTTCCAAGGCGTGGTAACTGACCGCTTGGCGTTAGACCCCATGAACACGAACGATGACGGTATGATAATAGAGCGTCTTAAAATGGGTGATCGATGTTGACCACAGTGCCTAGATCTTGTCCGTGTGCGCGCCATGATTTGAGTGGCCAGAGATCCAGAGTCGCGGTGAGCATTGTACTGTACTTAGGTCCGTTAGAACGGCCCGCGCTGACGAGTATCTGGGGACCTTTCAGGAGGGACCCTTGGCCACAGCGTCATCATGATCTCGATCGTCGGATACGTGTTTCGTAGACATTTAGGTTGTCAGATGCAGAAGAGTTCTCGAGCGTGCAAATGTAGCCTGCCGGAGAGTGGCTGAACGTCGACTCGGTCGAAGAATGAAAAATACAGACCGTGAGTTTGATTACAGCCTGAGGTGTCGATGGCAAGCTCGTGCAGGGCTTCGTGTATCCCTCCAGGATAACTCGAGTTTGCAGGGCCGCCGCAGCTCACGGCGCCGTCGCCGATCGTTCGACAACTATCATCGCCGACCCGGTCGTGGAATAAAAGAAGCAATCCTCTTAGCTTAAGTACGACCATTAGCAACCGCAAGCACTCACCATGGGATTTCTATGCATGGTCGTGGCGTGCCAACTGCGCGTTGGCCATTCCTGCATAAGTACCACGAGAAGTTCGGATCGTACAAAGCTTGAGTTACCATTCAGCGAACACCGTCCAGCCGAGTCCAGGAAGCCGCTATATTGACCAGCGTGAGGGATCTAAATGCGTACGTCAGGGCGCGATGTTATGAGGGCAAATCTTCTGCGTCAACGCTCAATATGAGATAGGGGATGCATGGTGTATCGCGTTGCATTGTGTACCTGCTAGCTGTAGATATGTGCATTACAGGGTGGACGTACTCCAACTCAGTCATCGGTTCCGCTCATCAGTGGTAACGCCAGCACCTGAGGACTGCTCTGCTATTGATCTCGCTACAGTCGGAGGCTTCAGTATGGCGTAAAGATACTAGAATGATGAGGTCAAGTACCTTTTCGCGCAAGCTGCAGCAACTTGACTTTCTCCAAGATCTCATTGGCCATCTCACAATAACGGAGGGATTGTTTCATGTAGCTTGGAGTGGCCCTGGCGAAGCATGGCACAAAGCACTGTGCAACGTCAAGGTGGGGGAAGAGTGAGTCGAGGAAAGATGCAATCCTGCTGACGTCCGAGTCGGTTGTATGTTCAAGATCGAACACTTCTTGGAAACGGATCTCCCGAAGTGCAGGCTTTGCTCCCGCGACGCATTCTACACTGCTTTGAAGGGCAGAGTCTTTGACAGACATCGTGGAGAGCTCCTCGACAAAGTGTGAAGAAAACCCCGCCGCCATGAAGGTTCGGAGCCCAAGGCATGTGCGCGCGATGCGTTGAAGCATGCAAGGGGAAAAGATGATTCTAGGTAGGATCAGTTTTTGTAACGCAGGCCACGCCTCCAGTAAGCGGAGGATGCTAGCATCGGAGTAGATTTCATCGTCCGTGGCATGCTGGAGTATCTCCACTTCCCGGAGGTGACGAAGTGCGAGTAGCGGGGCCCCTGGTTCAAGAAACTGAGCGCCACTGGATGGAGAGTTCGGGAAGAAGGAAACATATGTGTCGCAGAGGGTGAAATGAAGTCTCGTCAGAGACGCTGCATAATGGCGACGCAATAGATCAAAGGTCGTGTGAAGCACGTCCTCCGCCGTGTCCGAACTGTCGTCTAGGTCATATTCACAATGAAGCTCCACGTCCTCCAGTCCAGGGGTAACGAAGGCGTTGAGAAGGGTTCTTACACCCGACATCGGCCCATTGATCCGCAGGCGTCGGAGATTCGTAAACGGTCGAACAGCAGCCGACGTGTTCACCTGGAGGTCATTCAACGGCTTCGTGTCCCCGTCAGTGGTGGCACGGGCATGGAATAGGGATATCTCGAGCGTGGACAATCCCTCGATTTTTGAAACGACAGCAAGGGCAGCTTGAAGAACACGTTGTGATTCGTAGATGCGGAGGGTGTGGATTCGTTTCGGTAGATAAGACTGGTGGGGTTCCCTCGATGCCTCGAGGTCGGTCCAGAATTGGCTGTGACCCAGTGATCGTAGTTCAAGCTCCTCGAGATTGGGAAGGTCCTTGACAATAGAGGGAAGCGATGATTTTAGGGCATGCCGCCGCATGCGGTACGCGAATTCCTGGACCAGTCCGCAATTCTCTTGCTGTGTGCTGTCTTCTGGTAGACGCAGAACGCGAATCGACGGCGAGATGACTGATATAATCTCGGGTGTGGCGTGCTCCCAGACGAGCTCACGCACGTTCAGGAAGAGCGGCTTGCCATGTGCGTACTGCAGAATATACAGGAAGACAGAAGGGTCGATAATCCACCGGTTCCTAGGATATCGGAGCACCTGAACGAATGGTGCATAGCGCTGGAAGCGTGACCAATCTTCCGGTGAAATACGGCCTGACAGATACCGCTTTGTGACCGGTGTTCAGCAACAGCCATGCATCACAGACGAAGCATTGGCATGAGCTCACATAGGTATATGGGCCCTGATAAGAGTCTGCCTCAGCCAGGTCTTCGTTTGTATCGTCGGATTCATATGCATCGCCTCCGTGAACAGCTCCATATATATCGTCAACAGGTGCAGGCCCCTTGACAGCACCGAACTCGGCGTTCGGGTCTAGAACAGCATCTAGGAAGTCGACGAGATTCTGCTCTCTCCATAGAACCCGTACCGCTGGCTCCCAAAAGGCGCGACACGCTCGTGCGCACACAGCGAGGGTCTGTCGTCGATGCTGAGCTTCAGAGGAGGAACGGCGGCTGTTGTGGATACTGCGGATGAGCCTGAAGTCATCGGGGCCCGGGTCGCGAGGGAGAGAATGAGGACATAAGTTCTGGAAGATATTCTGCAGAAGCTCTGGTGGCAAGCAGGCAGGAGGCATGGATATGGGACGGCACGTCTCGAAGGTACGATACAGCCCACTGGCACGAGAACCAGCAAGCCTTCGGAAACGGGCCCTCAACGTGTCTCTAACAGAGCGCTCAGATCACCTGATCGCGTCAATGTCGCAATTGATGTTCATTGTTCGGGAGTATCTCCTCCAGATCCCCTCCTCCGCGTACTACTATAGTAGTGCATTGCCAGACTGTAACTTAAGTATGTCATGATCTGTGTTCAACTTGCTGGGACGTCCACTGACAGTGACTGTATCAACTGCGTCTGGTATGTAGTCAGACCTAGTGGATATGACACATTATCTACTAATACAGTAGTATCGATCTCGTTTTCTGCCACTCGCAGTATATCGCGTCGATGGAAGTAGTTTGCGGCGTAAGGCAGGACCGACAGCCAAGCTTGATCCAAAGCCTTCACAACAGCCTCGGCTACATGCACCAAACGCCTGCATCAGCACGCTTTCGCGAGGAAAACTTAACAGACAATGTACTCACGCAGTGGGCCTTTCTCCAGGTCGAGCATGTTCTGCGATATTCATTGGTCAGTCGCTGCCCAAAGAGCACAGCACCCGCTACACGCACCTGTTCAATGTGGTTCAAGCTTGAGGCGCCGATGATCACCGCGTCGCCGTACTCGCTCTTCAACAGGCTGTGGTGCGAGATCCAGCGCAGCGCGATCTCTGCCGTCGTCAGCTTATGTTCCTAGGCGACCTTCTGGATCGAAGCAAGTGCCTTGAAATATGGCTTGTTCCAATACCTGTCAGTGTCGGTGAGTAGTCTGAGATCCTGCCAAGTTGACGAAGTAGAATCCTACGTCGCACGATAGCTCTACGATGTCGTATGTGAGCGTATCAGAATGCATCCTGTAAGAACACATCCTGAGGCTCTCTGAAGCAGTACACTCACTCGTCCCTGAACCCTCGAGGGGTCGAACCGAGAGCCAGGCTCAACTTCCTGGTCGAGCGAGTTGTATCTCCCTGTGAAGAAGCCTCCACCTACTGCGATGCCGCTCGTCAGCCTCGATATGGTCCAGGACATCAGGACCGACTCTTACAAGGGTTGAACTCATAGAAGCTGATGCCGTACTTCCGCAAGCAAGGGAAGAGCTCAGGCTCTACTTTCCTGTCAGACGAAGTGGGGTGATAGGTTGGTTCGCAAAGCGCCTCTCACTATGACGCGCACTGACCTATGAACAGCGTTGTAGATACCCTGGTACACAGTCGGCTGGATATACCCGTTGGCCCTGCATACCTGTACGATTCCCGCAACTCCCCACCTGGGGGGGGGGGCATCTCATCAGTTGCTATTTGCCGCGAAGAAGTGGGCATTGGGTACGCACGTCATGTAGTTGCTGATACCAAAACTGCGGAACTTGCCCTCCTTGTAGAGGTCACTGACAGCCTTCAATGTCACTTCGTAGGGTGTCGTTCTATCGGGCCCATGAAGGTACCACAGCTCAAGTTGGCTGAAAGCGCGCAGGCATCAGCGGATATCATAGGAGAAACATCCTCTATGAACGTACTCTGTGTTGAGTGCCTTCAAAGACCCTTCGATGTGCTTGCGTATATCCTTTTCAGTCACACGGCCGAAGTCAGACTTTGCATAGTTGAATGATAGTCAAAGCCAGACACACCTCAGGCGAGTGAGTGATTGCAAACTCTTTGGGGACGGCTTTCGCCACCTACGGTACAGTTCGTTCAGCCAGGGTCTGGTCGCGGTGTAGTAAGGGCTGGTACTCACGATGGTTGGTAGAGCTTCGTCTCGACCTGCAGACCGCGCGCCTGCCATCCGATTGCACCAAGGACCTCCTCGCTCGTCCCGCCATTGTAGACACGCGACGTGTCGACCTGAGAATCGTGAGACTCACAGCCTCGCAGACTAGTTTACACCGAACCTCGGTGTGCCCATGGGCTTGGAATACATCCAGGATGGCTTCAACATCTTTGAGGTTGTGGCCACTCGCGCCTAGCAAGCGATGCGTCAATTTCGGATGGGGTCAGGTTCGCGTTTAAGGCGCTAAGGTACCCTCTTTGCCCTCTTTGCCGAACGTCAGGGCGCCCTATTAACGGATATCCGTGGTTTTCAGCATGGGCCGGCGAGCGCGACTCAAACTTGAGTTGAACCTACCATGCCGATGTTCAACGCACTTTTCTGTTGCGGTGCCATATCTGCTTCCGGTTAGGAGTCGCTCCTGTGTTGTGCGGTCAATGGACTGTCGAGCTTGCAGCTTGAAAGACCCGCACCATGTATGTGACGCTCTGCCGGAGACCTACTTGATGGCATACGTACATCGTCGGTATATAACCTTCACTTACTCATTCAGGCTTTCCCACCATTACATCGGGGCTGCCAGTGAATCCGGTCGTTATGTGGGGGTCCTCCTCGATGTCAATCGGGATGCAGAGTGGGGATGTCGAGATGTGACATACTTATCCACTCCGCAAGGTGCTGCGATCGCCAGATAGCAGGACCCGATCCCACGCGCACGATTGTCGGTCCTAGCGAAGGAGGCAGGGACGCGGGGGAGTGGGGGTTGTTCATCAGACAGCAAATGAAGCAATGACTTGACTCAGCATAGAAGCGAATCCAGCAGGTTGACTACAAGACAGGTTATCATGTCGAGGTCCAATGGGTAATTGGTCGCATTCGAAACGGAGTAGGATCACAGCACGGCATGAATCACCGTCGGGATAGAATACTCATCAGCATACAGTCTGACCCCTCAGACTGAACAAATCCTTTATCGGAATGTCGTCGTGCGAAGGAAGTTGTGTTGACGATGAGCAGCCGACACACCTACATAATGTCATCGCCGCACAATACGGCTTCAGTATACGCTACATGTCATTTCTCATCTGTAGATGTCGGTCCCTGATCAGCACATGCGACTGTGCCAACGCCAGTAAGGGAATGCTCACATAGAAATACGATTGACACCAGACTTCAGATTCCATACTCGGAGACACAGACATGGCCACTCTCAGTGGAAGTAGTTCGACGCGTACGGCGCCACAGACAACCACGCCTCGTCCAGTGCCTGCACGACAGCTTCGGCTGATCCCGACACCAAGACACGTCAGTCAGCCATCCACAGAAACATTGAGCATCACTCACGGAGCGGCCCCTTCTCCAGGTCAACCATATTCTACACATCCCAACGACCCAAAATTAGCCGTCGCTCACTCACGCAGAGCACGAGGTGCAGGAACCAGACGAAGTAGTACGTGCCTGCTCGATGTGGTTCAGGCTGGAGGCACCGATGATGACCGCGTCGCGGTGCTCGCGCTTCATCAAGCTGTGGTGCGAGATCCAACGCAACGCGATCTCGGCCATAGTCAGGTTGTGCTCCTCAGCAACCTTCTGAATATACGCGAGTGCCTTGAAGTGCGGCTCGTTCCAGTAGCTGTCGGGTCGGAAATGAGGGCTTGGTACGAGCGGGGCAGACGGGAGTGGAGGGCACGTACCGAGCGCGGTAGTTCTGTTGGTGTGGGGCGCGGGTGAGCAGATGGATAGAGACAGGTTCAGAAGGGTACACACCCTTCCTTGGCCCTTTGTAGGGTCAAACCGGGAGCCGGGTTCAACCTCTTGGTCGGAGGAGCTGTACCTTCCTGTGAAGAAGCCTCCACCCACTGTAATGCGAGGTGTGAGCCTAAGACAATGCGAGAACATAGGTATTGGCACTCACGGGGGTTGAACTCATAGAAACTAATGCCATATTTCCTCAGGCATGGGAAGAGCTCAGGTTCGACTTTCCTACGGTAGACAAAGCTATGCATCAACATCTGTAACTTTCATCTAGAGATATTTCGGTGGTGGGCTTACCGATGGATAGCGTTGTATATCCCTTGGTATGCAGTAGGCTGAATATACCCATTCGCCCTGCAAATCTGTACGATCTCCGCGACCTCCCACCTATCGATACGGCACTGTAAGAACTGGATGCATATATGGACGTAGCGACGTACGCCATATAATTGCTTATGCCGAATCGACGAAACTTTCCCTCCTTGTAGAGGTCGTTGACGGCCTTGAGCGTTACCTCGTACGGGGTCGTCCTGTCGGGCCCGTGAAGGTACCACATTTCCAGCTGACTATATACGCATGGTTTTCAGTATGGATAAGTGAACGGGTCGACCTCAAGGCCATACTCAATGTTGAGGGCCTTCATGGATGTCTCGAGATGCTTTCGCAAGTCCTGACAACCCTGCGGTCAGCTGTGTCATCTGGACGCAGTTACGTTACAATATACCTCCGGAGAGTGTGATATCATCGCTCGGCTCGGGTTCTGGAGTCTCTTGTTCGACTATATGCGATGCGAAGCAGGATATTGTGTCCCATTAGCGTAGCTTGATGTCAAGTGAGACTGGACACTGACGGCATTCGGGTACAACTTTGTCTCGATCTTGAGCCCGCGTTCACGCCAATCGATTTTTCCAAGGTATTCCTCGCTCGTCCCACCAGTGTAGGTGCGGGCCGTGTCGATCTAGCGAACAGTTGCGCGTTCAGCTGATGGATTTCGCATGACGAACGGCCAAATTCCACCTCGCTGTGGCCATGAGCCTGGAACACGTCCAGAATCGCCTCTACGTCCTTGAGGTTGTGGAGCCTGGCACCTGTAAGTCAAGCAATCACTAACCGAGTTACTCAGTGAGGAGGATGACTGCTACACACCTTCCTTCCCCTCTTCACCGAATGTCATGGCACCCTTGGAGCATTGAGCATAAGCTTGCCAGCCTGGCGTAACGAATTCGAACAGAAGAAAAATTACCATGACGATGTTCAATGAGCTCTTCTGTTGAGGTGCCATTCCTGCCACGATTCAAGTAAGCAACTGGTTTTATAGGGGTGATAGTGGGATCACTATGGTACGTAGGTTGGCACTGGTGGGTGGTGGAGCGTCGCTGAGCCTGAACGCGGTGTATATATGGAGTCGACGGCTGGCTTACTCAGGTTGCCGTTCCTCCTTACAGAACGTACCGCAGAGGGCGGCGAGACGGCATCCCGAGAGCTGACACACGTGGTGCCGATAAGTGAGTAAACTTCAAGGTTGGATGGCGTGAACAGATTCCCGACAGACTCCCGCACTTAGCGTTACAGTGGGTGCCGTGCCGAACGGCCTCTGCCTAACCTGGCCGATTTTGGGGACGTCTTATCACCGAGACGTTGTCCTGATCATCCGCCGATGGATAGGCCGGACTTGCGAGTGGGTTTGAAGAGAAGACTCTGCCAGCAATAACCAGGGCGGGCTCGACGGCTGAAGTCACGATCTCGCCGACAAGAATCCGCACTACGGCCAGATCGTGGAGGTAATAACGAGCAAGCCAACGATCGGAAGACTTGCTGTGCTGGGTGGTTATGGCCTGGAATGGTGGGCCGAACAGGTTGTGTTATACTCAAGCCGACGAGACCATGTAGTACGGATACGTCAAAGTGAATGGTTGTTCGCCGAGAGCGCTCAACTGTACGTCGCGGCATATGCCGAAAGACTCAATTGCGAGTGCCATGAGCAACGTCGGGAGTCCATTACAGTACGGTACCAACTCAAGCAGACGACGGAACGAAACTGCAACGAAGAATAGCATCAAAACATCCGGACAGCACAAGACACATTACATGACGGAATAACGATACGTACGGTACACTACTGCCGGAATGTTCATGACATCACTTCATGTGCCCTCATCTTCACCATCCTCCTCATCGACATCCATCTCCTCGTAGGCGACGTCCTCATCTACACCATCTACACCGTCCATATCTCGCGAATACCCATTTCTTGCTCCCCAATCTCGCGTCGGGTTTGCCATCGCGGCAGCCACACCAATCCTCGGCGTGTGCATCGTGTCCCACTCCACGAGAACCTTCTCCGCCACTGGGTCCCACCGCGCTGCGCTCTGGAAGAACTTCCGGCGGCCCGCACGTTTCTGCCCGGCTCCGTTCCCATTCCCGTTCGTGTACGCGCCGCCACAAAGGTCTGGTAGCGCCTCTTCGCCGTGCTCGTCTGTCCGTGGCACGTCGTAGTAGCGGTTTGTGAGGATGCTCATGCGCTTGCGTGTTCGCCGCCGAGAGCGGTGTCTTGACGAACGATGTCGGCGGCCGGCGCTCGAGTCGTCTGAGAGTGAGTCGGCATCGTCTTCGTCTGACTCGTTGTCCGAGGCAACCGCCTCTTGCAGACCATATACGAAACGCGTATGTTCTGAGCCGACAGAAACATGAGACTTGGTAAGGGTATGATATGCAATGAGTCACGTACGCGCAACTCGCTCGTCGAGCTCGTCCATAGGCTCTTCACTGTTCGCATTCCCGAAGCCAAGGTGTTCTCCGAGGCTTTCTTTTGGTACATCCTGCATACCCACAGAGGGCGCAGGCTGCAACTCGCTCAGTTGCTCGAGTACTCTTCTCCTAAGAGAGGTCAGCGGACACGAGCCACCAGCCGGCGCCGGTCCACTTACCGGACTTCATCCAGCGACCCATCCTTCACATTCATATCCTCCATATTGTTCGGCAAGACCTCCAGCCTGTACCTCGGACCGAACCACTCGAAGTATTCGTTCCACGGCAAGTTCGGGTCAATCTCGCGCTCAATGCCCAGCGCACATGCCGTTTCGTACGTCCATGCACGCACGACATTCTTCACTGTGTACCCGCCGCCGCCGAGGAGGACGAGCGGGATGTTGCGCGCGCGCACGTACTTGATGCAGTTCGCATGGCCCTCCATGGTGAGGTTGAGGCACCCGAGCCGGTCGCCTGCGAGTGAGTCTGCGCCGCATTGCAAGACAATAGCGGATGGTTGGAAGACGGCAAGAATCTTGTCTATTACCTGGAAACTGGGGGTCAGCGCCACTTGTAATGAGTGGGAGAGGTTGTCACGCACGGGCTCAAAGATGCTCTTGAACGACTCGTCTGTGACACCGTCCTTCAGTGGGACGTTCACCGCGTAGCCCTTTCCCTTTCCTCGACCCCTGTCCTGCAACGTCCCCGTCCCAGGGAAGAACTCGCCGTACTTGTGGAACGAGCACGTCATGACGCGGTTGGTGGTGTAGAATGCCTCTTCGACGCCGTCCCCGTGGTGGCAGTCGATGTCGATGTAGAGAACTCGAGGAACGGAGCGCAGTAGTTCGAGGATGCAGAGGACAATATCGTTGATGAAGCAGAACCCTGAGGCTTCGCGCTTCTTGGCGTGATGTAGCCCGCCGGCCCAGTTAATGGCGATGTCGGTCGCGCCACTTGCAAGACGTTCGGCCGCAGCTTGAGATAGTCAGATGCGTGCAAGAGGCCAGAGGAAGAGTGCATACCTATTGACCCGCCAGCAGATATAGAACAAAACTCGAAGATGCCCTCGAACGCGGGGTTGTCGTCACCAAGCACGAGGACTAGAGCACTCTTGCGCTGTCAGCAGTCGTGCCGCGGCTGAGGAGCTAGAGACGTACATCGAGAACGTTGGGAAATGAGCTCCTCCACGTTTTCCGGCGTCACTTTTGAGAGGAACTCAATGTACTCGTCGGTGTGGAAGCGGGTCATGGTCTCCGCGGATGCGCGTTTGGCTCGCTGTAAACATGAAGACGTGAGAGACACAGTAGAGGAGGGAGCGAATCACGTACTAGGATGTGCATCTTGTCCAGCATGCCATATGCAGAGACAAGCTCATGGGTGATACGCATTCGTTGAGGCTTCATTAGGTGCCCGTAGCCATAGGTGTACGCCCCCACGTCAGCTACAAGTTCGTCAGCTGTGCGTGATCACTGAGAGTTTTGTGACGCACAATCGTAATAGTATGTCACCCGACGTTTCGACATGGCGGCGGCGGTGAGAGGACTCGCTCCTGGTCAAAGAGAGATTTGGGCACGTCTGGATTGTCAGGCTCGCACTAGTAGGTCCTTCCCTTATGAGGACTAGAGTCTGGTACAGGTGACGCAGAAAACAAGTGACTAGGCCGACTGGGTGGATACGGCAGCTTTGAGTGAGAGGGCAATACGAACGCAGAGTGAGAGCAGATCTGAGCCAACCTTCGAATAGTCGAACTCACGTGCGCAGCCATAAGAGCTTCATAGCGCCAACAATCATATATGGGAACCCCGAAGCCCCCCGAGGTGGCGTACTCTCCTGGCCAGTGAGAGCTATTTCGCCCGCGAGTGATCCACCAGATCACACCAGATCTAGACTGTTACACAAGATGTTGTCATTGTGCATAGTGCAGCAGGACTTCATGAAATCATCCGTGTGCACTTAGGCTACTTGCCCCGGCCCGAGAGTATGTATGCAAATGACTGGTCACTGCATGCGGCGCCAGATCCTCGACGCGAGATCGACGCGGTCACGTGCAGCACTTTCAACGCTGTAAGTACCGATTGTGAACAGTAGTGGATTGTAGGCACTGGGGAGTGATTCTGCACATGCATGAAAAGTCCGGCTGACGCGTCACAATTCGCCATAAGTTTGAGACATGCACTTGACGCTGAGTCATTGTTATACATGATCGCGTAGAGTACTACACAGGACTGGTAGTACCATGTCCTGCTGTCGGACAGTCGCCGTCGCTCGCAGTAAGCTCCTGCAATAGCTTTGCATTCCCGTGGTTCAGAAATTTTGACATACCATGAAAATGTCATGAGCCTGAGGCTGCAACAAAGAAGACACGTACGCTGCCTCCTCACGTGATGTGGCGTCCGTGCCGAACATGGTAATTCTGATTCAAGCATCTCAGCCACCGGAGCCAACTGCTCATTCACCATCATATCAATTGACAAGGGTTGCGTTAGAGGCCTGGAATAAAATTTATACGTAGTTCTACAGGACTGTAGCAATGGGGATAATTCCAGCAGAATTTGAGTCGAGGTCTCCATACTAGTACTTATCGTTCAATATTCGTACCCTAAGAGTGCTCGGGATCTCCGCTTTCATTCAGATTATGTCTTTCAAATACATGCAAAGTTCTGTTTAACAAGGCTTACGCTGTCCCTAGGCTGAAGAACAATCAATCTGGTCAGGAACAGTCTGTAGTTTTCATCAAATGTCCTCATTAGGCGCGCAAGACACCGACGCCCGAGATAGCCCTCTTGTCACGACCGCAGCTCGCTGCCTCCCTATGGTATTGATATGCAGTATTCAGAGAAGAATAACTGCTATGAAGGCTCGGCTCTGAGCCTAGAAAAAGAGAGGAATGTGATGAAAACACAGGGGAAATCCCGGATGGAAGGACGACCTCCTGGGAACGTGTTCCGATGGTCCGTGCGTTGGAAGAACAAAACTATCCATGCTTAGCAACTCCTGGTTTCGATCCAGGGACTTCAGGGTGCCCTCTATGAGCCCTGCACGCTTCCACTGCGTCAAGTTGCTGTTGTCGATTGAATCAGGAGAAGGAGGAAGATGCGAAAGATTTGGCTGAAAAGTCGGAATAGGCGCTCCGCGTGCCTCGCAGACGATATCGGATCTTACTCGCGTTTAGATTGCTCTGTCCACCTCGAATCCTGTGCGGAGGCTTGCCCTGATATAGCTCAGCATTTGGTACACAAAAAGACTGTGTTTTGACGATGTCCGCACCATCGAATTCTCGGTTTCACGCTCGTACTAGTCGAATCCGGTCGAACCTGAGCGTGGCCATGATTTCGCAGTATGACTCATAGACGGTTCAGTGTGCATTCCCTCTACTCGTTCTAACATTTATCAACTTAGGTCTTTCAAAAGTCAACCCAGTATGTTAAGATGGTATGTGATGACCGAGTTCTGCGTCGAGATCCCTCGCCACGAATGCGATGTCTGCAACTGATCTTTGTCTGAAGACTTCGGCCGTCCGTGCACGGATATCGATTCTGCGACGGCTGTTGTACTACTATGTACTCGATGCACCATATACACTATATCGAGAGTGTGCGGACTTACAACAAAGGGCTATGTGGTGAGTCTTTACGCCACCTGCTGTTGGACAACGCACATCGCTGAGCAGTGCTGATTTCGATCATGATCGACGATTTTGACGGCTGTCAAAATCGGGCTACTCCAAATTCCCCGCTTCGGGCGGGTCCGGACATATTCTGTCATGCACCCCAAGTCCTCAGGCTCACTCGCCGTGCAACAGATTCTACCACTTGAAGGATCTCGCTTCGGGACACTCTGTTGCCACGTGACAGTCATACTACAACCCAATGACATACGCAGATTACGTTTGTTTCATTCGTTGTCACTCCATTACTACATACACATACTACACCACCTCGTACATACATAGAGTCGACCGGGGTGCCACCGCCCGCCTACGGGCGGGCCGGCGCCCGCCGCGTCTTAGCACCATTAGAGTTTGCTTGTTGCGGAATATAAGTGCAGAGTTCATCATCATCATCATCATTCGTTGTCACTCAGTCCGTGAACATGCCACCCTGACTCGCGTGTCCCTGCTGACCGCCCTGTACTTCCCGCCCACCTCGTGCACCCTTCCTGCGGAGGCCGACGAGTTCGTTCTGCCAGCCACGGAACTTTGACAGGAGCGTCTCGCTCTCTGCGCTGCCACCACTAGCGTCGGTATCGCTCTCTATCGCGGTTATGGCCTTGGCGAGAGCATGGTCGAGGCCGTCAAAGGCGTCATCGAGGACGAAGGGGTTGGAGAGTGTTTGACCGACGGCTGGGTTGTGTGCCCCGCCTGTACCGGGTACTGACTCGTGGGGTGCGGCGTGTGGGTCAGACTTAGGGTAGACCTGTCCAGGATCCAGCGGTGAGTGGCTATGGAAGCATGAACGAAATTGCGACTCGCCTGGCCTGGGTTTTCACGTGAAGGTGAGGGTGGAATGTTCTTCTCAAGAGACTGACCGGGGAACTTTGCGTCGGCTGCTCGGGCTGCGTCAGCGCACGCGTAAAAGTGGTTTGGCCAAGCTCACCGTCACCCAGCGACATATTGGGGCTAATTACTTGCTAAGAAAGGTGGTCGTGGGCAACGAAAGGATGCAACTAGGTCGTGGTTGTCGTGGTCGTGCAGAAGAGGGTTCTGAAGTGCAGGCGAGCAGGTCGGAGGGGCAGAGGAGGAGGCGGAGTGGCTTATGACGTAGGCTCGTCGATCGGTGCGCCCCATCCGAGTCTTGCCTCCGATCCAGGACAAACTTGCACGCCCGGGATCTCTCTGTCAACTACAGATATGTCCGTTATGTAACGTTAACACAGTACTTATAGCCATTGCGAGCAAACCTGGTCATAACGCCTTCCAGGCGCGTTCCTAGTGTTGCATTACTCGACGCACTGTCACGCGTGCATTGACGCGTGACGTCATGCGCTTAAGGCGGACGCGTTTGTGGCGCGTGGCACTTGTACATATTAAGTATCTGTTCCAAATCTGTTCGCATGTTTTTAGACCACGTACATATATACAAGCTGCAAAGGTCAGTCAAATCCCGATACGGCACCTCCTAAAGCTGCCGCCATGCGGCCTGCGAGAGCGGACCGCGATAAGAGTACCGGTACCAGGAACTCCGAGTCGATGATGCCTGGCTATTTAAGCCTTTGAGCTCAGCGCTCAACGTTCAACGTTCAACACCCAGGGCATGCAGCGAGCGAGCATAATGTCGCACGGAGACAAGTACCCCGGCTCACCAGAGAAAACGAGGGAGACCTAGTGAGTATCGGCGTCCAACAACTTGGTCCTCTGAATCGCCCTGCTGATCAGAATTCCAGCGATAGTCTCCCCAAGCGTTCTGCTAAGCCATGGGTCCGGTCAGGACAGCGCCAGTCCCTCCTATCGAAGTCGATTTGGCAGGGAAATGCATCTGTCCGTACGTATTGCACACATAATACATGTGAACCCAGCTTACAGCGCGCTCACCGTGGCTCAGTGGGTTGGTCGACTGTCATGATGTGCACATAACCGCGGTCCCTGGGTCAAAGTCGCCAGCGGATATGGCCAGAGAGCGGCAAGAGACCGTCTAGTTCTGTCGTGGCATTGTGCAACATCGCGGGAGTCTACTCGAAATAGTTCCAATGAAATGTAAGGACGCCGTCTGCGAACTGAATACAACATACGTATGCCTGCAGGATTAGAGCATCGTTGGTTGCCCCGGTGACAACCAACAGACACAACTTGAAGAGAAGCAAGAATACTCATTCAGACGATTGATCCTCGTCTGCAATCAACTGACTCTGAGCCACCTCTTACTCCGAGTGACGCCCACCCTGAGCAGAGTGAGAAGCCAGAACAGAAGTAGGTTGTCGGAGGTCGTCGTAGGCCGTCGTTGAGAGAAGTCAAATAGAGGGTATGTTGATTATCACCACGACATGTGGCCATGTCAGTTCCCGCGCGATTACCAGGCCATTCGATGTCGCTTGGTCAGCTTCGATCAACGTAACACAGCTGGAATGGCGTCAGCATGAGAATGGTTTTCGTTCGCGTTCGAGAAGTACAGCTCTATAAGCTACTCACCCGCTATATATACGCGGCTCGACGAGGCAGAGACACAACTACAAGCCCCATTACTCTGTCCCTCCCCGTAGTATCCACCAGCTATGTCGCAGAAAGCACTCTGGCTGAAGGCCGAAAAAGGCTCCTTCGAAGTCGGCACAGCACCGATACCGAAGCCCGGCGAGGGCGAGGTGCTCATCAAGGTTCACTCGACGGCGTTGAACCCTGTCGACTGGAAGATTGCAGCATACGGATTTCTGATTGAAAACTACCCCACTATCCTCGGCGGTGATGCCGCAGGCGTCGTCGAGGAAGTCGGTCCCGGCGTCACAAACCTCAAGAAGGACGACCGAGTGTGCGTCGAGTTTTCGGGCTGGAAAACCGACCGTTCGCGCTGAATGTTACCGCCGTCTGCAGGCTGACGAATGGCGTGTTCGGCAACAACGAGCACGCAACTTTCCAGCAATACACGCTCGGGTACGCCGAAGTGACAGGAAAGGTACGTATTCGCGTTTCCCCACCACGGAAGACACTAAGTTGCCTTGCAGATTCCAGACAACTTGACTTTCGACCAAGCCGCGACGATCCCTCTTGGTTTGGCCACTGCCGCGATTGGATTATTCCACCAAGATGCGCCCGCAGGGAGCGTGGGCCTCTTCCCGCCTTGGGAAGACGGCGGTCGCGGGAAGTACGCTGGGGACCCCATCCTCATCATCGGCGGAGCAAGTTCTGTCGGTCAATACGGTACGCAGAGTGAACGTCTCGACACGTACGTGGTGCTGACGTTCCTGCAGTCATCCAACTGGCCAAACTCGCCGGCTTCGGCCCCATCATAACCACCGCCTCCCTGCGCAACACCGAAGTTCTGAAGGGCCAGGGCGCGACGCACGTCCTGGATCGCACCCTCTCGAAGGACGCGCTCGTCGCGGAAGTGAAGAAAATCACGTCCGCACCTGTGAAGGTCGCCTACGACGCCATCTCCGAGGCCGACACGCAGAACGCCGCCTACACGATCCTCGCGCCCGGGGGAGCACTCGTCATCGTCCTGAACGAATCCGTGGAGAACAAGACAGACGACAAGCGGGTTGTGCACGTCTTCGGAAACACGAACATGCCGTCGAACCGCAAGCTGGGGGTGAGTCTGTACTCGAAGCTGACTGCTTTGTTGGCAGATGGTGCCGTCAAGGTCTGTTTACTACTGAGTGAGGGGTCGCTGATACTGACCACTCCGGCAGCCGAACCCTGTCGAGGTGCTTCCAAACGGGTTGCAGGGCATCATCGCGGGTCTCGAGAAGCTCAAGCAAGGGGTCAGCAACGTGAAGCTGGTCGGACAACCACAGGAGACAGCGTGATCGCTCGGATGGCAGGAAATAAGCAGCGATTGTAGTTCGCGAGCGTGTATTGTTATCGACATAAGGGATTGCTTCGCTTCGCTCCGCCTGGCCGGTATGGCTTGCTTGAAGCTTGCTCAGAGGTTGCTTGAACGAGTATGAGAAAACCATAGGTGACGGAGGTTACGATAGTCGGTGTTTGCGCACACGTAGGGGCGACAATCTAAACAGCTGCCCGGGCCCCTAATGCGGAGCTCGAGGAGGAGTACTAGGTTCCTAGCAAGCAGCTAAAGCAAATCATGAGGCTGACCGTGATGAACCTATCCTTGAAACGGAAGGTCATCAGATGAGTCAAATGTCGAACATAAAGGGAAAGGCGAAGACGGCGGATGTGCATGTGGGAGATGCCAAACAGACGTCAACGAATTCACCAGATATGCGTATAATATGTAGTGCCATCATGCGCAACAGGATGTGTGGAACGTTATGTAACAAGCATCTCATCTCGTCGACTACGCAGCTCAGCTGAGAACCACGCAGACGTCCATACACACCTAGGTCCAGTCCTCAATGGCACAAGCTCAAGCGCTCAAATTTCAAAGCCCAAGGCCTCGTTAGCACTCTCAAGGAGAAACTGCACATCCTTTGTATTCTATCATATCCGCCGAGACGCATCGGCCAACCCCTACAAACATACGCCTATACGACTGGTACCCGACACCACCACCTATACCACCTGAACTAAATGCAGCGAGAAAGAAGAGGTCATGTAATCTGGGCACGTCAGACTGCGAAAGCATGCGGATGTGTGTATCATGTATGGATGATGAGCGCGGGAGCGAGGTATGAGGGGAAAGAGCAATAGAAACAGTACAACAATCACGGAGAACGGAGCGAGACATTGAGCATGGACATCATGATGGAGATCGTTAGCGGCATAATCGACAACTGACAAAGCACAACGGACTGCAGGAAGACTACCGCGCGACGCTTGAGCGTACGCCGTGCCCGCTTTGCGCCTGACCAGCACCCGCGCCCTGCGGTGCATACAACGTCAGGGCACGCTCCAGCACCTCCGTGTCCAGCCCACGCAACTTCAAGCAGCGTTGGAAGAGCTTCTTGTCCAGTGGGTACGCCACACGGCTCGCGAGGTGCTGTGCTGCGACGAAGCTCCGCACTACACCCGCGACGAGGCGTTGCTTGTGCACACTGATGAGCGGTTCGAGCTGAATGGACGGGGGAAGCGGGGAGAGCGTGGAGAAGACCTCGGGATGCGATGGCGCCTCGAACGTGTTCGTCAGTGGGTCTATTGACACGGGCGTGTGCGGTGCTGTTGGATCGATCAAGTCCGGCAGCGGGGCGTAGCGCTCCAGCTGCGAGAGGTACACGCCTATGTAAGGCGCGCATTAGTTACTACAGAAGTGCAAGATAGGCTGTACTCACCGAAGAATGGTACGCATGCGGGCGCCTCGACCGGCCCCCCCTTGGCGTCGTTCGTCGTGCGCCCGCGCGAACTCTGTCCGTCGCCCTGCGACATGTCCTGACTCTGCTCCAGAGGCTTTGCCTCCGTAAGGGCCTCGACCGTCTGCCGGATGTACATGAAGTGCCCCTGTCGAGACGTCCAGCTCGTCAAGTCATGCAGGATCCGCTCATCCTTGACCCGCAGCCTGTCATGACACTGAGCGATCGCCTTGGATACCCAGTGTGAACGCAACCCTGCGATGATGGCTACGAGAGCGTTGTAGTTCTTGAGCTCGTACGCTTTCTGTACAACAATCAATATCAATGAGCAGATCCGGCGGAATTGATAGAACTTACCCATGCCAGACGAATGAACTTGGTGTACACTCGCATCCGCTCGCTCGGGTGCGTCAGCACGATTTCGCTGAGCACAAAATTCGCGATCAGGTCGAACCGACCGCGAACGACCGTCAATGTGCCGGTCTGCGCTCCCACGCGACCCTCCGCCTTCAGCCGCGCGCGCTCCCGCAGGAACTGCGCCCAGTCGAGGATGTTGAAATTGGCGTGCGGGTCGTGCGCGTTGAGCGATGGCGCGACAAGCTCTTCGAACCGTAGAGCGAGGAACAGCTCTCGGTCGATCATGGAGAAGTGTTGCATCAGTGTCTCGCTGCGGAAGCCGAGCACAAAGGACTGGTGTCGCCTAACATGTGAGGGGTGCATCAACGAAGTGGGGGAGCCGGGCGGCGGCAGCGCGGTGGCGGAAGGGTGAGGAATGGGTGGGGAGGAACAAACATTAGAGGGTGGGTGCATCGGATGCGTGGCAGGCGTCGTGCGGTGCTCAACACGCGACCACAGGATCTCCAGCGGGACGGCGTCCTCAACGTGTGGCTTCGTATGATCTGAGTGTGTGTCGGCGATGTGTTCTGGTGTAGGGAGTTCAGGAGCCTCCTCTGCAGATGGTGTTGTTGCTTCATCAGGGGTGAGGCCGGGTGGTGCGAACGGTATCAGAGAGCCCAGAGAACTGCCGTCGCTCAAACGCGACGTGGAGGCGCGAGACGGCGAGCGGTAGTCGACCGAGCGCCGTTGCGAGACCTGCCCGTAATCTTCATCGTCCGAGTCGCTGAGCGGCTCCGAATCAGGCGGAAGCGGGTTGCCAGTCTGTTGTCGCTGCTGGATAGAGCGCACCCATCGGTCGACCTTGCTCTGCTTGGCGCGTTGTTTCTCCTCATTGATCTGGCCTTCCAAACGACGAAGGGCTGCCTCGACGTCACCATCCTCTTCGTTATCACTGAGCGAGTCGACAAGTGCGCTCATTTGCCATGCCTGGATCGGCCCGCCCGCATTCTCCGCCTCCGCCTCGGGGCTGGCAGATGCGCTCGATGCACCGGACATACCGGAAATGTACGACGCGCCCGAGAGCATCGACTCCCGGGTACGGATGCCCATAGAGGACACGCTGTCGGTCGAGTGGCGAACAAACTCGAAGTCTCGCCGCGTAGGTAGTCGCCGCGAAGGCTTCTTGATACCCACGTGCTGCGTAAAGTTCTCATCGGAGGAAAGGTCATCAAGATCGAGGTCGTCAATCGAGACAACGTCTAGCGAGCGCGAGGGCATCGACGAACCAGAGTAAGGAGGCTGAGGTGTCCGCGGGGAGTCGAGGGTCTCGGTATAGGCCGAGGAGAAAGATGAGTATCGTGGTGTCGTCTCGCTCGCCTCGGATGGAGAAGAGGGTACCTCGAGCTGAATCGTGCCTACGCTGGAATCAGAACTTGAACGCGGGTCTGACGCGAACGAGGGTCGGCGTTCTGAGTCCAACGACGTTCGCTGTGCGAGAAGACCAGGCGGGTGGAAAGGTGCACGATCTCCCGCCGGACTAGCATTGCGACTGGTGTTCGCACTGGTCGTGGTGCCAGTGCCTATGAACTGTTGCCCCTGCGGGATGATGCCCGCTTGGGACATCTGGGATTCGACCATCTTGAGGTACTGCTCGACACCACCACGCACCAGGAGGAGGTCGCCTGTCTCGCTCGCTTCCACATCAAAAGCGGAGACGTCTAGGCATGCGTTCAGATGTGTCGCCCGACCGGAATTACGGTGGTTCAAGACCCGTTTCCATCGCCCCAGACGTCCAATCGTGTTCACGAATACCCGCGAAAAGGGGCTGTGCGGGATTGGAACCAACATGGAATGAGGTACGCCACTCGCAGGAGGCCCGACACTGCTCTTTCTCCCGTATTGCAGAAAGGCGAGGTGCAATGGTTGTCGGAGCGACAACAGGTCAACCGGGCCGGATCCCTTGGACTTCGGTGATGTATTCGCACTGCCACGCTCAGATACCGAAAAACTGTTCTCGAAATCTAGGTCCAGGTCGGGGTCGTCTGCGCCCGGTTGGCCGCCAGGTACGTCCGTCGGTGCACCAAAGTCAGGGACGCGGTGGCGATACTCGGACGTGCGGCCAGCCTGTCTTGTACCTCGGCGGAAGTAGCGATCTGCGCATTCGCGGAACACTTTGCGCACTTGTCGGACAATTTTCTTGGTGAAAGCGTTAGACCATGGAATTAAGATGAGAACTGGATTAAGATCTCACCAAGGCATCCTTGTATCTATCCAGAATCGGGTCCCTCCTTAAGGTGTTGAGCCAATTGGCGTACAACAACCGCAGCTCACGATTGGGGAGGAAGTCGGCATCAAAGAATGCAACCACCCACTGCCGTATGGCGATGAACGTCCTAACACGCACAACCCGTCGCGCGATCTCGTCACGCTGGCTGGTCGGCTCGCCGAGTGCCCAATGGAACCTACAAATGAGCAGGTGGCCAAGGTCCAATGCGGAGACATACGACCTGTATGTCAGCAAGAACACAATCAGCTCGTCGTAGTTGAGCTCGCTGGTAACCTGCGCGATCCAGCGCTCGATCGTCGCCGCGAGGATCATCCTCGTCGGGCCCTCCTTCGGGGACCCCGGCGGCGAGAGGACCTCTTCGGGCTTGGAGATGCTCTTCCCCTTCGTGCTCCTCCGCCGCGAGATGCCCGAGCGCCCAGACGACGCGGACGGATCCGTCGTCTGGCTGACCGACACCGAGACTTCCTCGGAGTCCTCCGGCTCGACCTCGCCCCAGATGACGAACCGCGGGTCGTCCCGCGGCGCGGCGCTCTCCTCCGCCTTGAGCGAGAGCTTGATCGTCGTCTCCTGCGACGTCGACGAGATGCGGTCGAGCGCGGGCAGCCCACGCGAATTCTGGAGGATGTCGAATACCTCGGTGGAGTAACGGGAGTGCATGTTCGTTTCCTCAAGGATCGTCGAGTCGCGCCGATGGGCGGATGCGGACGCGGTGGAGGAAGAGGAAGGGTCGACGTGAATAGCGGACGAGGAGTCGGATATAGGTGATTCGGCAATAGGCAAATGGATGCGCGAGCTGCCATTCTGAAGGGTTATCGGGGTAGGGTCAGCACGGGCAGTCAACCCGGACTCGAACGATTGCATCTCGCGCAGTACGGGCTGGTTCAGATGATTCGCAGAAGGCCAGCTCGGGGAATCGAACGCGACTCCGGAGCCGAAGGGTTGAATGATGATGTCACGCGCAGATGATCCGCCATTCGACATCTCGCTGGGACCCTGGGGCAGACTCCGTGTAGACATTGATGCAGAGCTCGATCCCATGGGCGAGACCGGGAGGCTGTTCCAATGCATGACATCTGCAAAAATGTCCCTATGGGAGGTCTGCGTCGTCGGTGCCTCCGATGCCGAGAACGAGGAGCGGAACGCGTCTGCACTTGACACACTGTGCGCATGCGGGCGACCCGTTGGCGTAGGCGGTGGGTTCTGCCTCGTCTCCGAGTCCGGCGTAGCGCAGCTCACGTTCGGAATAGAGCGCGTCTTTCGAAGCTTACGGACCGGCGGGGAGCGGCTGCCATCAGTCTGAAGCATAGGCTGGACGGTGGACGGGCCGCCGTTCTTGAAGACCGCAGACGGCAGGAATGAATGGACGCTCATGCGCGAGCGACGCTTGGTCTGCGGCGGGTACGGGTGGGGAGGCTGGAAGCTGTAGTTGGAAGTTGCATGGAGAGACGTATTCCGGTCCTCAGCATCTGCAGCGAGAAAACCGGGTGCCTCTAGTTCTCGGAGTCTGGGAGTGACAACTCAGCACCCTTCTATTCACACGCGAGCAGCGGAATACGCACCCGACACGATACATCTGTTTCCCATGCTGGTTGATGAAGGCTGTGATAGCGTACGGGGAGCGGACGTCTTTGCCCACGCCGAGGTACCTATCATAGACTTTCTTGAGATCGTGCGCGGCGGAGCCGGACGAGGTCTCAAGGTAGCTTCCATCAGCTGCGAAGGGAAACGGGATCAGATCTCCTCACACTCTGCACACCAAAAATAACGAGCGTGCTTACGAGCCATGAAGAGATCGGCGGGCTCTGGCGGGAGCAGGATATCAAGGGGAGGGAGATCGTCATCTAGGCGTGAGGTCGTAGAGCTCAGCAGATCCTGCGGCTTGATCGTAGACGGTTTCGTGCGCGGCGAGAGACTTTGACTGGAACTTGGACCGGCGTGCGCGGGCGGGGAGGGTTCGCGCGATGCGGACGTCGATGGGCGCGGTCTGAAGTCATGCGCGTCTTGCGAGTGGGCTGTCGTTCCGAGAGTGGTAGCAGACATGGATGCTTGGGTGTTCACTGAGCCAGGCAGGGTGAGGGTGGAGGCGAGCGAGCCGTCAAAGTCCCCGGCGGCAGCGAGCGAGTCGGCTAGAGAGTGGAGGTCGGAGGACGACATTGCACAGCGTCTAGCAGCGCATGTCAGGCGTTCTGTGGTGCGTGTCTGTGTCCGTCAGCAACCGGGCGAGCTCGTCAGACAGAGCGGCACGCTGAGACTTGGCGTATAATCTCAAGTAGTACAAGCAAGGTCCCGTAGTAGACGCGTTCGGAGGCGATGAGAACGGTGGTCGGAGGGCGCTGGCGGTGGAGGTGCGTGGCAGACGTGCAGAACGTGCAGGGCAGCGGAGACGGGGGTCGTGAGCGGGCTTGAGGGGGCGGGTGGAGGAGGCTCTGAGGACGTCTGCCTTGAGAACGATCAACGCAGTCGACGCTTACGTAATACTATTGGGAAGCAGCGCGGGCGCTCCGGGCTGCCCCTTGCGAGCCTCGTGCGGGCGTCCACCATCACTGTCGCCGTCGGGCCATCGCAGGCATGTTCGGCAAGACGACGAGGAAGACTCCGACTCAGAACAGGCGTTGTGGCAAGTGCATTCGCGGCGCAAGAGGGATAGCCTATCGTATATGTACCGAGATATGAGAGAAGGGGAAATAGTGCACGGGTGAGCACAAATATTCGATCCTCAACACAAGTGCACACAATTATGTTGCGCAGCCTCGCTAGACTTTGGGCCGGGTCTGATCGTCAAAAACTAGCTCGCTCGCCTTTCGAGGCAGGAAGTCTCCTTACAAGGCGACTCGCCTGCATCGATTTGTTCTGTCGAGAATTCCGCACATTCTAGAGCACGCTTCTGATGGTATATAGTACAGTAACATTGTGTACAACTTCGCTCGTTACACTCGCTTTCTGCTTGCCTCTCCGTTCTCGCAACCCTGACGGTATCTAGAGTTTCGAGGGCGCAATGAAGGACACGCCCTTCTCGATGTTGATCACCAGCTCTGGCACCGCAGCATCGATGAGGGCTTTCTCCGAGTCGGTCAACTTGCCGAGCGACAGGATCTTCGCAACACCCTGGGGCTGCATGCATCGTCAGTTTCAAGGCCCGGGAAGGGCACAAATCGACAACGTACCCCGAGCTCGACAGGAGCGGAGAAGTAGTCGATCTCCTTGCCGATCTCCTTCTTGACCGTCTCGCCGCCAGACTTGTCGGAGGTGAGGTGCACGAATGTCGGCGCGACGATGCCCTTCTCGCCCTTGAGCGCCCTCAAGACCTTCTCCGCGAACTCAGCACCGGCGTACGCCATCGAGAGCGTCGCAGAGCCTGCGCCGTCCTTCGCCTTAACGACCTCATCTCCACCGAACTGGACGCGCTTGGTCAACGCCTCGAGGTCAGAGGTCGCGTACCCGGACGGGAGCGGGTGGGATGATTGGGAGAAGAGCGGGACGATCTATCGATGGTCATGAGCTTCGGTGCCGAAATCGTGCGAGCATCGCGGGACGTACTGTAACGCCGCTGTGGCCGCCAACTACAGGAACATTGATGGAGGACGACAGGGACAGATCGCCCAAGACCTCAGCGATGAACGTCTGCGCACGAACCACGTCCAGGGTTGTCACACCAAAGATTCTGATGCAAGGGTGATCAGGAAGGAATGACCAATTGGCGCGGCGCAAATAGGCTCACTTCTTAGGGTCGAACACACCGTGCTTCTTGAAGACCTCTACAACGATGGGAACGGTGGAGTTGACGGGGTTAGAGATCACAAGCACTGCGGCCTTCGGGGCGGCAGTCGCGATTCCTGTGGCAAGATCGCGCACGATGCCCGCGTTGATCTGTGCCAATGAGCGCACTCTCCATCGGTACTGCGGATGTGCGCACCTTGAACAGATCATCTCTGCACCCGGAGTGGTGCGATGAGTAAACGCTCCGTGTTATGGTGACAGTGATATTACTGACCTCGTCATCTATCACGCCATTTGAGTCGGACGGAACCGTACGAGAGCAAAGGTACTCACCCCGGGCTTGCGCGGCACGCCAGCGGGGATCACGACGATGTCTGCGCCAGCCAGTGCCTTCTTGAGCCCGTCATCGGGAGGCAGGTAGCCAACGACCTTTGCGGGCGTGGAGATGTGCGAGAGATCGGCAGCCACACCGGGCGTGTTGACGATATCGTAGAGCGCGAGCTGTAGAGAACGATCAGAGACGCGTCTTTGGGGGATGCGATGGGACCGACCTCCTTCACGAGGGGGTTAGCCTTGAGGAGAAGGGAGAGGGGCTGGCCGATCCCGCCTGATGAGGAGTGAGTGCGATGTAGGGCGAGCCGCGCGGGGCGACGACTGTACCAGCGGCGCCGAGCACAACAGCCTTGAAAGACATTCTGCAGACGAATTCTATGCGTTTGATTGGGTTGCGGCGGTGGGGATGAGCGTACGCGAGAAAGCTGAGGTAGATGGGGGCGCGCGTCGTCTTTAAGGACCGCACAGGCGCCCATAACGATCACGGGGACCCCGCCAATCCGGGGCAGCGCGCGCTCCGAGTCTGTCTCTCCCGACGACATGCCCGCTCACGACAAGAAACCCCCGCCTGCCCCCGCCAAGCTGCGCCAGGCGGCGGCGGAGCCAAAGAAAGCAGAAAACATAGCTCGGCGCCTTGCGTTTGTCTTTCTCGCTGCTGCGCTCGCCGGTATCGCGACGTACGTCTCTCGTGTCGGACACGGAGGCGCAACGCGTCGGGTTCAGGCCGTCACCTCCGTCCCAGAATCATATGCTGTCTGCACGGACCCTGGGCTGGTATACACTGTGGACGAGCGTCGGCCGAACGCGGACTGTTTGCTAGTTAAGAAGGACCGGATTGCTGCGACGGGCACCCTTGGTGTGTAGCCTTGTGATTCCTTCGGACGCGTTCCCCGCACTGGGCTGGGGCCCTGCCTCGCGTTGTCGGGAGAACGCGGGACGTGGCCCTGGCTCATGGACTAACCCACATCGAGAGGAAATTCAGGCGGAATGGGACGTCTATCAGATTGACTTGGTCAACAAGTTTTATGGCGGGGAGTCCAAGGCGAAGAAACCGCTCAAGGTCATTCGGCCACCCTCGGGCAGCATAATCATACCGGGGCTTGCAGGTGCGTTTCATCAATTGCACAAGGTGACTGTGTACCTCCATGGATTACGCGCAAGCAGTGTCTGTACAGGTAGGCGTTGCAGAGAAACTGACGTCTGCTTGACAGATGCACACGCGCATCTCATGATGTATGGCGCGAAAATGCAGCTCAATCTCGAAGGGGCTGAGACCATCGACGGTGAGTCCTGTAGTCAGCATCACTCGCTTCTCGTGCGCCTTGCAACCAGTTCGGAGGTGCTTTCATGCACATGTCTTGGACGACAGACAGCATTTAGTTGTCGAGCGAGAAAGCAGTGATAAACGCAACTAGGATTCTCGGTACTGCTGTTCAGGTTTCAAAAGTGTCATGGCAGCTTTGTTCGTTTGACTCAAATTTGGAACACGCCGACAGTTCCTGTGCATCGCGGGCTACACATTCTTGTCAGGTTCCACTCATGTTAAGTGTTGAAGAGATAGCTGAAGCAAGCTAGATCCCCATATAACTTTTGCTGTGCGTCCAAGACACCTCGGAACGGTATGGCACACGCACATATGAAGCCGGCGTAGTCCTGCCACCTTCCGACTGAGGCTATGAGCTGGCATAACCATAATAATGAATGGCTGGTTCTCCACATACAGCTATGTATATGATGGTCCCCATGCTATAATATTCTTGATTCGGTCGACGTGAGTTGAGAAGCTGATTACTTCACGAACAGAGGTTCTTGACCGCATTGAGCACTACGTCGCTTCTCACCCTGCCCCGCACGATGACGGAGTACGGTGGGTCGAAGGCTTCGGGTGGGATCAGACCCGATGGAAGGACTGGCGAGGCGGGTTCCCCAGCAAGGTATGTACACACAGCTTCGTCCACAGAATGCCCACGGACAACTGCCCCCGCCGCAGACCGACCTTGCGTCTCGCCCGTCGTTAGCTGGCATCCCGATGGCGCTGTCCCGTGTAGATGGGCACGCGCTGTGGGTGTCAGATCGTGCGCTGGAGCTCGCGGAGGCGAAGTTGCCCGGTGGACGGTGGCCAGGACATGGCGAAGTGGAGGGTGGCGAGGTCATGAAGGATAAAAATGGAAAGCCCACTGGTACGTGGCTGTCACCGCCCACATAGTGCGCATAGCATTGACCTGATCAATATTGACTGGGCTCACGACGATATGTGGTGTAGGTGTCTTGGTGGACTCTGCGATGGCATTGATACCTGTGCCACCTCCGTCGGAAGCGCAGATGACAGAGCAGCTTGAGCGAGCCGTCAAAGACGCTCTGGCGGTGGGATTGACCAGTGTCCATGACGCAGCTGTAAATGGACGCATGCTCAATGTGTTCAAAAAGTCAGTCCGTTGTCAACGTATGTCTACATACGGCGGCCACTGATATACGTTCCGTAGGATGGCAGATGATGGGCGATTGCCTGTGAGTTGTGTCACTCTGCTATTTCGATTGATGCGTCCGGTGTGTCTCACGAAGGACATCACAGATACGGGTCTATGCCATGGCCAATGAAGAATCGTCTGAGTACTGGGGAGGGCGATTCGAGCGGCTCGAAGACTACGGCAAAGATGGTAGACTCAACTTGCGCAGCGTCAAGCTGTTCACGGACGGTATGGCTCGCTGTGCAGCGCTGCCTCTCGAGAGCTGCGTTGAATTGATGCGGTATTTCTAGGTGCACTGGGCTCCTGGGGCGCTGCGCTACTCGAGCCGTACTCCGATAATCCCTCGACCAGCGGTCTCATGCGGAGCTCAGAGGAGGCTCTGAAGCAAACGGTCACCAAGTTCTGGAATGATGGATGGGGAGTGGTCAGTCATGGCCGTCTTGCATCTGGTTGCATTGGTTAAATTATGCATTGCATATGTCTGACAGAACATACATTGCATCGGCGACCGCGCAAACAAGGCGGTGCTGGATATTTTCGAGGGCCTTCTGCAGGGCAACGAGTCTGCGGCGCAGCGACGACCGCGGATTGAACATGCGCAGATCATGCGCCGTGAAGACTTGACGAGAGCCGGGCAGCTTGGTGGTGAGTTGTTCGTGTTGTCGACGTTGCTCGGTGAGGTATTGATAGTGCACTTTTGTAGTCATAACCAGTGTGCAGCCCACACATGCGTCAGTCGTTTGCTAGCGATAGGCTGGTATTGCCGACTGATTAATTGCAGCACGAGCGACATGTGGTACGCAGAGTCCCGTTTGGTGCGTTGACGTTCGATGTAATGGCCCGTAGTACTCGGTATTTGCTGACACGCCTCGGTGCTTGTACGCACCATTGCGACAGGGTCCGGACAGGATACTCGGCGCCTACGCGTATCAATCACTACTTCAGTACGTCGAGTCCCCTCATAACACCGGTGATCAGGTCGGCAGCTCAAATGTTGTCTGTATTGCCTAGGTTATCATCCAACAAAGTGCTGCCCTTGGGTTCAGACTTCCCTGTTGAGGGGATCAAGCCGCTTCTCGGGTTCTATGCCGCAGTGTCACGTCTCGACGGCAGGGGTGAGAGCCCCCATGGCCCCGGCGGATGGTCGGTAGCCTTTCACGCCTGAGTTTGATCAGGCTCCCGAAAACTATCGTCCATTGACATAACATTGGATGACAGGTTTCCGTCGGAACGCCTCACACGTGCACAGGCTCTTAAGGGCATGACCTTCGACGCCGCTTATGCGTCTTTCGCTGAGGGGGACCTCGGTTCTCTGAGTGTAGGCAAGAAGGCCGATTACGTCGTGCTCGATAGGGACATCATGAACGAAGGGGCGGCGTTCACTGATATCTTGGCGACTCAAGTGAGGGCGACAGTTATCGACGGGCGGGTATTACACGGGGGAATCTAGATGGCCGACGGCCAACAAGGTCACAGAAAATCCGAATGCTGTTTGTATACATCCTCGAAATGTACTCTTACATGGCACTGTGCAATGAATGAGCCCGGTGAGATGGTACGATACGTCCGAACGAGTAGGTGAGAAGTAGACATCATAAAATAAGGTGTAAGCGAATGAGTGTATGCCAGATGCCCGAATAGCAGGTGAGGTCAGAACGAGACGATATGTACATGCTATCGATGTGCGTGTCCGCACTCCTGCCGTGTCATGCATACGCAGAACTCTCTAAGCCAGCCTTGCTGACGCGTCGCATCGGCTGCAACGTCGCCTCGTTGACAGGTGCACGGCGTGCATGTCTGTACCGCCCCGAGGCGTCCTTGATCTCCATCTCCTGGCCTGAGTCACCAATGGCGGCCGTGTCGTCTGCCGTCGGCACGGGTACGACGTTGAAGGAGTGTTCGCGCGTGAACAGGGGCGGCAGGCTTTCGCGGATGTGCTGCGGGCGCCGGCCGCCTAATGCGACCCCATAGTTTGCGCCGTTGCTGGAGCCGCCTGCAGCCTCCTCGCTCGGCACCGAGTCCGCGCTCGTCGGCGTCATCTTCACGACGCCAACGGACTTGCCGCCCAGCTCTTGCTCCTCGAAGGTCATCAGCTCTGAGACGAACCCGATGTTGGGCGAGATGCCCTTTCTCCGCTCGAGTACGAAGGCGTACGCCTTCGATAATGTCCAATGGTTCGCGTGGATGAGGTATGCCATGACGGCCGTCACCGATCGCGACTTGCCCGCCTTGCAATGTACGTATGTCGGAGAAGAATGCAATCGTGCATCGTCTGGTGCTCAATCAGAATCCATTGTCTGACGTGTGACTGGTTCAACGCCTCTCACCTAGGAGCTCGCATACTTCGCGGACGCCACGAGTTATATTATCCTCCTCGACCGTATCTCGCATGGGTATCCGCACGTAACGCTCGAACCGCTCGCGCAAAAGCAACCCGTGATCGTCGTCGCACTCGAATGCGATGTTCAATATCCGCTTTACACCAAGAGAAAGGAGTTCCTCGACGTGCTCCTCGGCAGTCAGCTCTGGGCCCAAGTACAAGAAATTCGGAAGGATAGTCGATACGGTGAAGACAGGGTATGGGTCCTCTTCCGTTGTTGGTGGTTGTGATGAATCAGGGCGCGCCGTCATAGGCGATGGAGGCATAGGCGTGCCGGGACTGTGTGTTCCGCCACTACTGTGGCTGAAGGAAGGAGATGGTGGAGGCAAGTATTCGAAGGAGCCATTGACTCCGGGGGACAAGAGGCGCGCCGAACCAGGTGGAGAATGATTTGAGAACGAGAGGTTCAGATGTGAAGGTGAGCGCGAACGCGAGCGAAGTGAAGTGGTATCGAAGCCATGCAATGGTGGTGCGGATAACGTTGCCGCTTTCACGGGCTGCGTGCGGACCTGGAGTCTGGGCATGCCGGCGTTAAGTCGCTCGGCGGAGCTCGTGTCGATTTTGCCTAGTTGCGGGATGCTTGGTCTTCGCGGCGGGGGCGGGCGGTTGAACACTGTTTGTGACGGTGGGGGAGAAGGTGTCGAGTAGTCCGCGCCGGCGACATGCCAGGAATGAATGGCGGAGGGCATCATGGGGACAGGTGAGGCGGGTGCTTGGTCGACCTGCGGGAGGCTCCTGTTGCGACTGGCAGACGAGACGTCAAGCTGGAACAGGCCACTGCTCTTTTTACCAGATATCGCGGGGTCCTCCGGATAGCTTTCTTCCAGGCGATCCTCTGTAGTGATGAGTTGCCGCAGGTATGCATGACGGCGCGCAGCCACGAGCCCACCCTCGAGGTAGTCAGCACTGCCATCAGTGAGGAGTGGTTCCACAATGGGCAGAAGGGCCCATGCGGTGGCCATCGGGTTGTGTCTGTCCTTCTCGTCCATGGTCTCGTCGTAAACGATGATGTCGCCATCCCAATCACCACTACTCATCATGTCATCCCATATGTGCTGGCCGTCCTCTGTCGTGATGTATTGACGCAACGCGTCGAGGTCTGAGAACCCACCATTTGCTTTGCGAGATCGTTTGAGAATGAGTGATGGAATAGCGATGTTGATGCTGCGTTCCAGGCGGCTGGCCATGTACGACGCGACCGGCCGGGTGTCTATAAGGAGCGGTCGTGTCGGAGCGGAGAGACGTGCGACAAGGACAGCAGGATCGAGGCCGCGTGTGGATTGTTGCCTGCGGGACTGCTCGATGGCAGATAGCCTCCACTTGTCGCTGTCGCGATAGACTGCGCTGAGCGGCGTCGCTCTCGGTTCGGAGACCGGGGTAAAGTAGACACTGGCAGGGCTGGCACTGCCGCTCGGGCTGGGGGAGCGACCGTCTGACGCGTCTGACCAAGCGGTGTAGGAGGACTGACGAGAGTGGACGACGGGGGATGATGATGCGCTCTGCATCGACGACGATGAACGGAGGGGCCGGAGGCGGAGATTCTTCTGGACGCTGCGTCGGAGGCGTTCCAGGGCTGCGAGGTCCTTGGCGAGCTCGTCTGAGGTCGTGTCAGAGTCAGTCTCGAGATGGCTGGGGTATTCTGTGGGCGAGTCTGATGAGTCAGACGACGGCGAGGAGGGCGAGGAGAGGTGGAACAGGTCTTCGCCGCGTTCGGACGGATACTCGACGGGGGTTTCGAGTTCGATGATCGTGTTGCTGTGAGGCCGTGTTCCCGTGTTGACCTCGAGTGTCAGGTTCGCAGGGCGGCCCTTCTTGAAGGCAGCCATGGTGCCGGGGCCGAGGCTGTGAGAGAGCGGTGCGACCGTGTGGCCCGCAAGGCGAAGAAATGATGGACAGGACGAGGAGGAGGATGAGCAGGAGGTGATGGGCCGCTTGCTGGGCACCGAGCACCGCTATCCAGCTGATGCGCCAGTCAAATTCACCAATTACCCCCGCCGCGTCTTGTCTGCCGTATTTATCGTTAATTACGCTGCCAAGGCCTTATCGCGTCTCGCCACCGCGCGTCGTCTGCCCAACGCGTTCGCATTTTCCGTCACCGCTGTGCAAAAGCCCTCAAAAGACCCCCGCCCCGTCCAATGTACCAGTCCTCCAACTTCCGCAGGTCCCAGCCCGCGCAAGATGCGCCCTCCGACAAGTATCGTCCCCAGGTCCAGCAGCTTCAGGAGCTCTTTTCCTCGTGGTCCAACGAAGGTCCTCCCCGTGGTCCTCTGACGTATGCGCCCGCTCACGACTCTCTCCCCAGACCTCGTATCAGTCCTCGAAGAAGCCGGCGGTAATCTTGACCTAGCTGCCGCCAGGATCTCTGAGGGTATGTCCTCGCGTGTCCTCCGAAAATGCGAATCCTCATGACGCACTTTCAGGCCACGCCGTCCAATGGGGATCCGTCCAGCGCAAGAAAGACAAGAAGTCTGGTCCTGCGCAGTCCCAGTCGAAAGACGCATCTTCTCCTCGAGAGCGCAGCGACTCCCGCGGTGGCAGGGGTGGACGTGGCGGAAGAGGTGGCCCTGGTCGGGGCGGTGCCGCACGCGGCGCATTCGCTCGGGGTGCTCATCAGGAGGTCAATGGCCACCGGGCTAAGCCTTCACAGTACGGCAATGCCGCCGCTGTGAAGCATGCTGAGGAGTCTGTTGCCACGAGCGCTGTGTCCCCTGGCACTCCTGTCAATGGCAATGAGGCACTCGCGGAGGACTTCACCCAGGCCCCGCCAGAACACACAAATGGGACGGCGGAGAAGTCTCCGGATACGCCAGCTGCACCCCAGGCGGCATGGGGTTCGAGCACTCCTTCGACATGGGGAGGGACAAACGGTGTAACCTCTCCTCCTGTGCCCGTGCGTGTCTCTACACCCAAAGTCGCAAAGACACCCGCAACCTCGAAGATGTCGTGGGCTCAAATCGCACGGTATGTCATGTCGGATTGTGACTTTCGTTATCTGACGCACTGATACGTGCGGAACAGTGCGCAGGAAAAGACAGCTCCTCCTCCTCCCGCCCCCGCCCCCGCCTCACCTCCCCAAGCTGTCCCTACAACAGCGCTGCCAGCAGCTGAGCCTCCACGAGAGCCCAGTCCACCACGTGAGGAAGCGCCGGCCGAGCCGCAGCAACAAGGCTGGGAGGAGCCAACGACCGTGCAGGCCCCTACATGGGATGACGAACCCACAGTCAAGACTGTAGCGGATGTATGGGGTAAGGAGCCGACGCCCGCGCCCGAGGAGCTGAAGGCGGAGGAACCTGAGCCACAATCATCTGCAGTCCTGCCAACGACTTCTGAGAGAGAGCCTGCCACGGTCCCATCTGAGGCTCAGCTCGCTCCTGCTGCTGCTGAGCCTGTAGCTCTCCCCACGAAGCCTCTCACGCCGGCCGCACACACGAGGCCCAGCGCTGTGGCCCACCGGGGAAGCGCGAAGTTCAAGACGACAGATCAGGCGGTCGTCATGCCGAGCTCGAGCTTTGGCACTGGTATCGAGAAGGCAGGTATGCAGTTTGGTAGCTTGAGCCTCGGCGGCGATGATCTGGATGCCCCTGAGAGGTACGTTTTGACGAATCCTCCTCTACAACATGCGAAGGTTGACACTTGCTTCAGCGGTGAGCCTCAGGCCCCTGAGGCTGCACCTGCACCTGCCACCCCTGCTGCACCTACTCGGGCTCCCGAGCCTGCACTTGCGAACGTGCCAGAGCCACAGACTGTGCACGCGCCGCTTCAACAACATGAGCCTCCAGTACTGCAAGTCACCTCTCCCCCTGCCCCTGCACCTGCGCCTGCTAGTCAGACGTTGTTTCAACAAACCCTCCCCCAGACCCAGCCACAGGTCGTCAGCCCTCTCCAACACTCACTCCCTTCCTCGCTCTCCCAATCCGCCATCCCCACTCAGCAGCCTTCCATCCCCTCTACAGCCCCCGCCTCCGCCTCCATGTCCCAGTTCTCCCAGCATGCACAAGGTTTGCCTCAGCAGTCACTGTCAAACCATCAATTGCCGCAGACCCAATCACAGAACCAGCTCCACTCCCAGCAACACCACCAGTACTCGCAGCACGGTCTCCCCACGCACCTCGACCCTGCGCAGAGCCAAACACAGCACTCGCCTGCCGCACCCCATGCGAACCAGCCGCAGGGCATCAACGCCGCGCCTTCGTACTTCCGCCAGCCAGAGGCTCCGTACTTCCACACTCCCACCCCACCCGCCGGCCAGTCGCAGGAGAGTCCTTACGGTGCGTTCGGCCAGCAGCTTGGCCAGCAGCACCAAGGCCAGGGTTCCCATCTCGGTGGCTTCTCGGGCAACGAGTACGGGTACAATGACAACCAGAGGGTATGCTACCGTTTCGTTGAATCAACGACGTTCTCACGACTGATTGTTCTGCTCAGCAGGGCTTCTATGACTCGTACTCTGCGCCGAGCGGCTTTGGCAACCGAAACGTCCTGGGCAGCCACGATGAGATCAAGGGCCTGCCTGGCTCGCAGCAGCAGCCCCACGGCGCCCCCGGTCTCCCGCCCGCAAGCACTCAGTCGTCCCAGCAGATCCCGCCTTCCTCGCAAGGTGCAGCTCAGAGCCAGGCGGGCCCCGGCCAAGGCCCCCCGCAGAGCTACCCGCCGCCCCTGCCGTACTATTACGGTTACCCGCAGAACCAATACTATGGCTCGCCGTACAACTCTGGCTACACCGTCCCGCAGCCGTTCGTCAAGTACCCGACGGTCTTCCAGGGCCCGCCCGGTCCCCAGTCTGCCCCGTCGCCTGCTGCAAAGCAGCCGCCTAGTGCTGTACAGCCGCAGTCGCCGTATGGCCAGAGCTTGTACGGCCAGCAGCACCCAACCAACGCGTACGAGGAGATTGGCTACTCCCACCACTCGCAGCACTCGCACGGGCAGAGCGTCGGTAGCGGCTTGCCCTCGAATGACTATGGCAAGCATCAGTCGCTGTACGGTGCCGGCCAGGGTATGCAGGGCTTCATGGGCCTCGGTCAGTCTACGGGCCCGTCGTCGGGCCCCCCTCTCGGCCAACGTGCGGGTGCGTCTCCGGACAACGCGTACAAGCCGTACAGCAACAACGCCGCCATGAAGGATGTCGGCGCCGGCGTGGGTGTCGGCATGGGCCAGGGTGGCGTCGGACAAGGTCCTCAAGGCCGTGCTGGTGGTGTACAACAGCCCTCGCAGGGTGGGTTCTATGGCGCGCAGCGGTTCGGCGGGAGTGCGTCGGGCGTACCGCAGAGCCAGCAGGCGCAGCAGCCCCAGGGCCAGGGCCCGCAGGCGCACCTCGGCTACCCGCAGGGCGGGTCTGACGCGAGCTTCTACTCGTACCAGCCCCGCCAGCAGCAAGGCTACTGGCAGTGAAGAAGTGAACCGGCGGCGTGAGCCCCCGATGCTCCCCGACTCAACGTTTCGAATTCTAGCTCGTCCGTTTGTTCGCGTCTCGCCTTCTCCCTCCCGTCTCCGTCTGTCTGTGAATGTGAATCACGCCTCGACTCGGCTCTCTCCTGATCCCATCGTCCTCTTGCTCTGAGCCCTCATGGCTTTTGCGATTGCTTAACAGTGTCCATGTTCGTCTGTTCTCTGTCTATCATACATACAATCTCATCTCCGTCTGTTTTATCTCTCCCCGTCGTCATTGTGTATGTGTATGATCTACCGGCTGTTGGCTGGAGAATCGCCTATGCCATAATGCAAATGCTGCAGACGATGCGACGCTGCACGTAAAGATGCACGCAGACACATGCCTGAGCGCACGGGGTGTACACGTTGTTATGTACGTCTGCAGTATGAGCCTAACGGCGTGGACAATGCAAGTCGAGAAGTTGTGGTGTAAGAAACGAAAGTCAGACTTGATTATACGTAAGCTATCGTGTAGGTGAGGCAGACTCAAGGCAGACTAAGTGACGAGTTCCTTCAAGTCTTTCCGAAGAACGAGGTGATCTTAGCGGATGACTCAGTATGTCTCCCTTGCTGCTTTTTGGGCGTCGCGGCCTTGTTCCATCAGTCGAGGATTCATAGGGAGACTCGCCAGTGTTCCTTACCTTTGGTGACCTCGCCGTGATGCGCGCACGCTACAATACCTTAAACGTGGATCAGATGTCGGCGGTGGAATGTACGTACCTTTGTCGGTGTGGACGGTAGTGGGTGATTGTCAGCCGACTCGCCTTTTACCTCCGGCTTCTATGTAGTTGGAGGTCCGCGGTACGTAACATGCACATGTATGATTGTACGAGACGCCTTACCTTATCGGCGGGATGAGGGCCATCGACGTACTCAATCTCTGAGTCATCCTCCCATGTGTTCAGCTTGTCCGCGGGTAGCTTCGTGTCCTGGGAAGGTTCCTCCTTCGCCTGCTTATCCGAGTTGAAAGGTTGTGGAGGTGACGGGCTGCGCTTCCGTTTGGATCCATTGGACGGCTGAGAGGACGTAGATGCGGTTTGTTTCGCGAACATGGCTTGAATGCCGTCTTTGCGCTCGGCGACGGGTTGGATGAACGTCAAAGACTCTGTGCCCACTTTCCCGACTTCCTTGGGGACCTGATAACTAGGATGCTTGAGTCGTCACTGCGACAAGCGAGTTCTGGTGCGCTCACCAAGCCAGTGGAGTCTCGGGGTCGTGATATGGCTGGACTAGTTTCGTGAGGTCGGGTGTCCACTTCTGTGGACTTGTGTCGAGCCATTTGGTGAGAGCTTCCATGGAGGAGAGGATGACTGGCTGGCGATCGTGTAACCATTGGAATTCCTTGTTCGCGTCAGTGGTCACAATGGTGAACGTCCAGAGAGGCTCAGTCTCTCCTATCAGACCGTCAAATCCTGGACCGCGCTCTTGCATGAGCGTTAAACCTACCTTCGAACAACGCGCGATCGTAAAGGCCTGCAAGGAGCATGAGTTTCCCGTCCTTGCGCTTCGTGAAGTGGGGCAACCGCTCCTTGCCCTTCTTCAGCCATTCGTAGTAACTGATGTGGCTGAGTATATCCATGCCTCGGGTGTTAGAATTCTACATACCCCTCGCAGACGACTGCACAGCGTCTCTTGCCCTTGATGCTCTGCCACATACCTCCACCTTCGACCAGGTTCTCTCTGCGCGCATTTGTGGTACTCAGAGTCTTATCCTCATGCTTACTCCAGTGCGGAACGAGACCCCATCGCATGGTCTGGAGGACGAGGTCGTCTGGTGAACCGTCTTCGCCTTGTTCGCGCCTCCGAAGCACGGGTGCTTGGGAGCGCGGTGCGATATTATGTCTTTGCTCTGTGAAGCCTTTGCGACGAAAGAATACTGTCGTGCGTACCCACCTAGGCTGAAACTGGTCCTGGCCTACCCATTCGCCGACGTGGACGTTATAGCCGTGCATTTCCTGGATGTCTGCGTGCTGCGCGGTGGTGAGCATACGCAGGGCCAACAGATGCAGCTCACAGGCAATCCGAGGGAGTATCTGCCACACATGTTGAGGGTCGAAATGAGATTGTTGGAAAGCGGGTGGGCGCCTATTGCGGTTTTGGGAAGTCATGTCGCGCGGCGCCACACGTGCGTTTTTTGCACGCGGCGACCCCTACCTTCGGACGGCCATTGCTCCTCAACGCCTGCGAGTTTCTGCTTGATTCCTATATATTCTGGTTCTACTCGTCGAGCCCGAGGGCATGGTGCAATTCAATTTCGATTTCAACCAAGTCTCAAAATCGCGGTTTCCGAGCACCACGGCGACTTCGGACTGCAATTGCGAGCGAACGCAACATTGGGTGGGGTCCGCGATGGTACGGAAGGGTGCAGGGGGATGCTACGGAGGGCACAGGGCAGAAAAATTAGAAAGTTACCGTGAGTTCTCGTTGTAGCTCGCGCCGTCGCTGTGCGGCTGCGTGCTTGACAGGTCGCCGACGCAGGTCGGCCACCGCAGCGCAAGGGCGTGAGGCGTACCCGCATGAACGCCCCCATGGGGTGTATAGAAGGCCTACGGAGCGCATACACGCCGTTTCGGGGTACTTGTCCCGCTCCCCGTCGTTGTAGTGCACTCCGCGCTGGTGGTGCCTCCGTCTCGGCCCCTGTACATACATCCTCAATGTACAGTAGTACACCGCGTAGCTACAGCAAAATCAATTGATACTGCTGTGCATATTCCTCTGTGATTAACCTGGGTCTGCCTGTTTGCCCACCGAGATGGTATGCAACATCGCCCGTTGCACGATGCCGCGCAAGGCAGCGCTGGACGGTTCGTAAACTGATGTGGAGGTTGTCTGAGATCTCCTGTGGGGATTTCCCCCTCTCATAATGTTGAAACACAACACGCCAGAGGAGATCCTCTGACAGAGGGACCGTGCGGGGCATGGTGGTTTGGGATAAACTCGACAAGGCGCCTAGCCGGCGATGTACAGTGATGGTGATGTATGTTGACGGCGATGCTGGCCTGAAGGTCGCGGAACAGTAGTATGAAAGGAATATATTACTCTTCAGGAGAATTTGCAAGTAGATACATGCTATATGCCGGTGGATCGAGAATGGATGTACAGGGGCCGAGACGGAGGCACCACCAGCGCGGAGTGCACTACAACGACGGGGAGCGGGACAAGTACCCCGAAACGGCGTGTATGCGCTCCGTAGGCCTTCTATACACCCCATGGGGGCGTTCATGCGGGTACGCCTCACGCCTTTGCGCTGCGGTGGCCGACCTGCGTCGGCGACCTGTCAAGCACGCAGCCGCACAGCGGCGGCGCGAGCTACAACGAGAACTCACGGTAACTTTCTAGTTTTTCTGCCCTGTGCCCTCCGTAGCATCCCCCTGCACCCTTCCGTACCATCGCGGACCCCACCCTATGTTGCGTTCGCTCGCAATTGCAGTCCGAAGTCGCCGTGGTGCTCGGAAACCGCGATTTTGAGACTTGGTTGAAATCGAAATTGAGTTGCACCATGCCCTCGGGCTCGACGAGTAGAACCAGAATATATAGGAATCAAGCAGAAACTCGCAGGCGTTGAGGAGCAATGGCCGTCCGAAGGTAGAGGTCGCCGCGTGCAAAAAACGCACGTGTGGCGCCGCGCGACATGACTTCCCAAAACCGCAATAAGTGGCCGGATGATGAATTGGGTCGGCGCTTGAAGGTCGATCTGCAACGACGACGAGGCGGCTCATCCGCCCACGCTGCTCATGGACCCAGGAGCCCGCAAACTCCTCGAGTCCGTCACCCACGAAACTCTCCATGCCCACAACTTCGCCCGCTCCTCCTCCCAGGCCTCCGCCGTCCTCACCGACGTCCTCCACCGCTATCTCGAGCTGCTGACGACGACATGCGCGAAGTATGCCGAGCACGCGGGGCGGCTGTCTCTCACCATCCGCGACGCGGCCTCTGCGCTCGACGAGCTCGGCCTAGGCGTTGATGAGCTCCAGGAGTATGCGGCGGTCGAGGGCAGGGACATGACGCGCTATACGGTGCATTCGCAGAGACGGGTGGAGGATCTGGCGGAATTCAAGGGTCAGTCGCGTCGTCCTCTCCGTGCCGCTCGTTTTCATCCCGTTTGTCGCAGCATCCTTGGCGGTGGGCCTTCGTGAGGACCGCGACGATGCAATCCCGCTCGTGTACGCTCGTGTGTCGACACCTGCGCTCGAGGAAGACGAGGATGAGGGCAGTGCCAGCGAGGTCGAGGAAGACCTCCGAGAAGACGAGAATGGGGAAGAACCTGAGCCCTTTGCGATGGACATAGAGGGCCAAATCGTCGAAATGGAGCCTTTCGCGAAAGTAAGAGAGGATCCAAAGAGCATACAACCGCCAACATCGCCCCCTCTTCCATTGTCGCCCATATCGAATCCCTCGACACCGCCGCGGAAGCGGCCACGCACATCAAGCTGGCGCCCGCCGCCCTATGTCCCAGACTATCTCCCGCCCTTCCCAACCACCTCACCACGACGTTCGCCATCGCCCTTGCCTCAGGATGCATCAGCAGTCCCTGGTCCTGTGAAGGTCGAGCGTCCTCCCACACCGCCCCCGCCTCAAATTGCTACCACGACACCCTCTGCTGATTACCTGACCCCTACCCCTTACGCGCAGTCCTCACTGGCTGCAACGACTGGCCCGTGGCATCTGCCGAATGCACTCCCAAACACGCCAGATTCCGCCTTGCAGTCGCCCCTTCGTACTGCAATCCCCCAGGTCCAGCCGGCACTCCTAAGTGCATATCATCACATTCTCACGCACCCTCCCCCACCAAATGTCTCCTCCGTCAACCCAGCCCGCTATAAAGTCGCGCTTGCCTTTGTCACGCAGTCCGAGACGAACCCACGCTGGGACCCCGCGATTACATTGTTCGGAAACACAGCGCCCAATGCGCCGCGTGTCACTGCGATGGCCCCATCTTTCCCGATCCCTATAAGCAAGCTGCCCCCGACACCGACTGACGGCAAGGACGAGGCAGAGAAAGACAAGAAAACGAACTTGCCGTCTGCACCGCCGAAACCGGTGGTGACGTCTGAGCGTGTCACACCCCTGCTAAGCCAACAACCGTCGCGTATACCGGATTTGGCCCGTCAAGTGCTACCGGTCAGTTTCACGTTCCTCACGGTATTTCGATGTATTGACGCTTCTGTACTTCAAGGGCTCGGTGTACGGCCGTGCAACACGCTTGACACATCCGCCCATACTGCAGCGCGGTTCACAGAAGCTCACGTACGGGCCCGGCATCAATGCACCGTGGAACACGAACGCACCAACACCTCCCGCTGCACCACTGACGAATGCAAAGGGCAAGGACAGCGGTGTGAATGGGGTTGTCAAGGACGGGGAGACACCTGCGAGGGCGCTCTCCGACGCTCGTCTCTATGCAACATGGGACTACGAACCGAAACGCTTCCAGGATGCGATTGTCCCGCGCCGAGGGAGGATGGGGAGCATGCACAGTGTGAGTGCACCAGGGCCTCCGGTGCGCCAGAGGAGCGAGAGCAGGCCGCTGGGTTAGGTATGGGACCGATGGCGGTGATGGTGTGAGGCTCGGTCGGACAGTGTTTATTTTGTTTCCTTGTTTCTTCTGCAGTTGCTCTCCGTGTCGCATACATAGCTGGTAGGATCCACTCTCATGGCAATCTGTGTACCGCACCGTCGTCTGTCGCAGCAACGAAGCTGGCTATTTCTGGAGTGTCGAGGGCTGGGACTTGTCGAGAAAGGCGGATGGGTGATAGTCTCTATGGCATCCGACGGCCCGCCAGACGCCTGAGACCCGCTAAAGCCTCCGCGCAGAGGCCGTTCTTCAGGATCTCACGCGTCTGCTCCCCTCTCATTCTTCCCTCCACCTTCCTCCCGTCCTCGTCTTTCCCTTCTGCCCCTCCGGTAGGGTCGCTCGCTGTCGGCGTTCCGTTCTTTCGCTCCTGGCTTGCTCCTGTTCCTCCTTCACTACCTGCGTGCGCGATGCGTTCCTTCCTGAACATTGTCTTCCTGCTGGCCACCCTGCTCGCGAGCCGAGGCATGTCGCTGCTCACAACCGAATCTGCTGTGTGCTGACTGGGGTGTGCGTGTGTAGTATATGCTCTTGAGATTACCGTTGGGGGATCCGTCGGGAATGTCTCTGCTACGGACTTCCTGACCATCACCGACTCCTCTGTCGCGAACACGGTGCGTAGACCGAACTAGGCACGCCCGGGCTACTGACGACGACGTCGCTCGACCAGTGTGATTCGCAGTGTGCACCGGCCAAGAGCGCGCTTTCCGTACGTCCCCTCATCCTTTCGTTCTGAGCAGGACTCTCAGTGCCTACCATGAAGTCTTGCACGGACGACGCCTGCTTCTGCACCACCACGATGATCCAGCAGGTCGCCACCTGCGAGCAGTGCATGTTCGACGCGCTCATCGCCGGCGACCTCATGATGACCGACCCGAGGGAGGGTTCCCAGGTCGCCTTGACAGGTTAGTGTTTCCCCATTCCACTGTGCTGGGTCTCTGTGCTCACCTTCTCCTTAGCCTACGGTACTGCTTGCGGCACCGCCCTCAACACGACGGTCGCTGCGAGTCTGACCACGCTCACACTCCCGCCCGACTGGGACGGTCCGTTCGGCCAGGGCCTCTCCCCCGTTGCTACCGGGTTCGTGGTGGCAATCGCGGCCGCGTTGGGAGGCACCTCCATCTGGATTCTCTGCTCGATGTAGAGGCAACATGATAGGTGGAACAGGACCTTGTTCGTACTCGCTTGCAGAGTAGTGGCTGAGAAGCTATTGATGTCAGCGGGTCGTGTCATATGATCAGGATGGTGGACGAGAATGGGCGGCTTGAGTTTGAGTGATCGATCGAGAATTGCTCAATACGGCCGAGACTCGAGCAAATGAACACATTTCCACGACGACCGCTCGGTCTATCCGTCATGAAAGGGAGGTAGTACATGGATGCAGAGCACATCATTGTTACATGCACAACTGGGGAGGGTACTGCTACGAGGGTGGATGCTTCAACAACAATAAACGTGTGGACGTGACACAACAGATAAACGACCGAGATGAACAGCGTATGCACACAACCTTCAAGCAGACACGATGAGACGGACGTCGGAATGCGTGCCACAGGTGCTGGCTCACCGATAATTAGTTTACGAGCCCCTCGGCGCCTCCTTCCAGGAGATGGCCTGCTCCTCGCCCATAGCGCTCACAATGGTGACAAGCAGATCCTTGCCCTCGTCGAAGGCATCGGTGATCTCCTTGCCAATGTCGCCCTCCGGGAGACGGACATCGTCCTTCGAAGTACCATCCTGGGACATGAGGTTAAGGAAACCATCATCGATGTTGACCTATGTATTCCTTGTAAGCACGATCGTATAGCAGTAGCTTCGAAGGGCACGTACGAGCTGGTATTCGTTACGATAGACGTTGGGGACATCCATGTTGTGGGTGGAGGGGCAGATATCTTCCTGTAAACAAGTATTCTGTTAGATCGCGAGCGCAACATTTCTGGCTTCTGAGTGGACGCACAAGCTTCTTGCCGGTGAAGATCTGCACTCGGAAGTTAGCGATAGCGCACGGCGGGGAATGCGGAGGGTGACACATACATCAATGGCGACCAGGTGAACCTTGGCGTGACCGTGCTTGCCAGTCTTCGAGGTGGACATCTCGACGATCTTGCAGGGACGGCCTGGACAGCATTTATGAGACCGCGATCAAACTTTCCGTGCAAGCGGTGCACACCTTTTATAACGACGTGCCCGTTCTTGCGGAGGGCCGAGCATTGCATGGGGAACGTGAGGGAGGCCCCCGCGCTCGCCTGTACATCAGAACGCATCGGTCAGTCCTGCTTGCACTTGGCCCGCAAACGCACGCCCCGCGCGTGCGATCGGGGACGAACCTGCTCGAAGTTGTGCTGGTGCTGCTCATCGTCAGACATGGTGGGGTCGTAGAGCGAGAAGAGGAGAAAATGAAGGAGAGCGGGGTCTAGGTAGTGCGCGGACGACGAGGATGGACGAGGAGGACGCGAAAAGCTCGGTTCGCCTCGAAAAATGCCCTCTCCATCGTATTTCGATCTCCGACACAATCCGGGGATCGCCGCCACCGCCGACTGCCTTATAAGGCACCGCACGGCTCGGTTACGTAAGCATGCCTCATACCGCAACGGACTCGCGCCTGCGCAACATCGCTCGCCTCCTCGACGACCATGCATCCCTTTGGCGGCACGCCCATCTGCCCGCGATGCAACAAGGCCGTCTATGCCGCAGAACAGGCGAGTAATATGTCTCATCGCTTGACGGACTTCTGACCCTGCAACTGCAGATTATGGGTCCTGGCCGCAGGGTATGTTTCCGCGCTCCGTTCCCTCGACGATCATGCTAAACTGCGCGAATCCGGTAGCTGTACCACAAGGTATGGCCATAGCGACCCAATATTCATGTAGTATGCTTACATGGACTGCTCACAGCCTTGCTTGGCTTGCACATCCTGTGGGAAGCGATTGGATTCCTATAACCTATTGGAACACGACCAGGAGGTGAGATTCCTCGTTTCTCGTGAACTAACACGAATATCTGACATATAAGCACACAGCCCTACTGGTAGGTACGCCGTACACTGCAATATCTCGAAGCTAAGCCTCTGTTTGCAGCAAGAACTGCCATATGAGGCTCTTCGCAACGCGCACCCTTGGATTGCAGAACCTGCCCAACCGCGACGAGGTCCCTCTCAGCTCCCCGCCCACCTCGCCCACGCGCAACAGCTTCTCACTTACGCGCGCTGCCTCCCCGCCCGCTCGCTCTTCCGCCGCCCCGCCTCTGCCTGCCCGGAGGCACGCCACAGGAGGGTCCATCGGCGATCGCTCGGCTTTCCCAGCACCGTCCTCAGGTCCTCCGGTACTCAGGCCGACGAGGGCTCTGAGCCCCATCCGGGGGTCTGCGTACCGCTCGCCGCCGCTGGACGACGTGCCCGACGAGGAGGATGCGCAGACGCAGCCGCAGACGGACGGCACGGAGGAGTTGGCCGCGCAGACTAACCCCACAGGATCGACAGCGACGCACACAGGCCGTGGCCAAGGCGGGCTCCCCCGCACCGTGCCGCTCAGTCCCGTACGCAACCGCTTCGGAGGCAGCATCTCCAGCACCGCGAACGGGGCCGCGCCAAGCATAGATGGCGAGTCTGCGGGTGCTACGCCTGCAGGGCGGACGCGCTCCCCGGACGCCAGGATGACGGGCACGGTCCCGCTCGTGCCCACCAGTACGGGGACACGCTACGGGATGGCGCTCGGCGGCCGCTCACCCATGACGCCGATGATGACGGGCACTGGGAGGCAGTGGGGGCTCGGCGGTGCGAACCCGCTGTGCGGGAAGTGCGGCAAGACGGTGTACTTCGCGGAGCAGGTGAAGGCGATTGGGAAGACGTACCACAAGGGCTGCCTGCGCTGCTCGGAGTGCAACACATCCCTCGACTCAACGCGCCTCACGGAACGCGACGGGAACCCGTATTGCCATCGGTGCTACTCCAAGGTGCGTGGGCTGCTCATTGGTGCCAGCGCGTCTCGCCCGTGGGGTTGTGCTGACGACGTGCGTGATAGCTGTACGGCCCGCAGGGCAGTGGGTACGCCTTGCTGGGCAAGGCGGGCGGGTAGATACCTGCCGGTGAGGAACTATTTCAGTCGCCAAGCCATGCTGCCTTCGTTTCCTCCGCATTATGATCGCTTCGTACACTCTTCCTGTTCCTATTTGCTGTAGAAGCCCATCCCAGCGCCTTGTATTCTATCGTGCTCTTACACTACATACGTTATCTTATAGCTATCTACGCCCATCGCTTCTTCGCGCCAGAGTGAGAACGTCCGCCGAGTGGTCTACAATCCGGAGAATTTGCGTTTGCTCCTAGACGACTCTGATAGAAGTGGGGAGAATGGACGCTATTCGCAACCTTACTTTCATGGTTCGAACTCCCATGGAGACCTTCACGTTGCTGTCAAGGACAATATCAAACCATCTCCGAGTCCGCATCGGCCGCGGGTACACCTTATTCACGTCATGTCAGACATGAACAATGAGGCGGCCCTCTGCGACGCGCCACTCTGCACGCGCGTTCCCGACGTCCAGGTCGCGTTGGCGTTTCAGCATGAGGGCCTGATCGACGGAGGGCGATGACAGCCGGGGAACGTCCCGGATTTGCGTGTCGGAGAGGTCGAGGTCGAGGTCTAGCGCGTAGAGCGGCGGGATGGAGAGGAGCAGGCGGCGCGGCTCGACGTCGAGCGTCGCAGTGGGGATGTGCGAGTGGGTCTGAGGGCTCGTCAGCACGGCGACCGGGCCTCTTCGAGAGGCGTGCTCACCAGCTCGGGCACGGCGAGGATGATCTGCAGGCCATCTGTGAGTGCGTTTCTTGACCACGACAGCTCCGGGCTCTTGGCTATCGGTGGGGGCGCCCGCACGGCGCTCTCCGCGTCCTTCTGCACTGGGGCGTCAGCAGTACCGCCGCCCTTCTTCAGTATCCCCTTGGGTTTTGCGGGAGCGCTCTCCGGCGGAGCCTCGAGGACCTCGACGAGCTTCTTCTTTGATTTGGCCTCGGCGCGCGCGGGGTGGCCCGCCGGAAAGAGGGACGCGGGGATCTGCACCGTGCGCGGGGCTAGGGTGCCCTTCGCCTTGATGTTGGGCGTCCCGATCTGGCGGGCGAGGGGGACGGCGTACGACGCTTCGATGCGCTGGAAGGCGAGTTCTGCCGTGACGGGCATGAGCCGTGCAGCGTACCGCGGACGGGGCTGGAGTACGGAAGGCGTACCGATGAGAAAGGTCTTGAAGGCCGGGTCCTTGAGTGCGCGCGACTTGAGGGACGAGTGGTAGATGCAGTCGAAGACGATGGAGGGCTTGCCGGCTGGCGGGCGGTTGACGTCAGAGAGGAAGCGCTACATACCGCGGATGGGAGTGCTACTCCGGTCAACAATGCATGCGAGGCAGGTCAGGACCCCTGACAATAGGCGGGGACGCCAGGTGCTCATCCAGTGTCCCTGGGTATCGTATCCCGGATGCTATGCGAACAAAGTGGACTGGCACGTTGGTTGGCTTGAGGTCTGTGATACGCCACGGGCGCGAAGTACCCACTCTCGCCACGACCCTGCAAAGAAACGGACATCCCCTCAGGGCGAGCGGGTTGTTCACGAGACACGGTACCTTCGAGGAAGGGCAAATGTCTGACAGGTTCACGTCTGGAAGCAGAAGTGCCGCGGTTCGCTCAGCCCAGAACGTGTCGGCCTCCCCGCCTATTGTCAAGGATTCTCACATGCTGCAAGGGGCGGCGAGCTTCGCAAAGGGAAGGACGGCACCGACCTTTGTCTGTGCCCTCGCGGGGCTCGGAGACGACGGCGGGGACGAACCAGCCTTGGGCGTTGTCCGCGTCGAGGACGTCCTCGCCGAGCATGGCGTTCTGGATGGCGTCTTCCGAGCCCTCCGGCGGAGGCGGCATGTTGGGGTCGTATGCGACGTTGACGAATACCTTGGCCCCCTTGGGGATAGCGAGGGTGGACGCAATGTCCGGGGGCCCGTCGAGCCGCTGGTGCGGGGAGGCTGATTGAGCGGTGTGCGTGTGGGGGGGAGGGGTTATCCTGGACGCCTGGAGCGCGACGGACTTGACACAGAAGCCGGGGGCCGGCGAGAGAGCGACTGTGATGTCGTGCATCGTCCGAGGCTGTAATTCCAGACGAGGGGAGGGTGAGAGGGTGGCGAGCGCGCGCTCCGGGCTCGCGGGCAGGCGCCTCTGACTCGATCACTTCTGCTGTCAGTCCCCGCCCAGCTATAAGAGCGCACAACCCTCTCTCGCTCAGCAGCGACTCTCCGCCTCTCGCACCCCACACAGCCTACCCACCCCCACCCGCCCACACCGCCCGCCATGTTCAAGTCGTCCAAGATCGTCACCCCCGTCCCGGAGGACGACGAGAAGATGCAAAAGTACATCCAGGATCGCCGTGTCATTGGCGTATGTACCGCACCCCCCAGCCTCTCCGACGGCGCTGACCTCTCTTGAATACCCAGTACGACCCCCTCGTGCAGCCCTCGCTCCTCCGCCACGAGATCAAGCTCAGCCCCGAGTCCCAGAAGACCATCGCCTCCGCCCGCTACGCCGCCTCCAAAATCCTCGCAGGCCAGGACGACCGCGTGCTCGTCATCGTCGGGCCCTGCTCCATCCACTCGCCCTCCCAGGCCATCGAGTATGCCACCCTCCTCAAGTCCAAGATGCCCGAGTGGAGCAACCTCCACATCATCATGAGGGCCTACTTGTGCGTCCATTCTCTTCGCAGTGTGTCCGGGTGTCTCTGCGCTGCGCCATACCACGCTTGCCACAGGCCATCCGACGCACTAACCTCCTTTCCACCCGCATACTGACGCATCCTCACAGCGAAGTAAGACACTGACCCGCATTGTCCCTCCCACACACTCACCCCCTCCCAGAAACCCCGCACGACCGTCGGCTGGAAGGGCCTCATCAACGACCCCGACATCGACGGCTCCTTCCAGATCAACAAGGGCCTGCGCATGGCGCGCCAGCTCCTCTGCGACCTCACCCACATGGGCGTCCCCGTCGGCTCCGAGCTCCTCGACACCATCTCGCCCCAGTTCATCTCCGACCTCATCTCCTGGGGCGCCATCGGCGCCCGCACGACCGAGTCCCAGCTCCACCGTGAGCTCGCGTCCGGTGTGTCCTTCCCGATCGGCTTCAAGAACGGCACGGACGGCAGCGTGAGTGGGTTACCTGCCGCGGGTCGTGTGTGTGCTGATGCGCGGCGGTAGGTGACGGTCGCGGTGGACGCGATGCGCTCGAGCTCGAACCCCCACGCCTTCATGGGTGTCACCGAGCAGGGCCTCGCCGCCATCGTCAAGACGTCGGGCAACCAGGTACGCAGCACTGCACGGGTCGAGGACCCGAGGTTGCTCACAGTGCCGCCCAGGACGTGCACGTCATCCTCCGCGGCGGGACCAAGGGCCCGAACTTCGCCGCCGAGCACGTCAAGGCGGCGGCGGCGCAGATCGAGAAGGCGCGCCCGCAGTACCACCCGTCGATCATGGTCGACTGCTCGCGTGCGTGTGCTCCCCTCCGCCGCGCACCGCTACTCACCCCCGCGCAGACGGCAACTCGCAGAAGAACTACCAGAACCAGCCCAAGGTGATCGACGACATCTGCGCGCAGCTCGTCGCGGGCGAGAAGCACCTCACGGGCGTGATGGTCGAGTCGCACATCAACGCGGGCAGGCAGGACGTGCCGCCCGAGGGCCCCGCCGCGCTCAAGCACGGCGTGTCCATCACGGACGCGTGCGTCGACTGGGAGGCCACCGTCGAGATGCTCGACAAGCTCAACCAGGTGCGTGCGGCTGCGGTCCGGTCTGGGTGGGGCTGACGCGTGGGCAGGCGGTGAAGCAGCGCAGGATGAACTACATCGAGGCGGGCCTCAAGAAGCCCGCGGCGTTCCAGCGCGTCATGAACTCATGAGAGGCCGCTCCGAGCGAACGCAGACCCAGCCGCGGCGGAGTCGGAGGGCTCGCCCGTGTACGCTATCGTACCACGCACTGACCATGTACCATCACCCCCACGCACCTACGAACGCGTCCATGTTGTACTTGTCCCCGTTGCTGTCACACCATCATCATTAATAGACGTCTGCTGTACACCTGCTGCTACTCGAAGCCGGCGGTATCTGCCAGTGGTCCGCCGGCACGAGGGTGGTTAGATGAGATTCGGGCGAGATAGATGAGTGCGGCGTTGGCGGAATCCGCCTCGAGGCGAGGGCCGTTGATGAGCGAAGCCCTCCACGATTGATTTGGGCTCGGTGCGGCGTGGTGATTAATGGCGGGGCGGACAGCGTTGTTCGCCCTGCTGCCCGCCGATCGTCCTCGGGAAGGCCTCGCGCGCTGATCGACGACGGATGCCCGCCACAATTAAAGCGGCCCATCAGATCCCTGGGCGGTTCGAGGAGGCGCACAGTCTGTGGTACGGGTTGCGGAAATTGGAGGCCCTTGTGGGTGGTGAGCAGCGCGGTGCGTGGAGGAGAGTGTCCATCAATTATAATATATAGGGCATATGTATAGTGCACATCTCCGCAAATAGCGATAGCAAATACATACTAGTCATAACTAGGTGAGATGTCAACAGCGCGACGCAGACAGACAGGGAGATAGGGAGACAGAGAGAGATTTCCATCGATACATGTCCTTTTACCTTTGCTTTACCGTACCGGGTCCGGCAGCTACACATTCAGGTTTACGCGGTGTACTCTATAGGGTGCTGATCAGTTCCTTTTTCGCGCGACAGTCGACGCGCGCTGGCGCACGTCGCCAAGAAGGGGGAGGAACAAAGGGAAGAAGGGGGACGCTTGGGGCAAGGCGAACGCCCGTCCAGGGGCGACGATTTTAGTTACGAACTGGCAGGAACGTGTCAGCGCACGCGGACGTAGCGTACTCGCCGCCAACCACTCACGCGCAAGAAGTCCGGTTCCTCAGTCCATTCCGGTTTTGAGCGCGCCTCACCGGCGGCCCGCAGGCGAGGCGATCGACAGCGAGGCGACCGCCGCCGCGAGGCCCTGCACGCTGCGGTGGTTCGCCGCGGGCTTGCCCGTGCCCTGCCCACCGCCGAGCTCCGCGCCGTCCAGCCGCCAGATGCTGTTCTCGTGGATCGTCAGCGGCGCGGACGTCAGCGACGACGTCGCCGCGTTCCCGCTGCCCGGGCCCCCGCCGGGCAGTCGCCCCGGGTGCGCTCCGCGGTACCCCCGTGCGCGCAGCGCGATGATCGCCGCGTCGCGGTCGTCGTACTCGTCCGTGTCGAGCGAGAGGTCGGCGGAGGAGGTCGACGTGCTCGGCGAGAGCGACGGCACGTCGGAGTGCACGATGTCCGCGAGGAAGCCCGGGAGCAGGCTCCCGCTCGCGGGCGCTGTCCGGGGCGGCTGCGTGGCGGCGAGCGGCGGGAGGGTCGGGAGCCGTGGGCGGATGTGGGCGCGGCCGTCGCTCGGGCCTTCGGGGGTCTGATAGATCGTGGCCGCCCGGTACGCCGACGGCTCGTCGAAGCGGCTCTGGTTGTGGTTGACCGAGAAGGGGGGCCGCGAGAAGGCAAAGGCGTGCTCTGACTGTGCGGACCAGGGCGACGTCGGCGAGAGCGGCGAGACGGGCGAGTGGTTCGTGGGCGAGTCCGCAGGGGCGAAGGACATGCCGCCGCCGTGGGTAGCGAGGCGCGGCAGCTGCAGGGCGTCGGGGACGTGCTTGCAGGTCTGCTCCACCTGTGTCGCAAGAACGTTCTCCAGCAGGGCAATACGCTCGGCTTGTACGGCGGTCGAAATGCTGTCGCCATTTCCTTCAGCATCTACGGCCACAAAAAGCGGATGCCGTGATTTTGTCAGTTCAGGTAGGAGACGACGTATTATGCGCGGACGTACAAGGGAAGCAGGTCTGGCAGACCTTCCGGCGCCTCCAGTTGAGGTAGTTGCATTTCAGGCAGACCCAGTCTCCGGGCTGCTTTTCAGCCGCGCCTTTGTTCCCGGTGTTGATGATCGGAGGGTACTGCTCAAGACTCATTGCTTAGACCAATCGCGTGTTGCACAATGGGAAAATGTGCCGCTCACCGTGATGACGGCCGAGCCACTGGGCCGGATCTGTCCCTGCTCGGGGAGCGGCTCGTTGTCAGGCCAGTAGATGATGCACGGCATAAGCGGGTCATTCGACACGTTCTGCACGCGCCCGCCGACGCTGATCGCGCGCCCGGACGGCGTGAGGAGCGGGTACGGGTTGGACGACCGCGGCCCCATCGGCATCGGCCCCATCGCGCCCATCGGCAGCATGCCCGCGCCGGGCGACGGCGGCATGCCCAGCGGCATCGGCAGCGGCGACATCATCGGGGAGCCCTTGATGAGCGCACCGGGCGAGCTCTGTGTGCGCAGCCGAGCCACGGGGGAGGCGAGGACGCGCGAGAAGTCGGTGTACATGGAGGGCGTCGAGTAGCCAGCGGAGGCGGCGAACCGCGGAGAGAGGCGGGCCATGGGGGGCGCGGGGTAGGAGGGGGGAGAAATGACCCGGAGATGGTCTGCGCCTGAGCCGATGGTCGGGTGGCGCTGACGACCACAACCTATGCAGGTGCTGTTGCGTCTGCGCAGATGGTTATTCAGGAAAGGCTAAGGGGCAGTCTTGGTTGAACGTACCCGAAGTTGTGTGCCGAACAATTAGCCTCAGCACAACTGCGTGCAATGCACATCAGCAGCGGGACGACGAGAGAAAATACGGAGCGACTCACATCCAGTCGCCGGCACGGAAATTGGCCTTTGGGTTGGGAGGGTTGCTCGAGATGGTGAAGCCGGCGGGGGACGACCAGCCGTCGTAGGAGCCAGGCGCTGCGTTGATCTGCGCGGACATGTCGACTGTCCAAGGATGCGCGCTGCCCGGCGAAGGAAGCGGTTGTCGCGGGGAAGGAGCGACGATGCTGGCGAAGTTATCCTCAAAAAAGAGTGTGGCGTCAAGCTGGTAAAAGCGATGAGTAAAATTGTGCAGATGACGAGAAGGAAACGGAACGCACAAGGACGTCAGACGGAAGGTAAGGCGCGTAATCTAGAGAAGTCGGCAGGAGGCCTGAACAGCTTGCAAGAGGGGGCTCGGAGGGGAAAGTCTGGGGAGCAAGATTACAGTTAGCGGTAAGGTAGGAAGGAGGATGGTGGACGAAGGAGACAGAGGCAGGTCGGGCTCGGGGATGCCCCTGAGCGAGGCAGAAGAGAGCCGGTTGGCCCCCGGCTCTCGTTCTTCAGGAGCATCTCCTGCACCGACGAGCGCCGGCCACCACTCGTGCCTGAACATTTCACGCCGTGACGTCAGCCATATAAGGCAGGCCCGCCCTCCGCCATCAAAGAGCAGCAGACTCACCTCGTCGACGCGCAGCGGCGGCATGGACGCGTCGGGGGCGCCGTGTGGCCAGTCGCGGCGGGGCGCGGGCGGGGCGGACGGCGGGCAGAGGCTGCGAAGCGGATGGGGGCGCTGCGGCGGAAGATGAGATCGATCGACGAAGGGGCTCAACAAATTGCCATCAAAGCGTTCGCCGCTGCACAATGGGCCCTCGCCGCTCCCTCGGGGTCCGCCGCCCCCGTCCACCCAGCCCCCCGCCCGTCCGCCGACCGACCATCGCCCCGCCGGCACATCCGCCGTCGGCAGCGGCACACTCGCCGCAACAGTCTTGTCCGGGCTGCAGAACATCGGCCGTGAAAGGTGGCCAGGACACAAGGCTGGGGGCCCATATCCGACTCCGTGTTATATGAGTCCGAGTAGCCAGCGAAGTGGTCGCTGCCATGTGTGACAGCATGCTTCTCCGCTCGCTCGACACGTCCGAGTCGACAGCCTACTACTGAATGATGCAGATCGTCGGCGAGCAGCTCGACTCCTTCCTTCCCACATCTCGCGCCGCGCGCTCCTCCATCAACTTCGCTGTCCACACTCGTTGACGTGCACACCACAATACCACCGCCTTCGTCCGAACCTTGACTCTCGCGACACATATCACAGTGCTGCGGTTGCTCGCTAGCCAGCTGCCGGAAATGCCGGATACCTATACTCGGCCACCGGACCCCATTTCTGCGTCCTGCTTCATCTGTTCATCTTCGTTGGGACATATGTAAAATCTTTGTCTGCTCTTTGCATCATTTTCTCTCCTTCCCTACATTGTGGCCTATCCCTGGCTTCCTTACTGCTCAGAAAGTCCAATCCACGTGTTCCCAACGTGTAACGCGGAGCGTCACGCGCCGTGACGTTTAGTGATGTTCCTAGGAGTGCAACCATCGCTTTGCTGACTGACTTGTACTGTGGCTGAACCAGTAGTGAAATTTAGTACAGTAGTGAAAACAGGTAGGATCCCGAGCCCATATACGTTCAGTTTGCCCTCCAAAAATGGTATAGGACTTCTAGATAGTATCTCAGACTAAGTTAAGGCTCCAACCATTCATTATCCATAAGTATACAGAAATAAAGGATATATACAGTATATATATGTATATATATGGTTTATATGGTTTATCTACTAGTGTGTAAGAGCAACTTTATCTCTAGCAGAATTCCAAATAGTTGGTTCTCAACCACCTTTTGCTACATACAGCCTGGACAATGGTCTCTTTCAGGGAGCAGTCAAGGCAGCTCAGACCTAGCACAGAGTGACAGGCTTGATGCTATTTGGGTTATTGTTTGCCTCTATGTTGTCTTTTTCAATGATCTGCAGAAATTAGTCATGTCTCATAACCAGCATCATCAAGGTGCTGATGAGATCTATGTTTGTTAGAGCAAACAATTATGGTGAGTTTGCAAGCTCAGCCACAATAGCACCCCACCAAGATGAATAAGGGGCAAAGGTGTATATATACATAGAGGAATTAGATGTATTTGCCTTACAAAAAATAGCCCTTTGGGAATCAATTCTACTGGGACTTGTAGTTGGGATACTTGCATTTGTTGTACTATTTTTTGTCTATTCTCACAATTTTGATCCTAGCAGTCTTTGACGAAGAGATCATTCTGGCAAGAATTGTAAGGGTGGCGGTGTAGTTCTCTTGTTGGGATTTGTTCAGTCATCTGTTCCTCTCATGGCATATGTAGACATATTGATATCATTCTTTTAAGGATTGGTACAACTTGTGATGTTTTATATAGCTAAGAGTATAAATACACAGGCGTAGAGGTCATATTGATACATGAATACACTGTACTTGTAGTCCAGAGTTCATGGATAAATGCTGTTGTTCACAGAACACCTGCTGATGTATGAATCAATGCATCATTTATGCATCGTGCTCTTGAGCTCTCATACATCAGAGCGAGCTATGATGCATTTGATGTATAAGGGCCCACAGCAATGTATGAACGTGCCTTCCATTTTGGGTGCCAAGTGCTAACCAGAGCGGCGGCTCCGGAGACCACGGAGTGGATGGCCGGCCATCGCACAAAATGATGTCATTGATGGGCACAAAGAAGCCCTGTCAGTCACGGTTCTGATGATGAGCAAGGGGGCAGCGCTGACAGCAATCAAGTCGAAGGTGTATTTGAGAGCTTCGTCAACCGTGTGAATAGACGTAGGGCGGTGTTATGGTTCTGTTTTTGTTTATAGAAAGCTAGTTACCGAGTTTATTGCCGAGTCAATAGGAATAGTAACCTCGGTGATAGAGATTTGTATTGCCTATACAAAGCGGTAACAAACGGTAAAATCCTCGGTAATCTTCGGCAATGCAATTACCGAGACGGCGCAAAGTTGAGCTGTAATGAGGATACCAGATCCACAACAAATACAAAAGAGGGTGGGACTTTAGTCAGTGCTGCTATACAAGTATGCAGTACTGCTCTTCAACTGGGAAGAGTAAGCTATGAATGGATTTGAGTCGGCAATGAATGGGGATTATTGCCGAGGTTTAGAGCTTTTCAGAATAGAGGATGAATTCTGAATACAGAGGATTAGTATCCAGAGGTTGATTCCGAAGGAATGGGCTTTTTTGGTTTTGAAGTCACACAACAGAAGTTGAATGGAAGTCTGTACAGCTAGCTTTGACTGCACAGTGACAATGGCAAGTTACGAAACCCTAATGTAGCAGCGCGAGGCCGTGCTTCAAGAGGGACTCACTAAGGCAATTAATCCTCAACCAGCTAATGGCTATAAGGCTTGCTTTAGTGTCAAGTGAGTTGCTGGTTAGGCTAACCACTTTAATTATAGTAATGCCACTGAGACGTGCTAGTATGGAACTAGTTGATACAGAGATCTATTGATGTTGGTAACAAGTTTACAGAAGTAGATGATGACTAAGCACCTTCTCTTACTGAACTCAACTTGTGAAGTCAGTCAATGGGTTACTTAAACCTTACTAGTAGCGCGAGGACTGTACTAAGTAAGGTTTCACTGTCGCAGGTCTTAGAGCGCGTCGGTAAGAACTCGGCGAGAGTGGTTGAGTGGCTAGTATGGCTAACTTAGCACTCGGGACAAAGTAAGACTTTGAGTGGCACACAGGGTGTGTTTTGGTGAAGAGTAGATGGTGGATTGGATGATAGATGTCCTTGACCGTGCTCGGGAATGCCCTTTTATGCCATTACCGAGGACACAGCCAATGGAGCTACATGGAAGTATATAGAAAATCAAGGAATGTCGTAGAAGTGTATAGTACATGTCCTTGACTCATTTACACCGCTCCAGAGGCCATTCTAGGAGAACAATAGGATCATAGCCTTACACTTCATTGTTTCCAACAAGGCAAGCTATGTTACCGAGTCATCCTAGTACAGCCACAGTACAGCCACTGTTTCAGGACTGTGATTCCCGAGGCATTACCGAGGCATGCAAGAGTCCGCATTTTCGGTGTACAGCCTAAGGATAGCACAGCCATTCAACATAGCTTCAGGAATGGCTCGGTAATTGTCGCACAGCCATTCCTTTCTATGCCGATACAAAACCATTATAACTCGGTAATTGATCGGTAATAACCATCATTTACCGAGCATACAATAGCTCTTGTATCAGTACTGAAAGCATCTGGTCATAATAAGTAAGAACACACACTAGAAACTCAGTAATAGTCCGTTTAGTAGATACAGTAACAAGCGCTTCTAAAGCATTAAAACGTCGGTAATCAATACCTCGGTAATAAAACAATGAAAGCGCTACATTGATGTCCATTGAGAGGAATAAAGGAAAGATAAGGAGAGTAAGATAAGCACATAACAAACCTTCACTGATGCAGCCACTCGGTAAGTAAACACTTCTAACGAGTTTCTGTGCACTCTGAGGCTATCAAGCCTCTATCCCTAACAGGCGGGGGAGTTCTGTCAGAAGGCGCGTGGCGAGCGCAACAGTACGATGTATGGACAGTTGTGAGTACCATGTGCAACCTGCTTCTGCCGCCGCTCGACGCTGTGCCTCGAGGTGCCCTCCCGGCTTTCCAGAATAAAATTTCTGACACTTGATCCTCTTGTGCCGTGACAGGAGCACTGATTTGGACAAAAAGGTTGGTCATAGCTTGTCTTCTACTCCTCGAGCGACGCACAGCATGGCATGGATACTTGTAGATCTGCAACTGATGCATATTACTCCGTGGCTTTCCACTCTAAATAAGTATACAATCTCCGGGTTACCTTGTTTCATGTTGGACTGATGTGATCAGGACAGATTAATGACAGCCTGCTCATTGCTGCCTTCTGCCGACGGCGTGGCTTTAGCTGAGTGTGTTTCATTGCTCTTTTTGGAGAACCATACAGTGGGGCATTGCAACAATGACATGTAGCAGCAGCTGTGTCAATTGTACCCATTAAAGGTGTGTAGAAGCAAGCTCAAATTGCATTGGAATGACTTATACTGTACAGAAGCAGGTTTGTTCAGACTACATCTTGACTAATACAGCTGCCAGTACCACAGGTTGACAACATTGATGTCACCAGATTGTGAGTGCACCCAACACAGTTTGCAGATCCTTGCTGCAGAGATGGTGACTGTTATGGACTGGGATTGCTAACTTACCGAGTACTTACCTAGTAACAACTGTCGGTAGTTACGTAATTGTAGTCGCCTTAGTTAAGAAATGAATTGAGGATTATCTCGTTGTGAAGAGGATTAACACAACAATTTGAGTGATTGACTTATGAGGATTAGTTGATCGAGAATCAATTTCGCTCAACAAGTTCAAGCACTAAGTCCGGAGCGGCACAGTAGTGCCTACATTCTTAGTGAAGCTAAGAAACTTGGTTGATCGAAGTAAGTCAGTTACGACTATAGTGAATAGAGCGTTACAACAATAGTTGAGGATGCCACTAAGCACGAACCCGACTCTAACCGTAGATCGATGAAGCTTACTCTTACCGAACCCTTCAGAGTAGCGCGGGGCTATACTATTGAAGGGGTCAAGGTAGATCGACTTAGCGCACGGCTATAAGTACGATCAACCTTAGTATGTCCAGCGCGGGGCTATGGACAATCGAGTGGCTCACACCGATGGATTGAAGTTCATTGAAGAGAGTGTTATTCGTCCATACTCTACAACAGCGTTTATATATCTACAAAGAGTCCTAGAATATTCCATATGTGAACAATAGTCCCATTGAGATCCTCGGTCGACTGCCCGTGTATTCATTGTTCAAAAGCCGAACCAATCGGCCTTGGTTTGGTCACGACAGGTGAGTCTAGTCAAGTCAATCGGAGGTCCGGCACAGTCTTCCTTAGTCACTTGACTTAAGTCTCAAGTAGGCAAGTTCTGACTTTTCTTAGAAAGGAAGGCTCGTGCCGTTAGTCACGTGTCGGCGCTAGCTACTTGACAGACTTCGTGACTTAGACACTTTGATTAGATATTCCTAACATACCTCCCCTTGCCTACGATCACGAAGCTGTCTTAGTTTGAACAATGGTCGGCCCCCTGGATTACAATCGGTTCGCTGACTATATGCGCTTGGTTGGCAAGAGACATAACAAACGAGTTCCCAGAGTCTTGTTCAATGATCCTCTGCCCGATTATTGGACAGGTGCTCGACTCTACTGTCTTCAAGAAACGGTTCGATATGTCATCTTCGGCCCATGGAATTGGCGAGCCATTGAACAGATCTTAATGATCCACATCTTTGTAAGTGATCGGGCGATCGAGTCGATCAACTTATTAGATCTCTTTTTTCGAACGGACAATTGGCTGGAATCTCTTAACTGGGACTTGCATGATCCTCTTCCTCCAATTTTTCACGATGTCTGGGATTATCAGTGGCACGATCACCCCAACGATCAACTTGGATGGCCTGGATCTCTCAAGATCTACATGGCGCGGCATGGTCATCCCATTGACCAATGGGAGATACCGCTCGGTGACGAAGATCCGATCACGATAGATGCCGCGGCGCGGTCCTTTGTGAACCAATGGCTCGGTAAGTCTTCATCCTCTTCTTGCTCTCCTGCCTTCATCGCTCAGTCTCTTCTTAGCCAATTCTTGCCTCTTCAGTAAGCCTTGAAACGGTACTGTTCTCAATCTCTGATCTATTCTTCTTAGCTGAGGATCAAAACACTACCAGTTCCTTTACTCCTAATCGGTCCATGTCTCCTTCTCAGTCTAAGTCGACGCTTGTGAAACAATCGGAGACCGATGAGAAGAAACTGACAAAGCTGGGGATTGAAGAGGCCAAGGTTCTGCCTCGGAACGGAGTCGATCCCGAGCTAAACCCAGAGTATCTTAGTGATGGGATACTAGTAAGTCATCCCAAACTAGCTCTTAGATTTACTGAATCGTGTTTGTAGTTCAAAGCCGAGCTTCGCCGCGGGAAAACCACCATTGCATGCTACGTCAAGGACGGCTTGTCAGCTTGCACTGAGTGCAACCAAAAGCGCATTCGATGTAGCTTTGTCCAAGACAAACCGGTGAGTACCTCTGACTCTATCCTTAATTCCTGGTGATGATCTTCCTTTAGTCCAAGACGAAGAAAACCCAGGCTAAATCGGCTTCTCCTGAAGTCGGGATGGCTGAAGACAACAACTTCGAGGAGTGGGGCGGGATAGACAAAGAAGTCGATCCGGATGGTCGGTCGTCTTTTGACGCGGACGTGGACATGAAGTCTGGCTCCGATGACTCGGCATCGCCTGAAGAACTCAACTCGGATTCCGAGAGCGAGAAGGACGAGATTGACGAAGAAGACCAGGAAGCCGAGGAAGAAGATGTCGACAAAGATGAAGAGGAAGAGGTCGAGGTCGACGAGGTAAATAAAATAGTCAAGTTCTTTCTTTTTTGACTTTTCTTTACTTTCTTAGCAGCCAAGCCGTAAGAGGCCTAGGTTGTCGCCAGAAATCGAGCTTCCTAGTGCCCTGGCCCATTCCTCTCCCTTGGTCGGGTTGTCCGGTCTGTCTTCAAACCTTGGTCCTCCGTTGACTGAGGTTTCAAGCTTTCCGTTGCCTCTGTCCTCCGCTCCTCGGCCGATTGAGGCAGGACCTGTGCCTTCCTCAGCACTAGGCCACATGCAGCGCGTCATCGACTCTCAAGGTCGTACCTTGTCTGATCAAGCTGGTCTGATGGCTGCTCTCCAACTTGAACTGGAGCAGCAGCGGTCTGCTTACGCGCCGCTTCAAGCCCACGCAACATCATTGGAGTCCCAGAATCGATTGCTCCAAGGTCAACTCGGTGAGTTTGCTTGTACTTGACTTGTTCTGTGGCTTGACTGACCACTTGTACAGCTTCGGGTTCTTCAACGGGTAAGAAGGCTAGTGGAAAAGGGAAAGATCGCGCGTTGTAGTCGGTCGAGAAGTCTTTACTAGAGTAGATAGCCAGTCTTGATTCGCTTTGTAATTGCTGTCGGTAGCTTTCTTGATGCACCAAGTACTCGTCCGATCATTTGCAATTTTAAGCGAAACTGTCATCAACTCCCTGAATATTTGTACATGGAGATCGAATCTCATCTCTGCAATACCCCCCTCAAGACTTCAAGACTGTCACAACCTACATCACATCATCTTTGTCAGCCATTAATTCGTTGAAGTCTTCTTCTTCCGCGACTGGGTCGGTCATGACTCCGACCTCTGCAAACTCGACTTCCTCCTCAATCATCTCGAGTCGATCAATCGGAGCAACCGAGCGTCCTAGCATGTCTCGCTTGAAGGTGCTGAGTTCGACCTTGGTCGGCTCCGCGATGCGTCTAGCCGACTGGCGGGGATCGATCGTGCGCGCAGTCAAGACTTGATCGTGTGGCACAATTCCAAAGTACGGGGAGGTAGGACGGTACTGCGCCTCGTTACCTCTCGCCAGAGTGGGATGAAGGACGAGTGCGCGAACGGGGTTTCCTTCAGCAGCCCATTCAGGCCAACAGATCAATCGGTAGTACTCGATCAGGCCGCGTTCTCCATGTTGAATGTGCTGGAAGACATGGGGATTATTGCAGCTGACTCGGACGAAATTCGCGGTCCAAGTGATTGTGTCAAGCCCACAATGTTGGGCCCGAGCGATCGTGTTGCAAGCGGCTTCGCGGCTAACGAAAGGGCTTTGAAGTAGGTTGAAATCGCGGTAGAAAGGGTGTAGGAGCCAGGATGGAGGATCGGCTAGCCCTAACTCGCGGGCTACGTCGAGGACCAACTGGTTGATACACATTTGTCCATGCGTGATTGCCAGAGCAATCCAGATCGCGTCAGCATACCCGTTCTTAAGAACAACTGCCCCATTTCCTCCGGGGTGCTCGAAGAACATGTTGTCGTCAGGAATCCAGGTGAAGAAGTTCCCCACGAACAAAGTCGTCTCGGCGAAGGGGTTTACTGCTGAAAGAGCTCCCGGGTCGTTCAGCGGAGCGATGAGGTCGGCACTTTGAGGGGCAATAGCCAGCGACATGAGAGTTGGACTTGTTGGAGTTGGAAGGGCGTATTGGCTGAAGAAATCAGCTGGAAAGGAGCGTATTTATATGGATGGCCGTAGTGAGCCACTCCACAGTTGGAACATAATGCAGCAAAAATTCGCAGAATTAAACAAAGAGATAGAGTATTCCTTCGCTTAGGTCGCTGAGCTCGACCTTATTGTTGACCAGAATGGTCAGACAATCTTCCTGGCGGCACAATCGAGTAAGGCCTAGACTCGATCTTGCGTTGTTTCCACTCCTTCACCACCTCGGGTGCGTTCCTTAACCGACCCTCCGGTAGCCACTCATCTGATTCCAGTCCGTATCCGGCCCAACGTACTCGGTACTCGAGTCGTTGTCGTCTGTTGACCTTGCGTTGTCATTCATTAACAATGCAGTTGACCTCATACTCAGGCAGTTCATTGAAATCCAACCGATTAAGTCTCTTGGTTGGTCAGTTCTCAAATTTGGCAGGAGACGCATTGTACTGTTCCAAATGTGCGATGTTTATTACCGGGTGCATTCCGTACGACTCGGGTAGTCGAATCCGGTATGCGACCGAGCTGACCTTATCGATAACTTCAAAAGGTCCATCGTACTTCATAAGAAGCTTGCGTCCTCGACCGGTCTCTGCATGAAGTAATTCCAACGAGTGGACGTTCAGGACTACTTGATCGCCTACTTCAAACTCGACTTCCAGTCATCCTTTGTTATAGGCCCACTTCTGATATACTTGGCCTAAAAGTAGAGCTTCTCGGGCTTGGCGATGATCAGCTTCAAACCAAGTAGCAAGATCAACTGCGTTCGGATGAGTCAAGTTTCCGATTTCTTGCTGAACGCTCTCAGGAGAGTGAAGCAACTTGCTCGCCGTGATCGGGTGATATCCTCATAAAAGATAGGCGGGAGCAAAACCGGTTGCTGAGTGCGGAGTCGAGTTGTACAATAATTGAAGTGGACCTACATGATCGGACCAGTCGTCTCTCGGTCCGAAATTATCTGCCTCAGCAGACCGTATTCCTTGAATACTTGGTCAAACAAGAGCTTCGCCGTTTCCTTCTCAGTAATCTTGGTAGTAGTAGGAATGAATAAGCCATACTTCGTAAGCTTATCCACTATAACCAGGACATTGTCAAACCCTGAAGAGTTCGGCAATTCCGGTATGAAGTCCATTGTAATGACCTCAAATGGCTGAGGTGGCACCGGGATCGGTTGCAGTAACCCGACCAGTGCGTGTCTCCTCGGCTTGGATTTTTGACAAATATCACAGGTAGAGGCATATCACTTAATGTCTTGAGACATTCCCGGCCAGTAGTACATTGCGGCCAACCGATTGTACGTCCTGTGGTAACCTGTGTGGGTTCCTTCCGTTTCTCGATTGTGGGCCTCCTTCATGAGCGCGAGCCGTTCCTTCTGAGGAATGCAGAGTCGATTATTTCCCAAGGGATCGGTGAAGTAGACCAGACCATTTTGACCAAGACTGTACTGAGGATACTTAGAATTGGTTACACTTTCCTCTGTACGAAGTGTCTTTACAATCTCTCGGTAGTGACTGTCGGACTGATACCCTTCAACTAGTTGTTGGTGGTATTGTTCAGATAGTCCGACTACCAAAGAATAATTGCAAGCCGCCTGATAGACGATAGACGGTTGGTTTGGGTCGACCAAAACTGTCTCCTCAAAGATCGGCTGGTTGTTATCGTCGGAGGATAGAGTTTCACAAAATCTGGATGCGACTTTGAGAAGCTTCTCCTCAAACTTGGGACTCAAAGACTCATACATATCCTCTAACGGGTCATCGACCTCGTCCTTCAAGGACAGAGACGTAGTTGGATCGGTTGAAGGTCCTTGCTCAATTGGAACATGTCTTCTCAGTCTTGAAACGGGATCGACATTAGACTCGACCGGCTCAATGTATGATCTCCATGTTTGGGTAGGCCGAGAATACAGTTCCCCAAGTCAAAAGTCAACGATTGACGTTCTGGAAGGTCTTACTCCAAGTCAACGCAGCATGATCGGTAATTGCGAAAACCTTTGACCCTTCCAGATATCCCTGGAATTTGATTAAACCTTCCTTCAGAGCAAGGGCTTCGTGCTTGGTCGGAGAGTAGTTCCTTTCAGCAGGTCGCAGAATTCAAGACCTATATGCAATGACTCTTTCGACATGAACAATTGTATCCTCAAACCGATTGGCCCACTTGGTCGTTCGAGGGACGTCATTCTCGGCTGTGGATACTGCTGCTACAAGGCTAGGAACCGCTTCCTTCGCTTTGTATGACCGTAGCAACCGATCATAGAGTCGCGTTCCCTTGAGGTCCTTGATAGCAATCGGCTGGACTTGCTGTAGGATTGCAGCAAGGCCGTAGTCGCAGGCATCAGTATACAGTCGATATGGTCGACCCGGCATGGCATACGCTTGGACAGGAGCATTGGTCAAGACTTCCTTGCAGAGCTCAAATGCTTCTTGGTGACTCTGATTCCATTCCCATTCCTTCTTATCCTTCTTCAGCAACTGGAAGAGAGGAGCGGCAATCCATGCATAGAATGGAACATAGGACGAGAAGTAGACCATCATACCTAAGAATGTCTGTAGTTCCTTGACGTTCCTGGGTTCAGCGAGATCGATTATTGCGTCGACTTTCTCTTTATGGGTCGATATTCCTAGCCTTGATACCTTCTGACCCAGAAGCAGAAGCGACTGATATCCCAGGTGGCATTTACCGGGCGACAGCGTAAGACCAGCTTGCTTGACCGATCCGAATACTTGATCAAGATGCTCAATGTGTTCCTCCAGTGTATTGGAGTATACTACTATGTCGTCGATGTATACCAAGGCGAAAACCCAAAGGAAAGGAGCGAGAATATCTTGCATAACTCGCTGGAACACGCTCGGTCCATTACAAAAACTGAAAGGCATGTGCCTGAATTGATGCAAACCTTGGTGCGTCCTGAAAGCGGTCTTCTCCTTGTCTTGCTCGGCCATTTCTAGCTGAGTGAATCCAGAGAGAGCATCCAAAGTTGATACCCATTGCGAACCGCTCAGGGCTTGAAGAATTTCCTCCTGCTTCGGGAGGGGAAACTCATCTGGAATGACTTGCTTGTTTAGTCATCTGAAGTTGATTACCATCCTCGGTTTAGAGTTACGGTAGACTATGACTGCGGGTGCTCCCCAAGGACTAGTCGAAGATTCAATTGCACCAAGTTGAAGCCATGAATCCATTTGAGCATTGACGACTTCTCTCTTGGCTGGAGAAGAAGGAAAAGGAGGTAAAGAGATCGGTTTAGCACCTGGCTTAAGTGGTACTTCCACCTTAGCGTTGTAATGTCCGAGTCGACCGTTCAGGCTGAACGCGAGCTTGTGCTTGGACACCACTTCACCAATCTCAGCTTGATCGGTTGGACTCAGGTCCTTGCTAATATCGACCGCTTTGAGGAGTTCCTCCTCGTTGACATCTTTGGGTACCGTCTCGCTTGTCTTAGGTCCTCCTTCCAGAGGATCCGAACTGGTCGGGTCTTCTGAGGTATCTTTCCCTCTGCTGGTGATCAATTCCTCGGCTTTACTCCTGACCGTACCACTGAACTTCCTTTGTTCCTTGCACATTTGACAAATCAAATTGACGTGCGCGATCCTGGATTTCAGCTGATCGGCTGAAAGAGTCTGTGTTCGGTCGAGCCAAGAATGGGGATTTCTAGCTTCTAGCTGTGCCAAGAACCTGACCTCGATCTATGGTTAGGGGTTGGCGTCCTAGATTAGCGACGTGAAGGAAAGGATCAGCTCTGGCAATCAAGGACTCTGGAGAGGCTAAACAATTCTCTGAAGTCTTGTAAGACTCGAGATGCCTTTCCACAAGTAGAGTGTCGTTGTCTCCAAATGGGGCCTCCACTCGTACTCTTCTGGATGATTCAGGCAGAATTAT